ATAACTGAAATCCTAACTAGAATAATCACTGGAACCAAATTAATAACCAAATTAATAACCTAATTAATAACCAAATTAATAACCAAATTAATAACCAAATTAATAACTAAAACAGTATCTAAAACAGTAACAAAAACATTATCTAAAACAGTAACAAAAACAGTAAGTAAAAAATAACTAGAACAAAACTAAATTTAAAACTAAAGTAATAACTGAAACAATTACTAGAATAATAATTGAAACATTAAGTAGAACCAAAATTAGAATAATAGTTAAATTCGAAACTAAATCTATAATCAAAATAATAACTATGTTCAAAATAACTTCCAAAAACAAAATGAAGAAGATATACAAATACTTAGTTATCATGCATTCTTTGCTCTCATTTCTAAACTCATAACTAGAATTCATAAATGATTTCATATCTAAATCAATAACCTAATCAAAAACTAGATTAATAAATAAAACAGTAACAAAAAAGACAAGTAAAACAACAACGAAAAAAATTAAAATTACTTGATATTGTATCGTGAATTAATACCTAGAAAAATAACTGAAACAATAACCAAAATAATAACAGGAATAATCAATAAATCAAGAACAAAATCTATAATGAAGTCTATAATGAAATCTATAATGAAATATATAATCTATAATGAAATCATAGCCAAATCAATAACAATTCCATAAATCCACAATAGTTCCATTCCTAACTACATCATCAAAAGAAATCATTATGAGCTATAAGTTATTGTTACATCAATACCACAGCTACTTCAATAAAATACGAGCTCAACTTACTTGGTAGCTCATTTACGAGGACTGCGTTTTTTCGATTTTTTCTCACTCAAAAAAAAAAAAACTTCGCGCTCCCAGAACTCATTTTTTTTTTTTTTTTGTTTTTTTTAACACAGTATTTATTTAATATACAGACGTTATCTATATAATTATATAAAACCGGGTCACCTAATAAAACTGCAGCGCCGCATTCACGATCACATTGGTAAAAAGTACACGCTATGGCGCTACCTATGAGTTTCAGAACTGGAATTGGACGCAAATTGCTGCGATTCGCTAACGATTTCAAACACTCAGTTGTTACTAGTGAATTTTTTCGTACAAAATGGTCTATATCCAATTTTGCTGCCAAAATCTCCTTCCTAAGCTCCTCATAATTCTTTTCAGCGTAAGCAGTTCCATTTATATTTCCCGTTCGTACCTTGTCAATCATTTGAGCTCTATCTTCATCGATTTGAACCGAATCATCAAAAAAGGGGTGATTGTGAGTATCATATAGTTGTAGGTAACAATTAGTTTCGTTATTCTTTGTAACAGTGAAGTGTGCAAGACAATTGGGTTGGATGCAATTGAAGCATGATTTTTTGAGAAGCTTTTTCAACTTGTAAGTTCCAAATTCGGTTAATTCCCAAAAGAAGCTTTCTAGCTCCTGAATGCTACAATTTTTGAAGTAATACCCTGTTGGATCTGACAGTCTTTCCCAAGTTTTCAAGTTTAAACTTCGAAAAGATAATTGCGATTCCTCTCCAATTGAGCTATCCTTGAGTTTTCCTGTGTTATTCATTATTCCATCACCTGTCTCGTCCTCCACACCCTGGACCATGTTCTGAATTACATCACGAGAAGTCAGAATTCTGTCCAGATCCAGACTTGGTAATTCCGAGTCACTGCCAAAACCATCAATATCTGTAACAGAAGATACATTTTCATCTCCAAATTGTTCCATGGTATGGTTTCTTGTTATAATTGTCCAGTTGTTTGCACTATTGACTTGATATAGAATAGTTGACCCACTGATGAGTGCAGTTGAAGTATTTGAGCTTTCTGATATGTTTGAATCATTAGTTGATGGTAATATGGATGTTTGATTTCTTCTTCGAATGTTTGAGTTTATGGTAGAATTAACTGAAATTATTGGTTGATGGACCGAGTTTGATACGTCTGGGGCTGTTGGTTTATCATCACTGTTAACACAAAAGCCATAACCTGTTTCAAAGTCGTCATCACTGTTTGTATCTAAATCTGAAAGCATTGATGTATTGAAAGGTAACTGCTGAAAAAGTTGATAACATTTAAAAAAGATAAAATAAATTTTTAAAAAAAGAGGAAAGTTGAGCTAATAATATAAGAATTTGAAGTCATTTGTGTACTTCTGATTTGAATGTCAGGACTCATTTAATTTTTGATACTGTACAACTTAAAATTAATCTTTTGTGCATATATTTAACAATTTCATTTTGTGTAATATTTAAAAACAAGTCTTTTAGTTTGATTTACAGTAATAAGAAAACTTTAAGTGGCTTCTCTACTGAGTTTATAAGGGCCTAATAAGTCAGACTAAACGGAGTAATTGTTAAGACAACTCAATTATTTATACCCCTAAAAGACTGAACAAATTCTCGAGGTTGGGTTAAGTCTAAAAATTTGTTTTTCATAAATTATGCAAGTTATTACAGATAATTGCATACGACACCCAGTTAAATAATTTAAAGTAAGATTTACACTTTCCAAAAAACTACCTAACTACAGTACATAAAATGAGTGTTATAAATCGACGAAAAAGTTTCTTACAGAAATTAAGCAGTATCTATACTTGATTGTTGTAGTTCATACAAATTCGTTAGAGAATTACTTATAAATGCTCTGAACAATATAATTTTTAGGAAAAAAGAGGCAAGAATTAAGTATGCCAGTAGAAAACAAGCCGCACAAAATTATTTATATGCGTCCTAAAGTAATTGTACATCAAATGATAAATTCAGCTTTCTACAACCTTTAATTTTTACAATTAATCAACATTACTCATACCAATATTATTCGATAAACTTTGAGTAACCAGACAGTTTTGGTTTTATTATACATTTATAGGTTTTAAAAATCCTTGCTCAATTATTCAGCTCTTGTTAAAAACTGTGCTACTTGTACCCTGCCCATAATCTATACTTCATATTTATAGTACGCAAAATATATGTTCCGTTGAACTTGCAAGAAACCCTAATTAAAGGATGAAAACCTCCACAGCTATATTAACCCTGTAGCAACCGACAGCTTACCTTTTTAACGATCTGCTTGTCTCATGCGACAACGGCCCGCACTACCAACCAGCACTAATACAGCACTTCTAAAAGTAAAGTCATACCAGTTTTTGAACTAAACTTCTAGTCCCGGGCTCGAACCTCGAACCCGAGAATATAAAACCAAAACATACACAAAAACGTTGTTTTAAAGCTTGATGAGATTGGGTGAACATAGTTTTCGGTGTCCCTTCCTAAATATCCTCAGGAGATTTTTACAAAGTCTGAATAAATTATGAAGTTAGAAACAGCAACAATCAGACTAGATTGTTTTACCAACAGCACCTTTTTATATCATGGAGAAATTAATATATTTTCCAATTAATGTTTTGGAAATGATATTTCAAGAAATAAATCATCACATGGCATTGTCCTTGATGCCATTACATTCTAAATTTAATGAGATTGGTCAAAAAAAACTATACAAAAATATCCATCTTTACTGCAAAGATGAATTAATGAAAAATAACCGTCGTGAAGTAAACAAACCAATGAAAGGTCGTGGTAAAAAGGTTTCTCACTGGCGTAAAACAAATAATGTAGTATACAAACAAGGCTACGAGTGGAGAGCTCATAAAGACATTTTGAATGACTTTACTAAAAAGTTTACCGTAATTTCATCATGTACTTTTTCTCGTAATATCATTAGAAAAAAAATGATCAGAAATCAACATATTCAGCATCTTAGTATTGAAAAGGTTCACCCTGTAGAGTATACTGGATACATGTTATATGGAGATAGGAACGGGGTACCGGCATTATTGAAAGAAGTATTTAGATATTTTAAAAATATAGATTATGTTAGTTTTGCTTCATTAAACAACCAATTCGAAATGAAAAGTGAAAATAGTTCAGTTGAGGTTTTAAAAAGTTTAGAATTTTTAGTTCCAAAATATATTCCTGGCTTTTATGGACGTATTTTGTTCTTAGAGAAAAATGATCAAGGGCCATTTGATTTTTTGTATGATAATCTCAAAAGTTTAAAATTTCTGTTTGAAGGCTCTACCATAAGAAGGCACAATGATGATTTATCAGAAAAAATCGAATTGTTCAACAAGATCAGTTCATTCAAAAACCTTGAGGACTTACATCTACAATTTGAAGCATTGATTGATTTAACGGATTCACTGTTTGTTTCAAAATTGAATAAGATAAATTGCAAATTGAAAAAACTTAATTTGATATTTTGGGGTAAGCTTGGAGAAAAGAAAAAATTTTGCAACGGTGAGCCAACCCCAAAATGGTTATTTACTTTGAAGGACTTCTTTGATACAGAACATATAAATTCGTTATCATTATATTACGAAAATGATGGGCCTGGCGAAATCGGATTCTTTTATCATATATTTGAGTTCAAGGAAATATTAGTCGACGCCAACTTAGCAAATTTGAGAAATTTAGCTTTATTTTCACATGATTTAGATTTGAGAGCGATTAAGGTAAAAAAATTACATAAATTAATGATTTGTACTGATATTGCTAATGATGAGGATGCAACTGAAATTGCTAAGCTTTACCTTAAAAACCCGACTTTAAGATTATCTTGGTGGCCCCGATTTATAGAGGTGTATTTCTCAGATATCTTTTCAAAAATTGATAACTTACAAATATTCACACCTGACTATTTCCAGATTATATCTTGTCAATGGCCATCATACTTTTTCAAAAATGATATTATTTCCATTGAGAAAGGAAGGTCAAATTCTCATGAACAAAATAAAAAAAATTCAAAAAAATTAGATATAGTTTTAAAAACCGACTATTCAATTGAAGAACTTTATGGCATGGATCTATTCGATACAACGAAAATTGACGAAGACCTTCCAGAAGTTTTCTATAACAAGGTGAAATACTGGGACTGGTAAAATTTTTCATCTGTAGGTAGTAATTAATTAAGCTTTTAATATCAGTATGTATCCATAAATTGAATTCTCGTAGAGTACTTTAGCTGTTGCAACTGCTATTTGAAATTCTTAAACCTCGATTGCACACCAAAATTCCACGTAAAAGTCTTCTGCATGTTGATAGGACTTTAAATGTCCTTTTCAACGAGTTCGATGTAAATGAAATGATTGAATTTTATTTTTCAGTTAATTTATAAAATTACCTAAGCAATAGTTCGAAATTGACATAATAAATGCTTAAGAAGGTATAAGTTTACATCTAGATGACAATCTAGCTGACGTTATTGCACCTGAAAAACAATAATTCTGTAAAATCTATACTTTGAATGTTACCGTAAAACTTATTTATGTAGGTTTAGTTATTATTATCCTCAAATTCATTTCAGCTTGAGACAAAATTTCATCAACAAGAATTCGCTCAAACGTAATTAGTTAGAGAATGTTAATAAACTAGATAAAGTTTATGGATTGGAGAAGAGGTTCAAGGTCAGATCAGAATTTTATTTGCATAAATCGAAGTTGAATAGTTGATATAATTTTGATTCTTCTACGAAATTTAATATCAAATGTTCAATCATTAATAGCATCTGTGGTGCTTTTCTAATTTGTGTGAGTGTTTTATATGGATATGATTTTGTATGGTGATTTTGGTTTGTTGATATTGAGGTTATATGAAGATTAATTTATTTTCTAGATAAAGCCCCTAGAAATGCATATCCAGTAGATATGGTTGAGATTTTGTAAGGGTTCCAAATATTTGTTGGCGATTTAAAAATTTATTAAATTAATTTTTGAGATTGAAAAATAAAGATCTATGGTACTGCAGATAAAATTTTTGTCGTATCTAATGCGGGGATGAAATTACTAGATCCGAACTGAAATTTGTATTTAATAATAAATCTTGCTAGCAACTTGATCTTATTAAAATCAAATATCAGTACCCTTGACTTGCCCTACTCATGTCAATGGTATCTCAAACTTAACGACTCATTAAACAGTGGCATCACTTTAATGGGTTCCAAAGAAACAACTATATCCAATAGAGATGTAATTGTGAAATTAAAATAATACTGTTAATATCGATAAGATTTTTTAAAAAGAATTAAGATTTAAGTAATAGTAGCAGACGATAAACGTCCAGAACTTATCTTTATATCTAACTGTTAATATTATTTATTAAGAGAGACCAAAAAATCTATTAAAATAAATGATGTTTCATAATTCATTTGATCAGCAAAAATTTTTTTTTTCTCCTACTCTTTATATTAACTTATTATTATGATTAAATTAAAACAAAGATAATTGAAATTCAATAACACTTTATGCATTAATTTCACATCGATTTTAACTGAATTCGGATAAAATTGAAATGCATGAACTAATTAATCTAAAATTAATCTATTGTCTAACCCTTAATTTAATTTACTCGACCAATTAATTATTTAACACTTTTGCATGAACAATTAATAAAATGATTGAATCATAAAACGAAGAAATGACTGTTTTATTGTTTAAAATATTCTCTGATCTTCGATCAATAACTAGCCTACTTCGAGCTTCATTTCATATACGTTATATACTGAACAACAGTTGGAGGCTCAATAATATGGTGGTTTCATTTAAAAGTACTACTAGACTAAAATACGAAAACTTTTTTTTTTTTTTTTTTTCGACTTTTTTTATTTCTCGTAATAAAAGGTTATGAAATTTTGAACAATATGATGATCAATAAATTAAAACTTACATGGGTAAATATATAAATAAACACATGTACTCATTTTGTTTAAAATTTTTTTTGATATTTGTAGTCAAATCTTTTCAACAAATCTTCCTTCTTTCAATTCACTCAATATTAATTTAAATTTTTGTTCAAATCAAGCATGAAATTTTCAATTTTAATCTTTATTTCAGCTGTTCTAGCTTCAACACCAGAATTGTTATTTAAAAGAGCTACTTCCTGTGATATCCAACCATGTGTCGATGCAAGTAATATTATATCAGATAAATGTGACGATAGTGGAAATGAAGTTTTAAGTTGTATATGTCAATTAGATGATGATTATTGGAATAAAGTATCAGATTGTGCTAAAGGATGTGATAGTCAAAATAATAATTATAGTCCAGATCAATTGAAACAATTATATTGTCAAGCTGCTCAATATGCTTCAGAACATCCAGATGCATTCCCAACTGAAGCTCCATCTGCTCAAAGTTTTTCAAATTTAGCTGATTTTTCATTCGATTCAACAAATACTGAAGATGCTTCATCAGCAATACAAGCTATTATTAATACCTTATCAGCTTTATCTCAATCAGAAGCTAAAGCCTCATCAACTGGTGGTTCATCATCTTCAGGCTCTTCAAGAAGTAGTGGAGGTGCTGGTGCAGTTGCTTCTTCTACCACCGAAGGTTCATCATCATCAGCAACTGCTCAATCTTCAGGATCTTCTTCAACTAGATCAGGCTCAAGTTCAAGTTCAAGTTCAGGTTCAAGCTCACAAGCTAGCTCAAGTTCATCAGCTTCATCAAGTCAAGGAAGTAATGCTGCTGCCGCTGCTACTATTGGAGGTGGTTCATTAATTTCATTAATTTTATTATCATTATTATAGTTCTAAAATCGTAACCAAAAGTTAAATAAAATATCATATTTTTACACAAAATAACTCTTCAAAAGAATCTCTTTCTGGATCTACAAATCTCTTGACATTTTAGATTTTATATTTTAATAGAAATGATCGTGCTATTACAAGTGTTGTGGGTCAAATAATTACAATGTGATTGACTGATCACTTGTAGAAAGAGAACAACCCCATAAAATTTTTTGTGTAAATACTTTTAATATTATTACTGTTTATGGAAATTTTTGAATCAATTAAAAAAAAAAAAAGATTGATGAAAATAATATGAATGAAACAACAACTGAAATATTTTAACTTATTTCACGAATAAAAGAAAGTAGCAATATGTCATGATCTGAAATTTCAATGTTACATTTGAATCAAAAGGGAATGAAACATAAAATGAAGGGCATATTAATTTCTAACGCGTCATAGTCTTAGTATTATATAATTAGCTACAATCACGATCCATTACCTTTCGTAATTTGAAATAAAATAATTAATGAATAAAGCGTTCCTTTATTTTCTTTCATCACCAAATTATTGGTGTTGGTGTTTTGATTTATTTTTTTTTTTCATTTTTTTTCTTAATTATGTAAACAAAAAAAAAAAAATACCTCCTTAACTGAAAACATATAAAACATGTAAATTAATTATAGTAATACAAAATACCCCCTTTCTATTTACAGTAATTAATATTTTGCAACCTCGAATATTTACGATGAATACAATAAATGTTTCATACATACATATGTACATATAAATATATAAGCTTCTCCATTGCATAAAAGTTTGATTTCAAAAAAGATTTCCAATGAATTATCATACCATATCTGATGTTGTTTCTATTTTTCATACTACAATATACTTTATGTTCTAATATAGCAGCATATTGGGGTCAAAATGCTGGTTCTAATCAACAATCTTTAGGTCATTATTGTTCAACATCACCAGCTGAAATTATAATATTATCATTTTTAAATAATTTTCCACAATTAGAATTAAATTTTGCAAATCAATGTTCACAAACTTATGGTGATGGATTACTACATTGTTCACAAATTGCTCAAGATATAAAATCATGTCAATCACAAGGTAAAATTATTTTATTATCATTAGGTGGAGCAACTGGAAATTATGGTTTTTCATCAGATCAACAAGCTTCTTCATTTGCAACTACTTTATGGAATAAATTTGGAGGAGGTTCAGATAATGAAAGACCATTTGATGATGCAATAGTTGATGGATTTGATTTTGATATTGAAAATAAACAACAAACAGGTTATGTTACATTAGCTAATCAATTAAAAAATTATTTTTCAAAATCATCTAAAAAATTTTATTTATCAGCTGCTCCCCAATGTCCTTATCCAGATGAATCAGTTGGTGATTTAATGTCACAAGTTGATTTAGATTTTGCATTTATTCAATTTTATAATAATTATTGTTCAATTGATAAACAATTTAACTGGGATACTTGGAATCAATATGCTAATAATAAAAATATAAAATTATATCTAGGTATTGCTGGTTCTTCATCATCTGCTGGTTCAGGTTATGTTGATCTTTCAAGTGTTCAAAATGCAATTTCAAGTATAAGTAAAGATTCTTCATTTGGTGGTGTGTCTATTTGGGATATTTCTTCAATTCCAAATAATTTTATAAATGGTATTCAACAAGCTTTACAAGGTGGTGGTAATGTTGCACCAACTTTATCAACAAGTTCAATAATAGGACCAATTTCATCAATTCCAATTGTTCATTCATCAATTCCATCAAATTCTGTCATTTATTCTCCAATTGCATCTGCTATACCAACAACAACAACAACTTCGTCATCGACTGGTGGATTCCTCAATTGGTTAGGTGGACTTTTCAATACTCCAACTACCACTTCAAATAATTATGCTCCAGCAATTACTTCATCATCAAATAATTGGATTCAATCAGTTGGAACACCACAAATCGTAACCCAAGCCCCATCTATTCCAACAACTACAGCAGTTGCATCACCACCACAACCATCATCTTCATCATCACAATTCAACTGGTTTGGATTATTTGGTGGTGCTACATCAACATCTCAAATTGCTCCAACAACACCAACACCAACACCACAAATTGCTGCAGTTGAAGTAACCACATATATAACTTTAACAACAACTGTTTCACCTCCAGCATATTTCAAAAGAGATAATATAATCGATTCTTCAGAAGCTACATCATTTCATCCAGGATACCTTTTAATTATGACTTTTATAACTTTTATTTTCATTTTATAGAGTATATACATTTAATTATATATTCATTGCATTAGTTTATTTAGCAATTATAAGTTATTCAACTCTTGATTTTTCTTAATTAAATAATTTGATCCTTGAATTTGAAAGAATCTATATTTTTCTTTGAGACTCGACAAGATATATACTTATTTAACACCAGCTATACTTGGGTATTGGGTGGAACGAAATTCAGTCAATCTCTCCATCAATAAAATAGTATTTAAAGATAGTGATATATTTGATCAAAAATAGTAATTATAAACGATGTAATCAAGATTGTTCTGTTGTAACGTTTGAACTTTGATGCTGTATTGATCCAAACTTTAACTCCACCGATATTATTCCTCAGTCTAATCTTCCACAAAACAGTAAGTCCAAGATGATTTCTATTATTTCACTCAATTTCAGATCAGATTTATACTTCTAAGATGTGTAGAATCTTAACATTGGGAATTGCATATAAATTTGCTATAGATCTAGTACTTTGTCACAATCTTAACTCAATAAAACATAAATCTATTGCTATTTTGAACTTATTTGCAACAGGTGTTCTAATTTCTGAATCTTTCCTCTTAGAATAACTCAATCTTAATAATTCCACATAATCTATCAATCAAGAAGTCATTGCAATAGTCCAATCTGGGAAAATATTAGCTAAATCTAAATTTTTCATAAAATCTAAAGTAGATTCAGAATTATTTTCTTCAGTAATAAGATTCAGAATTTGCATTGAATCTTTTGTACTTTGTTGATCAATATTTCCATAATCATGCATTTTATGTCTTAATTCATCATCTTGATGATAATCTGAAATTTCTCTAAATGTTGTTTTTAATTTTAATAAAGTTTCAATCCAATTTTTACCTAAACCCCAAGATTTCAGCCAACTTTTTAAAGTTTCTAAACAATATTCTGCCATTTTTGAATATTTTTTTGTAACATCATATGAAAATTGTTGATCTAAAACTTTTGAAGGATATGCTGCAATATATAAACTTGTTGAAGCAGTTGTAAATACTTGAAATCCAGTAAAAGGTGCAATAACCATTAAATTCATTGGTTTTAAAGTTTGAGTTATCAGATTTAAATTATCTAAAGTTTCAAATAATTGTATAGCTAATTGTTTCCACCAACCATTAGGAAATGCATCAGGTGATGAATAAAAATATTCACGATTTAAAAAAATTCTACATAAAAAATATAATCCATGAAAATAAGCAAAATCTGCTGCTGATCCATCTGCAATATGAGCTGAAATATTAAATTCATTAAATTTTAAATTTGATGGTAAACAATCTTCAAATTTATCTAATTGTTTTGATAATTTATCAAAAGGAGATTTTTCATCCCATGGTGCAATTCTTTCTAATTTCCCACCAGTTTCTCCAACCCAAACTGATATATTTCTCCATACTTCAAATAAGTAAATCATAAATCCACAACATGAAACATCTTTAATTAATCCATTATTTATACTAATTTCTAAATCATTTCTAAATAATTGTTCTTTATTTGAAGCTCCAAATATAAAATTTTTTTCATCACATGGTAATTTTAATTTAACATCTGTTATACTTATACATGATTTACATCTTCTTCCACTTGCATTACATCTATCCATCATATAAGCACTCCACATTGCTCTTCTTTTAACTTCTTTTTCTAAAAATAATTCTTCAATTTCTTCATTTTCTTTATCTAATCCTAAAAGCATAGCCATTCTAACTGCTAATCCACTATACATATGACTTCTTAAAGCATTACCTTCTCCCCATTCATGACTACTTAATATACATAAAGCTTGTACTCGATTTAAAGAAGGATTATCAAAATTTTCTCCGATTAATTTTCTTGCATGCCAACCAAAATAATTTGAAGCATTTGATGCAGAATTCAAATTTAAAACGTTTGTAAAAATAGGTTGAAAAGAAGTTGCTGTTGATTCATTAAATTCTCCATAAATTTTCGGTAGTTCTGGATGTAATCTTGCGCATAATGCTAATATAGCTAATAATACAACTGGATCAGGTTGTAATAATGAAGTATTTGGTGGATGATCTATGAAAGTTTCAGGATTAAAAGAATCTGATCTTAAAAATGTTAAAAATGAAGGTTTATGAAATAATGGAAATATACCTTTATATTGATTTTCAAAAAATATTGTAACAACTTCAATTATAAGGGTTTTATCAGGTAAAAGAACTGATTGATTCTGAATTATCGGTTTTATAAAATGATGATTATTAATTAGTTTTTTCTTCTTTAATTGTGATGTTTTTAAAGTATAAGTACATTTTATATTTAATGAAGTACAACGTTGACAACTTGATAAGTCACAATTATTTAAACATTTTAATTTACTTTCCCTGCATGTGTTACAAGCAACCAGAGCCCTTTTGGTCTTGGTGGTTTTCATTCACTTTATATGATTTTGAAACTCTATTAGTAATATTGTTTGTATTTATTGTTGTTGGTTAAGTAATAAATTTTTTTCAACTCTTAGTAAACAATCAAGTAAATTTGCAGCCACAGCGGTTATTCGTAAATTAATTAAAGTATCACGCAAAACGCGCGTTAAATGATAGATCAAAGTAAACAGGGTAGATCTAAGCGAAAAAGTGCTACATCATCAATTATTAAATCCGACTTTAAACCAACCCTCAATGTCTAGACATCCATTTTATAAACGATTATTCAAAGAATATAAAGAAATATCAAATAATGATTTACCAGGGATAAAACTAATCTCCACAAATGAAGATAATTTAACTCAATTTTTATTTCAAATGAATATAAAAGATAATCCAATATATTTAGAAAATGAAAATTATTATTTATCAATAACAATAACAAATGATTATCCAATTGATTCACCATCTGTTAAATTTATTAAATTGAATCCTTCAGATAAAATAGTTTTACATAATCATGTATATTCAAATGGTCATTTATGTTTACTGATTTTAGGAGAAGATTGGACTCCTGCTTGTACAATTCAAAGTATATTATTAAGTATTCAAAGTATGTTACAAAGAAATACAAGTAAAGAAAGACCACCCGATGATGCTCAATATGTAAGACATGCACCGATTGATCCAAAAGATTCTAATTTTGTATATCATGATGATAATGTTTAAAAGGGTATGATAACGTATAAAATCAATCTAGAGTGTGATGATATAATGCTTAAAATCAGCTAAAGTATGAAAAAGTAACAATCTATTAAAATTGTGATGTCATCTAAATGGGGGATTACATCATAAATGAAAAGGAAGGTTTCAACACAAAGTGATTAAGGAAATTTACTTGAACCTCAAAATGAAATTTAAAAATCTTGATGTTAAAATGTAGTATAATATTAAAAATCTTCAGATTCGTTTAAAATGAAATAATTGGTTGTTTAGAGAGTTGGATAATGAAAGAGAAAGATCATATCAAACTATCTTGTCAAAAGTATTTCAAGATGGGATTTACAAATTTGAAAAGAGATATCTGCTTCAGATTTTACTAGATATTGTGTTTGGCGCAATTAAATACCAAAAAAATAGAAAAAACCTCATCAGATTATCTTGAAGAAAAGTCTTTTAATGGGGATTTTAATGGGGATTTTACAATGGAAAAGAAACCAATAATCACACTTCTGGCCTATTAGGAGTTGTTAAGAAAATAGGAACTCGAAAGAAAAAAGATCATATCAAACTATCTTTGGTATAAAAATAATTAAGTTGGGTTTACAAATTAAAAAAAGATAAGTACTCCACTTCTGGTGGTTCTAGTTCCTACAAAACAGGATATTGTGCCAATTATAATTGCAAATTGTATAAGAGTTCTATCTACACTTTCATGGTATTGCAGTAGTCCTTAAAGAAAAAAAATACAAAAGCAAACGAACTCCTGCAGTATCTTCTTACATACATAAGTTTAGAGAAATTATAATACTTTTAGGTACCTTCAATTCATACATTTGATATGTGAGAAGAAATTAAATTTAGTATGAATACATTTATTAATTATATAAACCTATTCAAATAATCAAATAAACATCAATTTTACCAAAAATTCAACTTAATTTAATTTTTGTCTTTTTAAATTAATATTTGAATTATTATTATTATTATTATTATCAAAATTTAAAATTTCTTCTAATCTTTTTCTCATTGAATTTTCTCTAATTTTTGAAGATTGTTCAATTGCTTCTAATTCCATTATTCTTGTTCTATATAAATCATTTACTAATTCTAATTCTGATATTCTTGTTTTTAATATTGTTATTTCTTGATTTTGTTGAGAATATAATTGTGATTGATTATTATTTTCATTGTTATTATTATCATCATTGTTGTTGTTATTGCTGTTATTCTCATGACTGTTATCACCATTACCATTTAATGAGTTCTGATTATTATTATTTTGTTCAGATTTATCCTTTTCATTATTTTGTTGAGTATTGGAAGTTTCAGAACTTATTGAAGATACTGAATGCTGTTGTTGTTGTGATTGAGATTGATCTTTTGAAAGTGAAGATGCAACGTTAAATAATGGAGGTAAAGTAGGAGTTGAAGATCTTGAAAATGGTTGAAAAGCTGGTGAATTTTTATTTAATGCAGGTAATTTTGGTGGTTGTGGTTGTATATTATTTTGATTATTAATATTAGTATTAACACTTGAAAAAATCAGTGAATTTGAATTACTTGATAAACTATCAGATTTATTTAATAATGAAATACCATTATTACTACTAGTTGAAGATGAAGTAGAAGAAAAAGGTTTAAATGTAGCACTTGGACCTAATTCATTTGATAAATTTTCTAATACTCCTGCTGCTGCTACTGTTGAAATAGGTTCATTTCTTACTGCTGATGAAGATGTACTTGATAATAATAATGGTGAAGTTATTCTTCTTAAACCAGGAGCAAATTGTGTTGGAGTAGATGATGGATAATGTAATGGTACTTGATGTAATACATGATTTGGTAAATGTAAAGGTTGATGTTGTTGGAGATGTTGATGTTGGGATTGAATTTGTGGTTGTTGATGAAGATGAGCTTGTTGTGGCTGTTGTTGTTGTTGAGAATTTACTGGTAATATTGGAGTTAAATCAGAATTTTTAAATTTCTTTAATTTTGGTGATTTTTTAACTTGATTATTATTATTATTAGTAGTATTACTATTACTGCTAGTCTTTGATTTTAATTCAGGAGTATTTGAAACTGATGATTTTGAAGAAACAGAAGGACTATTTAAAGATTGTTGATTATTATTTTGATTATTATTATTATTACTATGATTTCCATTTTGTTTAACTCTATTTCTTGATTTAATAGTATCAGTTTTTAAACTTATTGGTCTTGGTCTTCCATGTAATTTTAAAAATAATCCACATGCATTACATAATACTTGTCCAGTTTCATCTCTTCTCCATAACGGAGTAGTTTGAGTTTGACAATTTCGACATACAGGACTTGCCATATTGTTGTTACTACTGCTACTCAGTTTGTCATGTTGTTGTTGATGTTGATGTTGTTGCTGTTGTTGAGGATTACTTGATATTCTATTATTTCCAATATTTTCTTCACTTCTAACTTTTGATGGAGGAGTAGGAGGTAAATTTTGATTATTTATAATTTCACCATTTTGATAAAATGGTTTCTTTGATGATAAATTCATTGAATTATTTTTTAAATTATAGATTTGTCCTTCATTTTGATTTAATTTTAATTTTATATCATCTGTTTGTGCTTGACTACTTTGGTGTTGTTCAGATATTGAAGGTTGTTGAGAATTATTTGATGAAGTTGATGAAGATTTTGAAGTTATTAAATTATTTGCACTGGTTGGTGGACTATTTAATTGAACAGTAGTTGGACGATGTTGTACTTCTATAATTGCCATGTTGTTTGTTTATATTGGATGTAGTTGAAGTAGTAGTAGGGTTTAAATCAATAATTATAAATACAATATGAATTGAATATCAAAACAAGATGAACAAATATATATATGATATGAAAAATTGATAAAAAAAAACGAGTGAAAAATTAATCAAAATAATTTGGTTGAAAAAATTAAATTAGATTGCAAAATTTTTCAGAATATATTTGTTGATTGGAATTGATTTATTGAATTAATGATAAGGTCAACAAAATAATAAGATATATATGGATTAGTTCAGTTCAAGTAAAATGTCTTGATGATATGTGATGTTGTGAAATCAATCTATAAAAACTAATTTGTAAAAATAATTGAATGAATGTTGTTACTTTTTAATAGATGAAATATTATTTGTTATCTAATCTTTTTTAATTTGAAAAATTTATCTCTGTTGAAAAAAAGAAAGAAATTGAAAGATTGAAAAATTTTCTATTAGCAGTAAGTAAGATTTAATTTTGTGTTATCTATGCAAAATTTTTTATTCCCATCTTATTAAGTAGAGATTAGATAATGAGCATTTAGAAAAGATAACAAATTGGTACATACACGCTTAATAGTATTAAAACAGGTGATACTATATATATATGTATAGTATATGAAGATAGCGGGTGAGAATTTGGCATTCCCTGGTACTGCTTCCGATACATCCTCTATATCTATTGTAGCTCAATTCTACATCTTGTCTGTCATCAATAAAAATCATCAAACAATTTTCATACTACTGTATCAAAATGATTTGTATAGAACCAAATTAAATAACTAAAAAGTGGAGAGTAGTGTAATCTGATTCAAAAAAAAAAGTTTAATTTTAATGTATGTAAGTTTAGATTGTATAGTGTATCTTACAAATTAAACGTGTACATATGTTCAATATTGTTTAACTTAACTTGCTACATTCAAATATTAGTGAAGAAGAATTTGATGATAATAAAACTTTGTGGTGAAACTTCACTTCAACTCCTTATCAACCTTGATGAATCGATTGATGTTGGGTCATAAATGTGTGAGAATTTGAGAATTAGCAAAATTCAAAAATTAAAATTTGCAGCACATAGAACTCTTGATGAAAGGCCCGTTTCCTGTCCGAAATTACATCGATTCATTATTCTTTCTTTCTATATATCTCAGTTAGTGAAATGCTTCTTTTCAAAGACAATTAGTGTACATCTAATATCTGTTTGATTTTGATTTAGAATTGGTTGTAAAAAAGGTTTGGATAAATTAAAGTTGGTTGTAACAAATAAAAAATTAAAATACTTTTTGCAACCAAATTTAATAGAAAATATTTTACAACCATAATTTTCTAATCTTTTTCTTAATCACTACTTTCAACAACGATTCAGGAAATAACTTGGTTCCGTCTTCACTAAATAAACTAGTTTCTCAACTGTTAATATTTAAAATTGTTTCATTTATACAGGTTAGAAGGGGTCGTTAGTTCATGAAATATTACCGGTTGATTTTTGTTTGACTTAAAGATAAAACTTTAACCTTAAAGAGTATGTTAATTTAATTTATATACTTGATTGAGAAGTTAATTTAAACTGCTTTATCCGGCTCATTGGTTCAGATGTGACAATTTTGGTCGTACAACGATTGGGACCAGATGAAGGGTAATACCTTAGTACGTGACTTTCACAAACAAGTTATGCAATCACAGAGACAAAAGACAACAATATATTACTTCAATAGGTGGAATTGGTCTCTTAGTATAATTACTTGACAAGGGACAATATTCTCAAATAGTTAATTAAGCCAAAGAGATACATCCAACAGGTTCGCATGCTTTTCATACAATTGTCAATGGGAGAGGGAAGAAGAAGGGAAAGAATTGATCATGAGACTTATTTTACTCATTTAACTATGTATATAAATGAATGGTGTGGAATTTTGAGCCGATGATGATTATCATCAGGAACTTCTTCAACCGTGGTGCACGAGATGGTTCAGTAGAAGTTCCTGATGGTAATGATCATCGTCTCACAATCCCACACTATTCATATCAGCATGAAAATGTTCACCAATACATGTTTTCAGAATCATGTTTAGGATCATTTTAACTTTCGTGTGACTTTTAATTTTATTATATAATTTTCAAAACCCTTTCGAGGAAAAACTTTACGTGTTCTTGAAAATTTCATAATAATACACGAGGGGAAATACGTAAAGTATATATGTTGAGACAAGCTTAGATACTACAATAACTTTCTTTCATCATCCAACTCAAATAGGTTATAGCCTATTAGACTCTATAATTCTAAAATCTATATGATATGATATACAATTTCACTCTTTTAATCTTATATTCTATAATCTCGTATAAATTTAAAAAATGCTTAAAATCCGATTTCAAACCCCCTTATTTCGTGAATTTTGTTTTTTTCCGAATCATACGAAGAACTGTTCTATTTATAGATATTTCAATATATATACTTAACTAAATTTTGAATATAGTTGATTGAGTATTATTCACTCCACTTTGTTTCTTCTATTGAGTATTCAATGGAACTGAATAGATACAAATAATACATGAATACTATTGTGAAATTTATTAGAAGAATCACGTAAATTGTTAATGTCTTACTTCAACATGAAATCAGCCTCTTTCTTTTGTTTTCGGAGACTAGTTTATCAATAGGGTAGTGTATATCTGTAAACAAAATCAGTAGCGTCTTAAGATTGTTGAGGTAAGATTTAGGCTAAGTAGGAAAAAAGAATGCGAGAAAAATAATACGGTTGACGATAGTTATATAGAGAGAAATAGAGATAATAGCCTGGAAAACTGTACAGAGATTGAGAGAAATAGAGAGAAAGACAGACGTAGTCTTAATAGTCTTATAGTTGTAGTTATAAACGTAGTTACTTATCTTATGTCTTGTTGCTTTAGTTTGAATCTGCTAGTATCTTACTTATTATTATTCTAATTTTTATTATGTAGGCTACTTATTATTTTTTTTTTGCTTTTGATTTTTTGAAATTGATCAAAAAAATTTATTTATTCATAATTAGAGTAATAAACAACAATTTATTTATTATAGATAACAATCAATCAACTTAACTGATTTATCGATTAAACCTCAATACAATCCAATCTCAATCACATCCAAATACAACCCAATCTTAATCAATCATTTTTATACAAATATCTTTCAAATATATTCATTCATTAAAAATTTTCTTTTAATCAAATAAATTTAAAATTAAATTTTGATAATCAATTCAATATTACATATATTACAATATTTCAAATACAATCAATCACATATACACATATACAAATAGTCATACATAATGGTTAATGGTCCAGCTGAACTTCGTAGAAAATTAGTTATAGTAGGTGATGGTGCTTGTGGTAAAACTTGTTTATTAATTGTTTTTTCAAAAGGAACTTTTCCAGAAGTTTATGTTCCAACAGTTTTTGAAAATTATGTAGCAGATGTTGAAGTTGATGGTAGAAAAGTAGAATTAGCTTTATGGGATACTGCTGGTCAAGAAGATTATGATAGATTAAGACCTTTATCTTATCCTGATTCAAATGTTATTTTAATTTGTTTTTCAGTTGATTCACCAGATTCTTTAGATAATGTTTTAGAAAAATGGATTTCAGAAGTTTTACATTTTTGTCAAGGTGTACCAATTATTTTAGTTGGTTGTAAATCAGATTTAAGAGATGATCCTCATACTATTGAAGCTTTAAGACAACAACAACAACAACCAGTTTCAACTTCTGAAGGTCAAGCTGTTGCTCAAAGAATTGGTGCTGCTGATTATTTAGAATGTTCTGCTAAAACTGGTAGAGGTGTTAGAGAAGTTTTTGAAGCTGCAACAAGAGCTTCTTTAAAAACTAAAGATAAAAAAGAAAAGAAAAAGAAATGTGTTGTTTTATAGGTAATTTAAGTAATATCTAAATAATAATCATTTTTTTGATAGTGTTGAAGATTGTTTAATGGCATAAATAAATATAAAGATTAATTAATATTTGGTATTGACCATGGTGTGTATCAATCTCTTTGTTTATATCTCCTAAATTTTTGTCGTAAAATTTAGTACGTGTTTTTGATTTGAAAAATTAAAAAATGAAGTACCGACAATAATATTTACAACTAACTTCAATTTCAAAGTTATCATCACTACACTAACCAAGAATGGGATCGCTAAGATCATTCATCAAAGCCGTAAGGAAGGCCAAAACAATTGCTGATGAAAGAGCAGTAATTCAAAAGGAATCAGCAGCAATTAGAACTTCATTTAGAGATGTTTCATTAGATCATACAACAAGAAGAATTAATATATCTAAATTATTATATCTTTATATAATGGGTGAAAAAACTCATTTTGGACAAGTTGAATGTTTAAAATTATTAGCATCACCAAGATTTGCTGATAAAAGATTAGGATATTTAGCTTGTATGTTAATATTAGATGAAAATCAAGAAGTTTTAACATTATTGACAAATTCATTAGATAATGATATGCAACATCCAAATGCTTATATAGTAGGATTAGCACTTTGTTGTTTAGGTAATATAGCATCACCAGAATTAGCAAGAGATTTATATCAAAATGTTGAAACTATATTAGATTCAAAAAATAATTTTTTGAAAAAAAAAGCATGTTTTGTTGCTGCTAAATTAATTGAAAAAGAGCCAGATTTATCTGAATTTTTTTTACCAAAAGCATTAGATTTAATAAATGAAAAAAATCCTTCTGTATTATTAGGAACTTTAAGATTAATTCAATCATTACATTCAATTGGAGAAACTAGTATAAATTCAACTATACCTAAAATTGTAAATCATTTAAAAAGAATTTCAACAAGTGGTTATCAACCTGATTATGATGTTATGGGAACAACTGATCCTTTTTTACAAGTTAGTCTTTTAGAAACTTTAAGAATTCTTGGTGGATCATCTGAAGAAATTAATGATATTTTAACACAAGTAGCTTCATTAGATAGTGGTAAAAATTCAGCAAATGCTATATTATATGAATGTGTTAAAACTATTTTTACAATTGATTCAGATCAATCATTAAAAATTTTAGGTGTTAACATATTGGGTAAATTTTTATCAACAAAAGATAATAATACAAGATATGTTGCATTAGATACTTTATTAAGTATTGTAAATATTGAACCATTAGCAGTTCAAAGACATAGAAGTACTATAATAAATTGTTTAACTGATGGTGATATTTCGATTAGAAGAAGAGCTTTAGAATTAGCATTTGGAATTATAAATGAACAAAACATCAGAGTTATAACAAGAGAAATTTTAACATTTTTAGAAACTTGTACAGATTTTGAATTAAAACTGTATGTTACTTCACAAATAACCATAGCTGCTAATAAATATTCACCAAATGATAAATGGCATTTTGATACATTAATTAGAGTATTAGAACATGGAGGAAATGCTTTAACTAATGATATAATGTCAAATATATTAGCATTAATTCTACAGTGTGAAGATCAAGAATTAAAAAAACATGTTGTTTTAAAATTATATGAATCAAGTTTAAAAGATAATAATCAATTTGGATTAATATTAATTACAAGTTGGGCACTTGGAGAATATGGTGATTTAATTTTAAATAATGAAATAACTGAATCTTCAATAACTGATTTATTTGATAATATATTAGAAAATTCAACATTTAGTTCAAATGAGATAATTCAATTAACTATATTTATATTAACAGCAGTATTAAAATTATCATCAAAATTTAAAAATCCAAAAACAATAGAAAGATTAAGAAATATAATATCCTCCAAGACTTATGATTCGAATTTAGAAATTCAAACAAGAGCAGTTGAATATCAAGAAATATTTGGTCAAGATTCAAATTTGAAAAAGGGTTTATTATCAAAAATGCCCCCACCACCTATAAAACAACGTGAATCATTAAAATTACATAAAAATAACACTAGTAACAATCAAACAACTAACAACAAAAGAATTGATAATAATAACCTTGGTGATACACAAAATAACTTATTAGATTTAATAGATATAGATGATTTACCACCAACATCACAAGATAATGATGTATTATCAGATATATTTGGAGATAATTCAACAACAACAACTAACAAACCATCATCATCAATTAATGAAATAAAAGCATTTGAAAATTCAAATTTAAAAGTTTCATTTATACCAAAAAAAATATCATCAGGTGAAGCAATAATTGAAACAAAAATAACATCAACACAAACCATAACACAAATTCAATTATTAATTGCTGTACCAAAAACTCAAAAATTAATAATTACTTCAACATCAGGTGATTCTTTAAATATAAATCGTTCAATAATTCAAAATTTAAAAATTACTGGTAAAGAAGGTTCGAAATTAAAATTAAGAGTTAAAATTAAATATAAATTAAATAATGAATTTATTGAAGATCAATTTGATTTTAGCGGATTTAATAAAACAATATAATAGATAATCTTCAAATATATAAAGGGTTTATAATTTTTGTCATGCTTTTTAAATGCTCTCATTATGTGTAAGATAAACTATTCTTATGATGATCACTGTTCGAAGATTCCGATGAATTAATTCGAGCAATTACTTGTTTAAATTTCTCACATCAGGGATTACTAAATCGCTTCATCACGCTTACACCAATTATGAACTAAATTTATTTTGTATCGATTGAATGAATTATACACCAACTAAAATATAAGGTTATAGTAACACAAAATAACACCATGTTTGTGTCGAGGAAAACCTTCAATTATATTAACAAATTAATAATCAATCAAAAGGAAAAAACCTCAAACAGAAAAATTATTAACATTTATGATGAGTAATGTGGATGATTGTGAAATTAGTAACCAAGTTTATGAAAAACTATAAAAAACGGGGTCCTAAAACATACACAAAAACGTTGTTACATAATTTTCTAAAGACTTATATATCAGTACTGTTTCCTAAAAATCTAAAAGGATTATCTACAAGATCAAAATAAATTCAAGAGGTAAAACTTTAAAAAATATTTTTTAAGCACCACTGAATCATGAAAATCCATTAATTTTTAAAAGATGGAAAAGTTAGCACATTTTCCAATTGAGGTATTAAAAATGATATTTCAACAAATAAATCATCATATGGTTATATCCTCGATGCCATTGCACTCCAAATTTTATGAGATTGGTCAGAAAAAGTTGTACAAAAATATACATCTTAATTCAAAATATCATATAATGATACCTCCTTCTTCTGATTTAGATGGATCAGAATACAAGGGGAAGGGCAATCGGTGGAGGGCTCATAAAAACATTTTGAATGACTTTACCAAAAAGTATACTATAATTTCATTATGCAGTTTTTATACCAATATGATTGAGAAAAAAATGAATAGATATCAACATATTCATCATCTTAGTATAGAGGACATTGACCATTCAAACTATGCCCGACATTTAAACTTTTGGGACAGAAAAGGAGTACCAGAGATTTTTAGGAAAACATTCGAATATTTTGAGAATATACATTATGTTAGTTTTGCAATATCAAACAACCAATTTGAAAAAATTAATAAAGATAATTTTCATGATGTAATAAACGGTATCGATTTTAATATATCTATTCTTCCTGAATTTTATGATTATGTGTTGTTCTTGGAAAAAGATGATCATGGGTCATTCGATTTTTTATATAATAATCTTAAGAGCTTAAAATTTGAATTTCGTCCAATTCACAATTTCGTAAAAAAGTATAGCTGTGAAAAAGATTTATTTAAAAGTATTAAATTGTTCAATAAAATCAATTTATTCAAAAACCTTGAAGAATTACATCTTGGATTCGAAGTTCTTATTGATTTAACGGACCCAGTATTAATTGAAAAATTGAATAAAATTAATTGTAAGTTAAAAAAGCTTGATTTGTTATTTTGGGGTAAAATCAAATTTGTTGAAGATATATATTTGGAAAAGCAAACCTCAAGCATTAAACCAAAACCTAAAAAATGGTTATTTACTTTGGATAATTTTTTTGATACAAAAGAAATCACATCATTAGCATTAAACATTTTTAATAAGATGTTTGATAAGGAATATTTTATCTATGAAAAATTTGAGTTTAAAGAGATATTAATCAATGCCAATTTATCAAAATTGAGAAATTTAGTTCTATCTTCACAATTTTTAGATTTGAAATCCATTGATGTATCAAAATTACATAAATTAATAATATGTACTGATGTTGCTAACGATAACTTTGTTAATGAAATTGCCAAACTTTATTTCAAGAATCCAACTTTGAGATTATCTTGGTGGCCACGATTTATGAATCTGCATGCCTTCAATATATTTGCAAAAACTGATAATATACAATTATCCACACCTGACTATTTTCAAATAATATCCTGTCAATGGCCCTCATACTTTTTTAGAAGTAACATTATCTCAATTGAAAACGAGGAATATACATCTCAAAATCAAAGTTTAATAGACGATAAACAAAATTCGAAAAGCTTAGATATACTTTTAAAAAACAATTATTCGATTCAAGAACTTGTTGGCATGGACCTTTTTGTTATAACATGCATTGACGAATCTGTTTTGAAAGTTTTAAAAAGATACGAGCCAACTTGGTAAAACATCTTTCGTTAAGACGTTATTGAACCCTATCTCTTGCTTGTGGATTACATAAGTCAATTGTTGTTTGCTACAAAATTTGTCTTTTCATATTTTCATTGACTCAATATAAGATGAGCAACGTTTGTGTGGAAGCTGATTATCAAATATTTGACTACACTAGTGAGTTTAATTGTATACAATGTTAGCTTTATTGTTGGAAAATCATTTCAAAACAAGTGCTTGCAATTTAAAGGTAGTTGATAGTGAGACAATGACTCAAGCAAGGAGTGGTTAAATTAACTGCATAGGCTGGATGCAACTATTAATGATAGTCTGTCATGTTATTTAAGTATAATGGATCAATTTAATAGAAGGTTTGAAAACTACAGGAAAATACTTCAAAAACCTTACCAAAACAACTTGTTATCAGGAATTCATATGTATGAAGCTTTGCAAATGTCTCGAAAAGTATCTCTCAAGACGTCAGGATCAACAATAATTCGATTAGTTGGATTTGAAATAAAACGGAACCATGAAGGACGTTTGACCAAAACTAAAATCAGGGTGAAATCTTATTCAACCAACAGTAATTTATGATAGTCTAATATTTTTTCTTTTTCATACTTGCAAAGCAATTAAACATACCAGTAAAAAAAGTTCTCAGTCCTATTTAGCACCGTGGTTCCGTTTTAATTCATACCAAACTAAATGAATTATTGTTTATCCAAACATTTTGTCAAATACCATTCAAATTGGACCACCGGTGTAAAAAACGTCTAATCATTTTGATTTTTCAAAATATTCTAGAGCATCTGGCCCTCCCTCATTCATTCGATTGTTTAGGCTGATCCATAAATCTCACACTGCATCTTGATTCACCTTCATTTTTGGATTCACGAGAGCCTTTGTTCAATGGTCAATGGCTCTAGTTTTCCATTACATTTGTCATACTTGACATGAAAAAGAAAAAACCCCTTTTCATATCACATTGGTGGGTTATTGTATGAGTTATGAGGCTCATTTTGCAACAATGGAAAAATCAAAATTTTCAAGTGGTTAAGTTGATTTAACTGATAAAATTCGTTCAGCTGCACTGAAAAAAATTAGAATAATTATTGATCTCTATTGATTGAAGCCTATCAAATTTAATGATGGAACTTGTTTTATAATATCATTACTGATAAATACATTTGGTATGAACTTATTCTTTATTTTATAGATTCAATTTTTTAAATTTGATTTTTTTTCATCAACAAAATTTAATATTTAACCCCTTTTGCATCAACCGAGTTAAATTAAATTTTTACTAGAAGTTTCAAACGAATCACAATATAAAATTGCTGAATCTTAAATACAATGTAGTATGGAGCTTAAAAAAAAATTTAATATAGAACGTAGAATTTAAATTTGTATAATCGAATTCTTATTTGTTAATCGAAGCTCTGTTCACTTCCAAATTTTTATAAAAGTCAAATTTTCAACAATTCCTTCCAACATGTTTAAAAGATCAATTCAATTAACTTTAAAAAAAAGATCAATAAATTTTCAAAAATCCATAAGAAAAATTTCAACAGATATAAATAATGGTCAAGCAGATCAAAAAACTTGGCCAAATTTATCAAGTGTTTTAACTACATTTAGAAAAGAAAGTTATAGTTTAATTGGTTGGGGTGTAGCATTAAGTGGTATATTATTTTGGGGTCCTTATTTAACTGTTAAAGGTTCAGATGCTGTTGATCATGTACCTCATGATACTGGTGCTCAAGTTAAATTAGAAAAAGTTGGATTAAATGATTATAAAGCTGTTGTTGATATACCACAAACTTATGTACAACCTGATAAAGAAGATGATGATGAAGCAGAAGATGTAGATGTTGAAGATGAAGATTAAACATTTTAAAAGTATGAAAAAAAGTACAAACAATTACTTATATTATATATTATATTTATAAATTAAATATATTTAATAAAGAACCAATTCTATTAAATTTTATAATATTTTTAATTTGACGATTTTGTAAAAATTGTAAAATTTTTAATTCTGAATCAATTAAATATTCTTCTTCATGACCTTCAACATCTTTTCTATTACATTTATCCAACAAAATTTTATTTTCATTTTGGAAAAAAATTATTTGATTTAAAATTTCAGCCATATCATAAATTAAACAATTTTTTAAATTTTCAAATGTTTGAAATTCCTTATATCTAAATAAATAAAAAGTTTTTGATGCTGCTCTATCTATACTTCTTGGAATTTCTTGAATTTCAATTATATTTGCCTTTATTAATTGATAAATTTCATTTCTAACTGTTTTTTCTTTTAATAAAACTTGTTGTGATATAGCTTTTTCATCAGCTAATTTTAATTGTTTTATACATCTTAATATTCTAAATGCTTGTTCTCTTAAAGTTGATTTTATAATCATTTCAAAATTATATTGTTGTACAGTATGAGACATTTGATAATATGGTACACTATAAAATCCTGGAGATACTTCAATTAAAAATTTACTAGAAACTAAAAATTTTAAATGTTGATTAATTGTACTGATAAGTTCTTCATCATCTTCATCATCATTATTATGTTTAAATCCATTTTCTAATTTTATCTTTTTTGTTGGTGGTTCATCATCATCATCATCATCATTTTCGGAAGTATTCTTAAAAGTTACAGTTGAATTTCTAATATCAATTTCTTTTGGTAAATATTTCAAAATATCTTTAACAGTAAAAATAATTTTTTTTTCAGATATTAAATTTCTTTCAATATTTAATTTAAATTCTTTAAAATCTCCTGGTAAATTTAATAATCCAGAAATTTTTAAAAATGGATATGATAAATTTGGACTATTTGTTTCAATACTTTTTAAACCTGCTTCATAAATTTTTGAAGTTATAAATCCAATTCTTGAACATGATAAATTTGTAAATGATTCAGTTCTTGAATGTTTTAAATATCTTTCTAAATTGAAAGTTAGCACCAATTTAGGATTTAATTTTTTTGAACCATGTTTTGTTATAAAAGTTTCAATAGGTTGATATTCTAATAATTTTATTAATTTTTCTTTACATATACTTGTAACTTCTGCAATTCTTTTAACTTCTGAAGTAGTAGCAGATCTTGGAGTTTTAGCCATTGTATCATCAAATATTTGTTGCCATATATCATTTATATCTTGATAATCATAAATTTTTAAAATTTTTAACCAATCATCATTAAATAATTTTAAAAATAATCTTTCTTTTGTTAATTTTAATTTTTCATTATCAATAAATTGATTTAAATAATCTTCTAATTTTATATGACCAATTTCTAAAATATTTTGAATAATTTCTGCTTCTTCAATTCCATAATATTGAGTTATATAATTTAATATATCACCACTATGAATTAATTTTAATATTCCAATTTCATTAAATGAATAAAAAGTTTGTCTTGTTTTTTCATCATACCAAAAATTAATACAACTTAATTGAATTAATGAAACTAATGAAGTTTTTATTGATTTAATTGTAAGATTTGTTTCATTACTAATTTCTTTTGAAGTTAATCTACCATTTGATATTAATGTTATTATTATTTTGGATGCTATTTCTCCTAAATGATTTAATGCTACTATTGAATATAAATAAGATTTTGGAGATTGAGCTTTTACTATATCAAAATTATCATCATCCATTTCATTTGATTATTCATTTCAATTCAGACTAAGATTTGGTATACTTTGGTTAAACTGGTTGTAAATATTATCAAACAGTGATATTGTAGTTGGTGAAAAAAAATATTTTAGAGCTGAGAGGCTAGTTTTGTGTAAGAGAGAATATCCACTTTAATTTGGGGCGAGGCTTCGTGCTAACTTTAGGTCGGTCCACTACGATATATAAAAACGTAATTTCTCCTACTGTACGTTTGGCCTTAATACGTTTAACCAAATAACAAAAGTGACATCAATGTTTCAAATTTATTACATATACGAGTTTCAAACTGACAAACAAGATCATTAATCATTAAGCGGGGCAAAATTATCATTTTTAGAGTTAATATCTCAATGACTTGATTATTGTTTCAAAATGTTGCTACATTTAGGTCTTATGTTTATATTTGGTTTAGTTTATGATAGTAATGACTAAAAGCATATTTTGATGTGTAGTCATTTAATGATTTTGCTGATTAAAATCTTATTTGTTTATACGAATCATTAAAATGACTAACTCTCCTCATATACAATAACAAAAATATTTAATTATTACACGTGTATAGTCTTGTTAGTTCTCCTTTACTTTGTATATATGACTATTTCATCTTATCTTTGTTGATTGATGTATTATATAATATTTTCTTTATATAGGCTAAGTACTTATTAAACTTCTGTTAGTACGGAATTAGATTTTATCTTTTTCTTATCGATAAGGAAAAAAATATTTAAAGTACTTAACAAATTTATTATTAACCACTTATCAATTACTTTTTTTACAACCAATATTGATCAAGACTATTAATCAATCGAGAGTTGTATAATCTTATCATAATATAGGATTAGTCTATTTATACAACTAATCACTAAAACATAGAAGTTATACCTAAAACTTCAGATAGATCAATTCAAAGTTCATAACAAAAGTATAGTTATTAAGAACTTCCTTCTTTTTTTACAACAACACGTTCACTAAATACTACTTTGAACAAAAGGTTTCAAATTCAATCAAAGATCATCTAAGACACGTTCACTTTAAAGCTAATTCAGCTGTATTCAACAAATTAAGTGTCTCGTAAAGTTTCGGTTTTAAGATAAATCATCACAACCAACACGTCTTTAATAATCAATTTATTGCCCTTTTAAAGTTATTATCAAAGTATAATCAGGGGACTTCATTCATTTCATCAATACAATCTATAACAAATATCAGGCTTATTATGCTAATACGGAACTTGTGATATAAAGGATATTACACGAGTCAAAAGTATTCGCCACAATTTTTTGTTATTAACCTTCTACCTCTAAATCCTATTTTTTATTACACACAATCTTAAATCATATAAATGTCAGTTGATCAAAATTTAAAACATCAATCAGAATCAGCAGCAGCAAAGAAACAAACAGCTAAATTAACTCAAGTTTTAATTAATTTTTTCACAAAAGCTGCTCAAATTATATTAGATTCAAGATCAGATTCAAAAAAAATTCATTCACCTTATAATGATGATGAAATTCATCATAAAATTAATAAATGGTTTAATCTTCATATGATATCTTCAACAAAAGAAGATTTAAAATTATGGAAAAGTTCAGATTTAACTTCTATACCTCCAATGATTATTGAAACATATTTAGATTTAAGACAACTACCTTCTAATCAAACTTTAGTTTTATTTGATGATGAAAAACATCCATGGACTGTAGCAAAATCAAATAGTAAAAAACAAGAAGTTGTATTAGAAAGATGGTTAATTGAATTTGATCAAAGACCAACTAATTTAATAAATGATGAATTGCCAACTATTTATAAACAAGCTATTATATTATTTCGTACAATTTATGGTTATTCAAGATTAATGCCATCATATAAATTAAAATTAAAACAATCTAATAAATTATCATTAGGAAATAAAATATTAGATGGTAATCAACCAATTAGTTCAAAGGGAAGAATAGGATTATCTAAACCAATAATTGAATTAAATGAATCACATACAACTCAAAAATTTTTTACACCAATAAATACAAGTTTAGGTACTTTAAAAATTTCAATTGCTTATAGAAATCATTATGATTTTAATTTACATGAACATGAAGAAGTATTATCAGTTCATTTTACAAAACATGATGAAGATATTAAAAATAAATTATCATCATTATCACCATGTTCTTCATTAAATTCTTCAAAAGATCATAATAATATACTGTTTATAAAAGAAACTTCAACATCACCAAAAAGATCATCTACTTCTCCTGCACAAAAAGTACCTATTGTACCAGTACAACAAATCCCAAATCAAAACCCAAATCAAAATCAAAATCAACCTACTTCTAATATTCAACAATCAACATCATTAGAAAGAAAAATTTCAATTACAAGTAGTAAATCAATTTCAAATGCTTCATTAGCTGCATTTTTAAGAAATCCAAGAAGTAATACACCATCAACAAATAATATACCAATAATAAATAATAATAATAATAATAATAATCCATATAGTTCTTCTTTCCCAAGATCAATTAGTTCATCAACTGGTAATGATGATTCAATATTTCAAAATCCTGATTCAACAAATAATACTCCAAGATTTTCATCATCATTTGGTTCAAGAGCAAGTAGAAGATTTAGTAATACAAGTATACGTCAACATACACCACTGTCTGATTATTTTAATCAAAGTAATAATAGTGTTGATGCAGCATTAAGTGGATTATATATGGATGATGATATAAATGATTTTGTAAGAATGATTGATTCAAAATCAGATTTAAAATTATCTGGTGGAAGTAATAATACAAATGAATCATTTAAAAATAAACCAATTAAAGAAGTTATAGATGATGATGATTTAGAAGATATAGAAAGTAGAGAATTACAAAAATATCAAAATTTAAGAGATAAATATTCTCAATTAGGTGATAGTGTTAATGCTGGTGTAAAGGATGATTTATTATTTCCAATGAGTGATATGAATTCGAGATAGATATGTGCAATGGAGTGATATGAAGTCGAGATAGATATGTGCAAAGGTTTTTTTTTTGAAATTTTTAACCCATGAGTTTAACTTGTAAAAAGAAGAAATATATTACCAATATATTGATTTTAATGTGCATGTAAAGTCTTTAAACTTCTTTCTCTGATCGTCGTGTTGTGTTGTATCTACGTTATCTGAACCTCCTTCTGTGATTGTCATGTAGTATTTACATTCAATCGATTCTTATTAAAAACATTATTAATCATTATTATATTATTATTTAACATTAAATATATCTAAATACCCCAATACCCGTAATTTGTCAAAAAAAAAAGTGATAAGAACACTATTGATATCCAAATTCCTCTTAACAAGCATCATCTATTCTCCCTAATCAGTTCCATCACCATCTTGACCTGGATTACATGATCTATAACCTAAAAAGGTTAATAATCTCCAAACACCCCAAGCTAATACAGCACCTAAAATTGGACCAACCCAATAAATCCAATGATAATTTGGGAAAGATCTATCAGCAATACAAGGACCAAAACTTCTTGCAGGATTTAAACCAGCTCCAGTATAATAAACACAAACTAAATGTCCCAAGAATAATGAAATACCAATAACAAATGGTGCCATAAATGTTGCTCTTGATTTTTCAACTGCCATCATTAAAACAGTAAAACATAAAATAAATGTACCAAAAGCTTCTAAAAATACACCTCTTGATCTTGAAGCTCCTCCACCTAAACCATTAGTAAAAGCAATTTTACCAGGAGTCATGGCTGAAGCAGCTCCAGCAGCAGCCATACCAGCAATCATTTGAGCAATCATCATAATAACACCTCTAATTGGAGGAACAGCTTGAGCTAAAACTAAAGTTAAAGTAACTGCAGGATTTAAATTACCACCAGAAACTCTAAAAAACATAAAAACTCCCATCATAACACTAAAACCAAAACCAAAAGATATCATTAATAATTGCATTGGATTTGAACCTTGACCTGGTTCAGGAATAGTTGGATCTTGATTTGCAATTTGAGCAATAACGAAAGCTGTCCATAAAAATATAAATGTACCAAAAAGTTCACCTAAAAATGCAATTAAATGATTTTTTAAAGCTGAATTAGTATATTGTTCATCATATTCTGGTTCATATAATGGTCTTTGAGCTTCAATTTCATTTGGTGATAATTCTGGAGTTTGACTTTCTTGTTCTTCTTTAGTCATTTTTTTATTGTTTTATTGTAGTTTTGTGATTCAATTGAGTTTATGAGGTATTGATATTGTCAATTGCAAGAATTAGAAACAAAAGTGAAGATGAATGGTAGACTATCAATCAAAGAGATATAGAAAATTTTAAAGATGGAGAGATTATGAGTTATTTATAGTTCAAATTTCAAATGTAAATACCATTAGTATGTACGTACGTATATTATTAAAAAAAAAATTTGTTACATTTTGAAATTCAAAATTAAACTTTAAATTTCATTTTTACTTATAACACTCGTAGCTTACCTAATAATAATAGTAACATTTTCTGTATTAGTATATCCTTAATGTATCATTTATTAAGTATTTATATATGAAATTTTAAATTGTGTTACTATTTTGGTAGTTTTATTGTTTAGTTTAAAATAATAATAAAGAGAGAAGGAATTTTGAATTTTTTTTTTTTTCTCTCTACTTTATTATTATAAATTTGGAATGACACAAAATCTAGCTCATACCAAAAGTTAAGATCTCATACTTGAAGAACTGAAAAAGAAATTTTAATATTATTTTACGCTCTAATTAGTAGTGAATCTAGTACTTTACTTACTAAACTATACTCTATAATAATATAGCAATACTAAAAATTCGTATATTATAAATATATATATATGGAGTTGTAAACAAAAACTAAGTTGTATTGAATATAACTTACAAATGGTTCAATTTTTCATTTTAAACTTAATTAGCATTACTCCAATTAAGTCTAGTTTGATCATATGTTTTTTTTTTTCTTTCTCTGTATCATCTATCAAATTAATATTATAATAATTTTTACATATTATAATTGTAAAAATAATTTTTTAATGAATGAGTGAAATATTGTCATGCAAAATTATTTAATTTAATAGATTATACATTAATATAATAATTTAAAACAAAACCAATTTCAATTCTCCATTTGGAACTACACTGTGAATTAGGTATAAAAATTTGAAAGGCTTTTGATGGAAAAATGTCAAAATTTTATCATAATTGGATTTGAAACAAATTTCATAATCACAAATTTGAGTTATGGTATGAAATAGTCACTACGAAACTAATTTAAGAATTGAAACGAGGGTAAGGATAAACTAGTACACATAAGCCTCGACTTCATAAAAACTTTTTTAGCCCAAATTATTTAAAGTTTTTTTTGGCATATCATTGAAAAACTTTATTATTATAGCATCACAGACGTCTTGATTCGAGCTGGACTCAACCATTTTCAAGAGCGAATGGAAATTAGGACTTTTGAGTTCATGATAATACTCTTGAATTTAATATTTGTTGCATAGAAGAAATAAAAAAGTGTAAATCATTTCATAAATTACTTGCATTTCTTATTGTATAAAATATTTGTATTAAACAAAAAGTTTTGTACTTCCAAACTCCATTGATTTGTGTTGTTTCATGGAAATATGTCACTTTGAGGTTAATTATAAAGCCCTTTAGCCAATTTTCCCTTATAGAACGTTCATGAGCTAAGGAAGTACTTATTACTTATTTCTTTGCAAATTTATCAACATATAAATGAATTGTATTTAATAATAGCGCATTCAATTTTTTAACCAGCTTCCGTTATTTAATTCGGGTTATCTTGAATTTAACCATAAACCTATTTGTTTGTTGATACAGTTTACCTAACCAATGCATTTGCATAATTCGAATTACTTTTAGGTTAACCGTAACCGTATGGCTTTCCAGTTGTTTTCAATTCCCCGAAAGGCATAGAATTTCTTTTTGTCTTGATGACCAGTATTTTTCAATTTTCAAGAAGTAATGCAATTTTCAAGAAGTAATACAAGTAAATGATTGAAAAAATAGTATACGAAAAGTATTTTGTTGAAGGTTATTACATCTACTCATACATTTTAAACTCATCATCTCCTCAATTGATCAATTTTTGCAAATTTAATTGGACTACCCTGAGTTTCAAGTTCCTTAAAATTTTTACCAAAAATGACCATTATAGAGACTTTTTTTGATCTACTATATTTAAAATGCAAACGTTCTTTAATCTGAAACTCATTTTCATATATTGTTTTCAACTAGTTTTGGTCCCTAGCTATATACCATCCTTGCAATTAATAGGACGAAAAGCAGACTTAAATTTTAAAAATCATTGATCACATGCTTTGACAAGTTAAGAATAAGAGTTTTCTGCGATACTTTGTAGATTCAAGGTTCTTAGTAGAACATCGAGTACAGCCTTCGTGGATAATTCTTGCCTAGAAGCAAAGTCATGAATAAAACCTGATTTTTATTATTTTTCAAATGTACACTTTCTTAAATATGCAAGTTTATTTAGTTGTTAAGTAATGCTAAAACTCATATCCGAAAAATATTTGGTACTTCTAGCCTAAAATCAAAGCTCAACTACGAAAAACTTCGATTTTGCACAAAGTTAATTCAAAGAAAATTATGTTTTGTAATCGTTTCTTAAACACTTTCAAAAAGCCCAAAAAGCCGTGTGAAAATATGAGATCTTTACAAATATTAGGTTGGCACACAAAGCTTTTTCATTTAGAAAGAAAATCATGAAATTTTCGAAACTTGAAACTAGGTTATTAATATTTCTTTTTTTTAAGGAATCATAATCTAAAATTTATACGAATGATAATTTCAAATCATAAAAAGTTTCTAAATTTAGAAGTTACATAAAATTTTTTAGAAAGATGTGAAATTAAGCGGTCCTTAACATATTTGTCGAATCGTATAACACTATTTCCATGTATCTATTATTCAGTGTTAAAATTGACGGTTTAAGACGGAAAATAATTTGAAACGTCAGATGTTTGACATAAATAATTTTATGACAAACCAATTATGCGACACACTACCATTTCGTTACAAATAATAAATTTGATACAATTAAACGATTTAAGATGTTTATGAGATCAATTACGGGGTTATTGCATCATCAATCATAAATCATCCAAAATATTAATGCTCAATAAGATCTTCAACTTATAATGAGTAGCAATTACACCTCACCATATAATAAATCCAAAAATATACGAGATAATCAACAAAGACTACCACAACGTAAACCACGACAGTTATATACTAGATCAATCAGGAATAATAATAATAATAATAATACATCAACAAATTCAATTCAAGAATACACATCAATTAATAATTCAAATTCAAATCACTCTTCTTCGAAAAATCAAATTCAATTCAAAGCAAAAGATGCAGAAGATGTAATTGATTGGATAGATGATTTAAAACAAAGATATCAAAATTTAAAATTTGAACATTCCAAAGAAATTAACTCATTAAAACAACAACAAAAATTAGAAATTGAAAATTTAAAAAATAAAAAGATTTTACAAAGGAAACATTTTGATGAAGAATTTAATAAATTAGGTGACTATTTGAAAGAAAAAGAACAAAATGAATCACGATTAATTGAAGAAAGAAAGATTGAAAATCTACGAAGACAACAAGAATATGAGAATATAGAAAATAACGATCAACGAGCGCATATTGGTGGAAAACGTTTACCTAAGTATAATGTGCAATATGATGATGATGAGGAAGAAGAAGATTTGGATAGCGAAGATGAAGAAGAGGAGGAAGAAGAAGAAGTTGAAGAGGATGAAGAAGTAGAAGATGGAGAGGAGAATGCGGATAATAATCAATACATAATACCAAATCGTCAAAACTATCAATATCCATCAGGTTTGTCTTACAATAATTATCCTTCACAATATGAAGATAAAGGTCAAAACGAAGACGAAGCAATTGAAATATTGTCTGGGTCTGAAGAAGAAGAGGATATTGAACAACAATATGACGAAGAAGAAGAATCTGAAGATGTTGAACAAGCATATGATGAAGAAGATGAAGCAATTACAAATAATGTATTTGATCAACAAAATTTAAATTATTTAAATCAAAATTATATGCAACCTTTAACTAATAATTCACATCAACATCATCATCATCAACAACATATTAATTATACCAAAATTGATCCTTATAGAAATGGCTATGGATTTATACAGAATGAAGCTGAAGAGGATTGGGATGAAGAAGATGAAGAAATGGATCATGATGAAGAAGTTGATGAAGCGGAGGAAGAAGCGGAAGAGGAATTAATTAATGAAGAAATAATTGAAACGAACACAGAGATCGTTAATTTACCGGTAGATGCTTCAGATAATGACAATTCAGAAGACAGTGTAGATATCGAAGCTGAAGATTTAGCATTAGACAGCTATGATGAATTTGAAGAAGAACCTGATAGTGAGGATAAAAAATTTATTGTCGATGACAATGAAGATAAGAATGAAAGTTTTGATCCAAACTTAGTGACTACTGAAAATGTGGATGAAGATGTTAATGATGATTTATTTTATGAAAACCAAGATCACAATCAACAAATCGAAATAAATCATGTATCATCAGACGCTGAAAGTTGGAGCGGAGTTGAAAGTGAATCCAATGATGAGGGAAATGTTAAAGCTATATCAGAAGATGACGTCGAAGAAATAAGTTCTGATCTTAGTGAAACTGATGAAAATGATGTTGAAGCTATTTCATCACCAGAACTTTCAGAAAAACCTTTAAATTTTGATTCACAAGTTGATGATTATGCTGATGAAGAAAAAGAAGATGATACTGATGAAAGACCTAAACCATCAACACATACTTTTAATACATTAATGCAATATGCTTCAAGTGCTTTAGGAGAAAGAAATATTCATAATTTTAAAGGAACTCATTCTCAATCAGGTTATATGGCAGATTCAGAAATTACTGATAATAATTTAGCTAAATATAGTTCAATCAAAGAAGAAGAAGATGAAGAAGAATTAAATTCAAATTCAGAATCTGACTCAAATTTTAATGAAAATAATTTTAGACCTGAAGATTTTGCACCATTACCAGATGCCTTTTATGCTCATGAATTAAGTGATCAAAAAATTAAAATTAATGATTTAGATGATAATAGATCTGATGCTTCTTTAGCTGATGAAAGTCAATTTGAATCTATGAAAAGTGATTATCATCATACAAATATAAGAGATATTCATTCATCAAATGTTGAAAATGATCCAATTGTAATAGAGGAGGATAGTGAAGAACTTAAAGATGATATAAAAAATGACTCGGCCCAAGAAGTTGAAGTAACTGAGGAATCAAACATTGCTGAATCTGCTGATGAAGAACCACCAATGCCTATTTTTAGAACAATTCAAGAGGAAGATCCTGAAGTTACTTTACAAAAGTTAAAAGAAACTGAAATAAAATATAATGTCAAAATCGAAGCTGTCGAGGATTTAGAGAGAAGCATAAGAGGATCATCTGAAGCACCAAATGATTTATCAAGTCAAGTGGTTGAAGAAGTACTTGAACCAATTCAAGTACCAGTATTGGATAGCTTAGGAAGTGAATCAGATGAGGTCACAATTAATGAAGAAACTACATCGATACAATCAGTGGAGGAAGAATTAAATGATGCTGAAGTAGAAGAAGGGACCGACACCAGTACTGAAAATCAAGTCAAATCTTCCCCAATACAAGAGGTAGCTGATGAAACGACCATCTTATCCAGTGATACTGATGTTGTTGATCATATAGATGAAGTTTTTCAGAACGAAGAAGTATATGACGTTGAATCATTGAGTGAGAACGTTGATGAAGATGGTGATACAGAAATGGAAGTCACTGAGCCACAAGAATTTGCGTCATCATCAAACATTGAAGTAGATACAATGGAAATAACCCCACCAGAGCTTGATACGTTAAATGAAGTTACTTATCCTGAACTTGACACATTAAATGATATTACCCCAATGACTAATACAGCTGAAGATACATCAAATATGGAAGTAGATGATACTAAACCAGTGAGTGTTGGAAACGAAACCACTCAAACTCATGATATATTGGAAGAGACTGAACATGCGTCTCTTCCAGAGAATGTCTCACCATCTTCTGGAACTAATGAAGAAGATCCTCATGACGTTGAATCGGTGGATAATACCACTGTCGAAGAAACATTAGAAGTTGAAGAAGTCACGCCGCCAGAATTAGATGCCATTGACGAGTCAGAACTTATAATTGATGCTTCAGAGGTGGACCGTATTAGTAATAATTCAATAGAGGAAATCTCAAACACAAGTGAATCACAACCTGGGACTACCGAAACATTCAATTTACATAAAAAATTATTAAACATATTTCCTAATGTTGGAATCTTCAAACATCAACTTGAACCATTCGTGGAAAGCTCAAAAGAAAAGATTACCTCAGTTGAAAAATCTGTATCAGACGCAACTAATTCACTAATAGATTCAGCTGAACAATTTGTTGAGAATATAAATGACGCAGATCAATTTCCCGTAGATGATCAGATGGAAGATGCCGAACCTATAGTAGAAAGTCAAGTAGAGGAAAAATTTGAAAAACTTAAGGACATATCGACACAAGTTGCTGATTATGTTGTTGATAAATCTCATGAATTAGCTACTATAAGTTCCGATTTAATGGAAGTAACTAAAAACCAATTGGAAGAAGGTTTGAGTAATGTGCATGACAAGTTATGTGAAACTAAAGAACAAACAAAAAATGAGTTTTCGGAGATTGTTGAAGATGTAAAAGATTCAGGATCAAAGAATTTAGATGCTGCAGAAAGTTTTGTAGAAAAACTTGAGATACCAGAGCGTGCTAAAGATGCAGCAATAGACGTTGATGAAAAGGTACGAAATTTTGCTAAGCAAGCAGATGATAAATTAAAAGAAGTTGATTTTGAAAAATCTGTTGAACAAACTAAAGAATCAGTTTCGGAAATCGTTGAAGCTGCAGAGGAGTTTGTAAGTGAAGAATCTAAAGCAGAAATTAGTCATAATGAGTTAGATGTCGATCAAAAGGTAAAAGATGTAGTTGAAGACAGTATTGAACGAGTGAAAGATATTGAAGTTGCATCATTAATCAATGTAGCTAAAGAGAAAGGTTCAACTATTATTGAAGCTGCTGAAGAATTTGTTGATAAAATGGATGCATTTGATGACAATGAAACTGAAGCTATTGATGTTGACGAAAAGATTAAAGATAAAGCAGAGGTTGTTTTAGATGAAATAAAAGAAATCGATGTGTCAGGTATTATTGATGAAACCAAAGATACAGGTGAAAAAATAGCTGAAGCTGTAAACGATTTTGCTGAAAGATTTAATCCGGATAATTCTAGCGATGTTGAAGGAATTGATGTTGATGGAAAAGTTAAAGAACTTGCTGAAAGTGTGGTTGAACGAGTAAAAGATATTGATGTGTCGAGTCATCTCGAAGAATCAAAGGAGATAGGTACCAACGTTTTAGAAGCAGCAGAAGAATTTGTAATCAAGATGGACGCATCAATGGAGCCAACTGTTCAAGGAATTGATGTTGATAAAAAATTAATTGAAAAGTCCAAAAATGCGTTTGATCATTTGAGAAAAATAAACGTCTCAGATTTATTAAATGTTGCAAAAGAAAAGATCAGTGTATTCAATAATGCTGCAGAAGATTTTGTTGAGAAAATGGATGCAATTGATAGTAGTGACGGTGAAGCTATTGATGTTGACAGTAAAGTCAAGGAGTTGGTAGAACACAAAATTGAACAAATTGAACAAATTGATTTTACTAGTGCAATTGATGAAGCAAAAGAAAGAGGCTCTAAAATATTGGAAGCGGCTGAAGGTTTTGTAGAAGAAATTGATGCTGACGGGAAATACAACGAGGAAGAGGAAGAGAAAACTGTCGATGTTGATAAAAAAGTTGAAGAGATCGCAGAAGATGTTTTGGAGAAGCTACAAGAAGTTGATTATTCAAAACTAACAGAGAATGCAGTAGAGTCAGGTACTAAAGTGATTAATGCAGCTGAAAAATTTGTTGAAAAAATTGACCCAACAGTTGAAACTGAAGAACCAACTGTAGATGTTGATTCAAAAATTATAGAAGCTACAAAACATGCAAGTGATGCGATTAAAGATGAGGCTACAAGTTTAGCTGAAGAAGCCCAAGTTTTAGGTTCTGAAATTTACCATACGGCTGAAAAATTTGTAGAGCAGGACGTCGAGTATGAAAGCAACCCAGATGACGAAATTGATGTTGATAAAAGAGTGACCATCGCTGTTCAAGACAAGGTACACGATTTTGAAGATAAGGTGTCTAATACTGTGGATGTGGTTAAAGAATCAGTTCCATCTTTCTTGCATAAAGTCGAAAACAAATCTAAAGAACTTGTCGATAATTCAATATCCATTTATAAAAATGTAATTCAAAACAGAGTATCAAGCATGAAAGACTACATTAAAGAAAATAAAATTCCAATTTCAAATGTTTTTCAACTTTCTAAATTTAAGCAATTTGTATCAAATAAAACTCCACATATATCATTCAATTTTAGTCATCAAACAAATGCAGAAAGAGATCAAACCGACTCTGATGAAAGTGATGACGATGATGACTATACTACAATAACAACTGAAATTTCCTACACTCGTCCATCAAAAAGAAGAAGAAGGAAGAGAAGAATGCTCAGATCTGGTATTGAAAAGTCAGAGATTGTTTCATTTGAGGAGATCACGGTAGATAAAATTGACGAGCCTATAGAACAAGTAAATGAAGACGATCATGAACTGCCTGAAACTCAGGAGGATTCTTTGGTGGTTAAAGAGGAGGAAGTAGTATTGGAATCATTAAATACTGAAGTTGATTCACCTGAATATGAAAAAATCGACGACCTTAATGAAAAAGTTAAAACTGAAGTAGAAGATATCAAACAAAACACACTTGAAATAAGACCAAAACTGGAAGATTTATCAACTGAAACATCTAATTCATCAAAAAAACGTAAAAGAACAAATAGAAGAAATGTTCTTGGATTAGATTTAGATGAAATAGCTCAATTTGAATCAAGAAGTTTAAGAAATGGTCATAAATATGGAAGTATTGATCAAAAGCTTTCTTCAAGACCAAATTATAATAAACATAATAATTTATCAAATGAAAGTATACCAATTTTAGATGATAAAGATTATCCTGCAACAAGAACAAGATCAAAATCTCCAATGAAAAGACTACTTGATGATGAAAGTAATGGTGAAAATGAAGATTCAAGTCCAATTAGAAAAATTAGAAAAATATCTGATCTGATTGCACCAGCTTATAGAACAGATGAAGATAGAGGTAGATCAAGAGAAAAATAAAACAATTTTTAGTTTAATCTATCTAATAAATATTTATGATGTGTAATGTATAATGTATAATGTAAATATAATTATGAGGAACCAAATATTTTGTATAACTCTTTCAAGCTAAATATTTCATACCTAATTCAAAAGTTCCGAAAAACACCATACTAGTAATAAAAGATCTTGCAACAGATATTCCTAAACCTCTATAAGAATTTTTTAAAAATTTTGGTTTTTTCTCGTTGTTATCATCTATAATTTTATTCATTGATATACCATGTTGTTGACTTAATATACTTTTTACAACATCATTTTGTATAATTGATTTTGCTGTATCTACTGGGAAAATTATAATCCAACTTATAACACCAGATAATCCACCAGCTAATAATATTGAAAATGGTGAAGATTGAGTACCACTAACTAATAATTTAACCAGTTCATAAAAACTATAATACATACCTGTAGATAAAGAATCTCTTATTAAATGTAATTTAAAACCAGAATATAAACCAGTTATACCCTTATATTTTATAATATTTTTCATTATTTGAATAGTTGATGAACCATTTAATTTTGCACCAACTTTATTACCAACTAATTTTTCTAATTGTGCATAAACTTTTATAAATTCAAAAGGACATGCAAATATTGAAACACATCCACCTGCAATTAAACCTGATATGAAACAAACTGGTAAATTTCTTATAAATGGATGTTCTTCTTTTATATTATGATAAATTGAATTATTAAATAAACTATTATATACATAAGGTTTTGAAAATGAATAAATTGATACACTTAGGGATTTTGAAAAAGATGTTGAAATTAATGGTGCCCAAACACCTCTATAAAACCCTCGTATTCCTTCTTTTGCTAATGTTTTTCTTATACAATCATAATAACTTGTAAATTCTTTATGAGTTTGCATTCGAACTTTTATTGTATCTAATGGAAATCCAACAAATGTTGAAACTAATGATGATCCATATGCTATAATACTTGATCGTAGATATAATAAATCTTTAGGAAATATATGAATTGCATTTTTATAGTCTATATCACCAGTAATGGCAGGTATGGTTTCTCCATTTCTATGCATTAAAACGTTTTGATATATACAAATAAAACTGTTTTTGATTATTGTTTGTTTTTGTTATCAATTGAATTTTATGTAGATCCGATATCTCTGATAAAGTATCGCGCAACAATACTTAAAAAATAATTACGATAGATACTACGATACTGTTAAACTTAATTCCGATGTATGCATGAAATAATGTAGAGTACAACATTCACTGATTAGAGTTAATTAAAGCCAATTAAAGTTGATTAATACCTCCTCAGAATCACGATTCTTCTGCTCTATTTTTATTTATTATGAAGTTTCTTTTTCAAATGAAAAAATTCCAATAAAAGGTTCTATATCATCTGGTCTACCTTCAGGACAAGGTCCTTTAAACACTAATGTAGGTATTTCTTCTTCTAAATTATCATCATTTTCAAACGCATTAGATACATTATTCTCAATTTTATTATTATTATTACCTTCTTTTGAATTATTATCTATAGTAATTTTTGTAAAATCTATTCTTAACATTCCTTCTTCATCTATAACAACATATGCTTTATATTTTTGATCAATTAAATCATTACTATTATTATAATGTATTAGCCCCTTAGTACTACCTGTTATTAATCCCATTGTTGATCCAATTCCCATTATATTTGCACCTCCAATTCTCATATATAATCCACTTAAACCAAATGGTGAACAATGTATTTCTAAATCACATTCATTTGCATATTGGAAAGTTACTTGTTGATCAGATATTAATGGATTTGATGATGATGATGATGATGCAACTGATGTCATCTTTATTGAAAAGTTATGTGGTATTTGAAATAATATATATTTGACAGCTGTTAATTTGTGATTCTTGCTTTCCTATGATTAGATCAAATTCATATCCAAGATGTGAGTTGTATTCCTTACTTCAAGTAATATTGTAAGTTAGATACTAAAAATTGATCAAAATTTCATGTATTTAATTCTATCTATGCTATAAATAAATAAATTTTCAAAATACGTAAGATCTCTAATAATTAAAGAACAAATTTACGAAGATAAACTATGAAACATTTTATTAAACTAATACGCAAAAATTTGATCAGAATTTTGCGCTTTTTCTTGCTTATAAGATGATTTTTATATTGTCATGTCAACAAGTACTTAAAGCCTATCTGGCTTACGAGGACTCGTAATTGTTAATCACAATGCTATGAGCTTCCTATTTCTGGAGTGATTGAATCCAAAAAAAGAGTAGCTTAACTTGAGAAAGTTAACATTGAATTCAAGTGCTGTAGAAAACGTGAATCAAGAAGAATCATGATTAAAGAAAGTAGTAAACCAGCAATAACAAATGGTATAGTCTAAAACGACGAAGTAACATTGGCTTGAAACTCTATTTTTCTTACAATAGAGCCAACAATACTGATACGAAATTTCAGTGAGCTATTAAAATTAGTATTGAAATAAACAAAGTTTTGAACATATCTCAAAATCAAATATCAGTGAAACAATCAAAAGTAACTATTTGATTCAATCAAAAGTTCCAATGATTTGAAGTAATTTTCAGTTCAGATGTGAACTTCTGCTCTCTAATAAGTGTAATCTTAGGCTTCTAATTATTTCATTGAAAGACCTTTAGAATCCAACGCAGTCAGTTTGAACAAAAGGAACATAGATATTTTATCTGAATAGACAAATTGTTTTGTTCTTTGTTCTTTTCTTCAAAACTGGGCAAAATTTTAAAAGTCATTCAATAAACCTAGCAAATATCTTGTTTTATGAAAAACATAATGAGTGTATGAAAATAATCCTCGGGATGACTCGAACTACTTAGTATTGTTCCTTTATATCTCTTTCCCAGCTAATTTGAAATCTTTTCCTAAACTTAAACCAATTGTTTTACTGGACTTAGGGATGATAAAAAGTTAACTCATGGGATTTAAATATATTTGTGATTCATTGATAAGATATCAAAACCACTTAAATGATATAAGACTCCATAATAATGATTGATTCAAGTCCGGTTGAGTATTTTAAACCGTATTTTTTAAAATGGTATAGCATATCCAAACATAGTTTGATGTTGTGATAACTCGGCTAACTTCAACACTTTATTGATCTGTATTTACCGACCTCCGTTGATGTTTGTTCATGATTGACTTAAATCTGTATTTGGCTCAATTCTAGTTTCAATATCTTCCCATGCTCATACTTAAATCCTTCATTCGAGGAGTGTTGCAACAAAAGCAAAACTCTTTTTCAGTAAGTGTTAAAGTAATGTCTATACAATACAAGACAATACAAGTAGATAAAATTTAAATTATCGGCCTTTAGAAAAAGAGTAAGAATCCGTTTGTTTTCTTTAATTACCGTTTGCCTTTAAATTATTTTTAACACCATAATACAGTTGGTAGCACTAAAAATCAGAAGCCTCGGTAAACTTTTTATAAGAATTATAGTAGTAAGTAGTAGCATTGAATTAACAAAAAATTGATTGTTACATAGAATATTAGCCATTTGCAAATACGGTTGCATAAATCCTACTAAGCTAGTCGTTTTGGTTGACTATACCGGTCGCTAGCCAATGATTAACTTCGTTGAAACCATTCAATCATTCTTATGTTGACTAATAAATTCTTTAGAAGTATGTTCTATTAATAGTGTAAATTGGTCAATTACTGATTCACTTTAAAACCGTTGTATTAAAACTTGGTAGTGTACAAAGTTACAGAAATATTTATTATGTGGGGAAAAAAAAAGGAAGAATATAAGTAATTCTGAACCGATGTAGATAGTGAATGATAACAACAAAACTGTTCGGGTAAAAGAACAAGTGTAGAGGTAATGACCAATAAGTCCATAATGTGAATGTATCTCTCGATGAAGGAAGTGTGTTGTACTATTGGCCCCCCTGAAATAAAAATTCATGTATGACTAGAACTTTCGTACGAATCATTCTTAAACCTCGCTTTAATTCTCTCTTTAATTTAGACAATCTTACATAAATTATTACATAATACAATAGTTAATTATTCACAAGCTTTTATCTACTCCATATTTCAAATTTTATTCTATTAAAATATAATATATCAACAATTTGCCATTTTTTTTTCAGTTATCTAACAGTTTTTTTTAATTCACATCAACTATCCACTTAACCATTATAAAGTATAATCACACTTAATTATATATTTATCAAATCGTCATATATATACATTTAACACTTACATATTCAAATATCATACATATATACATAATCAAAGATGGTAAACGGTCATATTAAAGGAAATAATAAAAAAGATATATTAGAAAAACATCCAGATGATGTAGTTATTGTTGCAGCATATAGAACAGCTATTGGTAAAGGTTTTAAAGGTTCATTTAAATCAGTTGGATCAGAATATATTTTAACTGAATTTTTAAAAGAATTTTTGGCTAAAACAAAAGTTGATCCAAATTTAATTGAAGATGTTGCTATGGGTAATGTTTTAAATCAAGCTATTGGTTCAACTGAACATAGAGGTGCTTGTTTAGCTGCTGGTATTCCTTATACTTCTGCTTTTATTGGTATAAATAGATTTTGTTCTTCAGGTTTAATGGCTATTTCAGATATTGCAAATAAAATTGCAGTTGGAGAAATTGATTGTGGTATTGGTGGAGGTATTGAATCAATGTCTCAATATTATAAATCTACTATTCCACAAATAGATCCTCATTTAGGTGAAGATGAAAAAGTTGCTTCATGTTTAATTCCAATGGGTATTACAAATGAAAATGTTGCAAATGAATATAATATTTCAAGAGAAAGACAAGATGAATTTAGTGCTAATTCTTATAATAAAGCTGAAAAAGCTATTTCATCTGGTGCTTTTAAAGATGAAATTTTACCAATTAAATCAATTATAAGAACTACTGATTCAAATGGTAATGTTACTGAAAAAGAAGTCATTGTTGATACTGATGAAGGTCCAAGAAAAGGTATAAATGCTGCTGGTTTAGGTAAATTACCACCTGCATTTGGAGGTACTACTACTGCTGGTAATGCTTCACAAATTAGTGATGGTGCAGCAGCTGTATTATTAATGAAAAGATCATTAGCTGAATCAAAAGGTTATCCAATAGTTGCTAAATATATTGCTGCTGTATCAGTTGGTGTACCACCAGAAATTATGGGTGTTGGTCCAGCATTTGCAATTCCTGAAGTATTAGCAAGAACTGGTTTAACAATTGATGATATTGATGTATTTGAAATTAATGAAGCATTTGCTGCTCAATGTCTTTATAGTGCAGAACAATGTAATGTTCCACAAGATAAATTAAATTTAAATGGTGGTGCTATTGCTTTAGGTCATCCTTTAGGAGTTACTGGTGCAAGACAATATGCTACTATTTTAAGATTATTAAAACAAGGACAAATTGGTTTAACTTCTATGTGTATTGGTACAGGTATGGGAGCTGCTTCAATTTTAGTTAAAGAATAGATTTTATAAGATAGGTTTTTATAATGTTTTTTTTTTGTCATAGGAAATGTAAATATATATTATATTAAAAATGTTACAAACTATATACTTAGTAAATCTAGCTCTATTTTTATTCATTTATTGAAGGGTATTACAGAAGATTATTATAAGTTAAAACTTAGCTATTTTAACAATTGAAAAAAGCAAGCAAACATTTATTTAAAATAAACATTTGAACTTTTTCTTTCAATTAAATTTGATTCTAAATTATTATTATTATTTTCGAATTCATCTTTTTCAATAGGATGATGAGCTCTATGAGGAAAATAAACAACATTAACTGGAGGTAAATAATAGTGCAGTGATATAGGAAAATATTTATAACCATCTATTGAATTTAAATCTATTGATGATAATGTTGTTGAAGTTGGATTTGTGTGATTTTGATTTATTGAATATGATGATGATGATGATAAATTTGTTGGATTTAGATTACCACTAGTATCATTTTCAAAAATTTTTGAATTTAAATCTATTATTGATTTTTTTTTATTTATTGAATCATCAATTGGTGAATTTTGATTTATTTCATTATTATTATTGAAACTTTTATTTCTTGATGAATTAAAATTATTATATGACATTCCATAATCATTTTGTTTGTCATTATTTGTTTTTGTAGTATAAGGAGATCCTTCATCATTTGAATCATTTTCAGCTAATCCTGAATCCATATCTTGATCATGATCATTATTATTATCATTATTGTCATGTTCATTATCATTATCATTATCATAACCACTCTCATGATCATTATGATCATGATCTTGGTGGTCATTTTCATTTTCTTCAAATCCATTATTATGATTATCATCATCTTTTAAATTTGATTCAGCAGCTAATTGAAAACTCTTTTTTGAATTAAATTGTCTACATTTAATTAATAAATCTTTTCTTTCAGCATAAAAACTTGGATTTCTACCTCTAACAATTATTGGTTCACTTATTAATTCAGTTAATAAAAATTCATTTGTATTATTACCATTATTGTTACTAGTAGAACCATTTTTATTGATCTCTGTTGGATCAATATCATCAATATAATCATCATAATAAATATCAGCAACAATACAACTTAATTTAATTTTTAAATGATAATAATTTTGAAAAGTTAAATTTCCATTATTTGGAGTTGCATTTTTAAATTGTAATTTTTTTATAATAAAATATTTATCCATTTCATTATTTTTAATAATTGATTCTGATTCATTATTTATAACTATTATATGTTCTTGTGATCCAATTGCTTGTGGTTGTATAATATCTTCTTTGGATTCATAATAATTAATTTTTTTATTATTTTCTTTATCTTTTTCTTTTTCAACATCTTTTGGTTCATTTCTTATAATTATGGGAACATTTTTTGAATTTGATATATTTGTTGTTGCTAATATTTCAATTTTAAAATATTTTATAACTCTAGTTGTTGTATAACCATATTCACTTGTTTGTAATTTTAATAATTTAAAATCTTTATTAATACCATTTAATTTCATATTTAATAATATTTGAATATAATTTCTTCTATAACATGAAACAACTTTTGGATCTTCAATTTGTGGATGATTTTCATGATTATTATATTTTAAAATTTTATTATTTTTTTGTAATTCATTTTTGGTAAATATATAATTATTATTATCAGTATCATTTGTAAAAAATCTACCATTAAAAAACCCATTAAAATCAACATTAATTTCATTATTATTATTATCAATTATTTTATAATCATTTATACTTGTAATACCAGATGGTGTAAAATCTAATAATTTCTTCATTTTAGTTGGTTTATAATCAATTTGAAAATCAAATATTTGTTTACTATCTCTTTTTCTTCCCTTGGGTTTTTTCTTTTTGATATCCTCTTGAAGTTGTGGAGATTGAGATCGTTTGGAATTTGAATTGTGTTGGGTATTTTGTTGTAGTTGTTGGAATTGATGTTGTTGCTGCTGCTGCTGCTGCTGTCTTTGTTGTATTTGTTGTTGTTGCTGCTGCTGCTGTCTATATTGTAATTGTTGAATTTGTTGCTGCTGACTTTGTAGTGGTGGTTGTGATTGTTGTGGTTGTAAATGTAATTGTTGTTGATCAAATTGGTAAGGTATTTGTGATTGTGAATTAAGCCATTCTGATTCATAATCTTCATAATTTCTTTGATTATAATTCATTTGTTGTGGAAATGGTGAAGGTGAATGTAGTAATAAATTATTTCCATCTGGATTGAATTGAGGTTGTAGTAATTGTTGTTGTTGTTGTTGCTGTTGTGATTGCTGTAGTGGCTGTTGTTGTAATTGTTGCTGAGATTGTTGTTGACCAGGTATCAGTTGTGAATATAATTGTTGATAAATGGGATTATGAAAATTTGAATAATGTTGAATCATATTCATATTTGATGGATCAAATTGCATATATTGAGCATAATGACTAGAATGACTAAAAGGTTGTTCTGGTTCATCATTTATAGGTTTATTTATAAAATTATTACTATTTAAAAAATCTTGATAACTTGTTGATATTGGTAAATTTATTGAATCATTATCATTTGATAACATTTCATTTTTTGATAAATCTGATCTTTCTCCTGATTTATCCTGTTGTTGTTGTTGTTGATTATTTGTTCCAAGTGAATTATTAAAATTTATATCTATACCATTTGGATCATCATTGGCCTTGTTTGGTGATGTTGATGTTGTATTTGTATTTGTAGTTGAATTTAAGTTTGTATTTGAATTTTGTTGTAAATTTTGTAATGTTTCTGGTAAAAATAGGGAAGCTAAATCTTCAGTTCTATCCCCCTTACTTCCTGAACTCATAATTGCATAGTTCTTTGTTGGTTGTATTGTAGACTCTTCAATTAAACGCGTAAATCTATGATATTAATCTTCAATTGAGATCTTAATAATGATTTTGAGTTATCAATAAATAAATACAAATTTATATTTTTGTTTTTTTTTGTCTGTGTTTTGTCTCTCTCGTACTTTTTCTAAAACTTTGGGTGAAAAAGTTGGGGAAGATTATTGAATGAATGTAGTTGAACGAAACTAGTCTAAGTAATCAATTGATCGTCTCTGAACGTGCCAACTGATTGTTTGTATATAAATGACTTTGAACTAGTTTATTTTATTGGATGTATTTGTTCTAAAAAACTTGTAGTTAAATCAGAAAGTATGAAACAAATACAAATAAAATATTTGAAATTAGTGAAACACAAATTTTTAAAAATGTGACCAAAGCGCTTATATTTATAATCTTTAATCTTTGAATTGATATTTAAATAAATAAATACGTTATTGTTATATGCTTTATTTTAAAATAATTATAAAGTAATCCTGAATTTAATAACTTTAAAAAATTACCACTTAAATGTAATCTTTTTCTTAATCCCCTGTTTAATTAATATATAGTGGTATGAAAAAATGTGTAATTGTAAAAAGTTTATTAGATTGATAACAGAAAAGAAAATGAGTAATTGATAATGAAAAAAAAAGTCAGATTAAACTTTTTTTAAAGTGTGTTGTTGTTAATTTGAAGTTGAATGATACACTTCTTTCCTTTCTTTTTTGATTTTTCTTTGAAATAAGTTCTAGGGGGGTTAATAACTTTAAATAAAAAATTTATTTATCAACTTAAATTAAATATGAAATTATACAATTAACTTATAGAGAAATTGTCGAAATTTTTGTGAATATTATATAAGGGAAGACGTTCGGTCCCAATTCCAGATGTATTTACTTAGGCTAAGTCTTTCATGTTTTAGATTCAAAATCAGGTTATAAATTTTAATAGTCAACAAAATTTCAATACTAATAATAATACAGACAATCTAAAACCTTGGCTAATAATAATTTAACTTTGATTATTATTTTTTAGTTAATGAAATATTTTTAAGTTTAAAAAGTTTAAAGTTTGGTTCAAATATTGATTATAATATTTCTTATAGAATTATAAATGGCTTCGATAAACATATGACTTATGTATCATGTTTAGCCAGAGCTTACTGTATGGTATATTGATTAAATAGACTATATTAATGTCGATGTGGCTGAAAAAAGGAGCATATTTAAACTTGTAGAAATTCCAATTTGTTTTTAGTTTACTGTTTCAGATCTAAAATTGGGGAACACAAATTTAAATAAATTTTTAGGGATGAAATTGTATCACAATACGTTCAGATTATTCATTTGTGTAATTTTAACTCATCAACCTCTTTATACTATTACTGAGCTTATTAACTTGGTTAAGTAATTTCAGTGGAATGTACTAAAACAAATTTTAGTTAAAATCTGGGTAATTGTATGTCAGTTGGGTTAAATATCATTCAATTATATAGTCTATGTTTATAATTCAAAAATTCATAAGAGCCAGTTGTTAATTACGGATATGTACTTTTGAAAATTAAGGTTTTGTCATTGTACATTACTACTCTATGATATTTGTATGATAATCTACTTTTCCAATTTAATCATCAACTTAGATTACGAACTGTGTCACTTCATTATTAGAAACACAAGCAGATGATCGATCATCCTAGATCATTCAATTAAAATTGTTGAGAATCATCTTGCTAAAGGCGGTTCTTGAAACAAGAATATTATTATATAACTATTAGTCTTCGAACCATGTTATTCCGAACAATTATTATAAGTAATTTGACACACCAAAAAATAATGAATGACAAAATTATTATAACTCTAAAACAACAAGAAAGCAAATACGGTATATATTATTAAGATAAAGTTTATAGATTTATCTGTCAAATTTATTATATAAAAAAAAAGGTTTGATATTGGGATTAAGGAAATTTGAATAAGCTCCAAAGTTTAAATATATGGAAAGTTAATCAATTTAAACTTTTCTTGTGCCATTAATATGTTTTATAAACTTTTAAATTAAATTGCGAGTTTAGTTTAAATTATAGTAAAATTTCAAACTAAAATCAATGAAATAGATAGCGAGTTTAGTCAAAAAAATGTAGGGTTTGTTTTGATGCGAGAACTTAACTAAAGTCACAGATCGTACAAAGTAAAGCAGGATAATCGGTCTTGGTTGAAATGAAATCGCCTTAAATGAAGAAAATCTGATATAATTGATTAATAATAAATACAACGCAAGGCTTTTTCTTCTAATCTTCATTGTCTTATGAATATCCATAAAGTTGTTTATCAATTGTAACCTCATGGTATTACCATGCAAGAGAGTAAAATTATCATGAATAATATATTGTTATTTTGATGAAGTAGACCAAATAAAAGTGAGACAAAAGAAGGTTATATCATACTGCAAAATTACTTAATTTGTATATCAGTGTTCAAGTTACATTTATTGATAAAGCAAGCAAAGGCATAACTTGCAAAAAAGACATACTTATCTGTTTACGAGTACTCAGTTGAAATGATTGTTATCTATTGGTCATCCATAAGCTTTATATACCATGACCTATCAAGTCGATTATTGATATCAGTTTTTTATGTTGAAATTATTATATTTTTCTTCAGATACGAGAGATCTTTCACTTGCATAAAATCGCAGATCTAACTTTTTTTTAATTTAATTAATTATTTTCTTTACTCTGAGCTATTGGAATTAAACACTTCTAATGACACAACAAACTCGATTTTCTCGGAGGAGCTTGTCATAGATTATGGTTCTAATTGCATAGGGGTACAAACCAGTCAAAGCAATCGGGTATGAATCGGCATTGACTGGGTACTCTAAATCAACTAAAACTAAAACAAAATTTACGAAATCCTTTATTTTGAACTAAAAATTTAATCTAAAAAAGTTTGATTTAGTTTAAAACCTCACTCTTACTCTTACTAGTAAAAATTCTACAAACTCTAATTTTTCTTTCGCTACTTCTTGACGAATAGAGCAATCTAAATTTGTACTAATTTGAGGAGAGGCAAATGAATGAAGAATTTTTTAAACGTATGGCTTATTCAAAGAATAATTTACCGGATTAGATCAAGAATCCAATATTATATTTTTGAAGATTATAATATTCTATCAAGGCGTAAAACTAATATTATCATAACCGACAACATAATTCATCCGCCTTTTCCTATCATTTCTGCTAGATCTTGAACTTGATAATTTACGAACTTTGGATGATCAAAATTATACAATCAACTGCAAATACAAATCAGATCTCAATTTTTTGGTGATAAGAAAAAGTTAAAAGTTAACTTTATACTTTCAATAAAGCTTTTTTGAATCTTTTAAAGTTTTAGATAATAATCGGCTAAATCTACATATACGTTCTACAAAAAGTTTAAGCTTATAGTTGTAAGCTAATTAACCCTCATCAATTAATTTGAATCTTATATACTTCTGAATTGAACTAAATTTGCTGATCTTCTTCTATTTAGTTCTGAAACAGGATTTGGTAGATACGACGATCGTTACGAGATCTTAGATTTGTACTTACTGCATTTGCACTAGCTAGCAAAAAAATTTCAATTGCTAGCACGAAACGTATTGACTTCATGTTTTTTAATCCTTCATACAAAATCTTCAATCCCCTCACCCCCTTTTGTAAAACTTTTAAGGTTTGCACAATTGTTAAATTAAACTTTGAGCAATTGATTAACTAATTTTGAGCTTTAAATGGTGATTATTGCTTTTGTTATCATCAATTCACTACCACGTCCTATCTTTCTGCTTCTGATTTTGTTAGTGATATCTTTTTTTTATATTTTGTTTCAATGTCGTTATAACCGCTTTGCAGTACAACATGGTTATATTTTCAAAAGTTGTACATACTCAAACATGACTAGGATTGACTTTATTTAAAAGTGTTCAGTTCTACATTTCCGGTTCTACTTGCATTAAAACCCAGTTGCTCGAGGAATAATCGCCAATTTTTGATGGTTTTGAGAATTGAAAGTAAGATTTGTTCTCTTACAGTACAGTGACGATCTAAGCTGAAAAAAAAAAAAAGATTTCATAATATACGAGATCTCAGATCTGAAACATAGATTGCAAAACGATCAATAAAATCTCATTCAGATTTCAAAATGACATATGTGGCTACAAAATATATTTATCAAAAAGCTTTTATATAACTCTGCACATTTCCGGGAGATTAAGCTTTGTATATGATTATAACTTTATCACTAAATATTATTGAGCTAAATTTTAACTTTATTGAAGTTATAAACTTAAATACACTTTATTCTTATTCAAAAAATTAACCTCATCCCTTGCATGAACTAGTGGGTACGAAAAAAAAAGTTTAAAAAGCGACCTTATAAATCCTATGATAGTGAATCAAATTTCCATAAGTTGTTGTTATCAAAAACTCAAAATTTTCAACTTTCCATCCATTCAAATCAATAATACAACCGTATTTGTTACATTGGTTCGGAATTCTGACCTACCTATTGTATATTTTGAGATAAACTATTAGAGATGTTTCCGCAGTGGCTAGTTGATTAGATCTGATATCTGTTAGGCTTAGGCCCCAGCTGAAGATTTTGAACTATGTAATGGAAGTCAAACTATGTGAAGCTACGACTCAAAAAAAATTTAACAAGGCTATGATCGGCTTTTCAGAGTCACACTATTCTAAAACCAATTCACTGATTCATATCTTTCAATATATGATCTTTCAATATATGAAGATCTACTCCAATAAATTCCTGAGCTTTTCAGAAAATGTAGCCAGGTACATATAAGAAGAAGCAGAAATATTAATAAATTTATTGATATTTGACCCTGATTATTGAAACAATTATAATTCAGAAATCAATGTATGGATTTAGGTACTAAAAAATGATGATACGGCATTATCAATAATTTCGGAGAAAAATTATTATAATATGTACGTAATAAAAATTTGGCAGAGAACAAAAATGTGGAATATCTTATGTGTTATGATTTTTAATAATATTTACATGATAGATTAGATCAGATCAGATCATTAGCGAATTAATAATCAAGAGAAGTCCATAATGGAATCAATTAGATAATACTTTATCCGTTCCTATTGTGTTTCCTTATTTTGTTATTGTAGATAAGTACATATGAGATTAAACTGAAACACGGAATTGAAGAAGGAAAAACTCATGGAAGGTAAAAAACGTCAATGCAATATTACTAGTATTTTTCTTTATATCAATACTGAGGTCTAATCAAGCTTGTAAGATCAAAACTAGACAGAGAAGACCCAAACCACTAGTATAAGAGCATGTATGATTTCATTGAATATTCGAGGTTGATTGTACTTTTGGTTTATCAATATGCGGATTTGATTTATCGCCTCATGATAAAGTGTTTTTTTGATCTTTACCTTTAATTTAACAAACCAAATAATGCAGCTATTGGTTAGGCATTCTTTTTGTTTTCTAAATTTTATCTTGTCCTTCTTTGTTTGTTTTGTTTATGATGTTATTTTGATTTTCTATTTTTATCTTTTTGTATAACGTTCTGTTTTTGTCTTTTTTTCTCTTTGTCTCTTTATTTAATGAGATCATTTAGTCAGAGAAACTGAATCAAATATCTATACGGATTAATTATTATATTCACTATACGACCAAAAACCTATAGATCTAATCCCTAGCAAACAAATTATTAAGCTAACCAACCTATTCATATATACCACCTGCATCAACTTCAACTATTCATCTATACACTTAATTTTGCATTATTCATTTCACATATTTATTGTTTTATTATTTCAACTTATTCAATTACAAATATTCATATGAGTCAACAAGAAGAAAATAATCTATATTATGGTAGAACAGTTAATAAAGTTTATAATCAAGAATTTATAATAGATAAACGATTCAAAGTAATAAAAGAATTAGGTCATGGAGCATATGGAATTGTATGTTCTGCAAAATATGATGATGGAAATACAAATACAACAAATAATCTAGATAATAATAATAACACAGATTCAAATTTATCATCATCTGCTGATGGATCATATGTAGCCATTAAAAAAATAACAAACATCTTTAACAAGAAAATACTATGTAAAAGAGCATTAAGAGAAATTAAATTATTACAATTTTTTAGAGGTCATAAAAATATAACATGTCTTTATGATTTAGATATAATCCCCAATCCATTAAGTGGAGAATTTAATGAAATTTATCTTTATGAAGAATTAATGGAATGTGATATGCATCAAATTATAAGATCTGGTCAACCATTAACTGATCTGCATTATCAATCATTTATTTATCAAATTTTATGTGGTTTAAAATATATTCATTCTGCTGATGTATTACATAGAGATTTAAAACCTGGGAATTTATTAGTTAATGCAGATTGTGAATTAAAAATTTGTGATTTTGGTTTAGCAAGAGGATTTTCTGAAGATTTTGAACAAAATCAAGGTTTTATGACTGAATATGTTGCAACTAGATGGTATAGAGCTCCTGAAATTATGTTAAGTTTTACTAATTATACAAAAGCAATTGATGTATGGTCAGTTGGTTGTATATTAGCTGAATTATTAGGTGGGAAACCAATTTTCAGAGGTAAAGATTATGTTGATCAATTAAATCAAATTTTATTAATATTAGGTACACCTTCTGAAGATACATTAAGTAAAATTGGTTCAACAAGAGCTCAAAATTATGTTAGATCATTACCATTTATGAAAAAAATAAAATTTGAAAATTTATTTCCTCAAGCAAATCCATTAGCAATTGATTTATTAGAAAAAATGTTAACATTAGATCCAAATGAAAGAATTAGTGTTTCAGAAGCATTAAATCATAAGTATTTAGAAGTATGGCATGATCCAAGAGATGAACCAGAATGTCAAATTAAATTTGATTTTAAAACTTTTGAACAATTTGAAGAATTTCAAGATATGAAACTGTTAATTATAGAAGAAGTTAAAAATTTTAGAGAATTTGTTAGAAAACCTATTGAAGAACAACAACAAATTCAATTACAAATGCAAATTCAACAACGTGCAAAACAAGAACAAGAAAATCAACAACAAGAATATCATCATCAACAAGAAAATCAACTCCAACAACATCAACAACAACATCAACAACAACATCAACAACACCAACAACAACATCAACAACACCAATATCAAGAATTTAGAAATAAAGATATAATAGATATAACATCAAGAATAAATAATCAAAGAGAAGAAGATTATCCAAAACCTCAAGAATTAAATGAATTTTCATATTCAAATATTGAACAAAATTATCAACAACAAGAACAACAACAACAACAACAACAACATACAAAGTTAATAAATGATACAGAATTTCAAAATTCTTCATTAGGTCAAGATTATTATAGATTAGAAGAAGAATTAGGATTTGGATTAGATGGAAATATTTTTGAAAATTTTCAAACAAATTAATTAAGGAGCTATATTATATTTAAAAATATCACCATTTTTACAAAAACACCAAAATGAATCTTTATTTAAAATAAAATTATCAATTTTTCCATCTGGTATAATACATGATAAATCAATAGTTACTAATGGTATTGAAATAGATGGAACATATTTATCATTTATAATTGGTGAAATTATTGTACCATATTGTCCAAATTTTTTTTGTAAATCTTTTTTATTTCTAATATCTAATAATTGTTTATATAATGCAATTACATTATCAACTTGATTTCCACCAACAGTGTTTTGCTTTGTATTTTCATCATCTTGTAAAACACTATTTAGATTAATATTTTTAGTAGATAATAAATTAGTTAATGAAGGATTTTTAAATATTGGATCTTCTGATTTTGTTCTTTTATGTAATGATGATCTTGTATGAGGTAAAGGACTTGGGCTATGAGTTATTATAGGTATACTATTTTTTTTTTCATGTATTGATTTTCTACCTTCTCTAGGTCTCAGATGCAGATGATGATAATGATGATGTTGATGTGTTTGAGTTATAGGTTTTTTAACTTTCGGTATAGCTTTATAATCAAATTCCCATACAAATATTTTACCATCTGATCCACAACTTATCAATCTATACATTGATGAAGTATCATCATTATCTTTTAAAAATTGTATAGATTTAACCATATTTGTATGTCCTTTAAAACGACAAACAATTTGAATTGATTTTATTATGGGAGGATATTTTATTTCTTGATTTTCAGAAGTTGATGTAATACTATTTATAGTTCCACTTCTTGATCTACTATTTTGTCTTTTTAATAATCCATTAGCATTATAATAAGTCATTTTAAAAACTTCAATTAAATCTCCTTTTCCAACAATACTAAAAAATTTAAAATCAGGACTAAATTTTAAATCTGATATTCCACTATTAAAATAATTTGAAATTATATCAGTAACAATACTATTTGTATCATTTTTTGTAAAAGTAAACATTAAATCAATAAATTTTATAAATCCATCTGAAGATGCAATAGCTAATAATTGAGGTTGTAAATCTGTAATTTGATTTGATTTTTCAATTGACATAGTTGAAGTTATAGAAGTTATTGGTTTATGACTTAATTTAAAATGACCAATAATTTGATTTTTTGAAGTTGTTGCAAATGGACTTAAATCAAATTTTTTAAAAAATGTAACAAATTCATCTTTATCTTCAACTGTTTTTTTATAAGGAGATGCTTCTCCAGTAGGATTTATAATAGCCACTTCTCCATTTGAAAACCCAGCAACGATTAAATATTCGTAAAGATTATGTTGCATAATATGTAAAGATGATACACCTATAATTTCTAAAGATTCTTCTCGTATATTTGAATTGAAATTGATGTTTTTGATCTTCATATTTTTAGGCTTTATGATGGATATAACCCCAGAATGAAATCCAAGTACTATAATGAGTTCGTTATTTAAAGTGAAAGTAATTAGTGAAGTGATGATTGCAGAATGATCAAATTGAATTCTTAGTATAGGTTTTTCTATTAAATTTGTTGTTTGAGGCTCATTTCGTTCTATAGTGTTTGTGAATTCAAATGTTTCAGACAATCCAATTATATTCAAAACATTAACATTTGAAGAAACTAGTAGCTTAGTATATGAATCAAAATTATCATTAGTTTCCCAACCAGATACTTCATCTTGTATATTTAAATAATCATCTTCATTAATCAATAATTTCTCCAAATTTAATACAATTTTAAAAGGATTCTTCAGTTTAAATTCAGGTTTTAATTCAATAATAGTAGTCAATGCTCCAGGATTTAAACTTGGATTTCTAAAAGGATCTTGTATTAAAGGATTTACATTTGCTCCAATATGTAAATTACCTTCTTGAGCTCTTTCAATCAGTTTTATTTTATTATTAAAATCTGATACAATATGTCTTGGTAATGAAACATAACTAGTTGATTCATAAGGTCCCATTGGTGGTCTTGCTATATTTAAATATCTATCTTCTAATACTAATTTTTTAATTGTTTTACCATTTAGTATAGGCCATGATATTTCTTTAGTTTGTTGAGGTATATTATTCGGTAAATTGTAGAATGTATTATCACCTAATTCATTGTAGGTTGGACACACTGAATTTAAATATATTGATGCATTAGAGGTTGGTGTATTAATTTGAGACATATTTGGTTGAACAAGTACATCTAGATCTTGGTGATATCTTTGGTATATCAATTGAAAGTCCGTTATAATTGATTCTATCTACTTGAATAATTTTGTGTTTCAAACGGATTTGAATTTTGATTTTGAAATTTTTTTTTCAAATTTAACCAAAGCTAATAAAGGAATAATCAACCACACAATGTTCAGACTAATACCGAGACAAAGGATAATACCCAGCTTATTCAAACCCAGTTTAAGATTTAACACAACAATTCCAGACTCATCAGTTCCAAAACCTCAACAACCAACACAACAGAAAGACACTAAAATAAATATAGATGAATTATTAAAAAGTTCAATACCAGAATTATCATTTCAAGATTCAATATCTGAAAGATTTGGATTTGATACAAATAGACAACAAACTCCTAGAGAAGTAGCAAAGGGAATAAAAGAATTTGGTACAAATGCTGGTAGATCAATAGATGTAAATTATAATAATTTATCAAGAACTTTTATTCAAATTAAAAGATTAAATAATGAGAATAAAATTAAATATTTACAAAAAATTCAATCAAGATATATAAGACCTGCTAAATATAGAAAACAATTGAAAAGAGAATGGTGGAGAAGAAAATTCTCATCTGGATTTAAAGATTTATTAGCTCAAGTCAATGATGCAAGAAGAAGAGGTTATTAAAACAATCTTAAAGGATATTCAATTAATGTAATGTAAATAAAATGCAAAATAACTATACCTTAATACTCATTTATGTCTTCACATCTGGTTCCTCTTTACCTAAAAATTGTTTAAATTTTAATAAATCTAAAACAAAGTCAATATCTTTTTTCAAATATGTATCAACATTAACTTGATAAGTTGATTTATCATTTGAATGTTTTTCTAAATATAATCTAACTGTTGCACCTGATGAACCAGTTCCAGATAATCTAACAATAAATCTTAAACCATTTTCAAATTTTATAAATAAACCTTGATTTGATGATACAGAACCATCCAAATCAGTATATGAAAAATTACCTAAATCTTTTATAATATAACCTGGTTTTAATTCTTCACCTGGTTTTGAAGTATCAATTATTTTTTGTAATAATCCAACTAATTCATTAGCTCCTTCACTTGATACATTTTCATAATCATATCTTGTGAAAAAAGTTCTACCATATTTTTCCCAAAATGAATTTTGAACAATTTCAATTGATGTTTTATCATTTGGATTTTGCTTGTTGTAATCAGCTAAAACATTTAACCATGCAACTATAGCCCATAAACCATCTTTTTCTCTAATGTGATTTGAACCAGTACCAAAACTTTCTTCACCACAAATACTTAATTTATCATTATCAAATAATGAACAAAAAAATTTCCAACCAGTGGGGACTTCATAACAGTCTAATTTTTTATCTTTTGCAACTAAATCAATAGCTCCTGAAGTTGGCATTGATCTAGCTAATCCATATATTCCCTTTTTAAAATATGGAATAGAATCTGCATATTCAGAAATAATAGCAACTGAATCACCAGGTGAAACAAATGTTCCAGCTCCATATATCATATTTCTATCACCATCACCATCTGATGCTGCACCAAATGCAATATTTTCTTTATCTACTCTTTCAACTAATGTTGAAGCATATGTTAAATTTGGATCAGGATGTAATCCTCCAAAATCTTCCAAAGGTTTAAAATTTTGTATAGAAGATTCTGGTAATCCTAATTCTTCAATAAAAATTTTATAACCATAAGGTCCAGTTACTCCATTTAATGCATCAAATAATACTTTGAAACCATTTTTAGTTTCTTTATCCAAGAAAGATTTAATTAATGGAAAATCAAATATATTTTTTAACATTTCAACATAATCTTTAGTTGAATCAATTACTTCAACTTCAATTGGTCCAATTTTTTGTTCTCCAATTTTCGAAATATCAATTTTTGGTAAATTTATAATTTTATAACTCTTAAGAGTTTTTGAAATTTCATAAATTTTATTAGTAACTGATTCAGGAGCTGGTCCTCCATTTCCTAAATTATATTTTATTCCTAAATCATTTTTAGGTCCACCTGGATTATGACTAGCAGTTAAAATAATACCACCAGTTGCTTTTAAAATTCTTATAATATGAGAAGTAGCAGGAGTAGATAATATACCATTTTGTCCAACTATAATTTTTTTGACTTTATTCGCTGCTGCTATTTCTATAATGAGTTGAATAACATGATCATTATAATATCTACCATCACCTCCTACAACTAATGTTGCATCAGTAGAGCCCTCAGGTATAGCATCTAATATTGATTGCAAGAAATTTTCAGTATAATGATCTTGTTTAAAAATAGTGACCTTCTTTCTTAAACCTGAAGTCCCTGGTTTTTGATCTTGGAATGGTTTAGTATCAATTGTTTCTACCTTGTAATCAGACATCTTTTTCAATTGGTATATGAAGCTGTTTAAAACTCAATTGCTATATTTTGGTAGGATGTAATAAAAAATCTGTTGGAATTTAAAACAATTACAGATTCGAGTTTTTGTGTATAAAATAGGACAAATGTATATTGTAGACCAATTGATGAACTTTCTAAATTTAACTCCTACTGGATTATGAATAAGTCAAAATAATCAGCAATTGATTAAAAACTGAATTGACTACTGGACACTCAAATATTCATATCAGTCAACTTAAAAATTAAAATTATAATTTCTAACCACTCCCCACATGAGACTTGTAGAAATTTAGACGTATTACACAAAATAGAGCAATTTAAAAACTATTAATTTCAATGTCATAAATTAAAGGACATCAATCTCTCAATTTAAAAAACCCTCAAAACACAACGTTTGACCTACTGCCAAACCCATGAAGCTATCTCATTTTAGATTAAGCGTTATTACCACGTTGCAAGAATCGTTGGAGAATATTGTCATTGGGATTTAATGCTAACCAAATGAAAATTAAACTAAAATCTAATTAATTTTGCAATCAAATTCGAATAAAAGAATTGAAAAAATACTAATTGAATCATCGAATTTTATAAGCTACACTAAGGCCAATTATCATCCATACCAATGGCTCTGTTGTTAGCAACGGTAAACGCCTTATTCTACTTCCAGCTTATCAACTTCAAATGACATCTTTTCCCGACTGATGCATGTAACATAATCACGTGATAAGTCACATGACTCAAAGATCATTGTTTACTTTTATTTTCACGTCTTAAAACTCTGAAACACGTAAAAGATTAGCCCAATTTATTACCACCAAAAGTGTTCGAACTATATCATGAGTGATTTAAATGTGTTTGTCACCTCAGATTTAACTTCATCGGAAAGAAGGATTTCACCTCAATGGAATTTAAAATACCTCAAACAAAAATTAGAACAAATAACAGGAATTGAACCTCAAAATCAATTAATTCAATATTTTCCAAATAAATATTCAAATGAGTTTATTAAAATCACAACACAACCCAATGAAAATGATGAAGATGTATTATTATCAAGTATAAACATCAAAAATTATAGTAGAATTCATATAATTGATTTAGATCCAAATTCAACTACAAATCAAATATCATCTGTTATATCCCCATCAGTACAAAATCAACAAGAAGAATTCAAATTATCGGAAGAAGAATATCAAAAAAGACAAGATTCAGTATTGTCATGGAAACAATCCCAAAAATTAGGAAGATTTGATCCTGATTATGAAATTTTGCAAAAAAAAATAGAAAAAGAAAATCAAGAACAACTAAGTAAAATAAAAGTAGGATTAAGATGTAGAGTTATAAATATTGAAGGAGAAAGACGTGGAACTGTAAAATTTGTAGGGAAAATTGAAGATTTAGATCAAAGTAAAAATGATTGGGTTGGGATTGAATTTGATGAACCTGTAGGTAAAAATAATGGTGATATTGATGGTATACAAATTTTTGTATGTAAACCAAAACATGGGAGTTTCGTTAAACCGAAACAAGTTGAAGTTGGAGACTTTCCTGAGATAGATCCATTCGATGAAGATGATGATGAAGATATGGATGAAGAATTGTAAGAGAGAAAGCGTAAAAAGTAAATAGATAAAATATAAAGCCGAGACCAAAATAAACTCCGATTGATCTTTTGAAAAAAAAAGTTGTTTCACCCTTCAGTTATTGTAAAGTTTCCAAACGATACTTAGTTCACAACATTCATGGCAAGATGGCGTTTGAAGAAATATATGATTACGTAGAAAGAGATACATTCAAAAAGTATTTTAGATTGACAATAGTGCTTTGTGCATATTTCATATTTAGAAAATACTATTCACAATGGGCGTCAAGAAAACAAACAGAACATCAATTAAAACAAGATGAACAAGAAAAACTAGCAAAACCCTTAAAAGAAGCTGAAGCTCAACAACAAATTGAAGAAAAATTAGAAAAAGAAGCAAATGAATTTGGATGGGGTAAGAAGACCAGAAAGAATGTAAAAATCACTGAAGCAGTATTGGAACAAATCGCAGCTGAGACGAGACAAAGACATCAAACCGCTTATAATGCACAGGAAGACGCTGATATTGAGGACTTACTCGAGGATTAGACATATAATGCTGGATGGAGGAGGTTTTAATTTATTACTAATAATAATAACAATACTTAATTATCAAATAACGCGCGCTTTATTCTACGCATCTTTTTTCAGATGCCATCTCTCTTAACAAAAAATTAAATCAATAGATCTGAAAAATAACCATATTATACAAAGAATCAAAATAAATTACTAGTTCATAAGATATGGCAGGTGATCCGTTTTTATCTGATCCCTCGAAGAAAAGAAAACGGAATTCAAGAACAACATCAACAACATCACAAAATAAAAAATCAAGATCATCAACACCACAACCATCAAAAAGATCAAATACCCATGATGAAGAAATATCTAGTGACAGTGACGAAGAAGACGAAATACTAGATCAAGATGACGGAAGAGCAGATGAAGATATACTGTCAGATGAAGAATTTGAAAATGAAACAGCAACAGATAAAAGAAGAAGATTAGCCAAACAATATCTTGAAAATTTAAAAAATGAAGAATTGCAAAATGATGAATACGATGCACAAGATTTAGATGATGAAATTCTTTCACGAAGACTACAAGTTGATGTAGCAGAAACTAAAGGTCATGTATATAAATTTTGGGGTGATAAAATTTCACAACAATTAGATGATGATAGTCATCAAATTAAATTAATAACAACAAGAATAGGATCTAAAAATGTAACTGATATGTGTATACATTATCCTTATCTATATACTGTTTCAAAAGATATAGAAATCATAAAATGGAATATAGGTAATACTCAAAATACTAATAGGAAACCAAATAGAATAAAGCATACAAAAGGTGGACCAAAATATTTCAACCTAAATACATTACAACAACAACTTAATCATCATTGGGAACAAATTAATTGCATAGCGGCTTCTCCAGATGGGAAATACATAGTCACAGGAGGTTCAGATTCAAGACTAATAATTTGGTCTAGTGAGAATTTAGTATGTTTAAAAGTATTAGAAACCAGATCAGCAGTAAATTCAATATCATTTAGGAGAAATAGTGATCAGTTATTTGCAGCATGTGCAGATTTAAGAATAAGAACATTTTCAATAAATCAATTCACTCAGTTGGAAGTACTATATGGACATCAGGATAATATCTCGGATATATCATCTTTAGCTAGGGAAACTTGTGTGTCTGTTGGAAGTAGAGATAAAACTGCCATGTTTTGGAAAGTTTCAGAGGAAACAAGATTAACTTTTAGAGGTGGAGATTCTGTTGAAAAAAAACAGCTGAAAAAACAAATAAAACATAAAAGTAATAGTAATGATAATGATAATGATAATGAAACTCAAGCGAAAGAACCATTTCATAATGAAGGATCGATAGATGTTGTAAGTATGATTGATGAATCTCATTTCGTTACTGGATCAGATAATGGAAATATAGCATTATGGTCATTAGCTAAGAAGAAAGCACAAACTACCAAGAGATTAGCTCATGGCTTACAACCACAATTTAAACCAGAAGAAGCAAGTGCTGAATCTTCAAAAGAATTAGCCACGCGACAAATACCTGAACCTCAACCATATTGGATTACAGCAATACATGCACCAGCTTATAGTAATATTTTTTTCAGTGGTTCATTTGGAGGGACAGTCAAAATTTGGAAATTAGATGAAACACTTAGATCATTTAGTTTAATAGGAGAAATAGAAAATTTAAAAGGATTTGTTGTTAAAATAGATAGTGTTGAAATTCCAGAAGCTAAAAAGTTAAAAATATTCGTTTTATTAGCTAAAGAACATAAATTTGGTAGATGGTTTAGTAAATTACCTGGAGGAAGAAATGCATTAGTTAGTTTTACTTTTGATATTTAAAAAAAAGTAAATAACTTCATTAATATACATTCATTTTGTAAACTTTTTTAAATTCATAACTCTATAAAAGATTCTTCTAGAACGCTGCTTCATGATCATCTCCATCATCATTGCCCTCATCATCATCACCTCCATCGAAGTATTGTTCTGCATTATAATCATCATCTTCATCATCATCAAATTCATCATCCATATCTTCTTCTTGATCACTCGGCACTTCATCAGCGTCATCTTTTTTGTTATCATCTTCATTACTTATTTTATTCATCATTTCTTCTCGTATTGATTTTGCTTTAGCTTCTGCATCCATATTAGCTAATTTTTCTTCACTTAAAAATTCTTCAATACCTCCATTAGCTGCAAATTTTGAAGAAAGATATTTCTTTTTATTTTTATTTGATATACCCATTACTGAATAAAGTTCTTCTGGAAAAAATTGTAATTGATAAGGATGTTCTTGAATAGTTTTACCTATTTTTTGTACTTTTTTATATCTATCACTATATCGTTCTATTCCATCTTCATTTATATTATTTAATATTTGTTTGTTGGTAGTTTTTTGTTGTGTTTCATCTTCTTGATCTTCACCTTTTCTCCTTTTTTGATTTTGATCTAATTTTCCCGTATAGAATGCACCATTTGATACTAACTTTTGAAAATTAATTGATTGTTTAGCTGCTAATGTTTCTATCTCTGATGGTTTATTATTGACAGGTAGTATATATTGTGGTTTTTCAGTTGTGTTTTCCGTTGTAACTACGTCAGCATAATCCAAACCAAACGGTAGTAGAACTCTTGCTTGACCTCTATTGCCACCTCCTCTGAAGGACATTTTTATTATCTGGTTATAGATTCTTTTGGTGTTGTATGTTATTAGATGGTCTACAATATTTTGATTTTGTGCTTTGAAAATTTATTTTATGAAAAAAGAGAGGATGAACATATAAAAAATGTTACAGTGGGAAAACTAGTACGATAGATAGGTCGATAGATGTAAATACCTTTGACTCAATCTTGCCCGAAACCTGCCCAAGGCTGGCTACAAAGCTACCGATGGCTCATCTTAGTCTCAAGATTTTGCAGCTAAAAGATAGCAATTTCTTTTACGTTTTAGAACTGTTAATCGTTAGTTCAAAAACAAATGTTAGATCTTTTTAAAGCTATATCGATGCTAAGCATAAATAATTGATAACTGTAGAGATACTGATTATGCACTTGTTAACATGATATCGTCACATCTGTTCTTCAAAACTTTTTTTAGTACCAGAAAAGTTTGATGGCTCTCAAATATTAAAATAATGAAAATTTGAACCCTTCATAAGTGACAGCGGGATCATCTTCAAGTACAATGATGATAAAAACCAATAAATGATTGATGGAACAGACAACTTTGTCAAATTTTAAATCAATTCTGACAAACTTTTGAAATTTGACATAAACTCCATATAAAATCCTAATTGGGTTAAAAAGTAAACAAAAGAATTTATATCAAATAGGCAATGCTTTACTTTCAATGATCATGAATTATTAGTTGGTCTAACCACAACAAATTATAATTTTGGAAGTCAAGCAACAAATCTAAGGCAATTATAATAAAACCCACAATGCCTTCATCTATACTGACATCAACAATGTCACCATATCATTCTCAATATTTGAATAACCTAAGAGATGATTCTTCAACAAACATATATCCAGATTCAGCAGATGGAACTTTAGTAGTTATGATAGTACGAGCGAAACATTTACCAAATAGAAGAAAATTAGATAAACAATCACCTTATGTAGTTATAAGATTAGGAACAGATGCAAAAAAAACAAAAGCAGATTTTAGAGCTGGTCAAACTCCAGAATGGACTCATGAAGTAAGATTTAATATTAATCGAGATAGAAAACCACTTTTAAAAATAGATATTTTAGATGAAACTAAAAATGATCCTACACCAATTGGTAATTGTGAAATTGATGCATCTATTGTTTTTACACAACCTTCAAATGAACAAAATGGGAAATATATTTATGATAAATGGTATGATTTAACTTATAATGATAAAAGAGCAGGAATGTTGTATCTTGAAATGACATTTTACCCAAGTGCACCAGTACTACCTCCAAAAATCCCATCTAATGATAGTTACGAGTATCACCAGACTTTAAATCAACATTATCAAGATTTTGAATCTCCTATATCAACATCACCAATTAAAAATGAAAATGCAATTCAAGATGTATTTGTATCTCTGGAAAACTCAAATTCAAGCAAAAAATCATCATTATTTCTGAAAACAAATCAATATTTTACTACATCAATGGATTCAAATAATTCAAATAGTCATTCAAGTCATGAAAAATCAAATGAAGTATTTGTACAATTATCTAATAGAGATGGTTCAAAAAGTCCTAATAAATTTAAAGCTAAATTTTCAAATTTTAAAGATAAATTCCAATCTAAACAACCTTTATGGGGTAAAAATGATGGCAATTACATTTCAAATGGATATAAACGAAATATTTCACCAATAAGTGCATATGAATCAAATGAAATAGATAATTTAGAAAAAGAAATATCTCGAAGTCAAATTGGTTATGGGAATAATATTAATTTTCAAGATGATGAAAATGATGATATAAACTTTAGATCTCCTCCTACTCCACGACATCATCAAAATTTAGAAAATCATTCATCAATTCCTGTAACACCAGATAAAACTCCAACTCCCCCAATACATAAAAAACCATTACCATCAACACCAAGACGTAAACCTCCAACATCTTCTCCATCATTATCAAAAATTGATTTTAAAGATAGTACAGCAATTCCATTTTCAGCAGATTCAATAGGAGTTGATGATGACGATGAATTACAAAATCATTTACCTACAAAAGTATATTTATTTGATGAGCCTGTAAAATCATTAACATATAATGCAAAAACTGGATCTAGAACTCCAGAATTGGATAGCAAACAATATAAAGATGAAATTGATCCTCAATATTATGCACCAACTCCAAGTGAACATTTTAATAGAAAAATGAAATTTGAAAATGGAGGAATAACAAAAGATGATTTAAAAATTGATATGAGAACTAAAAAAACTGGATATTTAGGTAATGGAAAATTTAGTCCTAGTGTTTTTCAAAAAGCATCTCATATTAATCCAACTACTACAGGTAGATCATTTAATATATATGATGAGAGTGATGACGAAAATGATGATGATGATGAACGAAATAAACCTATGGTACCACCAAAAATACCGAATGGATTAAATGCTATAGAATATTATATTTTGGAAAAAGAGAAAGTAATAAAAGATTTTCAAGGTAGAAGAGCATAGACAATAGACAATGTTATAGATTAATTTTTATTTAGTACGATAACAATACATTTTTATTTTGGTATTAATACAAATATTTAAAAGAAACAACGGGATTAATGTATAACAATAACAAGGACATTTTCAAAAACTTTTACAAAATTGCGGCAATTAAAGCAAAAATACCAGCTGCAGCACTAATACCATGTACATATCCAGCATCTTCACTTTCTTCTGGAGCAATAGTAACTATTTCATTGACTGTCTCTGTGAATAAACTTTGAGATGATGATTCAATAGGATCTTCTGTAATTTCTGTATCAATTTGAATTTCAGTTGGTAAATCAATTGATGATGTATTAACTAATTTTTCTGGAATAACGGTAACAGTAACATAAGTTATTGAATAATTTCTACTTTGTTCAGTAGCAACTTCAGTTTCAGTAGCAGATTCAATAGCTTGAGTTTCACTTGCTAATGATTCATAATAAGCATCGAGTGAAGCTTGTTGTGCTTCAGCTGCAGCTACAGATGCTAATGAAGCAGCTTCAGCTTCAACTGATGCAACTGATGCAATTGATGCTTGATATTCTGCTTCCATACTAGCTGATTCTTCTGGAGTATATAAAGTTTTGGTTATTGTAATAGTTGAAGTAATGGTAGTATCAATTTCTTCTGATTTAATCAAACAAGCTGATAAAATAGTTGATAAAATTAATTTTGAAAATAACATTTTTGGTGGTATCAAGTTTTTTTGATTTGGAATATATTTAATTTAAAATAAGTGGTGGTATAATTTTATAAATTCAATAGTAAAATATTAATGAAAGACTAGGGTAAGAAATATATTTGAATATGAATATAAAAAACAAGTGTTGATTGTTTGTTTCACAATATAGTCATAAAAACTTTTGGATTTGATATGTAAGTAATTAAAACAAAATGATAATTAAAATTTTTTTCCATTTAAATAGGAAATATGATTGATTATAAAGTAAACAAATCAAATTTAAAATATTGGTTGATTTTTTTGTTTATATTTTCAAATAGGATTATTAAAAGTTTATTATTTTTAAAAATTTTCTGGTTTTTCTTTTTTTGCAGTCTATTCAATGTAGTACAAAAGCTTGTTTTCAAATTATTGGGTTATTTTAAATCATCATATTGATTATAAAATAATATATTTTCACACGAAAATAAGTCTAGATCATTCATAGAACTATCTGAGCATATATTAGTATGTATTTCCAAAATTACATAGAAGTTTCTTTCGTGATTCTTTCCATTGTACAGATTGCAATTTCTGTTTGTTTCAAGATTTATAAATTTGGTGTCTCAGATTTACGAGTTCTTTTTTTTCTCAAGCCTATTCAGTGGAAGTGAAACGAAATTTTAATTCAACAAATGTTTGTAATAAGGTTTTGATTAGGAAATGCTTTAACTATTCTGGGTAGTTAAGGATATAGTAATTCATTAAAAAGTTTAAATCAAGCTTTTAAGTACTTTTAACGACTATTAGTCTAGTGTTATAAGTAGTGTAACATAATCTAAATAATATTTATTATATGCATGCAATTAGTGTAAAACACAAATTATATTTATTTACGAATTATAATTACATACAAATTCTACTTTATATGCAGTATTTATTGTATACTCACAAATGGGTTTAAAAAACCCTAATAACCTTTAATCTTGTCGGCCACTTCCACTAATACATGTCGTGTGCTGTTTAATGAAACAGCCGTGTTATATTTTATTGCAACATAAGTACACCAATCATCAAAAAGATTAATAACCAACTAGCTCATTTATCAGTAAGGGCATGATTCAAATCGATTTATCGTTCTTACTCGACAATATCGTGTTATTGAAATAATATGCAAGATCCTGCAAGTTCAAATTTGTGAATTTTGATTTTTAGTTTCCTATTCGAGTGAGCCATACTTTGATTTCTTTTAACTTTAAGTGACCCTATTTTAGAGGCACTTTGAGTATGATTGTTATAAAGGTGTCACACTCAATCTAGTTTGAATCAAATTAGAACTTTAAATGTTCTGTCGCTTGCTGATACTTAAAGCGTAAATTCCAGGTTAGATTTGCTGAAACACTATGTAAATTGCGCCATTAAGGGTCTAATCCAATTTTTTTGTATGTTTAATTGCTTTTCTCTCAATCATTCATTCACTCTTTGACCTCATCATTTAGTTCTTTTATTTCGTTGATTTCTTCTGATGTTAAGATGGTGCCATTGCCATTTTGGCTTGATTGAATTCCTGAACTTCGATCGTCTACTATTTTGGACAGTCCCTCCAAATTTGATTCTATATCTTTTTTCGATTCTTCTTCTAAAGTTTCCTCCATTACAACATCTTCTATATTCTTTTCACCGATATCTTTTTCATCATCATTATAGAATTCCAGTCCATTTTCAATTCTTTTATCAACTTGCATTTGTGATCCACCTTTTGTATCTATTACTTCAGGCATATCTTCATCAACATCACCATAATCTTCCATATCAAGTGGAACATCTTGCATTTGTACTGAAGGTGCATGTTTAGTATGATCTAAATTAGATAACACTTGAGTTAATAATTTATTTAAATATTCTTTTGAATTGGCATTATTCATATTTGAAGCTCTAACATCTAATTCATATGTAGGTGCATAATATTCATAATATCCATTATATGGTAATTCTTTAGGTAGTATCAATCCATTACATATTCCTGTTTCAAAAGCCCAAGTTCTTGCTACATTCCTTATAGTATATCCTCCCCCACCTAAAACCATCATTGGTAATCCTAATGATCTCACAAAACTAACACAATTTGCATGACCTCTCATTGAAAGATTAAAAGGTCCCAATCTATCACCACTTAATGAATCACCACCACATTGTAGTACAATAGCTGATGGTTGATACCATTCAACAATCTTACTTATTATTGGTTCAAATATTGATTTATAAGAAGCATCATCAATCCCATCTCTTAAAGGAATATTTACAGAATGATATTTTCCTTTTCCAATACCTATATCACCAACATTTCCTGTACCTGGAAAAAACTCTCCAAATTTATGAAAAGAACATGTCATTACTCGATCATTGGTATAAAATGCTTCTTCAACACCATCCCCATGATGAACATCCGTATCAATGTATAAAACTCTTGGATGTTTTCTTAACAATTCAATAATTGCCAATACAATATCATTAGTATAACAAAATCCAGAAGCTTCTGATTTTTTAGCATGATGTAAACCACCAGCATAATTTATAACAATATCAGCACTTCCATTATTTAATCTAGCAGCACCTTCCATTGATCCACCACATGATATTTTACAAAATTCATTTAATCCATCAAATACTGGACAATCTTCTCCAACATTAAATATTGTAGCTTCTCTTGGAAATAAATGTAAATTATCTGGTGTAACACGATCTATAAAATCAATATATTCATCTGAATGAAATTGAGTTAATTCTAAATTTGTTGCTGGTTGTGCTCTATATATTTCCATTTTTTTATTTAATTCATAATTCATTATTAATGAATGAGTCATCCTTATTCTATGTGGTTTCATACAATGACCTGTTCCATAAAAATAATTACCTACATCTTGATCATAAAAGTAGGCTACTCTTCTATTATCGGGTTTGACGTCTAGTTCGTCAAACGGTAGTTCTTGATACATAGTGTAAAAACTATTCTAGTGTATTTTTGCTTGAATTTTTAGCTAATAAGCCTGGGGATTGTTGTCTGTGTTGTTTTCCTGGGTTACTTAAGATTTGATGTTATTCATAAACTTAATTTACATCTTTTCATAAATTCGATCGGTTATTGACTTTTGGTGCGGCTTTAATTTTGTTTCACCTAAATAATATACTTACTTAGTTTTCAATTTTACAATTTATCAAAGAGTTTCATTTTAGTCTTTAGTCTATAAGATATATGCATTATTGTCTCTATAACGTGTGGTTTAATCCCAAACTCATACATTTTTTTTATTTGCTCTTCCACATTCATCCAATTTATAAATTCCAGATAAATAAGCTAACCTAGTAACAACTAAATCAATAGCCATTTCAATTGAATCTCTTGCAATATCAATTTTTGAACCATCAATTTCTTGCCAATTTACTGCAACTTCTTTCATTTTCATATTTTGTAATTCACCAAGTAATAAAACTTCAACATCAAATATCCATCTTTCTGTATGCATATGAGGAAAAATACCTTGAATTGCTTTTGAATTAAACATTTTAAAACCACATTGAGTATCTTGAATTTTTCTTATACCAAATATATAAACTAATGTATGTAATCCATACATAAGGAAATTTCGTATTAATGATCTTTTAACAACTGCATCTGTATTAACCATATGAGCTCTTGATCCAATTGCAACTGCAGGTTGGTTTAGATCCACGGAATTTAAAAATTCTAGTAGTTTTGATATATCTGAAAATTGAGTTGCTCCATCTGCATCAGCAAATAATGAGTATTTACCTTGAGAATGTAAAAGACCATGAGTAACAGCTCCACCTTTGCCTCGATTTTTGGCCAATTGTATAACTTTCATAATGTGAGGAGTAAGTTTATGTTGATTTGCTAATTTAATAGCATATTCACTTGTTCCATCGGATGATCCATCATCAACAATTATAATTTCATATTTACCATTATAATGTTTTTCAAGATATTCAATTGATTCGTCCAACATTTTACCTAATCTTTTAGTCTCATTATAACACGGTATAATAATTGATAATTCATATTTTGGATTTACAATTGGGTCTTTCGACGTTGATCTTGGTGGTAATGGATATGATTTGTTAAGATTATCGTTTGTCTTGTATGTTGATTCACCTTCTATTGGTAATCTTGGTGTATGAGAAAATAAGATAATAACAGCATATACTGCTAGCAATAGCACCAACGCTATTACCGATATATACAAATACATTGTAGTTTTATTAATACATTTGGTTGATGATGTGTTGTGTTGATTGTCTATCTTTTAAAAAATACGTCAAATCTTGGAAGGAATAATTTTTCAAAAAAGGTTTAGAACGAACGAAACACAAAAATGTTCCTTCATTTTAAGATCTTGTATTCACGTGTCTCAATTTAAGATGCAAAAGGTATACATTTAAAAATGGTTTCAGTGTTGTTATCTATGATTGATTTAGACTACTCAGTTTGATTGTTCATTTGAGTTGATATTAGTTTGAAGAAATTGAGATAGAGATATTTTCATTCCATGTGAGCTTTATTTACAATTTCAGACTTCAGATAATCTGTACGGTAATGAATACTTAATTTTAGAGTATGTTGTTCTCGGAATATTCTTAACAAAGGACTTACAGCCAGATCTACAATAAGTTAGTCGTATTAACAAGAACTCATAAAACCTTTTGTTACATTTTCATTTACTAAATTCCTAAAATCAAGTGGTTTCATAATACGATCAATTGCGAAACAAATATTCCAATTCATGAACTTTACTTATTTCATATTAATTGATCTAATTGATCAAGTATTATTGATTGCTTTTGACCCTTGAAATGTTTGATACCTTACCATTGAGAACATAAGCTTGATCAAGAAATGTATTAAATGCATCAAATAATTCCAAATTTGAATTTATATGCTTTTGATGAAGTTGTTTCAATGAATTTGGAATTCTTTCATCGTGACACTTCATTTTAACTTCAAAATTGTCATGTCTTTTGTTTTTAAAATGACCATACTTATCAACATTTTCTGATCTACCTTGATGAACTTTATTCAATATATAATCAGTTGAATTGGAACTATGTGTCCATTTGTATTTACTTCTAATTCTTCGAAAAACTAAAGGATTGTCCTTTGCTATTTTGTCAAACTCTTCAAGTGGAATCGGAGCTGAAATTGACCTGGTGATTGTTACTTTGAGATCATAATTCAAGTGAGGTAAATGAATATATGTCATTGGATCTCTTTTTTTAGTTTTTAAAGCTTTGTATACTCTATTTTCATTTGAAAGTACTATATTTTTGCCCCCAATACGATACGTAGAGTCTATTCTAAGAAAGTCACCCACTTCATGTGTTTGCCAATTTGCAGTGTTTTCTTGATCGCATTGTTCAGTTAAAAATTTCTTAATTTTTTCCCAGTTAGGTTTAAACACTTTGAATTCAAATCTAACCAGTTTTTTATTCGAAATGATACCTGATTTATCACTCTTGATTCTAAATCCATTTGTCTTACTCAAGATTTGACCAAATTTTATGTTGATTCCAAACTTTTCAAATTCATCGTCTGAAAAATTTTTCGTAGTACGAATTAACCATTCACAAATTTCTTTTACCAACAGCTCATCCATCACTTCAATTTTAAGACAGTGGTTCTTGTTTGTACTTGATAAACATATTAAAAAACATATAACTATGGGCAATTTTAAAAATCAATGTGGACGACAAATACCCCTTAGCCAAGAAAACAGTAATATTTTAAAAACCAAAAGTTGGTATAAATCCATATGAAATAAAAAAGTAACTTAATTCATTTTTGAAGAAAAATGCTAACTCTGTATTTCAAAAATATTGTTTGTGACCAAATAATCATAGGCTTAAAATAGTATAACATCCTCTGTAGGTTCTAACTTAACTTGAGTTGAGTTTCAAGCGATCAATTTTTGCTGTTTCATGTTTCACGTATATGCAACTTCACTAAATAATAAATTTTAAACAAATCAGAAGAAAAATTTGAACTCTTGAAAATTCTTTACAAGTTTGAACATCAATTTATCTGGTTTGTTCGAAATGAGCCAAACAATATCTTAGTATGCAAGAATAAGATTACATATATATATATCGTTTCAATTCATTTAAAAGTTACATTGATCATAGTTGTCGAAATCTACAAAACCTATTTGTTTCTTCAGTGGTAAATCATTATTACTTAAATTAATATTAATTCTGAATCTTTATACTTGTCATAATGTTCTTCCAATAGAATTACTATTTTCCCATATACTCAATTCGACTTATACTTAAATTGATGCCTATATTAAACTTTCGAATTCGTCTTCGATATTGCACTCATGATTTTCTCGGATCATAAGAGTTTTAAGATCATAAACTTTAACATTCGTAATTTGTCGTGAAGTATAGTACCCTTTCGCTAATGTTCTCTTACCAAAATTTTATTCTTCAGTTTATAAATTGTTAGTTTGAACTTTGAGAACATAATTGATACATTCATTGGAATATAAACATAAACCTTAATACAAATACTTGATCTTTTCCGTATAATATTCGATAAATTTAAAATGTTAGTAATCCAAATCCGATAATTGAAATCTCCAAGAAAAGATTCAAGTTTATACTAATGACATAATTAATTTCAAATAATATTGTTTCAAAAAATTTCAATCTAATTTAATCAAATTCAATTATAAAGCTAATTTAGTAACTCTATTATTTAAAATTCTAGCATTATTCAAGAAAACTTCAATTAATTCTTCTAATCTAAAATTATCAATTCCTTGCACTATTTTATCAATACTTTGAAATAATTCTAAAGTATCAGCTTCCATTTCAATTTCATATTTTATATCATAATTTATAATTTTTTTACCATTTTTATTTTTAAATTCCTTGGGGATTAAAACTTTAGTTAAATCAAATTGAGTTATGGTTGCAGGGTGAGTAAAAGAAATTCTTTTTTTCTCTCTTGATAATTGTGGTTGATTTTTTGTTCGAATGGATTCTATATTTCCTTCTGGGACTGGAATTTCTAATGATAATGATAATCTTAAATCATACATTGATTGAGGATTATGAATATATAAATCTCCTATTCTTTCCTTTTGTATAGCTTCGAATCTTGGAGGATCTAATAAATTATCTTTTGAAATTCGAACTTTTCTTAAATGTTCTCCCTTTGAACCAATTTGATAAAATGAATCAGTTTTATCACTTTCTAAAATATTAAATTTTCTTCTTTGATGATGATGATGCGACTCCAGACTTCCATTTCTTTTTATATCTTCTTGATATGATTTTTCTAATTCATCAAAAAATTTTCTAATATCTTTAAATGCTAATTCTTCAACTTCCATATCAAATTTTATATTTGATTGATCAGTATATATACATTCTGTTATAACATTTATATTAATTCTATTTCCTGTTCTTTTATCAATAATTTTACCAAATTTTAATTCTAATTCAACATTTTTTCTATTTTTATCATCAATATTTGAAAAATTTGCATATATCCATTCAGATATTGTTCTTGTTATTGAATTTGGTGGTATAACATCTGTTATACTACATTTTAAATCAACATATCTAGTTGAATTACGATTTAATATTGATTTAGAAGATAGTCTTACAGAAGATTCTCCATTATTATTTATTGGTTCTCCTTCTTGTATATGTTGATTATTATATTTATTTTGTTGATTTGGTGGTATCCATCTTTGAGCCCATATAGGTGGTGTATCATATCTTTTTGGTTTATTTGATTTTTTTATCTTTTGGATTCTTGTTAAATCATCTTCTTCCGTTTCTGGAATAGTTTGTTTCTTTTCAGTTTTTGATGACTCCTGTTGTGATTGATGATTTAATATTTCTTGATGTCCATTGGAACTTTTATGATCAGATTCAGATTTTATTATTGGTTCTGGTTCAGGGTTCGTTATATTAGCAATACTATTCCTTTTTGATGTCACAGGACTAGACATAGAACTTGAATGACCACTATGAAAATGTGTTGGAACTGGTCTATTTGAAATATTTGGTGAATTGAAATTACTTGATAAACTCGGTTTTCTAAATTGATCATCTTGTTGTTGAGGTTGTTGTTGTTGTACTTGTGGTAATTTATCAGTTGATGAATGTCGTGAAGTATCTTGATCTTGTGCTGCATCATTCAACATACTCGTTATTGAATGCCTTTGATGCACTGATTGTGTTGATGACCTTGTAGAAGATACTATTGGAGCTGAATGATTATTATTAGATTGTTGAGGGAGAGGTGATGGATTGACTTGTGGTGATACATTTATATTTGAAGTTGTTGGTGATATTGATTGATTAGTTTCGTTTGAACTTTGTGGTGGATCATCATTTAATATAGAACCAACATTCATTATGTCTGGTGAGGTTTGACTTGATAAAGATTGATTATGACTAGTTTGTAAAGCTTATTACGTTTAGAATAATATTTTTTTTTATGTTTACAAAAATGAATTTTTTTTTTTTAGTCAGTACAATATTGTAGTAGAGATGTTTACTTATACAATGGCTGCAAAATGATACTTCATTAATGATTAACTTTTTAGTCAGTTCTGATAAATAAATATACAATAAATACATTTTTTATATAAATAGTTAGATTCATAATTTAGCTGATTCTAAATTTTTATCTAATCTTGTTTTAACAGCATCAATAAATTCTTCAGTTGTAACATAACTTGATCTATCAGTTTTACCTTGAGCTAAAGCTAAATCTTTTGTCATTTTATTATCAATTGATACAGTTTCAATAACTGCTTTTTCTAAATCTTCACCAAATTTTATAACTTTTGGAGTATCATCTAATTTACCTCTTTGAATTAAACCTCTTGTCCATGCAAATATAGAAGCAATTGAATTAGTTGAAGTTTCTTTACCTTGTTGATGTTGTCTATAATGTCTTGTTACTGTACCATGAGCAGCTTCAGATTCAAAAGCTTTTCCATCTGGAGTAGTTAATACAGAAGTCATTAAACCTAAAGAACCAAAACCTTGAGCAACAATATCTGATTGAACATCACCATCATAATTTTTCATTGCTATAATATAACCACCTTTTGATTTTAACATTTGAGCAACCATATCATCAATTAATCTATGTTCATACCATATACCTAATTTATCCATTTCTTCTTTATATTTTGTTGCATACAAGTTTTCAAAAATATTTTTAAATTTACCATCATATTTTTTTAAAATTGTATTTTTTGTTGAAGAAAATAAATTTAATTTTCTATCTATTGCTAATTTAAATGAACTTTCTGCAAAATCATTTATTGATTTATCAGTATTATACATTGATAATCCAACTCCTGGTCCATCAAAATTATAAACTGGATATTCAACTATTTCACTACCATCATTTGGTTTAAATACTAATTTTAATTCTCCTGATTTTGGTATTATTATATCAGTAGCTTTATATTGATCACCAAATGCATGTCTACCAATTATTATAGGTTTTTCCCAAGTTGGAACAATTCTTGGAATATTATTAATAACAATTGGTTCTCTAAAAACAGTACCTCCCAAAATATTTCTTAAAGTACCATTGGGGGATAACCACATTTTTTTTAAATTGAATTCTTTAACTCTTTGTTCATCTGGTGTTATTGTTGCACATTTTACACCAACTCCATATTTTAATATAGCATTTGCTGAATCTATAGTAACTTGATCATTAGTTTCATCTCTATATTCTATACCTAAATCATAATATTTTAAATCTATATCTAAATATGGTAAAATTAATTTATCTTTTATAAATTGCCAAATAATTCTTGTCATTTCATCACCATCCATTTCAACAATTGGATTTTTAACTTTAATTTTATTATTTGATGATTCTGACGACATTGTGGATATTGATTGTTTTGAGTTAGTCCGTGGTGGTTCTAGTAAGTGTTGATTAATTAATGAAATATATTTAATAGTAAATAAATAAGGAAAGTAAATGAGTATATAATTATAATATGGTAATACTCTTAGATCTCTATGAGATATGTTTTATTATTATTATTATTATAACTTGATAAAATGATGAATTAATATTCTATTGGATAATTGAAGTTTAAAAAATATTTATTATATTGAAGAAAACATTTGAATATATATATATACAACTGTAATGTAAATACAGGTTAATTATATATGGAAATATGTGGAACTATATAATAATAATAATAATGAATAAAATAAACAAAGGGTGAAAAACTTATATATTATTGACTCTATGTAAAATATCGGATAATTGAAAACAGTTTAAGAAAGTACGTCTACATTACAACGAGTTAGGTCGAGGAGATACAATTAGTTATCGATCAAATGACACTAAAGAAAACTGTGTAACCGAAGAATAAAACTTTTCACTTCGGGTGTAAAGTTAAAAGTAGTACTACCATTAATACATAAAAGGTGGGGTATTTTATCTAGTAAGCATTGTTAGATCAAATATGTATAATGGCTTAAATTTATATAAGCTTATTGTGTGGTAAGTTAAATTTATTAAATAATAATAAGAGTACTTACACAATTTATACCCGGGAGTTGAAACATATTTAAAATCAACTATATATAACTCAACAAAATATAATTTATTATTGTTGTTCAACAACTATATAGACAGGGTAAAGGAAACCAACAATATTTTAATATTCAATTACTAGTAATGAATAATACTAAACTTTTGGTGGTATTGTTTAAACAATACTCGCTTGCAATAGACTTCTGATTAAAGATCTTCTAAAAACTATTTAAATTTTAATTTCAGAGTTAAACAATAGAAGTCTTCTTTTCTCTTGTTTCTCTTGGTTTTTGACTTCCTTTTTATCTAATCAGTTAGTAAGTAGAATGTTGTGTCAAAACCTATCGGATATCAATTGGATAAATATTAAGTCTCGTTACTTTATATGTTGGATGGAAATATTATACAAATTTATAATTCCGTTTGTTTCATAGTTGTTTTAATTATTTTTAAGAGAAATTATTGAAGTAGATCAAAAGAAGTGTTCATTAAGTAAATTTGAACGGCATCAAATTAAATAAAACCGTTCGATTTTACCGATTTTGTGAATATAGATTATATTTTTGGTTGAAGCTTTACCCTGTTACTTCCTTTGATTTGGTAAACAATTTGAGTAAGTATTCAAAATTCTTCCGATTTCATCCCTGTTTGTACACCCTCATTAAAGGAAAATACATTTTTGTGTAGATGTACTAATTCTATTAATTTAGCCGCTTAAAATATTTGGTCTATCAATTCGGAGTTTTTGACTTCACTCAGTAGATCTAATACTATTCACGAGATAATAATATTCAACTACACTAAAATTACGTTAATAATAAGCAATTAGATATTGAAAGTATAATTACCATCAATTTAAGTCTCATACTTTTATTGAACTCATGAAGAACTTGCTTCATTGACAAGGTAAAAATTAAAAAAAAAAAATGAAGTTTTAGTAGTCAAACTTGAGTTCAATTCTGATTTTATAAGAGACTAATTCAGGTTATCTTAACCGTGTCAAGTTATTTAATAGATCTCGTATGAATTTTAAAGGTACATACATATATACAGTATTATTTGCGTTGATCTTAAAAAGATGAAACGTAAATTTTGTACTAAAAAGATTTAGTAATAAACAAACAAATTCACAGAACATATGCTTATTTTTTGCAATAAAAGAATCATTTGCCTAACAATTTAATTTAAAAAAGTTTGATCTACTTTTAATTTAATCCACGTTTATTGAGATTGAGTATAAAGTAATTTAGTGACCTATATTACGTTGATTTCAATCAAAAATTTGAAGTGCTCAATTATATCACCCAAATTTTGAACTACTACAACATCTACAATCTTATTCAGCTGTTGGTGGTCAGTCATATCGATAAATGATGATTAAATAGCTCTAAAACTTTCTAAAATCGCCGATTACACTGTGATTGATTCAATTTGAAATCAAGGGTCTAGGTGTCCCCACTTTTCTTGTCCTGAATTTGCGTCATCAAATTTTGTCTCAGATTTGTCTCAAAAATTTAAAATTACGATAAGAACTCGAATATTAAAATTTGGGTTGATACAAATGTTGTTAATCATGATTAAACCATCAAAGTTTATCTTATTGATAAAGATTTTGCACGAAGGTTCTAGCTAGAATGATTTTTTTTCTAATTCTTCAGTTGATGATAAGTTTGAAGTTACATTGACACGTTCACGACAAATTAAGTCAAAACAAACCTTTTAAGTTTGTCAGTTTTTTACAATTTGTAGATAGGCTGGTAAATCACAAGAGCTTCTTAGGTAACTTGCTGAGAAGGGTGATGGTGTTAGAGTTGAGTATATTCGTTGTATTTGAACTTCAGACTAATCCTTTCTTCAACTTTGGTGATTGTAAAGTGTTGTCTAATAAAAAAAAGTAAACAATAAAAATCACCAAAAATAAAAATAATATTTTTTCTTATTTGCAACATCAATTTTATAATTTATTATTTTATTTTACAACATTCATTTACAACCAAAGAAATATTATCTTTTCAAGTCTCAGATAATGTTCATGATCCATTTGTAACTATTCCATTCAAAATAATATGAATCACGTACCATCAAATAATATAGATCAATATTTGAAGGACAACACTTTTGAAAATCAACATAATCAAAATAATGACGTAATTAATAGCACCAACAACACTTCATCATCAACTTCAAATAGACTAAACAAATTACGGAACAATTTACAACAACATCATTCACAATATCAATCACAAGATCTGAGTATATTTTTACAACCACATCAATCATCATCATCAACAAAAACATTATTAAACCTTCAAAAAACGCGTTCATTTGAAGGAAATTCCTCAGATTTTTCAACTATTCATTCATCTTCCAAAACTCAACCATATGATCCCCACCATGCAAACCTGACTGATCATAGATTTTCCAAAACTATGCCATCAACACCAATGGTTGAATTTGATATAATTGCTAAAAAGAAATCATTAAATAAATTAAATATTAGATCTCAAGTTTTTAAAAATGGTATATTAAGTCCAAATATACCATCTTCAATAAAAAATCATTTTAAAAAAGAAAATAATAATCAAAATTTTATAAATGATGAAAGTGATGATGAATTAACTTCCTTACATCCATTAAAAACAAATGATTCATATGGATCAATAAGTTTTATAAGTAAATTAAATAATTCTTTTCAAAATATTAGAAATTTTTATAATGATTTTACAACTATTGATTGGGTAAAAGCTTATTTAAATGCAAATAAATTTAATTATTCTTTAAAAAAGAATAAATGGGTTAATAATGACAATAATGATAATGATAATGATAATGAATCTTTTGATTTTCATGAAATAATGAATAATAACAAGATACCATTTTTACAAAAACAATATTATATATTAGGTAAATGGATATTAATAATTTTAATTGGTTTAATTTTTTCAATTATTGCTTTTGTTATTGATAAATTTGAAATATTATTAGTTGGTTTTAAACATGGTTATTGTAAAACAAATTGGTTTGCAAGTCAAATATCTTGTTGTTCTGATATTATAAATGAACATAAAACTTTTATTCATTCTCCATTTAAAGAATTTGAAAGATGTGATAATTGGATAAATTGGTCAAGATTTTTTAATAGATATTGGTGGTTTAATGATAAAATTAGAATAGATTATATTATTTATGTTGTTTTATCAATATCATTAGCTTGTATTGCTTGTTTGATTACATTAACTACCAAAATAGCTGGAGGTTTAGAAGATGAAACAGTTACAAATACTAATGAATTCCATGACGAAGAGAATGAACAACAACAACAACAACAACATCCAATTAAGACAAGAATAATTTACACTGCGACTGGATCAGGTGTACCAGAAGTTAAAACAATTTTATCTGGATTTGTTATTCGTCGATTTCTTGGAGCTTATACACTTTTTGCAAAAACTATAGCATTGATTTTAGCTATTGCATCAGGTATGTCAATAGGTAAAGAAGGTCCATATGTTCATTTAGCTACTTGTGTTGGTAATATTCTTTCGAGATATTTCTCATTCATTTATAAAAATGATTTATTTGAAAAAGAATTACTTTCTGCAAGTGCATCCGCTGGTGTAGCATTAGCTTTTGGATCACCATTAGGTGGAGTTTTATTTATATTAGAAGAAATTAATAATTATTTACCAAATCATCAATTATTTCAAATATTTTTTTGTGCTATTATATCAACTTTATTTTTAAAATTTTTAAATCCTTATGGTACTGGAAAAACTGTTTTATTTGAATTAGAATATTATTCAGATTGGAGACCTATTGAATTATTATTCTTTGTTATAATTGGAATATCTGGTGGTATATTTGGAGCATCATTTGTTAAATTTATAAAATGGTGGCCTAAAAATTTTAGATCCTTGAGGTTTATAAAAGATAAACCATTATTTGAAGTATTTTTAATAGCTACAATAACTGGATTAATTACATTTTGGAATCCATATACTAAGCAAGCTTCTGCAGAATTAGTTTTAGATTTAGCTACATCATGTTCAGGTAGAGAATTAGATCGATCATTATGTCCAACAACAATTGAACAATTTATTAAAGAATTAGGTTCATTATCTTTAGCATTTATTATTAAAATAATTTTAACATTTATTACATTTGGATTAAAAATTCCTTCTGGTATTTATGTTCCATCAATGGTTGCTGGTGCATTATATGGAAGAATATTTGCAATGATTATTCAATGGATAAATTATTTTTTAAAAAAACAAACTAATTCAATTGAACCATTTGATATAATTTGTTTACCAAATTCAAAAGATTGTGTTGATATGGGAATATATGCAATGATTTCTGCTGGTGCTTTTATGGCTGGAGTAACAAGAATGAATATAACTATAGTTACAATATTATTTGAATTAACTTCATCTTATACTTATGTATTACCAATATCAATTGCAATAGCAGTTGCAAATTGGTCAGGTGGTTTATTAGAAAAAAATTCATTATATGAATCATTATTAATAAGTAATGATTATCCATTTATGTCACCTGCAACAGATCCAATAGATCCAAATATAAAAAGTATTGATATTATAAATAATGATTTATTACCAACAATATCAAAAACAAATATAATAGATAATAAGAAATTGTTTATTGATTTATCTGATTCAAATTATGTTTCAATTACAATTTTACAAAATAAATTAATAATGTTAGCAAATCAATGTTTATTAGATGGTTGTATTCCATTAATTAAAAATCAAATTTGTATAGGATTAATATATTTTTCAGAATTAGAAATATGTTTAGATAAAATTAATTCATTTATTGAAGAATATGATATAAATTATGAAATTTATTGTAAATTGCACCCAGAAAATAACAGATCCAAAAAGAATGTAAATGAAGATTATTTTTCATATGGTATGAACCAGCAAGAAAATGAATTTGATATTGTATTAAATGAATTAACTGATTTAACTTCAATAGTTGATACAAAACCAATTTTTATAAATTATGATAGTGAATTAGCTTTAGCAAATTTAATATTTGATGGAATTGGAAATAGAGTTATAGTATTATTAAAAAATGGGAAATATTATGGAGTTTTACATAAAAAGGTATTAATTGATTATTTAAGACGAGGAGAAAATGATTAATAATGAATCTATACCTCAGCTATTCACCAGTGATCTAAATTTTTTATCTTTTATTTTTACTGAAATGTAAAAATTAGTAAATAATTGAGGAAATAATTTTAAATTTATCGGCAAAATTGTATAATCTAATTCAGGTATTTCATTCAATTCAAATTCAAGCAAGACATGACTTAATTTAACAATAACAGGTGTAATTTTTATTTTATTTTTTTCAATTTCATCATATTCAAATTTTTGATAAATTTTAAATTGATTTAAATAAGTTAAATATGATTCATATAAAAAATTAATAACATTTATAAATTCAATATTGTTGACCATGTTAAATTTTAAAAATATTATGGTTGAAAGTTCAATTATTTTGGAATTTAAATTTGGATCATTTTGAAAAAATTGTATTAATATTTTTAAATAATTATATGATAAAATCTTCTCAGGATCAAAATTGAATGAGTTAATGTAAATTGAATGATTATTTATAACATACAAAAATTTTGCAACCAAATCATTAGTTTCAATATTTTCAATTGTAATAATTTGACTCCTAAGTGTAGTTTCTGAATCAACTATAAGTTCATCATCAATCATTTCTTCATCACCAAATAAAAAAGTGAATGAATTATTGTTATTTTTTAGATATATAACCAAATAGTTAATGAATGTAACGAAATTTTCATCAACTATGATTTTAAATTTGTATCCTTTATTATGAATATTTTGATAATGTTTTGATACTAGTTTGTTATAATTGTCAAAATGTTTAGTAGCAAAATTGAAAAATGTTTCATCTTCAAAGAATTTCTGTATTACTTGAATTGTTTGATCTTGATCCATGATTCTCAAAATTGATAACAAAAATTTATTAAATTTATCCCATTTTTCAAACAATTTTTCATCTTCATATCTCGACTTAAAAGTGGAACAGTAAATTTGAAATAATTTTTCACAACAAAATTCTAAAGCCAATACAATAGTTCTTAACATCTTTTCCTCGAATTCATCATCACTAGCTTTCTCAACTTCAATTTCCTCTTCAACTTCATCACTTATGAATATTGAATCAAAATATAAATCAACCAAGTATTCAAATAACTCCAATTTTTCAATCAAATAATTACAAATTATATCTGATAAATTACTTAACTTTATAAACTCCAAATAATTACCAGATCCACAAATTTCAAAATCATTATATAATAAATTTAAAATAATAAAATGTAAATTATTAATCGCATTGTTTTTTAAATTTTTCCCATTCCTTTCAAACCAAATATTAAATAATTCAATTTTCCTGTGATATATTTTTAAAATATCAGTTATAATTTTATTTAAATATGGAATTTGATAATTTTTTAAATCATTATAAATTAAAAAATTATTTAAATAATTATCAAAGACTACGAAACTTGAATTTATAATTAATAAATCAAATTCATTCTCATTTTCATTTTCATCTTCTTGAAGCAACGATTTCAAATATTCAATTAAATTTTGAATAAAAAAATCAATTAAATCAAATAATTGTTTATTATTACATTGAACTACCGAAATTTTATTTAAAAATTCAATTGAACACATTTGAACTATAGTTGATAATGGTTTAAATTTATAAATTTTTGAAGATTGTAATTCTTTTAAATTTTTTAATTTTTTAATTAATTCATTAGTTGATTCTTCTACTTCTGCTAAAGATGAATTTCTCATATTACACTAAAATAAGTTAGTTTTCAGTAAAGTAACAAAACTAAGTAATTTCTACATACTATTGCTTGATAATTAACAATTGGTTTAATGATTTTCTTTAAATGATAATTTAAAACAGCTACTTCACCACTATGTGATTCAATTTGAAAATCGTAAGTTGGTACATTAATATTAAATGTTTCAAATTCTTCATTTAATTTATTAATATCAGCTGTTTCAGTTAAATTTTTTATTTTTTTTCTTCTAAATCTACTTAAATGAAACATCTTCTCGTAATGTAAAACTCAGTTATTTTGATAAATTTAGTATATATTTCCAATAAACTTGTGACTATAAAGATTATTATAATGAAACCTGAAACATAACTTAAAACAAATATTTTTTAAGTGGTTGAAACACTCCTTAACTTTTTATTATGTAAAATTCTGTACTTTATTACGTAATACATAGTGATATATAACAGTTGTGATATGTATCATAAATTATTAGAAAGTTAACTTTACAATCAAGATACATTTGTACATAAAATAGATTAAATTTCATTTTGAAACTTATCATCATAAATGGTCATTGAATATTAAACCTTCGATCTTTTCTTGTAGTATTATAAATAAAGTATTGTTCCACTACTCAATAAAATAAAGTAATAGAATCACGTCTATTATATATCACACACTCACATAAAAATGTATACATACAACAAATTCGGAACTAGATCAACCACATCAAATGTAAACAAAGTTTCTAAGACACCATCTTCTTCATCATTATCATCTTTAAATTCATCCATAGTTAAAAAGGAAAACAAAAAAGATTTTATTTCATCATCAACTAACCAAAATTTGCAACCAATTAATTATAATAACAATTATATACATACAGGTCAATATGCAACTAATTTTGTTAGAAATGTTATAAATCCATTAGATGGTTATCCAAAATTACAAAGATTACATCAATTAAAAAAAGAACAAATTGCTAAACATGCAACAAAACCATTTGGAGTAAGATGCCCAACAAATAAAATTGTTTCAACATTAAATCAATGGATTGATGAATATGATTTAAAATTTGATGTTATTATGATTGGAGCATTAACTGAAAATCAATTTATATTACCAATATTAGAAAAATTACCATTAAATAAATTATGTTCAAAACCTGGTTTTTTATTTATTTGGTCAACAAGTCAAAAAATAAAAGAATTAACTTTATTATTAAATAATGAAAATTTTAATAAAAAATTTAGAAGATCAGAAGAATTAGTATTTTTACCAATAAATGAAAAATCTCCTTATTATCCAAATAGTTCAGATATTGATGATCATAAATTTAATTTATTTGAAAAACAACAATGGCATTGTTGGATGTGTATTACTGGTACAGTTAGAAGATCAACTGATAATGATTTAATTCATTGTAATATTGATACTGATTTACAAATTGAAAATTATCAAGAAACATCTAAAAGAGGTAAAGAAGCTTGTCCAAATCAAATGTATCAAATTGCTGAAAATTTTTCAAATTCAAATAAAAGATTACATATAATTCCATCAAATTTAGGTCCTGATACTCATGTCAAATTACGTCCTGGTTGGGTTATAATGGGACCAGATGTTATGTTAAATAATTTTGATCCAATTAAATATAATGAACAATTAAGTTTGAAATCATTTATAAAATATAAACAAAATAATAATACTTCAATAAATGGTAGAAATGTAGGTGATGAATTGATAAGAAATGGATCAAATGGTCAATCAATACAATATTTAGTTCCTCAAACTGATGAAATTGAAGATTTAAGACCTAAAAGTCCAATTAATCAAGGTAAAACCACTAAGTAAATGTTAGTATTTATGATTAAATTTAATTTGATAAGTGAATAGATCTATATATTTTGTAATCAGATTAATTGATGAATGTTGGATAGGAAAAGTTATCAGCATCGTAGACTCTGAGTGAGCTGAGTAAGGTTTTCATCATTAACAAAATATATTTTCTTATAATACACTTTTGATATTGAACATACTGCTTATTCTATTGAAGAATATTGGAATTTATGAAATGATTCGAACTTGTGGTCAATAGTAAAACTTTTCCAAAAATTTCGTTTTCAAGATGCCTATTATAATATTTTGTGTTCGCAGTGTTTTCATCCGGGTAATTTGTCGAATAGCAGAAATATGGTAGCTTTCCGCATAAATTTTATGGTCAGATAAAGGCTGCAAAAGAGTTAGTTTCAAATTGCAATTTCAAATCAACGAATTAAATTAAATTAAATTAAATTAAATATTACTAACATGTCTTTAAATGACTATCATAAAACAATTCTCAACAACATTATCCAAATATTATTAATGTTTAGGTTCTTTCTCATAAAATAAAGAAAATTGAAATTAAATTAAGTTATAAAAATAAAATTGCAACGAAATAAGCTAATGAAGCACCAGCAACTAAACTTGCAGCTTCAGCAACAGCAGTGGTGGTAGTACCGGTTGCAGTACCAGTAGCATTGATACCTGCACCAGTTGGAGTGCCAGTTGCAGTTGTAGTATTAGCTCCAACTTCAGTGTGAGTTTCATTATGAGCGGTTGTAGTAGCTACACCCGTTTCTGTTTCATTTTGAGTAGGAACTACAGTATCAACTGTTTCAGTTTGTTCAGTTGGGACTGCAGTTTGAGGTGATTCTTCAGTTGGTTGTTGAGTAACTGTAGTTTCTAAAGTATTAGTTATTGTTGTATCTGCTTCTCCAGTTGCAGCAGTACCAATTGTTAATTGATTTTCTGTACCTGGCTGAGGCGGAGCTTGAGTACCACCAGCTCCACCAACTGGTGTATTATCAATAATTGTAGTTGTAAAACCAACAAGCACAGTTGTTTGTGCTGAAATACTAGTTGCAAATAAAGCGATTGATGATAATGTTGTAAAACGCATTTGTGTTGATCAGATTTCTTTTGTTAAGATTTTGTAACAATCCTTGGTATGAAAACTTATAAATTGAATGAAGAAAAGAAAGTTGGTATAAAATTCAAAAGATCTTGAAAGGTTTAAATGATATTATATATTCCATGTATTGATATGTTTAATAAGTATACCTCCTTAAAATTAATCTCTATAATGCTAATTATTAAAATTATTAAATTGGAAATTCTAAGGACTATTCTTTTTTTTTGCATAATTTTGCAGCCATATGAACTTACATATTTCTATAAAAGTTATGATTTGCTAATAACATTTGTAATAACCAGGGCTATGGCATTAGCAAGTGTAGTGTCATTGTATATTTGAAAAAGAGCTAAATATACACCTGCTTTATTCAAACCCTAGTTAGAAGTGATTAGATTTTATGATAACATGTTACAAAAATATGAAACATTTCAAATCTCTTGTAATTTCTCTAAAATTTTTCAATGTTTAAATTTGTTTGCTCTTCATAAAACTCATTTTAATTAAAACAACAATTGTACACCTATAAACAATACTCTTTAAATCTAATTCTCTCTAGCTAAAGCAATTAAAAGCATTCTAAAGTAAAGCTAATGCAGCTACATATATTAAAGCTTTAGAGCCCATATAGGATACAGCCCCATTGCCTGTAGTTTCTGAGTTTGATGTACTTCCTGAAGTTGTACTACTACTTCCGCTTCTAGTGCTTGTACTCGAACTACCACCACTAGTGTTGCTTGCATTTCCACCAGTTGCAGAGGATCCACTTTCTGATTCCTCACTTTCAGTTGCACTGGATCCTTCTGCACTTTCACTTTCGTTATTTCCAACAGCTGCCCCAGCACCAGATGTGACTGCTTGACCTGCTGATGCTCCACCAGAAGTAGCTGTGTTAAAAGCACCACCGGCTCCAGATGTTACGGTAGATGCAACTCCACCACCTCCAGATGTTATGGTAGATCCTCCAGATGTGACGGTAGTTGCAATTCCTTGACCTACTGATGCTCCACCAGATGTGACAGTATCAAAAGCACCAACAGCACCAGATGTTACTGTGCCTGCGGCTCCTACAGCACCCGAAGTTACTGTATTTATTACTCCTCCCACACCTGAAGCAATGTCATCTGCAACGTCACGCAATACATTTTCTTTTTGAACTATATTGTCTTTTTGAACAGCAGCTAAAGCTAATGCTGGTAACATCCATATTGAAGCAGATCTCATGTTTGAATAGTTAATGTAAATGTTGAAATTTTTGTGGTGATATAACTGGTTAGTTCTAAAATTTGGTGATCCCCAGGAATTTGAACTCAAGCTGATTTGAAGACTATTTATATATTTCAAACAATCTGAACTAAATGAGGTTTAAGACATTATGCTTTTAACAAAGGTATTGGTATCATTCAAAAATTTCGTAATGGCTAATATTCAAACGTCATACGACGTAATTTGCTTTCTCTAATTGGATTCCAATTGCTTTAAATCAAGAAATTTCAATTCCGGGCTACTAATTATAGCACAAAAATAAACAGTCTTTTTGTGTTGCAAACTTAAGGGGTTAATGATATAAAGTTTATTTTTTAATAATAGCATTCCGTCTACTCGAAAAGATCATAGCCCTCACTCACCCATTTAGATGTTATGAATCGTTGTTTATTCTTTTGAAGACCCATACTGATGAAATCGCTGTAGCAGTATTTTCTTCATCTCTTCTCAGACATTGTTAGTACCAAATATAATCTAGGGATACCTATTTCGACCGATACACCTTATATGTCAATTTTTGCTCTGTTTGACATATAAAGATTTTATAACCATAGTGGACCAATAAATATAAAGTTTGTGAGACACTAATGTTTAATTTCAACTAAACAAGCTCACAGCCTCCATATATTTTAATAAATAATTGATTTTGAAAAAAAAAAAAAAAAAAAATAGGTGTTTGTGTAAAGTTATAAACTTTCGTGTATATGCAAGGGGCTCAGTAATTCAATCATAATGATGTTTGCAATCTCCAAAATGTAATCAAATATTTAATAGGATTTTTGAGTTAAATCAACATTCAAAGTTTATTGATGGTTGGTTGATGACAGTTGATATTCCAAAAATTGTAAACAAATCTTGGTAGCATATGCAGATGACACAAATCCGGTGTTAGCAAATTAAGAAAAACTTGGAAAATACTGTGTATAGAAGAGTCTAGAATTATCATCATCGAGTACCAACACTTACTTACTTGTTAACGTTTCACAATACAGGTAGCTTCTTGGAACTCACTACATTATCAATCAAAAATGAAATCAAGCTAAAAAGAAAATGAATCTTAAAAAGCATTCTTTGGATGATGATGACGATGATTCAAGTGATGATGAAAATTATAAAGATTTTAGATCGGGGAAAAGGATCAAGTTAGACTCTTTGTTGGAAGACTTAAGTTTGAATCATAGTAATAAATCAACTCATCCATTCATAGATAACAAGGATAAAGATAAAGATAAAGATAAAGATAAACCAAAGAGAGATTACATTATACCCAAATATAGTGGTGGGGTTTTCAAAAAACCAAATGCTCCTCAATCATATTCATCATCTCAATTGGATTCATTTATAAATGAAAGAATAGTAGATCATTTTCAAAATATAATAACCTCATCATTGAAATTGATTCATTGGTATAATTATAAGTTTTTAATAGTATTCAGACTTCAAAAATGGTTTGTAAAATTGTTTAATCGATTTGTTAGAAAATATAATCAGAAGAATAACTTATCAATTAGACCTTTCAAGACTTATGATCAAATAATAGCATTAATTCATGATAAATTTATAACTTGGAATGATTTAGGAAATATCATAGATGAAGAAAATAAATTGGAAATGAAAAGGTTAGCCCAAAAGGAAAAGAATCGGAAGTCAGAGAAAGACCAAGAAGATTTGAAAAAGGAATCTGAAACGTTCAAAGATTTGGGATATGACTATTGGGATAATTTGAAATTTGATAAGGATTTGGACATGCTAGATGCTGATGATGATGATTTGAGTAAAGATGAACCAAAGGTTGTTGAATTAGGAGCGATTTCTGATGATGATGATAATGATAACGATATACAAATGAGTGATGAAACCCCGACTAGTTTTGGCACTGACGCAAATTATGGTTCTTATTATCATCGAGATTGAAATGATCAAAGGGAGTAGAGACATATTTGATCCAAATTTGATCACATTTAGCATTAATAGATTGAATAGAAAATATGCAATTAATGAATTCAATAGCATGCATCAGACAACTCGAATCAGTAGTTTGATCTACAAGTTTATCTAGGACTCTCATTTGGTAGTTCTCTCCCATCTTTATCTTATCGCTTGATGATTAATTTCTTTTTTAAAATCATTGCACAAAAATATGAAGGGACTTTTTTTTGTATTTTATACCATGCTTCATCAGCTAGTTTAACGCTCTACAATGACACTGATTTTCATACTACCTAATGAATTGATAATTGAAATACTACGATATCTAGATGTGACGACTGTGCACGAGCTAATATCACAATTAAGACATAACCATTCAGCTATACCCATATTAAGATTGTTATATCAAAGATTATTTGGCGGTGTGCTACATATTATCAATGATGAACCAAGACTACAGTTTAGACATGATTATGAATTGACTATTGGAGATTTTAGAGATAAGCTAATTGGAGGAGAAGAAGATGCTAATTTCGAAGATTTAATTTTTCAGAATGTTAGACCCAATATCATTGAGTTTAAATTTACTAGACAACAATCTGATTATAAAAGATTTATACATGATTTAAATCAATTTCATCAACTTTTGGAATCCACTGAACCAAATATACGACTGTTTTTCAATAAGACATTACAAATCAACATTTTTATAGATTCAAATTTAGTGTTTTTAGAAAACCCTGACTCATTCAAATCAATTATCATTAAAGTACTATTGGAACTAAGTAAGACAGAATTTGGTCCTAAAATAAAGAACTTCACCATAAAGAGTAGTGAGATTGGTGGGTTGTATGTTGCACATTGGAGTCAATTATTTAAATATTTTACATCGTTAAAAAAATTGAATTTGGAAGATAATTTTTTAAAAAGTAATTATGAACAATACTTGGATGTTTGGGGGATGCTGCAAAAGTTTCCAAATACATTAACTGAATTGAATTTAGATAAAAATATGCTCACATATATATCAAAAGATTTTTTGAGTAATTTACCATTAAGTTTAGAAGTTTTATCAATGAATCAAAATGAAATTAATATAATTGAACCATGTGAACTAGGCCAATCGTTGCCAAACTTACGTCATTGGCTTTTAAACTTCACAAAATTGTGCGTTATCAGTCCATCTATGTTTAAGAAATGTAAAACTGGTTTTGTTCTAGAGATCAAATCTACTTATTTGCCCGATTCGGACTTAGAAAAATTACATATAATAGCAAAGGATAAAGGGTTGAAAGTATTAATATGATAATATATAGAGGAATAGATATATATAGAGATGAGTGATTCGCTCTCGAAATAATAATATCGGTGTAGTAACTTCATATATTACTCGCGGTGATTACCACGGCTTTAACTTAATTGGTCTCGTAAGAGATCTAAATATAATATTTTTTCCTTTCAATTCTCATAATCTTATTAAATTATCAATCCAATAAATTGGTCTAGCTTGAAACAAATCAAAACTAGATTATAAACCATTGCATATGATCACATTATATCTTATAGTATGATACTATTAAGAAGTCGGATCACAATTGGTCTTATACCGAGAGGTATCTTAAAAACAAGAATTAAGCCACACCAATTTTTCAAACAACTACCTCGAACCAATCTTAAATCCAACTCACCATTACTACTACAACTTCGATACAGTTCAAATACTACCTCATCATCTATTACTTCACAAAATGATACAGTGACTAGCACTAAACCCATAGACGAGATATCTAAAAAAGATAAGTCTCATTTATTCAAAGATATCATCAAATTATTAAAACTAGCCAAACCTGAATCCAAATTATTAATTTTTGCAATTATTTGTCTAGCTATATCAGCAGCCACATCCATGTCTATTCCTTTGATTATTGGTAAAATTATGGATACAGCAAAAGCTCCAACAGATGAGACTAAAGAAAAAGTGGACGACCCTGTAGGAGATGATACATTAATTTTCGGTCTAACATCAACTCAATTTTATTCATCATTAGGATGTTTGTTTCTACTTGGATCATTTGCAAATTTTGGTAGAGTCTACTTACTAAGAACAGTAGGAGAAAAATTAGTTGCTAGATTAAGATCAAGATTATTTTCAAAAATATTGGCACAAGATGCATATTTTTTTGATATTGGACCAACTAAAACAGGAATGAAAACAGGTGATTTAATATCAAGAATAGCTAATGATACCCAGATTATTTCCAAATCACTAAGTTCAAATATTAGTGATGGGATGAGAAGTATCATTTCTGGAGTTGTTGGAATATCTATGATGTGTTATGTTTCTTGGAAATTAACATTATGTATGAGTTTAATGTTTCCTCCATTAATTTTGATGTCATTCTTTTATGGACGTAAGATTAAAGCATTATCGAAATTAATTCAAGAAAATATTGGAGCATTGACTAAAGTTACAGAGGAAAGACTAAATGGGATAAAAGTAATTCAATCTTTTGCTCAACAACAACCAATAGTTCATGGATACAATAAAGAAATTAAAAATATCTATGATACTTCATTAAGGGAGGGAAAATTATCTGGTATTTATTTTTCTGTTAATGGGTTTATTGGGAATATTACAATGATTGGTTTATTAATTATTGGTACTAAGCTCATTGGAATGGGTGAAATGACTATCGGTGATTTATCAAGTTTTATGATGTATGCAGTGTATACGGGTTCTTCTGTATTTGGACTAGGTAATTTTTACACGGAATTAATGAAAGGTATTGGTGCTGCAGAAAGAGTTTTTGAGTTGGTAGAATATAAGCCAAACATTTTAAATAATAAAGGTTATAAGCAACAATTAAGTGGTGATATTATCTTGAAAGATATAGATTTTTCATACCCTTCTAGACCTGACCTCATTTTCAAAAACTTGAATTTACATATTAAAGAAGGTGAAAATGTATGTCTTGTTGGTCCATCAGGTAGTGGTAAATCCACTGTCAGTCAATTATTATTAAGGTTTTACGACCCAGATGGAGGAACAATCACCGTTGGAAGTGAGAGTCCTGTTAAAATCAAAGACCTTAATTTAAATAATTATAGATCACAATTAGGTTATGTCCAACAAGAACCACTTTTGTTCAGTGGTACAATCAGAGAGAATGTTACGTTTGGAAAAGAAGATGCCACTGAAGAAGAAATTGAAACAGCATTAGATTTGAGCCATGCATCTGCATTTATTCATAATTTACCTGACGGTATAGATACTAAGATTGGAGCATCAACATCAACTCAATTAAGTGGAGGGCAAAAACAAAGAATATCATTAGCAAGAACTTTAATTAAAAACCCTAAAATCTTAATTCTTGATGAAGCAAGTTCAGCATTAGATTCTATTAGTGAAGAACAAGTAATGAAAAATTTAATTTGTTTGAATAGGAAAAAGGGAACAACAATTATATCAATAGCTCATAGATTATCAACTATAAAGAATAGTGATAGAGTAATAGTTTTTAATCAAAATGGTGAAATTGTAGAAGATGGTGAATTTATAACTTTGCATAATGATCCTAATAGTCAATTCAATAAATTATTGAATACAAAGGACCTTAAATAGAACAAATTGTATATAAAAACTACTGTAAATATTTTAACTCATAAATGCTAGATTTTTTTATTGTTTGTTTGTACAATAATGAAGAAAGTGTAGATAGATTTTGAAATTCGGTGTAACTTTGTATTCAATTTCATGTTCTGTGGACATCAATGGAGAAATAGCAAATGTGATTGAATATTTCAATATCAATTGAATTCAATAAAATATTTGAAATTTCCCCGTTGACGTCCACAAAAGTTATCATTGACAATTCTATGAATGCTTTCAACTTCGAACGTTTGAAAAGAAGAAGCTAACTTTAACACTTGCCTTTAAGTGTCAAGTTTTCCTTCCTCTAGACCCAATATTTTTTTTTTGATGATTAATTTCAAAATTTGTTTGCTATTATCCGTTTCAAGTAATGCGAAATGTGGGGTACTATAATGGATAATAATTGAAAAATAACCTTAATACATGAGGATAAATTCAACCGTTACAAACTTGCATTCAATTTCAACGGTTTCCTTCGTAGAATAATACATGTTAATACGTTGGTCGTAGAGAACTCATTTGACATAATTTTTTGGAATGAATTATATTTCGGATATTATGGCTGATTTCATAAAATCTTTGTACCTAATTCTCTTACTTTGCTATATTCAACACAAAGACTAAAACAGTTTTCAATGCAATAAAATGTTGAATCATGTAAGATTTTGAACCATTTGTTCATTAAAGTCCGGAAGAAGAAAGAAGTTTTGCTAATTCAAAACAGTACCTTAGGAATTAAGGTCTTCAATAAAACAATTATTAAAAACTAGTAAGTATGTCAAACTTTAATGACTTATTTAAACTTCTAGAAACTAAAGTTTTTTAAGAATTTTGAATCAACCTTATTACTATGTTTACCTTACATTCTATTGTGATTATTAAGGTTTATAATCATAATACGCCGTGGATTATCTACTTCTTATCTCTTGGATATTTGTAAATTTCGTTGGTTAATATTCTTTTATAAAATGATTCTAAAACTCCGTATTATTTTTTATTTTTAATTTTATTCTTGTGATACTTTTTATTTTTATCCTACAATTATCTTAAACTAGATTCATCTTTACAATTCCATCAACCATTGCCATCAAATTTCATAAATCACACCAGCCAATTGATAGGATATTTGGCTTTTAAAGTATAATTGATCAGTGTAAATGCCACTTTATAAAAAGGTTGCGTCATCAATTCATGACTCCTTGAGTTTATTAAGTGGTTCCACAAATGTTAGTGAAGATGAAGCAGATTCTGATCATGAACAATTACACAGTTATGAAGACCTGATTAAAGATAACGAGTCCAATACTAAATCAGCAAACTCTTACAACGAAGAAAATCCGAGCTTAAAAGATTCAGATCGAATAGTTGAAAAAGATGGACCTAATCAAACTAATAAAAGTGATACAAAGAGCAAAGGAGATCAAGAGATAAACCAGCATAACGAACATAGAACAAGTGAGGATGAAGATGTTGATGTAGCTAGACCATTTGGAGATTCCGATGGAGCTAACTTTTTTTCAACTTTAATGAATAGTTCATCAATATGTTCAGGATTTGGAACTATGGGAAACATCAAAAATTTTAATTTTGAAGATCTATTAAAGAGTAAAAAATTCAAAGATGAGCCAGAAGAGTCACCAAAACATAATCATGGCCATCATCATTTACCACGTCCACATTTACATACACATAAAGATAAAGATAATGAAGGAAATTCACCGAATGTACCAAGACCAGAGAGTCCTAATTCAATTAATTTACCTTCTCCAAGAACTGGTCATCATAGAAATATAAGTCAAAGTTTGAATTCAGTTGGATCTAGTGAAGATGAAGATGATGATGATATTACTGAAAAAGAAAGCAGTGATGAAGAAGAAGAATATGATGCAAATCGACTATCTACAACTACCACCAGCGAATCACAAGCAGCGACATCTTCTACGACCACGAAACCCACCACTGTTCCCACTAAAACATCGACAAACACCTCGATGTTAGCTACACTGTCAGTATCATCATATTCAACAATTGATGCAAATGAAGAAGAATCATTCGTTAATAGTGAGAAAAACGGACCTCCTTTATCAATAGAAAAAAGTACTATTGAAATTGAAAACTCAGAACCACCTGAGGAATATAAAGAAAAACTTAAACACTTAACACCACTTCAAAAATCAGTGATAGATAATTTAGATCCTCAGCATATAAAAGAGGGAGTTTTGATTAAAATAAAAGACAAAAATCAAGATTCAAACGATGGCAAACTAACTCTTTCCAAAAAGATATTAAGATACAAAATTGCTGAAAAATTGAAAAACGTATTCGATTTAGATAATGATGATATATTTTATGGAAATTATAGTTCTTGGTTGGTTAAAGATGTTTTATTACAAGGTCATATGTATGTTACTAAAAAGGCATTACTATATTTTGCGTTCTTACCTAAAAGATTTTCGGTGAATGAATCACTTGAAAATCAAAATATTGATGATTCAGCAAATATAGTACATAAAGGAACATTGGGAATGAAAACTGCAAAATTTGGAGATTCTACATTTACAACAATGTTAACTCATAGATATTGGGCTATTTTAAGACCAGAAACATTATCAATATACGGATCTTCAACAGATTTATATTTCCCACTTACTGTAATAGATATAAGGACATGTCAATATGCTGAAATTATGGACGAAGACAAATTAAAAGAAGCATCATTTTCACCTACAAACAGAACCCAACCACCTTCAAGATCAGGATATGCATCAGGTGTAACTACTCCGCCTGCTGTTATTGATACGGCATATGAACTTAATAAAATGTTGCAAGATGAGAACATTGGCGCAACTGAAGATACAATAGAGGCTAAAAGTAATTCTGTTTGGTTTAAGTTGGTAACTCGTAAAAAAACTTATAAATTTCAATGTGATAATTTATATTCAGCTAGACAATGGTGTAATAATTTAACAAAATTAATTTTTCAATTAAATAATGCTAATCAAGGAAATGAAGTATTAGTGAAAATTCCGATAGCTAACATTATTGATTTTAAAAAAAGAACATTGTTCAGTGAAGAAGATGATGATGATATAGATCAATCTGAAAATGATATACCTTTAAGTTTGAGCATCAAATATTATACAACACAACATGTTGAAAAGAGGAAAAGAGAAAAATTTAAAGATAAATTTAAAGCTGAAAATTATGATAAAGGTGAAATATTTTTCTTGTTTCCTAAAAATGGTTTGGATTTTTTTAAATCATTTGAAGATATTGTTAATAATAGGTCCAAAAATCCGTCTAAGAGTAAATTATCACTTTCTAGAGATCCTCCATTAGAACAAACTTTTTCAACATTAACTTTATCAACAAATAAATTAGTCAAAGATGTTCTTGCAAGTAATTTAATTGATCAAAAAGCTCCACCAGATTCATCAACTTTGAAAAAATTAGGTAAATCATTTACAAACCCCAGAAATTTTCTTAAAAGTTCAAACAATAATGAAGATGAACCTAATGATACAACTTCTATGAGTGATGAAATAAACAGTACTCATATTTCATTACCAAAAGCTTTATCAGAAAAAACATTAAGATCTTTAGAAATTTCATTTGAAACAACATTTAAAAATTTAAAAGATGCATCAATAAGATATGAAGAAGAAGGTAATAATAAAATGCTTGCAGCAATTAATGAGCTACCTTTACCATCAAATCTTTCAGATAAAGGTGTTGTTCAAAATAAGAGTCGTATTGGTAAAAGTATAAAAGCTTTAACAAATATGGGTCAAAGATTAGCAGCTACTCCAAATCATTATACAATAAAAGATGAATATTATGTTGAAAGTGAAGAAGAACGAGATACAGCATTAAGACATTTTAAAGGTCATTTTTCATTATATAATTCTAAGTTAATAGCTTCATATTTTTGTCATTTAGTTAGATCATTACCAGTTTATGGGAAATTATACGTATCTGAACATGAAGTATGTTTTAGAAGTATGTTACCTGGTGTATCAACGAAAATGATAGTACCTATGGCAGACATTAAAACAGTTGAAGAAGCTACAAATGGTTCAAAATTATCATATGTTGGAGCTAAAATTATTTTAAATGGAGCTGAAGAAATGTCAATTGAATTTGCATCAACTAAATCAAGAGATGATTTTGTTCAAATTTCATTAGATATATTAGATAAATTACATGTTAATGAAAGTTTTAGACCTCAACCTCATGAATGGGGATCCAATTATGATATTGAATTAAGTAAAACTAGAATGGAATATACTGATTCAGAAAGGAAAAGAATTCAACTGGAAGATAAATCTGAAGAAAGTAAAGAAGTTGCTATAGAAAAAGTAGAATTAGCAAGAATAAAAATGTTTGAAGATAGACTTACATTAGCTTCAGGATTAGATATACCAATAATTTTAGAAGATTCACCTTTTTTCAAAACAGAAATGAAACCTTCAACATCTTATAGAATTACTTTACTTACAATTGGTTCTAGAGGTGATGTTCAACCATATATTGCATTAGGATTAGGACTTCAAAAAGAAGGACATAAAGTTACAATAGCAACTCATAGTGAATTTAAAGATTGGATTGAAAAATATCATTTTACATTTAAAGAAATCGCAGGAGATCCAAGTGAATTAATGTCTTTCATGGTTGGAAACAATTCAATGTCTGTATCATTTTTGAAAAATGCTCAAGCTAAATTTAAAGATTGGATTGGAAAATTATTAACTACAAGTTGGCAAGCTTGTCAAGGTAGTGATATAATAATAGAAAGTCCATCAGCAATGGCTGGAATTCATATAGCAGAAGCATTAGTTATACCTTATTATAGAGCTTTTACTATGCCATGGACAAGAACAAGAGCTTATCCTCATGCATTTTTTGTACCAGATGCAAAAAAGGGAGGATCATATAATTATTTAACTCATGTATTATTTGAAAATATATTTTGGAAAGGTATTCAATCACAAGTGAATAAATGGAGAGTTAATGAATTAGATTTACCAAAAACAAATTTATCAAGAATGCAACAAACAAAAGTTCCATTTCTATATAATGTTTCTCCATGTATAATGCCACCTGCAAATGATTTTCCTGATTGGGTTAAAGTTACTGGTTATTGGTTTTTAGATGAAGGTGGTGACGAATATAAACCACCAAAAGAATTAGTTGAATTTATGAACTCAGCTGCAAGAGATAATAAAAAATTAGTTTATATTGGATTTGGATCAATTGTTGTAAATGATGCAACCTCATTAACTAAAGCAATAGTTGAAGCGGTTTTAGAAGCAGATGTTAGATGTATATTAAATAAAGGTTGGTCAGATAGAGGTAAAAGTAAAGATAAAAATGAAATTGAAGTTGAATTACCAGATGAAATTTATAAAAGTGGTGCAGTACCTCATGATTGGTTATTTCCAAGAGTTGATGCAGCTGTTCATCATGGTGGTTCAGGTACAACTGGTGCTACATTAAAAGCAGGAACTCCAAGTATAATAAAACCATTTTTTGGTGATCAATTTTTTTATGCAACAAGAGTTGAAGAATTAGGTGTTGGATTAGCATTAAAAAAATTAACAAAAAAATCATTATCTGAAGCTCTTATAACTGTTACTGAAGATTTAAAAATAGTTGAAAAAGCTAAACAAGTAAGTGAACAAATAAGTCATGAACATGGTGTATTAAGTGCAATTGAAGCAATTTATTCAGATTTAGAATATGCAAGAAGTTTAATAATGACAAAAGAATTACATAATATTAATTATAAACGTCATCATCCAGATTTTAGAAATCATTCAGAAGCAACAACTGCTAATGTATCTGAAGATGAATCAGAAGATTTTACTGATGATGATGATGATGATGATAGTGATGAATATGATGATAGTGAAACTGAAGAAGAAGGAGAAGATGGTGATTTTACAGATGAAGAAGCTAATGATACAGTAGAACAAAAAAAATAGATAACGTGTATAATGAATTGTAATTTTATGTGACTAGAGATTTTAATATAGAAAAGGCTAATAAAGATGGTGTAAAATAATTCACTCTATTTTACAAGATCAACAGTATCGCTTTTGAAATAAAATCTTAAAGAATTTTGTTGATAAGAAATTGGATAATGAGTTCAAAAATTCATTCGCAATCTTTCTTGCTTTTCATTTGATGCAGTTATTCGGAAATTAGTAACTTCAATTGAAATTCAACTATTCCAAATACAATTTACAATACATCGTTTGTTCTTGAACAATTTGAACGTTTCTCTAGTAAAACGATTTTGTGTTTGGGTTCAATAATATGACTTAATATTCTACTAACAAATTTGAGATTAGAAATTTAAGCCAATCCTACTTTTACTTAGTTTTTAGAAGTCCATCACTAATCAGCAAGTCATGACTAGACTTTAAAACCGTTTTTTGATGAGTACTTGATCCCTATGAATTGAAGATTTAATGATCCATATTTGATATACAAAAGGAAAAGAAAATTTAAGTATCCACACTTTTTTTTTTTTTTTTTTCCTTCGTATTTAATCACATCACAGAGTCACAATAACGTTTTATAATTTGAAAAATTAATATAGACTATATCAATCAAACTATTACTCATCCTTACCAGTCAAACACCTTTCCAACTACATAACCAACTAATCAATGAATTAAAAACCCAATACCTATAGAACAACAACATTCAAAAACCTCATGAGCATAGCATATATATAAAACGAAAAATGTCAATAACTTATAAAGATATAACAGAAGAACAAAATCAAACAAATCCTTTTTCAAAATTAGTACCAGGACAAACCATAGTTGAAATTCCAGAATATACATTAGAATGTGGAGAAACATTATATAATTTCCCAGTTGCTTTTAAAACTTGGGGAAAATTAAATTCTCGTGGTGATAATACTTTATTAATATGTCATGCATTAACTGGATCATCTGATGTACAAGATTGGTGGGGTCCATTATTAGGTGATCATAAAACTTTTGATCCTTCAAGATTTTTTATAATTTGTATAAATTTTTTAGGTTCACCTTATGGATCATGTTCACCTGTAACAATAGATAAATCAACAAATAAACCTTATGGACCAAATTTTCCATTAGTTACTGTAAAAGATGATTTAGGTATTCAAAAATTAATATTAGATTATTTAAAAGTAAAACAAATTGCTTGTGTTATTGGAGGATCAATGGGAGGAATGTTAGCAATGGAATATTCTTCAACTTATAATAATACAAATTATTTAAAACTGGTTATTGCATTAGCTACTTCAGCAAGAGCAAGTGCTTGGTGTATATCATGGAATGAAACTCAAAGACAATGTATATTTAGTGATCCATTTTATAATGATGGATATTATTATGAAAATAAAGAACAAAATTTAAAACCTGATTCTGGTTTAAGTGCTGCGAGAATGGCAGCATTATTAACTTATAGATCAAGAAATTCATTTGAAACAAGATTTGGTAGAAATTTAGGTAAAAAAAAGATCACCACAAACACAAATACGTCAACAAACAAATCATCAACTACAACTCCCGATGAAATTGAAAATGGTATAAGATATCCAAAAACAAAAGATGAAGAGAACTGGTTATTACATAATGAAGGATCAAAATTAAATAATGGATTTAAAATAAATCAAGATTTAAAATTACCAACTTATTTTACTGCTCAAAGTTATTTAAGATATCAAGGTTCAAAATTTATAAAAAGATTTGATGCAAATTGTTATATTTCAATAACAAGAAAATTAGATACTCATGATATAACAAGAAATAGAATAGAGGAGAATAATAGTAATATTGATGATAATGAAAATCAAGAACCAGATCTGGATAATAATATAGATTCAGATTCAGATCCATTACCTAATTATTTAAAACAATTAAAAAAACCTCATTTAATAATTGGAATAAAATCAGATGGTTTATTTACATATGGAGAACAAAAATTATTAGGAGAAAATATTCCAAATTCAAATTTAAAAAAATTAGATTCAAGTGAAGGTCATGATGCTTTTTTATTAGAATTTGAATTAATTAATAATTATTGTTTAGAATTTTTGAAAACTAACCTACCTGAATTTTATGATGATTCAAATACTGAAATTTTTAAAGATTGGCAAAAATATGTTAAAGATGTTGATAATAATGGTGAATCTGTTTTTGGAGAAGTTGAAAAAAATATAACAAATTGGTAAGAGTAAAAATAGGAGTATTCAAGTAAAGTTATAGATTTAGTATATATTCATATATATAATTTTTTAATTGAAAATATAAGCATAGGTTTAAAAGTTTAGTAAAAGCGAAAAAATGAGTTTAATGACGTAAAGTATAACTCTACTACTTAGTGTTAAATGGTTGGTTGCCTTTTTTTAAAATAGAAGATAGTGGGGCGAATTGGGAGGGGGTATCACTCACAAGTTTAAGCTTAAACTTAGCACAAAACTTTATTTGTTTTAAACTAATTCTCTATAATTAATTGAAGTTCTTATAGTCTATTTGGATTGTTCAACACTTTCATTATAAGTGCTTTAGTTTGAAACAAAATCAAAGGTAAAATAGAAATCGTTTGATTATTATTTAACCCACCCCACATTTTTTTTTATTTCTGAAACACACACTAAAAAAAGTTGCGACAAAAAACTGAGATACAAATAGTACAAAAATCTTAAATAGTTCATTCGTGAAAACCAAATTTGAGAAATTACAAAGGACAATTATGTCAATTAGGCTAAGAAAACAACTTTAATATGAAAAATGTCAAGGTTTTTGTATGTAAGGTACCCCTTTTTATTTCATATTTAAGAATGATTATTAAATAAACTACTAGGAAGTATTATTACGTATTATTAAATTCTTGAATCAAGTATTCATTTCATTACAGTTAACGAAACCTAAATAATGAAACTTAATAATGAAGGAAGGAAGAAAAGAAACTTTTAACCGTAACTTAGCTTAACTATTTTTGCATAGTAGATCTAACCTTTTTAGTCGAATTCCAACCCCATAAAAATCTTTATCGAATCTGATTCATTAGATTTAAAAAATTAAACGATTTCCATACCATTAAATAAAATTGTTTTAAGAAAGATCTACGATATAAACAATTAAAATTAGTTATTGATTTGTCTTAAAAAGGGTTTTTCATTGTTACTTAATCAAAACAAATCAATCAGTTCAAGATCTACTCAATACAATTTTCCACAAACTTTTTGTATCTCTACTGTTTTAAATCAGTTTCGTTCTGTAAGTTCTTTCAAAAGTCAATGAACATCTCTATTGAGAAATGAGGGGATGAAATGTCATTCCTTTTTATAGTTCTAACAGATTTGTAAATAATTTATTATTAAACGAAAATAGAATGTAGAAAAATGGTATCATTTTTCTTACACTAAACTTATTTATTATAAATTGATGTTTATATATTTTCCTCATTTGGTAGTTTGTTTTCTATAATAAATATTTAAAGTAAACAGTTACACAAAATCTTACTACTACTAAAATAACAAAATAAACAAAACAAAATTAAAAAAAGACGACAAAAGAAGAATCATCCATCATCAAACTTTGTTTTTTTACCAATTCATATATCATTTTCTTCTTCAGATCAATAAGGTATTCCTAAGTTACACTCCTTTACCTAGCTACTGACTATCATCGGCACTAATTGATACTACAATTACTACTACATAGATCTACATTACTAAAGAGAAAGATCAGAAAAAAATTTAAATCAAAACAAATCGCGATTATTTTTAAATTTGATTTTAAAGAATTTCATTAATTTACAACCAAAAATTACTGCCAATAAATTTGAAGAAACGAGTATAGGAATTGAAATAGAATAGAAGTAAAGTGAAAGGAGAATAACATAGTATAACACATTTGAACTATCAACTATCAACAGATCCCACAGTTAAGAAATTTAGATTACTCATTTTTCAGAATTTCAAAATTTCAAATTTTAATTACAACATCAGTAATTAACAACTGATTTCATTTACATTCCTTTCAAAAATTTCATCAATAGCATTACATTACACTTTATTTACTACATACAAATAACATTTGTCTTTCCCTTATAAACCATTATAAAAGTTTAATTGAGAATTTCAAGTACTAGATTATAATTATAACAAATTAATAGAGTTTGCAAAATATTAAAAAAACAACATGTCAACTAATATTGTAATACCAACTACTACTGATATTTTCATAAATAACCTGCAGCCACAGCATCAGCAGCAGCAGCAACAACTACAAGAACAGCATCAACAAGATTATATTCCTAAAAGATCAAATTCAAGACAATCAAGTTCAAATTCAACTTATCATAATAATTATATAAAGAACTTTGAAAATAAGGAGATTATTACAAATAATAGTAATAACAATTCTGTTCCAAGAGTTGTAAATGACAATATGTCACAACAATATCAACAACAATTACATCAACAGCAACAATTGCAACAACTGCAACAACAACAAGCATATCAACAACAACACCAACAACAATCTCAAATACCTACATCCACATCATCTTCAACAATCTCAACTATGGCAACTGGATCAAACTCCAAGCGAGTTCATAGAGAAGTTAGATTTGGTTCATATATTCTTGGTTCAACTTTAGGAGAAGGAGAATTTGGTAAAGTTAAATTAGGTTGGAGAAAAGATGGTAAAATACCAAGTCAAGTTGCAATAAAATTAATTAAAAGATCAACAATAATAAAAGATTCAGATTCTGAAATTAAAATTCATAGAGAAATTAATTCATTAAAATTATTAAATCATCCAAATATTGTAAATTTAGTTGAAGTTATGAAAAGTGGGAAATATGTTGGTATTGTATTAGAATATGCTTCAGGTGGAGAATTATTTGATTATATTTTACAACATAAATATTTGAAAGAATCAATTGCAAAAAAATTATTTGCTCAATTAGTTAGTGGAGTTGATTATATGCATTCAAAAGGTTTAATTCATCGTGATTTAAAATTAGAAAATTTATTATTAGATAAACATAAAAATGTTATAATAAGTGATTTTGGATTTGTTAATAGTTATAATAAAGATAGAAATGATTTAATGAAAACAAGTTGTGGTTCACCATGTTATGCTGCACCTGAATTAGTTTTAACTCAATCTCCTTATGAAGGTAGAAAAGTTGACATATGGTCATTAGGTGTAATATTATATGCAATGTTATCTGGTTATTTACCATTTGATGATGATCCAGAAAATGAAGATGGTTCAGATATTATAAAATTATATCATTATATTTGTAAAACTCCTTTAACATTTCCAGAATTTGTAAGTCCATTAGCAAGAGATTTATTAAGAAAAATTATTGTATCTGATCCAAAAAGAAGAATTAATATTGAAGAAATTAGACAACATCCATTTTTAAGTTCTTATTCTCAATTATTATCAATAAGGCAACCTGAATGGGATAAAATTTATAAAGATAAACAAAAACCTTCAATTGTTTATAATGAACCTCAAATTCCAACTTATAATAAACGTTATTCAATGGTTAATATTCCAACTAATTCTTCAAATTTAATTGGTTCTTCAATGCATCATCAATATTCACAAATCAATCAAATTCATCAATCTCCTCAATTACAGCAACAACAACAACCACAACAACAATCACAACCTCAACCTATATCATCACACTCAAGATCTTATTCATCAACTAGTATTAGTTTATTATATGCATCACCATCAATGTCAAATGGTACAAATCATCAAATATCAGATTCAACAGATTCATTAGCATTATCTAAAACACCATCACCAAAAAAACCATCATCAGTATCAGTATCACCAACAAGAGGTCATCAAAAATCAGCATCTATATCAAATTCAAATTCAACAAGTGCAAGTTATGCATTAAAAGCAGTAGTAAATGATGATTTATTATCTTCAAGACCAAACATTTTAACAACAAATAATAATAATTATACAAGTGCTTCAACTATTTCAACAATTGTTGAAAGTCCAACAAAACAAGAATATATATTTAATCAACAACAACAAAAAACTCCTATATTATTACCACCAAAAGAATTTTCAAAATTACCACCATCAACAAAAAAACCAAGACCAACTTCTTATCATCCATCGTCAATGTCTTCAAATATGCTGATTCCATTAACATATAAAGAAATTATAAAATTACCAAATAATTCAACAAATTCAGTAACTCAATATATTTCAACTTCTCCACCAAAAGAAATTTTTAATGCTACTAGCAGTGGTAATAATGGTAATATAAATAATCAACAACAACATAGTAGAAGGAATTCAGTTGTTACTCATATAAATGTAAATGGTGTATTATCAAAAGAAAATCATCATCATCATCCATTACAAAATGATTCACCTGATTATAATAAAAGAAATTCTGCTGTATTAAGTTATTTAGAAGATAAAATTGATGTATTAGATTTAAATGAATCTCATCCACAAATAAAAGAAAATAAAGTTGAAAAATTAGATGAATCAAATGCAGGTGAAGTTAATGATACAGATTTAAAACACAATGAAAAAGAAGATGATGATAAAGATAAAGAAAATGAAGAATTACCACCACCAATTGAAGAATATATAGAGACATTACCAAAACATTCAATACAAGATTCAAAAGAATCACTTCCAGAAATTATAAAACCAGAACCAAAATTTTCAAAACAACAAAAAGAACAACAACAGCCACCAAGATTAGTTTCATCAACTTCAACTTCAACTTCTTCATCAATTACAACGAATCCAAAACAACAATCAAAAATTAATAAAAGACATAGTATAATATCAAGAAAATCAATTCAAACAAATAGAAGTTATGATGAAAATAAAGAAAATAAAGAACAGAAAGAACAAGTTAAAAAAAATAGATTTTCAATATTATCATTCTCATCATCAACTAACAACAACAATAACAGCAATATTTCTACAAAATCAAGAAAAGCACTTGAACCATCAAATGATTCAAATATTAGTAAATCTTCAATTACTTCAAAAAGACATTCTATAATTGGTTCTAATTCTCAAAATTCAACTAGAGGTAATAATAATAATTCAAATGAAATTAAAGAATCAAGTACTGCAAAAAAAGTAATTGATTTTTTTAAAAGAAGAAGTATTTATAATGTTGTTTAATTGTTGAGAATTTTTCATATGATTATCTAAAAGTATCAATGTTGTTCATGAAATTGTAAAATTTTAATAGATTTTATTATAAAAAATGTTAGATTAGTTTATTTAGTTAAGTTTTTAAAGTTTGTATTATTATTAATAAATTTGATACCCACATTTTTAAATATTTTTAATTTGAAAAGGGACTCAAACGCAACTTGTGAATTTTAATATTAGTTACGATGTATAAGATTCAAACATATTATCTTGCACTTACTTTTTGTCTTCACCCAGCTTTCTATTTAAAAAGGTGCCAAAAATACTTACTTAGATAAATTTTGTTGCAAATTTTGTTCTATCAATTTTAAATAGCATTGACTTTTATCTTTTTACAAGTTGCTTTAACGGTAGTACAATTCCGCTAGATTCTTGGAAATAGAACAAAAAAAAAGGTTTATATGAATCCTGCCTGCTACTAATAACCCTGATTCGTCGCTCTAGGTTTATAATGATTCCAAAAACATCAAATTAATTAATGGTATAGACCATTGCAATAAACGTGTGTATTAAACCCTCTTCCTCCCATTTTGAAGAGCGAACTAAGAACTTCCCTGTCCCTTTTTAAGCTCTACTTATATAGCTAATTCTTTTAGAACCATTTAAAATGGGACAAATCTGGTCGTTTGATCGAAGTATACTTAAATTGTGGCAAAGATAAAAATATCCTGAAAATAAGGCTACCATGTTTTGTTACAAAATTTTAGTTAAAACCGACCTAATAGTTCATAGATTGTTGATTTGACATGTTTTTCTTACATGAACTTATCATAAAGAAAAGGATAATTTTTTAACAAATCAGGTATTAACTCCATCCACCATAAGTACTTCCGCGCCACGACTAGTATTCCAAAGAAGACTAGCCTACTACTAATTAATCTGAGACATGGAATTAAAAGAGTGACTAATGTTTGTTTATTTTTGTTTTATATGTATGATTTATTAAATCATTTAAATTTCTTTTAACTATGATGAAGTTACACAAAAAAATTTAGTACAAAAGCAGACCAATCTTACCATCTTACAATATAAATAGCATTGATTTCCATATTCTTTTATTAAACAAGAGTAGTTCAATACTAGAGAGAAAAACCTGACAAAGGTATCATGACAATTGAGAGACCTGTTCATGAACAAGTTGAAGTCAATGATCCTGTACCGAATCAATCATCAAGACAGGATCAACTTCCACTACAAAATCAATCTCAAAGAATACAAACTTTCATTCAAAATGGTATAGAAATTGAAATACAACAACATGAGGAAGATTTAAATTCATTACAAATTGCTTCTCCTTCTTCTTCATCTACAAATCAGAAAACGAAGAATTCAAACAAACAGCATAAACAGCATAAACAGCATCATCAGCATCATAATCACAATCATAATCGAAAACCTAAATCAAAGGCTCAACATTCATATATTCAACAACAAGCCCATCAACCTCAAGAATTAGATGAATCATTAGGGTCAACTATTATTACCGAAATTCAACAAGATGAATATATATGTTTAGTATGTACATCATCAATAAATCAAGATTCAACAATATGGAGTTGTTCAGATTGTTTTAGAGTATATGATTTAGATTGTATACAAAGCTGGGCAACAAAAGGTTCATCAACAAACAAGACAAATAAAACTTGGAGATGTCCTGCTTGTAATGTTGAAAATTCTAAAATTCCAAAAAATTTTACATGTTGGTGTGGTAAAATTAAAAATCCTGAAAAAAATCCTTTAATGCCTTTTAGTTGTGGAAATAGCTGTAATTTTAAATATTCAGATTGTATTCATAGATGTTTAAATATATGTCATCCTGGTAAACATCCTGTATGTGGAGCAACTGGTCCTTTGCTTAAATGTCATTGTGGAAAAGAGAAAAAACAATTACCTTGTCTTATAACTCCATACAAGAGAGGTTGGAAATGTGACTTAGAATGTAATAAAGTATTATGTGATTTAGGTCATAAATGTGAAAAGGGATGTCATAATGGTTCATGTGGGAAATGTCAACAAAAATTAGAATATAAATGTTATTGTGGAGATACCATATTAAAAACAAAATGTTTTAAAAGAAAACCTTTAGAATGTGAAAATTATAAAGGTGAAAAATGGATAGGTGGTGGATCATGTAACAAGCTTAAGAAGATATATTATGAATGTGGTCAACATTATGAAACTTTTGAATGTCAACCACCTCCAAATTTAGAAATTTTAAAATGTAAATATTCACCAGATTTAATATCAACTTGTTATTGTGGTAAAACTTCAATTGATTCATCAAATAGAACCAAATGTACTGATCCCGTAGAAGAATGTGATAATATATGTGGAAAACTATTATCTTGTGGTCATTTTTGTAAATTTAAATGTCATAAAGGGGAATGTGAATGTACTGAAATATTTGATATTGCATGTGATTGTGGTCATGAACAATTTATAACAACATGTAAATATCTTAAATCAAATAAAACTCCAAAATGTCATCATAAATGTTCAGTTTTATTAAATTGTAGAAAACATTATCATAGAAAAGAATGTTGTGAATTTGAAAGTATTGCATTATATAGAGAAAAATTAAAGAAAAAAGCTATTAGAAATAATATCAGAACAAATTTTAAAGATGATATAATGTCAATTGAAGCAAGTCATATATGTACTCAAACTTGTAATAGATTAAAAAGTTGTGGTCAACATTATTGTCAAGCAATGTGTCATCCTGGCCCATGTGAAGTTTGTTTGGAATCAACAAATGATGATTTGGTATGTAATTGTGGGAAAACTATAATACCTGCACCAGTTAGATGTGGTACTGAATTAATATGTCATGAACAATGTATTAGACCAACTGAATGTGGTCATAGACAAGAAATTCATGAATGTCATAATGATTCTATTTCATGTCCTAAATGTACAGTAATTGTTCAAAAATCATGTGATTGTGGAGCAAGAGATGATTTACCTGGTATAATATGTTCACAAGAAAGAATAAGTTGTGGTAAAATGTGTACAGTTCCAAAAGATTGTGGTCATCCATGTTTAAAAACTTGTTCATCATTATGTACAAAAGAAAGTAAACACAATGAAAGTTCAAAATGTTTATCAAATTGTTCAAAAATTAGAAATAATTGTCCTCATTTATGTAAACAAAAATGTCATTTTAATAAACCAGGTAAAAATAAAAGTTGTGATTCAATTAAATGTTTAGAAGATGTAACTATTAATTGTTCATGTGGTCATTTAACTAAGAAAGTAAAATGTGGAGCATCAACTATTGAATCTACTTCAATTGGAACTATTTTACCATGTGATGAATCTTGTGCAATTGCTAAAAGAGATTTACAATTAAAATCAGCTTTTTCATTAGAGACGTCAACTTCAACATCAGATGAAGATGGTGATTCAATTTATTCGGATTTTGTATTACAAACTTATAACAAACAAAAAAAATGGTGTACAAAGATGGAAGATATAATTCGAACATTTATAGAAGATTATAATTTACAAATTGAAAAAGGTATTGAAAATCCAAAAAGAACTTATCATTTTCCATCAATGACATCACCTCAAAGACAATTTATTCATGAATTAAGTTCATCTTTCAAAATATATTCAGAATCACAAGATTTAGAACCAAAAAGATCAGTATTTATTGTAATAACAAGATTAACTATATTACCATCAACAACATTGCAAGAATTTCAAGAATATAAACTTTCAAAACAACAACAAATTAATAAATATGAAAATATGACACAACAAGAAATCGATAATGAATTTTTTAATTGTATTATAATTCAAGATACATTTTTTGGTATAACAAAAGAAGAATTAAATAAACAATTACTTGAGAAAAATCAAATTGATGGATTTATCATATCATGGTTTAAAGAAAACACATTTATTATATATGATCCCAAGTTTTATTTGAAAATGGATAAAGAATTTGAACAAATTTTAGAAGAAATGTGTTATCTGATTTTAAAACCAATTTTAAGAACAAATTCATTAGCTTTTGATTGTAAATTAGCTTTGGTTGATCCTTCAATTAATTATATTTTAAAAATTGATAAACGTAAAATTGATCAAAATTTAGAACAAAAAACTGAATCTAAGGTTATTGAAAGTAAGAATAAATTTGATGTTTTAGGTGGTGATGATGAATTTGTTAAAAGTTAAAATTTAAACATTAATTATATAATCTTTAATAGATGAATTATATTTATTTACTAAACTTATTCTGCAGGTTCATGATTAGAGTCATTATTCGGTATCTCTTCTTCAATTTTATTTGTATCATCATTAATCGTTTTGTCTTCATTAAGTTCCTTGTTGGTATCTTCTTTAAGTTCCTTGTTGGTATCATCATCATCTTTGACTTTCTTATGTTTACTTCTCCTCGTAGGTTTTTTCTCTTTCTTCTCTTCATTTACATTTTCACTGCCAGTCTTTTTCTTCTTCTTTATACTCAAAGGATTAGGACCACTAGGACCTTTTCTTTTCTTCTTAACCGGTTCTCCTTCTCCCTTTCCATCATCTTCACCATCATTTTCCTTTTCGTTATCTCGTTTAACCTGTTTACCAGCTTTCAGATCATTCAATCCAGCAATTAATTTTTTATTTTCAAAATTTTGACTATATTTTAAACTTGCATCACTTAATTGTTCCATTACCATTACTGAACTTTTATTTATATAAATTAATGGAATTCCAGGAATTTGTCTTAATTTTGATCTTAATTCATTGTCTTGTGATGCAACAATATATCTATGTTTATTTTCTCCATTTATATCTACTATTGATTCAATACAATCTTGAGGATTTATTGGAGTACGATGATTACATTTTCTTCTTTCAAAATATTTTGCAATTGAAATAGCTTTTTCATTCTTGGTATCATATAATGCTTGAATACAACATTGAGTTATCATTGGTTTATTTTCTGATTGTATAGTTTTATTAAATCCATTTGTTATATTATATGATGAATCTGAACATTTAATTATAATATTTGAATCTACTATTATTTGATAAGGTTCTCGAAATTTAAAAGTATAATGATATACATTCATTTGCTTTTTATATGATTTTGCTCTTTTTTGTCTCATTTTTGCTAGTACTTTGTTATGTAAATTTGTTGATTATTGACTATTCGTGATAAAGTTGATTTGATATATCAAGGTACAAGATGAGATAAAACAAATTTGTTACACAAAACCTACAGACACAAAAACGGTGTACAATATAAAGTTGCAAAAGAATTCAAAGAATTACTTTCAAGCTGAAACATACATTAAAACTTTGAATATTCACTTATATTAAATATAAATCAAAACACCTTCTCAATATTATTTAAAAATTAAGATTTTTATTCAACCGCATTTATAGTGAGGCAAGCCATAGCTGTAGTAGTAACTAACAAATTCTTCTTTTTTTATAGATAGACTTTAAAATCGAATTTTTTTCAACTCCATTAACAATTTCAAAAATAACTTCTGAATCATAGTTTGTTAAAATTGCATTAATATTGGTATCAACATAAAACAATAAATTCCTTAATTGAGTCGTACCTTCTGGTGTACGTTCTGAAGTTACCTCGCTTAATTTTAAATCTTTCAAATTAGTACAATTATCTAAAACTAAACAACTTAAATCTTCAATTTTATTGTTTGATAAATTCAAATGAGTTAAACTTGATGGGAATTTTTGAGAAGCCAACATTGAGAACGTTACTTGATTATTTTGTAAATCCAATTTCCTTAAGTTACTTAATTTGGAAAAGTTTCCGTGCATGGTTTCTAATTTCAAATTATTGATGATCAATTCTAGTAATGAACTGGGAAAATGATCAAAATTCAATGATTCGACACCTAGGTTTATCATTGTCAATTTAGTCAAGTCTTTACATTCAAATGAAACTTGAAGAGCATCATCAGGTTCATAGGACATTGGCCTTTTGTTTTTCAAAATTAAGCTTTGCAAATTGGGTGTATTGAAACGTACATTTTCATTTACATTAGTTAAAGTTTCCAATGGATCAAATAGCTCCAAGTCACCGGCAAATTTTGAGCAATAATTGTCTGACATTTCCAATACTTTTAAAGATTTCAATTGATCCAAGTTTGACTTGAATAAGCCCAACCATACGTCATTATTTGAAAACTTAATCCGCTCCAGCTCAGGAAAAAAAAGATCTTCAGCTACAATCTCGCAATTCGTAATGATGATTTCGGACATTTGATTTGGTAAGCTGATTGAAACCAGGTCTAACTCAAGATGTGTAATACCATCTAATTCCAAAACATCAAGTGTCTTCCCAATTTCAATTTTTCCTATTTCTAGGGTCTGCATAGTATCGAAAATTTTCAAACTCTTCAAATTTTGAGGGAAGCGAAACTCAGCATCGATACGAATCCGCAGGGCTATTTCTGAAATACTAATTTGTACATCGTTAGATAAGTTTTCTATTCTGTTGGGATGAAAATTGTTGATGAAACTCAAAGTTTTTAATGAAATGGGGAATAAGGTGTTACCTAAGTCATAAAGTTCATGACAGCAAGCAATATGAAGCAAATTTAGATTCTTGTACTTGAATAAGTCACCTAAACTTTCAAAATCACAAGAATAGAGTCTTAAATTTATGATGGATGATGGAAGCTTAATATTATTTAAGGAACTCATGGCGGAGAGATTCTTGCAGTTAAATGACTCGAGATGATGTAAATCACTTATATTCAATTTAATGTTAAAGCCTTCATATAACGTTAGCTCCTTCAAAGATGTTGGAAATCGAATTGGAAATATATCGCAATAAGATGTTGTCAATGATTGTAAGTAGGTTTGTTCAACAAAACTTGAAAATAATCCAACTTCTACTTTTTTGAAACTTGCAGCAAAAATAGTTAAATATTGATCCAAATGTACACCCACAATATAAGCTCTATCCAAAATTGAGACAAGATCAATAAATGTAGTACATTTCAAGATTTTAACCTCATAATTGACTAATTTGAAACTTGGTTCTTTTAATAGTTGATTGATTTGTTTTACATTCCCAATTATTATTGAAGGTATAAATTTAAACAATTGAAAAAGCTCTATTAATGATTCAACTGAATTGTTATGATCATCATTTATTTCATATTTTGAATACTTTCGTTCTAATGCAATTTGTTGTAAACCTGGAATATATAGTAAGCTTTTGATTATAGATTTATCCTTGATATTACTGAAAATTAGTGATAATATTTCTTTGGGTAATTTAAGAAATATTTCCATTTGAATGGTGAGTTTTGATTATCTTGATTGGAAGTGATGAATCATTTTGGTTGCCACTTTTTTTTGAAATTCAAAATTTTTTAGACGTGATTCTCTGGCTACCATATGGTGTTTCAAATTCGCTTCGTCTAAATTTGTCCTTAGTCTAAGAATTACTTTGACATTTGGCAAGTATAAATCCAATCATTTTCAAAGCTTTGAGTCGTCTTACGTATATAAAGTTCTGTATTCTGGTTTTTAGGTTTACTTTTGTTTGGAGTCCAATGTGAAAACAAATTAAAATTCTGTTTGAATTTCAATTCTGTTCTGTATTTTTATTGAAAATCTCCCTGAAAATCTCCTTCCAAAGATCTCATTGCTTGAATTATCTCTCTGACTGAAAAAAAACTACTTTCAAAACTAGATCTCATAATTTGAGTTGACAGCTAATTAAACTTTAATAAAAAGAAGAATTGAAAAATATATATTACTAGATTAATTAATAAAATGCTAAATGAAAAATAAAATCTATATAGTCTCTTGAAAAAAAAGTAATTAGCTATTGTTTTTTCTCATTCGTTGTCTTTGTTTGTCTTTTGATGAAAATCATGACAATCAATCACAGCAGTTTAAAACTAAATTTAGATAATCTACCTTTTGGTTTAGGTTGAATATAATCAGCAGGACTTATTCCAGTAACAACAAGAGGATTCGGAGTAGCACTAGCACTAGCAGTTGCCGGAGTAGTTAATTCATCATTTCCTTGTTGTGCTTTAAATGACATACTTTCTTCTTTTAATAATTGATCACTTTTTGTATAATAATTTTTTGCAATTTTTGATGGAGATCTAAATACTGCAAAATTTCTTAAAATTGCATGAGAATATTTTGTTGGTGCATCTTCTGATTCATTATATTCTGGAACTCCAATAAATCTTACTTTTTTTATAATTGTTGTTGTTGTTGTTGTCATTTCAACTGATGTTGTATCTGAATCAGATAAATTTGTTGATATTGGTGCTGTTTTAGTGTTTGACTTAGGTTGATTTATATTAGTTTGTTGATTTGATGTATTTTGTTCTTGTGTTGTTGGTTCTGGAGTTCCACTTAGTGTTGATGAAGATGTAGTTGAAGTACTAGCAACATCATCCGGTATATGACTATTTCGTTGAGTGTTTTGTCTAGTTACCGAATCTCTTGTTTTTCTAATTGGTTGTCCATAATTACCTAAAGTAGAAGATTGTGATTGATTTGTTGGTGGAACAGGCGTATTTGCTGAAATTGTATCATTATCATTTTGTTTAGGTACATCAACATATTTTCTTCTTTGTAATTTTGATGGATTATTTGGATCATATGTTACAGTTGTTAATGTTTCTTTTTGTTGAGTTACTAAATCACCAGTTTTAGCTGCATTTTTAACATGTTCCTGAAATCTTTGAGAAGCTGATAATTTTGAATTTGGCGGTATAGCTTCAATTATTTCTTCTTCTTCAACAGCCATTAATTTTTTAGTTAATTTACTTGGTTGATTCTTCTTCTCATCTTCCGGATTTGATGATTTAGTATCTAGATTTTGATCAATTGATTCTGCTTTAACTTGTTGCTTTTGTGGTGATGATTTGTTACCATTTTTAGTTAATGCAGCAACAGCACCTGAAGTTGCTAATGATCCATTATCTTTAGGTTGTGAATTTGATCTTTTACGAGTTTGAGGTGATGTAATTGATTGATTAATTTTACCATTTGGTGATTTTAAAGTTGTTTCATTTTTATCATCTTGATTTGCTGCTGCATTTTGTTGCATAAATAACATTGAATTTGGTCTTGGTCTTGTTGCTGTTTTATTTGGTGAAGTTAATGAATTTTTTCTTGAAAGCACTGATGATGAATTACTACCATTACTATTAACACTTGATGTTGATGATGATCTAGATCTTCTTACTGTCTCATTTACATCCAATTTTTTCAACTGACTATTTAAAGATCCATTTGTTTTTTTATTCTGTTGCTGTTGCTGTGATGGTTGTTGTTGTTTTTCTTTAAATTCAGGTATAGAATGATATATTTTATCAAGATTAGACATAGGTAAATGATAAATACTTCTAAACTTTCTTTCTGAAATAATCCAATTTAATCCAAATTCTTTTAATATAGTTAAAGATTTTTCAATAACATTTAAACCTTGACTTGCAAAATTTATATGATTTAAAATATTTTTATTATTACTTTCAAATTTTGAATCTTGACGGATTAATCTTGTTATATTAGCAATTAAAGTACCATTTTTTTTCATTGAATTATAATATTCATCCATTGATCTTAAAATTGTTGTTTTAAAAAATGCAGAATTATGAGAATGAAATAAAAATTTTGAATCAAGTAAATGTTGATGATTTGATAAATAAATTTTTCTACCAAATCTTCTGATTATTGTATATATATCATTTAATCTTTGAGTTATTAAAAATATTTTATGAATGGCATATGGATCTTTTACATCTGGTTTTTTTAATTGATTTATTAATGGTTTGAGTTTGCTTAACAGGATTTCAATTTGATTTATTATTATAAATAATTCCTTTATATCCATATCAATTAATGAAGCTTCTTGATAATTTTGATTATTTTGTTCTTCATTAGATATAGAAAAAGTTAAATCATTTAATTCTAAATCTATATCATTATGAAAAATTTCATGACTTATTATATTACCTAATTGTGAAAAATATGAATCTAAAACTGAATCTTTTACAATATTGGATTTATCAATTTTAGCTAATGATAACCTTTTCAAATATCCATTTAGACAAATATTACTTAAATTTTCCAATTGTTTCAAACATTTACGAGCTTGTTCAATTGTAGGCATTTCATCTAATGCAGTAATTGGTAAATCAGGTATATCATAAGGTATATGTGAAACAGTTACTGAAATATTTATTACACCAACATTTACAGGATGAAAATGTGATAATTTTTCAAATTTTGAATCAAATGCTTTATCATTTATTGCAAATGTATTTCCAGTTAATAAAGTAATATAATGAAGTAAAGGTAATTCATTCTCTAAAGTTTGTAGTCTTTTTAATGATTGTATAAATTTTTTAAGTTTATATATTCCATATTCATACTGTAATATTTTACAATCTAAAGATGTAATAATATTAGGTTTATAAGGTGGTATAATAGTTTTTTGTGATATTTGTGATTGAGGCTCTTTAGACGCGTTATTCCCATTGGGAATTTGAGTGATTGATTCACCCATATAATTGATCTAACTAATGGTTCCTATATTAATTGTTTTTCTGTTGAGATCAATGAATTAATATATTTTGTTGAGTAAACTTTCTCAATGAATCTATGAAACCTTAAATTGCTTTGAAAAAATAAATTAATTTAAATTTGAGCTGATTTGAATTGAGAATATTATGAGGAGTGTCTGTGATAAAGTCACTGTGGTCTTTTGTTAAAGCTTTGCTGTACCTGTATAGTCCCCTTTGTGGAGTGATTTATTGATAATTTGATGTTATATATTAAATGGTTGCATTAATTAGATCAGATTATTATATGGAATAAATTTGTTGATATATTATTTTTTAGAACAAAAAGAGATAATGATTTGGATGTCACTTTTAAGTGTCGTGCTTTACATATCACGACATACTAAATTACTTTCTTACTTTTAACTTTCACGTTTTAAATATTTGACAACCATTCATGACAACTTGTTTTCAGCAAAATCTTCTTATCCAATGGCATCTAATCAATATATACTATATTTAGTAGGATTTATACTACTATTACATTCAGGTTATTCATCATTTGAATTTCATAAATTTCAATCTCATAGTACCTCAAATTTAAAAATATCAAATTTACCATTAGATATATCAATTGAAGCAATTATTGGATTTATAATAATAATTATTGGATCAATTAAATCAATTGAAAATCAAGCATATTTATCTATAAATAATGAAATAGTAAATGATGAATTTAAATATTTAAAATCTATTAATTTAAGTGATAGTTTTCAAATTGGTGAAAAAATTGGTATTACAGAATTTGAAGAATTAGATTCAAGATTACCTTTTATTAATATTGGTAAAATTAGAAAAGAATATAGTGATTGGATTAATGAACAAGAAAAAGGAGGTAAAATAGAGTAGAAACAAATGCGTTAATACATGAGTGCACTTTTTAATTTTTCTGTTGGTATTATTAAATTTTGGTGTATAATTTTCTATAAATATTAGTATGAATTTGTATTATAAAATACATGATAATGATGATACATGAATGAAAATACAATAACTTTGGAAGTGTCTTTTCTGAAATATGATGAGTTATGAAGCAATTAAATAGTTTTCTTCTGTAATTTTATTTCATTACTTTTTAATCTATTTTCTCTTTTTGCTTTTGCTTTTGGACCAGCTTCAGTTCCTAAAATATGATCCCACCATCTAAATGAAGAAGAATAACCACCAACAAAATAATGATGATGTTCATCATGATGATCTGCTCCTGCCCAAAATGGTAAGAAATGATGTAATGACCAAGGAAATTCATAACCAGAATGAGAATCAACTGCTTGAAATAATCTTAAAACAATCCATACTGATACTGTAAATAAATGTAAATCACCAAATATTAAACACCATAATATTGGTATACCAACAGTTCCTAAACCTAATAATGCAACTTCTATTGGATGAGCATATTCAGCAGCTAAACCAAAAGGAGCAGCATATCTATGATGTTGTTTATGAATATATTTATAAAATACTCCATAATGTAAACCTCTATGAAACCAATAATGCCAAGTATCTTCTAATATAAAAAATACTGACCATTGTAATAACATTGTTGTTAATTTTGGAAATGGTACTTGATAACTTATACCAATTTTTTGACATAAAGGATGAAAAAACCAAATTGGAAAAGCTTCAACTAAAAAATGAGAAGTTAAAACAGATTTTAAACATTCCCATTGTTCTTTATCACTTGGTATTTTTTCATCTTGAATTTTCCATTTTCTAAAAAATGGAATTCTATCTATTATAGCCCATGGTAAACATCTACCAAAATAAAAAATTTCATGAGTTAAAAAAAATAATAATCCAGTTGCAAATAAATCATTATTCATATAATAATAATATGATCCCCATAATTTTTCAATTATATTTAAATTATTTAATTGATTAAAATTATTAAAAGAATCTGTGAAAGTTGTACCATTTGAAAATGATGAATAATCATGATATACATGACTTGTACCTGATGCGAATAATGACATTATGTAGTAATTTGTGACTGTACTTGTTATTTGATGATTTGTTGTATTATATGAACTTATTGTAAAAAAGTGTGTTGCTAAAATTTGAATAATTTGGCGTTTTAATTTAAATTTGTTATTTTCAATTAATTGTATACTAGTTGAATAGAATGATTGTTTGAAAGATTGTGTACTGATGAACTATTGATATATATATATATAGATTCTTCAAAATTGGATCAAATGAATAATACTAACTTTATATATATGTTTGGTAAAGATAAATAAATTTGATATTATGGAATTGACCTTTGAATATATTAAGATTAAGTGTATATTATTATATACAGGTATGGAAACGAAGAGTAGCCTTAGTAAAAAAGAAATTAAATAAATAAATAATAATAATATAAGAAGAGATACTTATTATTAAATTACTTGATAATTTTATACGAGATAAACGAGAGATAATTTTAGACTTGTCTGAGGTACGGATGTATCAATTTGTTTTAATTTATACGATCAGGGGGCGAATTCTAATCTGACATAAAACCTAATTATTATACACCATATCTTTTTACGCATTATCAGATGATATGGATCTTAAATAGTTTTTGATAAGATCCTATTACTTATTCAAAAATAGTTTAGATCTAATCTATATCTGATAGATTTAATGCGCTTTAACAATCGTTTATTGATTTGACGATCGTATAATTTTGTAATCTACGTACTTTACTTTTAACATGAAACCATTAGACCATATCAAAATAAACACTTCATTGCTAGCCCCCCATCATCAATCAAAAGATGAATTTAGAACATTTTTAGATTTACACAATTCAAATGTCGCACTTTAGACACTCAATTATCCAGTTTGTAAGTTATTTAAAGTTATTGGTATAACTCTTACTCCCATCAAATGAACTATAAATTTATAACTTGAACAATGAGTGTATATTTAGTATTTGTTAATGTTTGTATGTTCTGTCTGACAATTTGAATGGAATTTATGACAAAAAGTAATTGATTGGAATTACGAACCTACCTACTTTTAGTCTGATCTTAAACTATGTATTTTGAAGCTTTCAGATTCTAATTTGACCATTCAAGAATTTGGTAAGTTTTCAACTTTATTAGATTTTCGTTTCTTTCGTTGCGGGTGATCATGCTTCTTCTGTTTTATCACTCTCTATATCCATAGTCGAAGAAGCCTTGTCAAACATTATAGGAATGTGTTTTTCAGCATTACAATTACTATTTTCAAGATCGGATGAACTTTCTTCATTTGTAACACCAGTATCTTCCTCAATTGGTTTAATCTTTTCATTATTGAATCCTCCAGTGTGTCGAGGTGCAAAATCAGGATCCTCGTCAAGTGGTGGTGGTGGTTTATAATCTTTTGGATCCCAATCCATAAGATCCAGTAATTTTGTGGCCTGTGGCAATTTCCATCTTGGTGTAGTCACTCTTTTCACAAAGGCTGCGGACGGTCCATACTTTATTGGGTTCTCCTGATTATGCTTAAGCAATTGACTAAACTTTTCAAACAAATACCTACATTTTTGAGGGTTAATTGGCTTGGTAGGTTCAAATAATTTTTTAGCTTTCGATGATTTAGATTTTTTGTGTGGTTTGGATGATTTGGATGATTTGGCAATTGTCATAATGTTACAAAGATGAGCTCAATGAAGTGAGTATGTAAATGTTGGACGATTCTATAAAATTTTAATTTTATAATGTTTCTTCAGGAGAAAAGTTAAATTTATTGTGTGGATTTTTTGATTTACGCTGATTGGAAACAAGCGCATTATAATCTGGATTTTGCTTATTGATAGACTGATGAGTTAGTGAACCACTCCAAAATTGTTTTTTCATGAACATCTGAAAAATTGAATCTATTAAACAATTTTTTGATATCTACTCAGCAAAATTGTAGCAGTGCTTTCTCAATTGCAATTTGCGTATAAGTTTCAAAACTGGGTTCGTTTTGTTGCAAAAATTGGTACACCTCTAATTCAAATTTATAATTCAATACAATACTTCTTTGTTCAGAGTCAATCTCACAAGACCTCAAAATAAACCCATCAGCAATTCATGCTTCTTGTACACATTTTTATCATGAATAGCCAATTTCGTTCATTTTTGCATGAAATATTAAATGCTATTGCTGTACGGAGGTGTTTCGACTATCTAAGAGTTACAAAAATAAAGGACAACACTCAAATCAAGATCGTGATATGTCTCCGTAGCTTTCAGCAGTTCATCGCAAAGATACTAATGGATTTGAGGCTAGTTTTGATTACTGAGATTAAATCGTTAATAGCATCATTTCAATCCAGACTTGTTAGTAAATCGAACTTACGTTTTCTAGAATCCGTTTATTTTGATTTTGTGTCTTTCGATTGAAATCAAAAACAACGCGATAAAATTGTATACGCGTCTTAAAATGTTTATCATTATTTTTAACGACAGTCATTTTTACAACATAAAGCTGAGTCAATGACACAATCAGAAGTTGAGTTAGAAGTACAGTCACAACGATTAGAACATACTACTATATCAAATAACAGTATGGCTGAGAATGGAAATCATACTCAAAATGGGAACGATGAAGAAGAAGAAGAAGAATTAAATGGTCCATTATTAATTGAATCATTAGAAGGAAATGGGATAACAACATCAGATATTAAAAAATTAAAATCAGAAGGATATCATACTATTGAAAGTATTGCATATACACCAAGAAGAATATTATTAAATGTAAAAGGAATAAGTGAAGCAAAAGCTGAAAAAATATCAAATGAAGCAGCAAAATTAGTTCCATTAGGTTTTACAACAGCAAGTGAATTTCATTCAAGAAGATCAGAATTAATTTGTTTAACTACCGGTTCAAAACAATTAGATACTTTATTAGGTGGAGGTATTGAAACTGGATCAATAACTGAATTATTTGGAGAATTTAGAACTGGTAAATCACAAATTTGTCATACATTAGCTGTAACATGTCAATTACCAATTGATATGGGAGGTGGTGAAGGTAAATGTTTATATATTGATACTGAAGGTACATTTCGACCAAATAGATTAGTATCAATTGCAAATAGATTTGGTTTAAGTCCAAATGATTGTTTAGATAATGTTGCTTATGCAAGAGCTTATAATGCAGAACATCAATTAAATTTATTAAATTTAGCTGCTCAAATGATGGCAGAATCAAGATTTTCTTTATTAATTGTTGATAGTATAATGTCATTATATAGAACAGATTATGCAGGTAGAGGTGAATTAAGTGCAAGACAAACTCATGTTGCAAAATTTATGAGAACTTTACAAAGATTAGCTGATGAATTTGGTATTGCTGTTGTTATAACTAATCAAGTAGTTGCTCAAGTTGATGGTCAAGCAGGTATGTATAATCCTGATCCAAAAAAACCAATTGGTGGTAATATTATTGCTCATTCTTCAACAACAAGATTATCTTTGAAAAAGGCAAGAGCTGAACAAAGAATTTGTAAAGTTTATGATAGTCCTTGTTTACCTGAAAGTGATTGTTTATTTGCAATTTATGAAGATGGAATTGGTGATCCAAAAGTGGAAGAGAATGATTAGAAGAAGAAAGTATGGTGAGAGTTCGGTAAGTTTAATGTTTCTAATGAGTTTAATATATATTTTTTTTAGTTTTTTTTTGGTCTTCCTATTGTATATAGAATTAGAAAAAATATTTATATTGTTTAAACTTCGTATTGTACGCTTAAATGGGGTAATGAATTTGAACTGTCTCGACAGAAATAAAGAATCCACGGATAAATTATTATTTGAGTTTTATTGTTCCAAAAAAAAAAAAAATTATTTCGTAGATGTTGATCGTTTAGATAAAAATTTGAATGCAGTACTTGACTCAGGGCACAGAAAACTTGCATGAATCCATACAATACATAGGTGATTTAATAGTTGAATTCATGACTTTAGTCTCAAGAGCAAGCTACCGTTTGAGCGCAAATGATTAAACAAAAGAAGCTCTGCTAAAACAGGACAGTATTTTTTTCAAATCAAGTGTCGGTAAAATTCATCCTCTCTGACTTTCAATTCTTGTTTAAATTCTAATTTTTCTTGTCATTCTCTTTTACAAACTAATAGAATCTCATCTGAATACTTATTAGTAGGTTTCCCTATAATAAATCATCATGGTTAATTCCATAGATTATATTTCATGATTTACGAAGAGTCTACTCATGAAACTTCTTCTAACATACCGTTAATAGAATCTCATCACATATATCAATGGCATCAAAATATTTTAAATTGGAATTACCTTTTCTAGAATAAAACATTACGTAGTTTTAGTCATGACTATTAATTAATTTGTAGATGTGTTACATAATTAATGTCAACATCTTTCTCTACTTTTGTGTAACGATAAAATTTTTTATCTTTTTCATCAGTAAATCATCAAAAGTTACACTACCATACAAATTACATCCATACAACAATACTTTAGCAGAGTTTACTAAAGATTTTTTTCACTAATAAAGCCCAATTTTAGAGTTTTCCCGCAAAATTCCAATTTTAAAATTCCAAGTATAACCATCGACTCATTTTCATAAACTTATACAATTGAAGTTCAAATTCATTATTCGTCAAGGGAATTGTACTACCGTGTTATCTACTAACGAAAAGAAAAGGAGAATTTTGTTCGTATTACTAATTTGATCGAAAACCAATTCCCCATACTTTTCTTACTTAACAATTAAAATTAGGTCTGCAAACAATTGGATTTTCAGGGAAGCAACAACATACTTATATTATATCTTCAGTGAATAGACGCGTGAAAACTCCATCAAACATCAGCATGAAATATCAAGAGAAAGCAAAAGTTAAAATTTTACCAAAACCAATTGCACCAACTAGTCAAGTCTCATCACCTTTAGTTCAAGTATCACCATCTTTGTCAACGTCTTCTCCTGGACCATCATTAACAAATAGAAAAAGAGCAAAATCTACGACTAATACAAATTCAACTTCAAATAATGATTTAAGAAAACAAAGAAAAACAAATACCGCGTCACCCTTGGACCTAAATCAACCTTCATCTGTATCATCCACTCCCAAACCATCTAAACAAACTGGTCATAGACCAGTAACATCATGTACATTCTGTCGTCAACATAAAATCAAATGTAATGCTCTGGATAATTATCCAAATCCTTGTCAAAGATGTGATAGAATGGGATTAAAATGTGAAATAGATCCACAATTTAGACCTAAAAAGGGTTCTCAAATACAATCATTAAAATCAGATGTTGATGAATTAAAAGCTAAAATTGAAATGTTAACTAAAAATGAATCATTATTAACTCAAGCATTAAATCAACATAATCTTAATTTTTATCCAACAACTTCTCCTAATTTACAACCACAACAACATCAACAATATCCACCACAACCACATAGATCTAACCTGTACCCTGTCTCTGCTCAAACTCCAATTGGTTCACCTTCAGTGTTCTCACAAAGTGCTCATATTTCACCTATGGCATCAGTTACAAGTATTCAACAAAATCCATCTTTAATGAATGAAAATTCAGATAATTCACCATCAGCTTTAAACACACCAGATCAAAAAGAAGAATATTTACAACCTATATCAGAGTTTATTTTAGGAGATGTTAATTTACCATTAGCCAAAGCTAATGAATTACATGATAGATTTATGAAAAAACATTTAGATTTTTTACCGATTATAATATCAAGATCAGCAACTGAATTGTATCATAAATCAAATTTATTATTTTGGGCGGTTATATTAACTGCAAGTTTGGGTGAACCAGAACCTACTTTATATATGTCATTAGCATCACTTATAAAACAATTAGCTATTGAAACGTGTTGGATTAAAACACCAAGATCAACTCATGTTATACAAGCATTGATCATACTTTCAATTTGGCCATTACCTAATGAAAAAGTATTAGATGATTGTTCATATAGATTTGTTGGATTAGCCAAAAATTTATCATTACAATTAGGTTTACATAGAGGTGGTGAATTTATACAAGAATTTAGTAGAAATCAAGTAAGTTTAGGACCTGATGCAGAAAGATGGAGAACAAGATCTTGGTTAGCTTTATTCTTTTGTGAACAATTTTGGTCTTCATTATTAGGTTTACCACCATCTATTAATACTACTGATTATTTATTGGAAAATGCAAGAGTTGATCAATCATTACCTAAACAATTCAGATGCTTAATATCGTTATCCATATTTCAATGTAAATTAGTGAATGTAATGGGTATAAGTGTGACAAGACCAGATGGATTATTAGAACCACTGAATAGAGCAGGATCTTTGAATTTATTAGATAGAGAACTTGAAAGGTTAAGATTCAAATTACAAATTGTAGATGGATCACCAATTGAAGTTTATTATCTTTATTTGAAATTAATGATTTGTTGTTTTGCATTTTTACCAGGAACTCCAATAGAAGATCAAGTTAAATATGTTAGTTCTGCTTATTTATCAGCTACTAGGATTATAACAATCGTTTCACAAATGAATAATGATATATCATTAATTGAATTACCAATATACGTAAGACAAGCAGTCACTTATTCAGTATTATTACTTTTCAAATTACATTTATCAAAATATTTGATTGATAAATATGTTGATTCAGCAAGACAATCTATTGTTACAGTTCATAGATTATTCAGAAACACTTTAAGCTCATGGAAAGATTTACAAAATGATATATCAAGAACAGCAAAAGTTTTAGAAAACTTGAATTTAACACTATATACCTATCCAGATATATTTATAAAAGAAGATGAAAGTACCAGTATAATATCCAGAATGAGATCTCATTTGACAGCATCATTATTTTATGATTTAGTATGGTGTGTTCATGAAGGTAGAAGACGAGCTCAATTAGGTAAGGAAAATAAAGTGAAACAAGAGGAAGGAAATGATAAAAAATTATTACCATTACCTTTTTACAATCAAATTACAAAAGATGATTTTAGAACAATTACAACAACTACACCAAATGGTACAACAATTACAACATTAGTTCCAACTGATGCAGCAATGAATAATGCTAGATCTAATGCTACCGATAACAAACCATTAGAAATTAATGGTATTCCATTACCTTTATTAGATGCAACTGGAGCAAGAGATGGAATAAATGGTGCTCAAAGTTTCATAAATCAACAAAATTTACCTCCACAAGATCAGCAACAACAAAATCAAATGTTTTCAAATCAACAACCACCAACACCAATGCATCAAGGTTCACCACCAATGTTAGATTTCAATTCACAAATGACACCACAGTTACCTTCACAAATGCATAGTATTCAACATTTCCAATTACCAAATGTTAATATGAATAATGGATCACCTCAACAACCACCACAGAATCAACAACAAAATTATTTACCTACAATACTGGAAAATCCAATGATTCAATTTAATGATTTCTTTTTACAACAATCTTCAATTGATCAAGATGATGATTTTTTGGGATGGTTTGATTCAAATATGTTAAATCAACAATAGATTTGTATCAGAGATGCTTTTTTAATTCTACTACTTGTATATATTATTTATGACAAATAATTTTAATTAATAAATGAAGTTACGCTTTTTAATTTGCAAGTTACTATCAAATTCTGATGTCATTTCTACTTAAGACCGCTTTTGTTGTAATAAAGTCTGCCAAGCGTGGGTAAACTTTTTAAAATGATTTAATATATGGTTGATAGAGGATGAAGAACGATATACTTATGACTAATTAACAATAAATAGCATTTGAGTTGAAACTATGTGCAAATGTAGAACTGAATCAATTGCGGCTTATTTTTACACAAACTAAACTTTATTCAAGATTCTTGATCAATACCAAGAGAACTCACTCTGGATTGGTAGGAGATACTAAAGAACCGCTCATTAAGCCTAATAGTAAGTCACAAATTAGATTTTCATCAAATAATGTTAGAATCAATTGTATCGCTCCAACTTTTCAAAAGAAGTCTACTGCTGGGCGTATCAACTTCCACGAGTACCTTGTTGACGGTTCCTGGACTGTATTAGTTCTGCATCCCGCCGATAGAACTCCAGTATGTACAGCTTTTTCGTGGCTAAGTCGAACTATTTCACTACTCTCAACTCTAGTACCTTTCAGCTTTACAGTTTGAGTCTGAATTCATATTCGTAAATTTGTTACACAAAAATGGCTCTCGGAATATTTCATCCATATTTTTTGTTTCAGGAAATTTTCAATTGCTAAGCGAGTTAGCCTATTATCCTTTGAATACTTAATCTTCAAGCGAACTAGGCGTACTTAAATACTCAATTGATTCCTCAATACTCAACTGCTAGTTCTAGAAGCCCATCAAGTGCACGTATCACAAAATGTTGTCAAAAAATATTCTTCAAAAATCAAAATTATCAACACAGTTGAAATTTGTCCCTGCTCAAACTAGACTTTATTCAAGAATCTTGATCAATACCAACAGAACTCACTCTGGGTTGGTTGGAGAAGCTAAAGAACTGTTTATCAAGCCTATTAATAAGTCACAAATTAGATTTTCATCAAACAATGTTAGAATCAACTCGATAGCTCCAAATTTTCAAAAAAATACGACCGACGGAGAGATAGACTTTCATAAATTCATTGGCGATGCCTGGACGGTTCTTTTTTCTCATCCAGCAGACCACACACCAGTTTGCACTACGGAATTAGGTAGTATTTCGTCAAGGATAGACGAGTTTAAGGCGTTAGGAGCTAAAGTTATAGCTTTATCTGTTGATGATGTCGAAGATCACAAAAAATGGCTAAAAGATTTCGAAAAATTAGGAGACGCATTGAAATTTCCCATCATTGATGACTCAGGTAAAGAAGTAGCATATGCCTATGATATGTTACCAGAAGAAGCTTACACTGAAAAGTCCAATAAACTTGTCCCAACAGTTAGATCTGTTTTCATTATTGACCCTAACAAAAAAGTTAGATTAATATTAACTTATCCACCAAGTGTTGGTAGAAATATTGATGAAATATTAAGAGCTTTAAAGGCCTTACAAGTTGGAGATAAAAATGGAGTTGTTACTCCAGTTGATTGGCAACCTGGTAATGAAGTTATTATTCCTCCATCAATTTCTGATGAAGATGCTACTAAGAAATTTGGTGAATTTAGAAAAGTTTTACCATATTTAAGATATACAAAAGTTGATTAATCAACTTCTGAGAATTTAGTTATATTGAGAATTGGGTGTATAGTTTTATATTTTAAACTTTATTTTATGTATCTTCATCCAAGCTTTGCTTGGTGTAAAATTTTATGTTTTATACAAATCGTTCGAGGAGATAGAAAAATTAAAACATACATTAAATTTCGCTAAATATTCTTATATCTTCAGTCATTGATCAATTGGTAAAATATTTGGAACAGGACCTAAAGGAGTAATTCCATAAGGATTAATTTTAATATGAGATTTAGTATAATGTTTTTTAATATGTTCAAAATTTGTTGTTTCTTGAAATCCAGGAATTTTCCAATATAATAATCTAACCCAATTATGAATATTTGGATAATGAGTTCTAATCATTCCAATATTACATTTAAAATGTTGAACATAAACAGGATCAAATCTTATAATAGTTGTAAATAATCTAATATCAGCTTCTGTTAATTTATTACCTAATAAAAATTCATTTTTACGATCTTTTGAATGATTTTCTTTTAATAAATTTTCAACTTTATCTAAATAATGGAAAACATTTTTACATTCTTTATCATAAACTTCTTGTTTTGAAGCAAATCCAGTTTTATAAACTCCATTATTAATATTATCATAAATCCAACCATTAATTTCATCAATTTTATTTTCTAAATCTTTTGGAACTAAATTAACTTCAGCATATTCAGTTGGTAAAATACTATTAAAATCAAAATTTAACATTCTAATAATTTCAGCACTTTCATTATTAACAATAGTTTGTTCTTTTTTATCCCATAATACAGGAACAGTAAATCTACCATTATAATTTGGATCAGCTTTAAAATATAATTCTCTTAATCTTGCAAAATCATAAAGATGATCTGGTGTACCTAATGAATCATCATCTGAATGTTTTAATGAATTTAATTCTTCCTTTGTTGGGAATCTCCAACCTTTATCATCCATATGCCAATGAACAATTGATAATCCAATAATTGAAACTAAACCTTTTAATCTACGAGTAATTAAAGTACGATGAGCCCATGGACAAGCATAAGATACATATAAATGATATCTACCAGCTTCTGGTGGAAATCTTGCACCTGGTTTGGTACTTATAAAATCTCTAAAAACTGATGGTTTTCTTTTATAATTTCCATCTTTATCAGCAAATTTTAAAATTTCAATTTTCTACAAGGATGAAGGTTAATATTTTGTAAATTGAAACTCAATTGACTTAAAAGCTTTATACATACTTCAGACATTGTTGACTTTAGATTTGTTTGATGGCAATTGTAATTGAAAATTAAGGAACTTTTCTATTATATTTATATGTCAAATTAGAATCACCGATCCGTATTCTTCTATTATCCCCAAATTTGAAATAAATTACTAAAGGGAAGTATGCAATATAACTAATTCTATTGTATTATTAATAATTTATTAACAATTATAATAATTACGTAGCAACCTCGCTGATAGATCCAAATATGGACATTCGAATTTTCTACATTCACATAAGCAAGAAGAAAGAAAGAGAAGATTGCACACACACTTAAAGTGTAAGAGCTTTGAATGCATGTATTTACATTACCTCTTGGCACGATGAACTCTCAAGCAAAGTATTTGCTACTCTTACTAAATTGCAATAATTTTGAAAAATTCATCATTTTGGAGAATAGGGCAATCAGATTTTTTGTCTCTTCAACATAATACAATACTCTCAAACGTCTATTCGATTTGTTTAGGAAATTAGAGTTTCATAATTAAATCAAATCGTCATGGTGTAAATCTAAATTTACGAAAATCTCTCTCCAAAAAAAAATTGAGTTAAAAAAAATTGCTTGCCACAAGACAAGCGGCTTTCTTTCAGGACCTATTCTTATAAGTTTTGCAACAACACCAATCAATCATCTTTAAAATGACAAAAAAAGACACGGATCAAGATGAGACTGAACCACATGGTCCTAAAATAGAAGCATTATCAGCAAATCAACAACATCAAAATTTAGAAACTTATCAACAACAACAACAGCCTCAACCATTTTCACAACAACAATTACTTCAACAACAACAAGCTATTGCATCAAATAATGCTTCACAATTATCAAGAAAATTACCACCTTTACTGACTGTTTATCGAACTGATTATCAACCTTTCACTACTTTCCTACCTTATGAACCAGCATTTAGAGAACCTCCTTCACAACAACAACCACAAACAGGATCAAGTCAAAATCCTAATCAATCATTAAATTCAGAATATCAAATGCCTATAAAAGCAGCTGCTGAAGCATTAAAATTAAATATGCAACAACCATCATTAGATTCATCAATTAATAAATTTAAAACATCAAAACCAAAAAAATCAACCACCACCACCACTAACAATCCTAAAACTAACTCCACCACAACAACTTCAGAAAATAAAAAATCAGATCCATTAAGACCATATGCATGTACAATAGAAACATGTGAATGGTCATTTGCAAGACAATCTGATTTAACAAGACATATGAAATCTCATTCTCCTCCACAATATCCTTGTCCATATTGGAAAAATGATCCAACATGTCATAAAAATAATGGATCATTTAATAGATTAGATGTTTTAAAACGTCATTTAAAATTAGTTCATTATGTTAAAGATAAAAATCCAATTATTACTACTGAAGAATCAAGTAGTGATAAAAAGACAAAAACTAGTAAAAATAGTAATACAACTACAATTAAAAATGTTGATGAACCTGGTTGGTGTAGATCTTGTCAAAAAATGTTTCCAAATGCAAAAGCATTTATTGAACATTGTTTTGAATGTGCTGAAAATACTCAACCTGCTGAATGGAGAGATAAAAAAAATTTAGGAAATAATTCTAATTATAATGGTGAATCCAGTAGTAATAATTCAAGAAATAATGGACGTGGTCAACAAACTACATTTAGAGTTATATTGGAACCAAAAGCTAAGAAACAAAAAGTTGAATAAAATTAAAATTTAATAATACAAAATAAGGAAAAAAATATCATACTAAGTCTATATCACTAATCAATTCATGAAGTTTCATCATCTCTTCTTTCTTCATCATTATTATCATCTCTATCAAAGAAATCTAAAATTGCACAATTTGGATGAATAATATAAACAGTATTTGAATTTATACCACCTTCACCAGATTGAGGTAATGAATCATTTTCATTATTTGAAACACTCATTAATATTCTATCTTTAACTAATCTTTTTAAAACTTTATAACCTATTCTTCTTTCTTGTAAATATTCAGCTTCACTTGATAATTGATCTTCTTTTTGTAATAAATACCAATCTATTAATTGTTCTGCTGTTAATCCTTCTCCTCCATTTTTGTCATCATCTGATATTTTTTTAACTAACATATTCATTACTTCTACGTATTTGTCGTAGGAAATTGATGTTGACTCTTGTGTTTGTCTTTGTGGTGGTGGTTGATTCACTGGTTCAGTAGTTTCACCATCTACAGTTTCCACAGTTGCAACAGTATCTTGTTCCACATCATCATCATCAATTTCAATATCTTCCATTTCAACCCTTATAATAGATTGTTTTAATAAATCATAAGCTTCAGCAACAAAACTTGGAGTTATATCTTCAGTACAATTAGCTCTTGCAATAGCTTCACTTAATCTAATCATTGATTCTAATTGACGTACAGTAATTCTATATGAAGATCTTCCCAATCCTTGAGCATCATCATCTCTTAATTCTTTATATCTTGTAACTAAAAAATCTCTTGCTTCTTTTGTCATTTTTGGTTTAAATGTTTTGGCATATTTTATATATCTTGATAATTGTTCTGCTGAATATGGTGGATTTATTGCATTATCTCTTAACATATGTAAATCAACTATATGAGATGCTAATTGAGTATCAATTCTTTCATTACAATCATCTAATATAACAAAAAATAAATCAAATCTTGACATAATTGGTGCTGTCATACTTAAATTTGATCGTAACCCAATTTTTCTATTATATCTACCACCTATAGGGTTAGCAGCTGCTAATATTGAAGTTCTTGCATTTAATGTAGCATGTATACCAGCTTTTGCAATTGAAATAGTTTGTTGTTCCATTGCTTCATGAATTGCAACTTGATCAACAATATCCATTTTATCAAATTCATCAATTGCACATATACCATTATCTGCTAACATTAAAGCACCTGCTTCAATTGTATATTCACCACTTTCTTCATCTCTAACAACAGCAGCAGTTAATCCTGCAGCTGATGATGCCTTTCCAGAAGTATAAACAGCTCTTGGACTAAAACTACAAACATATTTTAAAAATTGAGATTTTGATGTTGAAGGATCACCAACAATACAAATATTTATATCACCTCTTAAATTTATTCCATCAACTGTTTGTTTATGAACACCACCTAATAATTGTAGCAAAATTCCCTTTTTAACAACTTCATGACCAAATACAGCTGGGGCAATAGATCTTACTAATTTATCATAAATATGTTCATCTTTAACCATATCTTTTAATTCAGAAACATCTGATTCACTAAGAGAAGTTAAAAAAATTTCATGATCATTTGAATCATTTTCTGTTTCATTACCAATTTTATTAATCATTGAAGTTACATGACAAGCATTAAAAGCTAATTTATAAGTTAAATCTCTAACACCTAAAGATTTTAATCCTGTAATACCAGAATTTAATTCAGATCCTCTATTTTCTTTTATTGATTGAGGTTTTACACCAGGTAATCCTAATTGAGAAACATCAGGTATAACAATTTCACAACCAGTAAATTTACATTTATCACCAGGTTTTGCTCTTTCAACAGTTTCACCTCTTAATATAACATCTAAAGTTCTTGGCATTGAACCTGTTGGAATTTCATTTGAATTTTCTTGAATTCGAACTCTTTGCCAATCAATAAATTGAGATTTTGAAATATTTAAAGTAAAATATGATTGATTTTCACATGATGGACATGATGTTGGTTCAGTATATTTAAAAACTTGTTCAATACCTTCAATTAATGCAGAACACATATCACAAGTAAAACATGCACGATATAATTCTGGTCTGACTTCTGAAGTTCTTGTTACTGTTCCTGATATACACATTAATGAACCAATTTTATTTGATTTTATATCTCTTATTCTTTGAATTGTTGGTAAATTAAAAAATGAAATTTGAAAAACTCTTTCATTTGATATTGAAGAAGTTGATGATGAAGTATTTTCACTTATATTTTCACCTTCTTCATCATTATTATTTGATCCACCTAATAAATTTGTATGTAATAAATTTGGAGCATACTTTTTTAATAATTTTTTTAAACCATTTAATAAATAAGGATAAAATCTATAATATTGTTCAGATATAGCAGTTGCTAAAACTCCATTTTCAACACTTAATAAATTTTGATAATTTACATATAAAGTACTATATTCGAAATTTTTCATTGATTCAATTTGTGCTAAATATATTTTACCATTCCAACCATTATTAATTTCATCTTCATCAATAAATTGTTCAATAAAATTTTGAAAAGATTCTTCAACTTTTATTGATGTAGCATCAACTACTTTTGGAATATCTAATCTTCTTCTATTACGTGATACTATTGATCTTTGTTGTTGTGGTATGGGTTGTGATGATTGATCACTTAATATTGGTGGAGCAGGAGTTGAAATATTTCTACCACCAAATGATGATATTTGTGAATTTAATAAATGAGCTGCATCAGAAGGAATAGGTGACGATAAATTCATTTTGAAGAGTTATGAAAAGTCGATTGGTGTGTAAGTAATTGAAGTCTGTGGGTAAGAAAGCGAGTGTAAATGTTGATGTTTAAATGAAAAGATGTTGATAAGTTGTAAAAATATGAAAGTAATATTTGGTTGTAAAAAAAATAAAAAAACTATTGAAGACGCGTATTATTTTTAATTTTTCATTAATTAACCAAATTAGGATTAATTTATAATCAATTACACAAAATATAAAAATATGAAACACTTTTAGCGACTCAACATCATGAAACTTACAAAGACATAAGATTTACTATGATCAAAATCTCATATTTTGGTACTGCTTTTTACTCTACAAAATCAAACTTAAAAAAAAAAAATCATGCATAAAATAAATCTATTAAATTAATACAAATTATCTCAAAACAAAACTTCTCAAACTCTTACTCAAATCAATCTCAACTAGAAGTGTACTACGATGTCCAATTGTTGTATTGTTTGATCCAATCGATCTTTGTATATCACGGGGATGGGACTGTGATTAACTGATAGATTTGAAACCCTAGTGCCATTAGCCTGAAAACAAAGGGATAGTACCTATTTATAACAAATAATGTTCATTAATTTTTTAAAAATATTGATCCAATATCTTTTTTAAATTTGATCTTTTAATAGGCTTTGATAAAAATCCATTCATACCAACATTAAAACATTCTTTAATATTTGAATCATCAGCAAAAGCAGTTAAAGCAATTATTAAATTTGTAAATTTTAGTTGGTTTCTTATAATTTTTACAGCTGATATACCATCCATTATTGGCATTTGAACATCCATAAATATTAAATCAAATTGTTCTTCTTGTTGTGTGTTTTCAGAATCTATTGAAAGCATTGAATTTTTTATAATTTCTACTGCTTCTTTTCCATTTGCACACATTGTTAAATTATTAAAACCTTCTAATTTTAACATTCTTTTTATAACTTCTTGATTTACTTGATTATCTTCTGCAACTAAAATTTTTAAATTTGATATTGATTTTGAAATTTGAGGAGTCAATGTTGGTGTTGTTGTTGATTGTGGTGGTGGTATATTATTTTCATTTGTTATTGATATTTCACTATTTATAATTGAATTATTTGATGGTATATTAATTAATTTTGAAACACTATTACTACTATTATTATTTGAATTTAATGAAGGTCTTGTTGTTGTGGTGGTGTTACTATTTTCTAAATCAATTTTTATAGAAGGTGGATTTGAATCATTATTTGAAGAAGATTGAGCAGTACCAGTTGAACTTTTTGAAAAAATCATTGGTTGTTTTGATGAAGATTTTTTTAATCCTTGATTTTGTATTGGTATTCCTTCAACATTATTATTATTATTATTTTCATCATCATTCATTATAGGGTTGTTATTATCATTAATTTCAATTGTTTCATCATTAAATACAACTTTTCTATTAATTTTAGAATATGGATTAAATTCATCATTACAAAATTCATTAAGCTCTTCTGGTGATATCATAATTTCACCAGTTTGTGGTAATGGTAAAGTTAATGTAAAAATTGAACCTTTCCCAATTATTGATTTTAAATTTAATGTACCATTCATCATTTTAGCTAATTGTCTACATATACTTAAACCTAATCCAGTTCCACCATATGATCTACTTAATGTTTGATCACCTTGTACAAATGGTTCAAATACTTTTTCTTGTAATGATGGTTCAATACCTGATCCAGTATCTTTTACTTCAATTTGAATAACCCATGTTTTGGAATTATAAATATTACGAATTTTAAAAGATTTATCTCCTTCATATTCCTTTTTATGTAATGTTGGGTAAGATTTAAAATCTTTTGCTTCAGGCATTACATATAAATCTTTATTATCTGTGGGGGTAGTTGGTTTTATAGATGTTTGTTCATCTACTTCTTCTTGTTTTTGTTCATTTTCAGGTTCATGTTCATCTGATGAATTTGAATTCTTAGTCACTGATGAATCATCAATTGAAGTTTTAGGAGATGGTGGTAATGATTTATTTTTAAATTGTTGATCAAATAAAGCTTTTTCATATTGTGTAGTTGATAATGTTGTAATACTTAATACATCAGATTCATCATCATCTAATGGATGTTTGTCATTATGTTTATCATTATTTTTGTTATCATTAATGTCAGTAGGACTAACAGAGTCCTCTTGTTCTGTTGTTAATAAATCTGAAACTAAAGTAGCATCAGTATTATGTTGTTGAGGATGAGGTCTTGATTCAGAATCAGATTCCATTATAAAAACTTTTTCAAAATTATTTTCTTTTGATTTTTCATAATCATATTCTCCTAATAATTTAAAAATAACATTAACTGAACCATCAACAGGAGTAAATTTCAAAGAATTTGAAACTAAATTCATTATAATTTGAATAATTCTATTTGAATCTCCATATAATATTAATTTTCTAAAAATATTTGGTTTTACTGATAATTTAAAATTAACTCTTTGATCTAATGCTAATTTATTAAAAATTGAATTTATTTGATAAACAATTTCTAATATTTGAAAATTTGATTTTTCTAATTTTGATCTATTTAATGTATTTTTTGAATAAGTTAATAATTCTGTTAATATATGTAATAATAATTCACCTGATCTATGAATTAATTTTAATGAATCTTGAATTTTTTCTGCATCATTTTCTTCCATTGCTATTGAAGTCATACCTAATATTCCATTTAATGGTGTTCTTAATTCATGTGATATATTTGCTATAAAAACAGTTTTTGCTTCATTTGCAGTTTCTGCTTCTATTTTTGAAGCTTCTAATTCTTTTGTTCTTAATTTAACTCTATCTTCTAAATGAGTATATTGTTTATCTAATTCATCAGTCATTATATTAAAAGCTTCTGATAATTCAGTTAATTCATCTTTAAAAAATTTCTTTGATGGTTGTATACGTTTAGGTAGTCGTATACCAGTTGAATATTGTGAAGCTCCTGAATTAGTTGAAGTAACACTACCTCTTGTATTTGTTAAAGTTTGTTGTTGTTTTTCATTAATCATTTTTTTTTCTTTTTTCAATCTTGTTATATCTTCTGCTGATTCTTTCAATTTTGTTATTGGTCTTATAAACCAAACTGCAAATGGTAAAGTAATTAAAACCATAAAAGCACCAATTCCTATAACAACACCAATAATTATACGTTTCAAACGTTCAACTGGTCCATTGAAAACAGATTTTTCTTGTACAACTATAATTACCCATAATAAATTATTTAATAAAATTTGTGTAAATCCAATTGCAACACTTTGTCCTGAATATGATTTTACATCTGTTGAAGTACCATATGGAGAATTTATTGCAGTTCTTACTGATGTTGATGAATTAATATTATAAATTTCTCCAGGTTTTAATAAAGAATTTTCAACGGGAAATACTGTTTGAAAACCAATTGCAGAAGCACCAGAAGGAACTCCTTCATCATTTAAATTATCTATTCCATTATTTGAATCTCCATATATTGGTTTTACTGCAATAACTGAATAATCTTCACTTGTTGCATTTAAAGCATTTTGAATAGTTGAAGCACTTGCAATTATTGATAAATAACCTGCAATATAAGGAGTATCAATTAATATAGAAGTATTTGCATAAACAGGTAATGTAACACCCATAAAATATGCACTATTAATATCTTGAGAATCATTAGTTAAAGGACCTGTAAAATAATAACCAGATTCATCATTTGAAATTTGATTTGGTATTGATTGATTTTGTTGTAAAGGAAATAAAGCATCTCTTGTTGTTGGAGAAACTATAGTAGCATTATTTGTAGAACTTGCCATAATTTGTAAATCTAAATTATATAATCTTGCAAAAGCAAAAGTTTCAGTAGATTGCATAAATTGTTCTAAAGTTTCTTGAGCATTTGTAAAAACACTTCTTGAATTATTACCTGCTCTATATTGTGATAAAGGAGTTGTTATAGCATCTATTGAAGCTAATGTCATTACTTGATAAGCAACAAATGCAACAGCTTGTTGAACTTGAGTAGTTTTTAATTGTGATATAACAAATAATCTTTCAGATCTTAAATCAGTTAAATTATCACTAAAATATAATCCTGTTACTATCCCCAAGATTAATAAAGAAAATAATGAAGCAAAACAAACTAATACAATAAGCTGCGGTCGTATTCCAATTTTTAATCGTCTCATGGTGATTTAGTATATATATTTAAGTGGTGGATTGTATAAATGTCTCTTTGAAAGATAAAAATACTGCTGCTAATGATTAGTTATATGATTAGTAGGAAAGACATATGAAATTTAATTAAAGTATATGAAAAGTAAGAGTTGATAGTTTGTTCTATGAAATGAATGAAGTAGTATGTAGTGGTATCAGTGGTGTATTAGTATGTATATAGTTGATAAGATATTAAGCTGTATACGTTATTGTATTAAGTACTGGTTGTTAAATTTTAAATTTGATGTTGTAATTTTACTAAAATATTTATATGTATAATTGTCTATTGTTTTGATTAAATTTTTTTAGTTTCTTAAATGGAAATATGATGAACAAAAATCTGTCAAAAATTCTGAAGTAGTTTGCAAATAAGTGATATGAATAGATTAGATTAAACACTTGGATAGAACGAATGGTTGATTTAGTGGATGATGAAGATAAAAAGAGATTGATTGTTTGTTAGATAAAAAATGGTTTTATAAGTCCGTACGATTAAAAAATCAAAAAACAATGAGAGAGAGTTTTTTTTTTCATTTCTAAATATAAAATTTGTAATCAGAATAATAATAATAATAAACAGTAATATCAGTAATACAGTTGTAATATTGTAGTTTTACAATATTACTCAACTCAAGATGTAAGAATATGTAAGTTGAATCAATAGGATATTCACCAATAATATTTTATTTTTGTATATATCTCTATACGAATGAAAAAATTGGACAAAATTATATATTATAAATTTATAATTTTAAGGATACAAAAAGAGAGAGAGAGACAGACCACATAAAAATTTGAATTAAAAAACTATGATGTCATTACCTTCTTGAAAGTAAAATAAGTCGAAAATACTTAAGTAAAACAACATGTTAAGTCAAATTTAAGACATACTAATGTGTAAATACTTAATATAGTAGTAGATACTAAGTTCTTTTAAATAGTTGATAATCTTGATCACTGTTGATTGAAAATTACTTGAATACGATACAACATGGTTATAATAATTCAAACAAAGAAAAATATCAACTGACTTCTAGATCTACTTTTGTAATTTTGTTTATTATTTTTGCACTTTTATCTTTGTCATTTTACGATCAAATTTATTATTATTGTGTTCAAGTCAATGAAATGATAATTTACTTCTTAACTAGTTAACTTTCAATTCTATTACATTCATCCATGGAACTATGAGTGGAGTTGTACCGACTTAGATACCTACTCAGTCATTATTTCCTCATGAGACAAGTCTCATCACGGAAATATGTCACATTTCTTCGTGTCAAATTTTACATCTAATGCTTTAAAATTCCTTCAAATTATTTTCATCATGTCATAAAAAAGATTGCATACATTCAATAATGTACACCTGTTTGATTGTACTTACTTCAAACATTTCTTGGTTCTTGAAAAACAATACAATATTTGCCACTTGCTCAATCCAACTCAGCCCCAACTAAGAATTAAATATAGCTTGCTTAGCCTTTTGAATATTTGTTATATGTCCAATTTTCATCAACTAACCACTTTCAAGGATCCAATTTAATGAATTTTTCGATCACCGATTAAGTTAAATTACTTACATGAAGACTATAGTCTAGATCTTATTATACTTTTAAACTTTTTCGAAAAATCGTAGATCTTTTAAGTCAATTTACATTATTATTATTTGGATTTTTGTGTTGATCCTTAAATAATTTTTTACAATTGATACATTTGATTCAGTTCAACAAAGTCGTTACAAAATCTAATTGAAATCTCAAAAAAAAAAATATACACGTATGAATACATTAACAATTGAGATTCGATATTTTGAGGGTTCATGCTTAGGACAAGTATCAAATACTCAAAACACTTAATCACACCTTTTTATTTGTCATATCATAATGTCAGGTTCGAGACATAAGATTTGAGACATGGATCAGACGCGTACCAATCACTAACAATTCAAACTAACAAATTTATTTATGATTATACCTATCACTAAAGTTTCAGATCAATAATAAAATCTTTTCAATTAATCACTGGAAACTAAAACTCAATTTTCATATAAATATAATCACAATTATACTTTTTGAATCATGGAAGATTGTTATTACTGATCGAGACCCCGAAAATTGATGTAAGGGATTGCGTTGTTTCCAAATTAAAATTATATAATAAATATCTAAATTCAAATGAACCTTACTTTATTGATGGAAAGTATATGAAAATTAGCAAAATTGAAGATAGGGAACAATCAACTAAACACTTATCATTACTTTGAAATTGATGGTATTATTCTTCAATTGAATTTTTCTTTGGGTGTTTTGCACTATGTTGCTTTATACATTAAATTTTGGAGATCTTGATAGTAATTAAATTCTGCCATGATCCAGGATGTGTGGTTGTCATTATTTCAGGATGAATAGTTCATAATTGAAAAAAATTTCCTATTAATTACTCTATAATGATTAAGTTTAATATACAAGTTATACCCAAGATCTATTTATACTTTTACATTTAATTTTGTTCCTACAATAGATATTCTTGAAAATGTCCAAAATGAAGCACCAGTGACAGCTAATACCCCAGTAAAAATAATCAAATTATCATAACTTGTATCTAATATAGTAGCAGCAATTGGTACACCAAATAAATTAGCTAATGATAAATAAAAATTTATAATACCATATCTTTGACCTAATTGCTTTGTGGGAGTAATTTGTGATAAACAAGCAGGTAATAAAGTTAATATACAAGCTGATGAAGTTCCTCCTATTGCTGCAAATGCCCATAATACATTATGATTATTACCAAATGGTAATAAAAGAACCAAAACACTTAAAACCCAAATTGAAACCATTATAACATTAACATTAAATCTACCTAAATAATCACTTAAAATACCTGGTATACATCTACCTGCTATTCCTGTAGCATTCCATATAGTTAATAATAATAAAGCATTTGATTCATTAAAACCTTTATCTATTGCATAACTTGCATAATAAGTAATCATCAAGACTAATGAAAACTCACTAAAAAATCCACCTAATAAAACAAATACAAATGTACGATCTTTAATTTTTATAAATTCAATAAATCCATTTTTAATTTTTTTAAAATTATTTTCATATTTAATAGTTTCTGTACATTTCATAGCTTTACTTTTTTTACTATGTCTTCTAAATCTTTCTTTAACTAATAAAGTAGATAATATCATACAACCTAAACAAATGAAAGCCAAGATTCTAATAGCCCATACAAACCCAACAGATGAATATAATTTTCTTAATAATAAAGGAAAAGCTAAACCTCCAACACTACCACCACTCATAGCAATAGCAACAGCCATACCTCTTTTATAAAAAAAATAATGACTTACAACAGAAATTAAAGGAACCATTCCAATTCCAGTACCAATTCCTAAACTTATAAAACCTAAAATAAATTGATAAATCTTTTGCGAATTTGCAATTCCAATTAACCCTAAAAATACAAATATAGTAAAACCTAAATTTAACCAAAAACTTCCATTTTTATCAAATATTGGCCCACTAATTAATGCAATTGCATAACTTAAAAAATAATAAATTGAAAAAATCCAAGAAATTGAACTTTCTGAATACAGTGATAAAATATTATTTGAAACATATGCTTGTATTGCTCCTACTGAATTCATTATACCTAAACTTACTATACAACCTAGGAATGAACCTAATATTACTAGATATGCTTTTAATCCACCATCTGGATAATTATCTGGATGTAATTGATGATCTTCTTCTTCTTCTTCTTCTTCCTCTTGGTCTATTGTATTTTCTATATTTGAATTTAATACTTCAGTTTGTATGGTTTCATTTGATGATGATGTATTAATATCATATTCTGATCTTGTATGATGATTCTGATAATTGGAATTGACAGAACTTAAATCAGATGGTAAATCTCGTAATGGAATTGACTTTGACTGAGTATCTTGTTGATCAATTTTTGATCTTGATTGAATTACATTAGCTGAATTAATTTTTAAATTTTCAATAGCTGACATTACTAAGAATAGTTGTTACATGTATTCATGACTTATTTTTAATCAACTTTGAAATATTCGATGATCGATATGATTCATTTTTTTTTTTTTATTTACATTTATAATTACTAATAAGCAAAGGTACTAAATTTAATTTTTCATTTTGAACTAAATTCCGTGCAAAATTTGAAAATAGTGCAATTGAATGCTAATGTTTTGAGCCATATATCTTCTTCCTTTGAAATGATCTAATTAGTTGAAGTTAGGAATATTTCGATTCCGTACGGTCCTACTTAATTGTTTGGTAATAGTACTTTATATGATTATTTCGATGTTTTAAAATGATATGTTGATAAATAAAATTAAAAAATGTATTTTCCGTATAGTATATGTGGAGCGGCTTTTTTTTTTTCAATTTTAAGAGTTCATACTTACAACTGTTAATTGTGTGGAATTGTGAATTTGATTGCTTATGTCTTTAAGAGTGAAAATTATTTTGGGAATGAATTACGATGCTTGAGTATCACATTAACTTGAAGATTAAAGTAAAGCGGTATGCCACGAAAAGATAAGAAAGATGATGAAAGAACTCAATTGTTGAATGACGAACAGGATCACCATCATAATCATCATCATCAACAACAAGAACAACAGCAACAACAACATCAACATGAACATAATCACTCACAATCTCAAAATTCAGAGTCAGAGGACTCAGACGATGACGATGATATAAAATTTATAAATCTTCAAATTAAAAGAATTAAAAACTTACCATGGTATAAAAAACCAAGTGTTTATTCAATTGTATTTTTAATTGGTTTATTAACTTTTAGTTCATCAAGTGCAGAAGGAGCAAGACAATCAATAATTTATTCAAAAGCTGAAAATTCTAGTACCTCCAGTTACAACCCAAAAAGTTCAGATCAAGCTCAATTAGTTGCTTCATTTAATCAATATTTATTAGTTGGTACTACTTTTTTTTCATTAATTCCAATTGCAAAATTTGGAGAAATTTCTTCAATTATTGGTAGAAAACCATTTTTTATTGCATTAATTTTTTCAATTACAATTTCAAGATTTTTACAATTTTTAGTATTAAATTATAACAAGGATTTAAAATTTAAATTATTATTATTTGCAAATTATATATCTGCTATAAGTGGATCATTAAGTATAATAACTCCATTATCAGATTCTTATATTACTGATTTTACATTACCTAAAAATAGAGTTTATAAATTATCATTAGCTTCTGCTTCAACTTTTATTGGTCAAACATTTGGTCCAATATTTGGAAATTTTATAGTTAATTTGGGAAATAGTGGCTCTAAACATGGAAATTTTAATGCTTTAAAATTTGAAATTGGAATATTAATTATACTTTGTATTTATGTTATTACATTATTTCCAGAATCAAGAAATCCAAAAGCTGAAAAAAAATCTGAGCAAAGATTATTAGATCATGCAGAAGAAGAAGAAGGAACAGAAATAAATCCAAAGGACGATACCGAAAGAAATAAGATCATATTTATTGAAATTCTAAAATCAAGTATAAATATAATTGAACCATTAAAAATTTTAACATATCCTAAAAAAACTGCAAAAATTAGCAACAAGCATCGTTATGAACAAATTAAATATGTTGTAATGGGTTTAATTTTAACTTATTCAATTTATCAAACATTAATTTTTACTTTGAATCAAATTGTAATACAATATGGTCAATATAAATTTAATTGGTCAGCTGATAATATATCATATTTATTATCAATAATATCAATATCAAGATCAATTTCATTAGTTTTTATATTACCAATTTTAGAAAAAACAATCCTTAAAAAATGGTTAGGTTTTAAATCTTTAAATTATTCATTTGATATGATTGAATATATTTTAATAATATTAGGATTAATTGTTGCGTTATTAGTATTTTTTGCATTTTTTTTATCCCACACAACTTTTCAATTTTATTTAACTGCAATTTTTTTTTCATTAGATGCTTTAATTCAACCAGTTTTCGATTCAACTATTATAAAATTTTTTCCTAGTGTTTCAAATGGTTCAATTTATGGATCAATTACATTATTTATTTCATTATTAAATTTAATTTCTCCAATTTTAATTACCTGGATTTATAAATTTTCAATTTTTATAAATTTACCAAATTTAATTTATTTATTTTATGGAATTTGGATGTTAATATTTATTGTTATAGTTTATTCTTGTAAAAGAGTATTGAAATTAAATGGTAAAACTACAGATAAAGAATTAAGGAAAAGGATATTTCAAGAATGAGAGTTAGGAGGTAAAAGTTACGGTAAATTAGGAAATTTAGATAATTTTACTTAACGGAGTTAATATTGTGGATTTTATCGAAAGGCAGAAATAAACTAGAATTTCTTCTTTTTACTACCTCAGTTAATTAATAATATTTCGTAAATATAAAACAGCAATCAATTTTCAGAAATTAACTGTGACTGTCTCATCATCTTCTATGTCTCTGAGTTAGACCCTATGAGTGTGATTGAGGTCAGTTCTTCATTCATCGAGAGCGGATTTAATAAATCATGCTCTCGGTTTTAATCCAAATTTGGGTTTAAATTCCTTTTAGTAAAATCTCGTAGAACATTTTTTTTACGAGAGTTTCTATTAATAATAATAAAATCGAGCCGTTCACATATCAGTTAGCAATGATACTTAAAAAATATTATTGCAAAAAGCGGAACCCTAAAGTTATGGCTAATATATGAAAATTTTTGAGATAAAAAGATAGATCTATTTCTGATCTATGATATTGATCTCTCCAAGTTTTTGTATCACAACTCCAAGAAATCGAATTGGGTAAGTTATTTATCAATGACAACGATTTTGATCAATGAATCAAATCCGTTATTAGATGATGCAGCTGCAATAGAATATATCGAAGCAGAAGAAGATGATAATTCAGCAATTGTCGAAGATGCAGTAGAAGATGGAAATGAAGATGAAGAAGTATTATGGATTAAAGAGCATGAAGATTTTAATAGATCAAAACATTGGCTTTTAAGACCAAGTGTTTTTCAAGTTATATTTATCATGACTGCATTAACAGTGAGTACAACAATTGCAGATGCAACAAAAACCGTTATTCAATTTAAATTAGCATGTAATGCAGTAATTGATTCAAAGGGAATATGTGATCCAATAGAGACTCAAATATTAATATCAAATTATTCACAATATTCATTAGTTGGTTCAACTATAATATCATTAATTGGAATGACTAAATTTGCATCATTATCTGATATTTATGGTAGAAAAGCTTTTATTACTGGAAATGTTATATTATATTTTTTATCAAATTTAATAATATATTATTTATATCATTTTGAAACTTTTCAATTTAAAACTTTACTTTTAGCAAGTTATTTATCTGCTATTGGAGGTGGATATATGCTTTTATCAGTAATGGTTGAAACTTGTTTATCAGATTTAATTACAAATACTTCTGCATTAGCTCCAATTTTAGCTCGTTCAAGTGCTATAACAAGTTTAGGTCAATTTGCTGCACCATTAATTGGTAAAATGATTCTTTCATGGCATTCCAAAAAATCCCCAGTTTATCATATTACATCTATAACTGAAAATTCCAAAATATCAGAAAATGAATATTTTTTATTTAGAATTGAATTGATCATTGAATTTTTAATGTGTTTTTATTGTTTATTTATATTTGCAGAAACAAGAAATCCAAAATCTTTACAAAAATCAAGAACAAATTCAATAATTTCAAGAAGACCATCTTCTTTAAACTTAAATATTCAATCAAGTTATATCACTAAAATCAAAAATTATTTTAAAGAATTTTCACCAATTAAAGTTATATTATTTCCTTCAAGTACTAAAGTTAGATTTATAGTAGGAGCAATGATATTTGTATTAGTTTCATATGTTGCATTAATGATTTCAATTTCACAAGTTCTTGTTAATTATGTGATTTTAAAATTTGATTTTGGTGATGATATTGCATATATAATTTCATTAATGTCAATAACTAAAGTATTTGCATTAATGATTGTATTACCTTTTTTACAAACTTTTGTTTTAAAAAAATGGTTTAAATTTAAAGTTTCAAATACTCAACCAGATTCTATAGATTTTTCATTAATGTCATTTGGATTATTTGTTGATGTATTAGTGTTTATAATGTTATATCAAGCAAAATCTAAAATTGATATATATTCATCTTTAAGTGTATTTGCATTAGGTTCAATGTTGACACCAGTTTTAAATGCTTCAACTTTAAAATTTTTTCCAAAAAGTATGATAGGTTCATTTTATGGTGCTATAGGAGTTTTGATTAATTGTGCAACTATTGTTGGTCCTATATTGGTAATGATTTTATATAAATATTCATTAAGAATTCATTGGGATAATTTTGTTTTTTTACTTTCTTCAATACTTATTGGTTCACTTTTGGTTTTAATCATATCATGTAAATTTATTTTGGGAGATGAAGATTATATTAGGTTAAGAAGTAATTTATCTGGACTAGCTTGAGAATTTGATTGGACTTACAAGATACGGTACAAATTTAGATGGTCATTTCAATTCAATTCTTTTAGATTATACGTTAATAGTTATAAATAATAGATTAAAATTTCAATTAAATCAAGTCAAATCCCATGTAGAGTAACTCTATTTTGCTTTGTCTCTAAGTTTGTTCTTTAAATCTGATGTCACTCCTTAAGTCTATGACAAACAAAATTCAAACTGGTTACACAAAATTTCAAGTTATGATAAATAGAATTATTCTTTAATTCTTAATTATCATTTTTTGCAATTCTACATACAATTTAATATTATTATCCTTAAAGTCAAGAGTTAAACTTCAACCAAGGCGACTTAAAGATGCCACCGCCCACATCTCCAGTATCACTACCTCAAGAATCTACTCAAAATAATCAAAACAATCAAAACTCATTACGTCATATTAGAAGATTTGGTAATGCTTCATCAGAATCATTCCCCACCTTAAATTCATTGAATATTATATCTGATTACATATATAGAAACGAGAACGGTAATAGGGTTAACGAAGAGACTAATACTTTAAATGATAATTCACAAGAAGCCGTTTTAGAGGCTAATTTTAGATCCAGAATACTACGACACTTTAGTGAAATTCATAGATTGCAAAATCATTTCAATACACTAGTTAATTCATCGGAAAGTAATACTCGTGATACTACGATGGAAGAATTACCAAATAATGAGCTCAATAGTCTTCCGACTCAATTGAGAAATTTATCTAGAGAATTATCGAGAAGTCGAAATAGAGAAGCATATTCAGTTGATTCTACTGAAGAAGATGATCAAAGTTTCCAATTTGAAGATGAAAATGAACAGGAGTTGATATATTATTCAGATGATGATCATAGTGGAGAAGAAACAACGGCAGCAGCAGATTCAAATGTTGTTGATGAAACTACCAGAAATGAAATTCGTTCAAATGAAAGATTGTTATTAACTTCTGCTAGAAATTTGCAAAATGCAACTACTCCTTTGATATCCGGTGTACCATTAAGAAGACAAAATGCTATACGGATTAAAAGTATACTAAGAAAAGACGATGGAGCGGAAGAACAAGAAGAAGAAGAGTCTAAAAAATTAAATGATAAATTAGTCAATGATTATCTTGATTCCGAAGCTCAAATTTTGGAAGGTGAAATAAAGACAGTACTTGATAGTTTTGAATCAGCAAAGGCAACTACATCTTTATTTCCTCAAAGAAATTTCGGTAACTTTCAAAGTGCATTTTTTTCAAGCTTCAATATATTATTGCCTCCAGATCCATCTCATGATACATATAATATCACCGAATCATTGGATGAATTTTTATGGAAAAGAAACAATAAATTACTTTTTATAGATCCGAAAATACCGGCTCCACCAACAGCATCGTCATCAAAGAAAAGAGTCAAAGAGACAAAACCTACAAACACTAAGAGACAAAAACTATCAGCTACTAAGGACGAACCTATTATACAAACGGAACGAGAAATATACAATTATCCCTATCATAAACTAGATAAAAATCAAATAATGGACGGGTTACCAACAAACGAATTTCAATCAGGTTCATCATATTCATTACAATTAAAAAGTCCAGGGTTTAATACGTTTAAACTATCATTGATAAATATTGAACCCAAAATTCATGCAACTATTGGTGCAGATCCAGAAGGTAGTTTAGAAACATTATTTTTAAAATTACATAATTTCACAAAATTTCTTTGTGGAATGCCAGCGAATTCATATCAATTACCAAGAAATGCAATGTTAATTCGAAAATTGAATGTATTAGACAGATTATCAATTGATGATAATATCATTTATTCCAAATCAAAACCAATAAGAACATTTTATATACCATGTGATGGTACTAAAGTTGATTTCAAAAATAACGATTTAAGATTCATGAAACTGGAAAAACTTGTATCTTCAAGATTTAATGTTAGTAAGATTAGATTACAACTTTTAGAATGGATGAAAATAAATCCATTTATACAATTTAAAGAAAATTTTTTATTCAATTTCTTACAAAATTTACATCAAGATTTACATAATTTTAAATCAATAAAAGTTAAACGATCTAGAAAATCAGAAGCAATTCATTTAACAAGAGAATTTAAATCTAATTTTCCTGAAATTGCAAAAGATTTCAATAATATTAAAATTTCATATCCACAATTTTTCAAAAATGATGAAAATAAAAGGAAAAAAAGATATCATGCAGAAATGTTTCTAGAAGATTGGAAAAGTAGTTTAGCTTTTAAATTAAGTGATTTATTAACAGCAGAAAATTGTTCAACTATAATTAATGTACAATTGAATTATATTTTATTCACTTTAGATATTAATATATCACAATTTTTAAATTCTTTTATAAATTTAATTTTTCATCATTGTGAAAATCAAGAATATATTGAAAATTATAGAAAAATATATAACAACATTTTAAGAGATGAGAAGGAAGATCTATCATGTACATTACTTTGTTCAATTCATAAGACGTCCGGACGTCTTGATATTCATAACACATTCTTACATATCAATCCATTGTTTTCAACAAAATTAGGACCTGCAAATGTGATATTAACCGATGATTCGAGGTTAAATGAAGTCAATGGTAGAAATATGTATGTTTATGATGATTTTGAAAAATTTAATGGTTCAAAAATTCCTAAAAATTCTAAAGAATTTAATCTTAGATTTGAACAAGATGAAGGAAAAAATGATGAAAATGATACATCAAAACAAGATCATCAAATTCTTGATAAATTGGTTGGATTTGTTAATTTGGATTCATCCATTAATGAAATACTTTGATTATATAGCTTTAAGACTTTGCATCACTACGTCAACAATAAATTTAATTTAATTTGGGCTTTACAAAAAATTTATTCTATGCGTAACATTAAAATGTCTATTTAAATTTCATTATTTACTTTCATTAATTATTTTCCTATCATCAGCAAATTCTTCTTCATTATTGTCATTAGACTTACTAGATTCATCATTAAAACTATTATCGATTTTACTCTTACCTTCATGATTATGATCATCATCATCTTCATCTTCTCCAATTTTAAACATATCTTCATGATAATCAGGTAATGACTCACCATTAAAATCATCAAATAATCTTTCTCTAGCTTCATCATTATATCTATCATCTAATCTTTGATCTCTAGCATCATTTTTATTTAATCTTTGATCATTTCTTTGTCCTAAATCAAATGAATCAGCATTTGTTCCTCTTCTTCTTGAATCTAAAGTTTCTTGATCATCTTCTGAATCTGTATAATCTTCACCAGGTATAATATCAAATTCGAAATCATCATCTCTTCTTCTTCTTCTACGTGAACTACTTGGAGATTTATGAAATTTCATAATTAATAAAACTATAATGAATCCAATTACTGCGATAGCCATGAAATATTGTCCTGTACGATCTGTTGAATAATGTTTGTTTTTACCTTCTTCAGGTTCATCGGTTGACTCGGACTCGTCTGGTACTTTAGTGCCCTCTGAAGTATCTTTTTCACTTGATGTGGATGATGATGATGGAGATGATGAAGTTGATTGCTCAGTTGATGAAATTGCAACTTCTTCAGTTGTTGATGACAGCTGTACTTCCGATGTGACTGTCGAGGATGAAGCTTCTTGAGTCAGTGACTCAGCAAGTGATGATGATGTTGAGGTTGACGATGCTGTCGATGACGATGATGATTCTTGTTTATCTTTTTCAATTCTGTCCCTTCTAACAGCTGCATAATCTTTCAATAATTCATATTTCTCAGCTTTGTCAGCATCTATGGATTCACCAAACAAACGTAATTGCCAATTCTTAAAATTAATATCAATTGGAACGTTTTTAAAATCATCTGCAAATACTTCAATTTCCCAATCACCTAATCCATCTTCTCCCCAATGAGCTACTGACATAAAAGTCCAATCTTGAAAACCTCTTCCGGACGCATCACCAGGTCTGAATGTTGCTAAATCACTTATTATTCCTGAAGGTGATATTAATCTAGCACCGACTTTTCCTCTAAATGATGCATCAATGTTTACAATCACATTTACATGTTCAATTTTCTCAACATTCATAGCTTTTAAGTCATCTTTTGTTACTGTTATCTTAGATTTGATGATTTTTTTGTCTTCATCCCTTTTTAGCTGATTTGGTTTATTTAATGCAAGATTTTCATTGACTTCAACAAGGTCACTATAGTACCAAGCTTGTGGTTTAACATTTTTCCAAGTTTTGGCAAATTCAACCATTTTATAAGCATCAATTTTACCATAACCATATTTATGCGAGTATTTTCTATTCAATTTAGTAGTTTGATAATTCCCATCATTTTCATTAACTGGTGTAGCACTTAATACATTTATGTATTGTAAATCCCTCCATGTTAAATCTGGATTAGCACTGAGTACTAAGGAATATATTCCGCTCGCCAAAGGAGCTGCTGCTGAAGTTCCTCCATGTAATGCACTACATTTCTTTTTTATATCAGTAGTGTGTATATGCTCACCAGATCCAGAAGAATACGTTACAACCATAACTGCTGCACATGCCTCAGAATAAGCTGGATGTAAGCCTTTATAATCAATAGCACCGACAGTTATTGAATAAATAGAGTTAGTATAGCCATCAAAATTACAACTGTCCTGAAATCTACCACCATTACCAGATGCAAAAACATAAATAGCCCCTTTATTACCTCTTCCTTCTTGTATACCTTTGACAAATGCTTGTTTAACAACAACCTCTGGACCACTCAAAGTCCTTCCATTATCTGTTGGACCCCAAGAACATGAATAAATATCATTTGTATCTAATCCATATATTAAAGCAGCAGCTTCTTCAGCTGCCGTTATTGCACCAGACAAAATTCTTATACCACTTACTTGAGATTTATATGCTACTCCAATACCACAAACATCATTCTTAACTGCTGCTATTTCTCCTGCACATCTCGTACCATGATAATCATCAAATAATCGTGGTAAAGGAAGATTACCATTATCGTTAAAATCCCAAGATCCTTTTGCGTTAAAATTATCTTTTAAATCTGCTCCTTCCGCATCTAATCCATCATCTACTATAGCCGTTACTATTCCTTGTCCCAATACATCTTCTAGCCACAATCCAGTTGCATTTACATCATGACCTGGGTATTGTAAATTCAATAAATGCCATTGTGTTGCAAACTCAGGGTCATGAATATCTAGTTTTGATGCAACCGCAGCTAATTTTTGATGAGCTTGATCTGAATTTGATTGATCTGATATTTCTTTATTTTCTTCCCTAGATTCTATTGGAACTGGCATTCTTTTCGTTATTTTCCTAGGATGTAACATATGCAATGACGAAACGTCTTCTAGTAATTCATCATGATGATCTTCAAATCCATCTGATCTTTTCAAAAGATTATAATTATTGGAATTAAAATTACCTAAAAATGAATTATGAGGATGTGATTTATTTATACTAAAAACATAATAATTATCTAAATTTAACTGATGTTCAAATTTATAGTTATCCTTATGTTTAAAAATAAAATCCATTAGTGGTTTTTGACTGAGTGTAGTATCTAGTTCTACTAGGAAATAATTATTTTCTTCATAATTTCTAGTGGGGATATGTTGTTGATTTGATAATGATATAAGGTGGAATAGAATATATATCAATAATTTTATCGAAAACATGATTTATGAACTGAAGGAAAGTCTATAATGAAATAAACACTTGTATAATATAAATTAAATGGAACTGAAAAGAATTGAAATAACCCGATTTTAGTATATAGTATGAAAATAAAGGAAATGCAAAATTTGATTATCGTCCTATATGACAAAATAAAAAGTGATGATAAAATGAATGAAATGACTACTCTATGATCCAAAGTTGAAGTATGTTTACAGTCAAATCGAATATCACTAATCTTGAGTTATGTTGAATAATGAAAAAAAAAATACAAAATAAAAGTTTTTGTATGCGTTGTACTAAATTTGGTAAAACTGAGTCGAGAATTAAATGTAATTTTAGACATGTCAGATCATCTAATACTGCGACATACGCCAAATATCAGAGTTTAACATAGTTTACGTTTATAGTTCCCTTGAATTTTATATTGAACTTTTGGAACCGGCTTTTCTCTCATGAGAACGTTTTGATGATAATTATACCTACGTTGTCGTGACCGAGGTCCCTATTTCAAACTTGAAATTCGAATTGTTTAGATTCAAAAAAAGAAAAATGGTAAAGAATTAATTACAGGTTAACCCCTATGTAGAAGATATTGCCTTGCATCACCATAACTTTGGCTTGGAAACTTCTACCATACGTACAAAAAAGCGGTAAACAAGGAATTATTGTGCAAAACTGGAGTCCACTGCTGTAATTTCAAGCATTATAATATTTTATTATCGCCATAAATATATTATATTTCTTAAGTGGCTAATGTTCAAGTATCAAACATGAACAAGTGGTTTCGGACATGAGCTAGTTTTTTCTTTCTAATTCTAGATATCAAGTAGTTAGAATTAACAATATACCAGATTAGCAAATCATCCATCATCCATCCCGCTCAACTTGATTTTCAGTGGTGACTATACAATATATCATCAAAATTATACGCGTAAATTATTTGATTCGGAATTTGAAAAATCTCGGGTTAAAACAAGTCGAGCATAAAACTATCTGAAGAAGTACAACCTTTCACAAATTAAACCACTAGAGACTCCACATAACTGACACGATATGGCTATCAACTGCAAAAGAATTGTATTAGTGTCTTTAGCTATTCTCTCAACTGCAATAGCAGATATGGACATGGATATGGATGAAGAAAGACCAGAATTTCATCCTATTAATCCAGAATCTAAAACATTTCATTGGATTATTACATTATTTACATTACTCATGATTCCATCAATAAGTACATCTTTAGCATTTGCAAATAGATTCCATTGGTCTTTAGGTTTACAATATATTGCAACAGGATATTCTGTTTTTGAATCTTTATTTTTGGATTTTCCGGATAATGTAGATAATCATGAAAATAGAACTTCAAAGGGAACCAGTTGGTTTTTGAGTATACTATTGGGAATAACCATATTTTTGGGGACGTTATTGAATGGAAGTAACTTTGTTATAAATAAGTTTTATCCTCATTTATCAAAACATTATAATGAATATGGATTAATGTCAAAAATATATAAAGCGTTGTCCTTACTATGTGTTTTGACTGGATGGGTTAGAGTATGTATGGCCCCAATTGCATTGTTTGGCTTTTGTTATGGCAGACATACTGGCCAATGTATAGCTCATGGAATTATGGGGTCGGCTTTTATACTATATTCGTTTATTTTATCAATGGTCCTAGTGGTGCCTTGGATCAGAAAACATCAATTATTAAGCAGCAACACTGCTAACTTGAGATCTCAAGAATTTTATGATTCAACAATAATGATGTTATGGGGAATTGTAAATACTTTCACAGAGCATAGATGGGGAAAAGAAGGTTGGAATATGGGAGATTATCAACATACTGCAATGGGAATAATTTGGTGGGGTGGTGGATTATTGGGAATGTTTTTATCAAGAAATAATCAAAGAACTTTTATACCTGCTTTATTATTGATTTTCACTGGGTATTCAATGAGTCAACATTCTCAACATTTGGTAATATCAACTAAAGTTCATTCAGTTTTCGGAATTGCTTTAATGAGTGCTGGTGTTACTAGAATCATAGAGATTGTATTATTGTTGAAAGATCAAGCTTGTAGTCAGCTGGGTAAGATCTTATCATTTCAATATTTACCACCATTTTGTTTGACACTAGCTGGGATTATGTTCATGAGTGCAACTGAAGAACAATTGCAATTGGTACATGATTTAGGCTCTGATCATTCTGCGTATATATTGGTTGTTTCATCGGCTGCTTTTCTAATATATTTATGGATTTTACTATGTATATGGTTATATTTAAAACTAGTGGGTTATAATGAGGATGGTGAGATACAAAATCAAGGTTATAATAGCGTGGCGGCTGAAGAGTTCGAATTGGGAGACGTAAGTGAAGTCGAATTTGAAGTTGATGATGATGAAGAACTTTCAACCCCAACAGAGAGGTAGAATATATACGTAAAATAGAATATAGTAATAGTCTAATATCAATGTTTCAGATCTGGGTTAGTATGATAGCAATTTTGTGTCATCTCTGTTTTGTGTCTTCTGATAGTAAGCGAAAAAAAAAATTGATAACAAAAAGAAAAGATTTATTTTTTATTAGTAATGATCAAATAATATTGGATGTAGCATATATCATTAAATAAATGATTATTCTACTAAATCAAATACAATTATGAGTGCAATACTATCAGCAGATGATTTAAATGATTTTATATCACCTGGAGTAGCATGTATTAAACCATTACAAGATTTACCTCAACCAACGGACCAATCAAATAATGAAAATGGTGAAGTTGAAATACAAATTGATTCAAAGGGTAATCCATTAGAGATATCAAAAATTGATGGAAAACAAAATAATTTATCACCTGCTCAAATATCTTTAGCTGATTGTTTAGCGTGTTCAGGATGTATCACATCAGCTGAAGAAGTGTTGGTGGCACAACATTCACATCAAGAGTTAATTAAAGCTTTAAAATCAGATAAAAATAAAGTCTTTGTCGCAAGTATATCACAACAACTGAGGGCTTCTTTAGCTACAGCATATAGTTTATCAGTGGAGGAAATAGACAAATTACTAATTAATTTGTTTGTAAATCAAATGGGATTCAAATATGTAGTTGGGACTTCATTAGGTCGAAAATTATCATTAATCAATGAATCGAAAAATATAATTCAAAAAAAGGAGCAGGGGTTGAAAAATCCTATTCTATCTTCAATATGTCCAGGTTGGGTGTTATATGCAGAAAAGACTCATCCATACGTACTACCAATGATATCCACAGTAAAGTCATCACAACAAATCACTGGATGCCTACTAAAGGCATTAGCTGCTTATGATTGTGGAGTCTCGAAATCTGAAATATATCATTTATCAATAATGCCATGTTTTGATAAAAAGCTAGAAAGCGCAAGACCTGAAATATTTGGTGATACCGCACCTGATGTCGATTGCGTTTTAACTGCAAAAGAATTAATAACATTGTTAGATGAGGAACCTAATTACAAACTAATACCTAAAATAACTCCACCTATAATGAACCAAAATATTGATGATGTTTATAAATCTGTTGCTCCCCAAAGTTGGCCATTTGTATCATACTCCTGGTCAAACGATCCAGGTTCATCCTCTGGAGGGTATGCATTTAATTATCTAAGGATATTCCAAGACGACTTAATGATGAAGGGTTACGATGAATCAAATTTCACGATGAAAATAGTTCAAGGTAAAAATTCAGATATATATGAAATGAGATTAATGTATAAGAATGAAAAATTAGCTAGTGCAGCTATAGTTAATGGATTTAGAAATATTCAAAACCTAGTAAGGAAATTAAAACCAAATAACAAAACAACTACAACAAAAGTTAACCCATTAGTAGCTAGGCGAAGAGCTCGAATGACTACTTCAACAACAACATCTACGCAAAAACCGGAAGAATTAGCAGATGCTTCAAAAGTAGATTATGTTGAAATAATGGCTTGTCCAAGTGGATGTATCAATGGCGGAGGACAAATTGCACCACCAAAAGGAGAATCAGAAAAAGATTGGATAAATGAACTGTTAATTAAATATAATTCAGTTCCAATGTTTGATTTATCATTACATCCTCAAGATATAGAAAAATTCATTGAATGGAGTAATGAATTTGAAAAAGAATTTCATATTTCTGACGACAGATTATTTAAAACTTATTTTAATGAAGTGGAGAAACCGACTGATCCTACTGCTATAATGGTAGGTTCTAAATGGTAAAATTAGGGTATATATAGACTTATAGAATCATTTGAAATGTAATGACTTTATTTATTAAGTATTAGTATATGTTTGTATACATTTCTGTTATCTTTTTGTGTAATAAGATTAAACCAATAGAAACGAGATTTTTTAATCTTACACATACATTTCTATAGAGAGAAAAAAAAATTTAATACAACCATAGATATAACCACAACGTAATTAACAAATCAACTACACTGATCAAGATCAAGACATCTATAATTTGACATATTTACATCGACTGAATCATCTAACATCAACTTTACTATTCATACTTCACGTTCTGTGTTAGAAAATTTTTTCTTATTTATTATTCCCTTTAGCATTGAATTACTACATATAAAATTTCAGAATGTTCAGACCACTAATCAATCAATCATCATCAATACTTAAGACAACATCTACAAGGTCATCACCCATAATATCATCCACAACAAACAATATACGTTTAATATCTACCTCCCCCAAATTATATAAACCAGCTTTAGCAGCAGAAACAACAGATTATTTACCAACAGGAGGTTCAACTCAATCAGCTTGGCCAAAAGGGTTTAGACAACCAAAACCTAAAACATGGGAAGAAGATCATGAATCAGCATTAAGTAAAGCCACGAAATATTTCTTCTTAAGTGAAATTGCTCGTGGTATGTATATTTGTTTGGAAATGTATTTTAGAAGTCCTTATACAATATATTATCCATTTGAAAAAGGTCCAATTAGTCCAAGATTTAGAGGTGAACATGCATTAAGAAGATATCCTAGTGGTGAAGAAAGATGTATTGCTTGTAAATTATGTGAAGCTATATGTCCGGCTCAAGCTATTACAATTGAAGCTGAAGAAAGAGCAGATGGGTCAAGAAGAACTTATAAATATGATATTGATATGACCAAATGTATTTATTGTGGTTACTGTCAAGAAAGTTGTCCAGTTGATGCAATTGTTGAAAGTCCTAATGTTGAATATTCAACCGCTACAAGAGAAGAATTATTATATAATAAGGAGAAATTATTGGAAAATGGTGATAAATGGGAACAAGAATTACAATATTGTATTGATGCTGATGCTCCATATCGTTAAAGACATTGTTGTGTAAACCTTTTATAGACCTTATTTAATGTACATCAAATTTCAAAAAATCTCGTTCCAGTCCAAATTTTTCAACTCTTAAGCCGCACAGGATACTCAATATGGTGTTTTCATTGCAATTTTTAATGTCGGACTAAGAGCATTTGATATAGTGAGAAGCGAAGCCTTATTCTTCTCTCGCAACATTGTAGTTGAATCTTATAGCTCTACTCTGTCTCAATCTGTCATTGAAATGAAATGTTTGTATCGTTTTTCAAGCATGTGAAGATCGGACTGTTTCATAAATTTATACGATCGCGTAAATTTATTTTTCATGTTTACTTTAAATATTTCAATTTAAATTGATTTAACTACTTCTACAAGTGTCCACTTATAAACAAATTGAACCATGTCTTTGATAAAAAAGTCGACAAAAATAGTCATAACTGGAACATCCTCCAACTTAGGTTTCAATATAGCAATCAGATTATTAGAGAAATTACCAAATGATAAAGAAATAACATTAATAGTTACATCAAGAACATTACCAAAAGTTAAAGAATCAATAAATGATATCAAAAAATTTATAATTGAAAAAATTCCAGATAAAATAAAGTTGGTTGAATTTGATTATTTACTTGTTGATTTTACAGATATGGTGTCCATCCTATCTGCATATTACGAATTAAATAAGAGATACAAGCATATTGATTATCTATTTATAAATGCAGCACAAGGAGTTTATGGAGGAATTGATTGGAAACAAGCTACAATAGAAGTATTATCAAATCCAATTGAAGCAGTCACCAATCCTACTTATAAATTACAACGAACAGGTGTTGAATCTAATGATAATTTAGGATTAGTATTTCAAGCTAATGTATTTGGACCTTATTATTTTATTCATAAAATTAAACATTTACTAGCTAAAGGGGGGAAAGTAATATGGATTGGATCATTAATGTCTGATCCTAAATATTTATCTTTTAATGATTTACAATTACTTAAATCTCCTGAAAGTTATGAAGGATCAAAAAGATTAGTTGATTTATTACATTTTGGAACTTACAAATCTTTGGAAAGTGAATATGGAATTTATCAATATTTAGTTCATCCAGGTATATTTATAAGTTTTTCATTTTTCCAGTTTTTAAATATTTTCACATACTATGGAATGTTAAGTTTCTTTTATATAGCAAGGTTATTGGGGTCACCTTATCATAATATCTCAGGTTATATTGCTGCTAATGCTCCAATTCAAGCAGCATTGGGAAATGTAAAACAATCTACAAAAGCTGGTTCTGCATGTACGAGATCAGGGAAAGAATATTTGAAATTTGAAGAAGTTGATACTACAGGTTCAGAAGATATAGTTAAATATTTTAATGACTTAGTTGAGGAATGGGATTTTAAACTAAAGGATCAAATAGTAAATACTCGTGTACCTAATTAATACGGAATTTTGGAGACAAAAAATCAATGATAAATAGATTGTTGTAAACAATTACAACCACAACCACTTGCACACTCTTGATTTTCTTCTGACCACCATTCACTTGCACAATCCGTATGTAAAATATGCTCACAATTTCCGCATAATGTGAAATTTTTTGTAGCTGCTAAATTACATAATGTACAATATTTTATTAATTGTCTTTTGTTTGTATTCCAAGCATTTGGTTTTCTCATTATAACGGAGGAAACAGTGTTTATGAAAATTTGATTAGGTGTTTGCTTATTTCTTTTTCTTAACCCTATTTTACAAACATGAGTTGAAAAAATTGATTCTGACTTCGTTTCATTTTCATAATTAAATTTTAATATTTCTAATCTTTTGACTGGTAAATTCCAATCGTACAAAGTCTCGGCATACATCGATCTGTACATTTTCATCTTCTCATCACTTAAACAATCCGGTAGGTTATTGGGTATAGATTCTTCAAATATATCTAATTCCTCAACATTCTGCAATTCAAAAGTAACCTCTGGTGGTGGGTCAACTTTCAATTTCGTTGCTACAAATTTTCTATTCAATCTAGTTTTTTCAGTTATTCCTTTACTCACTTTTTTTGGTGTTGGTGTTTTTATTTCAGGTTCAATTAATGAGCCCTGTGAATGATTTTTTGTGTTGAGTGAATTTAATGGTGGACCAAACTTTTTCATGTAACTAAATTTGTCTGGAGAATCTGTTCTCGAACTTAAATTATCTGTGGATGAATTTATTGAATGATTGTAATAATTATTAATTCTTGATTCTTTCCTTCTATAGGACAGTTCAATGCTATGAGAATCGTTATATGTGATTTCAGATTTTTCATCATTGATTGTGCTTCCATCAGTATTTCTTGATCGTCTGTCAAATTGATCCTGCGTAGAATAAAGTAACTCAAATGATCTAGTATGTCTTAAAATGTGTGGGCTTTGATGGAGTAGACATGACATCATGGCCAACATTTGGGTGTTTTGCTGTTTGATGAAATATTCAAAAATTTCTTGTATGAGCCAAGTATATCCAAACGGATGTGATCCCCACATGGACAAATTTTTACCTTTAATGTGATTTAATTGACTAGGAATGTTTGGATTAATGCCGCCAGCAGCACTATTATTTAATAATATTTCCAATATTTTCCAAACCTCACCAATTTCTTTTAAATCATGCTTGAATGCCACTTTGGAATTAAATGCAGCTAAATTTTCAGGACTATCTCCTATAACTTTATATTCTTTTGCTAAATCTAATCTATCAGGTAGCAAATGACTAAAATCAATGATTCCAACTATATTCTTATTTTTACCATTAGATTTCTTTTTGTCTCCTTTCAAAGAAGATTTATAATTTGATAATGATTCACCATGACTTGTCAATTTCTTCAATGATGATTTATGACTATCATCATTATTGACAAATCTACTACCTAATCCAAAACTTGAACGTAATAAACCAGGCATTCTGTTCCTAACCGATGAATCTTGTTTCAACAACTCCTCGAGATCGTCTTCAAAGTCTTCATCAGAAGATGAATTCTCATTTTCTTGAGCATCTGAATCATCTTTCAAATCATCAGAATCAGAATTTTCCAGCTCTGAATCTGATGAAATTGTTGAGTCGTGATTTTGATGCGGTGAATGATGTGTTTTAACACTAAATCCGTTATCATTGAATTTCAAAATATTAATCTTTTGAGTTTCAATATTTTCTTGATCAATTTCTGAATTAGCTTTAGGTATGAAAAAACAAACCAATTTTCCAGTTGGACTCCAAACAGCACCACAACCTTTTGGAATAGGAGTAGAGTCAAAATTAGGTGGCTTTTGTTCAACATTTGAACCAGCTTCAATTAAATCTTGCCCAATAATTTCAGCATCTGCTGGCACGTTAGGAAGTGCAGGTATTAAATCACCATATCCTGGATCGTTGTCTTCACCAGAAGAATAACCATTGAAATCCGGTTGTTGATTAATCAAATCATCCACCCAACCTTCATTTCCAACTTCTGGTAAATATTCATCTTCAGCACTACCTCTTCTATGTTCAATCATTAAATCATCATCTAATTCAATCTTCTCACCCAACAAATATCTCAAGCATGGTTCCAAACAAAATCTTTGGTATTTGTTAGCATAAAAATTAGCTATCTCATTAAGAGTATTCTCCATCAATGTTTTCATTTCTTTACTTAATTCATGAGTTTCTTCAATTTCAAATTTAATTTCATTCTGTTTGATCAATTTTTGAACTCTTTTACTGGATGTTCCTTTTGAAACATCAACTTCCTCTAAATAAGGATATGATAGAGGAAAATCAATAGCAAGACGTATAAATATTAATTTTTGTTCAATTGGCTCTTCCATGATTTCGTCAATATTAGCATTTTTAATACTTCCATCTGTGAAACTCTTTCTGTCTAACTCCTTTCCATCTTCACTTAATACGCTTTTATCTTTTGTCGAATTCACAGTATCAAGATACCCGATTTCCATTGAGTCCACCGACGATTTTTTCTCCAAAGGAACTTCAGGAGTAACAGTTGGACCTTTCAAACTTATTACTAATTCACCTGTTGATACAGAGATTTTTTCAAATCTAATAAATGGAAATTTATGACCAACAATACTAACTTCCTCACCTAAATTTGATGGACCTTCATTTTCAATTGAAGTTGAACTATCTTTTCGTTCAACTCTTGAAGTATGACCAATTCTAACACCTGAAATCCAATCTAAATGATCAAGTTGACTAAACTCATACCCTGATTGTTTTCGTTTTTCAGCAATTTGATATAAAGTCACAGCAGATAGAATATCACCTCCATTAGTTTTGGCAACATCATCGATTGTAACTTCTGGTTCCCTACAAAATGTTTCATAAGTTTGTAACTCTTCTTCACTTGGAGTTCTTTCTGTTGATAATTCTCCATCTTGAACCTCTCTAAATACATTCAAAAATGTAGGATTATAATTCACCAGTTTATAAATTTTTTCATCACTTGGCCATAACTTTAGATCAACATCTTTATCTGACCAAGTCACTAATTGATAATCTTTCCAATTTTGTTTTGACTCAAAATATTTATATTTTTCATGTTTAGTTCTCCATAAGAAATCTTTTATTGGACCTCTATGACCTTTAAATGAATATGCAAATTCTCCAGATATAGTTTGAGTTTCATTAGTTGCAAGGTACTGCTTGTAAGCATCTTCATAATTTATGATATGAATTGAATCTTGACCATCTCTTAATGGCATCACACCAACTGCTTTATCCGTACCAAACGGTAGTGTACGAGCTCTGGATATAGGGAAATCAGTTTCAATAACTACACTTGCTTTGAATGCATCATCTGATGAATTGCTAAAATAATTAAACTCACTAATAGCCTTTTGTGATTTACCACTCAGTAAATCCCAAAATTTAATTTGATTATCATTTGAACAAGTTATAACATTTTTTAAACCTTGTGTAAAATCAAGTCCATTAATTTTTCCTTCGTGAGCTTTTGATACCTTAACAACTGGTAATGCACCTTTTCTTGTATCCCAAACATAAAAAGAATTATCATGAGACGAAGCTATTTCATATGGATTTTCATGGTTCCATTTAACTTGTATAGCACCAGCTCTCCAATCTGCCCATTTATTTGCCGGTTTTCTTGGAGCTCTCATATCCCAACTTAACGCAAAAGTATCAATTGAACAAGTAGCTAATATTTCTGGATCTGAAGGATGGAAATTAATATCTGATATTGCTCTTGTATGTGCATGTAGAATATTGGCAATTGCATTATTTGAAGGTCGACTTAAATCCCATAATAATGCTTTTTGATTTGAAGTTGATATACACCATGATGGTTTAATTAATGAATGTGGTGACCATTGAACATCTGCTACTTCCCAAGATGTAATATGATGTAACCATCTCGGAGGAGTAAATGGATCATCCATATCTATAATGAATAATCCTCTTCTACCTGCTAAAACTGCGTCTCTACCGTTTGGAGATAGAGACATGGCACCAATGGCACCATCTACTCTTAACAGTAATGACTTACCAAATGTAGAAGAATCATTTGGATTTAGTAGACGATTTACCATATATTTTAGGTGATTTTTGCAACTTGATAAAAATTGGTTTTTGTTTAAAAGCGATTTAAAAAAATAAAAATAAAATATGGAGTAGTCTGTCTATCTTTTTAAAATTATCATTTATTAACAACTACCTAGACGAACAACAATCGTTCAAGCAAAATGGATCAAGATAATCAGAATAAGGATGTGGAAATGCTCGATGAAGAATTCAATGATACCGATGATGGGATAATAGAGACCTCACAATCAAATGATAACCTACAAGACAAACCTAACAGTACAACAAAATCTACAACAACAACAACTGAAAAACAATCAAAAGCAGAGAAATCAAAACAGAGGCAACAATCACTATCTGCAGCTGCAGCTGCAAGTGCTGCCGCTGCACCATCATTAATACCTGACCTACCTGAACTCACACGTAAAGATAAAACTTTAAAAGAAGTATTAGATATGATGGATGATGAATTTGCACCAATAATACCAGATGCAGTAACAGATTATTATTTAGCCAAAAATGGATTTGAATCATCAGATATTAAAATTAAAAGACTTATAGCATTAGCAACTCAAAAATTTATAAGTGATATAGCTCAAGATGCTTATGAATATAGTAGAATTCGTAATGCAAGTGCTGTTTATAATTCTTCAAATCCTCAAGTTAGAGCAAAACAATTATTACAAGGTCAACAATATGCAAATCAACAATCATTAGCTGGGAATAGTAATAACAATAATTCTGAAAATAATGATCAACAAAATACTCAACAATCTCATTCTACAGCTGGTAATCAACAAGGTAAAGTAGTTTTAACAATGGAAGATCTTAGTAATGCATTAAGTGAATATGGTATGAATGCATCAAGACCAGAGTTTTATAGGTAAATTAGTTAAATATTAAGAATAATGACTTTTAATGAAAACAAAATGATGTGAAATATTTAATTTAATGAATGTACAAATATATATTAAAAGAATTGAATGATTTACGAATTTTTCTACATACCCATACCTCCACCAAATTGTTGCATCATTCTTTGCATCATTCCTGGATCTTTCATCATTTGTTGTGCTTGTTGCATCATTTGTGGATTACTTCTCATCATTTGTTGTGCTTGTTGCATCATAGCAGGATTATTCATCATTCCAGCTAATCCTCCAGGTCCACCAGCAGCACCTGGACCACCTGCACCACCTAACATACTCATAGCTTGTTGCATAAAATTTGGATTGGATTGAGCTTGTTGCATCATTCTTTGCATTTGTGATCCACCAGCACCTAAAGGACCTCCAGGTTGACCAGGTTGTCCTTGAGCTGCAATAGCGGATTTAGCCATTGTTGACATCATTCTATGTTGTTGTAAAATCATTTCAACTTCAACTGCACTACAACCTGAACCTCTTGCAACTCTTATTATTCTACTTGGTTCTTTTATAAAAATTCTACCATCACTTTCTAATTCTTTTGTTGTCATTGAATCCATTATAAAAATCATATTTCTTATTTTTTGAGAAGTTTCTTCTTCTCCAACTTGTGACATTATATTAGATAATCCAGGTATCATTGATGCTATATTTGTAAGTGGTCCCATTTTCATAAAATTATTCATTTGATTCTGAAAATCTTTTAAAGTAAATTTACCTTCTTTTATATTTTCTATAGTTTGTTTATGACCTTCATCATTATTTAAATTTAATGATTGAACATGATCTATAAGTCCTTGGATATCACCAATTCCTAATAATTTTGAAATAAATGTAGTTGGTTTAAATACTTCAAAATCTCCAACATGTTCACCTGTACCTATAAATACAATTGGAGTCTTTGTAGCGGCTACTGCAGATATTGCACCACCACCTTTTGCATGACCATCCATTTTTGTTAATATTATAGATCCAAAATTTGAACTTTCTTTAAATGCACGAGCTTGAGATTCAGCAGCTTGACCAATTGATCCATCCATAACCATAATAGTTTGACTTGGTTGTACAGCTTCTCCAATTTGAATCATTTCATTAAATAATTGTTCTTCTTGTCTATGTCTACCTGATGTATCTACAATAATTATATCAAATTTTTCTTGTTTAAATTTTTGAACACCTTCAAATGCTATTTTTACAGGATCTGGTTCTAAATATGAACCATAATATGGAATATTTGCTTTTATTGCATTTTGTTTTAATTGATCAAATGCACCAGCTCTGAATGTATCCGCACATACTAATCCAACTTTAAATCCTCTTTTTTTATAATATACAGCTAATTTAGTACATGATGTAGTTTTTCCAGCACCTTGTAACCCAACAAACATAATAATATGACTTGAATCTTTTGAAACTTTAACTTTTTTCCCATTTATAGTTTTTGTAGTTGATGATAATTTTTTCGGTTTTGGAGGTTCAACATTTGAATCAACTAATGCACATAATTCATCATATATGATCTTTTGTAATTTTTTTCTTTTATTATGTGTTGATGATTCTTTTATCACATTTTCTTCTTCAATTTTATTTCGTATATTGCCTCTTAATTTTGCAACTAATTTAACATTTATATCTGATTCTAATAATGCTGAACATATATCTTTTATCATTTGTTGAATTTCATCATCAGTACCCTTTTCAACTGAGGAAAGAGCACCTCTTAGTCTATCTCCAAGATCTGCTAATACCATGATTGGCTATGAAAATTTTGGTTGTGAGTTGTATGAGTTTATCAGTAGTATCAGATCTAATTAAATGAAAAAAATATAATAGAGTTGAAAAATAGCTATTGACAGTTCTAAAAAAAATTTGGTCGTGTGGATAAATGTATCTTGATAACATCAATATATTATGGATAAGGAACAACTACAGAAAGATGGTAATACTATAGGCAAGAACCAAACCAATGATTCCAAATTACCAATTGATAAAGAGCTAGGTACTGATGAAGTTGAAAAAATCAAATCAAAAATAGATTTTACAAATGGTGGAGTTGATAATTTTAAATTTTATCCAGATAAACCAGAAAATCATCGTCATAAATATAGATGGTCAATGAAACAAGCTTCAAAATTTTATGATCCTTGTGAAGAAAGTAGACAAGCTTCAATGGATTGTGTATATAGAAATCAAGATGATAAATATGTTTGTCAAGATTTTTTTGATGCATATAGAGAATGTAGGAAAGATTTCTTTAAAAAGAAAAAAGCTGATAGAATAGAAGGGAAGAAAGGTTGGGGTTGGTAAGTTTACCCTTGGTGAATAAAATTCTGAATGAATTTTGTTAATACTTGCGAGAAGACGTAATTTATCAATCAATATGTAAATAGGTTAATGAATAATGATAATTTTGGAATAAAATACAGTAATTACTGGCTCTGAGATTGAATTAATTGTAAAAAGCTTTTATATATGCAGAATACAACATACATTAAGATGAATTTATATCTCACAATCCAGTGTTAAAGTTTTGATTTTACTATAGTCTCATAATTTATGACGATTTTGCAGCAAAATTTTTAAAATTCAAGGACTTAATAGAATAGTCTATCTAAAGCATTTAAATCAATAGCCATGTGCTATTGCATTTTCACAAAGAAAGGATAAAACAGTACATCTCTAGGTTCTAGATAATTCGACAATTTGGGATATCAATCGTTGAATCAGCTCAAGTCCACGCTTCTCTGGAAGGATTTTATCTTGAATTTACCGCGGTATCTTACATGAAAGCATTTAATTCATTCCTTGCATATTCTAGTACTCAAAGATTTATGGTAACTTTCAAATCCTAAGATACTCTTCATTCCCTTTCGAACAATTAGTACTAGATAAAATCAACCATACTTTTAAAGCATTTAAAAGATCATCTACTATTAAGAGCTTGAAAAGAGCATGAAAAGTATTCAAGGATAAAAGTATTATAAATCCTTCGTACCGATTGTGAACCTATTAAACCGTTTCAAAACCTTACTATTTTTGTTGAGTCTTCTCTCCATGTATTACCATTTAATATTATCTACTTCTCTTTCACCTTTTTCGATCTCTAATATGAAATCCTGAAATTTCAAAATTAGTACCATTGAATTAGAAAGCATGATACGATTAGGTTTTAACTCGAAACATTAATTGAAAAAATAGACATATACTTCAACACATCTTTCATTTCGAGTCATTTTATCAAGAATTCTTTCCCATCTTCCTAAGTATTGTCTTTATTGATATTATATAACAGTATGAAGTTTTGCCTAGCTTATTGCCATAAAGTTGAGAATTTACTTGTATTGCTATATTAGATATATTTGCTAATATGTCGAAATTCTAAGCGATGTTAGAGGTTAAATTATTTTTAGAACCGCGCGAATAAATTTAGTACGATGCAATTTGCAAAAGTTTTTCTCTCTCGTGTGCGATTTAGGTTTTGAATTATTGCAAAATTGAAAAGAGAGAAACTCAACATTGAATGAACATATTTCGAGTATTATTGTTTTGTATTAAGTAAATGTATTAATATTAATCTATAAAATTATTATACTCCTCTTATGATGTGGAAGATATAATGTAAATTGTCCCAAATGAAAATATTTTAAAAAAATCTATAAATTTAAACCAGAACCAAAATTTTTAAGTATGAACCAATTATTTAAGTCAATTGATAAGTCGATGATAATGTAATGTAAGTGTTTTGAGTGTTATTTGATTATTTTCTAACAGCAAATCCAAAAAATTCTCCTAAAAATGAACCTTCAAATTTATTTTCAAATTTTAAACCACCAGCTCTTATTTCTGCCATAATTTGAGCTTCTTTTTCAGCAGCTGTTAATTTAATTGGTTGTTGAGCAGCAAACATTGTTTTAGTTATTAATTTAATTGAAGTAAGTTGATTGAACAGTTAATAATGTGAAATTTTATGATGATGATGAACAAATTTAAATTTTTGATGAAAAATGTTCTACTTTTATATAAAAATTCTAATGAGTAACCATTTCGGACGTGTGGGACCAGTAATGGTGTTTTTGTGTAATATTTGTTGCGTAAAACTAATTTTTCCGAAGTAACACAACAAACCTTAAAATTTCTTTTTGTTTCATTTTTCTGATGAATGGAAAAAAATTTGACAATAGACAATACAAGTAATGTTTGTAAGAGATCTGATACTTCCATTGATCCATATCAAGATTAAACATTAATTCATATTTTACGTTTTGAATTGAAGTTGCTAAGAATAGACACGAAAAGATAAAACAAAATAAAAATTGGCTCGATATAAGCTATCAGTCCCAAGAACTATATCAATACAAAATAAGTGAAGATTTTAATTACTACGAGAAAGAGGGGTAAAAACTTCAACTCTTTGGTCAAAATCAAATGATTGGTTATATTTATGACCTAAATTCAATAGAACAAACGAGAAGAGTTACAAAACGATCAGTCTCGACAAAAATGGCTATGCATTCGTACAATTTACACAAAAAGTATAATGTTTCCATTGAGCCATTTTTTTTTGGTCCAGAATCGCTACACAAATGCAATTAGCCTAAATGACAAAATTTAAATTTTGAAGCGTAAGGTTGCAAAATTTTGAAACGATTGCAAAAAATGTTTATTAGGTGATATTTATTAGAAAATCAAATGTTGAAAAAAACATACAGAACAACACATCATAAAGAAAATAATAACAACTGATATCCCTTCATATTCCAATTTTCGAAAATTGCTTCATTTTCCCAACCATCCAAAAAATTTAAACATCTAACTTCTAATGCAAACCAATTATATAATCCATCAATTGGATCAACAGTTAAATTTGAATTATTGCATTGAAACAAGCAATCATAATAATTTATAAATTTTAGATTCGGATTTAGGTTTAAATACCTTCTACCAAAAGCTTGAACATTTGACACATCTTCGTACATATATCGACGATTTGAACCTACTTTAGAATATGATGAGTCAGCATTATTTGAATCAATAATTTCCAAATATTCTAATGATTTTTGAGAGGGTGTTAACTCCATGAAACGAGACGAAAGCAAAGCACTGTTAATTCTCAAAGATTTTAAATTTAATGATTCAAATCCTTCAAAAAATTCCTCATCTAAATTCATATACAAACGAGTCCTATCCGGATCATAAATTTCTAAAGATAACTTTTCTAAATTTCTAAATTTATTCACTATTAAAAAAGATAAATTAGGATGAAAATGAACTGACAAATCTAGGACTTTTAACGTATTATTATTTCGAGCTAATTTTTTTAAAAATTGCGGTATAAGATTGGTAATTTGGCAAATTCCTAATGACAAATGAGTTAAGTTATTTAAGAATGGAGCTATTTTTGTTAAAAAATTTGAATTCAAAGTATCAATAGTATTAGTAATATCACCATAAACATTTGAAGTATACTCTTTAATTCTACTTAATTGTAAAAATTTTAAATTTTTCAAATTTATAGAATTTATTAAATAATTTGCATCAGTTTCATTAACACTAATATCACTAATTGAAAGTGAAGTTAAATTGTTCAAATACTTAATCTTACTTTTCTCAAATATACATTCCATAATATCTTCATTTAAAATGGATTGTTCAATATCCCTATAAATATTGTTAAATGTTTTAGATCCTAAGTCTTCACCAGAAAAACTTAAAGTTTTTAATCTACTGCAAACATCGTTAGAATCATTTTGATTAATTAACATATTATTGATTATATTAAGTAGAATTTTTGAATTTTGAAATGGTTTAATTTGAAAACTTGTTAAATTTGGAAAATTTAAATTTGAAATTTGGTGAATTTTATGATCTTTACCATTAGTATCATACAAAAGACTGTTATTTCTCTTAATTGAATCGGATGTAATGTTTAAAATCAATGTGTTAATCAATTCCTTGTTTTTTAAAGAATATAAGAATTTTATTCTAAAACCTTTGTCTAGCCAAACTAATGAAGTTAAATTATGTAGTTTATTAAATAAATATTTAATCATCCTCTGCAATTCTAAATTAAGATCAAATTTTATGCTTGAATCAAGTAGTGTCAAACATTCAAACTTATATATCTTGATATTACTTAGATCATTATCAATTTTTTTAACATATGTTCCTATGAATCTCTTAAACCTAAAATAACTATTTATATATGTTCTTCCATTAGTTTCATATTTTTGATTGTCAAATTTTCCAAAATTTACATCAATTATAATATGTTTATATAATTGCGGTAATACTTGATTGTATAATTTTGAGCATGTTCTTATTAAATTTAATACATCAAATTGTGATAAATTGTTTGTTATATTCAATATGATTTCAGAAGGTAATTCAGTTAACTTAAAGGATTCCTTTTTTTCATTATTGTCAGTAATAGTCAATCTTTCCACTAATTGTTCAATGTTGGCATTCAGATCTACCGTATTTGATGACTTTTCATATTCGAAAGTTGGATCGATAAGATCTTTATATGCATTGGATGTTAAATTATTTGTCATATTTTGGTTAGTGCCCATGGGTTGAATATATTCATAAAATCTCTGTAGTACAAGTTCCAAAATGAAAAAAATCCCTTAAAAAATATAAAAGGGCTGAAACAAAGTTTGACACAAAAATAAGAGCCTCTCCGCCTTACAATTCGTCCCTGAAAAAACAAGAAACACACATCCGTACCATCATAATATTCGTACCGACCGCCATAGTTAAAAACATCCACAAAATGTTCACGAATTGAACACGACGTACCATCTTATAACCTCTTTACAACAATTTTCATTTTTTTTGGGTTCACAAATTTGAAGTCTTGAGTCAAATAAAGAGTGAAATTGCAAATTACGAAACGATTGCAAAATATTTAACATTCTGTAATTTTATGAGCGATTACTATGATTAAATCAAAGAACTGTTCAATAAATAATTGAAAACAACCAATGTCATTATTTCTCTGTTCATATTCATATTTTTCGAAATAATCGTTATACCTCAGCCTCAATTCTTGTCGCATCAGTGCATTCCAAAATTATTATTTCATCCATTATCCAATAAACTTAAGCATCTAACTTTAGATTTAAACCAAAAATTTAAACCATCAATTGAATTTAGAGTTAAATTTGATTCACAATGAAATAAACTACCATTAATTCTAATATATTTCAAATTTAAATTCAATTTCAAATTCGATAATGCAATTTGTTGAACCTTAAAATGATTACCATACATAGTTGGATGAGTCACATCTAAACCTAATGTTGGAGCATCACCATATTTTGCACCCATAATATCTAAATATTTCAAATTTTTCTGAGAAGATATAAATTTTTTGAAACCTTTTAAATCAAATCCATTACTATGTATTCTTAACGATTTTAAATTTAATGATTCAAAATTTTCAAAATATTCATTGTTTAAATACAGACACATGGGGGAATTCACTGAATCCAGAGCTTCTAATGATAATTTTTTCAAATTTTTAAATTTACTTATTGAAGAAAATAAATCAGGATGAGATAAAGTTGATAAATCTAGGACTTTTAGCGTAGTATTATTTTGAGCAAAATCTTCTAAAAATAGTGGTATTGTATTAATCACTTGATCAATATTTATTGACAAATGAGTTAGGTTATTCAAAAGCGGAGCTATATCCGTTAAAAACTTTGATCTAAAAGTATTAATAGTATTAGCATCATTTTCATTAAAAGTAAGTTGTTCTATTCCACTTAATTGTAAAAATTTTAAATTTTTTAAATTGATTGAATTCTTTAAATATTTTGCATCATCTCTATGAATCCTCATATTACCCATAGAAAGTGAAGTTAAGCTGTTCAAATATTGAATTTTACTTTTTTCAAAGATACATTCCATAATATCTTTATTTGGAATCATTACAGATGCCACATCCCCACCAAAAAAGCTTAAAGTTTTTAGTCTATTACAAACTTCAATAGGATTATTTTGATTAATTAATATATTATTGATTATATTAAGTAATATTTTTGAATTTTGAAAAGGTTTAATTTGAAAATCAATAAGATTAGGAAAATTTAAATTAGAAATTTGGTGAATAGTATCATCTTTACCATAATTTTCATACAATGAACATTTATTTTTCTTAATTGCATCAGATGTAATGTTTAAAATCAATGTGTTAATCAATTCCTTGTTTTTTAAAGAATATAAGTATTCCACTCGAAATTTTTTGTCTAACCAAATTAATGAAGTCAAATTGTAAAATTTTTGAAATAGAAGAATCATTTCCATCATAAGATGATCATCAGAATTCAACATTGGCTCCGGTAATTTTAAACATTCAAACTTATATATCTTGATCTTACCTGAACCACTATCACTTTTGTCATCATATGTTTTTACGAATCTCTTTAACTTATAATAATTATTTATATATGTTCTTCCAATAGTTTTATATTCTTGATTGTTAGAAGTTTCAAAATTCACATCAATTATAACATGTTTATACAATTGCGGTAGTACTTGACCGTATAATTTTGAGCATGTTTTTATTAGATTTAATACATCAAATTGTGATAAATTGTTTGTTATACTTAATATGATCTCAGAAGGTAATTCAGGTAATTTAAAAGATCCTTTTTCTGTATCATTTTTTGTAATAGTCAATCTTTCAACTGATGGCCCAATTTTGGTACTTAAATCTACCGTAATTGCTGCATCAAATTGTGATAAATTGTTTGTTATACTTAATATGATCTCAGAAGGTAATCCAGTTAATTTAAAAGATCCTTTTTCTGTATCATTTTTTGTAATAGTCAATCTTTCAACTGATGGCCCAATTTTGGTACTTGAATCTACCGTAATTGCTGGTTTTCCATGATTCTGACTCAAATGTGATTTCCCATTTTCAATAGATAGGTTGATATTATATTCATCAGCAATGGATGTTAGGTTCTGTGTCATAATTTGGCTAATTTCTAGAAACTGATCTCTCTTAGTTAGCACAAAGGAGATTCTTGAGTTACAAAACTAACGAATATGTTTGTTGATTTCTGTAGACCTTAACCCTTGTTTCAGTTACTATACGAATTCAATTTCTCTTGTGAAAGTTAGAAGAATCACTCATGGCCGAGTCGCATTTGAAAACTTTGGGCTAAAGCATTAGACGAAGTTTATACTAAACAGGTGTTTTCCCTAAGCCATTGTTTGTAGTCAGCTAGGTATACAAATTTAATTAGTTTATTTAAAGAGTATAATCGTTGCAAATGATGAAACGATTGCAAAATAGATAAAGTAGATCGAAGGACTTTCCAATAAGTAATTTAAAACAATCAATGTCTTTATATTTTCTATCCTTATTTGTATTTGTCTAAAATATTCACTACACCACAACTTCAAATCTTCTCGTATCAGTCCATTCCAAACTCATTGCTCCATTCCATTAAACTTACACATCTTACTTTTGATCTAAACCAACAATCTAAACCATCTACAGGATTAAGAATTGAATTTGATTCACATTGAAACAAACTATTATCAATACGAATATATTTTAAATGTAATAAAGCATTATTTTGAACTTTCAACCATTCATCATACATAGTTGGATCAAACATAACTAAACCTTCATTTTGAGTACCATCATCTCTTGAATCAAAAATATCCAAGTATTCTAAATTTTATTGTGAAGAAATTAAATTTGTTAAACTTTTTGTATCTGTTGAATTGTTAATTCTTAATGAGTTTAAATTCAAGGATTCAAATTTTTCAAAAAATTCATTATTTAAATTTTTACATAAACCATACCCCCTTCGATCAAAAATTTCTAAAGATAATTTTTTCAAATTTTGAAATTTACTTATTGAAGAAGATAAATCAGGATGAAACTTTTCTGACAAATCTAAGACTTTTAACTTAGTATTATTTTGAGCTAATATTTCAAAAAATTGTAGCATAAGATGAATTTTTTGATGAATTCTTAATGATAAATGAATTATGCTTGTCAAAAATGGTGCTATATCCGTTAAAAAATTTGAGTTTAAAGTACCATTCCGACTAAAATCTTCTATTCTACTTAGTTGTAAATGTTTCAAATTTTGTAAATTAATACAATTTATTAAATAATCTGAATCATTTTGACGAACACCAATATCACTAATTGAAAGTGAAGTTAAGTTTTCTAAGTATTGAATTTTACTTTCTTCAAATATACATTCCAAAATACGATTATTTCGAATCAGTTCGAATGCATTATCCCCACCAAAAAAGCCTAACGTTTTACACTTTTCATTAGGATTATTTTGATTAATTAATAAACCATTGATTAGATTAAGTAAAACTTCTGAATTTTGAAAAGGTTTTATTTGAAAATTTCTAAGATTAGGAAATTTTAAATCAAATATTAGATTATTGTAGTCTTCTTCATTTTTTTTATAATAAAACCTATTGTTTCTCCCCCTACGTGCCTTAGGTGTAACATTCAAAATCAATGTGGTTATCAATTCTGTGTTTCTTAAGTAATATAATAAATCTAATCTAAATCCTTTGTCTAACCAAATTAAAGATGTTAAATGATTTAAGTTATTAAATAGATAAACCATATCCGCTAGAAAATCATCATCATGAAATGTAATTGAATCAGGTAGTTCCAAACATTCAAACTTATCAATTTTGATATTGATATTACTTGAATCATTATCACTTTTTTCATCATAGGTTTTACAAAATTTTTTTAATTTAAATTTATTATTTATATATGTTCTTCCGTTAGTCTCATATTTTTGATTGGATGATTCAAAATTCTCATCAATTATTATATGTTGATACAATTGTGGTAGTGTTAAATGGTAGAATCTGGAACATGTTCTAATAAAATGTAATACATCAAATTGAGATAAGTTGTTTGTTATATTCAATATGATTTCATTCGGTAATTCAGTCAATTTAAAGCAACTTATGTTGGTATTATCATTCTCAATAGTTGATTGATTCTCTTGGTGCTTTAAGTCGGTGTTTGACTTTTCGACAATTGATAATTCATCATTATTTTGATTTAAACCTGATTTATTGTATTCAATAGGTTGATTTATACTATGTTCATCAGCAATAGATGTTAGGTTCTGTGTCATTTGGTTAAATTCTAGAAACTGATAATACTATCTTATTATTAGCACAAACTAGATTTTGGAATTACAAAACTAGTGAATATATTTGTTGAATAATATTGACCTTAACCGACCTTTACCGTTGTTTAAGTTACTATTTGAATTCAATTTATCTTATGATATTAAGAAGAACCTTTGGTGAGTAGAATAATTAACTTGTAATAAGCAGAATGAAGATAATAAAAAAACTCCTTGTTTTAAATTTATATATTATCAAATTTCATAGTTAATTTAAAGATTGTAATAGTGTTATGCATAGAGTCTAATTTGTAGTATCTTTGTAGTTTAAACTTGGTTGATTATTCTATATGGATTATACACCAGATTAGATAAGAAAATAATTAATTATTCTCATAATTAATAAAAGGGACGCGTCGTTAGTCGTCATCCATATGGTAGTTCTCTACAAATAGTTGCAAATTATAAAACGTGCAAAAAATTGATTATTATTAGGTGATCCGTTAGTATATTAATCAATGGATAAATCACATAAGTAATTCATTACAAAGCAAATTACAATAGTTAAGGTCTGTTTGTCACTGCCTATCGTATTTAAATTGTTCTGTACATTAGCCACATCCTTTTCCTGATTGCTTATCCAATGACCTTTATCCTTCTTTAAACACCATTAAATTACCTTAACACTTAACTATCGATCTTCCAGGACAAGTTCTTAGTATTCATTAAATTTTTTACCTGTAAAATTATCCAAATAATTTAAACATCTCACTTTTGATTCAAACCAATAATGTAATTTATCAATTGGTTTAACATTTGAAATCAATTCATCACATAAAAATAAACGATTATTAATATTTATATATTTTAAATTCAAATTAATTTGAAAATAAGATAATGCAATTTGTTGAATATTAAATTTATCTTTCTCCTTTTTTCCACAAATCATGTCTGATTTAAAACTTCGTGAACCGTTATCATATATACCAATAATATCTAAATATTTTAAAGATTTTTGAGATGAAATTAAATACATTAAACTTTTTTTATCTGTTGTATTATTAACTCTTAATGATTCTAAATTCAATGATTTAAATTTTTTAAAAAATTCAATATTTAAATTTTGACATAATTTATAATTTATTGGATCATAAATTTCTAAAGATAATTTTTTTAAATTTTGAAATTTACTAATTAAAAAGGATAAATCAGGATGAAATTGAGCAGCCAAATCTAACACAGTTAACGTGGTATTTTTTTCAGCTAATTCTTTTAAAAATTGTGGCATGAGATCAAATATTTGTTGAATTCCTAAACATAAATGAGTTAAGCTACTTAAAAATGGAGCTAGTTTTGTTAAAAATTTGAATCTATAGTATCATCAATAGTATTAGTAGTATCATCATTTTCGTTCAAAGTAATTTTTTTCGTTCTGTCCAGTGTTTTACTTATTTGTAAATGTTTCAAATTTTTTAAATTTACACAATTTATTAAATAATTTGCATCATTTTCATGAACAAACATATAACTAATTGAAAGTGAAGTTAAGTTGCTTAAATATTGAATTTTACTTTTTTCAAATATACATTTTATAATATCTTCACTTAAAACATTTATAAGTGCATTATCCCCACCAAATAAGCTTAAAGTTTGTAATTTGTTACAAACTTCAATAGGATCATTTTGATTAATTAATAAATTATTAATTGTATCCAATAAAATTTCTGAATTTTTAAAAGGTTTTATTTGAAAATTTTTAAGATTAGGAAAATTTAATTTCGAAATTTAATGATTGCATTTGCCTTTAACATTTTTTCCATTCAAGATCTTGTGGTTTTGCCCATTTGCATTGGAAATGTTCAAAATTAATGTATTTATCAATTCTTTGTTTTTTAAAGAATATAAGAATTCTAATATAAACACTGGGTTTAGCCAAATTAATGTTGTTAAATTATTTAATTTTTGAAATAGTTGAATAATATCCCCTACAAATTCCTTATCATAAATTGAGATTGTATTAGGTATTTTTAAACATTCAAATTTGTATATTTTGATATTACTTGAATCATTATCACTTTTTTCAACATAGGTTTTTATGAATCTCTTTAATTTAGTTACGCTATTTATATATGTTCTTCCATTAGTTTCATATTCTTGATTGTTGAATTTTACTAAACTTGTATCAATTATAATATGTTGATATAATTGCGGTAGTATTAGTTCATATAATTTGGAACATGTTCTTATTAATTTCAAAACTTCGAATTGTGATAAATTTTTTGTTATATTTAAAATGATTTCATTCGGTAGTTCATTTAACTTAAAGCGACCTATATTTTCAATATTTAATCGTTTCTCTAGGCGCTTGAAATTTGTACATGACTTTTCAATGATTGGTGGCTTATCATGATTTTGGTTTGAACGTGGATTACTATGTTCAATGGGTTGGTTGATACTATGTTTATCCGAATTAGGTCTTAATTTCTTTATAATTCTATTAAGTTTCATGAACGATATTTTGGAGTTGCAAAACTAATGAATCTGTTTGTTGATTTCTGTAGACCTTAACCCTTCAGTTACTATCTTATTCAATTTCTCTAGTAATATTAAGAAGAATCTTTGATGAGTAGAATAATTACTTCTTACTAAGCAAAAGATAGTGAAAGCACTCCAATTCTTCAAATATATATAACAAATTTACTTAGTTAATTTAAATAGTGTAATAATTGCAAATTATGAAACAATTGCAAAAATTAGGTAAGTATAAGATAATTTTGTTAGCAGATTAGTACAACACATAAATAATACATTATAAAGCAAAATTAAAACAATCAAGGTCCATTTATAATTACCTGTTTTATTCAGATTGTTACCATACATTGGCCCCGTCTAAAGCTCTAAAACTTAAATTGTGATAACAATGTTCCAATTTATCAACTATCTAATAAACTTAAACATCTAACTTTTGATTTAAACCAATTATTTAAACCATCAATTGGATTTATAATTAAATTTGATTTACATTGAAATAAACATTCATTTATACTTATATATTTTAAATTTAAATTTAATTTTAAATATAATAAAGCAACATGTTGAACTTTAAACCAATCATCAAATATTGTTGGATGAATCATACCTAAACCTAAATTTGGTGCACCACCAGCTTTTGAACCAATAATATCTAAATATTTTAAATTTTTTTGAAATGAAATTAAATTTATTAATGATTGTGTATTTATTGTATTATTTATTCTTAATGATTCTAATTTTAAATTTTGAAGTTCTTTTAAATATTCATTCCTTAAATCTTCACATAATCCATAATCTATTGGATCATAGATTTCTAATGATAATTTTTTTAAATTTTGAAAATTACTTATTGAATTAAACAAATCAGGTGAAAAAACTGTTGATAAATCAAGTGCTTTTAAATCAGTGCCGTTTTGAAATAATTCATATAACAATTGTGGTATTCTATTAACTAATTGGTGAAATCTTAATGATAAATGAGTTAAATTAATTAAATACGGAGCTAAAATTGATAAAAAAGTAATGATAGTGCTATTTTGTCCTCTGATTATAGTAACTTCTTTTATTCCTCTTAATTGTAAATATCTTAAATTTTTCAAATTTATTGAATTTATTAAATATTTTGCATCATCTGATCTAACATTTAAATCATTTAATGAAAGTGAAGTTAAATTACTTAAATATTGAATTTTACTTTTTTCAAACATTCGTTTCAAAGTGTATTCATTTAAGTAATCGTTATACTGAGTAGTTCTTAATTGAACTTCAATACCGTAACCAATATTAGAATTATCTATCATTAAATCACCACTTGATAAACTTAAAATTTTCAATCTATTACAAACTTCAATTGAATTATTCTTATTAATTAATAAATTATTTATAATTTTAAGTAACCTATAGGAATCTTCAAAGGGTTTAATTTGAAAATTTATTATATTTGGAAAATTTAATTTATCAATATCATAATCTTCTATCATATTACTACCATACCTATTCATCGTGGAATTTTGATTCTCTTTCAAATATCCACAATATTTTATATTTAAAATCAAAGTATGAATTAATTCTTTATTTGGTAAATCATATAAAAATTCAAATCTAAAATTATTATTTAACCAAATTAATGAAGTTAAATTATATAATTTACTAAAAAAATTTACAATATCTATATTAAAATCATAATCATATACATTAATTGAATCAGGTAAATTCAAACATTCAAGTTTATAGATTTTAATTGTATTTAAATGATTGTCAATTTTGTTACTATATGTTTTTAAAAATTTCTTTAAATTAAATGAACTATTGATATATGTTCTTCCATTCGTTTTAAATTCTTGATTATTGAAAATGTTGAAATTTGAATCTATTATAATATGTTGATATAATTGCGGTAGTACTTGATTGTATAGTTTTGAACATGTTCTTATAAGATTTAAAATCTCAAATTGTGATAAATTGTTTGTTATATTCGTGATTATTTCTATCGGTAGATCAGTTAGCTTAAAACGGCTTTTGTCTTGATTGTTATCAATGGTTAATGCAGTCACACGGTGTTTTATGATATTGCTTGTATCTTCAGTAATTGATGGCTTTTTGTGATGTTGATTTAAAGGTGATTTGCTATATCCAATAGGCCGATTGATGTTATATTCAAGATTACTGGATAATAAATCATTTCTCATATTAAGATCATTTATTTCTTGTAATCGTTTGTTTTAAATGAGTTTAAATTTTCATCTAGAAACAATTCAAATGAGTTTGAATTAAGCATATAAATTTGAATTATTTTGATATTTCGTATAGATTCTAGAAACCACTTGGTAGTGACATTTCTGGACTTATCATTCATTTCTTATCTATATTATGGGGTAATTTTTCATGAGTTTTACCTGAAGCCGGATGGAAACATGGAGAATATGAATCTCAAAGTGCAAATCAAATTAAGGGCAAGTGGCAGACGAGTCACTTCTCTTAGATGAAAGCTCTCTTCCTTTTAATTGTATATTGAATCAAATGATTAGTATATGCTTTAAGAATGTTACACAAAATGTGTGTCAAAACAACTTTAATTTTTTATGCTTTAAATTTATTTGTGAGGAAAAAGTTATTATCACCAACTACTATTTTGACAACCAACAGAAGTATCAATCAATTCACGCTTCGACTCAACTGCTGTTCTATCAACACTATCTTACCAACTATCAACAACAATGACATCAGTTGAAAATGTGGAGAAACGGTTAACTGAAGAGATTGCTGATTTATCAACAAGATTAATGACAGAAGTAAATAAACAAGTTGAACAAGAAGAAACAATATTAAATCTACGTAAAACAATACAACATTTAAAAGATTCAAATAAGACACTAATATCAAATGATGAAAATTATAAACTAATATTACCAAAATATTTAAAATTACAAGATGAATTTAAACAAATAAATATAAAAAAGGAAATAGCAGAAACAGAAAATAAAAAATTATCAGCAGAAGTTGAAGATTTAACAGCATCATTATTTGATGAAGCAAATACAATGGTTTCAAATGCAAGTAGAGAAACTCATAATTTTAAAATAAAAAATAAGAAATTATATGAAGAAATTGATGAAAAAAATATTATAATAAGTAATTTACAAGATCAATTACAAGATTTAAAACAAATGTTTATTAAAATTGAAGATCAAGAAAAATTAAAATTATATTCAAATAGTAATATTAATACTCCAATTATTGAACAGGAAAATCAATTTGAAAAATTAAATTTAAGTAGTCCTGAAAAAGAACAGTTGCATAGTAAAGAAAACGATAACGATGATGATAATGAAATTAATGATAAAAACGAAGAACAATTGAGTCGCACGATTCCAAATGATCCAACCATACCAGTAGCAGTAGATCAAGAAGATTTACAATTAAAACAAATTACAAATAATTTGACAACATCACAAATAACTTCAATTAGATTTGATTTAAACAATTATAATAAAGATTTTAAAGGATTTATATATACATTAATTAAACCTGATTTTATATTAGATCAAACTCATTTAAAATCATTAAATTTTTATAAAAATATATGGAATAATGAAATTGAAAATTTTATTGAATATATACCAAATTTACCACAAACTTCCATATTCAATAAATGGCAAAAAACAAAAATATTTTGGAGTTCTTTAATTGATGGTAGAGTTAAAATTGAACCAATAAAAGGTTTTAATGAAAATTTAAAAAATTTAAATTTAACAATTTTAAATCCTGAATTTATAAAAATTTCAATAAAAGAACCTTGTGGATTTTGTGGAGAAATAAGATCAAATAAATATGAATATTGTAGATTATATCATTATAAAATTTATGAAATTGATGAAAGTTTAATTGTTTCATATCCTTTATGTAAATTTTGTTTAATTAAATTAAGAAATCTTTGTGAATTTTTTGCAAAAATTAGATTATTAAAATCAAATATTTTTAAATTGAAACAAAATAATCAATTTGATGAATTTGCTTATGTTCCAACTACTGCTTCAAATTTTTATAAAAGAGCAAATTCAAATCCTTCAATTAAAAATTCAAATACTTTTACTCCATCTGTTACAACTCCAAATAATGAAATATCTAATAATAATACCACAACCACTAATACAAATAGTCCAACAAATAAATCAGATAAATTATCAGTCCCATCATCATCAACATCTCAATCTCATCAACAATCAACAGAATCAATAAATTCAGCATCATCATCAACAATAACTACAAATTCAATAACAAACTCAACAACAACTCCAAATTCTGATTTAATGAATGGTCATATACATGAAATTAAATTAGATGAAGAAGAAGAAAAAAAAATTTCTAAAATTTATTTAATTTTTTTAATTATAAGATTAAAAATTTATTATAGTAAATTAGGAATTTTAAATACTTTAAATGATAATAATAATTATTAGGTGTTTGCTTATTTTTTGTTTGAATTAAAATACATGGACATTTTTCAATGATTTTGAAGACTTACTCGATGCTATGTTTGTCTGGGACGCGTTTATTGTTCCATTCTTGAAAGGGGAGATCTTTGGGTCAATGGTTTCTGAAATCTAAAACTAGGTATTGAACAACTTGATAAACCTCAATGTACTAGTAATTCACGACAGAGTCTTAATATGAATTGATATACTTTTGATATAGACTTAAACTCATTAAATGAACTTACGAACTTGAATCTAAGTTCAAACTAATCTCTACGAATGTAGTAAACCAACTAAAAATCAACTCAAAGCTTAAATTCAAACTCGTGTTAAGTTTTGACTCTACGCCAGTAAAAAATAAAAAACACACGATGCAAATCAAAAATATTGTAAACATCATCAACATATCATATTCATATCATAAGTGTTTTTTATCGTCAATTTTCCAAATTTTACTACAAAAGTTTGGTTCTGAATTTGGTATAATTAACCAGCTTAAATTTATATCCTCAGTTAAGTACCATTTAAGTCATTGTTTTGTGACATATTTTTATTGAAGTTAAATTCTCAATTAGGCGGACTAAATTCTTTTTTTGCGCTTTATTTTCTAAATTAGTATTGATGGAAATAAGCTCGTGTCATAAATAGTTAAAGCTTTACTTCTTTGATTGTAGGTCTGTTCGCTATGTTGTGTTTTTGAGTACAAATCGATATATGGATTATTGTAGGAAGGTATTGCCTTTGAATGCGTCAATTATATTAGTAGTAAGCAAATATGTGGTAAGAATTAGTACGTACCTAAGTTACCGTATATTAATTGCATAATATTAAATTAGTAACATGACAGACAAAAATAGAAAGTTATACCTATTTTTTGAGACTTATACTAAAATCTATTCCAATTCACGGACTTATCGTACTAGCCTTTACCACTATTACTCTCTCTTAAAGCCAGACGAAGTCGCTATAAGACTATACTGTTTGTTTTATTACGAAGTAAATTGAGTTAAGTAAGTAAGTAAATGTCGGTTTTAATTAATCTCAATAAAGAGAGAGAGAATAAAAATAAATTTAATTTTTTACAACCAAATAACTTTATTATCAATCTACATAGTTTATTATTAAGTTCTATATACTTATCAACTACAAACATCATTATTCACATACCTATTCTGTCATATTTCTTTTGTATAACCATCTTATGAATTATAAATCTTACATACAATCTATTGGATTTTTTAAAATATGAGAAGAAGTAAAGGAGATTTATATCAAAGTTATAATTCAAATCCCTATCAACAACCAACTTCACATTCAAATTCAAATTCTCAATTTTACAATGATAATGGTAATCATGATCAAAGTAACTCACAATTGAACTCAAGAATAGATGAAGAATTAAATCAATCACAACCTTATGCATCTTATCAAACTAATCAAACACAATCTTATTCAAATCAACAACAACCACAACAACAAACTTCTAAACCAAATAATTCTAATAGAAAGTCATCAGGATCAGTATTTAGTTTTAGACGACATAAAGATAAAGATAAAGAAAAAGAAAGAAATCCTTCCATTTCTTCAAATTTGCATCAAACCAATGAAAGTATATCTGATTTATCATCAAATGATTCTGCAAGTATACTATCATCAGGTACTCAAAAATCTCAACATAGTAAACGACTGAATCATCAACCACAAACTTCACAATCTTCAAATCAATATCAACATCAACATCATTATCAACATTATCCTACAAATACTTCACAACCATCAGTATTATTACTGCAACAAAGTCTACCTCAACAACAACCACCACAATTTCCACCTCCAAGATCATCTTCAATACCTACTCAAGTAATACCTTCTCCTAATAATAGAAAATCATCCACTTATAGCATGGCAACAATTGGACAAGATAATAAAACTCCATATAATCCTTATGATACCCCTACTCAATTATCAAGACAACAATCTAATTATAATACTCCTTCAAATAGTTTAAGTCGAAAATCTACTAATTTATCAATTAATTCATTAACAAAATCAAATAATAGATCATCTTCAGATAACAACAGTAACAATAATAATCAACAATCTCAACCACCAGGAATATTCAAATTAGAACGTCCATCATCAGCTTTTGAAATTGATAGAATGTTTAAAGAATTTTTAGATAAAATAAATTCAAAATCTTTACCACCAAAAGCTTTAAGAGAAATGTTAAATTATGATACTGATAGAAAATGGATGATGATTGAACAAGATCAAAGAGCTGATTATGAAAGACTGATTAGATCTGTAAAAAACAATAATTCTGATTTACCTGAAACTTATGCAAGATTATTAATGTCAAAAACTATTACAACATCTCAATTAAATAATTTATGGATACAATTAAGAAGTGAACCTATTGATTGGGTAAGAACATTTGTTTATGATTGTCAAGGTGATGCTTTATTATCATCTTATTTACAAAAATTACATGATGAAATGAGAGAACATAATATAAATTCAATTGAAGATGAAATGTTTGATAAAGAACATTATATAATGAGAAGTATGAAATGTGTAATGAATCAAAAATTAGGTGCAGAAAGAGTAAGAACTGATGTTGATTTATTTGTAAATGCAGTAAGTGGATGTTTATTATCACCAAGATTAATTACAAGGAAATTAGCAACTGATGCATTAACATTTATTGTATCATATAATACTGATGATATTGGAAGATATCATAAAGTTTTAAAAGCATTAGATTCATTAAATGATAGAGTAAGGTATGATTTTGAAGATTATGATGAAAATAATAGTCATAAAAAAAGAAATTTAATAAGAAAACCTCCTCCACCAACTGGTCATAAAAGATTTGAAGTTTGGTTAAATTTAGTTGAAAGAACTGTTGATGGTATTGGAAAATTTAATTCAAATGTTGGAGAAAGAGAAGAAATAAAATCTCAATATATTGGAACTAATTCAAAAGAAAATTATTTTCCTGATTATTGTGGTGCAACTTTATTATTAGTAAATGTTATAGTTGAAAATGCAGTTGATTTTAGAGCTAAAATGAATTTAAGAGCTCAATTACAAGCTGCAGGTTTAAATAGATTATTTGAAAAATTTCAAAATTTACAACAACAAGAATTAAATATTTTAATGCAGAGATATAGAGCTTTAGCAAGAGATGATGAAGAAGAAATGAAATATGTTTCAGATTTTGATGGTAATATGAATTTTAATGATCCAGTTGATTTAATCAGGTCGTTATGGAATAATTTTAAAAATTCAGATAATCAAGATCATTTTTTAAGTACAATGCAACATTTATATTTAATTCAAACTGAAAAGAAGAATAATCAAAATGAATTAGGTCAATCGTTAAGAATATTGGATAATATTATTCAAAATTTATCAACTTCACAAACAAGTGATGAAAACACTGCAATAAATATTGCTATAAATAAATTATATTCAAGTATGAGTACAGATGATCAATATAGAAGAGCATTAGAAGAAGTGAAATATTATAGAAAAGTAGCTGAAGAAGCAACTGCAGAACGTGATGAAGTATCTAAACAAATGTCAATGGGTGCTGAAGGACTTATATCTAGTTTAACTAATGATGTTAAAGAACGTGATATTGTAATTTCAAGGTTTAGACGTACAAATGAAGATATGAAACAAGAAATGGAAGAATTAAAGACTAAATATATGAAAGAAAAACAAGAACTGGAATTAGAAATGAGAGAATTATTAATTTTGCTTGATAGTAATGATATTTCAACAAATAAAACTAAAAAAGGTTCAAAAACAACTGTTTCATTATCAACATCAAATATTGAATTAGCTCAAAGATTGAAAAAACAAATTCATAGAAGAAGAGCAGAAGCAAGATTAGATAATAAAAAATTAGGTACTCAACATGAACCATCAAAAAGATTAAGAGCATTAAGAGATCAAATGGGTGATATTGAAAATATGGCAAGAGAATTAGAAATGACAGAATTTGAAAATTATACAGAAGATGTTGAAGTAGAAGAATTACCATCTGAACCAGAAATTATAGAAACTGAAACTGAATCAGAAGAAATTGAAGAAGAAGAAGAAGAATCTGAATTATCTGATGATCAAGAAATTGAATTACCACCAACACCAATTCCATCAATTAAAAGAGGTATTCGAAATGATGATTTATCCAAACTTGATAATTTACGTAAAAAATTATCAAATTTACAAAATGATTCAAATGAAATAATGAAATTTAATAGTAGTTCAATGTTTAATAAACAAAAATATATGGCAATTGAAAGATTACATGAATTAGAAAATAAATTTAAAGATTTTAATATTGATTTTTCAATAGAAGATGAAAATGATTATAATATTTCAACAATGGGAGGAATTGATGAACATATAAAAGACAAAACAAAAGAAGTATTAAATGAAGTAGAAAAATTAAGAAATGAATTAAGAAAACAATTAGCTGCAAAAAATAAAAATAAAAATAAGTCACCTACTAAATCTCCTTCAAAAAGGCAATCAGTTATGGAAAGAATTGAAAATAAATATACAAAAGGTCAAGTACAACAAAATGAAAATTTTGATCAAACTTCAAGAGAAACTAAAAGAATTAATAGAAGAACTAATCTTAATTCAATGGATCCAAAATTTTTACAAGAACTTAGTAATAAAGTTGGTAGAGCCGAACCTATTGCTGCACCAAAGTTGGAATCTCTTGATGATTCGGAATTGAATTCAAATGGTACTAAAAGTGAGAAAGAACTTGATAGAAAAGAAGAAGAGAAAGAGAAACCTGCAGGTTCTGTTGCACCTCCTCCTCCTCCACCTCCTCCTCCACTTCCACCATCTTTCACAGGTTCATCAACTGCTGCTCCACCCCCACCACCTCCTCCATTACCTTTAAATCTTAGTGGAAATTCAAAATCATCATCAATTCCAGCTCCTCCTCCACCACCACCTAATTTTCTTAATGGTTCTTCTTCAGGTCCACCAGGTGCACCACCTCCGCCACCACTACCAAACGGTCAAGTCAATAAATACAGAGAAGCAAAAGTTTTATCACCCGTCCTAGATTCTTCAAATTTTGATAATCATTTACCAAGACCAAAGAAAAAATTAAAACAAATTCATTGGGAAAAGATTGATTATGAAGAAGTTGAAAATTCATTTTGGAAACAACCTTCAACAAATACCATAGCTAATGAACTAATGTCAAAGGGAATATTTGATGAAATTGAAGTTATATTTGCTGCAAAAGAAATTAAAAAATTAGCAACTAAAAAGAAATCTGATATTGATAAAGTATCATTTTTAAGTAGAGATATTGCTCAACAATTTAGTATTAATTTACATTTTTTTAGTTCATTAACTGATGAAGAATTAATTACAAAAGTTTTAAGATGTGATAAAGATTATTTACAAAATCATGCAGTATTAGAATTTTTTGGTAAAGATGAAATTACAGAAATTACAAATTCTGCAATTAGAAATTTTGAACCATATTCAACTGATTATAAAACTGATGAAAATAGTAAACCTGATAAAGATCCTTCTGAATTACAAAGACCTGATAGAATTTATTTGGAATTAATGTATAATTTACAACATTATTGGAAATCAAGAAATAGAGCATTAATGGTTATATCTAATTATGAAAAAGATTATGATGATTTAGTACGTAAATTAAGAGCTATTGATGATTCAGTTGATAGTATAAAGAATTCACAACATTTAAAAGGAGTTTTTGAAATCATTTTAACTGTTGGAAATTATATGAATGATTCAACAAAACAAGCAAAAGGTTTTAAATTAAATTCATTACAAAGATTAAGTTTTATGAAAGATGAAAAAAATAGTATGACTTTTTTACATTATGTTGAAAAAGTTATAAGAACTCAATATCCTGAATTTTTAAAATTCTTAGATGAATTATCAAAATGTAATGAAATTTCAAAATATTCAATTGAAAATATTTATAATGATTGTAAAGATTATGTTCAAAGTATTAAAAATGTACAAAGTTCAGTTGATGTTGGTAATTTATCAGATATTTCTAAATTTCATCCATCAGATCGTGTGTTAAAAGTATTATTACCATCATTACCAAAAGCTAATAGAAAAGCAGGACTTTTATTAGATCAAGCAGAATATACTATAAAACAATTTGAAAATTTAATGATTTATTTTGGTGAAGATCCTCAAGATCAATTTGTTAAAAATTCTTTTATAAGTAAATTTACAAATTTCATGAAAGATTTTAAAAGAGTTCAACAAGAAAATTTAAAACGTGAAGAAGAAATAAGAGTTTATGAACAAAGAAAAAAATTATTGGAAGCTAGTAAAACAACAACTCCAACTAAAAATCAATCAAAAGAATCTATTGATAATGATGATGAAAATGAAGGTGTTATGGATTCATTATTAGAAAAATTAAAAGCTGCTGGACCAGCTAAAGGTGAACCATCATCTGCAAGGAAAAAAGCATTAATGAGGCGTCAAATATTGGAAAATCAAAGAAAGTTCAACAACAATAGTAATAATAACATCAATACTGAAAATAACTTAGTAATTCCTCCTCATCATGAATCGTCACCAACTAAAGCTAGATCCAACGAGGAATTAAATTCAATTCATGATGAAATAGAAGATTCAACAATAGATGAAACTACAATCTTAGAAACTTCACCAACTGATTTAGAAAATCTTGATTCTAATAATAATGATGAACCAAAATTAAATTTAAGAGCAAGAAATTTATTACAAGAATTACGTGGAGCAAATGATGAAAATTCAGACGATGATGAACATAATATTGAAAATACACAAGAATCAACCTCAACATCAACCAATACTACATTAACTGCTGCTCAACGATATAGACAAGAAAGATTGAAAAAAAAGACAGGAGGAATATCAGTAAATAATACTGGTAATAGTAATAATAGTGATTTGATTGAATAATTTAATTGTTAATGTCCTATATATATAATATATTTAATGAATACAGACGATTTAAAAGATATAATTGATTTTTGATGTAGCTTATTTCTTTATTGTAGTGAAATATTTGAAATACAATTTGTTGAAATTTCTTCTAAATCATAATCCATAATATCCGGTACATCCAATTCTGATTCATCACTACTATTTTGAATTAAATTTCTATTTATAAAATAATCAAATATGGGTTTATTTAATGATAATAATCCAGTTCCACTTAATTTATTATTAAAAGGATTTTTTAATTTTTTTAAATGATCAATTATTGTAAAATCTTTAAAATTCGATTTATTTTTAAGATTTAAATTTTTTTTCAAATTAATTATTTCATTACTTGATTTATCTATTGAAGTTAATGCAATTATATCTCCACTTTTTGTTATGCATAATAATGATTCATCATCATCTTTATTGTTTTTATTATCAGTTTCTTTATTAGTCCATATGTTATTCAATTTTGCAGTTAATAACTTGGAATTACTAGGTAATTGAAATTGCAAGGATTTGTCACTCAAACCATTAGATTCAAGATCAATTATATGAATTGTAGAACCATGTCTACTACTCATAACAAGATTATTTTTATAATTTATTTGTTCAATCATTCTTTCTTGTATTGATGTATGAATTGTTTTTTCAATATCACTATCATTATAATATCGATTTGGTTTAACATCAATTTGAAAATTTGAATCATTAACTGTACACGCTAGTATTTTGTTTTTAAAGACACTGAAATTACAAATAGTACTTGGTAATTTTGCCAAAGTTTGAATTGATCTAAACTTTTTAAAATATTCATCATAAGATGTAACATAAATGGTGTCATTTCCTGTGAAATAAATATAATCATCAGATTGTGCTATATGTGTAACTTCATAAGTATGATAAAATGTTGTTAATTCAGTAATATGAATTAAAGAATCATTTTCTTTTGATTTTTTAAAATCTAAAACTTTTATAGTTCCCTTGTGATCATAATCAGAATTATATGAACAACCAACTAAAAGTTTATAACTAAATTTATCATTTCTTTTAATTTTCCAGACACATGAACATAAGGGATGTTCTAATTGCATAAAAACAGAATCAACTATTTGTTTGTTTTTAAACTGAATATGATCATGAGTTTTTAAAGTCAGTTTGTCAACACATCTTATATTGTTTCCCAAAGTCTCGTCAAAAAAGATCCCCAGTATCACAAAAGAAGAAATTGGTGGAAGATATTGTAAGTTTTTAGACCTTTCATCTATACTGACTTGTTTAATAAATGGTTTGATGAATGTAGTAACGTTCGTTACCACAAATCCATTGCTTTTAAATAAACCTAACTTGTGATATTTGGATGATTTTGCAGGTAATTCAATTAATGAATTTACTGTTCGTGTTAAAGTATCGTTAAATTGAACTTTGACAGGATAAGTATTATAAAGGTCTAGTATGTACAAATCCCGACATTGAATGTATATGATGTTGTTCTGATAAGATTTGAATAAATCTACTTCGCTTGATCCAACTCTAAAAGATGATTTATATTTTGCGTTAGGTTTCAAACCTATTCTAATAAAGTATCCACCGTATGTCCCTATAAATAATTCGCTGTCAATAACTAAGCATTCTTTAGGTACAAAGGTAACGTCTTGATTATTTAAATTATGTTGTTGTTCCATTATATCTAAAGACTCTCTCAAAGTGATATTTTGTTCTTCAATGTCATAAAGTTTAATTTCACTGTCGAAAGATCCAATAAGCAATAAAAAACTATCATTTATCTGAAAGCAACTAAGCATTGACGGTTGGAAGTCAATTAATTCAAAATCTAAAGTATGTTGTCTTGCAAAATCTTTAAATATGGAATCATCATTTATTTCTTTTGCGGTAATAATGAACGAAGTTATGAAAGAGCGGCCATCTTCCTCTGCTAATAAAAATAATTCTCCATTAATATATGTTGCAAAGGTTATAATATAATCAAATGGTTCGGTGAGCTCAGTTTTCAAATCCGTGAAGGTGATATTATTGTTTGTTACTTGAATTATAAATGTTTGATCTTTTTCATTTACGTTATCAATTTTTGTGCAAAATATGGTTGGCTCAGTTTCATTGATTTTAGAATCTTCAACTGCAAATACTTCCTCTAATATATTTTCTTTTAATTCGATTTCAATCAATTTAGTTTCAAATGGTAAAGAGCATAGTATCAATAGTCTATTTCCAACTTCTATTATCCAAGATTTGATAACTTTTCTCAATTCTTCATATATATCACTCTTCCTAATTCCACAAAAACCTGTTTTAAATTGAGTCAACCTCTTCTTCTTACGATGGCCCGTGATACTCCATACCTCATCATAATTGAAACCATTGGACGTAGATCCCACCACGATCGTGTCAAGAATTGGAGCCCAATTCTCCAAGTTTTGTATTAATTCAAACTTACTATATTTCAATATTAGATCATCTTCAATATCACACACATACTCATTTTTGAATTTCTCAAACAACTTTAAAATTTTGCTAGAGCCTGTAATGTTTGAGTAACTCAAAATATATTCATTTTCATTTTTTTCTAAAGTAAAAAGTGATATGCTATCATAAATCCTAAACATTGGCGTCATTGAAACGATTCCTTCCTTCGATATTAAAATTGCATAGATGGTCCCAGAATCTGTTGATATAAGTACCTCATCCATCTGGGGAATGTCTAAATTCGTTAAATGATCTCGAGATATATGATAATTTGTTGGAAAAGAAATCCAAGGCAGTTCAGCTCTTTTGAATTCATAATGAGCTGAAATAATGTTATGAACACTTACTATCGTTAACGCCTCCTTCGACACAAATAGGAACGAGCACAAGTTGGATAATGGCACTATAAATACCGGTATATCAAAGGTATTTTCCAAAGGGAAAGTTGTCTTGGTGATACCATCAGATAAGTCATCCAAGCATGACCACGAATATAAGTTTATGTACAACCTTTGATGTTCTGTAAAAATCAATGTCAAAAGCATGTCTGTTTGCATAGTTGACTTTGGCTCCAAAAAACAAGAATCAATTAAAAACCCATCTAGGGGTATGTTCATATGATTTTTCAAAACAGCTCCCGTCTTTGTTTGCTGCAATGTGAGATATAGTCTGAAAGATCTTGAAGCAGATGAAGATATCGTTGATAAACCGGAAGCAGATGACTTTAGTATATAACCACTACTATGTAGTTCTGGTTCTTTAAGATCTTGATGCACATCCCACCATTGAATTATAAGGGGTTTAAATACTGAAGACTTCGAGTCATCGTTTTTGAAATCGTAATCAAAATCTTTCACAAATGATGGTACATAATAAATTCGAATTAATATTAAAAACCCTGAGTACAAACTTATTAAAATATGATCCTCTTCTTGAGCAAGACTTGATCGTATGATACACGAAGACCGAATTGTTGATCGTAAGTTATATTCAATACCATCTACTATAATTGACAGTCTCCTCATAATAACTTGAATCTTCTCAAACATAGAATTCTCCCTGGTTTCGTGAGTGATGTAATTTTTGTCACTCGTTGCATCAAATATTTCATTGTCTATATCATCGAAAACATCCATTTGCGAATCCTCCTCGGGAGGTATTAAAATTTGATACTCATCATCGTTTAACAAAACACTAGCCGCTCCTTTGAATGGCTTGTTAATTTTAACTTTAACGTCATTGAATATGTTCGTTACTATTGATGAATTCACTAAAGTTTGTTTGAAGAATGTTCGTGGCTTGGGGGACTTATCTTTGACTAAATTTTTCAATAGGAACAGATATTGACTGCTTTCTTTAATTTCATTTGAATCTTCATCCATCTAGCAAGTCTAGGTTCTCATGTGATGTAGCTGGTAAGTACTTCAGTTCTTTCAAGATAAGGGACCAAAATTGAGTCCCAGATTCCAAAATGAAAATAAAAGTGAAGCCGCATTTCTACTTGAAACGGTAATTCTGTTTCAGTTTGGAAAAAGATAAGTTTGTCTTAATTCTTTTTTTTTTGATATTGTATTTTGCAACTTTCAATTCAACGAATAGAAGAATCAAAGATAGAAGTATTATGCGTCAAATTAAAAAAATTTACAATAGCTATGGCATTGCTTTAGCTCTAACGTTGTTTGGTTTTACTGCTGGTTTAGAAATGTATTCCTATATAAGTTTAAAGAATTTTAACGTTTTTGCAACTTTCTACAAATTTCCAACCAAAATTGAAGAAAATTTGCTTAAATCAAGCAATGTAATGGGTGCAATTGGTATGTTTTTAACTTTGGGAAATCAATCAAAGACAGTTACTGACCTTGAAATATAGCTGGTGGGATCATTGGTGGTGAGATAATTGAGCATTTTGGATTTTTGAAAGCATTGAAGTGTCTTTGTTTGGTTTGGATTATAGGCATAATGCTTACATTTATTTCTGAATCAATTCCAATGCTAATTACAGGAAAATGTATTAAAGGAATTGCTATAGGTATAAGCCTGGTAACAATTCCGGTCTATCTACATGACATCATACCAAGTACACGTCGTGGTAGAATGTTAAGCATGTATATTTTTGCAACATGTTTGGGAAATTGCTTCATGTTTATATTACCAATGATTTGCTTGCCACACTTAAAAGGATATCAGTACTTAACTTTGAATTGGCTTGTTGATTTAATTCCATTAAGTTTCGCCAGTTTGGCCATACTATTCTTACCAGAAAGCCCAAAATATTTAGCAGACAACAAGAAATGGAGCGGAGCAGCAGATGTGATTGAAAGTCTTGAAACGAGTAATTCTGGGAATTCAAATGCAAGCAAATTAAAAACACAGAGAGATAAACTTGGTGACAAATATTTTGTAATTACAAAGATCCCTAGAATCAACAATAAATCGTGCTCACTAAATACTTTATTTGGAAAAAGGTATATAAAGGAAATAAGTACAGGAATTATTCTCCAGTTACTTATTGACTTCACAGGCGTAACGAAACTAGTTGAATGTTTCAGTTATATATGTGTCGCATGTCAGGTCAAAAGCTTAATTGAATTAAAAATGGTTCAAATATTCGATTTGGTCATAAGAACTATCTTCATAACCGTTCCCATATTAATTATGGATACAATGAGAAGGAAAGATGTTTTTGTATACGGGATGTCAATAACTACTTTTGTTATGATAGTGTATATGACTGTTTTTCTTGGATTTTCAAAGCAGAAACCTTTGACTTCATTTTATTTAAATTTGGATTGGGTTTTGAGAGTGGAATTTTTTGATGAGACCGCGTCCTTGGTTTTAGCGTTAACGATATTTATGGATATTGTTCATCATGCTATTGTATTGCCCAGTTGTTGGCTCTTCGTACTTGAGAATTTTTCAGACAATACAAGAATGAAAGGGTGGGTTGTAATCACAAGTCTTCATTGGTTATTTGAGTGTTCCTTGTCCTTAATTTTTCCATTTTTATTACTGCATTTGAATGGTTGGTTATTGTTCATTTTGGTTTCCATTTGTTTAGTTGGTACTACATTTAGTTGCTTCATAAGTGAGACTAAGAATAAGTTGCTATTCGAGAATCAACAAAACTTAAATGGTGAAAAATTTAAAATAAAACAGCTGCAATTTAAAAATAATTTGTAAAATAAATTCTTAAACAAGTAATTATCAAAATACCCCTTAATTGTGTTTCAAAAATGATTATTATAATTTACAAAATGAATACTGTATATAATTACAAAACTATATCTCATTGAAATTTCTTTGAAAAGAAAAATTATTTCAGAAAGTAAAAAAATCTTTTGAAAAGATATATTATCTTCTTTCTTTCGTTTATTGTACATTATATAACTTTTAAGGCTTGAAGTCACCATGAGGTACTTTGAGTGTTAAAAACTTGTATGTGTTTATATTTCACAATTTTTAATTGATGGCGATGATTAATTGCATTTACCAATTGTTCCAACTGAATGTATACGGGTTGACAATAAGCATATTCGTTAAGTTTCAGCCTTGTATGAGCCATAAACAATTATTATAGATTTCTATACTAACTCCAAAAAGAGTATGTTTTATTCACCAATTGGATCACTATATTTGGCTACATAGGAATTATGATGATATTATTCGACCGGGCGGACATAAATTACATTCGTAGTCCCTTCTTTTGTACAATTAAGAAGAAGGAGTCGCATTTCCTGTGTACATTTTTTGGAGATGTTGACTATTGAATAGTTGATGATAGGTCTTTATCTGATAATATGTACAACTGAATCAATCTTGGATTACTAACTATAACATCAGTCAAAATAATCTCAATTTCATAATAATAAAAATTGGTGGTCGAGCAAGTCCTTTCATTTGGCCTAAAAGTTTTCAATGATGATCATTTTTATATTCACACTGTACGAGAAGCATTGCTTCCTTGATTACGACATAAAAAAACTGATTTAATGACTCTGATGAATCTAAAGCTACTGATGAAATGATTCGTTCTGCAACTAATCACCAATTCTTTATATGTTTTGATAGTTAATTAAATAAATTTAATATATTCTGTGCACCATAATAATCAGTCAGAACGCTTTTTGTTTTAATTCTCTAACCATTGTGCCATTTATGGTCTAAAGTCTCTGAAATCTTCTTGTTTCAAATTCGCACTTGGTAGTACTCAGCTTCTGCAATTTTCATCTTAAATCTTTGGTTTTATTTTATATGGAAATAGCATAAGATCATACCATTGAAACATTTTTACTTCATCATTATCTTGTACATAGTAGACATATAAATCATACAATACGAGTATGATATAGCATCCAATGATACGACTACGATATCAAATCCAGGCTGTCAATAGAACTCGTCGCAACAACCACTTAGCATTTTTTGGATCGCATAAATCAATTCATTATTTAACCAACAACTACAACCGAAAATTCAACAAAGTACGACTATCAAAAATTATAATATCAGGTGAAATACAAATCTTTGGACTGGGGAATCATGTTGCTGGTTTTTTTCAAAAGAGGCAATTGTCTTATCCAACTTTAAACCTCGAAAAAGCTCCAACAAAGGAATTTTTGTCTAGTTATTTGGACCACAAATTTGATAAAGCAAATAGACTAATATTTGATGAGAAATTTCAAAACCAATACTTAACATTTTTAAAGAATCAAGACCAATTTACTAGAAATGAAATCGATGACTTAGCAAACGACTTTCACCACGTAGTACAGGCATCATTTGAATTTAAACAAGGATTTCGGTTGATCAACGCGTTTATAACAATCATCAATAGCAAAGAGCCTAATAGAAGTATAGAGGAGCTAAAAGCTTTATTACTTCAGGGAGATTTACTTTCTAAGTTTGTCTTGCATGGTGGATTCTATGATTTTTACGAGTTGAATATTGCACCTGAGCTTGAGAAAAATGGAACCAGATCATTTCTTGACCAAACCATTTCAATCTTGAAATTGCAAAAGAAGTCAAACGGAGAGTTATCTTTCGATTCAGAAGGAATCTTGGATTATTTGGAGAGCTGCTCCAAAAGAGATGGGAGGAAATTGATCAATATATTTGTTTCGAATAGATACAATATGAGCATAACTTATGACGCAAAATTGAAGACAATAAGGGATTTTTTGAATTATGCCAAAGTTGTAGAAGGACAGGATTGGATGTTGAATGAAAACATCACTGCTTATGATGAACTACTTAAAATCATAGGATTGCCCCCAAAAGAAGTCTCAAAAGTTGATCAATTTTTGCAAGATTTGATACAAATTTCAGAGCAAATATACGAGGATAATACGTCTTACTACCTTATAACGCAGATTATGAGAAATATGATTACAAAATCACCATATTTAACGTACATAATGTTTCAATTTAAATCGTCAGAGATACGACATCGTAATCTTAAGAGATCAAAAGTTCTTAACAAGCTTGATTTAGCCTATGTCATGGAAGCTTGTTTGAAATTTGATGAAAATAAAATTTATGAGTTGTATATGCAAAATCGTGACTTACATGATGATGAAACTCAAGAATCTGTCTTTCTACAATTATGTGTCAAACATAAAGACTGGAAATCCTTACAATCAAGATTTGAGAACATGTATGGAAAAGGAAATCTACCGGATACAATACATTATGGTATTACCATGCAAGCATTGGAATTTTTGGGGGCAGATAGTGAGTTGGAAAGATTGTATGAGCAAATTTTAGAACGTGACTTGAAAATGAACTCAGTAATTTTTATTGCTAGAATGAAAGCAAAAATCAGGCAAAATGATCAAGATCAAATTTTCAATTTAATGCAGGAATACATATATTTGGCCATAAATGATAAAGCATACTCGGATGATGTAAAATTTGTTTTTCCTTTCGTATTGCAACTTTATATTCAAGAGCAGGACTTTACCTCGGTGCTAGATTTATTGAGGGTTTATATGGAGAAAGAGAGAGAGCTCAATCTAGAAATTGTTTCACCTGAAGTGTTTTCAAACATGTCCAACTTATTTGCTGAAAACTGTGCACTCGCCAACCTAGAAGAACTTTACGTGTTGCTGACAGAATTCAATAAACAAGATTCGAATTTTTTAGCCAAAATGGTACAAAGTTATACTAAATTGGGACAATATTCTAAAGCTGATCGTTTTGCATTTGATGGGCATTCAAAATCGTACTTACCATTTTCCGACTTGCAATTATACGCAGCACAATTTGAAAATTATATGAAGTGGGGGGAACTGAAACCAGGGATTGAGACACAACGTTACATAGATATAAAAAGTGAATTCATCGCAGATCTGACTTTGAAAACCCATTTTTCAATTTTCCAGGCTCAAGTGGGAAGCATCAAACTACTTAGCAATATCATGAATTATTTGCAAATTAAAGCCAAAAAGGAATCTAAGGCAAATGCAATACCTTATGTCAAAGGCCGTGAAATTAAAACATTTTACAACTTAGTGCGACTGATGAAGCATTATCATATAAGAACAAATGAAGATCTTTATCTTCCTATATTGAAAGCTAATTTAATCTACGAGAATTTTAAACCTTTGAATGTCATGAAAATCTTTCACGAAATGAATCAAAACAGAATTCTATTGACTGCCAAATCCTACAAATATTTTATCAAAGCGATGAGTTTCTTGGATCAAAAGTATGATAGTAGACTTAAAAATACTTCAGATATGTTAAGACAAATGTTAGATACATACGGATTTTATGGTGACAACAATAAAGCCAATCCTCAGTTGAATTTCAAAAATGACAGCCTACCGATCGCGGATATTGTGATAAAATATGTTGAAACTGTTGGTTTACGTCAAGGAAATGCATTATTCAACAAATTTATTTATTTTTGTGAAAATGTTTTTGATGGGAAGTTGCCTTTACCTTTGAAGATGAAAATTGATCGACTTTTGAGGCAATCATATAAACAAGTGAACAAGTATGAATACGATATGTTTTTAGATCAAAATTTAACTACCTATGCCAGTGTACTTGACCTGTACTTGACACAAAAGCCTGAAACTTTTGACATAATAATTCCACCAATCTTGAATGATACTTTAGCTGACATTGCGATGCAAAAAATGAAACGCTATCTTGAAACTAAATCTTTTGACAACAGAAATCAAGCGAAAATTTTGGATATTCTTGTCAAAGGAGTGAAATTGAAGATTGAAGATTATAATTATTTAATATCTAAGTTTTTAATGAACCCATATGACAACTTAGAAACAATCTTGATACTCATCGAACGAGATTTGATCAAAGGTAACTTATCTCAGATTGAATTGTACAAGGAGAAAAAACTTTGCTATAAAATTTGTTTGGTGTATTTGGGAAACAATTACGGTGATGATACGGTTGAAGAGAATTATAAAATCTTATCAGACTATTATGGAGTGAAACTGATCGCGGTGGAAAGAGAGAATTTAAAAAACAACAATATCACTAATTTCTTAAGAAGTTCTTCGGGTAGATTGTTCAATATTAAATTAGATCTGTATGATTCTCGAACAATGAATCAATTTAATTTTATCGAATATTTCAATCCTGCGAGAGAGCTTACAAGCGATATCAAGTTATTTAACAGCACATCGAGGCAACTAATGCAGGTACTAAAACATCAAATCAAAACTAAAAACTGGACTATGGAAACCTTGAGAGCAAATTATCCTAAAATTATGAGGTATTACACAACTGATTTCAATTATTATAAAAACTTGACCATTTTCAATGGTAAAATCGATTATCTTAATTCATCTCAGAATTCTCGACTTAGGAGAACAAAAGATGTTTTGAAAGAATTGCTTTTCAACTACAATAAAGATAAAATCTTTATTACAACTGATGCCACTATCGAATCTAAAATTAAAATTTAGAATACAAACTTGTATATACACATGTATTATTATAAAGGTCGTCGCATATTAGCGACTTAAATGGATAGAAACTTCTTATAACTAACTTGTTCTTTTTACGTGCTACCGGTTCTTGGAAATTCAAATGAGCCGATGTTAGTTGTTTCCCCGAAAATTAATGGACCAATGTGTGGTTGAATATTCCATTCTAGTTTGACGGTGGCATTTCTTCCTCTAAATCCCTTTTCAACATCCCATACTGAGTATTTACTTTTTTGGTTCTTTAAATTTATTATTGCGTCTTCTTTGTTTTGAATTATTTTATCCCAAAAAGTGACTTTATTTGAACTTCCTTCAGATTTACCTGGATACTCCGCTGTCAAATATACAAAAATTTGTTTTGTATTCCAATTGAACAATTTGGTTAAGTCCGTATTCAAATCAAATGCTATCTTGACATTTTCTTTGGGTTTTCGATTTATAGAACCATATTGGAATGAGTATTTTATTGATGATTTGGATTCAATATTTGAAATTGTCGTAGTATCTATTCCCCAGACGTTATCTTTAAACAATTGAAGTAAAGTAAGTACAATGACAATCCCTGTCAAAATACTTGCTGAAGTGAGCGTTTGATTGGCAGCAGATTGAACCCTGGTAACCAAATTAAACATCTTGATGATTGACTTATTTTGATTTGGTTGAACTTGAAGATTGATTTTTACGTGTCTCAAGTTTTGGACTATGTTGGTAGCAGCTTGAGTTTTTTGTGAGTTTTAAAATGTAGTATTAAATAGTTCCACAACTTGCCATTATGATGCGAAAAACCTCTCTTGTCCGAATTTGCGCGCCGTACAACTTAATTTAACAATAGGTCTGTACTAAGCGAGACCTTAGTGGCTCTTACAGGAAACCTTATCAGAAACACAATTCTAATTTATTACTTAGAAACCAAATCTGATCAATTTGCAACATCAATGTTTGATTCTGAGAAACAACCATTGTTGGAAAGAAGTAGGAGGATCGAAGAAGAAAATGAAATTTCAACCCATTCACTAAAATACCCATCATTTTTAAAATCATTAATTGTCTTTCCATTTCAAAATTGTCTACCGATCAGTACCGCTTCATCCCAAGAATCATTAGGTATTGAAACCATTCCTGTTAAAGATGATGATATCGATGAGTCTATTGATTACTCGGATGATGATAAAGAGTTGCCAGATTTGCCATATATCAAAAACCCAGTCACTATTAAAGGTTCAAGATTTAGCTCCCACGAGAAGTTACAAGAGATAAGAAAATTGATGGTAAAACATGATATTGGAGTTTATATAATACCGTCTGAAGATGAACATATATCTGAAAATACAGCGTTGGCCGATAAAAGAAGGGAATATATATCAGGTTTTACTGGAAGTGCGGGAGTTGCAATAATAACAGTTACGGATGAAGATTCATTATCAGGTGAAGCAATATTATCGACTGATGGAAGATATTTTTTGCAGGCTCAAAATCAGTTGGATTTAAAACTATGGAAATTAAACAAACAAGGTGTAATAGGTTATACAAATTGGACTCAACTTACAATAAATTTGGCTACCAAAAACAGTTTTAGTAAAACCATTTCATGTGATCCACGAACATTAAGTTTATCATTAGGTAAATTTTTCAAAGAAAAAGAAACTTATTTTGATTTCAAGTTTCTCCCTACAATAGAATTTAATTTAGTTGATAAAGTCTGGGGCGACGAAAAACCGAAGAGATCTTTGGAACCTGTTTATCTCCTAAATTTGAATTATAGTGGTGAGCATACTAATCATAAATTAAAAAGAATTCGTGAAATAATGGAAGAAAAAAATGCAACACATTATGTTGTGACCGAGTTAGATAGCATAGCTTGGTTGTTCAATTTGAGATCGGATTTTGACATTCCTTTCGCACCAGTTTTTTTTGCTTATACTATTATCACCTTGTCTTCTGTTGAGTTATTTATTAATAAAAAGAAGATTGATAAAGGGGATCAAGAACTAAAAGATTATATATCAACAATTGAAGGTTTGATTATAAATGATTACGACGAATTTTACAATAGTACGAGTAAATTAAAAGGAACCATCTTCGATAGTAACTTAATGATCATATTACCGGATGCTTCTGCATCAACTTTAGCACTATATGATTCTATTCCTGAATCATTTAGTAAAAGAAAAATTCATCATGAATCCATTATAGCTAAATTGAAGTTATATAAAAACAAAACAGAATCGTTTAATGCCAAAATAGCTCAGTATAAAGATTCGTTGGCGTTTGTGTTGTTAATATCTTGGTTGGAACACCAATTGTTAAGAAAAAAGAAAAAAATCTCAGAGTATGATGCTGCTTGTAAAATATTTGGTATTAGGGAAAAATTACCAAATTTTAAAGGCTTGAGTTATGAATGCATTTCACTGTCTGGTGCAAATGCGGCTATTATTCATTATTCGCCAACAAAAGAAGAAAATTCTATTATTGATCCTAAAAAACCTTACTTGTTAGATGCTGGAGCTCATTATTTAGAAGGAACAACTGATATTACTAGAACTTATTTTTTTGATAACTCAGCCATAACAAAAGAAAACAAAAAACATTACACTTTGGTATTGAAAGGTCATTTAGCAGTAGCCATGGCTAAATTTCCTGCAAACTCAAAAGGAACAGGCGTGGTATTAGATTCTTATGCTAGACAACCTTTGTGGAATCATGGATTAGATTTTAATCATGGGGTTGGACATGGAATTGGAAGTTTTGGAGTAGTACATGAAGGTCCGATCTCTATATCATCAACTGCAGGTGGTCCTGACAAATCGGATTTATTTAAATCAGGAGCAATTATCACGGATGAACCTGGTTACTATATTGATGGTGAATGTGGATATAGAGTTGAGAGTGAAATTGAAGTGATTGAATGTGATGAGTCTTTTGGAAAGACTAAAAACGGTGGAAATTTTTTGGGTTTTGAGTATTTGACTAAGGTTCCATTTTGCCTAAATTTGGTTGACACTACCTACTTGTCGGAGATCGAAATTAAATGGATTAACGAATATCACGAAAGTATAAGAGAAGATTTTGCAGACAAATTGTTGAAATTAAACAATAAAAGAGCCTATCGCTGGTTAATGAGAGAAACCAGTCCAATAGAGATCTGATATATTAGGGGACTAACCATATACAATTCTATATCATTTAAGTGATGCTGAATATAATTTCGGAAAGCCTAAACTTGTACCTCTATCCTGACCAATTGAAGTCGAATTGGAATTTGAAAATGCTTTAGGTTTTTGAAACGCTCCTGGCTTTCTCAAAGTAGGTGACTGTGAATTTGATGATATGGTACTTTTTGTTTTGTTAGAAATGAATGGTGAGTTTCGGGGTAATTGTAAGCTCGGTTTGTTGATGGATGGTGAAGCTGCTTTGTTGAATGCCGAATTTGAATGTGATAATGATTTAATAGGAGGTAATTTGTTGAATGAGGACCCATTACTATCCAAATTAGGTTTAAACCTTTTTGAACTATTTACAATTTCTGATAAATGCCGTTTTGATTTTAATAAAGAATTTGAGATGTTATAATGCTCAACACCATTTTCCAATGTGCCTTTCACTATTTTGGTGATTGCTGCATCCATATTGATTTCAGAAACGTTCATAGTCGTTGCATATCTTTCGCTGATTGACCCCATGATTACTGAATTTGCAATTAGATGAGCCGATGATATATTCTCTTTATTGTTCAATACATGACCAACGACATCCTTAATACTCTTTATTAGATCTCGATTTTCCATTATAACTTCAACCTCCTTCACATCTGGTTCATTATGCTCCATGAATTCAGACTTTAAGTCTCCATCTATCTGACCAGTTTCTTCTTCACCAATTTGCTTGTTCAGTCTCTTGGCTTTTCTTTTTTTTATCTCTTCTTCAACCCAAACTAATTTTTCAGACGTGTCGGTTTCACCAAACTTGTTAGTTGCTTTTTTCTGAACTCTAATTCTCAAATCATTATCCTTATTTCTTTCCGCATTTTCTTCCCTCCATTTTTTCTTTCTTTCTCTATTAGCAATCCTGGTCTTCCTTTTGTAGTCTGGCGAGTTGAATATAAACTTGTCAATTGAATTTTTTGTTTCGGGTGTTAGTTTTGATGATGATAAATTTTCGAAAAATAGAGTCAACGACAGGTTTGTAATAGCTGAAATAAATTCAATTTTGTCGTTGGATATTTCAACATGATTTGGATCAGTCTCAGATTTGAAGTCTAAAATCATTTCTTCAATTAATTCGATTGATTTATTCAATTCATCTAAACCATCTTTCTGGAAAGTCCGTAAAAATCGAATCGCTATGGTCAAGGATTTAAGGAACTCATCAGATAATGTTTCAGAAAATTTTATTGTATTGTCCGGTTTTTTGAAAAAATCACTCAAAGAGCCCCCAGACGCAATTTCATCTGTGATTTTTCTAATTGTTGATAATATGTTTAAATCGGCTAACTCTCCACTGTTGATTTTTGAAGTAAGTGACGTGATCACTGAAGATATTTGTGACTTCATCTCAGGATTAGAAAACAAAGACGAAGCTTTTGAAAGTTCTAATGGACTATTGTTGGTAGAACTTTGATCTGTTTGATGTTTGGGGTCTGTTTTCAGAGACGTGAATTTTGGTAATGGTGGTACAGGTGCTTTATGAGTATGTGAAATTCGGTTGCTTACTATAGCTTTCGCAGGTGGAACAACTTTCTGCTCTTCAATCACTTCAATATCCATTTTCTCTTGCGGTTCCTCCAATGCCATTCTGAAAGCATCTCTTAAAATATCATTCATTTGTAATTGCTCTAAATCTAATGCCTCCGATTCAATTGTTACGTCAGTATGATTTTCAACTGCATTCAAATTTAACTGATTATTTTCCAGTTGAGTAGATTTAAGTACCTCAGCTTTTGGCCCGTCAACTAAATTTTGCATGTTACTTCTCTCATTATTTGGTCGAGTAATTTGATGAATTCCATCGTTTGTAATATGAGAATTGGGAGCGACGGAGGCACCAACTGACTTGAACGCATTTGTGATGGCTTCTTTCATATCATTGCTATCTAATGATTCTTCTTTTGCGATGCTCATAGCTTGTTGAATTGATTGCGCTATTAGATCGTTTAAATCTTGATCATCAAAATTGTTTTGGTCAAATTTGCTTAAACTTTGAGACTGAGATTGAGATTGAATTTGAGTTGAAGTTTGAAGTTGAGCATGTGATCTAGGTTGTGGCTGATGTAGTGTCTGTGTTTGCAGAGTTTGTAAGTTGGGTGCAGTGTTTGGAATTCTCTTGACCTTTGAGGATGAAGTATCTTTTGAAGCCAATGCTTCACCTAAAGCATTGCCAATTGCAGCTTCTAAATCTAGATCAAAGTCATCGTGCGATTGGTCACCTCTTCCTTCTGCAAATTGTTTAATGGTCTGAGTATCAGGTGGAACAATGTTTGATTCTGATGGATCGTTTTGTAGTTGATTCGAGGTTTGATTATTCAGGACTGGTGAAAGACTTGATTCACTGATATGCGATGGAGTGACATTAAATTTTGTTTGGTATCCACTTCGTGGGCTTTTAGTAACAGTATCTGCCTGCAGATTGGTCGTACTTGCACCTACATTTTTGATTGACATTTCAGCTGGGATATTTTTGGTGGGAGTTTCAATAATCGGTAATTGCGACACTAAGGTATTGGATTCGGTTACATTTTCGTTATCCACCTCTTGTTCATCTGGCTTTTCTGAGCTTGTAGCAAAGAAACCTGCAAATGCGTTATTTATGGCACCGTCTAAATCTTCTTCCTCTTTGATCGGAGATGTATTAAGATTTTCTTGAGCTCCAGCTTTGCTCGAATCTGAATCTGTAGTCGGTAGGTTCAAATCATGTTTGTTGGTTGAGTCCACAAAAATGTCCTTAATGGCATCTTCCAAATTTTGATCTTCATTCGACTTTGGGTTTTCATTACTTACTTGATCTTCACCCTTCTCAGAAGCCTCACCTTTAACTACTTGTAATTCTTTTGTATGTGAAACTTGTGGTTTTTGTATTTCATCAGTGTTCGAGTTATGAGACTGGTTGTTTTTGTTTAAATTATTGAAGTCAAAGTTACTGAAGACGTCTCCTATCGCATTTTCTAGATCTAGATCATCATCTGTAGTCGGTAACGTTGCCTGATTATTCTGTAGTAGATCAATGTTTTTCTTGTTATAAATATCAGATGACTCAGATATAGGACTTCTTTCCTCCATTGTTCTATTTCATATATTAAACAAACGTAAATAAGTTTTTGACAAAATACAAACGATATCAAGCCTTACTTTGGAAAGTTGATCAGCTCTACTTCTATTGATGTTACTTGTTGATGTTTGAGAAATAAATATACGATATGACTAGGTTTTGTGTTTCAATATGCGTATCTACTTAGACTAAAAAAATTTGTAAAAATCGTATAACTCTATCATTCTTATATTCTAAATTTGTAATCTATACAAATGGTCATATGCTATCAGAGACTTCAATGCAAGACTTATTCCTCTTTTTGTTCTTCAGTTCTTAAAGCAAAATTTATTATCAAACCTAAGGTACCTGAACCAACACCGTCAAATCCATCTTTTTTTATAACCCAGTTTACATTATTTAATGTATCGTTGGCATATTTACTTACATCTATATCAAATCTTGGAATTGATACTAAATACTTTGAATCTGACAATTTTAAAAAATCAGTATCAAATTGGAAATCATAATTGGTACCACTTTTGAAAGTAAATTGGTCACATTTTTCTTTAGTGTTAAAAAATTTCTTTCTTTCTGACGATGTAGTTGGTCCATTTTCTATTACTTTGTCTATATTTTCCTTAAAATTCATAGGCTTTGCATTGGTATCCACAACTTCCTTTGGTTTTTGATTTATTCCAATATAACTGAAACTATTCAATGCTAATCCGTAAAGATATGGTTTTGCATTATAAATATCTCCTTTAACAGTATCATTTATAAACCAATTAAATAACTTTAAGCCAGTGCTTAATAAAGTAGTTGGTACATAATCTTTAATTGAGTATGTGAAGTCATTACCAAATACAAGATCTCCACCTTTTATATCTTCCTTTGGTGTGAATTCAATATTGATTCTTAAATTGGGTTCAGGTCCATCTTCTTTCAACTCTTTTTCATTGAAGTCTAATTTCTCACCATTAAGAAAAGTCTTGTCTCCTTGATTATATAAACTATTTGATAAATGTGGTTGTGATCCATCAAATTTTTTCAAATTTATTAACAATTTAAAGACTCCAATATCGGATTTGATTTCAAGCGGTTGATTTGTATTTATGGGTACAATTTGGAAATCCGAATCATAGTTATTTGAAGCTTTTATAAATAATCGTTTGACAACAGCCATGATTGATTGAAGAGTCTTAACAAGATCAGAATTAATTTCAGTTTCAGAATTTAATTTATTATGTATGTTTGCTACATTTATGCCATTTAAGGAATATACTACTTATTATTTACACGACTGGTTATATTTTCATTGAACCAAATGCGTTTAAAAATAGGACCCAATTGAAGCAAATGAACTCCTATTATTTATTTGATTTGTTTGATTTTGATATTCTGGTCTCTACTCTTTAATTATGGAGAAAGTAGTAGGTACTGCTTTTAGTGAAAATTAGAAATTGTAAACCTTAAGGGGTAAACACATTACGAATAAGATAAGAAACTATAGATCTCCACAGGGTTTTGCATATAAAAATCTGTAAATTTACATAAATATCACAAGAATGAATTTGATCAAAAACTTACTCTCGAGGGTCACACTAATTTAAATTCAAAACAATAATACAATTTTACTCGATTGCAGTATAATTTGAAAATTAATTATTTGGAACAAAAAATAGCAATTTTACACTTTAATTTTAAATCTAACAATAACTTTAATATTAAAATACAAGTAGATCTATTACCAATTTTCAAAATTCTTATTAATTTCATAATTCCAAAAATTTATTGAATACTCAATTTACTAACAATATACTGAATTCAATAAATGTCATCATTTATCTTAAAATGGATCACAAATCGTCTTATCAAAGATAATCAATGGAATAAATTTGGAGTAGAAGACCCTTATTATGAATATGTGGTAACAAATATTAATAGGAAAGGTGAAAAGAAATATAAAAAGGTTGAGAGAAAAATACCACAAGGAATTGATGAACACGATATCAAAATCTTGAAATTATTTAAAAAAAGAGCTTATCGTTATGATTATTGGTTTTCAATATTTGGAGTTCAATTTGGTTGGACTAATTTAGTTAGTATAGTACCTATTTTTGGAACTATAGTTCAAACTTTTTGGTCATTACAACTATTGTACTTAGCAAAACAAATTACTGATGGTTTACCATTGGATTTACAATTACTATTCTTGCTAAATATTGCAATTGATTTTGGATTAGGATTAATTCCTATAGTTGGAAGCATTATTGAAATTGGTTATAAAGCAAATTCAAGAAATTATTTATTACTTGAAAAACATTTAACAAGAGTTGGAGAAAAGAACATGGGTATTATCAGTAAGGAAGAAGTAAGACCTGGTTACATAAATGATACTGTACAACCATATATTGATGACAAAGTGAAACCATATATTGATGATAAAGTAATACCTTACATTGATGAAACAATAAAACCAAATGCAATAAAAGCTGGTGAGCAAATATTAGATCTTTTACATCGTAAACCAAGAAGCACAAGTACTTCTTCAGAAGCTTCAACAGCAAATTCAAGCAGTGCCTACACCACTCAAACAAGCAACACAACTGCAGTATATACCACATCAAACCCAAGGGTTTCCTCAGGTACAAATGAAAAATTCAAAAATGATGACGCAACCATTACAAATGAAAGTGGAAATGGAAGTCTTAATAGTAAGGATGATAGTAAATCAATCAGAAGTATAAAAAGTATAAATGACAGGCAAAAAAAACTTGACGAAGAAAATGCCACAAATGCACAAGATCATTAATATGATTGTATTGAAATCTCAACTAAAAGTTAATTACGTATACTCGAATAAGCTGTATGATTGTTGTAATGTCTCTCTACCTTCGCCCTCTTTTAAAAGAGTGATTCAAAATTACTTCTGCATAAGTTTAAAAAAAGTCTAAAAGTCTTGACCTAATTTTTCCATGCGGCGCAGTTATTCAATTGCAAAATTTCGATCTAAAGTCTTTAAAAATCAAATCAATTGCATCAATATCACCATCTAATATACTTTATGTTCAATTTATTACAGAAATACCTTATGTAATGATTCATGAAGAGGAAAATGGCGGTAGGAGTTTTACCGAAACAGAACACCAAGAATTGCTGAATAATACATCTGAAGTTGAAAGCTTTTCGAAACAAAACCTAGATTCAATAGAATTGAATAAGTTGAAAGACAAAAATATAGATTCGGAAATTCTGAAAAATGAGGAGCTTCTTGACTCCGCGTCTATCAATTCAACAGACGCTGTCATTGAGTCTAATGTAAATGGTGATTCACATGATGTCAGAACGGACTTAGAATCAAATTCAAAATTAGCTCAGTTTATGCAAAGTTGTCAAGAAGGATCAATCGATTTGGTAAAACAATTAATAGGGTCAAAAGATGTTTCAGTAAACGAAACATTTCAAGATGGAATAACTGGGTTGCATTGGGCATGTATAAATAATAGACTAACGTTGGTGAAATATTTAATTGAAAATGGAGCCGATCCGAATCTTTATGGTGGAGAATTGAAAGCTACGCCACTACATTGGGCATGCAGAAATGGATTGGTCTACATTGTTGACTATTTGATATCTGAGTCTTCTGCTGATCCGAAACTAAGAGATATACAGAATTACGATTCACTACATTTAGCTGTTCATAGTTCAAATATCATGTTGGTGATATACCTACTAGTGTCTTGTTGTGATACAAATAAACTATATATAGATGAACCAGATGGTTCAAATAGAACCGCCTTGCATTGGGCATCTTATCAAAATGATATTTTTACAATTAATGCCTTGCTTAAATTCGGTGCCGATGTCACTAAGGTTGACGACAATTTATTTACACCCTTGCATTGGTGTTTCATGAGAGGTTATAAAACAGTCATGAAAACTTTAGTTGAAGCAGGATCTGATATTTTTGTTAAGAACGATCAAAACAAGGATAGCTTTGAAGTAGCTCAAGATATGAATTGTTTAACTACTTGGAAAAAAGTATTAATTGAATGTGGTCGAGATCCAAAAACTTGGAAGCCTAAAACAAATATAATTCAACCCAAAATGGGAAAGATATTAACGTTCCTTGCACCATACATTTTACTACCAATTTCATTGAAACTATGCACAACTTCACAATCTTTGGCAATTCCTAAATTAATTTTTTCGTTATCATTTTTTGCATTTGGAATTTACCTTGTAAATAAAATCATCATTCCAACTTATTTAATAGACGATAAACCGCTTCCCAAATCTCCAATCCTAGCTGGGGTGTTTTCTGCAACAGCTTTTTGGTGTATAATAGTATGGGCATACAACATTGTTCCACGGTTGTTTTTCAGTAATTTCATTACCAACTTATTACTCACGGTTGTGATAGTTACATTTGTATGGTCATTTTTCAAAGCGATGTTCATCAATCCAGGTTTTGTACCAACTCCAACCGATTCATCAATAATTTTGTCCCAAATTAAAGATCTTATAAACGTTGGTAAATTTGATACAGATCATTTTTGCGTGAACACTTTAATTAAAAAACCTTTGAGGTCAAGATATTCAAGACACAACAATAAATTAGTAGCAAGATTTGACCATTATTGTCCATGGGTTTACAACGAGATTGGTGTTAGAAATCATAAATTATTCATAACTTTTGTATATTCATTGAACGTTGCTATATTATTATTTACTTACTTGTCAATACGATATTTTGACAAATTGAAAGATTCATATGACTCAGATGATGAAGATGAGAGTTTATTCTGTCAGATGATCGGTGATGATTTATGTTTTGGGTATAAGAATCATCCATTTCATTTCAATTTAATGGTATGGTGTTTACTTCAATATATTTGGATTTTAATATTATGTGTGGTTCAAACATTTCAAATCTTACGAGGTCTAACAACCTGGGAATTCAGTTCATTAAATTCACAAATATCAAACAGTAGGCGTTTTAACCATTCAACAGTTCCAAATGAAGTTGTTGCAGATTCAATAACTCAACCACCATCACAAAAGACAACAGAGTTACAAACTTGTTTAAATTTATTGGGAATTGATCAATTTATACTAACTGTTAAGATGTCAATTGCATCACTTTTAAGACGAAATAATAATGAATCAACTGTTGACCCATTACGTATTGAAATTCCAACTGATTATGGATTTAAACAAAATTGGTTAGATTTTTGGATTATTGGAGATGCTAATTGGAGAAATGTATTCTATTTACCGATAGAAGGTGAAAATAACCTAAACGGGCAAGTCGTCGATTACTACAAGTTATATGAGTATCCTCCCAAAAAGTCTACTCAAGTTGTATAAAAGAATTGGCATTGTCGAGACAAACCTAAAGTAATGAATTCAAAGTCTATAGTTTTTAAATTGTTACAATCAGATTTTCAGAATAATGTTTTGTTTATTACGAATTTTATTTATCAAACTCTCCTAAATACATGTAAAAAGCCTTTTTAATATCTAATAAAGGTCAAAAATTTAGCGAGAAATAAACCATAAGCACCCAAAGAGACAATAGATAAAGTATTAATTAAGGTACTTAATCCATGCCATCTACCAAATTGAGAATTTAAAGCAGCCATAGCATCGGATGGTTCGATTCCGTTGTCTTTTTTATCCTTCTTGATAGCAACTAATTTAATTCTTTCTTCTTTAATAGCATGACATTTAGGTTCAAAAAAGAATAAATTTAACATTCCTGTAATTGAACTTATAGCTAATGTTCCTACTGAAAATGGACAATAAGCAAATGGTGTAAGTAAACCTAAAATGAATGGTGATAAAATTTGAAATTTAAAATAAGTTGGAAATACTTTTGATTGAACTTTACTAAATTCTTCTCTTGTTAAATTTTTAAAAATCAATGGTGATACAATGTATGAGTAAAAAGCTGAACCTCCAAAACTTAATGAATAAAATAAGAAATGGTATGGAACTCTAGTGTTTAAACCTAATGCTGTTAATAATGACATTTTTTATGCTATCTTTAATCAATTGAATTGAATTGGAACTAATTGAGAGAAAGAAACAGTAGAAGTAAAATTGAAAAATATTTAAAATTGAATAATAATTAATGAAAAGTTGGGGTTTAATCTATAATATTCTTTTTAAGTAGGCTGGTGCGGCTCGGTGATTAAATAAAATTGCTACTTTAATCCACCATATTGTGATTGAGATTGTTATTGAAAACATCACAAAATAAGATGAAATTGGAAAGGTCAGTGATTTCAAATTCTTGCTAATTGAATTATTAGAAGACGTTTTTACAAATATAAGATTTACCGTGTCAGAGGCTAAGTGCATTGGCAATTTTGAAGCATTTCAAAAATATTTGCTGCAAATAAATTTTATGCCTAATCAACTACAAATCCGAGTGCTCACAAAATTAAACCTCGATTTTGACCCCATATAAGAGATAAGTTGATTGTAAGCAAGACAATAGATGAAATGGGAAACAGCTAAGCTACAATTGACATTGACTTCTATACTATCACTATATAATCTAAACTAAATACTCTTTAGCAGCAATCTCAGCTTTGTTTACTATCTCGTGACTTATACCACACATCAAAGCTACATTCATTCCAAATGATCCTGAAGCAACTCCTGATTCCAATTTATATAAAAATGTAATTTTTTTAGAATCTTGATCAACAATAATTGCTAGTCGTAATGGTTTAACTTCAGAATGATTTTGAAATGATAATGCTAATGTATGAAAATGAGTTGCAAAAAATCCAATTGGTTTTAAATAAGTAGCTAAATGATATAAAACAGCTTCAGCAATAGCGAAACCATCACTAGTAGATCCACCTCTTCCTAATTCATCTATGATAACAAAAGATTTTGGTGTTGCAAAATCCAAAATTTTCTTTGTTTCAGATAATTCAACAAAGAATGTTGATTTTCCTTGCATAATCTTATCATTTGCTCCCAATCTTGTCATAATTCTATCAACTGGGGTCAATTTCGCCAGTTTCGCAGGCACAAAACAACCAATTTGACATAATAATATTGCTAAAGCAGTTGTTCTCATTAATGTTGATTTACCTGCTGCATTAGCACCTGTCAATAATCCAAAATTTGGTTCATTTCCACCTAATTGAATATCATTTGGAATAAATTCTTTTATTCCCATGAAACAAGGATGTCTTAGTTCTTGAAAGTCAATGACCCCTTGATCTTGTTCGATAAATTGAGGACGGCATGATGGATACCCCATTGATTCTGATACTTTTGTTAATGATAATATACAATCTATATTGGCAATTGAGACCAAAACTTTCATCCAAGTTTGATAATGACTATCAAATTTTTCATACATTCTTAATTTAAGTGTATCACAAACTTGTTTATGTAATTCTCTTTGTTCCATTAATTTTCTTGCTAATTCTTTCACTTCTGGTGACCAGAATCTTTTAACTTTTGATGTTGCTCCCATAGTTAACCAATTTTGAGGAACATTTTTAACAAGTTTGATTGGTAATTCTATAAGATAAATTTCTTTACCAGAATCACGATAAAAGATTTCTTGAGATTTGAATTGTTTCTTATAGTCTTTTAATTTTTGATTCAATTGTGCTTCTAAATCATTCATTATAGTTTGAGATTCATCAAATTCTTGATCAACACCTTCTGCTGGTATTATTACATCATTTTTAGCTTCCTGTCTATCAAAAGCATCTTCCCATTCTGATATGTAACCTGCCATTTCTTCTGGAAAATTTTTTAAATATTTATACAAAACACCGCTTTCTATATTGGCAAATTCTGATAAAGTTTTAGAAAATTTTGCAATGTTTTCAAAACTTTCAATCACTTTTAAAAAATCTTTGAATCTTAATGTTTTACCATGAATTCTAGCAATTAATCTTTCAAGATCAGGCAAGTTCGAAAGACATTCCTCTAAGACAGATCTTAATTCTAAACCATCATTCATCAAGTATTCAATTGAATCATATCTATCGTTGATGTCGGATATTTTCATAAGAGGATGTAAAACCCATTGTTTTAATAATCTTTTACCAAATGCAGTAGTTGCTCGATTTATCAATTTTAGTAATGTACCTTCATCCGAACCATCATAATTATTATTCAATATTTCTAAATTGCCTAATGTATTACCATCTAATATCAAATGAGATGCTTGATTTTTTGAAATTTGATAATGATGAATATTGCCCAAACTCATAATACTTTCATCTAATTTCAAAATTTTTAAATATGACAACAAACCACCTAATGCAGTGAAAGCTACATGTTTCTCCTTAAAATCAATTAAAACTTGAGGATAATTTGAAAAATCATCTAAATCATTTGCTGGGTAGTACTTTGATTTTACTAAATTTTCCAATGTTAAATCATAATCCCAAAATTCAGTAATAGGGTTCAAATGATTCCAAATTTGATTATTTGAATGTGAACTGTATTTGAGTATTTTACTAGCAATATTACAAAGATTACCTTTTTCACAAACGATTTCCTTTGGACGAACTTGTGTTATTAATGTATCTAGTTTGGTACACTCAGAATCATCCTCCAATTCAATTAAACTCAATTCAGAAGTCGCAGTATCAACAAAGGCAACTCCAAAAATTTTGGATCCATCTTCTTGAGCTTGCTCCTTAATACTTAAGCAATAAGTAGACATATCATCAGTTATCATATCCAAATTAGTTAAAGTTCCTCCAGTCAAAACATTGATTAACTCTCTTTTAATAATTTTTTCTTCTTTTGATCCACCACCTCTTATATCTTTACTCAATTGACTTTCAATTTGATCAACTTTTGCAACTTTATAACCTAATTTTATGAATTCATTTGACCAATAATCAAAAGACATTTGAGGAACTCCTGCTAATTTCATATTTGCTCTTCCACCACCTGCAATTTTTAAATCAAATTTTGTATTTGCAATTACAGCATCATTTTCATATAATTCATAAAATTTACCTTTTTGAAAAAACACAACTGTATTCCAATTTTTAGATTTTATTTCCCAATATTGTTTTTCAAAATTTGTAAATTTGGACCAAGCAGATTGTGGGATATATAAAGTTCTTGGATCGTAATTAGGATGACTTGGGTCTCGTTTTTCTGCATCTTTTATATTGATCAACCATTGGTACCTTTCTTCATTTTGTTTTTCAAAATTTTTTTTCTGAGAAATAGGTTTTGACAGATATTGTTGTGGTTTATAATCTGTGTTTTGGTAAGATGAAGATGCATTGAACTTTTCACTTATGCTTGTGTCTGTACTGTCATCAAGATTTGGTAATTTTGGTAAATTAGCTTTGGGTTGTGTTGACTTAGTAATCGAACGCTTCTTTTTCGATTTCATATGATCTTCTTCTTCCTCTTCTTCTTCTTCAACTTCAAGTTCTTCTTCATTAACTTCGTCATCAACAACGAAATCATCATCATCCAGAAATGGTTGAAATTCGTCATCTTCATCATCACTATCGACAGGTAAAACTTTTCTTTTCTTTCTTTTAGTATTCACTTCACTTCCGTCGTCTTCGTCGTCTTCTGATTCGTTATAATTGACTCGTCTAGACCCTCTTTTATTCGTTAAAACTGGTGAAGAGTTTAATGCTGCAGTTCTTTCTTTAAGTGGTGTTTGTTTGGTTTGATTGAAATCTGGTGGTGATGTCATACTTGATGAATATACATCTTCACGATCATATAACATTGAAGAATCATTTTCTTTATCACTAGATTCATCCAATTTGAGTTTCGTTTTAGTTTTAGATTCTAATGGTGATGAAACGATTGGTAATGTATTGGATTTGGATTCTTTAGATTTTTCTATTGATGATATTGGTTTGAAAAATGACATTAATGATGATTGCTTTTTGTTTCCAGAAGAGTTCATTTGATTAGCCAGCTCTTTAGCTGGAGTTTTAAATTTCGCCATGATATTATCTATTGAAGGATATAATTATGTTGAACATTAAATGAATGAATATTGAATGTGGTTAATATAAAACTAGATATTGGTTGTAAAAAATAATAGAATTAATATTAAACACTAAATCGCGTCTTATTATTATGATTTTTAAAAATACGGTTTTAAATTTTTACGTGTCTAACTGTTTAATTTTTGTGTGATTAATTTAAATATATTGGGCTCTTATTTGAGAACCATATAATTAGGTCTACTAATACCAAATAAAATAAGTAATTAGTTTCAATTAAACCGTATAGAGAAGTACTGCAATTGAAAAAGAAATCATAAAATGTCTAATTTTAATTATGGGTATAGTCTAGTACATCAAAATAAAGTGACGTCCATAAACAGTGCTATGTAAAAACTTAATGTGGATTTATTAGATAAGTTTACCAGTTGTTTTTGTGTTGCATAACATTTTGCACCCAATTTTTACAACTTAAAACAAGTTAATCATCATAATGTTTTCAATAATATTGTTTATTTATTTCATAATAATCGCGAATGCTGTAAAACCTAATCCAAATCCATCTTATCAAGACCGTCCTATATTCAAAATCACATCAAAAACTCATGACAAATCAATAATTATTGATTTCTTGCAAAAAGTTGCAAATAAAATTACGGTATCACCAACAAATTTATCAAAATTTCAAATTTGGTCAACTTCCGTTAGTTCATCAAAAATATCACCTACGGTTCAAGAGCAAGAATGTATTGAAAACACAAATGTGAAATATTACATAAGATCCTTAAAATTAACAAATAGATTTTATGAAGCAAGTGAATGTAGAATTAATTTGAATCCAAAGATGAAAAGTATTTTACAACCTACGGAGAATATTCATAATATGATCTTAAGAGATGAAAATGTAATAGATACACAATTGAAATATGTTTTATTAGATGAATTCAATAGGTATGAACAATTTAAGGAATACAAATTTAATAATTTTGACGTTCTCAATTATGACTTAAATTGTTTAATTGATTTCCAACAATTAATGCAAATCGAATTCAAAGAAACAGTTATTGAAGTAAATCTTGAGCAAAGAGTTGAAGTTCATGATTCTTGTGGGTTTTTAGATATAAATTCAAACTTTATGGGCACTTCCATTGATTATGTTTTTAATTATATACCATTAAATGGTACTTTTTTCTGTAGAAAGGGTAAAAGTATATCTTGCAACAGAGCCATAGCTGAATCAAGTAATCTGAGATATAAATTACCAGACTTTTAATAATATAATAAACTCATAGTTTTTTATTAATATGAAATTTCACAATTTCAATTGCGGCGATTGAGTCCTCTGCACTATCATGTTCCCCAACCTGAATGTTTTTACTCAAATATTTAAAAGCCAAATCTTTTAAACTTAATCTGAAAGTAGGACTTGTTTCAAATTTAGGATATAAAATTGAAGTATCTATTATATTATTGTGAATCAATCTCATAGTATTCATATCATTTTCTAATCCATGACCAATTAAAATTGTATCTTTTCCCATAATTGCTCCTAATTTTTTCATCAGTTGATCGTAACTCATAAATTTATCATCAATTTTCGATATTCCAGAATATCTTGTATTTAAATCAACAACTTCTCCAAAAGGTAATACATAAATATCCAATACCGTTTTCAAAGTGAAATAGTCAACAGCAGTAATTCTCATTAGTTCAAAACCCTTAGTAGTAAATCCCATTTCACAATCAATCCCAAGAACTTCGTATTTTCCCTTTGATTTAAATAAGTCACTTGTATACTTATAAGGTAGTATGGATTGTTTTTCTTCTGGTGATGTTATTTGGAAAACGTGATGTTCAGATGAATCACAAGGAGTTTGACTATCCGGTGGAGCCATACAACAATCAAAATATCTTGACTTAGTTTCTATTTTACGACGTATTTTTCCATGATGAAAAAAGCATTTTGTTTTTTCCAACTGTTGACTTAATTTGAATTCAGTGCCACATCTACTACATATTCTAGTTAAGCTTTCGTTTGGTTTTGAAGTTGGTGGCGTCATTATATAACCATATTTCAGTAATTTACTAACTGGAATAATCAACGATCTTAAAGCTTTCAATTCTTCCGCTGAGCTTAATGTAGGTTTATTTTTGACTTTATCAAATTTCTCTGGATGCTCCAATTTATATACCGCATTTCTTAGTGTGGAGGCATATGTTCTTGTAGTTGAACTTTTCGCGATTTCATACTCAAATTCTATGGCTTTTAAGTTAGGGGTTGCAATTGATGGATTGATCTTTAACATAATCGATGCAATTCTTTCTATATATTTTTTTCTCTCTGGTATTGTAGCTGGTGCTGTGGAAACTGACTTTGGAAGAATATGTTTAACATCAATTGATTCTGTTATCTCTGAAGGAGAGGTTTTCAACTTTTTTTCTTGAATTGGTTCATCACTTCTCAACGGTCGTTTTTGATTATTCGGTGATTTAACAAATTTACCATCGATGTTTTTGAGTTTATCAAATGGCATTAGTATGATCAAACACTCGTATTTTTTTTAAATGATAAGCAAGTTTAGATCAAAAATGTAAGACAAACAATTTTACAAAAACGGTTTGGTAGCGCATATCATTTAGATCTATGATCAGTTGTTGTGTTTGATATGAAGAAATAAGGTTAGAGTAGCAAAGGACAGTCTGTTACTATGACTCTCATTCCGCTTGAAAATTGATATGTAAAACTCATGACCTCAAAAAAGTACAAGAAATTAATGAAAACTCATCCCCGATGCATCGTTAAACTTACGGTGGCCAACTACGAGAACTCACAGTCTAGAACGACAAACAATCTAAATAACATTTACAGCTAGGATAGGACCTTTCTTAGCATTTCATCGGGAAAATTAAATACTAAGATTTAATGGCATTTCAGTATGATCGATGCCTTCGGACATTAAGCTCCTTTTGTGTGCAATAATTCTGGTATAAGGAAACTATAAAGCGGCAATATGAGAATTTGAAACATCGAAGAAAAAAAGAAATTCAAAAATTACTTTCTTATTTTTTACTCTTTGTTTCAAAGTTTTGTAAACTTTAGTCAAATTTTAATGGAGAAACTAGTATTTTGGATCTCAACACAAAAGTAGCAATACTTCAATACGGATCACGGAGCAAGTGCAAGGCAAAGGAGTTGATCCCTTGTGAAATCATAACAAAGTGTAGCTAAAGTTCAAAAACGGTAATTTTAATTCGAGATCTGATACTAATCAGTCAAATTCCATACATCTATTTAAAGTCCCTGAATATTTTAACTTAGATTCAAAAATTATGCACGAATATGAAAACGCATAAATTGCCTAATCAATTATACAAAAATAATCAGAAATGCCCTTTGAATACAAAGAAAAAAAAAATTTTACTTATAAATCTGCAATAACTACTACAACTTTTTAAATGTATTTAAAGATCATCTCTCAATGGAGTTAAGATTATGAGATATAAAATCTTTCAAATCCCCTAATGGAAGGAGTAGACTTTCTTAAGCTTAAGTAGTTAATCTTTACCGAAATTTAACTAAGTAATTGGATTTGTTTCAGATTACTTGGTTGCAAAATATTAAATCATAATCGACATGTCATTCAAAGATTCAAAATTGGAAGATGGAAATTCATTAAACTCGTTTCAAATACAATCATCGAAACAAATTGGTGGAGAATCAACAATATCAGACTATGTCAATGAAAAATCAAGTACGAAGGAAAATTCATTCGTTTCATTTTTCAAATCATTTCAAATAGTGAATAAAAATAATATCTCCAATGTTGAAGTTTTGACTCCAGAAGATAATTTGAAAGTATACCAAGTCAAACTAATAGCTCTTGCATCATGTATTGGTTCTGGTTTGTTCATTTCAAGTGGATCAATAATAGCGACGGCTGGTGCGTTGGGTAGTTTTTTAAGTTATTTCATAGTAGGAGTTTTAATATTTTTTATAATTCAACATTTGGGAGAAATGACTTCACAATTTCCAGTACGTGGTAATTTTTTAATATATAATTCAAGATTTATAGATGAATCTTGGGCGTTTGCAATGAATTGGAATTATTGTTTGCAATGGATTGTGACAATTCCATTGTCTTTAGTTTCAGCATCTTTAACAATACAATACTGGAATGATGATATTAATGCAGCTGCTTGGGTTGCTATATTTTGGGTAGTCATTGTAGCTATCAACGTTTTTGGTGTGAAAGGTTATGGATATGGTGAAAGTGTATTTTCAGTTATTAAAGCCATTGCTATATTGGGATTCATAATTTTGGCAATAGTATTAGTAGCTGGAGGAGGTGAACAAGGATACATTGGAGGTAAAAATTGGCATCCACCTTTTGCAAATGGATTTAAAGGTGTCTGTAATTCTTTAGTCAATGCATCATTCAGTTTTGCTGGGACTGAATTGGCAGCTATAGCAGCAGCTGAAACATCGAATCCAAGAAAATCTTTGATTAAAGCAACAAAACAAATATTTTGGAGAATCCTTATTTTTTATATGTTAGCTATTATATTACTTTGCTTTTTGGTTCCATTTAATGATCCTCAATTGTTGGGTAATTCAAATTCATCTGCTAGTCCGTTTGTTATTGCTATTAAAAATGGAGGAATTAAAGTATTACCATCAATTTTTAATGCTTTAATATTGATTGCTGTTTTATCGGTTGCTAATGCTAGTGTTTTTGCTACCTATAAACCTTTAGTGGCATTAGCAGAAGCTGGACATGGTCCTAAATTTTTAGCATACATTGATAAAAGAGGTAGACCAATTTTTGCAATTATATTTGCATTATTGTTTGGTCTCATTGGTTTTATATGTGCTTCCAAAAATCAAGAAACAGTATTTGCATGGTTATTAGCGGTTAGTGGTTTATCATGTGTCTTCATTTGGTTTTCAATTTCTTTAGCTCAAGTCAGGGTCAATTATGCTGCCAAAGTGCAAGGAATTGATATTTTCAAACCTTACAAAGCCATTGGTGGGGATTATGGTGCATATCTTTCAATGATGATTAATGTATTGATCCTTGTTGCTCAATTCTATGTGGCGTTATGGCCAGTGTCTGGTGAAAACTTTAAAGTTGAAACTTTTTTTGAAGCGTATTTGGCTGCCCCAATTGTTTTGGTTTCATATATTGGCCATAAAATTTGGACTAGAAATTGGAGACTTTATATTAAAGCTGAAGACATTGATTTAGTAACTGGTAGAAATTTGCTTGATGTTGATGTTATAAAACAAGAAATCTATGAAGAAAAAGAAGTTTGGCTGCAAAAATCATTTTGGTATAAAGCCACACGTATTTGGTGTTGAAAGAATGTTACCAAGATGATTTTATATGTATTTTTATAACTGTTATATGAATTGAATGAGTTAATGATTGTAAGTATATTGTTTCCACTGTCTTTGTAGAAATTGAATAATTCGGTGTTTGACGTATTTCGGTTTTTTATTTCTCGAAAGGAAAAAAGTAACGAATATTGATCGGTGTTTCCATAAAATAAAGAAAAACAACACGATTCATACAAACCAAGTCAATTACAAATGACAGAATGAGTAATGTACAACTGCTCATAGCTGAATTTACAAATTTATCTTCGGAATCTAAGAAGAGATTCGCAGATGTGAGACATGCATCTGACACTTCCATAAAATTATTAAAATCAACTACACAATTGAGTGATCAAAATATACAACTACAGTTGACTAATACCTTGATTTTAGCATGCGAAACTGGAAATCTTAAAATCAATAGCATTGCAATTCCAATTATACAAAAACTACTAAACAATCACTTCATACCTGATGAAAAACTCAACATTTTGATAAAAACACTAACAGAATCGTCACATTTGGCTGTTGAAATACAATTGAAAATACTACAATGTCTACCGTCTTTTATGTTGGTATATAAGTCAAACATGTCAGGATCCACATTGCTAGGTATACTAAGTATTTGTTCAAACTTAACTACATCAAATAAATCACCTATAGTCTCAAATGCAGCTTCAGCTACATTACAACAATTATTTACCAATATTTTTGATAACATTAACGACTCCCAGACAACTGGAGATAGAAATGTGAAAATAGATAACAATCAATCATTGAAAGTCGATACTTTATCATATGAAGGTTATTTAATTTTTCAAGATTTAAATCAAATTTTAATTAATAAGAAACCAGAATATTTTGGTAACTCAATTCACCTAAAAAGTCAAGCAGCATTAGAGATAATTGAAAGCATAGTCAATGGTCATCAAAATTTATTCAGCAATCATAAAGAGTTGTCATATTTATTAAGAAGTCAAACAGTTCCTGCATTATTAAAAATTTTAAATTCACCTACTAAACATTATCCTTTAATTCTAAGAGCATTAAGAATTATACAAATATTGCTAACTACACAACTCAATAGCCTAGAAATTGAAATCGAAATTATCTTGTCCTATTTAAATCATTTATTATTAGATGATGCAGATTCAAATGGAGAAGCATTTACTCCAGATTGGGAAAAAGTTTTAATTCTAGAAATGTATAATTATTTATTTTCAAATTTCGATTCTATTAAATCAATTTATGAAAAATATGATCATGATAAACTGAAGAAGGATGTTTTGAAGGAGTTATTCACCGTTTTAAGTACGTTTTTTGCTAATGATAATCAATATTTGAACGACATTGTTAGGCCCTTTTCAAGACCAAGCATAGAAACTAATTCTAATGGAAACCAGGGATTGAACTCACAAAACTTCATATCTGTTGAAAATTCAAGTCTTAAAACAATGGTCATTGATCATTTAGATAAAAATGATCCATCTAATAATATACCTAACACATATTCAACCTATTTAATTCTTGAGATTTTGATTAAATTTAGTGGGGGAGTGTCTAACTATGTATCTAATTTGTCAAACAATGGAAATGAGAAGGAACTTGAAGCAAGTGTTGATTTAATTAATGCGATTATGGGATCAACAGCTTCTGAAGTTACATCCTTATATGAAAGATTCATATATACATCATTAAATGACTTACTTTTTCAAAAAGTTTTGAAGTCATATCAAAGTTTCACTCACGCAATAGGATTATTAGGATTGAATTCTATAAGGAATATTTTACTATTGAAATTGTCAAATGCAATTACAAAGAATGTTAGTAAACAAGAAATTAAAGACGACTCTGAAACTACTTCAATTTATGAGGATCAAAAGAAACAGTTGATGGCACTTGGTGGATCTATTGTTGAATCCATAAGTTCAACAATTCAGGGAAACGACACAAATGGTTATTCGGTTTCTTTCAAGTCGAGATATTTTAATTCACGTCATGTTCTTTGTTTAAAAACATTCTTAAATTTAGCTGTGTCATTAGGATCTACACTTGGTGAAGCATGGTCCATTATTTGGATAACATTACAATGGGTTGCATATTACTTGAATGGACTGGATGATTTTAGTGGTTCCAAAGAATCTTCAGCAACTTCACCATCTATTTCAACATTTACAAATTATTCGAAACCTCAATTAACTCAAACTGATTATGGAATAATTGATTTAGCATATAAACGGCTTTTCGATAGTATAAATGATATTCCAGCTAATTCTTTTAAAGAAGTTTTGGAGTGTTTAGGTGAATTATCAGATGTTGCTTTCTCCAGTAAACTAGAAAATGAATTTAAATTTGGATTAGAGGAATCACCATATAATAAAACATTTTATTTAAATATGATCTTTCAGATTTGTGATTTGAATACCGAAAAATTCTTGATTAAAGATGATGAAGTTTGGGGTTCTTTTACTGAATATATCACCAAGCTTGGATCCAAGAGAGATTTGAATTTTAATATAAGAGTATATATAGTTGAATCTTTTACCAAAATCATAACTTCGATGGCTTTTAAAGGTTTCAATAATGATGAATTGGTATCACAAACAGCTGATAAAACACTAGATGGATTAAATTTATATTTGGAGAAATTGTTCAAGCAAGGTATCCCAAAGGAATTGTTAGTGTTAAATTGTGAAACGGAAATTCATTTGACTATTTTAACAACATTATATTTTCTCATTGAAAAATATGATTTACATTATCAAAATTCATGGGGTAAAGTATTTCAAATTTTAAATACACCATTTGAAGTTACAGGTACAGATGAAACAAATTTAAAAGAAAAATTTCAATCAATGGTTGAAAAATCGTTTGAAACTATGAAATTAATACTTGATGAATTTTTATTATCATTACCATTTCAACAATTGAAAAAATTAATTGATACTTTAATTAATTTTGCAAATCAATCATTTGATCTAAATATTTCATTTAGTGCAGTAAGTTATTTTTGGTTAATTAGTGACTCATTAAAATCAAGATTATCACAATTTGAAAATAACAATAACACTAATGAGTTAGTCTCAAATATTAACCTGGAAAAACAATTGATTAATTACATTGATACAACAAATGAATCATATAATGCATATATCTGTCTTGATTTATATTTATTATTTGGATTAGCTAAAATTTCAAAACAAGAAACAGAAAGAGCTCAAGTTCGTGAAGGTGCAATTCAAACTTTTTTTCAAATAATTGATGTTCATGGTATTATAATGGAAGAAAATTGGGATATGATTTATTCAATTGCATTTCCTTGTCTTTTTGAAATTATACCTCCAAAAAATAATAAAGAATGGAATGAAACAATAAGATTATTATTAGAAGGATTTGTTACTATGTATAGGAAATTTTTCCTCATTTCAAATTCAAAAATTATAAATTTAATTGATAAATGGCAAATGTTGTTAAATTATATGAATAAATTATTAGATTTACAAGAAATTGAAATTAGTATATTTGTTTTTAAATCTTTTCAAAATTTAATTGAATCACCTTTTGAAATTAATAATGATGAAATTCGAGAAATGCTATTCAACTTATGGAGTAATTATTCAATTGAATATAATTTAATAGATATTAATTATCAAGAGACTTTAGTTCAATATATGATATGTTTCACAAAATTATATCGAATTATTGAAAAAAATTTAACATTAAATCATGTGGATAAAATAGTTGATGTATTTAATAAGTCAGCAAGGTATCCTATATTATCGAAGCAACAAACTGATGAGAATAAACCAAGTAAGTTACAGTCTACAATCTTATCAAATATTAAAGTAATTAATAAAGATGATATTCAAGTTCAAGCAGTTATTATTCAATTATTATCACAAATGATTATATATCCTTATGCAGTCAGACCAAGAATAGAACAAAAGTTAAGTTCGAAATTGCTATCTAAAAAAAATTATAAAATCCCTACATTCATAGCAATAAGTTCATTTGCAATTGAAATTATGAAAGAAAAATTTGAAAAATTTGGTTATATAAATTTATTTACAAATGATCAAGATATAAATAAATGTATTAAATCATTATTAGAATTAATTGAAAATAGAGCTGTAGGAGTGAAACAAGTTGATAAATTACCACTTTGGATTCAAGCACATAATATTTTACAAAGAATTATTGAAGAATTAATATTACAAAATGAAATAAGTGAAGATTTATGGGAGTTGATACTTAAAAATTTATCATTAGCGTTTAATATGAATAATGAAAACGACAAATGGAATCAATTGACTATAGATGAGGAGCAAGTTAAAATCCAACAATATAAAGAAATAAGTGATAAAGTTATACCTAAATTAATTGAAGATAAGAATGAATTAATATGTGATTTAATCAAAAATCTTTATTTAAATTCCTTTTTATATGATTTAAATGAGGAAGAGAAAAAAATTATCAAATTTCAAGATGAAAATGAAGAACAAATAATTGAATCAATAAATAAATTGACAATGTATGATTTTGATGAAAATTTTACAACAACTGAACCAATCAAATATTTTAAAAATGAAAAAATTAGATTTAATTGTTTAAAAGAATTATTTAATTTATTGAAAATATTAAATCAAAAACATCAAAATGATAAAACAATTAATAAATTTAAATCACAAATTGAATTATATATAATTAAAAGAATAAGTTTTACTCTCAGAAGAATTATATCAGATTTAAAAATATTAGGTAAAAAAAGACCAATACCAATATTACAAAATGAAGAAATTAATTATATTTTAAATAATTTAATTGAAATTAAAGAAATAATTCAAAATTCAAATGTGACTGAAAATAAAAATATATTAGAATTTAAAAAATTAAATAAATTAATTATTAAATTAATTCCTTATAATTATAGATTTCAAAATAATGATTGGATTAAAGTATTAGAAGATAATAAATGAGTTTTGAAATAGCATTTTTATTTACATAGATTTATAAATAAAAAAATGAATTAAAAGCATTGTAGTAATTGTTATATGTTTTTCTTTTACAGTGTAGAGTGAATGAAGACGATTCATTTGAAACAATCTCAAAGAAACATTGTAAATTAGATCAACGACATTAAACGTCAAAATATGAAACAACTTTTAATTGTAGATTAAGTAGACTTATTTATTTAATATTGATGTTAAAAAGAATGACGCTACCAATGTAAAAGTTGACTTTCTATTTTTAGAATTATTTGAAACTTCATAACTTCAGAATTAAAATCTAGTATATAAAATCTAAACTTGTTACTAAATAGAATAATTCATATTTAGTTTTGTTCTTCTTGTAGCTACTAAATTGTGGATTTTTACTAGACTCAGTCCAAACCCAGATTAAAGGCGAATGAAATACCTTTCACCTTTCTCTTCCTTCCTTTGTTAGTAATTTAAACTTGAGGCGCGGTTATTTTACGACATTCCGTCAATCATTATTGCACCTTAGATACTTATATTTGCAGTATTGTTTGGACGGTCAGCTCACCATAAAGCCAAACTTTGCTTTACCGCATAGGTTTTGCTTACCAGATTTTTTTATGTCTAAAGTCAAAGTAGATGAAATTGTCAAATTGTTGCAAATCAAATCAAATCAAATCAAATCAAAAGGATCTGACTTTTAATGTATGATGTGTTAAGACATTATTACTATTGTTTTTTAAGGTAACAAAATCAATTCACTTAATTTGTCAATGAAACACGTCCTAATTATTAAGTAATTTATCTATTTAACCCATCAGTATTATGAATTTATCCATTCATTAGTGCTTAGTTGATACCATATAATTTGTATCCTAGATACTACAGATTTTAAATCAGAATTTGATACCAGAATAAAAGGAATACCTTGAAAATGTATACCTAAAATTCTTTGAATGTCGTGTTTTTCTTACTTCCCATGTCTTTTTCCGTTTCTGTTTATATTTTGATTTTGATTTTGATTTATAAAAAAAATAAAATAAAATAAAATTTTTATTATATGCAACGTAATTTACTAATAGAAAGCGAAGAATTATACTAATAAAAGTAATATCATACGAATTTTTTACAACCACAACCAACTAACTTACCACAATTATAGGAAATTGGTATAGATCATCCACATATCGGAGTCAAAACACAACTACTACCAACATCAAAATTCATCCGATCGTTTTTATTCATAGAATATATCATATTAGTTCCGAATTTTCACCTTTTTTTTTATCCTTTCCTTTCAACAAAACATTCCAAATTAACATATCAGTTATTGGTCTAACATCATTAATTTTGTTCACTTACTTTTATCTGCATTAAATTACAAACAACTTTAAAATATTAAAATTATTTTTTTAAAGCAAAGAATATATACAAAACAATCATAAACCATAACAACGTCATAGAATGTCATTCAACAGGCCGAGTGGTAGTCCTCATCGAGGTTATAGAGAATTTGATCCAGAATCTGGTGATGGAATTGGTCGTAAAAAATCATTAGTTAGACCAGAAAGATCACGTTTAGATGCGAATCATCCAAGATATCATTATACTCAAATTACAAATCAAGAAAGTGATCATATTGTTGTACAACCAAGTTCAACTGGTCTAGATCCTCAAGTTTCAAATGAATTGGGTCGTTCAAGATCTCATTTAAGTTCATTTGTTTCAACTCAAGGTCATTTTCCAAATCAAAGTCCTTCAAATAATCAAGGACCACCAAATCAAGGAGGTAACAATAATAATAATAATAATAATGACGAAGATAATGAAGGTATTCCATTAATGGAAATTCATGATTCTTCACCTCAAGGAAGTCCAAATACTCAAGATTTAAAAGGAGGAAGAGAAATATATGGATTAAATGATGAAACAAATGATTATTCTCATTCACCACTGAAAAGTAAAGTTATATCTAATGGTTTACCAAGACCTCAAGTACAAGGTACCAAAAATAGATCAAAAAATGATAAAAAAAATAATATATATTTTTGGAAAGTTTATTGTTATATTATAACATTTTGGGCTCCTGCTCCTTTATTAAAATTATTTGGTTTAAAAACAAAAGATAGACAATTTGCATGGAGAGAAAAAATTGGTTTAATTTCTTGTATATTATATATTGGAGCATTTGTTGCTTATTTAACTTTTGGTTTTACTAAAACAGTATGTTCATCAGAAAGAATTAGAACAAGAATTAATGAAGTTAATACTGGATATTTAATAATAAATGGTAGATCTTTTGATTTAACTCAAGCTCAACATCCAGCAGCTGCAGGTATTGGTGCAGGTTCAAATGTTTTATATCCACCTATTAATGCAGGTGGTAAAGATGCATCATTTTTATTTCAAAATGTTAATGGAAATTGTAAAAATTTAATTATGCCAAGAGATAATTGTACAATTCCTTATACTGATGATAACGAATTAGCTTGGTATATGCCTTGTAGATTTTTTAGTCAAGATGGATCTGATTCAGTTAATAATTCGCAAGCTTATTATAATGGTTGGGCTTGTCATACAAGTGAAGTTGCAAGAAGAGCTTATTATAATTTAAAAGTTAATGGTGATGTTTATTTTACTTGGGATGATATTAGAAATTCATCAAGAAATTTAGTTGTTTATTCAGGAAATGTTTTAGATCTTGATTTAGTTAATTGGATTCAACGTGATGATGTTACATATCCTGATTTATTTGATAAATTACGTGATGATCATACTTATAGAGGTTTAGATATTTCTTTAGTGTTAACAAATCCAGGTGAACGTCAAGCTGCAAGATGTTTAACTGAAATTATAAAAGTTGGTGTTATTGATTCTGATACAATTGGATGTATTGCTTCACAAATTGTATTAATTGTTTCATTAGTATTTATTTTATCAGTTGTTGTTATGAAATTTGTTATGGCATGTTGGTTTAGATGGGTTACTTCTAGAAAGCAAGGAGCAACTGAATATGATAATAAAACAATGGTTGCAAGAAATAAAGAAATTGAAAATTGGGTTGATGATAGTAATCCAGTTATTGGAAATCAAATTAAAACTGTACCACCAAAAGCAAGAGCTAATTATAAACCAACTAAAACAAATAGACAAAGTGTTTTTCAAAAAACTCAAAAATTATCATTAGGTCCAAATGCTGATTTATCTCAATATTATGATAATCCAGATGCATTATCAAAAACTTTTAAATATACTACAATGTCAACTCAAGCTGCATTATTAGGTAAAAATGGTTATGGAAAAAAATCATCAAATACAACTACAAATAATAAAACAAATACTAATATTACTCAACTGTCAACTTTATATTTAAATGATCAAAATTCTTCAACTGATTTATTAAATCGTCCTGTTTCAACATATAATCCATTTGATGGATTTGAAGATACAATAGTTCATGGATTATCACCAGATATTATTCATCCAGATGTTGTACCTCAACCACCAGTTGAATATCAACCATTTGGTTATCCATTAGCTCATACTATTACTTTAATTACTTGTTATTCAGAAGATGCAGATGGTATACGTACAACTTTAGATTCTATTGCAACTACAGATTATCCAAATTCTCATAAATTAATGTTAGTTGTATGTGATGGATTAATTAAAGGTTCAGGTAATGATCAAACAACTCCAGATATAGTATTAGATATGATGTCAGATTTAACTGTTCCAAGAGATGAAGTTCAAGCTTATTCATATGTTGCTGTTGCACAAGGTAGTAAACGTCATAATATGGCAAAAGTTTATGCTGGATTTTATGATTATAATGATGAAACTGTACCACCAGAAAAACAACAAAGAGTTCCAATGATTACTATAGTAAAATGTGGTACACCAGAAGAATCAAATTTACCAAAACCTGGTAATAGAGGTAAAAGAGATTCACAAATTATATTAATGAGTTTTTTACAAAAAGTTGTATTTGATGAAAGAATGACAAGTTTAGAATTTGAAATGTTACAAAGTATATGGAGAATTACTGGATTAATGGCTGAATTTTATGAAATTGTTTTAATGGTTGATGCAGATACAAGAGTTTTTCCTGATTCTTTAACTCATATGATTGCTGAAATGGTTAAAGATCCAATGGTTATGGGATTATGTGGAGAAACCAAGATTTCGAATAAATCTCAAACTTGGGTAACAGCAATTCAAGTATTTGAATATTATATATCTCATCATCAAGCAAAAGCTTTTGAAAGTATATTTGGTGGTGTTACATGTTTACCTGGATGTTTTTGTATGTATAGAATAAAAGCTCCAAAGGGATCAGATGGTTATTGGGTTCCTATATTAGCAAATCCAGATATTGTTGAAAGATATTCAGATAATGTTGTAGATACATTACATAAAAAAAATTTATTATTATTAGGAGAAGATAGATATTTATCATCATTAATGTTGAGAACTTTTCCCAAGAGGAAACAAATATTTATACCAAAAGCTGCTTGTAAAACTATTGTACCTGATAAATTTTTAGTCTTGTTATCACAAAGAAGAAGATGGATTAATTCAACTGTTCATAATCTTATGGAATTAGTATTAGTTAGTGATCTATGTGGTACTTTTTGTTTTTCAATGCAATTTGTTATATTTATTGAATTAGTTGGTACATTAGTTTTACCAGCAGCTATATCTTTTACAATTTATGTTATTATAGTTGCAATTATTTCAAGACCAACCCCAATTATGTCATTAGTTTTATTAGCTATTATTTTCGGTTTACCTGGATGTTTAATTGTTATAACAATTTCATCATTTTCATATATTATATATTTTTTCATATATTTATTAGCTTTACCAATTTGGAATTTTGTTTTACCAAGTTATGCATATTGGAAATTTGATGATTTTAGTTGGGGAGAAACAAGAACTGTTGCAGGAGGTGATAAAGGAGATCATGGAGCAACTGAAGGTATATTTGATGCAACAAAAATTAAAATGAAAAGATGGAGAGAATGGGAAAGAGAAAGACGAAATTTTGAAATTTCTTCAAATTCAAATAATAATAACATCAACAATCCATATGGAAATAGTAATGGTAATGGTACAAGTAGTAATAATTTGGAATTACCATCTGCTGTATGGGATCCTTCAAATAATAATGAAAAATTAATTGATGATTATTGAAGAATATTAAAAATAAGCATATATAGGTCACTATTCAGAAACAAATCAATATACGAAAAATTTATTTATATATTATTTATCAAATGATCTTTTCGACTGATCAAATAGATATAAAAAGGGGTAACAAGAGAGATCGTGATAACAATAACATTTTCTATATTGTTGTCTATATTAATGATTAACAATAGTACTATAAACATACGGCAATATGAAAAAAAAATTATTCTTTCCTTCTTCTTTGTCCTATCCTTCCTTTCCTATGTTTGGTTTTCGTCTAAATTCTTTTCCTAAACTTTGTGGAATGTTAAGCAACCAAACTATTGTATGCAGGTTTTGAGCCTTTAATATTTTTGAGAACTAAATTACCACTTAAGATGTTTTGCAGTTACTAATGTACTTTGTATTAAAAGTATTATTTGATCTAGTAGCTTAGCTAACTTCTGAGCTAGACCCTTTTCTAAAATTGTTCTATTTTATTACTTTTATTAGGCTGATAGTTGTTGTAACGTAAAGTGAAATGATATCCAATTTGAGTTTCTTCCTAGTTGTTTCATGATTTAGTTTTTGAAGGAGTGTGTACTTCACGTTACTGACATGAATGAATAACCACCATTTATGTTGTATTGGATCGTTTAAAAATATTTTGAATTGAAATAGATATAGTAGGATATGTGACAATTTTGCTTAGTGAGTTTGAATTTAGGGCAATGTGTTTTGAGTACTTTTGTATTCATTATATTCAGTCATTAATTCATTAATTCATTTATGTTGTTTGTTAATCCAGATTATTTAATAATTTTTTAAATTGAAGAATAAGAATCATTTGAACTAATATCAGAATTTGATGATCTTGTTGAATTATTACCACTACTATTTTCATCACAACTACTATTATTATTACTACTACTATTATTTATATTTTTATATTTATATATATCTTTAAATTTTTTTAATCTCCATGTAGTTTTTAATTTATTAATTTTTGGTTTAAATGCTGAATTTGGAGTTTCTAATGCTACTAACATTTTGGATTTTCTTGATTAATTTGATTATGTTTGAAGTTGAAGTAATGAATTAAATTTTTTTGAATTGTGATTGTATGAAGTTTATGTATGTTCGTATGTATGTATAAAATTTTACGAACTTTTAAATGGTAAGATTTGGATACTAATAAATGAAAAAAAGTGAAGTTGAATTTGATGATGAAGATGAAATCTTTATTAAAGTATACACTTTAGAATAAGAAGCAGATCAATTTGTATTTATAATGACTAAGCTTTTTCAATATTTCAAACTTGTTTCCATTTAGTTATAAATAAAAATTTCAGGTGAGTTTCAGTAAAGAAATAATATTTTATTATTATTTATTTTGTTATATGATTTGAAAATAAATAGCCTATAATACATCTGAAAAATTTAATAGTAGTTCTTGAAATTCCTTTTATTTAATAAATGTAAATTGTGTTAAAAGATTGTTTTCCCTTTTTCTTTATTTGATTGTTAATTTTGCTCTTTTATTATTAAAAATTTTTATTGTGTATGGACTTAGATCTCTTATTTAAATCATATTTACGTTGTTCCTGAGTATTGAAAAGTAAATAATCTGTCAAGTTGAGAAAAGTGCCCATTAATTTTTGAAAAAGAAGTTCCTTGTCGGTCGTTGAGTAATGATTTTAGAACATCTTGTGTCAAAACATTTCCCAAAAGTCATTTGACGTTGTTAATTGCTTAACCCTAAGGAGCTTAGTCAATTAATTTCTATAAAGTAGGTGATCTTATACATAAATTTAATGAAAAATTAATTTAAAATTTTGACGAAAATACAAATTTTCAAATTTCTTTATTTAGAAATAAACCTAGAACTTAGTGTAATAAAGAAAAAGTTAAAATTTCCTTCCATTACTCTATGTATCATGCAAGTACTTTATAGTTGAAACTGATTAAGTAGCATGTGGTTAAATCAGGGCGGATTTACTTTATTCCACTTTCACTTTAAATTAGATAACCTAATTGATAAGGTCTAAAAAATGAATCTGAGGAATTTATTTAGATCCCGAATTTAGTTTGTCATCTGAGTATGGAGTTAAAAATTTTACAATAGTTGTATAATGAATCGATTGAAATTTCAAATGCCATTTAATAATCAACAAATTGTACTATTGACGTAATAAAATAACCCTTTATTTTATTTTATTTCATTTTCAATTAACAAACTGTCTTTTTTAATATGTTTGTGGTATTACCTTGATCTCAAAATTACGGAAAAATATTAAACCCTTTACTTAATGAAGCTAATTAATTTTTCATTTGACTGAAAAAATTTTGTTAAATAGTACAAAATTCAATTTGGTATAAGGTTGATCATATGAAAAAAATTTTAGCTTTCAGTGTAAATCCATTATAAAATTGGCTGAATCCTTGTAATCTGCCTTGGTAATTGCATTTCGGTACCGACTGATATTCTGCGAATGTGGACCAACTCATTCTCTTTACCCATTAAGAAAACAAATTAATATTGAATCTCAAGTTAGTAGAACTCATAACCAAAAATTTAAATAGAAGAAAGTTTAAATCAACTATTAAAATACAAACTAAAATTAAATACAAAAAAAACCCTTTGTTCGGTTATTTTCATATACGTTTTTCAAGAAAATGCAATGCAACTGTTTTTTTGATCAACAGAAGGAATATTAGAAGGTATAGTTTTACGTAAATTAATGATAATGAAACAGAATGAAACAGAATAGCGAAATACACAATAGAAGGAAAAGTAGGCTTCAAATTTTCCTCTGTATTGTGTACCTATATGTATGTAAAGTTTAAGATTCAGTATATGATCACTTTTTCAATCCATCCATCATTCACGGCTTACCTTATTTCATAGAAGCCGATTGGCCATGTGGATAAATCAAATAAAATCACTGGAAGACAATTTGAATTCATCCACAGTAATGAAAAAATTTAACCCAACTTTGTGTATAATATGTTAAGTATTGTATTTGTATCATTTTAACGAACATATTTCTATGCAAACTTATTGATGTAAAGTGAAATAGAAATGAAATAAACTGATGAGTTACCGTTAAATTGCAATGATTGAATTCATAATCTGACTTAGACGATAAATAATGCTTTTTAAGAAGAACAACATTAAAATATTCGTTGTCACTGAATCATTTTTGGTCAGTTAGTAAAACCTTCTCTCATTTCGTAAAACTATGTATTGAGGTAAAGATGTGTTTTAAGGGGTGGTTCAAATAATATTTTTTTACAACATTTCAAGCAAATTTGTTTTGATTTATCCTTTTTTTTTGTCAACAAATTTCAATTCTAATTCGGCTAATATAAGATAAACGAAAACCAAGATTAAAAATATAGAAGATTAGTTTATAATTCATGTATTATTGTTCAAAAAATCAAGCTGCTCTTTGATTCATGAACTGACTTTAAACACAGTTAGTGGGGTTCCATTGGAAAAAGAGTACGATATTGTCAAATGAAGATTTAGCTTTTTTAACTCAAAGGTATTAAAAACTTTTACAGAGCAGGTCTCAACATAAATTTAATTAGTTCCTCTATGTAAGATTGAAAAGTCTGTAATAACACCATTCTTTTTTTCATCTCCGTATCGTATGTATCATAATCGTAGGAACTTTGATTTTAAAAATCAACTACATCATAGAAAATTTACAAAGAGATAGTGAACAAATATGTTTCATATATAACTATCAAAATAAATTTATTAAAAGTAAAAAATATTTAAAAAATAATATAAAATTTATAAAATGATATTGAAATTGATTTTTTTTTTTTAAAAATATTAAATAAAAGTGACCACTTCTATTTTTAAGAATTGAAAATGTAAACGTTGAAAACAAAATGAAAATACCAAATAATTTTTTTTATGATGATGATGATGAATTGAGTTTGATGATTGTCAAGATTAAGTGATATGAATTATGATGAAGATTTACTTTATTATTTGAACTGCGGCCAATTTTAGATTAAGATCCATTATAATTCATAATCATTATGATGAAATGTGGTTGAGATTATTCTTATTTATTTAATACATTCTTCTTTTGTTTTTTAATGAAGCACCAGCTGAGTTAGCAGCATTTATTAATTGATTTACATTATTAGCTAAATTGTTTGTGTTAACTTGTGGAGTTGAAGTAGTAGCTGAACCAAATTTAGTGACTAATGAACTTAAAGCATTACCATTAGCAGCTGGAGCAACAGCAGCAGCAGTATTACCTGAAGCAGCAGCGGTGGTAGTAGCTCTTGAAGTGGTACCAGCAGCAGCAGCAACTGGAGCTGTAGTAGTACCAGCAGCAGCTGGAGCAGCAGCAGCAGTGACTGATCTAGCAGTAATAGCACTTGATATTGAACCAGAAGCATTATTAATATCTGAAGCTGAAATTTGACCACTTGATAAAGCATTACCTAAGAATGAAGCAATTGCACCAGCCCAAGTACCAGCATTTGCTTGAATATATTGTAAAGCTGAATCCCATAATCCAGATGATTTAGCCCATCCATAAACATCTTCAGCAACAACTAAACCAGTTTTGAATGCAGAAGTTAAGAAATTAATTGAAGCTTGAGGATCAGCAATAACTTTATTAACTAATGATTGAACTATTCCTGAATCTGAAATTTCTTGAACAATCCATTGAATAATTGAAGCTAAATCTCTTTTATCTAAATATTCACTACCATCAATAATTTCTCTTCTTGATTTAGCAGTAGCAGCTGGAGCAGCAGCTGTAGTAGTAGCTGAACCTGATGATGATGATCCTGATAACCATGAAGTAATTAAGTTAACAGCAGTACCAAAAATAGATTTAGCAACATCTAAAAATGCATTTCTTAAATCTGGATCATTTAAAAATTTACTAAAAATATTACCTAATAATCCAGAATTCCAAACAGCTTCAATTAAAGCTGGACCTTGAACAACAGCAGTTTGAATAGCAGCTTGAATAATATTTTGTAAAGTACTTGCAATAGCTTGATTAGTAGTTAAAGTATTCCAAACATCATTAATGATTCCTGAATTAGCTAAAGCAGTAATTAAATTACCTAAAATTGAATCAGCTCTTTTATCATGTTCAATTAATTCATCACCTTCTAAATATTCTCTTTTTGCTTGATGAGATTTAATTTCTTTTAAAATGGCTAAGACATCATTAATATCTTCTCTTTTAACCATAGTTTGTTCTGAAACAATAGCTGGAGCAGCTGAAACGAAAGTTGATGAAGCTAAGATAGCAAATAAAGTGGCTTGAGTAAATTTCATTTTTAATATTATGTATTTATGTGATAGTTTTGTTTATGAAGTTGGAACTTTTGAAAAATTAATTGATTGTATTTGATAGCGAGTTATGAATGTAGTAGTTTATTTACTAATGAAATGAAACTTGATTTATAGTTGAAAGCTGAAGAAGTTTTGCTTGATGATGATAAAAAAAAGAAAAAAGAAACAAGACTAAAATGATTTGAAAAAGGGATTTGAAATCATTTATATATTTTTGAAATGATATCCAAATACCTATTCATAAATTGAAATTAGACTAAACATAATGATGAATTAAAAAATTGTTTAATTGACTATAATAGAAACAAAAAAAATATAATTTGATTTTTTATTACTTTACTGTTTTAGGAAATTTCAGATTCAGAGATTTTGTGTAACATATTTAGACATTTTATACATAACCTTGAATTTAGCATTTTAAATTTGAGTTTTATTTACAATATGAAGATTTCTTATACTGCTAACAATAGTAAAAAGTATGTAAAGAGAAATTGAAAATTTAAATCTTAAAACCTAGTTACTCCACATATAATCATGTCACTTGTAAGCTTGACTGTTTTCAGTAAATTATTATTGTACACAGATACAAGGTTGTTTCAAAACATAATTACTATTATGATATAGTTTCGTTTCTTTTTTTTACATGTCCAAAATGCTTCTGCCTCTCCTTCCTTCCTAGTACTAGTAACGATTTTGGCTTATTGTCTTTCTAAAAACAAACGTTGGGCTCACATATTTATTGGTATTTGTAGATCTTTATTTTATAAATCATCAGAGGAAATACGATTCGATAGACATAGACAGTGGTTAATGGTTATTAACTCCAAACATTTCAACAATACAACCAGAAGTTGTGGTTTTAATTAAGTTCAACTTGTGGTTATTTTTTTGTTAAGTGAGTTGTGGGTTTTAGAAAATATGAAATTTTCGACTCCACTTCAAAATTATTTGGGCATAAAAAATAATTTGAGCCCTGATATGATATTTTTTGCGTTAAATTTTTAGACTATTATTTTTTAATATTGTGTTCGATGCTAAGGTATGAATTCTGAGATATTTAGTTTTTTGCTAATTGTTCAATTAAACTTATTTGAAACTACTTTGACATGCTTTGAGATCGATTGAGTCGATTGTAGTAGAGGTAGAAGCAGAGAACAGTAAAAAATCCAAATATTAAGCTTAGTAGTGTGATAAAAAGAGCATTTCTCATCGAACACGATACAACATTAACCTAATACTTCAAACCAAAGTTTCATAATGAAAATTTCTTTATATCGTTATGAAATTGATGACTTCATTAACAAATTAAAGTTTTATACTAAATGGTCAAGAACTAGAGGTTTAAGGTTAAAATTTGTTTTGATGGGATTGAAACTTTAGGTGAATGGTTATGGCGAATTTCCAATTTTTAAAGTTATATGCTCCACAAATTTTCGTTTGACCTTTCCGCCTTTTAAAGTTTCAAAAACTACTGTTAATAAATTTAAATATAAAAAATTATTTGTGTCAATATTGAACAACAATTTGAAATATTATATTTGAGAACACATAACTAGTAAGTCCTTAACTATTCTTATTGTACTAATAATTAAATTAAGTATACAAACTATTCCTTTTATAGTATTTTAACACAATAATAATACAATTATAAGAGTGGACTAAAATATATATTGTGTTACAAACACGTCTTAAATTTAATGCAAATAATTTAACTGATTCAGGAAGATATGGCATCTAAACGGAATCAAAAAATAAAAAAACAAAAAATATCGAGAGGGGCAAAGATCTTCTAAGAAGTGAACAAATCAGTCAAATCAAAATCGCTTATTTCCAATTTAATACAAGAATCAAAGACCTATTTGAATTGATATCAACTTCAGAAAGGATTACCAATTTTAATGATTGATCAACAACAATAGTAATTATAATAAAAGCCACCAGTTATCCGTTTTGTTATAAAAATAAAACAATAAACTTGTCGTCTTTAGTCTATATATTCATTCGTATAATTATTTACATCATTCAATAAATTTAAACTTCTATTAATGTAAATCTACTTAGTCTTAGTATGGAGACATGGTTAGTTCCAATTGAAATAAATTTTTTTATTATTGATTGGAACACGACAATGAAGATTTATATACATATACTGGTATGGCTTTATTGATGGGTTAATAAAGAAAATGAATCCTGATAGGTTCTTTAGTTTAATAATCCTAATTCAAACGTTTGAATTGGTTTAGTTTAAATATAAAAGACCCTCTAATTTTGTGCGACCCTTTTAAAGGAGAGAGAAAGGGAAATAGAAGAAATTAAGTTCAACAGTTTTGTGTAATACAATTTAATTTAAATTTACGAGATAGAATAAAAAATAAAAATAAAAATAAATTTATTACTATTTATAGTAAATAGTTTTATATATAGTATTAGGTATATTGTTAGTATTAGTTTCATTAATTATATATCAATATCAAACGTTTTTTCACATTTTCAACTTTGACTCAAGTTTTAACCATTGTAAATTACACTTTGACTTGTTAGAAAAATTAATTTGAATTTAAAGCTGTCATATTCTATGTTATTTCTATTGTTTGAACGAAGTGCAACTAGGTTTTACTCTTTTATACAAACCTTTCTTTAATAGGATTAAACTACAGCAGCATTAACGACAAAACTCAAACTTGACTCAATTTCTTCTACTTTTACTTTAACTTTTTTGGTCTTCTACTGGGATTAAAATGGTTACATGACATCGCAAAAAAGAATCTAAAAAAACATCTAACCAAAAAACAACAAAACCATGGAATTAGCAATTAAGAAAATAGGAGTTTAACTCCAAAATTTCGACCCCACTACAAAAGAAAAAGGAAGAATAAATAAAATTAACGCAGTTCATGTGTTTCAAAAAATTTCAAAAAAGGATTTATAGTCATCCCAAAATTTTAAAATTGACTGTTTATACTGTTTGTAGTATTTTTTAAATTTACGAGCTTCATAATTAATAGACATTGATTTGCATTTTAATAGTTTGAACAATATAACAGTCAAACAAACATGGTAAATTTACGAGAATTATCGTTGACAAATAATTTAAATTTGAATTATCAGATTGATTTATTGATTGACCTTGCTCTTAAATTATTGATTTTCAAATAATTTCTTAAAACATTTTCTATTGTTCATTATTATGTCAAACTATAATGAGTAAAAAGTCAATCTTTACTATTAATTCTATACAAATGAAGCCTAAATAAGCTGATAGTAATTGAACAATTAATTTTGAAAGTTTTGTCTTCTAGTCTAACGTTATTTTAACCCGTTTTATGTTATAATTCAAATGATTCAAAAAGTATGGGGTAAACCCCCCTTTGAAATTTTTTGCTTACTAAATTAGTAAATTTTTCAAAGACATCCAATAGAATTCAATTCATTACAGGTATCTCCTATATGATATGACTATTATGTTCTTTAATTTACATTTCAAGTAAGTACTTGAGTATTCTGGTATCGAAAAAGAAAAGAGCAATGAAGTAAGTAAATTTTTCTACCAACTAGAACGTATCAGAAATGGAGTACTTGATCCTTCAAATTCAGATTAAGCTTAAAGGATAACTCAAACTCAAAGTTTAAAAAACAATCTCGCATGGTATTGAAACGAACAGGTTACAGGTTTCATTGGTGAATCAAGTACATAAGATCATTATGACCCTATGACTTTAAAAAAGCACAGATGTACCACTAGCGATTCTTGAACAAATAAAAAGAATAAGTACTATTGGAAGAAGGCAATATTTTATTTCATTATCCAACCCAATTTTCAAATCAATTGGAATAGTTACTGCTTCATGATAATTTTTAAATATTTGAAATAATTGTTAATGTCTTGATTAATTCATTTTCAAGAGACAACTTGCTCAGTTTATATGAGCCAAAATTTTCATTAAAACAGTAGTTCAAAGAAGAATTCGTAAGGAAAACAGTAAACCCTAATTTATTGTAAATTTAAAAGAGATTTGATGAGTACCAAAGGTGTATATTTAACATAATTTTTACGCAAAAATATAGTAATATTTAATATGGATTCTTAAAGTCTTTGTCTCGGTCAATAAAATTTAAAGCCGAAAGCCAACAGACAAAAGAATGGACAAACGAGGTTCAAGCAAGCTCTTACTTCAACATCCATATTCAAGTACTTAGTAATTACAATCTATTTTGAAAATAGAATTTCTTACGTGAAGATTCGTTTTAAACGGTTTCAAACCTGCATATAAATAGTGACGTATGAAAAAAAGATGAGGCTTTAACTTTTTTTTTTCTTTTGTTTAAATTAGAATTAAATTACGATAAGCTCGACCAAATATTTATGTTTCAAATCAAATCCGAAACGTACGTTATAACCATATACTTAATTTTTATTTTATTTATTTACTAATTAAGTCTCATATGGATACCAACTCATTTTATTCAAATTTCGAGAGTGTTCTGGTTGGAGGTAGAAATTAATTAAATAGTAATTAAATTTCCGTCGATGTGATACAAAATCGGCTGGATTTTAAATTATAATCATTTTTTTCTATTTCGTAAAGCTTTAAATTTTTGAAACAAGAACACAATGTGAAACTTTCAAAAGTCATGATCTGTCAGTCAAATTTCAAATCAATCAAGAAATATGACAGTTGTATCAAGTTTAATTTGATAATTTCTTATTTCTTGAAATCAAAAATTTGTCTCATATTTATGTTGACACAAAATACCGAAAATTTTTTCACACCCATTTTTTAAATTTTTAAGTGAGTTACATTAAACTTTGGATATTAACGTGGATATAAAATTATAATAATAATCATGATGAGTAAAATCATTTATCTTATTTTTGATAAGGTGTTAAATTTTTAAATTTTTTGAAAATCTATTTCAAATTTTATTTAAAAGTAAAGGGATTTTTCATTTCAATTCTTAAAATTTGTGTATATATTAGTTCTGATCCATTAGATCTCAAATACTTTTCATTCATTCGTTTCAAATCTTTGTGGCAAAACATAGACATACTTTTATTTAGCTATCATATCATTCTATTCACCTATATTTCTGAAAAATGAGTATAGTTCAAGAATCTGCATCAACTGGAACAAGTACCAGCATAAATGAAGACATTTCAACATCAACAGTACAAAGATCAGGTAATATTGCATCTTTCACTTCAAGTCAAACATTTACAAAAAATTTAACAACAATTGATACTAATGGGAATGTTTTTAAAGTTCCAGATTATACAATAAAAGAAATTTTACAAGCCATACCGAAACATTGTTATGAAAGATCATTAATTAAATCTATGGGATATGTTATTAGAGATATTTCAGTGATGATTTTAATTAGTTATATTGGACATACTTTAATTCCAAAAATTGAAATTGAAAATTATTCAAATTTATCATTAGTAATTAGAAGTATTGCATGGATGATACAATCATATTGTATTGGATTATTTGGATTTGGATTATGGATATTAGCTCATGAATGTGGTCATGGTGCATTTTCAGATTATCAAAATATTAATGATATAATTGGTTGGATATTACATTCTTATTTAATTGTTCCATATTTTTCATGGAAATTTAGTCATGCAAAACATCATAAAGCAACTGGTCATTTAACTAAAGATATGGTTTTTATTCCATATACAAAAAAGGAATTTTTAGAAAAAAACAAAGTTGATAAAATTGCTGATGTTATGGAAGATAGTCCAATTTGGTCATTTTTAGTTTTAATTTTTCAACAATTAGGTGGATTACAGTTATATTTAGCTACTAATGCTACTGGACAAGTTTATCCTGGTTATTCAAAATTTGCAAAATCTCATTATGCACCTTCATCACCAGTTTTTGATAAACAACAATATTGGTATATAATTTTATCTGATATTGGAATTATAACTACTTTCATCGTAGTTTATCAATGGTATAAGAATTTTGGTTTATTTAATATGATGATAAATTGGTTTGTTCCTTGGTTATGGGTAAATCATTGGTTAGTATTTGTAACATTTTTACAACATACTGATCCAACAATGCCTCACTATACTGCTAAAGAATGGACTTTTGCTCGTGGAGCAGCAGCAACAATTGATCGTAATTTTGGATTTATTGGTCAACATATTTTTCATGATATTATAGAAACTCATGTTTTACATCATTATGTTTCAAGAATTCCATTTTATAATGCAAGAGAAGCAACTGACGCTATAAGGAAAGTTATGGGTGAACATTATAGATACGAGGGTGAATCCATGTGGCTTTCCCTTTGGAAATGCGTACGTACTTGTCAATTTGTTGATGATGATAAAGAAGATGCAAAAGGGGTAATGATGTTTAGAAATGTTAACGGTAAAGGTGGTGTTAAACCAAAGGATTAAATTTTATAATTTAAGTCGATTAGATCAAGTATTTTTATGGCATTAATAGACAACTACTTACTTTTGACTGTACTTTAAGCGTAACTCTGTGGATAAGAAAGGATGGGGGGCATTAGATAACATAATTCCAGTTACTTTTTAACTTTCTTCTTTTTATAGAATGGTTGCAAAAAAATTGCCTGGACAGAATTTCTCGACCGCATTTGGTAGTTCAGGTCGGCTTTATATCTGTACTATCAAAAAATTTTTCAGATCAGGTTTGAAACAAAGTAACAAGAAACTTCACCAAATCCCTTCAATAAACACATCACAAGCAGTATGACGATTCTTCTACGTGGTGTGAGTAGAATATCGAGACATACAAACTTTATAAATTTTTCACCGATAAATAGAATCACCACTTTCAATAAAAGACAGTTTCAATCATCGCTACGTAAAAATGAAGATATAAAACAAAAACAACCAGAGACATACGAGGAAGAAAAAGTAGTAATAGATGAAATTATTAAAAATTCAACGCCAGAAGATATACAAGCTTCTAAAAGGATGAGAAACATAGGTATATCAGCTCATATAGATTCAGGAAAAACCACTTTTACAGAACGTGTTTTATTTTATACTGGTAGAATTAAAGCTATTCATGAAGTTAGAGGACGAGATTCAGTTGGAGCCAAAATGGATCATATGGATTTAGAAAGAGAAAAAGGTATTACTATTCAATCTGCTGCAACTTATTGTTCATGGGATAAAGATAATCAATCTTATCATTTTAATTTAATTGATACTCCTGGTCACATTGATTTTACAATTGAAGTTGAAAGAGCATTGAGAGTATTAGATGGTGCTGTGTTAGTTGTATGTGCAGTTGCTGGTGTGCAATCACAAACTGTTACTGTTGATAGACAAATGAGAAGATATAATATTCCAAGAATAACTTTTATTAATAAAATGGATAGAATGGGATCAAATCCATGGAAAGCAATTGAACAAATCAATTTGAAATTAAAATTGCCAGCCGCTGCTATTCAAGTTCCAATTGGTGCAGAAGATCAATTACAAGGTGTAGTTAATATCATTGATAGAGTTGCATTATATAATGAAGGATCACAAGGTGAAACTATAAGAAAAGCAGAAGTTCCTGACGAATTAAAGGAATTGGTTGAAGAAAAAAGAGCATTATTGATTGAAACTTTAGCTGATGTTGATGAAGAAATAGCTGATATATATTTGGAAGGTGAAGAACCAACTGTTGAACAAATAAAACAAGCTATAAGACGTGCAACTATTGGTAGAAAATTTACACCAGTACTTATGGGTTCAGCATTAGCTAATAAAGGTATTCAACCAGTTTTGGATTCTGTTGTTGATTATTTACCTCAACCAAATGAGATTTTAAATACAGGTTTAGAAGTACATAATGATGGTACTGAAACTCCAATAAATTTAATTCCATCAAGTACAAAACCATTTGTTGGTTTAGCATTTAAATTAGAAGAAGGTCCATATGGTCAATTAACTTATATAAGAGTCTATCAAGGTAAATTGAAAAAAGGAGCCTATATGACCCATATTAAAACAGGTAAAAAAGTCAAAGTTTCAAGATTAGTTAGAATGCATTCAAATGATATGGAAGACGTTGCTGAAGTAGGAAGTGGTGAAATTTGTGCTACTTTCGGTATTGATTGTGCATCTGGTGATACTTTTATTGGTCAAGGTTCTTCAAAACAAATTGCAATGAGTTCAATGTTTGTTCCTGAAGCTGTTATTTCCTTAAGTATTGCACCAAAATCGAAAGATAATGGAGCTTTTTCAAAAGCAATGAATAGATTTCAAAAAGAAGATCCAACTTTTAAAGTTCATTATGATTCTGAATCTAAAGAAACTATTATATCAGGTATGGGTGAATTACATTTGGAAATTTATGTTGAAAGAATTAAAAGAGAATATGGTGTTGATTGTATTACTGGTAAACCCCAAGTTGCTTATAGAGAAGCTATTACCTCGTCAACACCATTTGATTTTACACATAAGAAACAATCAGGTGGTGCTGGTCAATATGGTAGAGTAGTTGGAGAAATGAAACCAATTGATGGAGAAAATAAATTTGAAACTCAAATTGTCGGAGGAAAAATTCCTGAAAAATTCTTATTGGCTTGTAATAAGGGATTTGATGACTGTTTAGAAAAAGGTCCTTTAATTGGTCATAAAGTTTTGGGAGTTGATATGTTAATTAATGATGGTCAAACACATGTTGTTGATTCTTCTGAGTTAGCTTTTAGAACAGCTACTCAAGGTGCTTTCAAACAAGCATTTTTAAATGCTTCACCAGTAATCTTGGAACCAATAATGAATGTTGAAATTACTGCTCCGAATGAATTTCAAGGTTCAGTCGTTGGTTTAGTTAATAAGTTAGGTGGTATGATTAATGAAACAGTAAATGGACAAGATGAATTTACTGTCACTGCGGAATGTTCATTGAATTCAATGTTTGGATTTTCAACAAATTTAAGAGCATGTACTCAAGGTAAAGGTGAATTTTCATTAGAATTTTTAAAATATTCTCAAACTAGTCCACAATTACAAAAACAATTAATAAGTGACTATGAAAAAGCTCAAGCAAACAAAAAATAGATAGTTATCAATAATAACTTGTATATAGATTATACTTGTACATATACGTAAATAAAAGTTAGTCCTTTTAACAACTTTTAAGATATTACTAAGATTCAAAAGATATGTAAGTTTTACAATAATTCGTTGTTTTTATATTATTTTTTATTTTCTTTAATATATACTATACATATATACGTGAGGGACCCGGTCGAGTATGAAATGATGAATTAAGTGACATGAACTTTTTGCAATCGTGAAAATTTATAATTTTGATCATTAAAATGGTTTGGTTTAAAAAAATAATAATAAATGGAGACTAATACACAGATGAGATTGATGATAGTTGAGATCGATGATTCTATCGTTGACGAGTTGTTGAATTTTATTTGATTTAAGCTTTAGCTAAAGCTTTTTTAGTAGTATATCTTCTTTGTTTCTTTAAAACCATAACTTGGAATCTTTCAAAATCGCTTAATTGAGATCTTCTTTCTTTTGAAGCTAATTTTTTAGCCCAAGCTGAAGAAGCCCATTTTTGGTCAACATCTGAAGCAGCCCATTTTTTATTAACAGTTGAAGTTCTAGCACCTCTTGGTAAATTTGGTAAAACTATTGGGGTTAAGGTAACTTTAGCTAATGAAATAGCTTGTCTTGGTACTTTTGGACCATCAATTAAAACCTAAAAGAAAATAAAAGTTAGTATTTTGTTTCGTTTTGTTTCTAAACTGAAGTCATTACAATGAACATTACTTTAAAAGTGTACCAGAATATGCTTCCTTTGACGGCAAAACTAAATGATAATCCAAATAATATTTCGTAGTTTTCTTTCACGATAAAAATTGTAACATTTGTCAAATTTCAGTATTCTAATTTTCTCCTTGCCACTTTTGTAATATCCTTGTCTTGACTATAAGTTCATTGATGAAATTTATTCTTTGATAAAACATACTCTTTTTTGATCAATAATTTCAACAATGGTGGCTAAATCTTTGTTGTCAACTAAAACAATACGTCCGACTTCAACGAATCTCCAGTTTGCAGCTTTAACAGTAGATGACATTATTATGGTTGTTGGTGATGATAAGTTGTATTAAAAATTTGATGGTAGAAATTCTTTTTACGCTTTGAAAAATTAAATTTTTGTTAATACGTTTGTTAACTATGACAAAAACAGAAGATTGAGAAAGAGTGAGAATTTCCTTAACTATGTATCAAATTTGCTACCATATACATCAGTACACAAAAGTACTTAATAATAGTCATGTGCTTTTCACGCTCTTAACTTTAATATTAGGGCTATTATCTCTATATTCCGCTTAACATTTTCATGTTAATAATTCGATTATCATATTGTCTACAACTAGTTTCATTTAATTTAAAAACTATGTTATTATCAACAGTCTTCCTCGACAAGATAAAATGCGAATGTGAACAGTGATTGGTCTTTATTATTAAAATAGAAGATTTGTTATTTTTCACTGCCTCGATTGAATTTCTTACCATAGTCATTTTCAGTTTAAACATTGAAAAGATTTCCAATTTTAATGATGACTTATAATTTGCGTTCTAGAGTAGATACATCCGAAACACGCCTAGTTTCATTATGGAGTATATACATCATGCGACCAATTATCACGACTGATTATTGGAAATCTATTTCACATGTGTTAGTGTAAGTGTAAGTGTAAGTGTAAGTTTACATTCAAATTCAAGAAATTTAGGTTCTTAAGTATATAATGGAGTCAAAATTATAAGATACATGCTAATTTACCAAACTGTACTAGAGCGAATCAATCGAGTGTAGTTTACTCTTTATTCTCAACCATATCTTACATGTCAAGGTCAATATCTATGTTTATATTGATGCTCTTGTATCAATCAAACTCTTTGTGTCGCGTCATTTGAAAAGTTAAAATAAATATGATTCATAATTTCTGAAACATGAGATTTCAAATAGTCAAACAAAGTATAACAACAAGTAGAATCTGCTATTGATTTATGGCTCTTGGAAGAAGATTGAGCTTTTTGTCAAGAACCATGTCACAGCAAATACCATTAAATGCATCTACAACAAAGTCTTCAGCTAAACAACCTGAATGGTATCAACCAAAAGATTTATCATCAACTAAACCGAAATTGAAAATTTATAATTCATTAACACGTACAAAAGAAGAATTTATACCGATCAAACCGAATCATATAACATGGTACAGTTGTGGACCCACTGTATATGACCATTCTCACATGGGACATGCCAGAAATTATGTGTCAACAGATATATCAAGAAGAATTTTGCAAGATTATTTTGGGTACAATATTAAATTCATTCAAAATGTCACAGATATAGATGATAAAATTATTATAGCGGCACGTCAACAATATTTATTTGATGAAAAGATCGTAAAACATTATAAAGAAATTACTGATGAATTGAGAAACAAGTCTAAAGAATTTTTAGCATTTTATCTTTCAAAAAATTTACCCGAGTTTACTGGAAAACCCGAAGAATTCAGCAATTGGTCGAAAACAGTCGATGTTGATTCAATTAAAAATGAAAAACCAAAATTTCCAATGTATTTAAAAGCAGCCACGAAAGCTGATGAAGCTATTAGTGATAAATCAATATCCTTTGAAGAATTTTTATCTAAGATCAAAGACGTTGCTGTTGTAAGTTTGGATAATGAATTTGGAGCTTCGGTAACAGATCCTAAGATTTTCAAAAAATTACCAGCATATTGGGAAAATAGATATAATGAAGATATGTTAAAATTAAATGTATTGCCCCCAACCTTTACAACTAGAGTATCTGAATATATACCTGATATTATTGATTATGTTGAAAAAATAATTTCAAACGGATATGCATATAAAACCGAAGATGGTTCGGTATATTTCGATACCATCAAATATGAAAATTCCAAACATGTCTATGCCAAACTACAACCATGGAACAAGGGTGATATGAGTTTAATAAATGATGGTGAAGGTTCATTAAGTACTGGTACGTCAAAACGTAATGCCAGTGATTTTGCATTATGGAAAGCTTCCAAACCAGGTGAACCAGCTTGGGATTCAGTTTGGGGCAAAGGTAGACCAGGTTGGCATATTGAATGTTCGGTCATGGCTTCAGATTTAGCTGGATCACAGATGGATATTCACAGTGGTGGTATAGATTTATGTTTCCCACATCATGATAATGAATTAGCACAATCTGAAGCATATTTTGATAATAATCAATGGGTCAACTATTTCATGCACAATGGTCATTTACACATTCAGGGCCAAAAGATGTCGAAATCTTTAAAAAATTTTATTACAATCGATGAAGCTTTAAAAAATTATTCATCAAGACAATTGAGATTGGTGTTTGCATTGAATCAATGGGATAAACCTTTAGATTTCAAAACCGATTTAATAAATGAAGTAAACTCAATTGAATCATCGTTCAACAAATTTTTTACAACCATACGAGCATTAAATAACGAAAATAAACACAAAATAGAAGAAGGAAAATTTGTGTCTAAACGAGTGACCGATTCTGAAAAGACACTATATGAACAACTAGAAAAGACACAAGATGAAGTTGATGAAGCATTTAATGATAATTTATCAAGTGGACAAGCCATCAGAACTTTGGTTAACTTAGTTAGTGTGTCCAACAATTACATACAATCTGTGACTACTGGTAAAATTGAATTAAAAATCGAAGTTTTAATCCTGGTTGCAAATTACATTTCCAAAATTCTTAATATTTTAGGGTTCACAATTAGAAGTGATAAATTGGGCTGGGTTGAAGATTCTTCTGGAAATAATGAAGCCTCAGATGAAGATATTGCACTTCCATACGTCAAAGTCTTAGCTCAATTTAGAGACCAAGTCAGAAATTTAGCTATCAATAAAGCTGATTTAAAAGATATCTTATCAGCCTCGGATTTGGTCAGATCACAACTTATAAATATTGGAGTTTCGTTAGATGATAGACCAGATGGATCGGCTTTGATTAAATTTTTAAATGAAACTGAAAAACAACAATTAATAGATCAACAACAAGCAAAAATTAAACAACAAGCAGAAAAGGATGCCAGAAAGAAGGAAGCCGCTGCATTGGAAGCTAAAAAAGAACAGGAAAAACTAGCTAAAATGAAAATCCCACCTTCAGAAATATTAAAAGATGATACATTATATAAAAGTTATGATGAACAAGGTATTCCCACAATTGATATTAATGGAGAAGAGATTAGCAAAAGTATGAGAAAAAAGTTGATTAAGCAATATCAACAGCAAGTAAAACTTCATAATCAATATTTGAATAAACTTGATGGAGGTAAATAAATTTGTAGTGAATTAAACGTCTAACGAATTGGGAATCTTGTTTCAACAATATATTACTTTTTTTTTCTTTGTAAATTATTCAGTTGATCTACATTGTGTTCTAGCTCTTGGTTCATTAATATGAATAATGAGTATCTTAAAACTAGGTTTTTTCCATACTTGTCAACTACTGTCTACATGTTTCACCCTATTTATCATTTATTAACTAGTGCACATTTTTGAATATTGAATGTGAGTATATTTGAAGACCTACCTACAAAAAGATACATAGCACTAGCAGTAGTTAATTAGTCTAATTATATAAATATTTAATGTTTGGAAGTATGTTGAATTAGGAAAAATGGATAAAATTACTAAAGCCGCATGATTTCCTAACTGATAACAAGTCGCGTCTCTGACCCGGTTTTATAGAATTATATAGATAACGTCTGTATATTAAATAAATACTGTGTTTAAAAAAAAAAAAAAAAAAAAATATTATAATTTATTTATTTATCTTACTGTACTAAATTTTATGTGTTATCTCATTTATCAGTAATATAAGCCATCAAGTCATTTACAACACAACCATTAATCCAATTCATGAGTCAAAATGGGCAGATTAATTGGACTAGAGCTATATAACTTTAAGTCATACCGTGGAAAGGCAGTTATTGGATTTGGATCATCGAATTTTACCTCAATTATTGGACCAAATGGATCTGGTAAATCAAACATGATGGATGCAATTTCGTTTGTGTTAGGATTAAATTCATCTCATTTAAGGTCACTGAAAATTAAAGATTTGATTTATAGAGGTAGAAGAAGAGAAACTGTTGACAGTGAAGATCTTTCAGTCGAATTAGATCAAAATCCAACTTCGGCGTATGTTTTAGGAACTTATGAAAAAGATAATGGTGAAATTTTGAGATTAAAAAGATCAATAAGTTTGTCTGGTCATAGCGATTATCAAATAAATGAAAAATCAGTTACAAGGTTAAATTATACTCTGGTTTTAAAACTGGAAAATATATTAATTAAAGCTAGAAATTTTTTAGTTTTTCAAGGTGACGTCGAATTAATTGCTTCTCAGAACCCAAAAGATTTGAGTGGATTAATTGAACACATAAGTGGATCAAATGAATATGTGACCGAATATGAAAAATTAAAAGAAGAAATGGAAAAAGCTCGTGAAGTTACCAATAGTGTATTTTCACAAAAAAGAACGTTAAACTCGGAATCTAAACAATATAAAGAGCAAGCAGATGAGCAAAGATTATTTGAAAAGAATTTGGTTTTGAGAAATGAATACATCAAAAAAATTCAATTGTATAAATTGTATCATAATGAGAAAAAACATGACGATTTAAAAAAGGAAATTGAAAAGGAAAACATTCTTCTTGATAACTTGAAAAAAGACCTTGCAAATAAAGAAAAAACTTTAAAATCGTTAGTAGCTGAATATTCAAAGGGAGTGCTTGAGTTGAGAAATCAGGACAAAGAACTTGAAGAATCTAAAGTAAAAATTGAACAAGCTAAAAGAAGATTGATTCCATTAGAGTCAAATCAATCGTCACTCACATCTAGAATTTCTTCTCAGACTAAAAAGATCGAAGATTTAGGTATAGATATAAAATCACAACAAGAGCAAATTTCAAAATTACAAAAGCAGTTGCATGATTCACAAAAATTATATGACAAATTTGAAACTAAAGTCAGAGAATCTATTGCAGCCTCTTCATCATTAAATCTATCGGAAGCAGCTCATAAAGAATACGAAGAAATACGTTCGCGTTATTTAGCATCAGAAGGATCAGAATTGGAAGAAAAATTGGCATTATTACTAAATGACAAAGAAACTATAAATTCAAGTAAAGTCAGTTTATCTAATCAAAAGTTGAACGCTCAAAATAGAATTCAAGATTTAAAAACAAACTTGAACCTACAATTGAAGTCAGATTTTAATGATGTTGATGATGGAATAAATCAAATTACTACACAAAAGAATGAAAAGGCAGAATTAAGGAAAAAGCTCATTAAACAAAGGGATATTTTCAATCAGAAAGAATTGCAAATTAATACTCAATTGAGGGACGTGCTTTTAAAATTAGAAGACTTGACATCTCAACAACGTGAATCGAATAAGCAGAAAAAGTTAAGGGAAAATGTAATTGTCTTAAAAAGATTGCTACCAGCAGGATCAATCAAAGGATTAGTTCATGAACTAGTTAAACCTTCTGAACAAAAATATGAAATTGCTTTGGTGACTTTGTTAGGTAGAAACTCGGATTCTATAGTTGTTGAATCTGCTGCAATTGCTTCCAAATGTATTGAAATATTGAAGGAGAGAAGGGCTGGTGTCGCTTCATTCATACCACTCGACTCAATTGAATTTGATCCAATAAATTTGAATTATTTAAGGTCGATTAGTGATTCTGCTGTTGCTGGTATCGATATAGTTGAATACGAAGACAAATCATTAGAACCGGCCATTAATTTTGTCATTGGAAATGCATTAGTTGCGAAAGACATCACTATAGCTAGGTCATTACGATGGGACTCAAGCCGGGCTTTAAATAATAAAATTGTAACATTACAAGGTGCAATAATTCACAAATCTGGTCAAATGACTGGTGGTATGCAAACACGTAAATCATCCGCAAGTGTCAGTTGGGATAAACAAGAATGGACCAAATTAAATGACACGAAAGAATTGTTGATGGAAGAAGTAATGAAATTACAAGAATCAAGACCAAAGGATTTGGAAATTAATCTTTTAGCTGAAGAAATTAGTTCATTGGAAGATAAGTTGCCATTGTTGAAGAATAGAAAATCATCATTACAACGTGCCATAACCGATAGAGAAAATGAAATTGATTTTCAATCTAATTTATGTTCTGGTTTTAATGAGTCTTTACAAAATAAAGAGAAAGAGTTACTGGAATTTGAATCTAAAATTGAAAATATTAAACAAAAAATTAGTGAATCAAAAACGGAAATTTATGGGGACTTTTGTACTAAATGGAGTTTACCAGATGGTATTGAAAAATATGAAGAACTACATGGAAGTGCTTTGAGAATAAGAGCTAAAGAGAGATCACAATTTGTAAAGGCAATTTCAGTTTTGCAAAATAAGTTAGATTTTGAAGAAGGTCGTTTGAAAGAAACCATTACAAGAAAACGAACTATGGAGAATCAAATTGTTGATTTGAAAGCTGAGTTAGAAGAAATAGTAGATTCTAAAACAAGATTAGAAGAAGAGTTGGATCAAACTGAAGCTGAATATGAAATATCAAAATCTGAAAGAAAGAAGGCAGATCAAATATTACAATCCAAATCTAAACATTCCAAATCTGTTGAAAGTGATGTAAATGAAATTCTGAAAGAAGTATCTAATATGTCGAAAAAAATCAGCCTGGAAGAAGAAATGTTACTTAAGATTGTGTCCGATAGAGCAATGATTTTAAAAAATTGTAAGATTCAAAATATAATTTTACCGTTAGAGGTTGGAGATCTTGATTCTTTACCTGTCGGAGAAGACACAAATGAATTGTTTGATTTGGTTTATGATATTGAAGTTGATTATGAGATGCTCGATGACAAATTTAAAGAATCTTTCAATACTAAGTTAGAAGTTGAGCTTGAAGCTTTGTTGCAGGATACAATTGAAAAATTGGAAAGGTTGACTCCAAATGCAAAGGCTCAAGAAAGGTTTAAAGATGTTGAAAAGAAATTACGATCATACGACAAAGATTACACGGTTGCTAGACAACAAGAGAGGAAGACCTCTGATAAATTTGCAGAAATGAAAGAAAAGAGATATCAGAAATTTATGGAGGCTTTTAATCACATATCCAGTCGTATTGACTCAATCTATAAAGAATTGACAAAATCAAGCACATCTCCAATGGGTGGTTCTGCTATTTTGGTGTTGGAAGATGAAGACACTCCGTACTTATCTGGGGTGAAATATCATGCTATGCCTCCAATGAAACGATTCCAAGACATGGAGCTATTGTCAGGTGGAGAAAAAACTATGGCTGCTTTGGCATTACTTTTTGCAATTCATTCATTCCAACCTGCTCCATTTTTTGTGCTTGATGAAATCGATGCCGCTCTTGATAACAATAATGTTGCAAAAATCGGGAACTACATTAAAAATCATGCTGGACCAAATTTTCAATTCATTGTGATATCTTTAAAAAGTAATCTTTATGAAAAATCGGATGCATTAGTGGGCATCTACAGGGAACAAAATCAAAACAGCTCGAAAACAATCACTTTAGATTTAGATGATTATCCTGATGAAGATGTACCACTTCAAAGTAACGTTGTAGCTGCGGCATCGTGATTAGAGTTCATGTCTTAATTTTTCTTAAATAATAAATGAATTTAATGCTAATATTCTGAAATCTTTTCTTTTATATCGATAAACTTTTAGCTGCAAAAAATTAAATTTAAAACTTTTACAAAATTGCGTTTGAAATAATCAAATTTAATGTTAAAGAGACTACGACCATACAAATTCATAAGATATGAGTTAGCAAGGGCGTACAGATATTCATCGAGTTTTCCAAAAATACGACAGCAGCAAAAGGTATCAAGCTTACTTAAATATTTCAAAAAGACAAAACGAAGGTCAGACCTAAATGATCCAACTCATCCAAGTAATGTGTTATATTTAGAAATCTGTGATTTTTTGAAATCTTATTCTAAGCAAGTGAATCTAAATATAACAGATCAAGAAGTTCATAATTCGTATGATATTATTAAATCCTTTTTACCATTTCAAAGAAAAGACCATATAATTTCAAATGTTAAAATAAGTGGAATTTCACATAATGGAGATGGAATAGCCATAATTCCTAAATCTATTTACGCGTCTGAATACTTAGACTCGGACTCTGTTTTAGGTAAATATACAGTTTTAATGGTACCAAAGACTATCGTTGGGGATAAAATCAAAGTTCTATTGAAAATGCATTATGAATTCTATGCGGAGGGTGAATTAATTGAAATTTTGAACAAAAGTTCTTCAAGAGAAAGAAACATTTTATGTGAACATTTTCAAGAGTGTAATGGTTGTCAATTACAAATGTCATCATATTCAGATCAATTAATATTTAAACAAAATACAATAAAGAAAGCATTTGATTACTTTCATCCACTGTTGAAAGTTGAAAACGATTTTGGTGCGGTCATTCCATCACCTTTACAATACTCATACAGAACAAAAATCACTCCGCATTTTGAAAGCAACGGTGATGAATGTACCAAATTGGGATATAAACATGTGAACAATAGAGGCAAGATAGATGTTGAGCATTGTTCTATCGCGACGATAGAATTAAATGATAAATTAAAAGAAGTTCGGAAAAAGTACATGGGAAACAAAAGCATGAGGCAATTAACTTTAAGACAAAGTTTAAGAATCAACAAAGACACTGGTGAGTTTCACGAAATCGCGTTGGAAGGACCTAAGGAGGTCGTGACCGAAAAGGTTGAAGGTTTTGTTTATCAATTTGACTCAAGTTGCTTCTTTCAAAATAATAATGCAATTTTACCCTCTGTATTGGATTACATTAGGTTTCATATCGACCAGTTAAATGTACCAGTGAAAAATGTAGTTGACACTTATTGTGGAGTTGGATTTTTCGGAATTGCTTTGTCAAATTTGAGTAGCGATATAAATATTTTTGGAATTGAAATTAGCGAATCTAGTATAAAGTATGCTAATCATAATTCGAAAATAAATGGTCTTGATCCGGACAGAACGAAGTTCATATTAGGTGATGCATCAAACATTTTCAACAATGAAGAATTTCGGAGAAGTAATATTAAAGGAGATGGAAGTGTTGTTATTATAGACCCGTCAAGAAAAGGCTCAGATTCAACATTTTTAAAACAGTTATTAGACTTTGAACCCGAAATGATTGTATATATAAGTTGTAACGTATTTACACAAGCTAGAGATTTATCAACTTTTGAAAACTTGCAAGGAGATCATAAAAAATACGATATTGTTGATGTCAAGGGGTTCGACTTTTTCCCACAAACTAAGCATGTGGAGTCTGTAGCTATCTTAAAAAAATGTAAATAATATACCTGAACTAAGATCAATAGTTTTCCTTACTTTTCAAAAATTCATCAAGAATATCGAACATAGCATCAACCCCCCAGCTTACTCTTATCTTTTGCTTACTTGAAGAAACTAAATCTGTATTTTTGACTTTTTCCTGTAGAAAATACTGCAACCCTCTGAGTAAAGTTTCTTGATCTTTAGCTTTCAAAATTCGTTCGACTAACAACCTGTCGTCAAACATAATATCATGATTTATATCATGATCGATCTTTGAACCCGATCCAACTGAATTTCTTCTTGACTTTTTTCCAATGTTATCTAGAAAAGTGACCAACAACATTTCACAAAACAAAATTGTGTCTGAAGATGCGGTTAAAAAATTGATTGTCTTTAGACTGTGTAATGGTAATGATCCTTCGGCAATTAAATAACCAAAAAATCGACCTAAATTCAAAATTTTTTTGATCTTGGTTTCTTCGTCAACATCAATCAACCCCATATAATTCACCTCGTCTTCACTCTCACCTTCCATCATGCTACCACCGTCTAGTTCCTTTATTAAATCCCATAGCATAAATTGAAATGTTTTCCTAAGAGAATGAGAATCACACATGTTATTCGCTAATACAGCATAATACGGATTCCAAGATGGTTCAATAGTCGCGCAATGAATTAATACCTTGGGTATATCTCGTTCCTGTGCTCGTTTTAATGCTAATTTATCAATTTTAGTTCTGGCATCCATGAAATCAGTTGCTGACATAATTGAGATGAAGATGGCCCGTCGTATGTCTGTATTCATTCTTTGAGCTTTAGCTAATTGCGTCCAATTTGGTTCAGCTGTATCGAGAATATCATTCATTGCATTGTTATCGACATTAGTAGATGCTTGATCGATCGTTGTGTCTGCACCTTTCCAAGCTGAACCAACTAACCACCACTTTCCCCTAGTTGCAACACTATTTATGTCATCTAATGAGACTTGTATGGGATCACCACCTCTATTATTGTTGATACTACTCAAAAATTTTTTTAACCTGACGGATAATTGATGGTTTCCTTCATTTAATACTTTCATTTTGTTATTTTTCAACGTTGATATAGTTTCAATTAGGAACTGTATTCTTGATGATTTCATTTCTGCAGAGAGACCATTATACTTTTCGTTCAATAAAGTAATAATGTCCTTCAAAGAGGAAGGATCATCAGCTCTCATTTGATTTCCAGAACTTCTGATTAATCTCAATAACAAATCCGCATTTTCTTCATTCAAATTCGATATTAGCTCTTTTATTAAATCGTACAATAATTTGGATGAGATTAAATGAAATAAATACACTGAAGAAAGTAAGGAGATTAAGTTTGAAGCTTCCTTACTTTTGCTGTCTTTCTGATGATATGTCTTAAATTTTTCCACCAAAGTTTGAATGAAAAAGGCACCAAATTCTACTCCTTGTAAACGATACAACGCAGCAACCACACATGCATGTAAATAAACAAATGTATCTAGCATTCTACCCTGTTGTAAGACACTATCCAAAATAATGGTAGTGATTTCTTCAAAAAGAACTTGTCTTGGATGCAATAAAAATAGTTTTTGAATATCATCCACAATTGCACCAATATTTGATTCTGATAGTTTATTTAATGGACCTTTGATTGATCTCCTTAAATTTAATATTTCTTCTGAATCCTCATTTCCTGCAGCAATGGCCATTTGTTTACGTAAAGCTGGTGGAATATAACTTTGCCCCGAATTGGATTCCTCATTTGCGATTGTTTTTTCCGAGCCAGGAGCAATATAGGGGTTTTCTTTTCCAGTGTCTTCATCATATTCGTCATACTCATCTGAACTAGAACTGTCATTTTCTGAAATTTCTTCACTCTGGTCCTCCATGTTAACATCAAATTCCAATCCATCCAACAAATCGTCCAATCCATCATCATCAAGGCTCTTGGGAAGACGTGCATTTGTCTTGATTCCTAATTTTTTAGCGTAGTAAGCAATATCTTTCTCGTCTTGTTCAAATGATGGATTTGAAAAAGTAGGCGTCTCACTTTGGCCAGTCTTTTGCTTATTCTCCTTCAACTTTTTTAACTTCTCTAAAGGATTTGCTTCATATTCTAAGTCGTCTTCTTCATGTACGCTGTCTTGACTTGTATTTTCGTCATCTTCATAAGGTTCTGACTCGAAATCAGATCCAAAATCGAGGTCTATTCCGTCTAATAAACCTCCGATTTCATCGTCGTCATCTATTTTACTTAATTTGGAATTTCTCCCATTCTTCAATCCCAACTTCTTCGCATAATAATCAATATCATCATCATACTTTTGCATGTCTGTGTCGAGTAGTCTTGGTGAAATCTCTGGTTTGTTGAGTTTATTTTTCAATATACCTTTATTTGGCTGTTTCGAATTTATGCTATGATCATCAAAGCCTTCAAAATCAGATTCCTCATAAAATTCAGAGTCTTCCTCTTCAGAAAAAGTATCATCTTTCAAGTCTTCTTCTTTGATTACTCGATACTCGGATCCAGTGTCCTTTGAAACTAACTTTTTGCTTTTTATTGAATTCAACGTTTCTTGTGATTCACTCTCATCTTCATCAATCTCCAATTCATCTTCATCAATTTCATCATCTTCCTCGTTTTCTATCTCATTAAACTCATCCTCCTCATCGAATTCGTCATCCTTCTCCAAATCTTCTTCCTTGACTATTCTAATATCACTAAATTTGACTGATGCCCCATTTTTTTTCGCTTTCAATTTTCGCAAAGCCTCAAGAGGATCGGAATCATCATTCAGATTCTCAAAATCTTCATCACTGGATATGTCTTTTTCATCACGATCTTCCATCGCCGTGCCCTGATTAACAGATTTTGAATTTTCGTTCTTCTTCTTCTTGCTTCGGCTCTTCAGTTCCTTTAGTAATCTCAATTTCTCCAATGGATCGTCATGAATTTTGTTTTCAACTAGTACATCTGGAGTCTTGTTTCGTTGTAGTTTACTTGACGAATTTGAAATTAGTGATTCCGACTGTAACTTTTTTGGATTCGCTCTCTGTTTCTGCTTTTTTAGTGACCTTTCTTGCTTTCTTTTCTCTTTTCTAGATATAACTTTGGAAAACTTTCTTTTCCTATTCTTATTATCATTCGTTTCGTATTTAGAATCACTTGAATCATACTCTCCTTTAGATTGTTTGTCATTAATTTGTGTTAGGATCAGTTCTGGTAGTTTGATTCTGCCATAATCTTCATGTTTTTTCATGTCGCACCATCTACGTCGTCAATATATGGGTAATTCAAAGAATTTTTTGAACGTATTGTTAGCTTTCACTTCTTTCATGGAAAGATGATCATCGTTCGAGTTCTGCTAACTATTTTTCTAACTCTATTTGGTAGCCGTTTGATCTGATAAAATCGAGTGAAAAAAGGTTACAAAGATTAGCCACTGGAATTTCAATTCAAATTAAATGTCAACCTACTTATAAAAGACAATCTATACAACATGTTTAACAGATTCAAATTGGATTTTGGTAAATTGAAAATTGATTTGAAATTTATCGGAGATATATTTATACTAGCTGGTGCAGGATTATCAGTTTATTATTTATTGAACACAATACTAAATGAATATTTAGATAATACGATAAAGAATAAAGAATCTGAAAAAAAGGGTAAAGGAATTTTGAAGAAGATTCAAAATTCAAATCCTCATTTAAAAAATATATCACTAAATCAATATGAAAAATCATTATTAAATTCATTAGTTACTCCAGATGAAATATCAGTAACTTTTGATGATATTGGAGGATTGGAAGATATCATAGACGAATTAAGAGAAGCAGTAATATTACCATTAACAGATCCAGAATTATTTGCTGTCCATCTGCATTTAATCAGATCACCAAAAGGGGTTTTATTTTACGGTCCGCCTGGTTGTGGGAAGACAATGTTGGCAAAGGCTATTGCCAAAGAGAGTGAGGCTTTTTTCTTGTCGATTAGAATGTCAACTATTATGGATAAATGGTATGGAGAATCAAATAAAATTACAGATGCTATTTTTTCATTGGCAAATAAATTACAACCTTGCATTATATTTATCGATGAAATTGATTCATTTTTGAGAGATAGATCCTCGAGTGATCATGAAGTAAGTGCCATGTTAAAAGCTGAATTTATGACCTTATGGGATGGTTTAAAATCGAATGGGCAAATAATGGTGTTGGGTGCGACTAATAGAAAGAATGATATAGATGAAGCATTTTTGAGAAGAATGCCCAAAACATTTCCTATAGGTAAGCCTAACACCGATCAAAGAAAAGCTATTTTAACAAAAATTTTAAAGGATGCAAAAGTCGATGAAAAAGAATTCGATCTTGAATATATTGTTCAAGCGACTAGGAACTTCAGTGGATCTGATTTAAGAGAGTTATGTAGAGAGGCAGCGATTTTGCCTGTTCGTGAATATATCAAAGAGAATTATAATTATAAAAGTGGCAAACTTAGCAGGGATGAAAACGATGATTTGCCGGTTCGATCCTTGAAAACAAGTGATTTTACTCAGAATCTCGTGACAGGAGTAATGAATGGTGGAATGCATACAATGGCCCTTGATTAGATGTGATAGATTTTTAATGATTAATGAGCTGAACAACTATATTATGATAAAAAATTAAATTGTAGTGCATTGCTTAATTTGAAAACATGTAAATTTTTTTTTCATCTCGAAGTAAAAAAAATATTCTAACTTCAACCTATATTTTCATCTTTCTTTTGAATTAGATATCATTTCTCAACAAAGATTGACACATTGCAAAGTATGATCTAAATTTGACCAAGCGTTATAATTTTGGATGGAGTCAAAAGAAATGTTGACTTTTTCAAGATGATGAACGTCTATTCAAAATTAAATCAACAAAGTTCAATAAAGAATCCATTTTCGATCAAAAGGATAAATCATCAATATCAAGAATGTTAACGAAGAATGGCCTCTTCGAAGATCCTTATGTCTGTACTCCGTGGTATAATGATTCAAAGCGAGGCCTAAATGGAATTCACGACTAATTTGGCTTCTACTCTTAAGTATTGAATTAGAATTAAATACACTATGGGAGTTGGAAAAACTAATATAAATTTGGATATATTGGGATCATAATTAGTCTGAAACATTTATCAGAGATGTTCTGATCGTCATAAATTCGTAGGTATCTTTGGATTATTATATTTGTACTGCTCTATAATGTTCCAAGCAATTACAACGATATATTCTCACTTAACAACTACTTGCATTTAAACGTTCCGAACTCTAAAGAGAGTATAACTAGAAAAGTGTAGCTATAACCATCATGATGAAGTTTGTTTTCGACTTGATTTAATTCTTCTCCATAATTTTTGAGCTGAAAATAGCAAACCAAAGCCGCACAAATAAATTAATTTATGGTTGCAAGAAACTCTAAGGGGTTTCAAGATAAAGAATTGCCACTAAAACTCATCCTACAAAACTAGATCATGTCTAATTTGTTGAGGCAACTAAGGCAACCATTGTTCCCATGCAAACCAATTCGACCTATAATTGACAGATCTTTACTTCATCCAAGATTTTATTCAACTGATATAGAAAGTTTAAAGAAACAATCCGACTCAACAGAAACAGATAATTCAGTAAATGCAACAGGAGTAATAGACAAAAATAGAAATGAAGTATTGTTATATTATTCCTTTTCATCATCCAGGAATATTGTAAAACAATACTTGATGAGATTATTTTCTGCTTTTCCTTTTAGTCAAAAATATAATGAAGATAATCTAAAAGATAAAGTGATTAAAATTTCATCACCTTTACCATCAGATTCAAAGATCACAGAATTGGTACCACTACTTAGAGATTCGGGTGCATTTGTTAAATTTCAGTTTCCACCAGACGAAACAGCTAGATCTTTTATCACCGAAGTCCGATCAAATGTAAATAAAAATGATGCTAAAAGACTTGATAATTTTGTTTTAAAAACGTTGAATTACGTATGGAATAGATCCCCAAAAGTTTACAGTGTCAAAGGTATACCTTGGATTGAAGATTTAAGAAGATTCCCTAGTGCCAAAATTGGTATCAAATATGAAGGTAATCCTTTAACAGAAGAAGAATTATATGTATTGTTCAGGAGATATGGATTGATCGATGATATCAAAATTGAACCTACTGAATCGTATGTTCTATTTCATGATATTCGCTCAGCCATATGTGCAAAGCATTGTATAACTGGCATGGTATTGAATGATGGGGAAACTACAATTCATATTAAATACGTACCTATAAAGAAAAACAATTACATTATTGATTTTATAAGTAATCATACAAAGATTGCTATACCGATAATTTTAGCACTTTTAGCCACATTCGCAGTTTTGATTTTTGATCCAATTAGAGAATTTTTCATTCAATACAAAATAACACACAGTGCCAATTCATTAGAGCATTATAAACAAAATAAATGGTTCAGGTTAATATATATACCATATAAAAACTTGGTGAGTGCGATTTCAAATAGTTATGATTATATTGATACACAAATACATGAAGTAGCTGGGTTAAAGTCAGACGAGGATGAATCTTGTAACACAGAAGCTCAGTCAATTCATGATTTGAAAGTTGAAAATAATATGTTTTGGAAAGAACGATATGAAAAATCTAAACAATTGAAATTATGGATTTTAGAAAATTTGAATAGTTACATTATCGTGAAAGGTCCACAAGGTTCAGGGAAAGAAGAATTCGTTTTGGATCATTCATTATTAAATGATGAGAGATTAAGCAGAAAAATATTGGTTCTTGAATGCGATGAACTTAGCAAGGCTAGATCTGAGAATTCGTTGATTAGCAGTACAGCTTCTCAATTGGGATATTTCCCAGTTTTCACATGGACAAATTCTATTTCTCAATTTGTTGATTTAGGAGTTCAAGGTTTAACTGGTCAAAAATCAGGTTTGAGTGAAAGTAAAGAGACTCAATTAAAAAATATGTTTTCTTTAGCAACTCAAGCAATTAGACATATTTGCGAGGAAGATTATACTAAATATGTCAGATCTACTGAGAAAAGAAATAAGAAGTTGTCAGATGAAGAAAAAATTGAAATTTTGAGACAAGAAGACTTTTTATCTCAACATCCTGAGTCTAAACCTATTATAGTCGTTAGTAAATATTCGAGAAGAGCAGATATTCAACTGAATGATTTTATTTATCCATTAATTGCTGACTGGACATCAGGTTTAATTCAAAATAATATAGCACATGTGATAATTTTGACAGCAGATGTAGGATCTATTCAACATTTAAATGATGCATTACCAAATCAAGTTTTTAAATATATATCATTAAGTGATGCATCAATGACAAGTTCAAAACAATATGTTTGTGACGTTTTAAAAGTAAAAGATACAACAACCTTAGATACATGTCTTGAACCTTTAGGAGGTAGAATGTTAGATTTACAAGCATTTATTAGACGTATCAAATCAGGCGAAAGTCCAGAACAAGCTATTACAGAGATGATAAATCAAGCAGCTGAATTAATCACAACTTTCTTTTTAAATAATAATACATCGAAGATAGAAAATGGGGATAATAATTGGAATCCAGCTCAAGTTTGGTTAATTATGAAAATATTATCAAATTCTGATGAAATTAATTATGCAGAATTAACCAAATCACCATTATTTAAAAGTTCAAAAGAAACTATGAATACTTTAACGACTTTGGAAAAATATGATTTAATAACTTTAAAACGAGATAAGGGAGTTTTGAACAAGATAAGTACAGGAAGACCTTTATTTCAAGCAGCTTTTGAAAATATAATAAGTGATTTAAGAATTTGGAAATTATATGAGACAAACTATTTAACTGAACTTATAACATTAGAGGTTCAAAAAATTCAAAAATTTGAGAATGAATTGACATCAATTTATAAAATAGGAAGTAAAATTGATGGAAGAATTGATTATTTAACGAAAAAGATTGAGGGATCAAATAATAAAATTGTATCTTATGAAAAAGAAATTGTTGATATTGCTTCATACAAAGCTCAACAAAAACCTCATTCCTTTTTAGGCATTAAATTTTAAATTGTATATATACATAGTTTTAAAGCACATAACATTATTATAATAATTTATCATTAATCATTTCATAAACCATACTACGTCTAATTAATTTCATATCATTTTGAGAATAATCAAGATTTTTATCTTTTGAAATATATTTTGCAGCAGTACAAGTAAATACTCCACAATCTGAACCATTATTTTGTTGAGGTGAATCAAAATGAGAAATTAGTTCATAACACATTTTAGATTTACCTAATCTTTCTGCTTCTTTATCCATATACATTTTTAAGTTTTCAACAGCTTGTGGATTTCCTGACATACTTAATGAATCATAATATATTATTGTTTTTTTTAAATTATCAATCACCGATAATGCCCAATGAGTATTACTAATATTTACAGGTACTAAAATTTTATCTTTTGAAAATACATCTATTTTTTTCCTTTTAGCCCATCTCGAGACTCCTTGATATCCCTTTTGTTGTAAAGTTGAATAAAAATGAGTAGTCCAACCAAAAACTTTTGGATTTTCTTTCATTATAACATTAAAATAATAATCTATTACGTTATCATTAAGCCATCTACCATCTTGTAAGGTTTGTAAATCACCGGTGGTTAATTCTATTGAATATTTATCAAGTAAAACGTTTCTAGGGTTTGCCCTCCAAATATTTTGTACTTTTAACAATTGATCATCACTTAAAGGGGTGATTTTTGATAAGGAAGCTAATCTTCTTTTTGTAATAATATCTTGAATTTTTGATTGTGACAGCTCATACGCTGAAGTTAGTTTGTTTGATCGTAAATTGGAAATTAAATCATCTACTATTGAATATTTGTTAACAGATATTGGTTTCGATGGAATGTAGTAGTTAAGTATTGATTGTTGATAATTGGAAATGGTTGGAGATATGTCAAGTAAATTGTCGGAATCGGGACTTCGTTGTGACATCGAGTTTGATCGAGATTCATCAGGTATAAGACCTTTTCGCTGTCTTGAATGATTATATCGCACAGGTTTTGCTATTGATAAGTTTGTTCCATATTGAGAGCTCTTTGATGATATTTGATTCTTGAGTTTCCTTAAAGCTAACTCTTTAAGCAATTGACTTGAAGAATTTTGATGAGGTTTTACCGGTTGTTCAGCAGGCGGTGACTGCTGTTGAAAACTATCATAATCTATCAATATACTATTTTCCTTGATATGATCATTAGTAGGAATCTTGTTTATGAAATGATAATCATTTGTAATAATATTTCTTTCACCCAAAATTTCAAAATCTGAGTCTTCAACAACACTTGAAATATCTTGATTTTGGGCTTCTATCTGGGTTGACTCTTCGATGGGTTCAATTTGCTGTGTGTTACTGGTATTTTCTTTTGATGAAATTAATGACTTCAAAAAATTGATAATCATAATGATGAACTTCCACAAAGAGAAAGTCTTTTCGTTGTTTGAAACTATATTCTTTTCATTTGTTGATGAATTTGTAAAATTGTAGGAAAGGTCTTGCTGTAGATATAACCTTTCACTATTCAAGATAGGATTATTATACATATATTTGGATGAAGTATGTTTAAAACATTAACAATTTTTGATGTTTCAAGTTTGTGCTATTAATTTTCGTTAGCCTAAAAATATAGTCGCTTTGAATTTTAAATACCAAGTGGAGCCCTCAGAACATCATTTTCTTTAGCACAACAGAATGTCCTACTATACGTAAAGTGGATCTAAATCAGAAACATGTTGAACAAATTTTACCCTATTTAACAAAAGACAGATGTGAGTGCTACTTATTGATGGAGTTTCCACCAATTTTCATACAAGGTCACGTGAATGAATTTACACTAAGAAAAATTCAAAATTCAACTCAATTTTCTAAGCTTGACAATCACATATTTCCAACCATTTCACTAAATGCTCAAAATGAGGTATTGAAGATAAAATATAATAAAAATTAAATTTTAAATTTACACGAATGTCATCTGCGAAGGATTATATCTTGAAAATTGAACCTACAATTGATGTAAATGATGAGGAGGCTATAAAATCAACCAACATTTTAAAATTCTCATTATACCATAGAAAACAATCACTACTTTTCAGATTGAAACCACTATTGATGATGTTGAGCTTGACTTTGCTGGTTGTGTTTCTAATATTGAGAAGGAATTCAATCTTTCAATTGCATCAACTTGACGTATTTTCATTGATAATCTTATTGTTGATCATGATATCATTTTCATCTATTCAAGAACCTAGTGATTCCTTAACAATAATCAAAGGTGTAGGAGCTCAATTAGACTCAACCAAACTATGGTCATTTCAAAACCTGAATACATTTATACCTATCAACAATATGATTGATTTAGTAATTCATGAAGGGTTTCATGGATATGGACAAGTTATATTTTATTTATGTTTCTTATGTAAATCAAATTTGACTGATAATGAAGAAAATGATTATGATAGTAACAATGAGAAAAATGATAATAATGAAATTATAAAAATTGTGTTTAAAGAATTTTTACCTAGAAAAGATGTTTTGTTAAAGGTTAGGAAATTAAGTAGAAAAGTGTTGTTTGATGAAGCTCAAAGGTATAGTGCTAGAGTTATAGATGAAAACAATCAACCAGAACACATTATATAACTAAGTTGTGATTAAATGTTTAATAGTATTTGTTTTCTACTCTATTACGTAATTTTCAGATCTAAAACCATAATAACCAAATTTGGTAGCAGATTAATTTCACATTTCCATTAGAATCTTTTTGACTTGAGCTTTCAATGAATTCCCTAGGTAAGTTATAAACGACATTCTACGAGGGATTAAACAATGGTAACTAGTCTTGCACTCCTTATGAATTGAATATTAGCTTGTACTTAACTTTAATGTATGGTGGACCAAATTTAAAACATATTCTCCTTATAAATAAAATAATGACTTCATATAATTCCCCAGATTTAAAACATTTAATAAAATACCGCTTAAAATTATTACTAGCATCAGATTTCTACAGACACAAAGTGTTAACTTTTTACGATAAATTAGAATATAAAATTGCTATTTCATATAAAAAATTAACATCCGGGAAAAACTTTAAAATCTTCGAAGTTCTATAAACAAAATCGAAATTAGTATCACAATGCTTCAAAATTTCGGGACTAGAGCACCAGAAACTACCAATAATTAGTAGATGGGAGACTTGTCTTATAAACTGATTAAGAAAATAATTAATTTACCGAATGAAAAGACAAACTTATGCAAATCAATCAAATGAGTTACACTTTTTGAATGATATTATAACATTATAGCAATTGAATAATCGTGATTTATGTTTATTTCGGCCATCTTCACAAAATCTCAAACCTTAAATTGATCAAACCTTGTACAATTTTCTCTCTGTTTCTCTCTAGTCCAGGCTATTATATTTTTTATATTATTAATTTTTTTATTTCAAATTAGGAAACCCCTTAATAAAACAGCAAACTAATAAATTAAAAATGTGAATGATTAAATATTAATTAAAAACTTTATTAAAAACTATGTTAAATTGAAGTTTAAATTTTCAACATTTTTATTCAATTAGAATTTCAAATTATTTAAATAAAAACTCAATTCTTTTTTTCTTTCTTTTTCCATAAGAGATTACAAGAAACAACAATCAATTGAATCAATTAAGGTATCAATTGAAGTTATAATCAATTCAATTAAAGAAGTATAATAAACAACTATGTCAGCTGGTAAATATTTATTAGGAACCGCAGCAATTATTGGTGGGGTTTGGTATTATGATCAAAATGTTCAACGTATTTTACCAAGACAAGAACATAAAGAATTAGCTCATCAAACTCAAAAAATTGATCAACAAGTTTCAAATTTAAATAATAAAATTACAAATAAAATTGATGAAGCTAAAACTAAAATTAATAGAAAATCTGATTCAATTAATGATCAAGTTAAACAATCTGATGCATATAAAAATTTAAAAAAGGATGAAAAAGAGTATAAATATTTTGTAAAAGATGCTACTACTCCTCGTGATGAAAAATCAATTTTTACTTTAGGTATGCAAAGATATATTGATTTTATAAATTGTTTAGGAGAAGGTAAAGTTAAAACTGGTGAAACTCAATATAGTTCAATGGGTGAATTACCTGAAGTTAAAGAAGAACCCATTTTTGGTAATTGGTTTGGAAAAGCTGATAATAAAGTAGATGAAGCAAAGGCTAAAGCTCAAGCTGAAAAGGATAAATGGACTTCTTGGGGTTCAAAAAAAGCTGATCAAGCTCAAAATGAAGCTGAAAAAAACAAAAATAAATTAATCAATTGGGGTCAAGATAAAGCTGATCAAGCTGAACATGAAAAAAATAAATGGACTTCTTGGGGTTCAAACAAAGCTGATGAAGCAAAAGCTCATGCTGAAGGTAAACAAAATGAATGGAGCAATTGGGCTTCTGAAAAAGTTGAAGGTGTAAAAGATGATGCTGAAAGACAAAAAGATAAATTAGTTAATTGGGGTAAAGAAAAAGCTGATGAAGCTGAAGCCAAAAAGAATGAATGGACTTCATGGGGTCAAAAGAAAGCTGATGAAGCAGATGCTGAAAAGAATAAATGGACAGCTTGGGGATCTAAAAAAGCCGATGAAGTTCAAAATGATGCTGAAAAGAATAAAAATAAATTAATTAATTGGGGTAAAGATAAAGCTGATGAAGCAGAAGCCGAAAAAAATAAATGGACTTCATGGGGTTCAAAAAAAGCTGATGAAGCTCAATACGATGCTGAAAAAAACAAAAACAAATTGATCAATTGGGGTCAAGATAAAGCAGAAGATGCTAAAGCTGAAGCTGAACACCAAAAGAAATCATGGTTCAATTGGGGTAACAAAAAAGCTGATGAAGCTCAAAAAGAACTTGATAAAAACACAAATGAACTTCAAAAATATGCAGATGATACTCAAAAATGGGCAGATGAAAAATTAAACGCTGCATCAAATGAATTAAATAAACAATATGAATCATCAAAACAAGAATTTAATAAACAATATAATAATTTAGAAAAACAATTTAATGATAGATATTCAATAGAAAAAGAAAGAGCTTTAAAATCTTATGAAGATGCTAAAAAGAAATTTGAATCATTAAGTCAAAATATAACTAATGATCCTAAAAAAAATGAACAATTAAATAAAGCTAAAAATGATTTTTATAATTCTTTAGAACATTTAAAAGTTTATGGTGATGATGTTTATAATGATGTTAAAAAGACTTTAGGTGATTTATTTAAATAAATTATATATAACTTTTAAGATTAATTTTATAAATGTAATACTACATTGAACTTAGAAAATAGAGAATTGAATCGAAACTCTTTACTCGATATAATAACACCTGATAGCCTTAATAAGTTTTAAATCTCACGGAATTTATTGGAAATCCTCGACTATGCGATTCATTGAAAAAATGGTAGCATCCTATTACGCTCCAGATTTTGTATATTTGCAACACTTCCATTACTATGAACTAACCACTACAAATTCAAAATAATCTAGTAATGATATGATCAAAAGAATACCTAAGCTTTATGCAAACCAACTACTGAAATTCAAATATGACAATTCAATCCCTACATCAGAATTATTAACTAAATTAGGAATTGTTTCATATCCCAAATCAGGATTAGTTAATTGGTCAAAAATTGGTCTATTAATTCAAAATAAAATAAATAATATAATTCGAAAAAATTTAGATTCTATAAATTTTGAAGAATTAAGTTTATCATTATTATCAAACAAGACAAATTGGATTAAAACAGGAAGATGGAATCAAAAAGATATTTTTAAATTAAAAAATGATGAAATGTTATTAGTTCCTACATGTGAAGAAGATATAACAACATATGTTAAACACAATCTTGAAAGTTATAAACAATTACCTTTAAAATTTTATCAAATTAATCAGAAATTTCGTGATGAAAAAAGACCAAGAGGTGGTTTATTAAGAGGTAAAGAATTTTTAATGAAAGATGCTTATTCTTTTGATTTAAATGAATTAAAGGCTTTAGAAACTTATAAATCTATTGTTGGATCATATCATAAAATTTTTAATCAAATTGGAATAAATTATGTAAAAGCTCAAGCTGATAGTGGTGATATTGGAGGGGATTTAAGTCATGAATGGCATTATTTAAATGAAAATGGTGAAGATACTGTTTTCACTTGTAATTCTTGTGGTCATGTATCTAATCAAGAAAAAACAATAGCATATCCTACTAAAAATGAAGAAATAAATGGTGGTGATGTATCAGTCAAATATTTCATAACTGATGATAACTCCACATTAGTTTGTGCATATTATCCATCTAATAGAGTATTAGAACCTAATTTTATAAAATTGGAAGTACCAGATATAAACCTTAAAACATCATTAACAGAATCTCAAATATTAGATAAATTCTCAAAGGAATCAGAAGAAGATTTATCAAAAAAAGTTGTCAGAATAATGGATTCAAGATTAAATTCAAGATCTAATTTCCCTGATTTTCCAATAAATTTTGTAAATAGATCTATGATAACTACATTAACTGATATTCCAATAGTATTAGCTGAATCAGGTGAAATTTGTGGTGAATGTGAAGAAGGTCATTTGACAAAACTGAATGCTATTGAAATTGGTCATACTTTTTATCTTGGTGATAAATATTCAAAACCTTTAGATTTAAAAATTGATATACCAAAAAATGATAAAGTTGAAACTAAGAATATTATGATGGGATGTTATGGAATTGGAATTAGTAGAATTATTGCAGCAATAGCTGAAATAAATAAAGATGAAAAAGGTTTAAGATGGCCTAAAAGTATAACACCTTGGGAAGTTACAATTGTTGAGACTAATCAAAATCCGGAATTTAAAGAAATTTATAATGAATTGGAAAATTTTGATTATAAATTAGATGATAGAAATGATGTTTCTTTGGGTAAAAAAATTAATCAATCAAATTTATTGGGGATTCCATTAGTTGTAATTTTAGGTAAAAAGTACCCAATTGTTGAAATAGAAATAAGAGGTAAACGGATTAAAGATAAAGAGATTAAATGGAAACATTTATATGATAAGAAAGATTTTCAATGGGATGTTGAATATGAAAATGGAAATGATATAAAACATTATGTTCATAAAGATCATTTGATTAGAGTTTTAAATAGTTTGTTAAAAGATATGTAAATAGATATATAATTTTTTCAATTATACTAATATACAAAGATTGATTGAAATTAAGTTAAGTTTGCATTACAATCACCTCGAACAATCCACTTCTTCCTAACTCTCCCCCTTTAATCATTCAATTAAGCAGTAAATTTACCTGTAATTTTAGCAAATACATGTAAAATAATAACTGAAAATATAAAACCAACAGCTAAAAATAAAACAACTAAAGGATCAACTCTTAAACCTTGAGCTTCATCAGTAAATAATTTCATCATTGTTGATGATGATCCACCTGCTCCTGCTGATCTTGTACTTAATGGAGTTGCACTTGAAGTTTGTGCTTTTTTATCTGCTGTTGTTTTTCTTTTTACTGCATTTCTTAACCCTCCTGGTGCTTGATTTGATGAAGTTGTAGACTAATACGATTGCTTGTTAGTATACTTTAATATTATGTGATTAAACCACGTGTCATATATTAATTGGACAGCTAATTGTTTCAATAAAATCTGATTACATACCATATTGGTGAGTTATATTATGAACTTGAGAGTTGTAATTAAGTAATCTAATCTATACAACTTAAACCTCACACGTATTAGTTAAGTCCAAATTTTTCAACACATAATCAAATTGAGTTAAGCTACCAGCTGTAAGTTACATCCACGCGCGTTATCTAATTCTTGCTACCAATTTATTAAGTAAAAATTAATACCAAAAAATCATTAGAAAAAATAAGTTAATAATTCTCTCTCTCGACAAAAAAAAGAAAAATAGAATCAAAGTTCTTAAACTTGTTTTCTATATACTTTTTTAATCAAAGGGACTAATCAATCAATCAACACAAGTATAGAAAGATCAACCTACATAGTATCCCAACTCTACAAATTCAAGTGAAAGACGTCACAACCTTACACATTTTTAAAAAATCAATCAAACTATAGGAAAAGTCTCCCTTAAATATTTAACGTCAACGGTTGTAAGAAAAAAAAGTTATTTCTATCCAATAAACAATCATGGATTTCAGAAATTTATCAACAACTCCTAATCAAATGGATCAATTAATGCAGCGTCGTCCGTCTTTGTCATCACTATCTTCTGCATCAGGTTATTCAACTTCTTCAACTCCTTTTTCAAATAATCAACAACAACACCCACAAAATTTAAAAATTTTAAATAATTCAACAACGCCTCAATTATCAAGTCAACGTTTAAGTGCTGTTAAAAATTTACCTACATCATCATGGTTGAATCAAACAGGTACATCATCTTCAGTTGGTCCTTGGGTTGAACAACAACAACAACAAACTTTAGATGTTTTAGATAAAAAGACTTTGGAAGAAACTACTGATTCTAATCCTTCAACAAATAATAATACTATTGTTAATAGATCAAATAATGTTATTGATAATAATAATGTAAATCATAACATTAATAATCCTAATGAAACCAAACAAGTTAATGATAATGATAATAATGATAATAATGCCAACAACAACAACAACAATAATAATAATAATAATAATAATGCTAATAATAATAATAATGTTAATGATGATGAAATTGATGATGATGAATTAATTCCAACAGCGATAGTAATAAAAAATATTCCTTTTGCTATAAAAAAGGAACAATTATTAGATGTTATGACTAAATTAAATTTACCATTACCTTATGCATTTAATTATCATTTTGATAATGGAGTATTTCGTGGATTAGCATTTGCAAATTTTACATCAACTGATGAAACTTCAATGGTTGTTAATCATTTAAATGGGAAAGAAATTGGTGGTAGAAAATTAAGAGTTGAATATAAAAAAATGTTACCAGCACAAGAAAGAGAAAGAATTGAAAGAGAAAAACGAGAGAAAAGAGGTCAATTAGAAGAACAACATAGATCAAATTCAAATGCTTCTTTAGCTTCATTATTATCTCAAGCTTCAACTACTGCAGCAACTAAAAATTTAAGTGTTGCAGGAGGAGGAATATCAACAACAACTCAAGAAAGAATATTTTTAAATTTACCATTTGGTAATACACTGTTTAGTATATTACCATTAGAATTAAATTTAAATGATCCAGAAATTTTAGAACTTTATACTCAATTAATTTTATATCGTGATGATATAACAAAATCAATATTTGAATTAGCTATATCACCATTAAATTTAAATATTAATCAAAGAAAAATTATATCCTACATTTGTAATTATTTAAATTTATTAGAATTATTTGATAATGGATTAATTATAATAAGGAGAAAACCTGGTTATATTTCAATTGCTATTCAAAGTCAACAAGTAGCAGCACAAACTCAACATCAACAACAACAACAACAACAAGTACCACCACCACATCATTCAAGTTCAATGATAAATTTAAATCAATTAAGACAACAAAATTCAACTCCTGTAACACCTCAAAATCATCAACATCAACAACTGCAACAACAACTGCATTATCATCCACAACAACAACCTGTTCCACCACAACAATCTCAACAACAACCACAAAGACCTTATTATCAAAACATTCCACAGCATAGATCATATGTTGATGTTAGATCAACACCACCATTAAACAGTTTCAATCAACAACAACATCACCAAAACCAACATCCACAACATCATCAATCACAACATCTTCAACAACAACAGCAACAAATTCCACAACTGCAAGTTTCACAACAACAACTTAATCATCATCATCAATCACAATATGATTCACCAGCATCAACAACTTCAAGGTTCCAACCATTTAGTCAACATGTATCAACAAGTTTTACATCATTACCACCAACATCAAATAATAGTGGTGATGAATTTAGTACAACTAATGGAATATGGGGACCAAAATAAATATAATTATGATTTTAATGAACGTTAAATAATAAATTGATGAATTAATTAATTAAATAGATTTTCTAACTTTTAATAAATGAATAACATTACTTTAACTGAATTTGTGAGTTTACTCTTAGAGTGTATCAACCATTAGCATTTAGTAAGTAGTAAGCTGTAATAGTTATAGTCGGAATTAAATTTTTCATGATTTGAATCGTAGAGTAAGTTATATAAAATTTTACGAGTCTAAAAATAAATTATGGCGTTCGAAAGGTCGACCTATATATTGAAGGGTCTAGAGCGAAACTTGGACGAAAATATCAGATTCCTTAGTGCGACCCTGGAGAAAAAAGACTGAACCCCAGAGAGAGTTATTATTTTTACGAGATAAAAAAAAAATATAAAAAAATTTAAGAATTATTGTTTTGTTTCAGATGAGTCGGAATTTACAGGACTATTTTTTAAAACAGTTGTCTCAAGTTTTGAAGCGTAGTAAACAATCCTGTATTGAATTAGTTACAACTCTAATGATCTACCTATATTGATCCATATAGTATTTAATTATACAATCTTCTTGTATCTGTATATATATATTAGACTATATATTATTATTCAAATCTTATCTTTTAAAAATAAAAGTCGTTGATTGTTGAACAAAAAAAAAAATTTCTTTTAATTTTATTATTAGTCTTTACTTACATAGTTAATAGTTAACTATTGTACATAGTTAAGCTTAATATTTACGCCTTTTGAAATCAATTCTCACTTTAAAAAATTAACAAAAATTATAGAGAAGAAGAAGAACAAGAAGAAGATTTACAACCAACTATTAACAACCAACAATCAACTATATTTGACTTTAAACATTGTGTAATATACAGATTAGCATATACACTGGCATTATATTCCAAAACTAATTCCATTTTTTCAATCAATCAATTAACACAGACTCTATAATTTTGTTCAATTCCCATTTTTTACATTTTTACATTTTCATAGTCATCAACAATTTCAATTGATTCACTAGATAAAATAAACAATAATACTTTCAAATTAACGTGTAGAATAATTCACTGATCAATTATACTATAATAGAGATCAATCATATTAGAGAATTTACATCCATTCAACAATTGTACACCAGTATAAAAAAAAAACACGATAAAAGATATCCCCATTATAAGATAAACAATTTTTACAACACAATATGGGACAAATTCTTTCACAACCAGTTACTGAAAAACATTCAGAAGAAGGTCAAGATAAATATTTAGCATATGGTTTATCAAGTATGCAAGGATGGAGAGTTAATATGGAAGATGCTCATACAACTATTTTAAATTTATCAAATATAGAAAAAGATGAAGAGGATAGTAATGATAGTAAGAAATCACAACCTAATTTAAAAGAAAACGATGAAGAAATAGATCCAAAAACTAAAATTGATTCAAATTCAAATACACAAACTGAACTTAATAACAACAATAATAGCACCAATAATGACGATAATGAACATATAGCGTTTTTTGGAGTATATGATGGTCATGGAGGTGAAAAAGTTGCTATTTTCACAGGTGAAAATTTACATACAATTATAAAAGATACAAAAGAATTTCAAAAAAAAGATTTTATTGGAGCATTAAAACAAGGATTTTTAAATTGTGATCAAGCTATATTAAATGATTTTCATATGAGAGATGATGAAAGTGGTTGTGCTGCAACATCAGTTATAATAACTGAATCTAAAATTTATTGTGGTAATGCTGGTGATTCAAGAACTATAATGTCTATAGATGGATTTGCAAAACCTCTAAGTTTTGATCATAAACCAACTAATGAAGGTGAAAAAGCAAGAATAACGGCTGCTGGTGGTTATGTTGATTTAGGTAGAGTTAATGGTAATTTAGCATTATCAAGAGGTATTGGAGATTTTGATTTTAAAAAAACTGCTGCATTACCTGCAGAAGAACAAATTGTAACATGTTATCCAGATGTTATTATACATGATATTGATTTTTCAAAAGATGAATTTATTATATTAGCATGTGATGGTATTTGGGATTGTTTAAGTTCTCAAACTTGTATTGAAGCTGTAAGAAGAGGTATATATCAAGATAAATCATTAAGTTTAATTTCTGAAGAAATTATGGATTTATGTTTAGCTCCAACATCAGATGGTTCTGGAATTGGATGTGATAATATGTCAATTATTATAGTTGCACTTTTAGATTATACAAAAAATGAAACTTTACAAGAATGGAAAAATAGAATAAAATCAAAAATAGACAGCAAGGAAAAACCAGAATCATTTGGAGGAATTTCAGTACCTTACAAGGATTTAAAAACTTCATTATATGGAGAACATGAAAGTTTTAAATCTTTTGATCATCATGATGAACATGAACCAGATAATGATGATGATGAAGAAGATAAAACTGGTATATCTTTAAAAAAATTATTAGCTTCAAATGCAGTAACAAATGAAAATGGTGTAATTTATTTAGATACAAGTTCTGCTAAAACTTTATTAGAACATTTTAATGTTCAAACTAATAATAATGATCAATTAGAAGAAATTCATGGAGATGATGATGATGAAGACGTGGAAGAAGAAAGAATTGAAGAAATAGAAGAGAAATAATTAGTATTAAATTTGGCTTACCCTAATCTCTTTTAAATATATAATGTTAAAGTAATTGATAATTGTAAGTACTCATTTGTTGTAGAATTGAGCTAATATTATCAGAACTACATTTATTTTATGATGTCAATAAGAAATTCTTATGCTTATTAATTTTTGAACAGGGAAAACCATATCGTTTAGTCTCAGACTTACTAGTTGAAATAGTTTAACTTTATCAAATATCTTTCAAAAGGGATTTGATAAACTGAAAAAACAGATGATTATAATCTTAATCCTGACTTCGATGTTGTAGAAACAACTATCCCTACAACTGTATTCAAATTAGTAAAGTGTTTATAGTCTACAATCGAATAATTACATTTATGTTCAAGAAGACAAGAGACTAATTACAATTTTCAATTTATTTGTATGTTAATTGTCGACATTATTTGAGACTGGTATTTATTGTTGATAGAAATACTAGATTGTCCTTGTATAGAGTTAACCTTCTTTTTTTGGTGTGGATATGATCGAACATTCATGAAAAATTCGGATGAGGAATATTAGAGGTAGTTATTCCTCATGTATTAGGGTAGTCTCTGACTATATATTTGATTCGTAGGTAAGTTTATCGAATTTTTGCATTCCTCAAACCTTTTTCACATGTTATAGTACAAGATTTTGATTATCACACACGATTATATAGTACATGTATTATTATAGTGGTTAAAAGTTGATCTACTTTTTTTTTTTTTTTATCTACATTTTAAAACATTTAATTTTGTGTCATGAATCTTATGTATTCAGCTAGATCTACCTAATTACATATAAAAATAACCCTTACAGTTAAATTGAATCATATATACTTTCTTATTTCTTCAAGATTCTTCTAAAAACAATTCTACCTAACTTTTTAAAAAATTCAAGAATTGGATCATCATCATAATCATTAACAATAGCAGTACCGTTTTGTTTAATACCTTGTTTTTCATGATCTTTATTCATTTCTAATGATTGAACACTTTCTAATTTATGATCTCTTGATAAAAATGGGAAAATAATTAAAGGACCACACATAACTAAACCTGCAATACAAAGATATTTTTGAACTTCTGCATATGATCTAACTACTGCAATTCTTTCTGGAGTACCCCAAAAATTTTCTAAAATAAATTCAAATGGTGCACCATATGCATAAGTTGCTAATATTGTTGAATTTGAAATATTCATATCTTCCATATTACTCAAGATTAATTCATGCATTTTATTTGACCAAATTGCTCCACTAATTGCATTCCCAATTGCAGCTCCAACATAATAACATGCTAAATGAATTGAAATTAATATACTCATATATTCATGACTTGTAACTGAAACAATACTAACTTGAGTTGCAAAATGGAAAAAACCAGCTCCGAACCCCATTAAACATAATCCACCAATAACTCCATTTAAATATTTTTGACTTTCAATCCCATCATTTGAACCTCTAAAATGAAATAAAATACCTAAAGATATTGCATACATACAACAACCAAATATAATAAAAGCTTTTAATCTTCTAACTTTAACTACAATTAAACCAAGAATTGGACCAACAATACATGTAACAAATGAATATAATTGAGAAATTCTTGTAGCTGCTTTTATACTAGCATTCATACCAACTACTAAAACAGTAAACATAAAATCATTTGGTAACATATAAATACAATTAACAAATATAACAATTAAAAAAGCAGACCAAACACCTCTATCTTTCATTAAAGCAAATGGTAATAAAGGAGTTGAAATAAATTTAGCTTCCCAAATAATAAAAATTGGAATGAAAATTATACCAATTATTAATGGAACTATAGTTGAAGCTTCTTGCCATTTTGATTTAACACCACCAGCTAATGTAATTGGTACCAAGATAAATCCTAATATAACAGTCACACAAAACAATCCAACACAATCTAAATCCCAAAATAATTCAATTGCCAATTGTTTCCAAAATTTTAAATTTTTTTTTAGAATGTGGATTAAATTTTTTTTTATCTAATTTTAATTGTTTCCAATCTTCAGTTTTACTTGCAGTATAATTCATATGAATTAACATACAAATTAAAGGTAAACAAGCTAATGGAGTAATAAAAGCCCACATTGCAATACCCCATTGCCATGAATAATTTGTAATTATAGCAGAAACAATATCACCACTTACCCAAGTATTTATAATTAAACTTATACCAGGAATATAATTTACAAATAATCTAAAATTTAAATTACTCATATCAGCCATAAGAATTAAACTAATTGTAATTAAACCAGTTACTCCAACTGTATAAATAACAGCACCAGCTGCAAATATTTGAATATTATGAGCTTGAGATTGTAAAATAGTACCAACAACATGAAATAATAAACATATTAAATATAATTCTAATCTACCAAATCTATCTGATACTCTCGCAAAAAATGGTTGACCAACTGCACTTGCAACAGATTGCATAACTCCAATAGTAGCATATAATGAATGTTGATTATATGATGATGTAGCATAAACTTGTAAATTTCCCTTTATAATAAAATCTAATCCATAAGCATAACCTTCCAAAAATATACATATAAAAAATATAATTCTTGCAATTGTACTTTTATATTGAGAATTCATAATTTCTGATTTTCTAACTCCAAAAGATTTTACAGCATGTTGTAAATTATTTGATGGTAATTCACTATTAATATCTTGTTCATCAGTTATTACTGCTGTTGATTGATATTTATAAATACTTGACCTTTCAGTTTCATCGTGAATATCAGGTTTAGTAAAGCTATTAATGCTATCCTCAGACTTAGTCATTGTTATTGATGATTGTTTGGTTCATACGACCAACAAATTTGAATCAAAATCATCAGAATTTTCCCAAATATAAATATTCTTTAAAACCCGTAACATGGATACAACAACAAGTAAGATCCCCAAACTCGTAAAGTATTTCATTAAAACTATATTACGAATTAATAAAATTTAGATAATCAAAACTTTATTTGATTCGATATTTCAAATATTTATGAATATTTCAATTGCCAAGATCAATATCCTTAGATCTTTTTTAAATTTTAAAGTTACGTCCTTTTAAGTTAATATTAATTTTTCAATTTTACAAAACCGAACCTTGTTTTAAACTCAAACTCGCTCAATCCTGATTGGTTTGGTTTAATTGTTATGTTTAGACTATTCCTTGTATTTGTTTCCATAATTTCTAATTTGGTTGATGTAACGTATCCTTGATATTATACTTTTGTACCTCGAATCTAAACCTGGGGGAATGAAACACATTTTAGCCACCATCGCCGTATGTATAATTCACTCTTTGAACTATTATTATTGGGCAATTCATGTTGTCAATTTTAAGCAATACAATTAGTTTCTTGTTGATCTCTGAGAATTACATTATAATATTTCTTTATTTTGTTTTTTCCAGATCAAGACTCCAAATGTTTATCTAAATCAATTGTTTGCTTTGTTAAACTGAAATTTATATATTATTAAAATTGTACATAAAACTGAAAATGCTAACTAATCAACTATATACACTATTACAAAAACTATCATATTAGGACTTCAAAAATCTTTCATATCAAAGTTATTGAGTTTTTGATGATTCAGATCGTCCGAACACTTTTTTATATGAATTTTTAAAGAATTTGAAAATTGGATCATCATCATAATTATTAACAACAACTACTCCATCTCTTACAATACCTTGTTTTTCATGATCATGATCTTGTTCTAAAGATTGAACTGAATCTAATCTATGATCTCTTAAAAGTAATGAAAATACAATTAATGGGAAACAAAGTACTAAACCAGCAATACAAAGATATCTTTGAACTTCTGCATAAGATAAAACAACTGCTTGTCTTGCAGGAGTTCCCCAGGTATTTTCTAAAATAAATGTAAAAGGTGAATTATAAGCTTCAGCTGCTAAACCTGTAGAATTACTAATATTCATTTCTTGCATTTTATCTAAAATGACTCCATGCATCTTATTCGTCCAAATAGCACCACTAATTGAAGTACCTAAACATGATCCAATCCAATAACTTGCTAAATAAATTGATATAACAATACTCATATATTCATGATTTGTTACAGTTGTAATACTGACTTGAGTTGTATATGTAAAAAATCCAGCACCAAAACCCATTAAACATAATCCACCAATAACACCATTTAAATATTTTTGACTTTCAATTCCATCATTTGAACCTCTAAAATGAAATAAAATACCTAATGAAACAGCCCAACAAATACATCCAAAAATAATAAAACCTTTCAATCTTCTAACTCTTGAAACAACTAAACCTAATAATGGACCAACAATAACAGAAACAAATGAATATAATGATGTGATTCTTGTAGCAGCTTTAACACTTGCATTCATACCAACAATTAAAACAGTATACATAAAATCATTTGGCATATACCAAATCCAATTAATGAAAATTGCAATTAATAATGCTGCCCAAACACCTCTATCTTTAATTAATACAAATGGTAAAATTGGAGATTTTGCAAATTTAGCTTCCCAAAGTACAAAAATTGGTATAAAAACAACACCAATAACTAATGGAACAATAGTTGAAGCTCTTGCCCAAGTAGAAGTAACTCCACCTGCTATTGTGAAAGGAACTAAAATGAATCCTAATACAATTACAATACATAATAAACCAATTACATCTAAATCCCAAAACATATCAACAAAAAAATTTTTCCAAAAAGTCCAACTTAATTTTGAATGAGGATTTAATTTTTTAACTTCTAGATTCAATTGTTTCCATTCTTCAGTTTTACGTGCTTTATATATCATATGAATAAAACAGGCAATGAATGGCAAACAAGATAATGGGAAAATAAATGCCCACATACCAATCCCCCAATTCCATGAATATTTGGCATTTACTGAAGCTTGAACATCACCACTAACCCAAGTATTTATTATAAATGGTAATGCTGGGATAAATACAGCACATAATCTATAGTTTAATGTTGATGCATCTGATAAAATGATTTGAAATAATACCATTACACCAGTAAATCCAATTTGATAAACAACTGCACCACCAGCAAATCTATTAATATCATAAGCTTGTGATTGAATAATTAAACCAATTGAATAAAATACTAATGCAAATAAAAATAATTCAAGTCTACCATATTTATCTGATAATCTAGCATAAAAAGGTTGAGCAACACAACTAATAACTGATTGCATAACACCAACTGTTGTAAATAAAGAATGTTGTTGAAAAGATGAAGTTGCATAATATTGTAAATTTCCTCTAATTGTACTTTCTAAACCATAAGAATAAGCACAAAAAAATATAGTTGTGAAAAATACAATTTTTAAAAATGGTTTATTATATTGAGAATTTAATAATTCAACTCTTCTTATACCGATTGATTTTGTAGTTGTATTTAAAGACTTTCTATAATTATAATTGTCAACATTTTCTCCATTTACTTGTTTAGTGATAGAATCATCATTTGATGAAGTAGTTTGAGTTTTAGCGAAACTTGATTTTTCAGTATGATCTAAATGGTGGTCATTTGATTCATTTTTTGTGATACTATAATTATCAAATTGTTGTTGAGGATTCAGCATCTTCACCACTGCTTTTATTGATAAATGATATAAGTATCAATTATCAATCTTAAATCAATTTAAAGAAACCTCTTGTGTTTTTATATCGATTTTGTATGAAACCTGATCCCTCATTCTAAATCCAGATTTTCAGCCTTAATCAAAAAATTTTATTACTATGACAACATTGCTTTTTGAGATAATAATTTATTAAAGTTTCTTGTCTACTAAGATGCATCTTGTTTCTTCAAAAATGTAACTACTTCCGATTTGTTTGTTTATTTGAAAAATTTTAGTTTAATCATGTAAGATTCATTATTTTAATTTTGTGTGACAAACTAAAAATTATCTTTTTAATCTTTTTGATCAACTTGAAATCTTCAAAGTTTTAAGTATTTTTAAATGAAACAATACTATAGTAATAGGCTAAGTTTAGATTAACAATGTTTGCCTTATGCATAATGTGACTTGTTATACTTCATACTTCAAGACTTTGCATATACGTTTGATGACTGAAAAAGTTTATTACTCAAAGATTGAGGTTTATGAATAATTTGGAACATCAATTAAGTAATATTTAATGACGGAAGATTATTTGATGTAACCCCAAATCCACATATAAACAGTTTCATCGATGACTGATTGATGGTAAACACAACTGCTCGCACTTTTTCATCTTGTACCTTATGAAAACAATAAATCTTAAATCACTTTATGTCAACCAAATTTTAGACGAAACCAATTCCCACCCCCGAAGAGACACAAAAGTTCATGATAATTAAGAAATTTTTCACTTTCCATCTCAATTTTTTGTATCTCAAATTTCCATTCCTCCATGTACAATTAAAGTATTCGTATCGCATCACTAATTTAACTTTTTACTTATACTTTGAAATTAATCATTTTCCTTTTTTTCTTGTTGAAATTATGACCTTTTACGTGATAGGTTAAAATTTTTTATCATGTAATAAATTCCATAATTATAATTAATTTGAATTAAGGGACAATTAATTTCTTTTTATTTCAAGTGATGATTAGTATCAAACATGGTAAATTCAATCCACCATAATTTTGTCCATGAAGTTCATCAATCCTTAAAGTTTCAATTACATTGAGTCTGAAACTGTCAACCATAACTCTAATATGAGCCCGAACTCGGATAATGTAAATCAAACAAAATTTTCTTTAATATGTAGAACATATGTTTCATTACCTAAATGTTTCAGAATTTCTTTTGTTTTGTTTCACACGAAACTACCTACGTGCAATTTTTTTAAGATGTTCCAATCGTAGTTGATATGACCAAATTGAGGAAAAATAGAATCGAGTGATACCTAAGTTCTGTCTTTAGGTCATTTAAAACTTTTTTAACCTTTGAGATAATCAATCAAATAAGGTGGTAAGAATTAGACATGATTAAAATTACATTTAGGTACTATTATCTTGTCATTTTTGATGAATACGGTTTTCTCGATCAACAAGTACAATTGCGTTTTTCACGGAAAAAGAACATTTTGGAGTATTTCTTAACAATTTTAATTACATTGAGGTACGGATGTAAAGACCTAAGTGCACAAATTCAGGACTTTTAAACTATTTGCATATAATTTGCATAAGAATTAAAATTGAATTTGAATATTCACAGAAATATTACAACATCCGTTCAGAATTCATTTATTTTCATCTAAATTAACGTCTCAACAGAACTGAATAAAAGAAAGGAATGATTTTTAAATTAAAAAACCGGACTAAGGATTGCAGTAATATTCATGTACATTCAAAAATATATACACTCTTACTCCCTCTTTAAATCATCAATCAGACCTACAACAGTTTCATTCTTTCTCAATTCTTTTCTTCTTTCAGCTGTAGTCATAGGTTTGGAACCTGTTCTAATTTCTATTTCTCTTCTTCTATTAGCTTCAGCATCTTCTTTAAACGCACGTTCACGTGCAACCGCAATTGCATTCATATTACTTTCATGTTCGGTTCTTACTTTCTTCAAATCTTCATTATATTGTTCAATGGTCTTAATTTCATTTTTAGTTTGACCACAATATTTTTCAAAGTCAACTGGTAATTTTCTTCTCAACGCTAGATCAATAACTTCAGGATATTTTTTCTCTTCTAATGCAAATTTCGCTTTTATTTGTTTTCTTGTTCTATGTGGATATAATTGAGATATTAATGAAAAATCAGTACCAAACATACTAAGAGCTTGATAAAAATCTTTCAATTCTTCTGGTGTCCATTTGTCAGTATATGTTCTTTTACTATATGTAGTTGATGTGACAGGATTTGCATAAGGATTCGATTCTTCTACCGACCTTCCAGAAGTGTCAGCTCTTGGTTTATAAACAACTGCGGATTCTTCACTATAACCCATTTTACCATCAACCATAGTTAATTGAACAGCAGTTGACCTCAGATTATTATCTGCTTCATCATCTTGTAAATCTAGTAGATCACTTCCATTTCTATTTCTAGATTTGTCTCGTTCTTGTTCCTCTCTGATTTCTTGTTCAGTTTTACCTTCATTTTTTAAAGTCGCTTCTTGCAATGAAATACGTTCTTTTCTAGCTCTATCTCGATCCAATTTTCTTTGTAATCTTTTCTCTTTCAACTGCTTTTCTGCTTTTTGAACTAGAGCAAAGTTCGTACTAACTTCACCAACTTTTATTGTAGGTTTACATAAATCAGCCATCGTCATTCCTTCATATTCAAATTTCAATTCTCCATACAAATCCAAATCTTCATCTTTAATTCCCAGGGGTAGTTGAGAAATACTAGTTACAGTAGTAATTAAATTGTCTGGTTCAACAGGTAAATAATCATCTAGCGATATATTTGATATATTACTAAATCCAGTTTCATCTTTGATTTCTTTCTTTGGTGCTCCTTTTCTTCTAAATTTTTTTAATTTATTAGTGGTTGGATCTATTCCAACAACAAATTCTTGACTTATTGCATTTTCAACTCCCAAAGATTTGTTTACTTGGCTTATTGCCTCTTGGTTATTCTTTTCAGGTTCGTTGTCATTCATTATCATACTAATGGGTGCAGCTCCGGGTTTCGATGTGAAAGTTTGAATCACTGGCTGTTGTGCTTGTTGCGGTTGTTGTTGTTGTGAAGGAATTATCTTGGGAGCATTTGCAGACGGCTTTAAAGCTGGAGCTGTAACTGCAATAACTGGTGGAGATGCTAAAGTAATTGAAGGTCTTTTGCTTCTAGATCCACCGACCAGTGATCTTCTTCTTTTAGCTTTTGCAGACGACGTCGGTATTGATATTTTAGCAGAATGATGAATAACATGTCCACCATCTCCATGAGTTCGAAGTGAAATTGATGCGGACCTGCTTCTTTGACCCGGTTGATTTATACCTGACAATCTTCTCTGACTTATAGAATTTCTTCTCGAAACCGGTTTCGATAGATTTTTTTTCAAAACTTCATCTTCTACTTCTCCTTCATCACTATCGATTATGGCTGATTCAGTATTTTGTGTTTTATCCATAGGATCAACATTTTCCTCATTCAAATTTATGACTGGTCTAGTTGCTGTTAAATCAAAACTAGATCTAGGTTTTTTAGAACCTTTGAATTGTGTAGCCGGTGGGGTATCAAATTGTTTATTTTGAGTGACAGAACTTCTTCTACTTGAAATTTGATTTGGTTGACTTATTTGACTTGGTTCTGGTGTGGGAACATCTGATGTTGATATTGGCTTTCTTCTCACTATTTTTTTCACTTTAGGAGTAAACTGACTCCCCTTTTTAACTAAACTACTCATGGTTATTTAATTGTTGTAGTTGAATCTTACTGTTAGATGATATGATGTATATATTGATTTCAAATTTACATGTTTAGGTTTTGTGAGACATTATAATTGAAACAATATTTGACTAGCATAAATTTCATACAAGTCCGAAAAGTACGCTCAGATCATTAAAATAGACGAAGAAGCATGGGAGGAAATGAAGCCAGCTGCAGCTATGTTTGGTCATCAAAAGCTGTTGACAACTGGATTTTGAAACTCAAATTTTTTCAGAATGATAAATTTATAGCGTCATCAAGTGATGGATCAATTCTAGGTTACTCACTAAACAACTTGGCACAGACGCCTCTAATAAATTTTGACAAAGCTCACGAATCAAGTGTAAATGATATGACTGTAATCAACGAAAATCTTATAGCATCATGCTCCACAGATGGTATCAAGATCTGGGACGTACGATCAAATAAAAGTACTCCACAAATACTTTTAGGTAATTCAAAAAATTCAAATTTTTTATCTTTGGCGTCAAAAAATGATTTATTAGCAGGAGGTACAGAATTACAAGGAGTAGACGCTGAAGTTCATATTTGGGATATACGAAATACAGAAAAAATTGTAAAATCGTTTGTTGACTCTCATCACGATGATGTTACATGTTTGGAATTCCACCCTACGCTAAATTATTTAATGTCTGGCTCAACGGATGGATATGTCAACATATACGATTTATCAAAAGTAGATGAAGAGGATGCATTACATCAAGTCATAAATTTTGGCTCAGTACATTCATGTCATTTTATAACAGAATCAAGAATATCAATTTTGACGCATATTGAAACTTTAATGTTTCATGATTTAAATGATACTAATTATGAAAATTTGGAAAGTCCAAAGTTTGAAGATTTAGGGGATTTGAGAATAAAATGGCCTCTTAATGATTATGTAATTGATTTAAATCCCAGTGGTTTTGTTGCATATGGTTCCAATACAAATAATAGTGTATCAATTCTTCCATTCAACCCAGTGAAAGAAAAATTCAAAGAATCTCGAATAATTCATTTACAAAATGCTCATAATGATGAAGTAGTCAGAGACGTCATAGTAAAAACAAATACGACTCAATGCCTTAGTTGTGGAGAAGATGGGAAAATAAAGTTATGGGAATTGCCTCATGTTTTAAAGTCTTACTCTTTTGGAGAACAAATAGATGAACCCGTACTAGTGACCTCGCCTACATCAGAGAAAAAGAAAACTTCTAAACACAAGAAGGAGCATAAAAAGATAAAAGATCAAAGATTCAAACCGTATTAGAAATCTATGAAATTATTTATGTACAATATTAATTTGATTTTTAAAATCTTTTGATGATATCGTCAATGACTTCTTGTGTGGATGATTTTCCTCCTAAATCAGGTGTTTTAATTTTATCTTCAGCTAAATTAGCATCGACAGCTTCATAAATTTTGGCAGCTGCTTCTGGGTAACCCATGAATTCCAACATTAAAGCTGTGGATCTGATAGTAGCAATTGGATTTGAGATTCCTTTACCTTCGATATCTGGAGCTGAACCATGACAAGGTTCACCAATTGCAAATGATTCACCAACGTTTGCTGAAGGAACTACACCTAACGATCCAACTAAAGCTGCAGCACCGTCACTTAAAATATCACCATATAAGTTTGGAGCTACTACAACGTCGAAAATTTCTGGTTCTCTGAACATACGATAAACCATTGAATCAACAATTTGTTCTTTATGATCTACACCTGAATATTGATCTTGATTTGAATCATATACTGATTTACATGATTCACGGAATAATCCATCTGATTGTGATAAAACATTTGATTTATGAGTAACAGTGACTGATGGTTTTGAATGAAGTTGTTCTCCTTTTGAATTTTCTCTAATGGCTTGTCTTTGTAAAGCAATTTCATAAGCCATTTTAGCAATTCTTTTTGATGCAGTTTCCGTAATTCTTTTGATAGCTTCTGCAACTTTTGTCCCATCTTCAGCTTCATAAGTTTTTTCTTCTTTAACATATAAATCTTCGGTATTTTCACGTACAATAACCATATCAACTGGTCTACCGATTCCTTTGACTGACTTGACTGGACGAACATTTGCATATAACCCCAATTTTTTTCTCAATGCAACAATTGGTGAAGAATATCCTTCAACTTTTGTTGTTGGTGAACTTACTGCTCCAAATAATGCACCGTCACATTCATTTTTTAAAATTTCAACAGTTTCCTCTGGCAATGCAGTTCCTGTTTTCTTGAACAATTCAAAACCAGCATCTAAATTTACAAATTCAAAATCTAAGTTATACGAAGATGGTAAATTTTCCAAAACTTTTTGACCTGCTGGAATCACTTCTCTACCAATTCCGTCACCGGGAATTAATCCAATTTTCAAAGTTTTTGATAATGTAGATGTAGTAGAAAAACAACGACGTATTGAGGTTCTAGTAGCTAACATTTTGAAGATATTAAAATTATTGAATGGCTAGTTTTTCAATTGAATTATGACGTGCTTGAAATTTTATATTTATAGTCTTACATTAAAATATTTGACTGGCGGTTATAGAAATAATTTTTCACTTACACAAAATCAAGCGATTAATACAGTACTTTAATAAGAGCGCCGTAGTGACTCATTTGGCTCCAGGTATAGGTCGAATTGTTTCACAATGGTTATGGTTGTTCAGTAAAAACGTCACATTATCATTACATTAAAATATTATGGTCTAATATTCTATACATCATTTTATATATACAAGAAAGAATGAACTTTTTATTTATTTCATTTACTCCTCAGTCTTAACGACACCAACTTTAGCTGGTCTTAAAACTCTGTTGTTCAATGTATAACCAGTTTGTTGAACAAAGAAAACGGTACCTGGTTCCTTATCTGGATGAGCAACTTCAAAAGTTGCTTCATGTAAGTTTGGATCAAATGGTTCTCCCATCGGATCTATTTTTTCAACTCCAAATTTACCTAAAGTCTTTTCAAAAATATTTCTTGTCATATCAACACCATCATATAAATTTTTAACTTCTTCATTTGATTTTAATGTATCTTCTTTTACATGACCCAAGGCTAAGTTAAAATTATCAACTGATTCTAATAATTCTTTAGCAAATTTTTGTAATGCAAAATCTTTAGCTTTCTGAACTTCTTTTTTAGTTGTTTCTTGTAAATGACGAAAGTCTGCTTTAGCTCTAGTATAGTGATTTTTCATTGCTGCAAGATCTTTATCTTTTTTATCTAACTTTTCTTTTAATAATTTAATTTCGGGGCTTTCAGTTGATTCGGTTTGAGATTCTTCTGATGGAGTATTTGCATTGACTTGTTCTTGGTTTTCGTCTACCGCCTTGGATTCGTCAGATGTTGGTTTTGTTGAATTGAAACGAATGGCAATGTTGTATGGATTCGATGCGCATATTTGAGGAATGGGACTCAACCTTAAAGTTGACGATCTACACAAGCCGTTTGATCTCTTCAAAGACTGTATCAAATATCTTTGCATTGTGATTGGAAAAATTGTAGTTTTATATGATTATTCTGCCTTAATCTTTTTGAATTAGATGATGCAAACTTGATTGCCAATTCTATTTCTTAAACAAGAGATTCGAAAATTTTTCTAAAAACTTCTGAAGATGCTACCATCTTAGAGATATGAAACACTGACCAAATATTTGGTAATCCTATCTGTTAATTTGGTCTTCAACTGATTGAAATGGGCAAAAAGGGTCAATTGGATGTGTTCTTGATTTCGTTTTTTATTTACAAGATGGGTGTTAGGTAAAAAGTTCAATATCATGGAGTTTAAACATAAGTACGCGAAGTGTCTTTTGACCGAAGTTTTGAATGATTAAAGGTTTTGATCCTGGGCTCAATGATTCAAGTGTTGCAGTCGGCTTGGCTCACATATTTTACTTCATTACATGGTAATGCTTGTTATTGATTCATTTGTTCGTGAAACTTTGTTTCAAAATTGAATCTTACAAGCGAAAAAGAGAGGAAGAAAAAAATTTCCGAAATAACTATTAACAAACCATCAAGCTTGAATCCATCAATTACTATGTTTAGAAATCTGGTGCGTTTGCTCACATCTGGACGACCTATTAGTCTTAGGTTATCTCAAACTCAAAATGCTATTTTGACACCAAGATTAGCATCAAAACAATTTATAGAACCAGATACACCACAAAAGAAAGAACGTAAATTAAGAAGAAGAGAGAAAAGAATGAAGAAACAAATAATAAGAGATGTGAATACTTTGAAACAATATGATGCAAAAAATGTTCCATATCAAGTCGATCCAGTTTTAGGTGATCGTAGATCAAAATTTTTTTCAAGAATATTGGAGAAGATTGAAGATCAAGAAACAAAATTAGCAAATGGTATAGATAGAGTAGAGTTTGAAAAAATTTTATTTGCTGCTGAAAAATTGTCATTGGAGAAAGCTTCAAATAATGAAGAGATTAGACAAAATGTAAAAGCAGTTGAGGAAAGTAAGAAAAAAGCAGTATTAACTATACTAAATTTAAAAAACACTGACTCGAAAGATAAAAAGAAATTAGCTATACAATATGCAAGAGAGGAACTACAAAGAGAACCTGGTGACACTGCATCTCCTGAAGTTCAAGCAGCTGTAATGACAGTCAAAATACATTTTGGAATGAAACATATAAAAGCGAATAAAAATGATCATGCAACCACTCAAGTAGTTAGAGAATTAGTTCAGTATAGACAAAAAATTTTGAAATATTTGAAAAGGAAAGACCCTAAAAAGTATTACTATGCTTTAGCCAAATTAGGATTGACAGATGACGTTATTGATACGGAATTTTCCATGGGTAGACAATACTTACAGGATTATAAAATCTGGGGTGACAAGGTATTGATCAAAGAAACACAAAGTGAGAAGAGAAAGAATAACAAGATTAGACAACTTAGAGAAAGAGTTAGTGGTTATCATGAATTAGCCAAGAGAAATTACGAAATAATGAAGAAAGAAAAACAAGCTTAGACTAATTAGTTATACCCATTGTAAATAATAAATATATAAGTCAATGATGTTTTTCACTGATTTTGATTAAATTATCAAACTGTAGCGGTACTGGATTTAAAATTTGTGCTTGACTTACTATGGGATCCAAAATATCTTGAATTTGATTAGATAGTAGCTCACTTTCTTTTGTCAAATTCCTCAAAGATTGCACGTATTCGTCATTGTCTTTGCATAGTTGATTATATATGAGCTCTAGTTGACCCAAAACATCCTCTTTATTGCTCAAAATTGTGGAATCAATTAAGTCTTTAGGTGATAGTTGGTCGATGTGAGTTGTATTTATATCTCCCAATTGCTTCCTCTTTTGAGCCAGTGAAACTATATCGTCTAGATCAGACAACTTTTGCTTGAGCCCATATTCATCATAAATAGTATTAAACTCAGCTATCGTATTATCATGAAGATATTTTTGAAGTTGATCAAGTCCTATTTTTAAATCTTTTGAACCTGTTTTTGATTCCATTATGGTGGGATAACATTGTTGTATTTGTTCATCTGAAAAAGACGTTTTAATCACTTGTTCCACTGCTTTAATCCCTAGTACCTGTAATCTATCATACCGTATCTTCTTTTTAGTGTTGCTCATGTTGAAATTTATCTAAAGTATTGATGTTTTGGTTATCTATAAACTTTTCTGGTAGCCACTTTTTGTGTGATAAAAAAGATCATAATAAGATTTCTTAATAGAGTAATGTACAACTAATATTGTATCCTCTACCAACTAGTTCTTAATTCAAATTACACAACAATGTCAGATCCAAAATCATTAATAGCGGAAGCAGAAAAACTACTTAAACCTCAACTGGGTTTTTTCTCATTCATATCTGGTTCTAGTCAATCAATGAGAAAAGAAGATGCAACAGATTTATACATTCAAGCAGCAAATAGTTATAGATTGAAGAAAGATTTTAATCAAGCAGGAAATTCATTTTTAAAAGCTGCTGAAATCCAACAAAGTTTGAATAATCATAATGATGCAGCAAATCATTTAGTGGAAGCTTACAAATGTTTCAAATCAAATTCGCCAAAAGATGCAATAGATGCACTTACTAAAGCAATTCATATATTTTTAACTCAAAATGGTCAATTCAGAAGAGCAGCCAATTTTACAATGGATTTAGCTGATTTATATGAGAGTGTTGATGATGTACCTAATGCAATCAAAAGTTATGAGCAAGCAGGTGATTATTTTCAAACCGATAATGCAGAAGCTTTATCAAATAAAGCATTTTTAAAATGTGCTGATTTATCAGCTTCAAGTGGAAACTATAAGAAGGCGGTTGAGCTTTATGATCAAATAATTAAAAATTCTTTGAATAATTCATTAACAAAATGGAGTTTGAAAGATTATATTTTTAAAAATTTATTATGTATTTTGTGCCTTGAAGATATAGTAGAAGTTGAAAAGAGAATTGAAAAATATAATGATGAAGATCCAAATTGGTCTAGTTCAAGAGAATATAAATTAATTGAAGGCATATTGGAAAGTATAAAAAATGGAGATGTTGAGGATTTTTCTGATAAAGTTTTTGAATTTGATAAATTTAGTAAACTTGATAAATTAAAAACTCAATTATTATTGAAGATTAAAACTTCTGTGGTCGATAATGATGAAGTTGATATTTTATAGAAAGGTATATGAGAAGTCACGCGTAATTGGATTGTATTTTTGTTTAATAAACCATCTTTTTTCTTCTTTCATTGAACTTCTGTCTAAACTAATGTACTCATTAACATAGATTAGTGAACCTGCATATAGGATGAAGGTACTAATACTGATTGATCAACAATACGTAAAGTAAAGAGGAATCGTTCGAAGTAATAAGTTTGAAAGGATAACCAATGACTGTTAGTATAAACTTGAGATTAGCAAAATATAAAATATCAACACCAATCAAAATATATATCATAAGTGTAGATGGCTAGTTACATATAAGTTATATGAAATATTTGTTCCCTTTATTTATAAAATTACTTGTCTCACTATTTGTCTCATTTTCAAATGTTGTGTCACAAAAACATCACCAACTTTTTTTTCATAAAAATTACAAGTTACGAGATATTGAAATTTATTAAAAAAATAGATAAACAAGGTGAAAACATATAAAATTGGAATATTTAAATTAAATTTGGATTGAAGTAAATAGATTTTACCACTCAGGAGAGATTACACAACACACATCACTCAAACAAATTTAGATATTGAAATTTATTAAACAAATTGATAAATAAGATATAAACATATAAAATTAGAATATTATTTTGGACTGAGGCGGAAATTCACTACTCAGGAAAGATTGCATAATATGTATCACTTAATGAGCAACAAGACCGACAGTCATTCTCTCATAACGATCCTTAGTCCATCTTCTAAAGGTTTTACCCCAGAAAATCAATATAAGATAAGATCCATTGATTATAAGAGAAAGCATGAACATCAACCAGGTAGTAGTATAAGTACCAGCTGCATCCATCCAAGGTCCGATACCAAATGTAAAAGCCATACCAATCATATTTCTGATGAACAACATCAAGACTATGCACTCAGATCCAAGCTTGCCATAACATTCAACTGCATACACTAAACTGCAACTGCCCAGACTGGTCATTGCAAAACCCATAAAACCCATTCCAATCACTACTGATATAGTCCAGTGAGATCCGTAGTATGCACCTAAACCAAAAGCTAAAACACCCGCAGCGTTTAAAACAGTAGGGACAAGCATAGCATGTAATCTATGCTCTGGTTCCAAAATACCATGATTTCTTCTTGCTAATTTAACAGCTAACCAATCAATAAATGGACCACCATAAAACATACCAACCACATTTCCAAAAAACATACCTAATGTTGTTAAACCAACTATACCAACACTGAAATTATATGGTGGATTAGAATAAATAGCAGCTTGTAAGTTAACAATAAGTGAGATCCAACACATTTGACCACCATAAATAATACCACCCCAAACAACTGCTGGAAAAGTAATTAAAGTGAAAGGTCTAAGGAAAATTTGAAACCAAGATCTTTTATCATTATATTCACGATGAACCCAATTTCTATTTTCCCAATAAGTTCTTTTTGGAAGTTCTGAACTATTGACAGATGCAACTTCAATTTCAACTTGTTCTTTACTATCTTCCAGGGTAGCAACTTGTTCATTAGTTTCATTTGATTTAATTTGTTTCAAAATACCTTCTTCTAATGAATCTTCATTATTTTTTGAACCTCCACGTCTAAAAGTAGAATCTTCCATGAAGAAAATTTGAACAATCAATAATGGTACATAAATCATGATTTGAACATAATAAGTCCAACTCCAATGCATTGAATCAGCAATGTAACCTGCAGCAACTGGGAATAAATCAGAACCACCATATAAAGCCATGACCAACCATGAAATAGCAGTAGATCTTTCATGTTGGAAAAACATATCAGTAGATGAAATTTCAACTAATGAATCAACTGGAGAAGCAGCAAGACCAATAACAATCTTAAAAGCATAAAAGTATGCAATATCTTTAGTTTGTGAACCAAAAGCACAAGCAACAATTGATAAAATTGTACAAACATTATAAACAAATTGTTTACCTAATTTCAAACCAGTTGGTTGAATGATTGTAACACCAGTACCTAAAAATAAGAAACCTAAACCTGATCCAATCAAAATTTGATTTAAAGTAACACCAAAGTCTTCTATCCAAGCAGTATAAAGTGGTCCCATAAAATTGAAAGAACCAGCAACCATGAATCCCCAAAACCAAATTAATGAAAATTGAAATGCTCTTTTTCCTTTCGACCAAGTTAATGGATCATTTGGATTATTGGTTGGTTGAGGATGTAAAATGATATCTCCATCTCCAGCTTTTTTAACATTTAAATTTTGACCAATATCAACTAAATGAACTGTACCAGGTAAAATTTCATAATTTTCGATTGAAAATGGTTCTTTTGATTTACCCATATTTTAATTTTATATATTCTTATATAGGAGTTGTTTGTGAATGAAAACTAAATAAGTTAAAATTTGAAGTCAACGGACGCTTGAATCATTATATACTTTTTGATTCCCGCCATTATCATCATATGATATGAATAGATATCAATCAAATTATTCAATAGATATTGTGTTTATTATTCATGAACCCAAATCTTGCAATCTTGACTGATACCAAGAAATAATATTTTTTTAATAACTTAGAATGCACAAAGAAGGTATAACCTACAGAATGTTGCATTAGCGGAGACTAAATCTTAGATCTCGCAAAATTCGAATGGATGAAGTGGTTCCAGTCTTTAGGTATCTCTTCGAAATTATTTAAAGCTTAAAAGTTGAGTGGAGCATAGACACATTGATGATGATGACCTCCAACATTTGTTCTCGAATCCCATTTGCACGCCCTCAAAGTACCTTATCAGATAACGTGAAGCTAATTAAGGGTACAATTATTCCAAGAAACAATCATAGCGGTTAATTTTTCCAATTCAAATCTAAAAAGCTTGATAAAGTTCTTTAAATCTTAGTAACATCAACTTCTAGTTGTTTAAACTATAATATGAAACAATTGATAATCTATTGATTACATCTTCTAAAATACCTCGACCAAATATTATATTTCAAAATGGTTATCGTATCCCGGTTACTCAAAGGGTAAATAATAAATTATTTTCTTTTCCTCCCAATCTCTCCAAATAACAATAACAATTACGATTATAGTAATAAGTAAATAAATAAAGAAAAATTGATAAAAAAAAATACGATTTTCTTTTTCTGCTATCCTTTTATTATTATAAATCTGAAAAGACTAACATTATCATACAGAAAAAATATTTATGGGGAGTATTTCATTATTGTAAACCACAAAAGAATTAGAAAGGTAAGAGAAGCTTGGTTGTATTGAATTTTTGTTTTTAATTTCAAATAAGTTGTTGAAAATTAGATTTATGCAATCAATTTTCACTCAAATTATTTAAAAATTATTTACATTAGTGGGACATCAGATATGAAATGTCCCACAAAGATCAAACTTTGATAAGTTTCTTTGTACTAATTTTAGATAAGATAAGATAAAATAAATCACCAGAGTAGAGTTAACTACATTAAGATTATTGAACGGAACTTTTTATCGCTTACGTCTAAATAACTTCTATGTAGGAGGAGGAAGAATCAAGTGTGGGAGAATAATTTAGGTTGTTCATGACTGTCATATAGTTGTGGGGATCTTTTGAAGTGAACCTTTAGCCCAGATTTTTGAAAAATATTGAGACGATATTTAAAAATAATATTAGCCTAAATATATTTTTTTAAAAAAAATGGAGTAAATTTTTGATTCAGCCGTTTCACCACATTATGAATAAAATTGTATCTGAAAAGAAAACAAAAGACATGAAGCCTTTTTGTTCTAATCGAAACTTAAATGATTGAGATTTGAATACTTCAAAGACCCACAAAGTACTGTTTTTTCTGACCTATTTGAATTGTGGTGACATTATATGTTAGTGGTGTTTATCTGTAAAACATTATTCTGAGAAAAAGCGTTGCAATTAATCATCTACAAAATATGGACCAAAAGTTGTATCACGTAGTTATAATAATAACTAGTAGTGACTAAAGTCAAAAAATTCAATATATTAAATCCCATTTGAAGAGCCTAATTTTATCTATGTTTGAATAAATACATTGCAGCTACAATTTTCAACTCAACTATTTGAATTTGTAGTCTAAAATTTGTATTGTCTTTTATTTATTTGCAAAATTTATTTGATATGTTTCAAATTTGTTTCATGTTTTGTACAATGTGCACTACCTCTCTTACATTTGTTTTGTTTGTTGATCTCTCTAAAAAATTTATATTTACATTTCTATCAAAATAATTTTAAAACTTAATAGTTACTACAATATAATTATGAAGACTAATTAAATTTAATACATCAATTAATCATCTATACATACCAGGTACCTATAAACGACTCATAATTAAATCGAATTTTGTTCATTAGATAATCCTCACTCAATTTAGTTAATTCACATACTAATTCAACATCCATATATATACATAAATATATTTATACATTAAGAATCGAAAATTACATTTACACATCATGGTTCAAGTATGGTGCTGCATCTTTTGAATCAATTAAAAATTACAAATAATCATGTATACTCCGACATTATACCGAGTGACTTAAATAAAAGGAGTCGAAGGATCAAGAATTCAAACGATTATTCATTAAAACGAATGATTAAAAAGACTAGAGAAGTTGAAGAAGATTTACAACCTATAAGAAAAAAAAGAAGATTATTGAAAATCATTGATAATCAAACTAGAAATAATGAAAATAATGATCAATATTTTGTCACTTTAAAATATGCAATGTCAAGAAAGGATCTACCGTACAAAGGAGTTTTAGATTTTCCCGATTGTATAATAAATGACACTGACCCAACAAAAGAGGATAGAATGAAATTTGAAAGATTCAAGCTGGAAGGTATTAATCTACGAAACCAAAAGCTTAAACCTAACCAAGAACAAGATCCATTGCAAGACAATAAACCTCTCCTGTCAAGTAAAGAATCAACTCCATCAAATATAGCATTAAATAAATCAAAAATCAAAAAAATTGTATTTAGAGATTACGAAATCAATACTTGGTATATCGCACCATACCCAGAAGAATATTCACAATGTGAAACATTATACATTTGTGAATATTGTTTGAAATATATGAGTTCTCCTATTTCATATCAACGACATCAATTAAAGAATTGTAATTACTCAAATCATCATCCACCGGGTACTGAAATATATAGAGATTCCAAAATTTCAATATGGGAAGTTGATGGTAGGAAAAATATAAATTATTGTCAAAATATATGTTTATTGGCAAAGCTTTTTCTAAATTCCAAAACTTTATATTATGATGTTGAACCATTTATATTTTATGTGTTATCCGAAAGAGATTTACAAAACCCTTCAAAACATCATTTTGTTGGCTATTTTTCAAAAGAAAAATTAAATAATCTGGATTATAATGTTTCTTGTATCCTTACATTACCAATATATCAAAGAAAAGGATATGGAAATCTTTTAATTGATTTCAGTTATCTACTTAGTCGAAATGAGTTTAAGTTTGGAACCCCCGAAAAACCATTAAGTGATTTAGGTCTACTAAGTTATAGAAATTATTGGAAAATAGCAGTTGCATATAGATTAAAACAATTATTTGAAAAATATCGAGACAAAAATTTTCAAATTACATTAAATGTCCTATGTAAATTAACAGGTATGATTCCTGCAAATGTCATTATTGCATTAGAACAATTAGACGCTTTATATGAAAATTCAAATGGTGAATTTGCCATTGCTATAGATTTACCGAAAATAAATGATGTTATTAAAAAATGGGAAGCAAAAAATTATGCAAAATTAGACTATTCAAAATTATTATGGAAACCTATGTTATTTGGACCAAGTGGTGGAATCAATTCAGCACCAGCTATGGTTTATCAAGCTAAAACTGCAAATAACGTCCCACAAAATAGTATATCGTTAATATCGGATTTTTTGAAAGATGATATCGATAATCCGAATACCTTTGAAGAAGAAGCTATGAAAGAAATTAATGTGTGCTCAACTAATGAGTTGAAAATTCAAAACCTGACTCAAATGAGTGATGATTATGTTTTATGTAAGGAAACTTCAATAAGACCCAAGCTTCAGGCAAAACCATCAAGTGAAAGTGAAATTTTTGAGGAGATAGATCAAAGTTTTGATGACGCGTCAGATTTAGATGTTGAATCAGAATTAGAATCAGATGTAGGTTCAGATGTAGGTTCAGATGTTAGATCAGACGCTGGATCAGATGCCGCAACTGATGACGAATCAGATGCCGAATCGGAGGAGGCGGTCGAATTGGAATCAGATACCGAATCAAAGGTTGAATCGGAGGAAGAGTCAAACTCTGATGCAGATTAGTGTTTCCTGATTTGAAGGTAGAAAGTAAGAAAAAGAACATTACTTTAGGCAGCTAGAATGTAAAACAAGGTAGGGAAAAATAATTTTGAGAAAAGACAGTCGTAATATTTCAATGTCATTATGATCATTAATTATTAAACAATTTCACAGAATTGTTATAAATAGTATCTATAAAAATTTCTATATCTTTTTGTTCTGTAATACCATGCAATTTACATAATACTTCGGCAACCTTACCAACTTCAACTGGCTCATTTCTGGATTTGATCATAGGAGAACTTAGTATTCCAAATCTAAGTTCACTATCTTCTGATTTATTTCTCTCCACATAATCCGAATGTTTTTGATAATGTTCTTTTTTAATTGATGGAAATAGTAAATGATCATCTAACTTGAATGTTGATTTTTCTAGACTTGAAGTTTGATCTATTGTTGATGATTCTATCTTAGGATAAAAAATGTTGGGATATGGGGTAATGTATTGATAACTTGCATGACTTTTTCTAATTTCACACCAAGGAGAATCTGTTTCAATCATTAATTTATCTACGGGAATCTTCGAAGCTACTGTCAAATTATCTTCTGTTTTTAATGAACACCCATTGATACCTATATAAAATCCCAAGTCTAGTAGCTTTTGTAGCTCATCCTCTGTGCCTGTGAACGAATGTACAACTCCAAACCCTCGAGGTATAACTCCACTATCTACGTATGGTTTGATTATCTTGACAAAGTCATCACATGCAGCTCTCATATGTAAAAATAAAGGTATTTTAAAATCAATTTTAGTTAATATATCCAATTGTTTTTGGAACATTGTGGTTTGTTGATCTTTCGTTGAATAATGCAATCTATCATAATCTAACCCAATCTCTCCAAATGCTTTTATATGATTCAATTTATAACCTTCTTTCAAAATTTCTGTTAATTCTTCTAATTTTGAATCAACATCTTTTCGTAATGTAAATTCATTTTCATAAAATTCTTCAGCAACAGAGCAAGGATGTACCCCAGCAGTTGAATAAAATTGGTTTGAATAATTTTTACAAAGTTTGAAATGTTCTTTACTTTCCTTTATCGTAGATGCAGTAATTAACATTTTTTCAACATTAAATAAATGAGCTCTTTTTATAATTTCTTCTATATCACATGGATGCTTTTTCGTACTTGATCCGTTATAATAACCTTGAAACATTGCATCTGAAAAATTTACACCAATATCATAGTATCTTGGTTTCCATGACTGTGACATTTGACGTTTAATCAATTTAAAAGCCATATAAAGACCTGTTGTGAAAAGATTCTGAATAAAATAATTATTTGCAACACAAAAGACCTATATCAGTTGATCGATTTAGTAGGTCATGGATGACTTAAATCGAATACTATCAATTGAAGAATCTGCATTGAATAGAAATAATGAAATAGATAGAGTGTTGAAATGTTCTGATCATGACTTTTTTGACATCATGCAATTCAATCCATTGACAATCGAATTTGATGAAATACCTAGTTTAGTTAAAAAAATATATAGAAAGAAATCATTATTAATTCATCCTGATAAATCAGATCACCCACAAGCCTCGGTAGCATTTGATAAATTGAATCAGTCAATGAAAATCTTATCAACCACTGATGAAGATGTAGATGAATACAAAGAGAAAGAACGACTATACTCAATATATAATCATTTCAAAAAAGATAGTGAGATCATAGATTCAAATTTTAATCATGAAAATAATATCAAAATCCGTGAAAAAGTAAATGAGATTCTAATAAATGAATTAGCAGATGAAGAATTAACAAAATTAGCTAAACAAAGTGAAGAAATTAGAAAAAATGAGATGTATCAAAAATTAAAAGATGAAAATAATGCTAAAAGAAAATTGGAGAACCAATGGGAAGAAAATAGAGATGATAGAGTTAAAAATTGGAGAAATTATTCAAATAAAATTGAGAAAAAAAAGAAGAAAAGTAAATTTAATGGTAAAAAATTAAAGAAATTAGCATAAAATGTTTATATGTATTCGGTATAAGCTTTGATGTGCGGCTTTACTTCTTCTTATCATTAGGAAAAATAAATCTAGGATACGTAAAATGCGATTTCATTTTACAATTAACTAACAAAACTTAGTAATTATCACCATTTATTTATCAATTAAACGAATGAATGTAAATTTCACCATCATATCTGTTGGTGTATTGTCATTTTTAACTGGTTATTACACATGTCAAACATTCAGGAATTCTCACAAGAACCTGAATTTTAAAACGAAAAAGTTTTATACATCATCAGATGATGAAACAGATGTAGAAACAGAAGATGAAGAAAGCGAAGAGGATCTAGATATTAATTCAATGGCTTTAAATGAAATACCTGGAGAAGTAAGAATGACCTTGGTGATACGACAAGATTTAAAAATGGGAAAAGGTAAAGCAGCGGCTCAATGTTCTCATGCAACATTATCATTATATAAAAAGGTTACAAATTCAAACTCTGATGCTTATAATCCTGAAATGGTGAAAAGATGGGAATATGGTAATGGACAAGCTAAAATTACCTTGCAAGTACCGAATCAAGAAGAAATGGATCTTTTATATGCGAAAGCTATTAGTTTAGGTATTAATGCATGTATTATTCATGACGCAGGTAGAACACAAATTGCTGCTGGAAGTGCTACAGTATTAGGATTAGGTCCTGCTCCTAAAAGAATATTAGATGAAGTTACAGGAGAATTGAAATTATATTAAAGTATGAAACAAGTAATAAATCTTAGAAGTTTTTAAATCATCTTGTGCAATTTATTTCTTTTTCTTTTTTTTTTCATCGTAGTCGTCAATGTAGTCTTCGTATTGGACGCCTAGCTAACGGATTAATAGCAGAACTTGCTCTTCTTTTTCTATTTCTACCATTTGTCACAACATCATCAACATCAACTAAAGCATTTTCATCATCATCATCATCACTTACTCCAATATCTCCTATTACATCGTCATCATCATCGTCATCATATAAATCATTGACGTCATCTAATCCAATTGAACTTTGTCTAATTTTTCTTGGATCTCTCGAGTGTGCATTTCTATCGTTTCCATTTCTTAATTTTTCTAAATGGTCTATTCTTGACCAAATTTCTCCTTCTGTACGTTGGGGTAGTAGTATTGATAATTCTGCAAATGACAATTCTCTATTCCTCCTATTTATCAAAAGTTCGTCTTCTTCCATTGCCCAAGGTAGATCTAGCTTTTTATTTTGTTGTCTTTTCTTAGAAGTTGTTGATGATGGTAAACTTCTTCTCAATTTTTGTAATTTCTTATTACTAGCTTCAATTTTTTCTTTATCAATCTTTAACGGTTCTTCATTTGTATTATGAGGTATCACCACAGATCCTGATCTGGAGTAATATCCCAGACTTGCTCCAGCTAATGAACCATTTCTTAAGCTGGAAACTGTAGTTTGATGTACCCCTCCAGCTCCACTGATACTAGAGTTTCTTGAAGGGCCACTGATACTGCCTGCTCCACCAAATAAAACAGGTAAGTGAGCTAACTGATTATTCCCCAGTTGATGATGCGGTATGTTCATTGATTTTGAAGGTAATGAAGAAACTGATGCCCTAGTTATAGACAGTATTGACGCCCTATCATCATTTGTGATTTGAATTATGGAATTATTTCTGAGAGCAGATGCAGCAACTGAAATTGAATTGGCGTGATCCTTTATATGAGAAGTTGAGTTTCGTGGTGTTAACGATGATGGAGTTTCAGGATGTGATCTATTATGTGGTAAGTTTATAGTTGGATCTACGGCTAATTCAGTATAATAGCCGCCAGTGCCACCAGGTATATTTATACCCGATCGACTGACTAACTCCAAATCTGATTCTGGAGAATTTTCATAATTTTGATCTTCAGTAGTTTCAATATTATTGGAATCTGTTGTAACAATTGTTGGTGGACCATTATTATTAGGTGATGCAACTGACATTTTAGGTGTGGTAACATTCGAATGAGGTATATAAGATGGAGAATTTGATAGTGCATTTAAGCCAGCTAAAGCAGTGGATATATTATTATCGAAACCTTGAAAACCACCACTGGGAGCGTTGTTGTATTGGTAATTATCTGTTGATTCGGGTTTAGGTAGTGTAGGTGTTTGTGATGGTGTTTGAGTTGTTTTCTTTTTCTTAGACGATGAACCTGAATTTAAAAACTCTTGATTCTGTTTGAACTTATCACCCAATGCAGCAGCTGATTTAGGTAAATTTTTTAAATTACCTGATTTAAGCCGCCTCCATCTGAATTGAGCAGAATTTGCTGTCCTATTTGTGACTATAATCGTGTTAGTATAGTTGATTAATTTTTTAATTTTTTAATAATGATACATACAATGTGATGCTATTTGTTTCCAACCTAGTTTTTGAACCTCCTTAAGATGCATTAGAAGAACGTCGTCTTCTGGTTCCCATGAAGTTGGTGTTTTCTTGACCTTCACATTACTACTCAGATCACTTACTGGGGAATGTGATTGATTTGATTTATCTTCTGTAGCAGTATTATTCTGATCTGGAGAAGCAACCACATCAACATCTCCACTACTCATACTCTCTGGAATATTATATTACAAAACCTCGTTCTATCTTTAGCAGTTTGAAGTTTAAATCAAAAATAATGATACAATATTGTGAATTAAATTTCTTTAAAAAAAACACTTCACCAAAGTATGACGTCTAGGTCTTGAAAACTAGCTAAGTTGCGCAGTATTGGGAATTATGGATAGATTTCGTTGTTGTTGATAATAAAGTTTTTTGACCTTACCCACGTAAAAAATATACAAGGCCGCTCTTTTAATAAAACTCCCGGTATTTAAACTTAAAGTTGTCCAATAAATGATATTTGTTGTCACCTAAAGCTGGCCCTTCGAAATTTGGCAACTATCGAATTAGTGTGTAATTGGTATGTCGGAGTCACCACTAGTTGTGGTGTATGATAAACTTGAGGGATTGACAAATAATTTTTGTAAGCGTTATTTGAACAAACTAGAATTTCTTATTTGCTTTATTTTAAATATAAATGATCGTAGTAGTTATCACTAGAATATTTGAGCGTGAAAATGATTATTGTGTTAAGTATGGATTAATTTACATGCGAGTGAGAATGGAAGTCGTAAATTTAAAGTCTATTCTTACATAATTTTTAATGATGATCTTCCAATAATCATAATTTTATATACAGGTTTAAATTTTGCTATTGATCTATACTGAAGAATTCAAAAGCTACTAATAATTTCTTGAATATAACGAACTTACTATGATAACCCGAGACCAATTCAGCAAATTAAACCAATTTGTCTACGTTATATAGTTCCAACTTTTTCAGCCCAAATTTTCTCAGCCTCAACAATGGTATTATTATTAGCTCTCATCTTATTCATTGTTTCCATGTATTCTTCATATTCGTCACTATCAAATACAATACCTCCTCCTGCTTGTAAATATGCAACTCCATCTTTAAAAACCATTGTTCTTAAGGCAATGCATGTGTCCATAGTTTTACCATCATAACCCCAATGACCAACAGCTCCAGCGTAAACTCCTCTTTTTTCTTTTTCCAATTCTGCAATCAATTCCATTGCTTTAACTTTAGGAGCCCCACTAGTTGTACCAGCCGGAAAAATTGACCTAAAAGCATCAAATCTAGTTTGGTCATCTCTCAATATACCGCTCACCTCAGAAACAAGGTGCATCACATGAGAAAATCTTTGAATAGTTAACAATTTATCGACTTTATTGGATCTAGGTTGACAAACTCTATTTATGTCATTACGAGCTAAATCAACGAGCATAATATGTTCAGCCCTATCTTTCAAACTTTCACGCAATATTTCAGCATTTTTCTCATCCTCTTCATTTGTTTTACCACGAGGTATAGTACCGGCAATTGGATGAGTGACAACTCTATTATTGATGTCTGTTTGAACCAAAAGCTCTGGTGACGCCCCAATTATTTGGAATTCGATTAAGTCAATATAAAATAAATATGGTGAAGGATTAACCGTTCTTAGATGTCTGTATATGTTAAAAGGGTGTAAATTTGTAGGTCTGGCAATTCGTTGAGAAGGTACTGCTTGGATTATATCACCTTTTAAAATATGCTCTTTTAAAGTCGTTACATGATTTTCATAACCTTGTTGACCAATGTTGGATGTGAAAGTTTGTCCTAGCTTTATTGGACCCTGATTTGGTTTTACCGAGTCATTTGATAATAAGATTTTCTCGATTTTCTCTATCTCAATAGTTCCCTTCTCATATTCCTCAGTTAGATTATGAGTGTTGTCTATTTTGATATTATATATTATCTGAAATCTTTGATACACATGATCAAATGCAATGACCAAATCACAAAACATGAATACTGCCTCTGGTAAACCCAAAACATCTTTCAAAGGTCTTTTCGTTTTAGGTTCGAAATATTTGATACAATCGTACGAGATATATCCCGTAGCTCCTCCACTATATTTTGGTAAACCAGGTAATGACGCCTGCTTATACAGACTTAACTCTTTCTCTAAAATAGTGATTGGGTCAACATCACAATATTGTTCCGGAAATTTATTTGGATCGTCCCCAGTTTTTATAATTCTCGAAGGATTTACTCCTATGAATGAGTATCTATCAACTGTATCACCTTTCACAGAAGATTCAAATAGGAAAGATGGACTTCTTTCTTTGTTATTCACATCAGCTAATTTCAAATAAGCTTGGTGTAGAGTGATTTCATTCTGACTCACATACTTGAAGATTGGAAAAATATTGGCTGATTCCGTGTTTTGACTAACTAACTTTGTCAAACTTTCAATTGAGGGTTGGACTGGTTTCGACTGGTGTCATGTTAGTATAATTATTTAAAAAGCAAGCAATCAAGGTTTGAGATTAATACGTACCATTTAATTAATAAATATTGGATAATGCTGCAGAGTGAGACGAATGTTTCAGACTGAAAAATTTAAAAATGTTTAATATTATGCGAAGTAAAAATATTACATCATGATAAGATATTCAGTTGCAAAATATTTTATACATACATCACCAATGATCCGCCTCCAAACAATTATATGACAATAAGATGAGGAATATAATTAACAAAGGTCTACGGCATGTCCGTTTTGCCTCTTTCATCCTTGCAAAATCGAGATTCATATCAACTCATTCCAAATGTCTCAATCCATACTTAAAACCATTAAAATATTTTCAAAATAGTTATAGGCAGATAAAATCTGAGAGTCTTTCAAAGTTAGTATCCGAAGTTAATGTTCCTAGTGTGGAGCCAAAGGATTTTCAAGTAATCGTCGATGAGAGCAATTCAAATGTACCTCAAATAGGCTCGTTTGTTGAATTTCAAAACGATCAAATCATGAAGGCTGGAATTGTCGTTCAAAACCTTCAGGCTAGATTTGATGAGAGATTTAATCATTGTTTAGTGTTGACTACGGAGAATGATATTTTGCAAGTTAAACCTATTGACGTGAAATTTCAACTCCACCAATTCATTCCTAACAATTTTGTCAATTTTGATTCCATAGTACTTCAAAGGCATGATCTTAACCATAAGGACCGACAGTTGACATTGAAATGCCTAGAAAGTTTGATACATGAATCCAAAATATTCAAGCGTAAAACATCTGCTACGTTCAACAACCTTTTTAGTCAATTTGCACAAGATCAAGTGACACCTGTTACAATATTGGATATTGTTGATGCGATAAGATTGAGGGAATCTGACTTAATGAGAATTGCATCATCATTATTTTGGCAGCATGTATTCCTATATAGTATTCATTGGAATATAATTGACTCCACGTCATGGTTAGCACCGAATTATTTTGAGGTCAATACGGCTTCCAATTTAGCCCTCTGGCACCATTCAAACAATTGTCATTCTGCTAGTCATTATTACGTTAATTCCAGAGCGATTCAAAGCAAAGTCAATCAAATGTTGAAAAATTTCGAAGGGCAACATTATGTCAATGAAGTGCTTGAATTCTTAAGAAATATAAGAGGAATGTCAAAGGAAGAGTTAAATATTTATTTGAAAGTATTTGAAGGGAGGCATCATAGCTATATTATAGAGGTAATGAAATTTGCAATAATTTATCCGCACGATAGTATCATGCGTCAATTAAGTAAGCTAGATTTGTCAAATGTTTCTGATATTTACAATTTATTGGTAGAATTGAAAATTTATGATTCCGATACTGACATTTATTTGTCGCTGGGACTATTTGGATCTCCAACCCAAATGAGTGTTTCAAATTCTAGTCAATTGCTGAACCGCGCCTCTCCAATTTTTAACCCAAAGGACAATTTCAAGTATTTAAGAACCAAAAAGTTTTATCACGATCATGTGATATATGGTTTAGGAAATGATGAATCCACTCAATTTGGGATATCTATTGAAACATTAAACTCAAGGAAGTATATCATAAATGTTCATATTCCAGATTTGATATCTTTCATGCCACCTAATTCTTCTTTATTTCAGAACATATTTGGGAGCAGCATAATTAGACGTAAAATTGATTACAACAATGGTTCTTTAAATGAATTGTACTCAAATGAATTTAAAGCCAAGCGAAGATTTAAAACTTATGCAAACTACGTGGAAAATGATGAAGTTTGGGAAAATATTGATAAACCTAAAAAAAAGAGAAGAAACATCTCCGAAGCAACTTGTTTGACCATATCATTTGAGCTCAACTCATTTGATTTGAAAGCTTTTGATTCATTTAAGGGAAAAATTAATATAAGTTTCGACTCTATTTCAAATGTTAATGTTAAAAATGTGAATATGAAGACTTTACAAAAGTGTTTGACTGGAGAATTGGAACCTTCTTTTTTTAAATTACTTAGAATCAATCGAAATATGGAAAATGTGGAATCGGATGTTCGCTTGAACAAAGTTGATATTCATAATTTGAATTATATTTTTCATGTGATGAAGTCATTTTTCAAAAGTAGGCAAATGGCTGGAGCTGCGTCAGTTGGCTTAAAATCAGAAGCTGGGTTTTTGTTAGATGAAATCAAAATTTTCACTGGTTGTCTAGTTGCAGAATTTTGTTCTGAACATAATATACCAGTGATCAACAGGTCACAAAGTTTGGATTCAATCGATTACAATCAGGATAAGGTACATGTTGAACATGATAATATGTTATTTCCCGCTTTCGATTCCGAAAAATATTCTCATAGTATAATGGCTAGAAACATAAATGGTAATATATCTGAAAGTGCAAAAATCATATCCAACAACTACTTGTCCCCTATCAAGAAAAGCTTGACATCTTTTGAGCAAAACACACCGCTAGGTTTGAGACGAGGTTTTGTTGATATTTTCACTATTTTTGACTCTGGCGAAGCATTATTGAATCAATTTCAATTATTGTCCTATACCCACTACATCAATACAATTCAGATGTGTCCCGTAGATCAAATTCAAAATTTTCATCAATTTAAACGTATCGGATATAATTTAAGAGGTCCTTTAAGTCAAAGTCAATTGTCCTCATTAATTAAACCAGATAGTAAAATTTGGGAGTATTTACTAAACAAATATGAGAAGTTGAAAATTTTGCAAATTAATAAAAGCAAACTCCAATGCATAGTTACTAGTGTCATAAAAAAAGACTTAAATCAAGTTGTTTGTCGAGCGTATTGTTTTAAACGTGGCATTGAACTCAAGGTTATAAGCTACAGACAAGATATAAAGATTGGGAGTGTGGTGAAAGTAGAAGAACCTTTAGTGATTGACTTCATTGAAGGAGAGTGTATTTATATAGAAGCAATGGATAATTTATAGATAGATATATATTTAATTTGATGATTAAGTATTACACCCATCTTTGTACTATAACCGCATTTTTCAAATTTGCATCAGCAACTGTTAATTCTTCACTTTCTTCAATTGGTTTCACTGGGAAAGCATGACTCAATGTAAAATTTCTTTCCTTATCACTGTTAAGTTCATGATTTCTGACAAAATTGTAAACTGTTTTAATGCTATCGGTTGAGTTGAATTTATGAGATACTTTTTTTCCATTAGCAAATCTAATTTGAACTAATGTGTCACCATTACCTTGGTCATTTGAAAATTTTGAATCTTGTGTAGCGGAGGATGAGGAGTTCTTGCTCGTTTCAGTATTGGTAGGAGTTGAAGACGTAGTGGTGGTTGCGTTGGAGCTTGTAATTGGTTCCCCAGGAACTGGTGATCCTAATCTATGACCTGATCCATGATAACCTCCAACTTTTCTTTTTGGTGGAGCATAATCTTCATCTGTTCTTTTTGAAACTGTTACGTCAACATCATCTTGTGGATCGACTTGTAAAATATTAATAGGAACTCTTCCTTGTTCTATTTCATTCAATATTCTTTGATTTCTAGGATCATTATAACTGTACAATTCTGAATCTCCAACTGTAAAACCTTGTTTCCAAAACGTTATCTCTCTATTAACTTTTTTTGGTTTTAGCTTATTTAATAAATTTCTCATATTTGCATTTGGATCTTCAACTGGTTCACTTGGTTCATTTCCATCACCTAATTTAAAGCCTGTTCCGGAAAATTGAAATGATTCTTGAGCAGGTTGTCCCAGACTGGACGCACTTGGTCTATCATCAGGCAAATTCATTTGGTCTTTTGCTCTTTGAAAAATTTGATCAATTATACTTTTATCACGATCTTTATTAGGATCTTCAACTTGCAATCCTGATTTTTCACCACCAGTGAAGAAATTATTATTAGTCCGTTCGTCCTCATCATCTTCATCTTCGTTCAAGTCTCGGAATGTCCTAATCCCACTTGATGGTTTTTTTGGTTTGGAGTTGGATTTAGCAGCAGCAATTGGTGGTTGATGTTGCTCTGACGTTTGACTTGAATGTTCATTATTAGCGTAAAAATCTTCAATTGCTTCAACTAAATCTCCATTATTTCTTTGAATATACTGTTCAGCCAAAGATTTTGAAGCATTTGTAATTGATACAAATTCAGCTATTTGCGAATCATCTGACATTATTATTGATGAGTTTGAAGTTGGGTAGTAGAACTAACGTATACAGTAATTGTGTTTTATCCCAAGACCGTATTTTTTTGGTGGCAATCTGCTACCAGCTGAGGTCTCGAATTTTATATGGATTTTACGATATTTTAATAAGAGTCGATTTATTAAATGAATATTGTAGTAGCCTGAATCAATATAAATTACCTTCATTTAAGATCATTGTATTAATTAGTTGATGACAGCTAGTCATGGCGTTGAATGAAGAATAGACAAAATCAAAAAGAGTTTATACCAAAGGTCTCCAGAACTGAACGAAATGATTTAATATATAAATGAATAATACATTAAAAAAAAATTATATAATTAACCGATGTTGAACCTATAAAATAATTAGTAAAAAAAGAATCATTGTGCATAAACAATGATTTAATAATATAAAAAAGTGAATATTTGTTTTGGTGTTTCTTCATAAATCTCGTTAAAAATTACATTAATGTTGAATAAAATGCAATATCAAATGGCAGCTAAGGAATTAAATTAATATTTAGCACGGAAATCTTTAGCAGCATCAACCATATTAGTTAATGATTCTTGAACTTCTGTCCATCCTCTAGTTTTCAAACCACAATCTGGGTTAACCCAAAATTTGTTAGCTGGATAAACTTTCAAAATTTCTTCAATTCTTGATACGAATTCTTGTTTAGATGGAATTCTTGGTGAATGAATATCGAATAAACCTAAACCGATATGATTTGGATAGTCTGAAAATTCTTGAATATAATTTGGATCATCTTTTTTGGAAAATTCAATTGAAACAACATCAGCATCTAAAGCTTTAATATGGTTTGGATCTAAATCAGAATAACAGAAATGTGAATGGATTTGAGTTGAGTTTTCAACACCAGATGTAGCAACTCTGAAAGATTGAGCAGCCCAATTTAAGTAATCTGATCTTTCTTTACCAGCTCTTAATGGTAAACCTTCTCTAATAGCTGGTTCATCAACTTGAATAACAGTAATACCAGCTTTTTCCAAATCATTAACTTCATCTCTTAAAGCTAAACCTAATTGTAATGATTGAATTTTACCTGAGACATCATCTCTTGGGAATGACCATCTTAAAATGGTGACTGGACCAGTTAACATACCTTTCATTGGAGATTTAGTTAATGATTGAGCATAAACTGATTCTTTAACGGTCATTGCTTTTGGTCTTGAGACATCACCGACAATGATTGGTGGTCTAACACATCTAGAACCATATGATTGAACCCAACCGTTTGTAGTAAAAGCAAAACCATCTAATTGTTCACCGAAATATTGAACCATATCATTTCTTTCTGGTTCACCATGAACTAATACATCTAAACCAATTTTTTCTTGGAATCTGACGACATTTTCAATTTCTTGGTTAATGAATTGTTCATATTCATCAGCAGTGATTTGACCTTTAGCAAATTTGTTTCTACTTACTCTAATTTCTTTAGTTTGTGGGAATGAACCAATAGTTGTGGTTGGGAATAATGGTAAATTGTATTTCTTTTGTTGTTCAGCATTTCTTTCTGGGAAAGCGGCTTTTCTGGTAGCTAAACCTTCATTAATAGTTGTTAATCTTTCTTGAACTTTTGGATTAGTTGTGATTGATGATTCTTTTCTAGCTTTGATTGATTTAGCATTAGCTTCTAATTTATCAGCAACATCTTCACCGGAAACATTTTTAGCAATGGTGACAACTTCATCTAATTTTTGGGTAGCAAATGAGAACCAATCTTTGATTTCAGCTGGTAATTTAGTTTCGGTTTCTAAATCGACTGGAGTGTGTAATAATGATGAAGAAGTGGCAACAACAACTTTATCTTTACCAACTTTTTCAATAGCTTTGTTGACAACTTCAGATGCTTTTGCGAAATCAGTTTTCCAAATGTTTCTACCATCAACAACACCTGCTGATAAAGTTTGATTACCATTAAGGATGGAAGCAACTTGTTCCAATTGTTCTGGGTTTCTAACAAAATCAAAATGGAATCCAGCAACTGGTAAATTTTCAATAGCTTTTAAATTTGGAACAACAGTACCGAAGTAAGTAGCTAAAATAATTTCTGGAGCATCACTTGAAACCAAAGCATCATAAGCTTCTTTGAATTTGGATTGAACTGATTCTGGTAAATCTAAAACTAAGATTGGTTCATCAATTTGAACTTGTTCGGCACCAGCTTCTTTTAATTTTGCTAATAATTCTTTATATACTGGAATAAGTTTTGGTAATAAAGAAATTGGATCTAAGTCCAATGAATCTTTATCAGCTTTACCTAAATATAAGTAAGATACTGGACCTAAAATAACTGGTCTGGTTTGAATGCCTAAAGCCTTAGCTTCATTGAATTCGTCAACTGGTTTAATACCGGCAGCAGTATTTAATTTGAATTCAGTTGAGTGTGAAAAAGTTGGTCTAACATAATGATAGTTTGAATCGAACCATTTGACCATTTCTAATGCAGTAACATCAACAGCTGGTGTGGAGTCAGTGGCTTTTTTTTGAAGACCACGACCCATGGCGAATAAAACATCAATTGGAGCCAAGTCATATTTAGTATATCTTTCTGGGATAGCATTGAATAATAAAGATAAATCCAAAACTTGATCATAGTATGAGAAATCATTTGATGGAATGATATCAACACCAGCTTCCTTTTGAGCGGTCCAATTTTTAGCTCTTAAATTTTTACCAACTTCTAATAAATCTTCGACACTTGATTTGCCACCCCAATAACTTTCGGTAGCTTTTTTTAATTCTCTTTGACCTCCAATTCTTGGGAATCCTAATACTGATGATTGAACCATAGTTGATAATTGAATGAATTAACTTGTTTGTTAAAATTTGAAAAGTAATACAGAAAAAGTATGTTGAAAAATTATTTTTCAATTTTCAATAAGTTTTACTCACAACGTGTAAATATCACGTGATAAGAGATTATTTAGTAAGAGAAAAAAATTTATAAAAAGTGAAAAATTATATTGTGTAATAGGTCTGAGTATTTTGATGAAATTTTTAAATTGTTCAACAAAATTAGAAATTGATCGTCCAGTCTATTTTATTATTTCTATTTTGGGAAACGTTAATTCATCAACACGAGTCAAGTAATAAGTAAGTACATTTGAGTGCACATACTTTTGTGTCAAAACAGCATTTGATAAAGATATAAACAGTGTTTCAAAATTTTAGAATAATGTACGAGTAATTCGTCGAAAAGCATTTCATAGTCGAGAAATATTATAGAGCTACATATTTCATTAAGGTCTCTACTTTATGAACAAGCTAGATTCCAAACTTTTATTTCAAATACAATGCCTTAAACGGATTCAGATTCTATCTCCATAAGAATCTGCAATTGATTTGTTAGTCTTTGTGCAAAATGAAAAGGTACACGCCTTTCGTAATTGACCCAAAAATTTTCAACATTCCTTAATGTCAATATCTGGTAATTTTCAGAGGGTAAAAATTGAGAATGACTGTATTTACAAACACTTCTCAAATTTTTATTGATTCCTTGTGACAATTTGGGCGTTAATGTTTGTGAATTTGACTTTTTCGATGCTTTAAAGACTTAAAGTTTTACGATTTTCAAATGAAAATTTTTACATCTCTACAGCAATACTATTTCTCGAACATCACTTTGCCAAATATTCCTTTCAAAAGCATAAATCGTAAAAAGTTGTGAATGAGATGCCATGCAAGCAATTTTTCCATAGCATTTATTTTTGCAGATAAAGTTCTACATCCAGTCATTAGTTTCTCTTCTTCATGACCCGTGGTATAGTAATATTTTCAGATTTTGTCCATAAATTTGTCGCATTTTTAATCGAAGTAGTGAGTGAACATTGCAGTTCATCAGATCTATAATTGTGTGAGAGGCGACAAAAGTTAAAGTTATAAATATTTGATTAGAATGTAGCGGCTTGCACCGTCGATCCGAATGCATGTACTTAGAATCAGTGAAACAGAAGCCATGTGAGACTTTCTTCAAAAATGATGAATAATTCAAATATACGAGGAACGAGCTACTAAATTTGAATTGTTTTGTGTAATAATTTGAAACATTAAGTAAAACATTCAATTATCATTTCTCTCCGCTCAAACAAAAATGGAAAGTAACCTAATTTAACACTAACTTTTGCTTTCGGTTTCTTAAAAGTAATTTCTAAAAGAGTGGACCAAACTTTTTGCAAAACACTTCACTTTTGGAAACTTAGGCATATACAGTTAAAATATTTTGATAAGTACTACGAAAAATTCAGAATATACGTGTTAAATAAATGCGATATAGTAAATATTTGCGTTATTGAAATAGGAGAATTGAATCTATTTAAAATTTATAAAAAAGCAAAATTTTTCAATCTTGTTTATTGATGTTTGGAATTTTTAGTGATTTATTAAATGCAATATGTCTAATTAAATCTCTCAAAAATTTAAAATTTATTTTATCGATGAATGAGAAACAAATGCACAACATGTCCTTTCAATGATAGTAAACAGTCGCGACTTAACATCAGCAACATATCTAAACCTATATTGATTTAAAATACCAAAGTCTAGTTCAACGAGATAGATAGTTGAAGTGATGTGAATCAAAACCTTTGATTGTCCAAATTTTTAATTGCGCAAAATTGAATTGGGACAATAATTTATAATAGATCATTTTCAGACAAGATTAACAATCTATTCTCCAAAATTTAATTTCAAGCTACAACAAAGGAACTGGTTACAAACAGAATTTAATTCTATCATTGTCAATTGTGAAATAGTATTTGTAAATTTCATAAACTATTGTTTATCAAATGATTTCGAGAATTTTTTTGAGTGGCTCAATTTTGAGGGATTTTGAATTATCAACAATACTTCCAAAATGAGGTAAGATTTACAATTTTCAGAACTCGAAAAAATACCTCAAATCTGTAACTCAATAATTTGCTGAAGTGCTGGACATGTGAATCGATACTAATTATAACACCAAAAGGGGTTTTTAATAACTTGAATACATCTCAGTACTAGTCAAGAGATTATCTGAAATGAAAAAGGTATAAAGAACTATGGATTTCTCAAAAAATTTTAAGCAGAATCTGAAAGCAATTCAATTCGAATCAAAAAAATATGGAGTCAAGATATTCAGAAAGTACTATTTCCAAATGGGAAGAAAAGGATCAAGAAGAAGGTATCAAATTTGATGAAAATAATTTAGAAAATCAAGAGTTGAAAAGAGGAAGATCAAGAAAAAGAAGATTTTCAATTCATTCAAGATCAAACAGTTTAAACAAAATTTTTCCAATAAAAGAAAAGTCAGATCCGTCAAATGTTTTACCTGGTATATTCAAAACCATATCTCATAAAGTTGATCTTGAGAATGAACAGAAAGAATCAACTGTTACCTCAAAATTTAGTTCATACACTTATAATCTGGATTCAATTGATGATATTGCTACAAAATTTTCAACAAATTTAATTCATGGATTAAGTGATTATCAATATCAAGAAAATTCAAAACTTTATGGTGAAAATAAACAATCAAAACCTCCAAATGGGCTTTTAAAAAAATTGTTTATGTATTTTTTTGGTGGATTTGGTGCATTGTTGTTAGCTGGTGGTATTTTGTGCATTATTAGTTGGAAACCTTTAGGTAATCCTAATCCTGCTGTTGCAAATTTGGTACTTGGTATAATTTTGATTGTTGTATTTTTAATTCAAGCTGCTTTTAATTTTATTCAAGATTATTCAAGTTCAAAAGTCATGAATTCAATTCATAATCTAGTCGCTAGTGATTGTGCAGTCATCAGAAACGGTAAGCCATTGACTATTGATAGTGTTAATTTAGTGCCTGGTGATGTGGTTAAGTTCAGTCCTGGAGTCAAAATCCCAGCTGATGTGAGGATTATAAGTAATTCACCTGATTTGTCATTTGATAGAGCTATTTTGACTGGAGAATCTAAACCTGTCGTTGCTACAAGTTATAGTGATGAAATCAATTCGAATTATTTGGAAAGTAGTTGTATTGGTATGCAAGGTTCTTTTTGTTTGAATGGTACTGGTAGAGGTATTGTTGTTTCAACTGGAGATGATACAATATTTGGTTCAATAGCAAAAATGACTTCACAACCTAGAAAAGGTTTGAGTCCATTACAAAAGGAAATTTTTTATTTCGTTGCTTTCATTTCAGGTGTTATTTTGTTTCTTGTTATATTGACAATTATCATTTGGTGTACTTGGTTACATAAAGATTGTCCAGATTGGATAAATGTGTCAAATTTGATTATTGATTTAGTTAGTTTTGCTGTTGCAACCATACCTGAATCATTACCTGTTTCAATTGCCTTTGTCTTATTACTTACAGCTTATAAAATGAAGCAGCAACAAATTTTAGTTAAAAGCTTACATATGTGTGGTACTTTGGCTTCATGTTCGGTACTTTGTTTTGATAAAACTGGTACTTTAACTCAAAATAATATGAAAGTTGTTGCTACATGTCTTGGTGATGAAGACGATGCTGAAGTTGTTAAGAATCATGCTTTCACAATTGGTACATTATGTAATGAAAGTCATATTGTCAATAATGTTGCATTAGGAGGTAACGCTACTGATAGAGCAATTTTGCAATACATCGAGGATAATGTTAAAAGTGATACCATTAGAGATAAATGGATTAAAAAATTAGATATTCCATTCAATTCAAAGGATAAGTATATGTTATCATTAGTTGAACCAAAGATTAAGAAATCATTATATGAAGTTGGATTTGAGGAACTGGAAAGTTACTTATTATTAGTGAAGTCAGCACCTGATGTTTTAATTGATAATTGTAAATTCATTATGACTGAAACTGGTATAACTCCATTAAATTTGAAAAAATTAAATTATTTGAAAGATTTACAAAAGCAATGGTCATCAAATGGTAAAAGAGTAATTTTATTATCATCAAAGCTTATTCATAAAGAGGCAATTGATTTATTTGATAGAAATTTAAGTGCTAATATGTTGAAAGATGAAATTGAGTCGGGTCTAATTTTCATGGGATTAATAGCAATTGAAGATCCACCAAGAAAGGCTATTGATAAGGTAATTAATACTTTAAGAAAAGCTGGTATTAAAATTGTAATGATTACTGGTGATTATGAATTAACAGGTGTTTCAATTGCTAAACAATGTGGTATTGTGACCACAGAAAAAGTTGATAAATTAGATACATTAGGTTTAAATAATTTAGCAGTGAGTATAACGGGAAAAGAACTTAATCAATTAAATGAATCACAATGGGAGCAATTGGTAAATTATGATGAATTAGTGTTTACAAGAACTACACCAGAACAAAAGCTATTAATCATCAAACAATTTCAAAAATTCAAACATTGTGTTGGTATGACTGGTGATGGTATTAATGATTCTCCAGCATTAAAACAAGCTGATATTGGTATTTCATTAATTGATGCATCAGATATTGCAAAAGAAGCTGCGGATTTAATTTTAATGAACTCAGATGGAGATAAATTATTTTTATCAATCGTTGAAGCTTTAAAATTTGGAAGACTAGTTTTTGAAAATTTGAAAAAAACAATTGCTTATTTATTACCAGCTGGTTCTTATGCAGAATGTTGGCCAATAATTATGAATGTATTTTTTGGATTTCCTCAAATGTTAAGTTCATTTTTGATGATAATTATATGTTGTTTAACTGATTGTTGTGGATCAATTGTTTTGGCATTTGAAGAAGCTGAAAGTAATCTATTGACCAAAAAACCAAGAATTTTAACAAATGAAAGATTAGTGGATTGGAAGTTAATGTTTCACTCATATATATGTTTGGGTACTTTCTATACATTTACTTCATTCATGGTTTCATTTTTAAATTTGACAAGAAGAGGTTATAAATTCAATGATTTTGCTTTGTCCTTTGGTTCATATGAAAGTTTACCAAACATTGATCATTATTTGGCTATGTCTTCATCAATATATTTTATAAATTTGGTTATCATGCAAGTATTCAATTTAATTTCATTAAGAACTAGACATTTGAGTTTATTTCAACATTCAATTTTGAAAAATAAAAAAGTCATATTTGTTATTCCTTTTGTTTTAATGGTTAATTTTATAATCAATTATATACCTGCTATTCAAAATGCTATGGGTACTAGTCAAATTCCTGTCGAATATTATTTTATTGCAATTGGGTTTGGATTGGTTGTTTTTGGTTGGGATGAATTGAGAAAGTTCATTGTTAGAAAATATCCAAAAGGAATTGTTGCAAAATTTGCCTGGTAAAAAGTTTATATAATCATTAGGAGTACAAACTTTGAATAGACTATATAGTTTCTTGAAATGAGTATATTTTATTTATCATAAGTTGTGTTTTCTCTACACAATTGTGTTGGTAAAATACTCAAATCGTAAATTATGCTGTTTCAAGCACACGATCACTACCAAACGTTATCGCGAGATTTTTTTTCCATCGCTCAATTCAATTTACCAAGTCAAAACCCAATTTAATCACCATTTCTGTTCCCTCTTCTCTCCTTCTTCCCCCTCTCTTCTTTCTTATCGTAAACCACTTCGAAATGTCAACTCCATCATCATATCAATCCAATTTCTTACAATTAGCATTAGATTCACAAGCTTTAAAATTTGGAACTTTCACTCTTAAATCAAAACGTCAATCACCATATTTTTTTAATTTAGGTTTGTTTAATAATGGGAAATTATTATCAAATTTAGCCACTGCATATGCTGAAGCAATAATAGAAAGTGGAATTGAATTTGATATTTTATTTGGACCTGCTTATAAAGGTATACCATTAGCTGCTTTAACAGTTGCAAAATTATATGAATTAAAACCTGAAAAATATGGTAATATTGGATATAGTTTTAATAGAAAAGAGAAAAAAGATCATGGAGAAGGTGGATCAATTGTTGGATGTTCATTAAATAACAAAAAAATCTTAATTATTGATGATGTTATAACTGCTGGTACTGCAATAAATGAAGCCTTTGAAATTATAAAACAAGAAAATGGTCAATGTGTTGGATGTATTATTGCATTAGATAGACAAGAAACAACTATAACTGATTCAACAAAATCTGCAACAAAAGCAGTTAGTGAAAAATATGGTATACCTATATTATCTATTGTAAGTCTAAGTGAAGTAATAACGATTTTAAAAGGTAAAATTGATGAGAAAGATTTGAAATCAATTGAAGAATATAGAAGTAAATATGGAGCTTAAGGTATTATTTATTAATTTTAAACAAAATTATTTAACCTCTTAGTCTCATTATTTTCTTTTTTGGTTGTTTTGGAACATTTGGTTTTATTGGAGTATTTGAAGTTTCAGTTTCTGGTTCTGGATCATAAATTGATTTTGTCATTGGATGTTTCATTGTTAATGGGGAATGTATAGGTACAATTGTATTCATTTTAAAACCTTTAACTTTTGGAATTTCATCAGGTTTAAAATTTGATTGTAAATCACTTGGTAATTTTATACCACTTTTAGCACCAACCGAATCTAAATCTGTTGGATGATCTACTAAATAATCTGATATTTTATTATATAATGTTCTTTTATTTTGAATTTGAGAATTTACTGGTTTATTATTATCTTTTGGATTTTTTAAAAGCACTCTTACTCTTCCAGGATTTCCAAAATCTTGTGGATGTGTTTTATCCAATTCTAATAAAACTGGAAGTCTTAACTTTTGACAAGCATCACTTATTGTTTTAGCTAATGGATTTTCGACTGCTCTATCTATATTAACTTTTCTACCTTGTTTATGAGATCTATTCAAATCGAAATAACAAGGATATACAATTTGAAATTTTTTAAATTCAGCTTCTTCTTCTTGAGAAAATGATTTGGGATCTATTATATTATTTTGTTTATGGATTTGTTGTTTAGATTGTTGTGGAGGTTGATTATTTATTGGAATTTGTGGGAACAATGGTAATTCTTGATCTTGAGACCTTACAATTGATGGTTCTGGTATTTTTGGAGCTATTGGAGTTTTTAAATTTGGATCAAATTCTGCAATGTCCATGTCAAGGTTATCTATATCGTCATCATTGACATCCTCTAATACTGGTCGTCTTGACATTGTGGATACGACTACAATTAATTGATTTTAGGTGGACCTAAATATCAATTTTCACAATCATTTTTTTTTTTTTCAAAATATGATTTCGTTTCAATTTTTACGTAAACTATCAAACCCTTTAACCGAACACTGTTTCGATCAATGTGAAGCCCATCAGAATCATCAAACTACATTACAATAATTAGCGAAAGTTTTGTCTTATTTATTTAAAGGTTTACTAAAGTCCAAAATTTCTATAAAAGTTTCACCTTCTTCATTATTATTAAATCTTTGAACAGCAGCAACACATCTTTTATAATCAATTCTTACTTGCCAAACTCCACCAGTTACATCTGTTAGTAAATCTCTTGCAAATGTACCACTATTAACATGCCATAATTTTAACATTTTTTCACTACCACTAACAATTTTTAAACCATCATGTTCAAAACATGTTATTGCAGCTGCATGACCTCTTAATTTACTTTTTAATTCTCCTGTAGTTGGATCCCATATTCTTAATGATGCATCAGCAGCAGCAGATACTAAAACATCATCAACTAATGCTAATAATCCAACTAATGATGAATGACCTTCTAAAACTTTTAATAAATCACCAGTTTCAAAATTCCAAATATTTATTGTTGAATCCATTGAACCTGAAAAACATAATTTTTTATTAAAATCCATTGCTGTTGAATAAACTCTATCTTGATGACCATGTAATATATGTTTACAATTTCCATTATCTAATAAATCCCATACTCTAACAGTTGAATCATATGAACCAGATATTATAATATTTCCATGTCCCAGTATTGAACGAACAGATTGTGTATGACCAGATAATATAGCTATTAAATATGGATTTTCAGTTTCTCCTCCATCAAATGTAGTTTCATCAATATTTGAATTAGTTTCATTAACAATTGGTAATCTCCAAACATGAATATTATGATCTCTTGAACCAGTAACTAATAATGGAAATTCTGGAAATACAATATCAGTTCCATCAACATCTTTACCAATTACTGTTGGATGTATTATATCAAGACATCTTATAGTTGAAGTATGTCCTCTAAAAATATGAGTACATTTTCCAGTAGTCATATTCCAAACTCTAACTGTTCTATCAGTTGAACCTGTAACTAAAGTATTTCCACTATATTTTAAAGCCCAAACTCCACCATCATGTCCTTCCAAAACTTTCATTAATTTACCGGTCTTGGTGCTGTATATTAAAATACATTTATCATCAACTCCAGTAACTATTTTTTCTTCATCATGTTGTAAACATGTAACAACTTTATTTCCATGACCAGTAACACTAATTCTATTAGGTTGATATTTAGGATCTAACCATCTATTTGCTATTATTGTTCTTTTTTTATATAATAATTGAGCTGAATTTATCTCCCCAGGATAAGTACACCATTCATCAATTAATTGTTTTGATTGAATTAATTCTTGATTAATTATATTTTCATCAGTAATTAATTTATCTTTTTTTAATAAATTTATCCATAATTCTGGATTATTTACTAATTTGAACCATTTTTTACAAACTTTTGAAATTGACAATAATGTATTTGCATCAAGATATGATAATACTTTAATTGAAATTTCTAATGGTAAATTACCAATTAAATCTCTTTTCAATGAATTATTTAATAATCCACTAAAAGAACTTAAAGCAGATCTATTTGTCTTTTGTAATAGTCTAAAAATTAAATTATTATGATTTTGTTCGGTTAAAAAATTTGATAAATTATTCATTACATTAATTAATTCTGATTGAGTTCTTGGAATATTTAACATATGACTTTCAATTAATTCTAAATTTAATCTTTTTGATAAAGTTCCAGGACTTTCAACTATTTCCTCAACATCATCATGTTCATGGTCAGATTGAACTGGAGAAGCACTTGGGGATGGTAATGGTAATTGTTGAGTAGAATCCTCATCAATATCTGAAAGTGGTGTATTATTTGGAGAATTGATTACAACTGGTGTTTTAGGACGATGCCTATTTGATGATTGTGAAGAAGCAAAAGTTGCATTATTTGTCAATAATGAACCATAATTAGGATTATTTTGTTCTTGATTATTTACATCAATACTTATATGTTCGGAATTTGATGTCAATCTCTTTTTAGTTGGAGGATGGGATAAACCCTTGGTTCTATATGATGAAACTTGTGAATTTACTGAATTTGGAGTATTTGAGTCAGTATCTGAAGAAGTAAAATCATCACCAGATTGTATACTATCATTCTCTCCAAAATCATCTTCTCCAGCATTTCTTTTACGATGATTTCTTGTTTTGGTATTATGAAGTTGTTCGTTGTTTGTTGGAAGTGTTTGTTTATGAGAGTGGGGTTTAGTGAGTGTTTGTTGGGGTAATTGTTGTTGACGATGAATTTGAGTCTGTCGCTGTTCTTGGTTCAGCACACGATGATGATGATGATGATGGTGATGATGATTTTGTTGTTGATGTTGTTGTAAGTTTTGTAATTTTTGTTGTTGTTCCTCTAAAGTTAATTTTTGATATTCTTTACATAATGGAACTTCAGATAATTTACCATTTTGATTTATTAATTTATAATCAAACTTTGGTTCTTCATTTCTTAATGGGAATTTGAAACTTTTTAATGCTTCCTGTTCTTCCATTTTGTTTGCTTTAGGGATTTTGCTCTTTGTTTATGATTGATGAATTTTTGTTTTGGAATTTTCTTAATGTATGGAACAAATTAAATTATTAAAATAACTTCTTTTTATAATTATATTGTGTTTAGAAGAAGAAAATTGAGAAAGTCCAAATTTATCAGTTTATTTTTGTTTTGAATATGTAGTGAAAATCTTGAGTTTAATGAAGTATAAACGTAGTTATGTTGAATATTTTGTTAATGATAGTGGTTAATGTTTTTAATTTTATTGATGAATAAGTTTTCTGTTACAGAATTATTGTACTGTATGTAATTTTTTCTCTCCATAATAATTAATGTAAGACGTTACTTTGTGTCATTGTTAATTACTGTACTTCTATACTCTCAACTAAGCTATATAGTCATCAAAAACTAGTTACTTGAAATAATTTAGGAATTACTACAAACTATGACTTAAACTTGTCATTTACTATGTAATGATTTATTTATCTACAAATTATTTTTATATTTTTCTTAAAATGATACCTGGTTCACCAGGTACTGCATTATCTTTAACTTTACCTTTTATATCAATTATAACATCTTCACCAGTTAAAATATTTTTACCTTGATCACTACCATTATCAAATGATATAATTTCAATTTCTTTAATTTTAACTGAAAAAGTAGAATTTTGTATTAATGTTAAAACTTTTTGTAAAATTTCAATTTCATTAAATGTAATTTTTCTATTAAAAATTAAATTTGGATCTTCTGAATTTAATCTAAATTTTAATTGATTTATAAATGGCATTGCTCTTTTCATATCTTTACCAACTTTTTGTTTTATTAAATTATTATCTGATAATTGTTGATTTTCAAATAATTCTCTTACTAATTCAATATAATTATCTTGCCATTCTGGGAAAGTATTTGATACTAATACTATTAATTTTACTGATTCTCCATTTTCAAAATCTGATTTTCCTTTTCTCTTTTTTAAACCTAAACCTTCAACTTCACGAATTGATTTTGAAATTTCTCTAACATATTCTAATGCATCTAATACAGGTTTTGAAACTGGTTTTGAAGGTTTTGGAAATTGAGCTGTTTGAACACTCCCTTTTTTATTTATAACTTCCTTGTATAAATATTCAGCAAAATGTGGAGCAACAGGTGCTAACATTAATGCTTGATATTCAATATATTTTAAAACTAAATCTTTATGCATTTTAATTGATGAATTAACAGATTCTCTATAAAAATCTCTTGCAATTTGAAAATCAAATAAACCATATTTTAAAGCTTGTTTATAATTACTTAAAGAATATTGTTGATAACATTTTTCAATTAAATCATTCATTTCATTTTCAAAAGCTTCATCAAAAAATGAATCATATTCACCAGTTCTTAAATTACTTTCATTTTTTAATTCATCTTCACACCAATCTTTTAATGTAGTTAATCTTAAAATTGCTGCATTTGCATTTGCTTCATCAAAATTTGCATCTTCTATAGTATCTCCTGCATCAGCCATTGCAATTCTTGAAGCATCAGCACCAAATTTTTCAACAATTTGTTCTAAAGTCATAAAATTACCTGTTGATTTTGACATTTTTGCGTTGTTTAATAATAAATGACCATTTGCTCTAACTCCCTTTGGCCAAAAGTTTTTAGGAAAAATTGCAACATGAGTATAAATGAAAAAAGTTAAATGATTAGGGATTAAATCTTTACCTGAAACTCTAACATCTAATGGATAAAAATATTCAAATTCTCTTCTCATTTCTTTTAATTGTTCAATTGGAATATCTGTTTTAACATCATTACGACGTGTGAAAATATAATCAAATACTTCATCAGTTAATTGTTCTGGTTTAATATTAAATTTACCTGGTTTTTGACCATAATAATCAGAATGTAAAAATCTATCAATTGTATAATAAGCCATATAAATAGTTGAATCAGATAATGATTCAACTAAATATTGATCATCCCATGGTAATTTTGTACCTAATCCAAATTTTCTAGTAACTGCCCAATTTTTCATCCATGCAAATACTCCTTCAAATCCATTTCTTGTTTCTTTTGAAAAAGTATTCATATCCTTGAGACATTCTAATGCTTGACCTAACCAAACTTCTTCTCCATAATCAATATACCATTGATCTTCTAATGAAACACAACAATCATCACCAGACCTTGAAATAACTTGATTTTCAGGTTCACTATATACAAAAGCATCACCAGAATCTATCAAATCAGCTTTAACTTTTGGTTTTGCATCTTCAACTTTTTCACCTTTATATTTACCAATAATCATAGTACCATTATAATAACCTTCTTTATAAGCTAATTCTTTTGCTTCAGCTAATGGAATTGAATCTTTTGGTGATTGAATTTTTAATTGTTTAACTAAAAATTCAGCACATTTATCACCATATTTTTCAGTATGAATTAATGGAATAGTTTCAGTTTTAACCCAATCTTTTTCAATTTTATAATATTCTGGTTTATTTGCAAGATCTTTTGTGGTTATAAAATCATCTGGAGAATCTGATGGTACACATGTTACAACTCCAGTACCCTTTGTTGCTTTTACAGTTTCCATAGGTAGAACTCTTAAATCTTTCAATTGAGCTAAAGGAGCAGTGATTTTAGATCCAATTAAAGTTCTACCATTCAATGTAACAATTGGTTTATAGTAACCTCTTTTTGGAGATAAATTTTGAAATGACATGTTTTTAAATGCACGTTCAGTTGTTATAAAATATTCACCATTACCAGCATCAAATAAACCATAATCAATTTTAGGACTAACGAAACAACATGTTTGTCCATACATTGTTTCAGGTCTCAAAGTTGCAGCAACAAGGTAAATCTTTTTATTACTTGTATCAACGTTATTGTTTTTTAAAACCTCTGCAGCTTCAGGAGCAAATTCATCAACTTTAATTTTAATTCCAACATATTCTTGAGGAGTTACTCCTTCACCTGATTGTCTATCGTGATCTAAACAAGCTTGACCATCTTTTTCTGAATAAATTGTATATCTTTCACCAAATTTGATTTTACCACAATCTCTTAATCTATTAATTTGCCACCTAACAAATGCATCATAATATGGATTAGCATCAGTTGTAATCATTGAACGTCTCCAATCAACTCTTGCACCAAAAGCAGTAACATCTTTTTGACATAAAGGTGGGAAAAATTTTAACCAATGATCACTATTTGCAAATTTATAAACTTCATCTCTTGGAATACCTAATTGTAACATTATTTCAAATTGAAATTTAGCTCTTCCAGTTTTTGCAGCAGCTTTTGATTTTTTAGAACTAAATTTAGTTAAATCTGCCTTTTTATTTTCTTCCTTCTTTACTGGTTCATCATCTTCTTCTTCATCTTCAGATGGTGCTCCTGAAAAATCTTTTCCAAATAATTCAACTTCTCTTTTAATTTTATCTGCTGCTGCTTTTATTGGCATACCAGTACAATGAAAACCTAATGGAAATAATGCTCTTTTACCATTCATTCTTTCAAACCCCGTTGCAAATTCAACTTTTGATAATGTAAAAGCATGACCAGCATGTAAAACCCCATTCATATAAGGATAAGCCATAGTACTAAAAAATTTAGGATATTTTTCTCTAACTTCTTCAACATTTTCAATAGGACATTCTTCAAAAGTTGGTGCATCAACTTCGAATAATTTTTCTTCTGCCCATTGTTTTTGATATTTTTTCTCTATTTCAATTAATGCATCCCTTCTGAATGTCTTTTCGAAGGTTACACTCATGGTGAAATGTGATTTATAGTTTGATCTATTTTGACTCACTGTATCTACGTAGAATGAAAAATTAAATTTTTTTTGTAGAAGATATATGTTACACAAAAATGGTTTCAATTAAGAGATTAGAGTAAAGTTTGAGAACAGTCATATTAATTCGTAAATTCTTCATGTTGTGCTATTTAAGTTTTTCTTCTTTTGATAGACGTGGGAATCATAGGGTATTTATTTTTTGCATTATTCAGAGGTACCATGTCTGAACTCGAAGTAGGCTTTGAAGCAGTGAAATTGATTAATTTTGTTACATCTTGTTTAGTTGTGACTTGTGTTGAAAAATTATCAATAATGATAGAGCCTCCATTTAACCCAACTCTACCGCTATCTTTAACAGATTGAAACTCAATCAAAGCTGAGTTAAGATCAGGTAACAACATTATCTTGTTGACTTTACCATAATTATTTTCTAGGTGGTTCTTTATCTGATATTGGTTTAATGAAGGGTTTAAATGAATTAATCCAATGGTCTTTAATTCATCAAAATCATCAGGTGTGTAATTAATCGGTGGCTGTTGCTTGGTGACTTTAATTGGCCTGTTCTTAAATAAAAACCCATCTTTCGACAAGGAGTCATCAACACTGTCTGCATTTTGAAATGTTATTATCGCGATACCACCATTCTGTTTCATTTTTCTCTTCTTCGTGTCATAGATAGCTTTCGGCAAAGAAATCAGATCAATTTCTCCAAATTCAGAAAATTCTTTTCTTAATTCTTCTTCCGTAATTGAAAATGCTATATTTGTAATTCTTATTTTTCGCTCAGACATCGGAGTAGTTCTTTCTTTACGTTCTTGAGGCATTGAATATTTTACTTCCCATGTCAACTCTTTGTTATTGAGATTTTCATCATTATATTTCCGACCATCAAATAAATTAATAGCATTTTGAGCATCCTCATGTCTGAGAAACTGGACATAACAAAATCTTCTTATTTTGTTTTTAGCTTGTGATGGGAATCTTATACTAACAACGGGGCCAAAACTTTCAAAAATTTCTCTTACTTGTAATTGACTTAAAGTACTAGGGTAATTGTTAACAAATAGTAAAGTTTTTTCAACTCGACTAATTCGAATTTCATTTGATCCTAAAATTTTATGGTTTCTAGTAATTGCGGAGAAAACTTCTAATTCGTTTGAAAATTCAATAACTGCTTGTTTTTCATCATTATAATGAATTATATTTATGTCCTTAATCTCTCCACAATCATTAAAAAATTTTTCAATCTCAGTTTTGGTTATATCAAGTGGTAAATTGTTTACTTGAACTGAAAATTCTTCTCTGGATCTATGGCTCTTTTCGGCTATGTCATGATTTCTTTTTCTTTCAACAGGCACGTCAACTTTTTCTGATTTTTGACGCTGCAATTTTTCTAACCAAGAATTACAACTTACAGTAGTTTGCCTATATGAATTTAAATCTCCATAGACTTGTTCATACCGCAACCATTGGTCAATCAATTTTTCCGGATTATCCAATTCGAATGATAAAGCTTTCTTCAATTGACCTCTTATCATCGGAAAATCAATATTAAATTCAACCATTGTTTGAAGTCCATAAATCCAAACCTCTGCCTCTGTGCTAAAAGTTGAGAACAAGGACTCGATCACATTCATTGCTTTTCTAACTTGATTTCGTTTTTTATAAATCAAAACTGCTAGTTTCTCAACTGAGTGAAATTCATCGTTATTCTTTATTGCATCTTCAACCAGGGTATCTAGCAAGACTTCAAGCAGTTCCATATCGTCATCAGCGTTTACTTTTTGAAATTTGAATTGAATACTTGCTAAGGGTATTTTCTTCCAATCATTGTATTCGACTGAATTTTTCAAATCTATCATGTTAATCCTATTATTTAAAGCGTTGTAGACTGTATTACCATTTGAAGGCATGGCTATGCAATTCTTAATACTTTCAGCATAAGCCGAACAAGAATTTGGGAAAGTTCTTACGTAATTTTCAAGAATTTGAGTTATAACTTTAGGATTTGTATCTTGTGATGAATATAGTGTGTTCAAAAACGCCATCCAAACTTGTTGCCGGTTGTTTGAAAAAGAAACTTCATCTTGATTTGATCTTGCAAAAATTGCCTGGATTGAAGCTAAATTTTTTTCAGTCAGATATTTCCATACTGATTCCATATACTCAATCCAAACTTCAGGAAGTTTTGAATTTTCTACTATTTGAGATTCATATTTCTCATAATATGAAGATTTTTTTTTAGCTGATGTGTAAATTTCATTACCTGCTTGTATTAACTCATCGTAGCTTTGACTTTTATGATTACTTATCAATGACGAAAACTCCTGAAAAGATTCATCTAATTTAGTTGATGGGATGCCCAACCTTTTTAAATGTAACTTGACCAAAGTATTCAAGTCAGTTGAATCATTAGATCCTAAAAAGTTTTGATAAAAATAATCCAATCCCCAATCCCAAATTATATGACCAGTTGCAAAATCATTTCCGCAAGTATATAATGACCTAAATATTAATGCTCTGTAATCTTCATCAGACAAAATACGATTTGAATTTAATTCTTTTGCTAATCTTAACCAGCTAGACCAAATAGGAACAGTTGCATAATCATCAATAATTAATTCATAAAATTTATACTCCAACCTTGATCTTTCCTCTTCATCAATGATAGAACGTATTTCAAACAACCAATTGTTTAATTCCAGTTGACGTAGTTTGAAGTGTTTAATTTTTTCGGTATAAACTTTATTAACAATTTCTGATCTATTCAGTAGGACTAGTAATTTAGATAATATTTTATCATAATTCTCAAGGGCATAACAGTTTTCATTAATCAACAAGTCAAACTCTTCATCAATTCGTTTTAAGTCATCACTCATTTATATTATGTGCATTGAATGAAGAAATTAAGTGATCAAAATGATTGCAGTAATTTCAAATAATCTTAATAAATGTTTGTCATACGTTTTAAAGTTATACCGTATAATCTTTTTGTTACACAATCTCGAAAATATTGATTTCAAGTCTTCTCATTAAAATCATCAGTTACATACCAGAACTATACCAACAACCAGTTATTGGCGATTAGGTTTCTCCCTGCTATATAATACAGAATGAATGCAAAGGTATATCTACAGTCTTACGGCTGGAATGAAGGAGAAGCTTTGCAGAAAGGTGGATTGAAAAAACCAATTTTAGTCAAACATAAAAAGGATACTAAAGGACTAGGGCATGATTCAAATAATGCAGATATGTGGTGGGAAAGACTATTTGATGGACAATTGAAAAATTTACAAGTTGAAAACAATAAAGAAAATGGTAAAGTTTCATTCAAACAAGATAATGAAGCAGTTTTGAAAAAAATAAATAAAGACATGTCTCCCCTATATAGAATGTTTGTTAAAGGTGAAGGATTACAAGGTACTGTGGGAAAAACAGAACATGTGAAAGAGGGGCATGTTGTAAATTTGACCGAGCAAGCAGCTAAAGATATTGAGAAGTTGACAAATAATTTGAAACCCAAGAACGGAGCGGAGGAGAAGATTAAGAGTAAGAAAAGCAAAGACAAATCAAAGATATCTGAAGAGAAGAGTATGAAAGAGAAATCAGATAGTAGAAAAGAGAGGAAGGAAAAGAAGAGGAGCGAGAGAAAGAAACATAAAGAGGAGAAGAAGAAGATTCACAGGAGTAAGGACGAAAAATCGATTGAATCAAATGGTTTTGCCGAATCTTGTTTAAAACCCAAGAATCAAGATAAAGAGGTGAACAAGTCGAGCAAAGACAAGACAGACTTGAGCGATGTGGAAATACCGAATGAAGACCATAGCATTCTACGAAAGCGGAAAAAAGATGGCGAAAAAAAGAAAGATAAGACGAAGTCCAAGAAAATGAAGAAGATTAGAACATGAATATACAATATAGAACACTTTAATGGCATTGAATGTAGCTGTAATTTCTTGTTAATTACAAATAGTTGGTTCTGAACTAAGTGGTAGCGCTAATTGTTACACAAATGTGTAGTTCACGATAGACCAAATTTATACTATCTAAGTAGACACACTTATACAATTGGACTAAATCTGAGTAATTAATGGTCATATGCCAAACCTTTTGGTCAGAATCAGTTGTTTGGTTATTTTGGTTTCATGGGTCAAATTTAAAACATACTCATTTCTCACATTAATTTTAGGGGTAATTTTGTGCATTGTTGGATATGTTGTTATTCTGATAATTTTCACAAACACTGACCAATCGAAAAGGAAGGTGATCAACTCCAAGTTTAAATTTACAAAACGAGATAGTTGGGAGTCTGAACTAAAGCAATTTGATCAAGATGGTGATCAATTAGAGGTTGGATTGTTAACTTCGTCAAATTCCGACAAATTAATCAGTCTATTTGATCTTATAATTAATGAATTTATTAGTTCATGGTATGACCATATCAGTTCATCTACTTTATTCAAGGATGACATTAAGATTGAATTAGTACATATAACTACGCAAATTGTCTCAAGATTGAAGAAGCTCGATTTTGCAAATTTATTAGTTACAAAATTACTACCAATATTTAACGAACATTTTCTAGAGTTCTCCAGAATGAAGAAATTTATTAACGCCCTGGGTACTTTGTCAGAGGAGCATGATGAATTATTGACTTTTTTCAATGGTGGTAGCTTACACATGGGGGTGACCACGAAGAAAACTGATATGGCGGATAGAAACTTCAATGAAAAGAAATACTTTAGAAAACAAGTCGAAAAGTTGTTATCAGTAACTTTATCTGAAAAGGAACAATCTTGTGAAATAAGTAGAATTTTTGTCACAGAGATTTTAGCTTGTACAATTCTTGATAATGTGTTCAATTTGCTATCGGAAAGTGATTTTTATAATTTGATGATTGTAAAAGTTATTGGTGATAATTTGAGAAGAAGAGATCAGGTTAAGGAGTTAAGAGCAGCATTGGCCCAGCACACTTTGTCTGGAGAGCATGATCTAACAACACTCGATAAACTAGATGGTATTCTAGATGATGAATTACAAGAAAATGTTATGATTGGAGAAAGAGCAGGACTCGAATCTATCTTAACATCTGCTAGCAAAACTAAAGAATATTATGATTTTTTATTGTCCATTGATAAAGCGTATCTACTAGAGTTTTGGCAAACAGTTGAACGAATAAAATCACCCTTGGATGACATCACTATTAACACGGAGGATTCTGATGCGATTGGGATTATTAAACAAAGATATTTTGACACCAAATTGATTGATGTGAATCAAGAAGAGTTGCAACTCCTAATGGATGTAAAATCTGGAAAATCCATATTGTACAAGATTCAGAATCGAGTATTTGATGAGTTGGTCCTAAATAATCCTCAATTTATGTCTTCAAAGTTTAACGAGACCAAAAGACATTCACAAGATGATGTATTAGCTTCTATAGAAAATACATTTTTTGATATCATGAATAATAATACAAACAAACAAGATGCAACCGATTTTGATGAAAAAGAAAATAGTGACAGGTATTCAAAATTATTCCAGGATGAGACCTTCGACGAATCCGATGATGATGAGGAAGAAGAAACATCTGACACGGATGAGTCTTTTATTGAGAAAGGTTCCGAAAGTGTGGAATTTGCTGCCCCTGGAAATCTCAATTTAGCTGAGGAGATCCCAAAAGTTGAACAAGAAATTGAAAGTTTAAAACAACAATTGTCTTACTTGGAACCTTTATTAAATAAAGCAGAACTAACAAATCATTCTTCAAAGTATAAAGTTTTACATAAATCGAAAATAGGAGTTCAAAAGGATTTGCAACTTAAGGAACTACAACTTCAACAATACATCATTCAAGAAAATGATAATAGTTTATTTGGTAAATCTAGAGTTAATATTGAGTCTTTGGTTAATGGTAATGAGAATGGAAAAGAATTTGTTTTATATATTATCGAAGTCCAAAAATTTTCAAGTGAGAATCCAGATATTATTAAAGCCGGTTGGGTAGTTGCTAGAAGATATAGTCAATTTCATAGATTAAATGGATATTTGAAAAGAAGATATCCTCAAGTTCTGAATTTAAATTTTCCAAGAAAATCAATTCTGGTTTTAAAATTTCAACAAAAAAATATAATTGATAATAGAAGGTATTTACTTGAAGTATATTTAAAAAATTTAGTTAATATACCAGAAGTTTGTGCTGATAAAGCTTTTAGATCATTCTTATCATCTGAAAATTTTCATTTAAGAAAGTTTCATCATAAATTTGATGAAAATCAACCGAAAAGATTATCAGGTTTTTTCAGTAAAAATTGGTATCTTGGCTTATCAAGCAAAGCAGTAGTCAAACCTCAAACAAATGAAGAGTTACTTGAGAATAAAAGAATAATGGAGAAAGAATTGAGACAATTTGATGAAAAGAACAATTCAAATTCTAATTCTTCTTCATCGGTTTCATTGTCAAATACCACACCAACAAAACAATCTTTTGTCAAACCTATTTGTGATATAATTATAACTGTTTTTAACTTACATTGGTTGAAAGGAAGAGCATTAGTAGTCATTTTGCAACAAGTCTTTGGTACAGCTATTGAAAATAAAGTTTATGAATTTATTTCTACTCAAACAAATCCATTAAAAATTGATGAAATATTATTATTAATTACAAATTTATTATTTCCTAATGGTAAATTTAAAGATCCACCTGAAATAAGAACAACATCTCAAAAATCAAAAACTGCCAATGAAGCAAAAATTTTATTTCATAGATATATGAATGAAAATTTTACAAAATTATTTGGAACTAATAATACAGATTTCGCATCTAACATATTATTTAAAATGATTCAAGTTGATCAATTGAATAAGCATTTATTATTTAGAGTATTTGATCAACTTGTTGATGAAATTTGTAAGTGAAAGTTTAAATTTTTGTATTAGATAGCATTAGTCTGATTTTATTGGATTTTCAATATAAATTTCAATAATAGTTATAAAAATTCGTCTTGTAGCATAAACTTCCCATTTTTTTTAATCTTCTTGGACGGTCATTAAAAGCCTATTCCGGAACTACGTTATTATTTGATTGACAATTTTGCTCAGTTAATGCTCTAATACTAAGATTCAGCTAATCAAATCTTGAGTTTTGCGAAATCCGATGTCTTCTTAGATTTTTACTTACCCCGGCTAAATTTTTTTAAAATTTAGACTAGTTCAATAAATTTTTTTCCCCCAAGCTAATGCAGAAAATGTTAAAACAGTCAAGAAATTTATATACCCCATAATAGATCTATAAAATCTTAGACTTGAGAAATTTTATAGATTAACTAAGGAACTTTTCATCCTTCTCGAAAATATATCTTGATTCTTAGGAAAATCAAATCTTGACTTATCGTAAAATACTTTGATTCAGTTTACGATGTTCAAAGCCCGATCTTGAAAATTAATTTTTCCCTCAACGTATTTTTCCATGAATTTGACTGAGAATGTAAAAATCGAATTTGTAACCAATATCTTGCCACTTTAAGAAATTAATTACAATTGACGCGTCTTAAATAGTGTGCCTATTAGATTTTATTTTTTAAATTTGAAATTGGTTATGTATACTACAGTGTTCAATTTTTGCTAATTTCATTTGACTTCGACCTGGTTCAACTTTTTCTCACTCTAGCAAATCTAAAGATTTCGCTAATACTTTTTTCCTAAAATTACTGTAATTTCAAAGAACACATTTATAAACGTTCAGTTTTCTATCAAATAAACAACCAATTTTACTTTCTCCAATTTCTCCAACAGATCTGGTGATGTATCAAAGGAGTTGCAAAAAGAGTTTACAAAATATTCTAACTTACGAAAGGTAAAACGTATCTTCATTTTACGTCATCCATATTGTAACTTAAAAAGGTCGATCAGCCCCATAATCTCCAGATTTATTCAAGAATTGTGATCATAAATAGCAAAAGGCGTATACTCAATTTTATATATGATATATCTTTGTGACCAAAGACTAATAATTTCACAACTTTATTAGTCAAAAGTTTGTAATGGTAAATTGTTGAGTTAGAGTAACAAAAATGCAATTTTTTGATTGCGAAATGATTTTCTTCGAAAAAAAAAATTCCCCCACGGAAAAATTCAAGAAAAAATAATCCAAGAAAAAAAAAATTAAGAAATTTTACTTGAATTTTAAAATTTTAATTTTTCATTAACATTTTTTACAATTATCGTACTACTAACCTAAAGTTGTTGCTACTTCTTTTGAAAAGTTCTTTTCACGATGAGTTTCAGCAACTCAAAATAAAACCAACCAAATTATTTTCTATTTGCTTACATCGTTAGTAATTCGTGATTTTTTTAAAAATTTTGTCATGATTAACAATTTAATAATTTAAAAAAATAAACGTCCGGAAAAACTTTGAAACACAAATAAGAAATTTCCACTAAACAAAGTTAAAAAAATAAAATAAAATAATAATAAGAAGAAAATGAAAACTTAATTAGCAGTATCATAAAATTGATGCTTCTTAATTACAAGCTATTAATATTTAAGTTTTAAAATAAGTCTAGCGTTCAATAACTGCTCTTTCTTATTTGATGAAAAGTCGAAAAGTCTAAAACTCCAATAGGAAGGGCGGTAGTATTCTTTTAAAATTTTAAAAATCATTGCTCATAATCTGAACTTAAATTTTATTCTCATTACCTTCTTCTTCCCCACCTTTTTTAAGAAATTTGTAGCACTTCATCTGTCTGAAATAAGATTAATTTCAATTATGCACGACAACTTAACTCGAATTGATTTCACTCAAAGAAAATATAGACTGATTAACAAGTCACAAAAATATTTTGTTTTGTTTAGTAATTCCCCCAACATGTTGCAATGTTCGTTTAGAGTATGGAGATGAATTGGTGATGTAACAATAAATAAATATTTATAAATAAAGATTTAACCCCAGATTGTTTTCAAATTTATTTTCAAGTTATTTGTTTTTAACTTTCACACTTAAGATCAAAAACTTACATCAACTATAATGTCTTCGGAAAAACCAAGTTTTTCTCATTTGGAGGATGACAAGAAAGCTCAAAGTACTCATATTGAAATAGGTTCAGATCTTAAAGGATCAGATTCAGAATTAGGACCTAGTTTTATTGAAGAAAATGAAGATTATTATGTTGATTTACCAGAATCATTACAAGATTTAACTCAAGAAGAATTAAAACGATTGGATAAAAAAACATTACGAAAAATTGATTTAAGGTTAATGACTATGTTAATCACAATTTATATTTTAAATTATATTGATAGAAATAATATTGCATCAGCACGTCTTGGTGGATTAGAAAAAGATTTAGGATTAAAAGGTAATCAATATCAAATTTGTATTTCTATATTATTCGTTGGTTATATTTTATTTCAAATCCCTTCAAATATGTTATTAAACAAATTGGGTAGACCATCAGCTTATTTGGCAGTGGTAATGACGTTATGGGGAGCAATTTCAGCTTGTACAGCAGCAGTTACATCTTTTGGGGGTCTTGTGGCAATTCGTGCAACTTTGGGTATTGTTGAGTCGGCATTTTTTTGTGCTGCTTTGATGATATTATCTTCATGGTATGATAAAAAGACTTTAGCTTCAAGGAATGCAATTTTATATGCTGGTTCATTTATTAGTTCTGCATTCAGTGGATTATTAGCAGCAGGTATTTTACAAATGGATGGACTTGGTGGTATTGAAGGTTGGAGATACTTATTCATCATTGAAGGTTGTTTAACTGTTTTGATAGCTCCATTAGCTTATTGGATTTTACCTGATACCCCATCAAATACAAAATTTTTAAATCAGCAAGAAAAGGATATTATACAATGGAAATTGAGAAGAGACTTGGGTAATGTTGATGATTCTGATAAGGAAGCTCAGGTTACTGATTGGGAAGGGTTCCTATTAGCTGTTAAAGACATAAAAATGTGGTGTCTTGCGGGAATGTTATCATTTCTCGTAGCAGCTTGTGGGGTTACCAACTTCTTCCCTACCATAGTTGGAACGCTAGGCTTTACACATACAATTACATTGGTATTAACCGCCCCTCCCTACTTAGTTGCTTGCATAGTGTGTTATCTATTCGCTAGACATGCAGACAAGACAGGGGAAAGATCCTTGCATATTATTTGTCCTATGATCTTAGCTATGATAGCTTTTATTATCGCAGTTTCAACATTGAATACAGGAGCGCGCTATTTTAGTATGATTTTAATGATTCCTTCATTATACTGCAGTTTCATCGTAATTTTAACAGCGATAAGCAATTCATGTCCTCGTCCCCCAGCTAAGCGTGCCGTGGCAATAGCTCTAGTCAATAGTCTCAGCAACACAACCCTGATTTGGAATTCGTTTCTATATGGCAGCCAAGACGGACCCAGGTTTGTGAAAGCTATGATTTGTAACATTGTTTTTTTGTGTTTGGCAATTTTTATTACAATCATTTGGAGATTCAGATTAATGGTATTGAATAATAGAATCAGCAAAGGAACAATGAATTGGGAAAAGGAATTAGGTAAAGGTAATGATGGTTCAAAAATTTCTCCAAACTTTAGATACTTATATTAGTGTGTATTTGATTTGAAATAAAATTGAAAAATTTGAATATTAAATTTCTTGATTCTCGCTTCTATTGAGCTTCTCTATTTTACTTATATCAACTGGTTCATTACTTTGGTTGTTATAATTCTTTTGCTCTATTTTTGATTTAGATATTTTTGTGAAACTTGATAATCTAAAATTCTGAAATTTTTACACCAAATAGGTCAAGTGATGCATCTTTGGTTATTAAAAACAATTTAATTTACTCCAAGCCTTGAGTTGCAACCTTTTACATCGTTTAAGCGAGGAGGAACAAAAACTCGGATCACGTTTTGCATTTATTTTGTAGTTGCATCAGATCCGCAAACATAGGGTAGATCATCAAAATCCTTATAAATTCTAAGCCATATGTTGAGGTTTGGCAGTCATGTTGAGTTCGATCTTTGCACCTAATGATTTCTCCTTGTTTAATATTGGTGATATCCTTTTGTGAGGTTAAAATTTTGAATGATGATGATATCTCGAACCAAGTAGACTAAGAGAATTCTACTCATGAACAAAACTAGTTCTCCCCATTAATATGAGTGTTTTCTTTGGTAAATGTCAAATTTTGAATGATATTGATACCTCAAGCAGACTAGTTGTGCATATGAGCATAATTCCCTTAGACCACTAAGCTTGAGCATACATCTACATGGTAATCTTACCCTGAACAGCATTTGAAAGGAATTTGTCCATTTCTCATTTGAATACCTCCGGGCTTTCTAATGTTGCACATAAACCTCCAAATACTTTTTCCAACCAAAACGTTTTTAGACGGACCAGAACCTGGTGACATTAGGCTTTTTATCTGTAAAAGAATTGCGAATGGCTGCATGAGATCTCTCTTTCAATTTTCCTTTAACTGTTTATTGGTCCATATTTCTTGAAAACCTTGGAGATTTTTTGGATAATGAATAACACCCGGTCCAATTTAAGAATCGAATGGACAAAATTTCAGCTGTTAGTTGTTTATATCGATGGTTTAATCTCCACTAATAAATTAAATTCAAAGTTTGATAAGACTCCAATGGTTAAATGAATCACTTTCAAACCCTTGCGGTTCTGATGAGTTGTCCTCCTTTCAATTTATTGCCATCACCCCTATCCATTACACAGCTTATACCATATTTTGATCCAAAAAGTTTTTATTGTGTTTAAAATCTTCAAAATGAATTTAAGTAATATACATACTTACATGTTACTGTAAAGTTAGTAAACTTTTTTTTTTTACATGTTACAAAATCAAAATCAAACCTGGTAGCCAAGCACTCAAAAAAAATTCTGCCGAAGACCAATTCAATTAATACCACACTTTGGCAAGAAGTATCCTACAGTTTCAATCAAAATGTCAGTCCAAGGAAACCCTATAGAGACAGATCGAATAGAAATCGATTCTAATAATGTTGAGGGAAAAGAATACATAACCGAAGATGAAGAAGAATCAATTTATGACGTAGATAAAATAAAACTTTTACCAGGATCATCAGAAGATGGAACAGCTGCTTCGTTTCAAATACTAGAAGAAGATCACACGTTGGGGAATGCATTACGTTATATGATTATGAAAAATCCTGAAGTTGAATTTTGTGGTTATAGTATACCTCATCCATCAGAGAAGAAATTAAATATAAGAATACAAACTTATGGTAATATAACGGCAGTTGAAGCATTCCATCAAGGTTTGGATAATTTAAGTGAATTATGTGGAGTTGTGGAAGAAAAGTTAACGGATGCTTTTAGTAAAGTAGGTGAAGTACAATAAACGGAAATGGAATAGATAGTGATAACATTGAGATAATTCGATTTGAGATGAGGTAAGAAATGAACAGGAAATGTCAGACACTGAAGTCTTCATTACTTGCCGATGGAAGAGTAGATGTTTATTTATCCCCATATGCTAATATTTAGAAGCTTTTAAACGTTGTATATACATAAGACAGAAGTATTTTCGATTTCTTCTACTCAATTCTCATATAGATAAGTATTAAGACATTATTAATTTCTTTTTCCCACGTTATTAGTTTCTGTGTTATCTAAATAATTTTAAATTTGTTATTGAGATGAACTAGGAACAAAAAAAAAAAAAAACATTTTCTTATCACTTTCTTCCTAAAAACTACAAAACAAACACGAATTAACCATCAATCAAATAGATTAATAATCAATCATACAATGTCTTATAACAATAATAACAATAGCGGTGGTTATAGAGGTGGAGCAGGTGGCTATAGCAACGGTGGATATGGAGGTAGTAGAGGTGGTTCAAGAGGTGGATACGGTGGTGGATCCAGAGATGGAGGTTACGGTGGTAGAGGTGGTGGTAGATTTAATGATCAACCAAGAGCGGAATTGCAAGCACCTCAATGGGATTTAGAAAATTTACCAAAATTTGAAAAAAATTTTTATAGTGAACATCCAAACGTTACTAATAGATCAGATAGAGAAATCGAAACATTTAGAAAAGAAAATGAAATGAGTATTGAAGGACACGATATTCCACATCCAATTACTTCATTCGATGAAGCTGGATTTCCAGATTATGTATTAGGTGAATTAAAAAATCAAGGTTTCCCAAAACCAACTGCTATTCAATGTCAAGGATGGCCAATGGCTTTAAGTGGTAGAGATATGGTTGGTATTGCAGCAACAGGTTCAGGTAAAACTTTATCTTATTGTTTACCAGGTATTGTTCACATTAATGCTCAACCATTATTAAAACCAGGTGATGGTCCAATTGTTTTAGTTTTAGCTCCTACTAGGGAATTAGCTTGTCAAATTCAAACTGAATGTAGTAAATTTGGTTCTTCATCAAGAATTAGAAATACTTGTGTTTATGGTGGTGCTCCAAAAGGACCACAAATTAGGGATTTAGCAAGAGGTGTTGAAATTTGTATTGCTACTCCAGGTAGATTAATTGATATGTTAGAAGCTGGAAAAACTAATTTGAAAAGAGTTACTTATTTAGTTTTAGATGAAGCTGATAGAATGTTAGATATGGGTTTTGAACCTCAAATTAGAAAAATTGTTGATCAAATTAGACCAGATCGTCAAACTTTAATGTGGTCTGCTACTTGGCCAAAAGAAGTTCAGAATTTAGCAAGAGATTATTTAGTTGATCCTATTCAAGTTACTATTGGTTCATTAGAATTAGCTGCTTCTCATACTATTACACAAATTGTTCAAGTCATAACGGAATATCAAAAAAGAGATATGTTAGTAAAGCAATTAGAAAGTGCATTAAATGACGCAAATTCTAAAGTTTTAGTTTTTGCATCAACAAAAAGAACTTGTGATGATGTAACAAGTTATTTGAGATCAGATGGATGGCCAGCATTAGCCATTCATGGTGATAAAGAACAACATGAAAGAGATTGGGTTTTGAAAGAGTTCAAACAAGGTTCACATTCAATTATGGTTGCAACTGATGTTGCTGCAAGAGGTATTGGTATGTATTAATTTGAGTTTTGAAATATTAACCATTATTTTTAGGAATATTTATTTTTTTTAGCTTGGCTGGTCCAAGCATTACAGGAAGTTTTTTATTTTGTCAGTTTCACAAACTAGGGATGTGAGTGAAGATGCATTGCAAAAGTGTGAATTAACATGATACACATATCAACAAAGTTTTTACAATGACGTTCTTATACGAATTATAAATTGTTTTGGTTCTATGCCTGGTGCAGTTTTTTAAAACTGTCTTGAATAAAAGGAAAATGCGTTTTTCTTGAAGATTTGAGGGCACAAGTTAACCATATAGTATAAGATAGTTGACTTGAACGAGTTAACCTTACCACATACAAAAAATGTGAAGTCATTTGAAAATTAGTTCATTGAATATGTGTATAGTTTCTTTAGTATTTTTTGTGTTTTCTTTAACTCATAAATAAACGGGTGGTTGATATGACTGATGAATGGGTTTTTGATTTTTTTTTTTTCACCCATTCATCGTAAGGTTGTATCAATTACATTAATACTGATAAACCATAACCTTTCTGTAGATTATAAAATGTTCCTGATTTCCAATTTAGATCAATTTACTAACTCTATATTTCAGATGTCAAAGGTATAACTCATGTCATCAATTATGATATGTCAAACAATATTGAAGATTATGTCCATAGAATTGGAAGAACTGGTAGAGGTGGTGCAACAGGTACAGCCATATCATTTTTCACAGAAGCTAATAAAAAATTGGGTGGAGATTTATGTAAAATTTTAAGAGAAGCTAATCAAACTATTCCTCCTGAATTACAACAATATGATAGAAGAAGTTTCGGATCACATATTAGATATGGTGCAGGAAGAGGTGGTAGAGGTAGAGGTGGATATGGAGGACGTGGAGGACGTGGTGGATTTAGAGGTGGAAGAGGTGGCTTCTCAAGTGGTTCAAATGCTGCTCCAATGGGAAACCGTCGTTTCTAAGTTGCTTTATTAACTTTATTCACTCATTTTCATATTCATTTCATTTAGCTAATATTTTTTCATTTTTATATATTGTTTTTGCTTTAATAGATTAATAAGAATTTAAGAGATTTAACAATTTTTTATTCTATAAATAATATGCATTACTTTTTTTTCCTAGTCTATCCAGATATAATTAAATTAGCAGTCATTGTATCAAATCTTTCTCTAATTAATTTAGCTTCAATTTCTAATAATTCATGATAAATAGCTTCTCCCTTTGATCCACTTTTTTTCAACATTTCTTTAAGTTTAGCTTGAGTTAATTTCCAAACTATTGAATCATTTACAGTAGTATAAGTTAATTGTCTATATTGAGAAGCATCATCTAAATCTCCAAATGCAACTAATGGTACAATTGAACAATGTAATTCTCTACCTTCAGTTTCAAATTTTACAACTGCTCTAATTAATCCTGATTCAACAATGAAAAATGAAGGTTCATCATTTAAAGTATCATAAAATTGTAAATTTTCTGGAATTTGTTCTTTAATAAAATAAGGAGCTAATATAGACCAAAATTCTTCATCTTTTGAAGATAGGCCCTGAAATGTTATCATCATTAATGGTAAAGGTTGCTTTTTAAATGAATCATTTGATGTTTGATGATATTTAATTTGAGTTTTTTGTTCATCTAAAACTGTTTTACTTGCAGCTTGGAAAACTTGTTTTGTTCTTGGTGTACCAAAATCTAATCCAAATTGACTAAAAATTTTATTACCAAATGATGTAGGTGATTGAATTTGTGCTTTGTCTTTATTGTTTGTACCTGGTACTGATCTTGATGAAGTATGTTGATGATGTGAATCAATTGGATGATGTTTCTTCAATGTTTTATAAGTTTTTAAAAATGAATTTTCACACCATTCTAATGCATAATTTAATGAGCTAAATAATTCAATTGGTGGATCATTATTATCAAATAAACCTGCATCACGTAAACCTTTTATAGTATCATCTTCATCAACCACAGAAGAAATAATTAATTGTGTTTTAAATTCATTTGTTAAATTTAAAATCCTTCTAAACCCTTCAGCTGCAGAAAAATCAATTGATATAACTCCCTTCATATCAATTATTAAATATTTTATAGGTTGTGATCTAAATTTATCATGTTCAAAAATATTTCTTACTTCTTTTTCAACTCCACCAATTGATCCAAAAAAAATTGTTCCTTGTAATTTAATTATACAAATTTGTTCACCAACATTTTTTAAAAATTCTTGTTGTTTAGGGTGTCTTAATACTGTTGATCTGGCAACATTTCCAGAATATATACCTTGAACAACTGGAGTTCTTCCAGCTTCAACAACAAATGATAAACAAGCTAATAAAATTCCAATACCTATACCAGCAACAAAATCAACTGCTCCCATAGTAACTACAATTATAATAATTGTAGTATATTCAATTGGTCTTAATCTACCCCAAGTATCCCATACTGATTCTTTAAGTAATTCATAACCTAATAAATAAATTAATGCACCAACAACACAAACAGGTATATATCCTATTACAACTGGACCAGCCATCATAACTACACCTGTTGCTATTGCTAACAAAACACCAGCACCTCTATCATCTGCTCCGGCTCTTATAAACAATACTGAATTTGTATAAACTAAATAATTTTGTATCGAACCAACTAAACCGGAAATAGCGTTTGAATAACCATGAGCAACTAATTCTCTATCAACATCAATATCATCCATTCCAATAGATACAGCTAATGCAGGTACATTAATTGGAACGTGTAATATTCCAAAAAAGGTCAATGCTAACATAGTTGGTAATTGTTTAACAATACAAAACCAATCAACTAATTTAAATTTATATAATTCATAAAATGAATACCAAGGTTGATCATCTTCAACAGCTGGGAAAACCCACCCCCATTCTCTTGCAATATTTAAATTTAAATTTGGAACTAATAAAACAATTAAATGAAAAATTATAAATACCAATATAAAATACATTGGAACTAATAATGAATTATGAATTTTATGTTGTAAAATAACTAATATTAATGCTAATATTAATGGTATTGTCCATTCTAAAAATGTAATATAATTGAAAAATAAATATTTAAAAGTTTCATAATTATAAAATAATCCACCTTCTAATCTTGAAGATACTTCTATTCCAGTTGCAACTAAGAAATATCCAACTCCTCCAATACATCCAACTAAAATATGTCTTGGGAAAAACCCAACCAATACTCCTAATTTTAGTTTCCCCAAAAGAAAAAACACTAATCCAGTAATTATTGATGATACAGCATATGAAGTAATAGTTGTTGCAATTATTGCATCATCACCTTCATTTTTCATTTGTTTTGAAATAGCTAATGCCATTGTATGAAAAAATGGAGTAACTTCAATCATTTCAGATCCAATTCCAGCTTTAAAAGCTGATCCACCTAATGAATAAACTAATTGAGATACAATACATGATACATAAAACATAGCTAATCCAGCAGGTGCTAAAGCTGCAAAAATATTATCACTTATTGGAAACATTATCATACCATAAGATAATCCATCCAAGATATTTAAAAGTGTCCCTAAAAATACTCCAGGTAGATATTGTAATGGTTTAAATATTAATTGATGTAATTTACTTGGTTGTGTTTCCTTTTCAGGTATTGTTGAAGATGAAGATTTTGCATAACCTTGAATTGATGATTCTTCATCATATTTAGTTTTCCATACATTATCATTTGGTTTATTATTTGTATAATAATTATCTGGTGAAGTAGATAATAAAGGAGTAGTACTTGAAAAAGTATTTGATGATTGCCTTCGATTTTGAATAGTTGTAGGTTTAGAAATTGAATGATCAATATTTTGATTCTCTTCTTGTATATTATAATTAGATTCATCATCAACGGGACTATTTTCATCACTATTACTATCTTCAACAACTCCAATATTTGCTAAATTTGCAGTTTGTTCATGAACTTCATTTCCAGTATTAATTTGTGGTGAATACATATTTGCAATGACACTAGGTCTATAACTCATACTAACATAACTTCTACCACCAATATCAAAATTAGAATTGTTATTATTTGGATTATTTGAATTATTATTGTAATTAAATGCTTCACTTAATGAATAATTTCTTAATCTACTATTAGTATTCTGGCTATCTTTATTCTTATAAGCAATTTTAGGTAAAGTATTCTCAATTGATGTGAACAGTTGATGATCTATATTTGAATAATGTTTTGGTGATATTGTTGTATCAGAATTTTCTACTGTGGTGGCATCTAGGAAATTCAATTTATTTTGACTATTACTACTTCCTTCTATTGTAGAATTTTTATTACTATTTCCATTTCCATATGAATTATTGAATGTGAAGCTCATTCTTTGATTTGAGCAATTTTAGATGTTGATGGAAATGTTTTGAATGTTGTACTCGTTCTAAAGATTATAATTATAATAAAATTTGAAAAATTGAAATCAATGTAGTAGTTAACAGTTTAACTAATTTTGATCTAATTATAATTAGAAATTGAATTTAATATATATTTTTAGTCCAAATAAGGTCTAAGTATCGAGACAATAATGCAGTACAAAATCTAAGTCTTGATGTCGTAATTCAGTGGTTTAAATTGGAATCAGAATATGCAGTTATTTATATATTCTGTTATTTTATAAGGTACGAAAAGTTAGGCAGTATGTACGATATATTAATACTATGTTAATATAATGAGCAAACGTGATATGAAATAGAATAATAATTCCAGTCATCTCCAGGAGATTTTACAATGTATTATTATAATTTATAATTTAAAGATTAATATCAGGTAAAGATTGAAAAAAAGTTTAATTGACTTGATATCAATATAAAATATAATAATCCAAGTGTGAAATAAACGTGTTAGAGGAAGTAGAGCTAAGGAAGGAGATTGAGTAACTTGTTCCAATTGTTAATCCTAAAACATCTCACTAATTCAATACTTGTGAAGTCTATAGCATTAAATTTATTAAAAAATACTTCAAAAATAAATTATTCAAATACGATTGCTCTTACATATGGTGTGAAAGATCTACAACTTTATCAAATCTCGTGATTAATGAAAAATTTTTCATTGAAAATCTTTTTCACAAGTGAATAAATTGTTAACTAAAAGTCCTTGAATGAATAGTTCCGATACAGGGGGTCCAAATGAAATACTTTAATTCTAATCTAATAAATTTACCTAACCATAAAGCTTTGAATGGTGGGGAAGGACTACCACATGCGAAAATGCAAAACGTTTATTTGAGTTGAGTTACAATATTGAGAAACTTAGATCGTAATTAGTGAAAGTTTAGAATACACCTACGACGCTAATTTACGTTCTAGAAACTGACCCTTCTTTCATGAGAAAAATTTTTAATGTTGCATTGCTTAAAAAAATTCGCATTATAGCCAGAATGAAACTGTAACTCAATTTACGCTCCGTATCTGAATAAGATTTGTGTCTTCAGAGATTTATTTCACCTTTTCATATGTTTTTACTCATCTGAATAACGAATACTGCAAAAATTAAGTTGACCCTTATGACTTTTTCAAAAAGAAGTCTGAACCAAGCAGCTGGTAGCATCATCTGACGTAAGAATTAAACTTTCTCATCCAATTCTTTTTTCAGTAAGTGAAAAAAAACTTAAGCGCGCTAAACTTATAATAAATGAATTTACTCATTAAAATTAGATGAAAAAATTTTTCAATACATTCACTCAGCTTATACATTGTTTATAGATCCTTTTTTTTTCATCCACACTTACCAACTTGAACTAATTTTACTATTCAATCACATTTTCATTACATCTTTCTTCCAACAATGATGTTTTTGAAAACTAACTTGAATTTAAAATTGATTTCAAATCAATTGAAAAAAATCACATCATCACCACCAAGATCATCATCACTACAACAAAAATTAATCATAAGAAACTTTTCAAAATCAATTATATATTCACATCAAATTCAAGAAAAAGAATTAAAATATGCAGGAGGAGATTTATTAAAAGCATTTAGTAATGAACATTCTGAAAATTTAGTTGATGTTTCAAAAGTTTTAGTTATTGGATCTGGTGGATTATCAATAGGTCAAGCAGGAGAATTTGATTATTCTGGTTCACAAGCAATAAAAGCTTTAAAAGAAGCAAATAAAAAATCAATATTAATTAATCCAAATATTGCAACAAATCAAACTTCTCATTCATTAGCTGATGAAATTTATTATTTACCTGTTACACCAGAATATATTACATATATAATAGAAAGAGAAAAACCAGATGGTATATTATTAACATTTGGTGGACAAACTGGTTTAAATGTTGGTGTTAAATTAGATAAAATGGGAGTTTTTGAAAGATATGGAGTTAAAGTATTGGGGACACCAATAAAAACTTTAGAAACTTCTGAAGATAGAGATTTATTTAGTCAAGCATTAAAAGAAATAAATATTCCAATTGCAGAATCAATAGCTGTTGAAAGTGTTGATGATGCTTTAAAAGCTGCTGAAACTGTTGGTTATCCAATTATAGTCAGATCTGCTTATTCATTAGGTGGATTAGGTTCAGGATTTGCAGCAAATGAAGAAGAATTAAGAAATTTATCTGCTCAATCTTTAAGTTTAGCTCCTCAAATTTTAGTTGAAAAATCTTTAAAAGGTTGGAAAGAAGTTGAATATGAAGTTGTACGTGATAGAGTTGATAATTGTATTACTGTTTGTAATATGGAAAATTTTGACCCATTGGGTATACATACTGGTGATTCAATAGTTGTTGCACCATCTCAAACTTTATCAGATGAAGAATATCATTTATTAAGATCTGCTGCAATTAAAATTATAAGACATTTAGGAGTTGTTGGTGAATGTAATGTTCAATATGCTTTACAACCAGATGGTTTAGATTATAGAGTTATTGAAGTTAATGCAAGATTATCACGTTCTTCTGCATTAGCTTCAAAAGCAACTGGTTATCCATTAGCTTATACTGCTGCAAAAATTGCTTTAGGTCATACATTACCACAATTACCAAATCCTGTAACAAGAACAACATCAGCAAATTTTGAACCATCATTAGATTATATGGTTACAAAAATTCCAAGATGGGATTTATCAAAATTTCAACATGTTAAAAGAGATATTGGATCAGCAATGAAATCAGTTGGTGAAGTTATGGCAATTGGTAGAAACTTTGAAGAAAGTTTTCAAAAAGCTATTAGACAAATTGATCCTTCATATATTGGATTTCAAGGTGATAAATTCGAAAATTTAGATGAAAGTTTGAAAAATCCAACTGATAGAAGATGGTTAGCTGTTGGACAAGCTTTATTACACGAAAATTATTCAGTTGATAAAGTTCATGATTTAACAAAAATTGATAAATGGTTTCTTTATAAATTAATGAATATCGTTAATATGTATAGAGAATTAGAATCAGTTGGTGAATTATCAAATATAAATAGTGATTTAATGAGTCGTGCTAAAAAATTAGGATTTTCAGATAAACAAATTGGAATTTGTGTTGGTGCTGATGAATTAGAAGTTAGAAAAATTAGAAAATCATTTGGCATAATACCATTTGTTAAAAAAATTGATACATTAGCTGCTGAATTTCCAGCAAATACAAATTATTTATATACAACTTATAATGCAACAAGTTCAGATATTGATTTTGAAGATAAAGGTACAATGGTATTAGGTTCAGGAGTTTATAGAATTGGATCATCTGTTGAATTTGATTGGTGTGCTGTTTCAACTGCAAGAGCATTAAGAGAAAATGGTCAAAAAACTATTATGATAAATTATAATCCAGAAACTGTTTCAACTGATTTTGATGAAGTTGATAGATTATATTTTGAAGAATTAAGTTTAGAAAGAGTTTTAGATATTTATGAATTAGAAAATGCTTCCGGGGTTGTTGTATCAGTTGGTGGACAATTACCTCAAAATATTGCATTAAGTTTACAAAATAACGGATGTAATGTATTAGGTACAAATCCAGAAGATATTGATAAAGCAGAAGATCGTCATAAATTTTCACAAATTTTAGATTCAATTGGAGTTGATCAACCAAGTTGGAAAGAATTAACATCAATTGAAGAAGCTGAAAAATTTGCTGATGAAGTTGGTTATCCAGTATTAGTTCGTCCTTCATATGTTTTATCAGGAGCTGCAATGTCAGTTATAAACAACAAGAATGAATTAGATTCAAAATTATCAAATGCTTCAAAAGTTTCAAGAGATTATCCAGTTGTTATATCGAAATTTATTCAAGGTGCACAAGAAATTGATATTGATGCAGTTGCAAATGAAGGCGAGGTATTAGTTCATGCAATTTCAGAACATGTTGAAAATGCAGGAGTTCATTCTGGTGATGCAACATTAATTTTACCACCACAAAATTTATCACAAACTTTATTAGATAGATTAAAAATTATAACTGATAAAGTAGCAGAAGCATGGAAAATTACTGGACCATTTAATATGCAAATTATAAAAAATGATAAAAATGGTGAATTAAATGATTCAAATTGTGAATTAAAAGTTATTGAATGTAATATTAGGGCATCAAGATCTTTCCCATTTGTTTCAAAAGTTTTAGGATTAAATTTTATTGATATTGCAGTAAAATCTTTAATTAAAAAGGATGTTCCTGAACCAATTAATCTAATGAATAAAAAATATAATCATGTTGCAACAAAAGTACCACAATTTTCATTTACAAGATTAGCAGGAGCAGATCCATTTTTAGGAGTTGAAATGGCATCAACAGGAGAAGTTGCATGTTTTGGAAAAGATCTTTTGGAAGCTTATTGGACAACTATACAATCAACAATGAATTTTAATTTACCATTACCAGGAACAGGAATATTATTTGGAGGAGATTTAAACAATTCAAAATTAGGTAATGTTGCAAAAGAATTAAGTGGATTAGGTTATAAATTTTATACAGCAAATGAAAAAGTATCAAATTATTTAAAAGATTATGTATCAGAACCAATTGAAGTTATTGAATTCCCCAAAACTGATAAAAGAGCTCTTAGAGAAATTTTTCAAGATAAACAAATTGGTGCAGTATTTAATTTAGCATTTGAAAGAGCAAAAGATTTATTAGATGAAGATTATGTTATGAGAAGAAATGCTATAGATTTTGCTATACCATTATTTAATGAACCAAATACTTCACAATTATTTGCTTTATGTTTAAAAAATAAAATTAATGATAAAATAAAATTTGATGAAATTCCTGAATCATTTGTTATACCTGAAGAAGTTAAAAGATGGAGTGAATTTATTGGTGGAAAACCAGTATAGGGAAGCATATATAGAGTTATAAATTAAAAAATAGCACATACATAAGTAATAAACATTTATTAGATTTGGATTTGATACCTATTTAATATTTCATTAATTCTGAAACATGAAATCTCATATATGTAAAGTCAAACCGATTCGTATTTATAAATTAACACAAAATTATTAGATATAGTATCTTTCACATGATATTTGTATTTCTAATTATATACAGTACTTACTTATCTAATTTATTTAGTATCACACGACTAATTATATTTAATAGTATTACGATATTTAATGATTGGAATAACTTTTTACTTATAAATAGAGCGCTTAATTATGAACCCGTGATTTTAATATAATAAGCTAGAGAAATAATAATAGGAGACCAAAAATAATGTTGGAATCAATCGGATAAATGATATACCATTCTAACGAAATAGGGATTGGTGTCTTCAAAGTATTTAGGACTAATCGGTTGACATTTAAACAAGACTTCTACCTATGCTTCAATTGAGTTGTATGGTTATCAGTAGTAACTAACATATTTTATCTATATAACGTAACTGAAAAATCATTTTTTACCAACAAAACTTTTTATTATTTAATTTTTCAATTTCGATTTACTTTGAAATTTTTTTACTAAATTTTTACAACCATTTTTATTTTTCAATTCAAGTTAAATCACTTTCTTTTTCTTTTGCAGTTTGATAGATTTTGCCATTCATTACTAGAAGTGATTCAAAGATTCAACAATTTGATCACAAGATTTTGATTTTGATTTTTTTTATCTTTTCAACCCCATATTTCAGTTTGCATAATTTTTTGTGGAATAATTTTTCACCACACGTCAATATCATTCATTCAACTGGAAAAATTACATATTTTTTAGTTCTTCTAGTGACTTGTCATATTCCAAAGTGTATTCATCTTATAGATCTTCAAATTAACTAATTTCAAAATTTCAAGAGAATTTCATAGTGAAAGAGATCTAAATTTCAAGGGAAAAAAATATCTTGAACTATGGCAACCACAGAAATTAAACATTCAACAACTCAAATGAGTGAAAAGAACAATCACAATGTTTCATTTAAAGATGATTTAACCACAAAAAGAGGCCCTAAAGGTATAACATTTTCGGGAGAAACTTTTATAGTTCCTGAAACTCATGATATGGTTAAAACATTATTCGATCCAACTATAAAAAAATCAAATTTAGAAATTTTAATATTAATTTGTTTATTTTCAAATTTAATAATTTTTGCAATACCACTGAATCAATTAAGAATTGGAATTTTCATTGGTTTATATATTTTTTGGAGATTATCTTATAATTTTGGAATTGGTTGGTTATTACAACAACAATCAATAAATAATAGATTAGTATTATGGGCTAAAAATTATAAATTATTTGACACACGTAATAAATCATTTTGGGCTATTTTTTTACAAAATGAATTAAAATCTCAAAGAGGTTCAAATTATGATATAAATGAATTACCTATAGAATTTAATACTTGGTTAATTTATAGAAAATTTGTTGATTTAATTTTAATGAGTGATTTTATAACTTTTATTTGTGTTGTTTATACATGTTCAATTGCTAACGCTAACGAATTTTCAAATACTTTAACAGTTTATTTAAGAGTTTTAACTGGATTGAGTTTAATTTTATTTAATTTATGGGTTAAAATAAATGCTCATAATACTATAAAAGATTATGCTTGGTATTGGGGAGATTTCTTTTTTAGACAAATTAATAATGAAGAATTAATATTTGATGGAGTTTTTGAAATGGTTCCTCATCCAATGTATTCAGTTGGTTATATTGGTTATTATGGATTTGCATTAATTGCAAAATCTTATATTGTATTAGCTATTGCAATATTTGGACATTTTTTACAAATGATTTTTTTACATTATATTGAAAATCCTCATATTGATAAAATTTATGGACCATCAAAAAATGAAATTAATTTAGTTAAAATTTTAAAATTAAAAGATTTAAAAAATTTTGATAATTTATCACCATTAGTTGGATTATATAATTTTAATATAATGAGAGCAAGTGATTTTTTAAATTTAGTTTTGGTGGTGACATATGGAATTATTATACCAATTTTATCAAAAAATTCTTATAAATCATTTTTTATATTAACTATTGCAACTAAATTATTAGAAAGTATTAGTATTAGTTTATTATTAATTTTACAAAGTTATTCAAAATTTTTTACAAAATGGTGTTTATCAAATGATATACCAGTTGAAAAATCTTTAAATAATTGGGCAATATTTTATAATACATTAATTAATTTAACTTATTCATCATTATTTGGTTTAAATTTTATAAATTTTTTACAAGGTTCAATTGAAAATTTTTATAAAGATTTATTTTATCTTAGATTATTTTTAGGTTCATTATTAATTATTACTCAAATTTGGATAAATTCATCAATTATTGATCTGATTGGTTATTTTGGTTGGTTTTATGGTGATTTTTTTATCCCCAAATCTAAAAGTTTTACAAATCATTTAACAAAAGCTGGTGTATATCGTTATTTAAATAATCCTGAACAAATATTTGGAGTTTGTGGAGTTATGGGAGTTTTTATAATTTTCCCAAATTATGAAAATTTAATATTATGTTTATTATGGGTTTTAAATAATTTTACTCGTATAAATTTTATTGAAAAATGGCATATGATTAGAGTTTATGGAGAAAATGAAGTTAATCAAGATTCAGGAGTTACAAAAACTTTTAAAAAACATTTAATTCCAGATGTTATTCAAAGAAGAATAAGTAATGATGAACCAACGTCATTATCAAATAGAAGAAAAAGTTTTGGAGGACAAAATCTTGCAGATTCATTTGATAATTTTATTAGAGATTTAAAAAATTCTAAAACAAAATTATCACAACAAAAATTAATTGAATTATCTCAAAATTTATCATTTGCAAATTCTGAATATAAATTAATTCTTGAAGGATTAGAACAAGATGATTTAAAAAAATCAAAATATACATTTATTGGAAATCCAATTATTGTAAAATGGCAATCACCTTCTTCAACTCATTCTTCAAAAGATTGGATTGGATTATATAAAATTTCACAAACTTCATATTCAAGAAATAAAACTATATTATCATCTGCTGGTAGATGGACAAATTGTAAAGATTCAAATGGTTCATTTATATTTGAAAAAGAAAAATTATTTTGGGAAGAAGGAGTTTATGAATTTAGATATCATTTAGATAGTAAACATGATGTTGCTTATATATCAGAACCTTTTGAAATTAAAAGTAATAAGTTGGTAGTTCCAATAACAGATTCAGAAACAGAAGAATTTGCAAATCAATTAAAATTAAATATATTTGATAAATTATTAGATATTGATTCAATTACAACTTCAATTCAATCTATAGCAACACAATCAGAAAATGTTTTAAAAGTTTATAATTTATTAAGTTCTTTAATTTTTCAATCTACAGGTATTTCAATAAATTCAAAAATTTTTATAAATAATGATAAAATTACAATAAATGATGTTTCAAAAAAATTAATTGATATAAATAAAGTACTTAATGAATTATCATATGATTTTACTGTTAAAAAAAATGAATAAATAATAGATAGAATAGAGTTTGTAAATAGATAAAACAATAAAAAGATGATTAGATTTATACTGTATGCTCTTCATTATTATTCATTATCATAACTATTTATTAAATATGAATTTAAATTTGATCTTATAATTTTAGAATTTTTACAACATTCATCAATTAGTAATTCCATATTTTTTTCATTTATATCTAAATTATTATTTTCAAACCAACATCCAATAATTTCATTATTTTTTAAATTTAAAAAACTAATTAATGCTAATATTCCATCATTGTTATCACTCAATATATTTTCTCCTTTTAGAACCTCACCTTTTGAATTCAATTTTATAATTGAACTTGAAATAATATCTTTAATTTCTATCCCAGTATCTATTATAGCTAAACTTGTACATATTAAAATCCAATTAATTAACCATAATAATCCAGAAATACCTTTAACATTAGAATCAATTGATATAATACTTATTTGAAAATCAATAGTTGATTTTGGATAATTTTTCAATAATATTGTAGACAATATACAATTTTCAATAAATGAACTTATTTTATGTTCAATAATACTCATTCCAATAGTTGGTTTTTCATTTATACCACCACCACCAGAGAAATTAAAAATTTCAGATAATGGTTGTGGTACATTATTTAAAAATTTAGTTTCTATACTTATTGATGCTTTATCTAAAAATGAACCTCTTATTGGTCTTGGACCAAATATTGATACTTCTATTATTGTTGAACCTATTTCAAGATATGATGAACCATTTGAATTTTTAATTAATGAATTTTTCAAAAAAAATTTAGGAAGTTCATTGGAATTATTTGGTTGTGATGATGATGATTCTGTATTTTGTGGTACATTCGGTATTATTGTATTTGACGGGCCTAGTATTCTTCGTCTATCACTCATTTTTTATGTAGATAATATAGTTGATAATCTCAAATCTGATGAGATTATCTTTTTGTATTATTTCGATGTAAATATAATTGTCTCGTGGAAGAACTACCAATTCTTGCATCCATCTGGAGAACCAAATGTTCTACCTATGATCATCTTTAACCCATTAACTACAGACTTAATCAAAAATGTTCTAATACAAATGACATACGAAATTCCATTCGAAATCTACAAATTTGTTTTAAAGTGTATTTGGGTGACTTAAAAATTTTATTTGATGAAAAATTTTCTCAGGACTCGAACTGCCAAAACTTGGATTTGTTAACCAGATATGTTCCAACACAAATATCATATAAAATTTTATTTCACACCTACAGGATCAAATTATAGAGAAATTTATGAACTTTAAAGAAATCTAAGAGAAATTTCCAAAAATGCTGAATTACACAACGAATTAACAATGGCAATAGAGATTCGAAGTTGTAAGTTGAAAGAATTTAACCAAGATAATCAATATAATGCTAAAATAGTATTTTTTATGCTTAGACAATTTGAATTGAAATATATCTCTGACTCTTTTTCAAGATTCGACTGCCATAACAGTTGCAGTTCTCACATAAGCTGACTTTGAAATCAGACTCTTTTATTCTTTCCCCTGCAACTCATGTACCATTTCAAATTAGAGAAGAGCAGAATGCAAAACGGAGCCAAAATAAAGATCAATAGTTGGATGCAAAAGGATATAGAGACATTAAATATTCCAGTAGTATGCTCGAACCCCATTTAAATTGTGCAAAATGTCTCGTGATTCATGGTAAATTTAGCCTAACTATTTATTACCCAATTAACAATTATTTGCAACAAGTCGAAATACTTGGTAAAACAATTTGTATTAACTATACACGAATTGTGAAAATGTTGGAAGATCGAAATATAGACATAAAAATTTCTTCCACATGCTAAGCATCAAGCAAAGTAGCATATTCATCACTACTGTCATCAAATGAATATTTTTTATCCTCTTTACTCAAAGAGTATTGTTTTTGCTTTTGTAATTGAATTCTTCTCTGTAATAATCTTTTGTAATGTTTTCGACATAATCTAGCGCAATAATAACCTCTATATCTTTCTCTATCTTCTAAACAAGTAATTTCAATTGGTTTTGGAGCTTGAGGATTTTTCATATAATATGTAAAATAAGTAAATAATAATTCACATCTTAATTTCATTTTTTCATCTAATTCTAAATTGAAAGAATTGGTATTTAATTCATTTGTTTTTCCTTCACTTAATTGATTTAAAAATTCAAAGTAAATCATGTGTTGTTTGAGTTTAGATTTCAACGACATTATTGTAATTAAACTTGGTAAAGTTCTGTGTAGATTGTTGTTTGGAGGATTAGGGAAATTACGATATTTGATATTTTTCTTATATGGTATTTTTTTCTCCAATTGTCTAATTAGACATAACAAACAAGTAAGATTTATAGATGAAACTATAGTAACATTTAGAGAAGAGTTAATTCAGAAAATTAATTTGAGCATACTCAAGAAGAGATTATTCAATTCAATCCAACTGCAGCTACTTTGAATAATAATATGCATCTGGATGCAATAATTGTTCTTGTTTCAAAGTTTGTTGCACAAAATCATACATTTAATTTGGTTGCAAAATTATTTAAAAAAAATCTTATTCTCACATGAACATAAGATCAAATGTCTCTTCAATTAAATTTTCTATATATATTATCTAAGTCTATCAATATAAATAATGTATCTATTCTCTAGAACAGTCTCTACCAAATAATCCAACTTTCAACCAATCTAAACAAATCAAAATTTGATTTTTAACAGAAAGACACATATAAACATAAGCAGATCTCCAAAACAAAAAGGTTAAATTACCACCAGTTGAAACATTTGACCAAGAACCCCAAGCCAAATCAGCAACTGCTTTTTCACTACCAATATAAGCTAAAGAACCTTGATAATTATAAACAAATTGAGGTAAATTACCTTCCATTCTATCACATCTTTGAATTGCAAATTCTGAAGGATTTGATTCATGAGATAATTTATATCTCATACTTGCAACTTTTTGTAATTTTTCAAAATAAGTAGCTAAATATTCACCTTGTTGATAAGCAACTTGAGCTGTTGGAGGATATTTTGTAAAAGTACAATCACCTAAAGCAAAAATATTATTAGAACCTTTTAATTTTAATTGATTATCAACTAATAAACCTCTTTTTGCATCTTTTTGAGCAGGAATTTTATCCATTATTATATGTGTAAAATCTCTTGTTGCATTACCAGTTGCCCAAATTAACATACCATATGGTACAACTTCAGTCAATTGATTATTTTTATGGAAAACCGTAACATATTTATCATCAACTGTTGTAATTCTTGCACTTGTAACTAAATTAATATTTGTATCCTTAAAAACTTGATTTGTATATTCAACTAATTTGGGGTTAAAAGTATGTAAAACTTTTGGTTGTGATTCAACTAAAGTAACTCTTAAATCTTTTGCAACTTCTGGTGCCCATTTTTTTAAATCTTGATCAATATAATCTTGAATTTCTCCTGCTGCTTCAACACCTGTAGGACCCCCACCACATACAATAACATGTAATAATCTTTTACGTTCTTTATCATTTTCAGGTAACATATTTGCTGCTTCAACCAAATCAATTAAAGTCTTTTTAATTCTTGCAGAATCACCAATTTCTTTAACAAATGTAGAATGTTCTGCAACACCAGGTAATCCAAAAGTTGAAGGTTGAGCACCAATTGAAACAACTAAATAATCATAACTTATATTAGCAATAATATGATCTAAACTATGTTCTTCATGTTTTTTTGGATGACTTGATGATGAACTATCTTTAGAATGACCAGAATAAACAGTCGTTGATTGTTGAACTTTTAAAGTATTATTTTCAGGATCAATATCAATTGCTTCAGCTTCTAAATAAACAACTTGACCTTTACATCTTCTTGTAATAGATCTAACTGGTTCCATAATAGATTTCATATCAACAGTTCCTGTTGGAACACTTGGTAATAAAGGAGTAAATAAAAAATAATTTCTTGGTGAAACAACAATAACATTATATAAAGTTGTATCTAAACCTTTTAAAAATGGCATTGCTCCCCAACCTGATCCTAATATTACTAAAGTTTTCTTTTTTTCACCATTTGGAAAAGTAGCAGATTGTGGAATTTGAGCAACTGGATGAGTTTCTTCATAAACTTTATAAGCTACAAATCCAATAAATCCTGTAACTCCTAATAATGCAGCTCCAAAACTATATTTTATTATTCTTATAAAAAGTGATTTTTGCTTTTTTGGACCGTTTAAATTTAAGTTTGAAGTTGAATAATTGTATTTAAATTGTTTATTGAATATATTTTTAGTAATGATATTATTGTTGTTATGAAATACATTTCTTGGAGATATAAGTCTTCTTGTTGTAAGTCTACCGAACATAATGTACGGGTATGTATGTTTTTTTCAATCTATGATGATGTTTTAATAAATGAAATTTATTTTTGATCTTGCTTAATTTTTTAATTTATTACCGAGATCTGAATTTTGTTCTTTACTTTGGTCTTAATGGGTATTTTTTTTTTTTTACTCAAAAGATGATTAGTATTCTTTTACACAAGATCCACTTTTTTTACTAGATGTTCGAAATTCAACTAATGAAAGATGTTTTGACTTTTATATTAATAATGAATTTTCGGTATATAAACTGTGTAGATCATTTTATGAAAAATATATCGGTATATAATATTATAAATTTTAATAAGTAGCAATTTAACCTATAAAAATTAAACTTTTAGATTTTAAGACCAAAACGAAAAAAGAGTTGAAAAAAGAAATTAAGTGACATATTTTACGGGAATAAAAATATAGTGTACATTATTATGTTACATTCGTAATCTTTCTCGGAACTTTCTGCTTAGAAATGATTACTTAGCTTAATTTTATACGAGGGAAAATTTAGGGTTTATTATACATTTTGATTCATAAAGGAGATAAAACAACTCCGATAAATGAAGTAATAAAATTAATGTTTTGTGTGTCAGATTATTTTATTTTGTATTTGCTAGTTCATCGAAGATGATTAGTTTGAGCACAAAATTGGATTTAGACTTTGTATCTCCTAGATCTCGTATAATGAGATCATGAAGCACAATGTATAGGTTAAACGTGATAGATCTTGCAACAAGACGGAGAGTGCACAATCAAGATGGCAATCTATAGAGCATCAATCAATTTCCATTTCTTCGTATTTCATTAATTATTCATCTCATTTATAATACATTATATCACTATTTAAAAAGGTGGTGAATAATCAAATTGATTAGTTGTAAATTCATTATTCAAAGAATTGAAGATTTCATCAAAATTAATTAAATCTTCACTATTTGTTGGTACATTAGTTTTATTGGAATTATCATAATTACTCGTATTTTGATTATTCAAGTTATATTGATCTGGTTGTGGTTGTAAATTAGCATTATTATTATAAATATTTTGAATTTCATTTGGTAATTGTTGAGTTTGTAAAGCTGGTTGTTGAAAATCTTGTTGTTGTTGAGGTAGTGGCTGTTGTTGTTGTTGATTATTACCATTATTTTTCAACATATAAGGTGGTAGAATTTTACCAAATATTTGAGCATCTAATTTATCAAATACACCAGGCATATAATTAGCTGTTAAATCTGCTCCAACTTTACTTCCAACTTCTTGATTTTCTTCTTCTTTTATTATTGATAATTTCGCAATGTTTGTAATTTCAGGTGGTATATCAGAAGTTGATTGAAATCTCACTATATTGGAATTACTAAATAATTGACCTAAATCTTCTTTTTTAGTAGTTTGAGAATAATGATTGTTATCGTCAAAATTTTTGAATGTATCTTTAACATCATCATTCATAAAAGAAGACGAGATTGCCACTTGTTGCTGTTGTTGTTGCTCTTGAGGTTGTTGCTGTAGTTGTTGTTGATCTTCTTGTTTTTGATTTGAATGTGGACTTGATTGATTAGATCTAGGACTCTTCTGAATTGAATTTGGGCTTTTTTGATTTCCACTTTTCTTTAAAGATCTTGAAGCAGTTCTTCTATTAAGTTGATCAAATAATGTATTCAAAATATTATAAATTCTCAATGAACTATTTGAAGAATTTTTCAAACAATCCAAAACTTTTTTACCAATTTCTATATCTTTTCTTATCACATCTATGTTTAAATCATCATCAAATAATACACCTGCAGCGTTGATTCCTAACCCATTATTATTATAATTTGCAAAATGATAATAATATATTAAACAAGCAATACTGAAAAAAGTTGTATACATTGAGAACCAATAAGTACCAATTAATAATTTTTGATCAATCATCTTATTCGCTAGTTTCACAACCATTCTTGCTATTTTAATACAATTTCTACCTCTAATTAATGATCTTGGATCACTTGAATTTCCATTCATTGAGTCACTAATAAAATGAATAAAAGGTCTATATACCATAATTTGACAATTCAAAAATGCTAAATGAAGGTAACAATTTGCTAAAATATATTTCTTTGGAACGTCAATTTTTTCAGAATTAGGATTTGTTGGTTGTAATTCTGGTGGTAAATTATTCAACCATTGTTTTAATTCAACTTCCAATTCAGTGACCTTTGCATGGATTTTATCTGATGAATAATTATTTGAAGATGATATTAATTCATCGTTAACATCATTCACTTTAACCGGATATAATTTTTTTAAAATATGTGATAATATTAACATCAATTTAGTATGATGATTAGCACAACCAGCAGAACTTAATTTTCCTTCTTGTTTTTCAAATAAATAACCTTGTCTTGTTATATTCTCATCATCTAATTCGACAGGTAATTCTTGATCAAATTCATCTTCTGTTAAAGATCTCGGTAAACCTAATAATGAATTAATATATATGTCCATCTTATATATTGTGAAAAATAATCTTTTTCTAGTATCAATTTCAATAGGATCTAATTTTTTTTTGGAACTTTGGAAAATTGACAAATTTCGATGTAAACCTTCTTTCAAGGCACTTCTTAAAGCAATTCCAATATAAGAATAACATGTTGATAATCTAGCTGAACATTGTAAATACATAATCATCATAATAATAGTTTGAATAGAATTTATATCTCCAACATTACTAATATCAATCAATTTTCTTGCCTCTAGAAAATATTTAAACCCATCATCTTCTAAATTTTCATTATATCTTGATGTTTCATATGGAGTTTTACTAAATAAACAACCACAAGCTAAACTTGAATATAAAAATGGTAAAAATTTATGTTGTCTATCACCATATTGAGATGGATCCATCGAATATAGTAAATCAATTTCTTCTATTAACGAAGGTCTATGATAAAATCGAAATAAAACACAAGCTTTGTACCATGTTGTGTAGATCAATTGTAAAGCTTCTTCTTTACTAGGTAATAATAATTTAATTTCACTTGGTGATGCAGGCATAGTCAGATCTTCGGATGTTGAGCCTGTTGAAGATTGTCGAGGAGTTGGTATAATGGTATCCTTTTCCAACATAAGATCAGATACTTCATTCATAGTTTGTGGTAAAATACTTGGTTTTTGCTCAACATAATTAACAGCTTTTTGAAATCTTTCTAAATCAAATTTCAAATTTTGATCGAAACAATTGAATTGTAATTTCGGTAGTAATGTACTAATTATTTGTTGAGCTATTATCAAATTTTTGGTTGGGAATGTATCAACTGAAATCCCATTGGGAGCATTAGAAGAAGATGATGACGTTTGATTAATTCCTTGTTGATCATATAACAATCCATTGGCAGCTGCTTGAGCAGCTGCAACTTGTAATGCAGCTAAACTAGGTTGTGATGGTTTGGGAATTCCTGTATTTTTTTTGTTCCTAATATTTGGTTCATCATATGTACATCTGAATGAATAAACTGTGCAATGAATACATGGTTGTCTTCCATCACATTTGACCTTTTTTGACCTACATAGATCACAAGCCCTTGCAACTCTACGACGTTTTGGTTCTGTGGAAGGTTTTTTGATCATTTTTAATGATTAAAAATTATGACTATAATATCAAGAATAATTCAATCTTTAGATTTGTGATTGTTGTTCTATGAACAGTTTGAACAGTATTTCAATTGTCGAGTATCTTCATAAAACCTTATTAAACAAGAAATAATGTAAGTTAACCCTGTTTATTAAAGGATAAAATATAAAATATGAAATTAGAATTTGATAACTCAAAAACGGTTCATTAGTATGACTATGTTGCTACCACCTGGTATTTTTTTTGTTCGCAAGAATGGTCCAATCCGCTATTGTCACTTACAAATAAAATAAAACCCTGTTTTAAAGATATACACAGTAGCATTTAAGCTTATGTCTGAAATCTTAAGCTAAAAATTGTTCATTAAACTTATGAGAAGAAACATGTTATGAGAAATGATTCAATAAATTCGAGCTTTATGCAACATACTTATTACTCAATGATTCAGGATCTAATTTGCACGCACTCCACAGTATTAAAATGATTTTAGTTTGACCCGTTTTGTGTCATGTTTCACATATATCGTGAAATTGAACCCTGTGTATTCTACACGTTTAAATCGAACATTCATTTATTCATTAAATCTTTAGACATAATAACCTTCCTATGACAATAATATCTAGTTTACTTTAGCACCAACAATAGTAGAATTTTTACATTTTTCTCCTTTTTCATTAACTAAATAAACCGGTTCCTTACCTTCAGCAGTATATGTTATTTCGAAATTATCAGTGGTTGAAAATTTCGGTTGAACTGCTTCCCAAATTTTCTTTTTTGGGTTTAATTGTTTTTCTGGTACACCTTTATAAGTTTCAAAAAAGATTTTATCACCAGCTTTTGAATTTGGTGGAGGATTAACAAATTCAACTTTTCCTTCTTCGGAAGCACATAACACCATCGCACTTGATTTTACTCCTCTCATGGTTACTGGTTTTAAATTAGCAACAACTACAACATATCTTTGTTGCATTTCTTCAATTGGGATAAAATTAACTAATCCTGAACAAACAGTTCTTGGACCTTCTTCATCTCCCATGTGTATAGTTGACATGTATAATGAATCAGCATCTGGATGTCTGACAGCTTTTTCAATAAATCCTACTCTCAAATCTATCATTGTTGGTGTTGGTGGAGCAGCTGATGCAGCTTTTTCTTGTTGTTTTTGTTTTTCCTTTTCAGCATTAATTTTAGCTTTTGCCGCCTTTTTAGCTTCTTTAGCTTCCATTCTTGCTTTTTTTTCTTCTTCACTCAACTCCGTAAAAGGTTTTTCGTTATTATTTGATTTCTTGTCTGCTTTCCCATTTTCTTTTGATTCTACTTTTTTATCTGATTTCTCGGTAGCTGAAGCAGTTGCTGTAGGAGTAGGTTTTTTCTTTTCTTTGACTTCTCTTGGGATTTCAACATCATGATCTATCTTAAGCGGATCAGGTACATTCACCAAGGTATTTTGTATGAGATCAATCCATCTTAATACATGTCTGTACTTAGCTAAATTATCTTTACTGGATGTTAAAGTTGATGTTTGTGGAAATAATTTCTCAAAAACAAGTAAGTCACTCTTTGATGGCACCGATCCGACCAAAAAGGTTTTGTTCCTTAACGAATCATTAATTTTTGAAATTGTATGTTTTTCATCTAATCTGTCTGATAAAGTTTCGAATTGAGATGCTAATGCATTTTGTTCCTTATTCAATTCAGGAAATTTGATTGAACTCAATTTCGATGGAATGTCAGTAATTGATAATTTTGAGAAGTTTGAGATAAAATCAGCCATTATAAATTTGAAAACTGACTGTTTTGGTGAAATGTATTTAAATATTATTGAAGTTATTTTGAACTATTGATTAATTATCATTTTAATATCAGACATTGAAAAGAATTTTTCGTTTTTTCTCTCATACAAATTGATTTAAATACTGCACGACTTTACATATAAGTGATTTTGCAGCCATTGAAAAGTAAAAGGTTGTGACGTTTGTTGAGGATAGAGTACTTTCAATCCTTTTCTAGCTATGGGAAATAGAGAAACATGTTGTATTTAAACCAGATTACAAGTTCATAGAAACAAAAACATATTTCTTTCATTTATTACTGGAATTAATGCAATTTTACTGCCAAAATAATAAGATTCACATCGAATTTTTCATACCAATTAATGTTATCAGACAAAAGAAAAGGAAAAAACAAGTGACAGAAACTAGTAAAAGCCAGTGAGTTGTTTTTGAGTTACACAATTTGACTATTGAATGGACTTGATGGAGGTGGTTAAAAGCCGGTTGGTAGCATTAATTACTAATATATTTTGGTCATTAATATGTTTGTGTTTCAAGTTCACCAATATTTTAGCATAACGAAATTAAAACCTACAGCACAAGATCTTCATAAAATACAACTACATCTCCAATGATAGTATAGGGTATATTCTTATCAATGAATGAGGAACAGGAACAAAAACCAATAAAAGCTGAGAATAACTCGGATAATGGGGTTGATATAACAAAACCAGTATGTACCGCTGCTTATCAGAAACACCATGATTTGATACTAACTATTTGTACTACAGAAACGGAAGAAAACGTCAAGAGCGTGCAATCATTGTCATAAGGCTCATATGACATGTGATTCAGGAAGACCATGTAAAAGATGTGTTCAACGAGGATTAGATGAAACTTGTGAAGATGCACCTAGAAAACGTAAAAAATATTTGGATGATGTACCAAATTCAAGTTTGGCTGCAAAAGTAATCAATGGTTCATCTCAAATAAACAATCTAAATGGTCATGAACTACATCACGCACAATCTTTAGAGTCTACATTAACAAATCAACATCAACAATATAATAATTTATATAATTATTCACCTCAACCTCAAATGCGACAGTCAAACGAACGAATGCAACAACTGCCAACAAATATACAACAAAATAACACAATTATAAATCCACAACCTATTCCTTTTCAAAATGGACCTTCGTCAAATCAATTGCCATTTCCACAAAGTCAACAATCTCTCGGTCAAACAAACACGAATGAACCTCCTAAAATTCCAAACCATGTAACGTATCAAGCTACGATGTTTCAGCACAGTGCAACTGCTCCCGACATTACGCAATCAAACTCTTCCTACTATTATTTAAATTCAAATAATCAAGTACCCACTCAACAAGTTCAAAACACAGAGTACCAAATTCAAAATCAGAAGCAATTCCAGTTACCACAGCATGACCCACAGTTACAACGACCTCCGTTAAATCCCAATTCACCATCATCGTACATACAAAGTCAAAGAAAGACTAAGTTCATGTCAACAGCCGCAGATTTAGAGTATGCGACACTATCCAATATTCTCCAAGATAATCTTGGTGGTCATCATACCACATCAAATGAAGGTACACCCAATTCACACAATTTTTCACCAAATCTATCACCTCATAATCATCCTTCTACCTCGCTAAGTAAAATCACTTCAAGGGATACACAAGATCAACCTTCAATTGACTATAACTTGGACATACCACCAATCGATTCATTTAATTCCAAAGAAGCTAGACATCACAGTCTTTACGATAATTCAAAATATCCGAAATGTGATGAATCAATTAATCAATATTTCATTGGTAAAACAGACTCCGATAGCATTACAACATTTCCTGATATAATCACAGCTTTAGAGGTGATGAAAAACAATGACTATACCGTTTATGAAGAAAGAAACTCGAAACTGAACTTATCATTTTCAGTCGGAATCCTGCATGAAGATAACCGTTCAAGTATTAGTAAAGATGATTCATTATATAAAGAGCCTGAAGAAATTTATGCGAAAGTAAACAAACCATTTTCATATACTCCTGGATATCATTCACTAATAGCTTATCTACGTAAAAGATTCTCAAAACCAATGTTGGTCAAAATGGCTGAATCAATGGCGTCTTATCGTCCCTCATTTATAGCATGTACAAACTCATTGAAAGAGCATGATTTGATTTTCATGGAACAATGCTTTCAAAGAACTTTATTGACTTATGATAATTTCATTAAGATTAGCGGTACGCCGACAATTGTTTGGAGAAGAACAGGAGAGATTGCATATGTTGGTGATGAATTTTGTATATTAACTGGCTGGAATAAGGAAGAACTAGTGGGTAACGGTAAGCGTAAATTCATTGTTGAGTTGTTAGATGACAAATCAGTTGTGGAATATTTTCAGGTTTTTTCAAGAATTGCATTTGGTGATTTTTTAGGTGCTACTATAACCGAATGTACTTTATTGACACCAAAAGTAGATGTTAAAATAAGAACTGGTTGTATGTGGACATTGAAAAGAGATGTATTTGGCATACCAATGATGATTGTCGGAAATTTTTTGCCTATCATATAATCTTAAAAAATTTGTAATGTGATCCTGTGTATTCATATTTATTCAATTCTTCAGTTTAAAGTAAAAGTTAAATTACATGTTATTATAGTTTATAATTCGTTTCAACTCAGTTCGTTGCCATAGACTTATTTTTAACTTCTTAGATCTCGTATTTGTAGACAAATCCGGAGTTGTCTTAATCGGGTTTTTGTGTTAATATCCTCCCCGTATTTTTGTACTGAAACAATTCTTATCAAATCGAACATTTAATCCATCACAGTTATAGCAATAATAGTCATACAATGGCATCAGATTCCTCACACAGGTCTCATACTCATGCAAAACTAACATCTAGCTTACTAGTCTCGGTTTCAATCATATGTCTTGGTTCATTACAATTTGGTTATCATATGGCAGAATTAAATTCTCCTGAATTAGTACTAACATGTAAGAAATCTCAACCTGGTTCAGGACCGTATGAAGATTCATTCTTCGGGCAACGAGGATTTAAAAAATGTTTACCAATGACACCAGACCAAATTGGATTAGTTACCTCAATTTTTTCCATAGGTGGATTAATTGGATCATTTTATGTTGGGTTCTTAGCTGATAAGTATGGTCGAAAAATGACTGGATACCTCCATTGTGCAATGTACATTTTGGGGTCAATGATAAATGGTCTAAGTAATACTTACATCAGTTTGTTAATTGGAAGATTTGTATGTGGTTTAGGTGCTGGATCAGCATTAGTAATTACATCATTATATATTAATGAAGTTTCGCCAATAAATTCAAAAGGATTATTAGGATCAATGAATCAAGTTAGTATTAACGTTGGAATTTTATTCACTCAATTGTTATCTTTGAAATGGTCTAATGATAATGATTGGAGATGGTTATTGATTACCGGTGGTGTTATAGCAACTTTGAATATTATAATATTGGCTGTTTTCGTTCATGAATCTCCCATGTGGTTGGCAAATCAAGGAAATGATGATCAAGCATTTTTTGTATTACATAAATTTAGAGGTGGTAATTACTCATTAGTAACAGAAGAAGTGAGTAGCTGGAAAAACAACGGCTCAGATGAAAATGAAATATTTTTAGAAGATGGTGATTTAGGTGAGGCTGATCAAGATCAGCAGGAACAACAAATTCAACAGGAGCAAAAAAATTCAATATCTGTAAAAGAATACATCACTTCTCCAGAATATAGACCTTCATTAATAGCTTCAACTGGTATTTTAATTTTACAACAATTTGATGGTATCAATTCTATCATCTTTTACGGTGTTTCAGTGTTAGTTTCAATATTCCCAAAGCATTCAATTATAGTGAACTGTTTAATTTCATTGGTCAACGTTGTTATTACTTTTGGTTCAGCAACAGTCGTTGATAAATTAGGTAGAAAACCGTTGTTGCTAACTTCTGTTTCATTTTTAAGTTTAGCTACAACATTCATGGGATTTGGAATAATAACAAAAAGTTCAATTTTATCAATATTAGGGACATTTACATTCATTACTTTTTTTGCAATTGGATTAGGTCCAATACCATTTTTGTTAGTTGGAGAAGTTACTCAACCCAATGCAAAAGCATCTGCTCAAAGTTTTGGTACAAGCTTGAACTGGATAGCTACTTTTATTGTTGGGTATTTGTTTCCAATTTTACTTCACTCTATTGGGGGTTCAGTTTATTTTATTTTTACTGCAATGTGTTTGTTCAGTGTTTGGTTTATTTCAAAGTATATACCTGAAACAAAAGGTAAAACGTCATATAAAGAAGTATGGAATAAATAAGAATAGTTTGAATTATGTGAGATATTATCATCTAAAACTAATGAGACCGACCTAAGGTTTTCACCTACTTCTCTGTAGTAATTTCTAAAACAAATGAAGCATATTTAATTTCAGTTTCTTGTTAGGGCTATAGACCTACCATCTATGTATATTACTGCGTGTATACTGTTACAAAGATTGACCTTTGTACTATATTTTTGCTCACACACAAAAGAGAGACACAAAATAGATTTCATAATTGGTAGCATATAGCTCTTAACCATGGTAAATTACATACTACAAGTTTTTGGTACTAACAGAGATTTAGTATTATTATTGAAATTTTTTTTAGAAATTTTTCATTAGAATCTAATCAAACATCATCCACACACAACAATGCCTACTAGATTAACTAAAACCAGAAAACACAGAGGACATGTTTCTGGTATGTAAACTTAAAGACAGAGATCAAAAGAATGTGTTTTTGAGCGGGGGATTAAAGCTAGAACTAGTCAAATAAGAAGGGGGAAAGTTAACAGACAAACTATGATTCGATTATAAATTCATTATCATCCAGAAAAGATCCAAAAGTCAACAACATTGAATTAAGAAGAAGTTTCTTCCAATTTTAATTTGAACCACGAAATACCTTCAAAAACTTTCCCAATATTATGACCCATCATTCAAAGCAACAACCACGTTATGTCCATATTACATTTGGTTTTTAAATAACATGAAAGATACCCCAAACCGAAACACATTGCTCAAAATTTACAATTAATAATACTAACTTCGTTTTTTAGCCGGTAAAGGTAGAGTTGGTAAACACAGAAAAAATCCCGGTGGTAGAGGTAAAGCTGGTGGTCAACATCATCATAGAACAAATTTAGATAAATTTCATCCAGGTTACTTTGGTAAAGTTGGTATGAGATATTTCCACAAACAACAAAATCACTTTTGGAGACCAGAAATTAACTTAGATAAATTATGGACTTTAATTGAATCAGATAAAAAAGATGAATATTTACAATCATCATCAAAATCAGCTGCCCCAGTCATTGATACTTTAGCTCACGGATACGGTAAAGTATTGGGTAAAGGTAGATTACCAGAAGTTCCAGTTATTGTTAAAGCTAGATTTGTATCAAAATTAGCTGAAGAAAAAATTAGAGCTGTTGGTGGTGTTGTTGAATTAATTGCTTAATCATGTTTGTATACTTTTTAATGAAATAACTTTAAAATATTCGTAATTCATCGAGTCAAGTAGAGATGTGGTTAGTAAAGCATATATCGAGAGTGCTGTAATAACGAATAATCTCTAATTTTCAGGTCCTGTATATAAAACCCTCATTCTAATTTATTTGTTTACTTTCTGTCAATTTTGGTTGTAATGAAGTTATCAGTTTGAACGAACCCAAATTATGAATAGTTTTAACTTTAAATCGACAAACCTCTTTCATCTGCGTAACTAACTAAGTTCTCAATTGATGATCATTACAACTTTCCGTCAAATTATAGAAAGTTCTAGAGACCTTGTACTTTGCATAAAATTATAATCTCAAATGCGTATAGCACCAAAGAATTCATATAAATTAATTACTTCTGTTTTTCAAAACTACACAGTCAAAAATAACTTAAAAATAAAGAGATCATTCACCACTTCACAATACAGAATGACATCAATTAAAGATCTAAGTGAAAACAAATGGAAACCACAAGATGCAATTCCTCAAAATATAAAAGATTTACTTACAACAGAATCCAAATCATCTAAGTCATCAAATCATCTTCTTGCATTTCTCAACATTATATCGTCATTAAAATTTCAGAAAAGAACAGGATGGATGGATCATGGTATACCTAAATTTGATACGGAATCAATTGCTGATCATATGTATAGAATGTCTATTTTATCAATGATTGTACCACCTTCTACAGTTAACAAAGATAAATGTGTGAAAATAGCTATTATTCATGATATAGCTGAATGTTTAGTAGGTGATATAACTCCATTTGCTGGAATTTCTAAGTCTGAAAAGCATCGTAGAGAAAAAGAAACAATAGAATATTTACAACAAATAATAAAACCTTATAATTCTGAATTTGCAACCGAAATGTATGAATTATGGACTGATTATGAAGAAATAAGAACTATTGAAGCTAGATATGTGAAAGATATAGATAAATTTGAAATGATACAAACAGCTTATGATTATGAATTAAGATTTGGAATAACTTATGATTTGAATCAATTTTATACTGCTAGAGAAGCCATTAAGACCAAGGAAGTTGGTGAATTATGTGATGATGTACTTGAAAAAAGAAACAAATTAGTTGAAAAACTAAAACATAATGAAACTAGTTGAATAGGTTTGGTATTGTAGTATAGAATAATATTTAATTTAATAATAATGCATTGTATCTTATTAAGTGGTAAACACCGCTAAAGCGATTTCAATTTTTCAAAAAAAAACCGATCTTTTTCTATACTTTACAATTTAATCAATTTGCCTTTATGCCATCACAAGTATCCACTGAATCTCAGGCAGTAGCGGACGATGAAAAAGCAAGGAAAATTCCTGAATACGGAGTATCAGGAAGAAGAATAGTTTATGATAAAGATGGTAAACCGTATGTTTTTATATAGTTTGAACTTACTAATCAAATTAGAACTATAACTAACTTAAATGAAATAGATGTCGAACATGTAACACACTACTAGATTTTCAATTTGCAACAGGTAAACCATCTAGCAAAACTTCAATCTCAACAACCACTACAAAATCTAATACAAATCCTAATTTAAAGTACCCAAAAGAAGAACCACCAGATGTCACACAATTAGGTAAATCTTCATGGACATTGTTACATTTGATAGCAGCTACATACCCAGAAGCACCAACAACAAAACAACAACAAGATATGAAACAATTCATAAATTTATTTTCTGGAATATATCCTTGTTGGTATTGTGGTGAAGATTTTCAAAATTATATACAAAAGAATGAAATACAAGTTAAAAATCAAAATGAATTTGGGACATGGTTATGTAATGCTCATAATGATGTCAATAAGAAATTGGGTAAACCTGAATTTAATTGTAATTTTTGGAAACAAAGATGGAAAGATGGTTGGGGTAATGATAATAATTAGATAATACTTGTAAATAGAACTTTAAAGTCATGTAAATATTAGACACTCAAAATTTACGTCACATACTTCTTCAGATTATTAGCCTAATAAATCCGTAATCTCAATTGAGCAACCATTGCTTATAGACTTCATATCATTACACTTGATATGTTTAGTAGAAACTTATCAAGATCAATTCAAAGATCATCAATTTATAATTCAAAAAGACAATTCTCATTAACAGATTGGTTTAAATCATGGCAAAATGCAGCTCAAACTCAAAGATTAATATATCCACCATCACCAACTCAATTTACAACAAATAATAGAATTATAGATGTATGGGTAGATCAAAAACAAGATTTATATAATTATATAAATGTTAAACCACCATTATTATTAAATTTTACAACTGCTACACCAGAAAATAATAAAATAACTCAAGAATTATTTGATTTATTAGTTGATAAATCGAAATATCCTGGTAAGGAACCAGTTTATTTAGTTAATATTTTAGCTGATTCTCAAGGAGGAAGAGAATTAATGTTGGAATATGTTGTTAATAAAATTCCAACTATTGTAGTGTTAAAACATCAATTATTTGTAGGTAGCTATAGTCCTAATGTGAAAAACTTTCATGAACAAGATTTGATAGATTTTTTGAAAGATATATGATTTATACGGATCTTATGTTTCACACGGCGTGTCGAGAACTTTTTAAATTTCGATAATTTGTTAAATAATATTAAGAAGTGAACAATACCATGGTTTATTGTATGTAAACAGTCAATTTAATTGAAGAATGTTATTTATTAAAATCCTTAGTTGTTGAACAGTTAATTCATTAGTGAGTGTTTCAATTGTCAGACTTGTCAAGAATTTCAGATACATTGTTTCATAATCGATCAATTCGTTATTTTCGACTCCTTCAACATTTTTTGAAAATATTTCAGCCAGAATTTCTCGATGAAGCATTTACTCAGACTCGTATAAGAATTACCGTGTTTGATATACTTTGACACACCTCTATTTGTTTCGTATCTAATTATAGAAAAATTGGTTACTCTAATCCAACATATATTAAGTAAAAAGTAAATCGAAAAAAAAATAGTCTTTGGATAAATCATTTCTTATTAAAACAAACACTCTTGAAGTACGCATGCTATGTATTAACTGAATTTACAATTTGATTTTAAAATTCTAAACCAATGTCAGTCATTTATTTCGATCAACTGATTTTCGGATTTTAAGATTTTATAGATAATTAAGTAGTTGCAAAATCGGTGACACAAAGTTAGACTATTTCCATATACAAAGCTTAGTAAGAAAGATTTCGAGCAGTAATTGACCGAATTTGTTCGAACACAACTGGTTAGAACATAACACGATCTATTAGTCACAGTGTGAGAATCAACTCAGTTATTTTTAGTAAGGGCATGAGGTTTTGCTCAAGTTACATTCAATAAGTAATTTTGACATTATTAATAATTTTTAGTAATAAGCTGACATAGAAATTTGTAAGTAGGAAAAAAGAATAGTACGAGAGTTTCATAGAGACTGAAAAAAAAATTAAATTGTGGTGGGGGAAATGACTATTACTAATTTATAATACAAGAAGAGAACCAGTTCAACTAATACTTCAACAACACCAATACTTATAAAGGAAAGTCGTTAGTATTACCAAGGAAGAAAAGTAGATACTAGGAATTGCTGTTTGACCGGAGAGTACAATTTGTTAGCATAACTCATAATTAAATCCTAAATCCGTTAACTTTTATACATCAAATACTTCGAAAATTACAAGTTCCACCAAAATAAATCATCATTCTTCATATCACCATTCATTAGACCAACAACCAGATCAAAAACAACAACAACACCAACAACATTGTTGTATAAAAAATTCTCAAATCTTTTTGAAATCAAAGTATATAAATTTTCTTCAAATAATGTCATTATTACAACATCCTCAACCATCAAATAGAACATCAAATCTACAACAAAATAATCATCATAATCATAATCATAATAATCAAAATGGAAGTAGTCTACCTAAACATTTTATACCGGATGTGACGAAAATACCAATGGTAACTCCAAGACCGTCTAGCTCAACATTACCATTACAATCTACAAAACAAATTGGTACTCCACAACCACCACCAATAATAACTCAAGATATGAGAAATCAAACCAATTTACCAGATAGTTTACCTCAAGTTAAATGTATTGCTAGAGCTCGTATACCAACTACTCAAGGTCCTGATATTTTTTTACATCTTTATGAAAATAATATTGATAATAAAGAACATTTAGCCATAGTATTTGGTGAAGATATACGAAGTAGATCATTATTTAAACAACAACCAGGAGATACACAACAAGATAGAATGACAAGAGGTGCATATATAGGAAAATTAACTCCAGGGAGACATATTGCTGATTCTTTCATTGATTCAAGAGGTATTGAACATAAACTTAATTTTGATCAGAATGGAAATTTAATTGTTGATAAAAATACATATACTTTACCTTCATTAGTAAGAATACATTCAGAATGTTATACAGGAGAAACAGCATGGAGTGCAAGATGTGATTGTGGAGAACAATTTGATCAAGCTGGGAAAATAATGGGAGAACAAGGTCATGGATGTATGGTTTATTTAAGACAAGAAGGTCGTGGTATTGGTTTAGGAGAAAAATTAAAAGCTTATAATTTACAAGATTTGGGTGCTGATACTGTTGAAGCTAATTTAATATTAAGACATCCAGCAGATGCAAGAAATTTTTCATTAGCTACTGCTATATTATTAGATTTGGGATTAGTAGAGATTAAACTTTTAACTAATAATCCAGATAAAATTATAGCAGTTGAAGGTAAATATCAAGAAATAAAAGTTATTGAAAGAATACCTATGATTCCTTTAAGTTGGAGTGTTGAAGGTAGAACTAATGGTAATGGTATAAAAAGTAAAGAAATTGATGGTTATTTAAGTACAAAAATTGAAAGAATGGGTCATTTATTGGAAAAGCCTATAAAAATTAATAATTAAGAAAAGTTTTATTAACGGTGACGGAAAAATAAGTTCAAAGGTCTAACCTGGTGCATATATAAAAGATTTTGATAGACAAATAAAGATTAATTTATTCCTTCAAATTCGTCTTGAGTGTAGACTGATGTCAGTGCGATCATACATTAGTCTTGTTGGCTCATTTTATTTAGATAACTTGAGAATCTAGTTTTTGCTTTACTTGGTGTCCTCGTGTCACTATATTACGTTTGGTGTCTTCTTTGGTGAGCAGAGGTGCTGTTTTTAATAGTTCAATATATAGTTCAGTCAAAGTAACTATCATACCTCTAGACCAAAAACGGCACTTATGTTCACCCACGGTTACATCACCATAATGAGATAGCATCGCAGACAAGAAAGGCAACAAGCAAGCAAATTGAAGTTGGTTAATGTAGTAGTAATTGTGATGAAGTTGTATTAATTTTGACTGCAACAACATGGTTTTTTGATCAATTTCTTGAATGACCTACTCATCCATTCCTAAATGTACCATTGATGTAAATATTTTCTTGTAAGCTGATTCATGTCACTTGATTGTATTCTTGATGTTAGTCAGTTGATTACTGTTATAAATGATGTCACTGGCTAAAGATTTAGTAGCAAATTATGATACAAAAAGAAAAGATGCAAATATGATTCTAAACAATTTCAATTATGACCTATTATTTTTAAACCAAACCCATACCTCAAATGCAAGTGAAAAACAAAGTGAAACTCAAAGATAAGAATGTTGCAGTAACCTTAATTCCTGAAGATTCAGAAGATTTATGGTACTTATTCAACTTAATTAAAAAGGGAGATACAGTTCAATTATTAACTCATCGAAATGTTAAAAAGGGTAATCAAAATCAAATAACAAAAGGTAAATCCAAAATGGAGAAAATTTTATTAAAATTAAGATTAGTTGTTGAAGATATTGATTATATTGCTAGTGATTTGACAATGCGTATAAATGGGAAATCTTTATTACAACAAGAATATGTACCTTTAAATAGTTATCATACTGCAGAAATTGAAATAAATAAAGAAGTAAGTATAGTGAAATCAAGTTGGGATGAATATGATATGACTTTATTAGATGAACTTTGTTCAATTGAGAAAAAAGCAGATATTGGAGCAGTAATTTTTCAAGAAGGTGTAGCTCATTTATGTTATGTAACTGATCAAATGACTGTATTACAATCAAAAATTGAAAAATCAATACCGAGAAAGAATAAAGATTATGGAACGAAAGATCTAGATAAAGCAATGACTTCATTTTATAATATGATTATTCAAGGTATAATACGTCATTTTGATTTTAATAAATTAAAAGTTGTAATATTAGCATCTCCTGGATTTTTAGCTAAAACATTATATGAAAAATTAATTCAAGAATGTATTGCAATGCAAAATTCATCTACTAAAGAATCTAAGATTTTCCAATCAATATTAAATAATAAAAATAAAATACTAGTGACTCATTCATCTACTGGATATTTACAAGGGTTAGAAGAAATACTAAATGATAAACAACTGTCTAAAAAATTAGCAGATACAAAATTTTTAGAAGAAAGTGAAGCATTAACAAAGTTTCAAAAAGCATTAAATGATGACGATGATAGAGCATGGTATGGTAAAGAAGAAATTATAAAAGCATTAAATATGGATGCAGTAAGATATCTAATGATATCTGATGAACTTTTCAGATCAGATGATATAGAAACAAGAAGAGAGTATATTAATTTGGTTGAACAAGCTAAGCGAATGAATGCAAAAGTTTACATATTTTCAAGTTTACACGAACTGGGGATTCAATTAAATCAATTAACTGGTATAGCGGCGTTACTAAAATATCCAGTTCCTGACTTAGATGAATCAGATGAAGAATAATCTTTTAGAAACATTCAATTATTTATTTATTTATTTACATGAAACCTTCTTTTATATTCCAGTATATACCAAACATTCCCGTTCCTAGCATTAATTAATAGATCTTGTATTATACCCAACACAACCCCACTTAAAGTTCCTCCTATTATTATTTTTCTACTTTGTATATAACTCAATTGTTTATATCTTGTATATATGGTAGAACCTAAAGCAGCAGCAGCTGTAGTATTTAAAAAATCAATTTGTCCTCTTGCTAAATCTAAACCATATTCTAATAAAAAGAAACAACCAACTATTGAACTAAATTTTAAACCAGTTTTAAAAGCTTGTGTGGTTCCACCAACAATTAATTCATAATTTTTTCTTTTATGATAAAAATACCAACCACCTTTTGTACGTGGTAATCTATGACCATTTTCAACTAAATATCTATTTGATGTTTTTTGAATTCCATCATAAAAACCTGCAAATATTCCTATTAATCCGGAGGTAGTTGCTAATGCCTCTATTCTATCTTTGGGAAACAAATGAAACCTTTGATTATTCCGTAGTAGATCATCTAATTGAGATTGTTGTAATAGACTTTGAGGTAGTGAGGATTGATTTGACATTTAAGTGATGTAATTAAGTGCTCAGACATGTTTCATAGTGAAAATTAATTTTTAGTGCGAGAGCGATAGAGAGATTTCACGAACAGTTCGAGTATAACTTTGATTAAGATTTGCAAAGATTAATTAAAATAGGTCCCTTAAATCATTATACCATATAAACTAGCCAGCCAATAAATCTATTGATCCAAAATAGATTTAACAAATTCAACATAATCAACATTACCATCAGATGTAACATTTACTCCCTTTAATAATTCGTCAACTTCAGAATCACTTAATTTTTCACCAATTGAAGTTAAAATATATCTTAATTCACCAACACCAATATAACCTGTTTGTTCTTTATCAAATACTTGGAATCCCTTGATATAATCTTCTGGATTACCTAAAGGTTTAAATCCATCAGGACGATTTATAATTTCTTGATATTGATCAAAATTAAATTCTGATCCTTTTATTGATGATTGTAATTCAGATATTTCTGCTAAAGTTGGATTTTGTCCTATAGCTCTTAAAAGATCTCCTAAATGTTCTACTGGAATTTTACCTGTTCCCTTTTTATCAAAAAGTGCAAATGCATCTCTATATGTTTTTGTATTTTGTGACTAAATTGATGATACATATGTTAGTATACATTTCAAATAAGTACAGCTCGTAATTAAGAAATTATAACATACCATCGTTAAGTAATTTGAATGGTTGGTATTGATAGTGATTTCAATTAATCCTTAAATCAAGTTCCGAATAAAAATGTAAACAAAAAAAATAAATCAAAACACGTAAAAATTACACTACCACCAGAATTTGTACCTTAAAATAAATCATCTCAAACGACAAGATCAGCAGTTTTATCAATGCTATATGTTTAAAGGTCAAAATGCTTTGATAACAGGTGGCTCTAGAGGAATTGGGTTAGCAATTGCTACAAAACTAGCGTCACAAGGAGCATCTATAACTCTATTAGCAAGGGATGAAGAATTGTTAAAAAATTCATTAAATCAATTACCATGTGATCAAAATCAAAATCATTCATACAAATCGTTCGACTTATTGCTGCTCGTTAACCTGGATGTTGCAATTAAAATGCTAAAAGATGGCATTGAATCTCCTACTATTTTAATTAATTGCGCAGGTATCACTACTCATGCTCTACTACATCAGAGCAATCTGGAGATGATTAAAAATACTATCGACTTGAATCTTACTGTGCCAATTATGCTATGTCAGCTTTTTATAAAGGACATGCTACGACAAAAGAAATTGTATCCTTCAATACTAAATATTTCTTCAGTTTTATCATACACTAATCATGTAATTCCAGGTACATCAGTTTATGCTGCTTCAAAAGCTGGGCTTTTGGGTTTCACAAGAAGTTTGTCACATGAGTTACGAGGTAGAATAAGAGTTAATGCAATGTTACCAGGTTTAGTTAAAGAAACTGACATGGGTTCAATTGTAAAGAGCGATTTAATACCCATTTCATTAGATTGTGTTGCAACTAAAGCTATAAATATCTTGGAAGATAGATCTATAAACGGCCAATGTATAAGTATTGAATGAAGGTGTAGTTAAACTTCCTTCTGTTTTGTAATTTGCAACAATTTCTTATAATCCTGTATATTAAATAAAACTCTATGTTTAATAATGCAATCACCAAGCTCTAGATCAACTTCTGTGATGAAACAAGATTGAACTCATACAAATGTTATTGAAACAAGTTCTACTATGCTCCTCAATTTTTTTGATAGCAATAGCTGATGTAATCGGGGTCAGTCCGGAGAATCAAAGCTTATACGAATCAACAATTGACGAAAATGGTACTCAAATATGGCACTGTTTAAATGATTCTTCCATTATTTTAACTTACGATCAAATAAATGACAACTATTGCGATTGTCCAGATGGATCAGATGAGCCGGGAACGAATGCATGTCCCAAACCACCGTTCAAATTTTATTGCGCCAATGAAGGTCATTTTCCAGGATATATAGATCAATTCAAATTAAATGATGGAGTATGTGATTATGATATCTGTTGTGACGGATCTGATGAATACAAATTGGGCAATTGTGTAAATAAATGTGAAGAAATTCATCGACAATACGAAGAGTATAAGAATGAACAATTAGCATTCATTAAAAAAGCCCTTGAAAAGAAACAAAAGGTCATTGACTCAGCTCAGAACAAAAGAAAGAAGTTGATTGATAACCTACATCAATTGAAAAGACAGATTCCTGAAAGAAAAATACAAATTAATAAATTGAAACTTCAGTATGAGAATTCAGAATTGGATCAACAAGATACGTCTGTGTTTGAAGGTTTGAAAGATCATTTTAACGGATTAGCAAATAAAATAGAAGCCCACAAAAGAGATATATTAAAACAAGAATCAAAAGTTCTGGCATTGGAAAACATATTGGAGATACTTTCAAAGAATTTTAATCCAAATTTTAACGATCCTGCTGTAAAAGATTCAATTCATAAATATCAAGAGTATGTATCAAATAAAGAAGAGGCTATATTGGAAGATATTCATGAAACCAATCAAATGATCCATAATTTGATTGAAAAAGCTAAGACGTTGTCTCATAATGGAGCAAAGGGGGAGGATCATTTAAACTACTACCCACCAACCATATATAACTTGATACATTATTATTTTCAACTATTTGCAAAAAAATTCTTGAAAAAACCAGTCATTGAATATACATCAAACTTATCACAAAATGAACTAAGCTACAAGATCGAAAACTTGGAAAAAGAACTTGAAAAAATCGAGCAAAAGATAAAGGTTATAAAAACCAATTTGAGCTTAAACTATGGTCCTGATAATATATTAAGAGCTTACGATCTGATAACTATTTCAAAGAAATTAGGTGGATATAATTATAGAATCAATTTATTGGATGGAATATATCAAGACGATGTATTTATTGGTAAATTCAAAGAATTTAAAGATGACAAGCTCTTTTATAACAACGGTGATCGATGTTGGAATGGTCCAAAACGTTCCGCTACTGTTGAATTTATTTGTGGAGAAGGTCCAGATTTAATATCAGTAAGTGAACCTGAAAAATGTCACTATCACTTCTTATTACAAGGTGAATCTTGGTGTCATCAAATCACCGAAGATGAACTAAAATCTAAATTCAAAATTAATTATAAGTTATTATGAATGCCATCAACACTGATTTAATCAAAAGTAATTTTTTTACCTTGAAATTTAACATTCTTTAATTTTTCCTCTGCTTGTTTTTTAGCTTCCCATGAAGGATGTATTTTTTTCTCTGCTTGTGGTACTGTCGATCCTGGATTGGACTTTCTTTCACCTAATGGTTCATTATTTGCACCAGTTGGTTTTTGTTTTTCAGCAGCTAACTTAGCTTTCAATTCTCTTTTACGTTGTCTTTCTTCATACTCTTCTTGTCTTTTTTCTCTTTCACTTTTCACTCTTTCCATATCCTTAACTATATGTTTTGCAGATTTTCCATATTTTTGAGCCCATATTTTTTGTCTTGCTCTTTGACCTCTTCTATTTTTACGTTGATGGGTTAATTCATTAACAAGTTTATCATTGTCTACATCATCGTCATCATCATCTGATCCACCCGAATAATACCCTTGAGCTAATTCAGGCAAATTATAAGTTTCTTCCTTTTTGGCGTTCTTCAATTTTTTCTTTGGGGGTTCCTCTTCAAAAAAGTCGTCAACTGAGTCAGCAGATTCTTCATCTCTTGAATTATCTGACTCACTTTCTTCATCTGATGGTTCCTCATCGGTAACCTCATTGTAATTAATATTTGAATCAAGAATATTATTATTCTGCTCATCTTCATCGTCTGAAGCACCTACTAAATTATCATAAGTCGCGTATTTCTCATATTGTTCTTCAATATCCAGTTCATTTTGATCATTCCGCTCCTTGCCATTGAGTTGCTCCAGCCCTTCTCCGTCTTGTTCTTCTTCTTCATCTTCCTCTTCTTCTTCCTCCAGCTCTTCTCCCAGTTCGTCTTCATCTTCATTGATATCTTTTCCGGTTTGTTTACTTCGTTCGGCAATATCCAGTTTACTCAAATTCCCTCGAACCATTTTAAAACTCCAATCTATATCTTGTAACGTAATTTTAATATTCTTCTTATTCCATATATTTGAGCAATAGTTATTTACAGGTTTTGAATTTTGACAATAATTTATAAAAAATCGAGATGGATTTGATAGATTCGATTTATCTTTTATAATTTCTCGAAGATTATTCGGTATATAGTCGGGTGGATTCATTTTTGATTGTTTAGATATCAAGATTGTGGAGGTTATGCATTTGATTAATTTTGATGTTATTAGATGATTTATAAAGTCTTCATTACTGAATAAATCAGAAGGTGGTGGTTTTTGTTTAACAAGTTTGTTTATTTCCTTATTTAGTTTCTGATATGCTGAATGATACTTATTCTCAAAGAATTGGGATTTCAACTGCAAAATTTCCAATGATGCTTCATCTTTAGTTGTAGGTAGTTTTTTAGCTAGTTTATTATTATACTTAATTGCAAATAATAGTTTTTTAGTATGCGGGAATCTTGGTGTTGTTTCTTCAAATTTTGACTCTAACAAATCAAGCCTCCACATTTGATTTGAGGTCTTCATCTTAATCTCTAGATTGTAATATTTAGTTGCAAAAAATATTGAAGATGATGATGAGATCAAAGTAACACAAATTTCTCGTAAATACTTTTTATTTTTAACATTTTTAAGTGGTTTTTTATCAAGTACCTAGATTGCATAATCTTACCAACTAGAAAAGATGTCAGATTTCAAACGACAGAAGATAGAGAAACCAGTAGCAAATCGATGTGAATACATAGTGACGAAGAAGAATAAAACGAAACAATGTGGGATGATGAGGAAGAAAGAAAATAAATATTGTGCAGAACATATGATTTATGACACTAGTTCATCAAATACCAAAAGAATTTCATGCCCGTTAAATCCAAATCATACTGTATGGGAAACTGATTTAAAATTTCACCTTACAAAATGCAATGCGAATCCCAAAGTTAACAAAAATTCATATTTCGAGTTAGACATCAATTCCAATTTACAAAATTATGAAGAGTTTATGTTTGAGACTGAATCAACCAGAAGAAATGACCAACACTACCGAGATATACTAGACAATTTATCCTTCGAACCATTGGACCTACACATATGTGAACATCCTGGTCTTACCACACAACTAGAGCTGAAGACCTACAAGAAACATATCGTACAACAATCATCTTTAATAGGAAATTTGAAAAGATTGGGTCTACTATCTTCAGAGCACTTCTATTTGGAATATGGCTGTGGTAAAGCCGAATTGTCAAGGTATGTTAATCAATGTATTATCTTTAAAAACGTAAATGATTTTAAATCTTATGGATATGGATTAATTGATAGGGGTAATAATAGAATGAAAGCTGATTCAAAGATAATTCAAGATTCGGAACCTTATAAATTCACTCCAAGGATAAAACGAGCCAAGATTGATATAAAAGATCTAAAATTAGATGAATTTCTTGATAATATAAAGCCAAAGCAAATAGTTGCAATTTCAAAACATTTATGTGGAGCAGCTACTGATTTGACATTGAAACTGATCATAAATTCGTCCATAATCAAAGATAACCAATTTAGTGGAATACTAATAGCTATGTGTTGTCGACATGTATGCTCTGATGATCAATTATTACCTCAATCTAAACAATTCTTGTATGATCATGGTTTCAAATCCGTTGATGCATTCAATCGACTTAAAAAAATGGTTTCATGGGCGGTCAATATCAAAGAAGAAAGATCGAAATCAGATGCCATCGACAAAAACGAAGAAAGCAAAGAAAATGAAGGTAAAGAGGATGAGCACAGCAAAAATGAAGATGAAGAGAGCTCTTGTTTAACATCGGCACAAAGGTATGAATATGGATTAAAAGCAAGAAAACTTATCGATGAAAGCAGACTACATGCATTGAGGACTATTCTAGGGGATGAATACGATGTTAACATATTTTGGTATGTTGAATCAAACATCACGAAAGAAAATGTATGCTTATCAATTACTAAAAAAAATAGCAAAGATAAATAATTGAATAGAATTAAATTGATTTATATATGTTATGTATATTTGAACCCGAAAATAAAATTTTACATCATTATTTCCTTAGATTTTGTTTTCTTTAACACCATGTTTCCAAATAGCAACGTATGGAGTAGTTCCATCTTCTCTATAGTTTAATAAAACAATCATGGCATCTGGATCCATTGATTCACCAGTATAAAAATCCCAATCACCGAAAGATCCTAAGACTTTTTTAACATATTTAGTAGCTCCTTTTTCGAAATTTTCAACTTGTTCTGGATCATGTTCAGCTAAATAAGCTTTAACTTTTTTCATATAACCTTTGATGTATGTAGTAAATGATTTTTTATCAAATTGAGTTTGTTGTAATCTGAATGAATAGACAACATTGTTAACGGTTTCAGCACCATCTTCAAGAGCTTCATCAGCATCTTCAGCTGATGGATTAGCTCCAATATCAATATCACCATTACCGACTGTAACCATTGAACAATCAGCTTCATAAACGGCGTTGTCTACTAATTTGACATCGTAGGCATCTGATAATAATTCATCACCTGAAATAACGTCTTGGAAAATAATCATTGTGAATTACTTGATTGTTCAATTGATATTGATTGAAGAAAGGTTAAAAGAAACTTTATCTGTGCGATGTTAGTTTTGAAAAATTTTATGAAAAATTAACCAAAAAAAAAAAAAAAAAAGTCATCACGTGTCAACTATTGGTTAGCCGTTTATACATAATAATAGAAATTTGAAGAGATTATCATGAAGTTATTATCAAAATTAGATTGAAAATCAACGCAACTGAAAAATAATTATACAAATTTCCTATCAAAGGGACTAGTTAAATGTTAATCAAGGCATCAAATTCATTTCATTGAATTTTTCTGTCATTTCAATATAGCACTTTTGAATTAAATGAGGTAAATGCCCAGTTCTGTCAAAATGATATACTTCGATCCAAGCTTTACTCATTCAACTGTACTCAAGTCGGTGTGAAGTTTTTTAAAGTGCATTACTGAAGGTCGACATCGTAAGACAATTTCACATCGATTATACAAGACTTTTGGTGATTGACACAGCAAATATGATATGAATTCATTACTTCAATTGTTAACTAAAACTGCGTACAATATTCTAAAATTCGATTCTCGACCTGAGAATTGAAATTAAAACTTCGCAAGGAAAAAAGCCCTGGTGAATTCGACATTGAAGAGAGGATGGAAAGATATTGTATCAAACTTTAAGTCACTAAGTTAACAGCTTAATGAAACACGCGTAAGAGCCAACCTTAGAATATTTCATTAGTATCACTCGACAGTAGATCCTGCAACTAGATTAGGCTTAATCATAAATTTCATAATTTGGTATGATATTTTAATTCTATAAATAATCCTTCTTATAGTTATAGGGTTTCCATTTTTCAATTCATAATATCAAAGTGATATGCCCAATCATCAATACGAGTGAGAAGTTTGAACCACGACAAAGATGTTCGAAATTAATCAGGAGTTCGTTACTCTTCTAAGCTGTAAATTCGAATTATGAGATCTAAGGTTTGAAAGTATTTCTTCTTGGGTGAAAGAGATTATTCAAGCGATGATATCTCTGGAAGGGGATTTTCAAAATCCGGATTTAGTTGAGTTTCACATTGGACTCCAAGCAAAAGTTAACCAAATCCAAACCGGAATACTGAATCTCAATAAAATTAGACCGCTCAAAGCTTTGAAAATGATTCGAAGTCATACTTGTTATATGAGAAAGTAAAATTTATGGACAAATTTAGACGAAACGAGTTTGAAACACCATTTGGTAGCCAGAAAATCACATCTAAATAATTTTGATTTTCGAAAAAGTGGCAACCAAAATAATTTATCACTTTCACTCAAGATAATCAAAACTCACTATTCAAATGGAAATATTTCTTAAATTACCCAAAGAAATATTATCATTAATTTTCAGTAATATCAAAGATAAATCTATCATTAAAAGCTTAATAAATATTCCAGGTTTACAACACATTGCTTTAGAACGAAAATATCCAAAATTTGAAATAAATAATGGCAACAAATCAATCGAATCATTAATAGAGCTTTTTCAACAGTATGAGTTTATACCTTCAATAATAATTGGAAATGTAAAACAAATAAATCAGCTAATTAATGAACCAAATTTTAGATCAGTCAATTATGAGGTAAAAATTTTGAAAACTACTGGATTTAATGATCTAGTCTCGATCTTGGATAAAGTTTATATAGTGGGTGTACACTTGGATCAATATTTAGAACGGTTTGTCGGGATTTTTAAAAAAAATGAAATCAAATCATTCTTAAATTTTGTTGAAAATACCTTTTTACAATCATTGACAACATCTCATCTCGATATATTCACAATTCAATTTCCAAAATCTTTGAAGCAACTAACATTAGACAAAGGTCATAAAATCAATTTGGATATAAGCCATTTACATCATCTCGAGTCATTTGATTGCAAAAATCTCCACAAAATGAGTACATTGGATAATCTTCAACTCCCCTTATCCATCAAAAGTCTTAGACTATATTCTTGTGCTTTTACAACTTTAGGTGATTTATCCAAGTATAATAATCTTAAATTACTTCATATATCTTGCTGTCATGAGCTTTATGACGTAGGTTACACATCGTTCCCCAATTCATTGAAAACTATGAATTTCATCAACAATTTCCAGCGAAGTAAAATAGACGAGTTGTTAGAAGAAGGCCGATTTGATTTTTCGTACTTATCACAAGTAAGTGGGTTGGTTTGTATTGGTGATGAATTTTGGTTCCGTCCAAATTTGAAGAATTTGAAGATTTGCGATACTACCCATACCCTAGATGTAGGAAATATTCTGGTTCGGACGTCACTTGATATTTTAGAATTACACGGTATTGGATTTCTTAATTTAAACGAGGTTATTATCAGTTTACCCAAAAAAATGTCCAAAATTGTCATTAAAAATTGTCACATTGCAGCTGAGGGTCATGTTGAATTTCCAGAGCTGGAGCGGATTCACATTACAGACAATGACATATGGTCTAAGTTGTTCGAAACAAGTTTGAATCAATTAAAATCGATGAAGGTTTTGGATATGTCAGACAACTATAGCTCAGATCGTGGTTTTCTTGGCCATCTTAACCCATTGGAGCTTTTGATCAATTTAAAAAAAAGTGTATTTTTCAATTCACCTAGTTTGCTAGACTTAACTTTAAAAAGCTTGTTGCCAATGAAATATGAACCTTATGAACTTTTTTCATCTTCTCCAGTTTCATTTGAATGTAAAAATTTGATTAAATTAAAAATGATAAGTTTAGGTGTCGAATTATTGGATCTTGATCAGTTTCCGAGTTCATTAGAGGAATTAATCATCAATAATTTGAGTTTAGAAACCATGCAAGGAAATTTTTCCAATTTAAATAATTTAAAAAAATTGGATTTACAAAATAATCAAATAACTTTTTCAATGTTAAGTTCTCAAAAATTCCCATCGAGTTTAACGCACTTAAATTTATCAGATAATGAAATTGAAGATTTAAGTTGTTTGGTTTTAGATAATTGTGTTAATTTGAAAGATTTACAATTGGAAGAAGTAACTTCAAAGTGTACTCCTGGAGGTGTGACTCAATTAAGGAATTTATTTTCCAGTCTTAATTCTAATATTGATGCAATTTTAACTAATTATGATTCAGAAGTGATTTTTGAGTATGTTAATGGAGATGAAAAAGATTCGATTTTGAAGTCTAATTATAAAAAAAGAAGAATTTGTTAATTATTACAACAGCTATGGCTTGTCTCATTATGAATGTGGTTGAGTGAATATTTTAACTTTTGAATCATGTTGAAAAAGATATAGAAAGGGAAGGTTCAAAAGGTGTTTAAAAATAGACTCACTTTGAATGAATTTCTTCAAAAGCTTAATAACTATATACTTTATAGTAATTCTGGATCAATTCAGATAAATCTAACCTTCTTCTTCTTTATTCCATCATTTTGACCAAATGGTTTAGTTTTTGTTACTCTTTCGAATCCACCCAAATCAACTAATTTAATATTTGATAATTGTTATCATTTCTTCACTTCTACTCCAACCTTTTCGTTATCATGATAACCCTCAATATGACTACTGTTTCCTTTTTTTTTTGTTGTAAAGTTGAAATTGTAATAGCATGATCTTGAACTTTGATCATTCATTGATAGTATTGCAGTTGATCTTATAAAATTTCCAGAATTCAATAATTGTGAAAAATGTTTATAAATTTTGATTTACTGATTCATTATACATTCCATATATGAAAATATCAAGTCATGATGAATAATTTGATTTATTGATAATTCTACTGTTTTAATATATTATACTCCAAGTCGTATGTGATCTCCCATCATTATTTGAGTTTTACCAGAACTTCTATGACCATACGCTAATAGGCATACACTATACGGATTAGGTTTTGAAATCAACTTAATTTTAATGATAATTATAATACAATTTTTAATAATTATACAAATTTCCAATTAAAAACTCTTTTCAAATTGATAAAAAAAAAATGCTAATTAAGGCAGTGGAAGGATCTAGCACTTTTATTGACCCTTTCGATAATACATATAATCAGGCAAATGTTAATACATATAATCAGGCAAGTGTCCTTCTATGTCAAAATGATATATTTCGATCAAAGCTTTTCTCATTCAATCGTTATCAAGTCTGTGTGTGGTTTTTCAAATCGCATCATTGATGGATGATATTGTAAGACACTATTAAATCATTAAATCGGATTTACTAGACTTTTGGTGATTGACTGGCAATTATGATGAATTCATTAATTCAATTGCTAACAAAAATTGCGTATAATAATATTCTAGAAACCGAAGAATTATAATTGAAAATGTCATCACAGAACAAAATCCTTCATTGAATTCGAATATTGAAGAGAATGAAAATATCTTATTGGTTCAAACTTTTAATTACCAAGTTGCTTGTGAAAACCGCTAAATGAATCATGTCAAAGCCAACTTCAAAACGTTTCACTCATATCACTCGAATGTAGTATCCAGCAACTAGATTAGGTTTGATTCCGTATAATAATTAGAATAGACCATTCTACAAGTTAGTCCTTCACAGAGTTACATGATTTCCATTTTTCATTTCATAATATCAAAGTAAAACGGCTAGCCGTCAATACATGTGAGAAGTTTGAACCACAACAATGATATTCGGAGATAGATAGGAGCTCGTTACTATTTTAAGCTATAAATTTAAATCATGAGATCCATGGTTTAAAAGTATCTCTTCTTCACTGAGAGCAAGCAATAAAATTTTAGTAAGGAGATTTTCAAAAATTGGATTTAGTGTGGTTTCACATTAGACTCCTAGCAAAATGAAAGCAAACAGGAGTACATAATTTCATCAAAGTTAGGCCACTCAAAGCTTTGAAATTGTTTGGTAGTAATACTTGCTAAATGTCAAACTAATGTTTAAGGTAAAGACAGAGGTGGAAGACACGAGTTTGAAACACCACATGGTAGCCAGTAAATCACGTCTAAATAATTTTGATTTTCAAAAAAGTGGCAACCAAAATTATTCCTCACTTTCAATCAAGATAACCAAAACTCACCGTTCAAATGGAAATATTTCTCAAATTACCCAAGGAAATATTATCATTAATTTTCAGTAATATCAAGGATAAATCTATAATCAAAAGCTTACTATATATTCCAGGTTTACAACATATTGCATTAGAAAGAAAGTATCCAAAATATGAAATAAATGAAGATCAAAACAATTCAGTTGAATCATTAATAGAGCTTCTTCAACTGTTTGAATTTATACCTCCGATAATCATTGGGAATGTAAAACAAATCAATCAACTAGTAAAAGAACCAAGATTCAAATTAGTCAATTATGAGGTTAAGATCTTAGAAAGTACTACATTTGCTGATCTAGTCTCGATTCTAAATGAAGTTTACATTGTTGGTGTAGATTTGGATCAATATTTAGAACATCTTGCTGGACATGTCAAAAACGAAGAAATTAAATCATTCCTAAATTTGGTTGAAAGTACCTTCTTCCAATCTTTGACAACATCTCATTTTGATATATTCACAATTCAATTTCCTAAATCTTTGAAGCAGCTAACATTGGATAAAGGTCATAATATTAAGTTGGATATGAGCGATCTAAATCATCTTGAGTCATTTGATTGCAAAAAACTCTGCAAGATGAGTTCATTAGATAATCTTCAGCTCCCGTTGTCCATCAAAAGTCTTGGACTTTATTCTTGTGATTTTACAACTTTAGGTGATTTATCCAAATATAACAATCTAAAATTACTTCATGTATCTTGCTGTCCTGAGCTTTATCACATAGGTTATACATCGTTCCCCATTTCATTGAAAACTATGAATTTCATCAGCAATTTCCATAAAAATAGAATAGACCAGTTGTTAGAAGAAGGCCCATTTCATGTTCCTTACTTATCACAAGCAAGTGAACTGTTTCGTATTGGTGATGAGTTTCAGTTCCCGCCAAACTTGAAGAGTTTGAAGATTTGCGATAGTAGGCATACCCTAGATGTAGTAAGTATTCTGATTCGGACGTCACTTGATATTTTGGAAGTAAACGGTGTCGGCTTTCTTAGATTAGACGTCGTTTTTGCCAGTTTACCCGAGAAAATGTCCAAAATCATCATCACAAATTGTTACATTATGGCACAAGGTTACGTTGAATTTCCAGAGCTGGATAAGATTAATCTTACAAACAATGAAATATGGTCTGATTTGTTCGATTCAAATTTGAGTCAATTAAAATCGTTGAAAGTGTTGGATATGTCAGACAATTATGCCTTTGGCCCAGAGCGAATTGATCCGTTGGTGCTTTTAACTGATTTAGAAGAAAATGTATCTTTCAATTCAACAAGTTTGCAAAACTTAATTTTAAAAAGCTCAATGCCAATGGATCATAAACGATCTTCATCTTTTCAAGTTTCATTTAAATGTAAAAATTTGACCAAATTGAAATTAATAAATTTAGGTATTGATTCATTGGATCTTGATCAGTTTCCAAATTCATTAGAGGAATTGATCGTCAATAATTTGAAATTAGAAACTATGCAAGGAAATTTCTCCAATTTAAATAATTTAAAAAAATTGGATTTACAAAATAATCAGATAACTTTTTCAATGTTGAGTTTTCAAAAATTTCCACCAAATTTAACGCATTTGAATTTATCAAATAATAAAATTGAAGATTTAAGTTGTTTGGATTTAAGTAATTGTATTGATTTGAGAAATTTAAAATTGAGAAAAGTAACATCAAGAGATAAACGAAGTGGTTCGACTCGATTAAGGAAATTATTTTTGAATCTTGATACCAATTTTTATGCAATTTTAACAAACTATGATTCAGACGTGATTTTAAAATTTGTTAATGGAGTTGAAGAAAGTTCGGCTAGGTATAAAAAAAGAAGAATTAGTTAATTACTGCTGCAGTTTTGGCCCTATTATGGGTGTGGTAGAGTAAATATTTTAACCTTTGAAAAAAAATATCGAAAAGAAAAATTCGAAAGATGTTTAAATTCATACCCACTATTAATGAATATCTTAAAAAGCTATATATCTCAGATAAATTTAACCTTCTTTATTTCTATCATTTTGACCAAATAATTTAGTCTTTGTTACTCTTCCGGATCCAGCCAAATTAACTAAATTAATATCTAGTATCATTTCTTCACTTGCTCCTCCAATATTTCCATTATCACCATAATCTTCGATAGCATTATTATTTTCAAATTTCATTTGTTGTAATATATCATTTAACAAATATGATATTACTCCTGTTGTGTTTGAAAGGTTTTACCAGAAGTTGTTTTATCATGGGCTAAAAGACATACATTGTAAGAACTAAATTTAAAATCAACGTAATTTGAATTAATAATAATACAATTTCTAATTATACAAATTCCCAATTAAAAGCCCTTTTCAAAAAATTTAAAATTCTATCAAAAACAATTTTATTACCATTATGATAATTCATTCCATGATTTGAATCAGGAAAAATCATAAATTCAAAATTTTCAACTTCTTTCAAATTAAATTCATCTATAAGTTGTAATGAATGTTGTAAATGAACATTATCATCTCCTGATCCATGACCAATAAAAAATTTTTTAACAGATTTAAAATTTGTTATATTATTTATTGATCCTATTTGATAACCTTCGGGGTTGGCTTGAGGTGTATTTAGATACCTTTCTGTATATATTGAATCATATAATCTCCATTTTGTTACTGGTGCGATTGCAACTCCATAATTGAATACGGAATCTTGGTAATCACTTTCTAAAGTTTTTAAAGTTAAAAAACCACCATAAGACCAACCCCAAACTGCTATTCTATCTGGATCGACATATGATTTTTTAGACCAATACCTACCAGCAGATATAACATCTTTAGCTTCATATTTACCAATTTTATTTTTAACAATATATTTAAATTTAGAACCTAATTTATAATTTAAATTATTAAAACCAGTACCTCTACCATCAAAAGTAACCACCACGGCATTTAATTCAGCAGCAACTAATAAACTAAAACTAATTGACCATTTCTTGGTAACTTGTTGTGAACCAGGTCCTCCATATATGAAAAATAAAACTGGATATTTTTTATTTTTATCAAAATTTAATGGAAAAATTTCTTGAGTATTAACTTTAAATTTTTCACCAGTTTCATCATCCGTCAATTCAATTTCACCGTATTTAATTTCTGGTAATATATATTTTCTTAATTTTTTAGAAAATTCAAAATTATCTTCAATAGTTTTAACATTTTTACCTAATTTTAAATCGTTAATTCTTTGTGTGGGAACATTTGGACCTAAATCAGATAAAAATAAAAACCTACCACCACTTGAAAAAGATGATGAATAATATCCTTCTTTTGCTGTTAAATCTTTTATATAAGGTAATCCATTATTTGTCTGATCAAATAAATTTATTGAATGTAAATGTCTTTCAATTGATGATTTTATAGTTGATGTGAAAAATACAGTGTTAGAATTATAATCAAATGAATCAACTCCTCCTACAATTTCCCAATTTCCTTTTGTTAATAATCTATATTCTGGATTTTCAGGTGGTGAAAAATAAGCTAAATGATTAAACCCATTTTCAAGTATAATATCAATATATCCATCATTTTCACGACCAGCTGTTTTGTTTTTTGGTATATAAAATATAGTAGTTCTATCAAACCATTCATTTTTTGATTTATGAGTTCTTATTAAATTTGAATTTTTTTCATTTATTAAAAAAATTTTTAAATGATCACTTGCTCTATTTGAAGTTTTAACTAAAATTTCTTCTCCAACCCAAGCAACTTCAGATATAATTCTATTATTAATTTCAATATGTTCTGATTTTAAATCATGTTTTATTAATTTATCTTTCGCTAAGTCATAACTTAAAACTTCAACCAATGGATTTGGATAACCAGCTTTTGGATATTTAATTTTTACAATTTCTGGATAATCTTTAAATTCATTTTGAGCATAAAATGGGATTATAAATTCAGGAACTTCAGTATTATTTGATTTTAAAAATGCAAATTTATCACCACTAGGTGACCACCATAAAACTAAATCATTTCCAAATACTTCTTCTTCATATACCCAATCTGGTTTCCCATTAAAAATTTCATTTGAACCATCAAATGTAACTTGAGTTAATTTATTATCTTTCAAGCTTTTGAGGTAGATATTATTATTATATATAAATGCGACATTCAATGAATCAGGAGACCATGAAACAGTTGATATTTTTGTATTTCCATTAAATAATGGTTCAATTTCTTTTTTTTCAACATCTAATATCCAATATAATGATAATGAAGAATATCTCCAACTACTTGTAATATCAGTTTGTAACAAGACTTTTTTTAAATCAGGAGAAGCTTTAAATTTTTCAATTAAATATTCTTTATCATCATAAGTAAATTTTGAAGTTTCAATTAAAGTATGTTCATATTTTTCATTAGCTATTGATTTTATAACAACTTTAAAATCATCTTTTGATGATATATCTTCTTTTATAACATATGTTCCTTGATCATTATATATTGAACTTGGTTCTTTTATCCATTGAATATCATGTATTTTAGGATTTAATTCATGATCATCATATATCTTTTTATTTAATGGAATTTTATCTCCAAAATTTGTAAATTTATCATTTGGACTAACATAAATTGATGAAGGTTTTGAAGAAATACTTTGACTTAAAAATTGATGATTTACTTCATAATTTCCATATTTTATTAGAAAATTGTCCACTGTTATAAATAAAAATGATGATCCCCATATTAATATACTTAAAATTACTCCAATTGAAAGTAATCTTTTTAATAATTTTATTCGTTTCAGTTTTTGAGGATATTTTGTGAGTGGTTCTTTTGAATCAATATATTCATATGTATCAGTCATAGCTATTCTTGGAGACTATGAAGCTGAAGAAGAATATATTTTCAAATTAAAGAATTGTGTTTAAATGTGTGGATTTAAAGCTGGTTATGTAGTTATGAGAATTTGTATGTATGTAATTAGAAATTTCCATTTTGGTTTGATTACACAAAATTCATAGAGTGACTTATTAACGAGGACAATTTGATGCCACTTCGCTCTACGTCAGAGGAAGTTTTACACAATTTATTAAAGATTGTTCATATATATATTGTTAAAGATATTTACTTAAATAAAATGATTGCTTATGCTTAAGCCATGACACCAGATGAAACACCAATTGGTGGAATAATTGGTTCAAAAACATTTGGATTTAAATTTGAATCATCCAAAGATAATTGTTTATCAGTCCAAATATGATCAATTGAGTGGTTATCTTCACCAACTCCACATAACCCACCAGCGCGAGACCAATCATTAATTCTTTTTAAATCCAATTCATTGAAAACAGAATCGATTGATTCAATTAAATGATTTGAAATTTCTTTATTATGACCAGGTGTTGGAGTAATTCTTAATCTTTCTTCACCAATTGGTACTGTTGGAAAATTAATAGCTTGAACATATATATTATATTTATCTAATAATAAATCAGATGCTTTTTTAGCATCTTGAGCATTACCAATTAATACAGGTACAATATGTGAAGGATTTGGTATAACTGGTAAACCTAAATTATTTAAATTATCTTTAACATATCTTGTATTTTTTTGTTGAGAAATTCTATCTTTTAAAGTAGATCTTTGATATCTAATTGATGCTGAAGCACCTGCCATAATTGCTGGTGGTAAAGTTGTTGTAAAAATAAAACCAGGAGCATAAGATCTAAACCAATCAATCATATTAGCTTTTCCAGTAACATAACCACCAACACATCCATAAGCTTTACCTAAAGTACCAGTAATCATATCAACTCTACTCATAATAGTTTGAACATCCTGAGGATTTTCAATACCCAGTTTTAATTGAGCTTCAAAATCTAAATGTTCAGCAACTCCTGCTCCATGAGGACCATACATACCAACAGCATGAACTTCATCTAAAAATGTAATAGCACCATATTTTTCAGCTAAATCACAAATTTTTTCAATTGGAGCAATTGAACCACACATTGAATAAACAGATTCAAAAGCAATTAATTTTGGAGTAGATTTTGGATATTGAGATAATTTAAATTCTAAATCTTTCAAATCATTATGTTTAAAAATATGTTTTTTAGCTCTTGAATTTCTAATACCTTGAATCATTGAAGCATGATTTAATTCATCTGAAAATATAACAAGGTCCTTAATTTTTTGACCAAATAATGATAATACTGCATCATTTGCAACAAAACATGAACTAAAAACTAAAGCAGCTTCATGTTTATGTAAAGCAGCTAATTCAGATTCTAATTTTATTGCATGTAAATTGTGACCTGCAATATTTCTTGTACCACCTGCACCAGATCCATATTTATCTAAAACTTTTTTCATTTCATTTAAAGTATTTTCATTTTTTCCCATACCTAAATAATCATTTGAACACCAAACAGTAACTTTATCTTCTTCTTTAGTACGATGAGCTTTTGGAAATTCATTTGCTAAACGATTAATATTATTAAAATAACGATAAGATTTATCTGATCTTTTTTTATTTAAATCATCATTTAAAAATCCTTTAAAATCAAATGATTTTTCATTAGATTGAAATTGATTATATTTTGAATCAATTAAATTTTCATTTTTAAAATGATAAGGTGATGATGAAATAAAAGATGGAGGAGTAGGTGGTACAACTTGGGAAGTAGTTGAACGACTAACACTTGCTCTTCTTGGTTTTGAAGCTTGAGAATAAGTCCTTTCTTGTTGTACTAGCTGTAGTTGTTGTTGTAATTCTTGAGCTTCTAAAACATTGGCCATATAAGGACATTGACGAGCTCTTGAAGCTAATCCTCCAGAACTTCTACTTAATGTTCTTAAAGTTTGAATTGAATTTGATTTAACAAAAGGACAAACTGTCATGGAAACTTTTATAACAGACTCCATTTTAAATTAATCTTGATCTAAGATCTCTTCACAACAAAACCTTAATTGAATTTTCAGTAAAGTGAATGAAATATTATGTAAGTATCTGGCTAAAAAATTCACCGAAGTATACTTTATAATATCTACTCAGTAAATCTTTCAATTCAAAGATGATTTTAACCACTGTTGTTGTTAAAAAGTTGTTTGTTGAAATTATAAAATAAATTTTTGAAAATTTTTATAAACTTGTGAGTAAGATTTGTTTGTTCGAGTAGTTCAATACTTAGAATGAGATTCTCTCGCTCTAATACCAGTTTTTGTACTACGTAAAACAGTGAGCAAGGTTTCATGTAATGTAATTGAAATAAATTTTAATTGGTTTACTAAAGCTATTAACTGGTAGTGTAATATTGAACAAAAGTTTTAAACTCATAATAAATTACTTTTTTAAGTCATTATTACCTGAATTAATAAATTTCTATTAATTAAATTTAATTACTCCGCACCGGAATGATCTTTTTTATCGTACCATTAAATTAATCATCGATCGTCTATCTCGACCTAAAATTTTGTTTTTGATCTTACGGGCATATTGGCAAATATCCGCTCAATTTCTCAAAAAGAAATTATTTGATTTCCAACCTAAATCATTCATGTTTTACTTTGACATATTACGTACTTCTATGTCTAATTGAAAATTTTTTACTGTAATAACTTTGGATCAATGACAAATTTGATGCTCAGAAAAATGTACACTTCGTTGTTAGAATAGTTACAATTGATCGTCAAGTCTCTTAAATCTCCAATTAACCAAGTATTGGAGAATGTCATCTTATTTGGAACATCTTAAAATTGTAAATCCCCCGCAAAAATAAAATTTGTTGATAAAATTTCTATTTGTTATTGCATATGATTTAAAGATTTTTTTGATTTGATTTCATGCTGATGACTAAAATGATCTAATATAGATTTAATTGGTTGACTAAGCTCTTAATAAAATATTTTTTCAAATCTTTGATTTAAAAGAGAAGGTAAGGCTGAAACTAATTTTATGAATGAACAAGATCTAGTATTTACTGTACATTAATGATGATTCACCTGTGTCTGAGGCTTTTTGATAATTGACTTCAAAATGGAGAATATAGAGGTATTGAGATTGACAGAACTGCTTCAAAGTAGTTAGATACAAGAAGATTTTATTCAAATGTTCTGATACTTTGAAATTGGAATATTTATCGATTGGTTATTAAAAATTGGAGTGTTCATGGGATAGCTAATGAAAAAAGGGTGCAAAAAGTTTAAATCATCATCATACGATATTTCAAAAATACAAAAATCTCAATATTATGAACATCGAGTCAAAATCGAAAAATTAAGTTCCAATTGTCTTCAATGTTTGTATCTTATTAAAGTTACGAAATAAAATAAAAATATTGTTCTGAAATATTTCAAGGGGGTATTTATATATTCCTGAAACTCAATTTAAACAGATACAGAAGTTTACTTACATATAAATACTTTAAATAGCAAATATCAATATGTTTGGAAAGATTTAACATTATATATTCAAAGTTATAAATCTCCCTAATTATGTCCTTGTTTGGTTTAAATTTAAGCTTTAAAGAAAAGAAAGTTGAAATTTTTCATATAATAGGATACAGTAATTCCTTCTTTCTTTAATGTCATCAGTATTTAAAAATTTACAATTAAAATCCTTAAAAACATCTAATATAACATCATTAATTTCAAAAATGTCAGCATCAACTACAAGTTCAATTCCTTCAACTCAATATGGATTCTTGTATGAAAAATCAAAAGGATTAAATTTAAAAACTGATTTACCTGTAAAAAAACCAAAAACAGGTGAATTATTATTAAAAATTGATTCTGTTGGATTATGTCATTCTGATCTTCATGTAATTTATGAAGGATTAGATTGTGGTGATAATTATGTAATGGGTCATGAAATTGCAGGAACTATATGTGAATTAGGACCAGGTGATAATAGTAGTGGATTTAAAATTGGTGATAGAGTAGCCGCAGTTGGACCAAATGGTTGTGGATCATGTAAATTTTGTCGTGATTCAATGGATAATGTATGTAAGAAAGCATTTGGAGATTGGTATGGATTAGGAAATGATGGAGGATATCAAGAATATTTATTAATTAATAAACCAAGAAATTTAATTAAGATTCCAAATGGTGTTAATTCAAATTTAGCTGCTGCTTCTACTGATGCTATATTAACTCCTTATCATGCTATAAAAATGGCTAATATAAAACCAACTTCTAAAATTTTAATCATTGGAGCAGGAGGATTAGGTGGAAATGCTATACAAATTGCAAAAATTTTTGGTGCTAATATAACAGTAATTGAAAAAAAACAAAAAGCCAGAGAAGAAGCAAAAAGATATGGAGCTAATGAAATTTATGAAACATTACCCTCAACAATTCCTCCAGGTAGTTTTGAATCATGTTTTGATTTTGTTTCAATTCAAGAAACTTTTGATATATGTCAAAAATATGTTGAACCAAAAGGTAAAATTATACCAGTTGGTTTAGGTACAAAAGAAATTAAATTTAATTTAGCAGATTTAGATTTAAGGGAAATTCAAATATTAGGATCATTTTGGGGTACTTCTACTGATTTAGAAGAAGTTTTGGAATTAGTTGATTCAAAAGCTATAATTCCAAAAGTTCAAGTTGCAAAATTAAAAGAATTACCTGATTATTTTGAAAAATTAAGAAATAATCAATATGAAGGTAGAATTGTTTTTAATCCTTGAATAATGATGGGAGTTTACAACTAATATTAAAATTTAGTGCTATTTGATATGATTAAATTATTTATTAAAATTTTGTCTCTTACTTTTACTCTAATACATGTGTTTCAGAATTTTTTATACGAGTTAACAAATTAGTCTCACTCAAGTATAAGTGTTCATGTTTTTGGAATGAAGGTCTTCAATACAGGAATTCGATCTAATGAGTAACTGATTGGTCTGAGATTATAAAAGGTTACGGAGCTTATATTCCCAGATTCAAACTTATTTATAAAATCTAAATTTTGTAAGAATTTGCAACTAAATTGATAAAAAATCAATTGACAAATGTAAATAACCGAATTGCTAAGTAATGATGCTACCAATTTGACACCAGAAAAAATTAGGGGGTTTAATAATTAATCATTTAGGCGTCTAGTTTTATTCAATCATGGATTAGACAACTTTGATAGGAAAGTTAAAGCAAACTTACAGAGGTTTTAAAGCTTTATATCGGCGTTTATAAACTTTCTGTGTCGAGGAATAATACATCATGTAACAATTTAACATATTGAAGATATCATGAGGATTTCTCAATTTTTCAAAACTAACAAAATATATTGAAGATTAACATAAATCAGTTTGATCTATTAGTTGGTTCTTCGTTTATTTGACCGATACTTATAATACCTTCAAGTATTTAATCAAAGGAAGTTACAATGTCAGGTTCTAAGAACCATATTAGTTTTCCAGAAGTATCAATACATACAAACACTGCTTGATTTTCTCTTGAATTTGAAATTTTTTAGTCAGTCAGAACTTTCTACACCGCATTAAACGACAACTGCTTAGCCTGTTTAGAACTTTTTTGAGCTAGCCTTTTTTTGCCAGTTCTAATTGCTTGTTTTCTTCTCTCAATCATCAAAAAGTATTATGAAGTCAGGACAATTATTCTATTTTCTCTCTGTCTCTATCGTAAATTTATTTCGTAAAAAAAGAAAAAAAAGGATCTGACGATCATCAAAACATTTTTCAAAACGTTAATGACGCAATACTGTCAATATTATAAATCAATGAGAGTCCCTGACTAAGTCAGTACCTTCAAAGTATTGATCTTTAACAATCTAAATAGAGCCAAACTTTCAATAAACAAGGCATTTCCTATTTACTTGCTCTATAAAATTTTTCTTGTTGATATAATCCAAGAAAGTTTAAATTTTAAATTAACCTAAATAAGATCTCGGACCCTTAGTTAAATCTTTTTCCATTAATAACCGAAAATATAGAGAAAGAAAGTCATATTAATAAGCGCAGAAAACAAAAACAAGTCAAACGCAAAACCACGAAAAAGGGGGTCATACAATAATCATGAATTATGATTGATGAGATTAGCTATTCAATGCCAAGACAACAAACAAACATCAATCAAGTCATTGAATTATTATTTTGCCCTCATACTATATTAGTTCTATTGTTTATTTATTTAATGATTTCTATTTTTGTATATAAATTGCATGATTTTAGTGAAATAGAATTCAGAAAGTTACAAAATTGAATGTACATGATGTAAATTTACGTTCACTTAACAAAATAAACATATACATTAGCTTAATTTAGAATAACATTAACCAATTAACAAACCACTTCTCATTACATGCATCTCTGTTTTTCTTTTTCTTACAAGTGGCAAGTAACCATCACGTTTATCAGTTTTTGTAGTCTGACCTACCCAACAAGGAAAATCACACAATAAGTAATTTACCTAATACTAAGATTTATTTATTTGTTTATTTATTTTCAAGATATGTCTAAAAATAAAGATTTTTGCAATTTAATTATAAATTTCTTTTTCTCCACAATTTTAAATTATTTTAACAAGCCATAGCGGAATAGCGAAGGTTTTAAGAGTAAAGATGGGGATTAGGGCTTAATAATTACGGATTCTTTCTTTATACGGGTGATGTACCAATTAGGACAGGATGTAGGAGTTTAAATAATATGATGGCTTTAACATTGATAAAAAACATGTGTGGTCAGTAGCAAAGATCCTGGATACATAAAAAGAAACATATTAAATACTACTTAATTTGGATGATTATTTCTGTTGTATACTGAAGTCCAGCGTAGATTTAATTTTCTTGACTTTACGGCATTCATACGTTCTGTTTATCATTATTTATTTTGGTACCCTCATGTTTATTTTATTTTGTTTGATTACTTGTATATTTTTTCTAAAAATAGATTATTTTTTTTTTTTTTCCGCTTGTTTCATGTTATAACATTACATCATATAATAATTTTTATCTATTATACATTTTATTTTGAGGTACTCACAGCTAAAAAATATATAATATCAGATTATAAAATATCTGAAACAAGAATATAAATATGATTGAAAATTCCCAAATTATTTCGGATTTATTTTTCTTGTTATTATTAATCACCAAGAATATTCAATAAATCAAAAAGATTAAATAATATTTTAAGAAAAACTTACTCACAGAAAAACCACTTAAAACAAATCCATAAAAAATGAAATATTTAACATTCGCTTCAATTTTATCATTATTATCATCAACTACATTAGCAGCAATAAAAGATATTCAATTAATTGCTGAATCAAACGATCAAGAAATTAATAGTAAGGGTTTATCATCAATTCATGAAGGTGCAGGAATAAATTATTTCTTTTTAGGTGAAAATCCTCAAAATTTAAAATATGATGATGAAAAAAAACAAATTTATATCTTGTTAAATGTAAATAATGGTCAACAACAAGTTCCTCAAAGTTTGAATTTTAATGGTAAATTTTTATCATTATCTGTTTCTGAACCATTAGCTGTTGAAATTGATGAAAATGATATTTTACAATTTGATGGTTCAAATAATTTATTTGCTGCTAAAGATCAAAATGATCCTTATCAATATTCAAGAAGTAGTTATGCTATTGTTAATGAGGACGGTGAAGATCATAAACCATTAAGTATCAAAGCTTTATTTGTAAATGGTGATGATGATTCAAGTTCATCTTCAGAAGCTCCATCTTCATCAATTCCTCCAATTTCTTTACCATCACCAATTTCATCATCATCAGGTTTGCCACAATATCCAAATGGTACAACAAGTACAAAAACTGATATTCAAACAACAACATTAACAATTACAAGTTGTAAACAAGATCATTGTAAAACTTCAACTATAACTACTGGATTAACAACAAGAACTGAATGGGATACAACTTATGTTACTTATTGTCCATTACCAAGTGAAACTGAAACTCATACTGAACCAGAAACTACTCATTTATTAACTGAATCAACTACTTCACCAATTGAAACTGGTACTGAAACTTTAACTACTAAACAATCTACAACTGTTGATTCACAATCTTCAAGTGTTGGAGAATCTGAATCTCCTTCATCATCTTCAACTCCAGGTGTTACTTCTTATGAAGGTTCAGCAGTTAAATCATCAGGTTCAATTTTAGCTGTTGTTATTGCAGCATTTGGATTTTTAGTTTAAGAGTTTCCTTCAATAACTTTCAATCATTTTCATTTTTTTATTCGTAAATTTGCTATTAATATTCGGTGTGTTTTAAAATGTTATTCAAAAAAGGAAAAAGTGTACTATCTACTTAATATGTTCAGATTGATTTGCTAATATAATTGGAGTTTATTTGTTATTTCTATTTATACACTTTTCTTATACTTTTCGATATATAGAAAATAAAAATTAATAAAAGTTTTTTAAGTCATTAGTTTCATTAGGTATATTTGAATCTCTCTAGATCTATTCGAAGCTCTATGAATATCTAACGATTTTAGAATTTCTGTGAGAATCTTGGAACCCTATAAAACCCTTTGAAAACAAAACCTTTGAGTCTCCATAAATCTCTTAAAGTATTGTATATCTTCGTATGTTCTTGAATACGTTTGACTCTATGAATTTCACTAGATAACCTTACTCATTTGACCTTCTTCAATTTAAAGGTAAACTATTATTATATTTTTAATTCCAACTCATACTTTTCAATTAAAGGTTTAATTAAATCAATATGAAATTTATTTCTTAATTCAATAAATTCAATTAAATCTCCATTATCATTTTCATTATTATTATTTATTATATTATTAAATTCATATAAATTATTTAATTGACAATTAATTAATAGATTATAAAGTAATGAATCAATTAAATCATCAATTTTTTCATTTTTTTGTAATTTCAAGTGCTCTAGTAATTTTTTTGAATCTAATTTAGACTCAGTATATCCAGGAATTTTAAATAATTTATTGAAAACCGAAAATATAAATTCTTTTCTTATAATTTTATTATTCTTTTTTAAATTTTTTTCACTTGTTTTTGAAATAAATCTATAAATCCAAAAATGAATCATTTTAAAACTTGTTACTAAAAAGCAAAATTCAGGATATATTTTCAACAATAGTAAATTTTCAAATATCGAATTTTGCATTATTATTGGTAATGTTTTTGAATTATTATTTGATCTTGTTCTTTGAATTTCAATAATTTTAATTTTTGATAAATTTGGTTTTAAATCATCTATTAGTGAGTTTGTTATAAAATTTAAATATCTTTTTTGATCTATTATTGTACTGGGATTCAAGACAGGTACATAATTTATACCATATTTTTCATTTAAATTTAATTTATCCCATTTATTTATTTCTATTGGCCAATTAAAATTTGATGAGGTATATGATTTACAATATGAAAAATTTTTTATACCTATATCAATAGATAATATAGATTGTTTCTTGGTGGGACCAACATTATTAAGAAATTGATTTTGAAATAAATTATATTGTGAAATTATACCTTCAATTCTTTTTGATTTTGTTGGTCCTAATATTGGAGATCCACATAATATTGCTATATCATTTAATGTTGAAATTTTACATGACTTTAGTTTGGTTATTATTTGTTGTTGATTCATTTAAATGAGTGTACTTGGAAGTTGTGTTCTTAACATCTTTTCATTTTGGTTGTTAAACTTCTATTTTGTTCTTTTTTTTTTTTTGTTTACAAAACTGAAATAAATTCATAAATCCGATGACGCGTCTTGAATTTTATATCTCCGAAATATTCAATTTATGTTCAAAAGTATTTAATTCATTCGAAACGGACAACTCGTTGGCGAGTTTCACCATAATAGTGACTTGTAGCTCAATTAGCAACATCTATAAAGTTGGTCGGGTCCGTCAAACTTCTGAAGCAAATTCGGTTTCTTCAAATTTTACGAATCTTTGACAAAACGTCAGCATGAATTGACTATAAAGGAGTTCGCTCATACCAAGCTACACTTCAAAAATTAGGCTTACTCGGACTTTCATAGTAATTTCATAAATATTTACTCTCAATACTCATTCTCCATGTAGTGCTACAATTTAGATGTCTATTTTTTATCAGAAACATGTATAAAAGCTAAATTTTAAATAAACTTATGAAAATCAAAAGACCTCATTCTCAATTACATTGATGCCTATTCATCAGCTTTTCCAAATCAATTCAATCTAATCCTCGCATTATACCTAAATTTTCATTTGGGATAATACAACACAACATGTAAATTTAACACAAAATAAAAAAGAGATTAGATATTGATTTTAGTTCTAAATTAGTTACTTACATTTACGATAATCAATTTCATCTCTCTTTATGACTAAAAAATATTTTGGTTCGTCCTACGGTGTATTTAACTATCTAACTTCATTCCAATCTACGACTGTTTATCTACAACTGTTTATCCACAACTCCGCTCATGAAAGAACATTATATTACGAATGTTTATTATTTTTAAACAAGATTTACATAGCCACTTTTATTATCACAGTAAAAACGATAATATTATTCAAAACTCACGTGTAATAAAGATGAATATTATATAGAGATTATATCAACAATTCAATAAAAGAAATTTAAAAAATTCAGGTTCATGCAACATCTAATAATTTTAATTTAGAGTTCCTTAGCAGAAGTAGATATAGTATTAACAAGAATGTTAAGATATTAAACTTCAAAATATGTTGACGAAGTTGTCAATTTTAGTAATAAAACGACAAAGTCAAAACTTAAAGATTGGATTTAATGGTATATAGAGCTAAGATTACCGGAAATTAAAAAAATATGTAAGGCGGTATAATATATACAAGTATAGCCACAAACTTTATAGCACTCAACTAACAATGGGCTATACTAATAAAATTATAGAGATAGAGGTGAAGATTCAAAGACTCATGATCATTGTATAATCTTTAATTATCTAAAGGGTTCAGCCGTGTATCTTCAACCTGTATAATTACTTAATTGATGTGATGGTTTTGATCACCGAGTTTAGATTAGATTGTTCAATTACTTAATGTAAGATCGACTAAAATCTCCGACTAAAAAATCTATTTTTAGTGTGTTAATTAAACGAACAAAGTTTTCGTTATCGATAACAATTTATAAGACACTGTCTTGCTTTAAAGTTCAAAGTTCAAAGTTCAATCAAGTTCAATATTAAAACGTTTTATCTGATTTGATAAAAAACTTTAACCAATTTCATTATTTATAAATTCATCATAAAAAGTAATTAATTACAAGAAAAGTAAAGTAATTACAAAATTATTATTAATATTTGAAAATATAATAAACAGTAATTAGGGGAACAATGTTCCTTTTATCTACGAGCCCTCAGTCTTATAATAATTCTACTATACATTATCTAGAATATTCTCAAAACAGTTGATATTTATGTCGAATTGAATTGATGTTGTACTGAGTTTTAGCACGTTTTGTTTCAAGTTAAATTTATACCGAGAACCGTGTAACTATAATTACTTTTAATTGAAAAATGGAATTTGGTGAGTTATCATAGTTTATTTTAAGCTTTTTCTTGAAGTAAGATATCGTGTACAAGTAAACATAGCAAATTTGATAAAGTTTAGTCAATAATTGTATGACTTGTTTAGAGCTGTTACTTCTTAAGTATGTTTGTAATTTATCACACACAAAATACATTTTGCACTCTATATAATTTGACAAATTTAATAGATATAGCATTCATATTAATGTGACAAACTACATGCTACTAAATTACAAATTTTCATTGATCAACTGTCACAACTAGATAATTTTTATAAAGACATTGATTATAATACAACTTTAATATAATATTTATGAATTAAACTTTATAATAATAAAAAAAATTCTTAAATTTAAATTTGGTGAAAATCTTTTTTAATAAATTTCAGAATATAAATACTTTTCAAAATCCCTTGGAAAATAATTTACACTAATTAACTTCTTTTTTTTTACAACCAATTCAGCCAATTCAATCAATTTCAACTTATCACTATTCATTTAAAATAAGTTTCAATTTCATCAACTTTCGTTTAATTCATTTAATAGATTCATTATCATAACAACAACTACACCTAAAATAAAATATACATAACCATTAAAAAATGCAATTTAAAAATTTAATTTTATTATCAATGATTTCATTAGTATTTGGAGAAAATGAAACAAATGTAACAAATACTTCTTCTACTTCAATTGCAGGAGGTGATTTAACTACTGCTGCAACTACTTCAGCTACTGGTGGTGCTAATTTAATTTCTACAGCTGGTACTATTGGTGTTGTTGCTGCTGGAGCTTTTGCTTTAATGTTTTAAGAATACTTATTTAAACTAAAACTAGATTCAATAAAGTAGAGTGTTAAAGAGTGTAATTTTTCAAAATGTGTGTGTTTTTTTACTATCTATATAGGTATTAATTCTTTTTTTTATATAATTCATCATATATAATTTTTTAATAATAATAATAATAATAAGTTAATAATTCATAGTAATACTTCCTTGATTGACTGTTCTTTACTTTCTTGCTCAATTTTTTGTTCTATCTTATTTTTCCGTCTTCATTTCATGACAATATTTTGAGCTTGTATTCATTTAGTGTGTTGATAGATACTAGTGATGATAATTAGTACTTGATAAATTTTTAACATCTACTACATAGCCCATATTACTTACACAAAACCCTAATTTCATATACACACTAGACAATAGACTAATTTGGTCTAGTCGTGTGATAACAAAATTATTTTTCTTCTTTCCTTTACTACGTTTATTATTATTATTACTTAACTATGTACATACTTAAAATCACTATGTTTTAAGAAAGTATGTACCCGCCTTAATTATTCAGTTACTAATAATCAGTGGCTGTGCTTATAATAAATTTATGTATAGAAATAAAGTTGAACTAATTTAGCTTTTAAGAAGTGTCATGAATCACTGACAAATTTACTATGACTATGAAATTTGAGACATGCCATTTTCATTTCTATTTTAACATACTAAAACTATAATAAATATAAATACAGAATGTCAAAGTCTGATTAATGCCAAAAAGTATTAATTTTTACAACCATTATATAAAGACGAATTTGATTCTCTATCTTGGTCTTGACATTGGTCCCCAATTTTTAGTCGGATTTTCTTGATATCTAATCATTTTAACTTTTCTTAATTTTGAAATATTTTCACTTAATGAATTTGAAGTTGTGAAATCAATTTTTAAATCTTTTAAATATTGTTTGTTTGCATTAGATTGACTATTTGAATTAGATTGATTACTTGAACTATTATTACTTGAATTAGATTGATTACTTTCATTAAATTGAGATAATTCATTTTCTTCATCTTTTTCCTTTTTGTCAAAATATTTTAAAATTTTAAAACCAGTTGAATTTTCATTTAAATTTGGATTAATTTGGAAATTTGAATTTTTTAAATCATTTAATTTTTTTGTTAATTTTTCATTATTTTTAATTTGAATATCACCATTCTCAGGGTGTTCAATATTATGAGTTTTTATCATATTATTATAATAATCTTTATTTACATTTACCATCCATTCTTTTAAAATTTTTAAATTTAATTCCCATGGGATATTTGATTTTATACAATTTTTTTTAGCATGAGTTAAACTTATTCTAAATTTATCTTCTTCTGCACCTTCTTCTTTTTGATCATTTAAATTCCCTACGGCTTTTGTATACTCATCAATTGATATTGGAGAAGTTTTAAATAATGAAGATAAATGATTTAAATTATAATAAAATGGAACATCTCGTAACTCATTTTTAGCTAATGTTAACATACCTTTTATTCTTTCATTAGTTTTATATATCGATTTATTTGATGTTTGAGAATTTAATTCTAGTATTTTATTTATAAAATTTTCATTTTGTAAAAAACCTGAATACATTGGACCAGCAATATTAAAACTTGATTTACAAAATTCACAATTTGAACTAATAATTGAACTTACTAATTTGGGATAAATAAATTTATTCTCTCCCTTTTTAAAACCCAATGGTTGAATTTTTTTATTACCACATCCATTACATCCATAAACAATCATAGTTTCATTTGAATGATTTTTAACTTTTATTGGACTTGTTTTAATTTTAATCCAACATCTAAAATAATAATCAATACTTAAACTCATTAAAGGTTCAATTGATTTTTTATATTTTGCAGCAGTTGATGCAACTAAATTTAAAATTAATCTTATACCAATTTCATGATTTGTTTCATTATTTATATACAGATTACCAAAATTATTCCCACCATATAATGCAAAACATTTTTCTGGATATCCACTTCCTGCTAATACTGCTGCATCAGTACATGTAACTAATAACATTCCTTCATCTTCTATACATTGTAATGCAGAATCAATAAATGGAGATGCTGTACCATAAGGATCTAAATCTATAATGTGGAATTTCATATTTGTTGATCCCATAAATTTTATTGCATCATTTTCATTTGATTTTATGATGCTCTCCAAATTATTGTGTTTTATATTTCTATCTATTGCTAATACCGCATCTTTTGATAAATCATTCGCTATAATTTTATTAACATTGGGGATTTCTAAACCATATCTACAAGATCTTAATCCTGTTGCAGATAATGCTTCTAATATATTTAAATTTGATAATTTCTTTCTCTTATTGTTGTTTTTTAATTTGGAAAATTGTTCTTTTCTAATTTCATCATATGCTATTATTGATAATGTTGATAAATCTCTATTAAATTGTTGTATTGGATTATAAAATACTTCATCCTTTTTTGGTGTTAAAATTGTTGCTTTTCCTTCAGTTGTGTAAGTGAATTCTTCATTGTCTGTGGGGGTAGTATCTGTAATTGGCGTGGGAGTGGTAGTTGTACTAGTAGGATTAAGTAGTTCTGGTATATTTGACATTTTAAATCTTTTAGCTAAGTCAGTTAATCTTTTATACATTCATTGATCTTCTATATCGATTGTTTGTAATGATGTAAGTAAGTTTTGAAAAAAAAAAAATTTCGGTAAATAATTTTATAACACAAAAACTTCCATCATCATGTCGCGTCTATTAAATAATTTATACAAACAAAGTTAAAATATCATCATCAGGTTATACATCTATTCATGTATTATAAATTCCAATATTCAATCCAAAGTACTAATAGGTTTCATTTGATTTAAATCACTTAAATATTTTAATGTATTTAAATATTGAGGATTCTTGATCAAATTACAATCAATTTCAAAAATATTAAAAATATCAATATCTTCAATATCATTTTCATTAATACCATTATAAAATCCTTCTAAATTTATTATATTACCTGGTTTTAACATTGATAAATTTAATTTTAATTGAATTGATGATAAATTAATTGATACATATTCTTCTTTCTTTTTTCTAGTTTGTTGTAAATTTTGTTCTTTTGATTCTTCCACTTCGTTTTCTTCAATTATAATTATTGAATCAAGTGACGATGTATCATCCTCAACTTCTACTTCTATTTTGTCTTCCTCCTTTTTCTCGTCATTAGTTAAAGAAGGTACTCTAACAATTATTAAATCTGAAGTAAATTGATTAAAATTTATAATTTGTGCAATAATTCGAATTCTAATAGGTTGAGATAATGAAGCATTTGGAAATAATTTATTAATATTTTTTGGATCAATTACTATATTTGTCATAGTATCATCATCTTTGTCAAACTTATGTTTTGAGATTTGTTTGTCTGATTTGTTTGGTTGTAAAATTAATTGTGATTGAAATAACGTTGGTTGTAAAAAAAATAAATTTCAAAAATCTAAATTTGATTTCACCAAGCTTTCATATCATTCTACAACACACAAACCACAATGGCAGCACCAAGTCTAACAACACCTAACCAACCAAATCATACATTAAATACATCATCACCATCAAATTATGAAATAATAAGTTCAGAAGATGTTTCAGACTCAGATTATGAATCAGATTCAGATTATGAAGAAGATTCAGATTCAACAAACAATAAATTAACAGCACAAGAACAATGGGATGAAAGTTTAAAACAAATTACTTTATTATTTAGTCTTGTTATATTCCCATTAATTGGGAAATTATTAGGTAGAAGAACTTCAAAAATTATTTGGAGAAAATTTGCAAATTGGTGGTGGGTATAACTTTAAAAATGTATAGAAGAAGTGGAGTTGAAGAAAGAAAGTGGATATTTCGAACTGATTGAATGTTGTAGTAGTCAGAGTACTGCTTTAGAAGAATGTAGTTTCATGGAAATGGTTCAAATGAATGAATTTAAAAATATAGAGACGAAAGTGGACATGAACAAAGAGAAGTAGATAGTAAAACTGGTGAAAAGTTATATGTTGTAGTAGTCTAGTTACTGCTTCATCGTGTGATTCATGGATATAGTTCAAATGAATACAAACTCAGAAAAGTTCAAGAATTAATACAAAGTATGCTATTTTAATTAGGGTCTGATCTATTATTATAAACTATTAATTAAAGAATTAAATTCATTATTTAAATTAGATTCAATACATTCTTTAAAAATTAATTGAATAAAAGGTTTTAAAATATTAAATTTAATTCTAACCACTATATTTTCAATAATTTTTAAATTTTCATCAATTTTAAAATTTAAAATTGATGATGAATCATTTGAATTTATTGAATTTATTGAAAATATGGACATGTTATCTTTTAATTGTTGATGTTGTTGTGGTTGATTAGAAGAATCTATCTTGATATCTTTTATGATGTTAAGTAGCTTATTTAATATTTCTAATATTAATTTTAAATTTATTTTATATATGAATAAGATATCTAAATTTATATTTATTTCTAATTTTTCAATTAATAATTGTTTTGAATTTAATTTTATAGGTGATGTATTTGAAGTTGGTAAAGAAGTTGATGAATTATTATTTCGTTTTGGAGTTTGAGGATTTGATAAAGAAGATGAATTTAATGATGTATAACTATCTCTTTTAAAATCTGATACACTACTTTGTTGTTGAGGTGGTGGTTGTGGTAAATTTAAATCAAAATTCTTTAATATTGTAAATAAATTTTTTATAAATCTAATTTCATATTTTGTTAGGTTGTTTGTTTCTTGTTGTTGTTGAGTAGAATCTGAATTAATTATATGTTTGATATTAGGAGTAGGGATATTTGTAGTTTGAAAAGGATCTTTTGAAGGAAATTGCAGTGGTTGTAATTGCAGAGGTTGTAAAGGTTGATTTAATTTACCATTACCATTACCACCACCACCATTACTATTATTTAATTTTTTTAAAAATGAATTTTGTTGATGATTTTGAATCTTGAAATTTTCTTCATCATTTTCAAAAATTTTAATTAAATTACCTAATGATATACTTAATTTTAATAATTTTTGAGAATTTATTGGAAATTTATGTTGATTATTTAATTCATTTAATTTTGATAAATCTTTATATGATAATTTATATAAATTTAAAAAATAATTGTTTACTTCTGATGTAAATGGAATTGATGTTAATAAATTATTTATTTCATTTATTTCTTCTTCTAATATTGAAGTTATATATGGTTGATTACTTGTTGACATTGGAGTAGATTGTGAAGTTGAAGTTTGATATTGAAGATTTATTTTCTCATATGCCTTTTCTCCGTTTGTTTTTTTGAAATGCAGTTTTGAAGTTGCTATGACTTTACTTATTTAGGTAAAGAGCGATTGTAGTGGTTCTAATGATTTTATCTAAGTAATCAAAGTGTTGCTTAAAATTGATAGTTTCCATCAAAACTGAAACAGAAAAATTATGGGGAAATTGGTAGCTGGAATTTCTCTCAGATTTCACCAAAAGATATCGCGTAAAACTAATTCCATTTATTTGTTCTTTACATTTGACTTTATACCACAACTACGTATTTACAAAATGATATGTTCTTCAAAACTATAGTCATAATCAGTATAATATCATTTATATTAACATGTTTATTAATATTTGGAGATTCTCCAAGTTTTAGAAATACCGCCATACAAAAATTAAGAAATTATTTATTAACTGGATTAAAGAGTTTAAATCAATTTTATAATTATTTAGATTTTAAAACAAATGGTAAATTGATTTTTATATTAGGTTGGTTTGTACCTTTGGGATATTTAACTGTTGTTACGATATGTTTTTATCAATTCTGGGTTAAGACTTTCCCAATAATTAGTTCAAATATTGGATATTTAAATTTTATTTATATCATATTATCAATGATTTTAATTTATTTATCAACAATAATTGCCATATTTTCAGATCCAGGTATAATAACTCCGGTAAGTTTAACAAAATATCCATATAAACCAAATCAATTAATATTTTTTAATAATAAAATTTGTTCAACTTGTAAAAATATAAAACCTGCAAGATCAAAACATTGTTCAATTTGTAATAAATGTTATTTATTATATGATCATCATTGTATTTGGATAAATAATTGTATTGGTTATTATAATTATAAATGGTTTTTATTATTCTTGGTGAGTAATATTAATATGTTAGGTTATGGATTTATTATATGTTTTAAAGCTTTAAATTTACAATTACAAAGTTTTACATTTTTAAAATTATGGAAATTAATAACAAAAACAAATGATTCAAACAAGATTACTGGAATATTTATAATTTTATGTTTTATATTTGTATTTATAGTTATAGCTTTTACTGGATTACATTTACGTTATATTTATTTAGGTGTTACAACAAATGAATTAGATAAATGGGGAGAAATTGAATATTTAATTGATTTAAATTTACTATACAAAGTTACACCATCAATTAACAATGAAAAATATGTTGAAAAAGCATCTGTTAGAACTGAGGATTTAGAAGATGAGATTGTTTATATAAGTTTGAAAGATGAAAAAATTTTGATAAATAATAGTAACAAGGACAATTATGAGATAACACCAATTGAATCAATAGTTACTGATATAAATAATGAATATGATAATGGGTTCTGGAATAATTTCAAAGATAGAGTGTTTATATAAAAGTATCGATTAGTGGAGGTTTAAGTCAATTAAGCTAAATTTCTCGAAATTTGTTGGTCTTTAGATTAGCTATTAACTGAGGCGTGGTTTCAAAGTAATATCATTTTTATAGTCACCAACTCCTGAGTGACTCAATTACTTCAAATGAATAGGTCAAATTATCATATACATTACGCTAATTTATCTTTCTACAACAGAATGAATAATAATCTAAGTATATTTAATTTTGTATAATATATTATATGTAATCAGTATTAATAGTATTGTAGATCTCGTATATATTTATATTATATTATACTATTATTAATAATGTATTACATAATCGTATTATAATAATACTTAGGCTAATACTTATATACACAACTCCCCACCTATAAATAAAGAAACACAATACAAAACACAATACAAAAAAAAAAGATAACCAGGAAATTTATTTTTCACTTTTTTACAACCAATAAATATATACATAATATCAACTTTACAACCATACATAATCAGTGTTATAGATTACTTTGACCAATAGGAAACTTTAGCTGAACAAATAACAATATAGCTTATCCATACTAGTAAAAACAATTGATCAATGGAAGAAAAAGAAACAATTACTGATAATAATAATTCAAATGGTTTATCCTTGAAAAATCAGAATAAGAATAATAATAACAACACAAATAATAATGATATAAATCTAAATAACAATAATGATAATAATAATTCCAATAATAACCAATCTATAAGAGATCTACAGCAAAATGGTTCATCACAATTAACTCCACAACATCATTTACATATACATAATATACAACAAGATTCATCAAATAATAATACACATCAACAACAACAACAACAACCTCGTTTTGATCAACAAAATCATTCTCAAGATACTTATAATAACAATTCATCTCAATCTCAATCTCAATCTCAATCACAACCGCAACATCCATCATATGAATCTCAATGGTCTTCTACTATGATGATGGATCCAAATACTGCAGAATATTTATATAATATTGAATTACCAACTTATATACCAAATGAATATAGACAAGATAATCAAAATAATAATAATATTATGCATAATATTCAATATCAAAATAATGTACATCATAATCAAGATCCAACACATCAACAACCACAACAACCGCAACAACTACTACATCAACAACCATTATCACAGCAGCAAACACATCCACAACCACATCCACAACCACATTCACAGCCTCCACAACCAAACTATGATGAAACTTCACAACCTCCTATACCTGCAACCAAATCAAAACAAAGACGTCCTTGTGATCAATGTAGACGTAGAAAAACAAAATGTGTTATTGTTCCAAATACAAATAATTGTGTTCAATGTGAAGCAAAACAATTATCTTGTACTTATTCAACTCCTGCAATAAAAAGAAAACCAACAGATATTGGACCATTACCTAATCAACCACAAGATAAAAGAAATAGATTAAATCCTTTATCAAATGAAAATATACAAGTTCCTGATGTACCAATAAGAGAAGTTGCTCCTATACAAGAATATTCATCAATAAATAATTCATTACTCAAAAAGACTTTATCATTACAATTTCCAAGATCAAGTTTTTATGTTGGACCAACTTCATATTTATATGATATAAATTTATTAAACACAATAATAGATTCTCATAATCAAAAACAAATTTCAAATCAATCACCTACTTCTTCCACAACAACCACCACAACAAATAAAATAGAACAAGTTAGTCTAAGTAATTCAATTTCCCTTAGAAAAGTTAGTGATAAAGTTCAATTTGTATTAAAAGAAGATCAATCACCACAATCATATCAAACAATGTCAAATGATGTTGATACAATTGAAAAATTTATATCACCACATGGTCAAATATTAATTGATTTATATTTTAGAATTATTCATCCTTCTTACCCCATAGTACATAAAAAAGTATTTTTAGAAAAATATTCAAGAACTCATAGAGAATTTAGTGCTCCATTATTAGCTGCAGTATATGTATTAGCTATACAATGGTGGGATTATGATCCTCAATTAAATAGATTCCCCAAACCAAATGTTGAATTAATTTTAAAAATTGGTTTAAATAATTATTTATCTGAAATTTTAAAAAGACCTAAACTTAGTGCTGTTCAAGCTGGTTTATTATTATTACAATGTAAACATATAATAAGTTGTAAAACTTTTAATGATCAAATACAAAATAGTGGAGATGCAGATTATTCAGAATGGGTATTATGTTCACAAGTTGTTTCATTAGCTGAAGAATTGGGGTTAGGATTAGATTGTAATAATTGGAAATTACCAAAATGGGAAAGAGGTTTAAGAAAAAGATTAGCATGGGCTGTTTATATGGAAGATAAATGGTTATCCCTAAAGGATGCAAGACCTTCTCATATCCATGAAAATAATTGGATTGTTTTACCATTATATGAAGAAGATTTTCCTGAAAAACATGGAGATGGAGATTTAAAAGAAGGTAGTTCAGATATTGATAATGGTAAAAAAATTTTTATGAAATTAATTGAATTAAGTAAAATTTTAAGTGATATTTTAAATCAATTTTATTCAATGAAAGCAATGAATGAAATAAATGATATAAATGATGTATTAAAATTAGCAAAACCTTTACAATTAAAATTAAGAAATTGGTTTCATTCATTACCAATAGAATTACAAATGACTTCTGTTCAACCAAGAAAATTATGTTCAAATGGTTATTTACAATTAGCTTATTTTGCAACAGAATTAACATTACATAGAAAAATAACAACTATAATATATCAACAAACAAAAATTGGAAATCCTCCATCAATTGAATTAATAAATGTTTGTAGATCAGCTGCAAAAACAAGATTATTAGCATCAATTGAATTTGTAAGAGATTTAAAACCAGAACATATTCACTCATTTTGGCACAGTTCAAGTTCTTCAAATTTTACATTAATTGGTACTTTCGCTGCTATATTATTTATGTCATCACCAACAAAAGAAGAATCTGATTTTTATAAAGATCAAATTTTTAATTATAGATGGATTTTAAAAATTTCTTCAAAAGGATTTGATCAAGTTGCTGAAGCTTTATCACAATTAGACTTGGTGTTGGGAAATATTCCTGGATTATTAAATGATAATATTGATATGCCAATGGTTTTACCAAATGTACAAGATCCACCACCACCAAAATCTCCATTTTCAGAACCACCAACTCCTAATAACATTGGAAATAATAATAATAATAATAGTAATGGAAACAACAACAATGGTTCTACAAAAAAGAGAATCCCCAGTAATTTAAGAGATTCACCATATAATTCACCACAAAGTTTTTATACTCCAATAAATGAAAAAAATTCTCCATCTATATCACCAAAAGATTATAAAAAGCAAAGTATACCAAATGAAACAACAAAGAGTCCAATTAAATAAAGATAAAATACAACTACAAAAGTATATGAATTACAAGTTATGAAATTATTTCAATTCTTCAATTTAGTTTAAAAATTAATAAATTTTAATATACATATATATATGTTCTTATCTAATCAAAAGGTATTAAAAAAGATTCAGCTATAACTCTTGCTCTTGCATTTAAAAATAATTTCATTTCACTAATTTCTTTATCAACATCTTCCATAAATTCAATAATAAAATCAACTAATTTATCTTTTAACATTTGTTCAGTATGAAAATTTGTTATTAAAAAACTTATATCATAACCCAACAAAGGTTTTCTTCTTAATATAAAAAAATTTTCTGCTCTACTTGTTAAAAATCTTGTAAATTTATGAACTAATATGTTTTCAATTTCATCACTTTGTTTAATTTTAATTGATATACGAATTGAATTTATACTTGATTCAATTAAAATTTTTTCATTTTCATTACGTGCTATGTTCATACTATTTAATATAATTTCTGGATTATGTTGATTTGAGGAATTTACTTCTATTTCTGGTCTATTATGTCTTTCTATTAATTGTGATGAAAAATCTTGTAAACATATTGCTGCTGTTAGTGATGATCTTACTGCTGTTAAATATGGTTTTAATGATTGTGACTGGGAAATTTGTTAGTATTGCTTTTGTTTGCTTATAAGAGTTGATAATCAATTGAGTTACATACCATTGTTTATATGAAGATGATTGTGTATAAGTTTGGTGATAGTTTCTTTAGTCTGGAGAACATTTTGTTGATTTAATTCCGAAAAATGATAATCTCAAAATTAGTTAAGTTCGCACGACTAAGAGATAATATTTGATAAATCTACAGCATACAATCTACTGATTAGGAGTTTTATAGTTTGAATAGAGATGATACTCATGTTTGAATAGAGATGATACTCATGTTTCAATATCGGTCTATTTCACCCTTCTATGTTATTGTATGTATATAGATGTAAGATGATACCAAATAGGTCAAAATGTTGCCATAGAAACTGGAGATCCATTAGTTAAAATGAGTACCAATGTTCAAAGTGGAGCTTCAAATCCAAAAAAGGTGCGTCATTATTAAATTTTAAATATACTGAATTCAATGATTTAAAATTTTGTCAGATTCAAATAATGATTTTAAAACTAATCAAAGGAGAAGATATTGGAGAAAAAGGAGGGCAGAGTTATTATTCGTTACCCTAAATTTTAAATATTTGTTCATTATTTTTATTTTTATTTTTATTTTTATTTTATTACAATTAAGAGGAGATTTCAATTACTGATTCAGTTCATTATCAATCTATTAGTCATATATTAGAACACTTTTACAGCTAATCTCAAAAGAGTAGAGGGAATATGTGTTATCTGAACTTGGGTGATCTATTGACTTTTATACATTTTTATATGTGCTCCCAATATTGAGTTCAAGGATCGTTAAATCTCATGATAGGTAACATGTAAAAAATTGTATAGAACTAAATAGAACACCAGTGTTCAGATTACACACTACAATTCAGAACAGTTGATTCATCATTACATTCATTATAAATTATTTAATAATTCATAGTTGATTTCTTAACTTTCTTTTCAGGTAATTCATCAACTTCTGGTTCAACACTTTCGGAAGCTTTTCTTTTTTTCAACATTCTTTGTTTAATTTCATATTCATTTTGAATCAGTTCATAAATTTCTTGTAATTCTTCTTCATTATTTAAATCAAATTGTCTTAGCTGATCATCACTTAAAGATTTCAAAGTTTTTAAAAATTCTTCAAATTTTAAATTGGACCAATCTGTTATTTTTTGTTCAATTAAAATATTTTCAATTTTATTCTTTTGTAATTTAAATATTTGAATTTTTTCATCAATTAAATCTCTAAATAAATCTAATGGTGTTGAACCATTTCTACCACATAATTCAATAAATGAATCCTCATTTTCAAGCATGGGTAAAAATTCATTAAATTTAGAATTATATTTTAAATTTGGTAAAGTTGATAAATAAACTTTAAAATTATTTCTTGATTTTCTATCATTTCTATAATTTTTTCGTTCTTGAATTTGAATTTCATTTTTTAAGTCTTTATTAATTTTTGGATATATTTCAAATTTATATAATTGTAAAATATCAATTTTATTTAACCATTCAAAATGTTTATTTTGTTTAAATCTTGAATCATTTAGTAGGTTTTTATATAATGTCTCAAAATTTTTTGAATTTTCAACTAATGAAGTATTTATCAGTTGTAAATATGTTAGTAGCTCTTCTTTTGCTTGTGATTTATCTTTGATTATTTGATCTTCATCTTTTTTTCTTAACGTGTTTATAAATTTATAAAACATTTTCATCATTTCTTCATCCAGTATTATTGAATGTTTAAAAATTGGATTATCTTCTTTTTCAAATTTTTTTTTTAAACTTATCCATCTTGAATTATAATTTAATTTTCCATTTTTGTATAGCTTTTCCAATTCTTGATTAAAATTACTTTTAAATGTTTCAATTAAATTAGTTTTATTATTAATTTCAGATTGGAATTTATTTAAAATATATTCTTCATAAACTTCCTTTTTACGTATTGGATTTTCAATTGACCAATATCTTGGTTCATTTATTAATTTTTCCATTACTGTTTGAAATGACCATGTTGAATCTACTTGATGTTCTTTTAAAAGTTCAATAAATTGATTTTCATCTTGTGTTATATTAAAAGGTTGATCTATTGGTTTTGCTTTCAATTCCTTTTCTAACTCATTTTCTAATTCAACTTTCTCCGATTCATCTTCCCCATCCACTTCTTTGCCTATTGTTTTTTCACTTGCTTCATCTGGTTTATCCCATGATGTTTCTTGAGTTATAGTATTATAATAATAAACTTTTCCATCATCAGTTTTATATTCTTCCCAAATTGATGATGATGATTTAATTAATTCTTCACCTTCAGGTAATGTCCATTGAGTTTCATGTGTTTTAGTATTATGATAATATATTTGACCATCATCAGTCTTTAATTCTTCCCAAATGGGCATATATATGGATGAAGTTTATGGTGTATGATTGAAACAATAGATTTATTTAGTTAGGAGAGAAAATGAAAGTTTCAGATTAATTATAATACGATATTAGATGTATTCCAGGCAAGATTTTTAATGCGAAGGTAAGGTAAACTTTGACGTAAATTTATTTTTTTTCAGTCGAGAAGTGTTACCATCATGAACTGGATTGAATTGGCGTAAAATTCTAGAAATTGACATAAATTTTGAAACACAATTTGTGACAAAGGGACCAAATTTTCATAAGGTCATTATAATTCACTCGAAGATTTGTTTTTGAAACAAAAAGCAATTGAGTTAAACAACTGTTACTTCAAAAGAAATGGAAATAACATACAAATTGATATAAAAATAGAAATTTTAAACAGAAATTAACGAATTGTTAATGTAAATTTATTCCAGTTAATGTACCATTGAATCATGTTGAATAATGATTCAATTTTAAATTAGAAAAGATCATTCAAAAGTATTATTTAAATGAAAATAAATAAGTGACAATAAATACATTGAGCGCTCGAGTAGTATTGGATTCAACACATCTTAATCAAATCTTCTCCATAATTGCAATAGCCGTTTAACCTTCCTAAATAATTAACTCAAAGTATTCGTGGTATGGAATAAGTCGGAGGATCGACCTTACCAATTTACTTTACGTGACAGATTTTCCGAAATTAAACGACACTAAGTACTAAAAAAAGAAACACACAAAACCGAAAAATAGAAATTTCAAATTTCCGCGCAAATTTAAAAATAATAATCATGCATAACATACAATCTAAATGACCTTATTAATTTAATATAAATATATAAGAAGATCATCTCTAGATTGATTCATAAATTCAAAATAATATTTCAATTCAACTTATAGATACAATTTCAATTCAAAGTATAGAATTAAATATTTATCATCAATTTCATAAGTAATACAAACTAAAAAATGAAGATTATAACAGAGGAAGAAAAAAATAATCATAGAAGTTATATAATTAAAGAAGGTTGTAAAGGTTTATTAATTGGTGGAGCTATATCAGCAGGTATATTTTCATTTTTAAAATATAAACAACCAGCAAGATTTGCAACTTTTAGTCCAAGTATAAAAGCTGCTATATTTGCAATGCCCACCATTGCTTTAGGAGCATTTTATGCAGATCAAGGTTCATGGAATTATGATCAAATGATTCATCAAGGAGATTATCAAAAATTAGAAATTAAAAAACAAGAATTAAAATTACAAAACTTAACAACTACTGATAAAATCATAACAAAATTAAATGAACATAAATATGAAATTATTGTTGGAGCTTGGGGTGCAAGTTTGTATGGAAGTTGGGTCATTATAAACAGAGATAAATATATGACAACAGCTCAAAAACTTGTACAAGCTCGTGTGGTTTCGCAATTCATCTCAATAATTCTATTATTAGCAACAATTGGTTTAAGTATAAGAGATGCTGAAATTAAAAAAAAACAACCTGCTGAAAAACCACATTGGAAAAGAGTATTGGAAGAACAAGGTGAAACAAAGTAAATTTTTGAAATGAAATCTAAAAATTATTAGAGTATTCAAATACAGTGGATTTTATATTTCATAAATTAAAACACATCAAAATTAATATTAGAAAATACATAGCAAGAAATAAAACTGGATTTTATAGAATTTTTGTAGCAATAAACTTGAACGAGCAAAAGGATCAAGCCAAATACCATCTTCGTACGATTGGAACAATTCAAATTCTGAAACAACTTCAAGTTCTTTTATTTCGATGATTTGCTTAGAATACACCATCTTTTTTGCATTTGATCTTTGGTCCTAGTTGGAAATTCTTCATCAATTTTACTCCAATCGTTGCCATATTTTTGAACTAAAGCCCTTAAGACCATATCTTCTTTAATTGACCAAGCACCTTTTCTTAATAACTTTGGATCTTTCTTCAGTTCAGCAATCAATTTTTGATAACGAAGTAGACATGAATTTTCGGTTCTATCTTTAAAATTACTTGACAATTCTAACCAATTGGGCTTACCATCCTTTTCTTTACACAACTCCATCAATTTCTTATCTTCTTCCGCCGTCCAAGGTTTTCTTGATTTTTGACTTTGTTTTTTCAAATCAGCTTCTTTCATTTTTTCATATTTTGCTTTTTTTAAATCACTTTCCTTAGCTTTAGCTTCCTCTTTTTTTGCTTTAACTTTAGCATCATTTTCTCGTTTGATTATTGTATTTTTATAATCCATTGTAAGTTGTAAAGTACCATTGATTTTTTCCGTGCAACCACCTTCATCAATTCTTCTGAATATATTGATTAGTTGATATTTAGGAATTTTACCATCGAATGCACTAGTGATTTTAACCCATTTATCAGAACTATTTTCAAATTTGGTATAAGTTTTCAATAATTTATCATAAAATTCCAAACTCAATTCAACTTGAGTATACACAAAATTTGGATCGAAGATCCATTTTTCTTGAAATATGATTTTATTTTTACCACAAAGATTTTTAAAAATACCTTGACATTGAACATCAGTAAACCCAGGAAATTTAAATTTTTTCCACTGGACTAGCAGACCTTTTAGGTTCTTGTTGCACTCGTCTAATACCAAATCAATGATGATATTCTTATATATATCTAATGAAATACTGGAAATTGAGGTAATTTTATCATTGTATTCTTCATTGTACTTGGACAAAATCTTTTTCAGTAATTCAGTATATGGTATAAGACTAATACGTTCTCTTTCCTCATCATTTTTTATTAATTTTTTCATATGATCTGAATATTTGAGCCCGGCTTTGTATTCTTCATCATTTAGTTGATACGTATAAGGTACGTTATTTTTTCTGATACCACTCAATTTAAATAAAGTTTCTTCAGCTTTGGTATTTTCTGACTTATTAATAAATCTTGTACCTAACTTTTTTAATCCCATCTTAACTATAACTGCAGCATGTGTACCAGTATAGTCTTTTTCAAACAAAACTTTATGAGAATACACATTATCTCCATGTTCTACTGGTACATATATTGAATCAATATCTCGAAGACCTTGAGGATTAAAATTCGTTACTAAAGTTTTTTCAGTAGCTAATTTAGTTGTTCTAACCCACTTGTTTATATCTAAAAATTCATTGATACATTTTTGGCTTCTAAGGTCATACTCTTTAACGGAGCCATCATAATTAGACCCGGAATTTTGATCACTAAATACATAATTGAATAATGAACCATCCTTTTTAATTAATGGATTGACCTTCGTAATTAGTCTGATTCTGTTTGACTGATATTCATGATCACCGTAGATCGTAATAAATTGAACGGGCTTGGAATATCCTTCAATTTCAAGTATTAAATCTGCCACACGTAAGTAATCAAACCCATTTTTTGGTTCTGGATCTTCAATATCTTTTTCTCTTAGCTTGGAAGTAATCAGAAGTTTTGATTTAACCTTAAATGGTTTTTTAAATTCAAATTTATTAATTACAACAGCTGCAGATCCACCTTCAATCCGAGCAATAATTAGATTTTCTAATACTTCGTCATCATCTTGACCTTCCTTTTTGTATTTTTGCAAAAAACCTTCTCTAATGTTTTTTACAGTTTCATCTGTAACCTCTTCAAATCCACATATACCAATTAGATATCTGACCAAGTCTTTTTTTCCGATTTTGCTCAAATTCTTTTGCATTAAAAACCAACCATCTAATGTTTCAGCACCCTGTCTTTCGTAATAGTAAGTGGGAAATTCAAATTTCTTCATTGCATAACTTTCTCTCTTGCTATATTTTTTAACAAATTCTTTTGATACATTAGTTGTAGTAGTAGTATTATTAGTGACAGCAGCTGAAAGTGGTTCAACATCTGACATAGCACCTGATCCTGAATTATTGCTAGTTTCATCTAATGATCCTGAATTATTGCTAGTTTCATCTAATGATTCCACACCTAAGGTTGTACCATCTTGATCTTTTGTGTCTGCTGAGTTTCCATTTTTCAAATTTAAAACACTATTAACAAATGTTGGATCTACATTACCATTATCTTCCCCAAACGTGTCTACCAGGTTCTCATTTTTTAAAGATGCTTCTTTCGCTATAGATGATCCTTCAACACTCAATTCCTTAACCAAAGAAAATCTCAATTGACCACCTTCACTAATGAGTTTTACTCTTTTCTTATTCCCTTGATCACTAGTTATTGATCTTTTATCATTCGATGACATTTCATACTCTTAATGATTAATTAATAAAGCTTCAGTATATCACACGATTTGTTTGTTGTGGTTTATCAATTGAAGTTGGTGTTTTTTAAATTTTGGTTGTAAAAACCAATTTTGGTTGTAAAAAAAAACCAAATATAATTTGACTAATAATACATCGCGTTAAACAAAATTCAAAACAAAACAAAAGCAAAAAAAGCTGGGATCAGTTCCATCTACATTCCAGCTAATATTATTGATCCAAATTCTTATTTGATGGCTCATTTCAACCTCACAGCTGTACTCCACTGAATTGCAGCCTAGTAAACAGACGTTTCACGACACACACAAAAAAAGACACATCAGATGCGACACTGGCACGTGATTTATTCGTATATAAAAATTAACATATTAATTTACTTCATTACCTGAATAATGCTGACTTATCTCCAAAATGCTTTTACCTTTTTTGACGACGAATACCTGTGTTATTTAATAATTGATTAAAATATGTTTTATTATTAGCAAAAACCTTATTGACTCACTATGGACCAAAGTAAAGAATAGTTTGTTCAGTGTTTTTGAAATTAGATAAAATCATATGAGTATTTCCATGAAATATAACTTTATCTCTGACTTTTAATCAATTCCCGTTTGTGTTTGTTATATTGTTATTCCGACTCGTTTTTTCAATTATATCTTGCTTTACAAATTCACGATAACAATGTGACAATTTTTTGAAATCTTGAGCATCTTCAGCACTGTCTGGTGATTAGTTTGTAGGAACATTTTGGAAAATTCTTGAATCTATACCTGGTGCTTTTGGGGTGAATACTTAATCTTCTTCCAAAAGTGATGATTTAGTTATTTCATCTGTATGACTATTTTATACAAACTCTACCAATGGCAATTTGTATAACCAATCTTGATTTAGTCGACAAAAGCGTTGAGTAATTGAATCATTGATTCATTTGTTCATTCAAATCAACCATCAGGTTGAGGATGATAAATGTTTGAAAATATTAAAACAGCTTGATTTCCATGAAAAAATTCTGACCAAAAATCAACTGTTACTCTTGTATCATTGTCTGAAACTATTTCATCTGGCATATATAATGTTTGTTATATAGTCAATGAATATTTACCGCACTTCTTAATGTTAATGTCTTTTAATAATGTATGAAATGAGCTCTCTTCGAAAAGCTATCAACAACTACCATGGTATAAATATGAATGAACTTCAGGTAAACCAAGAAGAAAATCCATACTCATAAATCTCCGTCCTCCAGCTGGGATAGCCAGTCAAAATTAAATGAAATACTTGGTTTAATAATTTGATATATTGAATTAGTCCAAAAAAATCTCTTGATAATCTTTAACATTGAAGGAAAATAATACAACCCATATTGAGCTTCTAATCCAATTTATTGAGCATATTACACAAATTATGGGACCAACACAACCCCCACGATCCGTAGACCAGCAACTGCATTAAAACGTTGTTGAGGTTGAGAATTAAGATTGATACAAATTGACCAGCATAACTCAATTTAACTAAACGTCATCCTTACCCCAAGGTTATGTAATTAGTGGCAAAAGATGTTGCTCCAATGAGTTGGATACTTGGATTTGAATGATGCATTGTTTGAACAAATCGTCATCTTAACTTGAATATATTCAGCCGGTTTATAAATTTTCAGCAATGTGGTACCCAATTTTGTGTCATCGACGTAAATTTTTTTGTTCATTTTCTCTTGTACAGATAAATGATATACGGTCTCCGTTTCTCGATTTGTATAAGTAGATAAACTACACGAACTATCTTATGATCTTAAATTTCGATAATTATATATTACTGAACTCTGGCTCTTTTGCTCTGTTTCTGTAAACTAGTTTTCTCTATGAAAATTTTTCTTTTTCTTTTTGTTTCGCAGCATCCATATTTTGTACAACATCATGAAACAATTGACTCTTGAAATGTAAATTTTTACACCACATTCGTTACCATTGCATTATTATTAGCAACTATTGGTTTAAGCATGGCAGAATCTGAAATTAAAAAGAAGCAACCTGCTGAAAAACCACATTGGAAAAAAGTTTTAGAGGAACAAGGTAAAGCTTAGAATTTTTTGAATATTTTAACGAGAGATATGAATAATTCGACAGAATCTTTAATGAATAATGAATAATTTTAGTAATGAAGAATGATTGATGCATGTTTATAGAGTTTATATTAATTTTGTATACATATAAAAATAAATTGCTCACATTATTTTTTTTTTGGGTGCAAAAAAATTGCAAAAATTCTGCAACAAACTTTTATCTCATATTTCTACAACTTTTATTTTCAAACCAGGTTCAAGTGACGTTTGTTAATCTTAAGACAATAAAGTGGATCTTTCTGAATCATTAACCTTTATGCTCTCTTTGTTGAAGCATAATCTTTCTTATGATTGTAAGACTTGGAAAAAGTGGTCATACTAAAGTGATATGTTACACAAAAATTGGCAACTTTTATCTCTGAGAAATACACGACCACATTTTTCCAGTTTAATCTTAGGCTATAAGTCAAAGAGAAAGATCCGATATCGAAACTATTCTTCATCTACCAACACTCAATTTCAATTGTAATTTTGTTGGCGTTAGAAGATTAAGACCTATCGTTTTCCAAGGAATCATAAACTAGCAGACATTGTTATTCAAAAATTATTCACATTTTACAACTTCAAATAATCCAAATAGATAAGGAAATCGATTCTTTCGTTCAATCGTCAATATATCTATCAAAGCTTCAAAGAAAATTTAATCAATCATTAAATAAATTCAATCTTCAAAGAAACCGGAGTTATTTTTATTTTGTACTTATCAATAATCACATCTCAGCCTCATTTAACGCAAATTAATCAACTTTAATAGATCTATAAAGCAGAGAATTTAAAATTATGGGAAATTCAAATAATCCAGATAAACCTCCAACTGTACCAGATGGTTGGTTAGCTAAATTTGATGATAAATATAAAACTTGGTTTTATGTTGATTTAAAAACTAAAAAATCTCAATGGGAACCTCCAGCAGGTACAAAATTTGATGATGCTCCACCAGCTTATTCAGCAAATAATTCAAGAAGAAATTCAATAAATTCTTCAGAATCTCGTCCTCAACAACAACAACAACAAAATAATCAACAAAAATCTGGGTTTTTCCATCGCCATAATAATCCACAGCCGCAACCACAATATAATCAAGGTTATCCTCAACAAGGATATCCACCTCAAGGTTATCAACAACCATATTATGGACAACCTTACGGACAACCATATGGTCAACCATATGGTCAACCTTATGGATATCAACAACAACCACAAAGATCAAGATTTGGTGGTGGTGGTATGGGTGCAGGTATGTTAGGTTTAGGTGGTGGTTTATTAGGAGGTGCTATGTTAGCTAATATGATGGATAATGGATATGATGAACAAATGGCTTATCAAGATGGTTATGGTGATGCAATGAATAATCAAGATTATGGTGGTGGTGATTTTGGAGGTGGTGATTTCGGAGGTGGAGATTTTATGTAGAGACTATAAATATTTAGCTAGTGTACAAAATTAAGCGGGAAGACAATTTAACGTTGATGAATTAATAGAGAGGAGTTTATGCTTCTACTTGAATCGGCTGCAAAACCAGTGATAGATCAATCCTATCAAGCTAATCATAATTTTTTAGTGTCGCAGATTTGATGTTTTTTCTTCCATACTTTTTTTCAACCAATGAATATTTAATTTTTACTAAGTATTAGTAGAATATTCACAAAAGACTAAGTACTACACTAAGAACTCATCAACAAGTGCTGTTGAACATTTTCTGACTCATCTATATCAATTCATACCCTTACACATACAAAAAAATGAGGTTTACACAAGTATTAAGACAAATACCAAAAATACAATTATCAGAAGTAATAGTAAGAGCAGGAGAAGGATTACCAACAGGTTTAACAGGTTTATATAAACATCCAAATCCAAGACCATCATTAGTTGCATTATATAATGAACAATTAAAAGTATTAAATGATAAATTCCCAAAATCATCAGTATATAGACAATCAGTTGAAAATTTAACAAAAAATAGATTAAAAATAGTTGAAGAAGAAGAAATTATAGAAAATATTGAAAATAAAATTGGTAATGGATTAATTGAAGAATTAATTATACAAGCATCTGATGAAATTAAATTAAGTCATGAATTATCTGGTTTAAAATGTTGGGAAGAATTAGAAGAAAAACCTTTAGATGATCAATGGGTTTATTTTGGTAAAAAGATATAATAATAACTATTAATAGAAAATTTTATTACAATTAAACAACAACAACAAACACAAAATTTAATCAATTACTTAATAAATTGAAAAAACCATTGTTACAATAATCTCTTTCTTTCTCAATGGATCCTTAACAACAATTATTCTTTATACCTGAATTATTTTGTGAAACATCTATACCACCAGCTCCACTACCTGTAGCAGCACCAGAATTATCATCAACATGTTTTTCTTGAATAATTCCTGCTAATTCATAAAATATAGCATCAACATTTGCATTACTTTTAGCACTTGCTTCTAAAAATGGTATACCTAATTTTGAAGCTAATTCTTCTCCTTGTTCTTTACTAACTTGTCTATTTATATCATCATCATTTTTATTACCAACTAAAAATATTTGAGCATCTTCATTTGCATGTTGTGTTACAGTTTGAAACCAATTTTCAACATTTTCAAAACTTCTTGAATCTGTAACATCATAAATTAATACAATTCCCATTGCTCCTCTATAATATGCTGTAGTTATAGTTCTAAATCTTTCTTGTCCTGCTGTATCCCATACTTGTAATTTAATTTTTTTACCTTTACTTTCAATTGTTCTAATTTTAAAATCAATTCCAATTGTTGTTATAAATGATGGATTAAATTTATCTTCAACAAATCTTAATAATAAACATGATTTTCCAACACCTGAATCACCTACTAAAAGTAGTTTCATGATCATATCATAAGCTCTAGATGATCCTCTTCCACTCATTTTTGATTAATTCCAGTTAGTTATGTGAATGATTGTTGTTGGTTATATTGAAGATTTTTGGTATATGTTATGTTAAGATAAAAGATCCGGATTAAATATTTATTAAGTTACACAAGTTATATTTTTTTAAGTTAGTCGTGTATACTGTTACTATTATTATTATATATATACACTAATTTAAGTCTCACAGTCGTTCTATATCTATTAACCTACTTCAGTATCTATTCTAACTTACAAGAATACTTCAGCATTTAATTCAACTGACGAAGCAGCATATGGTATATCAAAAAAATTCATAACTTCTGGATGTAAAACACCAATACTACCAATTTCTTTAGCTTCATTATTATCTTTTGATCTAAATAATATTTTTGCACCTCTACCTTCAAAAAATGTTGTTTTTGATTTATCTTCTTCAATCCAATAACCTCTTCTTTTATCATCTTTTGGATTTTCTAACCATGGAGTTCTCATAGTTTGCATAATTTTACCTAAAAGTCCTTGAATATATTCAAACCCTGAAGTTTTACCTGCATATATTGCAGCCCAATTTTTTTGATTAAAAGCACGTCTTTCTAATGAATCATCTTTTAAAACTATATCACCACATTCAAAAACTTTTATTGGTAAAGAATGTTTTCTATTTTCTTTTATTGTTTTTAATATACCAGGTAATAAAGTAGTTCTAACAACTTGATATTCTATAGTTTTTGGATTTTCTAATTTAACAGCTTTTGAATCATCTTTTAATCTTAACCATTTATAATTTTCATCATGAGAACACAATGTTAATGGCATAACTTCCAGATATCCAGCTTGAGAACTTGCTAATCTTAATATATCAGATACCTTATTTATTGGTAAAGCTGAAGCTACTAAACTTTCACTATTTGGTTTTGTCTTTTTTAAATTATCATAACCATATCCAATTGCTGCATCTTCCATAATATCACATTGATGTAAAATATCTGATCTTGTTATTGGAATATTAACATTTAATAAATCATTTTCTGTTGTTGATGGTTTTGCATCAAGTGACATTTTTTTTAATAATTTTGAAATTTCTTCACCTGAATAATTTAATCCTAAACATGAATTAATATATGAAATTTCTGCTTTAGCTTCTCTTGGTTTTATATTTGGTGTAATACGTGATTGATTATTATGTTCGGATATGATTTTTAAAGGTTCTATTTCAAATGGTACTTTACTATATTTTGAAAACATGGCAACTAATTGATTAATAACAATTTCAGTTTTAGTTCTATCAGTACCTGTAACATCAATCCAAACATTTTTAGTATTTAAAGTGATTTTTGAATGATCTGAATTAATAATTGGTGGTAATGATGCAACTGTTCTATTTGCATCCAACATAACTGGATAAACTGGAGAATCTTTTATAATATGTAAATACTTACCTAAATTTTTATCTTTTTCATAAAATTCCATTAATTCTTCTCCATTCATCTCTTTTGTTTGATTTAATGGTTTGAAAACAATATCTTTTGGTGGTAAAGCTTCATATGTGAAAGGTGGTGTTAAAGTATCTAAATCATGAGTTCCAATTGCAACTAAAGTTCTATTACGACATAAGTTTGTATGTAATTTATCTTGTAATGCAATAAATGAATCATACGATCTTTGATCAAATTTAATTCCTCTTAATATTGCTGAAGCTGCGTATTGTCTTATTGGGAAAGTTGATTCTTTAATGGTTAATGAAATTTCTGGATTTGATGGATTTAATGTATAATTTGGAGTTTCTGAATTTCCTAAAAACTCATTTAATGCTTGCGCTATACCTTCAATACATAACATATCATATCTATTTGCAGGAACTTCAATTTTTAATTGTGGTCTTTCATCACCTTGACATTCTTCAGTAGTATCTTCATCCAATTCAATTCCAAATTGGAAACACAATTCATCAAATTCTTCAGTGGTATATGATCTACCCAACAATTGGAAAAGATCTTCCTTATCCACTGGTATTGTTGGCATGGTTTAATAACGGATTTGTTTAGTGATAATAGTGAAAAATTTTTGGTTCAAAATGGTTTAGAGATTTGACTCAAAAAAAAAAAAAAAATTATATACTAACAATAATAGTCACAAAATCATTATTTATTCATTTCAATCTCATTAACTTCTTTTGTTAAAGCATCTACATCAAATACTGGAGCAGCTTCATCATACTCTTCAATAACTTTTCCTTTATCATCTTTATCCTCATAAATATCCCACCAATCTTTTTTCTTAGGTTGAAACCATTTTTTCCATCCTTTTGGTTCTTCCGCAGGTTTATCATCCATTTTAGCTCTAGCTTCATCAAATTCATTAATTAATTGTCTTTGTCTTTCATTTTGTTCTGGATCAGGTTCTTCAATTTCAGCAAACTCTTCACTTAATACTTCCCAATCCATTGTTTTTAAGATTTTAGGAATAGCTTTTCTATAAGACATATGACCTTCCACAAATTCAGTACAATCAATATTCTCAATACCGTAAACAGTTTTCAAAGCTGATAATCCAGCTACAGTTGAAATCCCACCACCAGTGGCTCTGAATAAATAGCCCAAAATCCAATCTTTTTTTGAAAATCCATTGATGAAACGTCCACTAACAACAGATCGTGCTTGAGCTAATTGATCTGTATTTATAGAGATTGGTGAACCTAGTAAAATCACATTCTCAATCAAACCATATCCACCTCGCCTAGCTAGGTCGATTAAACATGAATAGATCAATCTAGCGCCTAATGAGAACCCAACTAATGTGATTGGTCGTACCCCTAAATTACCAGATAGAATTGTGTCAGCTAAAAGTTTACCAGCTTTCCATGCTCTATCTAAGGAAACATTCCACGGATTATCTAACAAATATGATAATTTAGACAAAGCCATTGGTAATTGAATTGCTGACATCAAAGCTCCTAAAATCGTTGCTCCTAAAATTTGTTGAATGGAAGTACTTAAAGCTTCACTTGCTAAAATTCCTATTGTTTGACCCATAGACTGTAACATTTCTGGTTCCCATAATAATGAAAACATATCTCCCATCACTGGATCTACCGTTGAGAATGGAAGTCTTACATCATCCATAGCACCATTCATCCATCCACTCACCGTCACGATTAAATTTGATCTTTTATTATTATGTAATGGTTTAAATTCAAAAGTATGAACATCACCCAGTCTTCTTGCTCCCGCTTTATTACCAACTTTGGCACCTATAGCTACACCACCTGTCGTTATCAAAGCACTACCACCAACACCTGCTAAAAATCCACTCGTACCAGTTATACCAACAGTGGTGAGACCTGCTGCAATACCAGCTCCAATTACCGGAGCCAACAATCCAGCTGATAAACCAATTGCTAACCCACCTCCAAGTGTGGCTAAACCAATCATAGCCAATCTTTTATTTTTATTCTTCTTGATTTGCTGCTTTATAAATGATTGATCATTCAAATATTCATCTTTATTTTCAATAGATTTTTCTCTTGTCTCCATATCTAAACATTCCATTAATCGCCTTTCAAATTGTAATATTTCCAACTTTGAAATGTCAATGGTTTCTGCAAAATTCATTAATAATGACCTGGATCTAGCATCATAGTAACCATCACTTAACAAAAGAAGAAACATATCACAAATAATGACCCATCTCAAATCAAATTCATCATTTATGAAAGAAAGCTTTTTAAGTTCAACTTCTTTTAAACTTTTTGACAAATCTTTTAGCTCTACACCATGTTTACTTAAATTCTCAATCATTGCTTTTTCTTCTCCTTTAACATCCAAATGCTCATACAATTTTGATAAAACATACATTGTCCAATTTGAAAAATTCTTTTGACTATTACTCAATTGTTTTGCTATCCTACCGTTCGTTCCAAATTGAACTTTAGCTAAATTTGTTGCCATATCAACCGTCAACAATTTTGTGATTCCAACATATGCAAATTTTTGGGATTCGGAGAGCATTTTCTTGGTATCAGCTAGAGTCTCACCAGAATCTAACTCATCATCATTGTCATAATCCGAATCTGAATCATGATCATCAGCATTAAATATAACATTCTTATTAGCATACGATTTTGTATTACCTTTAAATAAAAATTCGGTTTTCTTATCCAATGCCGCGTATTTGTTGACTTGTTCCTCTGTATCAATCTTGGTGTATCCAAAATGAAGATTATTATCTTTGGTAAAATCTTTTCCAGTTTTAGATTTGTGCTGAAGTTCTCCTTTATCATTGTAAAAATCAAGATCAGATATAGTTTTCATCTCTTTCCAATTAGAATTGGTGTTTGTGAAAAAATCATCTTCAGTTTCTTCAACATTCTTTACTTCTGTTTGCTTTTCCTCAAGTTCTGGTTGTTTAGACTCCCTCTCAATTTCCTCTTTTAAATTAAATTCAACGTATTGTTGAGTGGCATCTCCATTATCTACTTCATCGATTTCATCAGTTGATGGCAGATACTGTGGAAGTTGTGGTAATTCGCTAGCGCTAGTTCTGGTATGATACTTGGGATAACTATCACGGGTAATTGTCAAAGATGGCAGATCCTTACTCAGTCCAATAACATTTTCACTTGTGTTAGACATAAAGGAACCATTGAAGTGTTTGTTTTGAAAAAGATGATAATAAAACTAAGATTGTAAATAAGCGCAAATAAATTTCGATCTAAGAAGTTAAAAATGTGTGCAACATGGTTTTACTCAATTCGTCAAAGGTCAATATGACCTGCGCAGAGTCCAGGAATATGTTGCATCAAGTCAAATTGGTCGAGCATCATCGAAATGAGCTCAAGACCGACCTGTTACTATACAATCTGTCGACGGAACTATTCTGCTTAAGACCTCAAAGAGGTGATTAACAAAAAATCAACAAATTTGAAAAACATACACAATATTCATCTAATTATTTCTCAAACAGCTTTAGCAATCGCTCAACCTCATAGAAATGAAGGACCAATCAAACTAAAGTGCCATCTTGAAATAACTTCAAACAATAAAAATTGTGCTGATATCGAATCAACTGATCTCCAAATGTTTCAATAATTGTCTATCAAGCTTGCTTCGCGAGCGCCGATCTGCCAAGGAAAACATCTACAGCAAATCAGACTTTCAAAAGAAAGTCATCGATACTGAGAGCCCACCTTGACACAGATTGATCTATAATTAGTTGAAGAAGAAAAAGAACATGAAAAAAAAAAAGTTTCGATTTAAATAATTTTTATTGAGATGGAGAAGAGAAACACAAAATTGTAAAATATCATTTTCAATCAAAACATTATAGAACAAAATGGATTGAAACAAAGTATTATGAGTGGATTACCTTTTACGACAGAAGATCTGCTTGCTCCCTATCAAATAATTGACGCTTTCACGGTTTGTTTCAAGAACATTTTGAATTCGCCAAATCTACTGGCCCATATTCAAAAAGTGAAAGGAGATCTATATAATAGAGACTATTTAGCTGCATTTGATGATGATGATAAACGGTTTGCATACGCTTCAAGATGGACACCTGCTAGAGCTTTAGCCTACGCCTCGTTGTTTTCCAGCTTGACGGAAATTACTACTTTGCTTAAAGAGCCTACATTTGCCAAGAATGTCCTTTGCATTGGAGCTGGTGCAGGAGGTGAATTATGTGCTTTAGGAGCAGTTTTTGCAAGATTAAAAGAATATAATCCAACTTCGAGTTCACAACTCAATATTGATATAATTGATATTGCAGATTGGAGTACTGTTTTGAATCAATTAACATCTTATATGAAAAATACTTGGGTCTACAATCATCAAAGTTTGAACATGTCATTTGTACAAAATGATATATTAACATGCAACATTGGAATGTCAAAGTATGAATTAATTACTTTATTATTCACCACAAATGAATTGTTTGCAGAGAAAAGAAAGGAAACTGTTAAATTTTTACATACCTTGTGTCAAAATTGTAAAAAGGATTCATTATTATTAATTGCTGAAAGTGCTGGTTCATTTTCACATATTACAGTTGGAGATAAAAAATTTCCAGTTCAATTTTTAATAGATATGATACTCGTGGGAAAACCCGATGAGAATGATGGAGCTTGGGAAGTAATATCGCAACAAGAAAGCTTATGGTATAGAGTGAATGAAAAAGAGGTGACATATCCTCTAAAACTTGAAAACATGAGATTTTTTTATAGGCTTTATAGGAAAAAATAACTTTTAAGCAGTAGCTTCATTAATTTCTTCAACAAATCTAGTTTGTAAAGTTCTAAGTAGATCTATTTTGTAGTTGTTGTCACAATCCAATTTCTTTAATTGGCTTAATGCAAAATATAATTCAAGAACTAATTTTCTTCGTTTGGACATTAATTTCGAGTCACTTTTTGTAATCTTGGACTTCAAAGGTTCTATTAAATCTTTTGCAAAATTAATCAATTCTTCCGGTAAAATTTGAGATAATTCAGCATACTTTATTCCATATCTTTCAGTTTCAATTTTACCAATCTCTAATTTAAATTGATATTCAAACTTTCCATTTTGCTCAGTAGTTTTCATATTAGATGATAAAACGCAAGACTTATTTCCCAAAATTTCTGCAATTTCATGAAAATGTGTAGTAGTGAAAACGGTTGCTCCTAAAGTAGTTAAATGATCTAAAATTGCAAGACAAACTGCAAACCCATCTCTCAAACTTGAGCCTCTACCTAATTCATCGATTAGTACTAAACTGGAATCATCTGCATTTTTCAAAATTGTATTCATATCATTCATTTCATTGGCAAATGTAGAAACATTAATATCAGCGTCTGATGAAAGACGAGAAAATATACTTTTCTGAATTTTGATAATAGCATAGTCAGCTGGCACATATAAACCCATTTGAGCCATAATTAAAATATATGCAATTTGTTTGATGTAGATAGATTTTCCACTCATATTAGCACCAGTTATAATTTGAAATCTTGAAATTTCGGGAACACAAGAATAATCATTTGGCACAACATTTTTCAAAGTTTCAAGGATTGGATGTCTAGATTGACGGATATGAGTATAGTTCCCAAATTCAGGGCAGGTGTATGATCCTTTTTGTTCATTGATAAAGCTAGCAAAACTGCACAACAAATCAAGTATTGCGATTGATTCCGAAATCATGAAAAAGATAGGTAAATTATCTTGACTTTGATCGTATAGTTCTTGAATGATACTACCACTAATTACATTTATTTCAGATTCTATGTCATACAATCTTGAGCCTTGTTTAAGTAAATCTATGGTTGTACATTCTATGATATGTTTTTTATGAATTATGTTTATAAATTCTTCTGGTAATTTAGGTGGAGATGTGTCATTTGTCTTGATTCTTAAATAAAATCTTTTACATTTATCATATCTATAATCCAAATTTAATTCATATTGTTCAATTAATTTTTGAACATACTCATTAACTTCTTCAAGAATTTTTTCTCTAACACTTCTTGAAACATCTAATAATCCGTTGAGACCTGATTTGATTGCATTTGCTCTTTGATGAGCAATCTGAACATAGTTATTCTTGGTGACTCTACAATCCTCATTTATATATTTATCAATTAAATTCAAAGACTTTTCGATGTTCTGATGTTGGAAAATTTCTTTAATTTGTTGTAAAATGGGAGAAGTAACATTAAGACAGTCCTTCAACTCAAGCACTAATAGCAAATTGGTTTTTAACAAAATAATGTTGTTTATTCTTTGTTCAGGAATCCCAGAATCGTCCAACAAGTAGGAAAATAATGTATCCAAATCCAGCAATTGTTTCAATTTAGTCTTGATTGTAATCAAAATGTTTTCCTGAGAAGTCAATTCATTAACCGATTCCAATCTAAGTTTTATACTTTCTATATCAGTCAAAGGTTGTAAAATGGAAGTTCTTAACAATCTTTGACCCATTTTTGTAGTGCATCTATTTAAAAAGCTGAAGAAGCTAAGGCCTTTATCATTTGAACTTGAAACTAACTCCAAATCTTTAATGGTAGATGAATCAATCAAAACAAATTTACCACTTGCAACAATTGTGGTTTTGTATTTTGATGTTGATTTCATTAATCTCGATTCCATACATGTGGCAATAAGTGCTCCAGCAGCCCCAGTCATCAAATCATTAGTTTTAACATCATTCAACAGATGTTGCTTCAAAAGTTCAGCACCAGATACCGAGTCAAATATTTTCACTTTCCCCAATTTTTGATTGACATCTTCATTGAGATTGGAAAGTAGTACATACTTCAACTTTTCAAATTGTGCTAAATCTGGGATTATTACAGTAGTTGGTTGATAGATATCGAGTTGATTAACGGATCTAACAAACGATGGTGAATCACTAAAGCTGACTAAAAATAATTCAGAAATTTTAAAATCCAAAATTGCAATTCCAATATCCATTTTGTCAAACTTCAGAATATTAATTGCCATAACAACTTCCCTTTCAATTGGTTTGACGGTAGCTCCATCCCTGTGACTATTTACGTCATCGGTGGTAGTCATGAACCCATATTGACTATTGTTAAGCCTTGACATGGCTGAATGAAAGCTGTTGTAAGTGTCTTCCTTAAATATTTTTTGGTTGCCAAAAAAAAAAAAAAAAATATTATAAATTTTAAATTTTTAATTTCTCCACCAATTTTGAAACATCTTCATTCTCATTTGCTTCTTCATCCTTTACATCTTTTTCATCATTCTCTTTGAGCTTGGTTTTAATTTCATTCGTTTTCTCTTCTGTTGAATTCTCTTGCTTGCCATACTTCTTTTGACCATCTTCATACATTTTATTCAACTCTACATCCCATTGTAATATTCGAGCAAGCTTCTCAGCGAACTCATCACATCCACAAACAGCCAAAATATCATTCTTTCTACTTCCCAAATCGCCAACTTTTTCCTTATTCGCTAAGACTCTAATACAGTTTTTATGAACCTCCAGAGGCAATGACGCAAAGGGATGAACAGTCAATGAAGTTCCAGCAATTATCGCAATATCTACATCTTCACAATCTCCGTTCCAGCAGCTAAAAAACTTCTCTGGTAACCCTTCTCCGAAAAATACAATATCAGGTTTCACATATCCATCGCAAGTTTCACAACTTGGTATACCTTTATTCATCAATTTCTTGACAGTTTCGGACGACATCTCTTTCTTGCAATCAATACAGCGGTTAGATGCGAAAGATCCATGAGCTTCAACTATATATTCATCATCAATGCCAGCAAGCCTCTCCAATGTATCTATGTTTTGTGTATAAACCCTTTTTAATTGACCTTTATCTTGAAACAATTTGAGCAAATAATGAAATTTGGTTGGTGGAAATTGGCCAGGCATAAGTTCCTTGACTAAAGTATAAAATGCTTTCGGATCTTCCCTAAAATATTCAATATCAAACACTGCTTCAGCATACGGTAGATTTAATTTTGCTAAATTAGAGTATAATCCAGTATCTGGCGATCTAAAATCAGGAATGCCAGCAGATGTTGATATACCTGCACCATTAAAGAAAGTAACCTTTTTTCCTTTCTTTATGGCTTTAACCAAGTTATCAAAGCTTGTAGTTGACATTGTTGGGTGTTCGATGGATGAACGATAAGATCATAAGAGAATAAAAAGTTCAAGAGAAATTGAGTGCGGCTTACTCTTCATTTTTTAGATTTGTTTCATGTTTGGAACTACATTATCACAACATAATTCTTTTTTTTAAAGGATGTCCACCACTTCAACTATAGACAAAAAAATTAGTGAATTGAATATCAATGAACTGTCTGAAAAAGTGATTCAACATAAAAAACTAGCGGCTGATCGATTGGAAAAAGCTAGAACCAAAAGAGATGACGAGATACAAAACTTAAAAGATGAACAAGTATTGAACGCCAAAAAAGGAGAATTAGTACAACTATACTCGAATTTAGTAGATGATTGTCGCCAATATATTCAAAACTTTGTTGACAAACAAATAGATTGGACAAACATTGAATTGGCGATTAAATCAGACAAAAGAAAGAAAAATTCTATTGCGAATTACATAGAGTTGCCATTGAATTTAAAGGAAAATAGAGTCAACATTAAGTTGAAAGATCCAGAAGAAAATGAAAGTGAAACAGAACTGGAAAATGAAAGTAGTTCTGATTCTGATTCTGAGTCGGAAATGATCCAAAGACGTAAAGTGAAAGAACATACTATCCACGGAGTACCTGTAAGTATTGACATTACAATTAGTTCATTTGCTAATGCTAGATATTATTTTGATTTGAAGAAGGAGGCCGAATTAAAGCAAACTAAAGTAGAAAGAGGTGCTGAGATAGCGTTTAAGAATGCCGAAAAGAAAATTGGTCAAGATTTGATAAAAAATTTACAACGTGAAAACGGATTTAGACAAAAAGATGAAAGAGAAAAGTTTTGGTTTGAAAAATTTTATTGGTTCATTACTAGTGAAGGTTATTTATGTTTAGCCGGAAGAGATAAGATGCAGACTGACTTAATATACTTCAATTATTTTAGTGACGATGATTATTTGGTGAGTTCAGAGATAGAGGGTTCATTAAAAGTATTCGTTAAAAATCCTTTTAAAGGAGAGACAATCCCTCCTTCAACTATACTACAAGCCGGTATTTTTGCAATGTCAGCTTCTCAGGCTTGGGGTGGGAAGATTAATCCAGCAGCGTGGGTATTGAATGGGAATGATGTGTCGAAATACAATTCCTTGGGAATATTACCACCGGGTGAGTTTGAATACTCCGCCAAAAAAGATTTTTTACCTCCTGCTCAATTGGTCATGGGATTTGGATTTTTTTGTTTAGTAGATGAAGAGTCTGCAAAGTTGCATGAAAAACAAAGAATTGATAAGGAAAATGAACATGGAGTTGTTAAAATTTATGATAATAAAAAAAAAAATGTTAACTTCAAAATAACCAACGTCAAAGAACTATCGTCGGAATCAGAATCGGTTGAGGAACAGAAGACGGATCAAAATACTGCAGAAGTTTCCTCGAGGGGCAGAAAGTCAAAATTAAAAAGAGCTGCCAAATATGCTAATCAAGATGAAGAAGATAAATCTTTGATTATGAATGTTTTGGGTGGTAAAAAACGAGACGAAGAGCCAAAACAAAAGCACCCGCAAGAAAACGTAAACATTAAAAAGAATGATTACAACAGGGAGCAGCACGAGAGAGATGTTCAAAAGATAATTATGGACTCAGAGGAAGATAATTCCTTGAAAATTTTTCCCAACACTATGGATTCGTTAGTTCAAAAACCTACTCCAGATGATAACATTATTGGTTTGATACCAGTGTTTGCTCCATGGTCAGCATTGCAAAAATGTAAATATAAAGCGAAAATTCAACCTGGATTAGCGAAAAAGGGTAAAAGTATGAATGAAATTATCAATTATTTCACAACCAGAAAAATGGATGGTACTAAATTCGATACCGATTTGGATTGGCCTGAAGAGAGAGAAATTTTAAAATCTTTAAAGTCGAATGATTTAATTGGTGTTTTTACTGTAAATAAAATGAGATTGATATTACCTAAGAAGTAAATAGTATAAATAAATATGTACATAATGGATTTACTATCCGCGGGACTTTGTTTTCTGAATTATGTAGGTTTTAAAATTTACTACTAATATTAATAATTGGATCTTTATTGTTTTCAGGTACAAAAATAAGGTTTCAATTTCAGACAATGAAAAATTGAAGAATCAGCTACACGTGGAAAAATCGTCAACAAACATTAGAGGTATATAAGTAAAGCTTCAAACACCATGTTTTAATAAAAAAACTGATTTGTTAATTATCAGTGATGGTTGCAGTTTCAAATTTACTTAACAGTGGGCTTTTATTGATTAGTCAAAACATCTATCAAGATGTTGCAACTCCTCAGGAAATCAAGACTGATGGTTATAACATTTTAAATTTTCTTGGTGGTGCTGCTCCATATATCAGTAGAGAATCTTATGGTATTGATCCAGCTATTCCAGATGGATGTAAAATTCAACAAATCCAATTATTCTCAAGACATGGTGAAAGATATCCTTCAAAAAGTGATGGGAAAAAATTTGAAGCATTATATGAGAAATTCCAAAATTATAATGGTACATTCGAAGGAGCTTTGCATTTTTTAAATGATTATACTTATTTTGTTCAAGATAAATATTGGTATGAGAAAGAAACATCACCAAAAAATTCGGAAGGAACATTTGCTGGTACAACTGATGCTTTAAGACATGGTGCTGCTTTTAGATCAAAATATAATTCGTTATATAATGTCAACTCAACTTTACCTGTGTTTGCGTCCAATTCAGGAAGAGTTTACGAAACTTCAAGATACTTTGCAAGAGGATTTTTAGGTGATGATTTCGTTGAAGGTAAAACTGTTAAATTCAATATTATTAATGAAGCAGATATAAGTGGAGTCAATACATTAACACCTAAACATGCATGTCCAAAGTATAATTCATCTGCCAATGACAAATTAGTTGATAAGTACGACACAACATATTTAAAAACCATTGCTGCAAGATTAAATAAACCAAATCCAGGTCTCAATTTATCTTCAAAAGAAGTGCCATCTTTATTCAAATGGTGCGCTTATGAAATTAATGTAAGAGGAAGTTCACAATTCTGTGATTTGTTCAGTAATGAAGAGTTCATTAAATATTCATATTCGCAAGATTTATCAAAATTTTATTCAAATTCCATGGGTAATGAACTTACAAGAGTTATGGGTGCTCCATTGTTAAATGCATCTTTAGAATTATTGAAGGATGATACCAACTCAAATAAAATTTGGTTATCATTTTCTCATGACACTGATTTAGAATTGTACCATAGTGCTTTAGGACTTGTGTTACCTAAAAACAATTTGACTACTGATTATATACCTTTTCCAAATCCTTATGTTCATGCTTCAATTGTTCCTCAAGGTGCAAGAATTTATACTGAAAAATATCAATGTGGTGGTGATTCATATGTCAGATATATTATAAATGATGCGGTTGTACCTATTCAAACATGTGCTGATGGTCCAGGATTTTCATGCAAATTATCAGAATTTGAAGAATACATTAATGGAAGGATTGGTGATATAAACTTTTCTGAACAATGTGGTCTCAATTCATCAGTTCCGCAAAATCTTACATTTTATTTCGACTACAAATCACAAAATTATACAGCTGCATTAATTGATAAGTGATGAATGTTTTTAAAGATAGATTATAGATAGTTTTGTTTATGTATTTTATAGAGTTTTCTTAGATAGGTAGTTTCGTAAATTTGAAATTATACGAGATTCGTTGTAACTTTGTGTAATTTATGGCTTATTTTGTGTCTCAGATCTTACTATGAGATTTAGATCGATCCCGAAATCAATACCAATATAATTGTATAATTAAAGGTACAATTAGATCAAATCAACAAGAGTAATTTTGGACTATCTCATGTCTACTGTTACTATAGTTTATAAGCTGTGCCAGTAAATCATGTACGTTTTGAAATTTTTCAAACTTAATTCTACAAACAATTACTCGATGGGAAGTCCTGGAGGATATCGATAATCTGTTGTTTCTGTATCGAATCGAGCAATACCCGTATACCCCCATTAACTGTATTGTTTATTAAACATTCTCACTCAGAAATTAGGATATATATTCTTCCAAATGTTTTGGCTAAAATTAGAGCACTTGCACCAAGCTTTATAAATACTTTGTTTGAAGATCTTAACTCAATTGATTTTTGATGGTCTCTCTCGTAATGTAAGTCTAAAACTTTCCTTTTTTTATTAGTATTTGTCATTTTACTGACGATTGACTCTTTGAATCATTTATGTTGATACAGGAATGTCTGTATTTGATTTTCGACTCTTTATATTCTTCATCCAATATGAGGCAATAAATTTTTCCGAATATACGGATATTTCTTGCGTTAAAAATCTAAACAAAGATGCTGTATTTCCAATTGAAAATTGTACCACGGATCCAGATTTTGAATGTAAATTATTAACATCGAGGCTTAATTGAAAGTTTGGTTTGCATCAATAACCGAAGTGGTTTGAATTTGTCTGTGTCATCGTTAGTAACAATCATAATGTTGTACAAATAGGGGATAATTTTTTCCGTTTTAGATTCAAAAATAAACGAACTACCTTTTATTGTTCGTAAAATTAAGGAGTGAAGTAGCACGAAGTCGGTTATAGATTTTTATAGCGGTACACAACCATACAAGTTTTGTACTACACGTGGTTCTTCAATCCAATAAGGTCGCCTTAACGACGAACAACAAAAATACTGATCTAAAACCAATAAAAGGAGCTTCATAGCCAATTGGTTATTTCAAATATGAATTGGCAAAATTATCATAATCAACATCAAAAATGGTCTCAGTTTCAAATTTGATCAACAGTGGTCTTTTATTAATTAGTCAAAACGTCTATCAAGATGTCGCAACTCCTCAAGAAAAACAACTTGACGCTTATAATATTTTAAATTTTCTTGGCGGTTCTGCCCCTTACATCAGTAGAGAATCTTATGGTATTGATCCAGCTATTCCAGATGGATGTAAAATTCAACAAGTTCAATTACTTTCAAGACATGGTGAAAGATATCCTTCTAAAGGTCTGGGTAAACTGTTTGAAGCTATTAATGATAAATTCAAAAAATACAATGGAACTTTTGAGGGAGATTTGCATTTCTTAAACGACTATACTTATTTTGTTGAAGATACATACTGGTATGAAAAAGAAACCTCACCAAAAAATTCGGAAGGGACATTTGCTGGTACAACTGATGCTTTAAGACATGGTGCTGCATTTAGATCGAAATATAATTCATTATACGTTGTCAATTCTACTTTACCAGTTTTTTCATCTAATTCCGGAAGATGTTATGAAACTTCAAGATACTTTGCAAGAGGATTTTTAGGGGATGATTTTGCTGAAGGTAAAACAGTCAAATTCAATATAATAAGTGAAAATGCAACAAGTGGTGTTAATAGTTTAACTCCAAGAAATTCATGTCCCAAATCTGTTGATTCTAAGGACAGTACTATTCCTGCTAAATTTAATACATCATTTTTATCAAACATCGCTACAAGATTAAATAAACCAAATCCAGGTCTCAACTTAACTTCAAAAGATGTCAATAATTTATTCTCATGGTGTGCCTTTGAAATTAATGTAAGAGGGTCTTCACCATTTTGTGATTTATTCACTAATGAAGAATATATTAAATATTCATATTCAACTGACTTAAATAACTTTTACAACAATGGACCAGGTAATAACTATAGTGTTCCTATTGGTTCAACTTTATTGAACGCTTCATTGAATTTATTATTGGATGAATCAAACTCAAATAAAATTTGGTTATCATTCACCCATGATACTGATTTAGAAATTTATCATGCTGCTTTAGGTTTATTAACACCACAAAATAATTTACCAACTGATTATATCCCATTCCCAAGACCATATCTTCATGCTTCGATTGTTCCTCAAGGTGCAAGAATTTATACTGAAAAATATCAATGTGGTAGTGATTCATATGTAAGATATATTATAAACGATGCTGTTGTGCCAATTCAAACTTGTGCTAATGGACCTGGATTTTCATGTAAATTATCTGATTTCAAAAGTTACATTAATCAAAGAATTGGTAATGTCAGCTTTGCTGAATCATGTGGTTTAAATTCTTCACTTCCACAACGTGTCACATTTTATCAAGATTATAAAAATGTTACTTACAATGCCACTTTAGGTGATTTTTAAATTTTATTGTTAAAATCGTTATTTTCAATTCTTCTGATTTATATTATTTTAGAACTTAGTTTAAAAAAAAAAGCTGTTTCAATATATCAAGTTGGATGAGAGACATTTAGTTATAAAAATTTTTATTTTATAGATACCATAGAGAGAGAAATTTAAAATTGTTTTATTTGATTTTCTTAATTGTCAGTTGACTCTGAATTTGGAGAAAATATATATACTTCATCCTGTGAAAAGTAGCATTGTCGTTAAAAAAGTGCAAGTATACAAATAGCCAAACCTGCTTTTCCATCTTCAATAAGTGATGGAGCTGCTGAGACAATGAATAACACATGACTAATTCCTCCAAAAATAACACCCCAAACTATTATCTTCCAGCGACCCCAGCTTACATCAGCAAGATAGCCGCCTAGTAAGGGTACCACGTAAGCCAAGAAGGTCACAAGCTTGTTTGTTCGTTAGTATTTTGAAGTTTTGAAGTTTGGTGATAATTTTGAGCTGAATTTGAAAAGTTTTAAAAAAATCACACAAAACCAATTTTAATTTTTCCATGCGAGAAAACTTAAATTTTCAAACACAAAAACAAAATGAATATACCAAATCATGATTAAAAAATACTTACGTTGGTTAAAGCACTAGTAGCTTGCAATCCACGTCCTAACGAACCAGCTGAAGCATTTGGATTTCCAGGGCCCCACCGTTTCTTGTCAACAAGATAGCAGTCGCCTGGATTTTTTATATTATTTATTAATTTATATGTTTTAAGTCTCGTGTTTCAGATTTACAGAAAAAAAATTCGCAGAAGTTAATTAAATAAAAATAATAACGTCCTTTCTATAAAACAATTTTCTTGTACACAATTTACAATAATGAAATGAAATAATAAATTATCTTAAGTTTGCTCTAGCTGATACAACAGGTTCCAAAGCAGTATTATTACTATTGATTGGATCCAAAACAGTTTCTAAAACATGAGATTCCTTTTCAGCTTTTTCTTGTTCAAGATATCTTTCTCTTTCAGCTTCTTCTTCCGCCATAGTCTTTTCCAAATTAAAGAATTGAATATAAACAATTATACCAGCAAGGAATGAGACACCACCAATAACACCGAAAACAATAACCAAGTATGGATCAACCAATGCAGCTGTAACAGCTAAACTAATAGCAGCACTAATAGCTGAAGTAAATAAGAACAAAGCCATAGTTAAACCTTTCATTGATGGAGCTGCTCTTGTGTAAGCTAAAGCATATATAGTAGTCATACAGAAAACTTCACTAGCACCAGAAAGAATGAAAATACTTGATGCTTTCCATGCAGTAATTGGAGCCGGTTCAGGACAATTAGTAGAATGGTTTCCACATGGTGATTGTTGATAAACTTGATGTTGTAAGACAGCTCCTGCTACTTGTGACATCGCAGCAATAATGAAACCAGTAGCTATCTTTGCAATTGTATTGTATGGTATTCTATATCTCATGAAAAGTGGATAAACAATATAATCTAAAATTGGAATCAAAACAATAATAGCTAATGGATTGAAATTATTAAACAAATCATTTGGAACACCATCTAATTTCATAGCACCAATTAATGAAGTTTCAGCTGATCCTAATCCACTGTCTGCTAAGTTGAAAAATATGAAATAGAAGAAAATCTTACAAGCATCAACTGTTTGTTTAGCATCTAATACATCTTGATCGGTCCAAGTTATTGCACTTTGCTTTTTTGGATTGAAATAATTTCTACCTCTTGCTTTCATATTGCTTGGTTTAGCATAATCCCAAAATGTACCGTTGAAGAAACGTTTAATAAAGTTACCTGAAAGGGCAACAACGAGAATTTTGACAAATTCTCCGATGATTGATCTTCCAGTTGGTTTTTCAAATTTTAATTTTGGTTTAACAATCCAAAAAGCAAGTGGCATAAGTAAATATAAGATTAATGGAATAAAAAATGCAAACCAAAATCCAATTCTTCTCTCACAATACGATGTAGCTAATTGGAAAAATGCACCAATATTAATAGCCCAATAAAATACCAAAGTAACACTTTCTATAGTCTTTTCACGATCAACAATAACTTCTTCTCCACTTTTCAATTTTTTAACACCTGTTGGATATTCATATTGATCAAGCATCAATGGTAATAAATTTGGTTTGATAAATCCAGATCCAAAAGCTAAGGTGAAGATTGCAAGTATACAAATAGCCAAACCTGCTTTTCCATTTTCAATAAGAGATGGAGCTGCTGAGACAATGAATAACACATGGCTAATTCCTCCAAAAATAACACCCCATTGTATTGTCTTCCAGCGACCCCAACTTACATCAGCAAGATAGCCGCCTAGTAAGGGTACCACGTAAGCCAAGAAGGTCACAAGCTTGTTTGTTCGTTAGTATTTTGAAGTTTTGAAGTTTGGTGATAATTTTGAGCTGAATTTGAAAAGTTTTAAAAAAATCACACAAAACCAATTTTAATTTTTCCATGCGAGAAAACTTAAATTTTCAAACACAAAAACAAAATGAATATACCAAATCATGATTAAAAAATACTTACGTTGGTTAAAGCACTAGCAGCTTGCAATCCACGTCCTAACGCACCGGCTGAAGCATCTGGTTCATTAGACGGTGGCGCTCCCCATGAATGGGGGCTGTTTTTTGGCAAATCTCTTTGTATAAAGTTTGATAAAATCCCAGTAACTGAATAATAAGATGCTCTCTCAGCAAATTCAACAAAACAAATTAAAGCAATAGAATATTGAAATTTTCCTAATACTCTTCTTAAAGTTTTTTCTTCGTGTTCAGTTGGTTTTCTCCATCCTTTTGGATTATATTCATCAGCATATTGTGGGAAATAATTATTTTCATCATCATAATTGTAATCACTACTTGATTCCTCATCTGTAGCTATATGCAATTTATTTTGTACTTTTTCATCAGTTGAATATGGTTCAACAGCTGTAGATTTTGACATTTTGAATTGATGATTAATAAAAGAAAGAGGTGATTAAACAAGTTTTAGACAGGGAAATTCATTTTATATAAATCATCTTTTTTAATTGTTATCTTCAAATTTTTTTTTTTTCTTTTTTTTTTTGTTTTATTGTGGAAAAGAGAGGAAATGTTAATAAAATGATACACAAAATTGTAGTCTTATCTCAACAACTTAACACTTTATACTTTATACTTAACACCTAACACTTATCACTTAAATTCTATATATAAAAGGTGATGTTGAGATAAAACTACAATAGTTACCCCGTCCTTGACATCAATAAGTTATGGCAATACAAATAAGTCTGATATCAAAAAGGTTTAAATCTAGAGTTTTTAAAAAACAAAAACTGTGTGGCATCAAACAATTATTTCTTGGACTTACGAAGTGAATACTTCCCTTGATGGTATAAAACATGTATTACTTAATTAGCTAAATCCACACTTTATCTTTTCTTTTATTGAATGAAAATATTAATTTAAATTTCAAAAAAAAAAAAAAATAAAAAACACACAACCATATTTCAACAAACAAAAAAAATTAGATTTGGTGCCGTATGAGTGTTTGTAGAGGGGATAGGGAGATTTAATCATATGAGTGTTTTGATATATAAAGTAGATGAAACAGTATTCTCTCCACATAATTACAGAGGAGATTAATATCGTAATTAATATCAGATTGGGATAATAAATCTTGAAATAAAATATATCAATTTTGGATTTTCTTGTTATTTTTTTTTCTTAAGCGTCTCATATTTGAGTTTCAAAATTGTAAGAGTGTATCAGTTCTGTCTCTTAAAGACTATATAAAAGTAGCAAATAAATTCGATCAGCAGCTATTTGATGTGAATGGCAAAAGTGACTAAGTAATATGGGTTTGTTTTGATGCCTGTTGAGTTAGTGATATTTCAGTGTTGATGAATTATGATTAAAAGATAAAGAGATAGTATCAAGTAATCGTAGATCCATAATGAAACCATAAGGCATTTGAGTTGAAAAAAAAATAAAGATCGAATAATATTTAGATTAAAATATTGAGTTGAATTGACTATCAAAATTTGAAATTCTAGATTATTTAATTAAATAGAATAAACTTTACTAATACTAAAATTGACGTAACTAAGTTAAAAAATATTAAGATATTGTGAGGTTAATAAAATTCATTTGACATAAATTAATTTTAAACGGCTCAAAATTCATTTGCTGTATTCAATAAAAAAAAATAAAAATATAAAAAAAAAATTAAAAAAAAAAGAAAAAAAAAGGACAATCAAAATGCAATTCATTTCAAAAACTTAAACAAGGGCAATTAATACCAACTTTGATTTTGTAGCCTTTTAGTTCATACAATTTTTAGATTTGTTTTAATTTGAAAGGCGTTTCAATATATATCACGTAATTTTAAACTAAGATCTGTATTTTAACTCGTGTGATTAGTTTAACTGAGATCTTGTTTTAAATCAAATTATACTTTATACTGTAAATGAAATGTCATCTTCGTAAAATCTCAAATTTCTTTTCTTAATTATGAAAGATATCGGATAAATAAAATTCTTAACTACTGTATCTAATCTTCAGATCTCATTTATTATAATTTTATTTTTTTTCTTATTTTTAATTATTATTATTATTTTAAGAACAATAAGGGGTAAGCCTTGAGAATAATAAGATCTAAGATCTAGGGTTGGATAGTAAAACAGAATCTCAACGGTGTGAAATTTATATTCGTAACCATATCAATTATACGTAAGGATTCTTTTTGATATTTTTGAAATTTCATCTTAATCCATCTTATGTTAGTAATTTTGAGTTTTTTTTTTTCTGATGATCCAGACCAAATTTTGCCGGCTGATTACATAAGCAACTTGTATATATAAAACTTAGGTACTTATCGGTAAATATTCAAATTTGAAGTAATTTTTTTAGGTCAAACAACCTTAACACCAGTCAAACAGGTTCTTTTGTAGCTGTCATTGCAGATTTATTATTTTACTAGACTAAGTGCCAATTTTGTTTCAATTGAATTGTCAAAAAATGAAAAAATATACATTCACGTTCTTGAGCTCTTTCATTTAACGAATTCCGAGGATAACTATAATAAATCATGTATGTTTCATTTTATTAAGTTTATAATCGGTAGTCACAATGATCTTTCCTTCTGAAAGTATTGAAGTCTTTAGTGGTGATAACATTTTGAAATTATTTTAATATTTGTATCAAATTAGCTTGTCATATAAATTTTTAAAGTCGCGTCATGGAGTGTTTCAGATTTGACGAGACTCATATTATACGTTACAAACTTGTTTCATAATTTACAACCAAATTTAAACTTGACAACCAACTTTATATAAGACTTCAACAAATCCCACTTTCAATTATTTGTGTTTTTTGACCTCAATTAATACCACATCAACATAATTACAGCACACAATCAACACAACATCAACAATGCCAAATATTCAAAGAGTTGGTAAAGAATGGGATATATCAATAGAATTTGAATATAAAGGATTAACCAAATATATGATCCCCTCACCTGAAATGGAATTAAATATAGAATTAATATTAAATGGTCAACAAATATTTGAAAATCAAAATTTCCTTAAAAACTTTGCAAGTTGTTTTTTTATATTTTTTAAATCAATGAATTATGATTTTAAACTTGAATTTAATTCTAAAAAATCAATAACTTTTATATTAATTAATAAAATAAATTATCAACTGATCCCCAATAAAAATGAATTAAAAAGACATGATTTAAAAATAAGTCTTATTGGAAAAAATCAAATTAATTTTAGAAATCTTATAAAAGAAATTAATGAATTATTAATTATATGGTTATCAGATTTAGATTTAAAATCTCCATTAATTTTTTCAAAAATTTTAAGAGATAGTTTTTTAATACATTTAGGTAAAAATAATAATTATAAAAATGAATATAATTATATAAAAGATATTGTAAATAATCATAAATCAACTACTTGTTTATATAATTTAGTAAAAAATCCTAAAATTATGTCAATCTTAATTAAAGAATATAAAGTTTCTCCAATTTTAAATATTTTAAAACTTATTGAAAAATAAATATATTTATATTTTAATATATGGAAATACTTGATTGACTTTATGTTACTCTCGTCTTGTTATAGTTATTTCCATCCATTTTGAAAAAGATTTTTGAAAATGTATTATCCATATCTTTGCAAACGTCCGTGTGTGAATCGTACTATTTGTTTTTCAACTTGCAGCTATATGCCAATTCATTTATGTGATTGTTATTATGCTTTCTTTAGCTTTTCAACTGCATTGTTTGCATTCAAAATCATACTTATCCAGACATACAAAATCATATTCAACCATCATTTATAAATCCATATTAACAACTTGAAGACTCAAAGCCGAAGAGAATTTCAAAAACCATTGAAATTAAATAAATATTTTATTGATACTATATGATATTCATAGAGATCTGTTCTTGTTCTGAATTAAATATAAGCTCGTCACTGTCACTTCTCAGTGCTTGCTCTTCATCTTCTACGTCATCATCATCATCTTCATCCTCATCATCCTCTTCGTCATCCTCATCATCATCCTCCTCTTCATCTTCTTCATCTTCCTCTGTTACTTTATCCACTTTCTTCTCGGCTTTCAAAGTAGTTATTCTCCTTCTCATAATATCCACTATATCAGTCCATTCTCTCATTCCACCCATACCTATATCACCACAAACTAAAATTTTTTCAACCGGTTTTAAAACTTCAATACCGAAATCAGGAGATGATATAGTTGTTAATTGTTTTGAAGTTATTGGATGTGTATACATAAATGTATTCATAGCTGGAGCAACGAGAATGGGTTTTTTCAATTGTGATGGAGACCATGATCTTATTATAGAAGTTAATAAATTATCAGCAATACCATTGGAGATTTTGGCTAAAGTATTAGCTGATAATGGTGCAACTAACATTATATCTGCCCATTTTCTTAATTCATTGTGAAGAATTAATTTATCATATGGATTTTTTGGCTTTTTATTAATCGTTAATAGTTGCAGTTGTTGTTGAGTAGATTGATTGATTGAATTTTGTGTAGGTTGTTCTGTTGAACTTGTAGTAGTTGAATATACTTCATTATAATTTGTCCATTCATCTTCATCTCTCCAAACTTTCACATCAGCATTTATTTTAGAACCTTTTAAAAAATGACTAGCTGATTTTGTAACAATCAATTGTATTGAAATTTTTGATCCAAATATTTGAAATAATTTATCAACTATTAATGGAACTTTTATTGTTGCAACTGAACCTGTGCATCCCAATAATATATGAAATTTTCCATCATCTTCTTTTGATAAGTATTCTTGAAATGGAACTGGTGGGCCAACCGGTGAAGCAACTATTGTTTTATTTTTTTTTATAGATCCTCTTCTAGATGAACTGGTACTAATTGGCTCGAAAGGAGGACTTGGTTCTTTAATTCTAAATGATAAACCTTCATCTTTCCTTTTCAATGATGATTGTCTCGATGGAAATCCCGAGGAAGTGGTTGTAGCTGCAGTTGTTGGTGGTTGTATACTATCATCCAAGACGTTAGTGGAAGAAGGTTGAGAAGATATAGTAAATCTTCTTAATCTTTCTTGGGATTCTAGATCACTGAATGAAACACTTGGATTCCTAATCGGAATACTGGGCCTAGGTTTGGTTGTATCATCAGAATCCATGAATGAAGTATGATAATGGACAAGATGGTTTGAATTGATTAATTTATTTACTACAATTGGTAAAATTGGCTAAGTAATTAATTAATTTAAACCTGCATATAATGATATTAAGTGGTCGGTCAGCCGATATGAAAACATCAGCATATTAAAGATAAGCAAGAGAAGAACTGAGAGCTCATACGAATTATGAGAAAAGGTGATAGAGGCACAGATCGAAGGTGGTCGATATGACCCTTGGTGTTGCTACATTTGCTCTTAGTCCAGAAATTTTGAGTTCAATCACGTCGTGTCGCAAAATTAAATAACTTTCCTCCAGTTTTACATTTAAATTTTCGTTAACAACAACACATACAATCAACATTAGTATTCAAAGCATAATGAATTTGCGTCAACAATTGAGTCAATTCTTGACACTAGCTTATGTATTCTCGTCAGCATTTATGATATGGAAGTCGTTATCAATACTAGCTAATTCACATTCCCCAATAGTTGTGGTGTTATCTGGATCTATGGAACCTGCTTTTCAAAGAGGTGATATATTATTTTTATGGAACAGAGATGAGAGACAAAAAGTAGGAGATATAGTGGTCTATGAAATAGAAGGTAAAACAATTCCAATTGTACATAGAGTATTAAGAGAACATCATAATCTGGAAAAACAATTGTTGTTAACAAAAGGTGATAATAACGCAGTTGATGATTTATCTTTATATGCAAAAAAACAATCATATTTAAATCAAAAGAATGATTTAGTTGGTACTGTTAAGGGTTATTTACCATTTATTGGTTATATTACTATATTGATTAGTGAAAATCAGTATTTCAAATTTGGTTTATTAGGTTTATTGGGTTTATCTTCGCTAACTAGTAGTGAATAATTTAAGAATATAAATATCTAAAGATCAATATACTCTCTTAATCTTCTAAATATCCCTATAAATATAATTCCTATCAAAGTAATCAAAATCAAAATTAATCGCGTAATTTTAATAAACTCCAAGATCTTTAAAAAAAGAAAAAAAAATAAAAAATAATTGTTTTGAAAATGTAAACATCTTTTTCAATTGAGTGCTATAAATGAGAGGTATGTTATAGTTATAACCTATTCAAATTAGATATAAAATTACTAACTTTTGACAGACTATAAAGTCGTTGTTCTTGGTGCTGGTGGGGTTGGAAAATCCTCAATAACAGTTCAATTTGTTCAAGGTGTATATATTGAAAGTTATGATCCAACAATTGAAGATTCATATAGAAAACAAATAGAAGTTGATGGACGTGCATGTGATTTGGAGATTTTGGATACCGCTGGGGTTGCTCAATTTACAGCTATGAGAGAACTTTATATAAAAAGTGGAAAGGGATTCCTTTTAGTATATTCAGTAACTGACGAAAACTCATTAAAAGAATTATTAGCCTTACGTGAACAAGTCTTAAGAATCAAAGATAGTGATAATGTTCCAATGGTTTTAATAGGTAATAAATGTGATTTAGATGAAGATAGAGTTCTTTCCATAGAAGATGGAGTCAAAGTTAGTCAAGATTGGGGTTTAGTACCATTTTATGAAACTAGTGCGATGTATAAAACAAATGTTGACGAAGCTTTTATTGATGTTGTGAGACAAATAATGCGAAAAGAAGCAGCAATTAGTGCTGAAAGGAAACAACAAAAGGAAAAGCAAAAATTAGATCAATCAAATAATAACATTTTGACAGACAATAAGATTGATAATTCTACTAATAACAGAAATAATATTAATAATAATAATACTGAGCTTGAAAAGAGTTCGTATCAGCAACAAAGAGACAATCAATCTACAAAAGTTCATACAAAATCAAGCTCTGGTAGTAAGTGTTGTGTGATCATGTAAGATAGTATGTAATTAAATATATTAATTTTAATAATTTGTGTAAGATTGCCATTAATTTATGTAAAAATTTAGACGATAAAAATTTGGCGTGTGGAAAATTTTTAAAAATCTTGACGATTTGAGAGTTTGGCTAAAAAGACTTTACTATTCATTGTTGTTTTTCCATGAAATTATATAATTTTTGACATCTTCTTATTTTAGAGTGTCGTACCTTACATATTTTAAGGTACTAATTTTGTACAAGAATTTTAAAACATCTGTGCAACAATTCCTACACAATTTCAAAAATCTATATACACCGTATAAAAATTTCATTATTCAAGTAACGTGCAATGGTGAATCATGGCATAACGATAGTTATTCTTTGGTAATTGAGAATTTATGGTTTAACGTAATGCTGAGTATTTGATGGTCAATATTTGAAAAATTTCGTCAAAATTTTAACCTCAATAGATCAACAAACGATGACAAACAAAATTAACTTGCCTCAATTAAAAGTGAATATAAAAATTACAATAATTATGCATTCCTGAAGCTAATTCATACATCTGCGAAATTTCAACATTCACAAGAAGCGTCAAACTAAGCAATATTAATCGGAAATCGGGTTTAATTTTGTACTACTTATATTTTGCAAGTTTCAAAATTTTTGTGAAATGAGTGGGTGGCCGAGCTGGTTAAGGCGTCAGGGTAAGGAGAACCTTACCAAAACATTTGTAACGTCGTGTTGTAAATAATTTCCTGATCTCTTCGGAGGCGCGAGTTCGAATCTCGTCCCACTCAGATATTTTTAACTTTTCTTTTTTACAACTATTTTTTTTTAATAAAATCTAATTTCTCTCAAACGTATTACCAACATGTAATTCTACCTGAATGAGTTATTTTTTACAATACAATTAACGTTTATTAGATTCGTAGTCTGGCTGAGTTTAACAACAGAGTACCCAGAAAATATTTCAATTAAACCTACATTAAAATTTATTATTGTTCAAGAAAATATACATATATACACCAATTACCAACTTGCTGGACCGAAAGCTTCACCTTCATTAAGTATTTTTCGTATGTTAGTAGTAACATTAGTATCTAATGTGTTATTGACAACGTTATTACCCCACCAACTTGGGAAATCAGTTTGAGTTAAACCCATAGCTAATGAAATGATTAATAATGACCAAGCAAGACCAATATCTAATCCAGCAGATAATGAATAATTATATTTAGCCCACCAATGGAAGTATTTTCTTTTAATCCACCAACCAAAAAGTAAACCAACACAACAATATGAAGTATAATTATATGGAGTTGCTGGTGGAATCAAACCAGTACCAGAAAAGAAAACTGGCCAATGTAAATATTTAATCAAACTATTTGGCCATTTTTTCAAAATTAACCAATTAATAACAGGTAAAACAGCACCGACAATGAAGAAAAATAAGGTTCCGTAATAAATTTGACCATGCGAAAATTGACGTTGTGGACCAATAGCACCCCAAATGATTGAAGCATTAAAGAAAACTTTAGCACCTGGACAATTGAATCCAGCTTCTTGATGAGGGGTACATAAACCATCAATAGCACCATATGACCATCTCATTACAGCAATTTGAACAAAACATGACCAAATAGCAGCCACAAATTGGGAAAAGAACAAATTGTATGGTGAGATTTTCATATAATGACCTAATTTCATATCTTGTGCAAAAGTAACAGCTTGATTATTTGTTATATAACCAAAAGTTTTGAAAAACATCATAGCAACTGGCTTACCTGGTAACATGTAACCAATAATGAATTCCGTAACGACATTTAAACCAACAGCAATATTAGTTTTAGCATAAATGATAGCGACTGGTAACAAAAAGACTAATGCAATAAGTAATGCAATAATTAAACACCAAACTGGCATTTCAGTATTCCAACATTTAATTGTGACAATGGATAAAGCAAAGAAAATCAAGAATGAAATTAAAAACCACCATTCTGGAACCCTTTTATATCTTGCCATTAATCTGTTATGAACATCTGGTTTTTCTTTAACTTTTATTTGATCAATCATTTCTGGACCATGGAATAATATAGTATGAACAATTGTAGCTAAAATAGATGCAAATGATAAACCATAGGAAATAGCAAAAGTAGTTGAAAGAAATAATGGAGAATATTCCTTATAAGCTTGTTCATTAAAAGTCAAAGTTTCTTTATTAACAATTTTACTGACATTGTAAGTTTGTTGATATCTATCAAATGATCCTGATGAAGAAATTGGAACATAGTCACCATACCAAGTATTTGTAAATGAGATAGCTGGAACAACAATCCAGAAAATAAGAACCATCGAAAGTAAAATAGTTGCAATAGTTCCTGCTGGTGGGATTAATGGAGAACCAACATAACCTGCAATTTGATTCCAATCTAATGAAAATGAATTTGGAAGCATACCTAAACCAGAGGATGATCCAAAAATTTGATTTATTGTAACATTATTTGGTCTAATCCAAGTTATCCATGAAAAATATGATAATGCTGAAAAGATATATCCAGGAAACCAATAGTAAATGAACCCAGTAATAAAAACAATTAAAAAGAAAAGAAGCCTAGATATCTGCCAACCGTTGGCTGGATGATTTTCATTAATATGCATATTAGTCAAGAAGGTACAGGTAACTAGATTCTGGGGCCAGATAGCTCCTGGTGAGTCGACTACGAACTGTGGACATTTGTTAGTAAATGGTTGTTGTTTTTAATTTGAGTTGGTTTTAATTTGAGTTTTTTTTAATTTGAAACAAAAAACAAAAAAAAAAAAAAAAAAAAAAAAAAAAAAAAAAAAAAAAAAAAAAAAATAAAAAAAAAAAAATATTAAAATATAAAATAAAATAAAAATTTAAGTTTAAACAAAAAAAGAAATTCCCCCGTTACGAAATCTAAAGTTTAAAAAAGGGTTAATAACTTAAAACATATACATTAATCACAATAGTTTATATATACCCTTCTTTCTTTTTCTTTTCTTTTCACAATCAATTTCTAACGAGTTTTACTTCCATACCCCACCAACCCTGACGAAGAAACGTTTAAAGACTTACTTAAGCAAATAGACATAGAAATATATTCAATTTAAATTACTTATATCAATAATATTTCATATACGTAATTTTCTAGCAATATTAAAAAAAAAAGAACTTATTTATATAAACTGAATTTGAATTGAGTTAAACGACATCAAGAGTGAATAATCACATATTACTTAAATAAAAGAAACGTTTTAATTCAAAAGCGTGGAAAAACACAAAGCATCAAAAAATATCATGGAGAATTATCGAGATAATCTTCATGTTTTAACAAAGAACTATGATGTATGTGTAATAGGAGCAACTAATGTTGGAAAAACTTCATTAATTAATAGATACATATATGGAATATTTGATGAAAATTTAAAATTAGATAATGAAGAAATTTATATAAAACAAGATTATGATTTAAAAAATAACAAAATTAAACAATCTATCATTTATGATTCTGATTTTCATGAAGATATGTATTTAAATTCCAAAAAGATTTCAATTTTAAATGCTTCAAGATTAATGTTTTTATATTCAATTGATAATTTAGAAAGTTTTGAAATGATTGAAGAATTTTTAAATTTTATAAAAACTTTTTATAAGGGTAATAATGATGAAGAAGAAGTAAAATTAAAAGAAGATAATTATGGTGAAAAAATTCCACCTTTTATTTTAGTTGGTTCAAAATCAGATTTAGAAAGAGAAAGAGTTATAGAATATGAACAAGGTGAAGAAATGTGTAAAAAGTTAGGTGGTTTAGCATTTTTTGAAACTTCTTCAAAATTGAATGTTGGTATAAATGAATGTTTTAATGAAATATTAAATTTAAATGAAAATGAAAATAATAAAAAGCATTCGGATTTTAAAAGTAGTAATGAAGAAGAATTAACTAATACTATGAGAAATACAGATAGTAATAGCATTTCAAATTATGAATCATCAATAATAAACCCAAATAAATCAAATAAAACCCCATCAACAAGTCAAGAAATTAATTTAAATGACGATAACAAACAAGAAGCAATGGCAACAACAACTATACAACAACCAAGACCAAAATTAACATTATCAAATCCATCATTAGTTAGGTTATCAACAACTTTACAAAATTATCAAAAACATCTTTCTGAAACTTCTACTTTAGCTAATTTTCCAATACCAAATTATATTGATGATAGTATAAGTGAGAAGAAGATAAGTAGTGGGAAAATACGATCAAATCAATACGAAAATACTATTGAAAAATATGGTAAAAGAACGAAACAAAAGGAAAGAACTAGTAAGAAAGGTTGTTGTATTATTACTTAAGACAGATTTTACTTCCTATAAATTTTAATGCGTTTGATGAGATTATGACATTTTATGATTAGACTATGGGTTTATATTTTTTTTCTAAACAGGTAGGTATTTATAGAATATAGGTAAATTATAGATAGATTATGATATATTATTAGTATAATCATTATTTTATTAATTTGTAAGCTATAATTTATTTATTTTAAACCATTGCACCTTCAGAAATATGACTAAAACCTCTAAATTGTTCTTGCATTTCAGAAGTTAAAACAGTTTCAACAGGAGTTAATCTTGGAGTTTCAGAAGTAAATTCTTGATCAAAATTTGAATAATCATGTTCTGAACTTAATTCTGGAATATAAGGAGGTTGAATACGACAATTTAAAACATCATCAAAATTTATATCTTGAAAATATAAATGTTCCATAATTTCTTCTGCATCTCTTTTTGATGAACCTAATCTTTGTGAAGGATCTTTTGTTAATAAAGCTTGTAATATTAATACTGTTGTTCTTGATAAACTTATAGGATATTTAACTTCATCATGTTCAATAGCATTAAAAATATCATCTTCATCATCACCTTTAAATGGAGATTGACATAATAACATTTGAAATAATAATACTCCAAAAGCCCACCAATCAACACTACGATCATAATGTTTTCCTGCAACAATTTCAGGAGCCATAAATTCTGGAGTTCCACAAAATGTTGAAGTTTTATTTTCAAACCACATATTTTCTTTACATAATCCATAATCTCCAATTTTAATATGACCTTTTGTTGTTAATAAAATATTATCTAATTTTAAATCTCTATATATTATACCATTATCATGAAAATATTTTAAACCTAATAAAACTTCACATGCATAAAATTTTGCTCTTTTTGCACTAAATCTATTTTTTTGAATATGCCACATTAAATCTCCACCTGAAATATATTCCATTACAAAATATATACGATTTTCAGTTTGAAAACAACAATGTAAATTTAATAAAAATGGATGCATTTGTTTATTTGCTGTTAAAAATACTCTTTTTTCACTTTTAACACTTTCACTTTCATCATTTTCAACAATAAAATCTTTTTTTAAAACTTTTATTGCACATAATTTTGATGTATGTCTTGATTCTGCTAACATAACTTTTCCAAAATTTCCTTTACCTAAAACTGCTAAAAATTGAAAATCATCTAATCCAACTTTTCTTCTACGACGTTTTTGTTTAGTTACTTTATTATTATTACTACTACCATTTGTTGTTGATGTTGTACCAACTGAATGGGTTTTTTGATGATTTGGTTTAGTTTCAATTTGAATTTGATCAACTTGTTGTTGTAATTCAGGAATAACATCTTGTTGTTGTAGTTCTTGTTGTTTTAATATTTGAGGTTGATCAATGAATGGACTAACAAATTCTTTTGATTCTTCCTGAGATATTATTTGATGTTCTGTATTATGGTTGTGATAATCAAAATTATTAAATTCATCTTTTGAAATAGAAATATCAGGTATTCCAATTTGAGCATGTTTAGCTTCACGACCATTAGTATCATATGGTTTACGTTGTTGTTGTTGATCTTGATGTTGTTGTTGGAGCTGTGGAGGTTGTACTCTTGGATGAGATGCTGTTCTAAATTGAGCTAATGATGGTTGTTCTTCAAACGGCGGACGACGTCTATTAGTTCTTGCATTTGGATCATAAGGTGAATCAATTATTGGTTGTTGATATGATTTTTGAGTGGTAGTTGGTAATCTTGAATCATATTCTTTTTCAATTTCATCATCTGATAAATCCTTTGACGATTGGGTCGATTCTGTCTCAGGATAACGATGTACAGGTGGTTTTGGTGGTAATGTTTTTTCAGATTCTTGTTGACGGTAATACTTAGGTTCTTGTGAGGCATAACCTGTTTCTTGAGCAATTTGCTTAGGTTTTTTTGGTGAAACTTTTGTTGATTTAATTGTTGCAAGAATTTCATTAGCCATTTGTAATGACATACCACATAAGTCTGGTACCAAATGAGTACAATGAGCATGGCACATTACACCACATTCAGAACATTTTCTTGCATTCTTCTTACCCCATGGTAATAAATAACCACAATGACAACACCATTTGGTACCATGATTTGTAATAGCTTCAAATCTATGTGGAATACGATGTTTCAATTGCGCAGCATCATAATCAGCACCAGATTTTGAAATACATTTAGTAACAACTTTTTGATAACATTTTTTGTGACATAAAAACTTACAATCTTGACATTGAAATCCAGTATAACGTAAAAATTCTCCACAAAGTGCACAACACATAATATTATAAAACTGCTTTTGTACAAATTGATGACCTTGTTGTTCAAAAACTTCTTCTTTTCTTTGACGAATAGCACCATGACGTCCTAATGGACCTCTAAATTGTTTACCTTGAGATATTGATTTTTCAAAATTAAGATTAATAAGCATTTGACCACAAGGTTCTAAACTAATCCAAGTATTAACTGAAACTTTTTGATTGTCATTAGGATCTTCATTTCCATTGGTGTCATGTTTACTTGGTGATTTTGATGGTGAGATGTTGTTCTGTTGTTGATATGATAGAGATAAGTTCGAAGCATCATTAACCCCTCCATATCCAGTATTTCCATTATTTCCATTTGTTTGAGGTAAATTACTAGCAGGTAACCAACCACTTGCACCTTGATCTTTAGCAACTTTCTTTTTACGAATTTCTTCTGCCAAGTCAAATAAAGAAAGCCAATTCACTGCAATTGGAGCAAAATTAGATCCTTGTTTATCCATTACTGAAATTTCAATTTCATGACTTTTATCGACATTTATGATTAATTCTTCATTCCAGTTATCATTTTTAGAAGGTTTAGTTCTTGCTTTCTCGACATCATCGATCTTAATAGTAATAATTGTTTCCCTTTTCTTAAAACCAGCAGTAGCAATATGATCAACATCTCTAACACAAGTAATACCAATACTCAATTTACCACTTAAAGGTTTCCTCGTATGTTTAGGTGTATCCATCATTTCATAATCTCTATTAAAATCTTCTGAGTTGATATTGAAATTTTGATACTTTTTCAAAGCTTTTTCTAATAATTGGATCCTTTGGTCACTTTCAGCTTTACCACCTTCAGCCGCATTAGAAGATGATTTATCACCATCTAATAAATACAAATGTGAAATTTTTTGATTAGCTTCTTTATATTGATTTTCTACTTGTAGTTTAAATTGTAGTTGTTGTATCATATGTTGAATTTTATGACCCAAAGAAGGACATTCATACTTTATTAAATCAAATCTAGAATAATTTGGTTTGTATTCTGATATTACTGAACTTCTATCATCCGATGAATTGGTATTTATTTTATTTTTTGATTTTTGCAGTTGTCTAATCAATTTGTTGATGGATTCTTGGTAGTAATCGATTAATGTTTGAGATTCAATGATTTTTGATTTACACTTTTGAATCACCTCTGTATTTTGAGAACTTTTTTTGACATCTTGATATCCTTGAATGATATTCTGTTCAATTTCTATCTTTCCCCTAATATCTTTAATGACATCGTTCACATTTTGATTTTGATTTTGATTATGTTCTACAATAAATTGACCTTTAATACCATGATTTAGTTTATTTTGATTCGGCCCTTGTCTCGACATACTTATTATTTACTTTTTTGAGTTATATTAATTGATTTTTATCCTGATTACTTTATTGTACTGTTCCTTGATCTCCAGTAGGATTCCAAAATCTGAAATAAAGTCCAATTGAAAAAGAAAAAATTAAGATAATGAACGAATGTACGTTGTTTAAGAAATAAGAATTTGATATGATAAATTGCAATTATGATTGAATCTAACGTGATTTAAAATCTTGAGATTCGTTTTTAGTTTAATACAGATATGAACGTTGAATATAAAAAAGCCAAAACGTTTGATTGTATTTATGAAGTGTATATCCTGGATTCTGAATCAATGTATTGTTTTAGATGTTGTTGTTATTGATTGATCAGTCTTGTTGTTGATAGGTTTTTTTTTTTTATTTATTTATTCCCTTTTGATCTCTATAGTTAATTTTTTATAGACTAAAGGATCAAATTTTTTTGTGTTCACTCCACTCTTTTTATTTTATTCGTATCGTATATCGTACTTGTTGTTATTAAATACCATATTAATTAGCAGTATTAACATTATAAATTAAAATTGATTTACGAAAGTTTACAGAATTTGGTGAAAGTCTTTATTAAAGTATATATATCTATTTCTCATTATTTACTATTACATTGACATTCACAATCTGGGACTGGACATACATAATGAGTTGAAAACCATTCTTCAGCGTGAAAAGCATGATAACAATGATTACAACTTAAACAAAAACTAAACCAACTTTTAAAATTTTTATCAATTTTTTTCTTTATCATTGATGAATTTGAATTAAAGTTATTACTTTTTTTATTAAAATCAGTATCAATTTCAGATCCTAATGACATTAAACAAATTGAGCATCTTGGTAAAGGAGCACCACAATGAGGACACAGATTTAATAATTCATTCTTTTTATTATTTGTTTTGGAAAATTGTTTCAATAATACTTGATTATTAACAGTGTTATAATTTGACAGTAATGTTGTTGAATTGGAATAACTATTATTTGTTGATGAAATGGAATTATTTATTGCATTTTTTGGTTTTGATATATTTTTATTGCATCTTATACACTGCAAATATACTTGTTTGGGAGTTGCCTTTATCGATGCATGACCATCAAATGTTCTTGACAATTTTGTTCGATTAACATCGAATTTTGCTCTATAACTAAACATACTCCAACTATTCATCATAGATCTATAGCAGTCAATCCAATGTTTAACCCTGTCATCAACAAAATATCTGGGACACGCGAATGCAGAAATTAATGCTGCTGTTTGTACATCACTAGTTCTGTCAACATAACTTTGTAATAGATCTATTCCTCTAGGGGTAATCCCTGTCAAAATCAAACCCTCTAATTCCCCTTTATGAACAACAGTATCTGCAATCCTATTAAGGTATACTGATAAATCTTTATCTGATAAATTTCTGATCGCAACTCCAATTCTTTCTCTTAATGGTAATGAGTGTTCATCTAATACATCCCACCAATCATCATCTGCAATAAATGCAAATATAGCCCTCAAATAAGGGTCATCCAATTCTGATGCCATTTTTCGACATTGATCTTTCCATGGGCTATTTACATTAGTATTTTTGTAAGCCAAATACCCAGCTACTGCAGTTGCCATTAATCTTAATTTTTCCCTTTTGGAATTACTCAAAATTTCAATTGCTTTTGAAACATTTCCATGAAATACAGCCCAGCCAGCAGCTTTTGAGATATAACCCAAGGATATAAGTAATTGAAGTTTTTCTTCAAATTCAATTTCAGTCAAGTACCAACCTGATACGATCAAACATAGTTTTCTTTGTGCTTTTTTCTCACTATCTTCTGGTATATGTATACCAATGAATTTTTTACCTTTGCCTGCTATAATTGATTTCACAGCTTGAGTAAACCAAGATTCGCTAATTTTATCACTTTTAGCTATAACTCTGTTTTGATTATTCAAAGCATCAACTCCATTCCAAATTCCCTGTACACCTTGATATCCAAGATCTATCCCGTCCGATATCATTGTTCCTTTGTCTAATGCCTTCTTGGCAAGAGAGAGCCATTTCCAAAAATGCCTTAAAGCTAGTTGATTATCATTTGGATCTAATTCCTCTAAAATCTCTATGTTTTTATCTGGATTAACCCCGTACCCCATCGAAACTCTATTTCGAATGATGTAGCAAATATCATTAGTATAAATTGCGTTTGAGTCAACATAAGCGTCCAATGGATATTCAAACCCCTCATTATGAGAAGATAATTGATTTTTTCTTATTATATTATTTTCTATCACACTGCCATCGTCATTGGTACTAGTTGCTAAGTCCAAATTTTCATCATCAACACTACTAAGGTTTTCTCTGTATCGGTCATCTAAAGATAAGTTCCCAATTTGCGCGTACTTATCAATTTTATTACTTGAATTTAAAATATCATTTTGAATTTTGTCGGTTGATAAAAATTTGGTCATAAGACCTTCAGGACCAACAATAGTAAATTCATTTTTAGGATTAAAATCCATAGCTTCAATGGACTCAACGACTGGCATTCGAAACACCGTACCTGATTGTCTCATGCAAACAAAGTTAGTCGATGTCAAAGATAAAATATCAGGTGAATAATCATATGACACAACCTTTTCATAATCGGTTTTGACATCTAAGACCATTGAAACAAAAAGGGATTCATCATTAGGTTTGTAAAGGTTAGCAGATTGTTGAGTCAAGTTTTGTAGAATTGTATTTTCGGTTGATTTGTGATTTGTTGATGATGCTGAGGTTGCAGTTGATGCGATTCTGTCAGAAGGAACAACACCTGTATGCCATCTTCTGATTAAGTCACCGTTGAAAATAGCAGAAAATTCACCCCTTCGTGTCGATGAATATCTAACACAAGGGCGAACATTTTTATTTAATGTAGAATCCTGAAGTAATTTACTGAAATGCAAGATAGGGCTTTCTATTGTAGTAGTAGAGCTTGAGCTTGATGATTTTAGTTGCCTTTGATTATTTGTCAATTTTCTTCTATCCCATATAGATAGCGAACCATCATCACTATATGATTGAAAAAAGTGAGGTTGAAAGGGATCAATTATAATACCCAATGTACATTTAGTAGCTAGTTGAAATATAGGTTGGTCCGTTCTAGTATCAATTTCTCTTAAATATTTATTAGTTCCACATAAAATACTAGTGGAATTATCTTCATAATATATTGCTGATAGTATACTTTCATTTGGAATGTATGATGATATTGGACGTCTTTCATGAGATATTCCGTTAAAATTATTTAATGTTTCGGATGCGTATTCTTCTATATCCCAAATCTGTAAGGAATTATCTGATTTTCCCTTTTCATAACCCGCAACAATGGAGTTGGAATCATTAAAAGATATTGAATTACATACTCTAGCTTGTTTTGGTCGTAGATGCAAAGTAGGTAATGAAGGATTAGATATGTCAAAAACCGAAATTGTCCCATCTGATGAACCAACTCCAATTATTCCTTGTTTAACTTTTGAATATGAGGAACATTGAATTGCGTCGAATCCTGACCTAGACAGTAGTTGAATCATAGAATTTGATTCAGAAGTTGTGCTTTCATGATTAGTTTGGTAAAGTATTACTTCATCTCCAACAGGTGTAACGGCTATGAATTGTTGTTCATACACATCATCCCAATTAAGGGCTCGTGTTATTGAACCAGCCATGAGTTTGGAAGGAAAAAGGTTGTATGAGTATGTCAAATTATGGTTAAGATGAAAGAGAGTAAACTTTATTGATAAATCAAATAGATTAAACTATTTCTGAAACACGCGACATAAGACAATAAGTAGAGTGTCAAAATCTAGTTTGCGACAATGAATTTGCCTATTTGAAACTCATTTTTATTTATTATCTCTGTCTTTTGTGAGCAAGTCCTTACTCTAGCACATCCCATCAACAAACCTTGGTAGTGTTTTAGAAGCTAAATTTGAAAGAGATATTTTGCTCAAGAATTGATTACAGTTTATCGATAATTGTAATGCTATAACAATACAAAATCTATTATAAATATTCAAAAAAGTTTAAGTTTGTACTTCTACGATTTGTGTTTTGCAATGCAATTTATCATATATATTGACGTCATTACTTTTAAGGGTCTAGACTTGGCTGCGAAAAGAAACATATTCAAATAACATCTTGTTTGACATATTCTCCAAAAAGAAATCTAAGTAACATAATATAGCAGTTTTAAGTTATTGATTCGGTACTGCATATTATAATATTGTCCAATTTTTTGCAACCATTTAATTAGAATCGTTTGATTATCTAACTAAAACAACAAGACTACCAGTATTCTCAGCTAACAAAACTACAAGAAACAACAATCATCAATAGAGTTTTTGAAAAGTTGGATCATTAGCTCTAATATGTTGCGATGAAGATTTTTAGCTGGAATGATATATATATATATGTACTTATGGCGAAGACTTTGATCTACAGTGTAAGGACCAGATGAAAACCAAAACTAGAAATGAAATTAATATCATATTTTGCATACCAACTTAATTTTATAATTTTGGCATGTGCCAGTCCTTTCATAAAATGTTCATTTCCGGATGATTTAAATCTTATCAAGGTCGCTGCAAATGGAGCTAATGCAGGTTGGGCAATGAGTCCGGATCAAATTTGTGTACCTGGAATGCACTGTCTTTACGCCTGCCCACCGGGTCAATTAATGAATCAATGGGATGCTTCCGTTTCCACTTATCTGTTTCCAAGTTCATTAAATGGTGGTTTAAAATGTGAGACTGATGGTTCATTAACTAAACCTTTTAAGGACAAATCACTATGTGTAGATGGTAAAGGTACAGTCCTGGTCATTAATAAGGTGGGTAAAGATGTTGCATTTTGTCAAACTGTATTGCCTGGAAATGAAGCAATGTTAATCCCAACTAATTGTGGAAGAAACGAACAAGAATTAGCTGTTCCAGGACCAGAATATTATGCAGGGACTTCTGCTCATTATTACGTCAACTTTCCTGGAATTGCAACAAAAGATGCTTGTGTTTGGGGATCAAAGGATAATGCTTTAGGAAATTGGGCTCCATACATTGCGGGTATGAACATGGATCAATCAGGAAATACCTTCGTAACTATCGGATTCAATCCAAATTATTTAGATCAATTCCCAAATAAGAAGATCGATTTTGGTTTGAAGATCACTTGTGATAACCCTGAAGATTGCGTAGGGTTAGGTTGTGAAATAAACCCTGAAAGTGGTCAAATTCGAGTAGAAAGATCATTCAATACTAATTTAAACAGTGCGGCTTTTTGTGTTGTCACAGCCAAAAACCATGCAAAAGCTAAAATTGAGGTATTTAAAGTCTGAAATTTGTTATCAAGGTTTTTTGATTTCGTATAGAGTCAACATTGGAGTACTTTCTTACAATTGTCTATATTTATGTATTATTTCGTTAATTAAATTTTTAGTAGTTTAGATAACGCATTCGTTCACTCAAGTGGTTCTTGTACGCAAATGTTCTAAATTTTGAAAGCTTTTGATATTTATTAAATTTTAATTACATTAAATGATTTTTCTTATAGATGTTTATTCCAATTTTTTGATCAACCCACCATCAAAGTTTCATCATCTGTGAAATCATAAGCTGGAATCTCCAAATTCAATGGGGCTGGTCCTTTTCTAATTCTTCCAGAAATATCGTAATGAGAACCATGACAAGGACAAAACCAACCTCCGAAATCTCCAGCCTCACCAATAGGCACACAACCTAAATGAGTACAGATACCCAACATGACTAACCATTCAGGTTTTTTAACTCTATCGGCATCGGTTTGTGGATCTCTCAACTTCGATACATCTACTTCATTAGCTTCTTCAATTTCTTCTGGTGTTCTATGTCTTATGAATACTGGTTTACCTTGCCATTTAACAATAACATTTTTACCCTCTGGAATAGCACCTAATTTGACTTCAACTTTAGCCATGGCCAAAACATCGGCTGATGCGGCGAATGATGAAAGAAATGCGTCTACGGTAGATTTAGCTCCTACTGCTGATAATAATCCCATTGATCCAACCATAAAGTATGTGAAATTTCTACTGGCTTGTGGAGTTTTGTGATTTAAATATTGTGAAAAGTCTGGTTGTTGATAGTTTGATAATTGTGATGAAGTAGATGATAAAGTTCTGATTGAGTCTAAAAATAATTGATTGTTAGTATGAAAGTACTCTTGAAATTTGAACAGAAGTTTTATTATCAGGTAAACCTAATTCAAATTAATTCCAATTCTGAGTTTGAAGATTTGCAATATTGTCGGAAGAATATGTCATTGACTTAACTCACTTTAATGAATGAATCTTTTAAAATTGAACGATTGGTGATGGAAATAGATTTTGACACTGTGAAATAAAACCTCCGACTTATAACTTTTTAACATACTTTTCAAACTTATACCATTTTTCAATGATCTATAAGCAAGAGATGACATGATTAATAATATTTGTATATAGGTGTGAATGGACTAAGTTGAGTTGAATTGAATATTAAACCTCTACTCTACAAGTTTTTTTTTCAGTAGTATTATTTTCTATTACTATACAGTATTAACAAATTAAGATAATAATTTTTCGCAATGTTTCTATTGGTTTATCAAACAATACTTGGTAGCATAATTTCATTAATGTATTACAAAGTACCTATCCACTGATTTCTTGTATGTCTTGCTCTAAAAACGAGGTGTTTTGATCTTCTGTCTATAGCATTGCTTTTATATATTAATTTACTACTTGATCCCAAACCCAGAGCTTTCTTCAACTGCTAAATTCATTTTAGTTTCTAATTTTTGTTTGTTGACATAATTATACAAAGCCAATTCATTGAAACAAGTATGAGCTAAAGGCAATCTATTGCTATCATTACCATTTCCCAATAAACTTATTCTAAATGGCAAATTTTGTAAGCCAGTTGCAGGAACTCTATCAGAACCAGTAACAAAAGTCAAAATTTTTTTTCGTTTCACATTATCAGCCTCTGCCATATATTCCCAAAACCAACTGATTATTTTTGAATTGGATGCATCAGATCTGGAATTCCAACCAATATACTTGGTGATCGATTTCAAAGTTTCAACATCGATTGTATGGTCATTACTTCCACATAAAAGTAGCTGGATTTCCTCAGGCAGGAATAATGATAATGCATTACCACCAACCACGTTATTAAATCCTTTTGTGAACGAATCAACTTGTGATTTTATTCCATCTCTAATACAAAACATCATATACTTGTCTAAATATTCATCCAAATTGCACTTAGTCAATAAAGTCTTACTTCCATTAGGGATCAATTCCTTCGTATAATACGTCCCAAATATGTCTGTGAATGTAATTTCAAATGTCATATTTAGATCTTGAATTTCTTCGTCTGATAGTTTTTTCAATTTTAACAAATTATCATAAGTTTGAGGATACAAGTGACCATAATCAGCTTTACTTAAAGATTTCCCCAATAAAATTTTATATAATGCAATGGGGAATTGTAATTCTAATATTGTGGAATTATAAATCGCCAAACCTAAAACAGCACCAAATAAATGATACATTTCATGGTTGTCAATAGATATAGCGTTGAACCAAAGCATATTGGAATCATCAACATTGTGAAACATACCAGTTTGAGGATTGAAAATTTCCTTCACTAACAATATAAACCATTCTTTCCTCAATCCACCAGCATCAACTCCTGGTTCGTTCACAAATTGAACTCTCAAACTTTTCTTCAAATTCTCCATATTCAGTCTTATAGCTTGCAAGGAATCTTGAACAATATGATCTCTTCTTATTTTAATTCTAAAATATACGTCTATAACAACTCTTTTATCTAGCGAATTAATAAAAGCTTCTTCAGCTTTACGTTCCATTTGTCTCTTTGCTTCGTATTCCAAAACCGATATCTTACTGCCCAACGAGATCAAAAAGGGATATTGACAGATATAAAATAACGCATCATTGAATAAACTTTTATTTTTGCTAGTTCCATGAATGTAACCAATGATCGATTTTAATTCCGCTTGACTTGAACTATTATAATTTTGAACTGATTTATTGCTTTGCCAACTATCAAAATCCAATCTAATATTCACATAATCAACTAATGAGTTATAAAATGCTGAAGCTGGTAACTGTTTTCTCCCTCTCAACTTGTTCGCCCTCACAAACAATGTTAGGACTTTTAACGCAGATTGAATTCTCCAATCATTACCATATTGATGTATTTTGATCTTAGTGGCTTGATTTGTACTTTTCTTCAGTTTCAATGGAAATGGATCAGTCGATATTTGATTTCTGGGAAATGTGAGTGGTTCTGCAAGTGAAAACAGAGAAGATGATGATATGTGCTCTTTCAAGTTCACATTTTGGAAATATTCCTGATCTTCACAGTTTAAATCGATTTCCAAATTTCCTGGAGATGTTGAGGAAGGAGAATTCGATAATTTGATATGTGGGTTGTTGGCTAAATAAAAATATTTTTTCAATTGAAACGTAATGTACAAATTTATGACATCAAGTCTTTGCATGAAATGGAACAGATCATAATTAGACATCCAGCTTGACCAATAGTTCAACACTAAATCGTTCGCAATACACGATATAATACCCAAACATCTCTTTAATATATCGTAACACAATACTTTAATTTCTGGTTCGTCCTTCATAAGATTTTTTTTGGAATCATGAGAAGTACCACCCACTAATGAACTTGATAAAAATGGAATGTGAAGTAAAATGAAAATCCAATTGTAATGAGCAACTTCATCGCATAAAATATGAATTCTTTTCAAGTTTTCACTGGCACCTTTCAAAGCTGAAAATAAAGGTCTCTTTGTCGGGAGTTTTGTCAACAAATTGAAAACCTCATAAATTTCCATATAGTTTATATTTGAGGAATGATGATGTAGTTTTCGGCTAGAATGCCGAAATTTGAATGAGTTGTTTAATATATTTTGTGATCTAAATGCATTGTATAGATAGCTAGACAATGGAGAGAAAATGTCATGCAAAGTTTTGCTCTGGTTCAGCTCCAAAGTTGTGTCTGTGAAACAATTCTCCACCAATCTGTTGACCTCATTCAAGGAAACAAAGGTATTTTGTGAAGAATCATGTTTTAATTGGGCTAATTCAATTATGTTTGTAGTATGACAAATTGAGCATTTGTATTTTTTAGCTTTGTTTGGAAAAGTCAAAATAGTTCCACAGCAGAAGCACTTGTTCACATTTTTTGAGTCTGGAGAATTAGCCGTATACACTGGATTTGCCAGAGTATTTTCCGACAGATCCAATACATTTGGAGGCAACAGCTTCTTTTCTTTTGTAGTTAACGATGTGTCCCCAGGTGAATCATTCAAATTCAAAATTCCTCTCAAACTCCACGAATTCTTGACAAAAGATGACTTTGGTTGACTTTCTTTAGCTTTTGTTTTCGTCAGGTTGGACATACGGGAGACCGAGTCAACCTTTTTCACTCAATTGAATTGATAACACACAAGTGATTCAAATATTTGAATTATTCTTCTACCTCAAAGCTCCTTGAACGGTTTTCCACAGAAAATGAATATAACAGATAAGGAGTAGCAGTAAAGACTCACAAGTATTGAATTTTTCCTAACCTAACTTTGTGCATCTATGGATATATGTTACGCCTTTACTGAGATCGATTGTGGATTGGTGAATTCAAGATCTTGAAATTTTGTGTGCTTGAGGTTTTTGTGGTTTTTTTGGTGCTTTGATTAAAACTCTCAACCGATATCGACCCAGAAAACATAATTAGATCTACATTCATGTTCGTATGACAATCAACATTCTAAGTTCCTCATCAAACAATTGACTTCTTATATTACAAGTAGAGAACCCTGAAGACTTCACACAATCAGACTTCTTACCAAAGCACTACAGATCAAAGGGATTCTATGGGTAAAGCTACACTTTTGTTGACACAAGTCAATGAGGACAACGCTATAACAAACTCGACATCATTAAATTTTCAAGGATCCAAAATATTGCTAACGAATCAAGGGAATAGAATAACATATTATATTTTTGTCGATAATAAACTACTTAAGAAAACGAGCTCTCAATTGGAAAATAACATCCTATCATGGGCAAACTTTAGTAGTAACTCCGAACATTATTTAGTGCTACTAGATAGCTGTTATAACTTGTATGCGATGCGTCTAAAGTCGTTCAATGTATTAGATGATATTGATATCACAATCAAGAAAATAGCTCAATTTTCCACTAAAAATCAACAACACGCAATAAATCTTGAAAGACCAATTATTGTATCTGGAAACGAGTATATCTTATGTTACTTCTTTCAAGCTAATGCTCAAATAATATCAACGACGGAAGTTGTCACCACATTCGAAAACTCACAACATCTGCTAAAAATCCATTCCTGCCCTATCGGAAACATTGACATTGAACAAATAATTTCATTGAATAATCACAAGGATAAAAGCCCAAATCCCAGATTTGCAATTTTGTATAAGGATATATCTTCAGCTTATTCAATCCGAGTTAATGAATATAATGCCCGAGACAAGAAAATTGAAGTCATGAGACAATTTGCAATATTTGATGAAAATCCGTCACTACTATTTTCCTGTCAACAGGGTGGCATATTTGCTGTAACAAGCTCCAGCTTATTTTACTTTCCTTCTGAGGAATTTAAATACATATCAATGTCTAAATTGATCAAAAATGTTGTAATTCTGACGAAATCAAAAACCAATCATGTCATATTAACAGTCAATAAACCCAGCAGGGGCAAAAGTGTTTTAATTTATAAATCATTTGAACATATTGATGAGAGAAGAACTTTATTAGTTACGTCAAATGGAGAGTGTTTTATGCTTTTTATAGATATTGAAGTGACGTCACAGAACTCCATGGTAATAAATCAGATCAATATGATTGATCTCGGATCCTTGACCATACCTTTGGCTGGTGGATTGCACCACATTGAAACCAATAAATTTGTACAGTTCTCAAAATTGTCGAAGTCTGTACTTTTTGAAATTTTACCCAACAAGCCGAATATTAATGTCCTCGATTATATTGAATCCAGTCCACCTGTCTTGGACCTCAAAATTGGTGCCACCGGTGATGAAATTTATACCTGTCAAGGAGGTTGGGAGGGTAGTGAATTGCGAAAATATGGCAACCCTTTGTGCCCTTACGAAGTGTTAGTATCATTCCAAAATGATGTGTTGTTCCCATTGAAGATAGGCAAAATAGATGACAAGCTTGTCTATGTTGATTTAAGAGAGAAGGAAACTGGACTGAAAACAATGATTATAGATGAAAATTTGAAGGTAATCAATGAAGAAAATGCAACAATAGATGATCATATATTGGATATGCTTCGTACTAAAAAACTTAATTTGATTATAACTAAAGAATATTTTAAAATGAATGACGAAACTATTTTGAGTATGCCCATACAACATGGAAAAATTGTCATTAATCAAAATTTTGCAATAATAATTTCCAACAATAAAATCTACTTGTTCGACTATCTTAAAAAAACTACTAGAATTGTTGAATTTGAGCCAGAAGCTGGAGAAATTATTAGTTTTGATGCCGTTCAATTTGAGAACTATTACTGGGTTGTTTGTTGCTTTTTCTCGGGACAATTTCAGGTGCGGCAAGTAGATGAAAAACTTTGTGAGTCGGTATATTCACTGTCTCGAACTGAGGACAGTTCGTCTGCTATATGCTCCTGCTCCATCAACATAGATCAAGTAGTTGATGAGAAAGAAATAACTAGCTATGAAATTTATGTGTTTTTACTTTCCTTAAATGGTTCATTCCTACGACTACAATTGTCAATGCAGAATAATTCATCAAAATTAGTCACCCAAAATTCACTAAAACTCAAAGGCAATGGACCTTTTTCGTTAAAAAGACGCAAAAGAAACATGATCATTCACAATCGGGATATGATTTATATACCTAAAATTTCAAAGCACACTGATGCTATTGGTATTACTGAAATTTTGAAACAAGGAGTTTTTGATATTGAGTTCTCAGAGGGTAAAGATGATGAAGTCCTTGTGTTCTATGAATCTGGATTAATTGAAAAGTGGAGAATAGAATTTGGAGAGATAACAAAAGTTTTAAAGCCTCAATCCATTTGTGCATCCACATTATTTGTCAAATGCTTGCCTATTGATGGGGACGATTATATGATTGCAGTATCTTACGATCAATACAACCCAAATGCGGATTTTCTGAGTGAACTTTTTTTAATTGAAGTGAAGTCGTTCAAAGTGGTCGATAGGTTCAAAATATTTGATAATGCCGTAATTTTGGACTTATGTGAGCTCACTGGTTTTGCTAGTGTGGAAAATGATTCTAAAAAATTTGTCTGCTTGACGTCTTCAAACATCAATCAGTTGTACATATTTGAAATTCATGATCAACGTATTAAATTAATTAACAAAGAGGATTTACCAGGTGCATATAAAAATGCTGATGTCAAATTTCTGAATATAAGCCAAATTCCTTCTAGAGAAGATTATCTTGATTATGACGAGGGGAAGAATTTCTTACTTTCTGGAGCACAGATTTTGTTAATTAGACTAGTATTATCTGATTATAAGTATGTATTTAACATAGAAGTTAAAGAAGATGTTTTTGGACACGTCCCGTCTTTCATAGTTGATCAAATTTGTGTCTCATCGAAGAATGCTTATTTCGTTGATGCTTTGAATGGAATTTATCAAGACAGCATTTTACCGGAATCGGACTCTATAGATGGTGCAATTGCAAATGCCAAAGAAACTGACAGTGCTATAAATCAATTTTTTACTTCAATTGCAGCTCCACAATTCACAAACAAAAGTATCGGTACATTGATTGCTGGGGATTCACTTGGCAATATTTGCTTATATACAAAACCAGACAAATCTTCTAAGTTTGAGTTATATACTAGATTCAACGTCGATTCTGAACAAATAAATGCTATTGCACAAGTGGCTCGTGAATACGAATTTGGACTTCATTATGTTACAATCGGAAGTATATCTGGCGGAGTTTATGAACTATTTACCATTGAATCTGAGGAAATGATAAATGTTTTGAATGAATGCGAAAATGAGTTGAAGCTATATCAAGAAGAGAAACAATTCTTAAACACAGATTACAAACAAATTAATTCAAAAAACATTCTAAAACTTGATAGCATCAAAAGCTCTGGAGTATTTGATGGACGAATCATTCAATCTTGGTTATCAAGTTTAGATTCAGATCCCAAATTGAGTAAGTTTGAAGTTTTATTGAAAAATAAAAGAAAATTGCAACAACTTATATACAAGGATAGATGACTAAGTACCCAATGGATAATGAACCTTGTGAGACTTGTGTAGAAACTGCGAAATGAATCATTTAATATGAAAAGTAGAATTGATGTGTTCTTATCCTAGCTCTATTTAAATTTCGTTTCAGTTTGGCCTAATATTTGTTTCAGAAACAATTGAAACTAAATTTTTCCAAAGGTAAACAAAATTTATTTTCATTTCAAACCACAAACTTTTGAAGCATCTTCACCTCAAAATGGCTGAAGTCAATCGCATGAATAACAAATTTGAAGACATAGAAATGTTAGAGCTTCCCGATGATGATAATCACGAGGAAAGTCTTTCAAGTTCTTCGGAGACTGAGGGAATTTCCACTGATTCATCAGATTCAATGGACGATTTGAATACAAGTCAAAGAAAGGACCAAGATAGTTCATCAGACCAGAGAGATAAAGATCAATCTAACTCAATAATATTGTCCATGTTAAATGAAAACCAAGACTATCCTGAATTATCACAATGGTTGAACTCCAAAGAAATTCTACATTATAGATATAATCCAAAAAAATACAATTATAACCTTCCTATGAGTGAACTAGATCGAAATTATACGTCTTACCTTGAAAACAATTTCAAAACTATAGAACAGCTAATAAGTGATATTCATTTAGTTGAACAAAACGAATCAGATTCGCAGCCAATTGGTCTCATAACAAATTCGATAAAGACTCCTACATTTTCCAAAAATCAATTCATAAATGAATCATTCGATAAAATAATTGAGAATCTTAATGAATTCATTAAACAAAGTTATTCTTTAAATCATGATTTTAAAAACCAACTTTTATTGATGTTGTTGGTGTGTTTGCAATCTACAGAATTCTTTTCAAATGTTAAAGAGATACCAGAATTAACTATCAAATGGGTGAATATGTTTGATCCTGAACCTTCAGTTGAATTAATAGATGAGGTGATGATAAATCATTCACCAAGCTACACTCATCCGTTATTTTGGAACACATTACTTGCAAAAATGGTTTGTAGAGGTCTATTCCAGCAAATAGATGAGACCTTAGAACACTCAAACTATGCTGAGCTCAAAGAAACAGATAATACGATGTTTGAAGTCATAAGTGATTTGAGACAGCTACTATCAGATTATTCAATATTTGCTTCAAAAGGTCAGTTCGCACAATGGAAATTATCAGCATGTGAATTTCGAGACTCCATTTCATTTGTGAAAGAAACAGTGAGCAATAACGAGCATAAAATCATATTAAGTCAAATATATGATATAGCATGTATAATGACTGGATTTACCAAAACAATTTCAAGCTACTGTGAAACTTGGTATGAAATATACTTAGCATTTTCATTATATCAGATACGGGATAATGTGGAAATTTATGAGGAGTTTTTTCAAAAAGCTATCAATGAAAAACCTCCATCTGCTCATGTTTTTGATGGCAGCTCTGACAAAGATTTAGAAGACATGACGGAGTCTGGTTTCGTTAATATTTTTGAAAAAAATTATATTAAAGTCTTGCAAGTGATTTTTCTATTTGATCCTGCTACGGCAGCATATATATCCTTATTACTAGAACTAAAGGGGATCTTGAGCAGCTACTATCTGGTTGACATCAATATGGAGGAAAATTTGGATGATATATTTAATAAGAAAACAATATCCGAATATTTTATATTACGCCATGCTTACAACTGTTTAAATGTACAAAGTCTTGTCCCAATAGGTGTTGGATTATTATCTAATGAGATCTTGAATACATCAAGTCACAAAATGTCGAGAAACAAATCAACTATTGCTCAGTTTTTACCGCATTACAAAATAGACTTAAATGATGACTTGGAATGGGCCTTAACAATCTGTGCTGACTTGAGTTTGATTTCCACTGCAAGAAGCATATATTATCAAGCCGGAATTCATGCTTTGGAAAATAATTATTTGTATGATGCCCTCAATAATTTTGTAAATTGTTATGACCCAGAAAAGACTTCAGGAAGTTATCATACGGAAGGGATGCAAAAAATTCACTACATAATTTGGGATATAATATTCACTGATTGTCTTGTAAATAACAAACCAATTGAAGATGAAATTCTTAATGATGTGGTGGATCAAAAAATGGACGGAATCAAAATTCATCCAATAATTCAACAATGTATATCTCCTTATGCTGTGTTGAAAGAATTTTATGATTCTTTATCTAGAGACTCACCGCACGAAATGATGCATAATTTCTCAAAAATAGTTCATTTATTAAAATTTGAATATTTACCTATGAAATTCAAACCTTTACTATTAAGTCAAATTTTATTATTCTTAAATGACAATTCACCACTTCAATTACCTGATTTGATTGTCATTATAGAAATGATTGATAATTATGAAACAGAAAGTTCCCAATCAGAAAAAGAAGAGGGTGAGCAAATTTATACATACTCCACAACCAACTTTGATGATCATGTGGACGACAATGATTGGCGTAAAGCTGTTGGTAAAATACCCAAAGACGTCAATTCATTAATAAAGCTTTTGAGAAACAAAGTTACTGTTAAAATCGGACTTGCATTTATAGAATGATTGTTTGCTAATTATGCATGGTAGTCATGAAGATTCCACACGAAGTTTGTAAATTGATAATATATTGATTTATATAAAATAGGTTATGTACTCTAATCGTACATTTTTTTTCTCTTTAATTCCGGCATTTGGGATCGTTCATCTATAAGGAGTTTAATCCTCTCTTAACAAGTAACATCTTGTGAAGCTCTTGAATTCAATAACAAGGCAACAATTAAACCATATAAACCTAAAACTTCAGCAAAAATCAAAATTAAAATCATACCAACGAACAATCTTGGTTGCTGAGCAGTACCTCTTACACCAGCATCACCAACTATACCGATGGCAAAACCTGCTGCCAAACCGGATAAACCAACAGATAATCCGGCACCCAATTGAATGAATCCAGTGTATAAAGCTTGTTTTTGTGCCAATGAGTCACTAACTAAAACTGAAACAACTAAACCATAAATTGCAATAATACCCGCCATAACAACCGGCACAACATTTTTGACTAACAAATCTGGTCTCGTCACACAGGTGGCACAAATACCGACCCCTGACTTAGCAGTACCATATGAAGCACCAAAACAGGTAAAAACTATAGCTGCTGCACAACCAATTGAACCAAAAAATGGTGCATAAACTGGACTAGAGTAATAGTTAGTATGTATGTAATTTTAAGTGGACAAATTCAACAAAAATTAGGTTTTCCTCGCATGCTTGCTTTGATTTTCGAACAGTCATGATGGTTTTGTAATCATCTTATCATTGAGTTATAGACATCAATCATAAGCAGCAAGTTTCGTGTTAAGTAACGTGCCCCCGTCAAAGTCTCAACATCGTATTGTAGTAGAAGACCTGATCCCAGATATACATGATATTGTATAGTAGACATACCATAAATCTGACATAATTTGATCTGTGAAGTTATTGACTTGAATTGATTTATTAACTGATAATGTTTGAATATATCGACAATCTTAATAAGGTATTATTTGCTATGAAAAAGATAAATTTCAATTCGAACTCTTGGACCATGACACACTACTTTCTACGGTGCTACCACATTTTATCTAGTGCTGCCAGATGCTTGTTACTGAAAAATAAAAAAAGATCTCATCTTGAAAGGTTTCCTATTCATTCACATTAAGTTCATAATCTTTAAACGATCAAAGACTTTACTGGCGAGCTTATATATCTACTATTTGCAAGGAGCCTTCATATCATAAACTTTTAAATAATATCAAGTGTAATTATAATGTCAGCACCAAACCCAAAAGCTTTTCCATTAGCTGATTCAGCTTTAACACAACAAATATTAGATGTTGTTCAACAATCTCAAAATTTAAGACAATTAAAGAAAGGAGCAAATGAAGCTACAAAGACTTTGAATAGAGGGATTTCCGAATTCATTATCATGGCTGCTGATACGGAACCAATTGAAATTTTGTTACATTTACCATTATTGTGTGAAGACAAAAACGTACCTTATGTTTTTGTTCCATCAAAAGCAGCTTTAGGTAGAGCTTGTGGAGTTTCAAGACCTGTCATTGCTGCTTCGGTTACATCAAACGACGCCTCCTCCATCAAAAACCAAATCTACGGAATTAAAGATAAGATTGAGACTTTATTGATATAGTTTGTAATTATTAATTATCATAGTTCGAAGTACTAATATAAAATACTCATATGATCTGGTTGATGAGTTTTAATGTACGAAAATAGTTAGATTGAAACATTTGATCTTCGGAATCAGAACTTTGTAAAATCAATCTTAAGACATCTCTATTTTTAATTTTTATTTAACTCTTTGAAAAAGCCGCTCTAATTTTATACCATCGTTAATTATTGAGTTTGACCAAGTAGATGCAAGACCAAATCATAAGTCTACGACTAGATTCAGCTGAAACTGTCACAAAGTTTTTAAGATCAAAGGATGAAGATATAGAAAACATTATACAGTTAATTCATGACTTGTTAAATCAAAAATTAGATCTTTACTTCCCAAACTACAAAACATTTATACTTAACTTACTAGTTGACAGATTAAATGAGAGATCCCCATCTTCTCAATTCCATAATTGGAAGTTTAACTATAAGATTTGGAAAATACTCCTTGAATCATGGGACAGTTTTGGAGCATCATCCATGAGTCGAAATGAATGTATCAAAAACCTAGATATAGTAGAGAATTTGATTCAAGTGATGGCTAAGAATGATAAGGATTCATTAAAATGCATCCCTTTAATGTTTGAAACTCTTTTCCGAATGAACCAGAGCGTGTTCATCAAAATTGACGAGTTATTAGGATTGTCCTTACTAAGATCATTTCTAATTTATTTGGGAAAGACAACCAATGTAAAAGCCGATTGGGCTAATATTATAAAGCAACTATATTATAGATCATGCATGATTGAAACTCAAGATATGTCAAAAAAAGTATATTCAAATTTCATGGAATCATTGTTCAATTTAATGATTGATGTTCTATCTTCACCATATCCTTCAGTACCAACGTCTGTTAAAGATGTGTTATTGGATATTTTTACCCGGGTAGTATTTGCTGAAGGTCATATTCAATATTTGAAAAGCAGTTTGGAGAAAATACTAAAAAGTCATGAAATAAACGATTCGTCTTTCTTATATTTTTATCAAATCGTCATCGAGCACTTATCATCTAAAAATATAAAACTTTGTGAAGAACTTTACATATTAATCACTCAAAAACTTCCATCGTTATCAGAATCAATGCTATACATGTTGGCGGAAAGTAAAAAGGCTATTTCGCAAGAATTTATGACAGCTTTGTACAATAAAGAAATCAAAAATAAGCGATACATAGATTTGAACTGGCCAATGGTCAAGTATATTTTTACTATAGACAATGAACTAGCCGGTAAAAAATCTAATTTTATTTTCGAAAAACATAATACGGATTTTGAGATTAACTCAGAAGTTTTGCCGGTGGGAGAAGCTATTTTAAAAGCGTATATAAAAAATAGAGAATTGGTTGAATTCATAACTAAAGTCTGGCCGAAAGCTATTAAAAAAGATGAACTCTGGGACAGTCAAGATTTTGTTATTGCTGTTTCAAAAGGCATACTGACGTTATCGGAGAGACAAATTTTACAGGTAATTCAAACTTCAATTGAACTTGAAATCGACGCTGCTCGTGCAATATTTATAGCGGTAACAATAGGACTTGTTTTTGCATCATCTAAAACTGTTGAGTCTTTGCAAAATACGTTTTTGAAACATAAGCAATATCTCGACAGTAAGGAAGAATTCTGGCAAGTTCATTACAATTTGTTAATACTATATGGACCTAATTTTAGTTTGCACAAGGATCAATTGAAACTAGATTATGATTTGTACTATTACTTCACTGTGTTCAGGCTTTTGGAACTAGATATACCGATTACTTTTGATGAATATGACCAATCAAAATTTATAAAATATTTGTCAGAAAATGATTACTTCATTTCAATTGTTTTTAAAAGATGGTTTATAGTGTTTAACAATTTTTTTTCCAAGAGTAATCAGTTTAAGATTGTGGAAATGGCAATTTACTGGAATAAGACTTATGGGAGACTATTCAGCTCCATCAATGAACAATTTTACGAACAGAGGAAACTTACTACAATTTTACTAGATATATTAATCCAAAAACCGGAACTAAGCTATTCGTGTATTATGCATATTCCTTTTAGTTGTTACCGCAAAGGAATAAGAAAGGAATTGATAGATTCTATAACAATGTATTTTATTGAAACTCAAGACTTAAAGTGTCTTCAATCCTTGCTGTGGATCCTAAGTGTTCCAACTTATCAATCAAAAATTGAAAAAGACTTTGCTACAATGACCGATGTTTTGAATAAATCCAAAAGTGGTGATTGGAAGTACCTTTCATTTGTTATTGCAACAAGCATTTGGAAATCTCAAGTCCAAAAAGTTGAAGACAAAACAAATCAGTTGTACATTGAAAATACGATAACTGAATTGACAAAATATTTAAAAAGCAGTCATACTACCGAGATCGAACCAAAGATTGAACTTTGTTTAGTGATTTTATCACTGTTCGTGCCAACATCCAATGGCCATCTTTTTGCAAAAGAGTTTAATGCTCATTGTATTTTGTCGATAAAATTAGCAATAAAAAATCAAAACTTATTAGCAGTGTCTTGGTATTTATGGGCCCTCGCATCAGTAGAAGATAGATATGTGATAGATTTCAAAGATACTCAAGAAGTTATTTCAATACTTGACTCAAATTTAATGGAAAATGAACAAACTAGAAGAGCCTTGTTCGAGATAATTTGTAAATCTGCTCCTAGGAGTATTTTTGCTGGAAAATATATCATGAGTGTTTTTGTTTTGATCACATCTTTTGAAAAAGAGCATTTGATCTTTCATTTCAATAATTTGGTGAAATACATAGCTAAATTTGCTTCCGAAGACATGTTGTCCTTCAAAGAAATATCCAAATTCTTGATACAGTCGGCTTCCGATTTAGATGAAGGTAAATCATACGTTGGATCGATCTGCTTGTTAATTTCTGCGATATTGAGAAATGTCTCGAAAGAATCTGATCCTTTTGTTACCACCAAACTATTTGCAATTCTTTTGAAGTACTCGTCATGCATTAAGAACGAGGTGGTGTCGGATGAAGTCTTAATCACAATCAAAAAGTTATTGGTGGAAAATCAATTTATTTTTAATCAACATATATTGGAAATGACAATAGCATTGATCCAAAAACTTTCGTCTACCTCATCAAAGTCAAGCACCTACATAAATTCTACACGAGTTTTATCAACCATATTATTACATCATAGATATAAATTAACAGCGCGGCACCATCTAATCATAAATAGTATATCATCTATGTTAGAGTTATTAGTAAGCTCATCTTCACTAGGGAAAGATATAGCATCAGCCCAGGCATTTAGTAGATTAATGACCAATCTATGTGAACCACAAGAAAGAATCAACGATGCATTAGATTCAACGAATAACACTTTAACTACATCCGCCAATTTTTTCAAAAAGTCATTAAGAAATCATTTGCCGGTATTAACGATCAATTACATTTACTTAAATTTGAAGTATTCTTTCCATAAAGAAATCAATGATATATTGACAAGTGGGATCTTTCTAATATTTGATCTTTTGTCAAAACATGAATTGGCAATGATTAATTCCTCGTTAGACTATGCAGGGAAGGCTTTGTTTAAAACTATGTATCATAATTATAACGAGTATTGGAAATGGAAGGATCAGTAAGGTTAAATTGCATAAATTAAAATTTTATATAGGTACATATCTATTTGGATCGTTATATAAAATTTTACCAAAATTTTTTCTCACTGATAAATTCATTAGTTTCATAAATTCCCATATCTTTAAATCACTTGCATCCTGAATTTGCTGTAATGTAAAATCTTTACGTTGATGATGATGTGAGTATTCATATCGTAGTATATCTTTTCTTGTTATGATACCAGCCAATAATCCATTTTCTTCAATCAAGATATATCGAGGTCCCAACTTTAAAAATATATCTAAAATGTTTTCCAAAGCTGTATTTATATTTACAGTTAATGGTGACTTGTTCACAAAGAAGCTAAAATCAATTGAGTCTATGGAGTTTTGGTTCTCAGTATTGAAGTTACATACAACATCATCATTGACAATTCCATCTTTTTGTTTGAGATTGTACTCTAACTCATACCTTGATATGTAACCTTGAATTTTTGGGCTATTCCCAGATTGTATTATTGGATAGCCCCTGTATGTAGTTTTATTTAATGTCGTTTTCAATTGTTCCAAAGTTAATGAATCATTTGAATCACTCGAAAAACAAACAACAGCTGAAGACATGGCCGATGCTACACTAGTACCAAACGAATAATCTTCTTTAGCATCGATTAATGGAAGTCCATTGAATTTAATCATTTGATCGGCTATTCCTCCTTTACCCCATTTATCATTTATACTTTTGGTAATAGCGACAACAATCATAGTTGGAATAATATAACGTACGGCACCAGTCAATTCAAACATAATTATAACGACAGTGACAGTTAAATCAGTTATTCCACAGAGTCCTGCACCTGCACCTAAAAAAGCATAAGTTCCTGGAATAATACATTTCTCTCCTTCTTTACATGCTGAAAAAATTAATGAATTAGGATGGGATTTGTAAATATGATCAATTATTATACCCAAAGCTCTTCCAAAAGTAGCGCCTGCAGCCATCGATGGTACGAATATTCCTGCTGGTACTTTGCATCCATATGTTATTATGGTGAGACACATTCTTGCAAAAGTTGCAAATATCAATGATACTAATATTCCTGTTTTATTCTTGTTAGGATCACATATAGGTAAATTAAAAGTTGAATCACATTCATGAAACAACATTTGTATCGATTCAGTCATGTCAAGTCTTAAGAATTGATTGAAATATGAAAAACTAGCTGTTAATAAAGTTAAAATTACAACTTCTCTAACTGCAAATGAAGCTAAATATTTCTTCCTAAATCCAACAACTCTGATATTAAATTTTGATACAATAATTCCGTAAACACCACCAAATATTCCTAATATTATGTAAACTGGAATTTCAAAATAATGCCAATTTGTGTCATAGGTCACTTCGAAAAGAACCAATTGACCTGTTCGAAACGGATTAATAGCTGCTAAAGTTGTAACAGCAATCAAGGAACAAAAATATGATTTCCATAATGTCGATAATTGAAAAATCGATGATATTTCTTCTACTGAAAATAAAACTCCCCCCATTGGAGAGCCAAATGCAACTGCTACCCCAGCTGCAGCTGTGGCAGTCAAGAACTCTCTACCCTTAGAAGCTGATTTTTTATATTTTGTAATTAATTTTGCAATAGAATTACCAACACATACAGCATAATGAACACTGGGACCTTCCTTCCCGACACTTAATCCAGATCCTATAGCTAATGGTAATCCCAAACTTTTAATAAGTAATGTCCACCAACCTAAAAATCCATCCATTACAAATCCTGAAACAATACATTTTATTTCACTTATTCCTGACCCTGCTGCAAACGGTGCATAAAATTTAACAAGCTTAGCAGCTGTATATGATAATGAAATTGATATTAATACAAAGATGATATAATTTAAAAATTCAAATCTAGACCATTTACTCCAATTTTCACATTTTTCTTCTTCTTCACCCCAACAACAAAAATTTTCACTTAAATAAAATACATTTTTACAATATCCAACTCTTAGACTTGCTAAAAATGAAGTTATAATATTTAAACATCCAGCTATTAATCCAATAACAATTCCCATTATAGCTAGCACAATCCAATTCAAAATTTGTGATAAAATTTTATCTTTTAAATTAGTTGAACCACTATGAAATTTCTTGATTTTTAATAATCTTTGTTTTTGTTCATCTAATTCATCTTCAACCCAATCTATCGTCCTAAAGTCATTGAATCTTGAAACTTCTGGTATTGAATCTTGATTTACCCATGATCCTGTTTTGGAGTCTCTGATTGATATCGTTGATTCTGGTGTCAGTTGAACTAATGTGTCATCAAACGATTCATTAAACTGTTGGAAAGTAGATGTCATTATATAAACATGGTTCTTTTGGTTTAATATAGTCCAGTTGTCAGTCTTTTCAGATCTTGAGTTTAATATTAGCTTATCGAGAAAATTCAAGTTATTCAAAATAATTATTTTTCAGATTTTGTTTCATTTTACCACCTAAGGTTTGTACAAGCTTTAAATAATGTCAAACTGAAATATTACTTATTACTTATTAATTATTAAAATACTTAGTCTATCTATAAGCTATAAACCATTAATCCATCCTCTTCATCTATTTCTATACTTGATTCATGTTCCCGAACCTCTCAATGTTACCATTTTACAGCGCGTAATTAATCATATTATCATGTAAATTATCAATTAAATGATCAAAATTGTCATACCCTTCCAAATCATCAAATGAAAAGTCATAATAACTTAGAACGAAATTCAAACCTCCAGTTAAAGTGGATACGACACTAAGCATAAATTCAGAAGCGTATGGAGCCATATCTTGCGCAAAAATCATATCTTCTATTTCCCAATATTTATCTTGTTTATCAATTTGATAATTTGGTGTTCTAATTAATCCTAAATTCGATATCTTTACAGCATCTGCTTTTGGTTTGTTTAATTGTGAATAAAATAAATCTTCATTTTTAGGATCTTTTAAATCTGCTTTGTCTAACCATGGTTTTAAAGCATTTAATGCTCTTTTATTACTACAACCATCAACAATTATTTTGTTTGCTTCTCTCACCAAATTCCATGAAAACTCCTTAATCGGTGGTAAATTCAATACAAAACCCATACTTGCCAGAGTGCCAAATATTTTATAATTTTGATCATCTAAAATTTTCTTATAAGCCAATGGTGCAACTGATGAATTGAAATGTCTACGTAATGTCATTGCACATCTATGAGTTGTATAATCTTTTTGGCCAAATACTGGTTGCATTGTGAAAGCATGTATGATTTCGATATAAGAAGTCAATGAAACTTTTTCTTCTTTACATTTGATCAATATCTTCTTAGTTTCTTCTGGAGTAAAATTGATCAATTTGAATGCAATATCATCTGTAAATTTTGCTGGATATCGACCTTTCCATTTAGTAGGATAATCTATTGGAATAAGTTTTTCATGATACAATGGATTTCCATAAGAGTAATCTAAATTCACATCTTCGAAAAAGATATCCATCGGAGGTGGCAATGAATTTTTGATAAATTTTTGATCTTTTTCAAAATTGAATAATTCTGAATCTAAAGAAATATTTGTATCGTCAAAGATACCATATTCCTTTTCAAGAAATTCTTTATTTAACTCATTCTCAACAAATGCTAGATTCTCAACGAAAACTTCATGAAAATAATTAGCAACCAAACCATCAGCTATAGTATGTTCAAAACTAACAGATAAGGTTTTGTCCCCAAGTAGTATTAGTCTAAATAAGGGTTTCTGTGAATACAATTCAAAAATAGAAGTCTTATTGACAAACTTCAAGAACTTTTCATTGACTCTACCATCAGTAATGTAACCTTCTGGTTCAACTAATTCCAAAACATCTCCAAATCTAACTGAATTTAATGGATAATATTTAAATGAATCTAAATCTGAATCAAAATAAACATTTGATACTGATATATGATAATCCAAAATTGTTTTTCTTAAAGCTTTGAAAAATAGATGTAAATTCAGTAAATCATGATTATAAATTGCAGTAACTTGAAAACTTCTATAACAATTAGTTGCAGTCCTTGATCTAAAAAAGTTCTCACATGGACTTAATTTTCTTGAAATTATTATTTCTTCTTCACCCACTTGATCATTTATGTTTGACATATTATTTTTTTGATCAATTCCCTTTAAATATTCGTTTCAATAGGAGGAAAAGACTAATTTCAATATACTTTTGAGTTTCATCATTGAAAGATTATAAAGGTCTTAATTATCAGAGTCAATTGTACTATTGAGTCACAAAAAATTACCTAGTCCAATACCGTTGATATTTTTACGAGACGATCGTGGACTTCCCAAAACAGCAAAATATTCCGCAGTAAGTACCAACTGCATTTGCAACATGAATAATGTATTTCGTCCTTATAGATTCAATATCTTTCAAGAAGCTTAGTTAAATTGTCTTGTTGTCAACCTACACATTTATCATAATTACAAAATACATCTGCTATAAGTTATAATAGGCAATCTTAATTTGAACATCTGTACCTCAATACTTTTAATTTGCTAAATTTTGCAACAATTTGTATCGAAACACATTTCAAATTCTCAAAGCGATCTAAGATTTTGTTCTTTGTAGAAAATGAAATTGAATAAGTACCAACACGGTTGAAGAGGAATCTCTTCTTCATTTGCGACTCTATAGGACGGCTGAAATTGGTTTACGAGATTCTATTATATACGAAAGAATATCTCATTAATTATTTCAAGATGTGAAACATCATGTAATGGTTAAGAAGTCATTTTACACACAGGCATAAAGATAAGATTTACAAAGTAGTCACCAAATCAGTTTGCTAGCATCTGAAGCTATTATCTGTAATAGTTTGAACCTAAGCAAACTTCGCGACTGTTTTTTTATATTCTTATTTTCTCGAAATCAACTAATCATTTAAATCATTTGAAAATTTCTATCTCATTACAAATTCTGTATAATTGATTTGCTTTAGTCTACTAATAAACAGCATAGGTTTGGCAGAATGTTTACCAGCAATAAGTTTGCCTCCAACACGTTTGTTGCTACATAAGCTTTCTAAATTTCCACTCAGTCTCGTATTACTATAAGAAGTTTCAAACACGTCTATTCAAATTTATATATTTATCGATTTGCTTTAATAACTGTAAATCACGTGCGCAAAAAAAGTGTGTAAAATAAAAAAAATAAAAATATTTTAAATTGAATTTGAATTTGCCATAATTACGTTACAAATAAAATAAATAATTTACAGTAAGTATGGTTATATTTATTTTTGACATTTAAATAAGACATACAACTACATATCATTTAATATATCATCATAATCATATAAGTTGAAACTAAAACCACCTAAACAAAAATATTATCCATTTTCTTTACCACTTAATCTTTGTCTTTGAAAGAAAGTAATGATAATTTTTTGAAACAGAGAACGGAAAAAATACGAGTTACAAACCTTTTTATTTAATATTTCAAATTTTAATTTACAACTTTTATTGTAACAACGTTTAGTTGATCAAAATTACGTTAACAACGGACCAAGAGTAAGTATTTAGTTCAAACACGATTGTAATATTCATAGATATTTGATTCAAATTAGATTTAAAAGTCCCACACTTTTAAAATTCATTTTTTAGGAGTGTTATAGAAACAAATCATAATTCATCATCACTAAATAAAATATGAAACATGATACAAACAAACGGCCCCAAGCGTGTTATGAGATTTTAAATTTCGCAATATTGCTTTCGAGAAATTTTAAATACTTAATTTTATAAGTCTAAACTAAAAGAATGTCAATTATTATTATTATTTTATCTTGGAATATATAAACTGTGGCTGTTTGGTTTTTACATTTTTATTTATGAACAATAAAATATTTAAAAATAACCAAAATAAATATTAGAAAAAGAAAGATCATAACAACAACATAAATGGTTCAAAGAGGGAAGAATCAATAAAGTGAATATAGTTGAAAATCCAAACTTTTGAATCAAATGTCATATGAATAATCAAAAATCAATAAATAATAATAGAAATACTAACTATTATAAAAAGGAAGAAAAAGAAGATAATACAACAAATCGAGTAAATAATCAATATATAAATACAAATTCATCAAGAATAGTATTACCATCACAAGAACATCCTATACAAACAGGTGGTAAAAGAAATAATAAAAATCAAAATTTAGCATCACCATTTATTAGACAACATTTATCTCATTCACCAATATTACAATCACAAACTCCGAATCAAACATCGCATTATAATCAACAACAACAACAACAACAACAACATCAACAACAGCAACAACAGCAACAATTACCTCAGCTTCAAAGATATCAGAATCAAACTAATGAAAGAAGAATGAGTTTCACAATGTTTTCACCGAATGCTACTACTAGCCCTTTGTATCCTATTACATCAAATACAAGAGGAAATAATAGTAATAATAACAACAACAATAGTCCATCAAATGCAAATTCACCTGGTGCTATTAAAAAAATTAAACAAGAAGATTATTTATATCATGCTTCAACTTTACCTCCATCACCATTAGCTGGATCATCATTACAACCAAATATTAGTTATACACGTAGATCAAATCAAATACTGACACCAAGTGCAACAAATTTCAAAAAAGCACCATCTCCAGAAAATGAAAATGAAGATGAAAGATTTTTAAGATTAGCAAGAGATGCATTAGTAGCTACTGCTAGAGGAATTGATCAAAGAAATAGAGGTTTAGTTGATCCAACTATACTGGATTTATTAACAAGATTACAATATGCTTCATCACCTCATGGTAATCCTATAGCGAAACTGGAAAATTTACAAACTAATGTATCTGGTCAATTAAATATTCAAGAATTTTATGAACTGTTTCCAAATTTAAGTAATGATATATTTTCAGGTAATCAACTGGATAATCAACAAGATAAAAAAATAATTCCAATTAATGATCAAAATAGTGGTGGAAACAGTAATAGTAGTGGGTTGTTGAAAAGTAGACATCATCCAGCAGGAAATGCATCTGGTTGGAATTTTTTAATTGGTGAACCATTACAATTGAAAGCAGATAGTGAAAGAAGTCCCTTAAATAATCTAAATGTAACAAATGATTTTCAAAAATCAGATCATGATATACTAAATAAACCTCAACTACCGAAAACTAAATCTTCAGGAAAAATAACTAAAAAGACCAAACAACCTAAATCACAATCATTACAACAACAACTGCAACTTCAACAACAAAATTCAACAACAAATGATCCATCAAGAAAATTCCTTTGTTCAAAATGTTCAATGTCATTTAGAAGATCATCAGATTTAAAAAGACATGAAAAACAACATTTAAGTATTCCACCAAATATTTGTGAATTTTGTGGTAAAGGATTTGCAAGAAAAGATGCTTTAAAAAGACATATTGGTACATTAACTTGTAAAAGAAATGCTGATAAAAAATTATATATTGATAATTTAAATTATTTAAAAAATAAAATTAATTTAAATCAAAAAGTTATTAATGATCAACAACATTTAAAACAACTGCAACAACAACAACAACACCATAATCATAATCAACAACAAGAAGAAGATGAAGCTGATGATGGCGATGATGATGATAACGATGATGACGACGATGATGATGATGATGATGATGAAGAGGATGAAGAGGAAGAAGATATAGAAGATGATAATCAAGTGGAAGAAAGACAAATTAAAAAAATTAAAACCAATACCAATGTTAATGATGACAGAAACAATAAAAATAATGAAGATAGTCCGAAATTTCCAACTTATGGTTATCAAAAACTGAATTGGTGATAAAAGAAAAGTATAATGATATAATCTAGTTTAAAGTTTTTTTCTCCATCTAGAGATTTTAGCATAATAGTTCATAATAGTATAAAAATTCACATAGTATAAAAATACTTCTTTTTTTTTGCAAGAGTGGAAGATGGTTATTCTTAAACAGATAGAGCGTTTATTTTTAAGTGGTTCCTTTTCTGTTGATTGATTCAAATCTCGTAATTACTTTATGACGTATTATTTTTCCGTTTTACCAGTTTCTCGATCTCGATCCAAAAATTTTGCAGATTCGACATGTCGGTTCAAAGGAAAAACAAAACTTATTGAACAAAAAAAAATAAAAAAAAATAAAAAACCGTTTAACGGTTGACTAATAAACTTTTAATCCCGTTAGATGCATAGTCTTTTAATATCTTGTTCCAAATAGGTTTTAATTATAGCAATGCAGAAGGACTGAAAGATGTAAGTAAAATTCAAAAGAAAGATTGCTACTCCAAATAATTTTAAAAATCTGGGGTAGTCTATAATTAAATTTATTTCGAGTTTTCTGAAACTACATAGTTAGTGTTCTAAATCACAAAGATAAAAGATCATAATGTTAAGCCTAGCCTAATTAAATAATTTTATTATCGCTTGACTTCTTTAATTCAAATTTTAAAACAAATTATAACCGAGAAAATGGACGTAGGTCAATAAGGGCTGAACCTATCTCATTAGTAGAATCAAAACCAGGCCCCCTCAAAGTTAGTTGAAAGATGCTGTAGCTCTTGTCTAAATAGCCCGAACAAAACTTTGGCTTTTTCATCTCTCTTGCTTCACTCATTGCAAAATATCTGTCGTAATAGACTGCAAAAAGAAAGGAAAAGCCAGTTAGTTGTACTGTAACGACTTCGAGAAGTAATCTAACTCAGATTTAAGATACACCGGATCAGATAGATACCATTCAATGTCTCTTCTTGAGTTTATAGATCAGCTCAATATCTTAAGTTGATCAATGGCAAATTTCTTTTGTAAATTGTTAATTGGTTGTTTATTCAATATTGAATTATAATTTTCCTCGGTTTACCACCTTACAAATTAAAACAACACAAAGATAAATTTATTCTATCAAAATTAGTAAAGTTACATTCAATCAGAAAAATTTCACAGTATTAGAATAAAATATAAAAGATTACATGGAAAACTTTCATCAAAATTTTTAAATGAACTAGGATATATATAGCACAGTATATAGAAGTTTCAATTTATTCACAAATTCATCATAGACTTAATAGACGTTGACTTGTTTTGATATCACTAAATTGACACTTATAGATACAAATCAAATTTACAAAATAGATAATAGATAAAATTGCACAGATTATTCAAATTTCAATTCAAATTTTCACAATATCATAAATATTATTCCCAAACCATTATATTCAAAATGTCATCAGCTCAAAATAGATTATCACAAGTTGCAAATATTTTAACTCCAAAAACAAAACCAAATCCAAAAAATTCTTTAACTCCTGAACATCCTTTTAAAATTTGTGTTATTGGATCAGGTAATTGGGGTACAACTATTGCTAAAGTATTAGCAGAAAATGCATTAGCAAGACCTCATTTATTTAGTCATTATGTTAAAATGTGGGTATTTGAAGAAAAAATTGATAATGATAAAAATTTAACAGATATTATAAATATTCAAAATGTTAATATAAAATATTTACCAGGTGTAAAATTACCAACAAATTTAATTGCTGAACCTGATTTATTAAAAACTGTTGAAGGTGCAGATTTAATTGTTTTTAATTTACCTCATCAATTTTTACCAAAAATTTTAAAACAATTAAAAGGTAATGTACCACCAACTGCAAGAGCCATATCTTGTTTAAAAGGTTTAGAAGTAAATAAAGATGGTTGTAAATTATTAAGTACTTATATTACTGAAGAATTAGGTATTACTTGTGGTGCATTATCTGGAGCAAATTTAGCTCCTGAAGTTGCAAGACAAAAATGGTCAGAAACAACTATTGGTTATACATTACCTTCTGATTTTAGAGGTGCAGGTAAAGATATTGATCAATTCGTTTTAAAAGCTGCTTTTCATAGACCATATTTCCATGTAAATGTTATACAAGATGTTGCAGGAGTATCAGTAGCTGGAGCATTAAAAAATATTGTAGCATTAGCAGTTGGATTTGTTGAAGGTTTAGGATGGGGTGATAATGCCAAGGCAGCAATAATGAGAGTTGGATTATTAGAAACAATAAAATTTTCAGAAACTTTTTTTCCAGAATCAAAAGCTGAAACTTTTACTGCTGAATCAGCTGGTGTTGCAGATTTAATAACTACTTGTTCAGGAGGTAGAAATGTTAAAGTTGGAAGATATATGGCACAAACTGGTGCATCAGCAGAAGTTGCTGAAAAAAAATTATTAAATGGTCAATCTTCTCAAGGTATTGTTACTGCAAAAGAAGTTCATGAATTATTAGAAAATACTGATAAATTAGATGAATTCCCATTATTTGAAGCAACTTATCAAATCATTTATGGATCAGAATCAATTGAAAATTTACCAAACTTATTAAACACTAATGCTTAGATAGAGAGAAACTTCTTCAATACCTTTCAACCGTAACTGTAATTATTTTGTAAATGTTTTTATCAATTTTGTTAGAAATTTATAGAGAGAAATAAACGATAGATTTTAAATAATGATAAGATTATTGATACTTTTTTCATCTATAAGTATTACATGTATTATAATTTTTATTCAATTTTTTGTTTTTTAAAATCATGTTTTTCCACAGTTTCAGGTTCATAAGTATCATTTTCATCATCAACATCATCATAACTTGTATTTGTATTTGTATTAGCATTTGTATTTGAATTTGAATCTACACTTCCACCATTAGCTTTTCTTTTATTTTCTTTTTTAGTTTTATATTTAATTAAAAATTTTTCCATATAAGAATTAGAATATTGTTTTATCTTTTTTAATTTATGTTTATCTAATTCTTTTGGTACTGAATTAATTTCATTATTTTGTTTAATTTCCTTTGTGGCTAAAGTATTTACAAGATCTTTTGCACAACCTTTTACATTATCTTTACCAATTTGTGATTCAAAAGATTTTATAAGATTTGGTACATGTTTAGCTAAAACATGTTTCCATTGTTGTTCTAATGAAACTTCTTTTTTAGGTTTTGATGATGACAGTGATGATGAATGTGATGAATGTGATGATTTTTTATGACTTGAAGAATGCTCTTTCTTACGATCTTTATGTTTATCTCTTTTTTTATGATCAGATGAACGATGATGTCCATTCAGTTTAGATTTTTCTTTAGTTTCTTCAACTTGTGTTGATTTAGCTAATTCAATTAATGCTTTTAATTGTAATTCCCTATCAATTAATTCTTGAGCTTTTAATTTTCTTTCTTCTTGTATTCGTTCTTCTTCTCTTCTTGCAATTTCTAATTCAAATTTTGATTTATTTTGTTGTATTTGTTGTTGTTGTTGTTGTTGTTGTTGTTGTAAATTTTGATCTGCACTTGGTCCGATTGGTAATTTTGGTCTTACCGGTATTGAACCAAATGGTAAATCCCAAGTAGTTTCTTTTGTTTGAGTGTTATAAAAATAATATTTTCGAGAATTATTATCAAATGTTGATTTCCAATTTCTTGGTAATCTATATCCATCATATATTTCCGGTTGATCAACATTATTGTGACTGTCTAGTTGATTATCATTGTTTTGAAGATCTGACAGTTGGTATTGATAATCATTATTTGGTTGATGTTCAGGTGATCTTGATACTCTTCCATATGAAGCCATCAAAGAATTATCTGTACTTTGACCTTTTGGAATTCTATAAGCAATTTCTAATACGGACCATTTATCTAGTAATTCTTGTATTAAATCTTTTATATCTTCATTACTTGTAATAGATTGTATTTCTTTTAAGACATCTTCAATTTGTGATGATGATATTTTATTTTTAGTTTTAGCTGGCCATTTCGATAGTATATTCAATATCAGTGTAATTAATTCTTCATCATTGGTTTCTTGTAAAATTCCTGCCAAAGTCTTATGTCCATGAAATTTAACCATTAAGGAATTAATATAGGAATCTTCAGTTAATTCCATTCTTCCAATTAATTTTTGAATGATAGATTGTTGTTGAGCTTTCATTAATGCAGCCATAACTTTAGATACATCATATTCTTGCATTGGTTGAATTTCTAAACTTTGTATAAACATTTCATTAATTGTAGAATCATCTTTTTGATATTTTGATCTAAGATGTTTATTTTCTTTTAACCAAGCTTTTTCAATTCTTGAAGTAACTCCTAAAGCTTCTGCAAAACCTTCAGGTAATAATAATGCAGCATCTGTTTGAGTTTTACCACCCATAAATTTAAGACAATTTGGTTCACCACAATAACATGGTTGTGATTGTGCTCCATATCTATCAACATTATAATCAAAAGTAATTTCTTCTCCTGGTATTATTTTTCTTTTTGAAAAAATCCCCATTCTTAATTTATCACCAACTACCCATTTATCAACAAATGCATTTGGATTACATGAATGATTAACAAATCTTGCTAATGAACCCTTTTCAGTAGCATCTATAAATGAATCAGTTTTCAACATCATGAAATAAAAATGTTTATATTGTTTTACATCGTATTCAACCATTTTATTTCGGAATGTCGGTTCATCAATAACTTCTCCAATATATTCATAAATAAACTGACCTTCATTTATAGTTGAATTTGCTCTTAATCCATATCCTTTAAGTTCAGTTTGAAAAACAGACACATCTGCATATTCTCTTTTTTGAAATCTTTGATTTTGACAATCTTCGCCACATAAACAATGTTTATTTGTACATTCAACAGAAGTAATTCTATTAATACAATTTGAATGTTCTCCACATGCTAAATTCTTTTGTAATTCACTATCCCATTCTTCTTCACAATCACAAGTTATATATTCTGTTTTTCTTTTTGGTTTCTTATCATTTGGATTAATTTTAGAAGATGATCCTAAATCTTTTCTTTTATATGTACATGCTTCTAATTCTTCAAATTTACTTAATGCTTCTTCAGTTTTATCTTCCGCGTCAAGGTATAATTGAGGAGTATAATCTCCATTTGTTTTAACACCATTCATTCAAAACCTTCTCTTTGTTTTTCTTTGTTAACACATCAAAATTGAATAAATAAAAATTTCAATGTTTTTATCTAAGTTATTTGTATTTACAACCAACTGATCTTTTGTGGAATCACGATACTCGATACACAAATTTTTTTTTTTTTTTTTCGATTTGTCGTTAAATAAAATAAATAACAAACAAAAAGTATTAAATTATCAAAGTGTAATATTATTAATACAAAATACTATAAAAAAATAAGGTTCATCATACTTATGAATCATTCTTTGCCTTCGCTTTTGCTTGTGATTTTTTCTTTATCTTTATCTTTATAGGTTTGTTCTTCATCTCGATAACTAGAAACTCTATGTTTATTTTCAGAAGCGGCATGAACTAATTGTACAAATGCATTAGAAGCTGCATTAGTTTTAAGACCTGACGCCGAAGCCAAGGAATCTTTTGAACGATTTGGATCTTGTTTTGTAGCACTTAAAGCATCATTTAATTTTTGCCAATTTGTTAAAGCTTCACCATCAGTACTTTGTTTTTTACTTAAATTTCCTTCTTCATTAAATAAATTGATTTCACTTGGATCATCATCTTCTTCAGTTTGCATTTGTTTTAATTTATTAATTCTATTTTGTAATTTAACAAGTGCAATAGCTTGTCTAAATTTAGCTTTAGCATCGAAACCTTCTTTAACATTGGGTAATAAGTCAGTTTCATTATGTTGATGAGCTATAGATACTAACCATGGATCTTCTAATAATTGTGTAGCTGTTGGTCTATTGTCAGGATCATATTGTAATGCTTTAATTATAAATCTTCTAGCGTCTTTTGATACATCCCTCCAATAATCGGCGTGAAATATGACGGCATTATTATGTTTGACTTCATTTATAAAATCTGATACATTTTCTGATCTAAATGGAGAATAACCACAAAGTAAAGTATATGTGACAACACCTAATGACCAAATATCACATGGTTTACCATGTCCAGTACCTAATATTACTTCAGGAGCAGCATAACCAAAAGAACCAGCAGAAGATGTTAATTTTTCAGAAGCATCTTGTAATCTTTTAGCTATACCAAAATCAGCTAAAACAATAGGACTATTTTCATCTTCTGTTAAATATAATACATTTTCAGGTTTTATATCTCGATGAACAATATCTTTATTATGTAAATATTGTATAGCTTCCAACATTTGAATCACTACTAATGAAGCATCATGTTCAGTAAATCTACCTTTACTTATAATACGATCAAATAATTCACCACCAGTAGCTAATTGAGTTACTAAATAAAATTTATCTTTACTTTCAAACCAATCTCTAAATCCAACTATATGAGGATTATGTAATTCTTCTAATAATTTCATTTCATCTAATACTAATTGTTCATTTCCTTTTAATGCTTTTTTTAAAATGATTTTAACTGCAACATCTTCTCCAGTTTCTCTATCTCTTGCATATCTTACTATTCCAAATGAACCAGCTCCTAATGTTCTTCCAAATATATATCGCTGCTTTCTCTCATATGAATCTGGTTGTCCTTTTAATTTATTTACAAAATGTTTAAATTGATTTTGACTTTGATCTTTGTGTGGTTGTGAGGTTGTACTTTTTACGTCCGACAGCATTCTTTGGTAATTTTTAGGTCAATTGCTTTATCAGTTCCAATAATTTGGTGAACTAACACAATTGAGAAGGGTGTAGTTGTTAATGAAGGTCTTGTAATAATAAATTATGGAGTACAATAATAATCACTTCTTAAAATTAATTTCTTAATTGCGTTTAAATATTCTCCCCTTAATTTAAAATCGATTACGTATTACGAGAATTTATTATTTTAATATACTGTATTTGGAATGTCAAGATTCCTTCTTCAAGTCTTGTAAAATCTTCATCAAGACCCTATGCTTGATTTCAAAAACAGTCGGAACTTAGTCTAAAAACTTGGCAGAAATATATCTATAAGAAATTTCATGTCATTCGTCTTTCATATAATGAGAGTTGAAACTATAAATAGAATCAAATTTATTACAAAATTTCATTTGTTCTATGTACGTGTAATGATTTTATCCGATCAAACATAGCCGTATTTGACTTACTACAATAAAATATTAAATAAGATCATTAAATTTCTATAAATTAAATATTTTTATAAACTTTTATTAGTTATTTCTAACATCTTCACATTAAATTTGAACTGAATATAAAAAGAACGTAGCTTTGAAATTTCATTTATTTATTTTTTAAAACTTTGTAGCATTTTTAAAATCTTCTTCTGTAACATTTGAACGTTCACACATTTGATGAAAAATTGAACCTTTTGATTTAAATAAATTATAAGGAGTATCAAATTCTTTAACTTCTCCTTTATCTAATACTAAAATTCTATCATAATTTATAATAGTTTTTAATCTATGAGCAATACATAATATTGTACGATTTGCAAATTCTCTAATAATAGTTTCTTGAATTTTTGAATCTGAAATTTGATCAACTGAACTACTTGCTTCATCCATAATTAGAATTTTTGAATCACGTACTAGTGCTCTTGCAAATGCAATTAATTGTCTTTCACCTAATGAAAAATTTGAACCTTCTTCTTCAACAGATTGATCTAAATGAAATTTATGTAATGTTGAAGGTTCAACTGTACTACCATCAGTTTTTTTCTCAGCTTCGGATAATTTAACTGGTTTAACTTGTTTTTTAACTGATTCTAGTTTAGCCTCTTCAATTAATCCTGTTTTTCTTAAAGCATCCCATAATTTATTATCTGAATGTTCATTAAATGGATCTAAATTTTTTCTAATTGTACCTCTAAATAATACAGGATCTTGTGGAATAATAGCCAATTTAGATCTTAAATCTTGTAAACCTAATTTTGAAATATCTATACCATCAATTTCAACTTTACCTGATTCTAATTCAGATAATCTATATAGTGCAGTCATAATTGATGATTTACCAGCACCTGTTCTACCACAAATTCCAATTTTTTCCATTGGTTTAACATTAAAATTTAAATTTTTTAAAACTAATGGTAATCCTGGTCTATAAGATAATGATACTCTATCAAAAGCAATAGCACCTTGTGATGGCCAATCTGGAGGAGGGGCATTTTCAGTTATAACATAAGGAGCTTCTTCAGGTAAATTTGAAGCATATGAATTTAATCTTTCTGCAGAATTCATTTCATTTTCAACTTGTGTAAAAGTTCTTATAAGCATAGAAAGTTGTCCAGCAATTTGTAAAACATAAGATAAAATTAAACCAGTCGAAGCTGCACTAACATTGAAAACTCTATTGACACATAATAATGCAATAAGTAATGCAAATAAACAAGCAATAAAATCCATATGAATAGCTAACCAACGTTGATTTGCAATTGTTATATAATAAGCTTCATTCATTCTATCAATTAAATAATTACTTTTATCCGCAAATCTGCTAGTTGCATGATATGCTTTAATTGTAGCCATACCACTCAAAGTTTCATTAAAATTATTATAAACCAAAGATCTTTGAATAGCTTCTAAACGTTTAACTTCTCTTGCTGATGATTGATAATAATTAGCAACTGCAACAAATAAAACCCCAAGGAATGGAATTGCAATAGCAAACCATGGTAAATAAATAATACATAATATCAAAACACCAATAATATTACAAAATACAAATAAAAAGAATCTTAACTGATCACCAATTTCATTATCTAAAACATCAGTATCTTTAGTAAATCTATTCAAAATTCTACCCATTGGAGTTGTATCCATAAATGACATTGGTGCATGTAAAACCTTTTTAACAGCTAAAACATTCAACATAACCGAAGCAGTATTTGTAATATAAACTAAAACAATGAATTCTATTGTTAATAAAAAGAATGATAAAAATGTAAACATAATATAAAGACCAATATAAAATTTATCTGGTCTATTATCAAATTTATATTCAGTCCAAAATGATAACCAAGTATTTGTAAAAATTTGAGTAAAAGTAGTTAAAATCATTAATGCTAATAATAAAGGTACAATAATCCATGGTCCATATTTACCTGAACCTAATTCAATATATCTTGCATAAACTTTATAACTTATGGCATTAACAGCTCTTTCTTCATCATCAATTAATTTCCCACTTGCATTTGCATCAACATTGAATTCTCTATGACGAGCTTCTTCATCTTCAGGTTCTCCCTTTGCATTAGTACTTCCAGTTTTATTTGAAAAAATTGATCTTTGAGTTAATTGACGTTCAATTAATCTTTTTTCTTCAGATAATTCTTGTTCTTCAACATCTTCAAATTCTTCAACTGTTTCTTCTTCTTCTTCCTTTTTGGATTCACTATTATATGTCATTAATGTTTTAAAACCTTCATTACTAGCTTTTAATTCATCAAATGTTCCAGTTTCAATTGATCCATCACCATTTAAAAATATAATTCTATCAGCTTCTCCAATTAATGATATTTGATGAGTAGCTAAAATTCTAGTTTTATCTTTTAATAAACCCATAATACAATTATTCATAATATGTTTACCAACACGAGCATCAACTGCACTTAAAACATCATCTAATAAAATAATCTCCTTGTTAGCATAAACAGCACGAGCTAAATTAATTCTTGCCTTTTGACCTCCAGATAATGTAATACCTCTTTCACCTATTTCTGTTCTATCTCCAGCTGGTAAAATTTCTAAATCTGCTTCTAAAGAACAAGCATAAATAACTTGATTATATTTTTCTTCATTATATTCAGATCCAAATAAAATATTTTCTTTTACTGTAGTATTTTGTACCCAAGGATAACCACAAAGTAATAATGAACCATCAACATAAACTGAACCACTAGTACGTTTCATAAACCCAGACATGGCTGCTAATAATGAAGATTTTCCTGAACCAATTAAACCAGTTATAACTACAAATTCTCCCTTTTTGATTTTTAAATCAATATCTTTCAATCCTTCAAATTTAACATCTTCATCAGCTGATATATCAGTTGTTGAATCATCTAATCCTTTTGATGATAATTTTTCATCATTTGAATCTTCATGATATGTGTTAGTTTCATCAATGCTTTTCTTCTCATTATCTTTCTTATTATCCTTCTTTGATTTTTTGGAATCTTTACCTGAACTTTGTTCTTCTTCTTCATCTTCAAAAATTTCCCATTCAAAACTTGCATGATTAACTTCAATAGATAAATTTTCTTTATCCATAATTTCTTTAATACTTGGTGGAGCTTCAATAGAATTTTCATCTTGATTAATTTCACTTTGAGACATAAATTCACCAACTCTTGAAATACCCATAAAAGCATCTGCACCAGTAGCTAAAGCCATAGGTAATAAAAACACTTGTTGAGTTAATACATTATATAAAGATAATGATGAAAAAATTGAAGCAGGATCTCTTCTTCCATTAGCAATAGCATAAAGAACTAAAAATGCAGTCATTGAAGCAAATAAAGTTAATGACATAGCAAATGAAGTAACAATATTTCTTAATACTTGCATCTTATATATGATTCTCATTTCCTTTTTACGAATATCTGAAATATTTTCATGATATGGTGGTTCCCAAGAATAAAATTTAATAATTTTTAAATTATTTAAAGCTTCTTTTATATAATTTACTCTTGAATCTGTAAAAAAATTAGCTGTTTTTCTAAATGCAAATAATTTACCAGTTGCTGCTGCAATTCCAACCATAAAAACTAATAAAATTGCAACACCAACTAATGAAGCAACACCAATATTAACAACTAAAATAGCAATAGCAATGGCAATAGGTATTGGAAAAACAAATAAAAACGGCTGAAAACCTAATGCAAAATCAATTCTTGATAAATCTGTACCTAACATTGAAGTAATTTTACCAACTGGATATTTATGCTTAGCTTCTGCACTTAATTTAAATGATTTATCTAATAAAGCTTTTGTTAAAACAGCTTTTGCTTGAGCTCCAGTTATCATTGATCTATAAAAGAAATGATTTATTAAAACACCAACAACAAAAATTAATGCAGTAACACCAAATGAATAACCAAGACCTTTACCAATACCTGTTTCATGGCCCAATGCTTTCATTTCAACATATTGAATTAATTTTTTAGTTAATAATGGCATAGTTGTTTGTCCAGCATTTGATAAAGCTAAACAAGTACAAGCAAATAAATATTGCCATTTAAAAGTTTTAGCTAAAGCCCAAACTGTAATAAATTTACTTAATTTAAAATCTTTTAAATCAATTTCAGGATCAACTGTTGAATTTGTTAAAGTTTCACCTCTTTCTTTACATTTTTCAATAATATGATTTTCTCTTGCTTTTTCAATATCTTTTGTCATATAACCATAAAAATCATCTGCCATTTTTTCAACTTTTATATCATTAGTTAAATAAAATAAATCATCTGGTTGTAAAGTTCTTTTATAACCAGTTTTCATTACTGGTGCTAACCACCAAAAAAATAATTGTGATATTATATTAGCAGAATGTTGAGGATAAGGTTTTCTTTCATCTTGAGTTGGAATATGAGGTACTTTTTTTGAAAACATAAAACTTACTAATCTTTTCTGTCGTTGTAGACTTAGTTGTTGATTTTCTAATTCTGGATTAGTCATGATTTATGGTTTGTATTAAAATTTGGATATTTGAAATGATGATGACGATGAAATAATGATAAAATTTTAAAATGAGATTAAACAATGAAAATTAATGAATATGAGAAATGAATAAATAAATTAATATATGAAATATTTGAGATAAAATAAATATCTTGTAGCAAATTCCAATAATTTTGCTAATCGAATCAATAACTAATGTACTTTGATAGAAAGTTGAATAGTTGGTTGTAAAAATATATTTGAAAAATGATATTGTATAATATTAAAAGCAAATGAAAATATATTTATTCTAATTACATTAAAGAATTAAACTTTTTTAAGTTAAATAAGACATTCTCTTAACTATAGACATTGTTACACAAAGACGTATTATAATATGTAATATATTTATCCTAATTGAATAATAAATTTATTACTATGGCCGTATATTATATAGTGAAGCGAGCGGATTTATCAAACTAATGATAATTTAACTCCGTGCTTCGTAGAAAAATTTATTCATTAGACTCATTTAAACTTCATACGGTTTTAGTCGAAAGAAATTATGACTGATTTACCCAATTCATTCAAATCATCCTTTTTATACTGCACTCGTGTCTTACTTCAACTACTTCATACTGATTTATTATCTATTATTATCTATGTATGATTTACAGTCTAATTATATTTCTTTTTGTATTTTTCACTGCTTATCAATGATTTGACTCATATATTCTGCCTTGAGTAAACAATACTTTGAAATAAAGTACTACTTCAATGATTGACACTATCATGGACTTAGCTATCACTATTTGACTTCAGAGGCTTCAAGGTTGATTCGTTTGTTTAAGTTGTAACATTTTTCTTATAATACTCTGTATAAAAAGGAAATAGAGAAGACCTCGATTAACTACTTTGGGACTTATCTCCAGCGGAATTTAAAACATCAAAATTAAGAAATTGGTTACAAAATAATGTTTGTGACTACACTTCTTCCATTACGCTTCTGTAATTATATGTAATTGACTCGATTATAGGCTATTAATTTAATGAAGGCAAATTTTAGGACTTTATATTGTAATACAATTAATTTCGCAAATCGTAAATCAAATTGAAATTCCCGTAGAAAAAAAGATAAGACCCGATCCGACAAATACAATCACCGCTTTGTTGAATGAATTAGATGTTGTTAGTAGTAACAGAGTGCTAATACTGATGAAAAGTTCAGTAGTTTAATGAATGGGGTTTCAGAACTTTATCCTTAAAAACATCATCAGAAAATAAATATAAAATTCCGTTATCTTGTTGTACAAAATAAAACAAAATTCCTTTGTTTCATATTGTGACTATTTAAAATAAAAAAGTCGATGCCGTTTAAAAATATGGCTAATAATACAAAAGAAGAAGACATAAAAACAAATGTGAAGTAAGACTGATCTGAGTCAAAATTCGGCTTTTCAGATCAACTTTTGAGCTATTTCCCTACAAAGAGTATATCTCCTTTCAGTTTGATAGAAGAAATGTCAAATTTTTATCCTGTTAATGTCAAATCAAAAAATATGATTTGAGCCAAATCTTGAATTTACTAGGTGCAAGCTTCACCCTAATTCTTTGAAATCGAGATCCAAATATTCTGGAAAGGAGACCTTATGAAATTTATATCTTTATATCACATCCTTATGCAGAAACCGTTGTTAGATCGACATAATTTAATCGATAAGGTTTCAGTATTTGCATATGTATGCAATATGTAATAAATGTAAAACTTTATATTAATTACTTTAAAGTAACTTCTGAATCCAGGGTTCTCGTAAATCTGAAGAGTATTGGTACATTTAAGTTTCAGACATCATATTTATACTCATTACTAAAGCTATTTAACTACTTGAATTATTAAACTATTTTTTCTTCAAATGTTTACGTTCAAAATGACGATTAAAACCTTTTAAATCATTATATTGTTTTGGACAATATTTACATTGACGTTTTAATTTATTATTAATTTTTAAATTATTAAATTTTCCTAAATATTTTGGAGTATTTGAATTATTATAGTTTATATGAAAAATATTCCTTTTATTTTTAATGTTATTATGAGTTGTGGTTGATGGATTTGGTGATACATTTTCTTTATTTTCATTGATTATTGTTTCATCATCTTCTTCATCACTACTTTCTGTATACGTTTTAACAATTTTATTTCTTTTAGATCTTCGAACTTCCATTGCTGGAGTAGTTTGGTCTATTTCAATTGATTTTGTCATTTGCTTGGATGAGGATTGTTGAACATTATCTATAGATGCTGGATTAATTGGTGCTAATGGAGATTTGATTTGGGGTTTTGCCATTTGTATTGATGTGGATTGTTGAACATTATCTATTGATGCTGGATTAACTGGTGCTAAAGGAGATTTGAATTGTGGTTTTGCAGCAATTATGGAAGAATATCTAGTAATCATTCCGCTTCTTAAATGCAACACATTATTGACCTCGATCTGCTTCTTTTGTTTTTGATTATTACCTGAAACTTTCTTAACATTATGAATTCTCCATAATTTGAAGACCGCTGATGAAATATTTGTGTTGATATCAAAAGATACAGATTCACTAATTAAACTGTCTGAGCGAGTGTGAAAATTCTCTCCAGATCCAACCGAATTCCTTAAAACAGGAGGCCTTTGATTGTTAGATTTTTCTTACACCTCAAGTGTTATCCTATCTGTATTACGTTACCTTTCCTTTGACATTTTGGTAGACTATATTATGTATGGAAAATTGAAACTGATAAAACCAAAAAATAAAATTAATTTTTCTGCATACAATTCAAGAGACCAATAATTAGATAAGATTAAATCTCATGAAGATTGGATCAGATCATACTTGAATCATACTTGCATAAATTTACCAATACTAAAGGAATAGGGATACAAAAGATAAGGTTTATTAGATCTGATAATTTTGATTCAAATGTAAGGGAACTTAAAGAATTTAGGGTCGGGTTTATTATGTTGACAAATTTGATTGATGCCACAATTTTTCAAAAAATTTCTATAACCATTTCAATACAAAATATCATGAAGTTGTCAATTCCTTGATCAAATTGTCTATGGTTCTATTCCATACACTTTAGATTCTCAAAATATCAACAATGACCGTTAAAAGACAAAAAAAGGAAAGGAAACCATTGATTATCAATGCGTTTGCAATGTTAACTCCAATTCTTCAAAGTAATACATTTGCTGTACCTGAAAATCAAGCTCATTTATATAATTCATTAGATTATTGGATTGAATTAGCTAAATTATTAGAAAAGGGGAAATTTAATGCATTATTTTTAGCTGATGTTTTAGGTCCTTATGATGTTTATAAAAGTGGTGGAACTCCAAATAATTCAAATATTGCACCAGTTGCAATAAGTGGTGCTCAATGGCCAATAAATGAACCAAGTGCTTATATTTCAGCAATGGCAGCAGTTACTAAAAATTTATCATTTGCAATTACTTTTGCAACTATAAGTGAAGCACCATATCATTTTGCAAGAAGATTAGCTACATTAGATCATTTAACAAAAGGAAGAATTGGTTGGAATATTGTAAGTTCTTATTTAAATACTGCTTGTAAAAATTTATTAAATGGTCAACCATTACCTGACCATGATGAAAGATATGAAAAAACACAAGAATATTTAGAAGTTATATATCAATTATTTTTATCATCATGGGCTGATGATGCAGTTAAATTAGATAAAACTAAAAGAATTTATACTGATCCAAATAAAATAAGAGAAATTAATTTTGATGGAAAACATTATAAAGTTCCTGGACCTTTTATTTGTGAACCTAATCCATATCAAAGAATTCCTGCAATTTTACAAGCTGGTGCAAGTACAAAAGGTTTAGAATTTGCTGCAAGAAATGCTGAAAGTATATTTATAAATGGATCAAATCCTCATGGATTAAAAAGTAAAATTGATAAATTAACAGCTTTATTAGAAAAAAATGGTAGAAAACGTGAAGATGTTAAACTAGTTCAATTAGCAACACTTATAACTGCACCAACACATGAAGAAGCTGTTGCAAAATTACAACATTATAAAAAATATGCTGATTTAGATGGAACTCAAGCATTATTTGGTGGTTGGACTGGTATTGATTTAGATAAATATGATTATGAAGAAGAATTAGATCAAGTTGAATCAAATGCAGTTAGATCAATGGCAGAAATGATGACAAAACCATTTCCAGGAGATCCACCAAATTTAAAAAAGACAAGAAGATATGTTGCTGAAAATTTAGCTATTGGAGGTTCAGGTATAATTTTTGTTGGTACACCACAAGAAATAGCAGATCAAATTGAAGAATTTGTTGATATTTCTACAATTGATGGTTTCAATTTTTGTTATGCTGTTATGCCTGATAGTTTTAAAGAAATAGTTGAATTAATTATACCAGAATTACAAAAAAGAGGATTAGTTTGGGAAGATTATCCAAAAACTGAAAATTTAACATTTAGAGAAAATATTTTTGGATTAGGTGATGGTTCATATGATCCAACTTATTTAAAACCGAATCATCCGGCTTATGATTTAAGATGGACAAAAGACACAAGTAAAGAGGAATTTGAATCAAAACTAAAGGATACTTTGAAACAAAATTTTTAGTAAAGTCAATGAAATCTAACCATTTATAATGATAAACTTTTTGTGTAGTGTCGATATCTCTTTAAATCTCGTTAATTTTCCGTCCCGCAATTAATATTTTGCAGCCACAGAAATTATTAAAGATAGATCGGATTAAATTAATTATCTGCAAGAATTATGTCAATTGTCTAATCAAGGATTAATCCACACCTTAAAAATTAAGGAGTTCCAAATAATGATAAGATTATATATATACACAAAGACATGACGTTTATTAAGTTTCATATTTTAGTTAGTTTAAACTAATATACCTAATTATGCCAGTTCGATCAAATAAATATAATTTAAGACCATTCAAAGAAGCTCCATTATCAAAAACAAATATAAAACCAGTTGAATTAGAACATTTAGATTTATCATTATATAAAGAAGGACCAGAAAATTTAAATGTAAGAAAAGAATTAGCTTCAAAAATTGAGAAATCATTATCAACTTATGGATTTATATCAGTAACAAATCATGGGTTTGATCTATCCAAGATAGAATTTTTAAAATCCGTAGCTCAATCACTTTTAGAATTACCAGTTGAAGAACAAAAAGATTATTTAGCAGGAGCTTGGAAATCTGATTTAGAAGATAGAACAAAAAGTTCAGGAGGTGAAAATGGTTCAGGTTTTAAACCAAAACAATATTGGTCAATGAGAAATGGAGTTGAAGATTCTATAACTCATTATAATTTAAATAATTTAAATCATTCAAGTTTATTTGATACTAAAGCAAATAATTATCCAGAAATTATTAAAGAATATTTGGAAGAAATTGCAGAATATTATAGATTTTTACATGGTGATACCCTTAGAAAAATATGTAATTTAACTGATTTAGCATTAGAAATTCCTGAAGGATTTCTTTATGAAAATTATTTTTCAGTTATTGATGGAGATTATCAAAATTCAGGTGGTGGAACAGGAAGATTTATGATGTATGAAGCAATGGATCCTGAAGATCAAATTAAAACTGAAAATACTTGGTTAAGAGGTCATTCAGATAGTGGTGGTTTTACATTTATAACATCTCAACCTATTTTATCATTACAAATTAGAAATTATTTTACTGGTGAATGGAATTATGTTGGTCATACCCCCAATGGACTTATTGTTAATATTGGAGATGCAATGGAATTTATAACTGGTGGATATTTTAAATCTTCAATTCATAGAGTTGTAGCACCACCAGATGATCAAAAAGAATATAAAAGATTAGTATTAATATATTTTTCAAAACCAAAAAATACATCAATAATTGATCCAGAACCTTTAAATTCCCCCAAATTAAAAAGATTAGGTTATAATAAACCTGAAATTTGGGACAAAATCAATTTTCAAGCTTGGAATAATGAAAAAGGTAGATTATTTGGTAAAAAAACTGTCAATGATACAGATGGTGATGAACCAAAATTAGTTTTAATGTATGGTAGATTACATGAAAGATGGCATCAAGTAGAATCAAATTTTAGTGTTGATGAAGCAATTAAAAACTTTGATGTTATGAAATTAGAAGAATTATATACTTGAATTAAAAGTAAGGGGATAAGGGAAATATGGTCTGGAAACTTTATATTAAATTTATATTAAAAATAGTATAATAAGAAATAAATAAACACGTTTAAAAAAATATAAAATTACATCTAAATGATGAACTGGTTGTTTCATCACTCTTCTCATCTAAACCTCTACCCCATTTCGTTTTGTTACTGAAGTAGTAGCACTTTTAAAAACTTTACCAATTCTATCATTACCAACCATAACATTACCTAAAGAATTTCTAACAAATTCTTTTATAAAATCAATTTGTTTAAAATTATAACCAAATACATAAATCATTAAAAATAATCCAATTATAATAACTAATGAAGGAATCCAAAAAAATACTAACATTTTATCATTTTCAACTGATTTTCTTGGATGATTTATATATGTCATTACCATATCTTCTGAAGAATCTGATGCAATTCCTGAATCCATATCTTCTTGTTCTTTAACTTGATCATTGAGGTTGCTGGTATGAGCTGATGAGCTTGAAGTAGAAGTAGTTGTTGATGATGATGTCGTTGATGTAAGTGTGGATGATTTTGTTTTATTTAACTGTTGTTCTATTGTAGATTTTGGTTTTGCAGTTAATTGTGAAGCTGGACCAAATGGGAATAAATCATCATAATTAGGTAAAGAATCACTTTCTTCTTCTTTATTAAATACATTTTTAACTTTTTGCCATAAACCTGGTGATGGTGGGGCTATTCCATTAGAAGTTTTCTTTTGTGGTATATCTAATGTTTGTGAATTTAATTCTGTTGTAGTATTATCATCTTCATCTTCATTTTCACTTACATTTTCTTCATCAATTAAATCATTTTCACTAAATTCATCATCACAATAATCTGCTTCTTCTTCATCATAATCATCTTCAGATTCAAATTCTGAATCCGCAAAATCAGATGAATAACTTCTAGTTTCATTAAATGAAGAAGATACACCACCTTCATTAAACGTAGTACTATGATTATCATCAAATTTTCCATTACTAATTTTAGAATCATTAACATTTTCATGAACCATTTTAGATACATGACGACCATAACTATTTTCAAATAATGAATTCAAAGAATCATAAGAATTTGCTTTTTTAACTATTGATTCATCACCAATTTCACTTAATTCAGTTTCATGTTGTTCTTCTAATTTATTAAAAATATCAATAACATTTAAATCACAATAATCTTGTAAATATTTATCATTTTTTAATTTCATATTCCAATTAGATTTACATTCAATAAATAATTCAATTAATTTTCTTTGACCACACATTGATGCCAAAAATAATGGAGTTAATCCTTGATTATCTTGAACATCAATTTTACATCCATGAATTACTAAAAATTTTATTAATTTATTATAATTCTTTAAAGTAGCTAAATGTAATAATGTTTGACCTTGTTTATTTGTTAATTGCCAATTTGGTATAATTATTGGACAATTTGGTAAATCAACTAATGATAATAATCTTACTAAAACAATTTGAGTTGATAATCCTGAACTTGTTAATTTTTTTAACGATTCATGAGCACTGTTAAACCATTCATTAGCATGAATTTGATTTGTATTATGAACAGTATTATTTGGAGATGTTGATGTACTACTACTAGTTGAAGCAGATCTACCATTTGAATTATTATTATTATTATCTGTTCCAACTATTCTCTTTGCAATATTTTTAGCATCTTCTAATTTACCATTCATTTTCAATCCAACAATTTGTAAAGCTAATTCAATTAATTGTCTATCAGTATCATCTGTATATGTAAAGATTTGTTGTTGTTGTGGTCCACCTAACATTGCAGTTTCATCACCATCAAAGCTAACTAAAACTTGTCCTGGTTGTGATGCCGGTGGTAAATAAGTAACAATAGTAGTTTCAGACCAACAATGAGTTGCTAATGCTAAATTTGGACCAAATTTAACCAGTAATCCAGGCTTGAAATTAAATCCTAATAACGTTATTTCTATACCACCTCTTATTGGACCTTGTGCTGGAATAATTCTTTGAATTGATGGTAATTTTTGATTCGTCGATTGTTGTGAATGAGAAGGTTGCAATTGAATTGATTGATGATGTTGTTGACTTAATGGAGATAATGGATTGAAACTTATTGGTTGTTTCATCATATGAATGTTCGTAGAAGTATTTGTATCACTATTACTCATTGGTGAATATCCATTGATACTTCCATTATACATTGGATTTGATGAAGTATTATATGAATCGTCAACAGATAATTTTTTTCTTTTCAAACTTCTTGTAGAATCTACATCTGTATTGATTTGTATTTCTGAATTTGATTCATCCAATGAATTTGGTGATAATTGATTTGTAAAATCATGTGAAGATCTTTGATCATTTTTTGAATCGGATGTTGATAATTTTTTCTTTCTATTGTTGCTTGAAGTTGAACTTTCACCAAGACCGTGTAAATTCGAAGATGAACCTGCAACAGAATTTGGTAATGAATCTTTCGTTAATGGAATATTTTTCTTTCTATCCATAATCATTATTGGTGATGAAATTTGTTTACCAACTACTTCACCTTTATTATCTTTAATAACAACCAAAATTTTAAATCCATTCAGTTCTTTATGATGTCTACAATAACATATAATTCTAGCTGATAATTCAACTGATTTTGAGTCATTATTCAACCCATTTGGTGATGGGAATGATACAATTTCTTTACAATTGAAAATTACAGCTTTTTTCATCATTTTTTCATCAGCCCAGCTGCTTGAATTATTTTTGATTGATCCTGTTTGTTTTGTAAATTGCCCATCATCTGCTTCTCCTGCCGCTTTACCACGTGAAGCTCTTTTCTGTTCTCTTTTAATACATCTTGAGCATATATTACAAGATTTTTTCAAATCTGATGTTAATACATAAGCATCTAAATATAATAAATTTTCTTTTAATTTTGGATGTAATGATTCAACAGGTTCTGAAAGACAAAATTTATTTTTTGATATTAAATCTTGGGGAACGTATAAAAGGCTTTGCTTTGGAGCTGGACTTAAGTTTATATCACATTTAATTTGTGTTTCGACTCTTGAATAATTAGGTAAACTTGATAAACTCATTTGATATGGTAATTTGGACATTGTTTCATTTGAAAAATCTAAATATGATGGATCAGGTACAGCTACTGATTTTGGAACAGCTTTCATTCTATGACAACCGAATTTCAATTTACCTAATTCTTCTCTAATAAATTCATATTCTGATAATTGATGATTATTACTTATTGATTCATTTTTGTTTTGAGTAGAGTTTCCATTGATATGCTCTGGTGAATTGATCGATTTAGGTGTATGAATTGAAGGATCATTTGTAATTGGTTGATTATTGTTGATTGACTTTGTATCGTAACTTGATTGATTTGGTATATGGGAAAAATTTTGATCTGGAATATCTAAAAATAAGTAATCATTAGGGGATCCATTGTTATCATTTGATTGTGTCAATCCATCGGTGTTATTATTGCTGTTGTTATTGTTGTTGTTATTTATGATACTATTATTATGTGAAATTCCATTATGATTGGTTAGATCTAAAAATTGTTGATAATTTCCATTATTTAAGTCATTATTTAAAGTATGATCATTTGTTAAAGCATATAAAGAATTTAATAAATTTTCATCATTTTCAGATTTAATTTTAATATTATTATTTGATGGAGTATTTGTTCCAATAGAATCATAAACTCTTTGATCTAAAAATTCATCCAATATATCATGATCATCATTCAAAAACCTTGAAGTTTCATCTTCATCCGGATTATAGTTTGAATTATTGTTATTATTTAACGGATAATGAGTAGTCTTTACACTTTCATTAATAACAAAAGTCATGATTTGGTGTTTCACTTGTTGAAAGAGCGAAAACTTCTATGTTATTAAACTGATCTTTTATTGTACAGACCTTGAATAAAGTAAGGACCCTAAGTGATATACTAATTTGAATCTATAGTAATGTATTGATAATTGAATAGTTTACTTTCTTGTATAATATAAATATAATATTGAATGTATAATAAGTCTAGGTGTTTTTCAATAGGTTGTTTAGTCGAAGTAGTTGAATGAAAGTACGAAGTAATAAGTTCAAACAAATATCTATAAAGTGGTTGTAAATAAAAATGTAAAATAAATTTGATAAAAATTTAATTGAAAGTTATTTTTAATTAAAAGTAAAGTACGTGAAAGAGGAAAAAAAAAAAAATCTCTTTTTCAATACTTAATAATTATAATAATAATATTAATGATACGTAACTAAAGATTTATAAAGAAATATGTGGTTCAATCAAGTGTTAAAGCTTAATTCGTTAAGTACTGATTTAGTAAATAAAGGCTAGAGCTGAACTGGAAAAAATAGTAGAACCTATCAGCATTTTCTACTAAACAACCACATGAACAATAACGCCTTGGGCTCTGTAAACTTCATTTAGACTTTGAATTGTATGGCTGATTTTCTTGATTAAGCTATGTTTTAATAGAATAGAATTAAAGTTAAATTGGAAGAAAAGAAAAGAAAAGAAACAAACTCTGTTACCTAATTGCTTTCGTTGTATATAGATGTCATACATAGTTGCAAAAAAACTAATTTTCTTTTCACATAAAATTTATGAAACGTTTTAAGGTTTTTGCATATTTTAAGGGTCATAAAAAAATAACTATAATAATAAGGGTATTCAATGAAACCATTTTCATTTTATTTGATCAATTGAAATGCATTGCTTACACTTACAATCTTAGTGAATAGAGTCAGTAAAATCAGGAACCCTCTTTCTTTTCAGTTAAGGGGTTCTTGGTTTTGTTTGGTATTTTATCTCGATATTCACTCAATTTTTCATTGAAGGTTTGTTCAACAATTGATAGTTCTAATGGCTGATGAAGATATCATTCAAGAAATCAATCATCAATCAATCGAACACTATCACAAAACATTTTAATAAAGTATGTGCTGTTATTGTTTTTTATTGTTTTAATTGTATTGAATTTGAAACACTCAACAAATAATAAAGATTTTAAACTTTAAAATAAATTGTTGGGATTTTATTTTTATTTTTTTTTTTTTTTCTGTCGCTTACATAATATTGTATGAGACAATTATGTAATAGTCACGCAATACTTAATCTATTTCCAAATTAAGCAAAATGAATTTGATATCGTAAACTTGAATTTTATGACTTCATATTTTTGGACACTATCGGGAACGCTACCAAAATATACTCAAGTAGTGTCAATAGTAAATAATATACTTTTGAGACATTGAAATCAAAGTGAACAAAATTCGGTCATACAAAAAATTAAATTTTCAAGTTTTCTACAACCAAACAACCTTAAAATCATAACAAACTATGCCTAAAAATACATTATATGTCACTGGGTTTTCTAGAGACTCAAAGGCTGCTGATTTGGCACCAGAGTTTGAAAAGTATGTACCTCATTCAAATCGAACTTCAAATTAGATTAGATTCATTCATTCATTCATTCATTCATTTATACATCAAGATTCAAGCAAATTGATTCAATTGAAAGATTTGAAATAATAACGATCATTGCGTTTATTAAAATCTGATTCATTTAACTCATGACATTCGTGTTATTGATCTAGTGATTTGCATCATCTGCAATTACGCGGTACTATACTGATTGAAACATTTCAAATTCAATAGCAATTAAGCATCTTTTATTGATCCATGTTCCGGTATTCCAATCACTTTAGCCATTTAGCACTCATATACTCAATTCAAGACTTCATGTCTGCTTAAATACTATGACTCAATCTTAAAGTTCAAAATCAAGACAATCAAATAATTTCATTTTCAATTGTTTTGTTTTAACTTTTCTTTTTTAGGAGAATATTTCATTCCAATCTTTCAATTTCTGATAAAATCTAACATTCATGATCAAAAACTCAATAATTCGGCCAAAGAATTTTTGTATTTTCAGTTCATTTCATTCATTTTCAGAACTTCATTTTGTTCATTTCTTCCATTTCCAATTTCAGTATTATTTTCATAATCATATTTTTATCATAATCATATTTTTATTTTCATTTCACTGTGAACGTATCACTTCACTTCACTTTACTTCATTTTAGTTCATTTCATATAATTTCATTTCTCATTGAGCCCAGTTTCAAAGATCATTTTCATGTAAATTTTTTATGTACTCACTTCTCATTATTTTATGAACTACTGCAATAAGATCAATAGACTAAAAAAAATAATGAATCAATCAAAGAATCAATCAAAGAATCAATAATTTGAAAATCAGAATCAATAGAAAAAAAAAGATGATACGAATTAGAATAAGAATTAGAATCAATGTATCAAAATCAAAATTCCATTTCAACAATAAAAGAATCATTCAACTAACAGTCAATCATAAAGATATGGAGATTTAGTAAGATTAGATATTCCACCACCAAGAACAGATGATGGAGAAAAATATGCTTTTGTAGAATATAAAGATGCTGAAAGTTGTGAAAGAGCTTTAGATTTGGATGGTCAAAAATTACCTTTTACAATTGGTGATGGATTAGTTGTTCAAGTAGCAAGATCTGATCCTTATCAAACTAGACCAAGAGGTGGTTTTAGAGGAAGAGGTGGATATGGTTATGGTCATTCAGGAGGTTATGGTCCTCCAAGAGGTGGTTATAGAGGTGGATACGGTGGAGGTTATGATGATGGATACGGCGGATATGGAGGTGGTAGAGGTGGATATCGTGGAGGATACGGTGGTAGAGGTGGTTATGGAAGAGGAGGATATGGTGGATATGATGATGGATATGGATCAAGAGGTGGATATAGAGGAAGTAGTAGAGGTGGATATGGAGATTATAGAGGAAGTCGTGGAGGTAGTGAAGGTGGTTATAGATCAGGTGGAGCTGGTAGAGAAAGAAGTTCATATGAAGGAAGAGGTGATTATCGTAGAGAAAGTAGAGGAGAAGATAGAGGTAGATATAGTAGATCCCCATCAAGAGAAAGATCACCAGGTTTTTAAATTAAGGAGGTGTGCAGTTGTCTACATTAGGTAAGGTGTATAGTATTCATTTATGAAAAATAAAAGTAAGTTGCATTTAAAATTAATCGTAAATTAAATAATACTGTCTATTAAAATAAATAATTAAATAAATATCATTATCATTAAGAATTATTTTCACCATAATCCATCATTACAGTTTTAACATGTCATTGTCATTATTGTGAATTTTCTTCATCATACATTAGTATGCCATCAATTAAATTTGAAGCATCAGGTTTTTTAGCAACAACTTGAGGAATTAAACCATGTTCATTTATTAAATATTCTTCAGTAGTAGGACCAATACTTGCTAATTTCCAATTTTTAAGAATATCACTTTTGGATCCTTTCAAATATTCAATTATATCTTTTGTTCCTTGAGGACTGAAAAATATAATCCAACCAAAACTTTCAAATATTTGATTTTCAAAATTTATAACAATATCGTTTCTTTCTTCAGTTTTATACATCGCATATTCTTTAAAATTTTTAAAACTAGCTTGAGTAAGTTGCTTTGGTATAATATCTTTTCTAATTTCTCCAGTTAAAAATAAAATTTTGGAAGTTGTTGAAACTTCATTAATAATAATTTCAGATAATTTTAATCCATTACCTGCTTCAATTCCACCTCTTACATCTTGGAATCCAATATCTTTTAACATTTTAAAAGTTGCTGGTCCAACAGTATAACCAATTTTTTCAAATATCTTAGATTTAATATTTGGTTTTAAATCTGATATACATTCACCTAACATTTCTACTGCTCTTTGACTTGTTATTATAAATATCGAAAACTCTAAAAATGTTGAAATAAGAAAGTTTTGAGTTGTTTGTTTATTCGGTGAATGAGTATGAGTTAATAATGGTATAAAATTTGGCTTGTAAGAAGTTTTTGATTCGAATTGATCATTATATGGATCTTTTGGTGCTGATGGATTTTTTAGTAGTATTACTTTCTTCTTCATTACTATGAGTTGATCTTCGGGGAAGGTTGATGAATCTTATTCTGGCGTTTTGTATCTTGTGATTTGTAATTGAAATTGATTTATTGGTTTGATTAAATATTTGCAACTTTTATTTTTCAGTCTGAATAATCTTTGATAGAGAATTACATAATAGTTATGTATTTGCAACAAATAAATTTTAGTCTATCAAAATCATACACAAGTTAGAGCAGACAATTAAATATTATTGTTTTTAATTTATATTACAAATCAAACCTATAAATATAATTTAATCAATTTAAGAGTAGTATCTAATATTTTCAAAAAATTTATTTATTTTTTAAATGCTTCATGAACAACTTTGATGATTTGTTCAACAACTTGAGGATTTGATAAGGTACTTATATCACCTAATTGATCTTCTTCACCTGCTAAAACTTTTCTTAAAATTCTTCTCATAATTTTACCAGATCTTGTTTTGGGTAAATCATCAATTAATAAAATTAATTTTGGAGCTGCAAATGGTCCAATTTCTTTTCTTACTGTTAAAATTAATTCCTTTTTAATAGCATCTAAATCATCTAATGATGCATCACCATTAAGGTGATGATGTCCATTACTTGTTCCATTTGAATGTCCATTACTCGATCCATTACCATTTTTCTTCTTTAATGAAACATAAGCAGCAACTGCTTGTCCAGTTAAATCATCAGCATAACCAACTACAGCACTTTCAGCAACTAATGGATGTTCAATTAAAGCAGCTTCAATTTCTGCAGTTGATAATCTATGACCACTTACATTAACAACATCATCTACTCTTCCCAAGATCCAATAAAATCCATCTAAATCTCTTGCTGCTCCATCACCTGTGAAATAATGATTTGGATATGGTTTTAAATAAGTATCAATAAATCTACCATAATCGTTATAAATACCTCTTGTAATTGATGGCCATGCAGATTTTATAGCTAAAACACCTTCAACATCATTTCCCTTTAATTCTTCACCAGAAGTTGGATCTAAAATTTTGGGTTCTACACCAAAAAATGGTAATGAAGCTGAACCAGGTTTTGTTGGAGTTATACCAGCTAAAGGAGTTAATAAATGTGATCCACTTTCTGTTTGCCAATAAGTATCAACAATATGAGCTTTACCTCTACCTATATTATCATTATACCAATGCCAAACTTCTGCTGCAATAGGTTCACCAACAGATCCTAAAACTCTTAAAGAACTTAAATCATAATTTTCAACATATTTTGTACCAGCTCTTTTTAATAATCTTAAAGCAGTTGGAGCAACATAAAATTGATTAACTTTATATTTATCAACAATTTCCCAATATCTTGAAAAATTAGGATGAGCTGGAGTACCTTCAAATACAACTGTTGTTGCACCATTTAATAAAGGACCATAAACACAATAAGTATGACCAGTAATCCAACCAATATCTCCAGCAGTAAATAAAATATCATCTTCATGAACATCAAATACATATTTAGTAGTCAATAAAGCACCTAATAAATAACCAGCAGTTGTATGTTGAACACCTTTTGGTTTACCAGTTGAACCTGAAGTATATAATAAAAATAAAGGATCTTCAGAATTAACTGGAGTTGCTGGGAAATATGAACCATATTTATTCATTTCTTCATGCCACCATAAATCTCTTCCCTTTGTAAAAGGAACATGAGTATTACCAGTTCTTTTAAAAACAATAACATTTCTAACATTTGGACATTCTTTTAAAGCATCATCGACAATTTTTTTAGTTTCAACAGTTTTACCACCTCTTTTTGATTCATCTGCAGTTATAACAACTTGTGAATTAGCATCCAAGATTCTATCTCTTAATGAAGCACTTGAAAATCCTGCAAATACAACAGAATGTATAGCACCAATTCTAACTATAGCCAATAAAGTAATAATAGCTTCAGGAATCATTGGTAAATAAACAGCTACTGAATCACCCTTTTTAACACCTAATTTAATTAAAGCTTGTGACATTTTACTAACTTCTTTTAATAATTCTCCATAAGTTATAATTCTACCTTGATTTATTTCATCAGCTTCAAATATAATAGCTGGTTTATTTGGATTTTTAAAAGCCCATCTATCAACTGCATTATAACAAGCATTAATTTCTCCATTTATAAACCAAGCAGGTAAATCACCATTTTTAAAATCATCTTGAGGATTTTTAGGATATCTTGCTAAATCAAAAGGTTTAAACCAATCTAAATTTTGTTTAGCTTGATTACTAAAAAATTCATTTGGATCTTGTATTGATTGATTATATAATTTTTGATAATTTGTAAAATCATTTAAAAAAGTTTTATGTTTTGATCTTTCATAAAATCCTTGTGGTGGTTTTTGCATATCTTCATGATCTATTGAAAGATGAGAATGTTTTGTTGTTGATTCTGGCATTATTTTCTCGACTTTTTATATGTTTTGTTTGTTCTCGTAAAATTTAATGTGGTGTTTTAAATTGATAGGGTTATGTAAAGTAACTTAAATTTAGTAGTACTAATGACAGTTTGTTGAGTAAAGTTTCAAATACTGTTTTGTATGAATAACTAAGTTTGTTAATAAAACGTATGGAGAGTTGAATTTTAACCAAAGGGGAATAAAAGGAATATATTTTGAATGACTAGTCAACTCCACAAATTTGTATTCTCAAATATAATCTAGTTATGAGATGAAGTTTTCAATTACTGTGTAATCTTCTAACCAAATTTATGAATTATTAAAGTTTGATAATGATTTTGATGATATTATAAATGATGCGATATGATAATTAAAATCTTTTAACGATATTAACTAAATAATGTAACTTAATGTATCGATTGATTTAATATTTAACTGAGTTGAAAAAAAAAGAAAAGGTTATCAATGAGTTAAAGAAATTTGGATAATTTAGACAACTATTTATATTACAATTCAAAGCAGTTTTTGTACAATTACTAGGAGATTTTGTTGAGTGAGATTATAATATAAAATTTTCTTTTACATTAATTTACTTGTGTTTCGAAATATGATATGATAAGTTTGTGTTAATGTAATAAAATAAGTAAATGAATAAATAAACATGTATAATAACTCAAATTAAGCGATCACAAAATTTTATAAATTACCATACAGAATTAAGAAACTAATCTAAATTAATATTTTTATTACTCAAGTACGGATTGTGTTTCAAAAACCTGTCATCAGATTCCTCAAGTAAATTAATTAAATGTTGATCAAGCATAAAATGTTCGGTTGATGTTCTTCCATGGAAACTGTATCAGTATGACTTCTTCGAATTAGTATCAATTCAAGATACTATGATTATCAGATAAAGGACTGATTCTTTATGAGCTTTAACTTTATCTTTGCTCAACAAATTTACATAACTACTTTGTGAAAACAAACTAATGCAATGATAATCAACTTCTTCTTTTTTTTTTTTCCTTTCTATATTCAAATGTAATTTTTGTGGGGTTTAGAATGAAACGATTGGTTATATCTTTTTGTATTCGTATTTAATCTTCAAAAATGTAGAAATAAAAATTAACCCTTTCTGCAAATATCATCAAGAACAAGAAGTTAGTCCAGAATTTCAAACTTTTTCTTGTTTTTAAATGATCGAACTAAATAAACATGTCAAATACTTTAAATTTAATAGAGAGAGTCAGTGTCAGTGGGGTTGGTGAAGAAAATAGAATTTGAATACTTGAAAAGTCTATTGACTAATCAGTAGAGGTTGCTCTGCGATGCTCTATTTTGACAACATCCAAACGGAATGAGACCATACAATGTTAAGTGTTAGAATGGTATAACCTTCTAATTTGATCCAAATGAAAGATATAATATTTGATACAGAGCTAAATAAATTTAAAAAAATAAATAAATTGTAAAAAAAAAAAAAAAAAACTCCGAAGATCTAAATTTCAATTTTGTGTTATTATTCTTGTTTGAATTGTGGGGGCTTTTTTAAAGTTTTAAAATAGATAAAAACTAAATTTTGTTTTTAGTTTATTTTAGTAAATGCTTCATTGAGATCTGTCATACAAAGACAAAGCTATCACAAAATACAAACAAAGAACTTCGGAGTTTTATTTAAAACTAAGATTGGAAAATAAATGAGATGACTTAAAACAATTATTATTGAATGAAAAAAAAAGTCCGACAAGTTTTCTTTTTGAAAAAATTAATTCAGAAATAAAAGAAATATTTTAGCAATATTTTATGTCCCTGGATATTCGTCGATATTTATTATTATTATTCTTCAAGGCACTACTAAAATTATAGTTCAATGAAAAGTGTCATCGTTCTAGTCGCTATTTGTTCTGACTCGGACTGAATGCAGTCAATTAAAACACTCACCACGACTTGCTTCTATTCACACCTCTGAACGCTTCAATTTTGTAGTATTAGGCTGACATCATAATTTCTCCGTTTTAAAGGACAAATAAATGATAAATTTGTTGGCCAAACTCTTCAGCTGGCTCTTTTTTTGTCATGATGATGTAATAATTGATACATATGAATATCCAATTGATAAACAATTCTTGTATTCAGTAACAACAAAACGTTTATGTTGAAAAATTTACATCAATTTATTCTTTAAACAAAAATATATATACAAACACTATTACCCCGGATTTTCATAATTTTGTGTCAATAAAACACTTTCTCGACTTTTTATATTATTTTGTATTGATATTATTTGATAAGAAATTAAATAGAAGTAAAGTTTTCCGTGGAATTAATTTGTTCTTAACGAGTGAGTATCCGTTTGACATCACTCATGGAATCCTTTTACCCAGTTAATTATAGTAAATAAGAACTCATTCTGAATTTTCGTGCAGTTTGTCTTTTTTTTCAATACCCTGTTGTCAATGTTTGATGCTGACTAAGAGTTTTAGTAATTGGTGGTTCTTTGTTGAGATCCCGCTGTGGACTTATCATTTCATCTTTTACTTGATAAATCCTCTATTATTGGTAAAATCAATCTGCTGAAAATTCATTTTCGACTTCGATTTGCTTAATCGATGTATAAGATTTTGAGATTCAGGAAGAGGAAGAGGGCTACAGCAGTTTCTTAAATTACAGGTAGATTTTCTTCTTGTTAAGTACCAGTACTTATAGTTGACTGTTTATGGTTCTCATTGACTACTTTGATAAGTTAATGTAATACACTATGTGAGTCTTTAAACACAACCATTTGTTGGGCTGTGATAGCGGACAAGGTATAAATTGAGATAAGTCAACTTCGTTTGATTGAATAATGTTTTCCATAACAACATGAATAGACTTCTTTCATTTGCATAATGTTTTGTACCTAGCCATATCTTGAAAAGTGTAGCATTGAATATATCTGTGATCTTGATAATCTCATTGAATCCTGGATTAGTAGTTTATTCATACAAAACCGATTACTTTTAATCGATTCAAATTTAGTTGACCATGTTTCAAAATTTAATCTCAGATGATTATCAGTTTTTAAGGATATCAACTTGTCATTGCATTCGCCAGTTTTTAAAGATAAATAAAGACTGTCTAAATTCAAAAACAAGTTGATGACAAGAGTTTAAAAGCAGTAAAGTACCGTCTTGTAGTAAAGTTGTTGAAAACAATGATGATATGAAGTGAATATACTTTAAGGATTAAAACGATTTAGCCTAAAAGTTTTAAAAAGATCAAGATATAATGTCGTTAAATATGTAGACACAGAAATTTTGTCACAAAAAACCACCAAAGAAAGAACAGTCACATGACCTACAAGTTTTGTGTAATATAATTTTTCAAATGAGAAGAGTCTACATCACTTGATTCATACAAACAGTAATGAAGCATCAAAATTATTAGAATTAAACAAAGCTGACTTTAGCTATATACCTACCCTTATTCCAATCTATTACGACCTTTACCAATGTCATCAGCAAGAGCAGGAATCCCACAAGTACGAAATCCAACGCTAGCGTCCCAAACAACACCTGAACAAAGATATTGGAGAAGTTATATAAATCCACAATTAATAAAAGAAAATCATCCAATAAATCATATTGAATTTAACCCTGTATCACCACAAGATTTTGCAATAACATCATCAACAAGAATTCAAATTTTTTCATCAAAAACAAGACAAATTATAAAAACTTTTTCAAGATTTAAAGATATAGTATATTCATCAAATTTTAGATTTGATGGTAAACTTTTGGTTGCATCTGATGCTACTGGTTTAGTTTCAATATATGATAGTTATCAACCAAGAAATTTATTAGTTTCAATAAATCCTTCAAGTCATCCAACTCATGTTTCAAAATTTCATCCAACTATTGGTTCACAATTATTAACTGGATCAGATGATAGAATATTAAGATTATGGGATATATCACAAACTTCAAAGGGTCCCATTTTACAATTTGATGAATCACAACATAAAGATTATATAAGAAGTATAAATTTTATACCTGGAGATCCAAATTTAGTGCTTACTGGTTGTTATGATGGAATAGTAAGATTATTTGATATAAGAGATCCTCAAGGTGTAGTAACATCATTTAATCAAGAAAATCCAGTTGAAGATGTTTTAGCTATAAATCAATCTACAGTAGTAAGTTCTGGTGGTTCAAATGTTAAAATATGGGATTTAACAAGAAATTCACAAATTCATCAATTAAATAATTTTACAAAAACAACAACTTGTTTATTCGATACAAAGGAAAAGGGTTTAATGATTGGATCATTAGATGGTCATGTTAAAATATTTGATTATAATACAACTAATTGGGAAGTTAAATTTGGTTGGAAATTTAGTTCAGGTGGAGTATTATCATGTGCTGTATCTCCTGATACTTATAAACATTTTGTAACTGGATTAACTTCAGGATTAATATCAATAAGAACAAAACAAACTGAACCAAAAATAAAACAAGGTATAAAACAAGAAACTTCAAATTCATATCAAAGAATGATGAATGGAAGAGATTATAAAGGAGAAGAAGAATATGAAATTATAAATAATACAAGTGGACCAAATACAAAAAAATTAAAACAATTTGAAAAATATTTAAATTCATTTAAATGGTCAGAAGCATTAGATTCAGCATTTGCTTCTGGTTTACCAAAAGAACAAACAATAACAATATTAAATGAATTAAAGAAAAGAGGTAAAATAAGAATTTCATTATATGAAAAAGATGAAATTTCATTACTACCAATATTACAATGGTTTATAAAAAATATAGAAGATATAAGATCTTTTAATTTAATTGTTGATTATTTAGCTATAATAATTGAAATGTATGGAAATTTAATTAATAAAAGTATTATATTAGAAGAATGTTTTAATGATTTATTACAAAAGATAAATGAAGAAATTAAAAAATGTAAAGAAGCTAATGAAATAAATGGAATGCTAGATTTATTAACTGTATAGAATATAAATATTGTAAAATCTTGTATTTCAACACTTTATTTACCATTTACGTTTTCTTTTCCGTTTTTGTATTTCTAATTTTTTAGCTCTTTCTTTTTCACCAATTTCTCTACAAAAATTTGAACAATACCAAGGTAATTTTCCAGTTGTATATTTTAAAGCTTCAACTTTATTTAATAATCCAACACATTTATAATGAAACCATTCACCATTTGGACATGATTTTTCATTATCACAAGATATCATATCTCCAAATGATGGTTGATGACAAAAACAATAAGTTTGTTCCAATTCTGAAACACCTAACTGAGGTTCTATAATATTTTCTTTTTGTTCTTCCACAATTTGAGCTTCAGATTTAATTTTTTTAATTGGTTTTATTTGTTGCTTTTTTGCTTCATTTCCTTCTAATTTTGGTTTTATAATAGTTTTTAATTTAGTACGCCCTTTTTTAATCAATGTATTTTCCCCATTAATTATAGGTTTTGTAATTTTATCTTGTTTTGGTAATTTTAAAATTAATTTTAAACCAGATTTAGTAGTTGTTGTAACTTTTTTAATCTTATTTTCATCTTCTTTATCTTCATTTATTGCTTCAATTTGAGATTTTAATGGATTTTCCATATAATGTTGTCTTAATTGATTTCTTAACGAATTATATTTTTTAAAATTATTCACGTCTTTTACTTTCGTTTTTTTATCTTTAATTAAATTCAATTGCTTTATTTCATCATGTAAATATAATTTATGAGTTACTAATTGATTATTTAATGTTTGTGATTCTTGAATTGATTCATTTGATAATTGTATTATAATTTGTTTTAAATTATAAACTTTTGATAAATTATCATCCAGTATTTCATTAGTTTCTCTATAATTTGTTAATATTTCACTTAATTCATCTCTATATGTATTTATCTTAATATTTATCGATTGTATTAACCATAATGATCGAACTATATCACAAGGTAAATGATCAATAGTTGATAAAAATGAATTTTGTAATGAATATGAAGGATATACTAAAATTTCTTCCTCCTTAGGAGGCTCAGTCTCCTTGAGTGTTTGTTTCTTCTGTGTATTTTCCAAATGTAAGAAATAATTACTTTCTATTTCTTCTGTATCCAGCATGTTATATAATCATTTTTGGGATTGATCAATGATAAAAATTACAAGGTAAGTAGATTACATAAAATATTTACGATTGTTTATTTTTGAAGTTATTACGTGCTTGATTCATTACACAAAATTTAGGTGTCGCGTAATTATGTCCATTCGTACGTAACTTTAATTTTTGACATAAAACCAGCCCATATAAAAAGTGAAGAAAAAAATTGTCATTCAATAATTGATAATATTAGTTAATTTTTCCCCGGTAATAGGCTAAACCAAGAATACACAAATGTTCATTTCAAAGAATAAAGAACTATCCTTGGAAGAAAGAATATCATAAATCTGAAACTAAGTTGCACGGAAACATTGTTGATCCAATTTCATCTTCAATTTTCGTTTAGTCTAGTGGGCTAGACTTGATTTGGTACAAACCTTACTTTGTTCTTATATGTACAATGTTTTAAAACCGTAAAGATTCGTTTTTTAATTCAAACGTTGATACTTATTCGATTAATGTATTTAACTTAACCCTACAGATTTATTCTTTTTAATTTTTTTTTTTCTTTTGCATCCATTCATGAAACATCGCATTAAATTCTTTTCAACCTTGGAAGTTGTTTTTTAATGTTAATTCATATATTAAAACCACTATAGTTATCTACAATGCTTCAAACAATTGATTACAGATTACTTTGATAGTTAATGAACATTCATTTTCAATTCAAATCGTTGATCAAAGACAATAATATAAAAAGCCAAGAATATTCACTTTATATTAATTTCTTTTGTATATTTTTCAATTATTTTATTATAAAACGATTATCATTTGTATTAAAAAAAACATACATTAATTTGCAAAATAATATATCAAAAAAGGATCTTATATTACAATTTTTTCATATTTATATTAGTCAACAGATGAACTCATAAATAGCTTATAAATTAAAGAAAGAACATTCACATTAAAGTAGAAACACTATATCATTACCATAAATCATTTATGAACACCATCCTATACACATATATATATTGAGAAACTGAAGAATATAATATGAATAATAATCATGAAATACTAGAAAATCTTATATTTATAAGGGATGATGATTTATGTTTAGATTCAAATCCATATAATGGAAAATATTTTATTGCAAGAATAACAGCAGTTCCTGTATTATTTGTTGTATCAGCAATAGGATCATTTGCTCCATTAATTGCAAAACATAATAAATATTTTAGAATACCTGGTTGGTGTTTTCAAGCTATAAAATTTTTTGGTAGTGGTGTAATAATTGCAACTGGATTTATACATTTAATGGCTGAATCATCAAGAAATTTAACAAATATTTGTCTTGGTTCTCCATTTGTTGATTATCCTTTTGCTGAAGGTATTGCTTTAATTGCATTATTTTTAATATTCTTTTTTGATGTTATTGCTCATCATAAATTAAATGAAAAAGCTAAAAGAGATTTTAATAAAATGGGAAATATTGAAGATACAACTAAAACATCAATATCAACATCATCGGAAGAGATAAACAATGATAATAATACTAATACATTTCAAATTCAAGAGCTAAAAGAAAGTCATATAAGTATGACTCGAGATCTCGAAGCATTAACTACCACTAGTACCACCAACATTAATCATGATGAAGAAAGATCAAATTCTAATTCAATAACAGAATCATCATCACAATCGTCAATAAATTATAAACAAGAAAATGAAAGAAACGATAGTCAAAATAATAATAATCCAAGAAACCTCAAGAATTTAGAATCATTATATCAACAAATTTTAAATTGTATAGTATTAGAATGTGGTATAGTATTACATTCAATATTTGTTGGATTATCTTTAGCTATTGCAGGAGATGAATTTATAACTTTATATATTGCAATATGTTTTCATCAAATGTTTGAAGGATTAGGATTAGGTACAAGATTTGCAACAACTCCATGGCCCCAGGGTAAAAAATATATTCCTTGGGTTATGTCATTAGCTTATAGTTTTACAACACCATTTGCATGTGGTATTGGTTTAATAGTTAGAGAATCTTATCCACCTGGTTCAAGGACCGCATTAATAACAACAGGTGTTTTCGATGCTGCTTGTGCTGGTATATTAATTTATAATTCAATTGCAGAATTAATGGCTTATGATTTTATGTATTCAGGAGATTTTGAAAATAAACTGATAAATAAAATCTTGGTTGCATTTTTTTATTTAACTTTAGGTGCTTTTGCGATGGCATTAATTGGTAAATGGGCTTAATTATATATAGTTGTGTTTTGGGGTAATTTTGGATATTTAATAAAAGTTTACTTATAAAGTATGAGATTGATTTGATCGACTCTTTTCCAAGTATTTGTAAAATCCATATATCCTGTATTTGTTATCGATATTACATTTTGTTTATCTATGTACAAGCTAATTTTTCTATATTTAATATTCGTAACCGTCATTAAAAATTAGGACAAACCACTATTATTTATATTCAAAAATTAATTCATTTTCAATAATATCAATTTTTTTCAAATTTAATCTTGAATTATCAAAATTTTCACCAACTTTTAAATTTCCCTTTTTAACATCTTCTAATAAAGAAAGACTAACTTCAACATTAGAATTTACATTTGTAAAATTTTCAATTGTAACTGAAACAACTGATCCTCTCTTAGGATTTGTTTTTAATTTTAATTTTAAATTTAAATTTTTTGCTAAATTACCAAATTTATCATTATATAATTTTAAAAATAATAATTGATAAAATGTAATTGATTTTTTTTGTAAATTTCTTATAATATCATTTTGAGCATTTAGGTAAGAAATTATTCCAGGTATTGATTTATCTGGAATTGTTTGCTTTTTACCTAAAAAATAATCTTGAAATTTCCATTGATTTATCATATCTGTATATCTTCTTAATGGTGATGTTATATTAGTATACATATCTAAACCCATTAAAAAATGTTTATTTGGATTATCATCAATTAAACTTCTTGATAAAAATGAATAGAAATTTAATATAGTTTCTTGACTAACACTGTTTGAATTTGAAGTTATTAGTTCTTTATATTCTTTAATTAATTCTGGTGAAAATTTAGGATCTAATGATCTATATAATATTTTAATATCTTTATCTTTTGCAAATCTTGCTGTTAAATGATTTGCAAGAATCATATTTTCAGTAACTAAAACCGTTGATCTATTGGATTCATCATTTGATGAAGATGATGAAATTTTAATTGATTGATTTGAATTTGGTAAAATTATTTCATAATCAGCTGTTTTTGAATTTGAATTTGAATCTTGTTCTCCTACTAATAATTTATTATTTTGATTGTTGGAATATGCATTATTTGAACTTCTTATTGACCAAAGTAAAGAAGAAATTTGTTCTAGTTTATATAAGTTATCAAAATCTGAATCTTTAGATTTACCATTTGATTTAATGAGATCTTTCAATTTGTCCTTATCATTGAGTAATTTATTTACGGCCTCATATGTGAATCCTTGTCTGAATTTATTGACAAGAGCAAATTTGACATCATAGTTTTTGTATATTTGCAAGTTGATATCATCTAGTAATTTTTTACTAGGTTGAAAATTTGGATTTTGAGCTTTCTGGATAACAAAATCATCAATAGATTTCTTATTCAATTTGTATTGAACTACAAATGTTCTTGTGTCTTGACCAGTAACCCCTAGACCTGCAATTTTGGAAATTGTTTGAGGCAACATGGGAAAAACATCGTCCGGTAAGTAAGCAGTTGAAGATAAACCAAATGCAATTGAACTGATAGTAGAATCTGGTTTGATAAAAGAACTTGGTTCTGCAATATGAATTGAAATCACGTATTTATCATCTTCTTCATGTAATGAAATTCCATCATCAATCTCATGAGCAGTAGGATCATCAATACAATAGATTGGAACATTTTTCATATCAACTCGGATTTTTTCAAGTGGATCTCGTTGATAAAAGTTAGACTCTATCAGGCTTGAATTGGTGTTATTTTTATTTCCTGATTCGAATGTTTCATCAACAAAATTGTAATAGTTTCTCTTTATGTCTGCTTTCATTGAAATTTCTTCACCTGGAAGTTCTGCTTCATTCGACCATCTATTAGGATTCTCAATTTTATTTTCATTCAATTTAGTCAATAAATCATAAGCTTTTGCAAATGAAAATTCAGATTTGTACTGATTTTCATTCACTACAACACCATTTTCAATTAAAAATTTATCAATTTTTCTCAATAATGAAACAAAAACAGTTGAAACTTTTGGATCATTCTCGTATTTCCCATTTACATATTGTTTTAACATTTTGACCACATGTTCATAATTTTTTGGTTTTTCCAATTTATTTTTCCGAATTATAATATCAACACAATAATTTGCGAAATAATCACTTCCCTCACCATTTAAATCACTGATAATTTCATCTTCATGTGCAACTTGAGCTAGTGGCCATATGATAAGTTTTGTGGGAGAGTAAGATACTTTATTCTTTTGTAACGTCCATAATCTGCTTTGTTTCTTTAAAGCAAACAAGATTGCTAAATACTCAGTAGCTGGATAATTTTGAGAATCGTAATCAATCATTTGAGATGGTTTCGGACCAAGTTGGCTTTGGTTACCTTGTTTTAAATTTTGAGCTGTAGAACTTTTTGATCGTAACTTATTCATTATTTCAAATATGGATATTGATCTTGGTGCATTTATTTCTCCTGTAACATCATCCTGTAATATTCTATGTAATCCTTCCAATTTTTGATTCATTTCATGTACCATTTTAAAAGCTGTTGTTGATATTTCGGTCAAAGCCTCAAAATATAATTCTCTAGCTGAGTTTGGAATTATAAAAGTTTGAACGTTTGAGTTGGTCAACAATTGAGATGAAGCTTGAGCAACAATTAAATTGCTGGGTTCGTAATCTGCTTCCGCGTTTTCTATCATCTCATCATTCAATTTTTCATCATCTTTTGTCTTTGGTTGTATTTCTTTTGGTAAGGATTTATTTGATTTTGAAAATTTGGCATCGGGAATACCAATAGGTGGAGTGTTTAAAATCTTGTGTTCAAGTTTGACAAACCGTTCTATAGCTGATGAGTATTTTTCGGGTATTGCTCCAGGTATTCTATATCCAATATTTGAAAAACTTGCAAACACTATCTCACCTTTATCAGAAAGAAAAGTAGCAATTCTTGAATTAAACGATTTTGGTACTCCAGCCACTATATATAATCTCAAGCTATCTGTTCCCATTGTTACTAAATCTCCAACTTTAATGGGATTATTTACTAATCTTCCATTGACTTTCAAATTTCCAGGTAGTTGATCAAAGAAAGTTTTAAGCTCATCGAACTTTGAAATTTCCTTTTTCCACTCTTTTGATGGTTCTTCATATCTTAGTATATTTGATTTTTCTGCTTTCTTTTTGATCTCTTGTAATATCTGTTTGTTTGGTCTATCGAGATCAAAATCCGGTTGCTCAATATCGAAAACTCTTTTTTTAGATTTAATCAAAGCTGATAATTTTGATAGATCTGTCTTTGAATCAACTTCTTTCTCAGTTCTAATGCTTTCTTTATCAACTAAATTATTTAAAAATGATCTATCTATTACATTGGATTTTGAACTTGATTTTTTGAGTTGTGAAGGTTGTTGGTTGTTTTTGATTAATGATCTTAAACCTTGAAAATCGGTTTCGATTTGCTTTTGCTTGTGCCGTATACAATTTATATGTAACTTCCTATTTCGTAGTATCACACCTCTCGGTATTTTTTCATATCTTAACATCTTTGAAGATACAAATGATTATTTTGCAACTAGTTTCAGTATTCACAATGATGAGATTTATTTTTTGCAAAATACGCCGCACTAAAACGCGCAACGAGAAAAGCATGGACACAAAATCAAACAATTCTATTTACTAACAACTAAATGTAAACAATATTTTTGGCATGTTTACAACCAAATTGAATAAATTCAAAATTCACATATAACATCATCCTTTAACATTAATGAAAGTTGACGAGCTAATCATTGATGGATTTAAATCATATGCAACGCGTACAGTAATATCTGGATGGGACTCACTGTTTAATGCTATAACTGGATTAAATGGTTCAGGTAAATCAAATATTTTAGATGCAATATGTTTTGTATTGGGTATATCATCTATGCAAACAGTCAGAGCTTCAAATTTACAGGATTTAATTTACAAGAGAGGTCAAGCAGGAGTAACGAAAGCAAGTGTGACGATAGTATTTGATAATTCTGAACTAACTAAATCACCTATTGGGTTTGAAAAATGTACAACAATAAGTGTAACTAGACAGATAATACTAGGTGGAACTTCTAAATATTTAATCAATGGTCATAAAGCTCAACAAAATACTGTATTAAGTTTATTTCAGAGTGTTCAATTAAATATAAATAATCCAAACTTTTTAATTATGCAAGGAAAAATTACAAAAGTCTTGAATATGAGGGCCACTGAAATTTTATCATTAATTGAGGAAGCAGCTGGGACCAGAACTTTTGAAGAAAAAAAAATTAAAGCAAAAAAGATTATGGTTAAGAAAGATCAAAAATTAGCAGAAATTAAAACCTTATTGTTGGAAGAAATCGAACCTAAATTTGAAAAGTTCAGAAATGACAAACGTGTATATGTTGAGTTCAAAAACACAGAAACTGCCTTGGAAAAACATAGAAGGTTTGTTACAGCAATTGAATATTTCCAATTATCACAACTGTTTAACAATAATTCAGAATATGTGAGTGTTCATGAACAAAAAATTGCTCAATTACATTTAGAAATTGATAAGTTGAGTCATGAAATTAATAATTTAAACGAAGATTTGAAACAAGTGAAAGAAGCAAGAGATAAAAATTTGAATAAAGATGGTAAGTTGGGTGAGTTAGAAAAGCAAGAAAATAAATTATCGAATGAAATAGAAAGATTGAAAACGAGTAGAAGTTTGACGAAGGAAGAGATTTTAAATGAAACCGACAAATTGGAGCTGCTACGGAAAAAACAGGCACAATTAGAAACACAGTTGAAAGAAGGTGAGCAAACACTTGTGAATCACGAAAAAAAACTTGAAAGTCAAAAGAAAGAGGTTGAGAAACTAAAAGAACAATTCGAGAGAAAAGAAGAATTATTGACTGGTTTAAGTACAGGTTTGTCAACTAAAGGTAACGCGTCAAGCGGTTATGTTTCCCAATTGAATGAAGTTAAAAATAAGTTAAGCACATCTAAAAATTTGATATCTCAGCATAAAATGAAAATAGATCATTTACAAAGTGGTCTTGATTCTGATAAACCTAAACTCTCAAATGCTAAAAAGGAATACGATGGCTTTATGAAAAATATCACCAATTTAAAAAATTCCATCTCCATGAAACAAAAGAATCTTGATGAAGCTTTAGGTTCGAATCCTCAAAACGTGACCGAACTCCGGGACAAAGAATCACGATTAAAGCAACAACAGAATGCTTTACTAAATGAATTGAGCAATATGAAGCAAAGTTTAAGAGGTCTAGATTTTCATTATGAACATCCTTATAATAATTTTGATGATACTTTGGTGAAAGGTGTTGTTGCACAGTTATTCGATCTTCCTGAATCCTCATATGATAAAGCAATAGCCTTACAAACTTGTGCTGGTGGTAGATTATATAATGTTGTTGTTGATACAGCTGATGTTGCCTCTCAATTATTGGAAAGAGGAAGGTTAAGAAAAAGAGTTACCATGATTCCTTTAGATAAGATAAATCCAAATGTCGTAGGAACTGCGGTAATTGAACGTGCACATAATATAGCCCCAAATAAAGTAGAATTGGCTATAAATTTAGTTGAATATGATCCAAAAATACAGAAAGCAATGCAATATGTATTTGGAACTACATTTATATGTGCGGATCCAGATGCAGCCAAAAAGGTAACTTTCGATCCTCAAATCAGAACAAGATCCATAACTATAGAAGGTGATACGTATGATCCAGAAGGTAATGTATCTGGTGGCTCTAGAAGATTTAATTCATCAATTCTTTTAATATTACGTGACTATAATAAAGTGCTTAAAAAGTTGAATGGTATTGAAGAAGAATTGAAATATTTGCAAAATGAAATAACAAGTTGGGAAAACACAATGAAAGCTACTGCTGGTATGAGAAAAGAAATAGAAATGGATAAGTACGAATTGTCTATACAGGAAAGAAAATTAGAATCCAATCAAGCATCATCTATATTAAAATTGAATGAACAAAGAACGAAAGAAATTGAAGCATTGAAAAATGAAATTGAGACAAATAAGAAAAATTGTGAGAGTTATGAAGAAGAAATCAAGCAAATAGAAAAAGATATTAAAGAATTCAGTAGCGATAAATCCACAAAAATTAATGAGTTGAAATCAGAAGTCTCAAAATTAAAGTCAAACGTTGAAAAAAGTGAAGAACAAGTGGCTCTTGAAGTTGAAAATTTTCAAGTTTTACAATGGGAAATAGATCAACAGAAAAACGAATTTAAGGAGACCACACATAATATCGAGGCCACCACTAAGTTAATAGAAGAGTTGAATAAAAAGGAAGAACAAGATCAACAAACGTATTCAGGGTTGGAAAGAGAACTCATCATTGTAAAAGATCAAGTTGAGGAGGAGAAAACAAGTTTGGCAGGTTTAGATGAAGAAATGAATGAATTAATTAAAATCATTTCATCAAAAAACAAAAAATCAGAAAGTATTAAAATCAAGATAAAATCCATTCAATTTGAACTAGATAAAGCTAACAATGCTACAACCAATTTGAAAACAAGATTAGACGAATTGATGAGTGAACATGAATGGGTTTTAGATATGAGAGCAGTAGAAAGGGAAATATCAGATCACAACAACACAACATTTGAAGAAGCAAAAGATCATTTAAATCAATTAGAAGATAAATTTCAAAGTATAAGACGAAAAGTTAATGTAAATATAATGAGTATGATTGAGGAGAATGAAAAAAGAGAATCAGCATTAAAATTAAAAATTAAAACTATTGAAAAAGATAAAAATAAAATCGAAACAACTATTGAAAAGTTAAATGGAGAGATTAGAAAAGCTTTGAATGCAACATATCAAAAAGTTTCTGAAGATTTTGGTCAAATATTTGCTGATTTGTTGCCTGGTTCATTTGCTAAATTAGTACCAGTAGACATGATGGATGTTACCAAGGGATTGGAAGTAAAAGTTAAATTAGGTCCAGTTTGGAAAAATAGTTTGGTTGAATTATCCGGAGGTCAAAGATCATTAATTGCATTATCATTAATTATGGCTCTATTACAATTTAATCCAGCTCCTATGTATATTTTAGATGAAGTTGATGCTGCATTAGATTTATCACATACTCAAAATATAGGTCATTTAATAAAAACAAGATTTAAAGGTTCCCAATTTATAGTTGTTTCATTAAAAGAAGGTATGTTTACTAATGCTAATCGTGTATTTAGAACCAGATTCCAAGATGGTACATCTGTTGTATCTGTATTATAATGACATAATTGCTTAGAAATCATAAATCATATGTTATCGTATATTTGAATTGTACTCTTTCCTTTCGTATATATCATTTTCAAATATATTGATAATAAAAAAAACTGTTATAAACGGTTATGAACCTTTATATAATACATCAAAATCAATACAGTACAAAAATAATAATCAATAAATTATTACACGTAAAAATTGAGAGAAAAGAATACAATAATAATAAAAAAGAAAAAAAGAAAAATTCTTTAGCCTATTTAAAAATATAATATTTTTAGTAAGATCCATACGAATTGAATTGATTCATTAATATACACTAGTCATCGATTCATTAATAAACACTAATCATCGCCATCAACAACATCATTCAACATCAAGTCGATACTCCCAAAGATAGATCAATTCCAACAAGCTTTAATCCAAATTGGATACATTTCATAAACAATCATCCCATTCACATTCATATGATTACTTCGAGGATCAATACGAATATCTACTATTTTTCTAACATTTACAATACCACAAACAATCATTCTTAGATCAAACGGAAGAATCTTGAGTCAATAATTTGGAATTGTGGTAAATAAATAATTTTTAAGTTGAGTTGACCAAAAACTTTTTGCATAATACCTATAAATAAATTCATCATCAACAAACACAATATAATTCAAAATGTCTTCAAAATCACCGACACCTACAATACATTCAATTCAAGTCACTCCATACGAGTATCAAGAAGATGATGATAAATTTAATAAAAATTTCAGATCCAAATCATCATCACCATTCATAGCATCATCTTCAAATATATTACACATACTACAAAATCTATTTCATAAATTCAAAAATTTCATTTTAATTTTAACATTTTTAATTGTACTATCTTTATTTTTCATATTTAATGGTCTTTCACCAAAACTATATACTCCAAATCTATCAGGAATAGACAATGTAACATTTTTTGATTTAGCAGATTCAAGTGGTACAGCTAATGGTTGGCAATATGATGAAAGAGTTCTATTCTGTGTACCATTAAGAGATGCAGCAGCTCATTTACCAATGTTTTTTGGTCATATGAAAAAATTAACATATCCTCATAATCTTATAGATTTAGCATTTTTAGTAAGTGATTCCAAAGATGATACAATGGGAGAATTATTAAAACAATTAAATGAAATTCAATCTGATTCAAAATTAAAATTTGGAGAAATTGAAATATTTGAAAAAGATTTTGGTCAAGTTATTGGTCAAGGTTTTAGTGATAGACATGGTTTTGCTGCACAAGGTCCAAGAAGAAAATTAATGGCAAGAGCAAGAAATTGGTTATGGAGTGTTGCTATAAAACCTCATCATTCTTATGTTTATTGGAGAGATGCAGATGTTGAAACTGTTCCACCAACTATATTGGAAGATTTAATGCATCATGATAAAGATGTTATAGTACCAAATGTATGGAGACCATTACCTGATTGGTTAGGTAATCAACAACCTTATGATTTAAATTCATGGCAAGAATCAGATGGTGGTTTACAATTAGCTGATTCATTAGATGAAGACGCATGTATAGTTGAAGGTTATGTTGAATATCAAACTTGGAGACCTCATCTAGCTTATTTAAGAGATCCATATGGTGATCCTGAAGTTGAAATGGAATTGGATGGTATAGGAGGTGTATCAATTTTAACAAAAGCAAAAGTATTTAGAACAGGTTCTCATTTCCCAGCTTTTTCATTTGAAAAACATGCAGAAACTGAAGCATTTGGTAAATTAAGTAAAAGAATGGGATATTCAGTTGTTGGATTACCTCATTATGTTATATGGCATATTTATGAACCAAGTTCAGATGATTTAAAACATATGGAATGGATGGCATTAGAAGAAGTTAGACAACAAGAAGAAGCTAAAATTAAAAAAGTTTATGATAAAGTTTGGGATAAAGCTTTTGAAGATGTTCAAAAAGAATGGCAATCTGAAAAATCTAAATTTTTAAAAAATACAGATATGTCTAAACATAGAAAAATTCAAGTTGATTGGAGTGGAGTTGATGATTGGGATATTGATCAAAGTAAAAAAGATGATAATAAACTAGCTGATTTTAATCCTAAAATAGAATAAATTATTACATAGAATAAACTATCAAATAATACTGTGCTTGTGAAATAATATAATACTTTTTTCATTGGATTAGATATGTTATTAGACTCTAGAAATTTTTCGAATTGTAATTCTAATTCTTAAGCAATTTTCATACCGTATAATCAAGTCTTTTGAACTTTGAATTTGAAACAATATTCAACTTGAGTTTTCCACCGAATGCCTCTTGAAATTTAAGTAAAATAAACTGCGTTAGCCTATGCTCGAGACAATTAGATGTTTACAATATTGTTTTATGGTAACCTTTAGTTCTACATCTTGAATTTTCAGGGTTTCGTTTTGCTTGTAATTATCGTAGAACCATTTCAAAATTTGAAAAAATATCTTAATACTCATAATTTTATAAAATATAATGAAATTTTGGTTTATTTTTTGTTGCAAATTTTACGATAAACTTTTAAATTTGTTGCAATTAAAATTATGAAAACACCTCCAAAATAGTTCAAAATCATCAACCACTACTGATACTTTAGTGGATTTGATGAGTTCATATGAATTCTCTACGACAACTTGTAGAGTTATGCAATATTCAAATAAATCTATATTTTATGGCGGTATGGGTTTCAAAAAAAAAGAAAAAGTTGAGTTACGGAGGTGAAGTTTTGATAATTCATTAATTCATTCAAGGCATGAGAGTTTTTCCAACAATTTACTTATCAGGTTCCATCGATTGAAAATCATATTTATTTTTATTCGTAGATACCGCTCTATCTTATAAGAGAATCATAAAATAAGTATGAATTTTATTTCAAAAAAAAAGAGAGAATTGATATGTCTTCTTATTAATTGAATTTTGATAACAGTTGATCTTATATTAGACGATGCAACATTAAATTAAGATTTTATTTAATCTAAATCATCCTTAAATAAGCATGAATTAGGCGCATAATCTAAATTGAGAACATATCATATGTAGTTTGAAGAAAAGAAGATTTTTGAAAACTCAGGGGAACAACGTAATTAATTCTTTACATAGCTGAAGTTAGCTTCATGTTGAGTGTTTCATCTCTCGTCAAGTACTTAATTTATCCGTATTCGGATCATTAAGATAGTACCAATTTTAAGGACAATAATAATAATTTAACTCAATTTTGTAATTTTTTCATTTATCCAACACGCTCTTTGTGTCAGGAACAAATAATTTTTTATACTTTTTTGTTCTATTGTTTTAAATTTTAAATTTAGTGCTTAGATAATTAGACGAAATGAAATTTCAAGTTCCAAACATGGAATTTGGTTAGGAATGGAATTTTAAACTCTATTAATTTGGTGCTTAACCGGGCTAGTCTTATAACCTAAATTACAATTGTAAGGTGTAATTTTGCTTTAAAAAAAACTTGAAATTCTCAGGTTGTTCAAAAAGTGAAATTTTGAGCCAATTCAATATCAGAAGATCGATATCATTCGAAGCTATACCGCAGACATCCGGACGTAATCCATTCGTAGCGCTTTTATGATAAAACGATCGTTTAAAATGTCTGAAAGGTGAAAGATAATTTTATACATCAATTCAGAGAATCAATAGTTTCTGACTCAAATTGATACTATTGCTTTTCAAATTGAAGATATAAACCCAAGTACTTCGATATAATAGGGATACAAACAGTGAAAACTAGTATCTTATTGCTATCTTGCCTAGTCATCGCAATCTATTCTACACTTTGACCAATACTCATAACTTTCAATATATTTTCAAATGAGATTTGCGTATGCGTAAAAATGAATTAGAGCACGTTGGAACGGGGACGTGAGTTGTTGCCAATTAATATTTAATAAAATGTATTGCTGATCTTCAACTTTCTTATAGTCATAGACATGCATATAGATTTACAAATTAATGTGAAATTCTAAGATAACCGCTTTAGTTTTTTATTATTCAAATTTCGCGTTGATCTATTGCATGGGAATGCAACGATTTGCGTATTAAGCAAAAGAAAAGAAATAAAAAACTATGATGTGGACTATCTATCTATTGACTCAGATTGATTGATTTGATCTAATTTAAGCTCGATTTGGTATTTTGAAAAGATTTCGTATCTGGATCTAATTATTAACTTAATTGATCTTTCAAACCACAGTTTTGATTTACATGGTTAGATTAGCATTATTGATACATTATTTCGTTACGTTTGGGATCTATCTCCTTTTTTCAATACCTTGCAGAGGAGTTGCAACCATTGGTTGTTGGTTATAAACAACTATGAACAGATGAAAGAATACCAATTGGCTTATCAATGGAAATTTCTATTCTATGACTAAAAAAAGGGGGAGGAGAAATAGAAGGAAAAGAAAAAAAGTTAACTCTGTTCAAGAACAAGAGTTCATAATTAAATTAACTTGTATTCTATTGTTTAAAATTTGTTGTATTAGTCTACTATTAATATGAAACTTAGAACCGATAATGGTTATGACAATTGTTGAGCATAAAGCAATAAATTTATTATGTTTGTGGCATATTTTTAAGATAAAAACAATATGAAATGCAATGAGTAAAAAGTACGTAAGAATTTGAGATTTTTCTTTTCAAAATATGGATCAAATTTATCCAAAAGTAGGTTTGATTAATTTCTTAATTATTGTTCTATGATCTTAATCAAGTAAATCTCGATTTATTATTTTATTGTTACCCAACCTTTACAAACTAGAAGGAAGCAGTGTCATTAGCTATTGCTCTTGAACTTTTATGTTGATACTTATTCAATAACTTTGATTATTCTGATTAGTTTTACGAAAAATATATTTATGTGGTGTATCCACATACAGAAATCGTTTTGATGCACGTTGCTGTATAGTTGATTTGTTGCTTTGTACAATACCTCGTATTAAAAATTAAAGTCAAAAAGATTTTCGGAGCTTATCAGTTTTCAGATTGTACGAATTACTATGCTTGTTTGATCTCAATAGTGGATCTTTATAGTGGATTGATTATTGTAAATCAACTTGAAAAACAATAACTGGAATAGATCTTAGATACGACATAACAAGCCTGATAAAATCCAGAACAATAAACTAGTCGGAGTCAAGATTGAGTTTCAAGAGAGATTTCCAAAATTTAAACAATCTAGCAACAATAAACTGGTACACCATTATGCGTTTTGCCAATTCCTAAACAATCAGCCCCAAATTATCAAGCTTTCTTTGCCAGACAACACCAAAAGCATGTTAAATTTTGAGGGTGACCAGGATCTATCCATGATTTGAAAATGTATCCTTCTATTTTTTAGTATTGATATATTTATTCTATTTTTTATCCTTAAACGTTTTTGTACAAACATTATTTTTGTGTGCAATACCAACTTTTTTTTTTGAGTTTTTGAATTAAATTTAGATATTTTTGCTGGTTAAAATTGATCAAATTGGTAATAACTAATACCTAAAATGAATTCGAATGTAACAACAAATTAATTTAGTACTTGATTACAACATCTTTTAAGAAAATATCAAACGTTTTCGCTATAAAACTTGTCTTTATCTATATTTTGTTTACTGATATGATCAACAGCAATCATCTTTCCATTCGTATGTCTTAAGTACTTCTTCTCCTTAATTTTGTTTGATTCGAGTTTTTAATTGTAAATCTCATGCACTGTAAATCATTATTTTATGCATCATACACAATCTTTACTTTCTGAGTACAAATTTTAACAATAAAATATGTTTTTAATTTGTTTGAATTTAGAAATCACATAATCAAATTGATAATGGCATATTATGAGACAAATTTCATTAAATAAATTCATAATCTTATTAATTTGTACTACGTACTTATTAACTTCGAATATCTAAGCCTTCTTTTAATTAATTTCATATTGTATTATGAATATTTTAAATATAGTAATTTAATCTTTTTATCAAACTTGCGATATGTTCATCAGTTTCTTTCAACGAATTGATCCTTTTTGGTTTAAAAACAAACACTTTCAGCTATAATTGTAGTCAAATGATACCTTTTTGATTTCTTGGTTTTGTTATTGTTCCAACAAGGATGTGTTCAATATAGTACAATTTATTAAACTTTTTATAGTTTTAATTTAAGATCTAATTTTAAAATGCGCGTCTTAGTTGAAAAATCTTAAAACTTTAAATTTTTATTAGTAGAATTACAACATAGTGGAATGAATTTCAGTTCCATTTCATCATCATGATATATTACAAAAGCTGTGAAAGGATAGAGATAAGCTTTTCTGTTACTAAACACGATTTTGATGTTTTTCTTATTAGAGGTTTGAGTTACATATGGACTTCACTCTCATGTCTTCATACCATTCATTGTTTACACTTCCAATGTATTTAAGCAAATAAAGATATACAGATCGTTAATGGGTGATCTCAATCTTTCAAGTGAAAATTTCACCATGTGGGTTTTCACCCCTGTAAATTCATCGAATCGGAATTCATTAAATGCGTGGAAAATTATCATTTTATTGTAATTGAAAATTCTATTGTTCTTTATTATTCATAGACAATATTATATGAGTTTCTTCGATAACCAATGTAGTTAAATTAATATTAAACAAGTATTGGCGATCTTCAAAATTTTGTTGGTTTGTTTTCATAAATATACAAACCTCTATTGTTTAAATTTGATTTACTAATTCCAATTATTTAATTGTGTAAAATTTAACATTCCATGTACAAAAGCTGGTGAATAATTACATCTTAATTTATGAAATATTACGTCGTATTTAACATCTTCTACTTAATTTTGAATTTTTATTGTAATTACAAAGTAGATACACTCAAAAATTGAACTTATACAACCGCAATTTTCATTGATATTTTACACAAATCTCAATTCATACTTTAATTATATTGAAACAAAACATGTAAAATTTTTAGATTCTTTTGAAAAACTGTAATTTTAATCTTAAAAAAAAAGTCTATAGTTTGTTTTACTTTCTTTATATGCTTAAACAATTACGCATCAAGAACTAAAATTGATGGTTAAATACTTAAAAGACTAAGTTAAATTTAAATTTTGTGTTGAATATTTCATTTTTATTGTATTATTGTTTTTGTAAGAATTGTAATTTGATTATTCTCTACTTTTTTTCTTTTATTTCCAAAACACACAATTTAAAATTTTAATTGCAAAATTTTGGTTTCAAATTCTATATAACCAGTATGATATCCCTTATGTTTCAAAAAAGTATATATCCCTTCTATTTGTTTTTTTTTGTTTCTTATTTTATTTCAGGAATCTAATCAACTCAAACCATTTACATTCGCTTAAGAAAACCTTTACAACTACATTTTCAAATAATATATTATGAGATTCACAAATATTTTAGCTAGTTCATTAGCTTTATTATCATCAAGCGTTTTAGCTGTCGATGTTGCTTGTTTAGTTGATGGTGCTCCAGTTGCAGTTGTTGATTTAGATACCGGTGTATGTCCATTTACTATTCCAGCTTCATTACCTCAACCAATTTTTGAATATACTTCACCAGAAGATTATGATGTTTTATTCTACTACTCATTAGTTGATTTAGTTAGATATTTCACTGATATTGTTGAAGCTGGTAATGTCATTAATATTCCAGCTAGATTTTTATATGGTACTTCAGGTGCTCCATTATATCAAGTTGCTGCTCAAGAAATTCCAGCTTCAAATTCAACTGCTGGTATTAGAAAAAGATTAATGAAATCAACTCCATTAGTTAAAAGAGATGAAGCTGAAGATTTTGCTGAATCATTAAAAGAATTAAATGGTACTTTTGTTCAATCAAGTGCTTTCGAAGTTGTTGATTTGAATGATACTGATATTTCATCAGGTGCTCCAACTGGTCCAATTGAAACTATTCACTCAACTATTATTGAAACTGAAACTGTCTCATGTTCAACTACTACAGGTACTTCAACTTTATCAGATGGTTCTGAATCTGTTTGGACTTCATCAACTCCAATTTTATCTACAGTTACTGCCATTGCTACTCACGTTGTCACCATTACTTCATGTCATGAAGATAAATGTCACTTAACCACTGTTCCAGGTACTGAATCAGTTGGAACTACTACTGTTGAAGGTGTTGAAACTGTTTACACTACTTATTGTCCATTATCATCAGTTGCTCCACCACCATCAACCAAAGCTATTACTACTACTGATTCTCATGGTGCTCATACCACTTACGAAGCTACTGCTTCATGGACCACTAAAACTTTCGAAGGTGTTGTCACTTCATTCATTACATACTGTCCATTAACTGAAGAAGGTCATGAAGCTGGTGCTACTACTACTAAACCAGCTGGTCATGGTGAAACTGCTGCTACTGAATCAGGAAAACCAGGTAAAACAGTCATTGCTTCAACCTCAGTTTATACCTCAGGTGCTTCAACTATTACCACTGTTGTTCACAAAACCGTTGCTGTTGAATCAGGTGCTCATCATGGTGAATCTGTTATTGCTTCAACTTCAGTTTATACTTCAGGTGCTTCAACTATCACTACTGTTGTTTACAAAACCGTTGCTGCTGAATCAGGTGCTCCAGGTGCTCCAGAAACTCATGTTACTCACGCTACTACTGGTACTCCAGCCCCAGCTCCAGCTCCAGCTCCAACTTCAACTCACGGTTCTACTGTTGCTGCTCAATCATCAGGTCCAGCTTCTGCTGCTGTTTCAACTTATGCTGGTTCAGCTTCATCAAATGGTGCTGCTTACTTAGCTTTAGCTTTAATCCCATTAGCTTACTTCTTTTAAATTGTTTAGCTAATCCATTATCATTAACATCATCAAACATCATCAATCACCATTTAATTTTACTCAAATAGAATATCATCAACTCATTCATCACCACTTCAACAAATTAGAGTAATAATTTTTTCGGTAATTTAAATTAATTTATTTTCGATTATTTAATTTTTCAAAATTAAATTTTAATAATTTCCTTCATTGCATTATGGTTCCCTAGCATAACTTATTCATCTAACAATCCAAATATAATTTTCAATGAAGTATTGATAATCTAATGCTTCATTAAATATTTCGGTTTTTACTTACCAAACAATTCAACCAAACATTTCAATCATCATCATCATCAACCAATTCATTATCCTAAACTAATCAAATTTTCGTAATTGTAATATATGTTCAAATATTATTTAATTGTAAATTCATAAATGAGAGATAGCTACTACAATTTTTTAAAGATGTACTTAATAGGAGACTATTTATGTTAACTTTTCTACTATTATTTGTTTTTCAGTTCTTCAGTTTTAATAAATTTTATACCCATTAAATTTTCCTTCTTTTTCAACGCTCTTAAAATTTTAATTCTGATGTTTCAGCAACAAGCCTCTAGTCCAATTATTGGAAAGTCGAAGATCGACACGTAAGTAACATTTAATTTAGATCGGCATTTTAGAGGCTTAAAAGTCGTTTTAGGCTGCAAGAAAATATTAAAATTTGAAACAAGTATTTTGCAGCCAAAATGATTTCGAAACACAAAGACACAAATTATTTTTACTGAATTCTTAGTGAAGAGACAAAGAATGTTGTAATAGATTGTAGTAGTTACATAACATTGAAAATTTTAAATTAAGACTTACTTAGTCAAAGACTAAAATGAGAAATATGTTTCCTAGAAGATCACTTGATTTGATGATCGTTCATCTTTGATGATTTCTACTTCAATATACTGTACTATCAGTTGAAAGTGCTGACAAAACTAGAGATATAAGACTGGAATCATCTCCTCGTTTCTAAACATTTGATTATATAGTTCAACTTTTACAAATCTATCTGGAGAAAAACTGAAACTGCATATTCTTTTCTTTGCTCCTCTTAACAACTTACTTCTCAGCTGCTTTTCTGTACTGAATCTTTTTCAAACACTATTTACGCGATTTTAACTTTATTAATGAGACACAATTATGTTTAATATAACATGGTATTGTATTGTTTAAAAATTCAGCAGGAACTGACAAATAAATAGAAACTATTGTTAAATAATTGGGGATTTAAATCTTCATGATAAAAAATACAGTACTGCATATAAGTTTCAGTTTATCTTTCAAATTTTGGTTGTAAATAATTTCAACTTTTACAACCAACACTTTTTCATATCAAGAATTACAAACTTCCTTAATCAAGATAAGTTCACAATGCCTTCAGAAGTTAAAAGTCTTAATCTTAATAATATAACTTTATTAAGAGAAAATAATAAACCAAAGGAAGAATCTTCAAGTCCAAAGTCCTTGATGATCAAAGATGGATCTCGTGATATTTGTTTTATTAATCTTTCAAGCTCCCATGTTAAGATTACCCCCGATAACATTCTGATTAATGTTGAGTTCAATTCAAAGAAATAGTTTCAATACCAATCAAATTTTCAAATTCAGGGGTTGTATGATAAAATTAAAATTTTTGTGGGGAATCATTTATTAAATGAATTAAGAATTGAAATAATTAAAAGTTTATATTTTGGTCAAAAACATTTGCTTTTATAAAATCTCGAGGAGAAGCAATACATTATAAATTTAAAAAAATTAAAATTTTATCAAGATCCTTACCAAATAAAGATAAACTTTTACTGAATTGGGTTGATCTTTATAAAATTAACTTCAAAAGAATTTGAAACTTTGCTAAAAATTACCGGAAAACAATTTCCTTTTCTAATTCCTTTTTTAATCAATTGCAAAATTTTTAAATATAATCTTTTTCACTTTAGCTTATTGTATATTTCTAAACAATATACTGCAATCAAGTTTCATTGTTTCGAAACAAAATGTAGATTTAAATCTTTCTATTAATCTCTTGTTTATCAAGTCAACGTTTTTTTAGTATAAAAGAAAATACGAATACGAATAATAAACAAATAAACAAAGACATACCACATCCAGATTCTCAGCAACGTTTATTGATTGTTATAAAAAGTAGATTGCCCCTATTTTTGCATCCTTACATCTAGTTCTTCTATTATAAACTTTCAGTACACCTTTTTCAGTATCATATGATGAAGCCGATGAATTTTTAAATTGACTTCTTCATATGATTTTTAAACAGATTGAATGTCGCATAATTAAATCTAGCATTAATATGTGAAGCCATGTCAACACGAGATTACGTGAATATTTTTAAATTTTTTATTCGATTAAGTTTAGATCAAATTGCCGTATAAAATGGTTAGTTGCCTTAGCCTCGTCTAATATATTCGTAAAATGAAATAGACGTGAAAGAATAAAGATTATCTAGATTATTTAGATTTTCGTCTAATTGTTTTTCCTTCTCTTACATTGTTTAATAAAATTTTTTATTATCCGTTTTTTAAATTAGACGAGAACTAAAATGATTTTGTGAATAACAAAGTGAATACAAACAATCAAATAATTTCAATTTTCGTCAGATCCTAAACTGATTTGTTATTGTTAAAAAAATTCGTTAATCAGGAGAAAAATGGGAGAATAATAGTTATTATGCAATTCTCCTTACATTACTCAAAAAAAAAAATAAATAATAATATGGGAAATCGTGGACTAATCAATTTCAGGTTCAATTGACTTTTACCAATTAATAAATTTACCTTCCTCATTCATTCAACAAATTATTAACTTACGTAGATAAAATTGCATAAACCCTGAATTGTTTAGTATTTTTCCAAATTGAGAGTTGAAAATAAAGCAATTCATGAAATTTGTTGGCCTAATTTTTAGTTCCTTGAATAAAAATTAATGCATAGAACTGCCAAAGTTTGCAAAAGTCGTAAAGACCGTGTCATACATCCTAATAGTTCTTCTTTTACTACTATCTCTATAATTGTAAATATATGATAATATTATTATAACTTCTTAATTCAGTCAAGATAAAGGTAAATTGCTCGAAGTTTAATTGAAAAAGCGGGATATAGTTTACTATCATTATTATTAGTATCATTAAATAATAATTTATTATATTTCATCTGAAACTTGAAAATTAAAATAATAAATTATTTTTTAAACAAAAAGAAATTTAATTTAAATCCTGAAACATCATATTTTTATTGTTTCAAATCATTAAATGAGATCGTAAAATAAGTAGAACCATATCTTAAAGGTGGATTAGAATGACAATTTATTGAAAAGGTAACTACATTGAATAGGTTACTACAAGGTGAAGTGGGTGTACAATCGATGGAAGGTAAGTATGGCATAAGTCAATGCACAAAAATGAATTTTAATTAATCTTTCGTAGGACCCTTGCTTAAATGTCGTCCTGTATCTGAGAAAGAGACAATAAATTTAATTTTGTTTCAGGTTGGAATATCTACCAAAACAAGCACAACAACTACCCCATCTGGCTTCTATTTTTAGCAATAATTGTTGTTAAGTCAAGTAGATATATAACAAAGCAAATTATACGGTAGATAGTTTCGGCATTTGGCGTGAGAATTACAATTGAACGTTTTTATCTAGTTTAAACTATTAGTAGTGTAATGAAGTTAAAAATATTTTTTTTATCTCGTCAACAAAAATCAAAATACAAATTTTACTAACTTATGAAACATCTAATTCTATTGTCGGTTCTCAACAATTTGCCGAGACATTATGATTTTGCATATACCCGAGTGCTCGTAAAGTAATGGACAAGTAGCTTTTCAGATATGTTTGTTAACAGCACACCATCCCATAACATCTTTAGCATGGATAGAATCAAAATATTCATTCAAACTCAACAAACTTATTCAATACGGATCGGAACAATAAAGATCAGGGATTTTCTGAAGTTTCAAATATGATTTACTGAAAGTATTTATTCTTCATGCATAAATCCTATAATTTAAAATGTTGAATCAATCACGCGTATCAAGGCAAATCTTTTTAATCAATATTAATACTAGTTTTGACGATAATCATCATAGTTAAAGGTCAAAGTCAATAGTTTCAATATCTTACATTTTGAAATTATCATTGGAGATAATTTCATGTTGCTTCCTCCTTCAAGAAGTTTGTATTTACAACTACAGTCGTTCAATTATCCTTCAAAGTTTTATAGATCACATGAATTGAATTAGACGAGATAACATTTGTATGTATGATACAAAAATATTCAAATTAATTAATGTCGTACATGATCAAGGGTTTAAATTTATCAAATATGTTTGAGGGCCTAAAATTTATATTAAGTTGACACAAAAACATAGTTATAATATTTCAGTTGCAAAATTATTATAAAAGTTTTTTAATAATTTATATGGAAATTTGATTCTAGAATTTAAACATGAAACAAATTTTTAATTAATTGATTGAGAAAATTATATAGAAAACACACGAAGAAGTAGAGTTAAAATTATTACATAAATTAGAATCATGTACATTAAAGTAATAAAAAGTTTGTCTATAAATATAACATTAATTTCCTAAAGTTTTTCATCAAAAATTTATTTTAAAGTTTTTATTCAAATACTTCATCAGATAAATTCTTTATTCACTCGCTTATTCATAAATTAATTTAACTGAATCATCATGAAGGTTTCTGGTATTTTATCAACTGCTACTTTATTATCAATAGCTTCAGCTACTTTTGGTAAAGGTTGGGGAGGTAATGATATTGATTGTGATACTACTACTACTACACCACAATATAAATTTCCAACTACTGATTGTGATACTACTACTACTACTGGTAAAACACATAATAAATTTCCAACAACTGATTGTGATACTACTACTACAAGCAAAACACATAATAAATTCCCAACAACTGATTGTGATACTACTACTTTTAGTAAAACTCATCAAAAACCACCAACTACTGATTGTGATACTACCACATATAGTAAAACACATCATAAACCACCAACTACTGATTGGGATACTACTTCAATTTTACCAAGTTCTTCATCAAGTTCAACTCCATTAACTACTTCATCATTTGTTCCACCAATCCCATCAAGTTCCTCATCTAGTTCAACACCATTAACTACTTCATCATATGTTCCACCTGTTTCATCAAGTTCTTTATCAAGTTCAACTCCATTAACTACTTCATCATTTGTTCCACCAATCCCATCAAGTTCTTCATCAACTTCAACTCCATTAACTACAACTACTTCATCATCTATTCCACCTCCTTTATCAAGTTCTTCATCAATTTCAACTCCAAAACAATCATCAGCTACTACAACAACTGATATTCAAACAACTTATGTTACAATTACATCTTGTTCTGAAAATAAATGTTCAGAAATCACTCATACTACGGGAATTACAACTGTGACGTCAGATACGACTGTTTTTACAACTTATTGTCCTTTAACTTCAACTTCATCAACAAAAGTTTCATCAAGTTCATCTGTTGAAGTTCCACCATCATCAAGTTCATCAATTGAAGTTCCACCATCATCAAGCTCATCAATTGAAGTTCCATCAAGTTCATCAATTTATGTTCCACCATCATCAAGTTCATCTGTCGAAGTTCCACCATCATCAAGTTCATCTGTCGAAATTCCACCATCATCAAGCTCATCAATTTACACTCCATCAAGCTCATTCTCATCAGTTGTAATTTCATCTACTTCAGCTTCATCTGTTGAAATTCCATCTAGTTCTGCTTCATCAGTTGAAATTCCATCTAGTTCTGCTTCATCAGTTGAAATTCCATCAAGCTCAGCTCCTTCTGTTGAAATTCCATCAAGTTCAGCTTCATCAGTTGAAATTCCATCAAGCTCAGCTTCATCTGTTGAAATTCCATCAAGCTCAGCTTCATCTGTTGAAATTCCATCAAGTTCTGCTTCATCTGTTGAAATCCCATCCACTTCTGCTTCATCTGTTGAAATTCCATCAAGCTCAGCATCATCAGTTGAAATTCCATCATCAAGTATTTTACCTTCAAGTGTAACTTCATCTTCATCAACTAAAAGCCATGGTAAACCAAGTTCAAGTTCAAGCTCAACTATTTCTAGTTCATTTGTATCTTTAACAACTATTACTGAAGGTTCAACAACTTATACAACAGTGTGTCCAGAGACTACACCAACTGAATCAGCTTCTATTCCAGTTTCAAGTGTTCCAGAAAGTTCAACAGAAGATGTCTCAACTTCAATTTTACCAACTGAATCATCATCATCATCAGTTTCAATTCCAGAAATCAGTAAAACTGTAATTACAACCACTGGTGAAGGCTCAACAGTATCAACAATAACAACGGGATTAACAACAATTACTGAAGGAACTACAATTTATACCACCTATTGTGAATTGACTGAATCATCATCATCTTCAACTCCTGCTGCTCCATCATCAGAAGTCATTAAAGTTACTGCAAGTAGTCTGGAAGTATTTACAACTACTGCTACTGGGGAAATACTCATTACTACTATTGGTGCTAAAGGAGTTTCATCATCTTATATTGTTTCAAGTGGAGAAATCATTACTACAACAATTACTAGTGGTCAAGTTTATGAAAGTACTATTCCAGTTAAAACTTCAGAAGTCGAATCAACAACTTCAATTGCTGCTGAAACTGAAAAAGTTGTTCCAACTTCAAGTGCTGCTGAAACTAAAAAAGTTGCTCCTACTCCAGGTTCATCTAGTGAAGCTGAAGAAACCACTGTCACTACTAATATAACTCAAGAAACTGTTGCACCTAAGAAATCAATTGAAGCTGTTTCAGTTGCTCCTCAAGAAACTTCACCAGTTGCACCAAAATCTACAAGTATTTTAGTTTCATCATCATCTGACATTGCTACTCATGCCATTTCTACATATGAAGCTTCAGGTGTTTCAAATAAACAACCAATCGTTGCATTAGCTGTTATTGCATTGGCTTATTTCTTTTAGTTTGATTCAACAAGCTTTTATCTTTTCATTTTAGTTCAAAAAAAAAATAGGATACCATTTGCTTACATGTGTTCACACGTTTCATTTTGATTGTTTCAATAATGTTTTACAAAATTTTATTTTCTTTAGTTTTCGGTTTGTAATGATATATAGTTAGTTTCGTTTAAAATTTTAATATATTTATATCACTGTTTGACTATTTTTTGAAATTTTTTATATAATGATATTACTGTTTGACTGTTTTTTTCGAGTTAGTAAAAAGTTCATCATCTTTATAAAGATTGGAATCAAATAACAAATCATGTAGGTGTTGGTTGATTTCAAATCACAGCCGAAGACATTGTAAAAGTGGCCGTGATCATGACGATAACGCATGTAATAATCTAATCATTTTGTAGTTATTTTTCAACTCTTTTTAGTTAAAAGTAAGTTACATACTTCATTCTTAATCTGGAGATTGGACTTAAAGCATATTTAGCTATTCATAAAGTGAAAAATTATTTTGAAACTCAGTAAAGTTTTTACGAAGAACTATAAAAAACTACATCAGTACACTACCAAACATATCACTACTTCTTGGATTAAATTTGAAGTAATTGAGTTTCATTCTTTCATTCGAAACCCTTTCATCGAACAAGGACACCATTTTGACTGGAGAAATCTCGAATTTAAATTGTCAACTTTAGAAATTTTATTTCATTTATTGCACTTCCTGAAGTGAAACAAATAGAAAGTTTTGGACTATCCAGTGAGAGATACCACACCGACAGTTGTTGAAATATTTGAATCATCAGTCAAAATACATAAGATGCGATCTAAATTCAGCTGGATTAGTATGGTGCATCTTGTGTTGCAAATACCCTGATAAAGTCAGAACATCAGATTATGTGGAGATCATCTAATTAAAAATTATGACACAAAAAAGTCCGAATTTTTCATTCCATATAAGAATTGAAAAAATTATTTTGAGTCACCATTTGTTTCATTTATCACTTACTTTTACTTTTATTTATTCAGCATTTTTCAAGTCAAAAAATAGTTTTAAAATGCCTATGTTAAAAGATCCGTCAACGAAGTATAAGAAATTTCCACAAGTGAATTTACCAAATCGTCAATGGCCAAACAGATCACTAGATAAAGCTCCAAGATGGTTATCCACAGATTTAAGAGATGGTAACCAGTCCCTTCCAGATCCAATGTCTATTGCTGAGAAGAAAGAATATTTCAAAAAATTATGTGATATTGGATTTAAAGAGATAGAAGTGAGTTTTCCATCAGCATCGCAAATAGATTTTGATTTCACACAATTTGCTGTGAAAACAGCTCCTGAGGATGTTAGTATACAAGTCTTATCACCATGTCGTGAAGAATTGATTAAAAGAACTGTCGAGTCTTTGAAAGGAGCCAAGAGAGCCACAGTGCATATATATTTAGCAACATCTGATTGTTTTAGAAATGTTGTATTTGGATTAAGTAAAGAGGAAAGTAAAAATTTAGCTGTAAAATGTACAAAATTAGTAAGACAATTAACAAAAGATGATAAATCAACTGCTGGAACAGATTGGGATTTTGAGTTTTCGCCAGAGACATTTTCAGATACTGATTTAGATTATGCCGTAGAAGTATGTGAAGCTGTGAAAGAAGCTTGGGGACCAAGTGAATCAAAACCAATAATTTTTAATTTACCAGCAACGGTAGAAATGGCAACTCCAAATATTTATGCTGATCAAATAGAATATTTTGCTACTCATATAAGTGAGAGGGAGAAAATTTGTATATCTTTACACCCACACAATGATCGAGGATGTAGTGTTGCAGCAGCAGAATTGGGTCAATTAGCCGGTGCTGATCGAGTTGAAGGTTGTCTATTTGGAAACGGGGAACGTACAGGTAACGTGGATTTAGTTACTTTAGCTTTAAATTTATATACTCAAGGTGTATCTCCACATTTAGATTTTTCAGACATTACATCCGTTATCGACATTGTTGAAAAATGTAATAAAATACCTGTACATGCTAGAGCTCCATATGGTGGTTCATTAGTTGTATGTGCATTTAGTGGATCTCATCAAGACGCTATCAAAAAGGGATTTGCTGCACACAGTGAGAAAATCAAGAAATCAGAAGGCAAGAAAAATGTACATTGGCAATTACCATATTTACCATTGGATCCCGAAGATATTGGTAGAACTTATGAAGCCATCATTCGTGTCAATTCACAATCAGGTAAAGGTGGATCCGCTTGGGTTATTTTACGTAATTTGGAGTTAGATTTACCAAGAGGTTTACAAATTGCATTTTCAAAAATAGTGCAAGATCGTGCAGAAATCAAAGGTCAAGAATTAACAAATCAAGAATTATGTGACTTATTCAAACAAGAATACTTTATTGATTATGACGAGGACGAGAAAGAATCAGAAGATCAATATTATAAATTAGTTGATTACTCGATTACCACACCAGAGAAGGGTATAAAACAAATTGAAGCTGAGATTTTAATTGATGGTAAAACATCAAACATTAAAGGACAAGGTAATGGTCAATTATCAGCATTTAATGATGCATTAGCAAAACATTTAGGTATTGAAATTGATGTTAAGCATTATCACGAACATTCATTAGGCGAAGATTCGAATGCAAGAGCAGCAACTTATATTGAAGTCTTGGTTAATAATAAGATTAGTAGATGGGGTGTTGGTATAAATACCGATGTTTCACAAGCCTCTTTCCTTTCATTAATTTCAATTCTTAATGGTTTAAAGAGGAATAAAGATATATAAATAGTTGCAATTATTTTTATTTGATCTCAAATTTAGTGTAATTATAAAAGTAACGGTATATCTTTAAAAAGAATTTGCACTCTTGTAGTATTAGCTAATTGATGAATTTGAACTTTTGAGACGGTTCAACGTATCTTGAGCATCCCGAATTCCTTAACTTCTCTCCATTTTCAGTGATTTGTCTGTTTTCACTCTTTCTCAATAGCTACAACATAGTAAATATAAAAAATTCGACGCGTGGAATTGCTAAGAAATATTATTCATTTATACTCGAAATCATCCACAAGTCATCCACATCCCAAATCAAAGCATGACTCAAGAACAACCAGTAGACATTGGGGATACATACAAACAAATAGCTGCTGCCGAGCAACAAGCCACCAAACTAGAAAATGCTTTAGATGCTTTTGAAGCCAAATTAGATTCCATTTTAAAAGAGGCAGAAAGCATAAATAAGCCAGATGCAGTTGACAATAGCTCCCTGAATAAAACAGGTACAGTCGACAATAGCTCCGCTTCCATAACGAAAGAATCGAAATAAAAGATACACAGTGTTTTATCTGGAATTTAGAATCATACATTAACTTAGAAAAATCAGAATATTAATTAAATTACTGCTTTTGCATTATTATATAGATCTATAAAGCTAATTCAACATACCTTCCAAATCTTTACTAGATACAAATTCAGGTTCATTGGTTGGGGCGAAAGGATTTATTGGATGAAATGGATTAATAACCAAATCTGGATCATCATTCAAACTTGCAATACTTACTTTTGCTGGTTTACCCCCATCCAACCACCATTTATATTTATCTGAACTTGGAGGTGGTAAATTTTCATTATCAAAATCAATACTTTTTTTATCAAGGTCATATGAAATAGAAGAAATATCTTGTAATCCACCATGTTTGATTTTAAAATTATCATATAATTGATTTGAAATTTGTTTTTTAATGGATTGATTTATTAATTGAACAGTTATTTGAAATATAGCATACACTGGTCTATGATCAGAAAACACTAGATCTTCGCAATAATTATACTCGATTGGTTTCATTAGATTTTTCCTTGATAGATATAATATACGATCAGTCCATGCTGGAATTCTTTGTTTTTCACTTGTATCATATACTTTGGTGCCGTTATCGAATTTGTAGGTTGGAGGAAATGAAATCTCTTGTTCTGTGAAAAATGGAAACGCTTCACCACTAGCCATTTGTTGATTTAATTGATCAAACTCAAATAATTTATTATATGATTTTTGAGCAATTAACGATTGAACTTGATCATTTTGTATTGGTGATAATCTGTAATTTAAATCCCCTAACCATATAACACAATCATGATTTGGTATTCTTCTATTTTTGGAAAATTGAATTCCTTTTATTAAAGTTTTATAATTATGGTGCCTTTCTTCATTGTTTGTTAAACCAGCTGCAAAATGAGAAGATACAAAACACATCGATGTATCAGAGAATGTAAAACTAACTGCCACCCCTCCTTTATTAGCAGCAACTCCTCCAAGACCAGTTTTTTTGAATGAGAATTCAGCATTCGATATATATTTCATCTGTGATTCCTTAACGAAAAAAAATAGCACTAATCCACCTAATTGACCACTCCACATGACTAAATATTTATCTCGCTTTAACAAATACTCTAATATTTTTCTTTCCCATTGAGTTTTGTTTCTAGAGTCAGTATTGATCATTTGACCAGGTTTCAATTCAACTATTTCTTGTAGTCCAATAAATACCAAATCGTATACTTTGTTTCTACTACCTTTTGGGTATATCCAATCCTCAATTGTTCCATCATATAATTCACCATTGAGATTGAAAGTTGATGCAAAGACAGTTAACTCTGATTGTGTTGTAAATTGACTTTTATGCTTACTTAATTCTTTTGCAATATAATCATGAAGAGGATTGTGCAAATTAATGGGAGTTTGATCTTGTAGTCGACCCAAAAGTTTTAATAATGCTAGTTCGTTTGGTTTCGTTGTATCCACTACTCCATTCAAATATTTCTTGGTGATATGTGATTTAACTGAAGCAGCATGAGAAACATTACTTGTTTGTAGTTTATCCGTAGTTGAAACAAAATTCAACGTTAACTTTGTAAGTACGTAATCATTTTCTTGCCATAATTTAGCATGCTTAGTGTACAATTCTCTTTCTAATTCAATTCCAATATCACCAAAAGCTAATTCAATTATCTCTTGACTTATAATTTTCGATAAAAAATTGGCTTTACTTAAACTATCGAAAGAGTTGATTCGAAATATACCCAATTGTTTACCAATGAAACTCATTGAGGGTCTATCAAAAAACAATGCACCAAAGCTGACCGCAGATGATGAAAATTCATTAACAATATCTGATGGGTTTTGTGCAGTATAACCCACTTTTCTTATTCTTGAATGCGGTATGGGAAGATGTGTATACTTTAATTTATAATCCGAATTAGATGTGTCTTTGTTCTTCAAGTAGTACTTTATTTGTTCCTCAAATGATGCGTTTAGAACACCTTTATATGATTTATCTGATAGTTCGTTGATAATATGCACATCACCGTATTGGTTAGATAAACTTTCGATATGTCTCGTAAAAGCTTCTTGTGAAGCTTCAAATGATCTTGGAAAAATGATTCGTTTTCCGCTTCCTGCTATCAAACTTTTGCTAGTCGAGTTGACACTTAATTCCCAATACATCGGGACATTTCCTCTCGCAATAATGTAAGATAAACAAAATTTCTCTGTATATATAATTAATTCAGACTCAACATAATTGGCAACGCTTCCATCTCCATCACAACCCCAATCGCCAAAAATAGGCCCTTGTTTTGCACAACTTTGTTTTGAAATTAACGTCATTAGTGCTTCGTTTTCTCCGATATAAGTGTTGACAGTTTTAGCATAACCTCTCGCTATTATAATCAAAAATCCAGATTTGTCAATTTGAATTTGTTCATTGGCTGTCAACCTATTTCTAAATTCGAGTAACTCACTCATCATAAAGTTATTCCACAGGAATCTTGTGAAATATGACACATCAGCCACTAATTTGAACTCAAAATTTCCTACTCCTCTTTCTTGAATTGTAGATGTTATGTCAAATTGTCTTGAATAAAAAAATGCTCCACTAGATAGTAGCTTCCTTACTGAAGCTGCTGGGAATTTAATTCTTTCACTATCTTGATAACTCGATTCATCATAATCTTTATCATATATGTAATCATACTCATCATTATTCAAACAATGGAATTCAGTACCTGTGATTTTGTAAATTTGATCCTCAATTGTGGGAGAAGCGACAAGTTCATCTCTATTTATAAATCCCAAGAATACTTTGTTTTTCAAACTTAGTAAACCAAGAAATGCAATTAATTTATTTCGTTTTGGTGTTACATCTCGATATGAACTTAAATCTATGTACTCCTTCTTCACAAACTCAACTAAAACTTTAGTTTCATGTTCGTTATACTTGGATTTATGTCCTTGAATTAGACCTCGTATACTTCTATGTTTATAAGTTGGGGAAGGATGTCTGATAATTAATGCATGTGTTGATGTTGTGACTATAAAAGTTCTTGGTTTGTCTTTGAGGTACAATCTCATTTCCTTGTGTATGCGTAGTATGAATTTTATTATATCAATATCATAGAAACTTGTTAATTTAGTATCATATATATATAATTGAGTATAATTTTGGTGATTATTTGGTATGAATAACTTGCAACAATTAAAAACCGTAATAACGAATATAGAATAATAATGGTACAAAAGCAAGTCTTGTCTTAAATATATATGTTTACTCACGACACTACAACAATACAAAACATAGCCGTATACAATTTTGATTAATACGAATAAAAACTCGATGCATAAATTGGACTATTTAATTATACAGCATACGATGAAGGTTTCAGGCCACTTTTTTTGTTTTTTTTTGCTTTATATGTCCTTCTGGAATCCAATTAATATCGTAAGTGGTTGCACCAGTAGATGCAGATCCAACAGGAGCAGGTGAAACACCAGTCTTTTTAACTTTAACAGCTTTTACAGGAGCAGTACCCTTGAAATAAGATTTTCCCCAAATCTCATAACCTAAGTAAGCTAAAGCAATAAATGAAGCTAATAAAACAATTTCCAAAAAGATTAATCTTGGATCAAAAAATGAAATTGTTTTATCAATTACTGAAGCTAATTGACCACGACATGGTAAAACTTTAATTAATTCCTCATGAGCAATAAACACTTGTGGAATTAACTCATAATTGTTTGGAATCAAATCAACAGAAATAGTTTGTTCAAAAATTTCTGATTTACCAGGTGGAATAACAACTGGTCCAACTCTACCTTGAGTCAAATTTGTAACAATTTGGTTTGTAACTGGATTAGTGAAAGATCCAGTAACTCCAATGACTGTGATTTCTTCTGGTTCATTATTATTTACAGTATATTGAAGTGTAATTTCATCACCATTAACCCAATTAGCAACATCTTTTTGAGTAACTTCGGGAGTTTCTTTGATCCTATAGTCAGTTAAAATATCAACAGTTTCTTTACCAGTTGTTTCATAGCCTGATATGCATGCAATTGAGGTAGTTAAAGCAGTGATTATAGCTGATAACTTCATTTTTTGAGATGGAGACTTGTTTCTATGTGTGATCAAGAATGAAAATGGATTTATGAAAAATGTTGAAAAAATAAAAAAATTCGAATTTTGTGTAATGTTTTAATAAAATCTAAATCTGAAAACTTGTAAGCCAGATTCGAGTAACATCACTGCAAGATTCAAAATCATGATCATAGTGCCAACGGGGGAAATATAACAATAGCAGACAAATGAAATGTTTAGAAAAGCAATAACTCGACTACGACATCAACAAACAACTCACTTGCAATATAGATCGGCCACGATTTCATTGAACAAAATTCCAAATTCGGAAGCTGTGAAGCTAGTTACAAAAGTCCTTAAGAGAACAGAGCGACGAGTAAAAGAATACGAGAATGTTACAGAATTGTCCAAGCAATACGAACAACATAAATCTAATTTGTTAAAGATTATAAAAAGCGAGGAAATAAGCAATGCATTGTTTCGTGATGATGAAAAATTTGAAACATATTTGAAGTATACTGAGATATGTCAGCTATCAAACAAAAACTCTTTGTCTTTCAATAACACGGAAACTAGAAATACGATAATGCTTATTTGTGCAATGCTTGTGGAGTTAGTTTCTAATACTTTGGCAAAGCAAAACAACAGCAGCAAAATAGTTTTGAAAAATATGAATTACAAACTGAATTCAGATGATTGGTTGTCCTTGGAAAATTATAGAAAATACTTTAACTATTATAAATCGTCCCAATTTTTGAATGATGATAAAATTGATCCTACAATAAAAACTTTAAAAGTACCCAAGTTTAAACTGAACACATTTGATGATACCAAAATTATCGAAAACTTAGATGTAATATTTAAAGAGTACAAAATCAGCGATGATCAGCTTTCTCATTTAACATTAGCTTTGAAAATTGTTCAAGTCTTCACATCCACTCATAATCATATTCCTACTTTAAAAACTTTTGCTTATTTATTAGACAAACTCGGTGAATTGAATTTACTAAGCTTTCAAAAAATTGTTTATTTATCTTTGTTTCAATATAAACATCAACCAACGGTATTGGCAACTCCAAATTCAAATTTTGATTCCAAATTCCCACAATTAATGGCTGATCATTTCCTACATATCATCACTGCCTATCCGGAAATTTTAAAGTCACTACTATTTTATCAAGCTTTAAGAAAAGATAGTGTCACGTTCATAGAATTGCTATCTTTTTTGAAATTAGATAAAATAGCTGGTGAAATAATGGTCATTAAATCACCTTTATTATCAAAATCAAAATATAAATTACCTACTTATATTCCAAGTTTCAATTTTGATAAAACCTTATTATTAACTATATCAAGAAGATCATTGTATGATATCATGAGGCTAAGTGTAGATATGAAATTGTTTGAATATTTGGATTTGTTGTTTAACAAAATAGTATTACATTCGAAGGATCGATCAAATATTCAATTGAACTATATTGAAGATAATTTAGTGGAAGGTAAAATATTCGATAATGAGCTCTTTTCAATCATGTTCACCGCCGCAATAGAGTCAAACGATCCGGGTAGAGTTATTTGGTTGTTACCGTTTTTTGATGAGTTTTTAAAAGAAAATGACTACAGTATTCCAAATGAACTAAAGGACAAGACTTTACATGCATTGAAATTATTCGGACTAGAAGGTAAACTAAGAAAGTATGAAGAACATTTTGTAAATATACCTAAATAACCATTATTTAATTTCAATAATTGATTTGACAAATTCTTTACCGGCTTCATCCCATTTCTTTTTGATATCAAAATACCTAACAGTAGTTTCGTGCCAACTAATAATTTTATTCTTTTTTCTACTTTGAAAAGTTTCCATTAAAGCTAGCAAAATTGACAATTTGCTGATCAACCCAGTGTTATTGTCATTCAAATCATTTGCTCTGGCTAGGATTAATGCAGATGGATCTTTGATGTCTTCTGATTTTGATCTCTTTTGAATTGATTTAGGTTTCAATTTCTTGGTTGATTTTCCTACACCCGATTTTTGAATATTTACATCCACATTCACAGTGACTGATTTTGTTCCTGAAGTTTCTACTTTTGAGTTTAAGGTAGTTGATTTTTGATTTGATGTGAGTAATTTCTGATTTGAGGTAGCTGTTGTGGTGTTCAAAGCACTGGATTCTAGATTTGATACAGATTGATTACATTTGTTGGTAGTGGTGACTGATTCTATTTTTCCTTGTTTTTCAACTTTGGTTGCGACGCTGGCAGATATTGAAGCTTGTACCATGAACATTTCATCATTGGATAATCTTGAGTGAGTTCTTACTACATGAATACCTTTTCTATTCCGTGTCATTTTTCCTGATCTTGGAGAAAGAATTAGTAATTGTTACTAATCTCGAGAATTAATTTCATTTCAACTCCTTGGTGACCTATAATTAAAAAATAATCTAAATCTGAAACAAGTCACAAAACCTAATTTTATAATAAGTCTTGGCTCAACTCTTAAATTTTCAAGTGATAAATGAAACAATTTTGGTAAGTATCAACTTTGAACCATTTTGATTAAAATTAAAGACTTAAGATAGCATGCAAATAATGGGGCTTCAAACTATAATTCACTTTTCAGACTTTAATTCTAACGAGGGTATAGTTTCTTTACTTTAACTCTCTCATATTAACATTCAGGAACCAATGTACGGACTACAGTTTGAAAATTATCTAACTAGGGAATCAAGCTATGAATCATCATATTCAATGAAATTATCAGTTTTGACTCAGTGATACAATACGACGACAAAGCTCAAGGATAGAATACTTAAAAATTGATCTGCAAAGTCAGTATTGTTCTATTAAGACATTTATTACCATCAAAACATGAATCACAACTTTATACAAAGGAACTGACTTTTCACTCCGAAATTGTGATCAAAGAGTGGTCCTGGTATTTAAGGATTTCAAAAAACAATTAGTTGCGAAAATAAAAGAAGACTTGTTAGTTGAAATACCATCAGCCTTAGATATTGTTTCAAAATACATAAAAATCCGATACATACACTACCCTCAGGGTTCCCTAGTATCTAAAATTTAACGATACGTAATCCGCTGAATTTGCTTAATTCAGGCAAGTAGGGGTTAGCTGAGTTTTATTTCTTTTACCCTATTCACTTGGTTAAACCGAAATGAGATTCATTCACTTGGCAAAATCCAGAAAACTTAGGTAATCGAGGTATGTACCGACGAACTTAATTAGAGTCTGAGTTAATCATGCAGCCCGAAGGAAGACTTGAAAATTTTGGGAATTTCAAAGTATTTAATTTCAAAGACAAAATTGCTCGAAGACCAAAGCAGGCTTTGTAAAATGATAAGAAATCGAATGAATTTTATAACATCAATTAAGGAGGAAGCCGTTAAAAAACAAAAAGTTGTGTTTCAATTAATCTCAACAATCTCCTATTAATACCAACGGAATGGAAGAAACTATTGTAGCAAGATCCATCTGAGTAATTTTTGATGAATCTTGATTTTGAATTATTAAGATCTAAGATTGAATTTTTGAAACGAGCGCCAAGAATTTATTGAATTTTTTGTTTCAATAGATACGAGTTTCACTTTGTAAAAAATGTCAAATCATCATAGACTTAACATTTAGTTCAAATGAATTATGTAGTAGACATATTATATTAAAATAAAAGGTTATATCACTTTCATAAGCCAGGCTCGTAAATGGTTCGGTAATCATTCATCATAAGATATTGTTCTTTCAAATCCAAAATAATTTGCAGAACATTCCGACTTAATCAAGAGAATGGAATATGCAAGAGATATTGAAGTACTTCGTATGTAAAATCAAAGAAATTTAAAGCACAAGACATTTACAACAATTAGTTTCTAATTGACTCAGTTAAGATTAGCTTACTGAGCTTATGAATATTGTTCGATAGAACACTTAAGTCTAGCGCATTATTCTTCTCTTTTTGTGCTATTGCCAATTTCATCTACGGCAATTTTTTCCAATTTTCCGAATATTATTTTTTTTTATAAAAACCTTCAATTTTTTGTTCCTATGATTGAACCCTACGAAGTAGTCAACATATTATGTGACTAATGAGTAAACTGATGTCAGTTAAGGTTGTTCTATAGATTCCAGCTTCAAATTGGGCGGTCTTGATAAAAAAACCGTTATAAACCGTAAGTAGAAACGAATTAGTTAGTTCCGATGGAACAAGGCATTACAATCAGTAGATAAAGAAATGTCATCTCAGACTTATCTTAAATGCAAGGTAAATTACATTACATTTATTAAGGCAAAGACCTATTTTTAACACATTGAACGTCTAAAATGAACGCCCATATCCTTTAATTTTAATATTGAGTTAAGGATGTAGATTGAAAAATTTGTAAAAAGAAACGATATCTAAGATTGTTAAAAATATGTCAAATGGATTAAAACTTGGTTTGTAGCCTTCTTTACGTACAATAATAGAGAAGAGAGGAAATTTTTTAATTTTAATGTACGTATTTTTAAAGAGATCCTCTTATCATAATCAATGTAATAAACTTAACAATTATCTGAAAAATTTTGAAGATCTTTCTAAATTTATTTTCGTTTATCTCTTTGTTTTACTGATTGAAAAATTCCATTTATCAATATATACCCCATCCTTTTTATCTTATATACATATCGAAAGGTATAAAATCAAATCGAAAACCCTGTTTTGATTATTTTTCACCTTTTAAATTAAAATTTCATCTACCCAAACATATACCAGTCCAAATCATCTGCTATATATTTACTTAACATCTCATTAGACAAGTAAATATACTTTATCCATCTCCATCTTAAATACATAATAATAAAGGGAAGTTTCATTAAGAGCTTATATAAGTAACACAGGGACATTAATTCTAATCTACATCAAATATTATAATAATAAATTAATATAGTTGCAAAATATGAGTGATGAAAAAAATATTGCCATAAGTGGTGAAAAAGCTTATTCATATGATGATATAGATCATCCAAGCACTGGATCTACTTCAGATGCTGAAGTTTATCATACAAAAGTAAATTTCATTGATAGATGGGCTACAAAGTTAAGAGCCGAAACCAAAGGTATTGATATGGTAACTGATGAGGAAAAAACAGAAGATTCTTTATGGGATGCTGCTACTATGTGGTTATCTGCAAATTTAGTTATTGCAACTTTTTCATTAGGTGCTTTAGGTATTACTGTTTTCCAATTAGCTTTTGGTCAAGCTGTTTTAGTCTGTATATTTTTCACTGCTTTAGGTGCTTTTACCGTTGCCTATTTTTCATGTTTTGGTCCTGCTTCTGGTTTGAGACAGATGGTCTTATCAAGGTTTTTAATTGGTGATATTACATGTAGAATTTTTAGTTTTATTAATGTTATTGCTTGTGTTGGTTGGGGTGCTGTGAATATTATGGCATCTGCTCAATTGTTACATATAGTTAATAATGGTGCTTTACCTCCATGGGCTGGTTGTTTAATTTTAGTTTTATGTACTATTGTTGTTACATTTTTTGGTTATCATGTAATCCATATTTATGAAAAATGGTCTTGGATTCCAAATTTAATTGTTTTTATCGTTATCATCGTTAGATTTGCAATGAGTGGTAAATTTCATAGTGCTGGATTTGAAGGTGGTCAAACTACTGCAGGTAATGTTTTGAGTTTTGGTGGAACAATTTTCGGTTTTGCTACTGGTTGGACTACTTATGCTTCAGATTATACAGTTTATCAACCAAGAAATGCTAATTTAACAAAGATCTTTTTTTCAATCTTTTTGGGTTTATTTTTACCATTAGTTTTCATTTTAATTTTAGGAGCTGCATGTGCAACTGGTATTAAAAGTGATGCAAGATGGGCTGAACTATACGAAACTAATTCAGTTGGTGGTTTAGTCTATGCCATCTTAGTCGAGGATTCATTACATGGGTTTGGTCAATTCTGTTGTGTAATCTTAGCTTTATCAACAGTTGCCAATAACATTCCAAACATGTATTCAATGTCATTAAGTGCTCAAAATTTCTGGAGCCCATTAGCTAGAATTCCAAGAGTTGCTTGGACTATCGCTGGTAATGGTGCAACTTTAGCTATTTGTATTCCAGCTTATTATAAATTCGAATCAGTTATGGAAAATTTCATGAATTTAATTTCTTATTATTTAGCCATTTATGAATCATTAATGTTAAGTTCACATTTAATATGGCACAAGGGTAATTTCAGAGCTTATCCATATGAGAGATATCTTGATAAACAGGCTTATCCAATTGGTTTAGCTGGAACTTTTGGTTTCTGTTGTGGTGTCGCTGGTGTTGTTATTGGTATGAATCAAACTTGGTATTCAGGTGTTGTTGCAAAACAAATTGGTGAATTTGGTGGTGACATTGCTTTCGAATTAGCTTTTGCCTTCGCGTTTATTGGTTTTAACGCCACAAGGTATTTTGAGTTAAAGTACATAAGGTGATGTAGAAGTCTGTTTTTAAATTAATATTTTAATGTTATTTCAATAGATTTAGTTTTACTAGATTTTAACTGAAAAATCAATCATAATTTTATTACGCATTTCATACCCAATTAGAAGCTGAAATGTAGCTCTTATTAATTTGAAATCCATGTTCAGTTATACGAATATGGTGTTTACCATTTGCTCGAGTAAACCTGGCGTGTTCATGAAGCTATACTGACATTTTGTTTGGTCTAAAAATTTTCCGTATTTCAAAACCCCTTAATATTTCGCTACCATATTATTAAACAAGCTTGTTTCACAAATAAGTCATTGATACATGGGAGTAAGGTCGAAGAAAATTTTTACGAAACGGTGCTATTAACGAGGGATTGTATTTTGAGTTATTCTCATAGAAGTCTTCATGCTTATTAGTAATCGCATAGTTTACTTTTCGCAGTTTCATGTATCTCTGTGCTTAGTTTGGAAGATCAATCACAGCTATAGTAAATTCACTCAATTGTAGAAGAAATCCTTTCTAATGAATATCGATTTATTCAATTTTACTATTTCTCAGAGTTACTATTTCTTTCTTCATATTTTTCATAAAAATGGAAACATTCAAATCCAACTTCAATCATAATCAATAAAATAATAATCCATTCTAATCTTGTAGACTTTTTTTCATTTAATACACTCAAGAATGCTCTTTGTTCCTCTGTTGCATAATCTAATTTTCTATTCATAATTGAAATTCTAGAATTTATATCAAGTATTTTACTAACTGAATTATAAATTTTTTCTAAATCTGGTTCACTCCAATAAAGATCTGGCGTATCTATTAATTCCGAATACAAGTTAAGTTTACCTCTTAATAAAAACAATCTTCCTGTGATTCTTAATAGTTCATGTTCCGTACTTGTAATTCTTTTACCTTGAGACAAAATTTCTGAATTGTTTCTTGTTAGTGTCAAAAATTCTTCTAATTGGTTTTCTAAGATGGATAATCTAGTTGATCTACTTAACCCGATTGCAAATGCTGCCATATCCAATAATCTCTTGTTCAAATTTAGCCCCTGGACAACCAAGATTTCCCCATGTAGATAACTATTTCCATTGTGTAAAGGTTGTTCAGGTAATTGTTTCAATTCTATCCAGTCAATTTCTTCACTTTCATATTCATTGAATTTTGATATAATTGAATTTATAAAATTTGGTAAATATCTTTTAACAATTTCTTCTTCGGTTAAATTCCAACCAACTAATGTTCCATTTGATAGAACCATTAAATTACTAGTTGGTGAGATTGTTATATTCATGACTTCTTCAGGTACTATTACCTCGATGTTATATTTTTTTTCGGATTCATCTATGAATTTATCAAAATTAATTGAATCACCAACTGTTACGGAAGTCACAATAGACAAATGGCTCTCCAAAGTCTTAGTCTTTTCATCATCTCGATTATTTTCATTCAATAGTGATAAGATATAACTTGTTGATTCATTTTGAAACTTTGGATCAGCTCTTCGTAGTTTTTGAGCTCCTATTTTCTTTTTAGGAATGTTCTTTGGTCTTATCGCAGCTGATGTGGTGGTAGGAATAGGATTTGATAATAGTCGTCTTTGAGTAAATTTGAAACAATTATTACAAGATCGTGAAAAATATTTAAACATTGAATAGTATAGGTTATTATAGCATTGGGTTAGTTAGTCATATGTATAAACTAATTGAAAGTTAACTTGACTACTATCTCATAATTAGGTGATTTTTCAAATCAGTAGTGCATGTAAAATTATTGTTTGTCATAAAATGTATTGTCGCAATATTTGATGGAATTCTAAATTTATTTTTAAATTTGCAAGAAATTCTATTTACATTAAAAACCTTAGTTGTTATACAATAAGCGACTATAAGAGGTAACAGAAGCAACTATCATTTCGACAGCTCATAAGCTTCAATAATTAGCTGCAATGGATAGTCAACACTCTGATTTTCAACCATTATCTTCAAATGATTCAAATCTACCTTCTCAACAATCACAACAAACACCATCATTTTCACAACCAAATCAATTCCAAACACAACAACTCCCACAGCAACAACAGCATCAACAACAGCAACAACAACCACAACCACAACAGCAGCATGGTGGAATACAAATAACCCCTCAGTTTTTGGCTTCCTTGACTCCACAACAATTGCAAAATATGAGAGGTAATCCTCAAGTTCAAGAAATGATAAAACAAATGATTTTGAGGCAACAGCATCAACAGCAACAATTAAACAACCAAAATAAAGGTATGAATACACCTCAGGCACCACATCAACAACAATTTTCACAACAACAGCAACAGCAGCAACAACCACTACCAACACAACAACAACAATCCTTCATGGATAATCCTAACGATCAAAGACAACAATTTCTAGCAAACAGTCAAGGACTTCATAATTTATCACAAGGCTCTTATAGACAACAACTAGATAATTTTCCTCAAAATCTGCCACCATTACCGTCTCAAATGGGTCAACCACAACAACAGCAAGGTGGTCAGAATGAAGCTATTTATAGACAAGATGTACCTAATCAAATGTCACCACATAATATGCATCCTCAAGTTGGCGGTTTACCTGGAAGTTTACCTGTTAATAATTTACCAAACAGAGCTTCGGCTACGGGTGGGCCAGGAACATTATCGAATCCAAGTCATCAATTCACAGCGGATCAAGTGAATAATAATCCATTACCTTTCAATGGAGTCACTCCAGTAGTAGGTGGTCAATCAGCTGGAGTAAATCCTCATACTCATCTATATAATCAACAACAACCAGAAATTATAAGAAACTCATCCATAAATCAAGCTCAAAAAATTAATTCTAGTTTGAGTGTACCACTTTCTTTAGCTTCTAGTACTTCACAAGAATTAGCAAATAAAATACCCATGACACAAATAAAAAGTTTTAATCAATGGTCATCAAAATTAACTAGTGAAGGTAAACCAGTACCATTAGATACAAAAGTATATGAAACTATTATAAAAAAAGATGGAGATTTTTTAGCGAATTCATCAAAACAAAATCATGATATGAAAACTTCAATAGAAAATTTAGCTAAAGATTTACAACATTATAATCAAGTAAAACAATTAAGAATGGGATCAATTCAATTAAGTTCTAAAAATCAACAAAATAATAGTATATGGGGAGAAGGATATCAAGGATATGGAAATGGTGTAACTAATACAAGTACAAAATTAATAATACCAGGACGAGATTATACAGATCGAGAAATTAATGAAAAAGTATCTTTACAAAATTTAAAAGGTAGAAATTATGTACCGATAAGATTAGAATTTGATCAAGAAAGAGATCAATTCAAATTACGTGATACATTTTTATGGGATTTAAATGAAGAAATAATATCAGTTGAAGAATTCACAAACCAATTATTACAAGATTATAAATTTATATCAAAATTACATTATCCAACAATAGTTAATTCAATAAAAGAACAAATCCAAGAATTTCAACAAAAACCAAATAAAACAACTGGAGAAATAAGAATACCTATTAAAATTGATATAGTAATAAATAATACTCAATTAATTGATCAATTTGAATGGGATATTTTAAATTCAAATGAAAATGATCCTGAAGAATTTGCAACAATTATGTGTGATGAATTATTTTTACCTGGTGAATACAGTACTGCTATAGCTCATAGTATAAGAGAACAATGTCAAATGTATCATAAAGCATTAATTTTATCTGGTTTTAATTTTGATGGTACTCCAATAACAGATGATAATATACGTAATCATTTATTACCTCCATTAAGATTAGTTTCAAAAGATTATCAAGTTGTTGATGATTTTTTTTCAATATTAAGAAATCCAACAAATGTAAATGAATTTAGTCCACAATTAATAAAATTAACTGAATTGGAAGTTGAAAGAAAAGATAAAGAAATGGAAAGGGATAGTAGAAGAAAAAGAAGACATAATTATAATGAAGATATACAAATTAATTTGAATGGTGGTGTTGGTGGTGGTGGTAACATAGTCAATAGTGCAGGTAGTTTTATAAATGGAGGAAATAATTTTGGTTCAACAATAAATACACCAAATATAACATCTTCAACTACAGCAAATACAAGTAGTTCAAGAGGTTTTGGATCATCAAGAAGAAATGCAGCTCATATAGCAAGAGGTAATACAGCACCAGATCTTTCAACAGTTCCAAAAACTTTTAGAACTCCTGCTCCATCAAGTGTATTACCAGGTGGAATTGATTTAGGAGTTCCTGAAATTTATCAATATGATGAAATATTTGTAAATAAAATTCAAATTAGAAATCCGAATTATAAACCTCCTTCACCTGAATTAATTATTAATGATAAAGTTGATTATGATTATGATCCATTAAAAGGAACTTTCATGGTTACTATAAAAACTAAATAAAAAAAACGAAGGGGACAAATGTATTATTATCGATAGAGTATATATAAAAAAATAAGATTGTATTATTGTATTATTAAATTGATTTATTGATATTTCATAATCTCTTTAATCTTATCAAGGTCCATATAAAGTATTGTGAGTAATTCGTAAAATTCGCTAGTTACACAAAATCAATTCCATAATTTTTTTTTTTCACATTTTTCAAATTCGAAATATGGAGTAAATATATGAATATCTGAAACACACAATTGAAGAATAAGAACATGCCAAAAGATCAAGTATGTAAGATCTTGGAGAGTCAACTTACAAGCAAAAACTGTTTCATTTTTCAAACTGAAATTACTAACATTTCTAACTATTTAGAAAGTTGATCCTTTCAAATCATTTATAGCAGGAGGTACAGCAGGAGCAGTTGAAGGAGTAATAACATATCCATTTGAATTTGCCAAAACAAGATTACAATTAATAGATAAAAATTCATCAACAAAAACATCAAAAAATCCAATTAAATTAATATATAATATTGCGAAAACTCAAGGTATATCAAGTTTATATGTTGGATGTCCTGCTTTTGTTGTAGGAAATACTGTAAAGGCATCAGTTAGATTCTTAGGATTTGATTATATAAAAAATTTATTGAGTGATAAAAATGGGAAATTAAGTGGTCCAAGAGGTGTTATTGCTGGTTTAGGAGCTGGATTATTAGAAAGTATTGTTGCTGTAACACCTTTTGAAGCTATAAAAACTGGATTAATTGATGATAAACAAAGTAAACACCCCAAGTATCAAAATGGTTTAGTTAGTGGTACAATAAAATTAATTAAAGATATGGGATTTAAAGGTATTTACCTGGGAGTTGTACCTGTTAGTTTAAGACAAGCTGCAAATCAAGCAGTTAGATTAGGTTCATATAATGCTATAAAAACAATGATTCAACAAGCTACTGGTACACCACCAAATAAACCATTAAGTTCATCAGCTACTTTTTTAGTTGGTGCATTTGCTGGAGTTATTACTGTATATACTACAATGCCTATTGATACTGTAAAAACAAGAATGCAAGCATTAGGTTCAAAAGATCAATATAAATCTACATTAGATTGTTTTATAAAAATTTTTAAACAAGAAGGGTTATTAACTTTTTGGAAAGGTGCTACACCTAGATTAGGAAGATTAGTATTAAGTGGTGGTATTGTATTTACGATTTATGAAAAAATGTTAGTATTATTGAATTAAAGTATTTTGATAAGATAAGGAGGTGATCATGATGATGGGGATATAGAAAAAGTTAGAATTAAATTTAAATTTGTTTTAATAATAGAATTAATCTAATTAATATGTATTATAAATAATAATAATGTAAATAATATAAATTAAAAATCATCTTATCTCATTTCCGTTGGATCATCTTCCAGTTCATCTATATTTTGTCGTGATTGTTGTTGTTGTTGTTGTGGTGGTTGCAGTTGTTGTTGTGATTCATTATTAGTTTCTTCAAAATTCGGACTTTCAACTTGACTTGTAACACTTTGATTCACAATATTACCACCACCATTTGGATTTAAAATTGATTTTTCTAATTGTTTAATTTTATAAAAATCAACAATACTTTTTATTATAATAAACAAACCAAATGAAATTAAACCATAAGCTATATAAGGAGCAGTAGTATAATTATCATCATTACCAGTACTATCATTATTATTATTAGCTCCAGAATCTTGTATAAAAAATCCCAGAGGTGAATAATTATCAATTTTTAAATTTTCATTTTCAAATTTAAAATTTTTATCAATATTTTCAAATTCATTATAATCATTTATAATATATTTCTTGGGGATTTTTTTAGGTGAACCAATATAAATTGGTAAAATATTCCAACCATACATAATAAGATTTATACCAAAACCTAATCTACTACCTTGTTTTGCAGCATGAGAAGTATGTAATAAATAACATAATATAAATCCAATAAATTGAAAAGCTATAGTAACTAATGAATTCCATATGAAATTTGCTATATTTCCTACTGGTAAACCTTGAACAAATACTTCATCTTCATACATTGGAGAAATCATTGTTGATTCCCAATATTCAGGACTTGAATCTTGTGAAGCTTCTTCATAAGTTGGTGGAAATAAATCTCTTTCTTGTTGTTGAATCATTGATAAAGTTTCTGGTTTTGCCATTAAATTTTGGAAAACTCCATCTGTACCTTGTCCAATAAATCTACCTGGTGAATTATGTTGCATTCTACCTGTTTGTATACCATTATTTAATCTTTCATAAGTTTGTTTTATTGGAAATAAATGATTTATAATTCTAATTATTCTTTGTTTTGGAGTTAATCTTGGTGGTGATTGTGATTCTAAATCATTATGGGTTGTTGTATTGTTTGCTGATGTAGAAGAAGAAGAAGTATTCGGACTTGAAAAAGTTGATGATGATAATGTTGGTTCTTGAGTTATTGTAGTATTATTTGAATCAACTTCTTCATCTTGTAGTAGTATATTTGATGATGATTGTGAATTAGATGTAAGGTTAAAATTATCTTCATTCGTACTTACCTTTCGGAAATTGTTAGTATTAAGAACACACTTTGGAATATAACTTATTGTAAACATACCCTTTCATAATTCGTCATTTGTATGAATATTGTATAATATAAATTTAAATAATGATTGTAAAAGTTTAGATCTGGTATCTGATGATTGTATAAATTATTATGAATATGTAATAGATTTAATAACTTCTATGTGTTATTAGTTTCTGATAAATAAAAAATAAAAATAGAATTTAAGAAAAGGGTTGCCAAATTTTGTGCCACCAACTAAAGTCAATTACGGAACACAAAAAAATGGATGACACTAACGACGATAATAATGATCCAACCATTAAAAAACTTACAGATAACATACAAGAAGATGTTATGAACAAATCGAGTAGTGAAACATTATTGAATATTGACGAATTTGAAAACCAACAAGTTCTGCTTGAAAACAAAGATAAAGAAATGGAAGAAAATCATGTATTAAAATTGACAATAATAAACCTTGAAATTAAAAGATTAAAGAAGAAAATGTCAAAAAAGAATTTCAAATTTGGGTTTCATACCAATTTTTTGGTTTTACAATATGCTAATCTTATCAGGGAAAGAGATGAAATTTTAAAAAAAGAATTGGCAACCAATGCTACAACTAACGAAAATACAACTTCAGAAAGAAAAGAACTTGGGAAAATTACTAATACTTCATCTCAAAGTTCAAACCTCAAAAATGAAACCCCTTTCAAATCTGTGATTGTAACTCATGAAGAACTCGTTAAAAGATGGGATAAAATTAAGCAAGAAAAATTGTCCAAAAAAGCTGCAGCTAAAGAAAATACTACTTCAGAAAGAAAAGAACTAGAAGATATTACTAATATATCATCTCAACATTAAGCCGGTATTAATGCTAACCGTTTCAATTCATTTCAATTCTACAAATTATTAATGCTATTATTTCAATTCAATTCATTTCATTACTATATACAAAATTTCTATAGTTTAACTAGATTAAGTAGCAGTCTAATTAATTTTATCTAATTTTGTTGCAGATTTTGATTGTCAATTTTTGAATAGCTCTGAAAACTACAAATCTTCATTATCTTTGAATTCGTAAGAATGATCTACATTTCTATACTCGAGGTGAGTTTTTACAAATGATAACATGAGATTAAAATCTGATATAGGTTTGTATGTGTCCACATAGTTATTTCTTTGTTTTTTTTTTACATCTACTTCATATCTATACTGAATCACAAACTTGTCGTTAGATCTTCTACACTGCTGTAATAAAGACAAAAAATATAGATATAAACATAAATTAATAATATATATTACTTAACAAAAAAACCAATCAAAAACTAAACTAATAAACTTTTTTTTTAAAAAGAATTATGATTATTCAATGGTATAAGAAGGAATTGAAATAAATAAAAAAAGTAAATAAAGAAATTGTTTCTTAAATTTTTTGAAATAACGCCCCAATAATAAATCCTAATAATAACTCCAGAAGAAAAAGTGAAAAAAAAATATCAAACCAAACAAAGTAAATAAAAAGTCAGCCCGATAAATTTATTTATTCAGGATTTGCAACTTGTAAAACTTTTCTTGAATAATCAGCTTCATCAACTAATGAACCTTCACTTAATCTTCTTCTACCCATCATTATTGGATTTAATCTTGGATCAATAAATCCTCCTCCTTGAGTTTTTGATCTACCTAAACCAAATATTGAATTTCTTTTACCTTGTGTTGTTGTTGTTGTTGATGATGAAACTAAATCATCATTTGGATGTTGAAAAGGATTAACCATTGGCATATCTAATGGTGATACTTTATTATTTCCGTTGGTATTTCCATTATTTCTTTTTGAATTTTTTCTTGATGAATTTTTATTATTAAATGATCCACCACTACCACCTAAACCATTATTTAAATTATTATTTTTATCATCATAAAATTCTTCTTCATCATCATAATCATCATCATCATATGAATTTCTTTTACGAATAATGAAAAATGCTAATAATCCAATTAATGCTGCTCCAACTACTCCTCCAACTACACCTCCAATAATTGGAGCTACTGATTTTTTATGATTTTCATTGTTACTGTCGTCACTATTATCACTTGAATCACTTGAATTTGATGTTGAAGATGATTGTGATTGAGTTTCTGAATTTGTTGAAGTTGTTGAAATATGAGTTTCAATTGATGAATCAGTTTGAGTTATTGTTCTATAAATTACTGATCCATCTCCATTACTTGATGTTACTGTACTTGTAACTCTTTCTGGAGTTTGATTAGTTGATTGATTAGGTGTTTCAGTAGTAGTTTCACGATTTGATGTTGATTGTGATGGACTGTTGTTAGGTGATGATGAAGATGTTGATGATTGTGAAGCAGCAGCAGCATTACCACTATTACTACCTGAAGTAGATGAACCAGAATTACTTGCTGATGAAGAAGATTCATTATCATCATTGTTATTAGAATTTGAATTATCATTATTAACTCCAATGAAAACTGAATAAGAATTTGAACCACCACACATTTCTTGTCCATAACCAGTACAAGGAGTATTACAATTTGAATTTGAAATTTTGGAATTTGAATTTGGTAATTTATCTAAACATATACATTCTTCTCCCTTTATAGCAACATACATACTATTTGGACAAGAATTATGAGTACAATAACCTGAAGATTGGAAATTATAATCTCCTTGTGATTGACTATTTGTATTTGATATAGAAGAATAACAACCTGATAATTGAGCTGGTGGATAATATATTGCATTTATAAAATTTAAATTAATTAGTAGTAGTAGTATTAGTGAAAATCTGTATTTGTGATCATTTGACCAAATGTTCGTTATTGAAAACATAGTTTATATTGATTGTTTATATTGATGAAGAGTCTTTATGAAGGAAAGTTGTTAGGTATGTGAGTATGAAGAATGGTTTGGTTGAATGATATTGATTTTAAAGTTAATAAATAGGTGAATAAAATGAATGACAAGTTAGTTGGTTGATTTTTTCTAATCTTTTAGAATTTTGATGTTGATAATAAGTTAAAATAAGTAAGGTTTAAATTTTTTATTAAATTAGATAACTTTCGTCCCTTGGCGAAATAAAAAAATAAAATAAAAATTAAAACTAAAATTAATTAAATGTTAGATAAAAGAATGTTGTTGTAAAACTAAGGATTAAGTGAATGAAATAGTTTTTGCTTCTAACTGATTGTGATGGGTTGATAACTTAAGGCGATTAGTTGTAGTTAGAAACTTGTAGTAGTACCTTATTGAAAACTATTGGTTGTATAAATTTGTTGATGATTTTACCTAATTAATTAAAAAAAAATACTCGAATTTTTGAAATTGAAAAAAAAGAAATAAACAAAAACTTCAAAATGCTACCAAATTGTTTAATAGAAAAAAATACTGGAAGTAACTACCAAGTGCTAATAAACTTTAAAATCTAGTCAGGTCCAATCAAATAGGATTATAATAAGGATTAGAGAGAAGGAATATCTAATTATACGGTTTCAGTTTTCCAGATATAGAAATACTGAATTGGACAAGTGCTGAGACTAGTATTGAAAACAGATACATAGCTATGTTATTCAAGTATCTACATTATTTAAATAAGCCTAGACCAATAATAGATTAAGAGTCTATTGTATATTATTAAATTAAGTACATTACATACTATACATTATATACATTACCTTACTAGATTAATATAATAAATCTAGATTTTATTATTTTAGATCGCGACTTTTTAATTAATAATTTAAATAAATACGCGTAATTTTTCATTTAGTTAAATCTCTCCCCCCTTTCTAAATTTTATTTTAATTACTTAAACGAACAAATGAAATTTATGTATTCATTAATAAATACATAAAACTAATGGTTGAATTCATCATCAAATAGTTTGTAAAAAAATCAACAGGGTAATTGTTACTTTAACTCAATATCATGGATTCTATACAATTATACATTAAGTACAGCTTTAACACAAATTATAGTTTTATTAATAGGCCATTTTTAAAACTTAGCATACTCAAAATATTCAGAGTTAACATGACAGAAGTATAAGAGATTCGTCATTCTAAGGTACTACCAAAGATCATAAAAATTGTCATTGTTCAAAAGAGTGTCTTTTCAAAGTGCAATTGAAAGCTACTTGATAAATTTTATAAAAGGCTAATGAAAAAATGGTTTATGCAAGTAAATCGATAATTTGAATGTTTTTATGGAATCAAGCGATGTCCTGAATTTTTTAAATAAACTTTTTGCAATACTTGAGATAATCCATCTCTGTTCCAGATGAATGCTTTATAATTCCAATATTAAGAAGTTATTCATGTTAGATTTGGGAGATAATGTTGTTGACTTAATTACCAAAGCAGTACCATATCGTTTGTTTTCTAGGAAAAAGCTATTATCTCAAATGTTGAAAGATAAAAATCTCTTATTCATTGTTTTAGCCATTTGTTTGTACAAGTTGTTTTCATCAAGCCAATTGCTGAATAAGCACCTAGACAATCCCATTGGTGGAAACTGTTTGTATAAACAAATGGCTATAAAGCAAGGAATAAATTTCATGTATAACCAGTCTTTATCAGTATAATCAATAAAAGCTTTAAATGAAAATGATTCAATTACTAAAAGTTTTTGTTGAATATACTGGTAAAGACTGGTTATACAAAACTAAATTAGTTGAATTCGTCCCTGACAAGCCTCCCAACTAATCCACTAATTTATCACCATTTCAAGTAAATGTAGGAAACAACTTAAAACCACGACAATATTGATTCTGAGTGTTTGCCAATACAAATGTTGAAAGATAAAAATCTCTTATTCATTGTTTTAGCCATTTGTTTGTACAAGTTGTTTTCATCAAGCCAATTGCTGAATAAGCACCTAGACAATCCCATTGGTGGAAACTGTTTGTATAAACAAATGGCTATAAAGCAAGGAATAAATTTCATGTATAACCAGTCTTTATCAGTATAATCAATAAAAGCTTTAAATGAAAATGATTCAATTACTAAAAGTTTTTGTTGAATATACTGGTAAAGACTGGTTATACAAAACTAAATTAGTTGAATTCGTCCCTGACAAGCCTCCCAACTAATCCACTAATTTATCACCATTTCAAGTAAATGTAGGAAACAACTTAAAACCACGACAATATTGATTCTGAGTGTTTGCCAATACACCAACTGATCCAGTACTTAATTCAGCTAAAGATATCATGAAATTTAAGAATTTTTTATATTCCCATAATCGATTGATCAATCATGATTCATACAAAGCACAAGTAGCAGAAGAAAAGCAATATAATAAGCATTTTGAAGTAAGAGGAAGTACTTAATCAGGGATTCTAAAATGGATTATCATCAAAAACTTTGCAGACATAGTATAGACCAAAACTACACGGATCAAATCTATTATGGTGAGTGTTATGATGGCAAAGGTTTTGATGAAAATCAGTTTTAAAGATAATTAAATGGTCAAATCTAAATTTTGGTTCTCATTATTTTAGCAAAGTGTTTGAAGGAAACCAAAATAATATGCTTTATAGTTTATCACTATTAAAGTTAACCTCAATCTAAGAGTGACTACAACTTTCTTTTAGGGAAAGAAATATGTTATCATTTATTTGTATAAATGAATTCAATAATGCTTGAAAGTTACAAGAATGGTCAAAAAAATAAAAAAAAAAATGAATAAAGTGTTAAGTTCCTTACTCATAAAGAATTGAGAGCTTATTTTAACTCATATTGTTTGAACTACAAACTAAAAGTTTATTAAAAATAGTTCCAATCATTTAGAAAGAGTTAACCCGGATTATACAAAAGGGACTATGCATTTCAAGTTATATGTGGCGGTACAATACAAGAGGAAAGCCAAAGAAATGGGAAAAAGTAGTCAATGATAAAAAGATACGTAAGCATGCCCTAACTAAGACCCGATTTTAAATTTATAAGAAAATAGCAACGAAATAAGCAAACTTTGTTGAACTAAAATTGTGTTTAAACTGTGGTAACCATTATAAGTATTACAAAATATTTAAAATTCAGTTTTATACAGTCTAGTCAATGAATGATCTTATATATTGTATAATTCTACTTGTAATATGATCATTAAATCTGAGACAATTTGCGATTTCTTTAATATTGCTTTCATACGGATTTCGTAGTAAGTAAAAATGCGGCTTGTTTACTGCAAAGACTGAATTATAATAAATTTAAGTAAACATACATTTTTGAAAATAATAATGAATCTAAATTATATATCAATGTTTGCTGCTTCATTAAACAACTCCGAATTGAACAATATATAAAGACTCAAAGTGATCCCTTCTTTCAACAATTACTATCAACAACTTTTTTTATAAATTAAACCAAATCAAACAAAAACAAACAAAATGCCAGAAGTTACTAAAGCAACAGATGTTTATTTTACATTAAATAATGGTAAAAAAATTCCAGCATTAGGATTAGGAACTGTACCATCAGGAGATCCATCAGGAGTAAAAGATCAAGTTAAAACAGCAGTAAAAGCTGGGTTTAGATTAATTGATACTGCTTGGTATTATGGAACTGAAAAATATGTTGGTGAAGCTTTAAAAGAATTATTTGAAGAAGGAGTAGTTAAAAGAGAAGATATTTTTATAACAACAAAAGTTTGGCCATCATTTTATCATAATCCTGAAAAATCTTTAAATCAATCTTTAGAAACTTTAGGATTAGATTATGTCGATTTATTTTTACAACATGTATGTATTATTATAACATTGTTTTTAAAAATTATTAGATTACTAACCAATTTAGTGGCCAATTGCTCTTAGTGGGGATGAAAATGGTAAACCACCAGGTCCAAAAGATGAAAATGGAAATTTAAAATATGATGATGATCCAGTAAATGGTACAAAATTTATTGAAGTTTATAAAAATTTAGAAAAAATTTTAGAAACCACCAATAAAACAAAATCAATTGGAATTTCAAATTATTCATTAGATAGATTAAAAAAATTATTACCAGAAATTAAAATTACACCAGTTGTAAATCAAATTGAATTTCATCCTCAATTAAGTCAACAAAAAGATTTAATTGAATTTAGTGAAAAAAATAATATAAGAATTGAATGTTATTCAGGTTATGGAGGTACAGGAGCTCCTTTATTAAAATTACCACTCGTTAAAGATTTAGCTTCAAAATATAATGTAACAGAAAATGAAATTATAAATGCTTATGATATTTTAGAAGGTAGAATTATAATACCAAGATCTTCAAATTTAGAAAGAATTAAAAATATTACAAAATTACCTCAATTAACAAAAGATGAATTAAAACAATTAGATCAATTAGGTGAAAAAGATCCAAAAAGATATGTTAATGATCCTTGGGGTTATGGTATTGGTTTCAAAGGTTGGGAAGGTGATAAATTAAGTGAACCATTTGAAAAAAAATAATTGAGTTAGTCTAGATAGTGATTAAATACAATTTTTCAGCTACCAATTTTCGTTTCAAAAATATGTAGTATCGACTTGTTTTCTACATTAATAGTATCTCTAGACCTCAAGTGAAAACATGCTCATTTCTATAACTTTATATACGTATGTAAACTGATTCTCTCAAATCGGTATAGCTTGTTTCTTACTAACTACATTATCATTACTATCATCTTCTAATTCTCTTTTTAATTTTTTTTGTTTTGCTTCATCAGAAGTCACAACTAAATCATTTTCACCAGCAATTTTTAATAATCTTGTATTTTGTTTTTCACCATCAACTTTTCTAAAATATGGTTGACATCTCCAATAAGGTATTATTTTATATGATCCACCCCATTCTTCAATTTTATTATTATCTTCTATTATATCAATTTCTTTAATATTTGGATTTTCATAAATTTTATTTATTATTTCTTCAACTTGTATTACAATTTTTTCCCAATCATCATATGATGAATGTACACTTGTTTGACCTATAATTGGTCTTAATTCTTTATGAATATTTAAAAATTCATGCATTATTTTGAAAAAATGAGCTTTCATTGAATGTCTTGATGCTAAAGTATCTATACTTTTAACAATTTCAAAATATTCTCTAAGCAATTTATCAACTCTTGGAAATTGTTTATTTATATCATTATTTTTTGTCCAAAATACTCCCGGGTTATATAAATTTCCTTCTGCTGACATAACTGCATCACATAAAGTTTCATTCATACATCGTTTTAAATCAATTGGATATAATATATTACCATTTGCAAAAAATACTTGATCTTTAGGTAAATTATCTCTTAAATATTTTAAAATTTTCCAATTTGCTAAACCAGTTTGTTGACCTTTCATATCTCTTGTTCTACCATGAATAGTTATAAATTGTGCACCTGCTTTTAATACCATTTTTGCATATTCCAAAGATTTTTCCCAATCATCATAAATTCTAATTTTTGCAGTAACTGGAATTTTTAAATTATCATGTAAATTTTTAATTAATTTATAAATTAAATCCCAATCATCCATTAAAAAAGCACCATATTTCCCCTTTTTGGCAATACCTTGAGGACATCCTAAATTTAAATCAATAGCATCACAATTATTTTCAATAATTTTAGAAGCTTGTAATAAATAATCAGGATCATTTGCACAAAATTGTACAATTAATGGTCTATCATTTTCAAAATTTCCATCCTTTGTAAAATCCCACATATTTTGTCTATATTTTTCACTTGTTACAAATAATTTTGCATGAAACATTGGTGTATAACATAATTCTGCTCCATATCTTCTTGATAATATTCTCCATGCTAATTCTGATTGATCTACCATTGGTGCTACTATGGTTTTTGGTTGTCCTATTGAATTATAAAATTCACGTCCTTGTAATTTTTTTGATTGAGGTAGTATCTCTGATGATGATTGTGATGGTGATGGTATTGATGATGATGGAGGTACTGTCATTGTTTTCTCGAATGAATTATATGATGTTTGTCTAGTTGATATAGTTGGTTTTGAAATATGCTTGAGACTGATTTGTGTGACAGGTCGTTTAAAGAGCATATAACTCTTGAATCTTGGTATATGTTATTTTGTTAGAATATTTTTATCTTATCGTAATCGTAATGGGGTTTTACAAGAAAAAAAAAAATTTTGAAACAGTTCTGTTATTTCTTTTTATTATTCTGTATTGATATTATTGATGCAAAAAATGTCCTTTCATTTAGTTTTAAATATATCATTTACTAGAAATTGATAGTCGAAATTAATTCGCAGATTCAAAGGCTAAGCCTAACCTTTGATTCTGTTGGCTCGAAGTATACAGCAATCTCAAACCTTCGTCTGATTTGTTCGAATCGATCTTCTTACATGAGTGGAAAAATGTCTACGATTGATATTTTAATCTTGTCTTCGTCGATGTAAGAACCAATGGCATTACTTAAAAGTCAAGAGAAGTAGATAGACTTAAAGTTGTATATTAACTATTTAATTCTTTAAATACAGTAATCCGTATACTTACTCAGCCAATTATTAGATTCTATTAAATGTCTCATAGTAGGTCTACCATGAGGACAATTCCAAGGTTTATCTAATTTACTCAAATTTCCAATGATTTCTTTCATTTTATCTCTTCTTAATGATGATCCAATCATTATACTACTTCTGCAGGCTTTCATTGCTAAAATTTTTCTAATTTTAGAACATTTTATATTTTTATTACTTGGTTGTTCATTAATTAAAGTAATTAATTCATAAAAATCATTTATATCAAACATTATATTTTTATAAACTGGTAATGAGATTAATGAAATTTTTGATCCTGGTTTTAAATCATTATTAATTTTAATTTTAAATCCATTATTTAAAAATATAAATTCATGATCTTGTACTAACATTTCATCAATTATATTTAATTCTAAAATTTGTGGTTTAATTAATGGTTGAAAATTTATAGAATAATTTTGAATTAATTTTTCAAAATTATATTTTTCATCTGATGCATGTTGATCAATTATAAATAAATTTGAATTATAACTTACTAATATAAAACCTAAATTAAATTGTCCAATAAGTTTCATTTGTAAAAAATCAGATTTTGATATATGATAAATTTCTTTATCTTCAAGATTTTTATTTACACTTGTTTCTTGTGAATTTTCAAATGTTTGATCATATTGTTTTATAGTTGTTAAATTTGATAAGATATTTTCAGATGATTCAATAATTTTTTTACTAAACAAATTAATATCACGTTTAAATCTTTTTGTAGGTCTTTCTTCAAATTCTTCATCATCAATTATCATTTTTATTGGTTCATCTTCCATTGTTTCTATAACTGGGAAAAAGTTCACTCCATGCTGATCTTTTATGTTATTTGATTCTAGAATATCTTCTTCCTCATCATATTTAAAAGATGATATTGATTGTGATTTGATAAAAGGTTCATCTTCTGTGTTGTCAGTATTGTAAATATTCGATTGAGTGGAGCCATTCTGATTTATAGGATCTGAAAAGTCTTGTGTTTGTGGCAGTGAAGATTCATTTTCAATATAGGAATTTTCAACTACTTCATCTTCGATTGGTTGTGTTGATTTATTCATGTCTTCAATAATGTTTGTTTCAACTTTTCCTGAATTATCGATTGTTTTGAAGTCACCTGAATTTTCGTGTTCATCAACTTCTACCTCGTCGTCCTCGTCGTCCTCTACAAATAATGTTTTATTCTTTTCTGTTTCAGTAGTTTCATCCTTTTGAGACAATTCTGTTTCCTCCGCATTTTGATCGTCTGATACTTTCGGTTCTTTCTCTTCCATTTCATTAACAATCTCCCTATCTTTCATTCCAGCATTACTCTCGGAATCGTCTTCTTCTATCAAAGTTTGAGAACCAACTAGATCCTCCTCATTTTTGATAGTTAAATCCTTCTGTATATATTTCGATAGGCTACTTTGTAGTTTTTCCGTCAATCTTTCTTCCTCTTTCTCTTCTTCTTTACTCTCTTCCCCTTCTTCATCTCCATCGATTATTTTCAAACTCTCAGAAACCAGACTTCTAGTACTTTTAGGTATAATTACGTTATCTCGTGTATCATAAAATTCAACCAATTTTTCTCTTATCAATTCCAATACCTGATCTTCTCTATGAATTAAGATATTTGTTTTATCTGGTATTAAATTAACATCAATCAATTCAGGGTTGATATCTATATTTATAACATATACTGGGAATTGAACATGATTGAAAGACTTATAAACCTCATTTATTAACATGGATAATTTTTTAAAATTAATAGGTCTCTTGTTTATGTATAAAAATTGTCTATCAGGTGTCGATCTTCCAAGACCAAAAGAATAAGATGAAATATGTCCACTTAAAGTCATATCTTCATTAATTTTCAAATCTAGATCAAGTAAATTTGTATTTCCATTACTTCCAAAAATTGATATTAATGTTTCAGTAATTGTGTTATTTTCACCACCTTTGGAAGATAAAACAAGTTGCTTTTTTCCATTATTATTATTTGTAACTTCAAATTTGATATTTGGATAGATAATTAAATAGTTTATTATAAAATTTATAGTCTTATGAAATTCTCTTTTTGAAGTTTTCACAAAATTCTTCCATCTAACTGGTAAACACTTGAATAATTCTTCAACTGTTATCGACGTTCCTGATTTGTTACTCATTCCACCAATTTTAGAAGTTTCTTTTATTAATTGGCCAAGTTGATCATAATTTAATGTATAATTTTTAGGATATGTCTCTAATGTTTGAGTAGTGATTGTGACTTTATTAGATAATGCACATATTGAATTTAATGCTTCACCTCTAAACCCCAAAGTAGTTAAAGTTGATAAATCTTCAAATTCATTAATCTTTGAAGTATGACTTCTCAAACAAACAGTAGCAAAATCTTCTTTATTTATACCTTTCCCATTATCCAGTACTCCGATTAGATCAACTCCATAATTAATGAAATTTATAACTATTCGTGTTGCATTAGCGTCAATTGCATTTTCAATTAATTCCTTGACTATCGACCTTAGATCTATAATTACTTGACCAGAAGTGATCTTAGATATATCTTTAGCGCTGATAGTTTGAATTGTAGTCATATATTCAGGGTATATTTCATTACTGTTTTACAAAGATGAAACGCGTTTCAAAAATTGTTTTTTAATTTAATGGGGTAATTCGATAAGCTATTTAAGAATGAAATCACTAATTGACAAGCTATGAAAACAAATCAAGATGATACGACTAATATTCCTTTGACAATCAACAACTTTTTACTCGTATTTAAAGAATTTTTAATTGTTTGGTTTAATCAGATATTATTTTACAATAAAATTTATGATCCATTAATATTTGATGAATACAAAGCATTTGAATTGATCATAAAAAAAAATAGACATCCACATTTAGAAAAATATATTGACAATCTACTTATAAACATTATAAACAATCTTATAATTTCAAAGAAGCAAACAAATGGTTTGAATAAGATTTCATGTTTAATATATAATACGAAAAGTAATAAGGTGATCAAAAGTTATTCAATAAAATTTGCTCAATTCTTAATTAATTTGGACAAGACTATTAATGAGCTAAAGGAACCAACAACGGAAGTTGAAGATACATCAGCAAAACTTGACATCCCGGATTTAACGTGGATTGAAATATACACTCAATTTCAAACAGTATTATTCAAGTTTATTCAAGAATTGAAAAAGGAAACATTAACTGATGATATTCAATATGAAGTCGGAATGTCAATGCAATCAACAATGCCTGATAATGATTTGTTTTTCAAAATTACTGTTGACTTAGATGAATCAATTTATGCATCAACTGAAAATTGGATTCGACTTGGTCAAAATGAAATGGTAAATTCAGAGTTTACAAAACCTTTGGCTCAATTAGATTTGGATGTGATTAATTTTGATTTAGTAAATGAATATTACGAATAATAAATGAATAAATAATTGTTTGTTCTCATCTATATACTGTATTGGCTAAACTACATTTTGTAATCCCATTATGTTTACCATTTTGTCATAAACAAAATATGAAATTGAAACAGCTGGTGCAACTTTTGCCAAATTTGGAACTAAACCTTTGAATAAACCAGGATAACCTTCTCTTGCAATTGTTTTTTTCAAAACATCAAAAAATCCATTATAAGTATAAGGATGAGCATAAGTACCTTGAGCTTGTAATCTTGTTCTAATTAAATTAATCGGGTAAACTACTGTAGCACCAAATGAACCTGAAAAGGCTCCTAAGGTTAGTATTATTGAATTCGGTAATTTGACCTCATCTTCTGGTAATTTCGATTTTTTGGCTTCTCTCTTGATCAACCATGTTTTGATAGTGGAGAAAGTACCTAAGTCTAATGCCGCATATGGGAAGATACCACTTACACCAGCAAACCAACCTCTATAAAAAACCTTTAATCCACCTTCTCTGAATAGATCTTTAGCCGTCTGTATTAATAAAGCATTCCCTTTCAAGGAACTATCTAGATTTGAACATTGAAGTCTAAATTTTAAAGTATCAATAGGGTACACGGCCATTTGTGAAACAACACCTCCAATCCCACCTGAAAAATATGTTGATAATTTGGATATATTTGCAACATCATCTTTACCTTCTATTCTTGCAAAAAATCTTTTAGCAGCTTCAAATGATCCAAATTTTATTGCTGATTCAGGAAAGACTTTAGCAACATTCAAACCATTACCAACGTAGAATGCTTTGAGTCCTCCCTGTAACCATAAAGTTCTAGCAGCTTGAACTATTGGAGATCTAATTGTTTTCTCTTTCAATGTTGTCCCTGTTCCTTGTGACAAGATGTGTTCCGCTTCAGCATGTGCTAGTTTGGCACGCAATTTATCAATGACTGATTTCTCAGCACCTGATGCAATTTGCCTTGCAATCTCTTGTTTTGAGTGTAAAATTGTTGATGATAAATCGGTTCTTGCAATTAAAAATACTTTTATTCTATCAAATGGTGCAGTACAAGTTCTTGAAACAACACCAGCCATACCACCAGCTATAAAAAACCCAAATCCATTAAGAAATTGATTTATTAAAGTAACATCACCATCCGAACTGACATCGAAATTTTCAACAATAAATTCAAAAGCTGTTCTGATTCTGGATCCATGTAATCTTGGCATTAAAATTAAAAATTCTCTGAATTCATCATATGTGATATACCCGTCATTTTTGTAATCGATTTGTTTAAACAACAAATCAACATTGACTTTACTAGCATTATTCAAATTTAAATGATGTTTTAAATATTTTACAAAATCAGCTTTGTTTAGTTTCCCATCATTATCTTCGTCAATTTTATTAAACCCTTTCAAAATTTGATCATCAGTTGTGCTTAAATATCGTTTGAAGTCGTTAAAATCTATTACTTTATCACTATTTGAATCAAATGAATTAAAAACTTTTCGTAGTAACACAGGATTTTCACTTATTGGATGATTTAATTTTTTCATTGCTTTTGTAAAATCTTTAAAAGTTATATGACCTGTCGATTCAATATCTAATCTCTTGAATAAAGCTTCATAATCATTCGGCTTTGCAGGAATTATTAAATTATTGGGATCATCTTTTTCTTGTGAATCATTTGAAATGTAAGATGATTCAGATGTGATATGTAGGGGCATTTTTAACGATTGTATTAGTTACCTTTCTCTTATTTGGTTTTAATGTTGATTATTTATATGATTTGAATGTTTCGGCTAACTTTTATTATATTTTTCATGCAATTGTAAGCTTTTTGACTTCGAGTAGTTTTGTTTAATAGTACAGGAGTTGTCAAATGAAAGTACTCTGTTCGTTTTTGTATGAATATGATTTGAATTGAATAATTTAAATTACTTTGAATGTGGCCAAACCATGAAGAAGCCTCCCTTTTTCAGTAATTATCAAGGTGTTAGATGTTTGCAATTCCAATGTTTATGGAAATTGGGGAAAAGAATATATTGTGGTGAATTTGTGTCATTGAACTATTTGGAAAGAGAATTTTTTTACATAGAAAAATCATAAAACCAGCAGACAACATGAGTGATAAGACTAATTTTATATCAGATTTGCATCATCTTATTGCAATTGATTGGACATAGAGAACTTATCTCAACCATTGGCACCCATAAGATTCAAACAAGCATTGTAAGAATTTCGTAAAATTCGTTTTGTTTCAATTACGTATTGTCAATTCTAATTTTTTTAACACCGGAGTAGCATTTTGTTATAAATCCGATATTGCCTAACCAAATCAAATACAAAAAGTAAAAAATACAAGTACAAGTAAAACTGGTAATCTTGGCTCAAAAGCAAAGGAGATAAGTTGAAGTTTTGAATTAAATTACATTTGCAATTGATTTATAAATACTATACCCTGTTATACACTCATGAAGTCAAAAATTGAACTCATATTGACATACCTACGACCACATTCATTTAAATACTTATTTATTACTTCTTGACAATACCCAAACATATCTTTGTTTTGTTCAGCCAACGCATTAACTTGACCAGAAGCTAATTTTGATAATTCATCATTTTCTGTTTCTAAAGCATCTTTTATTGGTCTTAACTTTCCATTTTTAGTTTTCTCAACATCAAATATTGAATTGAAATAAAGCAATTGATTGTATAATGCTTTATCTGAATAACGGTATCTCATTATACCTTTACAATCTACTGCTTTGCCCGATGTACCAATACATTTTTTACCATATACTGAAATTTGTCTCGTAGTTACACCACAAGCGTTATCATCACAAGTTAACCATCCTGAATAATATAAAGCAATATGTTTTCTTATTGCCAATTCCAACTGTGATGTTAATTTCAAAATTGGAAAAACATATTCACATTTACTACATTTAATACCATTGAATGACACTGTATAATCTTTTGATGCCTGAATACCTCCAAATCTAAAATTATGACCACATTTACACCTTAATACTAAATAACTGGATTGTCTAAACCTTTCAGAATCAGATATACTAGATTCTATTGGCAAAATTTCTCCATTCAAACTTTCACCGTTTTTAACTCTTAAAATATATCTTTTACTGTCAATACCTAATGAAGTTGCAACTTTCATCATATCAATTGATTCAATTCTTTCTAACAATCTTTCAACTGGTGCAAATATTTGTTTTTCTAAATAATAAGACGGATCTGCTTTCAAGTTTAAATCTTTTTGATACATTTCTTGTATAGCCCTTGCTCTTTCTGCAACTGTTGATTTGTCATCATCATCTGTTGGTGATGTAATAACATAAGTTATAACACTGCCAGCTTTTATAACTTTTCCTTGTTGTTTTAATCTTAATGCTACTTGAACTTGTGGCATTGATTTACCATTCGGATAACTAGATGGATCTTTTGATAATTTCGTATTTATTTTGAATTTGTCAATTGCAATTTCATTTGATTTGATCTTATCCCTCATCTCTTCCAAATATGTATATATTTCTAGTAAAGCTTCTTCTGGATCAGAATCAGATAATATTTTCATTAATACAAATGTTGATATATCTTTTGAAAGTTGACAATATTCTCTTCTTCTCATATCTAAACCTTTAACTTCTAATGTTGAAATTTCTTCATTTGATTTATTCACAGATACATTCATAGCTGCATATTTCTTTTTAGCATGAAGCAACAATCTTTTAAATACATTATCAATATCAATTTCTAATAATTTATACCTTTCGTTAACTTGAGTTTTAAATTCTTCACCAATTTTAATAGCATCTTTTAAATTATTTGCACCTGTATCAATCATAACAGAATCAGTATCACCATAAACAACTCTTAAACTTGATGATTCAGCAAGCTGTCTGGTATCCATCAAAATTTCTCTTCCTTTATTCGTGACCAACATCGCCAAAGGTTTTGCATAAAATCTGGAATTAACATAACCTAAACAACCATACATAGAATTTGCAGTTAATTTCAAAGCCTGTTGTTTAATATCAAATTGAGCTTTTTCAAATGGAGTATTTTTTGGATCCTTTAATAATTTTTTAACCTCACGACGACGAGAGACCAAAGTATTTAATAATCTTGGTAAAACACCAGCATCTAAATCGTTTTCTGGTAACAGCGGCATATCTTTATCTTCGTCATGAGTCCTATTGAATTGATCCCTGTTGATTGTTGTAAAACAAATATTATATTCTTGAATGATACTTGGATATAATGAGTTGAAATCCATAACCAACACATAATTTTTATGTAATCCTTTTTCCGGTTCAAAAACTAATCCACCTTGATATTTAGGTTTTTTATTTGATGTAGCGGTTTGAGCATCTTCTTCAGCATTTTCAAATTTGGCTTGTTGTTGGTAAGTTGTATTTTTATGAATATCATCTGCTTTATCTGGTATAATATAATTATTTTTCTTAAATTCGTGTAATAAAATGAATTCGTTTCTACCAGCTCTTGTACCACTCAATGTATGAGACCAAGCATTTCCCGCAATGTTTGTTAACTGTTTAGACAATGAAAGAATTTGTATAGCAAACGCAATTTCACCAGTAATTCTGCAATTGAATTCATTTTCTTTCAAAGCAAGATATAATAATGTAGCATCTTCTGAATATTTAGAATTTTGAAAATTGATATCTAGTGAAGAATGAGATTTGTGACAAACCACATCATACATTTCTGGTAAATCCCATGATTGACATTTCATGGTCAAAGATTGACCCATTTCATTTCCAATATCACATAACAATCTACCTCTAAATACTTCTCGAATCAATAAGTTATTATTAAAACCTTTCTTGCTATTATTTATTAAATGAGGCCATTGCTTTCTATTTCTTCTCCCTAATGCTGACCAAGTCATCACTTGATTATCATGCATTCTATGAACTAAAACATCCAAAGATATATTTTCCAATCTATGACCAATAAAAATATCAGGGTCCAAAGTTTTAATTTTAGCAGCTAAAGCATTTAATAATACTTTTTCATTGGGACACAATTTTAATTGAAAATTATCTTTCTGTGCTAATTGATTTAATCCAGGTGGGAATGAAACAGATCCAACTGGTCTCGCTAAAGTCAAAACATCATTTGGTTGTAGATCCTCGCGGATTGGTGCATCTTGTGGTAAATCATAATAGGTTAGCAACGAAACAGAAACAACTTCTTGCTTATTGTGTTTTGGGTTCATCACTGTTTGTATTGAAATTGAGGTACATGTTAAATTAGGAGCTGGTGGAGTGTTTTTTGAAATAACAGAAACTTTTAAAGGCAGACTTATAGCAACTTCAACTTGACAATGAGTAGAATTTCTAATAGCATTAAAATCTCCACCTTGAATTTCTAACCAACAAGGACCCATTATTCGTCTTTGGGTCACAAATTCCTCAAACATGTTTGTATTACTTCCAAATATATGACAAAAAGTTGAACCTTCCGTATCAGCTGGTAATATTTGTTTATTTGTGATACTATTAAATGGCAATAAAACTTTCAAATATTCAGTTTCCTTAGGTATATCAGCCAATTCAAAAGCGTATTTTTTAGTTTCAGGTTTAGCTTTCAATAAGTCTAACTTGTAATTTTCCATAAATATTGGAGTAATTTCTTCTCTTACATCTTCCGCAGTATTGCCTTCTTTTGGTAAAATGAATAATTCCCTACAAACACCATTAACTTGAACTACTCCTGAAGCTAAAGTACCATCTTTTGTTTGGATTTTACCAAATAATAATAATGAACTTTCAAGTTCTGCATAATCCATCCAAAACATTTTAAACAGTCCTGTATCATCACTTATTTTTTCTTGTTCAATTTTATCAGTATGATTAGCAAATTTTGCATATGTTGGTTTAAATGGAGATGAATTGATAGCTTTAACAGATGTAATTGTTTTAGAATCCAAGTCCCTTTTGACAGCAGTAGCTCTAGGTCTTTTTGCAAAAATGACATCGTCTTCAGAATCACTTGATTCCAATTTATCTTCCACTTGCTCTATCTCTGGGGTTAATTTCTCTTGCTTTGTTTCATTCGTGATCAATGTTGGTTCTACTTCTGTTGTTGTGCGTATTGGTGAAGAAGGTTGATCAATATCATCAAAGTCCATTGTATAATCTGATGAGGCATTGAAAGTATCAAATTTTGGTGTTTTTTTCTCTTTCTTAACTGTAGCAAATGTAAAAGCAGTGCCAATTTTTTTCTTCTTAGACTCTGATGGTGTTTGTTTTGAAAAAGTTTTAGTCTTTTTAGATTTATTGTCTTCAAAACCATCAAGAATGTCATCAATACTTGTATCAACTTTCTTTTTATTTTCAATGCCAGATGAAGCTTTGAAAAAGTTATTAATTGGAGCAGTTTTAGCTATTTTTGCTGGTTTTGAATCTTTAGATTTCTTCTTTCTTTTCTTATTTGTTTCAACCTCCTCTTCATCTGAATAATAATTTGGTCTTGACGCATCATCCCATTCATCTGCTCCGTTATCCACATATCCTTCTCCATTATCATCCACGACAAAGTCATCCTCTACCAATTGTTTCCTTTTTTCTTCTCTGAATGTTTCATCATCAACTTCATCATAAATTTTATTGAAACTTGAGTCTTCATCCGAATCTAAACCAACATTTCTTCCTGTTCTTCTTGCTTCCTTTAAAGCCTTTAGCTTTTCTTGTCTGGCTGCTCTTGACAGCATACTATTTGATGGTGGTTTGATATGATAATGTAATGACTAATACTATAACACTACTAACAAATTGATTGAAAATAATGAAATAAAGTAGACTTACAAGACGTGTCTAAATGTTTTTCTTTTTTTTTTGTGGTGCGTTATCTTAGACGCGTTCAGTTGATTTTGTGTTTGGCTGCAAAAAAAATTAAGAGAGACGCAAATTGAGATAAATATTCAATTGAACTGTTACTATTAATAATATAAATTACTCTTTGCCGATTGAAGTATACTATCAAACAATTAATTGATCTCATTTAAGGATCAAACAATTTTTGAGGAATTAAACCCTTTTTGACCTTATCCATCACAACTTTAGCGAAATCCTTTACCGTTTGAGGATTACCTAATAAATCTTTAAATACAGATGTAAGTAAACCAGATTCTTTCAAAGCATTTATTAAATCAACAATATTCAAAGCATGCAATTGTAAAATTGAAACAACAAAATGTGCATTTGCAGATACTAATTGAGGTGATGTTAAAATATGTTGGACTACAGCTATAGCTAAACCAGATTCTCTTAATGACAAAAACAATTGATCTAATAAATAACTTTCTCTTTTACTTAATGTTATAAGATCCTTTGTTGGTGAAGTTTCTTGTTCAATGTCTATGTTATTTTGAAGTAAAGCAGTCTTTTCTTCTCTTTTATTAAACAAATTCACTTTGAGACCACCTTGTTTTATAACTTCTTTTGTAATTGAAATTAATCCAGGTAAGATATCTGGATCATTTAAGCTTAATGTCAAAGTTTCTATCACTAATCCAGATTTTCTTAATGCAATCAACAAATTAGTCAAATTTATCAATCTTAATCTGATAACCCAAATTGTGGTATTTATCGTAAGGTCTAGTAACTCTGGTTTTAATAAAACATAATCTATAACAGTGATTGCAATACCAGAATTATCTATCATTGTCAAAATTTTATCCAACAACGGCCAATCCGATCTAGTACTTAAGTCCTCTGATCTTGGTTTTGATCTTGCACTAGTTATAAATCCTGTGCCATGTTGATGAGCATTAAAGTCTTGCAAAGCAATCAATATATCTTCCACCTGGTCTGCATTAAAATTTCCTGGACCTTGAGCTAATTCAATTGTATCATTGTAAGGAGTTGTAGGTGAGCTGAGCACACACGTAAGTGATGCAAGTATTAACAATATATTTGATCTTAGATGCATTTAATTTTAAACAATAATCATATAAGAGACATCATTTCAGCAGTTTTACCCATATTTATATTGACTTTTTGAGATCTCGATCTGAGATCAGATATCATAAAGAATGTTCAAGCCATGCATAAAGTTGAAATGAAAGAAAAAAATTTCATCAAAATGAGGTAAGTATAATCTAACAAGACGTACATGAATAAGCATTTTCAAATATGAAATCAAACTTCATCCAAGAGAATTGGCATTTCATATTTTATTCTTTCCATTAACGAAGAAGAATACTTGTTTCAAAATAAACAAAATTTCTCGTCTGTATCAAAATTAAAGGCAATTCCAATCACAAATTAAAAACCTACGAGCTAAATATTACTATTTCACTTTCTAATACAAATTCATCCGTACATTAATGTCATTCGCTAATATAGATCTTGAAGCTCAAAAACAGCCGCTACTAAAAAATTCATCTGATGTAAGTTACACTTCAGTCGACAATGATGTTAATATACTAGATAATATTATAGACAAAACGTCACGACAGTTACAATCATTTAACTCACTAATTTCTCAATTTGATCAACAAAGAAGACAATTGGGTTCAAAAAGAGATACTTTACAATTGAGAACAAATGTTGATAAGTTGGTAACCAATATAGAGGAGCTACATAAAGCCATACAACATTTAATTACCAATCTATCAAATCTAATAAATAAATCAGTTGATGATAAAAACAACGAATACGATGAGAATAAATTGCAAGTAACGAACAAACAAGTGGTTATAAAAGAGAGATTAGTTGGAGAGTTTAATGAGTTGGACAAAAAATTCAAAAAATTGATAAAAATTTATAATGAAAAGAAGAAAATAACTCCTATAAACACGAAATTTCAGTCTATAAGCAAACAGCAAGATCATGACCCTGAATCCCGTCACCAACAACTGCAATTACAACTAACGCAAGAGCGGGAACAGGAACAAGAACAGGAACAGATGGATCCATCATTGGTCGAGCAAACTGAGTTGCAGTATCATCTACAGCTTACGGAGGAAAGAAATAGAGAGATTGAACAAGTTCATGAAAGTGTAATGGAGGTGAATACAATCTTTAAAGATTTAAATCAATTGGTGCATCAGCAAGGGGAGCAATTAAATACCGTAGAAGACAATATTTTGCAATTACATGGTAATACTCAACAAGCGTCAACTGAATTAACCAAAGCAAATGAATATCAAAAGAAAAAAGGTAAATGGACATGTATTTTATTAGTTGCTTTGACTATATTAGCTTTAATAGTAGTATTGATAGTTATAAGTTAAATATGGAAAAAGTATTTCAAAAATCTCAGCTAATTATTCGCTCTAAATTTTATACAAAGTATCTAAAAAGGCTACAATAATTCTATCTGCCAAACCAGCTGTATGTACATTTCCAGCTATACCGTATAATGCAGCTGTATCACCTGATTTGCTGCCTTTTTCTTTGGTCAATTTTACAGCCTCTTCCGTCGATGTAACAAGATCCTCAATCAATTCATCTAGAACCGGTACAGTTAATCTTGTTAGTGCAAAATGTAAAGCAGCTGGGTTTTGTAATGTTGCAAAATGCCATCCTTTTTTACTTAAAAGGTCCCCTAATTCGTAAATCGATAAATTTTTCTGTTGATTTTGCTTAACTTTAAAAGCTATTACTGATCCTAGTGGATCACCAATTACCTCTAAATAATTAGATAGAATTGGGTTTTTTTCTATTTGACTTTTGAGTTCCATAGTAGCTTTAACAATTGAAGAGCAACTTTTTCTATAGCCATCCTTACCAATATTTACTAATGTCGCCCAGCAACCTACCATTAATGCACCTGGTCTTGAGCCAGCGAGTGTTGGAGATCCGTACATACCTCCTGTCCAATCACTTGAAATATAATATTGACACTCTCTTAATTTAGGATTTCTATACATTATGATTGATGATCCCTTTGGTGCAAATCCATATTTATGAGTATCACATGAAATTGAAGTAACTCCCGGTAACCTGAAATCAAACATTGGTAATTTTTTATCACCATGAACTTTTGAAGATTCTAAAAACGAAACAATAAATGAACCTAAACAAGCATCAACATGTAATGGAATGTTGTACTTCACAGCCAACTTAGATATTCCCTCGATGTCATCAATGATACCATGAGGATAATTTGGCGCTGATCCACAAAGCAATACAGTATTACTGTTGATGAGTCTTTTAACTTTTTTTAGGTCTACTTGATATGTATTTGGATCTAAGTCGACTTTATGCAATTTCATCCCAAAGTAATAGCATGCTTTTTCAATACCTGCATGGATTGTGATTGGTGCTATGACCTCCGGTTTCGTTATACCTTTATACTTTCTTCCATATTCTCTAGCCGATAATCCTGTCAATAGCAAAGACTCTGTACCACCTGATGTCGTTGAACCACAACCAGTTTCTGGTGCATTGAATATATCTAAAACCATTGCTACTACTTCTGCCTCCATCTTTCTTACTCCTGGAAATACGTCTGGATGCAATTGATTTGCTACACTATACTGATGGTAAGCGTCTGATTGTAATTTTAATAATTGATCACCTCCATGATAAACTGCACCACTTACTCTACCATTATTCCAATCTGAATGTTTCAATTTTTGAAGTTTGACCAATTCTGATTCAACTTCTTCCACAGGTAATCCGTTACCAGGTAATGAATCAAATTGTTTCAAATCATCACTGTTTTTCATTATTTCTTTTTCAATTTTGAGCACTGTTTCATTTAATTCTTTATCTATTTTCGATTTTATGAACGGTAATGATAAAATTTTGGGTGATACATATCCACTAATTGATCTGTATAAATTTTGAATACTTTTGAATAATCCATATCCTAAAATGACATTAAATAGATCTAGTAATTTGGAATAAATGAAATTAAAGACAATTAAATCACGAAGTAAATATATTGAACCCCAGAAATTACTATTGCTTGAAAAATAAGATACGACTATATATGATTTAAGTTGATGGTGTAAGATCCATAATACATGAGGTATTTCATCTAGACTCTTTGGCCAATTAAAAACAATCTCTACTGGTGGCATTAATTGAGAAACTGAATTAAATTAAATTTGAATATTTGTATAGATTTAAGGTGTTAATTCAAAAACTTGAAAAAATAATATTCGGAATATTTATTTACGAGAAATTCTTAGTTATAAGGAAACGTCGGAATTAAAATTTTGAAGTATATGTCAACAGCTTTCATGGATAAAATAACCAACTCAATGTAATCCAACTTCTGGTGATTTCTAAAAAATTCAGAGTGCAAATGCTGAAATTTAGAGAGGGTATATCTAATTTTGTATTTACAATAGATCTTAAAAATATTATAATCGAAACTATCAAAGTTTAATATATTGTTGAACTATAAAATGTAGATATAAAAGACCAACGATATCGCATCTAGCCATATCAAACTTTATTCATTTTTTCACAAAACACTCAATTTGGTAAACCTAAAGCTTCTCTTTGACTTTTTGAATTTGGATCAAAGTAAGGAACTTCAGCTAATGAAGTAACTCTTGTACCATGACGTCCTTTAAGTGATTCATTAGTGTGAATAACACTATGATTTGAAACAGAATTAAACCATAATACTGAAGTACCACTATATTTTTTCTTTTCTGTACTCTTGGATTTTTTACCTTCTGGATGAGCCCATTTAACAGTAACATGAATATCTCTATTGGTTTCAATGACATTAAACAAATAATTTAAAATTAAATCTGATTCTTCTTTTGATAATCCGACAATTCTATCAGTCATTCCACGATTGACAAATAAATGTTTCCATCCAGTAGTTGGATTAGTTCTAACTAAAGGATGTTCTCTTTCAACATGTTTTGGTCCATGTAATGGTCTGTCACGATCAAGATAATGATGAGCACTTTTGTAAATAGCAGTTTTACCATCTAAAAATTTTTGAAAAGCTGGAGAAAGTTTATCATAAGCTCCATAAGTACTTGCCCAAGTAGTTTCAGTATTTTCACTAATTGCATCTAAATGTAAATGAGTAATACCTGCAGTTTGTTTTTCATGAACTAAATCACTGTGCCATGAAGAATTACCTAATTTTGAATTTCTGAAAGATAAGTTTAATCCATTTCTTTCATTTTGATAATCTTGCCAAATAGTAGTAACTCCATCTAAATCTTCACCAGCTCTTGCAGCTTGTGGATGAACTTCAACTTGACCCCAATAATGTCCTAACTCTAATTGTTTTCTTGGTGATAAATCTTGATCTCTGAAAACAACAACAACTCTTTCAGCAATTAAAAGAGCCAATTCATCTTTTTGTTTATCAGTTAAATCAGCCAATTGTAAACCAACAATTTCAGTACCAACATAAGTAGTTAAATCAATAACATCTTCGGCAGCATCAAATAATGATTTTTTTTCAGGGTCAGCATTTGAACCACGGTCGATATAAGGATATTCTTCATTTCTAATTGCAAAAGCTTCATCAACAAATTTAGGAATTTTATCAGTTGTTGGAATATATGGATAACCTTTTGAAATATCAATTCCATGTTTTGCAAATCTTTCCTTGGTGGTTTCTGGTAATCTATCAGCCCAAACAGGATCATGACCAGTGATTGGTTGTTTTTTTGATCTAGCCCAACCAATTGGTTTGATTGAAGCTAATTTTTGAACTAAATCATTAAATTCTTGTTCATTATTTGAAGCTTGAGATTCTGCTTTTAAAGATTGAATATCTTCAGGTTTATTGATGATTGATGTTGGAGCCATTTTTATGTCTTAATTTTTTTGATTGATTGATAAATGAAAAATTATTCAGATCATATCGATTTTTTATAGTATATTTATAGATAAGATCAATATCCCTGATTATTGATTGATTATTAATTAAATAAAGCCACAGGTTTAATTAATGGTTGCAAAAAATGAAGGCTACCAGTTTTGTAATAAAGGTTTTAAGACATCTTTTATTAGATAAAAGCGGAATTTGAAAAACCTTATTGTGGCTACTCGAATCTTATTGTTTTAAATTCCATCACTGATCGTTAACATTAATTTTGAAGGGGTATAAAGTATAAATTATATAGAACATATAAAAAAAAAGCGCCAATTAACTGATAATACATAAGACCGACAATTTAACCAAAATAAATTTCCAATTAGTAATCATTATCAAAATGATACATTATTGCATGAAAATACACAATTTTCAAAAATTAAACAAATAAAAAATCACCCACCATTCCTCAATTACCTTTTGCATAATCATATTTTGGATTCAATGCAATTAAATCTTCAACTTCTTCATCCATTAGTTGATTGACTTTTTTATAAGTTGGGATATTTTTAATCATTCTACTCCATTTAGCTAGATTTGGCCAAACCTTTCTCAAGTCTCTTTTATCATTGGTACAATCCCTGACTCCTTCCAAATTATCAAAAATGTTTTCAAATACTGGGAAACTTAACATAACATCTGCTGCTGTTAATTTATTACCAACAAAAAAACCAGTACCATTTTGTGCTAACCTATCATCAAGATATTGCATATTCAATCTCCATTCATGTATATAATAACCATTATTTAAACCTTTTGTTACTAATTTTGCTACACCTTTTAAACCAAAAGGAGCAATGTGTTTGGCCACTGAGTTTATTAATAAAGTCATTTGAATATGTTGTAAAGATCCTTCACTATAATGTAGCCAATAATCAACTTCTAATTGTTCATTTGAATCAGTTGGAGTTAATATAAAATTTGGATCATAATTCCTTAAAAGATATTGCATTATAAATCCACTTTCTGCTAATTTCATAGGAGGTCTTCCATCTCCATGAATTATTTCAAGAACTGGTGATTTTCCTGTTTGATGAATGTCAAATAATTGCATTGGACCTCTCCAGGTTTCAGGATGTCTTAAATAAATACGAACTTCATAATCTAATTGTAGTATTTCTAATAACCATAATATTCTTTGAGCTCGAGATTCATCAAGCCTGTAATATTGTTAGTATTTGATATAGTTTCGAGCATGAGGAAATATTTTTACATACCAATGTAAAATAAATCTATCTTCTGGATGTCCTGGTTGATGTAGCATTGTCATTCTACGATATTGATAAGATTAAATAGTATGAATAAATAGTATGAATAAATAGTATAATAATAAACCACTAATTGAACATAAGTGAAAATGAATGATATCACTTTGATATATATATATATTCTAAACAAATATATCAGACCAATATTAGGTATGATCGTAATTTAATTGAAAGATCTCATTTAAGTTACTTTTTTTGGTTTCAATATAACATATTTGGTAATTATAAAAAAAAAAATAAAGTTACTAAAAATTTTATTACTTGATTTGGAATATTGTAAGTTACAAAATATCTTTACGAAACATCTTAAGTACTTACCTAAGATTATTGTGTAATATAATAATGTCTAAAGTTTTTTATTTATGGCAAATGCTTTGTTTGGGACAAATAAATAGCGATGCGGGGTTGATACTGAATCTTTTAGTTTAATCTACGTTAAACTGATAATATTTATGATATTAGATAAGTTTCTCACTAAAATTTAGATAATGTGTTAATAATAAGTATATCCAAATCCGGAGAGATTTTGAACTATTCTTATTGACGAAAGAAAGTAAAGAGGCTATTTACGTGTTTGATTAATTTGATTTCATTTGATTGAACTTATGAAAAACCTAAATATCTTGCACCCAACTAAATAACAAAATTATATATTTGGTGTAATAGTGTCGTATTCAGCAACCAATTCTTTTGCTTTTATGAATTTTGGTTCTTTGGCAATGTTTTCACTCCACTCATTCAAATTTGGCCATCTTTTCTCTATATCATTGACACCTAAAGCTTTTGCTGAGTCTTTAGAACTGAAAATGTTTGTCAATATTGGGAAACTTAATATTATATCGGCACCTGTTAAAGAATTACCAACAAAATACTTTGAATTCAATTCCTTTTTCTGTTTGATTAAAACATTTTCCAAAAAATTCAAATTTTTCTTTAATTCGGGTAAATAAAATTGATCATCAATTCCTTTAACTAATAATCCCATTAAAAATCTTGTACCAAATGGAGCCTTTTGTTTAGCAAATTGATGAACTAACAAAGTAACTAATAAAGAATTTAAACTTCCTTCAGAATAATGTAAGAAATAATCCATTTCTTCAAGTTCTTTTGGATTAGTTGGAGTTAAAATGTGATTTGGATCATAATGTTTTAAAAAATATTGAATTATATGACCAGATTCTGCTAAAACTTTCTTTTCTCCATCTGGTTTAATGATTTCAATCACTGGTGATTTTCCTAATGGATGAACATCATCTAATTCTAGTGGGGCTCTAAATTCTTTAGTTCTTTTATAAGTTTTTAACTCAAAAGGAATATTTAACTCTTCTAATAACCAAATAATTCTTTGAGATCTTGAGTAATTTAACCTAAAATTAGTTAATAAAGCAAGTCTAGAAAATTAAATTATAATATTAGTTAATATTCCGTACCAATGGACAACAATTCTTTCTGATTGAGACATGGTGAATTAATTGTGTGTAAATCTTATAAATTTAATGAAAGAAGAACTAAATAATAAGTGAAAATGTAACTGAAGGACTTACCAATACTTATATTTGAATGAATTTTAGTGGCATTATTATACCTTATTGTCATTTAGACATTATTGTTCATGTATAATTACAAAAATAATTGTAATTTACGTAATGTATTTTTTGTGTAATGAGGCATGTGTCAATTGAAAATCTAATATATTTACCGATACCTTTTATGCTTTCAATGTAATGAATTTTTTCAACCATTTTACTTTATAATCAGATTTATCATTACCTTGTTTCAATTGTGATTATATTACAGGTTCCCATCTTGAAAACCTGCTTTGTTGTTTTTACAAACTTTGAAAGATAGAGGTAACAATTTCCCCGCAATTTTTAAAAACATTTAGTCCGAAGCAAATATAAAAACATTCGATTTCCATCAATTCGATAATGTAATTAATAAACTCTTTTAACTTAGCGTAGAGATGTGTTTAAGACGAGTCTAGAAGTGAATCAGAGAGGCTAAGCTCAAGAATGATGTATTCACGAGAGCATAAAATTTAGATGAGAATTTGTATGGGAAAAACCTCAAATGTCTAACAGAATCCTATTCATCCTAGATTGATATTCAATATGTGTAGTGTCGCTTTGTCTATTGTATTCTTTGTCGTCTAAATCCTACTACTATTTCTTGTTTGCTTGACTGCTTTCACAAAAACTGGAATCATTCCTCCTGTTTGAACAGCAAATGGTCTATGACCTAAAACCAACAATTGAGTTCTGATACTTCCACTATGACTAGTAATCAGAACAATATCATCATTTTTTAAGATATTATTGAACATTTCTTGTAAACCAGTATACATTCTAAATGCTTGTTCATCAATCGTTTCTCTGTAATCGTCTTTATATAATTCGTCGTTTTCGGTTAAACTATCTTCAATCTTAAAACCTTTTGAGCTAAATCTATCCTCTATTATTGATCTAGTTGATCTTTTATCACATGTGTGAACACCTGTAGTTTCCCTCCAATTCTCTTGAATTAATGGACTGTTATTTTTTAAATCATTTATTCCATTCCAAGTATAATACAAAGTATCAATTGCTCGACTTAAAGGTGATACGTAAAACTTTTTTGGTAGTATCAAATTTAAATCATGTTTTGGATTATTCCTCAATTCCTTTTCTATTAATTTACTGTTCTTTTTCGCGAGTTCGATACTTTCAGGTGTCAAGTTTGCATCTGGTCCCCATGTGTATTCATCATCTCCATTCAATTTTGACCAGTAATCATTCCATGCATCATCACCGTATTTTAGGTGAGCTAAATTGTGAAATCCAGTGTAATGTCGAAACAAAAATAAGATCTTATAACATTCGTTGGACTTTGCTTGATTGTTTAGTTCTTGTAGTTTGAAAACAATGTCATCCCATTCACCTATTTTCCCGAAGTTTTCATCCAAGTAATTGAAGTTACTGTCATCTGTCTCTTGTTGTGATTGTTGAAAAATATTTGGAACAATGGTGAAATCCCAGTATGTCTCTGACTTATTTTGATAGCTCTGCAACTTTTTCAAATATTTCTCTCTAGATTCATGATCTATCTGAGAGTCTAGTATGTCTAATTGATTTGGAGATTTTGACATATTAGGGATTTGAATGATCAAATGAAGAGTTGAGGAGTTTTCAGACATAGTTAATGATTATGTGAAAAAAATACTTTTGGACAAATTTACGTGCTTAAGATCATCACTTGTTTGGCTTGACTAACAAAAGATAACACATTTTATACATAATTCAAAAAACGTCCAAGAGATAAATCCACTCATGGTGAGTTATTTACGTTCGTCTATTTGAACTATAATACCAAGTCTATAAGTCTTCCTAGTTCCACACTCCGCGCTCAAACATATGATTTCAATATTCATCTGAGTCAAATCCCGACTTCGTTTCATAGGCTCATCTCTTTTATCAATTCTTCATCAGTTTAGATGCGTTAAGATTAAATTTGTTGTAAAATCACTCTGGATCAATATTTGAGACATCAGATTGAAGAAAAAAAAAAAGTATGGTCTACTTATTAAGATAAACAAAAATATTATCAGTATCATCATCATCTAGAATCAACAGTAAATGTCACTCATATGTGCCATATCAGGTGAATTAGTTAAAAATCCAATTGTTTCACCCAAATCAGGGGCTATATTTGAAAAGAAATACATTGAGAAGTATGTTCAAACTACTGGAACTGACCCAATAAATAATGAAGCATTGAGTAAAGAAGAATTAATATCATTGAATTTGCAAGCATCTACGACAACAGCAGCCCCATCTACGACAATAGCAGCCCCACCCTCAACTTCAGTCACATCGATTCCAAACCTTTTATCAACTTTACAAAACGAGTATGATTCAATGGTTTTAGAAATTTTCACATTACGAAAAAATCTACAACATTTGAAATTAGAATTAAGCTCAAGTTTATATAAAGCAGATGCTGCTGTAATCGTTGCGGCAAAAGCATTGAGAGAGAGAAATGAGGCTAGAGAAGCATTGGAGAAATTGATTGCCTCAATCGAAGTAAATAATAAGGAAGAAGTAGAGGACAAAATTGAGCTGAGAATAGAGGAGAGAAAAGAGCAGAAAGAAATGGAAGTCAAAGAGGACGAACCTGTCGAGAATGGAAGACCAGCATCTATTCAAGATATTGTCATAGCAAGAGATTCATTATTCAAACTACATAAATCGCAGAAGCCCAAATTTCCATATGACAAAACGAAAAAACTCAAATTGAAATCAATGGATGTTGACAAGCAATTATTCAAGAACAAGAATCTCTTTGTCACGTACAACAGCCATGAAAAACAGTTTATTACAAATACTCCAAAAAGAGTTAAAGTATATGACTCAATAACGGAAAAATTGCGAGAGTGGGACCCCCAATTATCAACTATTAATTCTGTAACAATCAACAACAATGGCTTACTACTAGCAGCATCAAAATTAAAAATTAAATTTTCAAATAACGATACATTAACTTTAAAAAGTCATATACAACTAATCGTTTGTCATCCATCATTAAATTTATTCGTAGTGATTGATAATAATCATATACATGTGACAAATACGAAGGAGATTTTGAGCACCTATAGTTATCCCAATGTGAGAAGGGCTGAGATACATGTGGATGGAGAACTATTAGCAGTGATAATCGAACAAGAGATCAAAATAATTAATTTAGTAACCGGGGAAGAATTAGCTCAATTCAAACCGACATTCAAATATGTCTCTTATATAAAATTTGCACCAAATGGATATTGGTTTCTAATATTGTCGACTAACAATATAGATTACAGTAATCTACAAATAATTGACCTTAGGAGAAATGAGGAAGTGAATTCCATAAAACTCAAACCACATTGCACTGATTTAAAGATTGACATAACTTCGAATATGATAGTTTTGGCCCAAGGTGCATCTCATATTTATTCATTATATGACAAAAAGTTGAAAAAATGGAGTTCTCCTACTACTTTAGCAGGAAGTCATGACTTTGACAAACTATATAATTTCTCAAGATATGATGACTTGATGAAAGACGGGTTTTTGAAATTTGCGTCTTTGTCTGATAACAATACTCTAACAGTATATGAATTAGAATGAACATCGGCTTTTAAATTTTAGATAAATTGTAGGTTCCGCTCTTTATTGCTTAATTTTTTGCAGCAAAATTCAAATTCAACCCGTGCGTCAAATAAACAGATCAATTACTGATCAATGTCAATTTCACAAGATCAAATACAACAATTGGTCAACGATTGGACTTCAATTGATCCGAACCCAGATACAAGGAAGGAAGTTAACGATTTATTTGAGAAGAAACAATATGATAAGTTGATATCCAAATTATATCCCAGAATTGCGTTCGGAACAGCTGGTTTAAGATCATCAATGGAATCTGGATTTGCTCATATGAATGATGTTACGGTTTTACAAGCATCACAAGGTTTGGTTGCATTTTTGATTTCAAAGTTTGAACACCCTTCAATTGTAGTTGGATATGATCATAGATATCACTCACAAAGATTTGGAGAAATTTTAGCGAGTGTTGCTTTATTAAAAGGTTTAACCGTTTATTATTTAGGATCGACTTCAAATTTATCGAAAGAATCAATTGAATTGTCCAAGACCAAATTTGAAAATGACGGTAATGCACAAAGAGATTATGTACATACCCCAATAGTTCCTTTTGCAATTGATACTTTGAAAGCATCGGGTGGTGTTATGATCACTGCCTCTCATAATCCAGCTAATGATAATGGATATAAAGTATACTACAATAATGGTTGTCAGATCATTCCTCCAATAGACGCAGACATTTCCAAATCAATTGATAACAATTTGAATCCATGGAGTGATCAAGTTTGGAACATTACCGAAAATTTTTTAAAAGGTTTAAAAAATGGCAGCTTGAATGTTGTCAGAGATGAAATTATAGAGCAATACGTTCAGGGAGTTAAAGATAAACTACTAAAAGATGATGAATTAAAGTTCAAATTTGTCTATACTCCAATGCATGGAGTTGGGTTGGAAACTTTTGAAAAGTGTATGAATTTATTTAGCAAAAAGGATTATTCGGTTGTGTTAAAACAAGCTAAAACAGATCCTGCTTTTCCAACAGTGAGTTTTCCAAATCCTGAAGAAAAAGGAGCATTAGATCTAGCAATGGAACAAGCAGCTAATGAACATGTCCCATTAGTCATTGCTAATGATCCTGACGCTGACAGATTTAGTTGTGCCGTAGTTGATAAAAATGGTAAATTTAAACAATTGACAGGAAATGAAATTGGATTTTTATTTGCAATGTACATAATTGAAAATACCCCAAAATCAGAATTATCAAAAACTTATTTGCTAAACTCAACTGTTTCCTCACAGATCTTAAAATCAATGGCTGACAAAGACGGTTTTAAATTTTTGGATACCTTAACTGGTTTTAAATGGATTGGTAATAAATCAATTGATTTAATAAAGGAAGGAAATCGGGTTCCTTTTGCTTTTGAAGAAGCTATTGGTTTTATGTTTGATTTGATCCACGATAAAGATGGAGTTTCTGCAGCTGTAGTATTTTTACAATTGTATCAAAAATGGTTTGGCCCAGGTGACACTAATGTATTTGATAAGTTAGAGGAAGGTTATAGAAAATATGGATGGTTCAAAGATTTAAATGGGTATTACAGATTGAATGACTTAAGTCTAACAAACAAGATTTTTGAAGAAGTGAGAAAATCTTATTACCCAAATGATTATCCTAAAAGCATTGGTGATTTTGAAGTTGAAACTTGGAGAGACTTAACTGTGGGATATGACTCATCCACTCCAAATCATAAGCCTAATTTACCTTCGGATCCTCATAGTCAAATGATTACAGCTGTTTTGAAACCGAAGCAACAACCAAACGATGATCCGGATCTCTCTGTGAGATTTACATGTAGGGGATCAGGTACTGAACCAAAAATTAAAATATATGTGGAGGGAAAATCTACCGTCGGTGAATCAGACGCCATTAAAATAGCTGACGATTGTTGGGAAACACTCAAAAAGTTCTGGTTCAAACCAAGTTATTATGGTTTACAAGAGATGAAACCATAATTTCGATCTTCTACTTTATTTAGAGATATGTCTCTGAAATCTATCTTTTATGAGATATAGAATTTTTAATGTACACAATATAGAAGCCAGATATGTATGCTATAAAATCAATAGGTACATATCGGAGTTTAAAGACACACTTTGAGTAGGTGCAACACCAATCAGTGCTTGGTTGATATTGTAAGTCACCTGAATCTTATTACTTCATAAGATCTATATTGTTTGGTAGCGTGGTTAATTTAGCTTTTTTTTTAATTGTTTCTCTGTATTCAAATAATAATACTTCAATTTTCATACAATTCTTGCAGAAAACTTGTAAAGCTCGAGAATGTCAAGGGTTGCAAGATATTGTGTGTGCTTGATTCATTTCTATAATGTAAACGTGTTAATAAATTGATCGACCTAATCTTAGACTCTTGTTGGAAAGGATTTCCTATATAGAAAAATTCTTTTTCCTACCAATTTTATGGCACAAATTCATTAAACTATGATATTAAGTAAAGTGAATAAATAAATAATAATTTTCTACTAATTAAGTAATAGATTATCAGGTACAACATAAATTTTCATTGGAAAAACAATCACTAATCACTCCCCAAACTTATTCATTGCGATTTTATTTCGTTCATTCATTATTATAGATCTCATAAATAAAGATCGGTTATTGATCTAAAGTTCAATGTCATTTAGAAGTTTGACACCGGATTATGGTTCGAAAAAGAAACTTGATTTACCAATGTATGTATAATATAAAAATGAAATTGAGTAAATGAATTTTTGATACTAACTCATATTTAATAGATTCAATAAGCTATCACCAAAGAAACATTCAAATCGACTTTTCAAGAGAATTTTTTATTTATTAGTTTTAGTTTTGTTTTCATATACAATCTATTCGAAATTTATAAGATCTTCTAACTCATACATAAATCAATCAATAAATGATCAACAGCAGCGACAACAATTGTCCGACGATGCGGAAGTGTATAAAGTATCTAAAGAAGGAGTGGAGAAATTAGAAGGAGATAAACTTGAGAATCATCTACAACCACAAGAGCAAGAAACTCAATCAATACTAAACCCTGAAGATATAACGGATGAAGACTTAAAACGAAGTAATGTTGAATATTATGACTTAAACGACTATTCAGGTTCTGCCGATGGTAATTCGAAAGGAGAAAATGTATTATTTTTGATGCCCTTAAGAAATGCTGAGCATGTTTTACCAATGGCATTTTACAATTTAATGAATTTAACTTATGACCACTCTTTAATCGATATTGCCTTTTTGGTATCTGATTGTTCTCCTGATGACACTACATTAGAAACTGTATTCAGATATTCAGTTGCATTGCAAAATAGTACATTAGTTGATTTGTTAAAACAAGAGGAAGATTCCAAAAATGGCCAACAAGTGAAAGGATCAAATGATTTATATCAATCTTATATGGAACCTTCTTATATGGAAAGCGTAAAAAAAGCTTACAGTAATCCAGAAACTCATCACAAAAATTATAGAACACCATTTAGATCAGTTACAATATATAAGAAGGATTTTGGTCAAGTTATAGGACAAGGTTTTAGTGATCGTCATGCAGTTAAAGTTCAAGGCATAAGAAGAAAATTAATGGGAAGAGCAAGAAATTGGTTAACTTCATCTGCTGTAAGAGCGGATCATTCTTGGGTGTATTGGAGAGATGCAGATATTGAAACCTGTCCAGGAAATGTGATTGAAGAATTAATGTCTCATGATTATGATGTAATGGTACCAAACGTTTGGAGACCATTACCAACTTTTTTAGGAAATGAACAACCATATGATCTTAATTCATGGATAGAAAGTGATGCTGCATTGGATCTTGCTAAAACTTTGGACGAAGATGATGTAATAGTTGAAGGATATGCGGAATATCCAACATGGAGAGCTCATTTAGCATATATTAGAGATGCTAGTGGTAATCCTAGAGAAATAGTAGATTTAGATGGTGTTGGAGGTGTTTCTATACTAGCTAGAGCTAAAATTTTTAGACAAGGAGTTCATTTTCCAGCTTTTACATTTTTGAATCATGCTGAAACGGAAGCTTTTGGTAAAATGGCAAAAGAGATGGGTTTTAGAGTAGGTGGTCTACCTCATTATACAATATGGCACATATATGAACCTAGCGAAGACGACCTACAAAAAATATCTAAATTAGAAAGAAGTAGACGGAGAAAAAAATCAACGAACAATTAATTCTTCATTTATTAACCTTTGTAGGACGTGCGATTAGAAGTTTATCATAGCCTCCACCGAATTCTTACTGTTTGGTGAGGATACCGACTGAACCTCAAATTAATATTTTACTTTTCCTCATCATGCAATGATCTTGGTTGGCCGATTTTGAAGATAGGCATTATCACTTGAAGATGAGAAGTAGAGTCCATCGCGAAGGATACATAAACATACTGATGTATTACCTACAAAAATGTATTTCATCATAAGGAAGGCATAGCGTTATGTAATCAAAGGAAGTGTGTACCTCGTCAGACTTTATAAATCACTGTAGTTAATCATTGAAATACATCTTTGAAGCAAGAGTTCAATCAATAAATTGTAGAAGTAATTTATACTCAAGTCAAATTATTGAACAAACAATCTCAGTAAAAACTGTTCCTGCGATGGAAAAAAAAATACTCCCAAATTTACAATGAATAGTATAAAAAGTCATCCGTTCTTTCATCAAACAAGAATGACAAAAATTTTTCTTCATAATAAATAGCGTTTTGTAATCAATTGAAAATACAATTTTATATTTCCTTTCAGAAATTGTTCACCTAACTATTAATAATCATTAGAAAAATATTCATTTGAAATTTGTTGTTTGATTATTAAAATTGTCGGAGTCCAATTTACTCTTTTCAACTTTTCAACCAAACAGTTGTTTCCCAATGAGATGTGGCTCTTTCAACATGGTCCATGGTGAACCACATTCTCTTTATTCACTGAACACTAAACATTCGCCTCATATTGACTGAGCACTAGAAGTTGTTGAAGAACTGAGATTAAAGAATTGTTCAACTCTTTAAATTTTTTTTCAACATTTATGCATCCAAATTTTCGAGAAGACTGGTACGGCATATAAGAAATTTTTTGTACACAAAGGGTTTTGTAACAATTATTATTTGAATTCCTTTTGATGGAAGCTAATGTGTTGAACGAATCAACTTTTCATGTCTTTTACCTAGGTCCAAACGTGGCTTATGTAAGAAAAAAATGTTGTTAACTGATAAATGTTTGCAGTACGCATGTCGCTGCATTGCACCAAGTGGATGGTTGAAGGTATTAACCTATTTCATATTTAGGTTGCTACCAAAATTTTGCGTTTTACTTACTATTTTAATCTACAGTATAATATAATCTATAACTTTTGCTTGATTTCTATGAATAATCTCTATATATTAATACAATCCCTTATCGTTAGGATCAATCTTAAAAATTTTATCAGGGTTTAAAATTCTTTTAGGATCTAAAGCTAATTTAATTGTTCTCATCATATCAATAGTATCATCTCCTAATTCTAATTGTAAGAATTTTCTTTTCAGTATCCCTATACTATGCTCCCCTGTACATGTACCGTCATTATCTATTCCCAATTTAATCATTTTATTAACTATATCTTCAACTTCTTGTCTTTTTTCCTTTTTATAAAATATATCTGCATGAAAATTTCCATCTCCTACATGAGCTAATATTATTGAGCTGAAACCTGATGATTTCATCCATCCATTTATCGTATCTAGAACGTATGATAATCTAGATATAGGCACAGCAATATCGGTTACCCAAATTCTGACATCTTCATCAATTTCATTTCTACCCCAATCTATCATAGCATAGAAAGCGTTTTTTCTAGCTGAAAATAATTCATCACCTTGTTCTTTACTTTTAGCGAAAATAAAATTTTCAGCTTTGTTTTTCTTTGTTATTTCTTTCAAAATTTTGATATTTTCTTTGACTATAATATCATTCAATCCTCCTATTTTAAAAAAAATAGTTGGTACCTCTAACCATTCATCCGATGTATATCCACTATAATTTAAACAATGCATCATATCACCATCCAACATTTCTATAGCTGATGGTTGCATTCCCAGTCGAAACACTTGTTCAACAGTTTGCGTAGCTGATTTGATCAGTGGGAATTGTACAACAACTACAGTCTCTGATTTTGGGATAGGGTAAACTTTGACTACAGCTTCAGTAACTATCCCTAAAGTTCCTTCACTTCCAATAAATAGATTTGTTAGGTTGTAACCGGCACTTGATTTTCTTGGTCTTTGTCTCGTTTTAATAATGGTTCCATCAGCTAAAACTGCAGTAATTGAAATTACATTCGCTGACATAGCTCCATATCTAGAAGCTGAAATTCCACTGGCATTAGTAGATATCATTCCACCTATTTGTCCATTTGTACCACAATCTACTCCCATCATTAATTTATAAGGTTCTAAAATTTCATTCAATTTTAACCAATTAACCCCACATTGTACAACTACATCTAAATCATTCTCATTTATTTGTAGTACTTTATTCATTTTGGAGGTATCTATAACTATACCTTGTCTAGTTGAGTGGAAATGACCTTCAAGACTACTTCCACCGGAAAATGGTACAACTGGTATTGAATATTTATTACAAATTTTCAATATTGCAGAAACTTCTTCTGTTGATTTGGGGTATAAAATATATTGTGGTATTTCTCCAGGTAATGGCTTATGAGTAGTGAATTCATTTCCAGTGTGAAATTCAATATCTAGTTTGCTATTTGAAACTTCTATACCCAATTTCTTAAACTCCTCAATATGATTTGATATATTTTTACAATATTTAGGTGATTTTATTGAATTCAATTTTGTCGTTGAAGAAAAAGGTAAAATGTCAATAGGTTGATTTATTTTGATTGACAGCTGACCATATTTATATGCAATAGTGGATGCTAGCACAGTACCTACTAGACCAGCTAGTATTGGCCTAAACGGCACCTTTTTCCAAGACATAATAGTGAGGATTATTACGTTGCAAAATCATTTTAACTTAATTACTCTATGGAAAAGAATTGATTTTTCAAACGCGGAATTTAATAAATGAAGATACCATACATAGACTACTTATCAAAAAGAAATAAAACAAATGATGTCTTTAAAAAAACACTTCATAAGCTTACCAGCAGCTATCTCTTTAATTTCAAATCTTTGTAACAAGTCTCTCCTTTAACAAGAGAATTAAATAAGTTCTTTATAAGCTCAGAGAGAGCATCTTCTTTGACATCAAACCTTTCTAACAACTCTTCCACTTTCATACCAGTAGGTACAATAGTGCCGTCATCATCTTCTTCCTCAGAATTATAGATAGTCTTGTCTATTTCTTCATCATCAATCGCTGGTTTGTGATAAACATTTTTCCCAAGCAAAACTCTATTTGGATTGAAAGGTTCTAAACCAGCTCGCTTCCAAGATTTCATGATTTGAGTAGGAGATAAAGCAATTTCTCTAGCCTCTGTGTAAAATTGAAGAAATTCATTTTTTTCAATTTTTTGTTCACTTACTTCTTGCTTAATAGTAGACCAGACACACTTTTGTCTATAAATCTTTCTCATCAACTTAAATACTCCCCTAACGAGTGGATGAGTGTGATGGCTACTATATGATGGTGTGTATATGGGAAATATATTGTTTTCGTAGCACTCTTCCATAAATTCTAATGTATAATGACTTTCATGGTTATCCATAAGCAAAACAACCTTATCGTGATTTTTACCAGCCCCTGATTCAGGAATGAAAATATGTCTCAACCAATGGAGAATTTTGGCATGTGATGTCCATCCCGTAGGAGATACTTCATATTCATAAGAGTTATACTTATTTGCATCAAACCAATTGGTATCGAATTCATCACCCTTGAATATAATCATTGGTTTTATAGCTTTTCCTGACATTGAACAGCATTCAACAACCGTTACATACTCACTATTCTCATTTCCAAGTAAAGGTTTTTCTTCTCCATCAAAGGTGTTAAATCCGTATCTGATTGTGTTCTCAGATAATATGGTGTACGACTCATCAAAAGTGAAGATTTTGTCAGCTGGTATTTCCTTATCAATAACTTGTTCCTTAAATTTGTCATAAAAATCATCTAAATTATCAAAATCACCACCTAATCTATAACGTATGTCCGACATTTTAGTTAATTCACTAAATTTTATCAAACTTTCATTTCGTTTTTTAAAATTTTTCATCCATTGTTTATTAATATAATTGGTTGATCCTCTATTTTTAATGATAGCATTTGCTAGATCCACTATGATGTCTTCATTTAAAGGAACCCCAGTTTGTGCGTATTTTATACTGTGAGACACGATTACTTCCTCTTCCACTGGAAAAACTGTACGCCTTTTTAGATTACCATTCACCTTGCTTTCACCTTTTGTTATGCGGTACCTCAATCCATTTGAACTCACATCATAGATTTTAGCGATAGTGTTGATTGGAGTACGCTTATTCTTTTCTTTTTTTAGATCCAGTCTATAGAATTTGTAAGCTAGGTCAATCTTTTCATTTTTTGACATTTCGGAGGTCACCTCGGGTGCTATGACTTGTTCATTCATGGTGTTGTTGATAAGAATGTTGGATACTATTTTATCGATTAATTTATTTATTTGTTACTTTTTTAAGGGGTACCAAAATCGCGTCTGTTCAGTATTAAATAACACGCGTGTTTTTCATGTACTATTAAACTGCTTTACCAATATTATCCTCAGATTGTATGCCCATATGAATTTAAGACATTTAGCAAACAATTGAAAGTGGTCCTACACTACAAAACCTCAATTTCGTATGGATTTGTATAAAATTTGTTATTTCTTTCCTATGTACAAAGATAAAATAGAAGGAAACTTGAGGTGAGAAGATTTTCGAAAAAAGTAAGCATGTAATCGATTGAATGAGGTGTCTGCTCTATTCTAAAATTGTGATCAGAGCGTTAGCTTTTCAGCTATATCTCTGATGTAAGAGTTTCCATTGATGGTATCGTAATCCATTTATTCTGAGTTCTTCAGTCATTACGAATACATTTTATTTATTGAAGGTTACAAAAATTAATAAAAGTTTCAAAAATAAACATCATTTTAATTAAACTATACAAACTATATCCTCATAATTATTTGGATAATATTTCACCAGCTTCTAAAGTTTTTTCATTTCTTTCTCTTACACTAATAGAAGGTCTATTTAACATAGCTTCTAAAGCGTCAGAATATGGAGCTTTAGTTTTTGATGGTGGATTTAAGTTTTTAACTAAATCAAAGTAATTTTCATAAATATCACCATCATATCTACCAATTGGTGCATTAATCATCATATCTGATTGTTGGAAACCATCAGTTAATCCAACAACATTTGGTCTTATTTCTTTACATAATTTTGGAATTTGAATTTTAGCTAATTCAGCAATAGCTTCAGTTGATGCAACATTAAAAGCTAAAAAGAATCCTGAATATTTATCTAATACAATAGCTGCTGCATATAATTGACCTAATTGATATAAATATGGTTTTAATTCTTGATATGGAGTTTCATCAACTCTTCTAATATATTCTGTTAAAAGATAATGATGAGCTTTTAATTTTGAAATTATAACTAATTCAGCACCAACATAATCAAATGATTCTTTTCTAACTGTTTTACCAGCTTCATAACCTAATCTTATTATAGTAACTTCAATAGCTTTAATGAATTTTTTAATATCACCAATATCAGCAGCATTATTTAAAATAACTTTATCAGCTCCTTTACCAGTATATTCTTTTAATTGATTTAAGAAATCTGATGAACCTTTAACAACTTTATCATCATCTTCAATAGCTAAAATATGTTTAACTAATGGTTTACCAATGTTAATACCTAAGACATTATTATCACCTTCCCAAGTACATTGAACAACCCAATCATTATAAGCTCTTCCGAAACCATTATAACCTGAATAACCATGACCACCACAAGCTTGTCTACATTGATCAATAGCTTCAGCTGCTAACCAAGTACAAGTTGATTTTAATGAACCTGAATCAATGAATAATGATTTCATAGCATCAATGGCTTTGAAGATACCAGCTTCATCACCTTCATCAACAGCATCATCTAATTCTAATAAAGTATCACCAATAGTTGATTCAACTTTTAATGCACCAGCTGAAATAACATAAGCAGCTGCTAAATATGGTAATAATCTTTTTTGATGTAATGGATAATCTAATAATTGAGTTTCTAATGCATCTTCATCATCTGGATCAACATTATCACCTTTAAATTGTCTTCTACCAATAGCATATCTTAAAGCAATAGTAGCAACTCTTGCAATCATTCTGTATGAATCTAATACCATCATAACTCTACCACCTAATAATGCTGAATATGATAATTGTTCTAATGGTGGTAAAGTAACTTCACCATCTCTTGCAACTTTACAGAATTTTTGTAACATGAAAAATCTTGGAATTCTAACTGATGAAAATTGAATCCAACCATTATCAATACCATCTCTACCCATTTTAGCACCAATATCACCAACAGTAACACCTGGCATTATATCATGATTTGAATCTCTTAATGGTACAATAAAAGTTTTAACACCATAATCTTCACCATCAACAATTAATCTTGCGTAAACTGAACAATGAGTAGCTGAATGAGCAGCACCACCAATCCACCATTTAGTAGCACCAATATGAGGAGTATTTATAACGAATTCATCATTTTCTTTATCAAAAGTAGCAGTAGTTTCAATACCCATAACATTTGAACCATGAGCTAATTCAGTCATACCAAAACAACCATAAATACCTTTAATATGAGCAGTTTCTTTATCTAAAGCCCAATATTTTAATTGATCATAAGTACCATTACCTCTAATACAAGAAATAAATAAACCTAAATTAACACCAATTCTTGTTGAAACAGCTGGATCAAATACACCAATTAATGATAATCTTCTATTAAAAGTATCAATAGAATCAGTTTCTAAATATCTTGAAACTCTATTTATTTTTAAAGCAGTTAAAGCTCTTAATTGATCTTTTGACATATCATAATATGAACCATCAGTCCATAATACAGGATCTCTTTCCATTTGTTGTTGTAAAGATTTTATTAATTCAGCTCTTTCTTCAGAACCTTCTAAAAAGTATTGTAATAATTGTGGATTTACTTTTTGTTGAGCTCTTTCTTGTTGAATTGAAGTTCTTGGATCTGGTCCTTTTGATAAACTAACATTTTTTGCTGTGAATACCATTTTGAAAATATATTATTATTGTATTATTCTTAAATTTGTAAATTTGTAAAATTATATGTATATATGTAATGTGATTTTTTAATAAGTAACTATATTATTAATTTCTTCAAAAGTTTTAATTTATAAATAAAAGAAAGTGAATAACTTAATGTTGAAAAAAAAAAGAGTTGTTGATAATTAAAAAAATCTGGGGGAATATTTATATATTAAATATTATTGTACATTTACATATAATAATAAAATTTATTTTTTCACAGGGGAATTTGATTTATGGAGAAATTTAAAAATGGCAATTTGGTAGCATATTTGATGTATTATTCTATTAGTAGTAGCATAATGTAGTATTTAAAGTATAGTGGTAACACAAAAATAACTATACTAATACTCCACTTATTAAACTATTTTATTTTATTACATCAATAAATAACTGACAAACAAATATTAAGTCCGATGAAATTATAAGCGTAATGGTTTAATCCATTTCAAAAAGGTTTTAGTACGACCAATTCATAGTAAATCTCAGTAAAACTACCTCTGCAGTACGAGGTACAAGAATCGCTTCAGTAGTATCAATCTCTAGACATCCCAAACGTTTTGTTTATAGTGAATGGTGAGTGAAACCAAACAATAGTTACCGAGCTTGAACCATATCTATTTGAGATCATTCAAAGTGTATACAAATGTCTACATATCACCTGTTTTTTTATTTATTTTAAAGCCAAAGGCAAATTTCCTTAGTTATCATATTTTAAAAGATTATTTTTCAAGACTATCATTCTAACTGCAGTAATAAAAGTAATATAATAAAAAAGTCCGAAATTCTTAAATTACTTCGTATTAAAAATGCAAAATATTCAACCAGAGGGGGGGAAGATTAGTAGTAGAAAAATTAAGTATAGCGATAAAAAATTATATTATACTTAGTCTTACCGAGGATTCAATTTACCGAGGCAGGCTCTGCACGTGACCTCTTTTTTTTTTCAACTCATTTTTCAGCTCGTTCTAAACGACTGTTAATTTCTTTTTTCTGTACGATTTTGTACAATTTTCTAGAATGCGCGAGACTCTTAATTTAAGCGTTCAACGAATATCAAAGCATTTGGAATTTTGATGTCTCAGAATTATGTTAAACTACTAAGTGAATTAGTCTGAGCTAAACGAAGCTATCACCTCGGTCTCCTGCTTGTTTGTCCTTCTATAATAAAATCTATTAGGTCATTCATCTTTGCATTAGAAAGACCTAGAGTCAGTTGAGCTTTTTAGTTAGAACTTTACATATGGTCTGATTCATGTAAAAATTAAAATGAAAATCATCATCGGCTCTGAGAATTTATCAAGAATTCTACTTACATAAAAACCGTTTTATTATAAATTTGATTTTCTGTGTTTATTATTGTACAAAATTAAACATATCACATTACTTTTGATTTTCTCTAGTTTCTAAAATTTGAAAAAAAATGTGGGGTTTGCCGGTTTTAAAAATAAACCATTCAGTAGTAAAACCTTAAAGGTTCTTACCTTAGTCAGTTTTGTTTCAGATTTGAACAGTTGAAGTAAAGATACGATTCAGGGTCTTTTTTTTATTTTAAATACTTTAATCGATTATTGATTAATCTTTTTTGTAAACCTTTAGATTTATTATTCTCAATTTAGGGAGATTCAACTATTATTGTTCGCTTCAAATTTTGTTTCATGTTTATTCAAAACCTAAATGTTTTAATATTTTGCAGTCAAAATACAATACAAAGTTAAACTTTGTAAAATACAGCTATATGAATATCATACTGCTAGATCATAATTGTCCCAACTTTAACATCTTTTAGTAGGTGTAAAATTGCAAAAGTTCGTTTCAAATCTTTGTACGAAATATAGATATTTTTGCAACAACTTTTCTGCGACTGTCCTTAAACTTATTTGAGGAAGACTCAAATTCTAAACACATTTCAACCACATTTCAACCACATTTCAACCACATAGAACAAACTCATGCTCCTACAATGAGAGCAAATACATAATGGCTTGAACTGAAGCATCAAATAAAGGCTTGAGAACTTTATTAACAGCTTCTTGATCTAATCAAGAAAATAAATATCGAGTAAAACATCCGTACCTACATACTTTACCAGTAATATCATTTTACAATAATTTTATCAAATTCAAAAATCCTACTAAGCTCGTTGATTGAGAGAAAACAGTCATAGAATCAAGCATCAGTATCGGAATGGAACAATTAGACACTTCGTAGCTATTTCGAAAGAGTGCTAATGAAACCAATTGTGAGTACCAAGATGTAGGGAGTTACAATATCAGAGTTCATGAAAATCTTAAACCTAAGTTGTTGACAAAAATACAACGATTATTTTATTGTTCTCTATGTACAAATTGATTCTATAATTATTGAACTTAAAACTAACTCCATCTGTGTTCGTTTAACAGCATTTCAGTCACATAAAGTGAATCCCATATCGAGGATGAATCAGGATTTTCCACCTTCATTTAATTCATACTAATCCAACAATACGATAGTCTGTTTTGCTCGACTAACTTATAATTGTGGCACTAACATATCCATTAAAGGGGATTGAATAAATAAAACACCTAAACCAAACAAAGCAACTTGTGTACCAATAGTGAAAGCTGGTGAGTTTCTGATCTTCTCAAATGTTGAGGCTTCGTCTTTAGCAGTAGGTGGGGCTCTAGCTTGGAAATTCATTTGTGATTGTATGGTGTATTGTTGTTTGCTTAGAATGAGCTTGTAGTCAAATCTATGCTCTCTTCAGATCTTTGGTGATGAATTTTTTTTTTCTCGTATTTGATCATTTTACACATCACCAAAATATCAAATCAATCAGATCTACACAGTTCTGTTGTATATTAGACTATACTACAGTCATAATGACATCATTTGAATCAAATTTTAATATCAAACCCGAGAATACTTTTTCTATTGCAGGAAAACAAATCAAATTTAATACCAAACAAGACATTGAACCTTATATTAAACAATTAAATGAAGTTTCAGATCTACAAAAAATAGATTTTTCAGGAAATACAATTGGAATTGAAGCATCTGAAGAATTAAGTAAAGCATTAATAAATCATACAAATATAAAAGAAATTAATTTTTCAGATTTATATACTGGAAGATTAAATACTGAAATTCCAAAATCATTACAATTTTTATTACCTTCTTTATTAAAATTACCAAATTTAAAATATATAAATCTTAGTGATAATGCATTTGGATTACAAACTATAGATCCAATTGAAGAATATATTGCTAAAGCTGTAACATTAGAACATTTAATATTATCGAATAATGGAATGGGACCATTTGCAGGTTCAAGAATTGGTGGATCATTATTTAAATTAGCGAAAGCTAAAGAAAACAAAAAATATGGATCTTTAAAAACTTTTATATGTGGTAGAAATAGATTAGAAAATGGTTCAATTAATTATTTAGCTGTTGGATTAAGAAATCATAAAGATTTAGAAGTTGTAAGATTATATCAAAATGGTATTAGACCAGCTGGTATATCAAAATTAATTGAAAAAGGATTAAGTTATAATAAAAAATTAGAAGTTTTAGATTTACAAGATAATACTATAACTACATCTGGTGCTATAAAATTAGCAGAATCAATATCAAATTGGCCAGATTTAGTAGAATTAAATCTTAATGATTCATTATTAAAAAATAAAGGTTCTTTAGAAGTTGTAAGAGCACTTTCAAAAGATAAAAAAGAAAAATTAACAATATTAAAACTACAATATAATGAATTAGAATCAGATAGTCTTTTAGTATTAGCAGATTTAGTTGGTGATAAATTACCAAATTTAAAAAGTTTAGAATTAAACGGTAATAGATTTGAAGAAGATTCTGATCATATAACTACTATAAATAATATTTTTGAAGAAAGAGGATTTGGTGAATTAGATGAATTAGATGAATTAGAAGAGTTAGATAGTGAAGAAGAAGATGAAGAAGATGAAGAGGAAGATGAAATAGATTCCTTAGAAGAAGATCTCGATTTAGATCAATTAGAGAAAGATCTTTCCGGAGTTAGTGTTGAAGATAAGGATAAAGGTGTTGACGAAATAGCAGATGAATTGTCAAAAACTCATATAGACTAGTTATATAGAAACAATAAATAGCATATTTTGAAGTATATTGCGTGAATTCTCTAATTGGATTAGTCTATGTCTTGTTAATAAATCTGAAACATCTGCAAAACTAGCGAGAAATTATGAAAAAAATCAAAATCTGATACACGTCTAAACTACGAATCAATTCATCACCATACTACAAATTTTGCATGTCAAGTATATACAAACTTTCAATAAAAGGTATAAGAGCATTTGAACCAGAATCAGATGAAACAATACAATTTGGATTTCCTTTGACTTTAATTTGTGGTCAAAATGGATGTGGTAAAACAACTATAATTGAATGTTTAAAATATGCAACTACAGGTAATCTACCTCCAAATTCGAAAGGTGGAGCTTTTGTACATGATCCAAGTTTAAGTTCACGTGTTCAAGTTACTGGACAAGTTAAATTAGCTTTTAAAAATGCAAATGGAAGATCAATGATTACAACAAGATCAGTTCAAGCAAGTGTTAAAAAAGGTGGTGTAGCAGCTGGAAATGTTACTTTTAAATCATTAGAAGGTCAATTAGCTTATATTGAACGTGGAGAAAGAACCAGTATATCTTCAAAAAATGCAGAATTAGATACTCAAATTCCTATATTTCTTGGTGCATCAACTGCCATTTTGGATAATGTTATATTTTGTCATCAAGATGATAGTTTATGGCCATTAAGTGAAGCTTCTGTATTAAAAAAGAAATTTGATGATATATTTGAAGCTTCAAAATTTACTAAAGTTATTGATAATTTGAAAAGTATTAAAAAAGATATGGCTACGGATATAAAATTAATTGAACAAGGTGTAAATCATTTAAAAATTGATAAAGATCGAGCTAAAAAGATACGAGATAGATTAGTTGGGATGTATGAATCAGTTGATAAATTTTCTACAGAAATTAGTGATTTGAATATTAAGATTGAAGAAAAGGAAAAAGAAGCAGAAAATTTGTTTGCTACAAATCAAGAATTTCAAAAAATTTTAAGTGATTATGAAAATCTATTAATGAAAAAATCTTCATTAGAAGAAAACATTGAAAATTTAAAGCGATCAATTGAAATTTTACCTGATACAGATGAGGAATTATATAATCAACGAGAAAATTTTGCATCTATAGTTGACGAAAAGAACAAGTCTGTTGGGAAATTACAGAAGGTGGGAAAAGATTTAGAAACCAATTTGAAAAACGAAACTAATCAATATAATGAATTGATCAGACTTGATGGTTCTTTGAAAGCTAAAAAAGCAGAATATGATGTTGATGTTGAAAAAATTGGTGAAATTGTTTCCGATAATTCTGATAAGTTAAAAGTTGAATTAACAGATGATGACCAAACCAATAGATCAAATTTCAAAACTGCAGCTGAAAAGCAAAATGCATTTATACAAACTCAACAAAAGGAATTAATTCAAAAAAATAGATCCATTGAATCTAAAAAGCAATCTCAACTTCAAGAAATAACAAATTCAATTTTAAAAGATGATCAAACATTGGAATACGTCAATAATGATTTACAAAAGCTTAAACAAAATTTATATGTGATGAAAAGAAAATTAGATTCAAGTTCAAATGATGAAACTGAACTTATTGAGAAAAAAGAAGAATTAACACAAACAATTCAAGCCTTGAATGATAAGAAAGCTAAAAATGAATTAAAAACTCTAGATGGGAAATTGATGGATTCGAATACAGAAATCTCAAAATTAGAATTTGAATTAGATGAGATTTCAAAGAAATTATCAATGAGTAGTAAACAATCAGAATTAAAATCAAAATTAACATTTTTAGAAGATTCAGTTAAAACTAAGACTAATGAAATTCAAAAAATCAAACAAAAAATAGATGATGATTTTAAATCATTGATGAATGAAGAAATTGATTTTGATCATGCTGAAAGTAATTATAATGACAAATATATGGAACTTTCAACTGAAGTAGATGATCAACAAAAGAAAGTGTTTAGTGTACAAAGTGAAATGGATTCATTGAAGAATTCAAAATCAAAAATCAATGCTGCTAAAGCTGAAAATGAGTCCAAAATAGCGTCGTTGAATGATGAAATAAGTAAAGTTATTGATGATGTTGATGATTATGAAAATATAGTGCAAGATTTAGAAGATGATTATAAAAATGTAATGGAAGATGTCAATACTTTTGAAGTCACTAAGAGTTATGGTCAATCAGCAATAGATATGGCAGAAAAAAATCAATGTTGTTTACTTTGTAAAAGAATGTTTGATAATCCAGCTTTACAAAAATTCATTGAAGAATTAAAACAAGGATTTGATGAATCAAAAATAAATGAAGTTAAATCAAAAGCTGATGAAATTGGTAAAGAACTTGATGATACTAAGAAGATAGGATTGAAAGTAATTAACTATAGAGAAAGTATTGCATTGAGACCAACATTTGATGAACAACTTAGTGAACTCAATGCGAAACAAAATCAATTGAATGATAATTTAAAAGTAGAAGTTAAAAAACTTGAAAAAATCAAATCATCTTTCGAATCAGCTGCCATATTGAAAAAACCATTATCTGATGCTACAAGATTAAATCAAGATATACATGGTCTTGAATCAAGAATTGAAGAACTTAATGATGACCTTGGGGGCTTTGGTACAGCAGTTGCTTCTATAAGTGAATTACAAACACAACAGCAAGACGTTAATACCAAAATTAGAGATTTAAGACATGAATTGAATGCTGCTACGGATGAAAAAAACAAAGTTCAAAGAGAATTACAAAAATTAGAAAATAAAGTCAAGGATACTAAATTAATTATAAGTAATCTTGAAAGATCATTAGCTGAAGTACAAAATATCAAAAAACAAATTTCCGAGACCGAATCAAACATCAATAAAGCCGAAACAAGAGTAAATGAGGTTCAAACAAATTTGAAAAATCTTAAGGAAAAAAAAGATCAGCAATCTCAAGAGTTGAAACAACTTCAAGATGAAAACTATAAACAAGAGCATAAATTACAAAAAGAAGTACAATTCATATCTGATTTATTATCTAAATTCAATTCATTAGATAATGCAATAAAAGGATTTGAAATGAATGTTTTATCTAAACTTCAAGAAAACACAGCACAAATGCAAAAAGTATTAAATCAATGTGAAGATACAAAGCTGAAAATTGATGAAAATACAAATAAAATCAAATCTTTAGAAAAAGAAATTATGGATTCTTCTCGTATTAAACATAATATTATGGCAAATATGGATTATAGAGCACAATTACATAGATTAGATGAAACAGATTTTCATTTAAATTCACTTGATATAGATAATGCTCAATTGAAGAAACAAGATTATCAAGAAAACTCAAAACGTATTAGAGATGAATTATCAAATTTAACTTCACAACATGCTGGTAAAATTGGTGAAGTAAAACAAATTAAAGATCAAATTGAAACTTTGAAGAAAGAATTAGCTGTTGAATATAAAAATGTTAATGAACTTTATCATGAAGAATGGATTAAATTACAAACTAATCTTTTAGTTTCTAGTGATATACAACATTATTCAAAAGCATTGGATAATGCAATTATGAAATACCATAGTATTAAAATGGAAGATATCAATAGAATTTTGAATGAATTATGGTCACAAACGTATAAAGGATCTGATATATCAACAATTGCTATAAAAAGTGATGTCAACTTACAAGCAAAAGGTAATAGATCATACAATTATAGAGTAGTCATGGTGAAAGATTCAAATGAATTAGATATGAGAGGTAGATGTTCTGCTGGTCAGAAAGTCTTAGCTAGTATTTTAATTAGATTAGCATTAGCTGAATGTTTTGGAGCAAATTGTGGTATGATTGCATTAGATGAACCAACAACTAATTTAGATAGTGAAAATTCAGAAGCATTAGCTGCAGCATTGAACAAAATTATTGAATATAGAAAACAACAATCAAATTTTCAATTGATTGTAATTACTCATGATGAAAAATTTTTAACTCATATTCAAGGAGATAGATTTACTGATCATTTCTATAGAATTGAAAGAGATGAAAAAAGTAAATCGAGAATATATCTGGTTCCTATTAGTAGAATTCAAGAATTTTAACAAGTGAAATATTAATTAGTTATTTGCTATTTTGTTTTTTCTTATTATTTAGTTTGAGGAATGATGTTGATGAATTTTTAATATTAATATGACTAATGGTTTTAGTTGTTGTAGTATTAGGTGTAGCAGAATTTTTTGCAGCAATATAATTATTATTCTCATTTTTAATTTGAGTTATGATTTTATCTTTGTGAACCCATAAATGCTCCAAATATCTTTCTAATTTCTTTCTTTTATGTGGTATTCTACCTAAGGATCTGAGTTTAATATAGACTAGTATTGTAATTGGTTCTTGAGATGAAAATATCTCTAACAACGTTGGAGGGAGATAATATGAGTCTGTACTTGTCTTACCTGGACGACAGTAAATGATAGTCAAATCATATAGATTTGTATATGGATGTGGTTTGAACTTTGTTAAAGCTGTAATAATATTGTAGAAACTAGGGTATCTTGGATATAAAACGTTATTTAATTTGGGTAAGAAATATTTTTGACCAACTTGTTGTTGCAACCTATAGTTATCTTCACTCCATATATTCACTTCTGGGAATAGAACAATCCATTCTGAGAATTTACTCCTCAAAAATTTAGCAAAGATATACAAAATTGATTTCTCTTCAATTTCCCAATTCTCATCAGTTTTCAATAAGTTAAATAATATCTTGATATTGGGTACTTTCCAAACTAAAAACCATGAAAAGAAATTAACTACCGGTAAAGATAGTTCTGTTTGACATGATTCCTTAATAGAATCTTTATCTGACTTTGTGGATAATCTTGACAAATGTTGAATTACAAGAAAGTCGGCTAAAGATGAGTGATTACTCAACACAATAGCAGGATTTGAATTTATTTCATCACCCAAAACTTTTATTTTGACTCCATTCTTATGCTAATCAAACCGTTAGTATTCTTCAGACAAAGTTGTCAAGTGCATATTATAACTTACAATAAAGTAAAGACTCAAATCCCAAAAGCAATTCCCAAATTTAGTCACAATATGGCTGGAAAAGTCAGGAAAAATGGTTGCCAAAATGGTTGCAAATGTTGCTATGACATGGTAGACCAAAAGATATCCGACCAAGAATAAGATTGTTGTAAGACCTTTAAACCAAACTTTCAAATTGACTCTCTGTACTTTTCTTAGACCTAGATGATCTATTAGTTCCATTTGTGTTACTCGATATTGATTTGGTGTAACTTATAATTATACCCCTTAAGATTTTGCTGTAAATCATAACCACTATTTTTATTTTTTTGTGACACAAAATTGTAGGAAAATGTAGTAGCTAGTTATCAAACCAAATTGAACTCATCTCAATCATAAAATATTTAATCCTTTATTCAACCAATAATATTGTTATACAGATTTATAAAACCATGTCTCGTGTTATAGTGAGAGGCTTACCAAAGTATTATACCGAGGAAAATTTGAGGAATCATTTTGGAAAACAAGGTGAAGTAACAGATGTCAAATTAGTTAAACAAAAAAATGGAGAGTCAAGAAGATTTGCATTTATTGGATACAAATCTAATGAGTCAGCTGAAAAAGCTGTAAAGTTTTTCAACAGATCCTTCATTGATACAGCAAGAATAGACGTTGAAGTTGCAAAATCATTTTCAGATCCAAATGTTCCTATATCATTTAAAGAGAAAAGAAGAAGAGATAACGAGAGATTAAAAAGACAACAAGAAGAACTAGAAGAGCAAGAGGAAAGAATGGCTAAAAAACAGAAACATAAACCTAAATCATTGATAGATCAAGAGATGGAAAATGATCCTAAATTTAAAGAGTATATGGAAGTAATGAAACCTTCACATCAAGTTAAATCTTGGGCTAATGACACAATAGCAGATGGATCAGGTGGTCCTTTGAACGAGGATTTAGAAAGAGCATTAAACGGAGAAGTAACCAAATCAAGTAGTGATTCATACAATGTGATCGAAGCCAAAGAGAATGAGAGTGATGACGAATATAATGACTTTAATGAACTAAAACATGACAACGTAGAACAAGCAGATGAAGTTATAGACGAAGAAGAGGAAATGATACCATTGAATGAGTTGGATAATGAGCAGGCGAGAGATACGAATGTTTCCGATATGGATTGGTTGAAATCAAAAAGTATACGTATAAAGGAAAATGGTGAATTACCAGAAACAACCGAAGATGTAAATACAGGTACGGCTGATGAAGAAGAAATAGAGGAAACTGCAATAATACCCAAAACTCAGGAAGAGCAATATCTTGAAAAGATACAGGAGACTGGACGTTTATTTATAAGAAATATTCTGTATGACGCAACTGAGGATGATTTCAAAAATTTGTTTCTGAAATACGGTCCATTAGACGAAGTGCATGTAGCTGTTGATACAAGAACGGGTAAGTCAAAAGGGTTTGTATATGTTCAATTCACTAATACCGAAAATGCCGTCCAAGCATTTGAGTCCCAAGATAAAGAAATATTTCAAGGAAGACTTCTACATATATTACCGGCGGAGAAAAAGAAAAGTCATAGACTAGATGAATTTGATTTGAAAAATTTACCTTTGAAAAAACAAAGAGAATTAAAAAAGAAAGAACAAGCCGCTAAAACCCAATTCAGTTGGAATAGTCTTTATATGAATACAGATGCAATCATGGATTCAATGGCTGCAAAGTTAGGTGTCTCGAAGTCACAATTAATCGATCCTGAAAATTCAAGCTCTGCAGTCAAACAGGCTTTGGCTGAAGCTCATGTGATTGGTGATGTTCGAAAGTTTTTTGAAGATAAAGGTGTTGATTTAACAAGTTTCAACAAGAAGGAAAGGGATGATAAAATAATTTTGGTAAAAAATTTTGCATTTGGTACCACAATCGAAGAATTGGGAGAGACTTTTTCGCAATATGGACCTTTGAAAAGAATGATAATGCCACCAGCTGGGACAATAGCTATCATAGAGTTCAAAGATGCACCAAGTGCAAGAGCGGCATTCACAAAACTAGCATATAAAAGATTTGGTTCTAGTATTTTGTACTTGGAGAAAGGACCAAAAGATTTGTTCAATCGTGAGCCAACTACATCAGAGAATATCACGGAGAAGAAAGAACCAGAAACAGAAAATGTCGTTGAAGTTAAAGCGTCAGTTAACGATATAATGGGTGAACCACAAACGGAAGAAGATATAGAAGAAATTCAAGGATCATCAGTCTCCATATTCGTTAAAAATCTTAATTTTTCAACTACAGTGCAACAACTAGCAGATCTTTTCAAATCGATACCAGGATATGTTACTGCAACTGTTAAAACGAAACCAGATCCAAAGAATTCTGGTCAAACTTTGAGTATGGGTTTTGGGTTCGTTGAGTTTAAATCCAAAGCACAAGCCGAGGCAGCTATAAAAACATTAGACGGTCACGTTCTAGATGGTCATAAATTACTATTAAAATTATCACACAAACAATCATCTAACACTAAATCCACTACTTCGAAATCCAGTAGATCAACAAAAATACTCATCAAAAATTTACCATTCGAAGCCACGAGGAAAGATCTATTGGAATTATTTGGTGCTTTTGGACATTTAAAATCTGTTAGAGTACCTAAAAAATTTGATCAAACAGCTAGAGGTTTCGCATTCGTTGAATTTAACTTATTAAAGGAAGCTGAAAATGCTATGAAACAATTAGAAGGTGTCCATTTGTTAGGTAGAAGGTTAGTAATGCAGTACGCTGAGAAAGACTCAGAAAATGCTGAAGCAGAGATTGAAAAAATGACCAAAAAAGTTAAGAAACAGGTTGGTACTCAAAATTTGGCTGCTGCTAGAGTAGCTGGGAAATCTAGAATTGAATTGGAGGAAAAAGAAGATGATTTCGGTGATTTTTGAAACAATTGAAATTTTAATAATTAAAACTTGAGACTTTTATTGTAATTGTATACTTTATTTTATAGTAAAGTGATAGCAACGTCTTCAAATTCCTGTTAAGTGTTTTTAGAATAGGCCAGAAGAATCAAATTCTCTTCATTTTTATATTCGTCATATTAAATGAAATACTGGTGGTAATCTTGAATTTTCTATCACTTTCTATATTTTTTGGATTAAATTGATGTTTCGCAACAATTACAAAAAAAAATATTAAAATTAAATTTACCATTCACACTTAGATATTCGAGACTCAAGCACCATGTTTCAATCTTTGAAGATATATTTGAAGCCAAGTACAAGTCTAAGTCGAAGGTCTTTTTTCAATTGCAATGGTAATTTACTAAATACGATACGACAACAATCTACAAAACCTAAAGATGTTAAAATATTAAAGTCATCAATGAATCCATGGCAAAGGATGGATATGATGAAACGAATATTAAACGAACAGATGCAACAATTACAAAACTCGCCGTTGTCAAGATCGCCTACTTGGAAGTCTTACAACCAGTATTACAATAGAACTAGTTGGGATAAATTAAAGAAACCTTTATTGTTCACCATTGCATTTTGTGTTGGTACAACATTTGCAACTCCATATTTAATTGATTACACACCCTTATCAATCTTTAAAAAATATCCTCAATCGATAATATGGACCATAATTGGATTAAACGGTATAGTGTTTTTCATGTGGAGAATTCCTCAATTACAAAGATTTACAATGCAGTATGGAATATTATTTAAAGATAATATACAATCTCCTTGGACTTTATTAGGTTCTGCATTTTCACATCAAAGTTTTGCTCACTTTGCGATAAATATGCTTTGTTTCCAATCATTTGCAGTTACTTTGGTTGCCGTATTAGGAGTATCTAATTTCACAATACTTTATTTGAATTCAGCTGTTATATCATCATTTGCATCAATTGCTATTCCAATGCTTTTAGGAAGTTCATTGTCAGTTGCATCATTGGGTGCATCAGGTGCAATCTTTAGTGTATTTGGTTGTTTTTCATATCTTTTTCCAGCATCTCCGGTTGGACTTTTTTTCATTCCTGTACCTGGTGGAGCTTGGGTATTATTTTTGGGGACCGTCATTTGGAATGCTGCAGGAACTGCTTTAAGATGGGGAACATTTGATTATGCTGCTCATTTGGGAGGTTCCATAGTCGGTATTGCTTATGGATACTACTTCAACAGAAAGAGGAAAGAGCAAATTAGGAAGAGAAGACTTATTTTAGATTTCTAAATTAACTTGTTTATATCAACTTGGTGAATACCCAATATTTATTAGATTTTAGATTAAACAAACGCTACTTTCTTTTTCTTATGTTTTGAAGAATCATCTACCTCATCTTCTGCTTTTCTTGCTGCTTTAGCATTCTTCCTCCTACTTGCTCTGGCAACTGATGCTTTACTTCTTAATTCATCTTTCTTACCATCTAATTTGTCCTTCTTTTGTTGTTCTTTTCTCTCGATTTCTTGCCTCTTTAAATCTCGTATTTCCTCTAATCTTCTTGATTTCTCCAACTTACTTTCATTCACTTGATCATATTTATCATTTATACTCTTCACTAGTCTATTCATAGTCAATGAATCATTATCAGCAACAAATTTTTTACCTTTTTTACCTCGTTTAGCTTTAACACCAGGCACTATCGCCCTATTCAATTCAGGAATATTCAATTGTTCTTCTTTATATTCTTTTCCATTTTTAGCTCCATATAGCCTTATTTTAGCTTGTTGTTTTTTAACTTGTAATTTAGATGGTTTTTTAACTTTTGATTTTGGTGTGAGTTTTGGTTGATCCGCTAGTAAGTTTCTTGCATATGAGTCTGAATATACTTCTGATTCATTTTCTCTAGTTTTATTTTGAGTTTTATTCCTTTTAGCTGTTTTTGATTGTCTAGGAGCCATCTCTATAGTATGAAATATATGGTAAAGATGCTGCTACACTTTATTGAGTGTGGTTTTTGTATACAAAAAGAGATGAGACAAAAAAGATAAAGTACTCACATCAAATTTGAGATATAGAAACATTTGCAATTTTAATACTATGAACCCTAAATGCTATACATTTTGATATGATTGAATCGTGAATGAATTTCAAAGATGAGAGATTTGTTATATATGAGATCTTGCTGGAGATCGTATAGATTTCTACTTAGCTTTTCATAAGATTTTCTCCGCTGTTAGAAACAAACCTAATTTTTTTGCAGTTTCTTTCCTAAATTTTGAAACTACATAAAACATACAAATGTAATGCAAAATTTTCCTTCACCACATGAAAATCTTGCATGTACTCAGCATGTCATCGTGTTTTTAAACCTTGGATGCAATTGAAAAATGGAATTGAAAATGATGCCCACTCTTTGTTGATAAAACAACAATTTTAGGAGCTTTGGCTTTAATAGTCCATTAATAGACAATTATTTACAACATTATAGACTTCAACTTTCTACTTTGCATACATAATCAATCAAAATAGGTTCCAAATTCAAACTGATAAAGTTTAGACTTCATTCATCAATTTTAAAATCCAAAATTCAATTAAAATTAATACCAAAACCAAAACATTCACCTCATGATTCTTGTCCAATATGTTTAGATGTATTTGGTGAAAAAGTAAGGTTTTTAACTTGTTTACATCATTTTCATATTGATTGTTTAAAAGTTTGGACTCAATATTCTTCAACTTGTCCTACTTGTCGTCAAGAAATGTGTATATTGAAAATTTGATTTGGATACGAGAAATTGATGAATGAAGTTTGAAATATCTTCCTTAACGATTCAAATAATATTCCGTTCTGTACTAGTGAGTAGGTAAATAAACTCCCCAGCACCATCGGTTAATGTATTTTAATATCAAAGTCCAACTCATCAAATTACCGCTTAAGAAATCGGTGTTTCAAATCAGGGCTACATTGCAAAAACTCGAAGGTTTGAAAATCTCCGAAATATCAATTTTACATTTCATTCAACTTCTTTCTTTATTATTCAACTCACTTAGGGATGTTATTAACAATTTTCAGGATTTTAAATTTAGTTTTACTTGGTAATGGATTATATAAATCATTATCAACAAAGTTACCACCTCATTTAGTTAAATCAGGACATTTTCAATTTCTTACAAATTGTTCATTATTAACTACATTGATTTATTTATTTTTCGCTACATTCGGATTTCAACCAAATTGGCTTTATAATTTATCAAGTAATTTAGAATTTAATGTAATATTTTCATATTGGACAATGGCTCTTGTGTTTCCAAAAATGGTTGCAGAAGGAGAAGTTGATCGTGATTTATTTATGGATTTACAAGTTCATGCATTTCCTTATTTATATTTAATTATTGATAGTCAACCAAGTTTGTCAATTATGAAATCTTGGGTTTTAACTTGTTTATATGTTTTCATTTATTGGGTTTATTTTGAGTCGGAATGTGGTAAGCATGTGCCTGATGGAGTAAGTGGATATCCTTATCCATTTTTGAAAGGGAAGGGTATGGTTGAAAGGTTTGGATGTATGGCTATATTCGCATTCATTGCATGTATGAATTGGTTTGTTTTAAACCTTAGAAATCAATTGTTTTGAGTTTATAGGTTTTCTAGATACATTCGATTAAATTGGTTCTACAAATGTAAATAAAGTTTCAAAAAATATAAAAATTCATTTTGATAAACTAGTACGACTAAACACTATTCAAACTTAACCTGATAAGATTTTACCGACTTCAATTGATTTTTCATTTCTGTCTCTAACATCAATTGATGGTCTATTCAACATAGCTTCTAAAGCATCAGAGTATGGAGCTTTAGTATCAACAGGATTATTAACAAATTTAACTGATGTCAAGTAATTATTGTAGATATCACCATTGTAATGTCCAATCAATGAATGAATGAAGTTATCTGGTTGTTCAAATGAATCAGTTAAACCAATGACATATGGTCTTACTTTCAAACACAATTCTTGTGGATAAATTGAAGTAATGTATTTAGCAACATTTGGTTGAATTACACCAAATCTAATAAAATCACTAATGAAAGGACTTAAAACATTAGTTACATAGTATAATTTTAAAAGATTTTCTAAATGTGGTCTTGCTGGTGATTTAGCTTTAATTTGAGTTTCTAATCTGTCAATAAAAGTTTCTAAAAGATAATGATGACATCTTAATTTTGATAAAGTAACTCTTTGAGCTCCAATAGCATCCCAAGTTTGATGACTAATTGGAATTAAATCCACAGCAAATTTTGAAATTAATGCAGCAATAGCTTTTAAAACTCTTTCAGGTTCATCAACATGATCTTTAATTCTAATAACAGCTTTTTTATTTTTAGATAAAGTTGGAGCATCATTAAGAAATTCTAAACTTGAATCTTTTAATTTTCTACCATTTAAAATTTGTTGAACAGTTTTAATAATAGTTTTACCAGCAGACATTGCTAAAACATTATTATCACCTTCCCAAGTAGTTTGAACTGACCAATCATTCCAAGTTTTACCAAATGCATTATATGAAGAATAACCATGACCACCACATGATTGTCTACATTCACTAATTAATTCTGATGCTTCCCAAGTTAAAGTAGATTTTAATGAACCTGAATCAACAAACATTGATTTTGTTGAAGCAATTGTATTTTTTAATAATAATTTATCATTTTTAGCTAATCCTTTATCTAAATTAGCTAATAATTCATTATGTTCAACTTCCAATCTATCAGTTCCAACTGCTGCTGCATAAGTTAAAGCTAAATATGGTAGTAATCTTCTTTGATGTAATGTATAATCTATTAATTGAGTTTCTTCAGAAGCTCCATCTTTTGCAAATTGTCTTCTACCAACTGCATATCTTAAAGCAATAGTAGTAAATCTAGCACCAATTCTATAAGAATCAGCAGCCATACCTACTCTACCTTCCAATAATGAAATATAACTTAATTGTTCTAATGGTGGTAAAACAACATTACCTTGACGATCAACTTTACACCATCTTTGTAACATAAAAAATCTTGGAATTCTAACTTCAGTAAATTGAATCCAACCATTATCAACACCTTGTCTACCCATTTTAGCACCAATATCACCAACTGCAATACCTGGTAATAAATTATGTTGTGAATCTCTTAATGGTACAACAAAAGTTTTAACACCATAATCAATATCTTTAACAATTAATCTTGCATAAGCAACAGTGTGAGTAGCTGAATGAGCAGCACCACCAATCCACCATTTAGTAGCACCAATATGAGGAGTATCAATAATAAATTCATCAGTTTCTGGATCAAAAGTTGCTGTAGTTTCACAACCAGCAACATTTGAACCATGACCTAATTCAGTCATACCAAAACATCCATACATTGATTTAATTATACCATTTTCTTTAGTTTTAGCCCAATAATTATATTGTTTTGAAGTACCATTACCTTTAATACAATTTAAAAATAAACCTAAATTAACTAAAATTCTAATACCTAAAGAAGGATCAATAACTGTCATTAATTGTAATCTTCTTCTAAATTTAGCATAAGGTTCAGTTTCAATATATTTTGACATTTGATTAATTCTTTCAGCAACTAATTCTCTTTCATCTTTTTGACTAATATTAAAATGTTCAGGTCTTGTTTGTAAAATTGGATCTCTTTCAATAGATTGATAAAGTCTTAAAATTTCAGTTGATTTTTTTTCATTACCTTCTAAAAATTCATGCATTTCTTTTAAATCCCAATCAGTTCTTGATCTTTCTTTTGCAATATCTTCTCTTGGATTTGGAGGAGGTCTTGAACTTATAACATTTTCTGTAATTTTTGGAGTAGTATCAGGATCTTTTTTAGTTGGTTTATTTAATAATTTATCTGAAATAATAGCCATTTTTGTTGATTAATGAGTATATTTGAATAAGAAAGTAAAGTAGAATTTAAAATTGGTTAAATAGTTTTATTAATATATTGGAAAATAAGTATAATTACAAATTAATTTAGTATAAGACAATGTGTTCAATATTAAATTTTGAAAAATTGTTTAAAGGCTAAAGTTGTAAGAATAAAAAGATTAAGGGAGAGAAAGCGAGACTTAAAATATTTTGTGTTATTTAAAGGAGTTAAATAATATTTCATTCTTTGTTCGAGTGGAACTAATAACACTTTAACTTTCAATGACTACAAGGATCTATCAATAAGTTGGTTTAATAAAAACATACTGTTTGTCACGGATCTTGAGTGCAAAGTGGTGTACATCAACTTGATCGGATAATCAAATTTGATATGTGTAGGTAATGGTTATTCTTTTATGTTTAATCTCAAATTTTGTGGGGAAGGAAATTTTTATTCTCGATTTAACCGATGAAAAATTTGAATTATTATTGTAAGAACATAAACATAATAATAATACTTTATTTTTTATAAAGTCTTTGATAAAAGCCATCGACTTCATAATTTGTAAAATGATATGATTTAATCATTTGTTCTTGCAATTCATCATACGATCTATTTTAAAGGTTGGCTTTTTTAAAGTTTCATACTTTAATTTATTCTCCATAATCTAATTTCATATGTAATTTTGAAGAATAAATTACGATTGAAGTCAACTTAACAAATATGCGTTTAAAACTACAATGCCAAAAGACAGTATCCACTTAATACCACCTTCGTCGTCATTGTATCAATTTGTTAATTCCGAACAGACATTATGATACAAATATACTTCGATCCTCGGTGAAAAAATTCAAAAATTAAAGCGCAAATCATGCGTCTTAATTTGAAATCCGGGGAAATATAACGTCTTTTTTATGTCTGAAAATTCAATAGGGTATTGATATAAAGTCCAAGCGAATTGTTTTCAAAATCCTATAGGGTCTTGAAATATCAATTTTACTTCTCACTGTTTTTCATTGGATGAAACATCACAATTTTCAAACTTTTAACTGATTTCATGCTAAATTTGCAAGTATTGGAGGTACTTTACACATTGATTGCAGATTTGATTTCCATTCTTTGATTTCAATGCAAATTAATAGAGAATTAAGCAATAGCCAAGCACAGAATCTAACCTCTTCTATGGATACCAGCAATAGTACTTTCATTAACCTTGCATAGAGATTGTAAAGCAAACTTTTGGTTTTAAATTGTTTCAATTCTCAACAGCTCGTTCTATCATATTGTGAATTCGTCATGAACTTGGTCAAGACTTTTGATTTTTGGACACAAATTTTGGTTTTTTTTTTTCTTGTAATCAATATATATTTAAGCATAACTATAAAATTATAAACTTAATCTATATAAGGGACACCTGTGCACATGGTGTCTTAAGCTCTGGTGGATCAAAAAAGAAAGTATATGCTAGTTATACCTAAAAAACCACATGGAATTGATTGTGTGCATCTATGTTTGGAATTATTTTTGAATCTATGAATTATTGGAATAATAAATTCTTACCTTGCATTATTTCAAACCATCACCCATGAACTTCAATCTGCCTTGTTTCAAGGCTGGTCACGGGTATGCCGTCGACGTACTTTTGTTAGTACATCCTCGAGGTAAGAATTTATTTTGGTGATTTGAAATTTATTTAATTGGCAATTTCCTATAACGAATTTTATAGACCTGTTCACTCTGAACTGTTGATCATTCCATAATTGTAATGTTTCTTGACACTCGAAGACATGATGCTTCAATGTGTCTTTACCTGGTAATTCACAAAAGCGGCAGGGAATATTTCTTGAGTTTGAATATAGGGGATAATGGGAATAATACCCCAATACAAAAAAGTGGTATGTTTGAAGTGATCCTAGGGGTTTCTTTTGTTTTTGGTCATGTGTTTGTAACTCTTAATAGCACCTAAAAATTTTTTTCCAGAAATTACTCCTGGTAGCTTAGTTGGTTTAAAGCACAAGACTGTAATATGTTTTCCCATAATTTGTAATCTTGGGATCGGGCGTTCGACTCGCCCCCGGGAGATTAGGTAGATCTTTTCAAAGTCTTCTTTTTTTTAAAGTTATATCAATCGTAGAGAGTAGAAACTATTTTGACAAATATGTACAAACTTATGATTTTTATGTCTTTTTGATATATTTAACAAACGTAGAAGTAGAAGAGTCACAAATTGTTCTCCTATTATTCATTGATTAAAAGTCTGAATAGTCTATGTAATTTTTCTATATCAAATTTCCAATTCCTTAAAATTTTGTTTTTTACAAATTGTATTACCATCACTATCAATATATAAAACATCAGGCCCATCTAAAGCAATCATTGGACCATTCAAATCACATATTAAATTTGGATATTCATATTTAGTATTAAACTCTCTTCTTTCATCTAAAGTAGGATTAATTTCATAATCATAATTACTATCTTGATTTTCTTCTAAGTCCAACAGACTATTTATTGTTTGATTATTTTCAATTGCTCTCAATGCTATAAATGTTGATAAAGGTATATATTGATTTTCAAAACACCATAAAAAATACATTGTTATCATAGGTAATGGAGCTATAAATGCAGCACAGATATAAGCTTGTTGTAATGCTAATGTTCCTACCATTGTTATTTGAAAAATTAAAAGTCCTAAGATTATCCGTCTGAAAATCATCACTAAAATTTTACCTGTTGAATGAGGTGAGTGTACACAAGCATATAGTAACAAATATTTATTAACTCCATACCCAATGACAAAGGTTATGAAAGCACTGAATAAAATCTTTGATGATATGATTGAGTAGCTCAAAGTAATGATGAACAATAATATTGGTTGAGGTAATTGTAATCCAAAATTGAATTCAGGTGACTTATACAAATTTAGATAATCTCTTGGTGTTTTACAAGAAAATATTGTTTTCCATGAAAATTTAATCAAGTTACCTAGTAGTAACAATTTGAATGGAAATATAGCTAAACCTTGTAAAATTATGAAGTCAACATAAAATAATGATAAATCACGTAATGATTGAGCCAAATCATAAGCTATCTTAGTAGTATCACTCAATGAAGCTGTTCCAAAAGTTGTAAAAACCAAAAATAAATTAACAAAAATATAAAAGAAATTTTTAGCTATTGATGATAATTCTTCATCACTATTTGATGAAAAACCTTGCTTTTTCGATATCCAAACATAAAAAAATGGAATTACAATGTTTAAAATTGTGAATAAATAAGTTGGTAATAATCCAGTTATGACAGTTTTTAACCAATGATGTGCTTTTATTGCTTCACCTAAAGCTGGCCATATTTTACTTATACTTTTAGCATTTAAAAAACTAGCAATGTATCTAACCGGGAAAACCAACAAAACACTTATTACCCCTATTAATAAAGTTACAACAAAATTTCTTGAATTTCTTTCTTGTCTAGTTAAACATAAATTATCCCATCTAATATCATGAGGTGCCGGTGCTAAACTTGTAATAAGATGATTTACTTTTGGATCTAATACAGCTTGAGCCAACATTTGAGCTTGAGCTACTGATTTCATAGTTAAAAATGCACTTGATGTTGGAGCATATTCTTTTCTTCTTGCTTTTTCAATTTGTTTGTCAACAATCCTTAACTTATCAGTGTAAAAGTTTATAGCATCAACCCGAGGACCAAATAAACCAAACCAACCCTTTCGGAATTTTGGTCTTAACAATATATCATTGTTTTCCAAATATAAATCATTTATAGAATTCAGATTTGATGTAGCTTCAACAATTTCAGTAATTTGTTGAAGTATAGTTGAGCTAACAGATCTTGCATCATCATCAATTCGACTATTGCTACTTGGCATGTTAATCAGTTCACCAATTGTGGGCAGTAAATTCACAGTCAATAAATCAGATTTATTTTCAATTCCATTTCTTTGGAAATATTCAACCCAATAAGTTTCTAATTTTTTCAAAAAATAATTCCTTAATTTGAAAAGTTTGTTCAAGTTTTGCCATTCCCTAACAACCAATACTGATTCAACTTCACCAATATTTAAGTTATTAATATGTCTCTTTAATGTAAATTCATCCCTCAATATGCCAGGTATTCCTGAGATTTTCACCGTTCTATCAGTTATAGAATTTTGACCACCAAGGTACTTTTGTCGCATATTCACCACTTTATCTGTTTCATCAAATAAAAAATAAGCAGTAACAAATGTAAAAACATAAGTGAAAATGGTATAAAGCCATAAATAATGTTGATATGTTTCATTTGGATCTAATTTGCTACCTGCTAAAGTATCTATTATGTGTATGCTAGTTCCATTGTTTTGATCATCATCATCATCAGGATAATCTTGATCAATTTTACCGGTAAACTTGTATCTAATTGGAGTAATAACTGTAATAGCTAAGATCAACATAACTCCAATAACCTTAATACACATTTTGAAAAATCCTAAAAACACAACAGCATCTAATCCTGCATGTTCCAATATTTCTTGTTCACTAATCTTAAATACAATTGGAATCCAACCAAATAATGAATTTGTTAATTTAGGTAAATTTTTTCTTGTTCTTGTTCCAAAATTTAAATGATTTAAATTTGCAACATATATTTGGGGATATTTCAGTCTTAATATTGAAAAAGCTGTGATGGCAAATATACCTAAAGATGAAGCAATTAATGCTTGATAATATGGCACCCTAGTTGAATGTGGTTTATATAATCGATCATCATTTAAAATACCAAAGTGATTGCCATCCGTTAATATATTGTCAATTGTCATATAATGTTATTAATTTGTTCATATGCAAATGATATCATGTAATTGAGATTTGGTCCATTTAGTCTAATTCTAAGTAAACATATCAATCGTTTAACTAAATTTTTTTTCCTCACAACGATTCTTAACACAAAACTCAAATGTAACCATTTTTATTTTGAGATCCTAATTACAACTAATATCTATTTGCAACGCGTCAAACTCAGGGAATGAAACTAGTAATGAGGTCTAATACAATCGGATTTAAGTTTAAGTTTTCAATTAAAGTGCTAAAAGAAAATAGTTTCTTCAAGAAGTAGTGAGCAATGTATAGACTTTCCATAAATAATTGATTTTGAAAAAATGGCTACCCGCTTGGATTTTCAAAGTCGATCCTCTCAATGACTGATGCGTCATGCAAACTACATTTATAAGCAGTCAATTTGGAACTGTAAAACAAAAACATCGAGCAGATTGAGGGATTGTCAAGATTTTATTTAAATCGTTTATTCTTACCAATTCTCGTAAAATACAAGCTACCAAATTTTGTATCAAATATAGACATCAATACGAAGCAAATAATTTGCAATTTCAAAATTGAGACTAATTTGTTTTATATTTTCCTTCCTTCCGGTCAAACAAGATAGTTCAAGCGTACGAAAAATTAAATTGGAAATTTTTTTACCACTCTCAATAAATTATTTGTTTATTCTCTATATACAATAAAAGGTATTAAATCTCAGCATTTTTATGTCAATATTTACGCGAAGAAGTATATGAACGTTTTTTTTTTTTTTTCATTATTGATTGTTTGTTAGATCGTGAAATAATCATAAAAAGGGTTTGTATCAAGTCAATCATTTATGTCTTAGGAGGTTTTACCTACTTCTCTCTCATCTGAAGCGGTATGTTGCGACTCGTTAGTTTCTTGGAGAACAGTTGATGATGAAATATCCCCTACTTCATTCGGCGAGCTTTGGAGTCGTTGGTTTTGATGTTCCTGCTGATACTGATGCTGATGCTGATGCTGATGCTGCTGCTGATTAAGTATTAGTGTATTTTGTTTCTCTATCAAATCTGTCAAATGTTTGAAATGATTAAGGGTCTCCGTCTTTAGGTTTTGTAGATCTTGATGCAAGTTTATAATTTGTAAATTGTTTTGAGATTGTTGTGTTATCAATTGCTTTAAAATTAAATGCAATGCTTCATTTTCCTGATCAATACTTTGTGATTTTTGCAAGTTACTATAGGAAGTGTCCAACAGTGGTCTATGTTGATCTTCCGTAGTTACATTACTTGAAGGTTTTTGAATCTGAGGCTCCAAAGTTGGCTCTGTCAAATGATTGTGTTGTTGATAATGCGAAAATGGATTTGAAGTTAACGAGGATGAGAAATTATGTTGGGGGTCAAAACTAGTATGCGAGGCTTGTTCTATTGTTTTATGTAGCTCCTGTTGATTGTGGTTGAAAACAGAAGTCGATGACGACGGAAGTGAATGTTTGTACACATCTTGAAAATTACCCTGCTCAATTGGTATATTGGTAGATGGATTGAAATGCGGCAATTGTTGATTTGGCAAATGAAGGTTCTCTGAAAAGTGTTGATGCTGATGTAACTGGCTATCTAGTGGTCGAGTGTGCTGGTGTGGTGTTTGTTGTAAATGATGTTGTGAAAACATGTTTTGATGTAATTCAGCTTTCGTATTCGTCTCCATTTCATGCATAGAATATTGACTTGTTTGATTTCTTGTCAAATTATCTAAATGAGGAATCGAAGTAGCTCCTGACGTTACATGCTCATTTGCATAATCTATTTGAGTATCCGCGCTACTGAACGACTCTCTAGTATCCACTTCATTCGATGCGGAAAATATTTCAGAATTCAAACGATAGGGATCTGTTGAACAGAAATTATTTTGATACATGAATTGCAAAATATTCATTATTAATTTTTCGTTTTCATTTAAATTGATTTCTGAAATGGATTGACGCTCATGCATCAATTTATTTTTTAAATTGGATTTTAAAGTTTGAAATCTATGATTTATGGTTCTGCTTTGAATAATATTGGAATTATATTTGGAATTGAATTCATTTAAAACTTTTTCCCACGTTCTAATTCTACTACCTCTGGTGAATATATCTTGCTTATATTTGTCAATTAATGATAATAGAAAATTTTCAGAATCATATGTAAATTGAAAATTACTTCTCTTGTTCGTAATTGTTGGATTATAAGATTCATTTGGATCATTTTCATCTTGATTCATGTTTTTCTAATCACAGTTTTTTCCCCACTGTTTAATATAATTCTGAGACTGCAATTGTCCCAGTTGATTTTAGTATCATTGAACTTTTTTATGGATATACTTTATATGAGATTATATATTTGAAATGTTATTACCGCCTTCTATATAAAGGAATTGTTTCAAAATAAATTGTTTGTAATTGAATGATAGTGTGCCAGTATTAAACTTCAAGTAATCAAAAAGAAATAACAATTATGTAGAAAATCAAGGTTAGTGCAGATTAGAATTTAATACAGGACGACTTAAAATTGCATCATGCACATTGTATCAGTAAATGTTTCATAACGATAATATAAAAATTTAACATCATCTACATTCCATACATTTTTTATTCCCGGTAGATTATCATATACCTTATCTCACAAAATCTTGCAGGTAATGAACCGATCAGTGCCAGTTGAACCCTGATAATTACAAAGTTTAAACATTTCTTCTTTTGTTTCATCACTTTTAATGCCCAGCGAATAAGTCCGTTTCAATTCCGGCATTGAACTATTTGTATTTAAGCAGATTATGAACGACAAAAGCCGCTTAATTTTTAGGAAAGACTCAAAAAAGAGAATGGTGCTGTTGTTACATACCTGAATGCCTACTTCATCAATTTGTTGATGAGTTTCTTTTAGGTGTTTCACAACAATTGTATCTTATCTAATTCAATCAATTGAATGAGGAATCTACCGACTGGAATGACAGCTATGGTTAGGCTTAGTTAGAAAAGACAGATCATGCTAAAAATATATTGATCATACATATTTCAATTGAATTCCGTTTAGGGGGTACGAATACTACCTATTTATATATGTAGCTGCAAAATTCCAAATTTGTCCAAATAACTCGTCCCAAAAGGGACATTGTCTGCAACAATAATCTGAAGAATTTTGTACCCCCCTTTCTTTTTTGGCAAATGTGTATGGATTATATTTTTGAACTAGTGAATGGAGATTCTTTACAACCTAATTTGACTGACAGATCATGACTTTTGAAAGTTTCACATTGTGTTCTTGTTTCAAAAATTTAAAGCTTTACGAAATAGAAAAAAATGATTATAATTTAAAATCCAGCCGATTTTGTATCACATCGACGGAAATTTAATTACTATTTAATTAATTTCTACCTCCAACCAGAACACTCTCGAAATTTCTACAGCTGAACAACATCATCAAGTATACAAATTTCAGAATTGGTTAATCCTGGTGTTTCATTTATATGCGTTTGCCCCGATTGAAAGTACAATGCTCATTGAAAGTGGTTTGTGCCAATGCTATCTTAAGGGTGTGTATATAATATGTGCAAACGGACTTTGTGTATAACTGTTGCTTCTTGCATGCTGTATATTAAATTTATCCTTTTTTACATGAAGCCTTACTTTCAATCAGCACATTACTAATACTTACCAAGCAAAGTCCATTCAAGTTCATAGACAGAAGTTTTTGGAATTTGGATCAAAAGTAGCAAAACGGATAACAAGAAAGGTTTGAGCTCTGCTTCATTAATATTGAATCAGGAATACCCCTGTTTTACATTCGTTTAGATCATAAATACAAAAAAGCAGAAGAACTCAATATAAAGTTTTGAGGTTAAATCGCTTAAATGTTTGATTTGTGGCTGATAACTTGTCGTACGCGAGAAATCGCTTGTTGGGTCAGTCATTACACGCCTTGGCCGATGATTACTGAAGCAAATCAAGCGAATGTTGGTCTAACTTTTGGTAAACCATTCGACTCTTTACTTCATTTGATCAAATTTGATCTTGAACCAAAAGGAGTCGGAATGGACAAACTAATCTGAGTAGTACCTGATTTCAGGAATCAAAGCTTTAGAGGTAATGATTAGAGAGTCTATTTTTTTTACTTATCGACTTGTTAATCAAGTCTTTTATATTCTATTGTTGTTCCAAATCATGCTTTCGCCGCCTAACTCTACTTAGCGATAGAATCTTTATACAAAAGTTATATTCCTATGCCAAACTGGATCAAGTACTCGACAGTTGGTACAGTCTTGCTAGGTCCCGTTGCACTCGCATTCAAGGTGTGGGCTAAATATTGGTTCTTCCTTACCCTGTCTTTCAAATTTTGTACAACTGCTCACTGATTTTATTTATTGTGGACTAAGTTTGACAAAGAGGAATTCACCCTTTCTGTTGATAAGACCTTTTTCGATGTGTCGATATGATTTCACAAGTTAGAAAAAGAGTATAGAATATTAAAGCATATGATACGAAACTTATTCGTGAAATTTTATTTAAGACTCTTCTTTCAAAAAGTAGTGAAACTTTATTAGAGACTCTTCTTTCCAACAAAATTCGAGATTGAACCCAAATTTTATCTACATTGAATAAATTATTATTAATTTTTTATTCAGTTGGTCGATATTTAAAGTAGATGACTTTGTAATACAATTGATAATGAAACGAAATGATTTTACTTTCCACAACCTGTTATATTGATTTCACACTTAATCGAATAAACCGAATCCCATATCGTCATCAGATTCTTCTTTTTCTTCTTCTTTAGCTTCTTCAGCAGCTTCTTCAGTAGCACCACCAGCAGCAGCTGATGAAGCACCGGCACCTGAAGAAACAGCAGCACCACCTGATGGAACTGAAGCTAATTTGGTGTTACCTTCAGCGACTAATTCATTAATATCTTTACCTTCTAAGTCTTTTAATAATGAGTTTAATCTTGATTCTTCAACTTCAATTCCAACTGATTCTAAAACTGATGAAATATCTGAAGCAGATGGGGATGAGTTACCACCTTGAACTAATAATAAATAAGCAGCTAAATATTTCATTTTAATGATTTAAGTAGTTGTATGGAGAATAATCACTTTTAAGCAAACAAACGGCAGACTATCCTTTGGTTGTATTGTAGTATTACTAAAATTAAATTTAATTTTTCAAATTTCGATTAGTCTTTGGTTAACGCATCTTTGTGAAAAAAAATCATATAAAACTACTCACGTGTGAACAGTTAGGGCTCAATGTGACGTGCTTTTTTGAAGGAATATAGTACTGAACAATAACACAAAAGCCAGCAGTTGGTAGCTAGAACTACTTCTAATTGTTTCGTACATATTAAAAAATGAAGAAACACATAGTTAATTTTTAACTATGAAGAGAGATTAGTGAAAAAGATTTTTATAATTTTCAATTTCAAACCTCTTTCATAGATTTAACAACAAATAATTATCATAGAACATGGTTGATGCTAGTATGTTAAATTAACTTATATGACTGAAATATAGACTAGACCGAATCAAGATGGACCTTTGAACTCATCATTCTATTGGAGATAAAGAAGAAATCACAGAGTAAAGAAATCAAGTAGAAATCAAGTTGGATTAATATTAGAACAAAATTACAACCACAAATGAAGGTGAATTTAACGACAAATATGAGATACATTTATAACCAGGTTCAGTCAATACCAAGTCAAGTCAAGTGAATTAATGTCATGTACTAACTTCAAAATTATAGCTGAAAAAAAGAAGAGAACCTTCAAACAATTCTCCTACAAAGGTGTTGATTTAAAAGATTTAGTTGAAATGCCAACTGAAGAATTCACTAAATTATGTGGTGCCAGAGTAAGAAGAAGATTTTCAAGAGGTTTAGATGCTAAACCAATGGGTTTAATTAAAAAATTAAGAGCTGCAAGAGCTGCTACTGAACCAAATGAAAGACCAGCTACTGTCAAAACTCATTTAAGAAATATGATTGTTGTTCCAGAAATGATTGGATCAGTTGTTGGTGTTTATAACGGTAAAGTTTTCAACACTGTTGAAATCAAACCAGAAATGGTTGGTCACTACTTAGGTGAATTTTCAATTACTTATACTCCAGTTAGACACGGTAGAGCTGGTAATGCTTCATCAAGATTCATGCCATTAAGATAAGTCCAACAATTCTACATTATTCACAACATCATCCTTAATTTCATCCACCATACCTACATCACTAACTTTAGATTAAATGGAGAACTGAAACTCGTATTTAATTTATAAATCAATTAAACTTTGTAATTTATAGTTCATAGTTAATCAAAACACAAATTTAGTAACGATTAAAACCTTTGTGGATTGCATATGTAAGGTTTATTCTCTAATTCTCATGTCGAATATTAGACTAAAGTTGATTTCACTCGTAATAATTTTTCAGTAAACAAAAGAAAAAAATAAAGAATTAAAATACAATTTGAGATCAATCAATTCATCAATTGACGAGATAATAAACATATATTAATAATGACTGAAAATAAATTCAATGCGGATACAGATGCATCTGATTTATTTGCAAGCTTGTCATTATCTAAGCCTGGTGAATCCAAGGAAGAACCAATTAAAAATGAAGAACCAATAAAGAAAGAAGAATCAAAACCGGAAGAATCAAAATCGGAAGAGACAAAACCAGAACAACCAAAACCAGAAGAATCAAAGTCAGAAGAATCTAAAAAAGAAGATTCTAAAGATGATACATCAAAAATAGAGACAGATACCATATCATCATCAACAACAACACCCGAAGATCCAAATCAAGATTCAAATTTAATTTCAACTAAATATGAAGTTCAAGTTAAATTAGCTGATTTACAAGCTGATCCAAATTCTCCATTATATTCAGTAAAATCATTTGAAGAATTAGGATTAAAAGAAAGTTTATTAAAAGGTTTATTTGCAATGAAATTTAATAAACCTTCTAAAATTCAAGAAAAAGCATTACCTTTATTAATATCAAATCCTCCAACAAATATGATTGGTCAATCACAATCAGGTACTGGTAAAACTGCTGCTTTTTCATTAACTATGTTATCAAGAGTTGATGAATCAATAAATGCTCCACAATGTATATGTTTATCACCAACAAGAGAATTAGCAAGACAAACAATGGAAGTTATACAAACAATGGGGAAATTTTCTAATATTACATATCAATTAGTTGTACCAGAAGCAGTTGATAGATCACAAGTCAAAGCTCAAATTATAGTTGGTACACCAGGTATAGTAATGGATTTTGTTAATAGAAGATATATTGATACAAGTAAAATTAAAGTATTTGTATTAGATGAAGCAGATAATATGTTAGATGCTCAAAATTTAGGAGATCAATGTATAAGAATTAAAAATAGATTACCGAGATCAGCTCAATTAGTATTATTTAGTGCAACTTTCCATGATAAAGTTAGAAAATATGCTGAAAAATTAGTTCCAAATGCAAATTCTTTAGAATTAAAACAAGAAGAATTAAATGTTGATGGTATAAAACAATTATATATGGATTGTAATGATATAAATCATAAATTTGAAGTATTATGTGGATTATATGGTTTATTAACTATTGGATCATCAATAATATTTGTTGAAAAAAAAATAACAGCAGATCAAGTTTATGAAAAAATGAAAAATCAAGGTCATAAAGTAAGTTTATTACATGGAGGATTAGATTATAAAGCAAGAGATTTTTTAATTGATGATTTTAGAGAAGGTAGATCAAAAGTTTTAATAACAACAAATGTTTTAGCAAGAGGTATTGATATTGCTTCTGTTTCAATGGTTGTAAATTATGATTTACCAACTACTCCAGATGGTAAAGCTGATCCTTCAACTTATTTACATAGAATTGGTAGAACTGGTAGATTTGGTAGAGTTGGAGTATCTGTATCATTTATTGCAAATAGAAAAGATTTTGCAATATTAGATGATATTTGTAATTATTTTAAAATTGAAATGACAAGAGTTCCAACTAATGATTGGGATGAAGTTGAAGAGATTGTAACAAAAGTTATTAAAAATAAGAAGTAGTTTATAGAGTAAGTAATCAAGGGTATTTTCTTTAATAAACGTTGATAACAGCATTAATTTTACAGAGTTTTTATAATTATTGTCTATCTACAAATTTGTTTATTAATCTCTTCTTTATACAGTTATTGCTTGTTTTGATCTTATTGGTAATCTTTTTATAACAATATCCCAATCAATACATTCCCAACAATTTTCTAAATAATTTTTTTTACCAAATACTCCATAATCTAATAAATAACATTTTGGTGATACATCAATATTTAAAATGGGAATCAAATTTTTATTTAAATAAGAATTTTCAAATTCTGAATCTTCAATTGATCCTAATTCTAATGGATTTTTTTGATCCTGTTCTGGATTCTGTTCTTCTGTGGAGCTACTATTTTCTTTTTGTAAATCTTTTAATCTTTTAATTTGTCCTGATCTTTCACTATCATCAATTATTCCACCATTATAAGTTGCAATTATTGATAAATTATGATAACTCGGTTCACGATTAAAATTTAATGAACTTATTACACCACTTGAGGCTGCAGATTTTTGATATTTTGACATTGTTGATTCTGCAACTACCCAAATATTTCCATCTCCCTTTATTGAATTACCAATATTTAAAAATAAATTTCTAAATTCTTGTATTGAACCAAATGATTGATTTAACCAATCTAATAAATTTTCATCTGTTGGTATATTACCAAATTTTGAACTAGAAGTTTTTAATAAATCTTTTGCCGTAGGTTTTATTATCTCTATTGGTTGATTTGCTGGTCTTATATTTTCAAAAAATTGAATTAAATTTAATAATTTTGATGCATTTTTATTTATTTGATATAATTCTGATTTATTTATACTTGATTTTATAATTTCTTTTAAATTCAAATCATATGAAGAAGAATTGTTGTTATTTAAATTTAAATTCGATTGTGAGATATATTGATTTAAATTTTCAATTAATTGTTGACCTTGTTTAAACCATAATTGATTTAATGTATTATTTGAAAATAATCCTTCAAAATTTGAATTTGTTGCTTTTAAAATTTCTAATGTTTTATTTACCGGTAATGAAGATAGACTTCTTTTTGATATTAGTGTTTTATACATTTAGTGATGATGGTTGTAAAAAATTTGGTTGCCAAATTAATTTGAAAAATTTTGTACAGTAGATATCTGTGATTTTTTTTTTTAGGTAATAAACTCGTAAATTTTGAAAATAACGTATTCGAAGAGAATTTTATACACAAATATCAATCAATAACAAAGACATCCAAAATGATCAACCTTGAATTGAATTTTCACTTGTTTACACTGTTCATTAAATACATACATATATAAATAGTTACATAAAAAAAATTGTTACTAAAGAAGTTAATTATCAAAAAGAATAAATCATCTAAGACTTATTTCTATGTTTTAAACTTTTAACTCTTCGAAGAAATGAATTTTGTTGTTGAGGTGATGAAGAAATTTCTTCTTCTTTATTATTATTACCATTTCTTCCTGTCCTACTTAAAGATTTAGCTCTTATTGGAGCAGGTGCAGGAGCTCCATCAATAAAAGTAGTTGAACCTAGACCTTCAGTTGAATAACCATGAATGGGTTGAGTTTTTGCAGTTGCATCGAAATTTATAACTGATGGATTTTGTTTTGGAGTATAAATACTTGTTGATGGATCATTTGTTATTCTATTTGTTTTTATTGCAGGCGATTCTTCAACTATTGAAGATTTTCTACCAACAATTTCATTTTTATCAATATCATCATAATTTCCAAATGCTAATTTCATTTGTGCATCTTTATCAATATTACCGCCTGATCCAGCTATTGAATTATTTGGACCATCTACTGGGAAAGCCATTACTGGTGCTTGTTTTTTATTTTTATTTCTATGAGGTGTACATGCATCAAATGGTCCATCATGATGAAAACCTCCTCCAAAAAATCCAGTTACATCTAATTTATCAATAGTATCTAAATTTTTAGCAGGTATTGTTTCAACTTTCTTCTTGGATGGAGATTTATTTCTTGAACTCGATGATTTTCTATGACTTCTTGAATTATGATGTGATGATGATCTATGTTTATGAGGATCTGAACTTGAACGATGTTCTCTTGTATGACCATTGGAACTACTACTACTTGTTCCATTATTTTCTTTTTCTCTCCTATATTCTCTTTTAGCAGCTTCTTTTCCAGCAGCTTCTTCGTATGAAGGTGGAGCAAAATCATCTTGTTGTGGTTTAGGAGGTCTTGCTGGTGGTGTACTTCTATGTTGTGGATTTTGCGGTATAGATTGTTGTTGTTGTTGTGATTGAGGTGGTGGTTGATATAATGGTTCTCTTTCCGAACTTGCATATATATCATCTGAATCATTAATTGCAGATGCAAATGGATTATTTGATTTCATAGTTCTGATTGATCGAAAGTTAGTATAATTTTGAAGCGATCGATATGGTCACAATTTGTTAAATGTCTTTATATAAATGTTGACGAGTATGATTATTTAATTGTTGATTCCGTCACTAATGTTATGATATTTAAGGTGTATTATTTAACGTCAAATTAATAAGGTTGATAATTTCAGTATTCCTACTAAATAAGTTTTTTTTTTAATTTATTTTTTATTTTTTTCGGTTGTTTTGTTAATTATTAACTCTCTCTCTAACTTTTAAATTGCTAAATTAAATAAAGTTTTTAATGTATGTTGAATCATGAAAAAAAAAAAAAGTTGAAATCTTATTTATTCTGTTTTTATCTATGTTTGTCTCTCTATTTTCTCTTTGTAATTTGTGTTATTGTTTCGGTACTAAAATAGTTTAATGTAAGTATAGTTATTGATTGATATAAGTGAGACTAGACTTGATTATTATTGTTATTGTTGGTTTATTTTGTATGCAATTCCCCTTTTTTGCTTACAATAACATAAACATACTCACGCAAAAAAATAAAAAAAAACTGAGGCTATGATAAATATTTGACTGGAATTTATTGAGCCATTTACTCTATGATATATACGTCTTTTGATTGTTTTATTCATGTGACTAGTTGACATTGATTGACAAAGACATTTAACTTGAATTGCTTTTGACCTAGAATTAAAAGTTATGAAAAAGAAAAACATACCTATTATTACTATTATAATTTACACTTGAATCACTATCTGATCTAAATGCTTGTAATTGAATTGGTCTTGTTAATTTTGAACTTGATCTTTTGATTGTAACTTTACTATTAATTTTACCATTTGCTTGACCATTAATGTTACCATTGTTATTTTTACTATTATATTGATTATGATTTATTTGATTAATACTATCAATTGAAGTATTAGTATTTTGATAATAACTTAATATTTTATTAGGACTAATTTGAGAATCTTGATCACTTGATTTTCTATAATTTAATTTTGTATTAGTTATACGTCCATTATGAACATAATCATTATTATTATTACTATAGTATTCATCATAATCATCATCATCATCACTTGATTGATTTCTTATCAAATTTTTATTTTTTTCAACCCAATTATCAAAATGAGAATTTGAATTATTATTTGTATTTGTTATAGAATTTGATGTATTTGTTGTTGAATTTGTAGATTGTCTACTTAAACTTGATGATTTTCTTCTATTATTGAGCTGGTTGTTATTATTCGATGAAATGGATGATGATGAATAATGTTGATCTTGATATTTTGAATGATGTGGTTGTTGATATGGTTGTAATGGATTTAAATTAATATTAGGTTGTGGTTGTAAATGTGAATATGATGATGAAGAAGAAGATGTATTTTGTTGTTGAAATTGTCTAAATGGATTATTTGATGATAATCTTCTTAATGAATCAGTTGAAGCATATGAATGATTTGGTTGTTGATACATTTTTATATACTTTAATTTACTTTTATTTCTTCTATTTGTGCTTTCTTTAATCTAATTTGTACTACTTTTGTAAAATTGTTAGCACCACAGATATCAAAAGTAGATGATATGTGGTTGTCACTATATGTAAAATTGGTTTGTTTTAAACAAAATAGTAGTATTAAGATCTATAAAATTTTTTCCTCTTTAAGTTTTGGTTTAACTTAGTTGATGGTTCGATAATTATAATAAATCACCAACCTAAATAATAATATGTATTGAATACGGTAAATTTTTTTTTATGTCCAATTATAATATTTAAAATGCCGAATGTAATATAATAATCGTTCAATTTGTGATGTATAAACCTTCAAACTTTATTCAAAAATGGTTCTCAAAGCAGATTTTAATGGTTAGGACAAGTAAAGATGTGTTGTAAATTGATTGTTGATGATAAATTTGTTGTAAAAAATTTGGTTGTAAAGTAAAGTAAAGTAAAAAAATTCATCAAATTTGAATCAACAAAATTTAACCTGAAATCGAAATAAATTAAATAATTAACGCGTTTGTTAATTAACACAAAAAAAAATTAAAAAAGTAAAGCCGCGTATGAATTATACACGTATTAAATTCGTCTATTTCTCTCCACGATTCAAAACGATTACCATTTTCCCCCTTAATACCAACCTCACTTAAAAGTTTGATATATCAATATCCCATTGACAAAGATAGCATTGACTGGATATTTTTAATTCTATCAAAAATACTAAATTTAATCCGCATAGATCAGAATATCTCGTACTAATAAAAAGTCGTGTATAATTACTCAAAAAAATAGTACTGTACTAAATTTAATCTAACGTAAATAAATAAACAAAAATTGGTCTTATGTACACAAAAGAAGTTGCAAAATTAAGTACTTATAAACCACAGTTAAATTAAATTACGTACATATAGATGTTTCATATTGAAAAAAAACAAATTATGAGTCTGTATAAAATATGTTTCAGTAACTTGAGAATTAAACAAGAACTACTCAGAGTTTGACTTTCCTTTTCTTACGGTATTTCAGGAACGGTCTTTTTAAGGGATGATTAAATAAATAAATTGATAAATTAAAAATGATATATATTTTTATATATAAATCTAACTATATTTATAACTTAATAAATAAAACATCAAATAAATAAATAAATAAATAAATAAATTAAATTAAAACTGAACAACTGAACATTGAAAAATAACAAGAAATTAATACCAAACTTAAGAACTAAATCACTAATCACAACATCAAAAATAAAAAAATAAAGAAAATAAAGACCAAGTTTTATCAAATTAAAAAGAACTCCAATTCCAATCATTTGATAAATCATTTACAACAAAACTACTTTTTCTACCACCATTAAAAGAATCTTTTCTACCATTTCCATTCTCTATTTCATCTTCATCAGTATCATCACCTTCATCATCTTCATCACCTAAACAAAATTGTTTAAATCTTAAAATTTTTGAATCATTATAAGCTTGACTAAAAGAATGTAATAAATTTGGATTTTCAATTAATAAAAACCATTGACTAATACTATTTAAATTTAAATGATTTTTAAAATTTTTTGGGTTATTTATTTCAATTTTTAAATTTTCATAAATTAAACAACATTTTTTACAAATTTTATTATTTTGAATTGGTAATTTATTTGATAAGTTCTTAATTGGTATTATAAAATTTGCAAATTTATCTAATAATACTTGATTTTCTAAATTTAAACAATTTAAACAAAAAATCATTCCGCAAAATCTACAATGATGACGTTTTGGAACATCATATATAATAGTTATTAATTTTGAATAAAAAATTTGAGAACAATTAAAACATTGATTTGTTGAATTATTTGATTTCCAATGTAAATGTGTTGGTTCTGTTTTATAATCTAATGATTTATTATCAATATTTAATAAAGTATAAATTTTTTTAAAATTTGAAATATTTTTTTTTGAAATTATTGGTGGTGGTCTTAATACTGCTGGAGTCATCATTGGTCTTTTCTTGTTGAATTCTATTGTTGTTGGAACTATATTATTGGAATTTGTTGTTATATTTAAAGTTTGATTATTTTCTTTTTCATTTTCTTTTTCATTTTGATTGTAAATTTGAGTTTGATTTTGAAAATCTGATAATAGTCTAAATTCATCATTATTTTTAAAAGATTTTAAAGGTTCAGATGATCTTCTTATGGGTTGATTTAAATCAAAAATTGCAGGTTTATAATTATTTTGGTTGTTCTGGTTATGATTCTGATGCTGATTATTTGATGAAGAAGGATTTTCTTCTTGTATAGTTGAATATTTTGAAATATCATTTGAAGATTTATTACTATTTAAAGATTCAAAAGATTCTATCCTTTTTGAAAAATTATTATTATTATTATTCGCATTATTCATTTGATCTTCAGATGAACTAAATGATGATTTTTTTGTTGAATAAGTATATGTACAATTTTTACTATTCATTCTTGGAAATCTTATTTGTTCATCATAATCAAAATCTCTAAATTCAGTAGGTTGATGTTGTTGATGTTGCAGATCTTGTAGATGGTGTTGATATGGATGATGATCAAATCTTGGACTATTATTTATACTTGTTGTAGTTGATGATTTATTTGAATTTTTATTCATTTTTGAAGTTATATTTGATGTTGTTTCATTTATACATGATAAAGTACATGGCTTTTTTGAAAATGAAAATGGTGGTAATGTTTCATCATTATCTGATGTTGTTATTGCAGTATCATTGGAATTTGTTTGTGATTGTGATTGAGAATTTGTTTGTAATTGTGTTTCATTTGAATTTTGTTTAATTAAATTTTTAGTAATTTCATATTGTTGTAAAATTTTTGAAGGTGTTATTGCTGATGATGATCCAATACTATGATGATTTGAGGAATGTGATAGTAGTTTTGTTGAAGACATTTGGTTTGAATATGGTGGTTGTCTTATACTCTTGATGACGTTGGAAACTGGATGGTTAAATATAAGGGTCTTTTTAAGGGGGTTTTGGTTGTTTATCAGTTTGGTATCAACATAATAAAATTGACGAAGATAAGTTCGATAATATATATTTAAATATTCCAATCTATGTTCATTCAAAAGAACAATAGAATTAAGAATTGAATGATAGAGATAAGAAACTTAATTATGTACTGTTTAGTATATGATACTAATGTTAAGTTACTTAAATAGTTTAACTAAGTACGTTATGGAATTTATTAAGGTGGTACAAAAACATTGTAATACAAAAAAAGATTTACTAAATCAATGAGAAATTTATATTACTGCAGGAATAAAATTTGATATAAAGATATACGCCTTAATCTATTAGAATGATGGTAGTTGTAAAGTGATGTCTTTAAGGCAGACTAAAAAATTTTATGATCACTTTTACGGTGGATGAATGAGCAAGTATTTCTACGAAGTTCTTTGTTAAGTTTACTGGAATATTACAACGATTAATATTAAGTAAGATCTAATATTTTAGATCAGAAAATGAAAGAAAATAAAATATTTCACAAAATCTATGAGATTTAAAACGAAGGATTTAAGAGTTTTAGTTTATACCGGTTTATCAATCTCAGATGGAAGGAAGAATATTTCGAGCATTTGTGGTCTCATTACAAAAATGTTTTATCTCTAAATTTTTTGATATGATTATTGATGCATAAACTCAAAATAAAATTATAAGAATTGATTGGACGATTTTATAAAATTTTATTTAATAGAAACAGGGGTGCAGATGCAAAATTTTAGTGTTAGAATTATTCATTTAATCTGTTCTATTACAAAATTTTCTCTCTTACTTAAGTCTTTTCTTTCATTTAGTATTTTAATACGGTATAGTATACTAACCATTTTCCATATTCTATTGAATTATATATTTTGTGATCGTCTACCATATCGCTATTAATTTCTGTTCATTAGTTATGTGAAAAAGTTGCATTTTCCGCTAAAGAATTTGTATTTGTAACCTTTAATTGATGAACTTTATTTTCGTAATTTTATCTTTTATCTTATCTATATCCTTATTAAATCATGTGATTTAAAATACTCGAGATAGTTGATAAGATATATACGTTTATTGACTAGGTACTATACGGATAAGAAATCTAAAGTTCTACCCATTTCACTGACGAAGAATTAATTCACGAGTTAATTCACGAGTTGAATCTTGAAGCTAGGAATTATAGCGTTATTCGAGAATATATTAAACAATAGATAAAAAGAAATTTCTACAATTAATAAAGGACTTTTGTTTAATAAGAAATGTATTGTAGATCCTTTTTATTTTCGGAATAGTTTGTTTGCTATATAATTTTAAGTACATAAGTGAAGATTATGGAATTCAATTTTCAAACAAATATAACCTTCTTCAAAGACTATTAAGATAAGACCGTACTAATTCAATATGAAAGAACGTAAATTACTAGACGTAAATTTTAACTCTTAGTATCTGTAATTTCAAAACTTTGTTTCGTCTCTTAGTTCTTGTTATTGATTGATGATATCACTTAAAAAATCTCAAGATTTTGTGTCTTTCCCCTGAATATTGAAAACGTTCATTTTATTTCTTTATCTAGTTTACTCTATTCGGTTGTTTCACATCTTAATCATATGAATTCGTAAATGAATAATAAAACTCATCAAATTTATAAGAAAGTTTCTTACCATTTTATGGTAAAAAATTAATTAATTTCTAGTGTATGGTTAGACCAAATTTTTTTATACTGTATAGACTACTAATATGAAATAATTTGATAAGCAAAATTAATATTCAACAACAAAATATTTTTAAGCCGTCTATCCCCCCCCACTCATAAAATTAACGAAATTTCGAGAAATATCAACATAGTATTCAACATCAACTTCCAACATACCTAAGTCAATGTTTTCCTCTTGATTTGGGAAGTAAAATCAACCACTATATCAGTATTGGATGAAATAATTGTCTTTATCTTAACGATTTTTTTTGCCCCTTTTATTACCGAATCCGAAATATTCCCAGCGTTTATTAAATTATCAACAACTTTATTTCGTATAGTAAAATCCGTACTCGTGTTACCAACAGATCGGCTGAGCAGAGAAGACGAGATAGAGAGATCATAGAGATGTTACTCAATTGATCAACATTTTCTTTATTCCCAAATTTCAAATGTTAACGCCTCATAAAATAGGAGCAATTTCGCCAGATTGAATGAAAATTATATATTAATTTAAACAACAATTTTTATACATGTAAAACTAATTTGATAAAAAGACAACAATTGACCTCATAAATCTTGAAATATGAAAGGAAGTAGTAAAATAAAATGAAGTAGATATGTAGTTGTAGCAATAATTGTAGAACTTTGAAAATCAGAAAGAACTTTCCAATTACCAATTGACTTTTCAATAATTCTAAGAATCAGCTAAAACAACATATAACGCATGTAAAATACCAGGGAACCAAACGAAACAACATAAAATAACATTTAACCAAAATGCTCCACTTATTCCTTTAACCATAAATACAGCTAATGGTGGTAAAAATATAGCTAATATAACAGCAACAATTTTTTCTGAATTCATTTCTTTATATTCTTTAGTTTAGTATGGATGATATATATGTATGAGATAATAATGGAAAATGAATATCAATTAATAATTGAGTTGTTGTTGATATGAAATTTGATTCAATTTATATATAATAAAGACTAAAACTGTTGTATTCTTTAAATGACTTTTATTTTTTTTAAATTTAAAAAATCTCTCTCAAATGAATTTTGGTTTTTTGTGACTTTATTCAATTTGACGACATTGTAATTAGTGTAAGTGAAGCTACCAAATTTCTTACACTTTACTTTATCTATTTCACTCTCGTAAATTAATTGATGTATTATTTCACTAAGAAATAAACACTTGATGAGTTCTCCCCAACTATTCGATTGAGTTCATACGTGACATTTTGTACCTTCTTGAAAATTCGATTAATCGTTCATTGATACTATGGGAAAACATCAATTTGGTTGATTGTTTGTTTGCGAACTTCACATTAAAGAGGTCTCGGCTTTTGAGAATTCGTGATTTCAAAAGTCATGCATTCTATAAATCTTTTTATAGCATATAATTACTAGTAAATTATGAAAAACCAAAATGAGAGTCAAAATAAGCCATATTTTAAATTATTTACGATCCAAATTTATCATAAAACGGCTCTTGATTTAGTTAATTTTCTAAGCGGTTTAAAAGCCTTATTTGAGCCTTTTCTAAAGTCCTATAATATATACCATATCACCTTTGTAAAATCGAACGATATTACAAATTCTTTGAGATCTCGTAAAATACATAGCTTTGTATTAAGTCGAAACAACAACGACATTTTGACGTGATAGTACAAAATTGAATCTTCTATAGTCTATTAGATTAAATAATGTCTTATTTATTATTAAACGGTTCTTAAAATTAAAATATCTCGTAAAATTAATCATTCAAGATTGGAGATTTCGGATTTTCAAACAATATGTATTTATTATGTACAAAATTCTATTAGTGATACACAATTATGATAGATTGAACTAATGACCTGGTTTACGAAGCAATATTTAAATTAAAGATACATATTGTAGACGCGTTTTGAGTTCATCAATCACAAGATATTTCATATATTGATTCCAATTGTTGTTAAATTGGTAATTTAACATCCAAAAGGATGTAGTCTAGTACAGAAGGAAATGCATCTAGGTCTTAGGTCACGACTTCTCTGATGTTAAACTCAATTAATCGATTTGCTACTAACTTGACCAAATTCGAACAAGAAATGCTAGAAAGAAGACATTTATTGTTTTCATTGACATCATTTCACAAGAATCACAACAAGCAATTCCATCAAATTGTTTCAATACTTCGCAATCACCTAGTATCAATGACCAACTATTCCTCATAAAATTGTTTCAACCTTTAATATAACCCAAAAAGATATAATTTAAACAACTTAAAGTCCAAAATCCAATCATAAAAACACATCTTGCAAAAAATCCACCTCTATTTAAAAAAGGATAAGCAAATTTACTTAATTTTGTTGAATCACTTGCAACAATAAATTCAATATAACTCCAATAAATTCCAATTGTTAAACCAGTATAAAATAAAGCTGATTTATTTCTTTTTTCATTAATTAATAATAAATATAAATATGGAAATAAATGAATTTTAAAATCTAATGTAAAAGTAGGTGGTAATTCTTTTGTATTTAATAAACTTGGTAATATATAATGTAAAGTCCAATAACCTAAAGTTACAATAAATTCTAAATTTATAACTATATTATATAAAATAGTTGTATTATACTGATTAATGAATTTAAAATTTATAAATAAATTGATTAATATATAAATTATTGTTAAAATTAATGAAATATTTGTTAAAAATTGTAAATGACCACCACGAATTAAATGAGGTGGTAATTGTTGTGAAAAACAATCATATAATCCACTTGAACATATTGCTAATGAAAATAAATTAAATGTTAATGATGTTGATTTCATTTAATTTTGGTAGATCTCATTTGGTTGAAAAAAAATGTAAGATCTTATTGAAACGTTTTTTTTTTTAAGAAAAACAGAATAAATTAAAAATCGTTTTTTAGATCCTGAATTACAATTTTATACGATCTGTTTAAGATCTTAAAATTATTTGAATTATATTGTATTTAAGAGTCACTTTACAAACATCGGGGGAAGGAATAGAGTACAATGAATTCTCAAAACTACTACGATTTTAACAAATATATTGTATTTTTATATTTTCTGCTAATAACTTAAAGTGTGCAGATTATCTCCATCATATTAGAATTTAAACGAGTCAAGCTTCAATTTATATCGACAAGATCCTCATTGCAACATCAGTCAATTGAATATGGAAAATTTTCCCAATTCATCCTTCAATATCACTTCTTTGGCCCCAGTTTCTTTTTACGATGATTCACATGATTGCCTTGAGGAAAACGTATTGATCTTTAACATATGATAGAGTAAACTTCATATCTCTGATAATGTATGATTCTTGATTGTCAGAATTTATTGACAGTGTAATTAAAGATGATAGTTGTATAACTTATAACTCGGAAATTTTTTTAAAAATTTGAGCTTATAGTCATTTGACTACTTTGAGGCCACTAACGTCCAAAAGAAACAAAAAGTATTATATTACTATCAGAATCCCACATATTGTTAGTATTTGCATATTACTTACCACAACTTGATGCTTTGAAGCTTTTAAAATCCATTGAACTATATGAACAACCAAAACCTGATTTTATTCCTCTATGTTTGTAAATGTGTAGGTCCAGCTAGCAGCTATTAGTATACAGTGTATCAAAGCTTTTCCATAAATAATTAACAACTATATTCAGGGACAACATAGATACAGTCACATTAAAAATTATTATAAAATAATTCAAATCGGTAATAATATGTAATGCCTCGATCATATTAAAAATTGAAATGATTTCGAATATATTTTGAATTAGTAAAATATCATTTGGCCAAATTAACATTAATATTCTAAATAATTTAATTGATCCAGATACTATTATTGTTTTTAATAAAATTGAAGTTTTTAAAATAAACCCATATTTTGTATAATTTGTACCCCAATTATATCCTAGTCGTAGTATACTTTGAAGAACAACATTAAATACAAAATTCTTTAATATAGTTTGTAATATAAAAAACCAATATTGATATAATATACTCCTTTTAAATAAGTTTGAATAATTATTTGTTATTATTGAATGTTTTTCAAATATAGCCCAATTTAAATATACTTCAAATAATAATATCAAAACAATCATTTTAATTAAATTCAATTTAAATATTTCATTTTCTTTAAAATCAATTTCAATTAAATTAAATGATAAATGTCTATATGCTTGTTTTTTTAAAAGTAAAATATCAAGAAATAATATAACTGAATCATATTCAATATATTTATCACAAATTTTATTGCATTTAGGACAAACTGTTAATTTCACATATTCACTCTTATATTTTGAATATAAATGTTTGATATTCGGTTGTCCACATTCTATACAAATCATTAATCATAATTTGTTTGAAAGAAATGATAATACATAGAGTCTATTTATAATTTTGTACAAGTTTTGTGTGTCGTAAATATTTTAGATTTCATTAAACTATATTATGCTACATTATACACATTCAAATACCAGATTTGCAATTACTTAATTAATTCAGGAGGAGGCGGTATATCCGGTACATGTCCCAACTCAAATCTAGTAGACATGAAAGCTTCAATAACGAATTTACTTAGGTCCGTAACATTTTCTTTAAGATTTGCTTGATTAGGTTGTTGAATTGATGCTTTTGACGTAGGTGTAGATCCAAATGGGGATTGTTTTTGAATAGATGCAGATGTAGTAAGTGGTGGTTGTTGTCCAAATGTAGATGCCGTATTTGAAGGTTGACCAAAACCGGAATTATTCTGTAAATTATTCGATTGACCGAATGGACTGTTCGTATTAGTTGTAGTCGTAGTTGATTGACCAAATGGGTTTGGTTTCTCCAAAGTTTGGCCAAAAGGATTTGGTTTCTCTGATGTTTGACCAAAAGGATTAGGTTTCTGTGATGATTGACCAAAAGGATTAGGTTTTTCTGGTGCTTGACCAAATGGGTTTGGCTTCTCTGGTGCTTGACCAAACGGATTAGGTTTCAGTTGCCCAAATACATTGCTTTCAGGTATGTTTGATTGACCAAAGGGACTATTATTATTGATAGATTGTGCAAATACATTTCCATTAGTTTTTTGACCAAATGGATTTGACGTAGAACTTTGAGAAGCAAATGCACCAAATGCTGAAGGTTTTGAAGTAGTAGATTGTGCACCAAACACAGATGTTGTTTGAGGTTGTGTTGTAGTTGATCCAAATGCTGATGGTTGGGATACTGACAGTGTGCCAAACGGTTGAGCAGGTTTACTAAATGCTGATGAAGCTCCTGATGGATTACCAAACCCAGAAGAAGAAGAAAAATTACCAAATCCTGAATTTCCAAACCCTGAATTCCCAAAACCTGAATTTCCAAACCCTGATTGATTACTACTTTGTGAGCCAAAAGCTGATGCTGTTTGTGATTGACCAAAAGCTGATGGCTTAGAAGTCAGGCTATTCCCAAAACCAGAGCTTCCAAACCCTGTACTTCCAAAGCCAGAGGTATTTTGAGGTTGTGATTGTTTGTTTCCAAAACCGGATGATCCAAATCCTGCATTTCCAAAACCTGAACTTCCAAATCCTGATGATTGAGATTGAGTATTTGATGATCCAAATCCACTTGACCCAAAACCAGATCCGCTTTTTGCTCCGGTTGCAAACGGATTTGAGTTACCAAAGCCCAGTGAGCCGAACATTTTGTTGATTATTGGATTGTAGTGAAGAATGTTGATGTTTCGAATAAATTTGATTTTTTTGAACTTATACTATAAGAGGCTTTAAGCGGTTGAAGAATACAAACATTATGATTCCACCTCTTTAAAATAATCCATAATACGAGAAACAGTCTAAGCTCTAATTTTATATTAATTAACCGTATTAGCTATTCTACACAGATTAGTCAAAATGCTTTCTTTCCTTTTACAAACATCATAAGCGTCATTATAAATTTTATTCATCTCTTCAACAACTTCCTCTTTTCGTTTAACACCATCACATATTTCTTGTAAAGCATTTTCTAAAGCTTTTCTTAAAAATGGTTTAGATAGTGATATACCTTCGAATTCCATCTTATCGAATCCTTCAATTAATCCCAATCCTAGTTTCGATGGAACTATGTAATCTACCCTACCTCGCTTTTCCTTTTCAACATACTTCCGACTAATGATTTTATCAATATGTTCAGCAATTGTTGCGTCTGTTCCAATACCATTAGCATCCATCAATGCAATAAGCTCTGTTTCAGTCATTAATTGAGGTGGACTTGTTTTTCCTTCTTTCATTAATCCACTACTGATTTTCACTTTTTCGCCTTCACTAAGTTTAGGTAAAGGTTTAGAGCTGTCCCATTTTTTATAAATAAAAACATCCAAATAATTTCTTTCCGTAACCATTAATCCTTTTGCTGTGAAAAATTCATCACCCCATTTTAAGGTTGCCAGCGTTTGTAAACCCACTGCATCTTTTGAACAGCAAGCTAGGAATCGTCGAACCACATATTCATAGACTTTCTTTTCGTTTTGATTGTTTAAGGAATCAATGGAAACATAATTTACTGGATGTATTGCCGGATGCGCATGATCGTCATGGGAACCACTTCTAGGAGTTTCATGCCCCTCAGTTAATAATTTGTTACACCATAATCCCCATCTGGAATCTTGTTTCTGCTTTTCAAATATGTCTTTTAAATTCAATGATGACGGATATTTATCAGTTTCAGTTCTTGGATAAGATAGAAAACCTCTATTATACAATGCCTCAGCAGCTGCTAAAGTAGATTTTGCAGACATTTTAAAATATCTAGCACAATCTTTTTGTAATTCCACAGTTGTCAATGGTAATGGTCTATAATTACTAGTTGATTTAGTTTCAAGCTTTGTAATAGTTCCAAACTCATTTTTTAAACACTTTTCATACAATATCATCACATATAATCTGTCAAATATATTTCCTCTAACCCAATTAAAAGATGTCTTTTTACTTTCTTTCCTTATCATAGGCTCAATATACCAAAATGGTTCAGATTTAAAATTCTTCACTCTTTTGTATCTATCAACAACAAAGCCCAAAGTAGGAAATTGACAAGTTCCATATGATGCAACTTCCTTATCCTTTATAATTTTAGCATTTTTCAAGTTATCAGTTAAAAGTCTCGTAAAGCTTAAACCTACTCTTAAATCCACCTCCATACGACATTGTACAGCATTAGCTGCTTTCATGTCCAATTGTATAGGTGCATTAGCTGCACTTAGAATATGTTGTCTTCCTAAGTGTGAGAATTTACTTCTCCAAACATTGTTCAATGTTATTTGTGAATTACCTTTTCTAGCGGCGTCAAATATTTCTTTTCCGATATATTCCCCTTCTCTATCACAATCCGTCCATATCATCAACTTGCTCGAATTTCTGGCTTCACTTGAAATATTATCAAACACTTCTTTTTGAGTAATTTTAGTCAATATTTCAGCTGTAAATAAAGTTCTTGGAGAGCATTTACCCCACGAATATGAACTAGGAAAATCCAAGTTTGTGATATGACCCAAGACTGAGGTCATAGTGACATCACAGAAACCAGTAGATGGAAATGAATATCTGAAATCATAGTTTTTGATATATTTATTTTTAGAAGATCTTACTCTTACATTTCCACCACCTAAAATGTTAGCAACTTCTTTTGCAATTGACGGTTTTTCTGCCACACATAAAATTTTCATGTAATGATGAGTGGCCAAGTAGTGTTGTTTTGACTTGTTTGATTAATCAAATGATGGTTAATTTGCTAGAAGAATCACGCTTCCTCTGAATGTTTGGATTTATCAATATATTCGAGTCAGATAATGCTACCAGATAAGAAACTTTCAAATTTTACGCGTTTGACTAAATCGAAAGTGTGTAGATAAAACTAAGTATGGCAGTAGAAAGTGGAAGACATATAACCACTGATACTCGGCCAATTACTTTGGATCTCATCTATTTATTTGTCTTTTGACGTCTTTCGTATTCCACACTAAAGTTCGATTTATGTATTTCATTTTATTCTCTAATTTAAACATTTCAAATAAAGAGAGAGTAGTTACAATTTTAAATATCAAGAAGATTACATACACAAGCTCTAACACCGAGATATCATCTGATCCACCAAGCAGATCATAACTGAAGTAATAATCTGTTTAAAATCCCCATTGCATGTTGTGTCATTGACTATTTTTCCACAATTTTGATTGATGATAAAACATTTATAAATCCTTTACAGATAAGATAAGAAACCACACTAAATCAATGGAAAATGAGTATGATTCGATTAACCTTGCATCAACTGTGAGAAGTCAATTTATCAATACTGCAAGTGATGACCAACCTAAATTCAACCTTATGATGTCAGAAGAAGAAGATGAAAATGAATACGAATTGGATCCTGAAGAGTTTATATCAAGTAAAGAGGAAGATAAGAAGGAAGAACCCATGCTCATGGAGTCAATCAGTAGCATTCTTGATTCAGTAATCCAGCCACCTACCGAGAATCAAAACTTTAACGAACCCATCAAACATTTAACGACTAGAATCGAGATCTTACAGAATGAGTTACGAAAGAAAGCAAGCTTATACTCTGAGAATTTGAATTCTGGAGATAATATAAATGAATTAAGAGACGATATAGTAAGAATTTTCCATCAATTGTCCGAATGCCATTACTCCTTGAATGAATTGTATTCAAAGGACGCCACATATACCCAATCAATAGCAGAATATTTTAAGACATGGGATCTCAAGCGTGAAAAGATTTTGAAAAAAATCAAACACATCAAAAGTGGACAAAGTCAATACGGTTCAAAAGTGATCAAATTGATTAAAGAATCTCAAAGTTTAGATGATGAAATTGATACGTTGGAACAAAAACTATTAATGATGAAAAAGAAAAAGCAATTATTAAATCAAGAAATAGAAAATGCAAATAGTATAATTGAAAGTCGAATATCTACTTATATTGAGGGATACAAAAATTTGGAGAACAATGGACAAGATTTACTTCACAATTATTTGCAAAATAGTGGTATTCCTGAGACACAAATTGCTACATTAATTGACAAAACCCCAATAGATATAAGCTTTCTGATTCCTACAAAGTTGATTGGAAAAAGCAATGACACTACTGATGAACAGGTAAAAGAAACTGGAATGGGAATTCAGCCTTACGATCCAACCCTTCATACCTCTAATGAGGCCACAGACATGAACCATGATCACGGTCCCACGGCTTATGAAAAAGGTTATATGAGAGGCTCACAAAATTCAACCCAATTAAAGCATCAATTTCAAACAATAATTGGTAAACTTGTAAATAGTCCTAATGTCTCATCATCAAAAGGTTCAAACATCAAATTAAATGAGCATTCCAATAATGTTTTATCGCTGTCGAATTTGGAGAGCGTAAGAGCATATCTATTACATAGACATCAAGCATTAAATGATCAAGTAATTACAACAACTCAAAAAGCTTTCACGTTCAACGAATATGATAAATTATGGACTAAAGTACGACATATCCTTAAGTCACAAGAAGACAATTTTGAAATGGTTTTGAGTAAGTCAACCACCGATGGTGACAAGACTTCACTTTTAACCATTTTGGATAGCACAAAAAATCAATTGGAAAAACTCAATCAAGAAGCTGGTGGTGAATTGATTACGAAACTTATACATGACGAAATTGATGCAATTACAAAAGGAATACAATTGATAAAAGAAGAATCAAAACAAATACTGAAGTCTAAGAAGTACAATTGAAGTATGTAAATAGGTTTAAACTATAATATACGTAAATCATTTATCGTGAATGCAAGACTGAAATTATATTATCTATGATTATATGGTTTGCGAGGTATGAATACACTTGATTTTGGCTTCGGTGCTGGTTTCGGCTTTGGTGGTAACACCATACCAGATGATGTTGGTTTTCTTTGCTCTTTGTTTATCGCTTTATTGTTGGTGGATGATGGAGATGAATTATGAATGTAAGGTTTAGCTTTGTTGACTCTTTTACCGTTATCAACCTGATCTGATTTTTTTGAACTTGAATCTTGTTTAGGTTGCAGTGATTTGGAGCCATTATTGGAGAAATTTTGTGGATTCGATGAGTTGGATCTTCTGGGTAACGTACCAGAAGAAGTAGGTTTTATCTCATCTAGTATCACAGATGATTTTGATTCTGTAAAGCTACTGGTGGTTGTTCCACGATTAAAACCATTCTTAACAGATTCAGCAGACCCTTCCAGTGGTGATAAAGCGCCCAACGGGGTGTCGGTCGATTTTACATTTGAAGTCCTATCAAGTTTATTTGTAATATTTGTATCCTCATTATGTTTAACCTTTTTTGCTGGTTTTGGAACATCGAAGTCATTTGAACGTTTCGGAGCTGATGCATCAAACTGATTCAAAAAGCCTGATTTTGCTTGAGTTATAGCATTTCTATCTTCCGCATTTTTCAACAATCTCCTCCAAACATCATTAGTTTCTAATGATTTTTTATTTCCTAGAATCCAAAGGGTTGTACGGGCACGTGTTAAAGCAACATTCATACGTCTAACGTCACTCAAAAAGCCAATGTTTCCAGATGAACTAGCTCTTACACAAGACATTATGATGATTTCTTTCTCTTGACCTTGATATCCATCAACCGTGTTGAAATCTATTTCATTCAAAATTTGTCTCCCATATTTTTTTGTGAATACATCTTTTATCTTCTTGATTTGTTCTTTATATGGTGAGATTATACCAATTCTACCTGTAAATGTTGCTTGAGGAATCATTGTCATTAATTTTTGAACTAGCTGTAAGCATACATTAGCTTCCTCAGTATTGAATAAAGATCTAGTAAGTTCATTCTTTTCATGTTTACTACCAACAATATCAAAAAATCTGTATGGAGTTAATGGTGGTGTATAATGCCAAGGTCTGGTATTTTTTTCTTCCATACCTGGTCCATCAATTAATTTTGAATTATAAAACTCAGTGCTTGGGAATTCAGATATCATTGGATGCATTCTATATTGAGTGTTCAATAAGTAAATACTGTCAGGATAATTTTGTTGCATTCTCACAAATAAACTTTGTTCATAATTGTAAGAGGCCGCAGCTTGTGATAAGACTGTTGGGGGTAATTGATTTGGATCTCCCACCATTATACATTTTTTACATCCATATCTCAATGGTATCATTGCAGATAATTCCAAACATTGACAAGCTTCATCAATAATCACTTGATCAAATTTCACCGAAAGATTAGCAATCAAATCATGGGCTGAACCTGATAAAGTTGAACATAAAACTTGAGCATCAGCCAAAATTTTTGCTTGGATGTTTCTTTTATCAATTTCCCTTGTTCTATATGCAATTGATGATTTCTCTCTTTGGTCGTCTAACTTTTTAGCTAAATCACTTCTTTCTTTATTAATTTGTCTTAATTTAATTTCAAGTTCCTCAATTTCGTTAGCTTTTAAACTTTCAGTGTTCAATCTATTTCTAATTTGATCTCTCTCTTGTATCTTTTTAGTATGCTCTTTTCTAATATTTGGATCAATTTTGACATCAACCTGAGATGACTGTAATTCTTTATCAACTAATTCCTCCAAAGTCAAATCTCTGACAGCAGCATTTATAGCATCACTTCTACCAAGTCTTACAACTTTCAAATCCATGTGTTGACCTTTTGAATCCTTTACACCTTCACGTAGCCTAATAACTAACTCATCTACAGCAGCATTACTCGGAGCACAAATGAGAATTTTGGGCTTTTCGGCTGTTGAAATAGCTTTCTTAGAAGGAATGTCAATTAATTTTTCGTTTTTTTCATGAGATAATGAATACCCAACTATACCCAATATAGTTTTCGTTTTACCAGTTCCGGGAGGACCTTGAATCAATGAGAAACCGTCACTCTTGTATGTCCCCATTATTGCTTTTCCTTGTGATATGTTTACATCGTAGGTTTTACACATATGCTCGACCTCTTCATCTTTAATTTCAATTGGTTTATTTGGTTGGGCTTTTATTATTGATTCCGCCAAATCATAATATTCAAGACCTTTCAAAGAAGAAAATTCTCTTTCGACAGTAGTCATTTGCATTACTTTCATTCCAAGTAATGTACTTTTTGGAGTTAATGCAGCCATCATTGGTCCAGTAGGGTAAACTCTAATAGTAACATCACTATACTCAGGATTAGCCGACTTTATCAGTCTAATTTTAGCCAAACAAGTAAGTGATTCTTCAGCTTTCACGTAATGCCGCTGGTCAATTGGATCGGTGATTGATTCATTATTACATGCCAAAACTATGAGGTCCGACTCTGTCAATTTTCTATCCAGGATCATTTTTTTGTTCATGGAAGTAAACACATCAAAAAAATTATCAATACTGGTTCTAGAACCAACGAATATTTCGAATGGAATTTCATCAACTGTATTTTTAGCTGCCTGTATTGCTTGCCAACATTCCAACATTAATAAAGGCTCTGTCACTTTGACATATTCTTTTACATCTTTATAAACTGGCTTGGTGTTTTGATAAATTGAGGTATCTTTCGAAGGATAATCCAGGTTCAAATTATAATTCCATTTTAAAACTGTTTGATACAATGGGTTAAGACTAACATTTAACCTTTTTCTCATTCTTTCTCTGTCAAGTTTTTCTTGGTCCACCGGTTTCATCATTTTTTGTTTGTTGATCAGGCTAATCTTTTTACCATTAAAATCTACTTCAGTTATTTTCACTTTTCTCCTAGTACGGCCAAATAATTCTTCAACTTCAGAATCGTCTTCTTCTGATGAAGAATCTGATTCTACTTTTTTCACTTTATGAGCAGTTGCATTTAAAGACCTTCCAATCATAGGAGCGGCTCGTTTAGAATTGAATCCCGCAGGTCTAGGTGGTGCTGGAGCTTTTTCTGGTTTGATATTTTGTCTTGATTGTTGCAATTCTTGACGTAATGATGCCATTGTGTTAGTTCCTTTAGCATCTTTTTGTTGCGGTGGAGCAATTGGAGGTTCACTTGAAACACGAGTGAACTTGCTTAGTGTTTGTTGTTGTTTCTCTTGAATTCCAGATTTTATAGATTTTTTAAAAGATTTGTCACTTATTTCAGTTAGCTCAGGTGAAGCAGATTTCGTAATCAACTCAACTTTATTTCCAGACCTATAATCTCGAGCTGCATCCACAATTCGTTCAACCAAAGTCTCATTAAATTCCCGAGCTTTTTCCAATATTTGTGCTCTTTGACTTTCTGACAATTTGTTATTAAATCTTTTGGCTTTCACACCAAATTTAGCTAAAGTTTCAATAATACCATCATTAATTGGAAATTTTTGTTCAGATGCAAGATCAATAACTTTAAAGACTAAATCAACACAATAATTTAAAAGAATTGGATCACCTAGTTTCAACCAAGCAAGTATATTATTAAATAAGATCATATAGGCTCCAAATAAATTAATGGAGGAGTCTTTTTCAGCATAAGGAAAAATACCATCTGCAAACACCCGAAATGACTCTAATAACAAATGACTCAAATCTAAAGTATCTCTTGTAAACTCAACTAATTCGTGCATATGAAACTTACTAGCCCAAATCATAGCTTTTTCATAAATCATTATCAAAAATGACAAACATGAACTCCAAAATTGTTGAACCTGAGTGTATGATGTGGAAATTTCTTTTGATGACAAGATTGAGGTCAAAGGATCAGTTAAAGCTTTAACGGTATCCATCAAAATTCTTACTGCCCTTGGACTTGGTTCAAACGCTTCCAATTTAGTTAAAATAATAATACTTCTATTGATTGAATTCAACGTTTCTTTCAAATATTTATTCAAACAATCTTGAATTAATTCAAACCTACCACCAGCGTTGGAGTTCCCATCCATTATATCCAAAGCAGATTGAGCTGTTTGTGGAAAAAAAATACAAGACCAAATTGATTCTAAACATTTCAGATCTTTCATTATTTCATTAAGTGAAGACGATGATGCAAGACTTATATTTCCGTATATCAGATTAATATATTTTACAATGGAATCTATGTTTTCATTATGCTGTGATTTACCATCGGTCAAATTCTTGTCAGTATCTGAAATTTTAGTTGGATGAAATTTGATTGCAACAACAAGTTTATTAAAACATTTGATTATTTCTTTAGCTACAAAGGTATTGGCATTGAGTTTTGATTTATTGACAGCTGACCAAAGCATTGGGAATGTATCGAAAATAACTGGAACTTTAAAGTCTAGTAGCAAAACACTGTTGTGACACAATAAGGCAACGTCATATTTCAAACATTTGGTGATGACATTAAGGGCATGAGATGAAGAATCAGTTGAACCATTTATTGCCGAAAGCATCAATTTTTCACTCACATACTCGATTCTAGATCTAAGATCTCTCAAGGCCATCAATTTCACTGAATAATCCAAATCTGATACTTCACCGTCGTCAACAAAATCAAATGCAGAATCAAGGAATTCACACCCCAAATCGTGTAAATAAGTTTCTCTTTGTATCTTTGAATTCTCCCGCGACTTATCATTAATTGTATAGTTACTTAAATAGGAATATAGTTTCAAACTTAATGATTGTGATTGTGATTTCGGTATTGAATTTACAACGGAAAACATCCACTTCAAAAGATTATTAAGGTTTCGCGACTCTGTTGTATCTTCCTTCATTGGTTCTTGTTCTAGTAATTTGTGATGTGCAGGATTAGTTAATATACCATCAGTAAGCTCCAGATAATTTATCAGAACTGTCAATGACCAAAATGTAGATTGAATCTTATTCAACAACTTAGTCATGACTTCAAGTAAAGTAGGTAATGGATCATTCAATCGAGCCATTAAGCTATTCGCAAGTAATTTAGTGATTGAATATAGCCTTAAATTGTTGAGCCTACTCATGACATCAATATCAACCGGTTCATTAAATCTCATTATGAAAGCGTCAGCGTCAATAAAATCTAGGATTTTATTGAACACCTCCCAAAATTGTATTGCACTTTGATCATCATATTTTGCAGGATCTTGAATTCTGTATAGATACTTTGAAAATTCAAGAATTATAGCCTCGTTCAATTCAGATTTATCATACAAAATCCCATCTCGTCTCAAAGTATTTATCCATTGATTGGCCCATAACTTTTCATCTGATGTACCCTCAAATAATAGATATATTATGCCTGGCAAAAGCGTATTTGGTTTTAAACTGATAATTCCATGATTCACTTGACTAATAATGTAATCAAACAAATTTCTCAAATTCTTATGCTGTAGTATCTCTGTGTTATTCAACAACCAATGTATCACTATATTTGCTTGATCTTCATCCACTAAATCTCCATCCATAAATTGCTGATATGTAATCTCCAACAATGGTTCTAATTTCGTAATCTCCCAATTAGTTACTGTAGTTATGAATTGTTGAACATTTTGAATAGGTAGTTTCTTCTTTATAGCAAAACTCAATCTTAGTTCTGCTTTTCCTTTGGCAAAATTTCGTAGACAATTAACACAATGAGTTAAACTTCTTGCTATGTGTGGTTGCAAATTTAATCCATAAGTTGTGTTTGGAAATGAAAACAATATTAACGAATATGACGAAATGGGATATAGATAATCATTGCAAAACCAATGATCTTCCGATTGATGACGAAGTAAAAAATCATGACTTTTCATAATTGCTTGTTCATGAACGCGCCCGTCAGCATCGCCCGCTAGCGACTTTTTGATCAAAGCCACAAGCTTCTTATATTCTTCTTCGTCTGGTGGCGGCATTTAAAATGCTATGAAATTGCATAAGATACAATAAGTATTCGAAAGAATTCTATAAATGTTTATATAATGAGTATCGATGCAGAAAAATGTTGATCTCTATATTGAGTTAATTTTTTAATAAACACGATGTAAATTTTACTAATCGGTGTAGATATTTATGTCTTAATGGTGGTGTTATGAAAAATTAATAAAGAGGAAGTATTAAAACAGATCGTAGTTTAAATTTTGGTCTACGTGATGCAAAATATGCACATTGAACTACTATGGTGCTACCAACGTGACGTTTCAAAAATTTATATTCGTTATGATCAATCGCGTTTCTAACGTTATTAGAGTGAATGATAAAGAAAAGAAAATCAAATATTGTAACTAGAAGTCATTTTTAATAATCTTTTCGGATTTAAAATAAAGCAAAATCAAGATCCATGGTTGTAGCAGCTTCGATCCAATCAACTCCTGAATTCCAACATTCTCTCATTATTTGTAGACCTTTTCTTGCATTTATATTTCCCAATTCACCTAAACCAATAAATCTTTCTTCGAAAAATTTTTGTAAATTTTTATCTAATGTTTCACAAGCTGCTGTGAAAAAGCAAAAAATAAGACAAATTTCCGTTGGTGATTTAGGTGGGATTCTTTGTCTCGCTAATAATCCAATATTTGTAGCTGATTCCTGAACTAAATGAGATTCTCTTGGAATTAATAAGACCCTCCTATATAAATGTATGATACCTGCATCACAAAATATTTTATTTGTATATTTCAAAATCTCAATCTCTTGAATTTTAGAGCTCATACCATCAATGAATAATTTTTCTTGATTCATTTGTATAAAATCATGATCTTTTACACAAGTATCTTGTAATGCCTCTTTGATTTCTAAAGCCTGACAAATAATTTCCAGTGGAATAGTATTTCTATTAGCTCCTGGTTGACTCAAATATTCATTTGTTTTTCTAGCAACTAGGGTAATTTTTGCAAAATGAGATAAGTATTTCAAATCGAAACCCGTTAGACAATCAATTTGTTCCCCTGCATGTTCATCGTCAACTTTGTATATAGTATTGAATGAATTTATAGGTTCATACTTATCGATATCTGAGATTAATAGATACTCGTCTGAGTTTTTAGTGGATGATAAAGCTCCAATGACATCCGTATAAACAAACCATCTTAATAAAAAGAACTTTATATCTTTCTCACTATTTGATAACCTGTTCTTTGCAAGTGGATCAAAAGATCTTGCTTTTATAATTTGCCTTGCACCAATAGTATGAGCTCTATGTCTACTAAAATCCTTTGAGTTAAATATTTCAAAACAAGATAGTAGTAATGCTGTTGCTAGAGCTTCATCAGAAGTAGCTGTTTTCTTGTCTTGTAGTAATTTTACAAGCTCACTGCATGATCTTGATAATAACACATCTATAACAGATTCGGGTATCCCACTATCACCGATAAGTTGTGATCTGATTTTTGCTGAAAATGCCAATAAAACAGTAAGAATAGATGGAACTTGCATAGCCATTTGTGGGAGTATTGTTTTGAAAGGATTATCAATATAAATATCTGATGGGACTGGAACAAAGTGAGCTGATGCGATATTGATCCAAAAATGTAGTAAGTTTCTGTAAAAGGGGACATCCAATAGTAGTGAAGGCATGGGTAATAGTTGGGAAGGAATGCTGTTTAGAAGTTTTTCAACTTTTTGCTCCTCATTTAATTCAAAATCCAAATCGGGTTCCAACTGCTTGTTAAATGCAGGGCGATAGATAAACGGCATGACGTCCATGAGATTTGTAGGAGTAGGCATATATTCTTCTATCTTCGCAAGGTCTTGGGAATAATTTTCAACTGATGAACTATCGGAAGATGTTTTAGTAATGTTAGGTTCATGTAAGAAATCTTGAAAAATGTCCAGATTTTGAAGTTGGAACTGTACCTCGCCATCTGTTATTCGACCGATTTCATTTTCAAGTTGGTTGAAACTTGGTGGGTAGTCTATCACTTCTTGAGATTGATAAACAAAAGAAGGATTAGTTTTCGTCCTTTGGGATTGATTGACTATTAAAGGATCAATTTGCTCGTTATAAATACTCTGAGGACTTTCAATCTGGTTTTCTTGTAATATGGAATACCCATGAGGCGTGAGGAAGGATTGAGGCGAGGTGGCTGCCATTTGTGAATCATTAATATGCTGCTTTTTTTGTTGTTGATCATCTTCAAAATCTTCATCTCGTCGCTTTTTGTTACTAGTACTGCCAGTTGATAAAGGTGTTGCATAAGACTCAATATAGCTCTTATTATCTGTTGTAAAGTTTTGATGAACAAATTTAATACCTTGATTGGGTTTGTTTTTCAGATCATTCTTATACTCTTTAAATTCATTGCCTGGTGTTTCAAATTCTGAGTTTGATTTTTTTGACTTAAAAGGTCGACCACCCCATATTAATGTTTTTGTATAATCACATGGACAGCCCCTTTTTAAACAATAAGCACAAGACGGTTTCCCTTCGTCACATTTCTTCTTGAGTTTTTTGCATACATTACAACCAAACCTACTTCTAGTAATTTTAGTTTTTGTTTCCATCATTATACTTGACAATAATATTGCCAATAGTTTAAAAATATCCTAAAGCTCCTAATTGATCAATTGTATCTATATGTGTATGAGCTATTGACTTAGTAGTATGGTTTCAAAATGTATGCCTTATTTTTACATGATTATATATAAAATACGCCGCTGACACAAAATTAAATTAGTGAGACAATTTAAATTTGGTTAAATGCAGAACTTTAATTGCATAGGCTATAACGTTTTCTTTTTCCTTTAATTCTACCACTGTTGGCTCCAAATCTTGCAGATGTCATATTAAGTAAACTTTAGTGAAAGATATGAGATGTGATTTGATTTTAGGTAGCCCGAGAAATCAATAACAAGTGGTTTATAATTCCAATAGACTTATAATTACTAATACTTATCTACAAAACTACAAAACTCTAGACCGCATGTTTATCATCAAAACTGAGGTATTCATTGCTCATGACATCAATTTATTAAACCCGCTTCCTTCTTCTCTTTACCTTTATCAACATACTTCTTTCCAAATAGTATTAGTAATAATTTTTCATACAATTTGAAAAGATAACCAGCAGCTACTAACAATCCGCCACCAATAACACCTAATTTTGCAACAAATTGTAGAAACGGTATACGTTTCTCTCTAATCATTAATTTAATTGGCTCAAAATTATATCTGAAATAAATTCCTGGAACGCCTTGAGCTCTTTTAGTTATTTGATCAAATTGAACAACTAAATGATTTTCAGTTAATGAATATTGATTTGTGTCAACCTCAAGACCCAATTTTTCATAAATTGTTGGAACAACCTTTGCATAATATCCATATACTTGTAAATGTTCCTCAGTAATTTTTCCAGTAGCATCTAAAGGATTGTTTAAAAATGGGAAAAATTCTCCAAATGAAAACTCTTGTATCACATGACTAAAATTAAATGCTTCTATTGGAACTTGCAGTCTATCCATATAACCAAAACCTTTAGCTGTTATTCTAAAATCTCCTTTAACTTGATTTACTGGAATTTGTCCAAAAATATGACATGCTGGAGCACCTTGATTAACTCTCTGACCACTTGACCTAAATTCAGCTCTTAAACTTTCCTGCATTACTTGGTCCAAATCAGGTGATTCATGAAAATCATTAGGATTATTTATTTTAAATCCTTGAGGAATGAAGAAATTTACTCCTTCAAAATTTAAAGTTTCACCTGCTAAAAATCGATCTCTTGTTATGTCTTCAACGTTTGTATGTAAATACTCACATGGCATTGCAACCATCATATCCAAGTTAATTGTCAAATCAGATCTAATCACATCATCCACTATGAATTGTCTATCTATATAACCTCCTATAAAACCACCAACTTCAATCCATAGTATTAAAAGTCCAAAAAAATAAGTTAATATTGTTGAAAATCCACCTCTTTGAGATCGTACTTGATGTTGTGGATCTACTTTTGGGAATGCATCAAATGTCTTGACTCGATTGGAGAATGAATCCATATAAGTTAAACTGGTGGAATTGATATCCTTTAATTGTTCGATTCTTGAGTTTGTAGAGACAAATAATAATTAATTGTTATTTGATATTTTGGTGTACAAAAATATTAATTCTCGTAAATTGAAAAAGTATTTACCACTTTGTAAATGAATAATATTCAATGTAGATATTGTAAGGATATTCAAATTCAAAGTTTGATGATTTATGTTTAGCATTCTGGAAAAGTAGGTTTGAATTAAACTTCAGAAAGAAGAATTAAATCATTAAGCTTGTTTCAATAGACAATATATTGAATTGTAAGTTCAAACCCTGCATAAAAACTGGATTGAACTTAATACTATAAGAATATTACAGTTTGAATCATTAAATTTATAGCTAAAAATTGTTCAAAAGGCAAAAACCTTTAACTCAATTGAACGAATCTAGTCTTAGATTTTATGATTATTACATTATGATATATGATGAGCTGGTGGAATATGACACACCATGTTATTATTATTATTATTACACTAAATTAATCATTTATCTAACTTTAATTTCTTTTGTTTCATTTCAATATTATTATTTATATCATTTGATGACTCCGAGAACACTTTTATACAATCCTCTAGTGTTAGAAAGACATAGATGTTTGAACAGATGATATGACAGATGAGATACCGTTTTCAAATGACCCAACGATAGAAGAATTACAAACATTAGGTTGTATTTATGATGACTTACTAATTGATTTCAATCTTTTATGTGGATCAATAAATATACCAATTAAAATAGATCAAGGTATTGTGATAAACTTAACTCAAAGAAATACAATTCTATCAACTCAAAATATTAATCATTTACCTCCAATTACTTTTAATTTCAGTATTTCTGATGGTTATCCTTTTCATTCTCCACCAAGTTTTGATATTAAAAGCAAGAGTTTATCTGACGGCAAAATCAATAAATTGAAAAATCAATTATTTCAAATATGGGATGAAAATAAAGATAGAGTATTATATGAATCAATAATGTACATCCAGGAACAAGTTCAAGATTCATTGAATGAAATTTTACCACAAGAGTTTAATTTTGAAGATTTTGAGAAATTTAATGAATTTTTAGTATTTGATAAGAAAGAAAAACAGAAAGAATTTGAAGCAAGGACGTTTACTTGTGAAATTTGTCAAATCGAAAATAAAGGTTTAACTTGTACAATATTTGAAGAATGTAAACATGTCTTTTGTAATGAATGTTTAACTGGATTTTTTACCTCAATCATTAATGAAGGTGATATAAACAATATACATTGTCCTGAATATAATTGTATGAAAAATTACAAATCGAAAAGAGATGAAATGATAAAAATAGAATCATGGACGTTAGCTGATAAAAATATTAAAGAAGTTGTTGATAGTCTTTTTACTCCCAATGTGCCATTATACAAATTGAAATCTTTACTTCCTCCACCATTAGTTGAGAAATATTTATTACTATTCAAAAAGTCTCAATTCGAATTAATCAAAAAGTTACTACCTAAAAGGGTTGTAGAATGTCCAAGATTTGGATGTGAAGAATTAATATTTAGAGAAGATTTGAATGACAAATTAGTTGTTTGTAAAAAATGTAAATATGCATTTTGTATTGATTGTAGAAATTCATATCATGCAAGATTCAAAAAATGTGTTAAGATACATGAAAAATATGAAGGTATACCAGTTGAAGATTTGATGAATTATCAATATATGCCACAGGGATCCCATGAAAAAAAGATTTTGCATGCAAAATATGGTAGAAGTAAAGTATTAAAAGCGATTGATGAATATCAAATGGATAAATTATTTGAAGAAATGATTAAACAAGGTACGGAATTGAAAGAATGTCCCGGGTGTGGAGCAATCATTGAAAAAAGTGATGGATGTAATAGAATGAAATGTTGTGAGTGTCGAACATGTTTTTGTTTTAATTGTGGTGTTCAAATGGATAACACATATGATCATTTTTCTGATCCTACTTCACCTTGCTATAAATTATTATTTTTTGGAATGGTTGGAGCTGAAGACGAAAATCAAACATAAAGTAAATGCAATGTATCGTATATATTATTAAAAACTTTTTGGTTTTTTATGAGGTCTTCCATATCTATAACACTCTCTATATAATCTTCTTCTTCTAAACTCATAAATAATTTCCAGATGTACAACATCTTTCATATTATCATAAATCCACCCATTATCTTCTTGACTTTTTATTATGAATAAATCGGGGTCTAATGATCTTTCTTTTATATACTCTTTTGGTTTTGTATCTAAAACCCATTTATTGACAAAACCCATATCAAATTTCCAATCTTTAGGTGGTAGTACTTTATTCAAATGATCTACTCCTACCGGTCTTTTTCCTGCAATTCTATTTTTATTATCTTTATCATACATCGTGGTTGAGTATCTATAAAATGACCAATTACTTTTTAAGATGCTTTTGATTTGAAGCTCATAAACTTCGACTATTCTAACTTCGGGTTTGTCATCAACAATGATATCATTACGATCGAATTGCTTAATATCATTCTTGACGGTAGTTGCCATTGATACTTGTTCTTCAGGTTTACCATTTTTCTCAATTTGAGCTTCTTGTTCAATTTCCTTTTTAATCTTAGCATATTTGGCATTTTCTTTTCTAGACTTACTCATATCTATCAAATACTTCTTAGCTTTCGGATGACATAAAATTAATCCTATCCATCCAGCATTTATGAAAATTAATCTCCACGGTATAAACTGTCCTAAAAACAATGTAGCAAATGTTGCAACTAAAATGCCATAAAAAATGAATGTTGACAATCTTTCGTCTTTAAATCCAGCGGTTTCGTAATAAAACTTCTCTCCATTATCTAATGCTTGCAATACGTCAGTTGTTAAATTTTGAAAATCTCTTAAATTAATTAATAATGCCACGTTTGATTTTCGTCTTTCGGATGATTCTTTCTTATCCTCAACTTTATTACTAGTTTTACTTGATTGTGGTTGAGATGATGAAATCGTTATATCTGAAGCTTCTTCGGATATTGAATAAGTCGAAGATGCGATTTCTGCATCTTCTCTAAGATAATTTTCATCTACCATGTCTTCAACGATACTGGTTTCTGGAGTAGCATTTAAAAATTTCAATAAAGATTGACCTCTTTTTTTGACTTTGATCAAATCTGATCTCATAGGTGGATGTCTATGAACATATCCTGGAATCATAATTCCAAATAAAATAAAAATTAATGGATATGCCAAAATCAAATGTGGCCAAAGGCATGCAGCAGTATATAAAACCAAAACACTCAAAGTTTTATTTGGTTGTTTCCAAGTTATTATATGAATGATTTCATATTGTATAGCAAAAAAGTTTGTCATTTTACTAGCCAATTGTTTAACATTTGAAGTCAAAGTTCCAATTGACAACCCAGGTCTCTTATTTCTTTCAGGATCATTTAACCTTTTTTCAAATATTTCTCTTTCGGGAATATCTTGCGGTATTGATGATTTCATAATCTTCTCTATCATTCGATCTGCAAAATGATTTGTGGTTGAGGACAGTGACTTCTTTATTTCATTCTCACCTGCTGACTCAGCCATTGCTGCTATATGATTAATTTGTTCGTCAGTCAAATCTATTGATCCAGATCTTGAAGATCTATTATTGTATCGATCTAATCCCATCTCTAAAATTGTTGATGCTGTTGTTGCTGCTATTGCTCTTTTGCTACCCGGATTTTGCTGTGCTAAAGTATTTCCTTTATGAACAGCGTTATTCACTAGATTAACAGCTAATTCTTTATAGTACGCTCTAGAAGAATTTTGAGCTTTAGGTGACTGATTATTTTCAAAATGATCCAGATCATTTATACTCATAATTTATAAATATTCTTTTATTCCTTTAATTTTATTGTAGGATTATATCTTACTTCAAATCGAAATGTGGGGAGAAGTTAAAATATGCGAGTTTTGAGTGTGATCATTTTTGAAGTATTATTATCACAGTTCAAGTCGTAAATTTATCATTAACAGAAAATGACTTATGCGACATTGAAGAAAATATGAATAAATCAAACCATTTAAAATTAGATCTCACTTTAGATTAAATTGATTAGAAATGTCAAAATTAAAACATGGTAAGTAGAGGCATTTTGTTTGAATGGTTTCGAACCCTGAGATATAGTCATTATAGTTGATACAACTAAAAATAATACCATAACTGTGAAGAAGAGGCAATATTTTGAATTTTTGGGGCCGTTCTAACTATCTTTTCATTTATAGACTAGACTAAATTTTAAACTAAAACTACTACAACTTTTTAGGGGAAAGCTCAAAAACTTATTTTGAATGGATTGTGAAAATGATTTGACGTATAAATAGAAAACATGTAGTTTTCCTCTAATTTTATAACATGTAATCTATTCCACAGTATACAACCCCAAAAGAAAATTAATGGCTGTTTCAAAAAATGTCTACTTCAACAACTATGTCATCTTCATCTTCAAATTATGATTCTTCCTCACCGAATACTATAACTTCGGCACCTAGCATATTATACCAGACTCAATTAGTTGAATGGGTGCCATTACAAACTAACAATACAATTCAAATGATATTAGGACCAACAATTTGGGACATAAATGATTTTCCTCCTGGCTCTTCACATTACTCAGTTGATTTTAGTATATCTAGAAATCCATATAATTTTTATCAAACTCAAGTTGTACCTATTTATTTTTTTCCAAATAATGGTACTTCGAGTTTATCACTTGGCCAAATTGATATTTATGTTGATGATAACGAAAGTTTATCAAGAAAAAATGGTGGTGATGAATCTATTAAAGTTTCTTCATTCTTAATATGTTTGTTTGTACTTATAAACACATTATTAAGTTGATTAGTGAATTAATAATTGAGAAGTATAGAATGTCAGGAATTTCTAGCTTTATTGATGTTTTTATTTTCTTCTCTATCATTCGATCTGCATTTAAGATCTCTGTCATTCGATCTGCGAAAGGATTCGTGGTTGATGACAGTGAGTTTCTTATTTCACTCTCACCTGCTGACTCAGCCAATGCCGCTATATGGTCAATTTGTTTGTCTGTGATCCAGTCCTTGAAGATCATTATTGTATCATAAATTTATCATTTGTGCGAACCATATTGAATAACTATCTGATTTTAGATTCAAATGTTGGAAATGTTAAACTCTAAATCACGGTAAAAGTATTCAACTAAAATGGTTTTGAACCCTGAAATTTTAGTAGTCATTATAGTGGATAAAACTAAAACTACTACCATAACCAGTGATGAAGAAGCAGTATTCCAAATTTTTGGGGCCGTTCAAATTATCTTATTCATTTATAGACTAGACTAACTTTTTGATTAAAACCACTATAATCTTTTAGGAGAAAGCTCAAAAACTCCTTTTAAAAAAATTGATTGGATTGTGAAAATGATTTGACATATAAATAGAAAACATGTAGTTTTCCTTGAATTTTATACCAAGTATTTCTATTTCACAACTTAGAACCCCAAAGTACAAATTAATGGCAGTTTCAAAAAATGTCTACTTCAACAACCATATTATCATCTTCTTCAAATTATGATTCTTCATTACCGAATACTATAACCTCGCCACCTAGCGTATCAAGTCATACCCAATTAGTTGAATGGGTGCCATTACAAACAAATAATACAATTATAATGGTACCAGGAACATCAGTTTGGAATATGAATGATTTTCCTCCTGGCTCTTCACATTATTCAATTGATTTTAGTATATCTAAGAATCCTTATTATTTCTATCAAACTCAAGTTTTACCTATTTATAATTTCACAAATAATGGAACTTCAAGTATATCATTTGGTCAAATTCAAATTTATGTTAATGATATTGAAAGTTCATCAAAAAAAAATGGTGGTGATGAATCTTTTAAAGTTTCTTCATTTTTAATATGTTTGTTTCTATTTATAAACACATTTTTAGGTTAATTAGTGGTTAACAATTAATTAGTGAATTGATAATTGAAAAGCATGGAATTTTTGTAGTTTTATGTATAATTTTGACATCTGACTAGTAGATAGACTATTGCACAATTGCAACTAATAATACTTTTTTCTCCGGTAGTTTGACATCGACAGATTTGGTTGAAAATTAAATTTAAGTCTTTCAGGAGTAAAATAAATTACATAAGGTTAACTTACAATGTCTGAATTCTTTTAGTTGATTTAGTCACGATCTGAGTATAATAAGTATGTTTTTTAAACCTTAAGAGTTAAGTTTGATGATAATGTCCATGACGATTCAGTCATTTAACGAATATAGTTATTTACTAAGTTATTTACTATAGAAGTGTCAAGTTACATCATTATTTCGAGAAAATTATTGTTTTAAGTAAAATTCTTCTTTTACAAAGATGGGAAATCTCTTTCATTAAAAGATTTACCTCCTCTGGAATTGCCTCTTTTGTTACCATTGCCTCTGAATCCTCCTCTTTTACCACCTCTAAATCCACCTCTCGATGATTGTTGTGGTTGTTCATCATAAAAAGTAGCTTCAATTTCTAAAAATACTTTTTCTTTTGGAGCTTTTGATTTACTTTTCTTTTGATGAGTAGAAGCGAAGAAATCCTCTTGATGTCTTTCAATTCTTTCTTCTGAATTCCATTTTTGTTCAGCACCTTCATTAGCTTGTCTTAACTTTTTAGCACCAGCTAAATCTTGTTGCTTTTGTTGTTGTTCAGCAAGATACTCCTGTAATGATTTTTTTGGAGTGTTATCAACAGATTCCGAATCACCTTCAGCTTCTTCGTCTAATTCAGCGATGGCATCTTGAGTTCCTTCGACTTCACCTTCTAATTCTCTGTTATCACTTTCTCCCCAACCTTGTTTAAATTTCTTTTGAGAATCAGTTTTACCAGATCTTGAATGACGATCAAATGGTTTCTTTTGATGTTTACTTGCAGTTGATTGTGGTGGTTGAGCTTCTTTGTTATTGATTTGAGTTTTTAAAGCACCTTCGTTACCAGTTGGCTTTGATTTCTTTTTAGCTTTAGCTGGATCAGCGGATGGTGGAGCAACATCGGCCTTTTTAGAGGAAGTGTTCTTCTTGACAACCTCTTTGACTGGTAATTGAGCACCAGAATCCTCTTCAATGTCGTTACCTAACAAATCATATAAATTCTAAAGGGTCTAGTTAGTATTCACGTCACAATTAATGTCACACGAGTAAAGTAGCAAACAAGTTGCAAATCCATGATGATAAATGTAAGATCATTCATTGGGCATGAAAGTATTGGACAATTGTTGAAAATGAGTTTGTTGAATATCCCTGGAATTTTGATCGAGAAGTGTTATAATTAACTTGTCTCCACAATTATGTATTTGGCAACCCCATTCTTGTCAATTTCAGTAATTTTAAAAACTCCGGATCAAATACCACTTTTCTCTTTGCAACAAGCAATTTAAACCAATAAAACATACTTTGTTTTGGAATGACATTTTCAAATGATATTCTTCAGGATTTTAATGTATCAACTAAATTTATGTAAAATTGAAATTCCATATAATAAAGTCAATTCTTTGAAAAAAAAAAAATTAGCAAGAAGGTTTCGTTGAATAATTTTGCAAAAAAAAATTTTCTATGACACAGGTTCTATGCAGGAGGGTACATAAAGAACAAAAATAAACAATCAATTGACTAATACAATATAATAAGTGTAAAAGATATCCTGTTGTATAAAAATCAGAGATGAATAATAAATAAAAATAATTTTAAAGAATTAACTTATGCTTTTAATTGCTCTATATATACTCTTTATCTTTGAATGAATAACTCCCCTACTTTTGTCAAGAATTTCTTCAAGGCACCTTTTAAATCATTTGTTATATTCTTATTTAGTACCTCAAGTACTAATTCATACATCAGTGGGGCATAATTAATAAAATCCTCATCATCTAATTCAAAATATCCTTCATAAATTTCTATCACTACTGGTTTCCAAGAAGTAATATTTCTCTTTTGATTTGTTTCATCAAATTTCAAATAATTGTCGATAATTGATAAACATAAAGGATGTAATTTACTTAAAATGTTTCGTTTGTCTTCTGGTTTTGATTTATTATCATCACAATAAACTCTGAACATTATATTTATAAATACAGCTGATGATGTAGACTCTTGTTTTAATAAATTTGGTAATCTTTCTATAACCCCTGCATTCCATAAACGAACTCTTAAGTCATAGTCATCATTAAATGTCTTTGCAAATTCGTATGAATTGTATAAAAGATCAGCTGTATCCATTAAAAATTGGTAAGGGATTGTTTCATAAAATGTATCATTCTCAAATAAATCAGATAATGTTTGAATGAGTAGTAATTGCAAAACACTTTTAACTACTATTGAGGATTTATCTTTTGATTTTTTCAATCTCATTTCATTGTCATCAAGTATATGATTTTTAAGCTCTGAATTTTCTGATCCATCTTTATTAAAAGGCTCTATATCACTATTATCTTCTTCTACTTCATCTCTTAATGGGTCTAATAAAAATAATTCTTTTGCAGTAGTGAGTTCAAATAAACTTTCGAAAGTTTCTAAAATTTGTTCCCAATGCCCTCGATCTAGTTTCTTTGCATTATCTGTTAATAAATTAGTTAAACATTCCCGTCCAATTCTTGCAATAGTATCATTTTCTTGACATATACAGGATGTAATCAATTTCAAGTATTCATTCAATAAATGGTTTAATTCATCAAAATAATGGGTGAATAGATTTATCATGCTCTTTAATGCTTGGATCAATGTGGTTGATAACCAAACTGACAAATTATCATTCATTTCATCTAAACCTAACTCCCAATGATTACTTAAAACATTAAATATTGGAAATAATATATCTTTACTGATCAAATTCCAAAATTTTTGATCAAAATGCTTTCCATATTTCATAAGTAAATCGAATAAAGAATTCAATGCTCTAGATCTTACTTCTAACTCTTCGCCTGTCATAATTATGTCAAAAAATCCTAATAATACAGGGAACCAAAGCTTTGTGAAATGTTCATCTTTTTCAATCGATTCTAAATTTCCATTGTTTTCGTCAAAAAAACTATACTGAGCAATTTCATATATTAATTTTGATAACACATCCAATGATAATAAACTAATTTTTTGAAATCTCTCATTTTTAGCAAGGGTCGTAAAGCAAACAACCAAATCTCCAAATGAATCTTGTCGTCTGACTTCTTCAATATACTCTTTGTTTATCCAAATTGCCATTTTATAAGACTTCATTACTAACGATTCTTTATTTTCTTTCGCACCAGCTGTACATACATTAAATATTGTCTTCCAACCTGACTTTATTTGACTTGCTCTTGCTAAGATCATATTATTCATGCATTCAAGTACCATGTCTTTTACCTCTAACGATCTATTGTGTATAATGACATATTCAAAAGGTTTCAAAAATTCTTTTTGAAATTTGAAATTTGCTAATTCCTCAATTTCAAGAAATCTCATTGATAATTGTCTTAATGAATCCAAAGCAAAAAATGAAATTGACGGATTAGAGTGACAGCCCAAAGCATTAAAAGTTTCACCCATGGTTGCCCAAAGATGTGTCCATTCTAGACGAATTCTATTCATGTTATAGTAACATATATCAACAAATTTCTGTAACGAAAAAGTTCTAGGATGACTACTTTGACCTGATGAATTTATTTCTTCTTTTGAAACTTCAGATAATGCTTTAACAAATTCAACTATACTATTTCCTGTCAAATTCGCACTATTTGTAAATACTTTGTCAATGGCAACTTCCAAGTCAGTTTTGAGTAGCAATCTAGCAACTTCAGGTGAAAGATGTTGATTATGAAATTTGTTTGCTGCTGATTGTGCTGGTGTTTGAGATGCAAATGAACTAAAAAAGCTTGAACTTGTACTTGAACTATCAGAAGAAACTCTGGTTATTAGTTTTGCCGTCGTAACATCGGGTATAGAATCTTGATCAACACCTTGTGCAATAAGTTGAAGACGTTCAATTTGTGATATTGATCGTAATATTTGAATCCATGCTCCACCTAATTTATCACCTTCTGCTACAGCCAAATCTAACATAATATAAATTGCATCAACATTTTTTTGTTTCATTTCCTCGTAATTATTCAAATTTTGAAATTGTACCAAAGCTCCAATAAAAGATGCTCGAGCATAATCTAGATTAAACATACAAGCAATTCTTAAAGATAATTTTATACCTTCCAAACATGCCTTAGTTACATAATGTTCATCATATTCCTTAAAAGGTGGAGTCAAACCAGCTAAAATTGACATCCATAAAGTATCAAATATTGATTTCACATGTAAAATACTTGTTGCTGCATAGAACATATTATCATCATCCGTAGATGTTTTCTTGCCTAAATTCTTCATCAATTTCTCAGTCTTTTGAGACATTTCCTTTGATGCAAATATATATGCTTCACGGTTTAAATCTCTACTACTAAAAAAACCAGATGATGCACTTGTTGGTGTTACTGTTAAGTCCCCTGCTAATAACGCGGCATGTTGCTCTGATTTAAGCTTTATTTCATTGTTCAAAATCTCATCGTAAATCTTTTGTAATAATTCTCGAGGTATATCCTTACCATCATCGATTCCAGAATTATTCATAACAAAGCTGTCAAATGTCATTCTATTTTTAACTTGTGGTGAATGTAAATCTGTATTAAGCATTATGACCGAATATCCTAGTATGTAAGCTGTATCTGCATTCGCGAATAATTCAGGATTACCCATAGTATACCTTTCAGCAAATTTCAACAAAAATCTATCAATTTTTTGAGCTTCCCCAGGTAATCTGAATGATTGTAAAAATCTTCTCATGGCATCCACAAATTCTGTCTGATTAAATTCCATTAAATCAACAAATGCATGCATTATAGCAACATTCTTCTCATCACCTTCACCAAGATACTCACCTATAGAAGCTTTATCAAGTCCATCAACTTCTAGAAGAAATTTTGCAATGTCAGTTGGAGAATCTGAAGGAATAAAGCCATGATTTACAAAATAAGCTATACCTTTTTTAGCTTTTTGATTAAATTGTTTGATGCCTTCTAATAATGCTTTTTTTCTTTGTTTCTGATTTTCAAATTGCTCGATCTTATCAGTCTCTTTTGAAGAATCATCACCGTTTATGAATGATGGGTTTCTACTCACATTTGCAGATGTATTGTTGGAGTCGGATCTGTTTCTTGATAATGAAAGTGATGAACCATTTGTTGGCAGCTGTTGTGGTTTAACACTCAAACCTTTTTGAGCCCAGGAATACAAAGAACGAAGGAAAGCGACTGAACAACTAATGGATGTCATTTTCAAAGCATATTCAACAGGAAACAAGTAGTAAATTTCTGGGTCGGGTGGTTTTGAAGACATTGTACTTGACGTTAAATTTGCTATTTTACCAACGTCATATACAGAAATTCCTTTTCTTCTGTTTTCTATAAATGCCTGTTTCTGTTGAGCTGTAACCTCAACTCTTTGTAAAGACAATTTTGTTAAATGATCAATTAATTTTTCACATATATTTGGCATATTTCTATCACAATCATAATTGAGGTAAAATTCTATGATACATCTTGAGTCATTACACAACCTTTCTATTATGGACAAAAGATATCTTTTTTGATGAGCACTTGAAGATTTCATTTCACCCACTGGGAAATATATTTCATCCCAAAATACAGGAATCTCTCTTTTAAATTCGGATCTTAAATTCGATATTATTATCCAGAAAATTTCTAATGATAATTCAAATACTGGTGCTAATGCAGATGCGGCATTTTTTGATAATGCTTGATTAATGTAAGGTCTTACGGAATTTATCAATCTTTCATTTGAATTTGATGACACTAATAAAACGTCATGACTTAAAAATATTTCAATATGTTCCCTTAATATTGTATGAATTATATGAAGAGATAATAACTTTGACCTCACAGAGTGGGATTTCATATCAATTGTTGTTGCATCTAATGATTTAATTGATAATTTGCACATAGCTCGAAAGACTAAGAATGCATCCTTGACAGCCAAATCCTCTTCAGTATCACTTGCTGAGCTTGCTTCATTTACTTTGTCACTGTCATTAATAGAAGTGTTGATTGTTTCCAATTCTGTTAAAGTTAATTTTGTTTCTGGAAGGTTTTCGGTTGATGCTAAAGTCAATCTTGTGGAACTATTAGTTTTACTTCTTGAATTCATTGAATCACGAACTCTTTGAAAAATTGCGCCAATAACTTGTGTTAAAATACCTTGAGCAATAGCTTGATTTCTAGCAGTTAGTGAAAATATGAATACATTATAAATTTGTCTCACAGCTTGTAACAAAGATGCACCATGACAAGGCATTAATAAAATAGAATGCATTAAGGCACGAACTACTTGTAATTCTAGTTCAGGATCCGTACCTTCTCCATCAAAACATGTAGATATAACATTAACTGATTCATCTGTTAGTTTAACTTTGTCAAAATTATCATCAAATTTGGCATAGTCAAATAATTTTGCAAACAAATCAACTGCTTTGGATTTTAAGTCAACGCTACTCGATTCGCAACATGCCTTTAAAGAATCAAATATTATATGAGGATCTCTATCATCATAATTGTTGATTGAATCAAGGGATTTTTGGATTTTATTTTTGAAAGATTCATTTTTCTTGGCCTCTTTGGAGTTTAGTATTAGTTCAAATGTTTTTTTGAAAATTTGTGTATTATCAACGGTAGCTGTAGATGTTGAAGTTGATGATAAGGTTGATGATCTAAGACGTGACTGTCCATTTGTGGGAGCTGTATTTAAAGTTAAACTTGATTCAGTGGCTTCAGTTATTTCAACTACTGGTGAAGATTCTTGTAATGTTTCCAGATTTGAGTCATTTTGGGAACTCTTTGCATGAATACTCGATTCACCATTTTCGGGTGTATCCTTAGCCTCTAGCGTGTCTTCAGTTTCCTTCGTTGTTGTATCCTCGACAGTTGGTTCATCGATTGGTGTTGATTCCTTGAGTACTTGATCTTTATCAATTCCATTCAAATTTGTAGAATCCTCTTGTTCCAATTTCTTAGACAATTGATCATTCTCGTTATCTTCCTCACTCATTAATATACGACTTGAAACGTAATTGGTAATGTGCCTTGTGTAGGATTTATGGCTTTATTGATTTGATTTGAAATTAATATTTGTTTGTTGTTTAGATTGATTTTTCTGTTGAACTTCAAAAGTAATTTTGTGTCCGCAAAGAGATTTAAGATAAAGGGCTCGATAAAAATATATACTTATTAATTAGAATCTAAATATACATTCTAAAACTCACTTAAAGCAACAGCAGTAGCTTGAAAATCATCATGAGATATTGAAACATTGACACATTTAACACCAGCTTCCTTAGCGGCTATAGCAGCTGCTCCTGTAAGTCTCACTTTTGGAGCATTATTATCATCTCTAACAATTTCAATATCAATTAAACTAGCACCACCACCTTGAGATTTGACTCCTAAAGCTTTAAATGTAGCTTCTTTAGCAGACCATGTTCCAGTAAATGAAGCTTGAGGATTTGATGATTTATTGCAATATTCAATTTCCCCTGAAGTGAAATTTCTTGATACAAATGTTTCATTATTTAAATTTAATTCGGATAATAATTCAACATCAACACCAACTCCTTTTGATGTTTTATTTAAAGTCGATAAAGCTTTTGCAGTTTTGTTTGAGATTTCACTAATGTAAGATTTATTTGATTGAATACCTTTTGATGAAAATTTCAATTCTGATTTAGTTTTTTCAACTCTTGCTAATGGATCTAAATAAACAGGTTGTTCTAACTCATCACCATAAGGAGCTTTATCTTTTGCAACAAACATTGTATTTCTTGTGATAGCATTATGCATATATCTATAAGTTTTTCTATTTCTTGCTGCAACTCTTGAGGCATAATCTTCATAAGTTGATCTATCCAATACAGCATACAAATAATCAGGATGAACAACAACCGCTTGAGCACCTTTTTGTCCAAACCCAAACGATGTAATGGATACCGCTTTAATACCATCGGTTTGAATGGATCTTGATGGATATAAAACATATTCATATTGTTCTAATACTTTATCAACATTATCAGCATTTCTATTACCTGGAACAATACCCGATTCTAATATTTGAATAGCACCATTCAACATCCAAGCACCTGCAGCACCTTTTGGATGACCAGTAAGATACTTTTGGAAAACACCAAATACTGGATTACCTTCAGATCTACCCAAATGTTTCATCATACTATTAATAGTGGCAGATTCGTTTTTGTCATTTGCAACAGTTGAAGTACCATGGAATGAAGCAACATCAATATCGTCAATAGTTAAGTTAAAAGTAGCTAATGAACCTCTCAATGGTGCAATTCTAGGATCAGATTTATAAAATGAATTACCCCATTGTTTTTTAGCATCTGAAACTTGTCTTTTAGATTCTCTATATATTTCTTCAGCTCTTTCTTTAATGAATTCTTCCATAATAAAGTTTGATCCAAATTCATCTTTAGCTAATTCTGCTTCATCTTGTAAATTATTTAATTCAGATTCTTCCCACATTTTAATTTGATCTAATCTTTTTGATAATTGTCTTTTTCTATATTTAATGTTTAATAATGGTGATGGATATTTCAATTCACCATGATGTTCTTTAGCAGTGGTTAAAATACCTTTACCTGGAGCTGGAACTGACCTACCAATCTTATCAGTTGCTGTTGCAGTCATTGCTAAAACAGCATGAATTGGAACTCCCATTTTTAATGCTAAATCAGCAGTCATAATAACTTGAATACCAGAACCTTGTGCTTCCATAAACCCATTCCTAGTTGTTGTAGTTGGTCTTGACATTTCTTTTGGTGTTCTACCATGTTTAAATTCATCTTCAGCATTTGAAGTTGCATTCATATTAGCGAATTCATAAGATCCTTCTTCTTGGAAATCATCATAACCTCCTACCATGACAACTTTAGCTTTACCCGATAAAATAGTTTCAATACCAATATCAACTGATTCAACTGCAGTAGCACAAGCTCCAACGGGTGTTTTTATTGGACCAGATGAAGATAATAATAACATATTTACCCAAGCAGCCATAGTATTGATGAATGATTCTTGTAAAATATCGTTTTGAACTGGTTTATCTGCATATCTATCTTTGAACATACCTCTAAGTGCACTAACACCACCCATACCTGAACCTGAACAATTACCAACTTCTGATACATGTACATATTTATAAAATTCATATGGATCGGTTATACCTGCTGATAATAAAGCTTCCACTGTAGCAACAAGAACATATAAAGTAATTGGATCGACTTGATTAATAGTATCTTCTGGAATACCATAAGTTCTAGCATCCCATCCAGTAGGAATTTGACCAGCAACTAACCTATCAAATCTCAAAGCTTTTGGAACAAATAAAGTTGCTCCCTTCAAAATTCTTACACTATATTCACCACTTTCTTCAATTTCAAATACTTCACATTTATCACCATGCTCATGTTTATATTGATCTGCAGTTTCTTTTGAACATTCAAAAGGTTCCAAATCATGTTGAATAACAACTTCTTGAATCATTTGTTTTTTCTTTGGATCGTATCCATGGAATAATTCTGGTTCAATCAATCTAATTCCTGAATGTTCTAATATTTCTTCTTCATATTTTTCTTTAATATCTTTATCATCAACAGGAGCTTGAGTTTTAGCATCAATCCATCCACTATATGGTTGACCTTTTAATAAACCATTATGGTATTTAATCAAACCCATGATCCATGCCATTTCAATAGCTCCCTCTAATGAGAATTCACCTTTAGATTCCATCTCCCATCTTGTTCTTGAATTACCCCATGGTCCAACTTCCGCAAAACCAGTAACAACAACAACATTTTCTAAATCTAACATACCTTCTAAATCAGGAGCAATTTCTTTAATTTGTTCATATGATTTCAAAGTTGGGAAATCAAATTTCATATTAGCTCTTGGTTGAACTGTAACTTTAGAATAATTAGCATCAACATTATCACCATTAATAACTTTTTGTTCAATTGCAGTTTCAATAGAGACAGCTCTTCTAATATCAGCATTTTCAGTTAAATCATTTCTTAATTTTGAAGTGAATTCTTTAAGATTATCAATAAATTGTAAACCACCATTCAAATCAGCCATGATTGGATTCTCTTGACATAATTTAATAATATCGGGAGTTAATAAACCTAAAATATTGAAAGCCATTTCTTTTTGTGAAAAAGTTCTTACACCTAATTTTTCAATACCTTCAGCAATAATATTATTGGCACTCATTAAACCAGTACCTCTAGTCCATCCAATTATTGCACCACAAATAGTTAATTTAGTTCCCCAGTCTTCTGAATACCATCTATTAAATAAAGTTTCTAAAGATATTTTTGATTCTGAATATAATCCATCAAATCCAAATGTTCCATGATTAGGTGATAAAGGTAAAATACATTGAGCTGGTCTTGTATCTGTATTCTTTTTAGATTTGACAGCACCTAATAATCTTAATAAGTTGGTTAACATAATTCTATGAGCAAATTCTGATTTTGAATCAATATTATCAATACCATTACCATTTTCTGGAATAGCTGCAAATGGAATAATAACATCTAAATCCCAACCTAAACCTGATTTTTTATCATAAATATAATTAACTAAAGCATCAACATCTTGTTTGGATCCTTGATTAAATGGAGTAACCACCAATGTAGAACCAGCAGCTCCATATCTAGCATACATATTTTGATAATACTCAGTGACTTTTTTGGAAAAACGTGATGTAGTAACTACTACTTTAGCACCACCACTTATTAAACCTTGTAAAATTTCAGCACCAATAGAGCCAGCACCAGCTCCTGTAAGTAAAACATATTTATCTTTGAAAGTTAAACCATTAATAGCTGCTGATTCCAAACCATCGAGATAAATTGAAGATAATTTACGATCATATTCCCATTGACCAGAATTCTTGCTTTGTATATGTAAAAATGGAATTGTTTGTGGAGGAACAGTTGAAGATACAGGTTGAATAATTGAAGTCTTATCAGGTAAAGAAGCAATCTCATCATCATCAGAAGCAGTGGATAATTCATCTTCTGGTGTATTAGTTCCAGTAGGGATAGCTAATGCATCTTTTGTACTATGTAAAACCTCTATTTCCTTAGATTTATCAACAACTTTCAATAATTGTTCATAAACTTTTTGTAATTCTAATTTACTATCTCTTGAAGCTTGCTTTGTTATAGCTTTATAAACTCTAGCTAAATCTTCTTGAATAGTTGGTTGTTTAATCTTAGTCATTGAACCACCTTGAGCCATTTCGTAAACATATTGTTCAAATTTTCTAACTGAATCTTTATTAACTTCTTCATAAACAATATCACCTTTAGCACCAACAGTAGTTTTTGGACCTGTAATTCTTGTAACATCTTTATAAACTGGATCTTGATCGATGACTTGTTTACAATTATCCATCAATTGTTCACCTAATCTCTTGGCTAACCTATAAGTTTCACCTCGATATTCAGGACACAAATCAATATGATACTGCATGAATTTAATTAACGTTGGATTTGATCTATTCATAATTTGAATACATTGATTAATAGTTTCTCTATCAACTGAAGTCAATTTACCAAAAATAATATCATACCACATTGATAAAACATCTTGTCTTGCCCAATTCCAATATGAATCATAAGTTCTAGATTTCAATGGTGAAAAAGCTGGTTTAATACCTTTGGCATAAAATTCACCATGTTCTGCTTCCCATAAATCTAATTCTTGTTGTAAAACTGAAGTTGCTTCTTTTTCTTTAATAAATGATTTCTCTCCTTTATTTAAATCTACTTGAAGATATCTTGCTAAAGTTTCTAATTGTTGTTTTGCTAATTTTTTATTTTCTGCTGTTAATGCGTCTAAAGCTGCAGAATCAACAACAGCTGAATTTTGAGATGAACTTGATGAAGTTGGTGATGATAATGAAATACCTGCATGAGTTGCATATTTACCAGCAATATCATCCAAAAATGTCTTTGCATCAGCTTCTGAACCTAATCTTGTTGCCGGTTCATTACACAAAGCAGTTAATAATACTGAATCTTGTCTACCTGGTCCAAAACCATATCTTGATTCCAAATATTTTCTTGCAATTGTTATTGAAAATCCTCCTGGCATTTTAGAAGACATTAATCTACCAATTAAAGATGTTGAAGTTTTACCTAATGATCCTGAAAAAGTACCTTGAAATTGTTCTGCTAATTCAGTCAATGGAGTTTCTTCTGGCTTTTCGGGTGTTGATCCAAATTCTTTACCTAAATCTCCTAATATTTCATTTTGAACAGTCGATTTACCATTAACAAGATCTTTAATAGCTTTTGACATTGGAACAGCTTCCAAAGGTTTTTTCAATTTTTGTGCAACTAAAACATGAATTAATAATGAAGCCGAAACGGGTTCATCTGGAATTGAAGCTGCTGCTACTGTAGATTGAGGAGCTGCTGATACAGCTGCTTTTTGTTCTACTGCTTGTACTGGGGCTGATTCTTTGACCTTATCTTCTTTTGGTTGTTCAACTTTTGGTTCTTCTGGATCTGGAGTATAATAAATCTCTTTAGCATCTTTTGAATAACATAAAACTTGACGTTGTAATGATAATGCTGCATCATATGATTGATATTTAGCCTTAATTGTTCTTGAAGCCATACCTGCTAAAGTTGGAGATGGTCCAATTTCAATAACTCTTTCAGTATTATGTTGTTTTAAAAATACATCTTGAGTTTCAATCCATCTAACTGGTGAAGCAAATTGATAAGCTAAAAGCTCTGTCAATAAAGTATGAGATAATTCTTGTTCAATTTCTGGTTTCATTTTGAAAATTGATTATCAATTGAAAAGTTGATTTATGGAAATTTAAATTGAAAGATAAAAGATTTTGGTAACATTTTATAATTTATTATCCTTTAAATGGGTTTTTTACCCAAAAATAAATAATTACACAAAATAAAAACTCCGAATGCTAATTGTACAAGCTGATTAAATCTTCGCAAGAGACTAAGAGCATCAACCATAATTTACGGAATAATGTATTGATTAAATTACTCACTTGTCTAGTTTAATTTTGATATCATTATCTTTGTACTATTGTCCAACGTCTGCTTGTAATTACTTATCCCAACTAATTTGCAACCAACAAAACAAAATAAAAAATAAATAAAATAAAACCGTGTTGAGTAAAATGGGAAAAAAAAAAAAAAAGTTGAGACAATGAAAAAAATGAGAAACTGAAAATAATTTGAAACATCTATCAAAAGTTTTAAAAAAATTTTCACTTAGCTTAAACTTTTTATATCAATCAAGTATAGTTTTCACTTAATATACGACAACATATTCATACATACAACATCATTCTATCATGTAGTTAATAATCCACCAAAGCTTAATGCCTTCTCATCTACCCTGATTATATTCGTTTATTTTCAGTTTAAAATGGTAAAAGAGAACACTTTTGCATATTGGAAGAAGAAAATTTTATTAGATCATCTCCACCCTGAAACAACCGACTACAATGTTATTTTAGGACTATTTTAAATGATCTACATTTTTTATTCATATCGTTTTTTCTGGGATTTTTTGTCTTATATTAAAGTATTTACAATTTTATCAAAATAAACATCAAATCCATCTCTATAATTTACATTTTCATCACATTCAAAAACATATTTTTCATTAAACATAAACCATTTATAATTATTTTTATAATAACGATTATATTCTAAAACAAAATCTTGAAATTTTAATTGATTTTGATCAATATTTGAAGAAAATTCCCAATATTCATTTGCAATTAAACAATTATTTCTTTCAATTGATTCTAAAATATTAAATTTTATAAATTTTAAATTTTTGGGAATATATGGTAATAATTGTAATATATCTTTTTCTAATATTGTTATTTCTAAGTATTTTAAATTTTTAAAATTTATTAAATGTTTAAATTCATTAAATTCTAATTTTGTATCCATCAGTAATGAAATTATTGATTTATTTATATCTTTTAAGGAAACTTTGATTTGAGATTTTAATATTAATGTTTCTAAATTTAATTTTGATATTAATTTAGCTATACATGGATCATCATCCATTTTAATTTTTAAATGTTTTAATTTGGGGAATTGTTGATCTAACATAAAATTTCTTTTATATGTACAAGTATCTAAAGTTAAATCAATAACTTCATCAAATACGAAATTTTGAACATCCATATTTCGTAGTGTTAATTTTGATGCATTTGTTTCTGCAAAAGTAGTAAGAGTTACATCTTGCAATGGTAAATTTAAATTTATATCAGTTGTAATATTACCATTTAGTTTTTTTAGTTGTGTATTATGTTTCAAAAAACTCAAAGGTATTGATGCATGATTCCAATGAAATTGTTCTAGTTGAGTCATTAATGGTAAACTTGTTTCAAGATATTCAAATAACTCCAAATCTGGTAAATCTGGTACTTTCTCAAATCTTAGAAACTTAACTTTTGATCCATTTTCATTAACTTGTTTAAAAAATGCTTTTAAACAATAAACTGAACTTATATTGACAGCTCTTATAAATTTATTTCCGAACTTGTAATTATTATAGTTATATTGAAATTTATTTAATGATCTTGAATCATGTTGAAATAATTTTGGAGTTGAATCAATATTTATAATTGTATATAATCTTGAATGTAAAATACTATAAAAATATGAATTTGTTAACATAAGTGAGATAATATCATCTTGATATAGTAAATTTCCCAATTTTTCTATGATTTCAGTAGGCAATTTTTGTAGCATTAGTTGGTTGATTTGATCATTTGATCATTTGAATCGTTTGAGTGAAGTTATATTAGTATTTATAAAAGATATAAATCAATCCGTTTCGGAATTTCTTCTTATTATAGTTACACAAAATTGCGGTTTTTTATCTTTTCGGATCTATAAATCCAAAAGTAAATATGTGGAGCTTGTGGTAAATGCGAAAACGGTACCATTATTTATTGGCAAATTTCAACTAGGAATAAGTTTAAATATACTAAACTTAGCTAATTGCTCTTGGTAAAAATAGAGCGTGAAATGTCCATTTAAAAAATACTAAATATAGTCTCATTATCATTAAAATAAATCATGTGTTACAGAGCTTTCATTCTTGTTGAAATAAGATCAGAATTGATCAAGGTGTAAAATAAATACTGATAACAGCGATAAGAGGATATACGGAGAGTTTGACGTTGAATTACTGAAAGTCTTGTTGCCGTTTATGAAAAAAAAAATTAAAGGATAAATTAAGGAAAGCCCGACGCGGGACTTGAACCCGCAGCCTTGAAATTAAGAGTCCCACGCTCTAACCGATTGAGCTAGCCAGGCTAACGCATATTGACAACTATGGCAAATAATGATATTCACGACCTTCATGTGGTGTAGGCAAAAGTCACCCTAGCTTAGCTTGACCTTCTTAGGCTCCAAAATTTTGGTTACACTTCCTCTAAAACATTACAAATTAAGGCGATTTTGTACTAAATCCATCCCCCTTCAATTTTAAAACAGTTGTAAAACGTCTCAAATGTCTTCCTTTTTTGGTATGTTTGAAGTGTTGAACTCTTTTGCACTAGATCAAATGTCTATTGACACTTGTATGACAAAGTGTTGGAGAACATATTTTATTTGTTGGTTCAAATCTTTTTCCAATGATTCATTCCTCAAACACCAATATATAAACTCAATATAAATTGAAAGTGAGGTATTTTATATTTGCTTAGAAAAGAATTCATCATCATTGACTTTGACTTGAGCTCACGGTTGGAAGTTTATAAAACTAATCCTGTTTTTTTTTTTGAAAATTAACTTATATTTTTGATCATTAACTTTTCTCTGTTTTGTTGCAAAATATTTTTCTTTCAAACCGGTTTCAAACAAGACGATAAACATTGAAATTTGAATACTCTTAAAATTTCCTTCACAGTAATCGAATGAAATTGAATACTCAATGTGATCTTAGATTCGGTCAGGTTCAAAGGTTATACACAATTCATTTTTATCATTTTTCATGTAAAATTAAAATGTATGTATGTACGGATTTTTGTGATCATTAGAATTTTGCAATTTGTTTCAATCTACAACAAGACATGAATTGTCGATATCAAGCAAAGTCATAAGCCTAGATAAACTGATTTAAAAAGAATTTAACTTTAAGTTTTAATTAGAGTGACGTTCTTTGAATACTGGCCAGTTTGGTAACCAAAACTTAAACGTATATCATTGCTGCAACAAAATTGGGAGCTGGTCTCACAGTTCAATAAACCCATTTTCAAGAGATTGTATCTTTCGATTATTTTCGTAATGCCTTACCTCCAGAGTAATGGGAAACTGCACTACTATGAAACATTCTCAACAAGTTTTTGATCATTTGAAATAATTCATCTAAGCATCTGGATCTGGATTCCCAATTAGTTCATTCAACTAGTTAAATAAACTTCTTTCACAAGTACAATACTTTTTTAATTTAATGTATAAATTATTGTAACTATATATGCCATTATAAATAAATTAAGATAAAATTCCACTATTTTTTAAATTATTTTCCATTATAGTTTCTTTAACAGCAGCCATAACTAATTCAATATTTTTTGTATCAGTTGCTTGAGTAACATGAGGATAAATATTTAAACCAGATCTATTAACTTGATTAAATCTCCACAAGATATATTTTGCAGCTTTATTTATATTATTACCACCTTGATAATCAGGAAAATAATTTTCTAATGGAGAAAATTGTAATTTTTCAGCAAAAATATCAATTTTATTTAAAAATAAAACAACTGAAGTTCTTGAAAACCATCTAGAATTTACAACAGAATCAAATAATGCTAAACTTTCTTCTAATCTATTTTGATTATTTTCTTCTAATAAAACTTGATCATATTCACTTAATGCAACACAAAATATAATTAATGAAACATTATCAAAACAATGAATCCATTTTTTTCTTTCAGATCTTTGACCTCCAACATCAAACATATGAATATTTAAACCATTCATATTAAAAGTATGATCATATATACCACTTGTCTTTTTTCTTGTTCTTAAAATATCAGTTGTGGTGGGAATATAATTTGGATTTGTAATTCTAAAAATATCAGATAATAAATAATCAGTTGAATCTAATAAATGAAATTTATTTTGATTTTTTATAATAAAATTTTTAACATTATTATTTTCATATATCTTGTTTATTAATTTTGCAATATTTTGATCAAAATGTAAATTTAATTGATTTAAATCAACTTCATATTCTAATATTTGATTAATTTCTTCTATATTTAAATTTATTAAATCATCATTTCCCTTTTCAATCATTGCATTTATTATATTTTTAATACAATCTAAAACATTTTTATAAACAAAAGGTCGATATTCAATTAATTCTTCTTTTGTATATCCAGAAGTATGTAAAATTTTCATTTGTTTTATAATTGTTGATTTCCCACTTTCTCCTGATCCTAATAATAAAACTTTTATAGTTGAATTTGAATCTGATGAAGTATCAGGTAGTTCATTATTATTATTATTAACTGTGCCATTATTATTATGATGATTTGTGCCATTGATTTCAGTATCTTGTTTTTCATTTTGATTTAGACTATTCTGTAGTGATTGATTTTGTTGTGAATTAGTTGAACCATTTGATTTTTCTAACTTGCTATTTTGCTTTGATTGCAGCAGTAGACGTTGATTTTGATTTTGTTGTTGTGTTTGTTGCTGATTTTGCTGTTGTTGTTTCGATATTTGTTGTGTTTGTTGTTGACGTTTATTCTGAGTAGACTTGTTGCTTGTTGGTTCTATCCTATTATCTTTTGAAGTGCATGAACCCATGATATTGAGTTTAGTATTGTTAGTTGTTTTTGATTATTATTACTTATTTCATAAATGGTGAAAAAAAAAATTCAAAATTATAATTTATTATTTAAATAAAATTGAAAAAAAAAAAAATAATAAAACAAGCGGGTTTACATTCTAAATGTATTCAACTACTACTTCACAATAATCTACTACGATCGTATGAAATTATTATAAAAGTGAAAAATAACAATGTTGCAAATGTAAATGAGTTTATCTTCAATTCAAACGTTTTTATCAAAATAGATGAAAAACATGAAACTGCTCGCTTACTCGGTTATTTAAAGTGAATCCGTCGATATTAATGGAAGAATTAAATTTTGAACTTTGGTTGCAATGTTTTTCATTTATTAATTAATTGAGGGTGAGATTTTGAATTTTTTTTTGTTGAAATAGCAAAGTTACCGGGGCTACAAATCAATCTTGAGGATTATCACTTAATTAGTTCATTAATTTAGTTAATTAAACAAGCCTTTTATAATTCAAATGGATCAATTAGGAGTGTTGTGTACTGTTTACAAAAGTGAAGTTCACTGTTAATATTGTACCATCTATTCATTCTTCACTCCACATAATTTATGAAATTGATTATGTTTCATAATTCAAATTTTTCAAATAAATTTCATTCCCCTTTTTCCTACACAAAATTGTTATTACACAAAAATGAATTTCAATTGTTAACTAGTAAAATAAAACTGAAACATTAAAACTCCTATAACAAATCAACTAAGTATTAGTGAGATTATCATCATGAAACTATACAACTTTAAGATGACAAATTACTTATTCTAACTTATTAGTTCTATAAATTAGAAGATATTTGATATGATTCTTAAATATAAAATATCTTTTTAATTCTTTTTTTTCTTAATTATTCTTTTTCTAAATTTAGAAATTTTCAGATGCAATTTAATTAATTATTGAGTATTTTATGCTAAGTATGTAAGCCGCACTATAAACCTAAATTGGAATAAACTAAATTAGGTTTAATTTCTTTGCTAATACAAAATCTACAAGTCGTAAACTTAATCGTAATTTTCAATTAGAAATTTATATTACAACCTATATCTATTTAAAAGCATATTGAAATATTGAAGGTTGAATTGAAACTTCAATTATACATCCTGATTTCCTTAAGCAAAATGTTCTTCAAATTATAAACGATTCATAACTCAATTTTAATTTGAAATTATATATCATATTCCCTTTTGCTTTCACATCATAGGTTAATAGCTTAAATGATTAATGAAAATTGTTATCAAGGTTTGGAATTAGTCAGATTTTATTGGATACATGATATAATAAATTTGATCATACTATCTCATTAAAGTTTCATCATATTTTATTATTTATATCTTCACTAACAACAAATTCAGGTGAAGTTTCATCTTTTTCAAGTTTTGGAGGTGATAAATTAATTTCATTACTTATTGATCTTGTAGATTCATTATTATTTATTGATTGTTCTTTTTCAATTTCAATATCTTTTTCCTTCTCTTTATGATGTTTTCCTTCTTTTTCTTCTTTTGCTTCTTTTTTTCTCAATTTTTCAGCATCTTCTTGATCTTTTATTTTTTTCCTTTCTTCTCTTCTTTTCTCTTTTGTTTCAAATTCATGCCATTCATCTTTTAAATTAAATAAAAATTCTAATTTTTCTGGCTTTGGTAAATTATTAAAATATTCATGATTTAAAGAATCTTTTGCTGATATTCTTTCTTTTGGATTAAATTTTAATAACAAATTTGATAAATTAAATGCATCATCTCCTAATAATTCCTTGTACTTTGATTCAAATTTTGGTAAAATTCTTGTTTTTAATTGTAAAAGATTTGACCAAGGTAATGAATTATACCAAGAATCTAAATGTGGTGTACCCAAGATATTATATATAGTACTTAATTGAGAAATTTCATCCATTCCATTAAATATAGCTCTTCTTGTAAATAATTCAACAAATATACATCCAACACTCCATACATCTATTTCAACTCCATATTTTGTATTTCCCATAAGCAAATCTGGTGGACGATACCATAAAGTTATAACTCTATTTGTTAAATCTGATTCTCCCATTGGTTTTGCTAATCCAAAATCAGTTAATTTTAATTGTCCAAAATTATTTATTAAAATATTAGCAGGTTTTAAATCTCTATGAGCTATATGTCTATCATGTAAATAAGCTAAACCTTCTAATAATTGTTTAAAAATCATTTTAATATGACCTTTTGAAAAATTTATTTGACTAATTAATCCAGTTAAATCATGTTCACAATATTCTAATACCATTTGAATAGAATTTTTTTCAATCATAACTTCTAATAAACTAACAATATTTGGATGATTAAAAGATTGTAATAATTTAATTTCTCTAAGGGTTGTTAAATCAATTTCATGATGCAGTTTTAATTTTTTTAATGCTATATGTTCATTAGTTGATTGATTATTTGCTTTATATACAAGTCCAAATGTTCCTCCTCCTATTAGTTTATCTATTTTTATTGAGGTGTTTGTTTCAAATGTATATATTTTTGGTAACGTAGGTACTATATTAGTTTGAGGAGACGGCCTGCTACTCTGTATAGATTGTTCGCTTTGTATTAATGGCTTGGGTTGAGCTGGTGGCTTACTTTGAATAGATGGTTTGTTTTGTATTGATGGTTTGTTTTGAATAGGTGGTTTATTTTGAGAAGAGTTATTGGGTACATAATAATCTTTCCTTCGCTTACTTGATGGACCAGAAGGGTAACTAGGTTGTGATCTTTTCTGTTGCTGCTGTTGTTGATGCTGCTGATGTTGTTGATGTTGATTCTGCTGCTGTTCTACTCGTTGTTGTTGATGTGATTGATGTTTCTGTTGTTCTGGTCGTTGATTTCTTGGACCTGTTGCAAATCGATTATTGGTATAGCTCGAACGAGATTGGTTGCTCTTGTAATCACGCAGTGGAGGCTGCTGAAACTGCAGCAGTCGTGGGCCCTTCGGTCTTCTATCTGACATTGTTAGTTGTCTTGTGATGAAATAATTTTGCGTATAGAATTGGTATCAAATATTTCGATCGGTCTTTTTTTTTTTTTGCAATATTGAAAAACATATTATTTATTTAAAAGGAAAAACTTATAAACATAGAGATAAGAAATAAGTATTATCAGAAACAGGAAAATCTCAATGACCTGATATTGCTCTATTTGATAGAAGTCAACTCGTCTAAAGAAAACTTTTGACGTCGAGTACTCAACAACATGAATTCAAAAGCTAATTGTGAAACCGTCTTTCTCTCATGTATCTGTTGCTAAGATCAATTGTACTTAATTTCAATACAATATGCTTGACCGGCCGCCAAATAACAACGACCATACTTGAAGTTTTTAAAAGACTTTAAAAAAACGTGACCAAACATTGAAAATTGCCATACTGATACGATTAGGAAAAGAATTTACCAAACCAAAATTCCTCATTACGCTTTTCTAGAAGTGCCTACTACGTATACCTCAACCAAGAAGGAGCAATATTTCCTCTAGTTCTGTAAGACTCGATACAGGCGTAGTCATTGCAACCTTAGTTCTGCCACATGAGTACAAATGTAAACCTTTAAATTTGAAAATTTATTTCCATTCCATTTCTAATCAATCTACCTTCATCAATTCATGAAACTGACTCATTCGATTCTCCCCATCAAATTCTAACAAAATTAGGTTTATTATTATCATCAATATATAATTCAGGTTGCCAAATTTCAATTAATTCTAAATCATATTCAAATTTTCCCATTGCAAATTTTTCATATTCTTCAAATATACCACTTAAACACCAACCTTGTAAAATTTTTCTCATTAATCCTATAACTAATCCTGTTCTATGTTTTCCTTTATTTGAATGAATTAATATGGGATAATTTTTTGGATTTAAAATTAATTGTAATGCTGTAGTTAAAGATTTAAGACTTTGTAAGTTTTCAGAATTCTTGTTGAAGGGTTCTTGTGATGAATTTATTAATAAATTATGAAATGTTATATTATTTTGATTTTCAATCCAATTAAGATATTGATTTAATATTTCAATTGATCCATCTTTTTCTTTTTTTTTCTTCTTTTTGGATTCATGACCTAAATCTCCTAGGTAAATTATTGTTTTTAAATTAAGTTGTTGTAAAAATGGATAATTGATTTCCATTGGAAAACCAGATCTATATATTCCATCTTCAACTAATGCAAAGTTTAATGGTGGAACTAGATTTATTGATATTTGAGGTTCGATTGTGATTAGTTTTTTTGATGATTCTTGATTCTGTCGTATTTTTGAATCTTCCTCTATGTCAGTTGTCATGTTATGGATTATGACGATGTAAGTATTAGGTAGATTGATAGGAAAGTCAGATGTCAGAATAATGTGTTAGATTCGAAGCGATTTTGAAACCTGGTTTTTGTATGCAGAACTATCTTTTTAGTCAAAAATAAATAACTAAATGACCGTTTGAAGAGACAAGATTCTACTACTTGGCCTTTCCTCTGATTTGTAGAGTAATTCAAAAAGCTGATACTTTTTGGTCCAGTGAGAAGATATCTGTGAATTCAAGCTCAAATTACAACTAACGTCTTCGAAGAAACTAGTTTACTGTTCAAATCAGTCATTTGTCAATTTGACTCAATTTTTGGTTTGTCAATCTAATCTTTCACAAAAATTTTCACTATGATGATTGTTCAGATCTTTTTGACGTGGTGAGTTAAACTGGGTAATTTATCAAGTTTATCAAGTGATGGCGAATACATTTGGGTTATCTAAAAATTAAAATCCGATATCGAAAAATCTAACGTTCCAGATCGAGACGATTAAAGCAATTGATTTCCAATCTACTGTAACACGTGTGACCCGGGTAGAACCTCCATCATTCATCTACTCTAAAGATGCATTCATCATTTATTCTGATGGTCATTGTCAAACTTATTTTGCAACTTCTTCAAAATCATAAAACTGTCATGACACAAAAAAATTTTTCAAAAGAGGAATAGATAAAATCTCACTAAGTATTTGAAACAATCATTAATTAACTAATTTACAGCCAAATAACTCACACAACTACTTTCCCCCACAACCATGTCTTGGATATTTGGAAAACCACAACCACAACAACAATCCTCAACCACAAGTGATGAACAATTAAAACAAACACTTGGGTTTGATCCACAAGAAATTTCAGATGTACAAAATATAATATCATCACCATTATCAAATTCATATGCATCAAAATTACATCCTTTAGCAGAATTAGAGAAAGGAGTTGAATATTTGGATTTAGAGGAAGAAAAATTAAATACTGTACAAGGTTCAAAAGGTTTAATTCCAAGTAGATCATGGACTGATGATTTATGTTATGGTACAGGATCAGTTTATTTATTAGGTTTAGGAATTGGTGGTATAAATGGTATAATAAAAGGTTTAAATACATTACCTTCAAATGCTCCTTTTAAAATTCAATTAAATCATGTTTTAAATAGTATAACTAAAAATGGTCCATTTTTAGGTAATTCTTGTGGTGTTTTAGCATTAACTTATAATTTAATAGATTCAAGTTTAGATGGTATAAGAGATAAACATGATGATTTAAATTCAGTAGTTGCTGGTGCTTTAGCTGGTGCTTTATTTAAAAGTTCAAAGGGGGTAAAACCAATGATTTATTCAAGTGTTATGATGGCTGGTGCTTCTGGTATATGGTGTGGTTTGAAAAGAGTTATAAATCCAGAAGAAAATGAAGTTAAGTTGTTGTAAGTAATATTAGTAATGAAAGGAAAATTTTAATGTACATATATAATATAGATTAAGAAAGCATGGGTGTAGGATTTGGTTTTTTTCATTATATTAAATTTCTATAAATTACTCTATCATTCATTATTCGTTATGGTTTTCATTATTCATAATTCTTATGCAGCTTCAATTTTTTGTCTTTTGGTTTCTAATTTGTGTTTGGGGATCTCCATGGTTCTTTTGGTAGGAGCATCAACTAAATCAAGCAACATATCATCTTCATTCCAATTTTCAAAAAAGTTTTCAATTTCATTACTTCTTTTCTCCATTTCTAATTGAAATTCTTCCTTATTAAAGCTATTCAGTTTTTGACAATTTTTATTTAAAATTTTATATATTTTATCATCTTTATCATTTTCTTTATTTTCTTTTAATTTTGAAATTTCTTCACTCATCATTTCAAAATTTTTACATTTTGCAAATATTTGATAATATTTTGATTTTCCAGGTATCATATTCATTATTAAAAATTTTGTTCCAGGAAAATTATGATATTTTTGACCAAATTCAAAAATTTCTGATATTAAAATATCTTGAGTGATTGGTTCATTTGATAAAATAGATGGATTTGATTCAGCAGCTTCTGCTATCATAATTGATAATTTATCATTCCCCAAAGCTTTTTGTATGGCTTTCAAATCTGATCTTGATTGAAAATTCCCATTTAATATTAAACTAACTCCATTTTCTTCTATTAAAGGTATTAATTTTGGTAAATAATTTAAAAATACATTCTGTCTATTTCTCATTATTGGGGTTCTACAATGAATTGTTAAATTTGAAATTCCAGTCTTGACTATTTTTTCAATTAAATTATATGTTATTTTAAAATTTGAATTTAATCTAATTTTACAAGATATTTGTTTTTCATAAACTTTACCAACTTTTGTTACAAGATTTCTTAATATTGAACATAAAAGATCAGGTGTTTTTAATAATTCTGCTCCCATTCCAGAATGAGTTGAAAATGATTTAGGACATCCACAATTTAAATCAATTCCATCTACATCTTCAATAACTTTTAATGCTGCTTCAACTGCTAAATCAGGATCTGATGTACCTAATTGTAAAATTAATTTCCCAGTTTCTAATGGATGTTTTCGGAATACAACTGTATCAAATGATGGTTTTTTATTATTTTGATGATTATTATTAGATGCTAAATAATCAATTGTTCCTAATTCATAATTTTCAACTCTTCTTGTTGTAATTAATTTTTTATCTATTATTTCTGGACTCCAAACTAAATCACAACCATATTTTAAAGCCATCAACCTCATAGGTAGTTCTCCACTTCGAACCATCGGCGCTAGACATATTTTATTAGTATAATCTAGCATTCTTTTGATCATTGTTGCAACAAAATTAAATGCATTTGTAAAATTTTAACCATTTTTAACCTTCTTACAATCAATGTCGTGAAACCATTTTTACGTCTATGTAACTCAGACAATAATTTTAAATTTCTTTTGCAATCGAATGACTTCGATGTCGAACATTTAAATACAATTTTTAGCTGGATAAATTTGATACGTAAGTATATACTTGATCAATCAACAATTATTCACTTCACATATAATATAACGTTTAATTACCTACAAGCAAGTAAGTAACATTGAGTGCAATTGAGAAATTAAATATTTGGATTCAATAAAAATCAAGCTTAGAATGCATAAGATATGTATATTCTGCTAATTCAATCAGCAACAATCAGCTACTTCCAATTCTTTCCATGCACTTCTACTTTGATTAAAGTCAACAATAAAAGTACAAGTGCATGGGTAAGATTTATATATTTTTAAGTAAGGTTCTTTCCATGCACTTGTAATCTTATAACAATAAAAGTACCAGTGCATTGTTATAAAAGTACAAGTGCATGGAAAGAACCGTACTTGAAAATATACAATTCTTACTCAAGATTACAAACTTATGTTGAAACTGGTTTAGTCAAATGTCATTTCAATGAATCAATCAACAATGCAGATTCAATTCAATTGTTACAGTATAATTTTGAAATGCTAATAACTCGTTTGCATTTAAGAATTAAAGCATTATCTAGTTCACCAATTACTGGGTCATCTAAGGAAGATGTGAAAGAAATCATCAGCAGATTTAACAAACAAAGAGTAACATTTAAACCCAAAATTGAAAACTATTTGGTAAAATATGTTAAAGCTATAGAGAAAATGGTATATGTAAATGAAGTTGGTAACTTTAATGAATTCCAAAAACACTTAAAGAACCAAAACCAAAGTGTCAAAAATGGTCAAAATTTTAGCCTAAATTAGAGCAATGCCAACTATGAATCAACAGCTGGATCAAAACAAGAAATAGTCTAAAATTCTCGTATAAAAAAAAATCGAAGAACAATTTGTCCAATATATCGACCTCAATTTCGAAAAGGACCATGATCAACTGGTAACTAGCAGAAGAAGAAGCCACATTGGAGGAATATCAATACAAATTGGAAAAACAAATTACTTAGCGTTTAGAATTGATCAAAAAAATAGGAAGCTCGAGATTTGGCACGTATATTAAGCATAAAACAAATGGTTATAAGAAAGTGCAATTCAAAAATTCCAGAAGTGTTGAATTTGATATCATTAAATGATCTTATGACCCAACGGATTCAGACAATTTTGGAATCTTCGAATTGTACCTTCATGGTTATAATCACAATCCATTTAAGTATGAGGTAATGTTGGCGGTTGTAAGTTTCAGCTTTCTTTTGTTGATTAAATCCACCACTTGTTGCATTAGCTTGTTCAGGATGAGGAATAGATTACATGGGACAATTAATTATATCTGATGACGAAATAAGGATATCAAATACATATGTTGAGTTACTCATTCCATGAAAAAATTAAATTAGACAAATAGGTTAGGACTGTGATTTGATCAAAGTTGAAAATTGTGACTTTCAAGTTTAATCTCTATCTTCTTGGTTACTTTACATATACTAGTCCACAATAGACCTATTTGCAATGGTATTTGTTAGGATGGTGAAGATGTCAAAAACTAGCAAGTCAATAACCATCAAAGAAGTATCAAATTTTAAAACAAAAATACGACAGACATGAAGTTATATTAATTCGAACACTTTTAATGTCATTCAAATATAGAGTGTGAGATTTTGAACATAAATCCGACGATAAATGAGAAGCAAAATATTCGCAAGCCTTTTGATGTTGTTTAATTTATGATAATTTTTTAATATCTCGATCTGATTAATTTTCAATTATGGAAATCGAAATATACAATTACTAAAGTTTACCAGTTTCATAAGAAGTAATAATCAGAAATTGTTAATAATCAATTATAAATTTATCTGGATTCCAACAAAAGTAAAGTCTGAATGCCAATTCCTATTACTACATATTGAAAAAGCATTTAGTAATGTATGGTTGAAAGGATGTTTAATGTATAAACGTCTTATACATATACATTTGCCACCAACATTAACTACTTTACATTCTCAATAAGTCAAGAACTAGTAGCCTTAATTTATAAATCAATAATACTCGGAATTTCGGAAAATTGAATGATATAATTGTGAAACATAAACATTTCGGATATTTAATATTAATTGAATGCTCTTTTTAAAAAGACCCAATAGTTAATAAGTTTTATGTAATATTGTATGTACCTGTATATAAAAAGATAGTCATCACTTAAAACAAGTTACACAAAAAAAATTATTTTTTTTTTTTTCAAAATTTCTTTTTCTGAAACAAAACTTTTTATCGTTTGTAAAGTGATAAGGTAAACGATCGTTATGCTTACATATATATGTTAATGTAATACTAGGAATTGAGTTAATTCACCTAATCAATTGAGTTCTAGACTGTATCAATGCCTTAGATACAGTGTTTTGAAATTTATCCCATTATGATTAGATACCATTGACTAACTATAAAATATTTATTATCTACCCCACCAAATCTGACTCTACTTTTTTTTTCTTTTTTGATCTTGTGTAAGGCGATAAAAGAAAAAATAAATTATATTTTGTTTAAGCGGCTTACTTATACTAAAAACCTTTCAATAAATAATAATATTTACATTTTTTATTTTAAGACATTAAATTTCTGAGACCAACTTCAGACAGTTTCTATAAACGTAATGGATGACTCTTGATAAAGAAGAGTTTCAGACTTTTTGCCATCCTCCATGTCTCACTTAGACTTCTTCTTTTACAATTGACTCGCGTAAACTTCACCCATCATTGAAGTCATGTTTTTTCAAAGTGAAACTATTTTGTTAAGAAAAGTTCAATTGACTTTAGCCGACTACTTCACTTTGCTTCATTATTTAATTTATACTTTTTATCTGTGAATCTTTTTCAAATTATTTGGATTACATTACAACCAATTGCTAATGGCTAATGTTTTATTAGACCTTAAAGCGGTAGTTCAAAATTTCTTTTATACAGTTAAGAGCCAAAAATTTCAATTGTAAGTATTATAACAATAGACCTTAATTTATTTCGGAAGTAATTGACTATTTAAACTTTTTATTGTCTTGACTCTTTATGGAAATATATATATGTATCTCTTATCAGTATATTGGTCCTTTCAAAATTTAAAGTTACGCTTTCATTTACTACATGATCACATCGCGAATCAAACTTATTTTTTTATTTAAATTGTCCTAGTTTCAATCATCAACATAAAGCACAGTAAATTTGATGTAGTCTAAGGGATATGTTAGATGGAAAGACGTGTTATGTTAAGTAGTAGTAGCGTGTTGGTCATTATATTGCTAATCTCTTACTAGTAGATAAGATAGTATGCTTTAATGACTTCTTTACTTATCATGTATTTCTTTTTGAAACTAATTTCAGACAATATAAATTTTTTTATTTTGAGACAAAGATAAATTTCTTTTTAAGTATGTGTATGGTAGCACATATACTGCATATACACTTTAAAACAGCATAAATACTGTATATAAACATCTATCTGTATCATATCTTGTAATCATCTCATGTACATTGTTTTATTATTGTTAAATCTAAAACAAAAAATTTTTTATAAAAATTGAATCATTTTTTTTTATTTTTCATACTAGACTAGTATCATCTAGTGATATTTATCCTACCTAATTAAATAATTATAAAACCCTTTATGAATAATCATTAAAAATTTATTTATAAAAATAAATCTTCTTCTTTTCTTTCTTTCTTATCTTGAAATCTCCAACTTTTATTTATTATTAATCATTCGATTTAAACATACAATTTCATTAAAAACATATATATACTACTCAATTGACTATCAATTACAAATTTAAACATATCAATTACTTCTTATAAACATATAATGTCTTTTTTGTATCATCCAATGAGTTCATTACCTTATAGTAATACAAATAATACCACAAATAATCAATTACTAATACCCAATTGTCCAACACCAAATAATTTTGAAGATCAAATACCTAAAAATCATCCACCATATAATTTAGATTACAATAATGGAGAATTTTTAGATTCAAAATCATTAACTTCATCATTTGATTCAACCACCACTACAATTCAACCATTATCACCACCATTATCACCAGCTCAAAGAAATGTTGAATTAAATTCTATACCAATTCAACAACAAAATAAAAATTCATTATCATCATTAAAACCAACTACAAAACATTTATTACCAGCTTTTACAACAAAAGAAGAAGAATTAAATTCAAAAACGAATACCACCACAGATTCAAAAAAATTAACAAAACAATATTTAAACACAAATTCAGAATTTAAAATAGAAAATTTTAAAAATTATAAATTATCAATAAATATAAAACCAAATAAAAATTATTATCAAAATCAATTTGAATTTTTAGATAAATATTCAGATAAAGCAAATCAAGAAAGAAATAGCACCACAACAAATTTTGCATTACCCGTTAGAAAATACAAAAAAAGAATTAATTTATTTTCTTCTACTGATGATGAATATTCAGAAGTTGAATCAATAAGAGGTACAAGATCAAGAAGAACTCCAAAACATTTTGATAATTCAGTTTTTAACTCAGATTCTGAAAAAGCAAACAATGATAGTGCTTTATCAACTCCACCACCAAAGAAAAGAAAAACAATAGTTAAAACATCATCATCACCATCTATCCCCATTGCAATTCAACAACAAATGTTAATTGATGAATCAATACCAGATTATTCTCCCAATGCATTTGAAACATTACCTGAAAATAATTCAAAATGTCTTAAAATAGAATGGAAAGGTCAACCAATGGATTTATCAAAAGATCCAAACTTACATAAATATAAATTACATCAATCTGAAATTATATTAGCTTCAATTTTAAGATTACCTATCGCGGTATATATGGATTCAAAAAGAAGATTTTTTTTTGAAAAAATTAACAAATTAAAATTAAGTAAACAATTTAGAAGAACTGATGCTCAAAAAGCTTGTAGAATTGATGTTAATAAAGCTTCTAGATTATTTGCTGCTTTTGAAAAAGTTGGTTGGTTAAATGATGAATTATTTAAAAAATATTTATAATTGGGAGAGAGTGATTTAGGTGATGGTGTCAATAAATTTGGTCTTATTTTTATTTCGTTATTATTACATATTGGTTTAGATTGGTTTTTTTTTATTTAAATTAGATTTTTATTTCATTTATATATTTTACATGGGAAGTATCTTTAAAATTTATTATAATATTTTTTGCATTATACATACATTTATACATATATTTATTCATCTTTGGGAAAAAGGTTTAGAAAAAGGGTTAAAAAACAGGTTAATATGGCATAGGGACAGAAAATAGGGTTTATTTTCATAATTTTTTAGATTTTTTTTCTTTTTAGCATTAGAAATTGATAAATGTATATTTTATTAGACTTCTTTAATTTTGATTAATGTGGTTGTAGATTTATTTGACAATTCATCGAAAAAGCAAATATCTTCACATCTAAACATCAACTTTCAAAATGACCAAAAGTGATTTTGATTTATGTTGTTGTAGATCTATTCGACAGTTCATCGAAAAGCAAATATATTTACATCTAAAATGAATCTTTTGTCATTTTGAACGTTGATGTAAAAATATTTGCTTTCCGATGAGTTAGAACTTAATCTCTAGTGTTTAAGATTGATCCTTCCTTGTGTTTATTATACTCTTTTTCCATAGATAGATTTAAATCTAAGATATTATATTGAATAAGTGTGAAATTTGATGAGACGAGCAAAAGCTATACTTTAATATTTTTCATTCATTCCATTCAAGTCATCTCTAATCTCTAATTGTGTCAAAAAAAAGTTAATACTCTTGTGATACAAAATTAAAGTTATCTGATTTTTTGATTTTTTAATCTAAGCGCGGTAGATGGAAATTTGAATAAAATTTTTTTAAGAATTCCATTCTCTATTGCTTTTCTTCTCTTCAAGACATTATACTCCGAAACAGATAAACCTCTAATGTTCAATATAATACTAAATCATGTTCAAACTCAAATGTCATCAAATTTACACCTCAAAATCTCAGGATTAATGGGATCAACATCATTAGCATGTTGGATAGTTTTATTAATGCCTCAATTAATTGAACAATGGAGATTAAAATCAGCAGAAGGTATTGCTATTGGATTTATTTCAATATGGTTTTTGGGGGATTTTTTTAATTTAATTGGTGCTTTATGGGCTCATTTATTACCTGAAGTTATATTTTTAGCTATTTGGTTTTGTATAGCTGATTTTTTAATGATTTTTAGTTATTTTTATTATACAAGAATTTATAAAAAGAAGAGTCCACATCATAAAAAGCATCATTCTCATCATCATTCTCATCTTGAGGGAGAAAGAGAATTTATTGATGTTAATGAATCAACTCCATTATCTTCAACTGAATCATCACATAGTAGAAGAAGAAGAAGTTCAACTTTAACTGATATTGCAATGGAACCTCAATATCATTCAATATTTGTAAAATATATTTTACCTATAATATTTGTTATATCATGTGGTACAATAGGATTTTTATTATCAAACCCAAACAACTCCGAAAATCAACCAGTTGATGATTTACCTATAGAAAATCCAATAAAATTAGGTCCACAAATAATGGGATATTTATCAGCATTTTTATATCTAGGAGCTCGTATACCACAAATTTTACAAAATTATAAAAAAAAATCAGTATTTGGTTTATCATTATTGTTTTTTTTATTTTCAACTTTGGGGAATTTAACTTATGCTTTACAAATTTTATTTTTTAGATTTGATAAACAATATATCTTGCTTAATTTAAGTTGGTTATTAGGAAGTTTGGGAACAATATTTGAAGATAGTATTATCTTTATACAATTTTATATGTATAGAGATAATGTAGTTAGTAATGATGATGTTGATGAAGAGGGACGTTAAAAAAAAGAACTAGATAGTAATTTCTAGATTATAATGTAATATAGCATTCACATAAAATAAAACATATTTAATGTAAAAGAAGATTTTATGTAACAGTCCTGGACACACAACTATTTGTCCGTTTATTCGTTATTGAATAAAGTTTTCGTTCGTCACGGCCGCTCATACTCTATCAAGCTCCATACTACATTTGTCTGACGTAATTATTAAAATATATTAAAACAGATTATAAACAATCTACTTGAAAATCCAGACAAAACTATAATTAATAATAATTAAAAAATAAAAAAATTCAACCCAAATAATAAACGTAAAAGAAATATAGCTAAACAAATCACATACTTATACTCAACATAACCAAATTTTCAAACTTCTCAACTAGACTATTAATGTTGAGTTTTATTATCAAATTCTGAATATTTTGGAGGTGCTGTAACCAATGAATTATTATTATTTCCAGAATTACTACTATTTTCATTAATAGCACCATAAGCAATTTGTCCAGTTCCATTAGGTTCATTTCTTATACTTGTACGTTCATTTCCACCATGATGACTATCGTGATGATGATGATGATGATGATGGTCAATAGGAGTTTGATTTTCTAAATCATTTCTATAAACATAATAAATTTTTTGATTTTCATTATCATAATAAGGAGGATATTTTGCAATAATATACCAACTATGAATTAAGCCTGGAAAAAAACCTAACATACATAATAAAATATTTATAAATGAATCTGTTGAACATATTCCTCTTCTTATCCATACTGGTAATGGTGGGAAAAATATTGATAATATTATTAAACAAAGGTCAGAAAGACATAAACACATTTTTTTGTATATTGAAAAACGAGGGTTGCGTTGTATTTTTGGTAGTTGTTTTAGTTGTTGCTGTTGAAGTGATAGTCGTAGTAGTAGTTGTAGTAGTGATAGTTGTTATTGTAGTAGTTGTTGATTGGTGCCGTTTGATTTTAGATAACCATTACATAAATTTTTATATTGATCGGTTTAAAAATAAGAATTTGGATGACGTATTTTTTTGCCCACGAGTCGTGACAATATATTTTCAGTCACAAGACAAATACTATCCGATACTTTAAAGATTCATTTACATAATGTGTTATAATATTTGTATCGCCATCAAATCTTCAACACTTGAACAAAGTCACTCCTTCATCAATTAAATGTTTACTTGAACCAAATGTCAACAATTTCATTAAATATTACATATTTAACTCAACAAAAAAAAGTTACAATAAGTAAATCTCAAACAATTTCTCAATTAATATCACAATGTTTAACAACCTTCAAAATTGATTCATCACAATATAGTGGAGATTTATATCACAATGATAAATTACTAGATTCAGCTACTCCAATAAGATTAACTAACCTCATCAACAACTCAAAATTAAATTTTAAAATTAAAAAAATTGATTTAAATAAATTAATAAATGTTAAATTTATAAATGATAAAGGTTCATCAATAAATAAATTTACAATATCAACAACTTTAAAACAAATAGTTGAATCATTTAAATCACCTGTGAAAAACACTCAATTAAGAATTTTAAATCTAACTATAGATTATACAAATTATGAATCAACAACATTAGGTTCAATTGTTGGTAGTTCAAATAGTGTAGTTATAAGATTAGAAGAAATAAAATCAAAATTGGAAATTGAAAAATTAGCTAAAAAACAAGAAGAAGCTAATAAATTATATTTACAACAAGAGATCGAAAGGAAAAAAGCTGAGGAAGCTAAAGCAATTGAAGATAGGAAAGAACAAGAAAATAGAGAAAAATATGCAGATACTCATGAAACTTTGAATAAAGAAGAAGAAAACGAAGATGTTGAAATGGCAGACGTGGAAGAGTCAAATACGAGAGAACCAGCACCCGAAACAACACCCATTTCATACACCGCAGATGCCCCACAACAACCTTCACAATTAGAATCAACACAAACAGAGTTAACAGAATCAACAGAATCACCTTCATCATACGTATATAAAGAAGAAGAATTTAAAGAAACTCCACAATTATATGTCCCATCACAATCATCATCAAACTCCACAAACAAAGATCAATCTCCAATATATCAAAATCCAGAAGAAGATTATAATATGACAGTAAATCAAGCAAAAACTTATCAAAATGTAATTAGAAATTCAGCAAAAAGAAACAACCCAAAAAAAGAAACAAAAAAACCAACCAAATATCTTATAAGAATTAAATTCCCAGATGGTTCAATATTACAATTAAATTTTTTAAAAGATATAAACACTTTAAAATTTGGTCAATTTTTAAAAAAAATTGATGAAATTTTATTACCTGAATTTTTAAATAATTATAATTTAAAATTAGGTTATCCATCATTTAAAAAATTAAATCAATCATTCTCGAATAATAATGAATTATTAATTAATTTAGAAGAATTTTCATCAAATGAACAAATTATTTTAATCTGGGAATTAAGTAGTAGTAATATAAATCATAAAGGTCCCTTCTTAAATAATCAATCACAAGATTTAATTATAAAACCAAAAGATGAATTACCTGAAAGAAAATTAGAAAAATATAGAAAAAATTTACCATCTGATGATAATAATAATGAAAAAAGTCAGAAAGGTAGTTTTTTAAAAAATCCAAAATCAAGTTCTAATAATGATGATGAAAAGAAAAAATCAAAATTACCAAAATGGTTAAAAATGAATAAGAAATAGATATCATATACCAATAAAAAAGCGTATGAAAATAAATTTTAATTTGGATGTCTTGAGTAACTGGTACTTAAATAGAATTTATATACATGATTATATACATGGTTTAAAGTTGAAAAATTTGATACTACGCACTTTCAATTACTATGTCAATCGAATTTTGTTAGAGTGACTTCAGATTTCCCGAGAACCCGATGTTCCGTTTAATTCATATTGTAGTAACACTAATGAGAGATTCAGCTTTCATCGAAATTTAGCTCCTGAACTTAATGTAGCTGTCTTTGAAAGACTTCGTATTAAAAAATTTCGCCTGCGTTCATCAATTTCGACTGAATTTCATTCAAAAACTTCTGAAACCAATGATTATACCCCTCTTCAGCTATTTGATTTAGAGAACAATAATCAGAGGTTCACAAGGTTAAACATACATAAAAGTTGTGTTCACAATCTATCGTAGATCAATTTCTACGATAATTAGTAATCAAATACTTCGATTACCGCTGATAACCATATTATCAAAAGTAAACAATCTAATTGATCTAAATTTGGATCTACAATATTAGAACGTTTTATTACTGGCAAATGTTATAGCCGCACTGACGTCCATACATTATTGTCTTAAAGCCTAATTTTGTCACTCAATTTGTATGCGAAATATCCGTCCTCCGTTAGCGCTTAGTAGTTAATTAATTTTTTTGTATCGGGAAAGTAGACCCTATTTGAAATAATAATTATTGAAAAAAGCCCTAAAGATCTTGAACTTTTGTTTTGAAATGTCGAACTGAACCTCCATTAATTCTGTTATTGAACCTTGAATCAAACTTTGTTACGAACAATCAACGTTTTTAGGAATTTGTTGCTATGTTGTTGTTTGTATACTTTTTCTTATTGTTATCTCCATTCTTTAATTTGAAAAGTATGAGTCAGAATTAATGAAATTTTTAGTTAACAGAATTTGGTAGCTTTCATTTATTATTATTTATCTTTAACAAATAGAATAAATATACGAGTTCAATTATATGCAGTACTTTCTATTACTTACCCTTTTAAAAATTTTTCAAGTTTTCAAGTAGAAAAAAATTATTTAATCAATTGAAATCCCACTTTAATTTATTGAAAAATTTTTCAATCTTTTTTTTTTTTTCTTTTCTTCAACCAACAAGATTTATAACAACAACAAGTACAAATCAATAAATTAACACTACTACGTCAATCAAACTAATTACTTACTATTATAATATTATTATTTATTCCCCCATATTACTTACTAGAGCTTACAATTTTTTAAAAATGTGTGCTTAAATTTATTGTTGTTATTTATACACTTAAAAATTTATTATTTAACTATGCTATAATTAAATACTAAAGAAAATCAATCTCAAATATAAAATTTTGTTGATTTAACCTTGTTATTATTAATCCTAAAAGAAAAAATGTTGAAATAGAAATTCGTTTACATATCCCAATATGGAGATTTTAATACCTATACTACTACTACAATTATTGTTATAAAACCAAAAAAAAAAGAGAGTTTACATATACAATATCATATTAAACTATAGAATTATACTACTGCTACTGTTATTACTTATTATTACTACAAATTTTTAAATTATTTAAATTATTAGTTAATACTTATTACTTATACAAAGAGAAATGTCTGCTACTACTACTACTGCTACTACAATTAATAAAATTCAAAAAGATTCAATCCCAATGGAATCTTTTGAATTAATTAATGACAATATGACTACTACTAAATCAAATACAAATTTAGAAACTGAAAAAGGTTATGCATCACCTTTTCAAATCCATTCAAGTGTTTTGGATTCCGTCTTCAGTACAAATTTAGATGGAAAAGATGCCATGATTGATCATACTCCTATGTTTGATGAATTAGATTTTATTGTTGATGGTGCTAAAGTGAATTCTAAAGAGGATTGGGTTGCATTGTTTGATGAAGATGTCATTTTCAATACGGTTGATGGTGGAGAACAAGGTGAAGAAGAATCGACCGATATTGTTAATGAATTTGATGCTCCAATTTTATCTTTAGATGCAACAAATGACCAAGGTATCAACAATGAAGGTATATTTGATGATGAATCATTATTACCACTTTTAATTGAACCATCTCCAAATGGTTTATCAGATGAAACTATATCTGCTGCTACTACATCTGCTTCAAGTCCAGAGTTGGAATTGGCCAGTACAATTGCTACAAGTATTGTTACTTCATCAACAAGTAATAAAAGACCTTTTGCTGCCGTTGATGATGATGAACCAAATTACACAACATCTAAACATAATCATACTCAACAGCAACAATTGTTTACTCCAAATCCTTCATCAACATTACCAACTCCTCAATTAGATATGAAAAAACCATCAAATAAAAAATCAAAAGTTGATCATTTAGGATGTGTAACTTATTCTAAAAAACAAAGATCTCAATCTTTACAACCAATTGCATTTGATGAAATTGAAGATAGTGCTGCATTAAAAAGAGCTAAAAATACAGAAGCTGCAAGAAGATCAAGAGCTCGTAAAATGGAAAGAATGACACAATTGGAAAATAAAGTTGAATCATTGTTGGATGAAAATACTCGTCTTAGAAATCTTTTGAAATCTCATGGAATTTCATGTTGAATTGAGTTTTGTTTTTGTTGATATTTAGTTAGTTAGAGTTTATAAAAAAATAAAAAAAAAATTGTTTTATTTTAATTTTATTTATTGTAGTATTGACACCTCATCCTTTTTCATCGATATGTATGTTGAGTTACCACTAGATGACATTGATAGTGAATAGTTCATTAAATCATTAGTTCAGCTACACACTGAGAGAGTAGATCTGAATCCTTGTATTAGTGGATAACTGTCGTAAATATTGCGACAATCAAAAAATGGATTTTTGGCACTTGTCATTTTAATTATTCTCCAAAGAACGTCCTAATCATTGTCGAACTTGAATACAACAAGACATACAATTAGTACAAGTATCTTTTTCATAATCAAATTTCATCATTAAATGAAATACGACTACATTTAAGTTAGTATAGTGGGTATCGGGCGATACTCTCTAATGCAATTGCCACAGCATATGATCTGTTTTTTCGTCTTTCTTCAGAATATACCAAGTCGATCGAACGTTGGAATCTTTATCAATGGAGAAGGTTGAATCACAAAAAGATCAATATATGAAGCGATTGTTCAATCAACTTGTTATATTTAGAAGGAATACGGAAGATTAGGAAATGCAGCGGCAATTATATTAGAGAAGCATGGCCCAATAATCAATTTCACTATGACTTATACCCTTAAAATTTAGACATCAAATTTGGTGATGCAATATTCATAAATCCAAAATATTTAACCATCATAGCAGATGTAAGAACATAGAAATTGGCTTCATCTTGTGTTGAAAGTATATCTACAAAGTATTGTATGTTCTAGTTACAAGGAATACACAAACATCTATCAGTTTTTAAAGAGATTTATATTTATATCTCACTATAAGTAGCTAGAGACCCATTGTTCACCTAATAGATTTTTTGAGCAATGTTAAATATACTATCGCCTAATAATTACAGGGATGGAAATTATATATGAAAGTGAAACATAAACTACTAGAGTTCCATTTTCGTGTACAATTTCCATACTTAGAAACATATCCTATTTTTTTTAAGTATTTATTTAAACAAAACACATAGTACATAATTTAATCAAATGATTCATCTTCAACTTTATCAATAACTTGTAAAAAATAATAATAAAAAGCAATAATATCATAATGAGATGAAATGTTAATTTTTTCATTAACACTATGAACTCCACCACTTTTAGAACTAATGTTTCCAGGAATATATCTATAAATATTTTTTGTTAATTTCCAATAATTTTTTGTATCTGTATTTCCTGTTGATATAAAAGGAGTTATAATAAAGGGATCTTGGGTTGTGTTGGTGGTTGTGGTTGTAGAAGTGTTTAATATATTTTCATAAAAATATCTTAATGATCCTCCAAAAATTTTCCAACTTTCATTTTGAGGAGATACGGGAGCTGGTTCTAATGGTTCTATAGTAGTATATTTAAAATGACCCTTTTCAGTAGGTTCAATTATTGTTTCATTATTTAAAATAAATCCAAAATTATATTTCTTTGCAATTATTTCAATTAAATTTTTATAATGAAGTACAGTTTCTTCAACTGAACTTTCAATTGCAATTCTTGTGTTGACTAACATTGAAACATGTTCAGGTAATGCATTAGCTTTTACTCCTCCTTCAATTATATCAACAGCTTGAGAGGTTTGAATTAAATATTTTGTTTCAATTTTAGAATTTAAATATTCAATAACTCTTGCGTTCGCTTGGGGATCAATTTGAGATTTTAAAATATTTGATTTTAAATTTTTTGAAATATTTGTATGTTCTGCTAAACAATATAATTGAGACATTACAGGGTTCAGTTTAGTTAAAATTGGTTTAAATGGATTTGATTCAATTTCATTAATTAATTTTGCAATTATACCAATTGATGTATGAGAATCTGGAACAGACAGATGTCCACCAATACTAAAAATTTCAATTTGAGAATTTAAATGACCCTTTTCACCAGATGCAATGAATACAAAATTTCTATCATTTAAATTTTCATACCCTGCTGTACCTTCATCAATAATTTGTAAGAAATTGTTTTCACCATATTGACTAATTAAATGATTTGATATATGTTTTGCTCCTTCTCCTGCACTTTCTTCATCATAACCAAATGCTAAAATTATAGTTCTTTTTGGTTTAAATTTATTTTCTTCTAATAAAAATTCAATTGTACTTAATAATCCAATTAATAAATTTTTACAATCACATACACCTCGACCAATTATAAATCCAGTTTTGTTGTCAATATGACCATCAAATGGGGGAGAATCCCATTTATTTAAAGTAGCTTCTTGAACAGGTACAACATCTTGATGAGCAGTTAACATTATTGGTTTCTTTTTATCATCAGTTCCTTTCCATGTATATACTAATCCTAATTTATTAATTTTTTCAACTTTTAAATTTTTATAAATTAATGGATATGTTTTTTCTAAGTAATGATGAAACCATAAGAATGGATACCATCTTTTGTCTTTTGAACCATTTCCCACTGGATCTTGCATATCATCATAAATTTCAGTTGGTATTTTTATTGAATTTTGAAATCTTTTATTTAATAATTCATGAAACTTATCATCTTCCAAGATATATTTTATATTATCAGGATTTGTAATATATGAATTTGGATTGATTTTTTCAAGAATTGGACATAATGATTCATCAGGTACCTTTAAGTTTAATAAATTGTTATTATAAACTGTTTTACCAAATATTGATGAAATTATAAAAATGAATAATAACCAAAATGGTATTAACCAACGATTATATTTTTTCAAAGATCTTTGATTGTTATGAATTGGTAAATCATTGTTTAACCAATTCTTGTTCAATGTTTCTTTTTCATTCAAGTCGCCAAACATTGTCAATTGAGTTGATAAGTTTTGAAAGTTTTAGGGAGTTCCATTTGGGACTTTTAAAGTTTATATGAATTTTGAATTTATTGTTTAGTTCATTTAAAATCATAATTCGGAATTTGATAATGAAAATTCCGTTTCCAATGTCGGGTTTTAAATTCACGCTAAATGTTGATATTAGTACTGTATATTGTCTTATCTATGTCAGTTTTAGGTTATTGTCAATAATTTATTTGCGTCATTGACTCAGAAATTTTCAAATTGTAAGAAGAGTAATTTTGATTAAACATAAGATGTGAATCTTGTAGTTACGAGAAATTTGTTGGTGGCGATAAGTCGAAACTTATTAAAAACTATCTGCAATCAAATTTCACCTATGAGATAACCTCGCTTATTTTAATTCGTTTCTTTTTTTTTTCAACGTCTGATGGATGTTTGACAGATCGGGAAAACAATTTTGAGTTTTCTGTCTTACGATAACAAAAGTATTTGATAACTGACAATCAAGACCAAATCATTTGAGAACTTCTCCCATTAAGAATTCTTAATATCAAAGGAACTGTTTCTCCGTTTTATAAACTATACCTAACTTATCGGTTCTATCACCTTCTTTACATCTCTCTTTGGTTATCTCTCTCTATCTCGCAAACTCTTTCTCTTTTTTCAAATCTTCTTATGACTCAAGTTGCAGACTAAGATTAAGATTATTAGTCATTTTGTGTAACAAATTTTTATTTGAAATAAAAAAACGGTGATTCTCTCACCATTGAAGAAATTTTTCAAATTTTTCAAAATAATTCTAATAAGAAGGTTAGTGAAAAATATACACAACAAACCAACCACACTCATTTTAAATAGACAACCTCGATAGATCAAAACTCATCAGTCAGTATGTGTGGGATTTTTGCATGTTATAGAGTTCAAAATGTTGAAGAATTTAAACCAAAAGCATTACAATATTCAAAATTAATAAGACATAGAGGACCAGATTGGTCAGGTAATATAATATGTAACAAAGATACTATATTATGTCATGAAAGATTAGCTATCGTTGGTTTAGATGCTGGAGCTCAACCAATAGTTTCACCAGATGAAAGATATACTTTAGCAGTTAATGGAGAAATTTATAATCATATACAATTAAGACAACAATTTAAAGATTATAAATTTAAAAGTTTAAGTGATTGTGAACCTATTATACCATTATTTGAAAAATATGATATTGATGCTCCAAAATATTTAGATGGAATGTTTGCTTGGGTATTACATGATAAAAAAGAAAATAGAATAGTTGCAGCAAGAGATCCAATTGGTATAACAACATTATATTTAGGTAAATCTTCAAAAACCCCAGAAACAAGATATTTTAGTTCAGAATTAAAATGTTTAGTTGATGAATGTGATTCTATTGAAGCATTCCCACCAGGTCATATATATGATTCAAATACTGATAAAATTGTAAGATATTTTGAACCTTCATGGTGGGATGGATCGAAAATTCCATCACAACCAGTCGATTATACAAAAGTAAGAGAAACATTAGAATTAGCTGTTAGAAAAAGATTAATGGCTGAAGTTCCTTATGGTGTTTTATTATCAGGTGGATTAGATTCAAGTTTAATTGCAAGTATTGCAGCAAGAGAAACTCAAAAAGCAAATGAAGAAAATTTAAAAAATCATCATCATAAAGGTATTGATGCAAATAAAGAATTATCTGGGGTTGATAATTCTGGTTCATTACATTCATCTGCTGGTTTTAATCAATTACATTCATTTGCAATAGGTTTACCTGGAGCACCAGATTTAATAGCTGCTGAAAAAGTAGCTCAATATATTGGAACAATTCATCATTCTCATACTTTTACTTTAGAAGAAGGTATTGATGCATTAGATGATGTTATTTATCATTTAGAAACTTATGATGTTACAACTATAAGAGCATCAACTCCAATGTATTTATTATCAAGAAAGATTAAAGCTCAAGGTGTTAAAATGGTATTATCAGGTGAAGGATCAGATGAAATTTTTGGTGGATATTTATATTTTGCAAATGCACCAAATGCTGATGCTTTCCATCAAGAATGTGTTCAAAGAGTTAAAAATTTACATTATGCTGATTGTTTAAGAGCTAACAAGTCAACTATGGCTTGGGGTTTAGAAGCAAGAGTTCCATTTTTAGATAAACAATTTTTGGAAGTTTGTATGAATATAGATCCAAAAGATAAATTAATAACGAAAGATCATATTGAAAAATATATCTTGAGAAAAGCATTTGATACAAAAGATAAACCATATTTACCAGATGAAATTCTTTGGAGACAAAAAGAACAATTTTCAGATGGTGTTGGATATTCATGGATTGATTGTTTAAAAGATACTGCTGAAAAATTAGTAAGTGATGAAGATATGAAAAATCCAAAACCTGAATGGGGTGATGATATACCACAAACAAAAGAAGCTTATTGGTATAGATGTAAATTTGATAAAATGTTTAATAATTCAAAAGCTGCTGCTTCAACTGTTATGAGATGGATTCCAAAAGCTGAATGGGGATGTCATGCTGATCCAAGTGGAAGATATGCAGCAACTCATGATCATAAAGTAGATGGTAAAGATTAGAAATTAGAACATTGTTTATAGATTTAAAAAACTTGTATATGTATGTACATTTAAAAAGCTAATTTAATAAAGAAGAATAGTTTGTTTCTTTTTTATATACATTTTTATTAATCCAACTTAGTTAAAAATTTTTCAACTTCTTCACGATCTCTAATCAACCAATTTTCGTTAATTTTAATATTATCTAAAGCTTGCTTCAAAGCTCTTTCAAATCCATGAATATCTCTACTTTTAAAAAAATTATTAATTTTATCTAATTCAAATTGTAATGAATAATTTCTTAAAGTTATTTTTATAAATCTATCAAGTACAACCATATTAGTTGACATTATTTTATAAAAACTTGAATCATAATGTTGTAGAAAAAAATCTAAAAATTTATATTTAGTTTTAGAATTTAAACTTAATGGTTTTCCTAAAAAGTGTGAATCCATTGGTGGAAGAATTTTAGGATCTATCAAAGAATTTAATAATTTTTCAATAAATTCAGGATTTATGGTTGATCCTAATGCAGTTAAAGCTAATTCTCTAGAATCTAATGATGTTGGATTTGTGACTTGTTTCATTATTTCATTAAATTGTTCTTGTGTGAAATTAGAAGATGATGCTATAGCTGTATATACAAATAATCTTAATGATGGATGAATTGTTGTTGGGTTATTAAATAATTCAAGTGCAAATTCATAAACTTTAGGAATATCTAGTCTTCCAGCTTTTGTTAAAATTTCAGATCTGAATTTAACTTTTAAAAAATCTGAATCATCAATTTTATTTTTTTGTAAATCTTCAATTATTTCAATAGCTTTTTTTGAATATACATTTTGTAAAAATGTTTTTATTGATTCATTGGAATCTTTACTTGTAAATACATTAGCAAAATTTCCTAAATTTTTTCCTAACTCTAACCATACAACATAATCATCTTTTAATTTCGGTACGATTGTATTTATGAATTTCAAAAATTTAACAGTTGAATTATTACCTGAACATGCTGTAGCCGCAAAATCAGCAATAATACCTACTTGATCCCTACTTGAAAATTCTTCAAAATATGGAATCACATTTTTTTCCAAAATATCATCGGAATATTTTACTCTATAAACTCCTGATGTATCTTTATTAATTTTAAATTTTGAATCACCCAATTGATAATTCTTATAATCTATTTCGTATTTATCAAATGAATCAATTCCTATGGAATTCTCACTCAATATATTTAATGGAATCCACCATTTTGATTTAGTATCTTCTTCACTAACATCACCACCATTCAAAAATCGTGATTGACTAAATTTTAAACCATCTTCAAAATTTCCCACATTAACAATAGGAAACCCAACTTCTTTAATCCAAGTATTCATTAATTTATCAACAGGTTTCCCACTAACTTCACTTATAGCATTCCATAAATCTTGACTTGTAGCATTACTATATTTATTTGTTTTTAAATATAATGCAACACCTTTTAAAAATAAATTTGTACCTAAATATTTCGAAATCATTAATATTGTAGAAGCTCCTTTTAAATAACTTATAGCATCAAATACTTGATCAATATCTAAAGCATCAACTACTGGTACTTCAATTGGATGAGAATTTCTTAAACCATCTAATTCTAATGCTTGTTCTAAACTTGTACTAACAAATTCACTAAAAATATCCCATTCAGGATATAAATAATCAACAGCTGTATAACCAACCCAAGTTGCAAATCCTTCATTTAACCATAATTCATCCCACCATTTCATAGTAACTAAATTACCAAACCATTGATGAGCTAATTCATGAGCTACAACATATGCAACTTTTTGTTTATATGATGGATCTGATTTTTCAGAATTATATAATAAAGCAGTTGATCTATATGTAATAAGTCCCCAATTTTCCATAGCATTATGAGAAAAAGAATGAACAGCAATTAAATCTAATTTAGATAAAGGATATTTAATTTCAAAAATTTTTGAAAAATAATCAACTATTTTAGGAGTAATTTCAGATGCTAATTTTGCATCTTCTATATAACCTCCTTTTGTAGTATAAATTCTTACTGGTAATGGTTTACCATTATAATTTTCTTTTGTAAATGATTCAATATATTCAAATTCTCCACATGCCCAAGCTAATAAATAAGTTGACATAATTGGAGTTTGTTCAAATTTAACTTGTTTTAATCCATTTTCAATTTCAGTTTCAGATTCAACTGGAGTATTACTTAAAAATGTCCAATTAGAATCACCAATTATTTTAACTTTAAAAGTAGATTTTAATAATGGTTCATCTAAACAAGGAAAAGCTCTTCTTGCATCAGTAGCTTCAAATTGAGTACTTAACATATATTTTGTAACTCCTTGATCTTCATAACTTGATTTATAAAATCCTGCCATATTAGTTTGAATAATTGCATTATAATTGATTATAACATTTAATTTTCCTGATTCAACAGTTTGATTAAATTTAATTATGAAATATTCTTTTGATTTATTTTCTTCAATTGAATCAATTTTAATGTTATCTCCATTATTTGTGACTTTAATATCTTCTTTTGTTACAGATATATCCCTATAATTTAAAATTAATTCATTAGTTGGTTGTAAAACATCTAAATCAATAGATACTTCACCTTTAAACGTATCATTCTTTAAATTTATATCATAAATTGATAAATCATAATGAATTGGTTTTAGATTTGTTGGTAATGCCTCATAATACGGTTCTCGTAATTCAGAGGCACACATCTTTGAAACGTAGAGTATAAATGAAATTTATGGAGAAAATAATTTGCATCAAAATTGATCTGTGCCTAATTTTAAAATGAGACATTCAAAGTGTCTCTTTTTTATTTCTCCGACACGACAAGAAAAAATATCAATATGAATAACTTTTGTTTGAAAACATTGGTGAAGTTGATATCAAAAGTTCTTTTGAAGATCTGGTATCAATGGGGGGTTTTAGTGAGAGAAATTACTTTCATTTCAGCAAGTACGTCACATAATATCAACAACCTTCCTGCCACTTTAATGCAGTAGAGGTTTCAGTCTTTGTTTAAAATAGCTAAGCAACTGCATCCTCATCACTAAAAGGTTCCGATTCTAATCTTACCTCGGAAAGATGGGATTATGGATTGTTGTGTAGGAAAGTAGATTAAGATATCACCAATATCAACAAAAACTTATTTTTGACAAACTTTTGGATTACCATTAATTATAAATTCATTTCCATTAAACTTGTTGAAAACATTCAGTTTCTGCCAACCTTTCAAGATATTTGGTACCATCATTGATGACATTGAAAAAGAAGAATTACAACTTTGAAAATATAAACTAGAGAAAGTTCAAGATGTATCAAAGAATGCCGGATAATGTTGTTTGAACATATTTAACAGAGGTAATTTGGTCTGTAAATTCTTAAAAATTGCCCCTGTTTCCAATAGGAGATGATTTTCAACTTCATACATGCTAAGTTATATTTGTTTAAATATGCTGAAACAATATTATCCAGTTAAGATAACAAGCCCAAAACAATGTCAAAGACAAATCGAATCAAATTCAATAATTTTGTTTATTAAATTGTTTCTATATATTAATATATATGATTATAATTTACTTGAAATTACACTTGAATCCCTATTTTTATTTTTATTAGTTATATCAATAATATAATTTAATTTAATTTCATTTGTTAAAAATGATTTTTGATCATTTAAATGTAATAATTGTTTTAAAAATTCATTTAATATACCTAAATCCTTAGGATTTAAAATTTGAACAAATGCCTTAGTTTTAGCTTTATTTTTAAAAATTTTAATTAAATTTAAATTATTTAAATAATATAAATCTGATACTAAATATTGTTTATTTATTGATTCTAATGATTGAAATTGTGATTTCTTTTTTGATTGATCAATTATATATTTTAATAAACCTTTTGTTGTTGGATATTTTAATTCATCATCATCTAATACAATTTTTGAATGTTGTCTTTGTTGTCTTGATGCTGCATAAGAATTTGATAAATTATGAGTCATTTCTAAAATATTTGAAATTAAAACAATATATGATTCCATAAATGGTTGAGCTAAATTTGCAAATAATTTAACATATTGTTGATCAACAATTTTATAAGAATCTATATTTTGATCATTTGTTTCTTTTGTTATAACACCAATATCAACTAAATCATTTAATATATAATTTAAATCATTTTTTGGATTTTCATCATAATCAAATAAAAACTCATTTTTCAAAAAACTTGTTATAACATAAAATAATTTACCAACTATAATTTTATTACAATTTATATCATTATCTAATAATAATAAGATATACATTATAATACATCTTTGAATAATTAAATGAATTGTTAAATTTTTATAATATAATAATTCTATAGGTGATTCAATTTTAATTAAATTCAATTTATCATTAACTTTAATATATCTAAAAAATGAAACAATTTCAAATTTTATAACACTTATTAAATCATCATCTGAAAATTCTAATAAATCTTGTAATATAATTTTATTTGTATTGGAAGATTCATTTTCTCTTAATAATTCTTTAACAACAATTTTTAATATAGGTAACATTTCATCAATTGTAAATAATGATTTTTGAGAAAAATAATTATAAGCTTGTAAAGCTAAACCAATAATTGAAATTTCTGGTATAAAAGAATTTCTATTAACTTCATGTAAAATTTTAAAACTTAATTTTTTTAAATTAACTTCTTTTTCATCTTTTACATCATCATTATTTATAAATTCACTTAATGTAAAACTTTCACCTAATTTAACAAAAATTTTTCCAGTTAATGTTCTTTTTGAATTATCATTAAAACCTTGTTTATCATAAATAATTTTATCTTCTTTATGATAAAATGCACTTGTTGCAACTCCTAATATACCAAATAAATTTTCTTGAGTCTTGTCATCACCTTTTAATTCTTTTAAAAATTGATCATTTTCATAAACTCTTTCATAAGTAACAGCAACTGGTTGAAATAACATATCAAAATTTAATTTATGTTCTTCATTTCTTTGTTTTAAATATATAGAAACTAATGATTTTATTATACCATATTTTGGTAATAATAATTTTCCATCTCTTGATCTTGTACCTTCAATAAATACTTCAAATGGGATTTTATTAACTAATATAAATTCAATAACATTATTTAAATTTCTTTCAGTATATAATTCATTATTAAAAGATCTTGGTATAAAAATTGCACCTAAATTTTTTAATAAATTTCCAACTATTGTAACATTTAAATTTTCTCCTGCTATAACTGTTGGTATTGCCATTGAAAAACGTACACAAATTAAATGTAAAATAATATAATCTAAATGAGATTGATGAGATGGAGTCCATATAATTGACATTGGATTTTTTAAATATTTTTTATATAAATTTGATAAATCATTATTTGATACCCAAACTCCCTTTGGAAATAATTTATTCATGATTGTCATAACTGTAACATAAGCAGATCTAACAAATTGATGAGATGCAAAAGTTGGTAAATTAATTTCATTATTTTGTTTGTAATATTTAACCATATATTCTTTAACTTCTTGAAATCTTTTTTTAAAATCTGAAGCTTTAATTAATTTCATATTTAATTCTTGATTTATTAAATTATAAATAATTTCATCTAATTTTTTATCATCTTTTTCTAATTGATTATTTATATGATCTTTAAAAGTTTTTTTAAATTTATCTGAATGTTTATTCATAAAGTATCTATATTCATTATTTGAATAAATTTTATCATAATTTTCTGAACCTGTAAAAAATCTAAATGCAGAATGTAATATATTAAAAGATTCATGTAAAGTTTTAACATTATTTGGTCCATCAATATAAGTTTCTTTATCAATTGGTAATGGGAAATTTAAATCAATTGTTGGATTAATAAGTGCATCATCTAAAATATTAACATCAAAATCTGCATTTGAAATATCTTGTTGTAAACCTGATGCAATTGGATTTGAATCTGGTGGAGGAGTTGTAGTATTTGTATTAGCTGTCATTTTTAGGAAAATTTATGCAAATATTAAATGATGATATAAAAAGTTGAAAAATTAATAAACAAATGAAAAAAAGCAAAATTAATTGTTCAAAATTGAAATTAAATTGAAAAGTGAAACTAAATGCTAATATTATCTAGAATTTATGTTGGAAATGAAAAAAAAATATGAAAATGAACTAAGTCAAATTATTGTCCAATTATTTGTAAAATTGTGATGATAAAAAGAAATGAAAAATGTCAAAATTGAATAAATATATTTTAGTAAAGGTTTTTTTTTGGATGAATTTCAACCTTCGAACTGACTGTCTTTTGATTGAAGCAAGTACTCAAGAATTTGAATGGTGTTTAGCTATGAGTATATTGTCAAAACTTCTTCAAATTTCTTCGAGAATTGTAAATTTGTTGATTTGATGATATATATAAATTAATTTAATTTAATTTAATCTCCTGTATACAATCTTTTTTTTTGTTTTTTTTTTGTTGGGCAGATAATTATTTAATTCCCAAAACAGTAAAATATTAAATATATTTGTATTAACTACTATAGAGCTGCTTATCACTTTACTTAAACAATAGAGAAGGTTGATTAATTAGTTGATAAATTTATAAATCATATATCGAGATTCAAAGAAGTTAGCGAGTTTAAAAACTGTCCATCGCATTGCATTACTTCAACAAACAAAGTCATTCAATTTAATTGATTGCTTCAATGGAACTGAAGTATTTAGAGAGATGAAACGTACGTTGTATGTACTAGTTACTTCTATTTAGTGATCATTACCAAGGTTCATTTACTACTTTAATTAGATGAAACGCAATTTTGAAACCCCAATTTTTTTTTTTTTCCCCTGGGATTAAAAATTATTTAATTAGACCAAAAAAAAACCAAAAGAAGATTAAAGAAACAATCTCATAAGTCATTAGATAATAATCACAAATTTAATGTAATAGATTCATATTAGATCTTATCACAAGCTTAAAAATTTACTTGATAGTATTTAATAAATTATACATCTCCATCATTCAACATTTAAATTAATTAAAGTTGAAGTTTTAAAAAGTGTGAAAATATAATATTTTTCCATATGTCCATGAAATTGGTCTAGCTAAGTTTTAGTTGTTTTAAAAGATAACACGTTTTCACACTTCTAAATCTTGATCAGAGTTCATTCAAATTACAACTTCACTTATATTCTCAAGTTCATTTACCTGATGATTTACCTAGGTGACTTTTCCCCGGATTGAATGTAATTCTCACACTGAATTTAAAACTAGATTTTGACTTTGTGCCAACGAAAATCGATTTCATCCTACTATGAAGGATTTTGCTACTTGCCATACCTTCATGTAAATCATATATCGACTGTGAACAGAAATGTAGTTCTAATGTCCGTTTGTGTGACTTTTGGATTATGTATTAATTTATATGTTTCATCTTTTATTGTTAATTAAATCTGAAACACATACATTAATTGATATTTTATTTTTGTGTAACTAAATTGTTTTTGGTTCATCGGATTTAACAAAGATCTAATTGTTTACCCCACTTTGATCTAGGGGTGCATGTCTGAAACTATTAATTAATTGTCCCTGATGGCTATACTATACTAGGATGATATTCAATCTACGTTGACAAAACATCTTTAACATTTGATTGGCCCTGAAAGTGTCTTTATTGCTTTTGCATAGGTGCAATAAAATAAAAAATAAATTGGATCAAGTCAAATATTATATATATTTGAGTTTATTTTCTTGGAAATAGTTAATTATGAATCACAATGAATTGGTTGATTATTTGTACTTTTTGGTTCAACAAAGACAACAACAAGATATTGTTAATTCGATTCTCTTTCACTCCTACAAGAGTAGTTACTGAATAAGCTTTCAATAGAGATCTAATTGGCATTCGTGCCTCAACCTGAGATCAGACTATGGAACTTCTGAGCTTCTGATAAATAGAAAATCATGCGTAGCTATTTCGAGAGTTAGGATAGACCTGACCTCGTCATTAGAATAATACATTTCCAAAAATCAAAAGAATTTATAAAAAGTTTTGAACTTGATTACTATCAACTAAGAAAACTAACTTTCATCCTTACTTCCTCTTGATACTTGAATGTTCTTATGGGTGAATCTACGAACCTAGATCTCAACAACATAGTAACGTTGTATGTAATGCCAAAACTTACCACATTAGAACAGAACAATAATCAATTCGTAGCCAGTTAATTGATAGTTGTCATATGTAAAACTCTTCGTTATATGAAAAACTCTTCGTTTTTAAAATTTTTTTAATTTTGTAAATGTATCTACTCCAATGATAGATCAAAACAGTTGCAGCACTCGATTATACATTCATGAAATCTGTAAGAATATTTTTTGAATATTAACTATTTAAAAACTAACTATGTTAACTTCAAAATTAAAATCATATAATTTTTCGTCAGCGCCACATGATCGAAGAAGATTGGATCAACTTTTCTTGCAGGAATCATTGTAGTTTCAATATTTTAGTATCAAATAAATCATTCGATTCGAAATTTGTTCAAATTCTTACATTTTTTAGATAGATTTAGTTGCCAAAGTTGATCGGTATTCAAGCAAGTTTCAATTTTTAACAATAGTAAACACTCTGATTACCATCTTAATCACTATCATAATGGAATGGTTCAATAACATGGTAATCTCCTATTTGTTCCAAGGTTGTAAAAGATGATACAACCGGTGTATATCTGCTATGAACATTTCTTTTAAAACAATTAACGATACTACTTTCTACTCTTTCCTTTTCAGAACGATCCAATAAATCAACTAAATTGAAAAATCTCAATTTATATTCTTCCAATGTAGAATTACCTTGTTTTAATCTATCAAGTTCAATAATTATTCTTTCTTCATGATCTTCTCTTTTAAATTTTTTTTCAAAATCTTCAATAAATTTATTCATATTATATTTGATTTCAGGCTTTTGTTTTGGTAATCCATTAGCTTCTCTTTCCATTTCTTCACCTACTCGTTCAAGAGCTTTTAAAGCAGTAGCATCTTTAAAATATTGTTCAACCCAATTTAAAGCAGGACCAACAACAAAACATTTAGCAATTTCTGCAATAGTATAATCATCAAAATACTTTAATGTTCTATAATTATTTATAAAAGCCATTGCCATTTGGTCAATAACAATATTTATATAAATTGAATCAATATCCGGATAACCAAAGAATAAAAATATATCGGGTTTAACAAGATAATCTTTATGGGTTGAATTATATTCTCTTTTTTTTCTTTTTACCTTTTCAAATTCATTTTCAATAACTTTTGGTCTTTTAACTCCACCTAATTTTGAAGAGTATCTTTTATTTGAACTTGATTTTGTAGAATATCTTTTTCTTGAATTGGTAAATCTATTAGCCATTTTTTTGAGAATTATTCATTAAATGAAGGAGTAAGGAGTACTTAAGGACTCAAATTTTTATGGATGTTTGGATTGTATACGAAATCTTATTGAAATTTAACAAACTCTTTTATAATCAGTTGATTGTTGCCACTAATGTTTGAGTGGATCTACGTGGATTTGATGAAACAAGTAATTTAATATTGATAGCTTGTTAGATTATCAGTAAAATGATTGGAAACGATGTACTAAATTTGTAAACAAATGTAGTATCTAAAACTGAGTTGTATTGAGGTTGGTACTAAATTAGTCTAGATAGTTACTTGATAAAATCTGGAGAATCTATAAAAATTATTACGACTTTTAATTACAGTATTCATTTTTTTGCGACATCCAATAAAATTTTATAAGACATGGATGATACATAATATGTTTCAAACAAGTAACATGACTTACCAATTTTATATTTTCAAACTAAATTGTCAAAGAGCGTAGTTATCTAGCAAGTAGTTTTTACGTTGTAGTGCTTATGGTATGGATTATGTTTCGATTTCTTCATGTCCCACAAATCGTTGACAGTTTGAAACAATTTGCAGTTAAATTGTTCAAAATTTACAAAAGTTAATACTGAAGAGAACTCTTTTATCACCCTTGAACAATTCACTTTGCTGAACACCTTAAATATTTTGAATTAAAGCATACGGGTTGATTTCTATGCTCTTTGACTTGAGGTTTGATACGTGAAAGAACCACTAGTTCAAGCATTTCAATCAATGATTGTCCTAATCCGCCTCAGAAAATGTAAAAAAATTTAAAAAAAACGGGTCATGCATGGTGTGGGGTCCAAAAAGCACACCAAAAATTTTGAAAAAATGGTTCCGTGGTCTAGTTGGTTATGGCATATGCTTAACACGCATAACGTCCCCAGTTCGATCCTGGGCGGAATCATTCGGGAAGATGTCTTCTGAACTTTTTTATTATTTTGGTTTGGCAATCTTTGCAGTGTAATTGTTAGCTTAATTGATGCAAAACATTTGAAGAAATGAAAACGTCTAAACTTCTTATGTTTTTAATATTCGATGTATATTTAATTAAACTTCTGATCTTTGATCCAAATTGATATATTTTTTTTCAGTTTTACGTTCAACTTTTATCAAGAGTCAAACTAATGATTCATTTTTCCAACTCTAAATTCAACACTGTTTTGAAAATTCAAGGTTAAGCTAAAAGAAAGATGATTTTGAACAATCTTTAAAAAGGTTATGAGTTTGAAAATTTCATTTTGTTGTCTTGAGCGGTTAAAATCTTTGAATCAAGATTTCGAAATTGATAGCGATATCTTAAAAGATAAGCAAGATCTTCAAAATACAAAGTCAAATAGATTAGAAATCATTGTATGGTTATTTGGTATTTAAAAAGTAATTTGACTCTTTTACCATTAGATAACTTTATTGCTATCATAAGTTTGAAATTTGCTTTTCAAATTTGAATATAGGGTGAAACGAAATACAACAAATTAAGTTGCAAATATTTGTCATACCTCAAATCCACCAATTTTGAAATTGTTGAGTCATTTGCGATTGCTTTTACATTATTGTTTACATCTTTTCATACCGGCAATTGAACCGACTTTTAGTGAACAAACTAAATATTTAAACTAATTTAGTATCGAATTTAGATCGTTAGGACTAAATTTTTTACATCCTATGTATCTTTTTATCATGCTTCTCTTTAGTGAATTAGATTATCCACGGATAAGATACTGGTTCATTCAAAAAATAATGCTGTGATCCAAGTAGTTCTTAAAACAAGCCAAATCTGACTCAGTCAATTAGTCCAACAAATGATTACAATCTTTGCTTCCAAATTGTAGTTTAAGGGGAACTTTTGAAACAACCAAGAAAAAAATTGCAGCTAACAAATTATTTTATTTTGTGACAAGTTTCGTATCTTGAGCTCACGTCAAACCAAAAACGTAAAAATAAAATTAAATTAAAAAAAAAAAAAGATGGATTGACTAAAAATAGGTAGAGAATAGCACATAACCCAAGCAATAAATCAAATGATATTCATTTAATTTGTCAATCCAACCAAGTTCTATTGAGAATTTAATCAAACATATGATCTCAATTGAAACTTTAGTCTGAAAGACATGAATTTGACTATTTTTAAATCAATTGTAACAAATGAAATTTAAAGATAAGTCATGAATGTTTTCCAATATTTTGTTCCATTGGAAGATAATTGACTAAAATAATTTGAAATATTAAGGTAAGCCAAATTAAAATCGATCTAATTGGTTGAATTTAAAATTGATTTTTAAGGTTTTTATAATATTTCAATTTAAAATCTTATTTCGAAACTCCAAATTTTTCACTCAATCTTTCATAACCAATGAAGAAGCATCTACTCAAATCACCGGGTTTAAATTGAAAATATGAAATATGAATATCGAATCGATATTTAAATGTGAAAAGTTATTTCCGACTGAAAATGTAAATCCATTCAATTGGGTCCATCCGTTCGACTTCTATAAATTCATATTTTTAATTAAAGCCTAATTATAAAGTGTGGATTTCAATTGTGTAAAAAATTCGAATTCTACAATATGTAAGTAAGTATAGCATACATGAAAAAAAAAAAAACGATATGTGTGGAATGATGTATGTTGTTGGATGTTAATTGATCAATAAATTCTATTGTTTATTTTAACAAAATAAAAGAGGGCTTTTTATGATCGATTTTCAAAAATTAAATTTACTAAGTCTTTGTTTAATATTGTGATGCAACTAATGAATAGTTCTGTCTAAAATATTCTTGAGATATCAATCGTCAGATGCTAATGGTATCAATAAAATTGTATCTACATACAATTTGAATCTTTACACTTCAATTCAACTTCTTTCTCCTCATGATGAAATATTCTTTACAAAATCTCGGTATTGTTCAAAATAATCGGATTTATACGAATTACACAAAATCTGAGAAGCAAAATAATACGAGAAGAAAAATAAGGTTTTATAAATTTTGCGATATTTTTTTTTTTATTTATTTTTATTTCTATAGAGATTTGAAAAAATAATAACTAACCGCCTTTAATTCAATACATTTTGAGACAACATACAACGTAACCATCATAATATGAATGTTAATGAAGAACTACATTTTACGGATCGATTTGAGGTTATGCTATTTGTTCTTCTTTGGTTTTCAGGTATTATGTATATTATCACCAGATTCTTATTTCCACTTATATATATATATATTTTTTAAATCAATCGTCAATCAATTAGTTCACGTCTAAATTTATATTAAAAAAGGAAAAACATCCACAATTTTTCCAAAGATCTAGTTAAGTCAATTTCTTGTCCTTTGACGATGAAACTAAATATATATTTGACGTATAATTTGATGCATAAATCGTTTCTTTTTAGAATCTAAAAATTTGAAATATTAAACGAAATGATTGTTCGTTCATTCAATTGATTGATTGATGTCTCCCCGAGTTTCGATCTTCAACTTAGAATTTAGGGTATTACGTACATTCCAAACGAAAAATAGAGGAGATACAATAAATTGTTTTAATTGCTATATACAACAATAATTCAGTCACATTCCCTTCTTGCATAGAAACATTTGATTCATTTGTTCATGATGTTTGAATTATACGTTTTATATTGTTCCAGGAATTCTATGAACAAAGTTTTCAGACTATTCTGTATGTTCTAACCCCTTAAACTTCTTTATTGATCTTCTTGAACAAGAATTTCGATTGTTTATTGATTTCATAAGTTTTACAAGCTTTGTATTTTTTCGATATAATTTTAATGGAAGATTTAATCAATATAACATATATTCAGAACATTTAAGCCATTATACCTTCAAGTTCTTCCTAATTTATACAGAAAGCAAATCTTGACCCACAAATACAACATCAATTCATTGCATAAATTCTACCTTAAGTATTGTATGTAGTAAGACTTATCATCATTTTAGTACAATAGTTATTTATTTTTAGCTCAGTTTATTTTTCGGTAAAATTATTTTCATTTTTACATTGTTTCAAATTTCTACATCAACTATTTTTTCATTTTGTGAAAATTTTTTCAAAATGCCTTTCGATTTTTACAATCATGGCTGATTCACAGTTGTTATGAAGTTTTTATTTCTCTTATCTAAACACCCTTAGAAATAAAAAGTAGTCATAAGACAAGATTAAAGTCACAAGGATGACTTCTTTTAAATTTTATATTATCTTATTTTTTTTCTTAATCATGGGGTTTGGTTATAAAATTTAAGTTATAGATAACAAGATGACTATTGATCATCTTTTTATCTCTTTGTTGAAATTGGACATTCCCTTTCAAGGTAGATAGACAAAATTAAAAAGAAAATAAAATATTATTAAATTATTTTTTATGTCATCTCGGAGAAAAGTTGAAAATTTAAGTTTATCCGCTGGAATAATATATCAAACACATTACTCTTTTACTTCTGAGTGTAAGCTGAAAAATTTTTCAACATGTAAAAAAACTGTGGATGTATCGTCGGTGTTGTTGTGGTGGAAACTATTTAATTTTTCATTCTTCAATTGGTCTCTGATAGAATAAAATCACTAAACCGACTAAAATTATAGTTTAAACCTAAGTTAAAAAAAGTGTCTTACTTTAATTTGAATTAATCAATCAAATACTTTTCGTACGGCATCAAAATTTGTTAAACTCAAAAATTTGGTCTAATTTTAATTCATTCATTTTAAACTTTTCTTTCAAACCTTCTTTTCTTTTATCCTCCAACTTTAATACTTTATACATAATCTGTATTGTATTGTGTTAAACATCCTTACTTCAATAGTTTAGATTTGAAAATATGATTTGCTTTTTGTATTGTTCTGTTTGATTATTTTATTCTTTATTGTCTTTCCTTTTGTTAGTTGTTTTTTTTTTTAATTCATCATATCTTTATTAAATTCACACAATAACTGAGGAGGGTTTTTGATATACTAACAAACTTCGACAAGTATGGTATCATAACTCACATAAATTCTATATATTAATATCTAATTTTTTATTTGTCTATCTCTCAATATATCTCTACTTATAACATACTCTATTGTTTTTAAATCAAAAATTCTATTTTTCCTATCTTTAAATAAAAAATTAATACTTTATACATTTACAAAATAATATTTCACAATTTTAAATAAATAAATCAATTTTTCACCAACTTTATTATAATTTATATTATTTTTGAAACAACTTTTTACATCTGTTTTCAACGTCTTTTTATCGTTTGGATATTCATTTTATCTTGAAGTGAAAAACCTTATCATTATCTTCATCAAAGAGAAATCATTCATAGTTTCAACATATATGTTCAAAACTTAACTGAAACAAATATATACCGGAAATAAGAACAATAAATCCATTCATCAACAAACTATCAATTAAACATTCAAATTGCTACAACAAATACAACTTTGGTACACCAATTTGAATCAAAATAAACCAATAGCATATATCATTGACTATCAAAGACATTTATTCAAAACTTACTCAGTTTCAAATCAACTTAAATAAAATATACATAAATCCTAACAATTCAATTAAAAACCACTTAAATTAACAACATACATAATGTCAATATTTTCAGTAGGGTTATTTAAATCCTTTTCAAATGAAGATTTATATACTATATCAAAATCTTATCCATTAAATTCTTCACATATTTATCAACCTTTTACATCAAAAAATATATTACATTTTCAATTTAATATTCATAAATTTTTAAATAGATTAATATATGGTACTAAGAGACTCAACGAGTTATTTCCAAAAATTAACAAATCATTTATAACAAATTTTAATAACAACAAAAATCTTCAAAATAAATCATCTTTCCCAATAAATTGTGCAGCTGATGATTTAGATTTAGGTTTTGATGGTAGTGAACAAATATTTTTTAATAATAATGAATTAAATGATTTAAATAATCTTAATAATCATCATCATAATCATCACCATAATCATGATAATGAATTTATTCATAATAATATAAATTTTAATGGTTATTCAACTAATTTTCCAAATTCAAATTTTAATAATAAAAATGGATTTAATGATGATATTATTACTCCACTTTATCAACAACAATATCAATTTGAATTACAACAACAACAAAATCAACAACACCAGCAACAAAATTACCATCAAAACCATCATCATCATCATCATCATCATCAACATCAACAACAACACCACCAAACTAATAACCAAAACTTACCAATGTTCGATGATTTCTTCGAAGCTCATCAACATCATCACCACCACCACAGCAAATCAAACAAATTTAATGAAAATATTTTTGAATCATCAAATAATAAAAAACCTTCAAATTCAATGGATGTTTTCGATATTATGAATAAATCAACTATTTCATTTTCACCAAAGACAAGTAAATTAAATAAGGAAAATTTAAATAATAATACAAATTATCAAATAAATTATTCAAAATTTCAAGAATTTCAAGAATTTGATCATCATCAACTTTCTCAACAACAACAACCACCACCACCTTATTTTGATGATTTTCAACATGATAATGATGAATCTAATAATATAAATATTCCTTCAAAATCAAATACTACTAATAATAAAGAATATGAATTATATTTACAATCAAGTATTGGTGGTACAAATTCATCTATATCTTCTGCTGATAGTTTTTTAAGTCCATTAGATGATGAAATTTTTGGTAAATATTCAAAATCTTCACCTGAATCTTTTAGTTTTGAAAATAATAAATTAACTTTACATTCACAATCTCAATTGCAACAACAACACCAAATTCAATCACAATCATTACCAGTAAATTTACATTCTCATCAACATTCAAAAAGGAAAAACTTAAGGAAAAGAAAATTAGAAATTACATCAACTACTTCACCATCTTCAATTTCATCAAATAATGATTTAGATTTACCAATTTCTCCTACAAATACAATGTATAAACAACCAAAACAAAAAAGTAAAATATCATCAACTACCAAAACCACTGCAACCACTACCAAAACCAAAAAAATGAAATTATCAAAAACTAAAACCAAAAAAATTACCGTCAAACAAGAACCAAATACTTCCCCTGTTGAACTTCCCAAAGAAGAAGAAGAAGAAATCGATGAAAATTTAAAACCAACTATAACAACAACAAGAACAAATAATCAAACAGTTCGAAAATTATCATATACAACAAAAACAGGTAAAATAGATCATACATTTGAATGTCCACATTGTGATGCAAATTTTAAAGTAAAAGGTTATTTAACAAGACATCTCAAAAAACATAATCTGTCCAAGGCATTTATGTGTCCATTTTATCAAGAAAATGGTAAAAATGGTACAAAATGTCATCCAACTGGTGGATTTTCAAGAAGAGATACTTTTAAAACTCATTTAAAAGCTTTACATTTTATTTATCCTCCAGGAACAAAATCAAATGAAAGAATATTATATAGTGGTAGATGTGCTGGATGTTTTCAATTTTTTGAAAATAATTTTCAATGGTTAGAAAAACATATTGAAACTGGTGATTGTCAAGGTACTGTAATGTATAAAGAACAAATAAATCAAAGATTATCTTCAACTAGTAGTTCTAATGATAATGGTTCATTGGGGTCAAATGATTTAGGAGGTTCTTCTTTTATTGATAATGATATTGTTGGATTAATGGAAGATAATGAAGATTATGAAGAAGAAGAAATTATTGATGATGAAGATGATGTTGACGAAGATGAAGATGAAGACGTTGATGAGATTTAAACAAAATTCAACTAATAGTTAGTGCTGGTCATTATATTTAATTTTAATTTTATAGACTTTTTTATATTTAAAAAATTATTCTTTATTCTATATTGATTTTTAATAAAAGAAAAGAATGTTTGTTTTTAATATTGCTTTAATTTAATTTATCTAATTTTGTAAAATTACTGATCTCATTATTTCTACTCTTCGATTTATCATGAAGTAGTTATATCAATTGGATGAGTAATTAGGAATCATAATCTACTTAGTTTTTTAAAAGTTCCTTATGTCAAAAATATTGAAGTTTTGACATTCAATTTAATTTTTGAAACAAATTTTAGACAAATAAACGAAAAATTTACACAGGAATTATAGATTATTTTACTTCGTCAATTACTTCGTCAAAAATTGCAATTAAAAGTATTTGAAAACTCGACTTATCAATTTACCTGAGTCTATGTACTTGTACATAACTGTATAACTAAAGAAAATGAAGGAAACAATTATTACACACTCATCAAATTAAACTAAAAAAGTTTGAATATGTTTAATACGAAGATAAAAACCTCAAAATACATGGGAGGTAAGTTAAAAGAATTTGCCAGATTGATTCATAATATATTAGAATCAAAGCTTGGACTACAATTTTATTCATCAAGTTTCAACTTTCCAATTCTTCCAAACAGGTTATTTTGAAAAACTTAAATACCAATTTTAAGGATGCTGGTAGATCTGACGCTGTCCAAATAGTTATCTACCATCAATGGTGGTCTTTATTTTATCTGTAGACGGCTTCAAATTACCCAGAATCTTTAAACTTGATATTTGAGTGTTTCATTAGCAGTTAAACATTCCCGTAGCAGTTAAGCATTTCATTCTTCAAAATAAAATACAAAGATGTCTAAAAAACATTGGCGAGTAGTCCTTTAGCTTATTTGATTAATGCTCTAGATGGTACATTAGTTCGTTTTGGTAAAATCATATATCAGAGTGCAAATGATTGAATACTTAATCGTTCCCTCGTCTTTTTCCTTTTCCTTTTCCTTTTCCATTTGATCTTGTAAATTGGTTTTTTTAACCCTCTGAGATACGGTTGGACTATGTTTGCACAATAAATTGGTGATGTTTCATCAATTTAATATGATACAAATTTCGTGTTTTTATTTTTATTGAGAGATCTAATAATATTCGTATCTGCTAACTCGTTTACAAGATCTTTCAGATACAGAGTAAAATACTTGATTTGGTTCTAATCTACGACATTAAAAAGCTCAGGCATGGATCTATTCGTACTACAGCTCGTACTACAGAAAAATCCTGAATATGATAGTTTGTTGAAGACGATTTCTTTGTTATTGTTTACATTCCGTGAAGTTTAATTTGAAGACAAAATCAATAAAAAATGTAAACAATCAGAATCATACGAAAAAAAATTTAATTTTTTAAGGAAACTACAAGATCTAAATACAAATCCAACAGTCTTACTAGACCAAATAAAACATATATTCACCTACATCAATATACTTTATCATCATTAATATCAACAAGCTGTTTAAGATAATTTTTTGCTTGTTTTATTTGTCATTCATTTCATTTTCATTTCATTTATCGTATCATAACTTTTCGTTTATCAAAATATTACTTTTACCATTATAATTACAAAATTTTCGTTTAACACTTCACAAACAAAATAATATCACCAAGAAACAGAAAAAAAAAGGCCAGGGACCAATTAACTTAATCCATTCATTCACATAAATTCACATTTACAATAATGTATGATGAAAAATATCAACTGAATTTTCCAAATTCAAATTATTTATCAAATTTAAATAATTTAAATAAAACAAATCAAACTATACAATTAAATAGATTACCAACTTTAGGAGAAATTTTAGCAAATAAATCAAAATCTCCTGTTGATTTATTTACATTTTATCAATTTATGCAAAATGTTGAAAATAAAGTTGATTATTTAGATTTTTGGTTTGATTTAATAAATCATTTAAATTTATGTAAACATTATGTTAAAGGTTTAAGAGATTCTATAATAAGACAATCTTCTCATTTTAATAATTCTTCAGACATTCATAATCAACAATTAAGTAATCCAGCCGCTCAACAACAGTTTCATCAACCACATTCTCAACAACAGCGAAATACTACTGGATCATCATCAGAATTTAATCGACAATCTTTTTTTCAAAGTCCTAATGAAATTAGAAATTCAAACCCTGTATCTGAAAAATCTCAAAAACATAAATCTTTAAGTTCTTCAATATTATTAGATTTAATTATAAATGACAATATATTAGAGGAAAATGATTCTCATAGATTATCTGCATTTTTAAGAGGTGATATAAATTTAGATAATATTGATCCAAAATTAAAAAATTTAATTGAACAATATAATTCTGAATTAGATGAATCTAATGTTAAAAGAACAAGTTCTCAATCTCAATTACAGTCATCACATAATATTTTAAATAAAACTCCTCCTTTATCATCTGGTCAATTTAATTCTTCAAAAAATAGTTTAGTAAGATCATCACCAAGTTTTTTACATTCAACAAATTATAAACCTCCCAAAAATTATCAAAATCAAAATCAAAATGAAAAAAGAGTTAGTTCAAATTCTGGTTTATTTTCTGATTATGATGATTCTGATATTGATCAACATCCTCATTCAAATGATTCATTATATGAAAATCAGTTAGATATAGGTCAAGCTGATAGAGCTATAAGTGCTTCAAATTATGTACAATTACAACAAAATAGTAGTTCAAATATATTACCACAATCTCCCTTAGCATCATCATCAAAACAATTACAGCAACAACCACAACAACCACAACAAAGAAATCGAGAATCAACAATCAATCCATCATTATTAGAAAAATTAATAAAAGATTCACCAGCATCAACAAATAATAAATCATTTATAACAAGAGAAAATTTAAAAGAGTCATCACATAATTTATTATTAAAATATTTTGTTGAAGATTCAGAAAAAAATTTAAATTTACCTTCCCAGCTAAATTCATATATTATAAAATCTATAGAAATTGATGGTAGAGATGATCCTGATATTTTTAATTATGTTAAAAATTATATTTTTAATAAATTAGAAAATGATCATTTACCTAAATTTCTTGATTTTATGGCAACAAGAAATATAAATCATTCAAATTTTTTAAGAATCTTGTTGGGATTCTTTTTTTTATTTATTGGATTTTGGATTGGATTTATTTTTATATTTTTAAATTATAGAAAAGGGTTAAGACCAGTTGTTATAGTACCATTCTTATTAAGTTTTTATTTTATAATTTCTTCAATTTATTTAGTTGATCCAATTTTAGCTTGGTTTGGTATACTGGAAACTTTTTCAAAAAATAACATTAGTGGTGGTAAAAGAAGTAAAGGAAAATTAATTTTAAAAATTAAAGAACCTTTTATTTATAAATTTATTTTAAAAAGAAGTTTATGGGTTTTATTTTTAATATTATTATTTACTGCTATTTTAACTATTTTATTTAGTTTAGTTCCTGGTCATCGTTTATAATTTAAATACTTTTTATGTACTATTGTATAATTTTTAATATCATAATTTAATATGAATAATAAAGTCTGTAGGAGATTTCGTTATTACTTGAAACTTTGTAGTTAATAGAACTCAATAGTTGATAAATAGTGTGCAAATACGGTGATAAAATAAATCTATGAAAGTATCAACCTAAGATAGAGAGACCAATGTTAAAGTAGTTAAAGCCTTCTCTACAATTTAGTTTGTTATCAGAATGAACTATTTGTATTTTATAATTAAAAAAGATGCTATGATATTACATAAATAATCCCTAATTATAAATTTTTAATTTGACTTTACTACCCTGATGTAAAATCAAATATTAAAAATATTTAAAAACCTCTTTTATCATCATTATTACTGCTTTCCTTCTATACAACAATTACCAAACTAATTAATATATATGTATGTATTAATTAATTTATTCAGCATCATCAGCCAAAAAAGCTTCTCTTTTTTCAGCAATTCTTTGTTGTCTTCTTTCTCTTGCAGCTCTATTTCTAACTCTTCTTGCTTCAGCTTCATCTTTAAGAGCTTTTTCTCTTAATGCTTCAGCTTTAGCAGTAATAATATGTTCAACTAATGATCTTTTATGTTTAAAAGTATTACCTTTTGCAGCTTTATATAAATTATGATATAAATGTTTATCAATTTTACCAGCATCTCTATATTTTGCTAATAATCTTCTTAAAACTCTTAATCTTCTCATCCATAAAACTTGTGATGGCATACGGGCATCTTTTGTACCTTTTCTTTTACCATAACCCATATGTCTACCAGCAGATTTACTTTCTTTTAAAGCTCTTGCTCTTGATCTTGAATGAGTAGTATCTGGTTTTTTAACAATTGTACCATTTTTATATAATTTTCTAATTGCTTGTCTTGAATTTGCTTGTGAAATTTCTGAAGTTTCATTTGGATCTAACCAAATTTTTCTTTTACCAACTCCAATGACACTAGCTGCAAGTCTCTTTTGAGTTCTTAAATTAGCCCTATTGAAGTTTTGTTAGTATTCTATGGTTTCCATTTTATTGTGATTTATATTTGGGTTTCTAAATGATGAGTTGGAGGGTTGGATTTAATATTCTAATTTGATGATCTACAAAATATAGATAAGATAGTTGTGGTTGAACTTTGAGTATCGATGGTTGTAGTTGTATTCAGCAGGCTATCTAGTTTGATGAAGTGTGGTAGAATATCCTCTTTATGATAAAAGTTTTGCCATTCAATGATCATTCATACAATTTTTCTACTTCGTAGAAGGTCTCCGACCACTTTGTTTCATTTGTAAGTTCCCTCTCTTTCTCACGTTGTCATTTTATCATTTAATCACCCAATATATCTATCATTATCCCCATTTTTAAACATACATTTTTGATTAGTCTTGATGTATTGACAGTACTATTTCGTCTGAAATTTTTTTTTTCTTTCTCCTAGAAAACGAATTCGCTATGTTATGAAAATTAACTATGTGAAGTAGTTTTGTGTAACTGAATTAGTAGTATTTTAATTTTTAAATAATTCAAAGTATGTGAGTAGGTCTATAGACCTGATATGTTGTAAATATGCTACCAAGCTGAATGTACATTGATGTCTTTTTTTTTTAGATTAAGTGTCAGAAAAAATAAAAACTTTCAATTTCACGACGTGTTTTACGACTTGCTTCACGACTTGTTTTACGACTTAGGCATTTTGCTTCAATTCATTTTCCAATAACGAAATCAAAAGCGAAACATTAAACATGAAACAAAAATGATTGATAAAAATCGCACCAGTATGAAAATTCAAAACACAGAAATAAAATTTAAAGAAAAAAAATTCGTTATATCTCATAAACTAAAAGTACATTGCCTTAAATTTAAAAGAAGAAAAAGAGATGATCTAAGATGATGAAACTAGAATCAAAAAGTTTCTAAATATAACAACCATTTATTGAAAAAAAAATATTAAAAATTTACATTAAATTAATCTATATAAAATAATATTATACCCAAATAAAATATGAAGAAGCAGTTGACTGTACTTCTTTTTTTAATAAATTAAAAGAACTGAAAATATTTAAAACAAACCCTTTTAATAAATACTTGTTACTTGTAAAAAAATGTAAGTATACGTAATAATACATCTTCTGATTCCAATTTATGATCCTTAACTTCCTTATTTACTCCTTACTTTATAATACTTTATGATCCAATTCCCTTTTCCTCTTTCTAACTTCATCTATTCCCTAACATCTATTTCTTCTTTTATTTTATTATTGACTACAATCAATCCATCTTTTATTACACCAACCCTTAACAGTATATTGAGTTTTAGTAATACCAGAATTTGGAGATTTTCCATTAATTTCCCAATGACCATTTTTTAATATTCCACAAGGTTTTATACTTGGTTTTAAATCCCATGGTAAATATTTACCTTTTTTACGAGTTATTGTATTTGATTCGGAGGAGTTTGATTGAAGGTTAGGTAAATAAATATAATTTTCTGAATCAATAAAATCTAATGGAGAATCATCAATTCTTGGTTTTAATATAACTGAATTCCATAATTTTTCTCTTGATAAATTTGAAATTTTATAGATATTAAATTGCTTATGAAATTTTTTTAAATTGGGGTTTTTTTTTATAATGGTGTATAAATCTTCTTGAGTTAATGAATTTGGTAATGTTTTTGAATTAATTCTTGAATTATAATCATATGCATATAATCTCATAAATTGTGAATTTATTCTTTGATCTCTATTTTTGAAAATTGTTCTAATTTTTGGTTCATTTGATTTAGAAACTGTTGAGAGTGGTGTTGTTGTTGTTTCTGGTAAGATTGTGTCATGTTCATGTTCTGTTTCATTAAATGTGATTAATTCTTCTGATGATTGATGTAATATTTCTTCTTCTTCTTCTATCTTAATATTTGCTAGTTTTTTTTGTTGTTGTTTATTATCAATTGGTAATTTATCATCTGTTAATCTTGGAGAATCTGAAATAAAACTAATTAATTTATCTTTTGTTGAATTTTTAAAATTTTGAACTGATGTAGTTAAATTAGAAACTAAGGATTTTTTGACAAGTGGTTTTTGATCTGTGGTCTTTGATTTTGAATTTTTTAATAAATTATATAAAGAATCTGTTGATGATGCTGATATTGAAGTTTTTGATGGTAATGATCTATTATTAATTTGTGAAGAAACTGTTGAAAATGAAATTGATTGTGATGGATCACTTGTAAAAGAATTTTGAGTTAAACAAGTTTTGAAATTATTAGTTGGTGATAAACTAAGATTAGATGATATAATAGTAGTTGTAGTTGTTGTTGATGATGATCTTGTGTAATTATTTGGAGAGAATGTGGTAGATGAATATGATAATGAAGATATTGATTCATTAAATGATAAAGGTGTAGTAATTAATGATGAAATAGATGAAGAAACTGACATTGAAGTTGGATTATAATCTTCATCTTCTTCATTGTCGTTATAATTTGTACATGTATAATTTCTATTATCATTATTATTGTTTGAAAATGGATGTAAAACATTTGTAGGTAATGAAATATAAGAATTATATGATATATCATCAGAATTTGAAGAAGATTGATCATCTGAATAGTTACAATCACAATCACTTGAACAATCATCTACTGAAAAGTCAGCACTTGATATTTTTGGATCATTATTGACATTATTACTATTACTACTGTTCAATGGATGAATTTTAGTTTCTTGAGATATTATTAATGATGAAATTTTTCTTAATTGTGTTCTTGAAGGTTTTAAAGTTGGTGATTTTGATTTTATTTTTGATAAGTTATTATTTATGCTATCCTTATTTATTTTCTTTAGATTTGGTATATCTCTATTATCATTATTTCTTATATTATGTTGATTATAATGATTATTATTATTTATTATTATTGATGAATTTAAATCATTTAAAAATTGTTCAAATTCCATATTAATAGCCATTTTTAACACAATATTTAATTTTTAGTTATTGATGTTATCATTAATTTGATTAATAAATTGTTATATTGACATTATACGTGTATAAGTATGAATCTGGTTATTTATTTAATTTTAATGTGTTGGTGTATTTATAATTTTAAAGTTAAAAAAACTAAGATAAGAATGAATAGTTTAATTTTTTTGGGTTGTAGATTGTATGAATGATAAGTATAAGTGTAAATGATGATGATGAATGGTGCTGGTTTAAAACCACGGTAGGGATGATGGAATGAAAGTCGATATGAAGATAATATTACTTATAACTTTTTACAATAACCGATTTTATTAAATGATGGATATTTAATATTTTAAATAGTACTGTTGGTATTAATAATTTAGTGTAACATTATTACATAATATATTATATATTGTTTTAATGTATGTAGTGTTATTAATCTTTTTATTATTTAAATTGCCATTTGATGATAATAATTTATTATTATATTACTACTATACCAACCACAAATACTAGAACTATTAATCAATTACACCTAAGGAGTTATAATAATTTTGAATGATCCATCTTAATCCAAGATTAAATCTATTGGTATTATAATTATTATCATTTTTCTTGTGTATTTGACCAGTCAAAAGAGTTTAATCAATAAAAGCATAAGAGATATCAATTCTACTTTAGGACTTCCTTTGATCGTTTGAGAAGAATGACATAAACTGAAGCCAAAAGAAAACAGACGAAAGCTTATTTGGATTGAAATTTTCACAGTTCGTTGACGATTAAACAAGTTATTTCTTTATTAATACATTGAATTCCATTAATTTTTGAAAATTTAACTTTATTATCATAAACCTTATAATTTGATGAAAAGTATATTATTTAACTTTTCTTGAAAATGAAAAAGAAATAAAATAACTCAATAGATTGTAGCATCTACTCTACAATTACTTATCATAATTAGTGAAAAATATACTTGAGCAAACAAAGATTTATCAAATTTTTGAAACAAAATGACCAAATTACTGAATAGAAGTTGAACCATCTGTTATCGTTGACTACACTTGGTGACTATCTCTTAAGTTTCAACTACCTAATTGCTATAAGTTTCAACTGAAAAATTAATCAAAATTTATTTGTCACTCAAAAGTTAAAAATTATAAAAAGTATATGTAATATTCGTTAAACATAAAAATTAAAACAATAGAAAAATGGATTTAAAAAAAAAAATCGATTATCATTTTACATTTATCACATGAAATACTAACAATATACTGTATAAGTATATGTATAATTCCTTTTCTTCTTGTTGCTTACGCTAAAAATTTATTTGACGTACTGAACTCGCTGTAAGAATAGAACGGAGTTGAGTGAAAAAATTGACCTTCTCACTACTACTATTACTACTCCATATTTTTAAATGGCTCAGTAATATTTTACCGTTTTAGTCTATTGTATTAAATAGATAAGAAATTCAAAACACTCATAACTTATTTTCAGTTCTTTTGACTTAATCTAAAATTAAAACAAAGAAAGTGCCTTATGAAACAAGGCTAATTAGTTGTAGATTAGACTCGTGTCCTTACTCGTTTGTCCTTATCTTTATCAACAAACTGTGGTTAATGGTTAAGAATCTAACAATTCAAACCTCTCATACAATAAATATTACGGGAATATGGGTGTTTCGGATTTTGACATTATTGGTAATTAATAATAACCTGAAAATTAAAGTTTACAATTTCCGATATTTCGTTAAATTTTTCAAAATTGATTTGCGATTGAGATATTTGAATGAAATTTTCATACTATTGTACAGATTCTGTAATTAAATAAACCCGTCCTATTGATCAATATTACTATTAATAGTATTTTAGCCGATACGTACAATTTTTTGTTCTATTCGTACCTTATTTTTTTTTTCACATTTTCATGATGATTACGAAGTATATTAGAGCAATCATAGATTAGAGAAATCTCTTATCTTTGAAATATATATCGTCAAATATATAGTCATTAATTCCAATTCCAAGTTGGTACTTACTCTTGTACTTACTTAATTGACGAGTAATTAGCAACTTCTTGCTTCTTTTGAAATACCGTTTAAAATTATTACTAGACGGTATTGACCGAAGGAGTAATTTTTTGCCAGTTAGCGCACTTAAAATTCTACTACGGATTTGATTACTTGATTGAGATCTTGAGATCTAATTTTTTTTCAAATCTTAGATTCTCAAAGCTATGAAATACATTCGTTAGTGGAATAGAACTAAAAAATAGACAGAACTTGTTCTAGCTCGTCGCATCCAATTGATTATCGTTAAACCGATCGGATTTTTCCAGTTTTCTAATATTTTATTTAGTGCGGTAGAACGGCATGCATGTGGCATGTGTACGTTTGATGATGAAAACAAAAAAGCATAAAACATGAACAACATTACTTGACAACGATCACACAACAAACGAGAAATAGAACAAATAAAAGATCAACAATATGAAATTTTAAATTTGTTGTGGATAATGTTAATGATGATGATGATGTCAAAAAACTGAATCCCGTAAAATTCATATTTTACTTGACTCTATTTGAGTTGACTCTATTCAAACTATAAATCAAAGAAACGTTTCATTTTCCTAACTAAATTCTTAATTTACTCGCCTTATTCACATAACCATAATTTATAATTAAACTTTGGCCATTCTATTTATTCTCGTTATTTAAACGGCCCATTGAAACGGCAAAAATTTATCAAAAGTTCAATATAAATGAACTTCATTCACATCTTCAAATTATGTCCAAGTTCATGGATGATCCTGTTGTTCCATATAAATTATTTATTTTCGGTTACATTCACACGACTTTTGGGCTGATTATGAACATTCATTTTTTCGTTAGTTGATATTTTGTAGATTTGGATAGATACTTAATCAATCAACTCATATTAACTATAGATATTATTTGATAATATTCAATGATCATTAAGCAATCAAGTAAAGCCTAAAACACGTACGTACTTACAAATTGAATTCAACAAGAAAAGTCTTTGTTTGTTTATTAAATCTGCTGATTGTTTCTTTGACATCTTGCATAGATGATCCAGTAATTGGTAAGTTAGGTAAGTCTGTAAGTTTGGAATTTACAATTCGCATAAGTTCATTCAATTTTACAATTTTATTAACTTTTCGGAGCACTTAATAGAAAATGGATTTTTACAAATTTGATTTATTATTTGACAGAATTGAATTAAAAGCTATTTGGTAAAATATGCAAAGGCTACTGAGAATATGTTTTATGCAAGTGAAGTTGTTAATTTAAATGTATTCATGAATATTGCATAAGTCATTTTCTCAGTGGTCTTTGCATATTTGACCAAAATATGATAGATCATAACCTATTCTTTTGATTTATGAAGAGGAATTACAAGCTATTAAATCATGGACACATTTATACTGCAATATGATAGATCATAACCTACGACCTTTATTGATTTATGTAAGAAAAGACTATTACAAGCCATTAAATATATTAAAAAGACTACTTTAGTCAACAAATATCAACAACAACTAAATTTACCAAAGGATTCAAAAAAAAATTCAAACAGAATGCAAATAGGCTCAAAAATGGACATATCATGGCCCAACATCAATCATAACATCAACTTCAATGAATTTTAAACTTACAATTTGGACAAATTGGTCTCGTTATTGCACAAAAGATGGGTTTAAACATTTTTTTCTTACCCCAGGGGAACAGGAAGCTTAATTTATGCAATGGTTTGGTAAAATGAAAAACCAAATTTAAGTCACAACCAGAAGAATTTACCCAACCATTACACATAATAAGCTTTACGTTCTCATGGGGAAAGAGGAAGATGGTTGAATCCATCTTTCCCAATTTTACTCCTTGTTCAACAGCATCAGAGGTATCAATTAAATTTCAGCTAAGCCTAAAGTTGTACAAGATATAAAACTTCCTACAATTTTCATGCCGATTGCTAATTTTGAAAAAGCAAACTTTATGCAGGATGATTGTAAGTATAAAGTCTTGCAAAAGGTCATTTGCAAAATAAGTAATCATAAACAAAATGGTTTTAATTGAAAGCAGGATTATTAATGATACAGTACTAGTCAAAACATAGTATAACAACTGGTTTAAATATGGATATGAATTATTAAAGTAAGTTTATACACAAAATGGGAGATTTATTACTTCTTCTGGGATGAAATTTTTGTATATAAATTACCTTAATTTACATCTAAATTTAAACCAGATGTTATAACAAGAAGATGCTTTACACATATTTTAACCAAATTAGGTGTAGATGTGTGAAGTATATCTTTTACAAGTTTTATAAACAAAGAATTTGTTTAGTTTTAAAAACTTCCTAATACTAGTTGGTCCCAGAAAATAAATGCAAAATAATCATTATTGTTTTAATTAGACCATAGATTATATTCTATTTAAATTATCTAATTCAATACCTTTTACATCATGAGTTCTATCTGAAAATAAATCATCAGTACTTCCTCCATTAAAATTATCATTATTATTATTATCATCATCATCATCATCATCAACTATAAAATTATTATGATCATGATCATCTAATCTATTATATTTAGCATGTAATCGTCTACTTTGTTTATCTTTGATCTTATTTTTTTTGTTTTTTCGGTTCTTCCTTCTTCTTAAACCAATTTTTTGAAAACTTCCAATAATTCTATTTATTGGATTTATTGAATAAAAATCATTAAAAATTTCATCAATTTGTTCTAATTCAATACCTTTTGTTTCAGGATAAAATAATATAACACATATAACTGAAATTATACAAGAACCAGCAGGAAATAAATACATTGCCCATTTTATATTTTGTTTCAATATTGGAGCAAATAATCCAACAATAAAATTACTTAACCAATTACATGATACTGCTAAACTTACACCCTTTGATCTAACTGATAAAGGATATGATTCACCAGATAATAAAAATGGTATTGGACCAAATCCAAAACCAAATGATGCATTATATATTATAACTAATATAGCAACTAATACTGGTGTATAATTTTTATCTAATAACATAAATACTGAAACTAAAGTTAAACATAAACCCATTGCTAAACCACTTGTAATTAATATAGGTCTTCTACCCCATTTATCAACTAAAAACCAAGGAGGAATAGTTGATAATAAATATATAATACCATTTATACCTGTCATTAATAAAGCACCAGAATGATTAAAACCAGCTTCTAAAAATACTAAAGGAGCATAATATGATATAATATTTATTCCATTAAATTGAGCAAAAATTAATGAAGAACAAGCAACAAATATTCTTCTTTTATAGTTTAAAAATAAATGTTTCCATGTTCTTTCATGTTTTGGAGTTAATTTTCTTTCTTTTATTATACTATTTTTTATCAAAAAAAATTCAATTTTGGGTTTCAAATTTTGTTGATGTGAATCATATAATAAACTCAATACATTAAAACCTTGTTGATCCATATCATTATCTAATAACCATCTTGGACTTTCAACTATAAAAAATCCACCAATTAATAATATTAAAGCTAATACAACTTGAACAAATAATGGTAATCTCCAACTTAAATTTGCTAAAAAGGAATGAGGTTTTTGACGAGTATCTCCAATATCTTGAATAAAATAACAAAAATAATCTACCCAAACACTTAAAGCATAACCACTTATATTTCCTGTAAATTCTCCACAAACTAATTTTCCTCTTTCTTCACTTGGACTTATTTCACATTGATATGATGGAACAATTGTTGATAATATACCAACTCCAATACCACTAAATACTCTACCCACGGCAAATACAAACATATTTGGACAAAAAGATTGTAAAGTTCCACCAATCATGAATATAAATGTACCTAATAAAATTGTTCTTTTTCTACCAAAATTATCTGAAATTTTAGCAACTAATATTGAACTTATCATTGCACCAATTTCTAATATAGATATAACAACTCCAATTGTTGCAGCACTTGGATCATGAAAATATCTATTAAAAGTATCAAAAGCTAAAATCCCACTACATACACCTTGTTCATAACCAAATAATCCAACAAATAAACTTACAAATGCACTGGTAAAATAAACTAATTTATTACCTTTAAATTTTAAATTTTTTGTATAATTTTTATTATTAAAATTTATATTATAATGATTTCCATAATCATCTATATCATCTTCATAATCATCTGTTGTACTTCTATTATCTTCATCAATATCTTCTTCTTCATTTTGTGAATGTTTAAACAGTATTGGATCAAATTGATCTAATTCTTCATCATCTGATAAACTTAATTCATTATGATCTGAGCTTGAACTTCCAATAATTTGATCATTATATTTTTTTTTACCGAGATTACCGTCTTGTTTTATTGTTGATTCATCTTCTTTTCTTTCATTATTATCTGTATTATTATCAGATTTATCAACTATAGTTTCTTCTTCAAATGAATCCCTATGTATTGCAACTGGTTGTTCAATACTTAAAATGTTATCATTAAATGGATCTATTTTATTCGGTAGTGGATTATATGACATTATGAATTGTTTTGCATTTGGTTAACATTAATTGTATGTTTGTTCTAGTCTAATTTATTATTTTCTAATTTTTCCCCCACGATATATTTTATTTTCCTATTAAATATAATTACGTCAAGAACTTTTATAGGAATCTAGTTAAGTTTTTGGATTAAGGATCTATAAGAAAATTATTGATTTTGAAGGGAGTGAATGAATGATACAAAGTAATTTATGAAGAATCTTATAAAATTAAGAATAAGAATGGTCTAATACTTGATATTAATCTATTTATTTGTTGAATAAGTTATTTTACGTACACTAGTAAAATAATAAATCTGATTGTTATTATTCGTATTTTTTAATCTAAGATATTAGTCTAGACTATTGAATATTTAGTTAACTTTGCTTTTCAGATATTGTCTTTGTCGTTTTATAATGAAATGCGACACCATAGTAATTTGGCTCTTGCACTACTCAAAGAAAGTATTACACGTTGTAAAATTTTTAACAATTAGGATTACTTTTGTTAAGATAGACTTTATATTGTCAATAACAATCACTGACTAGTCATCACATCCATTTTAAAATTCAAACTTCACCTTGGAATCAACTCCACTAATTGTTTGATGTCTAACAATGGATTATTTTTTGGTGATATCCTAGTTATTTCAAAACTCAAGTCATTGCAAAGAATTTTATCCGCCCAATATTAAATCTATTTTGGATCGTTAAGACAGGGTGGTGTCACTAGTTCTGTTTTACAATGATCTGATTCATTGTGTAATGAGTTGATCTTGATGTTTATCAGAATTGACGTGGATTCAAATTCATTAATTTTTATGGCATAAACTGTGACCGAGTTATTTGATCATAAATCTGGGCAGATCTGGGACACTTGTGTGTAGATGTATCATGTGTGGTCCATACACGTACACCTCCAAAAAAAATGTGTTTCAGATGTGCCTAAATTTGTGATCAAATATGAATTGCTGTTGATAATCGTATTATAAAGTTAACTTCAACAACTTCAAAAGCAAAACAAATTTGAGTTTGGTTTCAGAAAGAGTTGTCCTACAATCATCAAAATCAACGGGGGTTCTTCAAATACGATTGCAGACTAGTCAAAATATTTTGCCTCCTCCGGTTACTGCGAAAACTACTTCAACAAAAAATCGGCTACAAAGAGAAAACAGGTACACCGGAATCAATAGTGTCATCTATCAATACAGATGCTAAGTTTAATCCAGCAGAAAATATGCAGACGTTAAAATAATGAAATAACGTCGTTTTGGATGGACAATAAAACATGACAATTATTCTTACCTTAATGAATCTGAATTGTGAAAAGATCATGGAATGAATGACACTTTCATAACTACATTTAATAATTATTCATATGGTACAAGCTTATGTATCAATTTTAGATAAAGCTTCGAACAACATTCTTAAAAAAGCAGCGTACAACCTTAAAATTATGCTCAAAGTCAAGATTTTTATACATCATTAATCCAATGAATCAACTTTAGGTTCAACTTTAAATATCTTCAAAAACAATTATCATAGTGAGAAAGTCGCATGTTTGCATAATATTGATAATCTTGTGTAAATGAATCGATATTTGATGGTTTATGATTTATGATAAGGTTGTTGCAGCTTTTTGAAGTTGAATTTAAAGTTGAATCAATGATACCAATGAAGTCCAAGCATAATCTGAGATCAGGTACATACTCTTGTTCAGATGTATTTGTTTGATGTAAAATGGAAATTGTTTTTCATTATCCATTATTGAAGGAAGAACAAATTATATTATGAAGTTAACACTGTAAGATCTATTCGCAGTAAGAAAGTCAGACTCACGAAATCACGTTGAATTCAATTACTTTTGGCTATCTCTCAAAAATTTCATATCGATACAATAACCTTTGTCATAGAGCGTACAGCTATAGGTCCTACTAGCGATGAGTATTACTAGGTTGATTATACGACAACACTTTGGATCCTAAATCTACTTCTACAATGCTCCGTTAAATAATGCTATAATAAATTAAAATCTATAAATCATAAAACTTATGCCTATGATAAAACTTTATTCAATTTACTTCTTTTTAAAATAACTTTCAATATAAAAAGCACCAAATAAAGCAGTTAAAGGAGTTAAATAAGCAACATTAATTAAAACAGGTAAAGCTTGATCAGGAGTACTTATACAACTTATTAAGTTTAATTTTTTTTTTGATATAAATTCATTTGTATCAATAAACCAAATAAAACAATGTAAAATTGCAATTGATCCACCAATTATGAATTGAGTAATTTGCATTGATGTTAAGGATTTTTTAAAAATTGTTGGTACTCGGATATTTAAACATGATAAAGTAAAATAAAAATACATAAGCAGGTGAATAAATGAATTAAATACAACAAATATCCAAATTGGTGGAGATTGAAATCTAATACCTGCCCACATACACATCATAGCACCAGCATGATGATAACTTTGTAATAAACTTGATGGTCTACCTTTTAATAATATTATAATAGTATCAATAATTTCATAAAATTTTGATATATAAAACCAAAATCCTAAAATTTCTAAATTATTTAACCCTTTTGAGTTGGTAAAATATCTTGAAAATAAACCATTCTTGGAATCACATACAGTTTGAAAAAAAATTTCAAATTTTTTTAAATTATAATTTTCAATTTTTGCAGATTTGAAAAAATTGGGGATTAAATCCAATTTAAAATTATTCATTAACGAAATTATTGTTGATGTCATTCCAATAAATGTCCATATTGAATAAATACATAAGAATATATTATGTAAAATTACAAATATTTTAAATATGGTAGTTTTTGAAATCGATGTAGGAACAGCTGGTAATCTTTTTAATGGTTTTTCACCTTTACTTTCCAATTATAATGATTTTTTAATTTGTTTATTTTTTATAACTTTATTAAAATAATGAACTGATGAGAAATATATTATGGCAAATGTTAAAGGAAATGATCCATGCATACTTAAATCATATAGTTTTGTTAAATATTCATTCTGAAATGGACTTGATGGAATTGGAGTATCTAATTTTGGCCATGTACTCCAAACATCAGTATTTGGTAAACCAAATTTTATTAACATTTTGAAACTTCTCTCAGTAAGTAGAAATGATGAGACTGAAATTGATATCCAAGAATTGGAAATTTTAATTAATATTTATAAAATTATTGTTAAAACATTTTGTGTATGTTTCTACATTTGTATAAAAATGATGAAAATATACTTGCATAAATTCATATTTATTGATATTATATTTTTTGTATGAAATTTAGGTTAAATTGCGTTTTTTATCATTTTTAAGTTTTAAGATGTTCTCGAACTAATTTGTTGGGTAAATAAATAAATTATATTTGTTTCAAGTAGGATTTACTGCAAAATCGTTCCATCAGATAGTCATTGCGATTGATTAATTGAAGAGGTTCAGTCATAAAGTCTAGAGCTGTATAGTAATACAATTGTCATTACTCAATTGCTTGAGATAAAGAATAATGGAACAATTCAAGAAAAAAATTATCCGTCCGTATGGATCCTTTACATTTTTTCCATAAAATGCCGATACTTCGTTTTTGTGTAACTCAATTTCGAAACTCCGAAACTTTTCTTCTAAATTACCACTTAAAAATTTTTTACCTAGCGTCTAGTCTATTTTTAAACCATGCAATCAGTTTAGCCGAGCTTCAATTATAAAACTTATTTAATGTATATTTATTGAATTTGCTTGGTCAGCTCAGTCTCTATGAGAGCTAAAGTGGTGTTTCGAAAGTTGCCAAAGACAATTAAATCGTGATTTTAAGTAAATCTCTGGCGCTAAGTAAATTAAAACCCAAACTTAAAAAATCTCCGTTTTAACCGACTTGAAGGAATAGGAAATATGAAGGATATATTATAGAGAGAACATAGAGTAATCTAGATTTTAATCTTACAATCGATCATATGAAATTCTTAGGGTATAATATAATATGTATTTTTAAAATAAGCTTAATTAATTTAAATATTATATATATAATTATTAGAACCATAATCAAATGGTTTTAATTGAACAGGTGAAGAATTTAAAAAATTAGATTGTTGTTTCTGATGTTGATATTGTTGTTGATATTTAAATGGTGAAGCTAATAATGACTGATCTACAGTTCTTTGAGGAGAAGAATTATAAAAATTTTGTTTAATTGGTGATGAGGATAATGATGGTGATGCAATATAAGAATTATTTTTTATCGGTGATGAAGGTTGTGAATAATTATTGATGGTGTTGTTATATTTTATAGGTGATGTTGACATCATTAATTGTTGTCTTGATGGAGATACAATATTAAAATTTTTAATTGGTGATAATGGACCAGAATTATTATTGTAATTATTATTATTAAAATTTTTAATTGGTGATCCATTTAAATTAGTTATCATTTGTAATGGCATATTTGATGATGTTGTATTGGTGGTTGTAAAATTATTAATTTTAATTGGTGAAGATAATGAAGTATTTAAAATCGAATTAAAATTATAAGAAGATTTTTCAATTATTGTGAAACCTTTTAAATTTAACCAATAAGTTAATGATTCAATTGCATTATTTAATTTCGATATTGGTTCTGAATCATAATATGAAAGAATAATTTGATGATATGAAGAATTGGTGGTGGAATCTATTGGATATTCATTAATAATTAAATCAAATCCTAGTAGTAATTTAAAAGGTATTAAAATTTGATTTTTAAATTCATTTTCATTTTCATTAACTTGTGATGAAAGATATTGTTTAAATTTAAATAAATTAAATTCAATTTTAAATTCAAAACATTGAGGTAAAATTGATTTTAAAGCTTTTGCACAATTTTTAATTCTTAATTCAGAACCTTTTATATTAAATTCTAAAACATTACTGTTTTTAAATTTATCAATTGAATTGGGGAAATCAATAAAAGAATTATATTCATTTTCTAATTCACTAATTAAATTTAAATTTTTATTATTCATAAGTAATAAATATTGATTTTTTAAAATTTGAAATTTTATATTATAATATAATGTAACATTTTGTTGTAAAACTTCATTTATACAATATTTTGAAACTAAATTATCAATTTCAATTTTAACAAGTTTAATATTTGATGTATTTTTTCTTGGACATTTAATTAATACATTAAAAGGTCTTTGAAAACTAAAACTTGGTTTTAACAGATTATTTGATACAGTTGAAAATTTTATAAATACATTATATTTTTTCATAATTGATTGAATCATTGATCCTCCATTTCCAATTATTGATTTATGGAAAACTTCTGGTATATTAAATTTTAATTCTGATGGTAATTCCATTTCAATTAATTCTATAGCTTGTGGTATAATAAAAGTTGATGATGAATTTATATCAATATTAAAACTATATTCATTATATGGAGTAAAATAAATTGAAGGAATATTATTCAATTGATTTAAAATTTTAATTAATTTTCCATTTTTTTTACCACTTATAAATTCTTTTTGATCATTTGTTAATTCTAATTGAATATTTAATGAAGTTGAAATTCTTGCAAATTTATTAATTAATGATTTAATTTCCTTGTTGTGACCAACAACTGTAAAATGAGTATCATTTATATTAACATTACAATTTTTAATATATTGACACATTTGAATTATTTCATTTTGATGATTACTTATACCTGAAACAGTATAATATTGCGAAGTAATTGAACATAATTCAGAAATACAATCATCAATTGATTCAATATTATCACCTTGAACAATTATATTTGTATTATTTAAATTTTTTAAATTTGGAATTTCGATAAAAGTACCATATTTTAACATTAAATTTATAATATCTTTTTGATTATTAAGATTTAATAATTCAATTTTGATTAAATTCATATTTATAGATTTTGAAATTAATTGTAAATTGTTATTAATTAAATTTTTTATAATACTTTTAGTCATAATTAAATCCAATGTATTTTTTGAAGTTAAATAAATATCTAAATTATTTTCAGAACTTGATAAATTAGATAACAAATCAGGTATATAAATATTACAATTTGTTTGTTTTGCAATTTCTTTAAAATTAATTAAATCTTGACCTCCAATTAATGGTATTAAACTTAATGGTATATAAATTGAATCAATTTTATAATTTGATAATAATGAATCAATTAAAATCTTTAATGATGTTTCAAATATTGTAACATTATCTTGATTACCAATCATATGAATTGAATAATCTTTTTGATTGCATTGTTTTAAATCAAATGATGATTTATCATTATTTATTATAACTTCAACTTGATATTTATTACATAATTTATTCATTTCATTAATAAATTTTTCACCAATCAATAAAAATTCAGATTGATCAATTACAATAGTTTTTGAACATATTGAAATATATTCTGATAAAATTTGAGTTTTAACATTTTGTCTATATTTGTCATCACCATTAATTATAATTGATATTAATTGATTTTGCATCAGTGGAGAAATAATAGTGACTTGATTATTTTTAGATGATGTAGAATTTATTTCATTACATTTTTGATGAAGAATAAATAAATTATCTATAATGTTATATGATTCTCCACTTGTTTCATTTAAATGATTTCTCCATAATCCTATTGATGTTTCATAATATGTTTGTATTGAATTTTTAGTAACTTTTGGATCAATCTTATATGTATATGGTAAATTTAAAGTAGTTATTTGAGACATGATTGATGCCTACTGATTTAATCTTTGTTTGTTAAGTATCAAAAACTGGTACTTTAACAATTTTGAATTTTTAAAATATTTTTTGTACAAGATTATATCATGAACTTATCATTTATTATATAAAGTAAAAGGATCTAAACTTTATCTTTAATCTTGTTTGTATTCTTTATTTTTACTCCCCATATTTCAATTACAATTTAAGATAGGTTTATAGATGCATGTAATTTAAATGAATAATTACCTTTTTAAGTTTTGTATTAATAATGTAAATTAACTTATGTTGGATGTTTATAATTTAAACTAATTAAGTAATTTAAAGTTAGTGATGAGGTTGAAAGCTACCATATTCTTATTGTTCTACTTAAAATAAGTAACACAAAATCAGATCAATATTAATCAATTTTACATTACTTACCAAAAATGGAAATGTAATTGATTTGAATAGGTTTTATACATAACGTTTTACATACACAATTTTCATTATTTGTTGAGATCAATAACTGAAATAACAAAGATTTACTAATTAAAGTAAACTTTAAACTTCTATTCCAACGTTTATTATATGTGAGTTGCTTTGATTACACATTGTACTTTTAATGATTAGAACTATTATTGCTAATGTACTCCAAAAAAGTCCGAATTTGCAATCTATAATACTATTGAAATCATTTGAACAAGCTGATCAATTTACCTAATGTAGATATGCAAATATTTATTCTATACATGAATTGAAATGGTTGATAAAACCTCAATTGGAATTGCTATGTAAATATTCTATAATCTTTTTGAATCCCATATATATACCATCTCATCCCAACCAGTTGTTGCACACCATCCTGGTTCACCCCATAAACTATAATCACATCCAATAACAAATTCTCTATGATTACCAAATATTCCTTTTTGTCCACCACTTTTATTATTTAAAAATCTTGCTTTTTCATTTGATTCATCTCTCCAAATTCTTGATGTCATATCATAAGAAGTACTTATTAATTCTTGAGAATCATGAGGTGACCATTGAATTTTTCTAACTGCAAATTCATGACCTAATAATTCATTTAATGGTGATGGACCAAATTTATGATGAGATGGCATTGGATGTTGAGGTAAAGGTTGATCTAATTTTGAAATCATTCTTAAATCCCAAATTCTTATTGATTTATCTGTTCCTGCTGATGCTATTATTGTTGATTTATATTTATTCCAATCAATTGATAAAGTTTCTAAACCATTATGTGATACAAAATGTAATTGTAAAGCTTGAGGAGATCGTATATCCCATATTTGAACTTGTGATGCTCCTGTACATGATACTATAGTTGATGGTGAATGTGGTGAAAATTGAGCTGAATATATACATGTTGATGTACCACTTTGTTGTTGAGTTAATTGATGTTGTGGTTGATGCAGTAGTGGTGGTGGTTGTTGTGATGACGTCGTTGGTGGTATTACTTTAGTAGTTAAATCAACACCACTTGGATTTAAAGTTAACATAGATTCTTGTCTTTGATGTGACCAAATTTTAATACTTCCATCCCAACTTGCACTAACAAAATTAGTTTTATCAACTAAATTCCAATTTATTGAAAATACTTCTCTTTGATGTTCTTTCCATTGCATTATTGGAAAATTTGGTACCATTATATCAAATAATTTTATTGATCCATCACCATTTGCAACAACACATTGATTTTCATGAATTTCACTCCATGATAAATCAAATAATCCATCTTGAGTTTCCCATGATATTTGATCTATTATTGAACCATTTGGTTCTATATTTAAAATATATAATCTACCATTTCCAACTAATCCATAATTTGCTGCTGTTGCTACTGCTAATTTATTATCAAAAAATGGTGAATATTGTATTCCATATCCATTATACCCTTTCGTTCGATACGATAGCATTTGTTTTGTAGATGGTGTATGAATGTGAGATGGTTGTAAAATTCAATGATTATTATAATTTGGTTGTAAAAAAATCACAACCTTTTTTCTATTGACTAAATAGAGAATTAAAGCGGCTTATTAATTTGGAGATCAAAAATTATCGAAAAGTCTACAAACAAATAAACAAACAACAAAGACCTTTTCATAACTTCACAAACTCAATTACACTCGTTTTCAAGTCAACTTGGAACTCCTTACATGCACTCACCACAAATACAGTCAAGTTGATTATCACAAGTATAATAATATATTTAATTTATAAATTTTTCCCATTTATAAATTATTTACCAAGTCATGATACAAGGAATAAATATTTTAAATTATTTGGGATTTATTTACCTTTAAAATTAACTAGAAATTGGTTATATTTGACTACTACTATACTATCTTCAGTATTTGTAATATTACCAATTAGTTTTATAACGTATAATAAATATTATAATACTTTAATTCCATTATCAAATTCACCTTTAATAAATTTAAGATTTAATGAGTTGGAAAATGAAGGGATGTTTTATAATTTGAGAGGTGAAAACAATAATATATTAGTTTCAAATTTAATAAGTACTACAAATTTTGAAAATTTCAAATTTGATGATCAATCTCCTTATATTTTCAAGATCAAATTAAATTTATATTGTTCAAAAAGTTTACAACATACAAAATGTATAAATAAGGTGGATTATATATTCAATTCAACTTTAAGAAATTCATTTATCTTGGATTGTGATCCAGTTGCTGTATATTCAAATAAAAATCAATTTATACCGTACGGTGTTAAGAATTATATACCTTCAACTATGATAAATTTTCAAAAAAGTAATGAAATTGAATTATCAATATTTGAAGTTATGGGTAATCAATTGAATTCAGAGAATAATAATTTAAAAGTGATTGAAAAAGATCAAAATTTTAATTACAATAAACTATATTTAAATAATATTGAAAATTATATAATTGATGATAATGAAAGTTTTGCATGGTTTGAAATAAAATGGACAGGATTTAGATATTATTTAGTTAAATATTATTATTTATTTTATGTTATTGGAACTTTAATATTTTGGGTTATTGGAAGTTCAACTTCAATTTTAATGGGATATTTTATGTTATATAAAACAATTCAAAAAATGGAACAAAAAAGACAAGAAAATAGAGATAAAGAGAATATGGAATTTGATTTTAGATATAAAAGTCCAATTATTAAACAAGAACCAATTTAAGTAGTTTAATATTAGAGCATACTTTTGATAATTTATAAAGGTTGATTGGTATGACTGATGAAGACAAATTATAAATTTAATTTGTCGTGATTCTCTTTGCAGATATGGACGAAACTTATAAACCTATGTCTAACGAAGTTTATCTTTGACGAATATATGGTTTTATCTCCTTGAACTCTCAAGTAAAAACTTAAAAACTTATCGTATTATTGTTTGGACCAAATGGTTTTTATTAACAATTAAACGTAAATACTAATTTAATTACGTAAGACACTTAAAATAAAAAAAAGAAGAGACAAACAAAAAAAATTACAAAAGCAGAAAGAAAAAATCTATTCTAAGAAAAGAGTTAAATCAAATACATACACACTAGATAAAAGTAAATACAATCAATCTTAACACAGTCATCAAATTACTTGACTAGTAACGTCATTTGTATAATTAATACAGCTTGAAATAAGCAGAATATATAAGATGGGTATGCACTCGGAAAACAATCAAATCTTTTAATCAATCTGATTTATACAAATACTAACAAACATATCAATAGCACCACCTAAGAAGATGAGTTTACAGGAATTCTTCCAAGATGAAAGTATGTAAAATACAACTTAATAAATTGTTTTATCTTTAATTGTTAAATACTAACTGACTTAATAGCATTTGGAGGATCTTGGGCAGATACGGATATAGATATGGCCTCAATTTCAGTACCAATTGAAAAATCTTATGGATATGATGATATTCCAAGAGGAATTGGGAGTTCTATTGGTCCACCATATATAGTAAAATTATTAAATTTACCAATAACAGCAAATGATGCATTTATACAAGATTTATTTCAAAGTAGATTTACAAATTTTATAAAATTTAAAATTGTAACTGATCCTTCATCAAATATTTTGGAAACTCATGTTATTAAAAAAGTTGCATTTGTTGAATTAGAATCTTCTCAAGATGTTTCAAAAGTTTCAAAATGGCATGATTTATATTATAAGGGAAATAGAAGAGTTATTGTTGAAATTGCAGATTTTAATGATTTTCAAAATTGTATACAATTTAATCAAGATCATTTTGATGAAATTCAACAAATTCAAAATGATTTTATTCAACAAAAGCAACATCAAAAACAACCTAGGCATATGGCATTATTGGATGAATTAGAACAAAATCAAGGAATAAGTCATGGAGGATCTCAATCTCATAATCATTATCAACCAAGAGGTGGACCTCCCTCAACATATGGACATCAATTTAATGGTCCAAGATCACCAGAAAAATTACATTCAACTTTTCATCAAAGAACTAAATCTTTTGATACTTCATTTCCTCCTCACAAACCATTTCATGGATTAGCTTCAGCTTCATCTATAACAAAACCACATGAAGATGAATCATCATTACAACAACAACCCCCTAAACCAAAATCAAATCCCTTTGGAGCTGCAAAACCTGTTGATACATTATCCAAACAACAAGAAATTGAAAAAAGACTTTTAAATTTAAATCGAACAACTGTTCAAACATTAGGAGATGATACAAATATTGATATTGAAAATACTATAAAAAAATTTCATGAAAGTGCATCACCACAAAATAGATATGAAAATTTACATGGACCAAGAAGACCATCTACTGAGAAAAAACCATCTATTGCAATTTTGAAAAGAGTTACACCTGAACAATCACAACCACCAGCACAACCACAGCAACAACAACAACAACTGCAACAACCTACTGAATCAAAACCTCATTCAAATTATACAATAGCACCTCAACCTCAAAATCAATATGCAACAAATGGTACAGGTAAATCATTAGCACAATTACTTAGTGAACGTACAAATCATATTACAAATCCACCAGTTGGAGGTAAGAATACACCACCAACTCCAACAACAAAACCACCAATTATTTTAAAAAAGAAAACTATTACTTCACCACCAAATAAAAATGTAGATTTAACTATTAAAGAAGGAGATTTTATTAAACAAGAAGAAGAAAAACAAAAGATACAACAAAAGGAATCACAACAAAATCAACAACACAATCAACAGCAAAATCAACAAAAACAACAACCTTCAAATCAATCTCAAATACAACTGCCACAAGAACAATATCAAAATTTAAAATCAAAATCAGGTTCAAAGTTAAAAGAAGAAACTTCGGTTGATGGAGAGAAAACCCAAAATACTACTGATCAATCAAGACCAGATTTCAAAAAATTATTTGAACATCTTTCAGTAAATAATGATCATCCTGAAACATCATCAACAGCAACGACAACTACGACTACACCTACGACAACTAGAGGAGGACGAGGTAGAGGTAGAGGTGCATACAGATCCAGAGGTAGGGGAAGAGGTAGAGGGGGTCATTTTTCGTATCAACGGAGAGAATCAGAACCAGAGAAGGAAAAAGAAAGTAAAAATGAGCAGGAAATTGAAAATGAAAATGTAGTCGAAAAGGAAAAAGAAAAAGAAACAACAAAGGAAAAAGAACAAATTTTACCTCAAGAAATTCCAGCTCAAGAGCCACCTATTTCACAACAAGAAACTCCATCAATTGATGAAAATGATATACCAAGAAAATTCAGAAAACAACATATACAATCACCAAATCATCGACCTCAAATCCATCTGGCAACTACAACATCAATAAATTTACCATTAAAAGACGACCAAATTAATACCACTCAATTCAATTCTAATTCATCATCAATTTATGAAGAAATTAAATTAAGACCTGTTTCTGCTGATGCTTCATTTCCATCATCATCAAATTATAGAAGAAATTTTGAACCAATTTCATCAGAATTTGATAACCAATTAAAACCAAATATTAATTTAGAAAATGAAATTTTAGGTAATGGAACAAAATCATCAGATATACAAACTTCAAAAGTACCAGCCGAAGAACAAACAAAGAAAGAAACTTCGGATTTAACGAATAAATCTTTAACTACAGCAACATCAGTAGAAACAACCTCAACAGAGACACCAAAAGAAACGACAGCAAAAACAACCTCAAAAGAAATAAAAACAGAAACGAATACAACTTCCTCAAGAGGTCGTGGTAGAGGAAGGGGAAGAGGAAGAGGAGGAAGAGGCAGCGGTGGATATAGAGGTAGAGGAGGAACAAGAGGTAATCGTGGTGGTGGTAATTCTTCATCATCAATTGAAGGAGGAGGATTTAATTCTCGTCATTATCAGTATATACGTGCAAAACCAACTGTAGAATAATGTATGAAAAATTTAATAGTTTTTATTTAAGATATTAAACTTTAATTTCCAATCCATTTTTTAGGGATGCTTATAATTTCCTATTAGCTTTATTTTATTTAGAACCTTCAGTTTTATAAACCTCTACTCTAATATTCATGTGATGTAGGTTCTGAATTTGAATTTAATTAATATCAATTCCTGTATATAACTGAGATGGATATGTTTCAGATACAAGTAATTTATTATTTTCAAAACTAGTCTAATTATTATTTTAAATTTAAATACCCGGGACGATGTTATACGCTAAGAGAAGATATAGGAGTGTTTCAAATTAGATGAACAAACAAGCAAGAGCCTACACAAAGTCATATGGAATTTTCAATTACTACTGTAGAAACTAACTTCACTTCTTTGATTGATCCTTTCAATCAAAACACTTCATTTACGGATAAATTTGTAAAATCGCAATGTTAAAATTGAACAGTTTTGATGTAAGTATTAACACAATACATATAATATGTAAGTAAGTATGTATGAATAGTTAATTAATAAATTAGAAAGTACGAAAGCTTAGTATTTAGTAAAAATCATCGCACGATAATTAGTTAGGGTCGTGTCCATAAGATCATATTAACGGTGAAATTTCATATTTTTCAAATCACGACATTTAAGTGCAATAACTTAAATTTTCAAAACTATTGATTAGTACACAATATATAAGCTGAAAGTATAGACTTTTGCCTCAAGTTTTGCATTAGATCAACTATTAAATCTTTTCAGGAGTACGTTTCTACAGTTGATTATCGTAAATGCTAGATTGCTATCACTCTATTGAATTTCCAAAATTATTATGTCTAAAACAAGATCTGCAAAGTTTAGTTCCTTTACACTACTTTTAAGACATTTTTTAGAAACAAAACCGATAGACATCATCAATTCATTACCTCCAGATTTGAGTTGGGCCTTCGCTAGATTCAAAAGGGGATTTGTTTCATTCCCATTTTAAGTTGAAAAAGTTTGGTTGGTGACGGTGGAAAACTATTACAAGGTCTATGCTCAAACAAAGGAGGGATATGTATATATGTTTCACTAGAAAATATTATTATATATTACAAGGGTTTGATATATTGAAACTAAGTAAATGTCTCTCTTTTTCACTCTACCTTCGTTATTATATTCCTAATTCCCTTTTCCCTTTATTATTATAATTGTGTTAATTATTGTATTACTTCTCATTGTATTAGTTTTAGTTTAGTGTATTACCAGATTTTATTATTATATTCAAATTTAAACAATAAATTAATATCTTTTTCCAAAAGTACAATACACTTATCGACCAAAAGCATTCAAAAAAATTATACTCAGTCAAGAAGGGGGATTTTTCACAGTTAAAAATCAATATTACCGTCCACCATTAAATATCCAGAAACAAATTAAGTTTAAGCTTTACTAATAAAAGTGTCAAATACTACATCATTTATATCAAATTCATATATATAATACACCCCCATATTTCCTTGTTCTTTTTGAAAAGTTAATACCAACAATAGAAGTTCATCATTAACTTCACCGAATAGAATAAACCAAGTGGAGAGATAATATATATCATTCGTTTCTTACATAAATTCATATTAGTTATTAGACAATCCCCAGACATTGATTAATACTGTACTACTCCCATACATTAAATTAAGTATAGGGAAAAAAAGAAAGTATATTTAACTTAGATTAATAATACAAAATCAATTTACTATATCAATCAATCAACCACTAATCATGTTTAATACCAAGATATTTGATAATGGAACTAATCCATCAAATATACCAATAGATACAACTAATTATCAACAACAAGATAATAATAATATACAGCCGCAACCAATAGATATAACTTTTAATCGTCGACCTTCAATATTTAATAATAGTAGATTTAGAAGAGAATCAGTGGCGCATTCACAAGGTATGGGTGGAATATCATGGGGTTCAGTAACTATAGGATCATGGTTAAAAGATGAAGTAATGTCATCAAATACAAATAATTTTTTAAATCCTAACAACATACAACAATCAAATATAAATCAACAATTACATCATAATAATCAAAATTTAATAAATCCAAGAAGAGGTTCATTTAGAAATCAAAATAATAATAACAACACTATACATCCAAGTATGTCACCAAATCAACAAACATCTTATTTACCAAATTTAGAAGCTGATTATTGTAAAGATTATAATTGTTGTGGAGAAATTTTACCAACTTTACATGATTTATTAAGACATTATGAAGAATCTCATATTTCTGCATCACCACCAATTGATTCAAATCAACATTTAATAAATAATAATAGAAATAGAAATAATTATAATAATATTCATAATGTAATGGAAACAGTTTCAACAACAGATGTATTTTTAAATAACAATCATAATAACCACCACAACCACAACCAAAATAATAATGATACATATAATATACAAAATCAAATAAATTCAAATCAACAACTACAGAATCATCAAAATCATCAACAAATACAGCAGAATCATTCACAACATCCACAACAATTTCAACAACATCCACATCAACAACAGCATCAATCACAACAACAACTACATCAACAACAATTTAATCAATCTGGATCACCAAATAGAGATATAGATATGGAAACAGGTGAAGATGAAGGATATATAGATGATCCAGCACGTCATTTATATTATCAAGATGATGAACATAAACCTTTTAAATGTAATGTTATAGGATGTGATAAAAGTTATAAAAATCAAAATGGTTTAAAATATCATAGAAGTCATGGACATCAAGGTCAAACATTAAGAGAAAATCCAGATGGTACTGTTTCTGTTATTGATCCTGATTCAAATAATCCAATGGATAATCCTGCTTTAGAAAAAGATAAACCTTATAAATGTAATGTTTGTAATAAACGTTATAAAAATTTAAACGGTTTAAAATATCATAGAGGTCATACAACTCATTAATTAATTGTTTGCGTTCCTTTGGGTAAATTAAGAGTTGACTATATATATAATAAATCTTGTTCATAGTTGGGGTTGATGTGTTTTTTATCTTATTTTTATTTGGGTTATTCTTTTATTTTTTTGCATTCTTGGGTAAATTTTGGTCTTATTTGATCTATGTTGATTATTATTAATGATTTTGTTTCTTTTAATGTTTTAATTTTGTATAATTTTAGGAGTTAAATAGTTAAATTGCATAAGTTTGATATTAAATTTTTGAGAAATATGATAGAGCTGTCAATGTAAGAGTATACTTGAAAATTCTATAAATAGTGAAAAATATCCATTAATCTAATTATAAACTACTATTTAATAAATCAGTATTTAAATATTTTATAAAATCTCTATATTTTGGTAAAATTTCTTCAATTTTAATTAAATTAAATTGTATTGCATCACCTAAAAATAATGAAATTTTTTGATTTGAATATTTTAAATAATCAAAATCATCATCACTTGAAGTTATTGCTTCTTCTAGTACAATATCAGAATCATCATCATCATCTTTAGAATGATCATCATTCTCTTTACCATTTATATTTAATTTTTCAACATCAATTGTAATATTATAAGTTGAATCTATACCTTTTTCACTTTCTGATTTTTGTAATTTTGGTTTTATTGGTCCATTTTGAATAAGACCCCAAAAACACCAAAAAATTTGTACTGAACCTCTCCAATATATACATTCATTATACATTTTTTCAATTTCATATTGTATAAGATTTAAAGTATCTTCATGATTATTACCACTTTCTCCAATTAAAAATTCAACTGGATTTTTTGAAGTTTTTAAATTTGATGAAGGTAATTGAAAATCATATTCAATATAAGATTTTAATAAATTTAATTGTTCTAATCTTGTTGGATATTTTGATTCATCTAAATAATAAGATTTAATGGGATCATGATAATTTGTCATCCATTCACTAAAATGATTTACAATATCAAATGCTGGAAAATTTGGTCCAGAATATTCAAAATCTATAACTACTAAATTATTATCTTTTTTATTTGAAGTTGATTTTATTATTATATCATCAACTTTTGTTGTTGGAGGTGAATCAACTATAATATCTTCTGGTTTAAAAGATTCACAAAGTAAAAGATTTCCATATTGAGTATCATTATGACAAAATTTATAATTTGATGTAAAATTTTTCTCATCATATTTTAAAAATAACCAATTTTTATATTTAAAAATTAAATTTTTTAATTCATCAAATTTCATAAAAAATATATCTTCAGGATTTATACCACTCAGTATATAATTTGGTAAATATTCAAATTCAAAAATTTTTAACCATTTTTCAATTAATCTCCAACATGTTGGTACTGATTTTAAATCTTCTTCATCTAATTGAATTTTATAATGTAAATCTTTCATTCTTCTACCAAACATTTGTGATATTATTGAATCTCTAATTTGTTCTTTATTTAATGTTACAAATCCATCTAAAAATTGTTCAAATCTACCATTTATGAATATTCCTAATAATCTTGGTCCAATTCTTTTTTGTGATAATTTTATTAATGTTAATAATTCATGATCTCTATCAATTAATTCATCAACATTTTTTCCATAAACTCTTAATAATAAAGAAGGTAAATAAATTTCGTTTTTAGGATCATTATATTCAACTTTATATATAGAATTAGTTAAAGCTCCAGAAATTCTATTAACTTTTAAAATTTTTAAATCTAATTGTTTTTTATACCATTTACTTATTTTTAAAGTTTTTGTTAATGCTATAATATCTTGTTTAAAAAATTCAGCAGGTAATGAATTATCTAATATAACATTTACTGATGGTATAATTGTTTCATTATTAATTTGAGTTGATGTTATAGTTAATTTATTTAATGATGAACTTGATAATGACTTTCTTGTTGATGATGAACTTGGACGACGAGTTGCTGATGTTGATCTTGTATTTGCTGTTGAATTTCTTGTTCTTGATCTTGATCTTGACCTTGATGATCTATTTGATGGTGTTATTTCTACACCTGACATATTATTTAATATTGTTTTTTTGTGGGTATTGTTTTAAATGCTATTAATGAAACGAAATGAAATTGAAATGAAATGAGGTTGAATTGAATTGCTATATACAAATTTATGCTATGAATTTGTTTGAATACAGTGATATGTCTACCAGGGTTTCAAAATTCTAACAAAAGGTCCGATTAAAGGATATTTAAAATATAACTTTGCTAAATCAAATAATGATCATAATAAAAAAATAATTTTGAATGTTGGAGATATTATTTTTTTAACTAAAAGAGTCACATGACTAAAAGAATCAAATTTTGTAACTATTTACTTTGCCTCTTTAAGTAATTGGTCTCATGATAATAAAGACTTTACTTATCTTACTTGTTGCTTTGAAGAGGTCAAAGAAACATCAATCAAAACAGGAAAGTATCATTAGCAACAACTTGTTTCATGCTCATGTCCAAGTCTATTTAACGGCTAGATTAATAGTTTGTGATTTTACAAAAACTTATAACAAAGTTTTAGTTTAAACTGGATTATTTTTTCAATGTTTGGTTTCAACAAGAAACTATTTACATCCACCACTAATCAATTACTAAAGATAATCTATTCTTCGAGACAATCAGCTTTGCAAAGATGACTGATAAAATATATCCCAAATATCATTCAATCACTCACCAACTAATTGCATGTTCTATTGTGAAAAAAGGACAAGTAACCAATCACATACCTAAACTTTCATGAGATCATAACTGCGAAACTTAAAGTCAACAATATGAGTGTTTGGAACTTTTCTGAGTGAGGGGTAAGCATGTTGTACTCTAGTTGGTATAACCTAGAAGGCTATGCTTGAAACTAAACAATTTAATTGACGTCGAGTAAACTTTTAAAGAAGAGAAGATTTCTTTATCAATTTGTGCTCATCTTCTTCTTCAGTCAAAAGGAACTTAATCGTGATATTGATCAATGTTGCTTTTTTGTCCAATTGTAACCTCCTATCCATGAAGAAAACTTTGAACCAATTGCCTTAGACTAATTACAAAACAAAAGCAAAATAAAGGTAATTTCCATCCATGCAATATAGTTTCTTGCAAGATTAAAATTTTCAAAGTTGTATGCTTGCCATGTGATACAGCCTTAGTCAATAAGTGTTTCAAGAATCCAAGACTGACATTTATTTTTGCAGGCTTCGCATATACGCAAAGGTCGATCAATCTTCATCAAGCGTTTAAAAAACCATAGTGATACTTGATGAAGTGTTTCAACCCCATAAATTAATTTTAACTCGTACTGTTTGGGAATATCCATCGGCTTTAGATGCGAAGTCTGCACTAAGATATGTCAGCAGGATACTTGACACACTAATGACTCAATGCTACATCACACGGAAAGCATAGAGTTATGAAAATTACTAACTAATCTTTAGAAATTGTATAATGCCCTAATGAGACCCGATGATGTGTTTCAACCCCATCAATATATTCTAACTTGTACAGCTTAGGAATATCCATCAGCTTTAAATGCTAAGTCCGCACATAAGATGAATTAACATTATTTATAACCAACATGTTGTGGTATTAGACCAAGGTTATAACACTCTGATACCAAGATGTCCAGTGATCATCGGTATCTAACGCCATAGCTTTGGTAAAATGTTACAACAATTTGGCTATAAATCATGCAAAACATTTTAAACAAAATGCACAATATTGTTTTCGTGCAGAAGGTTTAGGACTCATGTTTCATGAGTCTTGATCAATGTCATCATTAAATTCTTTGACTAAGGCAAATTGGTAATATTTGTTGATGATTTGATTGGATTCAAAAAAATCCCCTGTATTTCTCTTGTCCAATCTTTCAAACAATGATTAAAGTTGTAAAACTCAGAACAATTCCATGGTATAATGTCAAGACTCCGCTTGATATAAAATCCATCCGAGTCGGTCCAATTTAAATGCAGGAATCATTCCACGTCCAATTTGTTCTGCCAATATTCAGCAGAACCAAATTCTAAAGATCACAATCCTCGATGTTTAAATGCCGAATCTCATGTTCTTTGATTTGACTAACCCACTCGAAAATCTCGAAAATCTCGAAAGTTTACAGTGTGCTTAATTTTTTTTCGATTTTGCTCTTTCGTCTCTTTTTGTGGTAAAATTTGTTTGAAAATTATTTTGATCTCGAATCATTGCAACCAAATCTCATCCATTATAGGGCAACACAACCCCATATGTCAGTCGCCATATATGTCTCGATAGTGGCGTCCTTTGCCGCCTTAGTGCTATACAAATTACATGAAAGTAAATCAAGTGAATTGAATGCAACAAAATCACAACTCGATAAAGAACTACAAACAATTGGAAAATCATTAGATGATCAAAAAAATTTATTCAATACATTATTGGAGAATTCAAAGAGGGAGTTAGAATTACATCAATCAAACAATAGAAAACAAAATGAAGACTTACAATCCAAATTAAACAAATTGAATGAGGAGCATCAGGAATTAAAGCATAAAAAAGCAAAAGATAAGTTGACGATAAATAATTTGACAAAACAAGTTGATGAATCTGCACCACAAATCAAGCATTTAAAGAGTGAATTACTTAGGTACGAATCTATAGAAAGAGAACTTGCCCAAAAATATACATTTAAATTAAATTCAGAAATTGAAAGATTAGTTGTTGAAAAAGATTTAAAAATTGCTGATTTACAACAAACTTTATCAAATAGTCAAAGAGAATTTTCAAGACAACAACAATTAATTAATGAATCTGATAATAGAAGTGATAAAGTCATCATCCAATTGAGGGAAATCAATGTTGATCAACAACAAAAATATGATCAATTAAAAGCTGATCATAAACTTCAAATATTACAAAATAACAAAAATGTTGAAAAATATGATGACTTAAAAGGATCTTATGATACTATGCATACTGATTTAATACAAGTTACAAAAGATTTGGATGATTCAAAAAAAGTTGTAATAGATGTTCAAAAAATTTGTGACAACTTAAGAATTTCAGAAGAAACATTAAATAAGAAATTAAAAGATTCAAATGGAAAATTACAAGATGCATTAGATAAATTTGAAAAATTGGAAAAACAATCTAATAATAAAAGTTCAAAAATAAAAGATTTGAAATTAAAATTAAAATTTTATCAAGGATTATATAAAGAATTAGAAGAATTTGTAATGGAATTAAAAACAATTGATCCAAATTTTCCAAAAATCGATTTATCAAGTATTTATAATGATATTGATTCAATGTCATCTGATGAAGAAGATACATTGGATGCAAAATATCAACCTAGTTTTAAAATTGGTGATGAAAAAGGTGAAGTCAATCAAAAAGAATATGATTTATTGAACAAAACTAGTGATATTTTCTCATCTGAACCAATATTAAGTGAAGTTAAAGATTATGTTCAAATTTTAAAGACAAAAGTGGCTAGTAAAGAATTAAGTGAGAAACAAAAGAGTGAAGAAATTCATGAACTTAAAACTCAAGTCGAGGAGTTACAGTCAAGACTTGAAAGTGAAGATAAGAATGGAGTCGACTCAAAAGTTGAGACAAGAAATGATTCAAAGGACTTAGTTAGCAATAAAGAGGTTCTTTCTAATATTGATGAGGGACTGAAGGAAAAAGTTCAAACAGAAAACAATGGTGAGGCTAAAGATGACTCAAAAGATGAAACTAAAGACGAAGCTAAAGTTGAATCTAAAGATGAAGTTAAGGAAGAAACTACGGATAAAACCAAAGATGATTTCAAAGATGAAGCTAAAGATGAAGCTAAAGATGAAGTTAAAGATGAATCTAAAGGTGGAGCCAAAGATGATTCCAAAGATGAAGTTAAAGATGGCGATAAAGCTAGAGCCGAGCATACATCCGATAATTCTAAAGATGAAGTTAAGAACGACGTTAAAGGCGAAGCTAAAGAAGAACCTAAAGTTGAAGTTAACGATCAGGCTAAAGATGAAATTAAAGATGATTCTAAAGATGCATCAAAAGACAAGGTTAAAGATGAAACCAAAGACGAATCCAAAGATGAAATCAAGGATAGTAAAGCTGAGTCCAAAGACGAAGGTACACTTGAAAATAATGCTGATGATAAAGAAGAAGGTAAAGATGAAAATGAAGTTGACTCCAGAGATGGAGATAAAGATGCCAAAGTTGAAGTCAAAGACGATGCTAAGAACGAAGCCAAGAACGGGTCTAAGGGTGAAACTAAAGGTGAATCCAAAAATAAGGATGCTTCTAAATCTGAATCTGAATCTAATAAAAAATGTTTAGTTTCTCCTGGTGCATCAGATACTAAGGAATTTAAACCAAGTCAGACCTCCACCGAAAATGAAGTGATACCGTCTACACCCAAACAAGATGAAAGTCAAGTTCCTTCAGAGCAACCAAAAGAGAGTGACATAGATAGTGATGAGGAATATAGATCCAAAGTTCCAATTTTTAGAACCATTACACCTGAAAAAGATCAACTGCCGGATCCATCACAAGATAAGTCTCAAGAAGAACCAGATACGAAAAGAAATGATGATTCAAATGTTGAATATACTCCAGAAGAAAGAAATTCTACAATTCCTCAGATAGATAAAATATTACAGGGACAGATACAAGAAGAAAACAAGGAAGCTGAAGATCCTCTCAAGTCGGAAGATAAGTCTGAAACCAATGATAAAGATAACGAAGGAAAAGCCAATGAAAATGTTAATGATGAAAACGTTGCGGAATATACTCAAGAAGAAGAAAATTCAACTTTACCTGAAATTGACAGAAAATTAAAGGAACAATTTGAGCAAGATCAAAAGGATGAAAGAGAAAATAAAGATAAGGACAGTGATAAGAATGAATCACAAGAGAAAAAAGCAACTACTACCACTCCAGGAGAAAATCAAGAACATGGTTTAAATAAAGATTATGATCTTACGGCTGCTGAAAAAGACAAAAAGAATGAAAAACCTTCAAATGAAATAGAAGAAACTCCCGACGAATCAAAAGCTGTAGTACCAGCAAAAGATTCATCAAAGGATGAAACAAAAGATTTTAAACCTAGAGGAAGTGGTGTTGATCCATTAGATGCAAGCCCTGAACCAGAATTAACACCAAAACTTGTCAGTACAAATGAATCTACCGATGATAAAGAAGATGACAAGCCCATAGATCGTAAACATAAAATATCAGAAGCAAAAGCTAATGAAAGTAAAGAAAAATTAAATGATGTTTATAGGAAAATGTCAACTTCAAGAGATCAACGTATATCAGAACAAGTGGATGATAATGACAAAGAAGAACCTGATAAAGATACAGCAGATTCAGAAAATTTAGAGAATAGTAAAAATTCAAAAGAGCAAGAGAAAGAACCTGTTTTAAACAAAGATGAGGCAAATGCTCCAAAAGAAGACGAAGTTGATAAATCTGAAAAGAAGAATATTAGTGAGTTGAAAGATGGTGATAAAGAAAAATCATCAGCTAAAACAATGGGTGGAATTGTAAGTGAGCCTAAGAAGTTAAATGAAAATGACAAACCAACTGAGTTTAGTGATAATGAGGATAGTCAAACTTCAAAAGTGACAGAAAACATCAGTGACAAAGCACCGAAAGAAGATGAAGTTGATGGTCAAAACACTAAAAAAGTTGATGATTATAAAGATGATGATAAAGAAAAGACATCTGCTAAAATAATGGGAGGAATAGTTAATGATCCTAAAACATCTGATAAAGAAAGCGAAGAAGTAAAAAAACCAGATGAAAAAGAAAATGAAGATCCCAAAAATGAAAAAACTTCAAAAGACAAAGAAATATTTATCAGACCACAATCAGGATCAGATTATAATAAAGCGATAGAGGAAGAAGAATCCAAATCAGATAAAAAAGAACCACCAAAAGTTTTAGGTGGAATTATAAAAGAATCTAGAAAGCTAAGTATAAATAGTGATCCAAATTTAAAAAAATTAAGTATTGATTTAACTCCAAATTTAAAAAATGAAGATGGTAGTAATAAAGTTGTTGGTGGATTAATTACTAATGATAAGAAAGGTAAAGAAAAGGATGATGTTGATACAAATCCAAATGAGGCTGATAAGGTAAAAGAACAATCTGAAAATGAAACAAAGCCTACTGATAAGGATGGTAAAAATGATGAATTGAAGAGTACGCTGGATGAAAAATCAGGAGATAAAGCAATATTGGAGGATAAAGAGGAATCGAAGGATACATCAAAAGATGATACAAAAGATAAAGATGCATCAAAAGATCATACAAATGATGAACTGAAAGGTACATCAAAAAATCCTACGAAAGAAGAATCAAAAGATCTTACACAAGAAGAACTGAAAGATATATCAAAAAATAATACAAACGATGAAATGAAAGATCCAGCTAAAGTTACATCAAAAGATACTTCAAAAGATACATCAAAAGATGCACCAAAAGATACATCAAAAGATACAGTCGAGGATAATTCAACAAAAGTGCTACAAAATGAGTCAAATTCTTCCCAAGTTGAAGAATCATCAAATAAACCATCAAGTACCGAAGGTGCTAAAGATGAAACAAAAAAAGAATCTGAAAAACAAACAAAGAAGGCATCTGAAGATAAAACTAATGAAATTTCAGGTCCGAAAGAAGACGTTAAAGATAAAAAGGATAAAACTGACGACGTTAAAGTACAAGATCAAAAGGATAAAACTGAGGATGCTAAAGTCCAAGAACAAAAGGATGAAGATGAAAGTGATGATGATGATGTAGATGGAGAAGATGATGATGATGATAATGATGATTCAAAAATTATTGAAGATTCAACCTCAAGTACAACTAATAGTCCAACTAAAAGTACATCTAATAGTACACAATCATCACCTAAAAAGAATAATAAGAAAAATAATAATAATAAAAAGAATAAAAAAGGTAAAAAAAAGAAAGGTAAAAAATAGAATAAAATTGATTTATTATCAAATGAATTATATATTTTGTATAGCTATAATTTTATAATTTTTTAATCATACAGCATTTTTTAATAGTATTTGTAAATCATAAATCAGTTACTTATTTCTCATTAGGTAAGATAATAAAATCAAGTGTAACAATATAAGAAAAGTAGAGTAGGTAACACTGTCAAAAAAAATAAGTTTATCAAAGTTTTAGTCTTAATATCATTTTCTAAATTCGGTTGAATTAATTCCAAAATAAGATTAAAATCGATAGCAGTCAAAACAATAAGAAGAAAAATAATAATTGTACTCTACTTAAGATTTAAGAAAAAGGGCTTTTTTGCTAAGTTCTATAAGTACATATACATAATATGAAATGTGAATATAAATCTATTACTTATTTTACATAAAAATGTTTAGTTTTCAAAAAAGCCATCAGAAGATGGGTAAATCCAGAAATTATAGGAAATCTCGGGTAAATTTTTCAATACTTATTTACTTTAAATTCATTTGATTCACTAAAAAATTTGACTTTCGAAAAATTACTCTGACTAAATCAAACGGCTATTTAATTTTATTGTTTTATACTTTTGTTACACCCTTTTTTTTGTTTCAAATGTCTATAAAATCAATAAAAAGTTTAATAATGAATGATTTGTTGGGTAACAAAAATATTGATAATTGTGATTAAATTCTTTGGAAAAATATTTAACTTTGTGTATAAATGTACCTGAAATTAAAAAAAGTAGTTAATAGGTGGAAAGAGAATTGATACATTTATCGATATAAGTGTTTTCATTCCCTTACCTAATCTGAAAGGAATGTTGGAAATCCGTTAAAATTTCAATCCAGCAATTTCAATTTTCATAAATGAGAAGAATTTCAAAGATTTTTAGTACCAAAACCATCGACAGATTTAAAAAAAAAATAACTCAATTTTTTAATCAATTTAGCATTAAAATAATAATAATAATAGTAATTTAATGGTAAAAAACAACTTTGTATAAAACGTGAATGTAGTTTCTAGTATTCTGATGTGAAATTTCAGCTTCAACTGTGATACTTTTTTTTCAACTCGGCCTCATCTGAATTAAAGAATAAATATACATCCATACCTTCATAGTAAACTTAAACATTTACATCCGTACCGCACCATTTAAGGGGCTTGAGTTTCTCGAGAATGAAATATTATATTTGGCTAACAAAACATTCTCGGATTAAAATAAAGAATTATAATAATAAGGAGAATGTAGTTTGTGTAATATAATATTACTTACATGAGACATATATTCTACTGAGATAATAAAAATAGAAACGAATCAATAAGAAGTAATAGAAGTATAAAAGAAGCAATGATCTAAAGTGGTTGAGCACGGATGATACTAATTTTTTTTTTTCTATTTTAATTTGGAAGTGATGAGAAAAGTTGAAGGTTAATCCTTACAGAGATCTACCATCTTATCTAATTGACAATAAAAATCTCCTCGAGATATAACTTAGATTACAAAAGGGATAGATATTAAAAGAAACTTTTACGATGAATAAAATTAGTATAATTAGAATGAGACACAAAATCTAACTAAGTAAGTTATTCTATAGTTTAGTTAACTTAGTCTACATTTAGATTTGTTTACATTTTCTATAAGTAAAATTAGTTGCTATTAAAAGTAATTTAGTCTTAGATCTCTTAATATATATAATCATACATATCCATCATCAACCGCAGCTCATCATTCTACATCAACCCGTTAGACACACTATTACCTGAAGACAATCTTCAATTTCAGCACTATTGTAATTTTTTGATAAAATCAAAACAACTACTACTACCAACACTACTGTTGTTACTACGATACTAGATTAAAAATTTAAGTATCTACTTTCGCTTAAAGGATTTAAAAGCTTTTGAAAAGATCACAACCATCGGATTAAATCAATCTATTTAATACTTTCGTACTTTATTGATTACCCTTTAAAATCATTTATTTCATACATATACAATTTTCAATTTTATTAAGGAAATTATAAATTTAATTTTATTACGAGAATTTCTTAAATTAAATTTTAAATTTATTTTACAACCAAAAAGATATTATCACTTCAGTTTGACAACCATAAATTATTCATTCGTTTTTATAGTTCATACCATATCTCATAGATCAATCAGCTCAATCAATTCAGTAAGAAACAGCTGAAGAAACTTGAATCCATTCACTACTATTCAGTTTACGAATCATACACTCAATTTTAAATATAAACAATTTATTATAACTTTTTTACAACACTCATAATCTTCAAGTTTCATCCATAGCTCAAATGTCTAACTAAATCCAATCAAACTTCTTCATCCAAATATAGTACACCTTAATTTTAATACATGTTTATTCATAAAACTTTCAATTTAATTCAACTTTACTAAACCATATCAATATTTTGTATTAATTCCATTTACTTGTTTTAAATTTCATATTGCATTTCAACATTTTAATCGTTAAAACAAAAGTTCAATTCTTTCAAATATAATAGAATGACAAATGTACTAGCTAAAGCTGCAAGTATAAGAAGAAAATCATCATCTAATCAACAACAACAACAATCCTCAACAGATAAATCTAAAGATAATTCAAATCAAACATCAACTTCATCATATAATAATTACTTTAATTACACTACTCAAACAAGTAAAAAATATTTTAGTTTCAATTCTAGTTCTAATAATAATAATAATAATAAAAACACTAATGAAAATAATAATAATAATAAAAACGAGAATACAACAAAAAACGAGATTTCAGATATAAACATTAAAATTATAACTACAACATCAAATGATGATATTACTCAAAATCAAGATCTAGATACAAGTAAAACTAATTTAAATCAAAAATTTATAGAATCAGAATCAAAATCACAAGCACAATCTCAATCTCAATCATCTTCACAAAATAAATCAAAATCAAGTTTCCCACCACCACCTCCAATTCCAATACTGCCTACCCAACTACTTCGATCATCACCAAGCTTTACTGATTCTTCACCCATTCAACCACCTCAATCTCAACCATTACAATCATCAAGAGGTATAAGATCAAGTTCATCTAAAGTTTCTTTAAAATCAATGAAAAGTTCTAATTCTTTATCAACAATAAATTCAAAAAACAACTCAAACAGTAATAATGATAAATTAATTAAAACTTTATTAAAAAGATATAAGAAATTAGAATTAGCATTAAATAAATTTAATTCTAGAAAATATAATCATACATATAATACAAATAATCCAAATAATGGAGCTATATTAAAAGGTAATTTATTAAGAACTTCATTAATTCCATTTTTAAGAAGTTCAAATCAATTAGATCAATTATTTAATAAAGATTCAAAAATTTATAAAAGTTTAACCAGTGTTATATTAACAGTATTATTAAAATGGTGGAATTCATTAATTGGAAATTTAAAATATACTATTAATTCAATAAAGCCAAATCTTACTCAGATTTCATCAATTAATCAATCTGAACAAATTCATTATACAAATATTCCAGCAAGTGATAGAAATGCTTATTTAGAATGTGTATCAAGAATTATATCAAGAGGTGATTGGCATCATTATGATGAACAAAATGATTATCAAGCATTATTAACTACAACATTAGATTATTGTATTGATAAATTATCAACTTTAAAAACTTTAACTGGTTCAATGGCTGCATTTATTGGGAAAGTATTTGCTTATAGTTTTTTTAAAATTCCAAATGTTTCAAATGCATTAATGTTTTTATTAAATGTTAAACAAATAAATTTAGAAAATAGTTTAAAAATTTTACCTCAACCAGAAGACATTGATGAAAAAATTAAATTAATTAAATCAAAATTCCCACAACATTTACATCAACTTTTAAATTTTCAAGGAATTCAAAATTTAACAACAAGAGGTCAAAAATGTTATATGAATTGTATTCCACCTCCAAAACATCCAGTAGATGGTATTAAAAATCCAAATGGTGATTGGGTTAGAAGATGGTGTGGATCAGATTCAAATGTTTTTAATTCATTTTTACGTCATTATATTGAAATTATAAGACAAAAATTTATAAATAATAATAATGAAATTAATTTACTTTTGTTATGTCCTGGTTTTAATATAATTTTTAGTCATATTTTTCAAATTTTTCAAATTGCTATAAATAGAATTACTTCAAATATGAAAAATTCAAAAGAAATTATTGTTCCTCCTTTTAATATTAATGTTAAACAAAGTGATATGTATTATAGTTCAATTATAAAAATTTTTAGAACTATTAGAGATATAACTTATATTTCAACAAAAGATCAATCTATAGATAATATAAGTTCAAATTTAGTTAAAGTTATTGATCTTTGTTTTATATCAATAGCAAAAGAAACTACAATATATGATTTTAATAAAAATGGTATTATATTAGGTATAATAAATGAATTTATAAATCATTTAGATTTTAATTCTTTTAATAATGAAATTCAATATTTAATAAATTGGGAATTTTGGTTAAGTTGTAATTATATGATGATAAATCATTGTGATCATATTCAAAGTTTATTAAAAAATTTTGCATTTTTATTTAATATATGGGATATGATACCTGATGTATTATGTTCATTTATAACTTCAAAAATTGATAATATATCAATTAATGATATAAATTATAAATGGATTATAAATATTGAAGAATCAATAAAATTAAACTTTATAAATTATTTAATTAGTGATTTTACATTTGAAAAATTTTTTATTCATTGGAATCCTTTGGTAAGATCTTATTATATTAAATTATTAATTTGGAGAGTTATTGGTATAAATAATTATCAATCTTCATTTTCTATACAAACTACAAGAACTTTACAATCAAAATTAAATGAATCATTTGAAATTTTACAAAGCTATACAATTTTAAATAATGGTAAGAATGAATTAAATTTTAAACCTGATAATCCTTTAGTTAATAGAAAATTTAGTATTTTACCTATTAGTTCAAAAGATGATTATTTATCAGTTAGTGGTGATGGTTTAAATGGTATTAATAATCAATCATCAGAAATTTATTTATCTGCAACAACTTCTCTTAAATCATCAGAATTAAGAAAAACTCACCCATATGAAATATTTGATGAAGCTATTTATACATGTGCAACAGTTCCACTGATTAATGAAAATCAGAACAATATTAGTTCAAATTCAAATTCAAATTCATCAACAGCAAACAAAAATAATTCATTTGTAAATTCAATAAGTAAATTATTAAAAATATTATCAGATGAAGAAAAAAATCAAGATAAAATTCAACAACCTCCAATGAAACATTCAGAATCTTCAAGTTCATTATCTACATCATCATATAAATCAAGATCTTCATCACCAAGTATAATGTCATTTAATTCAACTCCAACATCAATTACTGAAACTTCATCGTTAAAATCAGATGAATTTGATGAAAATTCATCTATATTAACAATAGATACATTAAAATTAAAAGATGATAGTGAATTACCATTAAATAATCAAAAACAAATAAAACATAAACAACCCGACCAGAATCAACAACAAAATTATAATATTCAACCACCTGAATTATCAAAATTACCACCAGATATAATAAGACCAATTTTTAAATTTGATATTATTGTATGTCATGAATCAATGAATGAAAAATTTCAAATTATAAATTCAAAAAATTCAATTATAAATCAAAATTGTTATAATGGATATTTTAATAAAAATCAAAACAATATTTATTTTAATAATAATTATGGAAATAATTTAAATTATCAACATTATGATCAATCTCATCAATCAGTTTTAAATTTCCCCAAGATTCCAAAATTACCATATATTTCATTATTTATAAATTCAGATTTATATAATCATAAATTTTATTTAAATGAAGAAGATGATGATGATGGAATATATTTAGAAAATTTATCAAATCAAGAGGATGATGAGGGAGATGATGAACACGAGACTAAGCATTCTTTATTTAATTTAAAAAATAATGAATCATCAAATATTTCAATTTTAAATCTTGGTAAATCTTTAAATGAAATTAATATTATAATTGAAGAATTTAAATTTTTTTTAAAGCAAAGGATTGATATTGATAATTTAAAATTTGAAAATTTAAAAAATTTAAAAAATTCTAATAATACTAATTTTAATAATGAACCAGGATTTAATTCAATTGCGGACAATGGAGAAGATATTGATGATAATTTTAATGAATTTATTTATCTTAAAAGAATTATTCCATTCTTGAGTGTTGATTCTTCAAATGAATTAAAATTATTAAATGCTAATTAACTTTAGGGAAACATACATACCACACAATCAATCATTCATTTCCATTTTTATTCTGTAAGAAGAAGATTATATAAAACGTACGTTACTTTGTTTTTTCACATATTTACATAACATTTATAGAAAATTTGTATAAATATATATTTATTACATCACGATAAGTCACTTAAAAATTTGTTTTAATCTCCCAAGAGTTTAAGACTTAGCTATTATAATCATTATTATTTATTCAAAATCTAACTTTTATTAATTGTTTTATTTTTATATATAAAGGTCTAACATCTACTTATAAATCTACATATTCATCATAAGTTTTTCTCCAACTTTTAAAAAATCCATAAAAAAATTTAATACCTAATCCAACATCTTTTGAACCAACAGTTGCTCTAATAGAATGCATAGATAATTGAGGAATACCTAAATCAATAGTTCTTGCACCAGTTTGTGAAGAAATTGATGGACCAATAGTACTACCTGATCTACCATCATTTCTAATTTGAAAATATTGAATTTCATCATTATTTAATTTACCTAATTGTTCTACAAGAGAAATACCAATTGAATCAGTTGCCATATTACCATTTGGATCTAAAGTTAATGATATACCTTTATTTGGTATAGGTTTATGATTTTCTAAATAAGCTTCTTGATAATTTGGATTTAATAAATGAATAACATCAGCAGATAATATAATACTATTTGCATAAGTTTGTCTTAATTTATCTTGAATCGATAATTGATTTGGATTTAAATATTTTGTTGATAAAATTCTTTCAATTACTAATTCAAATAATCCACCTTTGGCTCCTGCTCTTGTTGCACTTCCAATTTCTTCATTATCATATAATGATACTATTGAAAACGAATCACTACCCAATTTGTTTTCATTTGATGCTTCAATTAATGCATTTATTCCTGCAAATGAACAAATTCTATCATCAACTCTTGGAGCAAAAATAAATTCTTCATTTAATCCACCAATTGAACCTTTTTGAACATCATATAATTGTAAATCCCATTGACTTATTTGTTCAACTTTAACATTTGCTAATTTTGCAATATATCTTAATAATTTTAAAGAATGTTTACCATATAATGGTGCATTTTTTTCAGCTTCAGTTGGTTCTGGATCTGGTTCTTGAGAAAATCCAATAACTGGTATTGATTTTGTTTCTTTATTTATTGGTTGAAAAGCAATTTCTCCAAAATGTGGAGCTAATGTTGGTATATGAGCAATTGGATTTGGTGTAGAATCAATTAATTTTTGATTAATTTTATTATCTTTATCTTTTATTAATAATCTACCACCAATTCCTAAATCTCTATCTAACCATAATGTACCTAATGTACCAGCATATGGTGCAACTCCTAATAATTCATAACCATCAATTTTTTCCTTTGTTGAATTTGGTTTTAATACAGTTGTTAATGAATCAATATGAGAACCAATAGCTCCTACACCCTTTTCAGGAGTCCAATCTTTACCAATATAAAAAGCAGATAATGATGAACCATTTCTTGTTGTAAAATATTTACCAGGTTTTAAATTTGTCCAATTATCTTTTTCTGATATATATGTAAAACCATTATCAGTTAATTGAGAACTAAAATGTTCAACAACATGATAAATTGTTGGATTTTTATAAGTAAATTCAATATATTCTTTTGCAAAACTTTTGTAGTATTCTGAGGTATATTTTGAGGGAGATTCTGTAGCTGATGATTCTGAGGAAAAGCTTGAATTGCTGGTTTTTTCAACTGGTTGAGAAGCTAACTCTTTACGTTCTTGAAGTTTATTTAAAGAATCTGAAATACCGGCAAGTATATCATCTATAGTGAAATTAGACATTTTCTTTTAATGGTATGGAGTATAAATGAGTGTGTTTTGATTATTGAAGAAAATTTTAAAAAGCAAACAGGTATTGCCACAAATATATATATTCTTCTGGTTAATTTAAAACTAATCCAAACGGCTTCAATTTTTCAATAAAAACGGTGGTTTATTTTAATGGTTAGGTAATTTTTATATTTCTGTGTCAATTTATAAACGGAATTTTTAACCACAAAAAATTGACACAAAAGCGGATTTTGCTGGTCATAGTACCTGAAACCTCACAAAATTGACAAAACAATAAGTTCAATTTATAGATAAGAAAGAGTCAAACTATTGAGTCAAAAATAGTACAACTTTTCAGTCTATTCCATAACCTCTGTAGTTGTATTTCTTATTATTTACTTAACTTTAACTTCTTCTTTACTTGGTTGGCCTTTCACTTGCAAAAGTGGCTGCAACAATTAATGGAAATACTAAACTTACATCAGCATAAACTTTTACAGATTTAGCATCTGCTTTAATTTTACCCCAACTTATAGCTTCATCAGGTCTTGCTCCAGCATCTGATCCATCAAATTCTTGACCAGTATTAATATATACAGCATAATCAGCTCCATTTCTCATTAAACATGCATTACATATATGATGCTTTATTAATCCACCACCTAAGATTATCATACCTGCTTTTGAAGCAGCCATTGACATTGAATTAATTTTCCTTATATCTTGTACTATATCTAATCTTAATTGTTGTGGTGATGCTTTAAAAGTATGAAAAAATAACATATCTCCAATTGAACCATCAGTTAATGCTGGACAAAAAATTGGAATCTTATTTTTATGAGCCCAATATAATACAGAACTTTCATCATTTATTTCTTTCCCTAATCTATCAATTAATTTAGATGGTGTCCATATGGCTGATGAATCAGCATCTAATACATTATTACCTTCTTTTTTTAAAGCTTCTTGTTGTTCTTCTAAACATTTATCTAATATAGGTACTATCCATTCTTCAAATTTACAATAATTATCATTTGGTACTAATAAATTTCCAATTCTATTCATTCCTTGATCTCTTAAATTTTTTCCAGGTAATGCAAAATCTCCCATATAAGTTGGTGCTAAAACTTTTATTAAATCTTCTTCAATTCCTCCTGCACTTGCAACAATTGCACTTACCATTTTATGTTGAACAAGATATCTTAAAGTATCTCTTAATCCACTAGATATAAGATTTGATGTAAAACCCAAAAATATAGTAGATTTTTGAAATCCTTCATCATCAAATTCTCCAGTATGTTCATGTTCTTCTAATTCAGATTTATTTTTACCTCTCCATTTTCTCATTTGATCTATTATATTACATGCTTGTGATAATGAACTTGCTTGAAAACCCATAGTTGACATTGATGAAATTAAATCTTTTGCAGTCATATTATATGCATTATCTTTTGAATAATCTATACCTTTAACTTCTTCAAAATCTTCTGGTACAGGTATTGATTGTTTGAGCACAGCATCAGACGCTAGATTCGGAAGTTTACCTGACTCGGTCATCTCAGTATATACAAGTAATAAAGGTTGGTTAGTTGGTTTTATAAGATTAGAAATGACATCAGATCTGTGTGAAAAAAAATAAAAAAAATGTTACAACCAGACTGAAACATTAAAATACAAAAGGTAATAGAATTTTGAGTTTTAAAAATTATTCAGGCATCATTAGTCTTAACGCTGTATTGGGGTAACTACTAGCCTCAGATAGAGTAAACTAAGTATCATTTCCAACAGTAGTCATCGTTCATTAATATACATTTCTATACTCTTTCTTTTACTTCTGATTCCCAACTATTACATTTAGGTCTTGCAGTATTATAACAAACATAAGCACCAGGAGTATTTGTTAAATTTGGTTTATGTTTAGCAGGTAATGGATAAGCTCTTGTTGTTTTTTCAGAACCTTCTAAAGTATTTGGTGGAGTATTTGTTCCATAACCTAACCAATAATGCCAACCTGGTTCAACTTGTGACATATCTGGTTTCCAACTATTATATTCTACCCATCTTGTTCTTAAATGTATTTCTTCTGGTGAATCTGTTTCATAAAATTTATTACCATAATCATCTGTTCCAACTAACCAACCACTTTTTACATCATTATGAACTTGTAATTGCCATCCTGCTCTTTTAAGTCCACTCTTATATACATTTTTCATAAATCGAAATATAGATGTGGACATTGTTATGTTTTAATTGATGATATGGTATGGAGTATGACTGTTAGATATAAGTTTGTCTATAAAGCGTAATATGAAATTAATTTTTGTTTGATTGGTTGCGTACAAAACAAATTTACTATTTCACGCAATTGTACGAGACGTAAATATAAGAATTCATAACTCATTACATTCATTCAATCAATCTATTTAGGTGCTATATCTATATTTATAAAGTATTTATGCTTTCCTTTACCAATTATCGATTTGTAATTGTTTGGAATTTGGGTTAAATCATCTTTATTTTCAGACAAGATTTTACCTATTTTACTAACTTTCTCATCTAAATCTTTGGAAGTATCAGATAATTGTTCATACCAATCAGCAATTAAAGAATCCTTGACAAAGTTATTAGGTTTTCTCTCAATAAAATTAAACAGACTTTGAATTAATTTATCTACCGTTTTTAAATCATTTTTAATACTAGTCAATATTTCGAAGCTTTTTATTAAATTGACATGACCATCTTTAATTGGTTTAGTTACGACTAAAGCTTTTGAGTAATCTTCATATCTAGGAAATTGAGGGATACCAATCGAAGACCATGGTTTCATTCTCAAATAATATAAATTCTCCATTGAAGTTAAATTATGAATTGGACCTTTTGAAAAATCAATCAATTGTAACCTTGCAAGAACTGTACAATATTTTATATAACAATTTATTAGTAATTTCAAATTTTGAAAAGATTCTACCATATATTCTTGATATTGAAAAGTTTCAATTAATCCAGGTAAATGAAAATTTCGACTATGTTGAAGTTGTGATTTTAACATTTCCTTTTTAGGACCAGCTTTAAGTTTTTTAATCTTTTTTGGTAATCTTTCTTCAATATCAAACTTTTTAGCTAATATTATTTGTTTAACTCTATTTTGTAAATGATCTAACAAATTATCTAACAAAATATTAGCATACCAATATATAAGAAATAATTCAAATGATTTATATATTTCTAATTCAAACCCTCCTAATAATAATTTTATCATCATATCAATTTTTTGATAAAATATATAAGATGTAACACTTAATGCTGGTTCTTCATTAATTAATTGATCTCCAACATTAAAATTTTGAAACATTGAAAGTTCGAAATTTTCCCATCCAACTTGTAAAGTATCCCAAATTATTAAGCCTCTAGATATCAATTGTTGTGATCTACAAGGGTTAGCTCCATAAATGCAAAGGTTGTTATAAATAGCACTTTCTAAATCCAAAATAAAATTTGCTCGTTGAGTAAGAATTTCTTGTCGAGTTGATTCTTTCACTTGTGATAATTGAGTTTCAAGTGGTCCTAAAAGTATAGAATTTATTCCTACTATATTTCCAACAATATTTAAACATAAACGAGTTAAATCTATATCTTTTGATCCAAAAATTGATTTATCATCTCTTATGAAAAACAATTGAAAAAATCCTCTTGAAAATACAGAAAATTTTGTTATAGGGAATTTTATGTTAAATTGTAAATAATCTTCCAATTGAATCATTGATTTTATATTATTAGCTTGATTGACGAATTTGTAGGTAATTTCAAAAATGTTTCTTACGTGTTCTAATGTAGATGTGAAATTTGTTTCTGGTAGGCCTGTCGGTATACTACTATTATCCATTTCAATTTGAATGAATTTTGAAAACACACCAATTGGAATTTTAGATTCATTATATTCAAATTTTTTCAAAACACTTATATCCTTCTCAACATCTTTACAAAATTGAAATAAATGTTCTTTTTTTTCTGTATCTTTCATAAAATTTATATCTTGAGATGTCACACTTGCTTCAAATTGATTTAAACTTGAAATGATCTTCAATTGAGCAATTAAAATATCTGAGTTTTCGATTTCATTACTAATTATCCACTCTATAGTCACGTTGATTCTTTCTATAATGAACTGTGTAGGAACGTCAAATAAATAATTGAAATTCATATTTCTCGTTGTTAAATCTTCTTCTTCATAAAGAAATGTTTTTGCAATATTGATTGTAAAACCAATAAACTTACATAAACCCATTATAAAAATTTTCAAGACTTTATGAATTAACCAATAATTTGTATTTTTTTCATATTCAACTTTGGATAATTTTGGTTGATTAAATGAACATTGTTCCCAAATTGAATTCTGTTTGATTAAATAATTCTCCAACATGCATTGTACATACCTACAACTTAATACAGTTACAGGAAGACTATCACTTTCAAGCCAATTGACTAAGAATTGTAATAATTTATTTTGAATATTTATAACAACTGTTGATGATTGAGGTTTAGAACAATCAAAATTTATTTCTTCATCTTCAAGTTCAATTAATCCAGTATCTAATTTTGAATTTAAAACTTCTAATGCTCTTGTACCTTCTAGTAATTCGAATAATGAAGATTTAACAACTTTATTGTCTTGTAAATGTTGTAAAGAATCAAAAACTTCCAGTGTGATATCAATTAATTCTTCATTAAATTCATCTAGTCGTAAATTTTCTACCATAAGTTAGTACTTCATTTGTTGTCCACATAACGTTATTTGAAAACATACTTATATCTAAAATAGACATAACTTATTTCGGTGAGTTCAACTCAAACCCTTATTCATTAATCAAGATATGACCTAATGAAAATTCAAAATAATTATGCGCAGTATTGAAAATATTTTTTGCAACACTTTTATCAGTTGCAGTCAAGTGATGAAACCAATTTCATATAAAGAGATTCAGACGTAAATTTGTTTATTAGTATTGAGATATACTTACAATCAATAAATTAAAGTAACTTCTCTTCAAATTATATTACGAGAAACTTTTTATACGCTCATACAAACATATGGTTTGTTAATCAATAAGACTTTCATGAATTCCGCGAATTGCAAAACAAATTCGTAACAAGTGCCTATCAAACTTGATTTTAAATATTAAAATTTAATGTAATTAAAGTATCAAGATTGATGTTGATAGGTTGTTGATGATAAGTTGAAAAGTTATGACATAAAGTGTTGTCTCAGAATAGATTTTACGTCAAAGCATAATTTAAAAAATAAAACGGTTTTATTTTGTTCAATTGATTCAAGTCTTGACATGATAAATTTTCAAGCTGTTCCATCTCATCAATATACAAGCAGAATGTTGAGAACATAGCAGGGTGAGTTAAAATAATGACAATTATTATGTTCGTATCTCCTCTATCTTATAGCTTTGTTAACGCTCTATTATGGTTATAAAAATAGTAGTCTACTAATGTATATTTCTTAATACATTGCATAATCTATATCAACCTTAATATACAGTAGTATAAATGTATCGTGAACCCTTTCAAAGCTCAAAGAAAACGTGTAATAGCCAACTTTCATCTACTATACGATAAAGTATGAGGTTCCAACTTCATAAGTATATGATTTATGAATTATTTTTCCACCACAATTGAGTCATTAAGATCTCTTATGATTTTTTTAATCGTTTTGAGGGGTATAAATTGAGATAGAAGTCAATCAATGTAGATTGGTCTAATGCTTAACAATTTATAATACCGCTATATGAGTTAAAGCCTCACCTATTTGAAGTCATGGGTAGTGTAATTTTGTTAATAAAATATTAAATTTCAATAGAAAAAGAATCTTTTAGATTGATTACTAATTAATTTCAATCAGGGTACTACACAATCATTTTGAAATTGATCAACTGAAGTTTAAAAGATATCTTACTGTTTGTCATAGATCATTTAAATTCATCTACTTCAAGTTCTTTGATCATTATCCTACCATCAATATTCAAATCGATTTATTGTCTTACTTTTAAATCAAAAATAGAGTTTCCAATCAAATTATTATACTCCGCATTCTGGAAAATCAAGAAATTTTAAAAAAAATCAATAAATCAACCAAAAATGGCTGAAGTCAAACGTAATTATTCAGATATTATCACCTCTCCATTAGATTCACCAGACGAAGATTTCAATGATCCAAAAAAATTACATACAAAACCTGGGAGAAAACCTTTAGATACTGAACCAAAATCTAAAAGAACTGCACAAAATAGAGCAGCACAAAGAGCTTATCGTGAAAGGAAAGAACGTAAAATGAAAGATTTAGAAGATAAAGTAAAATCATTAGAAGATGAAAATGTAAAAGCTACAACAGAATCAGATTTTTTAAAAGCTCAAGTTAATATTTTAAAAGCTGAATTATCAAAATATAGAGGTACAACTGATTTCCTGGATTTAAATTTACCAAGTAAAGTCGGACATTTAAGTAATCCAAATTCCAAAACCAACAATTCAAATCCAATAGATTTATCACCTCCAAGTAATGAAATACATAATTCCGATCGTTCAAGTCTGGATTCAAATAAAAATTCAATATCAGATAAAGCTTCTACACGTTCATCAGTATCAAATCATAATGTTTCTTTTGGATTACCTTGGTCAAAAGAAAATTTAAAATTTATAAGACAACAACAAGAACAACATACTTCAGATGGGAATGTGCCAGATTTAGTATCTGGTTCATCTTCTTCAACTACTCCACTTAATGATAATGTATTAATTTCACCAGATTCATCAGAAGCCAATAATATACCCACTAACAAGAATAATCTAGATTTTACTCATACATTTGAAGAAGAAATAGATCCATTTTGTAGTAAATTAGGTGAAGCATGTGGAACAAAACAAAATCCAATACCGAAACAAAGAAGATCAATTGAAGGTGATCGTTTAAAATTTTCAAGAACAAATTCAACTCAATATAATTCACCATTTTCAAATATATCACCAAATACTCAAAGTAATTATACCATAGATCCAGAAAATCAATATAATGATCCATTTCTTAATAATATAAGTGATTTTAATTTTAATTTGGTTGATAATAAATATAAAACTGATATAGATGATCCATTAAGCTTTTTAAACGATAATAATTTTGATGTATCATTAGCATTTGGTGAAACAAATAAAGATAATAAAACTCAAGATCCAATAGATCTTTTAACTACAGAAGAATCAATTTATGATCCAGTTATTAAAGAAGAAATAAATACAAATTTTAATTTTAATGATTTTATTAAAAATTCAATACCAGAAAGAAGAGAATCTTCTATTAAAAATGATGTATTTGAAGATAATGATAATGATGATAATGAAGTTGTACCAGCTCCACAATCTACTTTAAAATGTAGTGAAATTTGGGATAGAATAACGGCACATCCAAAATATACTGAATTAGATATAGATGGATTATGTAATGAATTAAAAAATAAAGCAAAATGTTCAGAAAAGGGAGTTGTTATAAATACAAAAGATGTGAATAGTTTATTGGCAAGATATAAATCGTGATGTATAATTTTATGTAATATTTAGGGAATAATGGATTTGGGAATTTTTTTATCACATTTCGTCTTCACTTTCATTTTCACTTTTATCTTTTACTTCTTCATCACTTTGAATTATAGAGTCTTCATTTTCTTCAGGTTCTTCTACTTCATTCTGAGCCTCATTTTCAACTCCTTGTGGTTCTTCTTCAATTTCATTAATCGTTGCATCTTCACTTGGTAAACATGACACCACCAAATCGTAAAAATTTTGTAAATTTCTTACTGTTGACTTATCTAGCTGATAATTGGGATTATCATGTGACTCTTCACATAAATCTTTAACTCTTTCAAGGCTATCACTTAATTTTAATAGTAAATCTTTTTCCATTTCTTTATTAATTCTAATTTTTGATAAATTATTTATAATAGCCCTTCTGTATTCTTTTGTCAATTCATTTGCATCAAATACTTCTAAAATATATAAAGCTTGCCATATATGTGAAGTATTATTTTCTTCCTTAGTTTGTACTAAATTTAAAGGATTTCCCCAATCTAATAATTGAGTTAAAATTTTAGTAGCTTTTATAGTATTTGATTCCAGAGCTTTTAATAATAATTCACCACTTATTGTAGCTAAACCTAATTGATGATTTGGATGTGAATAACAATATACAGGAATACAAAATGCTAAAACTTGTTTTAATTCATAATTTGTACCATTTGAAGAATTGAAATAACTTAATAATAATGCAAGAAATAATTCTTTTTCTGATTCATCAATTTCTTCTTCTTCTTCTTCATGACCACTATTTAATTCATTTTCAATTTTAAAAATATCAGCTAAAAATAATTTACTTATACCTTCTCCCATTAATGCTTGTAATTTTGGACTATCATCTAATAATAATTTATAAAATAATCTTAAAAATCCAAATCTTTTCTCTGGTGCAATTATATTTATACCAAAAGTAGATATAATATCAATAATTCCAATAATTGATGCAAATTTAACTTGATCACCAGATGTCTTTGTTGCATTGAAAAATGTAATTAATGCTTCTCTTGCAATTGTATCATCAATTAATGCAAATAATCCTAAACAATTTAAAGCAATTATATAAATTTGAGCATTATCTGTTTTAGTTAATGCATAATTAACAATACCAGTGTATAAAGAATTTAATGATAAATATGTACTTAAATCATCTTCAATTAATTCTAATGTATGTTTGGTTAGTTTAAGACAACGAAGTAATACGTCATCATTTGGCATTGATTCTTCAAGTTTTCTCCTTTTATTGAATCCATCATCATCATCTTCCATGTCCAGATCCAAATCATTCAATTCTTCATCAATTTCATCCATATCAATATCACCATCATTTGTTTGTTTTATAGACTTTTCCTGTAGAGATGGACCAAAAACATCACCATCTTCATTTGAATCCCTTATATCAGTGATAATTTCAACTGTCATTGATACAAAATCTTTCTCATTAATTGATATTTTCTTCAATACTTTAAGTGAATTAACAATTATCTCGTCATGAAAATTTTCTTCTCTAAGTTGAGATCTTATCACATTTAACATAGCTCTACGACCAACTTCATCACTAAAATCAAAATCAATACAAATCATAAGTAATTGATTTGCAATAAAACTTAAATCTTTCATCATATCTGCATATTCTTCATATTTTTCTCTATCTGCTGTAAAACCATTTATTTTAACTGCTTTATGTTGTGTACATTTCTTATATTGTTCTTCATTTTGTTTGAATTCAATTTGAAGATTTTTTATCTCAGTTTTTAGTCGTTTTATATCACTTTTTTGTTGTGTAGTCTTTTTAACATCCAATTGTTCCAACATTTGTAATTTTTTCTGGTTAGCATGTAATTTTAAATTTATATTTGCAAAACTATTTTCTAAAACAAACATTTCATTTTCAATATTATTAATTTCTTTATTATGAGTTTCATAAATTTGATGAATATCATTTTGATCATTTTTTATTTTCTTTTGTATATCTAAATATTTTTTTAAAGTATCAGATAATTCTAAAGGATCAGGAAAATTTGCTTCAATTAGGTTGTATAATCGATTATTATTACAATGAATGAAAAAAGTTTTCATTAAAAATGAACTTTCAACAGTTAATGCTTTCCAAAATTGTCGATTTATTTCAATTTTTTTTAATATTTCAGGTTTTTCTTTGAATAATAATAGGAGTGCTTTTTCTGCAATTTGACTTTTTGTAACATTTAATAGTTCTAAAAATAAATTGAGGTCTTCTTTACAGGATTCAAACCAGATATCACATAATAATCTTGTTGCTGCATCAGAAACATTTCTATCTCTATCATGTAGTCCAAATTGCATTAAAATTTCTCTTTGTTTGGGTTTCAAATTTTTCATTAATCCCAATTCAGGAGTAATTTTGGAGAAAACAAGTCTTCTATTAATGCTATTAACATCTTTAACTCTTTCTAGTAGCAAATTCAATGTGTGTTTTGTTTTGTTTACATTAAGCATTGCAGTTCTTCTAACTTCTGCACTATCATCAAGTTGTAAACAAGTCATTAACCATTCGATTAATAACTGACTAGTAATTTTATTTTGTGAATTTTGTTCATCCTCTTCCTCGAAATCTATCTCAAAGTATTGGAAATTAGACAAAGCAATAACAGCTTGCATTCTTATATGAATTTCTCGATCATGTAAACGTTTTGATAATGAAACAATCAATAATTTGAATATATTTACATCTAGATCACCCATATATTTTATCATTAAAGCTAGTAGTTGAACAACTCTATATCGTACTGTTTTATTTGATGCATCAATTCCTCTTAATAAATGGGTTATTAGATAAAATGTGAATTTAGAATGAGACTCAGTTATAGTAGTTTCATCAACTTCCTCTTCAACTTCATCATCTTTTGCTTCAAGTTTTGCTGATTCTTCTGCTAATAATTTCACAAAATGTGCAATAAGTTTACAAACTCTATCTGCATTATGATCTCCTTTTTTAATAACTAATGAATGATTTAATAATTGACAAAATCTTAAAGAAAAATAATCTAATTTGTTTAATTCAACTGATCTATAAAACAAACATTTCATAATAACCAATAATTTTTTATGGCCCGCCATTGAAAATTGACATTCATTGAAAACATGTGTCATACCCGCGTTTATATCTGAATCTTCAGTCATTTTCTTGATTGAAACAAGAGTTGGTTTCGGAGGTCTTGTCATTTGAACTTGTTGATTGGATTGGGTAGTCTGTTTATTTTACGTTCTATGCATGAAGAATAAGTATTTGATTGATGAAATAGGTCGAGTTTAGATGAAATGAAAGTGTATATAAGTTGGTTGTAAAACTTTAAATTTGATATTTCAAAAAGTGTAAACAAACAAAAAAATATTTTTTTGATCTGATAAGGGACCATAAAACGTCACGTAGATAAATCACTACAAACATCACATCAACGGTACAATCGCAGAATGGGCGTTATACTCGAATGCCATATGCTTTCCCCGCAAGGTAATGAAACTAGGGTTCTGAGTAATAAGCTAACTTCTCAAACCGGTACTGTATTAGTTAAAATTACGAGAATTTGGCGTGAAATTATAATGTAGAAACCAATTCACAAATGAGTTTGTGTCAAGCATTTACAACTTCATCATTTCAATCTATACCTGATCGGTGTCGCGACTATTTTCTGAAGTGAATTGGCATGAACTAAGAAAGCTATGCTTCTTTGCACTTAAATTTTATGTTTATCCTTCTCTATGTCGGTACGGTTGTCAAATTTAGTAACATTTAAGTTATGAGTTCGAGATTGTTAGACAATATCATATAAAAGTGATTAAAAATTACGGTCGATCGTTTAGTTACTATACTGTTGAGAGACAGAGTGTGAAAATTGTATACTTATCATTCAATTGTTCAAATTCACCATATACTCACTTATTTGAGTAGATTCGGTGGAAGAAGGATCTCGTATAAATAGAATCAAAATAAAAGATATACGACGAGAATTGAAAAAAAACACAAAACCGTTCTACTCGTTAAACTTTCGACGTATTTTAGTACCATCGTTTAGATAAATATACGCGCAGTAAATTAATTAAAAAAAAAAAAAACAATACGAATATGATATTGTATCAAAAAATAAATATCAAATTGAAAATTTATTTAGATTTAATTCTTCATTACTTTCATTATAAATATTCCATTACTTTCATCATCAATTTCGATTGTATAAAAATTAGTTCAATAGATTCAACTCATATCAATCATGGCACCAGTTCAACTTGCAGAAAAAGATTTTAATAGAGATGAAAAATTCACTAAAGCTTTACATGGTGAATCTTATAAAAAAACTGGATTAGCAGCATTAATGGCTAAATCAAAAGATGCTTCTTCTGTTGCAAATGAAGGATATTTTAAACATTGGGATGGTGGTGTAACTAAAGATGATGAATCTAAAAGATTAGGAGATTATTCACAATTAACTCATCATTATTATAATTTAGTTACTGATTTTTATGAATATGGTTGGGGTTCTTCTTTCCATTTTTCAAGATATTATAAAGGGGAAGCTTTTAGACAAGCTACTGCAAGACATGAACATTATTTAGCTCATAAAATGAATTTAAATGAAAATATGAAAGTTTTAGATGTTGGTTGTGGTGTTGGTGGTCCAGGTAGAGAAATTACAAGATTTACTGATTGTGAAATTGTTGGATTAAATAATAATGATTATCAAATTGAAAGAGCTAATTTTTATGCTAAAAAATATAAATTAGATCATAAATTATCATATGTTAAAGGTGATTTTATGCAAATGGATTTTGAACCAGAAACTTTTGATGCTGTATATGCAATTGAAGCTACTGTTCATGCACCTGTTTTAGAAGGAGTTTATTCAGAAATTTATAAAGTTTTAAAACCAGGTGGTGTTTTTGGTGTTTATGAATGGGTTATGACTGATGCATATGATGAAAATAATGAAGAACATCGTAAAATTGCTTATGGTATTGAAGTTGGTGATGGAATTCCAAAAATGTATAAACGTGAAGTTGCAGAAAAAGCTTTACAAAATGTTGGTTTTAAAATTGAATATGAAAAAGATTTAGCTGATGTTGATGATGATATTCCTTGGTATTATCCATTAGCTGGTGATTTAAAATATTGTCAATCACTTGGTGATTTATATACTGTTTTTAGAACATCAAAATTAGGAAGATTAATTACTACTGAAGCTGTTGGATTAATGGAAAAAGTTGGAATTGCACCAAAAGGTTCAAAACAAGTTACATTTGCTCTTGAAGATGCTGCTGTTAATTTAGTTGAAGGTGGTCGTAAAAAATTATTTACCCCAATGATGTTATATATTGCAAGAAAACCAAAAGATGCTTAAACAATAGACATGTATAAAATTTAATTCTTTAATATATTAATAGATTTTGGCTTAGCCTTATGACTGCGCATTGATAAGATAAAGTATCAAGAAATTTATTTATATGCAGGCCCGTTTCAACACATGTCAATATTGAAATTTCATTACAGTTGCTATTAATGTAGATAACGAAACTCAATTGAAATTAAAAGTACTTCTTTCTTTCAAGACTATTCAATCAAATAATGTCGTTTCCACCTTTACAGAACCCTAATTTAGAAGGGTATCATATTACTCGATCAATGTGGTTAGAATATTATAATCCACATCAAAAGACATTTATTGCAAAAAAAAAATGTAGCGGATGTTATGATGATTCAAAATTTGTTGTTTGGGCTGTATCAGTTGGAGTTCAAGCAATTGTTGATGCAGCAAGAATTTATCCTGAAATGCAACCATTAATTGCACCAGCTGTTGCAATTTTTAAAAAATATAAAAATAATAGTGTTAAAGGATATTCAGCTGCTGAAAATAGTGGGACCGATAAAGATATTTATTATGATGATGATGCACAAGTTGCAAGTGCTATTTTAACTGCATATGAAGTTACAGGAGATAAACAATTTTTAGATTCAGGTAGAGAATTAGTTAGATTTTTAATGGGAGGTTGGAATGATAATCCAAAAACTGTTACAAAAGGTGGAATGCATTGGCATGTTTCAAAAACTTTATTGAATGCATGTACTACTGCAGAAGTTGCAAAAGCTTGTTTACAAATTGCTCAATATATTCCAAATGAATCTCAAATTTATATTGATTTTGCAGCTAAATGTATTGATTGGCAAATTAAAGTCTTACAAGATCCATCTGATAAATTAATAAGGGATGGTGTTGGAGAAGATAGTGATAAAGTTGATGATGCTAAATGGTCTTACAACACAGGAACTACTTTATCAGCAGCTGCACATTTATACAAGGCAACAAAAGATAAAAAATGGCTTAATATAGCAAACGACTTAGCTGAAGCTAGTATAAATCATAATTCATTTTTTTATGATAGAGATTTTCCTGATAATTTAAGATATTGGAGAGATTCATCATATTTTGTTCAATTATTAATTGAAGGATTAGCTGATTATTTACTTTATGTTGGTAATGATGTACCAGAAGGTTTACCACAAAGAATTTATGAAGAAATTAAAAGACATTTAATTATGTTTTATGAATTTATGAAAGATCCAAAAGATGGAATGTATATTCAAAGTTTCGAACCACATAATACATATAAAGAAGTATATGATCAAAAATATCATAAATGGTTTGGTGATGGTAAAGGTTGGGGTTTGAAAGGTGAAGATAAAGATGGTGATAATCCTCAAAAATGTCTTATGGGTTATGCATCAGCAGCTAGAGTGTTTTTCCAAGGTGCAAGGGTTGTTCCAAAAATTGATTAAATTCTAATTTTAGATAGGTTGAAAGCAGGTGTAGTTGGTAAATTGAAATAAGGTCTTTCAATAACTATTAATTCATTTGTTCCAAATGGTCCAACTTTCATTATTGGTCTGTACTTGTCTGTAATCCAAAATGCTTTTTCTTCTTCTTCGATGATCAGTTGTCTTAATTTATCTGTTTCACTTTGTTTTATACTTAATTCAGCTTGTGATTCTTCTGTCTCATCAACACTGAGCCCATCTCTATTTCTCTTTTTTGTGGTGATGTTTTTATTAGCTTTGTTTATTGGAATGTTTTTGTTTAAATCAAATCTACTTAAAAAGGAGTTTCCATAGATCCATAAATTATTATCATCAACAAACATTCCTTGTGGTTTATCATCTAATGTGAGAAATTGACGTGGTAAAAACTCACTATTTCGTTTAGACCAAGCACTTAATAATTCATCACCTTGAAGATTGAATTCATAAATTTTGTTTTCCTCAGTTAAAACAAGAAGCTGTTCATCATTATGACAGCATATTAAATGTGGATATGAAGATAATTTTGTGATTATACGTGACTCCCCAAAAAGATTATATATCTCAATAGAACCGTCAAATCTTGAAATGATGATATTTTTATGATTTGGTGTAATGACTAAATTATTGATATTTGTTGTACTTTCTATTAATTGAATTTCATCAATTAACTCAATCTCACTTTTTTCAATATCGATTGAAAATTGATATAACTCCTCATCAGTTGTTAAAATCAACACCTTCCGTTCATCTATAAACTTTACCAATTTTGCTCCAGATATTTGTGAATCAAAATTTTCATCTCTTATTTTGTTTATCATATATTTATGATTTTCTTCATCAACAATATCCAATTCGTAAAATTTCACAGATGTCATTTTCGCAACTGCTATTAAATTATTTTTAAAATCAACACTTGTTATATTTTCATTATCTGATAAAATCAATTTAGATATTAGTTTATGTTTACCTTCTATTAATTTCCAAATTTTAATCAATTGATCTTGCCACATTAATACCAAATTTTTTTCTGGTACTAAAACAACATTACTTTTTTGTTGATTTACTAATAATTTTTTAAATTTACCATCATGAAATTGTTGTAAATTTTGTACTATTATTGCTCTTTCAACACCTCCACTTACTAAAATATGAAGATTCTTAGATTCAAATATCGCCATTGATCTTATATCATTTGCATGTAATAATCGATTATAAGTGTGAACCCATTTATAATTTGATTTTGATTTTAATAATTCAAATTGATGAATTTTTCTATCAATTCCAGCAGAATAAAATTTTTCTTCCTTTACATCACTTACAATGGTTAAAATATCAGCATCATGTATTTTAAAACTTTGTATTAATGTAAAATATTTTAAATCCCATATTTTGATATGACCTGTAGAATCACCACTTATTAATTGATTTTTATTTTTCAATATATCTAACGACCAAACTAAAGTACTTTCAGTTTTTGATTTATCAACTCTCATGGTTCCTAATATTCTTCCTTTGGTTTCAGGATTATTACTCCATACTCTAATTCTTCCATCTGCACATCCTCCAACAATTTGATCATTTTTATTCCATTTTATACTTAGTACTCTTGCATCTTGTCTTTGACATATCATGTTATATTCCAATGAGCCGATACCACCGGAAATATCAACAAGTACTACCGACCCATCGTCACAACCAACTGCTAGTTTATCATTTGATTCATTTACATCTATTGACCAAATTATACCTGCGTTGCAATCATAATTAATTAATGGTTTACCAGTCTTCAAATCCCATTCTGTGATATAAGTTGATCCACCAATAGAAAATAATCTTGAATCCTTAGTCCAACATAATCCTTCTATAGATCTTCCTTTAGAACCAAATAATGTTAATTCATGAGTCCAATTATATTTAGGATTCCATATTTCTATATCCCCATTACTTCTTCCAACTGCTAGTTTTAGATTTGATGGTGTTAGATTTTCTAGATCTGATGGGTTTGAAAACACTAATGACGTTATAGTATGTGGCGTATAGTCAACAAATCTACAACGATGAACTTCCATTTCTTAATGGTTGAATGATTATATTTGCAAATATATTTCTCTCATCTCTATATAACATTGAAAAGTTACACAAAAATTATACAAATCCTACAAAACTATTTATAAAACTTAACAACCTAATAAACCATTTATTTTCATCTGTATTTAACACCATATTGATGATTAAATCCTGTTTTTGTTTACCATTAGTACTTGGTTGTCTAACTAACGTCCTTTTCACAATCACATTCTTTTTAAAACACCAAACTATGAATAATATTGTAAATAAACTACCAGCAAAATTCTTTAAAATTTTAAGTGCATTATATCCAACTACTTTTAGTATGTTTATTATTTTCCTTTTCGTTATTTCATATTCATCTAATGGGACTTCTGATTCATTGTCACTTTGATATTGATTTTGTTGTTCTTTCCTACTGTTGACAAATTCTCTTGTTAATCGATTTATAATTGTATTGACTTCACCTTGCCAATTTTTAAAATCTTCAATAACATTATTTGTATCTAACCTTGGGGGTAAGGAATATAAAGAGCCAGCAACATTTTGAGATCCAGTTTCATGTATTGGCGGTTGATGTTGTTGTTGTAGTCTTTGTTGTTGGACATAATCATTTAATGATAATGAAGTGTTTCTTCTTGAATGTGAATAGATTGTATTTAAATTCATTATGTTACCACCGATGCTTGGAGTTCTATTTGAATATCTATCTATCTGACTAAACAGTGGTGCACTTGAAGGAAAATTTAAATGATTCTCATTTTCATCATCAGATACAGGTAAATCTTTAATTTGTTCCCAAAGATATTCTAATTCATGCAATAATTCTCTAGCTTCTAATGTTCCACTAGCATATATCTTCATTGTTTCTATTAAAAAAGATATATATCTTTTCTTAGCTTCAGTTTTAGGTAATCCTTCTTCACGTTTCCAAGCATCCCATTTCTTCTTGGCTCCTTCATCTTCTGAAGAAAATCCTACTGGACGAGGCATTAATCCTTTGACATCTCCTTCTGTTGCTTGTTTATATAATCCATATAACTTTACACGATTCTCAGCTGGGGGTCTTGGTAAGGACCCATAATTCGATCTAGATGATAAAGCCTTTATAGTTTCTATAGCTTTTATAAACACTCGATCTGAAAATGTTAGTAACAATTTAAGTGGTGATTAGATTGAGAACATACCTATGCTATCTGACATTTGCGTTGGTTAATCTATTTGTTTACATTTAGATTGTTTTATCTCAACAGAAAAATTAGTGGAGAGAAAAAGTGATATCATATGCAAAATAAATTATTAATTAAACAGAGAGTTTAAATGTTAGCAGGTGAAATGGACCTATCATATCTATTATCAAGATACAATGGTGAGTAATGTGCTAGAATTAGTTTAGTTTGCTCCAAAATAGGAACCAAATATGGCATAAATGAAATTATGATTTGGCACCAGAGTGTTGGCAAACATTCACTTACAATTTTGATGTTATTTTCTATTATATGAAAATCGTTAAATTAAACCCTATTAATATTTTACAAAACTCCTTAGTTAGCTGGTACATCAATTTCACCGGCATTTATAGCATCTATGATATCATGTGGGTTTTTACCATTAACTCTACATCCAACTGATTGAGCAGTTCCTAAAATTTCTTTTGAAACTGAAGCTAAATTTTTACCAAATGATTTATCTTGCATTTTTCTAGCAATTTCAAAGATTTCTTCTAATGGAATATTACCTGAATGTTTAACATTTTTTTCCTTCTTTCTATCTCTGACTGGTTCTTTTAATGCTGTGATGACTAATGATGAGGCAGATGGGACAACTGATGCGGTGGCTTGTCTGTTTTGAATTCTTAATTGTACTGTAACTTTAATACCTTTAAAATCTTTTGTTGCTTTGGCAATATCTTCTCCTACTTTTTTTGGTGATAAACCTAATGGACCAATTTTTGGAGCTAAAGCTGATGAAGCACCAACTTCACCACCGACGGCTCTTAAATATAAGAATTTAACTTCTGATGGATCGAATTTTGGAGGCATTGTATGGTTTTGATGATATAGATATGGTTAACGAACAGAAATTGTAAATGTGTTTTAGTTTTTTTTTTCAGTATTATTCGTAGCACAAAAGTGCACCATAAAATAAGTTACACCAGAAATTAGGGTTTGAGCCCTACATCTATTATTACTACATACTACAACATTCCACCAGGGATTTCTGGACCTATTCTTGAATCTTCAAACATACCATCAGCATTTTCTATTGCTGCTGATGTATCTGCCAATTGTCTTAACATAATTGCTGGATGTTTACCAAGTTCTTGTAGCTCTTTAAACACCACCACTGGCTTTTCAGCTAATTTTAATATTCTTTCTTTATCTCCATAACAAATCACTAAAACATATTTTGACCAATCAGCTCTGGGGATATGATGTCGTTTCATAGCTTGTTGAAGTATTTTTAAACATGAATCATCAGTGGATGCTCTCAACTGTTTTAAAGGTTCAGTATGAGATGGTGATCGAATCTGTGGTTGAGAAGTTTTTCCAAGTGGTGAATGTACTGATGATGTACTACCTGCAGACGGATATTCATTCAATTTTGGTCTTACTTTTGTAGATTCAGTACTTTTCGAAACATCAATCTTTTGTAATTTAAAATTAGAAGAACTTTTATCATCTGAATATTTTGAAACAGATTGTGAAATGATTTTACCAGTTCCCATTGATAATAAACTCCCAGAAGAAAATCTATTTGATGATGGACTTTTGTTGTATAAACTTTCAGATCTTGATAATCCTGTATTTTGATCTTCATCAGAATCCAATGAAGATGCTGGTCCTGGATCTAAAGTTGGAGTAGGTAATGGTTTTGTATCTTTCATTAATCTTATCAATGGAATCAAATCAGTTTTTAATTTTATAAAATTATCATTAAGTTTCTTCATTTCTGATTGATTTGGTGATAATGGTGATGCAATTCCTAAATTTTGATTCTTTAATTCTTTACTAAATTTTTTGATCAGATCTTGAATTAATACTGTTGATAAATTTAAAGCTTCTAATGATATATGATTGTTATTTATATTAATATGATTTAATTTATATTCTTGATCATTAAATGCTTGAGGTTGATATTTTTTATAATGACTTGCGACCAAATCGTTAATTCCCTTTTTAATCAATAGTCGAGTTCTTAAAGATTGTACTCCAATTTCTTTTAAATGCTCCGTTGTAATAAAAGGTAGTAATGATCCATCAATATTATTATCTAAAAAAGTAGATCCAACCAGTCGATCTTTGATTAATGATGTTATATAAGTTGATACTTGAGCAGGATCCCATTTCAAAAATGAATCATTTGATTTAGGTGTTGTCATGATCTGATGACCAAATAATTAGAAGTGGTTTATCAATTGCTCTATTCAAAACATTTATATGATTTAATGAAATTCTAGAAATAGTTGTATTTGAATTATAATAATTTATTATTTTTCAAAGTTTCAAGTTTTATTTAACATTCTAATTCGAAACAAATAAAACAAAGAAATTATTTCTCCATAAATCAATAAAAAAAAGATAAAGTTGCATAAGTTTAATAAGTTGTTTCAGAATTTTTAAAACAATAAACTATAGATTATTTTTTATTGATAGTCACTGAGTGTTCAGTGTCAGCAAATCATGACTCTAGAAGTTGAAAATTTGGAGGTCAATTTTAAACGGAATAATCTAAGATTTGTGCTCCTAAATCAAATTTGAGAAACATCAATTTTAACTTGTTAACTATTTATGAAAATACGAGCGATCAGACTCTTAACGACCATGATTAATGAATCCAACGATAACATTTTGCCATGATTTGAGAATTTCATATGTTTGGTCTGTTCAATTTTCACAACTTATTTATTGAGTCTTCTATATAATTTCTTAAAATGATACCGCTAGTGATAATATATTTCTATTACAGTAGTACCGAGGCAAGTTGTTCATATTTGGGGATAAAGACCATTGGGCCTCAAGTATGAATAAGGTAGTGTTAGATCAAGTGATTATTGTTTTGTGGATTTATACTTTGGTTTGGTCTGTTCATGGATTTATATCTATTTTGTAATTAGGCTAAGTCCGTGATCTGAGATTCTCTAAATTTTAGGCCCATTTCTGCCCAATGTGGCTTTTTTTAAGGGGTTGAAGAATCTGTTATCTTTTAATAATTATTGTAATTTTACACTACCTAAAACTATTCTGCTACCAAAATTTCAACATAAATTTTGATTCAACAACATTCAAACTCATTTTTTTTAATACTAATAACATTAAAGGCTCAGTAACAATCACATTCATTCATTACATTTGTTTACCACAAAGATGCTAACATTAACAGGTATCATTGATTGAGTAAATACAGCTTTCATAATAAGATTGATTAGTAAGCACTAATGATAGATACGTCAAAATTAATTTATAAGATAATATTATCCATTGTGGATTGAAAATGTTGCAAGAAAAAATTACAGCCACAACAGATTGGAGAATTTATAAATAGTTGTTGAATTGGACTTCAATCTTATCGATAACTAAACATAATCAAATCAAACTTCAATGCCCGTTGCTTATCAAAATATCCCATCTGCTTTAACTGGTGGAAGTAAATACAAAGTTGATCAAAAAGGTGGAATTACCCTTGATGATGCTTCAAAAGAGAAATTAAATAAACAATCAATCCCTTATTTACCAAGTTGGAGAAAAAATGAAAAATATGAACCATATGAATTTATTGAATATCATGATCGTGCATTAAAAGCTGATAAAGATCTTACAAATTTATTTCCAAAAGATGGTAAATATGAACTTGAAAATCTTTCTCCAAAATTTGGAACTGAAATTAAAGGTATTCAATTAAGTGAATTAAATGATGCTGCAAAAGATGAACTTGCTTTATTGGCTTCTCAAAGAGGTGTTTTAGTTTTTAGAGATCAAGATCTAATTGAAAAGGGACCTAAGGCATTCACTGATTTTGCTAAACATTATGGTGAACTTCATATTCATCCAACTTCTGGTGCTCCAAAAGAATTTCCTGAAATCCATAGCGTTTTGACCGGAAATACCGATGAAAATCCTTTTTCAACGAAGAACAGCTTGATACTGTTCCATAGCGATGTTAGTTACGAGCTCAATCCCACTGGTATTTCACTATTATCAGTCACTAATAATCCGAAGGCCGGTGGTGATACCGTGTTTGCCGATGCTAGAGAGGCTTATAACCGTTTATCTCCCTTATTCAGAGAAAAATTGGAAGACGTTTATGCTTTACATACTGCGGTACCTCAAGCAAACCTTGCAATTGTTAAAGGCGGTGTTGTTAAAAGACATCCTGTTGAGAATATTCATCCAATTATTAGAACTACTCCAACTGGTGATAAAGTGTTGTATGTTAATAGTGCATTCACTAAGAGCATTGTTGGATTGAAAGCAGAGGAATCTGAATTTTTGTTAAAATTTTTGTTGGATCATATTTCGGGTGGTCATGACTTTCAAATCAGAGTTAATTGGAAACCTAATAGCGTGGTGGTATGGGATAATAGAATTTCTTCACATTCAGCCATCTTAGATTTCGATACCAATGAACCTAGATTAATCATCAGAGCTGCTGCAAGAGCAGAAAGGCCAGTCAACAATTTGGCAAATTTAAACAAGCCCGACGAAAATAATGTTTATGAAGGTCCCGAGTATTTAGGAAATAGAGTTGAACCTGGTTCAGCGAAGGCTTAACTTTAGTATATATTTGATTGTATTACCTTAGTAGACATTAATTAGGTTAGTTTATTGTAGTTGATAAAACATGCGTTTTTATAAAACATTAATTCTTAAGTAAAATCATTTTTTTTTACGATATTTTAAATTCTTTTTTAAGCGGTTTTAGGGGTTTTTTGCCCGTTGGTCTTACCCGTTGGTCTTGCATTTATCGATCATCAGGTCATACTATCCGGCAAATTAGGCAATTAATATTAAGGTTCACGAGTAATTTTGTCAGATATAGTATTGTTCCAAAGGAGATTGTAAAGTTTCTTTTCATTCGTTATTAATTCTTTATTAAATTAGTATTCTAGCTTGATAAACAATAAAAGTATCTACTTAATCTATAAAGAGAAGATTCCTAGCTAATAATTTTTATATACTTAATTTGTAGGATAAGCTTGAACTAGCAATTCTGTGTTACCATCTAAAACCACCGCTTTATTTTTTTTATGTTTTATATTTTCTCAAGATATTTTCCAGCAACTTCAATTCTCATGTGATAAGGAAGACATGCTTTGATCTATTTCGTCAACTTCTGATACGTAGCGTTGAATAAGTCAGTATAAGCTTCTCTGATTGGCTCAAAACTTTGGCCACTTGCCAAAGCAGGAAAAATGGAATTGTCAATTTTAAAGTGATTAGCTATTTTTCTAGCTTCAGTCAAGGTCACCAACTTGTCATAACCATTACTTGTTGCGGCTTTCTCACTAATGATAAACTGTTGCTTTGGAGTTAAAATGGAGCACTTCTTTAGTAAACTTGTAAGATCAATGTAATCTTCGTGGAAAGTTCTTTTGATACCATTAATCACCAAAACTCCAATGGGATCCGTAAAGTAGTCAATTTCAGGATCTATAGCATCCAAATTCGGGTTATGATCATAATCAATATCTTTCATTATTTCCTTAATTCCTTCTAGTTCCCAGATTTTGTTGAATAATATTGGGCCACATAAATGCAATATATTGAATCTTTTACTAAACTCTTTGGCTTTTTGAAGTGATATCATATATATCAACCCTTTATTTTCGTCATCTGATACTACCAGAAAATGCTTAAAAGTTTTTGGAACCTCGCCATAATTAGGTTCAAATCGTGAAAATTCATAATCATTAATTTCCCCGTTCAATCCCATCAAGCTTTTGATGCCAATTAGATCATCAGTACTTCTTGCTAGTAGAAAGTTATCTCCTTTATAAATTAGCATACCTTGACTAAAGCAAAATTTAGTGCAGTCTATTGTTGCATCTTGACCATAAGAATCAATAACTTTTAAAATCAGCTCTTCTAAATTTTGTTCAAATATCGGATACAATTCTTTAATTTTTTTGGCAACCAAAGATCTGGGCCTGTAAAGTTCTTTGTTTGCCACTTGTAAAGCAGACTCTAAAGAAATCATTTTAGTATTTCCGACCGTTTCAGTAGGACAGCCAATGTTTCCTATACTTCTTCTAATGTCATCTACTTGTACCCCGAGGGAGTAAATATAACGCACTAAAGCAATTTTTTTATTTTTAACATCAATCTGGACATAATCGTTCTTATTATAATAAAGTTTCAACAGTTTTTCATCGTCGTTGAATTTTGTGACTAAAGTAGCAGCTGGAGTATCTTCTTCGGGTTCTGTACCGTGAACGAAATCTACTTTCGTATTACCAAACAAATTGTCAATACCACGTATGCGATAAAATAATGATAGATTGTATGCTACATTAGCAGGAATATACGGACCCGTTAAACCAAAACTCCCCTTTTTAAATGGTCTTTGTTTTAATCCCGAAAATTTCTTCGCGCGATCGAAGGTTTTGTCTCCGTATTTCAATCTAAGCAAAGGGTATAGTTGTACCAAATTTAGATTTAAATTTTTGTAAATTCTAACTTTTCTATATTTTTGATCACTATCGAAACGTTCCAAATTTTCGAATTCTTCTTCATCAGAACTCCAATCCTCGTCTTCTTCTTCATCAGTACCCCAATCCTCGTCTTCTTCTTCCTCGACATCAATTTCTTGCTCTTCCATTTCTAAATCTGTTGAATCTGCATCGACACCCTTAAGTTTCCATTGACCAGGTTTTGTGTCGTCTACTTCAATTTCATAATCGAAATAACATACTTTAACTTGCTCCTTAATTAAGTAATCCACTCCATCCGGAATAATCTCTTTGTTTTGAATTGATAATGGAATGTCTGCGAAAATGTCAAGTTTTCTCGTCAGATATGCTGGTACCGAACCAATTGATTTTCCAGCATGCTTAGAGCAGGAACAATTCGTAGCTTTCAATACAATGGAATTTGCATTTGCACTGTTTTCAACTTGAATGGATTTTAAATTTGACATGGATAAATTTCCTGTTTCTGATGTTGAGAATAAAGCATCAAAAAATTGATGACTTCCTAACGTAACTTTGTTGTGCAATTGAACTAAAATACATGAATCAAATAAGTCTTGACTAAGAACGATCTTATCAATGCTTCTACAATTGATAGAATTGTGATTGGTAATAACAAGGCCGTCTGGACTTATTTCATCTAGCAAATTGAGAAGACCGTGCTTTGTAGCAATCGAATTTAAAACATTGATCGTGTCACTTTGATTTTTTGTTAATTTATATGTAGTTATAGCCAGGTGTAGTTCTTTAGTGATGCAATTAAAATCTCCAGCAATAACAATCGAAATGTCAGGAATTGTATGTTTGACATGTTTTATTATATCGTTTAAATATATTTCTAAATCCTGAAAAAAGATCAAATTATAGTCTGGATAAAAATAGCAATTTGGAGCATATAACGAAATCATTAAAACGTGTCTGGTTTTAATTTTGATTAATGCTACTGCTACTCTGTGAATAAACTTGAAGTTCTGTTTAAAGATACTCCTTGATCTGTACATAATCAGTGAATCATAAATAACCCCGTCATATCTTTCATAATCTTTAGACATGTAAGAACTAAAGTCCTTTAAAACTGTTACTTCGGCACTTTTTCTCACAATGATAGCTGCTCTACCATCACCTACTATTTGTAATCGTTTGTCACCTTTCAACACCTCTAATGAATGATTTTGTTTTCTCTTATAGTCTACTTTTAATTCCGTTAAGCAAGAGATATCTCCTTTTATGAAATTTAATATAACACTCTCATTTGTTGATTTCTCGATATTCTTTGTTGATATATTTATAGTTGATGAAAAGTCATTGCAAAGCCCATTTAATATGTAATGTGGATAATTTGATTTAGTATCTTTTGAATTAGGATTCAAAAATTTAGTTTTTGATTCAGGTATGCTATCATTAGGGTCTATTGCAGTTGGCATTTTGACAGATGTTTCATCATCAGATTTATCTAAAATACTTGGAACTTGCGGTAGAAGTTGAATTTCGTCATCTTTTAAATCATTATCACTTTCATATGAGTCAATACTAACATCCGAATCAATTTCAATTTCAGCAGCCAAAACAATTTGATCATCCACTTTTGGCCAATGACTAAAATTTGGTATAATTCGAGTCATTACTAGTTGTTATAATCATGGTAGGTGGTATCGATGATGTGAATGAAAGTAAGTTTGTTTATTTTATTTATTGTTTTTTCAAGACGCATTTGTAAATATTGATCTCAACTACAACAGCATGACACTAATCACTTCAACTACTCAATTCCTAACAAACTACTCATTCATAGATTTAGCCACATACAATAGCCTAGTGTCTAGTGGTGCAACAGTTCTACTAGCTTGTGAAAATGAAGAAGGATTTTTAACCTATAGAGAAGTTGATATTGAATTAACAATTCATTCAGGTAAAATAATAAATTTAAACGGTAAATCATGTAAACAATTTGCTTTAACCATTGCGGGTGACTTATATGGAACAAATGATCCCAAAATCACAAACTTAAAACATCCCAAATTGGAATTTCAATTTTATGCAAGACAATTTACAAATATACCATTTGATAATTTTGACAAAAACACAAGTTATATGGGAAAAACTTACACCAACGGAGTCGAATCAGTTGGCAAGTATTATTTACAAAGAATTGGCAAAAAATTTGGCATTGAAAATCCAGAGTCAAATCCTCGTATGGACTATTTTTTCCTATTTGTTGGATTTACAATCAAACATGGGAGAATTAGTGCATCCACGAAGCTTCAATTCAGTGGGACTGATAGCTACCTCAAAAATATCCTTACTGAACTAAAAATAAAATACGTCTTAGGAACAAATGGTAAAGATTGTACAATCAAATCGGAAGCTTACAACAATGAATTTTCCAAACTCGTGAACTTGTCACAACAACTGTCCACAAGAAAATTTCCTACTTGGGCATATTTTATGAATTCCAGAAATGCTAATAATATATTAAATGGCTACGCAAAACTTCCGGTGGATACTTATGGAGAGATAACAACATCAAATATCAATCTAGGAACTATAAATAGTTTAACGCAATTATCTATTCACGCATCAGCTACTTGCTACACTCTAAATACTAAAAAAGCAAATTCTATCAAAAACTATGAAAATAAAGAAGCTGTAATAAACAAAACAATATCTACAAAGAAATATGAAGCATTATCACCTGAACAAAAAGCGTTATATCAACCAAACTACAATACCCCTGAGTACCGTTTGAGGATATTTAGATGTAGCGAAAAACTCACCAATCGTCCTAAACAATACTACAAAAATTTTACTCCCTATTTCAATCCTGAAGATATGAGCATTCTAGATTTTAATGGTGAAATGGTACACATAAAATTTGATGATGGATTTAAATTCTTTGTGAGATGCCAATTGGATGACGAGACATATGGAATACCTTTTTTGGTTGGTAATTGAGATTGTTTGTTTAATTTAAAGTGTTTGTTTTATTTAAAGGTTGTGGAAGTTTAGATCCTATATTTGATCAATTTTTGTGGACGGGAATGCTAAGTACAGCATTGGAAGAAATAAAAATTTCCAGTAGTTGTATATGGATTTAATATTTTTGTCTCAGTTATAAAATTCAATTTCTAAAGTATACTATACACCTGAATTCTCAGGTTTCACAGAGGACAATCAAAACCCGTTGAATCTCAAATTCCTCCATACCATGCTCTACCAAAAGTTTTAGATGTCTTTCCATATAAAATTTTTGTCAAACCTTTAAGAAGATTTTGTACTTACTGTACCTATTTTAGAAATTCGAAATTATTTGCTGCTCTACCAAATTGTGTTTTAAAGTTTTTTATTTTTATCATGGAAACGTAATAGCTTTTGTCAGGTGTAGGCTATATTACCTTACTATCATCTGAGCTGCCAAGATATCAAATTCACTTATCGTTCAGTGAATATCCTCCAATATTATCGGTTTATATATTTTCTCTTCTTCTTTAGTTCATAGCTTAGCTAATATACACTCATTAGAGCATAACAATATATTTTGATATTATATCTCAAAACTATATTATTACTTTGTGAGTTACCTAATAGAAATTCCATACAATAGGCTAAGTAGGTCTACATGTTAAAATTTTTCAATGAAAAAAAAAAAAAAAAAAATTAAAACATTAAAAAAAAATCAACTAAGTACAATCATATGGACCAAATTTATATCACAACCCAACTTTCAAAATAACATAAACATTTTGATAGATTTTATAAACTTCGTTCACTTAACATACCAAACATTAATAAAAAGAAAAGAAATCTAACAAACAAATACGTTATACTTCTCATAAATTTACGAAGAAGATTAGACTAAAAACAACATTCAAACCAAAATGTTTTAATCAAAAAAGATTCTACAAAACTTGTTTCAAAGTAAACTACATTAAAGTTCAAGGTATATACTGACAATAACTACAACCACCAAACATAGTTCAATACTATTTGTACGTAGGAATACTTAGACAAACCTCCATTTTACAAATGCATTAGAAAATGATTCAAATATTCCAATAAATTCAATACTTATATCTTCTACTACAAGTATTTTCTGCATCACCCACTAAAACAGAAACATCATCAACTAATAAAGGAATACAATGATTATCATTAACTAGACCAACTACAACAAATAATAATGGAAATGAGGATACAATATCAACAACAAATACAATTTCATTATATATACCTTCATCATTAACTAGTGATGATTCACAACAAGAAGAAATTAAAATAATTTTTACAATTGGATCTGATGATTTTTTTTTTAATGGTAAATATCAATTTGGTGAAAATCTGCAAGGTATTTTTAATAATGACTCAACAAATGTAGATGAGATATACCAAATTATAGGTTTAATTAAATTCAACCAAATATACGGGTACTGAATTATAAAATTATTGAGCCATGTTCTGAACTATATTTAAAATTGAATAGTCATGCAAGTGAACTCACTTATTCATCAATTTTAGCTTCAATAACAATTGCAAGTTTTTTAACAGAAGATTGTGCCAAGAGAGGAATGTATTAAAGTAAGACACAAAATATTTTTGAAACTTCCGTGGATGTTTTAGTTGAAAATACTGAACCTTATTTAATTCCTTATATGAATCAAATAAAAGCATTTGGTGAATTTTTAACTCACAATTTTAATTTTTATTTAACAAATGGGTTCAACCATCAATTTAATGATTTTACATTTTTAAATGTAAATGATACAAATATGTATGCTGGTGGATTAGGATTAGCTGGTAATTCAAAAGGTTCAAGTTTTTTTACAAAAATTAGTTGGTCATAAAATTATGAAAAGTTCAAGTCATTCATTATGGTTTAATGATATTACAAATAATACTCCATCAATACCTTAATTGATTCCAGAGATAATTAATAAAAAACATTATATTGGAAATTTAAATGGGTTTGACATGATTCCCAACCAGGGTATTAGAAATAACTAAACATATCAAAATATACTCAAGATTTAAGTTAATTAATATTACCAATCATAAGTATAGATGATATAAAAGTTCAAAGAATTGATACAGGACAATCATTATCAATAAAATTTGTGGCTGGTTCATTGCCTGTATTATTATTCCTTTTCAACGCAAATTTTACTAATATATTAACTATTTATGGATCTTTGAAGATCTTATATATGAACCGCTTCTCAAAATGAAATCACCTTATCTAAACAATAATATCTGTTACCTCATCGTAAATTCAGTTTAACTTTCAATTTATTTTAGTTTGTGACAGTTTTCGATTTGCCTTTTTAATTGTTCAGAGCTTATAGAATTTAAAATAATTTGAAATTGGTCAAGAAATGAAATAATAATCTTCACTGTCATTGATTTGAAAAGGTAAACTTTGAATTTAATTAAGTAAGTACTTAAGTGATGTGTTTCAGACTTTAAAACCTTATTAGTTAAAGCAAAGCTTTAAAAGCCCAATTACCAAACAGTGCGTTTATTATTACTACTGATGCTCCAAATTTTGCAATTGTTATATAATTACTAGGTACTGATGGAGAAGTTGATGGTCTAGCTGCATTCTATAGCAAAAGTTTAGATAAAAATCAAAGGAATTATGGCATTAGAAAAAAATAATTACTTAACCAAGGTATTGACATTTCTTGATTGGTAATCATATTGTTGTTAAAACAGATTATAAATCTTTATCACAATTAATTAATAGTAAGAATCCACCAAGTGCTAGATTGTCTAGATAGTTAGATGTATTAGCTGAATTTGAAATTGATATTGAATATCTTAAAGGATCTACTAATAGAGCTGATGCACTTTCAAAAAAATTTGAAGATTCATTAAAACCAGATGAAGCTAATAAAAAGAAAATGATATTTTAGTTATTGGTACTAATAGAATTGGATCTACTGAAAATAGTGTTATAAATTTACCTTTTGTATCAAATGTTTTAAGTTCTGATATAGTTCAACAAATTAAAGATGGATATTTAGTTGATGAACAAGCTAAGGAAATATATGATGTTTTGAAAAAAAAATTAGATGTGCTTAATTTGATGAAACACAGGATTAAGAGATTTCATTTGATTGATGATTTAATTTATTTAAAGGTTTTGATTATAGGTCAGAAAATCTTGATAGACTTTCGATTCATTCTACACTTCATTATAAAATTATTGATACACATCATAGTTCTATTTTACATCCAGGTGCATATGTTACTTTTATGGAATTTTCTGATTAATATTGTTTTGCAAAAATGTTTAGTATTATTAAAAGATTTGTTAGAAATTGTGCGGTATTTCAAAGTATCAAACCCAGGTCCGATTCAAATTTTGGATTCTTACAACCTTTACCTATTCCAGTAGGAAGATGGAGTTCAATTAGTATTGATTTTGTTGGAGGAAAACCATCAGTTGATGGGAAGGATATTATATGGTAGTTGTTGATAGATTTTCAAAAAGAGCACATTTTATACCGTGATCTAATATTTTGACTCCAAAAGGAGCAATTACATTATTTTAAACTTCATGGTATGCCAGATGAATTTCTTTCTGATAATAATGTAAGATTTCATGCTTTTGGACAGGAATTTTTAAAGAAATGCGAACTATATTAAAATTTTCAACTACTTATCACCCAAAAACTGATGGTCAAACTGAATGTACAAATAGGGATATGATCCAATTACTTAAAGGTTTCACTGATTTGACTAGATTGGTTTTATAAACTTCCGTCAGTAGAATTTGCTTATAATAGTCATCCAAATAAATCAACAAAATTATCTCCATTTCAAGTTCACATTGGTTTTTATGAGAGACCATCCTATATTGAATCAAGAGTAGTTCAAAATGGTGCTAATTAAGTACCTGTTTCAGCTGAAGACGGGTTTCAGAAAATAGTTATATTTTTATAATAAGTTAGTAAAACATAATATGTTACAAGCACAAACTGCTACTGAGAAACAATACAATAAGAATAGAAAAGAGTTGATTTTGAAAGATAGAAATAAAGTATTAACTCATCGTGATTCTAAAATGTTTTCATCAAATTTCACATCAATCACATTAATTGCAGGAGAAACAAAAATAAATTTTGGATTCACAGGCTATTTTCGCATTCTTCATCCACCCAATCTCTTGCTTTTCAAAAACTGGAAAATTTGTACTAATTTTGAAAAATCTTTGTGTTTAGAATATTCTCGGTATTTAAATTTCTTATGTAAATTTGATTCAACATTTTCCGAAATCACTTCTTCAGTTATATTGTTGCCTTCAACATCATCTTTTTCATTTATACAACAAATGCTTCAACTAACATTTCATCTATGTCAATTCACTTAATAAATTTGTATCAATATATGATTTTAAGTAATTCCAAATAATTTTAAAAAGATTTATATCATCTTTTGTTCAACTTACATCATGACTTACTTCTACAAAGCATATCAAGATCAAGGATGACTTGTGATAGACCTTGAATTGATGATGGTTGAGTTGTCATAGAAACCTCAAGTCAAAATGCATGTTACTAAAGTCAAATTCAACTTTTTCAAAAGTGATCATCAGATCGAATAATTGTTTTATTGTTCAAACATTGTCCATGTATAAGAATTCAATAGTTTACTCCGAGGCACAACAGAGATGGTTTTGATCATTCAAATCCAATTCGATCTTAGGGGTATCTTAAATTAACATCAAATCATCGAGAGTCGAAATATAGAAATCTCGATCAAGTCATCAGTTATAAAGGAATTACATGTTGTTGATACAATGGGATTACACGTAAATGGTTCAATGAAGTTAGAGCTGTCGTCAACTGTTTACGATACATATATTTGAAAATCTCATAGACGTTTCTTCATTCTTTAGCTTTGTCAGAATTCTCGTATAATCAGAAAAAATGGTCTAGTTATTTTTGATTTCCCTTCAGATGTTTCAACTTGAAACTCGTTCAAAAAATCAGGGTGATTGGTTGAAAAAAGGTGCCGTTACATCTTTGCTATGAATTTGTATACTATCATTGTTCCTGCATGCTCGACAATTTGCATACCTTATGCTTACTGATATTTTCTTTAATGGTTATATTTACTTGTTGCTTAAAGGTTTTTTTTATGCATTAAATCATCAATTTGTTATTTGTTGTTGTTTTGTTCATTGTCTCGCAGATTGTTGCAAAATTTTGTTGGGCACCCATCTTTGTTGGATCAATATATGGTGTTAACTGACTGATATCACTTGATGGTCTTGATTCAGTGAAGGTACTTGGCTAAAAGTATACAACTCTTAATTTACTTGATGTAAACTTTGTTGTTGATGTTGAAAATAGAGATAATGATGATGCAGTAAATTTGTGCACATTTGTTGAGATTGATTTTTATCGAAATTGTAGATTTAATCCATAAGAGTATTTCAAATCTTTACTACTTTTCTATTATAATCATATACATCATTAACTAGTTTATATTACCATTAGACCAACCTTCACTTTCATGATTATATTCCTAAGAAATTTTTCAATTTTTCTGAATTATCGATCTTATCCAATTCACAACCATATCTTTTCACATATCTTTTCAATACATCAGTTCCATTAACACTCAATTTTTCATCTTTTACATCATATTCAATATTATTCATTGATGTTTTCTCTTCCTTTTGGAATTTCACCGGACGGATTAAATGAGCAAACCTTTTATTTTTTTCTGCTTGGTGCAAACGAAATTGGTATTCAATATCAAAAGCAGTCATACCTGAAAATTCATGCTCATTTGATAATTCTTCACAGATTTGTCTTAAACTTCCTTTTTTTTTATTCATAACTGCTTGGTAGATTGATTTTTGATTCTTTGAATGTGTTATGTTTTTATATTCTCCAAGTTCTATTAATTGTTGAATTTTTATCTGTACGTCTTTGGAGTTTCTAAATTTTAAAATAGTATCTTTTGATTGTAATTTGGTGCAAATAACTTCAGCATCATCTGTGTTTGTGATGGCAATTTCAATTTGTATTATGTCTAATTCAGATTGTGTGTATCTATTCTCATTGATAGCCGTTCGAAGAGCTTCATATCTTCTTGTTATTACTCCTACATTCAACGGCTTAAAATCACCAGACTGTGACAAAATTGTATGAATACTGTTTAATGATTCATTTTTGGACTTGTTGATCGATAAATTATATAAATTGAAATCTTGACTTGAATCAAATTGCGATGACTTTAAAATTTCCGGTGGATTAAGACGTTCATGCGTACGTACCATTGACCCAATATCGATATCACTAAACAATTCTGGTTTTTTTTCTTTGAGTGTTCTAAGGGCCGACTTTAAAGGTTCCTCATTCTTTCTTCTGGCACCGGCGTTGACAATTTCTAACTCTCTGATTTTCTTCAAATCCTTCACCACTTCGTCTTTAGATCCTAAAACTTCAATGATTTTATTTTGCAATACTTCTTTATCTCTATCACCAAACAACAAGGGCATATCTTTTAGCTTACAAACTATTTGTTCGAGATTTTCCTGTGATTTGCCATTGCATTCCTTTTTAATTATAGACATCTCATCTTCACTGAACCTTTTATATTTCAAACAACACTCAATCTGCATAAATCGAGCTGTGATTCCTCTCTTTTTGAATTCGTTAAATCCCTCTTTTTCTGTGACCAACCTATGAGCAATTGTTTCCATATTTTCTTCTCTACCTCTGTCTTTCATGGAATCAAAAATGATTTTGTCGTGAAAAGCTTTGTAGGAGATGGAACTTAAAAGGTAGTTGGGGTCAATCTTTTTATGATGAGATTCAATTGCTAAAGCAGAAGTAAAGTCTGATTTTAACCCTCCTTCATACAATTCTTTGAACACTTTTTTTAACGATTTTTTGCCTCTATTAGCAACAGCTTCTAAAATTGACCTATTTAACATTTCCTCGTGTGATCCAATATCTTGTTCCGCTAATTTTCTAATGAATGATCTCAAATCACTAGCATCTCTGTACTTAAACAAGTAGGGCCAACCTACGAGATCATCTGCTACCTGATCTAACTCAACATCAGACATGTTTTTATTCGTTTTCGCGTTAATAATTTCAACTTCTGCTTCAGTATAGTTGTTCTTTTTGATACAATTGCACAATTCTTTGTACCTTTCCAGTAATGATTTATATAAATAGTTTTTAAATTCTTCAGTATTTCTCAAATTTTCGATGGCAGTCGGAACAGTTTCATTTTTTTTTCTAGATATAATTGCCTCGTATAGTTTGGTGTCTAATTCAATGGAAAAATAAGTTGACGTGAAGCTGTGATTTTTATTATTTGTACTTGAAATTCTCTTTTTTCTGTTTTTCTCCAAGTCATCTGATTCTTCTGCTATTGATTCACCTGATAAACTAATTGAATACAATCTTTCATCAAAAACATTACCAGTTTCTTCAGCAGTCAATCCCTCAGCACTTTCAAACTCTTCTAACAAAAAACCTTTTCCATGGACTATGACTTGATTTCTAAAAATACTATAAGATCCTCTCGCAATTGGTAGACTATTCTTCAATTGAATAGGTGGAAGCGGCATATTATTACTTCCATCAAAATTATCACTGTAAGCTACTTCAGAAATTGATCCTGGGGCATCTTTAAAATCTGATAATATAAAACCCGTTTTCTCAGCTCTTATTTGATTTTGTAAAATTTTCTTGATTGAGACATTCAATTCAGATTTTTTTGGTGGAAGTTCAAATGGTTGGTTAGTATTTTTATTCTTATTTATAGACAGTTCATTTTTTTGATCACTTTCATTATCAATTGTTTTCTTGATGACTTCAACTTCATGAGGTGGTGTAAACAACGGACGAAAATTGGATTCATTACTTCTTTGTTTCTTATAAATAGCTCCCAGTTTGGATTCTTGACTTGAAAGAAATCTTTTTCGAGATTCCCGAAATGATGAAAGAAGACTTTCTGTTTGCCTTTTATGTTTAGCTACTTCATCTTCGTTTTCATTTGATCTGTATGTATCTGCTTTAGGATATGCTTTTTCGAAAAACTTTTTGAATGAATCATCAACTTTTACTCCACCACCAGTTTTCTTTTCCAAAATTGAGACTTCATCATCATCATTTTTAATAGCATCTTCTTTCTTGCGGCTTGTAGACTCTTTATCAAAAACCTCAGCTAATGCACTTTCCTTAACCTTAACTTTCTTCTTAGGATGACAAAATATGGATAAGTTTACCAGTTGTGCTACTTTTAATTTTTTGAAATTTGAAGGTGTTGCATCTGATAAGTCTTTGACTTTTGATTCTTCCAAATCTTGAATTTTTTTAATTCCAGTTACTGCTCCATCTACTCTTTGAGTTGATCCCAAAATATCATGAGGTAAAGAGCTTAAGACATCAATTTCTGGCACAAATTTTGTATCATTCTTTTTGACTTTTGATTTTGCTATTTCTAATACATTAATGTCTATGTCTTCTAACTTTCTTTTAATTCCTGAACTGGGGTGCTTGTAAATACCACTGATTGATTTAACCTTGGCTTCGGTTTTGTTTTGATTTTGGTTTATATCTGATATTGATTCAGACATCTCAATTACACATAAAATGAAGACATAACAATTAAAATGAAGCTTAATGAGCTTGATAATATCAATGATATAGGTAATGGGATTGAAATATAGGTTGTTATTTTTGAATATAGGTTGTAATACTTGAATTATAGGTATATCTACCTTTAATAAAAAAAAACATTTTGAACAATTCGCACGCACCAACCACATATATGATCAGTACCAAGTAATTTCACTATCCTCATGAATGAAAAAAGGTACACATATTCAAGTGCTACTGTCGATCTCCCAATCCTTGCGTATGTTGAGTTGCATGAATACACTATGAATACACTTTATGATGTTCTGCAAATTATACTTTTGCATTATTAATACACCAAATTGATCTCAAACGCGTCTATAAAAACTAGTATTTTACCTTTCAACATATCAAAAGTTTGTTGTTTATAAAACTCCGACATAACGACTGAAGATTAGACGCTACAAATAATCACTGATACTCTTATTGTGAGCTTGGCTTCATGTTATTCAAATTTCTCTTAACAAATGTCATTATGGATCAAATAGCCACTTAGTTTGATGTTATCACTTTAAATTTGAACGGGAATGACGATATTTCCTCGCTATATTTTTAAGATTATTAGATCTTTTTCTATAGTGATAAGTCGAATGCGAGTTAATCGTACATAGTTCTTCCTTCACCACGGACTCAAACAGCAAAGTAAGCAAAAGTAATTCGTATTTGCTCTGAATAAGTAGCCAAATTTTTTGAGTACCTTATTTTCAATCAGTCAGTATCTCTTTATTGACCAATGTCACTACTTCGAAACTTCTCCATCCTGCTTTTTGATTTTCGATATCATAAAGCATCACCTACCACTGCTTTCATTCTCTCGCCGCCAACTTTAATTCTTTTACAAACTCTTCAACCTCCTTTGATGTTGTAAAATCATTATCTCTTCACGTTTGCGTTTGACAAATTTCATGTTTCCCAAGACTAACTTTCTTATCTAACACAAGTTATAAAGTCCTATTTCTTTGTTGAATTTTCACTGATTTTTATAATATGTTCATAAATATTAAAAATAAAAACTCTAAGTGATAGTTTATTGCAATTTGGAAAATTCTTACTCCCCAAATTGCTTCTTCCAATATTTAACTGTAGGACAGAGAGATTGATTGATATCTTTAGATAAAGTCTCTGTTCTCTGCGTGAATTGAGGTGGATTATTAAAAAGTTCGATGTAATTCTTTGCTGACCAATACTACCCTAGCTTCTGATCCTAACATCAGTAAAAACATCATGATGTACTTAAAATCGACTATCCTTGCTTCTGATCCTAACATCACACATCATGATGTACTTAAAATCGCACTCAAAATCGTACATGATACTTTGAGTTCAAGTAGGATAGAATTACCGGATGGGTGAAATTTAATCAAAAATGAAAATTAACCATTTGAAAATATAGCTATTGTCGGTTTAAAGTGATATGTTAACAAAAATCCGAAAGCTTTCCAGTATCAATCATATCTAAGAAAAAAAGAATTCTGGAATGTTTCATTTGACCAAAAGCATTCATCATATTTTCCCAATCACTTTTTACCAAAATAATAAAATAGTTTCTCCAATTATTAGCTGATGTGAAATGATAAAGCTGATTTAAACTTATAATCGATTTTAAATAGGTATATATTTCATGACGTTTGTTGTGAGTCTTGAATAATTGAACCAATAAGTGCTTTATTCAAATCATGTTAATATTTTAATTCTTTTCTCTTTTTTTTTTTTATAGTAGAATTTGTTTTTTTTTTTTCTATAGGCTACTTTCAGTAAGTAAACCACAAAAATCTTTTTAAGTACTAGACAACATACTTAAAAATTAAAAAACAATAAAATGCAACACAAAATAAAACGGAAATTAAATTAAAATTTACATAACTTACTTAACCCAGACTAGTCTAACCTAATAAAAAAAATAGAAAAAAAAACAAATAAATTGTACTCTGACTCACTAAAAACTAATATATCATCACATAAATATTCCAGCTAATCCTCTCCACACTTAAAACATAACTTTTTGAAAGTAGCTGGAGCATTTCCCAATACAAAAAGCATAGTCAACCATTCACAATGACCACGAGGAACACAAAATGATGTATATTCAGTACTTCCTTCCTATTGGAGATAACCTGAAGTTAAATTTAATTTGGAAATATAATCACACATACCCACTGAATCAATTAAATCTTCTATTTGGCATTAAACAAGCTTGAACAAAGGAGTTTTGATTTGACTATCTATAGTCAATAACTAATCCAAATTTATTGTTTGGTTTAGGAACAAAGAAACTAGGACTTGAAAATGCACTTTGACTATATCTAATGTAACAAGCATCTAATAATTCATCCATTTGTTTATCCATTTCAGTTTTTAGATGATTTGCAACTTTATATGGATCGAACATCGGTGCTTTAGATTTATCCTTTAACCAAATCTCATGTTTGAAAAATGAATCTAAATTTATTGGTGGAGACTTATCACTTATATTAGTTTATCTAATAATTCTTTCAAATAATTGTCAATGTTTGGTGATTTATGCCAATACTTTAATTTATAAGTTTCTTCATTTTCAAATTTTTCATCAGTTTCAGGATCTCTTTGAGTAGCAAATAACTTAATAGAACAATATTAAATAAACCAATATTCTTGAACTGGAAGATCGCATTAGCTTCTTCATCAAATTTAAATTTTTCTTTATTACCAACTTTTAAAAGTTTTTCAGATATTAATGCACTTGCTTCTTCTTTGTCTTCAACAACTTCTCCTTTATCTTGCAAAAAATAATCAACGTCTATGAATGTACCTGGTAATATGATATCTACTCCTGTTGGAAATTCACTAATTTTTTTTACTAATAGTGGCTCCTAATATTATTAGATATGTATAAAAGGTGTAATGTAATAAATAATGATTTTATTAAAAAGACTCCAATATAACAGTACATACAATATAGCAGTTCCAACAATTTTCCACACTACAAACAGCGAAAGGATCACATGCAACTGTATCTAATTTAAATTCCTCAACCACCTTTTGATGAATAAATTTAACATCAGCACCATTATCTAAAATTACAGGTAAAGTATCAATATCATCTAACTTGATCATTAATTTCTCAACTTTATTTGAATTGTTCCTTACAATAAGACAAATGGTACAACGTTTAACTGTAGTGGACGCACCTAAGAAGAATTTGGTTTAGATCTTTTGGTATTTACATTATAGATACAATTTTCCCAAACATGATTTCCATTAGAATGATTTGGACAAACGCTTTTCCTTTAGTTCTTGTTATGATTGTTGCGATAATAATTTTTCTTGAATTAAAAGTCCTTGCACCTCCATCTTGTGGACTTCATTCATTTCTTCAATTTGCTTTAATGTTGTAATTCCATACCACATGTAAAAAATAGGTTGATTTAACAGCTGGCTTAAAGGTTCTAAAAATATGATCAGTAAAAAATTTTTGTAACTTCTGATTCTTTTATCAGATCTTTTGAATCTTTTTTTCTTGGACTTATGTTTTCTAAATCTATCTTCCTTATCATCGCTTGAACCACTATCAAATCACTTGAAATACTATCAAAATCACTTGAAATACTTGTGTCGCCTTCTTCTACCTGCTTAGTATCAAGAGCACCTCCAGCTCGGTCGTGAAAAATTCATTTGTGAAAGCTTCGGCATTTCTTATTGCAAAGCGACGGGCAATTGTATGGGCCTATTCTGGATAATCTACTTGAATAATCTCCTTGAAGTACCATTCATATACTCTGAAAATGTCGATTTAATTGAGAAAGAACAGGTCTTAAGTAAATAATGTCATAATTTTCTCCATTGGATACACAAGCATTTTGATAAAGCACTGTCTTCTCTAGTCCATTCTGCTTGATCTTTCTATATTTTTCATCTCCAGCTAGAATTCTTAATTTATTATCTTGATCAATAACTCACTTAACATGATTTAAAAATCTTTTTGAACTGAATTTTCTGTTCTTATTGAAGTTGAATTTGGCCATCTTTTAAATTTTCTAAATTCTTATTTTCTACTGAATAATTAATCACAATAATGCGACGCTACCAAAAATCAAGCATTATTAATTGGAAAGGAATTATTGAGAAGTTTTTTAATCATTATAATGGTTTGAAAAACGCACCTACAACTCCAAATGAGTTTAATCCAAAGGTAGATAAAGTTAGCTTGATTCTTTTTGGAGAACCTTCTGAAATAATGTTTTTAATTAAAAGGTTTGATAAAAAGTTATGTGCAGATTAGACAGAAAGTTATTGCAAATGAAAGGCAAAATTCCAAAAGTAGATGATTTAACTTATGATTATTATTTGGAATTACTTACTTAACATCCTATATTGATCCAAATTTATCAAGTGAAATGAATAATCGATTGGCTCTAGCCGTCGCAATTAGATTAAATACAACTGATCAGACTATATCCAGAAGGGAGAAGAAAATTTGAAGAAATTGGAAAAACTGAAGAGTTAGTTGAATTTATATCAAAATTAAATAGAGATCAAATTGGTGGTAATTATACTGATTATTTCTATTTGCAGCAAATAATAATTCAATTAAATTATTTTGTCAAAAAATAGTTCCGATATTTAAAAAGTGGGAAAATGATAAAACAATCAATCTTCCTGATATTGATGAATTTTTTATAATGGTTCAGAATGGAATTTTTACAATGGTTCAAAATGATGTTCGTTTCGTACGAAAGAAAATTGAAATTTTTTGAATATGAAAATTATATCAAAACAACATCAACAAACTATAGAAAAAGAAGCATGACGAACTATGAAAAGAATATGGCTTTAAACCAGATTTGAACAAAAGGTATTATAAGACCCATGACAATGGAAATGATTCAGGTAACTAGAGAGAATGAAGAAACTAAGATAGAAGAAGATCAAGATAATTTCAAGGAGGAGAATGAAAACGTTAATAAGAATTCCAAGAAGGAGAAGTAATATGAAGACATAAACGAAAAATCAAAATAGTTAACTAAGACAGTTTTATCACTAACTAAGGTGATTGAAAATAAAACATAATAATGGAAAAAATATTTTTAGTACTAATATATTAAATGGATCAATAACATGAATTATTATTTTAATATTTAAATGTTTATGAAAATATTATTGATTGATTAATGATTAATTTGAAGAAAGTATCAATTCGAATTATTTGTTTTTCAATATTAATTCATGAGGAAGTAAGATTTGATAACTACAACCATTTACTTGTCATTTTTTTTTTTTCTTTTGTTTCGTCTACATATGAACCTATATTAAGCCACTCTATACCAATTAATATATAATAGACTATATAAATTAGTAGATAAGCTATTTAAATTTAAATTCCAAATTTCTTATGTATTTGCAATTTTTCTTTTCTTTAATCTTCTACTTGTTCTTTCAGGTTCATAATCACTATCTTTTTCAATTTCACTTTCTTCAGCACTAATTGTATTATTTTCAACAACGGCAGTATTTGTTAACGGAACTTTATTAGATTGCTTGGTTGCTAATCTTGATCGATTCAAACTGAAAGCACTAAAATAGCTTACCTTTTTTCTATCTTTTTCCAAACTGGGAGCACTTGTCAAGCTTACTTTTTTTCTATCTTGTTTGATTGTTACCGATTTTATAATTTCAGTATGATAAACGAAACATATGTCGAGCTTACTCAAATTAGGAGATTGCTTGATTTTTTCATTAATTTCTTTCAATAAATCATCAAACTTAGTGTTATTAAAATTTAATTTAATCCATTGCACCTGTTGTTCAGTGTATGTGATTGAACTCAATTTTTCGATAGTCTTCCCAAACATATTAAGTACAGTATTATCTTTTGCGTCAATTGGACACTTTTTTTTAATTTGTGATACCGCTTTAGCTAATACACTCTTATTCCTCAAATTTTTCTTTCCAATCAAATGATGTAATATTGCTAACTTTTGTTCTTCAGAAAATCTTTCTTCTACTGGAGCCTTTGTTTTTGTCACCTTTTTAAAATAAAGAAAAATTACATCTAAAGCATTTAAGCCTTCAGGTAAAGCAGCCGAGTCTAGTTCATGCATAAGGTTTTGTTTCTTTGTATTCCCAAATGTGGTTGTGACAAAAACCACTTCTTCATCTTTGTACGTCTTCCTATTCAATTGGTATATTGTTTTGTCATATGATTTTTTGAGACTTGATTCTGTTTTATGATTATAATATTTAGTTTTTAATTCAGTAATTTTATCTTTCACAGTTTTGGAGCTACTGAAAATTTCAAATAAGATGAAATTTATATCAGCTGAAACAAGATGTTCTCGGGTTAATTTTTCCTGGTTAATGACATAATGGATGTATAAAATTTCTAAAGTGTTTAAATTAGAAAATTGGTTTATGTTTGATTTTATCTTCAATAAAATTGATTTGTCATCTGTGTCTCTCAATAGATGATTTACCTTCTTTTTATCTTCTTCAGTATAATTTTTGTTTTCACATTTAGCAATAGCATTATTATAAATTGTGTGTACAAATGACTTGTCCCATTCATAAAAGTAATTTTGACGTAATTTTAAAACCTCATCATCGATATTACCATCTCGACTTAATATTTTTTGAAGTACTAACTCTTCTCTTTCCTCTAACTTAACAAGCTTCACGTAATGGATATATAATACATCTAAAACACTCAATGGTGACAACTGGTTCATCTTTGCTTTGATATTTTGTACTAAGTTTGCGTTTGATACATCCCTAAATAGTGAATCAACTAAATCAATTTGTTCTTTATTGTATTCCCTCTTCTTACATTCCAAATTCATGTCTCCATAAGTTGATGCAAGTCCCAGATCTGTTCGGCCCCAAAAGTCATTTTGGCTCAAGTCTGTGAATACTTCCTTGACCAGAGTGGAGTAATGTCTTCCTAAAATACGAGACATCATTACTTCTTTCTCTTCCTTTGAATAATGAGATTTATGGCTTGATACTTTTAGAATTTTAACGTAATAAATGTAGATGACGTCAATTGAATTTAATGATGAATGAAAAGGACGTCTTTCATTTATGAGATAGTCGAAAATGGTGCTTGGAGTTGCATCTTGAAAATTTGTGTCTACTGATGTTATTTGTTCTGTAGTATATTTTTTCTTTTTAAGTTCAGCAATAGTGTAATTGTATAGCTCATAGATACCTTTTGGTGTTCTACCAAATAAATGAGTTTTGAGTAGTTCGGCAATAACTTTTGTTCTATCTTTCTTTCTTTGAAATAGTTGATTAAGTATTAAAACTTTTTCAAATTCAGAATATTCTGATTTTTTGAATGACACTTTTTTAACTTTTAAATAATAAACATATACAACATCCAACAAAGTTAATTCGGAAAATTTATCAGCATTCGATTTAATATCTTGTAATAAAGTGTCTTCATTTGAATTTTTTAAAATTTCTTCCACCAATTTGATTTGGTCATCAGTGTAAAGTTGTTCACCGTAAATTCCAAGTAATGTTGAATAAGTATGTTGAATTGCAGAATTTGTTCGACCTTGAAGAACATTTTTCTTCATGTCATTTGTGGCCTCTTCAATAGATCCTTTTCTTTTCAATAAGTGATGTAAGACCATAGCCTTGTCTCGAACGTTCCAAAAAGTTTGGGGAATCGAATGTTCCTGTATTTCAATATAGTAAAGATAAAGTATGTCTAGCGTATTTAAAGTAACTGGAGGGTTGCACTTTCTAACTATTTCCAACACTTGATTTACTGGAACATTGGTCAATAATTTTTTGACAAATTCTATTTCATTATTGGAAAATGTTTTAGCTTCTAATGATCTCAATAATCTACTATATAAACAAGTGATAGGACCTGATGTTTTACTTTTAAAGTAACCTTGATCTTGAAGCTCATTAACTGCATCTACCAAAAATCCACTTCTATTCAAGGCAGCATTCATCAAAATTTCCTTTTCTGCCATCGAATAAACATAACCTGATTGATTATTTGAGCCAAAATTTATATAATAAATATAAATTATGTCGATTTCTAAAAGTCTAGGCACTCTTTCAAGTACCGTTTCAATATCTTCCAATAACCTTTCATCGTTACTTTGCTTTAACATTTCACCGATCATATCAACAGTATTTTTGTCAAAAGTGGTCGTTCTCAAACTATCAATCAAACATTCAAAACATTTATCGATTTCTTCAACTGATTTGTCTTTAGCTTCTTCAGGATAATTCATTCTAAAGTGAGCGAATCCATCTTCATAATCACCATCCAACATCATGTATGATTGCATGATTGATTTTAATAATTTTGATGAGTAATGTGCTAGGTACCAGTCTTTAGTTTTAATATTATCATCTTCAGGTATAAATTCTGAACCATCTGAATCTTCATCCAAACCATTTAAATTATCATTTGCATCAACATCTGACTCTAATTCTATATCACCATGCGAGTCAATGACGAATGATGTATTTTGCCCTGCTGATGTATTTTGTTGATCTTGTAATTCACCAGTCAAAGATGGATTTGAAATTTGTGATTCATTTGAATTAATTGATATAGATCTATTGAAATTAAACAATGTGGGGTCTATATCATTGAAATTTTGATCCCCCTCTGATTCCATGATAAAACGTTAATTCCAAATTTATTCTACTTGCACTTAATAAATAGTTGTATGAATTTGATTGATTAATGATGTATGGATCTAATGATTGGTATAAAGACAGACGTGTTTTTTTTTAATTTAAAAATAAAATTTTGTTTAAATTTAAAAAATGAGTCGTCAATTGCAAAAAAACTGATATTATTCCACTTATTGGATTAATTTAATGTATGAAGTTTAATGATAAATGAATGATTGTTATAAGGTATTTTATTAAATTTATTTTTTTGGTGGCCAATTTAAAATTTTGGTTGTCAATTGAAGTTAAAACAACAACAAAAACAAAAAAAAAACTCGTCTAAATTTTCAAAATGACATTAATAATGTAATTAAAAGTATTCAAAACAACACAGTCAATTATACCCAATTAACTCTAAACCTTAGGTATTGAAATCTTAAAACAAATATTAAACATTAATATACACCAGATCGGTATGAGGGTTGTTTCAATGTGTCCTAATTTGAGAAGTCACGACACGACAATAAATTTAGCTAATAAACAAACTCATATCCATTCATAATACAATAATAGTATTGTCAATATCCATTAGGATTATATTAAAACTAGTTTTATTCATTCGTCATAGTTTAGTGTTTGAAAAAATTTGGTAAGTTTATAATTTCATTCTTCAATCATTAAAAAAATTCAATCTCATTATGTTTTTGCCGGTCGAGAAGTTTAGATGGATCTTGATTTTCGATAAATATAGGTTTTTCTATCTATGATACTAGACAACAAGAATCTGTAAATTTTCCACAATCGAAGTTGTTGCTATTAATTTAGCAAATATTTCTGAGTCTCAAATATTTGGAACTGACTCAATTTGCTGATTACTTTATTCAATTCGATTCTTAAATGGTTAAAAATTGCACCAATTTGCTTTTTGCTATTTGTAGATTTAGGGATTTTAAAATCATCATGGATTGTCATTAATAACTCTGATCGCTAACTACTTTTTAGTGAAAATGAGGTAATGCCACTTGATCATTTTGCCAATTCGAAATAGAATTTGAAATGCAATTCTCAAATATAAATTCTTAACAAAAGTCGCTTTCACTAATCTTCAACTTCATTACGATTAATCTTTGAAACTATCACCAAGTCATTTTAGCTACAAAATAATTTTGACTAAACTCATTGATTCATTGAAATTTGTCACCAATTTTTTCGCTAATCCTGATTTGACTCCATTAGAACAACTAATCATTTTGCAAACACTTAACGTTATTTCACATCACTTTTATAAGTCATAAATCATCATTATCTTCATTTTGTTTAATTCAATATTTTATTTTATTCCTCACATCCTGAAACATCGTCATCGAATCCTTTTACAATTGTCCCAATCCATGTTCTCAATCAGTTTATGATTGTCACAAACTCATCCTCGGCATTTTTTTATATAATGTTATAAGTTGTAATTTTAATGTTTTAACAAAATTTCCTAAGTGATAAATTTTGCCGATGATAAAGATCGCCTCAAACAAATTTTTTTCAGTTATGATGACTATCAAACTTAATTCCATGTGAAATCATGTTGAACCTAAATTATTAGCTGCCGTTTAACTATAGTGTCAATGAAAACAAAATCAACCATCAACTATAATCATTTTGTATGGACGTGTGCTAGAAGGAGATTGATGTTGAATCGATTAGTTGTTGAATAATTTAAATTTTGTTAAGCTATCGCAAGTTCAAACCAAATCACATCTATGCTATGAAACCAAAAAAGGATAAATCGATGATTAAAATGAAGATGTTAAACTGTAGCTTTAAATCTCAAATGAAATAGTTGTTTATTATAACGTAAAATCTTATATTCCATTTAAAATTTATTTTTGTAATTTGCAAATTCTATACATAATTCATGTTACGTAAGAAAATAACTCTAAAATTATTCCATTGATCAAATGAAGCAATTGCGGCTTTTTTCAATAAAAAAATTGGAAATATTTTTTATTGAGTTTGGATTAAAACGATTAGTTATTTACCATATAAACACCGATAGCTCAGCCTGTCCACCAATTAACCTATTGTCTTGCTTAACCTAGCACCCACTACTTTTTACCATGAAAAATTTTCATCAAAATTCTGCATACCATGCACCTAATGGTGCTTATAACCAACTAACCTATCATATAATTCAGCTGATATGTTAAACATATCTAATTAAAATATTCATTTACAAAATAGGATTATGAAACTTTTGTTATAAAGTACCAAGCAAATTATCAAACAAATGTCATATAGTTTCAAGATCTTTTAGACACAAGTTACACGCAATGCTTCAATTTTTCACCACTAGGGATGCAATTTCGATCAAATAAAACTTACTCGATTGCTCATAGATATATCCTCCTTCATCATCTTGTAACTATTGTCAATGTTAATATTATAATGTGTGTTAATGATTGATCAAAGTTGTGGAGGTTTATAAGAAATATTAAGGTTGTTGAATATGTTGATAATCTGGATAATGATAATGTGATTAGTTTAAGTTGTGGAGAAAAAATAAAGTTTGATAATGTGAAATGTGATTGGATATTAGCAGAAGTCAAGATCTTAGATGATATGTGAAACAATCTTATAAAAGAGATGATAAAGTTTTAATGTGTTCAAATATTAACTGAGGTTAAGATTTATTTATATAAGTTTGAATTCTTTGAAATGATATGCTTTGATAATGTGTTTTTAAGTTGTAATGACAAGAACTTTATATGATTAATTTAAATGTTTTAAATATCATACATATGAGAATAATATATGATTTAATGAATTGGTATGTGAATTAAGATTTGTATGAAATGTAATAAGGATGACTTGAATACTAGTTAAATTAAACTAAAATGAGTTTTAATAGTATATTAAAATGATATAGATATAGTTCGATTTTCTTGAAAAAGTTGAAATATGAAATGAAGAACAAACTAAAAAGGTTAATCAAAGATGAGTGATCAAGATATCAAATCAAACCCTAATGTTACTATTGATGATGATGATACTTGTAGTGAAACCAGAAGTGTGTTAAAAAATGGAGAATTACAGAATTGACAAGAAACATTCATTTGAAACATCGAATTTCGATTGACTTTTTCAATTTGTCTGGTATCCATTGTTTTTACAAGTACTTTTAAGGTACATGCTACACTAAAGCGACCTCAGAGTTAAAGTTCAATATGAGTTTGATTAAGACGAATGATAACTTGCAAAAGATGAGATGCATTACACTCTCAAATTTTACTCCAGTTTCCATTTGAAAGATTATTCTTCTATGGTTTGTTTAGATGTTGAAGAAGATATTTGAAATAAAAAGAGGCCATTAATCGATCATATTCTCATCAATTGATGAAGTAAACTCAAAAAGAAATAATTTATTACCATTTAAATTTCCTTCTTTTATTTCCATTTCCATTCAGTTATTCATATTCGTTAGCATCACTATTCAAATCATCACTAACATCTTCTTCATCTTCAATAAGATTTTCATCTTGTCCCCCTGCCAATCTGTTTGAGCGTCTCAAGTCAAAATTCTCGGTCTTAATGGGTAATTCATGTTTGAGATAGATATAAAGAACATCCAATGGCACCAATGTGAGAAATTTATTAATTTTTAAGAAAATTTGATCTATCAATGAATCAATTTTGGTATCTCAAATTCACTAATCACTTGAATTTTTTCAGTATCAGTGTACTGTTTTTCCTTTAATTTTTGCATTGTTTTATCAAATAAAGCTTTGGTCTCCATAATTGTTTTATCTTATTGGATGGCCAGCTTTTGGATCAAGCATATGGCTCATACTCAATACTTCACAATATAAATTCTAACAATTCTTTCCCCTCTTGTGAATATGGTAAATCAAATTGATCTCCCCAAAATAGGATGAGTTAACAGCTTTTTTAACAATATGATCAGTATTACTAATTTTCTCATCTTTACCTAATCTATTTATGATCTTCATGAATTTAGACTTAATTAAAAACTTCTAAGGTTTGAATATTCTGCTTGATGAAACTTAACTTACGAAAATTATTTTAGGCAAATTTGGTATCGAATATTTATCCTTACCTTTAAATAAAAAGATTTTGTAACTTCTGATTCCCATCAGGTATTTGGAATTTATTTTTCTTTTTCTTGGACTTTGATTTATATTTTCTAAATCTTTCTTCCTTGTCATCACTAGAATCACTATAAAAATCACTTGAATCACTTGTATCGCTTTCTTCTACCTTCTTTGTATCAAAAGCATCATCCAGTTCTGTCGTAAAAAAAAAATCATACGTGAAAGCTTCAGCTTTTTTGATACAAAGCGACAGGCAATTTTATGAACCTATTCTGGAGATGATATATTTGAATGACTATTCATATACTCTGAAAACATCGATTTAAATTGTGAAAGAACTGGTCTTAAATATATATTGTCATAATTTTCCCCATTGAATACACAAGCATTTTGATAAAGTACTGTCATCTCTTGTCTATTCTGCTAGATCGTTCTATATTTTTCATCTCCAACTAAAATCTTAATTTACGATCTTAATCAATACCTTATTTAACATGATTTTGAAATCTTTTGAACTGAATTTTCTGTTCTTGTTGAAGTTGAATTTGAATTTGGCTATCTTTCGAATCTTCTAAATTCTATTTACTGAATAATAATCAATCACAATAATGCGACGCTACCAGGATGTAAGCAAAATTGAGAAGAATTTTAATCATTATAACGGTTTGAAAAACAATTACAACTCCAAATGAGTTTAATTCACAAGTTGACAAACTTAAGTTAATTCTTTTTAAAAAACCTTCTGAAATGATGTAGCTAATTCAAAAGTTTGATGAAAAGTTATATACAGACTCACAAGACGGAAAGTTATTGCAATTGAAAGACAAAATTCCAGAAGTAGATGATTTAAATTTAAAAGTTATTTGGAGTCACTTACTTAAACTCATATATTGATCCAAATTTATCGAATGTATTGAATAATTGATTTGCTTAAGATGTGGCAATCAGATTAAATACAACTAATTATGAACTACATCCAGAAAGAAGAAGAAAATTTGAAGAAATTGGAAAAACTGAAGAATTAGGTGAATTTATAACAGAATTAAATAAGGATGCAATTGGTGGTAATTATACTGATTGTTATCATATTGCAGCGAATAATAATTTTAATAATATATTTTGTCAAAAACTAGTTCCAATATTTAAAAAATGGGAAAATAATAAAACAATCAAACTTCCTGATATTGATGAATTTTTTACAATGGTTCAAAATGGAATTTTTTATAATGGTTCAAAATGATGTTCGTTTCGTACAAAAGAAGATTGAAATTTTTGAATATGTAAATTATATCAAAACAACATCAACTAACTATAGAAAAAGAAGCATGACGAACTATAAAAAGAATATGGTTTCAAACCGGATTTGAACAGAAGGTATTATAAGACCCAAAACAATGAAAATGATTCAAGAAACTATAGAGAGAATGAAGAAACTAAGATAGAAGAAGATCATGATAATTTTAAGGAGGAGAATGAAAACATTAATGAGAATTCCAAGAAATTGAAAGAGCTAAGTAAGAAGGATTTATCACTAACTAAGGTGATTGAAAATAAAACATAATAATGGATAAAATATTTTTAGTAATAGTATATTAAATGAATGAACAAGAGGAATTATTATTTTAATATTTAAATGCTCACGAAAATTCTATTGATGAATTAATGATTAACTTGAAGTAATTATTAATTTGAATTATTTTGTTTTTCAGGATTAATTTATGAGGAAGTAAGATTTAATAACTAAAGCCATTTACTTATTTTTTTGTTTCTTCATCTACATATGAACCTATATTAAGCCATTCTATACCAATTAATATATAATAGACTATATAAATTAGTAGATAAGCTATTTAAATTTAAATACCAAATTTCTTATGTATTTGCAATTTTTCTTTTCTTTAATCTTCTACTTGTTCTTTCAGGTTCATAATCACTATCTTTTTCAATTTCACTATCTTCTTCAATTTCACTATCTTCAACACTAATTAAATTATTTTCAACACCAATTATATTATCTTCAACAACCTCAGTATTTGTCAACGGAACCACATTTGATTGATTTGCGAATCTAAGGGATCTTCTCAAACTCAGATCACTGTTCAAGCTTACCTCTTTTCTATCTTGTTCCAAACTGGGAGCATTAGTCAAGTTTGCCTTTTTTCTATCTTTTTTGATTGTTACCGATTTTATAATTTCAGTATGATACACGAAACATATGTCGAGCTTACTCAAATTAGGTGATTGCTCGACTTTTTCATTGATTTCTTTCAATAAATCATCAAACTTGGTGTTTTTAAAATTAGATTTGATCCATTTTACCTGTTGATCAGTGTATTTAATTGAACTCAATTTCTCATTAATCTTCTGAAACAAAGTAAATACAGTGTAATCTTTTGCATCAATTGGAAAATTTTTTTTAATTTGTGAGACAGCCTTAGCCAATCCACTTTTATTTGTCAAACCTTTTTTCCCAATCAAATGATGTAATATTGCTAACTTTTCTTCTTCAGAAAATCTTTCTTCTACTGTAGCCTTTGTTTTTGTCACCTTTTTAAAATAAAGAAATATTACATCTAAAGCATTTAAACCTTCAGGTAAAGCAGCTGAGTCCATTTCATGCATAAGGTTTTGGGTCTTTGTGTTCCCAAATGTGGTTGTGACAAAAGCTACTTCTTCATCTTTGTACGTCTTCCTATTCAATTGGTATATTGTTTTGTCATATGATTTTTTGAGACTTGATTCTGTTTTATGATTATAATATTTTTTTTTTAAATCAGCAATTTTATCTTTCAATGTTTTGGAACTATTGAAAACTTCAAACAAAATGAAATTTATGTCGGCCGAATTAAGATGCTCTTGAGTTAATACAGCCTGGTTAATGGCATAATGGATGTACAAAATTTCTAAAGTGTTTAAATTAGAAATTTGGTTTATGTTTGATTTTATATTCAATAAAATTGATTCGTCATCCGTGTCTCTTAATAAATGATTTACCTTCTTTTTATCTTCTTCAGTGTAATTTTTGTTTTCACATTTAGCAATAGCATTATTATAAATTGTGTGTACAAATGACTTGTCCCATTCATAAAAGTAATTTTGACGTAATTTTAAAACCTCATCATCGATACTACCATCTCGACTCAATATTTTTTGAAGTACAAACTCTTCTCTTTCTTCTAATTTAACAAGCTTCACGTAATGTATATATAATACATCTAAAACACTTAATGATGACAACTGGTTCATATTTGCTCTAACATTTCGTAATAAATCTGAATTAGATACGTTTCTAAATAGTGAATCAACCAATTCAATTTGCTCTTTGTTGTATTCCTTCTTTTTGAATTCTAGATTCATGTTGTTATAAGTTGATGCAAGTCCCAGATCTGTTCGGCCCCAGAAGTCATTTTGGATCAAGTCTGTGATTACTTCCATGACCAGAGTGGAGTAATTTCTTCCTAAAATACGAGACATCATTACTTCTTTCTCTTCCTTTGAATAAGCAGATTTATAGCCTGATACTTTTAAAATTTTTACGTAATAGATGTAGACGACGTCAATTGAATTTAATGATGAATGAAAAGGACGTCTTTCATTTATGAGATAGTCGAGAATGGTGCTTGGGGTTGCATCTTGAAAAGTTGCTTCTACTGATTTTATTTGTTCTGTAGTATATTTCTTCTTTCCTAGTTCAGCAATAATGTGATGGTATGTTCCACAAATACCTGTTGGTGTTCTCCCAAATAAATGAGTTTTGAGTAGTTCTGCAACAACTTTTGCTATTTCTTTCTTTCTTTGAAGTATTTGATTAAGTATTAGAACTTTTTCAAACTCAGAATATTCTGATTTGTTGAACGACACTTTTTTAACTTTAAAATAATAAACATATACAACATCCACCAAAGTTAACTCGGAGAATTTATCACTATTCGATTTAATATCTTGTAATAAAGTATTTTCATTTGAATGTTTTAAAATTGTTTCCACCAATTTGATTTGGTCATCAGTGTAATGTTTTTTACCGTAAATTCCAAGTAGTGTTGAATAAATATGTTGAACTGCAGAATTTGTTCGACCTTGAAGAACATTTTTTTTCATGTCATCTGTGGCCTCATCAACAGACCCTTTTCTTTTCAATAAGTGATGTAGGACTATAGCCTTGTCTCGAACGTTCCAAAAAGATTGGGGAAGCGAATTTTCCTGTATTTCAATATGGTAAATGTAAAGTATATCTAGGGTATTTAAAGTAACTGGAGGGTTGCACTTTCTAACCATTTCCAACACCTGATTTGTTGGGACATTAGTCAACAATTTTTTGACAAATTCTATTTCATTGTTGGAAAATGTTTTAGCTTCTAAAGATCTCAATAATTTGCCATATATAGAAGTGACACTACCTGATGTTTTAGTTTTAAAGTAACCTTGATTTTGAAGCTCATTAATTGCATCTACCAAAAATCCACTTCTATTCAAGGTAACATTCATCAACATTTCCTTTTCTGCCATCGAATAAGCAGTACCGGATTTATTATTTGACCCAAAATTTGAATAATAAATATAAATAATTTCAATTTCTAATAGTCTAGGCACTCTTTCAAGTATCTTTTCAATATCTTCTAGCAACCTTTCATCATTACTTTCCTTTAACATTTCACCAATTATATCCACAGTACTTTCGTCATAAGTGGTAGTTCTCAAACTATCAATCAAACATTCAAAACATTTATCGATTTCTTCAACTGATTTGTCTTTAGCTTCTTCAGGATAATTCATTCTGAAGTGAGCGAATCCATCTTGGTAATCGCCATCCAACATCATATATGATTGCATAATTGATTTTAATAATTTTGATGAGTAATGTGCTAGATACCAATCCTTAGTTTTAATATCATCATCTTCAGGTAAAAATTCTGAACCATCTGAATCTTCATCCAAACCATTTGAATCATCATCTGCATCAACATCTGACTCTGATTCTACATCACCATGCGAGTCAATGACGAATGATGTATTTTGTTGGTCATTTGAATTAATTTGTGATATAGATCTATTGAAATTAAGTAATGTGGTATCCATATCGTTGGAATCTTGATCCCCCTTAGATTCCATGATAAAACGTTAATTCCAAATATATTCTACTTGCAATTGAGTATTAGTTGTATGAATTTAATTGATTGAAAATGAATGGATATAATGAATGAAATAAAGACAGACGTGTTTTTTATTTAAAGATAAAATTTTGTTTTAATTTAAAAAGATTGGTCTTCAATTGCAGAATAACTGATATTATTCCACCTATTAGATTATGATGAAAATTAATGAATTGATTGGTATAGTTTGATGTATAAAGTTTAATGATGATGATTAAAGAATTGAATGAAAAAACGAGTGATTTCTCATAAGTATATTTTTTTGGTGGCCAATTTAAAATTTTGGTTGTCAATTGAAGTTAAAACAACAACAAAAAAAAAAAACACGTCTAAAATTTCAAAATGACATTAATAACACTCTAGTAAGTAGTCAAAACAGCACAATCAATTATACCCAACAAACCCCGAACTTTATATATTGAAATTCAAAAACAAATATCAAACATGAAAATGTACCACGTAGGTATGAGGGTTGTTTCAGTGTGTCCAGATTCAAAATGTCACGACACGACAAAAAACTTCGTCAATTAACAAACTTACATCCATTCAAAATTCAACAATAGTATTGTCGATATCCCTTAGGATTAGCTTTAAACTCGTTTTGTTCATCAGTCATAATTTGCTATTCGAAAAAATTTTATTAATTTTAGAATTTCATTTTTCAGTCATTAGGAAAATTCAGCCTTATTATGTTTTTGCTGGTCGATAAGTTTAAATGGATGCTGATTATCAATAAGTGCTGATTAATATTATATGATCAGAAATTACTAATCATTAGCAGTCAGCAACTTCTTCCAAGAATTTAATTTGTCTGGTTGATATTTATCCAACTAATATTCCCAAGTCTCAGAAATTTGTTATTAAATCAATTTGCTGTTTACTTATTTTAGTCCCAACCAATATTTTTAAATGATGAAATAATGCACCAAATTGTTGTTTGTTTGCTATTTACATATCCTGGGATTTTAAAATTATAGAAAATGGGCACCGAATTATTTTGCAAGTGTTTACTACTATGAAGCTAAAGTCCTTATGTCATAAAAGATTGTCTCAATCATTATGCAAATTCGTAATAGTGACTAAAATAAAATTTAAATACAAAATAATGACCAAGTTTGCTTTACCTAATCTTCAACTTCACTCCAACTAGGTCATTAAAACTACCATCAAATCATTTTTCCTAAGTTCTTAAATTTGCTCTGACTAATATTTTTGGATCATTGGAATTTTTTTCGATAATCATAAATTTACTCCATCAAATCACAGAACTTTTGGTTTACCCATAATGTTAAACAAGCTCACTTACATAAGTCATATATAATCATTATTTGAATTTTTTAGTCCAATGTTCTATTCCATGAAAGTTCCTCAGAACACGTCGTCATCAAATCTTCTTACATCATTCCAGCTCATATTTCCAGGTATTTCAAGAATGTCACAAGTTCATCCTCAGCACCGTTTCAGATAATATTTTCAAGATGTAAAAATTCATCGTTGATTTTCGCAAAGCGATAAAAATTACAATCTAGCTGAAAATAAAGATTACCTCAACCATATGTTGCAATTATGATAATCTAACTAGATTTGAATCATATGTTATAGTAATATATATCGACAAAGAATGCATGATAGCATTAATGATTGCCTTGTGAATCTCATTATGCTTTAAACTATTATAATATCAGATATCAAAAATGGATGATCAACATCAGTTCTGTTTGAAACATGTTAAGCCCAATCATTAGGTGACGTTTAATCAAAGTGTCAACTAAATTAAATTAAAGTCTTAAATACAATCATTCCGTATGAACCGTTGGTTAAAAGAATATTATTGTTGAAACGACTAGTTGTTGAATAATTTTTATTTTGTTAACCTATTGCAAGTTGAATTCAAATCAAATCCATCGCTGTAAAGCCAAACAGGATATATCGTTAATCAATATGAACATGTTTGTAATTTTTGAGTTGTAGATTTATAAATCAAATGATATACAACAGTTGTATACTGCAACGTAAAAATTTATAAATTTATTTTTGAAATATTCATTTTGTAAATTCCATACATATTTTCTTATTACGTAAAAAAACAACTCTAAATTAATTGCGGCTTTCTACTTAATAATAGATAAATTGAAACTATCAAGAAAACGATATATTTGTTTTACGTAGTCGTACGAACAATTGTAATAAGTATAGTTTCTAAATTTTCATGAGCTGTTCAGGTTTGATCATATCATGTCATAGACTATAAAATAAGAAAAAAGTTGAATTAACTTAGAATTAAAATCATTGATTAGTGAGTAGTATAAAATTAAATAACAAACTTTATACGTTTATTGGCGTATTTATTTGCAAATTTTTGATGAAAAGTTAGTAACACGATAAACACCGGTACTTTATTACCTTGAGATTTTATCATTAGGAATGAAACAGCTTAACCGAATGGATCTTGCTCAATTGTTTATAGGGATTCTTTTCTGTGACTTTACAATTCTACTCTCTATTTGGCTGTTAAACTTGCCTTAGAAATCACACTCAATTATATCAGATCACATTTTAATCCAAAACATGTACCCAACAATCAGTCTGCGTAGAGGTAATTCAAAAACTCTTTTATTTTAGCGTTTCGTACATTTTTTTCTGATTTCTAGCTTGAGACATTCAAACACGGTGAATCAATTGAAAACGAGACTAGAAGTCTGTGCGATTAAAATAGTAACAGTTAACTTATTGATTAACTGATTATTGATAGAAAATTTTTATTAACTATTAACTTAATTATTATCATTTTGATAATGTTTTCACTTATTTTATATTATTCTTTAACTATTCAAGTAGTATTATGTAACTCCTTGAATTATATTTCTCCGATTTATCTGTAAGATATAAAATTCATATCATTCATATTTATATTTCATTTTGTGTAATTAGTGGATTTTCACACGAAGGTAGAGAGAAAAAAAAAAAAAAAAAAAAAAAAAAAAAAAAAAAAAAAAAAAAAAA